CTTCCGCTTGCTTGTCCTCCTTCCGTAAATCCTCGCTTGGCGTCTGTGCTTCCCGAAATTCTCTCCCTGCAACGAAACCGAGCGCCACTGAAACTCCCATCCGTAGCTGCTGCGTCGCGCCTTCTCCGCGTGTGTGCCGTCTCGCTTTTTTTTGAGTGCATTCTTGCCGAACCGTTGGCCGGCCGTGTGTACGCAGGTGGAAAAGGGGAGGGCATGGTCGGGGCCTTGAGGCTGTAGCTTGTTTGCTTCCAACGTGCGTCCGTACTGGCGCGCTTACCACCGCCCACGCCTTACCTGGAGTGACAACATCGGGTTTCATGCTGGCTCGTCGCCGTTGAACATATTCTTTCCATAATACACAGGCACGGACTCTGCTTGTGGCGATCATTCCGTGCAGCGGCGCCGGAAAAAAGTTTTTCCGGAACGGTAGGCAAGCGTCGTTCCATGCATTGAGCCGGAAGCCGTGTGCCTGGGCGAATCGCTAGTGGCAGGAATAGTAGGAGTGCACTCTAGTTTTTTATCTTTCGGCTGATTTGGGCTATCTCAGTAGTGGTAGCAGCAGCAGCAGCAGCAGCAGCAGCGGCGGCGCAGCGGGCGTGAGTGAGTGAGTGAGTATGTGAGTATGTGAGTATGGGTACTGCACTCCTGTCTCTTGCTTCGAGGACACGACGTGAGTGTGGCAATTTGGCGGTGGGATGCCTGCAAGAGTGGGCGCTCAGAATGGTGGTGCCTTGCCTTGCGTAGGTCTTCATTACGTGGAAACAGGGCTGTTGGGAAAAGCACAGGCCGCAATTGGACTGGGAAGGTGGGTAGAATTTGGAACTTGGAAAGGGAACTTGGAAAGGGACTTGGAAAGGAAACTTGGATGCGGTACATAGCTTGGTGTAGATTAGTAGCGGAGCGTAGTGGGAGCGAAGCGACGTGAAGCGAAGTGAAGTGAAGCGAAGTGAAGTGAAGTTAAGCGAAGTTAAGCGAAGTGAAGCCAAGCGCAGTAAAGCGTCGAGCCAAAATATCAGCAGCAGCTGCGATTCGGCCCATAAAACCGAAAACACACCATGGGCGTCGGCAATTTCAAAAAGCCCAGACGCCGATTCGAAGCGAGCGAGCGGCGCGCTCGGGACGCAACCGTTCAGCTCAAGCTGGACCGCAAACTCAAGCAGGAGCACGGCCAGGACGTGGACCAGGACGTGGACGTGGATTTGAGCCTGGATTCGAGCCAGGACTTGAGCCAGGACTTGAGCCAGGAGTCCGGCGGCCAACACCACAGCCAAGATCCCAGCGCTAATGCCGATCCCGCGACTGAGTCCCAGCCCATCTCCCTCTCGGAATTCGACAAAGTCCTGGGCACTTCCTACGCCACATGCGGCCGTATCGCTCTAGAGATGGGGCTCCACCAGTCAGCCGTGGCCAACTTCGCCAGGGCTCTGGAAAAGTCCCCGCACGACGCTGGCCTCTTGGTCGATTTCGCCAAAGCCCTCGGGGCAGAATCCAACCAGGAGAAAATAGTCGTGTCCACGCTCATCGACGCACTCCAACACAGCCAGGACTTTTCCGACCATCGTATCTGGGCCCAGCTCGCCCAGTCATACTTCATTCTCCAGAAACCCGAAGACGCCTTTCAAAGCGTGTCGCGAGCCATCGCCGCACAAGAGGTCCGTGTGGTCAAGGACCCGGATCTGTGGGTCCTTCAAAGCCGTATTCTTCTGCTCTGGATGGACTCCGACGGCAAGATGGGGCTCGATACACTCACCCCGTATTTCCAAGGGGCCGTTAAAATGGCCATCAACTCCAAAGACGTGAGAAACGAACTTCAGGCAAGAGTTTCTCTCGCACAGCTTTACCATAGGTTTGCATGCTATTCCAAGTCCCAAGCAGAAGTAGCGCATGCCCTCACACTCGTGCAGAACAATCCCATGTTCGAACTTCCCAAACCTGCAGCGGTCAATACGCTGTGCTATCTCTACAATTTCATGTGCATTATCCAATTCAAATTGAACCAAAAGACTAACGCTTACGGTCTACTTCACGAAGCAATGAGCATACTTCCGCAGGTTTCGGGAACTGCTCGTTTATTGGCCACGCGGGCTCAGTTCCATATGATTGATGGCGATCTTACGAGCCTAAAAACATTGCTACCGGCATTGTTGATTGAAAAGAATGCTCTTTCCGAACACGATAGAAATCGGCTTTACGTCTTTAACTGGTTACTTGGCAGAATCTTCGACATGCTTGATGATACCAAGCAAAGTTATGACTTTTATCAATGTGCGGTCAATTCTAAACCTCAATCTGCCTCTCTTTGGATAGGAATTGGATCCCTTTATCTGCGTATGCGTCAATTTGAAGACGCCCACATTGCATTCTCTCACGCATTAAATAACGCCTCCAAGCTTGAAAATTTTGAACATCCGTTCTTACTCAGATTCAATCGTTTATTTGCCGCATTCGCTTGGGTTGGTCTATCTCAAGTGTTTGTGGCAACCTATCGGAAACAAAATGCTTTGGATGCTTTACGACAAGCTTCGGTACTATTTACTTCCGAAGGCGATGTCATTCATGCAAGCCAAGTTGATCAAATTTTCAACGACGTACTCGCCTCTACCAACCAAAATCCTATTTACATCATTATGAATGTGCCGCCCCAAATCCTACTCGAGCTTTTTCTCTACTATGATGCAGGTATATTTTCTTCCAATCTGCGGCCTCCGGAAGTATCAAAGATGCCTTCGTGTGAGCCTGCTACGCAAATGATGCCTGCCATGGTTCAACACCCACCGATTGCTTCCGCTTTGGCGTACTCTCCTTTACCATTAGCGCCAAATCACCTGCCTTCACGCGTATTCCAGGAACTCAACCAAAGGTACATGACTCCACCTAACACTTATTTTGCATCTCAACCACACCTTTCGCCTCATAAATTTGATTTGATTGCACCAGTTAATAACCATAATACAACAGTAGCTCGCGACTACAAGTTTAGAAATACTTCGCTTCAAAAGCGTTCAGTGTCCTAAAGAAGATCTCCAAGCAAATTACTTAATCTATCAGACTATAATTACTTGTATTAATGAAAGACAAAAAGCTTTGTAAGGGTTGTCTACATGTAAAGCTTTGTTCAGATATAACAACAGTTATTTACACTTTCCAATTAATCAAAGTCTGTAGTACTAAATAGCCTCCCTGCGCCCGTTCTATATCAATTTACATTCCGTATTTACAACCAAAAAGAGGAAACACGCATCTACATCCTTTCTCGGTCGCCTTCTTATTACATTTTATATCAACCTCTTAGGATACAATATTTCTCTTGAGATCACGACAATCAGAGCTCAATATAATCGTTAAGGATTACCATGGCTGCCTCTTTATTTGCATAAGAAACGGACGTTGGTGAGTAAGACAACAATTCGTCAAAGGCTGGAACTTTGCGTTTCGGTTCGCCACCCACAACCGATACCGAATTGTAGTCGCCCCAAAAGCAGCGTACATGCAATCCTAATGCATCCGTCTCATCCACTTCTTCGCCATTATTCTGGCTTAGTATTCTGGGGATCCATTGTATACCAATATGATAGAAACCTCTTTCAAAATTGAGTTTGTGTAGTTGAAGACTGTTTATTCCTTTGCTCCACTTGAATATACGATTATCTTTGCCGTCTTGCAACATTCCGTCAACTGTTGAAAATTGTGTTTTAGTCCTATTGTCATAATGTGATGATCCAAACACTGTCACTTGCTTTACTGGCGATTGGCCCAATGTGTAGTCTGCATACTGAGAAGAGTTGAAGGTAATCGAACACATACGATTTTCAAGTACATTGATTCTGATCTCAGCATTGATTGGTTCATATGGCGACCTTTCCGAAGAGTCCCTATTATTTGAAAGGATGTCAATAGACATGACATCCGAAAACGTCAATTTTCTATTGGAACTTATCAAATTAGGAGTTAGGCCTGCGTAGCTGCACGTTTCGGAGCCATGGCCATTAGATTGACAGCTTACTTTACCGTTGGATTCCTCAACGGTTGGAATATCTTTAAGGATTTGGTCGATACCAGCGCCTTGTCTACCAAAAACGTTCACCATGGATAACTGATGTTCCGCTTTCAAGTCAATCTCTTGTGAGAATCTCAATTTTAGCGGCGAAAGATCGGAAAAGGGAGTTTTAATAAATGATGTAATGCCCGAGCAGGCGGCGATAAACAACACCAGCATGGAAACAAAGTAATTCAGCTTGTATGAAAATGGCAGGAGAGGAAAGGCAAAGAGCATTCCACCTAGCATGGAAATCATCGACACATTCCATGATGCTTGGAACCCATCTTGGCAAGTTTGGTAGACTGCATCTAAAACTTGTGAAAGGCACATAAACGTAAAAAAAGAGGCCAGGGGGACTAAAGTGAGAAATTGAATACTCCAGTCGTAGTTCATCGTTTTTTTAAAAACGACGTTTACACTTTTTTTGATGGATTTGTCTGAGTGGGTCGCGGAGCTACTTTGAGAAGAGCGCGAATTCACCAAGAGAGGCGCCCTCTCATCGGGCTCCTCTGTCTGAGGAGCTCTCACGGTCGAATCGGTATTAGATTGGCTCTCATCCTGGATTTGGTCTGGCTCAATAGTATAGCCACTTTCTTTGGATTCGCGCTTGAGGGCCGCACAAAGTAGCCCCACTATGCCGCTGAGGGAGCTTAAAGAATAAACAATCGAAAAGATGTAGAGTCCCGTAGCTTGGTATTTGGTTGAGTAGAGGCGTATTGTAGCAAGCAAGAGACATAGCCACAACCCAAAGGACATTTCAATTAGAGCAACGGTTTTGAAATCCTGAGTAGGTGCCCAATACTCAAAAAATGAGAGTATGATATAGTTGACTGTGACAAAGCATGAGGAAAATCCGATGGTGGGACTGAAATAGTCTCTGGAAAATATTAAAGGGTTAAATTTGAAAAGGAGCGACCTTCCTGTAGCAATTGTCAGGTAAGAAGCCATGAGACTAAATGGCAGTCTCAACCAAAGCGATACTGATTTCTCCGCGCGAGTTTTTTTTCTAGAAACGACCAGTTCTAATGCCAAAACAATTATGGGGATTACGGCCAATAGGGCACAATTTATAGTGAAAAGCTTCTTCGCACTCATTGTGACAAAGGTCATTCCAAGAACATCAAAGTATATAGCAGGTTCACGTTCGCTAGGATCATCTTCAAAACTTTCGAACGTCATCAACTCTGTTATCTGCAAAGCAGCTTGCATCATGTGCCATAAGGATGCTTTACTGGTGTGGGAAATAGAGTCTCTCGCAGTGTGATAAAAAGCTCTCGGTTTATAGAAAGCAATATCCCACCCCCTTAGCCCTGCCTGTTCGTAAACTTTGTAATCAGTTTCGCTGGAAATATATCTGTCATAGAATCCTTGTTGATAGATGGAGTTCCCGAAGGGTTGATCCTGGACAGCTTGTTTGTAGATAGATGCAGTATTGCTGTCAGAAGTTCTGAAAAGAACGGCCTTACCGCCAGCTCCAGCCCCCTCTAAATTCAATACGTAATGTACCAATTTGCTCCAAGGATGATTTAGGAAAGCTGAGGCCCCCAACAACCCGAACTCTTCATTATTATTAAAATTGAAAATGACAGTACGCCGAGGCTGTTTCTCTGTTAATTTGGATAGAGCGGCCAAGAGGGTGACAACTCCCATTCCATCATCAGTGGCGCCGAATCCCGTGGGAACAGAATCAAAATGCGCAGACAAAAGCAACCCTTCCAGACCTGGTTCAGATCCATCAATTTTGACCATTATATTTGAGGACTCAAAATAGATAACTCGAGTCTCTTTGGAAGAAGAATTGAAGACATCCGGTTGTTTGAAGAGGATCTGGTTTTTTGTTTCATAGTCATCAGAGATTTGTGCGTATGACACGTTCGCTAGCAAAGTTTGGGCTCTGTCGAGAATGAAATCATGGACAACATCATTTTGCCTCGAGACGTACTCGTGTGGATTTTGGGTGATATTCTGTAGGGATAGCCAAGCATCGTCGAGCAAACGTTGCTCGCTTTCTTGCAGCTTCAGGGTTTGAAACCTCGTTTTGTCCCAAACATACAATGCGCCAATTATGGCATAGGTCGCGACCAGAAAAACGCTCACGCTTGTCTTCCTGAACCGACACAGGGACCGTAAGTACCCGGATAACATAACGCTTAGGGCTTCGTTCTTGTTCTATCGCACATGAGAAAGGGTTGACTTTATATCGCAGGCAAACTTAAACCAAGAATAATCACGATATACGTCTTATGTGCACACTCTTAACTTACTCACTTGAAGCATACATTGGCGAACTAAAGGGCCCATCGAAGGCACTAGAGAAGCTCGTATTGCTAACGGGTTAATTGAATCTAGACTACCGATACTTTAAGTGCTTTCTTTTCAAATATTAACATATCCGTTTTACATGTGTAATAAAAATTGGATGGGATTGTATTATTGATAGATTATCGCAAGCGGCTTAGAAAAGCATCAGCCTTCTTAAGACATGCGTAATAATGCTGAAGTGTTCGGCTAATTACATCAATGTTATATGCAAACTAACGAGCTTCAAATTTAATTCACATTTCGTATAACGTGCTTCTAATATATATGAACATGGAAACTCAGCGGCTATTTTTTTGTTTCTAGATACCGTCAGTGTTGTCGTCGATGAGCCATGCTCAACTTTACTGTTAAAACCATCAGCCGAAGCAAGGCTTTGTGTCATTTCTTGGGCAATTTTAGCATGGTGTTCTAGGACTGAGCGCATAGCAATAAATTGTGGCGAAGATATCATGATATCTATACCATTATCGATAACGCTGTAAATGTGCCGAATTTTTTTGGTCGTCGCAGCAGAGTTTCAAGCCGTTGATATACTAATCACACTAATCACACCTATACAACTCTGACTTATGTGATAAGCTTCCAGTGGACGTTTTCTAGATATGTTCAAATGTTAGGTGAGAGACTGGCAATACGCGTCCCACTTCATCTGTACTCTCATTTGTACCCCCATTAATGTACAAGCACACATGCTTCCATAAATCAAGGCTTCATCTTCTGACACATCTAACTATCGGAGATTCGAGATGTGTTGCGAGATCTGGGCGGTCGTAGCCAATGGCAGACTATTCAAGCTTTGAAATAGAAGCCTTTAAATAGACACTAGCACGGTGCCATGATCGAGACTTAAGCTCAGCAAGCTACTTCAGAGATCATTAAATCCAAATGTCTCCGCTCTACAATATTTTTACAGCTGTTTGGCCTCAAATTTCGAGAGTTGCTTCGGCTGACTGATATGCGATAATAGCTATCGAGAGGGAGAAGTACATTAAGTCGTGTTGACACCTAATATTCTCAAGTCCTATTTGCAATTACCGAGATCGAGAGAGTGCCAGTGAGGGAGCACGTGATCAAATTCAATTAACTTTCAAGCAATCAAAGAAACTTCTTGACACCATTAGAACTTCTACAGGGACCAAGAAGATTGACAGCTTTATATGAACTTACGTGTCAACAAAATGCAATCAGTCGATCGCTCTCAGTTCCCAAAACTGAAGAATGATTTGATTATAAGGGCTGCGCTGGGCGAAACTGTGGAAAGACCACCATGCTGGATCATGCGCCAAGCTGGACGTTATTTACCGGAATATCATAAAGTTAAAGACGGGCGTGATTTTTTTGAAACATGTCGGGATGCAGAGATTGCTAGTGAGATTACTATCCAGCCCGTGAGGCGTTACGCTGGTCTTTTGGACGCTGCGATTATTTTCAGTGACATCCTGGTTATTCCACAAGCGTTAGGCATGAAGGTTGAAATGATCGACGGCAAGGGTCCGCATTTTCCAGAGCCTCTTAGAACAGTGGAGGACATGCAGAAAGTGCTTAATTACCACTCAGACGTGCTGAAGGAGCTGGATTGGGCTTTCAGAGCTATCACAGTTACCCGACACAAACTTAATGGTCAAGTTCCATTACTTGGATTCTGTGGCGGTCCTTGGACTCTAATGGTTTATATGACCGAAGGTGGCGGATCGCGTCTGTTCAGATATGCCAAGCAATGGCTCAACGAGTTCCCAGAGTTAACTCACAAGCTTCTGCAGAAGATTACCGACGTTGCCGTGGAATTTTTGGCTCAGCAAGTGGTTGCTGGTGCTCAAATGCTTCAAGTCTTTGAAAGTTGGGGTGGTGAATTGGGTTCGCGCGACTTCGATGAGTTTTCTTTGCCTTATATTAGGCAAATTAGCCAGAAACTACCATTACGTCTCAAAGACTTAGGAATTCACGAAAAGATTCCTTTGACTATTTTTTCTAAGGGTTCGTGGTACGCTTTGGATAAACTGTGTAGTTCAGGCTACAATGCTGTTTCTTTGGACTGGTCCTGGGACCCCAAAGAAGCTGTCAAGATCAACGCTGATCGCGTCACTTTGCAAGGCAATCTTGATCCTGGTGTGATTTACGGCACGGATGAAATTATTCGCAAGAGAGTGGAAGAAATGATTTCTGGATTTGGTGGTGGGAAGTCCAATTATATCGTCAATTTTGGCCACGGAACCCATCCATTTATGGACCCTGAAAAGATCAAGTTTTTCTTGGAACAGTGTCATAGAGTCGGGAGCTTGTAAATAGATTCCATCCTTATGATTACACCTTTTTGCAAAGGATCAGTAATGTCCTAAATTGCTGCTCTGTGTACTGTTTTTTAAAAACGTTTTCAATGATAAAAGTATACAACATATTTGAACTTAACCACATAGCTTTTCGAAAGTACACATCTTAGTAACAATTGTGCCTATAGTTTCGAAGTTATGGTCGATAAAACGACAACAGTCAAGAGCAATGAACTTTACATTTTTGAGCTACAGGAAGAAATTCTAAACTCTTTGGAGCTGATGATTTTTGATAGCTCAGTAACGGAGGTCACTATTGACAAGCAAACCGATTCAAAATCAGCTGTCAATGAGGCCGAAGACGATACTCCGGGGCTGCTAGGCTGTCGCTCCTGCGAAATAGGCTTTTCATCACCAGTGTCCAGAAAACTGCACTACAAGACGGACTACCATCGCTTTAACATTAAACGCAAAATTAATGGTCTTCCGCCAATCAGTTTAGAAGAATTTGAGGTGCTTGCCGAAAATGATGACGTGGAGAGCATATCTGGGTCTGACTCAAATTCAGACTCTGATAGCGAAGGAGATATATATCGAGAAGACAAGGACAAACTGTCAGCTATTCTAGAGGACCAAGTGGCAGAGATGAAAATCTCGGAGGATTCTTTAGCCGGTCCTGAGAGCCATTTGAACACTCGTTCGCCCCAGATTTATTTCAAATCGAAGATTTTGGATAAGAATGAAATCTTCGGCGCATACAAAGCTTTATTTTCGAAAGTGGCCATTGAAAGGCCTCTTGAGTCCATTCGTGAATGGAACTTGACGGTATCTTCTGCCTCTAATCATGATATTCCATATTCTGCCCTTTTCATGGTAGGTGGAGGTCACTTTGCTGGTGCTATAGTGTCCCACAAGCGTCTCAATATAAAAGGGCATATGACGAAAAATGACGAGACACTTCAGGAGAGGGCTGTTCAATTTCTAGAACACAAAACATTTCACAGATATACAACGAGGAGAAAACAAGGTGGTTCTCAGTCGGCCATGGATAACAGCAAGGGCAAGGCAAATTCTGCTGGCTCTTCTCTGCGGAGATATAACGAAACCGCGCTAAGAGTAGACATTCAACAGCTTCTTTACCACTGGACACCCTACTTGAAGCACTGTAAAAACATTTTCATTAGAGCTAAGAGTACCAGTGATAGAAGAATGTTTCTAGATAGCAGTACCTGCCTCGATAAAAATGATATGAGAATACGATCATTCCCTTTTACCACGAAGCGTCCAACTGGCCATGAACTGAAGAAAGCGTGGTGCCAGTTGGCATATTTACATGTTAACGAGAAGCCCCAGGCGGACGCCAAGCTAAAATCTAACGCTGACGAAATCATTACTGTGGCAACTCCAGCAAAAGTACAACCTCAAGTGGAAGAAGACCCAAATGTTCTACACACGAGAGAACTTATATCTCTCTTGAAAAAGTCCAAAGCTCCATTACTGTTGTCATATCTTCGCAAAACTGAGCTAGATAAAAATTTTCGTTTCCACCCACAGCAGGAGTATGCACAAACTCCAACGATGTTGCATTACGCTGCGCAACAAGGTCTCAAAAACATGGTTTTGATCTTGCTCAGCAATCTCAAGTGCGATCCAACTATAAAGAATGCCTTTGGGAGAACACCGTGGGAGTTATCCAAAAAAAAGGAAGTGCAGCAGTCTTTTCAAATCGCAAGATTCAATCTAGGGGAGGACTTTACAGACTGGGAGTCATCCCGTATTGGTGAACCCGTGAGTAGAGAGGAGATCGAAGCTCTCAACGAAAAAGAGGACAAGGAGAGAGAGCTCGAAAAGGCACGGCTGATAAGAGAGGAGCTCTCGGCTGCTAAAGAAAAACAAAGACTTGAGAAAGAATCGAAAAGAGGACCTGGGAAAACTTTAGTCCCTCTAATTTCATCACTCCAACAAACCACAAATTCTTTAACTGACGATCAAAGGATGCGCTTGATGAGAGAACAGAGAGCCAGAGCGGCGGAAGCGAGGATGAAGTCGAATAGTGGATAAATAGATACTACATATATAAAGTCGTACTGTTATTCAAGCCCGAAACTCTTTGAGAAATGCAAAGGTGATATCAGGGTTCCATTTCACAGCCAGCTCTTCGCTCAGTTCAGTTTCTTTACGAGGAGTTATGTGCCTGTAGCCAGTCAAGCACTCCTTAACTAATGCTGCTTTCTGCGTATCATTAACTTTTTGAGCTTTCTTAAGGCTCGCCTGCAAATCCATAGCATTGGTCCATCCGTCCGCTGAGATTATCGTATCTTGCTGATCGTCGTCAGTGGTGCTGTTTGATCTAGTGTCATACTCCCCGTCTCCTTCACATTCGCAGATCAAATCATGTGTATTACTTGTTGTCGCGAGAACGGTGAAGAGATCTTTCAAATCTTCGTTTTCGAAAAGATCGTTATCTGATTTGTTATTCGAAACGTTATCTTCGCCTCCCATGAACTTAGCACTTAAACTGTTTTTCATTAACTGCCGCTGGAAGATCTTTTCATCAATACATCCAGCTGTTAGGAGTCTATAAATATAGCAAGATTTCTTTTGTCCGTCTCGATGAATTCGCGACATTGCCTGATGGTCGATTGCAGGGTTCCAATCATTATCAAAGAGCACAAGCCGTGATGCGCCAATCAAGTTCAACCCTACGCCTCCAGATTTAGCGCTTAATAGAAATGCAAAAATTGACGGAAGAGTATTGAAATTATTAACAATTCCATCACGCTCTTTAGTTGGAGTTGACCCATCTAACCTTGTGTTCGAGAGACTATGACTGTTCAACATATTTTGAATAACATCCAATGTTTGAGTGTAATTGGAGACGATAACTACTTTTTCTTCAGCATCAAAGCTCCGTATGCAATTCAAGACACTCATCAATACTTTTAGTTTTCCGGAGTCTAGGTTCTGCCCGCGCGTCAAATCTACCGTGGGTTTCACTTTTTCGCGATAAAACGGATCTTGTGATATTAGCGCTGGTGAGTTGCATATCTTCTTGAAAAGTGTTATAAGCCCAAGGGATGAAGTGTACGCCATATTAGAAAAATCTAAACGACATTTAGTTAGCACGGTCTCGAAAGCTTGTACCTGGCTTAAGGCGGGTTTGCAAAATAAAATAACATCCGTCTTAGGAGGAAGAAATTTCGCTATGGTGTCACTTGTTCTGCGTAAGGTAAACCTTTTGGTAATCTCGATAAGCTCATTTGTACGTTCTCTGCCCTTCTCTTGGATGAGCTCGTTAAACCTACTGTTAACATCCCTGGACCTCGTAATGGGAAGTATGAAATCCCTCTTGAATTTGGGGAATGACCCTAAAATTCCGTCGTTAAGGAAGTTCAGTATAGTATAGAACTCTACCAAATCATTTTGAATTGGAGTTCCTGTTAAAAGTATCTTGCGTGACACGTCAATGGAATTGAGGGCATTTAGAGTTTTGGACTGACCATTTTTCAATCGGTGGCCTTCATCACAAACGAGTAGTCCAATGTTTGCTTTTCCTTCAATTAGAGCATCTGAAACGCTGAGTAGCTTTTCATATCCAATGATTAGCACTTGATAAGACCTTTGAACCTTTAAAAAGTTTCGAACATCTAATTTATCTTTATCTGGTGTACTTTTGGAGCTTAATGTCAAAACCCCGACCCTATTTAGATTCAACCATTTAGCAAATTCCCGCTTCCAATTTCCTATAAGTGTAACAGGGCAGACCACTAAAATCTTATTGCAAACACCCTGATGTGAAATCCCAAATTGTGATGAAGTGGTTCGAGAAGGGAGCGGAGTTTGTTTTATTAAAGTCCAAATCAGAGCTATGGTCATCAAAGTCTTTCCGAGTCCCATCTCATCTGCCAAAAGACAGCCATGAACATCATCAGTTTTTTCTAATGTAGCGCAAGTTTGTCCATCTTCGTTGTAGTCGGTTGCTCTTGATAAACCCATTACGCAGTCATACATAAATTTGACCCCGACACGTTGATGAGTCCTTAAATGTTTTGAAAGAATGGGATCAACCACAACATCTACCTCTGCCTCGCGAAATCTGTTCATTATCAACGGGTTCTCTATCTTGGAAGTATTGAAGAGAGGCTTGAACTCATAAGTTTTCGTCTTGTCGTCACTATCTGTTCCAACTAGATGAGGAGTCCTTGCAGCGGGCTTGAATTTCCGTACCGGTATTATCGGTACTAGAGTTTGTGACAGAGTCGGTGACAAGCTTTTTGATTTTAGGCTTGAATCTTTTGATGAGTCGCAGGACTTGCCTAGAAGCGCTGCAAGCTGGATAATTTCGCTTTGATCATCGATCAGATGGTCCAACTGAACTTCAAAACCAGAGCATCCGAATACTTTCTCGAACTTGTCATCACAGGTTCCGAGGTTTCCGCTCCCTATAAATTGGCCACTTTCCTTGTAGAAACGGAAAGTGTCATTACTTAGCTCTATGGCTGAACCATCGCCATCCCAAGTCTTGTTCTTTTTTGTGGTACGTTTGCGGTAAGTTATAGAATAATAATTGATTGCATTTGATGCCTTTTTGGCAGTTTGGGAAGGAGCAGTGTTCACAAAGGATCTTTTGTTGACAGTTCTATTGGGTGCTGAATTTACCGCCGTTGGCGCCACGTTTCGGGATATCACTGCTGGACCAGTACTTTGCGTGGACTTGGATGCTATCAGCGGTGACTTGAAGGGTTTGTTTTCATATTGGGGAAGTTTCATGAGAGATATTTTTTAAGTTGATTTCATAGCTCTGATGAACAAGTTAGAAACAGTAACAACAACTTGTACTAGACCTTATTCTGTTTAAACAGAAGACAAGAAAAAAAAGTGTCTGTAGAACTTCTGAAACGGCAGCGCAAGCTGAGCAGATGAAACGTTATATGCGTAAATTGGTCGTGTTCGGATGCCTGAGAGGCAAAGCCGAAAGAGTAATTAAATGAATGACTATGAAGATGAGGGACGGAAACATAATGATGCCCGCATAAATTTTGTAAATGTCCCCGTTTTCCAACATTTAATGAATGGTTCTGTTATCTTGAGTCAAGAGAGTATTAATGCAAAGAGTCCTTATGTCTTAAGTCGAAGAAATGATTACGGCGTGGTCTTGTCCGTGAACCTTAACAATCTGCTCCTGCTATTCTTTTCGCGTATCTAGCGTTACGCAATGGTGACCTGCAGTGCTCGGTAGCAATTCTTACAATGTCTAGAGATTTAGCGTCCAGCGATGTCTGGTGTGTAATCAAAAAAAGTCCAACTGAGTTCTTTTCGTGTGTTCCAACGACTCATCGCGCCAGTTCCATTTCTCCAGCTCCTCGGCCTCGGTGAAAAAGCCCTTTCCTTGGTATTTGGTCTGGCTCGGAAGTTCGGCATCGCATTTCTCGTACATAAGGTCCTGAACCGACATGGAGCTTTCCCGGGAGAACAACGACGACATGCTGGAAGAGGCGGAAACAGTGCTGTGGTGTGACCGATGCGGCGTTTTCCTCTGTGGCGAAAAGTGGTCTGTCTGCTCCTTCGTAAGCTCTTGAATGGCGAGATTGTACTCGCGAACCATACTGTCGTCCAGCAGCACGGTGCTGCGCTTCAAACTCGAGGTTTTGGACTTGCCAATATGTGACTTGCGACTAGTCTCTGGCGGCGCCACAAAGCTCGCATCGCCGCTCCGCATGTCTTCTGCGGACCGGTTCCCGGCTTTGGATCCGTACAGACCGGAAAACGCTGTGAACGATGAAAACCCTGTCATATCCAGGCTCGAGGGCGATACCATCATCGAGTGTCTCTTTTTGCTGTCTTGCTTGCTTGTGCGTCTCATGGTCGAGTTCTTAGATAGCATATTCAGGTAGAAAAGGCGTGAATCTCCTATAAAGCTACTTGGTTGCTGATATAGTTCAAATTTACATCACTTGCTGCCTTCTTTTATACAACTCTATGCCCAAGATCATCCAGTTTGACGTTCCTGCAGATCATTAACGCCTCGCCTGGCTTTTTGATGTTTGAGATCGATTTACGTCTCACATTTTTCGCGACGCGTTTAATTTCGCGATTTCGAGCAGATGAGGTTAGGATAAAGTTTCGTAGTTTGAAGATCTTCTCATTTTAGAAATGAGCATACTGATAAAAAAGTAGCTGGACTTGAAAGCAGCGATTTTGGCGGTTCGAGTGCTTAGTATCGCCAGTTGCCAAGTGCAGATTTGGTGTGTTATTATGGGATACGGAATTTGGGTTTTAGCGCTAGTTCTGCTAGAATGGTTGGTGATACGGGTGATACTGGTCATTCCGCTGTTTGGAATCCAGAACGATGGAATAATGGGTGCTGGAGGCGTCAAAGTTAAAAGCGGTACCGGTGCCAATAGTGCAGGGTTGCGACTATTCGTGTTTCTGGGTTCTGGAGGCCACACGGGAGAAATGCTGCGGCTGCTGGACAACTACAAAGACGAGCTTCTGCGACCCGGAACAAAGCTAATTGTGGGCAGTTCTGACGAAGAGAGTCTGACACGATTTCACCATTCTTTGGGTCCACAGCTAGCGCAGCAGGTGCAGGTCACAGTGTGCCGTTTTGGCAAGGCTCGAGAAGTTGGAGCGTCGAAGCTAGAGTCGGTCCGGAGTATTTTGCACACGCTGGCAAAAGCTATTTGGACCGTTACTTGGATCAAGTGGCAGTTCGTGGGTCAGCCGCATTTGGTTTTGCTGAATGGTCCCGGCACTTGCTGCATTATCGCTGGATGGCTGAAACTGCTAGAAATTATAACCATGACGCGATCCAAAATAGTTTACGTGGAGAGTTTGGCCCGTACTGACAGTTTGAGCATGAGCGGTAAAATCTTGTACCCACTGGTGGACGAGTTTGTGGTGCAATGGAGCGAATTGTGCGAAGTGTACGAAAGAGCACAGTGTTTCGGGATTTTAGTGTGAGGATTCGAGAATAGATGGAGAACCGGTTGGCATTCCTTTAGAGCCGCGCCTCTCGAGCCACGGTGGAGAAGCGTAAACTTTCACTTGTTGCAATAAGATATTAATAATAAGATTGTTGTCTTCATGAACCCGAGCGTGTTTCACTTAACATAAACGGAACGAATGCCTTGTATTTATCACCATTTACATTATGGTGCAGTAGTTGAATACCAACGTATATACCAGGCTTGAAACATGTCCGGCCCGTTCTTCTCTTCCATCAATCCTTATGCTAAAGAGTCGTTTAAATCATATAAATTGGGTGAAATCCCAGGAGATTCAAATTCCCGAGACCTCTTTCGTTATACATCTTGAATAATTGCTTACTCCATTTAGTTTCTAGAGTTGACAATGTCGACGAATTCTGGCTTCAAAGAAGCACCGCCAACTAGGAAACCGTCAACGTCCTTCTTGTCCTTGAAAGTAGAAGCGTTCGAACCGTTAGCGGAACCACCGTACAAGATTCTGGTCTTTTCGGCGACATCGGATCCCAACTTCTTGGCCAAGTATTCTCTGATGCTAGCGTGGATCTCTTGAGCATCCTCTGGGGTAGCGGCCAAACCGGTACCGATAGCCCAGACTGGTTCGTAGGCAACGACAACGTTGGTCCAGTCCTTGACTTGAGCAATGACAGCGTCCAATTGTCTCTCAACAACCTTCAAAGTGACACCGGCCTTCTTTTCTTCCAAAGTTTCACCGATACATAGAATGACACCTAGACCTTGGTCCAAAGCGAACTTGGTCTTGTCAGCGACAGTCTTGTCGTCTTCACCGAAGATGGTTCTTCTCTCGGAGTGACCCAAGATGACCCATTTGGCACCACAGTCCTTGATTTGGTCGACCGAGTTTTCACCGGTGAAAGCACCAGCAGCCTTTTGGTAGGCGTTTTGGGCACCAACGGAGACTTGAGACTTGGAAACCAAACCGGCAGCGTAGTCCAAGTATGGGGCTGGAGGACATAGCACGACCTCGCAGTCCTTTGGTAGAGAAGCTTGGTTCAATCTCTCAACGATTTCCTTGATGGATTGCTTGGTTCCGTTCAACTTGAAGTTACCACCGACGAAGAAAGTTCTGGCCATTGTATAATGATGATATGTGTGTGTTGGGTTGTGAAATTCAATGAATTCTGGTTTTAGAAAATCTGAACACTAAGAGAGTACTATAACTTAACTCATCTGGACTTGACGCTTTTATAATTGCTCGACCTCGATTTCACTCAGCAAGACATTAGACCATTTTTTTGCCTTCAGTTCCACACCACAACACAGCGGCTTTCCATCATTCACGCATGGCTTCCCGGCCCCAGTGACGTTGTGAAAACGGAAGCTCGCATAGCTCTTTTTTTATTTCTAACCACGCTAGGAATTCGGTCTTAAGCCCGTTTAACGCCAAAAAACCATCGTCTTGTAGCGACAATCCGGAGCTACAATCGCCGCTATTCATCTCGTTTCTGCAGCTAACTCTGTATGCCGATGACAGGCTTTGAAGATGGCCTTGTGCCCAATTAATGAAATTTTTCATAAATGACCTTATATTTTTCACTCATGCAAGTGCTGAGCGCTTCCTCGAAGCTCAGTAAGGAGCTTCCATAGGAGGGTGAAAAAAAGTTGATTGGCTCAAAAAGTGGAAGCTGAGGCCGTATCTCGTTACATCGAGGAATGACAATTTTGATTCACGTGACTGTTATTGTGATCCTAACGCCATCTCGGCATCGTGGTGCGTAGGGCGTATCGGTCGAGCTCTGGGTCGAGCTCCATGACGACCAGCGAGCCGTTTGGTACGTTGGTAAAGGCTTCGAACTCCTCGTAGGTCCACCGGAACCATTTCATCAGGAACACTCGCAGATAGATGCCGTGCGTGACGAGCACCACAACGTCGCGCGGCTTGCGATCACGCTGGTTGAAGTGTCGAAACAGGGTTTCCTGGAAACTGGCGCACCGGTCGTAGACGTCAGCGGCACTTTCGCCCTGCGGGAAACGAAAGAAAAAATGGCCGTAGTTCTTGCGCATGTTCATCACGTCGCGCATCGAGCTGAGCTCTTGGAAATTGCCGAAATCCTGCTCCCGAATCCGCGGCTCGTCCTTGACACGGTAATGCACGTAGTTCTTGTTGCGTGCGGTCTTCTGGAGCGTTTGGGCTAACTCACGTGACTCGGTGTTTTCGAAATATCCGTGGGGGAACTCGGGGCATTGCCAGTGCGCAAGGCGTTTCTGGCCATTGGGCTGGTATCCGTTCTTTTGGCGCGCAGATACCCCGCAATTGCGCTCGTTGTACTCATCCAGGACGTCTAGCATACCCCGTAAGGTCTCTCGTGTTCTCCTGTACGGCGAAGTGTAAAACACTATATTGCTGTCTGGATTTTTGTTGTTCTGCGCGTAGCTCTGCTCCAGCGGCTTGCAGTTTTCGTCCCTAAAGATATGCTCCTGGGCTAGATCCTCCACTATCAGTGGATCGTCCACGTTTAGCAGTTGCAGAAGCTCAGCGCCAGACCTCCGAGCTTGTCTCCAGCCATTGTCGGTTAGTGATATCAAATGGTTCGGTACATGCTGGTTCACACTTTTATCTTTATTAGATGCGCTTTCGCCATGTCTTACTAGAATAATCAGCCTAGGCTTGTGCGTTCCTAGATGCTCCTCCATTTTCACACTTTTTGTATTGAAGATCTAGTAATACGCAGGTTAGTTTTCGAGATATAAAAAATGTTTTGTCAAAGTTCAGAACTTTACAAGGGAAAACACCAAAATCATCTGAAAGCAACAAATGATAAGCTCTAGCATAATTAGATGTGTTTCGCACCCTTTTACCGTTAAAGCCGGAGTAAGCCCTTTTATTAGGCATTCCAGCTGGTTTTCGAAACTTATATATCCTTTCTCAAGCCCTGGTCAGTCGATAACCGATTCCTACAAACCCTCGAGCGCCAATGGAAATCAGTGTTTTTTGCCAATCCGCAGTGATTCAGAGCTCGAAGATACCTTGAGAGCCAACAACAGAATGCCCTTGATCCTGAACTTCACAGTGCGGGGAAATTCTAAGTGCAATGAATTAACAGGCGCCCTTAATAGAATAGTGCTCTTAGAAACTGATAAGAAAGTCAACATCGCCGACGTCGAGACAGATTACATGGACGTAAGGGACTCTATGCTGAGATTTGGTGTACAACATGTGCCAACTTTAGTCGCCGTCAGGAAAACGTTTTTGGTCGACTCCTTGGTGGGTGATGAGAAGCCTGTCAATTGGCTGGATCTGAAAAAATGGATAGAAAAGAACGCTGATTAAGGAGGGGGAGACAAAATGATTCAATGCATGCGCAATTAGGGCCTAGCAGCTCTTCACGGACACATCGAACGTGAATGCCTTGCGCTGCGCTGTAGTATGATGCAAAATATGTATGAAGTTGGCCTTCGTGGCCTGACTTGGGAAGAGCATATTAAAAACATCTATTTGCAGCTACCCAAGCATACAGCCCAAGCCTTTTGACGCTTCTCAAAATGCTGCTCTGAAAATATAAGCTCCTTGGTATATCTTATTCAGCTAAGTCACAAGGCAATCTTCAAATGACAAGACTGTGGCAAGGTCTCAGAATGGAGTCACAGATTCGATGATCGCACCCCACATTGAAACATTGTAATGACGACACATAACTAAATTAATAAATAGCCTTTCTTTTTTTTCTTGTCATACTCAATCCGCCCCATCAGCGCGAGATGAATTTATCTCTGACAGCACTCTAGTTACTCTATTCTACAGAAATCACCATGTTCGCGCTCCAAAACATTCTTTTGGTATTTTGAATCGCTGGCGTTTGTTGTGTTTTCAGCACCTCGACTTATTGTTATTGCGCGGGCAGCCAGTTGGCAGTTTTGGAAAATTTCAGTTATCGTGAAATGCTCGTGTAAGCCCAACTAGCCAAGCTTTTGTTCATGTCTGTAGACCGTCCATCAATTGATTTTAACCAGCTTCAGAACATATAAAGTAATAAAACCTCCACCTTGGGGTGCGGCTCGCGTAGAAAGCTTTTGAAACTAGAATATTGAATATTAAAGACAACGATCGACTATATATACCGTTTGGATGGGGAATTCATTGTTTTTCGGAGGTCCAGACAGATCATAATGCGCCGCCGACACATTCGTGTTAAGTGATAATTCTGTTGAATAGAAATTTTTTTTTGATGAGTCTTGGACAATTGGCGAGTTGAATTGATTGACTGACTTAGAGATCATATCATCATTCAAAGGTCATAGAAATAAACAGATCTTACCTCCCGTTCGTAACTACGATGTCCCAAGAAGATCAGGTCAAAGCTGCCAACGATGCAATTGCCAATTTGCATTTGGACGAGGTCACCGGTGAGATGGTGTCCAAGTCTGAATTGAAAAAGCGCGCCAAACAGAGACAAGTTGAAGCCAAAAAAGCTGCGAAAAAGGCTTCAGCTCAGCCTAAACCAGAGGCGAAGAAAAAGACCAATGACGCCCTTGCTGATTTGGACCCATCTCAGTACTTTGAGGCCAGATCCCGTCAAATTCAAGAACTGAAGAAAACTCAATCTCCAAACCCATATCCACACAAGTTCCACGTTTCTATTGGTTTGACTGACTTTCTGCAAAAGTATGCTCACTTGCAAAGAGGTGAGACTTTGCCAGAAGAAAAGGTCTCGATTGCGGGGAGAGTTCATGCGAAGAGAGAATCCGGTTCTAAGTTGAAATTCTACGTTTTGCACGGTGACGGTGTCGAAGTGCAATTGATGTCACAATTGCAAGACTACGGTGTCGAGTCAGCATACGAAGTGGACCACGATCTCATCAAGAGAGGTGACATTGTTGGTGTTGAGGGTTACGTTGGAAAAACCCAGCCCAAGAAGGGTGGTGAGGGTGAACTTTCCGTCTTCGTCTCACGCATTCAATTGTTGACGCCTTGTTTGCACATTCTTCCAGCGGACCACTTTGGCTTCAAGGATCAAGAAACTAGATATAGAAAGCGTTACCTCGACTTGATCATGAACAAAGAAGCCAAACCTCGTTTCATCACTCGCTCTAAGATTATCTCGTTCATCAGAAGGTTTTTGGATCAGAGAAGCTTCATTGAAGTTGAAACCCCAATGATGAACGTCATTGCCGGTGGTGCCACTGCTAAGCCTTTTGTTACTCACCACAACGATCTGAACATGGATATGTTCATGAGAATTGCTCCGGAATTGTTCTTAAAGGAATTGGTAGTTGGTGGTATGGACAGAGTTTATGAGATCGGAAGACAATTCAGAAACGAGGGTATCGACATGACTCACAATCCAGAATTCACTACCTGTGAATTTTATCAAGCGTATGCCGACGTTTACGATCTAATGGAAACTACCGAAATGATGTTCTCCGAAATGGTTAAGGAAATCACCGGCTCTTACGTTATCAAATACCACCCAGATCCACGCGACCCAACTAAGGAGCTAGAGCTCAACTTTGCTAGGCCTTGGAAGAGAATCAACATGATCGAAGAGTTGGAAAAGAGACTCAACGTCCAGTTTCCATCTGGTGATCAATTGCACACTGCTCAAACTGGTGAGTTCCTAAAGAAGGTTTTGAAGGACAACAAACTGGAATGTCCACCTCCTTTGACTAACGCCCGTATGTTGGATAAGCTTGTTGGTGAATTGGAAGATACTTGTATCAACCCAACTTTTATTTTCGGTCACCCACAAATGATGTCTCCATTGGCCAAGCACTCAAGAGATGTGCCAGGCTTGTGTGAACGTTTCGAGGTGTTTGTTGCAACTAAGGAAATCTGCAATGCTTATACTGAGTTGAACGATCCATTTGATCAAAGAAATCGTTTTGAAGAACAAGCTAGACAAAAGGACCAGGGTGATGATGAAGCTCAGTTAGTCGATGAAACTTTCTGTAACGCTTTGGAATACGGTTTGCCCCCAACTGGTGGTTGGGGTTGTGGTATTGATAGATTGGCCATGTTCTTGACTGACTCCAACACAATCAGAGAAGTTCTTCTCTTCCCTACTTTGAAGCCTGACGTCCAAAAAGACGCCGAAGAGGAAGCCGCTAACTAAGTAGTATCATTTTCAGCTTTGTAAATTGATATACTTCATTGCAATGCCACTGAAGTGGTAATTGTTATTATTTTGTTATAAAGTTACAAACAGAATCTTCGAGAAGCTGTAGTATATGCAGGATGCTTAAGAAATGGGTATATTTAAGACCACAGTTTGCTGCGCGGAATTGCTTTTATGAACCAGAAAGTGTTGAAGTTTTAACTGTTAATGCCGATATAAGCATGACAAATTTCTCTGTCAAGTGTTGTCTACCGCGAATCAACTGTGGAGCCAATTGTGTTGCTTGCTTGTACTGGCCGGCCAGACGTATCCATACTTCAGCTCTATACATATGTCGTTCTTGTGAGCTTACCTTTCCGCTTTAATTCTAATGCGCGCTTGTAAGGTGGATTTGTTGGAGGCTGGACTGGATCCAGCGCGGTTGAGTCAGCAGGTACATCGTGGTAGGTGGCATCAGCGTCGAAACTATCAAGACCGCCGCAAGATATGAATTCTGCAATACTTCGAGGCTCTTCATGGTACTCTGGAAGCTTATCTTCGAGGCATAATCTACCAATTTCGCAACCTTGAAAAAAGTCCTCGACTGACATGTTTACATCAAGTTGTGGTTTCCAATTTGTTGGTGGCTTGTAACCTATACAGACGACAAAACTTTCAAGAGATGTTCCTCTGGATGACTTAGGCTTTGCACAGACCACCTTTTCAAAAAGAAAGCTCAATTGAGAATATAACATGTCGATATCTCTGCCTCTAAAGATTTTTGCAACAAAGACACCGCCTTCGCGAAGTAGACAAGTAGTCAGCTGCAATGCACTCAAGATGAGCTGTTGTTGAACATACTCGTCCAGATCGTGTAGCCCAGTTACATCGGGGGCCCCATCACTGCATACAAAGTCGGCCTTCTCGCCTTCGAAAAGGTCCATGATTTTATTCAAGGTTTTTGGATGTGTAATATCAGCCTGAATGGTGGTGACATGATCGATAGGAAACATTGGTTGCAAGTCAACTGCTACAATGCGCTTAGATTCTTTATTTTGCGGATTGTCTACGAACAACCGTCTAGACAAAACCTGGGACCAAGAGCCTGGGGCTGCGCACAAATCAACTACACGAGTGACATTATCGAGAAAATGGAACTGTTCATCGAGTTGCAGTAACTTGAATGCAGAACGAGCTCTGTAGCCCTGTTCTTTGGCCTTTCTGTAATATAAGTCTCTCTTATCTTTACTGCTTTTACCCATGCTTAATCTTGAAGGATTGTTAAACTGTCACTGAGTAATTGAGTCTCGCAGGAACCGCGACGCGTCCGGAAAAAAAAGCTAAGGTAACAAAAGTCGCCAAGAATCTCCCAATATCCAGCTTTATCTGAAAACCGGTTCTCGATTCAAAATGTAACTCTCTGATGATTTGAAGTCAATTTGAAAGTGCTCATCGGTATAAAAATTTTTCAAAAGTTGACTTCAAAAATCTACAATATTCATAAAACAATTCTACAAGAGAACAAGAAAACATCTGCAACCATGATTAGGAATACGCTTTTACCGCAGTTGAGATCCTTGGTCAGGTTTCAATCTACGAGCTCTATCCCTGAGGCTGCATCCGGTCCTAGAAAGTTACCGATTAATGTTGAGGCAGTTTACCACGCACCATTAAAAATACCAATCACGCATGGAGATTTGATAGCAGACGTCCAATTGCGCTCCTATGATCATGAAAATCTCGACTTTTTTTCGGACTTCATGTTGAGAGCCGGCTTTTACCTAGGAATGCCATTGACGGGTCCCAAACCCTTACCAACAAGAAGAGAAAGGTGGACAGTAATAAGATCGCCATTCGCTCAGGCCAAATCCAAGGAAAATTTTGAAAGACATACACACAAAAGACTGATTCGGGTTTGGGATACAAATCCAGAGGTGTTAGAGCTGTGGCTCAGCTACATATCGAAACACTCGATCCCGGGTGTTGGAATTAAGTGTAATTTACACCAAAAAGAAGGCATCAAACTGCAGCAGACGCTCAAGCAAAGCTCCTTGTTGGCCGAAACACATAAATCACAATCGCTGGACGAGGCCGTGGGTGAAAAAGTCCTGGAACTACTGAACAACGAGGCCTTCACTAAGCATATGTAGAAGGAAACCCGTTTTCACAACCTGTATATAATGAGAATACTACTCTATCAGCCGTACATACCCCATTCGTCCTCCATCTCTACTTGACTAACGTCAATCTTGGGTTTATGCGATAGCACATCGTCTCTGCATAACGGGCAGGTGGTGCTTTTCGATAACCACACGGCTACACATTCCAGATCAAACCGATGACTGCAATGCGGCAACTCAACTACTAGAGGATATTCATCGTCCTTGTAATTGCAGCAGCATATGCTGCAGGACTCCTGTTCTTTGAGATCTTTTTTCTTAATTCGAGGCAGCGAATCTATATAGTTGTCGGGACAGCCATCTTTTGTGTCTTCTAGGAGCTCTTCCTGCATTGATTCTGGAATCAATTGCGACAGCATTTGTAATAAAGCATTTGATGTACCATTTTCCTGGTACAAGGAGTGTAGTTGGCTTCTCAAGTCTCGCCTATCACTAGCATTGGAGCCTGTAGTTCCATGTTCCTCTTGAATTCAATTTGTTAGTGGTTGCCTAAACGATAATTCTAAGCTTTCGTCTTACCTTCATATGTTGACATTGTGTCACAAACGTTCGGTTACTTGACAAGGTTCTACGCCTTGAATGTGTTGTCTGTCAAATGGTTGAAGGCTACCGTTGCCGTCTAACATACAGAAGTGCTCGGTTCCAGTGAAGCATTGTAGACGAAATACCTTTTTTAACTGGCGCCGGAGGTATTATCTCTGAGCAAAGTACTTCTTGTTAAGTAGTTATACTTTATATACTTATCCCTCGCTGTAGCGCACAAGCGTCTAATGATGATGCTTGAGTCCTGCAATCGTTTCATAAGTTCGGGCATATCGGCTGGTAAATTGTCTTTGAAACAGCATTTTATAACTGTCCTGGCTGATAGAATAGAACACGCCTGTGCCTGCCTTACCACTCATGTATCAGCCTTGCAATGGTCGATTACTTCAAAAATCTTGCAGTATCAATGAAAAGATTTGTAGTAAACAGGATCCATAATTAAGTCCTATGTGCTTTTGAACGCTAATAATGCTTTCCAATACGCCAACAATTGTGGAGTCCCGGGTATGTGATCCTCCCCCCTCTCCTGAAAGGTGCGAAAAATTGGAATCCTATTTGTCCCCCAGCTTTTCAATTAAAGCTCGATGTCGATTGCTCTTCTATTCTTCTTGGTTTTGACAGATGCCCGCTTCTTGTTAGGTTTGGCGACTTTTGATTGTCTCGCTTTCGAGCCAGACTCTCCGGCGGTTGTCAAATCTTTTTGCACCAGTTTTTCTAGTACCTGCGCTAGCTTTAGGCACTCTGAATTTTTATTTCCCATAGCTGCTCTGTGAAAGTGTGGCCATGCTACAACATGTATTTTGGAATTCTGCAACGCTAGTTTACCCTTAGTTACATTTGCTGGAGTTTGAAAAGCTTCTATGCCATTGACAAACTTACTAGCTAGTTCCGAGGTTTTGAATCTGATACCGCCACAACGAGCCATGTGGTTTATTACCACAGATGTGGAAACGGGGTCTTGCCAGGATGAAGTTTCAACAACTTCAGAAACAGCTTCAACTATGGCCCACTCAGGAATTGATGAGTCGATGTTGTATAAGAAAAAAGACTGAGCTGTCTCCAATGAGTTCTTCAACGGCAACTTCTTGATCAAATGGGAGATATCGACTTCACTAGCACTGTTAGGCGCGACGATAGGTTTGGCTGCCTTACTCTTGTCGCCTGGTAATTCTATCTGTGCCAAAGTACCCCGTATGCGTTCCAGGATTTGTGCTGTACTTGCGGCATCACTGGTGATAGAAGCTCCGCCTAGTTTGTACGAATCTCCATTTTTCAACGCTATGAACCTCTTCATCATTTCGTTTTGAGCTTCTTGAGTGGTGACTTGTGAGCCTTGTACTGCCGAAAGTACTCTGTCTCGAAGCTCTACGGGAATCTGCCACTGTAGATCTAACATACAACATTGGCAGATGTTCCGTTGTTTAGAACAGTTATGGCATATTAAAGTTCTGTTGATCTTAGAGCTGGCTTTGAAGTGGTATACTGTGAAAGGAAGTGTACAGATTTTGCACTCAGCGCCATTAGGAGCTCTGGTGAGGCGGGTTTGGCCACTCAAACATGATTCGCAAATTGCAAAGTCCATGTGAGAAGAGTGTTATATGCTCACGTCGCGTTTTGTTTTCTATTCTTTTGAGATGAGATGAGATGAGATGAGATGAGTTCTACCTGATTACGGCCAAAATATTTATCTACAGGGACGGTGTATAAAATTTGAAATGAGGTTTTTTCGCATCTCATCAAGCTGTGCTACATCTAGGTAAATCTACTGCGGTCTTGTCTACAACCTTCGCATGGTAACTGAATATCAGGGTTAAAAAGCTGTCAAAGTTTGATTCCTCATATTATAATCGGTTGAAGAAATTCATGTTGTTGTTGTTTTGGTTATCATCATTTCAGTTGTATGTCGTATTGTTCCACCTGGAACAACTACCTCATGCGAAGGCTAGAGACAAGATTGGTGGGCGTTATATGAGTTGAAGAAGCAATCATGACTTCTAGGTCAAGAAAAAAAGCACACACACACGACCCCCATCAAAGTCTGCCATGGCCTGGCTTATCAAGCCATCTCGTTCAGATAGACTACAGGCCTTACTTGATATATGTATTGATAAAATACTGGTCAATACAAGTGAACTTTAATTTTTCGCAATGGTTTTTTTTATAGATTTTTTTTCAGCCTGTATTTTCACTTGCATTTCCTGTTTAGACGTAATTAGGGCTTAAACAACCTCTTACCAGGTTACTTGCGGATAACAAGCAAGCCCCGCGGAACCAAAGGTTAGTACTGCAATACCTTTAGTTGTGGACTCAAGTTACCTTGTCTTGATTATCTCTGTCGCTCGTCTACGTTCCCTGTAATAGCGTTTTAATATGAACGTGAAGTTGTGATTGTCTATAGCTCGCTGGGCACGCGATTCGTATTGAGGTTGTTGTAGGCAATTTGAAAATATTCACTACATTCAACTTTAGGTAGCAGCGCCCAAGAGCTCTACGACCTCGTCCGGAGTGTTGCCACTACCAATGTTTCCCAGAATTATTCCGTTCACCGCGACTGTTGGTGTGATATGTACGCCGTTTTGCCGATGATAGCGAACAAAATGCTTGATGTCTCGCGCAACTTTATTGCCTATGTTTTTAGCCAGGCTTGAGTCGCCTTTCGAATTTACGTCAATCTCCAGACGGCTCATGACTTCGTCAGCGGAGACACCGACCTCTTCGGCCAAGGATGCTAACTCTTGGTACATCTGATTGCGAGTCTTATTGTAGCAGCCTTGATCAAAAAATTCGTCCTGATTTTCAAACAAGGCTTTACTAAAGTCTTGGAAAGAGCCAGGATCAATCTCGGCTACAGCCAACGCAGCCTCGTGCATCAAAGCAGAGGAAGGATGCCAAGGCTGAGGCACATGTAACAACCGAAACTCAAACTTCCTATTCAACTTGTGCTCAATGGTAGGTATAACGTCTTGAGTCCATTTCAGGTACAGTTTCTTGCTGAAGGGACAACAATAGTCTAAGTACAGTTCAACTACGTTGGCATTTGTTTGAGATGTTTTCGCATCTTTCAATGCTAGAATTGAGTGCGAAGCCAGAAACTTTGGTGCAAAAGTCATCCTTGGGAGATTAAAATTCCATTTTCGTTATCTTTCTTACATTTATGTTCTAACTTTTATATAAGGTCTCTCTTGAGTTGCCCCGTATTGGGTTACTTATGAGATATCCCCTATGATTATGTGGCGTTAGACTCGTGGTCTTTGCGAGAAATCCAATCGCCTAAATCCCATGACGGCAAATTAGCCATAGTAACACCACCGTGCCAGCTCTGTAGCTTCCGATCTAGCACCAAAGGATTTGCGAAAGAAGACAACTTGTACTGAGGGAACTGGTAGCTGAGATCGTTAACGACCCGCTGCTCGAGACCAGCGATGAGCGAGGAAGAACCCGTTATTACAATGCTCGTTAGCAAGGCCGTATGAATTTGTTCTGCAGAGGCAACGTTCGAAGCGGAGGAGGCTTGAGTGCTCGAAGCACCTGCTTTTTTTACAGATTTCGCGACAATATCCGACAAACCTTCATCTTTAGAAAATTGCGGTGACGCTGCAGACGGCTGGAAAATGCCCTCTGTAATTGAGCAACATTGTTTTTGGGTCAAACTAATTGTCTTTTGTTTCTTGTATAAAAACTTTTTGATGCTATTCATACCCAGTATATCAACTGTGGCAGAATCCATTTCCTGTAGTTTTGAGGGAGAGATTTGCAGCATATAAGCCTTGAATTCTTGGATCCAAGTGCGGGAGTTGTGCCATGCAGCATACGATGGATCTTTCGGCAAACTTTCATCGCTTTCGATTTGATGTTTAAGCATTTCGTAAACCTGAAAATCCAGAAAGTCGCCGGCGAAGCGAGAGCGAATCGCTGCACTTGATACCACACTTCCATCGATAATGGGTGTCACGGTTGCTTTCGCAGCTCCAATATCTACCACCAAGGCCGTGTTACGTCCCAATGAGAGCGCGACTGCTAGCGGCTCTACCACCATTTGGAAAACGGGGACCTTGAGCCTTCTCAGCGCCACGTCTAGATATTGCGATTTGGCTTCCTGTGGTAAATCTGGTGCTACTGTGATCACAAGCGGGGTTTCTTCCAGTTTCGATCCTAGCTTAGTTTCGACAATCCATCTCCATTGTTTCTCTAGAGCCTCCCAATCATACGGTACGCCTTCCGGGTTCATTATAGTAAATATGGGTGATTCTGGACCTTCCAACAGTGCATCAAGCTCAAATTCGAGACTTTCATCTGCTCTCTTCATGTAGCTCGAAGAACACACGACTTGTGGCATATCGACCTGTGAAAATCCAGCTACAGTCGTATGTGTACCATTATGGATTACGATAGCCATCCTGGTATGAACTTAAGAAGGTAATCTGAGCTGATATTAATGTTCAAGTTAAGACGACGAAGTTATCTCGAAGTGTTTTGTTTTTCAATTTCGTCTTTCGTTAATTGTTAATCTTACGAAAATAATAATCAAAGTCATAAAGTAAGATCAAATACTTTAGACCCTGGTGAGGAAGGTGTGTATTCACTTCTCAGTTCAGTACAAATGTCTGAACAGGCGTATTATGAGAAGCTGAAACAGGAGCTTTCTGACGCCCTGGAGCAACGGCAGAAACAGGAACGTAACTTGGACCAAATACAACAGGAAATTTTTGATAAGGAGACAGAATATCTGCAAGGAAATAGTTCCAGTCAGTTAGGAACTATCGTGAAAGGTTTTGATGCGTTCGGAAAACACTCGCATGAAACTCCCAGTGCCTTTACGGACAAGGATAGAATTTTTTCGTTAAGCAGCGCATTGTTTGTAAAGCAACAAGAAGGCGCCACTGAAGAAGAGTAAGTCAATGCAAGATTTTTATGTTTAGTTGTGACTGTAAAGTTCCATGAGCAGGGCGGCCTGAAGCTACTTTATTCGCCGAGAGATAGAATAAAACCTCCGAACGTACGACATTGCTGTGTACTCAGAGATATGACTCACTTGTTCTGTTTTCCTCCATTCTGTATATGCAATTAGGAGAGATGATCTTTTGAAACCCATCCGCTTAGAACAAGCCAAATGGACACGCCGCACTGCTCACGAGGCCGATCTGGGGCATTGTTCCAGTTTTTCAAATGTCTCAACGTCATGGGTAGGCCTGCCGAGAACAAATCCCTAGACCCTCGAAAGAAACCCTCAAAAGATAACGTGGTCGATTGTTGCTTTAGAAAGGATGCTTCTATCATTGCAAATTGACTTCCTTTTATATATCGTGAAACAGGCGTCCGTATTACCTAGGAATTTCCAGAGTTTATTTTTCAAGCCTTCAATTCAAAAACCCGAAGTGCCTCTCTCTCGTTACAAAACATTCGTGACCCCTTGATAGCTAGCTGGTCTTTAAAAGCTAAGTTAGCTCTTGTTTCGTCTCTCGATCATGGATTTCTGAAGTACCGCCACTACAACTGGAGTTTCCAAACTTTCTTGTGGTCCTAGTATTCTTAAGAAGCTCGAAAAATACCGGCGCTCTTGAATCGTCAGAATCCTCTCAAAATCAATCGGAAGTCTTTTAGCTCATTCCCGCGTTTTACTTACAGATAGGATTTTTAGCTCACCTTATAAAAATTTCAGCATTTGCATAGTAGCCTTGAAGAGGTACGAACACTGAACAATAAATAACACACTTATGAACTTCTGCTTGAAACGAATCACTACGATTCGTCGCCTGTCTTTGATCAAGCCCAATTCTTCTTCGAGCATTGTTCCGTCCCAACTTGCTCAAAGGCTCGATGTGGAACCGCTTTTCGGCTCAGAAAATCAAACTCTTGAATCAAAATTCAGAACTCTAGGAACACCGGCTACATTGTGTTCCGCCAGTCTGCCGGCATCAGTACCGCTATACGTTCGCCGCGGGTGTCTCGTATCGCTCCACAACGTGCAAGACCTTCATATCGAGCATAGCTGGTTAGGTCTCACGTGGTCGCTGATCAAACATGGGTCCTGGAGGCCCGCGTTGTATCATAAGCTGGTTTCACCACGTCCATTCAACGCCCTGGTGGCTCCTAACGTCAATCATAGTCGATGGTCATCATGGTTTGGGTTTTCATCTCAACCATTTCGAACCCTGTGTCTTTTGGAGCTGAACGGGTCTCAAGATTGGTACGTCTTCGGGAAAAACTCTTTGATAGCATATGAGGGAAACACATCTTTGGAAATTAAACAATCAGGAATTTGGCCGGACCGGTCGTCTGCTCTACCTAGTACTTATAAACTATTGCAAGGTCGAGGTAATGCTTTATTGAGCGGCGCTGGTTCCGTGTACACAATCGAGTTGCAAGATGAATCCGACGAATTGGTGTTGAAAAGCGAGCACTTATTGGCAATCGGCAGTAAAACTGCAAGAGACGCAAAGGAATGTGTTTCTGAATATCGCTTAACCTCACCTGTGCAAATGGTAAGTCCAGAGACCACGAAAGTAGAACCTTCTCCTTCCAATGTGAAGGAGTTCGACTTCAAAATGTTCCGTGAAATGACCACTACCGCAGTAGTTGCCGCCTGGAATTGGACGAAGCGTACCTACACGACTTACGTCAATGGCTCTACCAAATTTCTCAGAATTCGTGGGCCTCGTTTGTTGCTCGTGCAAAGCTCTCACAACGTGTTCATGCCTGCTACTCCTTCATCACAGTCTGCCTTCCGCAACAGCCCAGCTCAAATGCCAAAGCAATCGCAAGGTCGTGTTAAAGATTATCTGAGTTACGTTTCTGTCCAACCAAATGGAGAAGTGCGTTTCGAAAGTACACCCAATTTTGACGCCAGAGTTGCTGAAATTGAAGCTCTAAAACTCCGCTAGAAGGAACCTTATATATTCCAATTACATTCTAATACAATACTGATGTCTACTTATTTAGTGAAGTACCTGTAGGCGGCTGCAGGTTTGATGTTGACAATGTCACTTTACCTTAACGAGACGCAAACATGATCAGAAAATTTTCTGGGAAATGCTCATCGATCAAAAAGTATACTCAAAAAGAGCTTGTGTTGAACGTTGAATGGGCATCAGAACTATTAACTTAGATCCTTTAAAACACTGTTCCCGCAGATTGCTCAACATGGCCGCCTCTCAGCAAGAAAAAGCGTCGAAAACAAAGGTTCAGTTTGCTTTGAAGACCCCTAAGGGCACCAAGGACTGGTCCGACAAGGACATGGTCATCAGAGAGGGTATCTTTACCAGCTTATCAAATGTGTTCAAGCGTCATGGTGGTATTACACTTGACACTCCTGTTTTTGAACTGCGCGAAATTTTGGCAGGTAAATATGGTGAAGACTCCAAGCTCATTTACAATCTTGAAGACCAAGGTGGGGAACTATGTTCCTTGCGTTACGACTTGACGGTTCCTTTTGCCAGGTTTGTCGCCATGAACAATATTCAGAATATAAAAAGATACCACATTGCTAAAGTTTACAGAAGAGACCAGCCAGCAATGACCAAAGGTCGTATGAGAGAGTTCTACCAATGCGATTTCGACATTGCAGGTAATTACGAAACCATGGTTCCAGATGCTGAATGTTTCTCAATCCTCGTTGAAGGTTTCGCCAGCTTAGGAATCAAGGACTATAAGATTAAATTGAACCACAGAAAAATCTTAGACGGTATTTTCCAAGTCGCTGGTGTCAAGGATGAGGACGTGAGAAAAATCTCCTCTGCTGTGGATAAACTTGACAAAAGCCCTTGGGATGTGGTCAAGAAGGAAATGGTCGTCGAAAAGGGTCAGAGTGAGGCTACTGCAGATAGAATAGGCGAGTATGTGAAACTTAATGGCTCTTTGCAAGAAGTCCATGCTCTCCTGTCTCAAAACACTGACATTGTCTCCAACGAAAAGGCCAAACAAGGCCTGGATGAACTGGCTGTCTTCATTCAGTATGTGGAAGCTCTTGAAATCGACTCTCACATATCTTTCGATTTGTCGCTAGCCAGAGGTTTAGACTACTACACCGGTATTATCTTCGAAGTTGTCACTTCTGGGTCCGCTCCTCCCAAGAACGCTGAAGAACTGAAGAAAAAGGCGAAAGGTGCTGAAGATGCCTCTGAATATGTCGGTGTCGGTTCTATTGCTGGTGGTGGTCGTTACGACAACTTGGTTAACATGTTTGCTGAAGCGACAGGCAAAAAGTCAGGACAGATTCCATGTATGGGTATATCCTTCGGTGTCGAAAGAATTTTTTCTCTTATCAAGCAAAGAACTGAAAAAGCCGCTGCTATTAGACCTACTTCAACTAAAGTATTCGTAATGGCTTTTGGTGGTGGTAAAGACTGGACTGGTTATTTGCCAGAAAGGATGAAAGTTGCGAAACAATTATGGAATGCTGGTATCGCAACCGAATATGTTTACAAGTCTAAGGCCAACCCCAGAAAACAATTTGACGCTGCTGATAAATGTGGATGTCCAATTGCTGTAATTCTCGGCAAGGAAGAATACTTAGACAACAAGTTGAGAGTCAAGAGACTTGGCCCTGAATTTGCTAATGATGATGGCGAATTGATCGATGCAGCTGATCTAGTGGAAGTAGTGAGCAAGAAATTGTCCGAAATCTACCAAGACGGAGCCGACGAGATCACAAAACTATTCCAAGATTTATGAATTCAATTTACAACGTTAAGTGGTCCATAGATTTAAATGATAGACAACATACGAGAAAGATCCTATAATCCTGTATTTCTGATCACGATCTTCTACATCATATCTTACATATGTTTCTACCAGTGTCCGCTAGAGCGGCTCACAATTTCGTCATCATCATCAAAAGAGCTCCAGTCACCGGCTAACCCAACCTTGGCTCTTTTACTATTTTGTTCGGTGCATTGGTCCTCTTCACGCTGCTTCCGTATGCCAACGATGCTGCTGGAGCTTTGAACTTGTAGTACACCTGTACTCAACATTTTTTTGCCCCAATCGCTAGCAGCGACGCTGCCCGTCTCATCCCTACATTGCTTTAGGAATGGTATGAGTGACGTACCTCCAGTTCCCTTTTGTTCCTTCTTCCCTTGTCCCTTCGAAAGCCCACTTCTCAAAGTTTTACTTTTACCACCCGACAGAGGCTTTTTATTAGCCTGTAGGATGACGTAACGAGATACGATTTGGATGTGTTTGTCGCGGAACGACTTCAACATGGCGAGACATGCATCGAAAGCCAGTGTTAAATTCTCATTTGATCTATGGTTCGTCACGTAGTCTCTGACATTACTCACTTGTTGCAAATGTACCAGGAACTCTCTATGCTCTCGGGGCATGTACATCCTCATATCGTTGATGAAAGAGTTACTTGCACTCTTAGCTGATATAGCGTCTTGTTGGGGCTTCTTATGACCCATAGCAAAATGTTCAACTCCTAATAATATGTCAAGAGCTTGAATTAAAGAGCTCTGAGCATTTGATCCGCCAGCATACTGTTGATACGGCCCTGATGGTCCGTATTTGATACCATTAGGTAGTCCAGCATCTGCCATGTTTTTCCAGCCTGCTAGATAAGGTCTAATCCTATAGTAAAAGACATGTGGATCGCACATTTCTTCCATGCGCATTAGTAAAGAGCCCAGTTGATCAATTCCTTGAGCTATACTTTCCAGTAATGAACGCACTTTCTCTGAGTTCCCGTCTCTCGCTGCTTGGATAGCTTCTAGTCCTGCCTTGAGGCACTGTCCACCAGTCTTTTCGAAGAATACGCTCACAAGGTAGAACCAGCTTTCATCCATCCCGCCCGTAAATGTGTTTATGGTTGTTAGATTTTGTAAATCCATAACATCCTCAACAAGTTCTGAGTCTTCTATAATAGGCTGGTAATTAAACAGAACCAAAGATGCATAAGTTGCAAGCGGGGGAAGTCCGAGTTTATCACTGATAGCCAATAGTGGCTGAGCTATGCATTCAGGTAAAATTTCTGAAGGCTCGTCGTAACCCCAAACATATGCATTGGTAATAAAACATAAAACCGAATACGCTCTTCTGAGTTCTGCATTGTCTGCCAATAGGGATTTTTTCACCTCCAAAATAGGTAGTTTATCCACTATGTCTCTAATCCGTCTTGAGAGTAGCAATGATGGCAATTTACTCACCACACTCTCCCATTTCTCGTAGTAGGGATCTGATAATTTTGTCACCGGAAGCTCAACAGGCAAGAATCCTGTCGCGCCATTTAAACCGTAGTCTTGTAATTTTGGCAAGGGTATTTTATTGCTCATTTTGAGTATTACAATATTTGTGCGTCGTTCCAATCAAAGATCGAGGACGTCAAGCAGAGGACAGAAGCGTTATCGTTTCGTTATGTTATAGTCATTGTTATAAATGTTCTTTCACATCATCAGCCCATATGAGAAAAAAGAACATGTCGTTGTTGGTGATTGTGTCTTCTTGAATCACGTGGTCTTGGAATATGCGTTTCCGGTCTAAAGTCGGACTCTTAGGATGACAATCCGGTGGCATCGGCCCTCTCTTGCTACTTTTTGGTAGAGGCCGCTTTTCCGTTGTCGTGGATAGATGGATTTTTTGTTTCGTTTTCATGGTAATGCACAATAGGTCGTGATCTTAGGGTCTCGTTCTGAACTCATGTCCTTTTCGGAGTTGGCTCCCTTCTAGTTCACAGAGACTTCCTAAACTCCTCGAACTCTGTAAAATAAGCCGTGTCTGGATCACAGGATCTCGCTAAAATGTTAGCTGCGTTTCTCTGTAAAATCCTCTCAATTCCATGTTGATTGCCAATCCATCGATTCAAGTCCTTCCATTGCGCATAATGCGACTCTTTTGCTTCCAGTCTTTCAGCTGCTGCGTAAGGATCCATACGTGCCTCTCGAATTTGCCCCGCAGAAACAGACGTCGCGCCGTATTTTTCGTCGAGCTCTTGTTTCAGAGCAAACGCTTCCTTTTCACAAAACCCTACCGCTTTTAATCGCAAATCCCAGCTCGGGAAGAGCTCTTGCTTTACAAACTCCTGGCATCTTGCTGATTTAGCACGTCGATCTGTTTTACCTGCATTATTAAGTTTCTGCTGAATTACATCGTCGCTATTGTGCCGTAAAGTTCTAAAAAACGAATCTACGAGCTCCCTATTCAAACATCGTTCCCTATTCATTGTTAAAGTTTGCATCATAACTTCCTCTCCTCCTTTAATCTTCAAATTCACGTCCGTCACTCGAGTGGGCACGCTCAACGTTAATTCTTGGCCCATTTGAATTGAAATAAGTTTGATTAGTGTGAAACAATGACTAGATGTTATGTGTATAGCAGACGTTGCTGATCAGAGTTCCGTCGAGATCGATACTTCTGTCGTCGTCCTGGAAAGACCGGATTTCACTTTGAGCCAACTTATAATACTTTTTTCGATCCCTTCCAAAGATGAGTTATGTCATTTTATTTTGAAGGGCCGTCAGTATAGGTAAAGATGATAACAAACCATATCGCATAGTCATATCGCGGTGCAGATTAAGAGAAGATATTGGCACGCATTAAAAGAAGGCACAGAGTCCAAGCTTTAATAGCTTAAAAAGAGCGTTTACCTCTTCTTTTGAGTGAGTAGACTTAACGATTGAAGTAAACCTGTCGTACGTAGGTTAGTAAATGGCCGCGTGAGTACTCACTATCACAATTTGGGCTATACTGGATTGTCCGCATGGGGTGTGCCATGTACCTTGGCTAGATACGAGACACTTCGGACTATTGCTAGTCTCCACCTTAGTGTTGAAATATCACCATGCGAATATTACCTCGTGCGCGATGTTACTGTGCGAGATATAAATAATCTTGTGAACGCAGTATTTCTGCTCTCTATATTTGTTGTAGGTCAAGCTATATATGAGCTATATATGGTCATTCTTCAGCTCTTCCCCGCTTAGTTTGAATCAACAGTCGAAGCGCCCCATCTTTCAATAGGACCATTTTGGCAGCAAAACCACGCCAAGTCTGGAACGGCCGCAATGTTTCTTGCGATATGCTACACATTAGAGACGCCCTCTGTATCTTCCAACGCCCGGTTGTTAACATGCAGATGCTTCGTTAATTACCCGAAATTGCCATACAAATGCTTTCACAGCACCTTGTCAAATATCATTGTCAAAATTAGTGAATAAGAACATAGTGAATAAAAGCAAGAATTGACCCATCCAGTCTGTCCGAAAAACTATTTTCAGTGCTTTGCAGATAATAATGAGATATCGTAATTGTATGAGCATCATTGCTGGTTGAAAATTATAACCCCATCTTGGACCTGAAAACGCCCTTCATGAGATCAGAACTGGTTTGCTCTACTGCACCATTGATAGTCTCACCTGCTACAGTCGCATAATCATTTAAGCGCCCCTCTAAGGTATCCATTCCGTTCTCCATGGCTCGTGACAGACTCCTCATGGCTCCGACACCCTCACTTCGTGCTGTGTGTCTAACTGGAGCCACGTAAGAGTGTTCAGCTGCACCGCTGTCAAGTTGGTGTGCATTAGCTACTGTTTCTTGAGGATCGTGGGAAATAGTGCCATTGGCAATATCGCTTTCTTCGTATTTGAATGGTTTGTGAGCTGTTCCTAGGAGGTTATCCAAATCACTGCGCTTAACGTAAATCGAGCCCCTCGCCCATTGCAGTGTGTTTACTTGGGGTCGGCATTCGATGCGCAGGGCTGGGTTGTAAAGGCTATCTGTTGCCGATCGAATGGATTCAAGATGCGATTGTTCCATGTGGGATGCAGTTTCCTTCAAGATAGTCAAAAGGCTTGCTTCGCATTTACCAACACGCACAACGATATCACCATTCCGCAATACTGAGGATTCTTTGATGTATTTCGATTGCACTGGCATGGGTAAGCGAGTTGAGTGCAATTCCCTAAGCTCTGGCACCGTCAAAACCTTTATTTCTCCATTTACCAAAAGACATACAAGAACAGTAGCGAACGGCTTGCCTATTTTACTTCCATCTGGTACTCGAATATAGCACTGTCCTGCGGTCGCAATTGGGTATTTAAACACCTTGTGGGTATCCTTAGACTTGCCAGCCGTGAAGAGTCGAATGTCATTATACCCCGAAACCATTGTGAAAGCCGGCACAGCTAGCCCTTTTGATAGACCTTGCATTGAAGTAATCGTAGCAGAACATGAGGCTCCTGTCTCTTTGGATGTAGATTCGATGGCCATTATCGGACCCTGGTCGTTTGTTCTCAGTGCATCAATATATTGTACCATGAACCGCCCGCTAGAGTCGGGTAAGATCTTAAAAATCAAAGATTCGCCAACGTCAGTGCCGCAAGCTATGAGAATGCTCGAATACCTATCTTCTCCGTATTCTGCGATAGAGAAGTCAATGCAAGTAACGTTAGTGCTCTTCTCGTGTGTAACTTTTCTCACGTTCTCAGAGTAGATCATGGCCGGCCCTCTCCTATCAATGACCATGAAGGTGCCGTCCTCGTAAGCAATACCCACAAATCCGATATTACTATTTTTCAATGCAGTTACTCTGCCAGAACTGGCGTGAATAGCACATACTGGCATGAATCCCTCCCTTAACTTTCGGGGTGCTCTGTCAGAGATGTCCACAATGAGGTCTTTTGTCTCATTGAGAGAAAATCTCCGAAACTTGATTTCTGTATCGTTTGAACTTTCAGCTGAGCCGAAGTATTGATTCGCTTGAAACTTGAACAAAACAACATCCCCGTCCTCAATGGAAACGGCAAGTTCGGCTGTTTCTGAAGCAAAAGAGACGTTATCGACACCGACTCCAAAGCTTTTGTTGAGTGCTTGAGAAACACTTACGTCAAAAACAGAACTATCGTCTAATTCGCCATGCGATGCGTCCCATATTCTCACAGACCCATTCTTATGGCCGGTGGCTAATGCAGATCTTGTGTCGTGGACCCTTAAGGGTTTCTTCACTGGAGCACCGCCTTTAAGAAGGTAATCCCTGCTGTATGTGGACGACATCATTCCTAGCCATAGTTTTTTGGGTACGGAAGTAGCCACACATTTAGTTGCTGCAGGACGAACCCATGATATACTTTGTGGGAACAGAGACGCTTTATATGATACACTTCCAGAGGGGTACAAAATAGTTTCAATTTCCCCATCATCCAACAAAACTAAGACCACAGCGGGATCATGATTCCCGGCAAAATGACATGATTTTCGTGCCAGTGGGAGGAAACGTACGACAGAGGCCTCATTTGGGACAGGGAACACTTTCTGTTGGTGAGGAGCTGCGTAGAAAGCACTCATTTTTTCATAAGACGTGACTGAGTACATTGGTGTAGCCCCCAAATCCATCATTATCAAACTATGGCACTGCTTTTCTTCGCCACCTGAACCTCCTGCAATCAGTAGTGATGTGTATTCAGGGTTAGCTGCGCAGATCCAAGACACTTGGAAAATAGGTGATGAGACCAGGGGTGGCGGGTCCAGCATTTTTCGTGGAACATTGACATCAGTTTCAAACAAAGATCTTGCTTGAATCAATTTTCCACTGTTTGCGTCCCAGAAGACCAACGTGTTGTCACGATGCACCGTGAGAATGTGGAGAGAGTTGGGGTGATATATTGACTGAACGACTTCCGGGGTTCTAATGGCTTCCAAGTTACCGCTTTGGTCACCGCCGGGTGCATACGGTGGAACTTCATAATGAAATTGTTGCCTGACTTTGTTCTCTACCAAAGAGTAAATGACAGTGACGAGTCTGTACGATATCAAAACCGTTCCATAGTCTCTCGGATTCCACTGGATAGAAACGACGTGCGATAGCTGCTCTTTGGGAATTAGGCTTTTTTGTATGTTTTCAATTCGCAGAGGCGATATGCAATCTTTATCGATATCGTAAATGACTGTGGTGCCGCTTTGAAGGCCGATTAGCATCCACTCCAATGATGGATCTGTTTCAACACAAGTGATCTTTCCTGGGGCGAAAAATGCGGTAAGTACCTTTTTAGAGTACAAGGAAAGAACCAGTATAGAGTCTTTTGAGTCCACTGCTATCAAATATATCCCCTTCACAAATCGTAATTCTTTTACCACGGCCTTGGAGTCTAAGGTAAAGACTACTTCCACTTGTTGCTTCCCGTAAACGTGAATCTCTCCTGCATCTGTCGCGATCGCTAGTAAACTTTGTACCGGATCGAATGCAAACGTCTTTACTGTGCCGTTCATCCCATAACGGCTAACTTCTCTAACATCGAACAGTTTTGAGTTCAGCCCAGCAGAGATATCACTACTAGAAGCTGATTTGATGGCATTGGAAACGCTTTTGAGCCTCCTGCTCTTAAACATGACGGTAACTCAGGGTTATGGCCTCTTCTCAAACCTCTTTTGTAGGAGAATTGTAAAACATCTCGATTTTTGACGTCAAATTCGTTTAAGATTTGGCAATTGAAAAACCAGTGAACTTACACGATCCAAACAATGGTTTAATAGGCAAGTGTGGAGCAGATTCTAATTAGTTTTCTTACTTTCATTTATACTTATTGAAATTAGATGGCAAACCCTGATTGTAGGGCGTTATAGGAGCAAGTCTTCAGGCATGAATGAAAATCCGCGGAACTCTTCTTGCAAGTTTGAACTCAGCACCGACGGTAACGGCGTCAGCGTAGGAGGAGCCGATGTGAACTCTTTTTCGAAGTAGGAGGTGTCGTCAGCAGCCTTAATTTCTGGGATGTATGGAGGCTGAATTCTCTTATTAAGGATATCCTCGAAGTTGATATTTCTGAAGAAAGGCTCCGACATGACTTCTGACGCATCGCGCGGTCCAGCGCCCAGTCGTCTTTCGGGGTCTTTTGTGAGCAATCCCTGGAAAATTTGAACAATATCGCCGGCCATGTCAATGGGGTAGAGCGGTTCGTCGGTAAGAATAGCGTTGAAAACTTCGTCCTCGTCATCACCTGAAAATGGAGACTGGCAAAGAAGCATCTGGTATAGTAGAACACCGAAGGCCCACCAGTCGACAGCTTTTGTATACTCTTGTTCCTTCAAGATTTCCGGAGCCATAAACTCAGGCGTTCCGCAGAACGTGGAAGTTTTGTTTCCATACCACATTTCGTCTTTGCATAGACCATAATCGGCTATCTTAATGTGTCCTTCAGGTGTCAACAAAATATTCTCTAGCTTCAAGTCACGGTAAATGACCCCGTTGTCGTGAAAGTATTTCAAAGCAAGCAAAACCTCGGCAGCATAGAACTTCGCCCTTCTAACAGATAACCTCTGATTTTGAACATGCCACATCAAGTCCCCACCACCAATAAACTCCATAGCAAAATAAATACGATTTTCGGTTTGGAAGGAACAGAAAAGATTAGTCAAAAATGGATGCTTTGCCTTCGTAGCTAACAAGAACACTTTCTTCTCTGCTCTCGCACTTTCGATATCATGATTTTTTATAATATGGTCTTTTTTCAAAACTTTGATAGCACATAAGCGTTCATTGTTCTTCGATTTCGCCAACAACACTTTACCAAAATTACCCTTTCCTAGAACCTTCAAAAGAACAAAATCATCCAGCGATATTTTTCGACGTTTAGATACCTTTTTCTTGTGCTTTCCACTAGCGTGAGAGTGTTGTGGCGAACGTGACGATGGCTGTAGTTCAGCGCTCTGCTGAGTTACTGGTGATACTGCTGTTTCATCTGTTGTACTGTTTTGTAAATGCAATTGATCGAATTTGTCATCTACGATCTCTTGTGTTGTATTGTTGTATACATCAGGCTGTAATTGAGCATTCACTTGGTTGTTTAAATTGTTGCGAGAACTTTCGATAGCTTCAAATTGAGGCTGTTTTGTATCCAGGTCCATGAACGCTGTGTCCGGTGTCTCATTCGACGGTTCGTCGGCTTGATGAGACTGTTTTTGTTCGAGCTCTTCGCCCCGCTGTTGCTTAATCCAGGCATCTCTATCCATTTGGCTCTTCGTACTATCAATAGTGAACTCTGGTGTACCGTTATCGATTTCATAAAAATTCGTAGGGTCTAAGGTGCGGCCAGCCTCTTCGGGTTCATTTGGCTGCGAGTAATGCGCGCCACCAGTAAATGCATCGTAATCGGTGTTCTGCTCGATGAAATCGTTAAGTCTATCATTTAACAAACCATTCCTTGCCTCTTCTGGAGCAATACGTTTTGTTGGTTGCTGTTGAATGGATTCGGTAGCTTCAAAGTCATACAAATTTTGTTTACCATTCTGAATATTTCGGCCGCTGCCGAGAACGTCTGCGAAATTGATATTTGAAGGAGAAGCAGGTAAAGGCTTAACCTCGAAACTTGAGACCTTGTTGACTTTATTAACCTTATTTTTTGCTGCATCCCCCTGATGATCAGTTTGCGCAGAGGTGGCTGTAACTCGCAATTTCTTTCTCTCCTTTTGAGATCGCTGAGTATCCTGAATGGCGGTTAATATCTGATTTGCCATATCCATAGACATTCCACAAAAGTCGGGTACAAGATGTGCGCACTGAATGTGGCACATGATACCACATTCAGAGCATTTCCGCAGATTTTTCTTACCCCATGGGAGGATGTAACCACAATGGCAGCACCATTTAGTTCCTCTATTAGAAATGGGTTCAAATCTGTGTGGAATGCAATGGTTGAGTTTAGGTTCCTCGGGGTCTGCGTCGGTGCTAGCTTTGGCAATGCACTTGGTGACGACATGGTTGTAACACTTCTTGTGACATAAGAACTTACAATCTTGACACTGGAATCCAGTGTAGCGCAGAAAATCTCCGCAATAAGCGCAGCACATAATATTGTAAAAAGATTTCTGGACAAAATGATGGCCATGCTGTTCATAAACTTCCTCCTTTCTGTTGATAATGGCACCATGGCGATGAAGACCGCCCATCAAATTTTTATTTGTCGGTTCACTCGACTTGCTAAATCCAAGGTTCAGCAATATCTGGCCAGCAGGTTCAAGCACAAACCACAGGCTTGATGTAATTGGTTGCGAGGTAATCGCATCGGCTGAAGACGCGCTTGCATGTCTCGTAGTGGAATCTTCGCCACTCGGGTCTACAAGAGTCGTTTCCGGTTGGTAAGCAGATCTTGCCGCAGGGTTCCAGCCGATTTGTCCCGTCTGACCAGCCTTCTTTTTACGAATCTCTTCAGCTATGTCAGATAAAAGCAGCCACATTTGGGCAACAGGTACAATTTGCTCGTTGACCTTATCATAAACAGTAAACTCAATTTCGTTACCTTTGCCTACGTTGATATGAAATTCTTCCTGCCACCTGCCGGTTCGCGAAGGGCGTGTCTTGGCTTGGACCGTATCATCAATTTTGATTGTGATAAAAGTGTCTGGTTTACGTGAAAACATAGGGGATTGAATGTGGTCAACATCGCGTACAGCATTAATACCAATAGTGAGTGTTCCGGTTAACTGCTTTCTTCTAAATTTGGGCTGCGCTGGCTGTGATCCGTCGGCATGGTCTTTAAATTGATCTAAGTCTACGTTGATCGCTTGGTATTTCTTCAGCGATTTCTTAAGCAGTTGGATTCTTTGTTTCGACTCCTTCGATCCACCTTCTGCGGCAGAACTGCTACGGCGATCGCCATCGATTTGATACAGCTTTGTTAGCTTTTCGTTGGCTTCTTGATACTGTTCTTCCACCTGTAGCTTAAACTCCAACTGTTGCAGCATGTACTGAATACGCTGAGACAGTGAGGGACAGTCATATTTCATCAGATCCAGGCGTGAGAAAGTAAGTTCGTCGGGAGCAATTGTAGACAATTGGCCATATCCTAAACTAGCCCGCTTCTGCGCGGCGCTCTGTGAGTCTGGCCCGTTGTTGAGCTGTAACTTTCTCAGCGTTTCCTCAAGATATTGAATATTTTGTTGAGCCTCTCTAATGTTGGTGTTACATTTCTGAATTACCATCACATTGTCGGTTTTCTTCTTGAGCTGACTGGCTCCTTGAATAATGTTGAGTTCACGCTCGACTTTGCGTCGGATTTCTTGTTCCACCTGTGACAACATCTTATGGTTTCAGCTATGATTCAAGGCGTCAAATCTAAATTCTGATCCTGGATCAACGAAGTCTTGGTATCGATATTCCCTGCTCAAAAGATTCAAAAAGTAAAGAAACCTAAATTTACCAAATTCCGTCCAATCTGGTAAGTATCAAATCCGAATCGCTAGCTGGGAAATCGTCGGTGTTTATTAGCTTCGCGTATTTGTGTGTTGTGAAAAGTTCCAGATTTCGTCTTTGTTCTCGTTTCAAGAAGTTCCCATCTTTGAGTACACGTGAAAACAAGCCACTTTGATCTCTCGAACGAATTGCCTATTCACACTTGGATGGCCTAAAGCCTCTATGTCGTTTATAACAACCGATACATGGTTGAAGCAGCCTTTTGTACAGGAAAGAGATCTAGATGCACATCCAAGACTCAATAGTTTACGAAATATAATTTTATATGCATTCTCCAATGTGAAGTACTGAAATAGTTCAACTCGTTACGATCTTCAGAAAAAGGCGCCTAGCTTCTATTTGTTGTACCTCTCGAATAAATCTAAATAACTTAGGACAACTAGTCCCTTGAATATTGTGGGATTGAAGAAACGACATCATGGCTCTACAATATGTTTGAGAAGACATCACAGAGTTAAAGCGACCTCTAAACAATTGTCGTTCTTCTCCGAGCTTTCCTCTATAAAGAACAGGTCTTTTTCAGGATGCCTTGTTTGGTAGATTTTGTTGTACTGAGTATAATTACGCAGCGCCAACTCGGTACGCAGGGTTGTTCAAGCACCATAGATATATGATCCCCCTAAGCCATATACTAAGTGTTGCAGCGGCAAGAGCATCCCGGAACCGGGCAAGTAAGGTGCTTCTCAAACCATTCTTCAGCGTGGCCAGCATGCATTCCATGGTTGCAAGTTAAACAGAAACTAAACCACTCATTGAGTTTGAGCCTGCGAGCCTCTTGCGTATTGTGCGGATCATTTTCCTGAGCCTTGGTCTCTGGAGACGCGCCACGGATTACAATGGGCAAATTGGCCGTACCCAAGGGTAAGAGACAGATGGCACATCGAGGGAATGGCGTACCGCAATGCGGACATGAATGCTTCTGGAATGCAGTATTTGAGGGCGAAGCATTGTTTAGGCCAAACTTTCTTGCAGGGCGGCCACTCCCAAAACTTTTCATTACACCTGGGGCTGAACTTGAGCCTCGGGCATTGAAAGCAGGTTCCACTGGATTATTTATGTTTTTGTTGCATTTCAGACACTGGATATACAATTGACGTTGTCGGCACCCACTTGGTGCTGGGTTATTTGCTGTGCGAGAGAGTTTGCCTCGCAGCACATCGAACTTGGCTCTTACTGAAAATAATTCCCAAGAATTCAGCATCGTGCGATAAGTCTGCACCCATTCCTCAACCTGTGTGCTCTCGAAGTAACGAGGACACCCAAATATCGAGAGCAAAGCGGCAGTTTGAACATCGCTCGTTTTGTTGACGTAAGACTGTAACAAGTTAATCCCCCTGGGAGTAATGCCAGTGAGTATCAAACCCTCTAGCTCGCCATTTGCGATCACAGATTCTGCTGTGCTTTCCAAAAATCGTGTCAGGTCTTTATCGTTCAAAAACCGCAACGCAACACCTAACCTTTCTCGGAGAGAAATAGCTGACTCAGAAAGAATGTCCCACCAATCGTCATCTGCAATAAATCCAAATATCACTCTAAGATAAGGATCATCCAAGTCAGATGACATCCTTCTGCATTGTTGTCTCCAGGCATTGTTTCCAGGTTGATCCTTATACGCTAGGTAACCTGCAATTGCTGTAGCAATTAATCTGAGCCGTTCTTTCTTGGCGGAACTCAAAATTTCTATAGCTTTAGTAACATCCCCAAAGAATACCGCCCACCCAGCAGCTTTCTCGTAATGATCAGCTTTAATCAGGTTCTTATACTTTTCCTCATAATCAGAAGGGTTCAAGTCCCAGCCTGATATAATCATGCATAGTTTTCGCTGAACTGGTTTAGAAGAGTTTGTAAATGTAAGCAAGCCTTTTGACTCGCCCATTTTGGATTTGTATTTTCCTCTTGTTCTTATAATTTTCTCGAGCTCTCTGCTTAACTGTTTTTCTGTTAAAATCGTGCCCTCGCGGTATCTGTTTTGCTTCGATAGCCCATCTAGCCCGTTCCAAATGCCAAGTATACCTTCGTAACCTAGATCCAGTTCGCCAGAAACCATAGTTCCGTCATCGTCAGACGCCTTAGCGATGGAAAGCCACCTCCATGTATTCCTGATATATGCATTGTTCTGTAGTGATTTAGAGCTATCGATGAGCTCGACCGTTTTCAAGGGGTCTAATCCATAGTTGAGCAAAGCACGTCTCTTGATTATCATGCTAATGTCGTTTTGGAGTAAAATCTCAGGTTTCAAAAGAACTACAAAGGCTTCATCGGATGAAGTGCGCTTTCGCAAAACTTCTGGACCTTCGCCTTTTTTGAAATTGCCATCCGAAGTCTCAAGGTCGGTAGTTTCATCTTCTATCTCCCTTTCGCTGGCCTCAACATCTTCGTCGCTCAAGTCGAGGTCCTCAAAAGACAAATTTTTTGATGCCGTTTTCTTCCTGACAGTGCTGATTTTTTCATTCATACTTGCGATCTGCAGTTCTGTCACATTAGGGCGGTCATTGTTTGCCATAATAAGATTGTTGTCACAATTGAAATTGGCTATCGAAGCGCCACCTTTCAGCGACATCCGGTAGATGGTACCGGATTGTCTCATGCAAATAAAGTTAGTAGATCCATCATCTCTTGGAATATAGTCGAAAGTCGTCACTCTGTCATAAGTAGTATTAATGTCATGGACCGTAGAAACAAAAAGAGAGTCAATCTCAGTCGGAGGCCGGGAGCTTCCATTGGAGTTGTCCTCACCTAGAGTGGTTGGGTAGCTACCCAATCTCCACCTCCTTATTAATTGGCCACCGTGCAGAGTTGTGAACTCGTCTCCACGGACAGCAGACCATCGAAAGCAGGAGTTAGTATACTTTCTGGAGGCGGCACCCGCTCCCATGAGCTTGTCGAATTTCAGCAGTGGTTGAGTTTCTAAAGAATCATTCGAGGAAGGGCTGAGGCCTAGCTTACGTCTATCCCAAATTGCAAGAGTTCCGTCGTCTCCATAAGTGGTGAATTGCCATGATTTAAAGGGATTAATTTTAATATCATATGATATTCGTGTTGGATGTTGATACGCCGGGTGCGGCGATCTCAAATCAATTTCCTTCAAAAGTTTATTTGTCCCTGTTATCAATGTCGTATCATCAAGAAACTTCAACGATACCACTGTCTCGTTGAGGCAGTAGGAGAAAGATGGATTTACCACGTTCGAGTCTGTGCTTTGGTAGTTGACGTCCCATACTTGCAAGGAGGAATCGTGACGGTTTCGCTCCATCCCCATAGCTATCAAGCCACTGGCGCTCATTCCTAAAGCATTCACAGCTCTCTGCTGTTTAGCTCTAACTTGGAGTTGAGTAGTTCCATGTCCAGAGAAATCGTAAATCATGTTTAAGATACGTACCATACCATTTTTCTCACCGACACCTACCAAACCTATGTCAGTTTCCGAGTAGTCTATGCAGGTTATGTTATCAAAGTCCTTCACAACGTTCAGCTTTGAGATTGAATTATCACTCTCATCTTCAGGATCCACTCTGTAATGTGCCACTTCTTCCCGCGTTGGGTTTACCGAAAGGTAATCAAACATCCCATCCTGAGACCAGTTTGATACCCGTTTTATCAAGCCCATTGACCCAAAAGTAAAGTCGCGGTGTTGTCTTTAACTGCAAAACTGGTATCTCCGCTGATGTAGTTGTCGTTAATATCAAGATTTGATTACGTCCACCGTGATGATGATAAATTGTAGCTCAATTAACCAAAACTCAAAAGTTTACGTTCAAATGCGCTTCACCAGCTATGAAGAACAGCTACTTGAATAGGTGGACACATGTGTGAATTATGAATATCTCTTAAAGCTACACAGCACCTCAATTGATATTAGTAGTATTATATCATTCTGTACTAGTTTGTCAAAGTCTTAAAGTTGCTCACCTTAGGGGCCGCGAAGCCCTCTCATCCACTCACTTCTACCCGTCGCTCGACCTCAAAGATTCATTATAGACACCGCTTTCTCAAAGCTGATTACTCTGAGTAAAATAAACAGGAGGCTCAGTGTGAGAGTCTTCAACTATTTTGGTCACCTAAAAGTTTCCGAGCAAGCCTCGTAAAATGCGGATCTCTGCCTGTGAAAGCTTCTGTACCTCTTCCAGCTGGCTGTGTTTCATCAGCGAAGGTCCTTTCCATGGAACAGCCTTTATCTGCCCCTCTTCAATTGTGAAGTCTCCCTCCAAACAACTGTTGATTTGAGCGCCATTAAAGGTCTCCAGCAGTGCATGGATGTGCGTTTGCAATTTACGAGCCTCGACCTGGATTCTGCGTGTTGTTTCGGCGTCTGATTCCAGTCGCGCAAAAAACTCAGTCATAGTTTCCTTGAAAAGAGTAATATAGTCATCACTTTCTGCTTCCAGACAGATTTTTATTTGATTAGACAGATCCTCCCGTGTCTTTTTCTCCTGCATTAATGCTCTATAGGACGAGAAGTTATTCAATCTCTTAATAACGGCTTCTCGCAGTATGAATCTCCCAGGATAGTTGTAAAGCTCCCATGCTTTTGCGGTCGCCCGGTTTCTTAGTTGTGCTGCGGTTTGTCTGTCTACGAGAAGACCAGCCAATGCTCGCAGTCTATCGAGATCTTTTGAAAGAACATGGGCAAATTGAACTCGTTGGTTTAGTTCTTCTACTGTAAATGCTCCCAGTGACGAGGGATCAAATTTTCTAACAAGCGGGGCTCCTCGCTTTAGTTCACGCTTCATCGACCAATACTTACACAGATCGGTGGATACTTTTGAACTATTTTCGATCTTGAACAAATCCAGTACCTGCTGAACTATGTGTGCAAAAAGGTGCGGTGCTATTGGCGTCCCTCGGTTTGTCGTCCACCGACCCTTGGTCAAGATGTTAGGCCGTTTTTCACTGTTTGATTCTATAGCGACAGCGTCGCTGGCAACCGCTGCAAAATAATTTCTTGTCTTAAGTATCCCACTCTTACAATCTGGCCATTCCGGGGGAGAATGCTTGTCACAAAAGCTTTGCAAATTTATTCCAGGGGCATTAGAAGATGCCTCGACAATTGAGCAAGAACCAAAATCCATGCACAGACCTGCCCTTTTGGCGCAAGTTACATGGTACGCTGTAAAACAATTCTTGTTGCAACATTGAATACATGCGCCAACTTTCTGTTTGCAAATGTAACAGGTGAGTCTCCACCTTGATCTCGGTATTAAGTCTATGCCTTCAATAGGCTCCATGTAATGAGAATTGACGAAAAAAAGCTCTGAGATCCAGATTCCGCATATAACATGACCCCAGGATCCTCGATCGGTTTGCTTAAATGCACCAGTATGGCTAGGACAAAAGAGGCAATTGATTTTCCTGTTTCGCGATATCATGCACCGGCGACAAAGCCACTGGCCTTCTGGAATGAAAACAACGCCGTAGCACTCTTGATGTACAGCTACGTCACAACCATCACAAAAAACAATGGCGTTGGAATTGTCGCATTCAGTTCCTCCACATACAGCACACGGCTGATCAATAACGTGACCAGTCCCGTCGTCTGATGCATAAGCTTCAAAATGGGCCCAGGCTGCTCTTGTCTCTCTCGTCGAAATATCAGAAGTCGTCGGCATTCTAGGTGGAATTTTTTTCTCCAAATAGAACCATTCATTTTCAAGAACACTCATAATTATCTCAAACATTTCGTGGGTGAGTGGGTATTTCTGATTTGGAATGCGGAGCTGATTTAGATATCGGAGGTACAAGTCGTCCTGTTCATCCATGTCATACTCAACCTTGAAATTCAGCTGGTATCTCGAGATGTGGCCGAGTGGGTTTTGCTTTGCCATGGCATAGTAATCGGTTTTCTTGATGTAGGGAGATGTTAAGTCGTCAAATTTGCTAGCGCTTGTGCCGGTTAGGAAGCCAAACTTTTGATATTGCTTACCAACACGACTATTTTTCGCGAGGTTTGAAACCCGTATCTTGCATTTTTTGTATTTCACGCGATCTTTCTTGATAGTTATCGGCTCTAATGTCACCTTGTCGTTGTAGATCATCTGTTTCACATGAATTGCGTCTGCATTTTTCCTGATCGAAACGCAAGCGCCCACACTCTCATCGGCTCGGCACCCATCCCCTTCGCCATCTTGACCATCGGTCTCATCACAAGCTTTGTTTTCATGCGGTGCAACAATGGGTAAGAGCTCCTGTTGGTCGAGATCGGGATAGAAGTCGGCGAAATGTTTCTCTTCTCGAAGTTTAGGTCCATCGTCTCTAATTACGGCAGCATTCGAAAAGGACATGGGGCATCCTAATCTTGATTCAAGTTTGTTTACCCGAGAGGCCTCCAAATGTCATCGCTTTGTTTTTAGTATTTTGCGACGATGGCATATCAATTGTTTCGTTCACGTGAATATGCTGATTTCGAAAGTACTCACGAAACTTCACTGTAATCTCTTTCCAGCTCCCCGGTAGGCTTCTCTGTCTTCAAGTGGCTATCATGAGAATCAGTTTCAGCTGTGGTAGCATATTCTATAGTTATCGACTATTTTGTTTATCTTTTTTGTTAAATAACAACGACGCTGACTTTCATATTTATGACAGTTTTGACGATTTCCAGAAGATAAAATAACAAAAATGTTGTAGATCATTAACACGCGCCTCGATATTTAGAAGTTCAACAATCTTATAAAATGTCCGAATTTATTAGCCCAAAGACTTTTATGTACCATCTATTTCCCAAACTTCAGCAGAAAGTCCGCTGCTGTGCCGTTGCCCTCACCACCGAACATCAATTTGGCGTTGTCCTCGGCATCAATCAAGTCCCCTGAAAGAAACTGCTGTAAATCGTCCTGTATCGTAGTGGACGGGGTAGAAGACGAATTTTCACCCACAACAGGTAGCCCTCTAGCGTCAATTATCTGCTCCGGAGAAGCACTACTGACGCCTCCCACGGTCATGGGCTCTTGAAAATTTGCGTTCATCGTAGAACTAGTTTTTTGGCGATGACGGTACGCTTCCAGTTCTCGTACCTTTTGAATAAGAAGCTGCCTTTTGCGGTCTTGTATTTCCAGTACCTGCTGCAAATATGCAAGGTAGTCCACGGATCGGCTGAGAATAACGCTTTTATTCGCCTTTATTTCTTTGCCATGGTCGTTATAGTTGAGGAGGCTTGGAGGAACTATTTTGCTCAGTTCTTTAATCTTCTGTTTAATGAGCTCCCGTCGCCTCCGCTCCACGGCGTTGTGAAACTCACGACGTCTCCGTAACCTTTCTTCTTGCGAGAGTTGTGGACCGGAACCAGTAGGATCAAATGACAGCTGCTGCTGCTGATATGCCGTGCTCCCGACAGACGAGTGTCGCGGATTCAACCCCTGGGCACGCAGTGAACTTGATAAGTAGTTTCCCTGCCGTAAACTATTGGAAGGAGACCGGAGGCTCGAGGACAAAAACTGCGAATACGAGGCTGGATCGACCGAGTCTCGCTGCGGATGGTTATTAAACGATGAGGACATCGGCGATAAAAACTCGCTCGTGGTCACACTGGATCCCAAAGATGAGACCGGATCTTCCGTGAAGCTTGAAAGCTGATCATCATTTGCGGAATCTTGAGGGTCCTGCTGAAAGGGTTCATGCTGGAAAAGCGCATTTTCTGATAGGAACTCTGGCTGAACTTGTTGTGCCCCCAGGCTTTCATCAATCAAGAATCCCGGCCCCGTTGAATCGACATTATTCTGCCTTATTGTGTTATCCACAGAGTGCCCCAAAAAACCGAGCCTCGCCGGGTCCTGGCCCAAATCTGTGTCTTCGAAATACCCTGTACGGTTTTCTATTCCTATGTTGTTGGTAAATCTATCACTAGCGCTAGAGATGCCCATATCGCCATTTAAATCTCCCAGACCCGCATGGCCTAGTAATTCGTTGATAAAGTCCTGCTCGTCTTGTTTGAACTCCATTTTCTACGTTTGAAAGATACTTCAAACACCACAGTCCTTATTTGTAGTCCTATCCAAACTCTGAAAGTCACTTCGTAGCCAATTCTAGTATCACTAAACCCATCGATAGTAACGGTATTGATTAAACAGTAAAGGCTGAGATTTGGAAAAATGAATAATAAGTAACGAATTTTTGGGTACAAGAAGTGACTAAGACGAAGTGACAAAGTAGGACTTCTACGGAGCAGCAAGAACAAAGATTCTTGTCCCTGGCAGTTGAAAGTATTAACTCAGAGGCTTATTAGACACAGCTCATTCTCAGCAGCTTTAGAGCATTTTTGAAGCCTAGATTAGAGTAACATGGCTACACAACAAGAGGCGACACTAAGGGACTCCCTCAACAGATGGAACGAGAATCGCACGCAGCATTCGCAAGGTTTTAATGAGGGTGCTAAAACGATCTTTGCATCATGGGCTGACTCTCTCAACGGCAGAGCTAATGATTTGTACCAGCGGTTGCCAATGACTCAGCAGGATCTGATTCAAGATCAAGAGCCCGCATGGTTCTCGCTGTCTCGAACTGAGCGACTACTACTTTTCGTGTGCTTCATTTTAGGCTCCATTGGCTGTTTCACGCTCTGCGTGTTCCTGCTGCCTGTACTTGCAGTGAAGCCGCGCAAATTTGGACTTTTATGGTCTATGGGATCGCTGTTATTTGTTGGTGCATTCGGTGTGCTGCAGGGTCCTGTGGCATATGCGAAACATATTACGTCGCGCGAGCGCTTACCCTTTAGCGTATTTTTCTTCACTACCTGTTTCTTAACGATTTACTTCGCGGCATTCCGAAAGTCAGCACTCCTGACCATTCCATGCGCAGTGCTTGAATTAATTGCCGTAATCTACTACGCCGTCAGCTATTTCCCCTTCGGCGCCTCTGGGTTAAGGATGGTCAGCTCGGTTGGTATAAATCAAGCTAGAGGAGTTCTCAGAATTTAAAGAACGTGTAGCGATCAACATATCTATGACTATCTTAATTACGTCACTCTGTATATTTCATGGGTAATATAAGTGTCAACTGTTCATTACTTTTCGTATTTTGGCAGGCCGCCGTCATCACTCAGTGGATCGTACAGGTGTGAAGCGTTGTTCGAAGGGCCCATCTCATACCCCTTCCTAAAGATAGGTGATGACGGGCCACTCACAGGAGAATTCATAAGGCAGTCAATATTGCTGAATCGCCGGCCAGAAGCTCTAGGAGCATTCAGCACTGAAGGCTCTGCAGAATGGTTTTGTGTGGTAGCTCTAGAAAGTGACAACTGCTGAATAGATAAATCATCGGGATCATAGGAGGACTGCAAGTTTGGAGATCCCATCGGAGATGCTAACGGCGAGCCTGGGACAGAAACAGCTTCCTCAAACGACGGAGGAAGAAAGTCTTCGTGGGAGCTCTGCTGAACCGCTACATCGTAAGTTGGTAGTTCGGTATTCGAATCGCCGCAGAGATCGGAAACAATAAATATTGGTGTGTCAATTAAGACTTCATAGTGCTTTTCACCATTAGCAGTTTTGGCGCCTGTCTTACTGATGCGCAACATAATTTCCAGTTTGTGTGTGACATGGATATTTTTGAAGCTGACACAATCTAAATATAATCCACGTTTAGGCTCATTCAGCCGAGTGTGCGCATTTATTGCCACGTCAGAGCCGGATTTGAACGTTGTCTTTGATCTGGCAGGCTCTACAGGACCGGCAGCGGAGCCACGACGGGAAGCAAATGGCGTACTAACTCTACGACCGGCGAGAAATCCAATCACTCCAGATGCTGTACTGTTTCTTCTAGAAGAGGCCCCGCCCGTACCACCAATTGTTTGGTTTACACTCGAGAATTCGTCAATACCATAAGGGGGAACACTTTTCGAAGTTTTTCTATCCAAAGTCATAAATTTGGGAAATGTTAAAGTTGATTCAATAGTTAAGGCATCCACCAGATCAGTGTTTTTGTCTTCTGATGGATAGGAGCAGTATGACAACAAATTCTCTGAGCGGCAGTTATTTACAACATCCTCCTTCATAGCTTTGCTGCCCTTCTCCTTCGATCTTATTTCCCACAGTGGCAAAATTCGTTCTTGCTTCCGCCTGCAAACGAATTCTGAATAATATGGATTATAAGGGTCATTTGCAATGGCTTCCGTCTGATTGAACTCATACTTCAAATTCTTCGAAACATAAGTAATTTTCTCAATGACACTCACTCGAACTCTTTTAATTGAGATATTTTTACTGGTTGGAGCCAACTTTATTCTAATCGGAATTTTGCTTCCCACGGGAACGTATTTTTTAGCAAGAGACACTTCGTAAGACAGTGCATCATTCCAAACTCTATTGATGTAAACAGGCTTATCAGCTGTAGACTCTGATATGCTTGGAGGGATTCGCACTACTTTAATAGCACGATCACCTCTGATGATATCTCTTCGAGAATTTGCCGATCTATCATTTGATGTATTTTGGAATTGATCTCGCACTTTTCTCAAAAGCTTGTTGCTAGAGAATTTGTTGTGATTAGAGTTCTCAATGTTGCGGTCTTCTGAAGTATGAGACATACCAGAGTTAGAGGATGATATATCACTCTTGGAATCGACAGGTGCAGTGTTGTTGGGCGAGAGTTTTGATGCACAGCGAAAATTATAGCTGATTCGACCGGAAGGCAGGTAAACAGTTTCGGGAATATTGCTTGAGAAAAAAACCGGTAGTAGGAAAACGTATTCCCCTGGCTCGAAAGTCTGGGGGTCGACGGTGTTATGAAAGGAGGAAGCGAAGGACGCATCGGATTTCTTTCTGTCCCGGTATTTTTGTGACAGTAAATCATCTTTATTTTTGAACAAAGTCGGTTTGACTTGTACGTCCGGATTCTCAACAATCTTATCTTTAGTAGAGAGGTGATGGGGTACGTAAAGGTTGTAATTCTGATCGGTGAGTTCCCAATTCAGTTCTCCTATGGTGTAATACTCCTCATTGGTGTTTTTTTCTGGCGGTACCCCATGTTGCCAATATATTCGGGCCCTGGAGTACAGCTCAGCTTTCAGAGTTGTTAATGCTGTAGCTTTCTTGAATGAAACTATTACAGCAATATTAAAGAGAACATTTTTACCATCTGCATCAATCGAAGATGTCTCTGGTGCTGTTGAAGCACTTTCCGTTGTAACTTGTTGCTCAGTGGTCAGCGACTCAATTGGGGTAAGAGCTGCTTCGGGAGAAGTTTCGCTTCCATTGATCATTGCCAAATGAGTTAAATACTCATCATCCTGAGATGATACCGTAGGAAGAAAAACTACTTCCGAGGAAGTGGCCATATATATGCTGATGCCTCCATCTGAAGTCAGATTCTTTGGCTGTAGGAAGCCTCTTTCGGACAGGTACTCGAGCAGATACTTGTGGCCGATAGGGATATTGGCAAGCGACCTCGAACTATTAAAACTGAAATGACTTTGTAGATCCTCTGGCTCTGACAGATTCTCTTCCCATTCGATATCTGCCTCCTCGTATTCGTCATCGCTAAGTAGTGGCTTAGGACTGTTCTCGGCTAGAGCCAGTTCGTTAGGCGCTACCCCATGGTCTTCAATATGGTGAGAAAGGCGCGGCGAGCCACCAAATGCCATCAAGGGATTGTGAAACGATGGGATTGGCCCATGGCTAGCAGCAGTAGAGGAGGCTCCAGATTGAGAACCAGGCCGTAGATGATTGTTCGTGAGGTTTGAGTTATTTGACCCTGTTCGTATCATGCTAGTCAACGCATGTTTTATAGTTGACGATTTCCTGCGAGCCGCATGGTCTGAGGACTTGGTAAGATCGGTATTGAAGTCCCCTACCATTGAAATTACTCGAAAGATAAGAAAAAGGTATATCTTATAGGGCTCTCGTCTCTATCGATGGTAACGGCCTTGAAAAATCCACCTGCAATAAAGCGCCTGTCTTAATGTCGAATATTGGATCAAAAAAGGTAGAATACTAAAAGCACGATCAGCTACCTCTCGCGTGACTTCAATGGTGTCTTAATCTATCTCAGCACGCTTTGCAGTTTGTTAATATTGCCCACAAACAACCTCAAAAACGTAGCGCTAGACACAATAGTAGCGGTTTTATTGCAAAACGTGTTTTAGAGAACAGTTAGTAGCGTTCGTGTAGACTACAACTTACAGAACTAGAGCTAATGTAATTCGAGTCCAACTTTTAATTATATCTATACATGCTACTCCCGAAATCAATTAGCAGCAGGACTTTCATAGATCGCAGTCATCTTAAACGAATACGTTGATAAAGGCTAAGAGCTTGATCTTTAGAGCAGATCCGTTTTGGCTTGAAAACGGTTCTGACAGGATAGTCCATATCTCCTTCACGCCTGCAATAACTGAAGTTAGACACAAAACCTAGATGCCAAGATCTTGGCGTCTTGGCTGGATTATCATTTTCGGCGGCTAATCCGCCTTAAAGAGAGGGAAGTATCAAGGGTCAAGAAAGTTGAAACCCGCTTCCTCCCTCTCGTGAATAAAATTGTGAGCGCCTTCTTAAACGTGGACGACATTGCTTGGCCTGGCTGCACATGGCCGATTCTAGCTATCTCTTATTCTAGCAACTCTTTAAGCCTATGGAATTTCTGCTGTTCGAATCCTGATTCAAAGTTTACGATGTTTAGGAAAAGGGCAAGCCGTATTGAAATCAAGTGCTTCATCATTACTCTTGACTGGTGGTGCCATAATTGTGGACAGTTGTGGATCTTCTTTCCGAGGCCGAAAACTCATATTAATTAAGAACCTCGTCATCGAACTATAACAAATATGTTACTTCCGCGTCCTCATTTACACTGGATGCGCTTTAACTTGGACTGGAAGTTCATATTCAAGTCCGTGGTCTATATTTCTAATTGACAATAGATTATTTGTTTCCATTAGGATCAGTTGCTCATCAGCATCACATAATTGTTCTCTTCTGGCCGATGCGTCTCATTGTACTTGTGTTCGACTACGCCAGGTTGACTGATATTTGAACTATTTGTGGCTTTCGACTATATATATGTGTTTTTCTTGAAATTAAAGAAGAGTAAATAAAATAAGCTGAAAGTTGAACTTTTCAATAACAAAGTTCGACCTTCTTTATAGGAACTTAAAGCGCCGAGATGGGATCCTTGAGAACCTTTATTAAGGATGTTCGTGGGGCTAAAACATTAGCAGAAGAGCGATCGATTGTTACGAAAGAATCGGCGAGAATTCGGACAAAGCTGAAGGATGACCATTTACCACAAGATAAGAGACGGAAGAACATTCACAAGCTATTATACTTGCACATCCTGGGTGAGAAAACGCACTTTGCTCAAGTCGAATGCATAAATTTGATTGCTTCTGACGATTTCCGCGATAAAAGAATCGGGTATTTGGCAGCCGTAATTTTGCTTGATGAAAACCAAGAAATTCTAACACTGCTAACCAACTTGCTGAACAGCGATTTGAATCACCCTAATCGCTACGTGGTTTCGTTAGCACTATCTGCACTGGGTTCGCTAACCTCTCCCGAATTGGCACGCGATCTTTACACAGACGTGGAATCCATTCTTGCACGGTCTACTGACGAGTTCTTGGTGAAGAAAGCACTTCAGTGTGCTGCTAAAATAGTTCAACGGGATGCTGCTCTACTTGAGATTTTCTATCCATACATAGAATCGATCTTAAAGTCGCATCACCTAAGCAGTCACGGTGTTCGATTAGGTGTTGCTAAGTTGTGTCAAGCGGCGATCTTGAGTCGCTCACAGTACGAGTACGACAACTATCCCGAAATTTTGCAGTCATTAGTACTCAACATCCCTGAGTTTTACTCTCTTCTACAAGACATGAATGCGACGAACTTCAACCCTGAATATAACGTCAATGGCACTTGCGATCCCTTTTTGCAAGTCGAGCTATTGTACACATTGCGCTTGCTGTTTGAGCTAGCACCCCAAGAAACGGAACGTTATAAGGACAAGTTGAATGATTTGCTTACCCAGATCGCCACAAATTCCGATGGTACCAAAAATTCTGCACACGCGGTTTTGTACGAATGTGTGCGTACAATTTTTGCATTGCAACTTGAACAGTCACTTAAAGTGCTCGGTGTTAATGTCTTGGCTAAATTTCTGTCTGGCAAAGATAATAACACTAAATACGTGGCTTTGAATACTCTATTGCTGGTTGTTCCACAGGAACCTCATGCTGTCCAGAAGCATCGTAAATTCGTTTCCAGGTGCTTGTTCGATCCTGATGTATCAATCAGAACAAGAGCTGTAGAGCTGACATTTGCGATCCTCGACAGTTCAAATATGAAGGAGCTCATTGGAGAACTATCTTCGTTTCTAAAAGCCTCAGGCGAGCAAGACAAAGATCTGATAGTTTTTGTTGTCGATCACCTCATTGAGCTATTCGAATTGCATGCCGTTGGCCATGATAATTGGGCTATCGATGTTATGGTAGACCTCTTGAAGGTAGTCGGCCAGCACATTGCGCTAGAAAAGGTAAGCGAGATTATGATGATGATTAACAACCTACGAGATTTGGACCATAAGTCAAAGTTGATCAAGCAGGTTTTGCAAATATCTCTTGGCAAAAGTGATGGCGGTGTGAGCGGAGACAATTTGGGATGGAAGTTGGTAAGTGTATGGTGCATTGGTGAATACGGAGATATACTATTACAGAATAGTTACTTTCTCGATACAGAACTAACAGGGTATTTGACTTTACTCAATGGGCTTTACTCTCATAATGTCAAAATCATCAGCTACATCTTGACAGCAGCCTTAAAGCTGTCGGCGAAGATTCAGAATCCGGCTTGCAATGAAGATTTGCGCCAAATTATAAAGGGACATATGAAAGATACTAATTTGATACTCCAAGCTAAGAGTTCTCAATATTCTATTATTTTCAACCAACCGGCAAAGCAAAAGCAAGATGTTCTGGGTGCAATGCCATTCTTTGAGAGAAAGAATAAGAACGGAAACTCCAAGTCTGATTCAAAGCCAGATACTAAAATTCAAGAGCCCAATCTTTTATTAGATTTATTAGAAAGTACACCAGCGTCTAACGGTCAAACAAAGAATGACTCCCAGACGCTTGCAAGTATATTTGGAGATCAACCATCTAATAACACCGCCAATGTAGCAACCGAAGAGACTTCTCACGTCACAATTCCCATCCCAAGCGATGCTGTCCATGCATACAATTCCAGCGATATGGATGTTTCCATCAAGGTTGACTCAGTCGCTCCCTCGGAAGCCAAGCTGGACTTATATGTTAAGGCTCATGCACCAATCAAGAATTTACAAGTCTTGGCAGCGGTGTCAAAGACTCAGAAGCTAGTCATGGGAACCCTGTCAAACCACTCAATTGCAGCAGGTCAGGTGAGTCGACAGGAATTAAAGGTTACAGGAAGCGGGAAACTTAAGTTTAGGATCAAGCTGGTGCACGAATCTCCCACTGGCACTCAGATAGAACAATTTGATCACAAGCTTGATCAAAGTTTGTAACCGAAAACTATAGATGAGAGATACGAAAGATAACAGACAATTATTATAAACACATAAGTATGTCTTAGAGAGGACTAAAATAAAAAATTACCGTTTCTTGCCAAAAAGGGGTAGACCTCAGTTTTGGTGAGCAGCATAACCACTAGTTTTACCTTGAGAAGCCAAATTTTCCATCTTAGACCCGATGTCGCCGGTCTTAGACTGAGGGGTCTTTAAGTACCTGCTGGTGACAGGATCCAAAATAGTGTTGTAGACGTATTTGGCACCGTTAGTTTGTGGCAATGCTAAGTACACCAACAAGAGAGTCTTGAGGAACCAGTAGAAGGGAATCCAGTAAAGGATGGCCTTGGACCAGAACTCGATTACGTTCAAAAACGCAAAAACGACCCAGTACGTGAGAAGTTCGGAATCGTCGGTGGAAGTCGCGGTCTTGAGTGCCAAGAGCGAATAGTAAGTTGGGATAACAAAGCCGACAAAGTTGGACAAAATCTCACCAATGCCGCCGACGTTGATGAAGATGAGAAGCAGATATGCGGAAGCAGCACCCACAACCCCATACGACTTGGGCAGTTTAGTTTTAGCCTCAAACTGCTGCAAGACACTGTTGCTGGCAAATTTCTGCAGAAAACCAAAAAGTTAGTAAAAGGGGTAAAATAAAAGTTGAGCCTGTAGCGAATCACTCTCACATTATCCAACATACTTGATCTAGTGTCTTCATTTCATCCTGGAAGACTTTGACGTAGTCACCCATTGTATTGTTTATTGCTGCTGATTTGAAATATTTCAATACCCCGAGTTTAATACAATCGAACTATAAGGAAACTCAATTGACTAACAAACTGTTGTAATCTGCGTAGTGAACTTTTTAAGTGAATACTAAAAAGTTTCTAACGATTATTCTATTTGTTTGACAATAAGTTACTTAAGAAATGTTCTTCCAATCCGGGGTTATATACGAATTTAATCGGTGCAGTTGTTTAAAGCAAAAATGTTAAATCTGTGATGAAGTAAATGGAATATATTGTCCTTGAATACGTCTCATATTATAATAAGCGGATTTAGCTCAGTTGGGAGAGCGCCAGACTGAAGAAAAACTTCGGTCACTTTGATATCTGGAGGTCCTGTGTTCGATCCACAGAATTCGCATTATTTTTTGGCTTCGGGGCGAAAGACGCCTTCTGCCAACGTATTACTTGAATATTCACATCTAAACACTTAAGGCTTCTCGGTAGACTAGGTTACGATATTTTTTTTCACATAAGTGCAATTTCCTTGATAGTAGCACCACGAGGATCGTCGTCGTTGTCATATGTGCCCTGGACGTGAACAAGCACAAATCTTGGAGGCGGCCAGTCAGCAGCACATGAGTGATTGCTATAATAGCTGTAGTCAAATGTGAATTGAGTGGTATTGCTTTGGGGGATCATAATGCGGTCTTTGTTCTCGTCATTCTCGATGTAGGGCACTGACGGCGAAACCTTCTGATCTCTCAGGATTGTTACGAACTTGCTCTTCAGTAACGAAGATTCCGGCGAAATTTTGGATAGCTGGCCAATGTCCAACCGCTGTGATTGCATCAAGTATTGGTAATCTTCCTCGAAACAATTCTCTTTAGTCTCCTTCAGCTTCAATTTCACATCTGACGCCGCCCCCTTGAAACCCATAATCTCCGTTTCAGTCTCAGGGCCCGACATTTCAATTATTGCAGAAGCGTTGAAAAGTGCTTCTTCTATACTACCATGGAACGGGAACATGGACACGGAAATATTTTGAGCTGGCCGTTTGCCCCACATAATCATTCCTCCGGTCAAAGTTTGCTCATTGTCAGCTCCCAAGTCAATCAAGATCTTTGCGCAGTCGCATTTGTGGAGAGGTTGCCAATGTGTATAGTTATTGCCATCCGTGACCGAGTAAATCACATCGCCAGGCACTCCCGTTGTAAAATTTGTCACTTGTTTTCCCTCCGCAAGATTATTGTCGATATTCAGCAGTGGTCGGAACAGCTTCACAGTTAGATTGCGTCCAGGTTCCAAAATAGCATGCCTCACGGGCAGCTGTTTGAGCTCGTGAACATGCGATGAGTCAAACCTGCCAAGCTCTCGATCGTGAATAACGTTGCGATTGAGAAGCTTCAGCCTGATTGGCTGGTCGCCAGCTTTATGCACAAGCGTCGCGTTTTCATCGCCTATTTCAACATCTAGAACTTGGCCCATGTATTTGAAATTCCTTATAGTAATGCCTCCTGCTAGTAGAGGTAACTTGATTGGGTTGAACTTCAAAAGCCTGGTAATCTGTCCAGTAGTTTTATTGGACTCGTAAGAGTACCGCAGCCCAGTCAAACCAAACAGTAAACTCTGTAAATATCCACCATTTCCAGTCAAAAAAGGAAACGCGGGTTGAGTTAGACCATTGGTGAGAAAATTATCATCCGATTGCTCACTGAACTGAACAAATGGTGCTCTAAGGTATGGCAGAACTGATTTGTAAAGGTAGCTTTGTGAGGAGCACCCGTGATTCAACAAACCTGCAGCGGCTGCTACAAAAACTGGATATGTCATAGCTGGTCCAGAGGCTGATTGTCGTTCAGAGTAGTAGTATAAGTTCCTGATTGCGTTATCTAAAATAGTCTCATCCGTGATGTAACCAAGCGGGTAGGTCATTAGCATTACATCAGCTTGTTTGATTTCAACAGATGCGTTCATGCCGGAGTACTCCAAGGTGATGTTAGTATCTGAAATAGGAATTACGATCTTCTTCGACACGTCAGCCCATTTAGGGTCTACGCTTTCATTTAGATGATGTCCGATATCAGTCGCCCATTTCAAAAGGGTTCTGATACCGGCATTTGTAAAGGCCCCGTTGCTAATGAAGTTTGCATATTCATCCGGATCTGTCATGTTGTGGGTCTCATACGCATCTAAAGCGGGATTATAGTCAACGTAGGAGCTAAAAAAGAGTGCTGCATCTCTAACCAAAGGCCATGTCGTACCTCGAAGATAATTGTCATCAATTCCGTCGGCACCGTTGAGGTAAACGAGGAATGAAGCCATTGCAACATCTATGTTAATGTGATACTCGTAGTCAACACACGGACCCGTTGAAGTACAGTTAGCAAACCTTCCTGAAGTCCAAGGGTATAAGGCCCCAGGGTAGCCGTTTTCTTGTGCGTTAATTTTGGCTTGATTGTGGGTACTTTGACGGTAAGTGACCATATGCTTTGAGATATCAGGGAAGAATGGAAGAAGAGAAGGCATAATCCACAGGTCTGCATCCCAAAAAACCAAGCCCGCGTAAGAATCTGAACTCAAACCTGATGCAGGTACAGGTAAGCCTCTTTCTTGAGATACATTGAACCTTCTAGTATTCGCCAAAAGATGAAAAAGTGATGACCGAGCAGCTAACTCGAGCAAGCTATCGGATGGGATTTCAATGGACGCATTGTCATAGAGTTTGATCCATTCCTGTTGGTGCCCTTCAGCTAAAGACTCATAACTTTCAGTTTGAGTGTACCGTACAACATCTTTTGCGGCATCCAAGTTTGACATAGCCTTATTATATCGGTCGTACTCCGAGGAAACGATACCCACAAACTTATTTATCGTGACGGTAGAGTTATCAGATGTGAGTTGTAGTAAGTGTTTGCATGTAACAGAAGTGCCGCCATCATTTAATTGGAAAACTACCCCGTCAATGTTGGTCTCGGCGGAAGAAATTTTTAAGGACGAGTATAAAGCCGCCGACGAGTAGGGAACATTATTCGGTTCGACTTCCATGTAAATACCCCCTGAATCGTATCCTATATCCCGCAAAAATGTTCTTCTGGAAGTTGAATGATTCAACACGTCTGAGAGTTGCAAATCAATCACCTCCAATTGTTCGGGATTGTTCGGGATCAAAGAAATTTCCAATTGAACAGTTCCTAATGGATGTCGTATTCTGTGTGCAAATACGCTAGACTTGATGTGTAAGACATCTAGCCAATCCATTTCTGTTGTGACTGTGCCAGTGAGAAGAGACAAGTTTTGTTGATAATTGGAAATTTGGCTAGGATTGACACTTTGTGCGTTGAATTGAAAGGTGTCGTTTTTAATGGAGAATTTTATGTCAGTCCACTGCGGAATTGCGCAAAGCACGCTATTGTAGCCTTTTTCATCCAGCTCTGGGAAATTGGTAGAGTTGAATTTTGGTTCCAGACCGTAGAAATCGGAAACGAAAGCCCCAGCAAAACGGCGATTTCTCAGCGGCCAGCCATTATCCAAGGAACCTGGAATCGATGCGTCAGGGGTCCATATATTGTAAGTGTCAAGAGCATATCCGAAGCCAACGTTTGGAATGCGGCTTCCGAGGTATCCATTGGCCACATATGGTTGTCGAGAATATGTGTTTTCGGAGAAGAAACTAGTTCCTACTACCCAGGCTTCCTCGTCGTAGTAAGTGTCTCGAGAGTCGCTGAGAAGTTCATACAGAGTTTCCGAGGTTCTCCTGCGGCGTTCTATTCGAGCATCATGAAAAAGCTTCTTACTGCGGAATACCTTGCAAGGCGAGCGCGCAACTTTCGGCAGCTCACGCACCAAAACCCAACTGCACAGAACTGCCAGGGTCAGGAATATGCCCATCATGCATCCCTTCCGGGACTGTTTGATTTTGTGTTTCTCCATAACTTTGAATTAGAAGATATTGAATTCTAGGGGACGAAAGTATTGAAAGGTGCAGGAATTTTGCGACTTAAAGCTCAAGAACAATGAAGATCTGCTATCTTCCAGAGACAATCTCGAAATTTTTGAACCTTACAATTGCGGTTGGTGCAGGTTGGCCCAGATGAGTTTTAAACGATTGGTAAACTCCTGGAACTTAATACCAAAGTCACTTCGGTCACACAAGATACTTGAAAGAAGCTAGATTCGTAAATCTATGGAGATTGTGGTTAAGGGTAGGAATTTGTATTTGTAAAGATGTAGCCGTTAACAATTATCATCCTTCGAGATGACAGAATTAATGGCTCATGACTGACATGGGCTTCTGTAAATTGAAAGCGTCTTGTCGACAGAAGCTAGAATTTCGGCTATTCAGGCAACTGTACTTAGCGCTAACTAGCAGATGGACGCGTCAAAACTCATCCTTATGTAATTACTAATTTCTACAAGAAAGTTGCCCGGTGATATGTGCAGAAGGACGGTGACAGCCATCCGAGTGTGAACATGTATTTGAGGAAACAGCGACTTGCTCATGCTTGGCAGAAAAACTTGATGCAACTGTTGCATCATTCAAGCCGAGCACGACAAATTGTAGCTGCCGACGGATAGATCGCAACGGTTACTTGTATGGCTTTCCGAAAAGCTGAACCGAGGCTCGGGCAACTTTTCGGTCTGTAGATCATCGGTTCCTCGTAATATTGAGACGGAGATGACTAATTTCAATCGCATCGAACGTTTAGGTTCTACGCTGCAACAGAAAGACTGCGGTACATTGATATGCAACGAACGACGACGAGCGCACAATACTTTACACAGATATCGGCACGCCACATCGGTGCTTTCATTCGAAGCTGCTTGGACTACAACTGCCGGGTACGGACTCAGTCGCGTACACCGCTGCGATAAGTTACAGGACATCATGCGTTCGAAAAGCTGTACTGAGTTTAAATCTCAATATGACGCAGCCTGTCTGCAGTGAGACACAAGCTCTCTTGAATGAATCCAAGTAGATCTTGGTTTCAGATACTCATCAAAATCACTGCAGTTTGCCATGCAGTGTTTTGATCATACGTTTCAGTCCCAGATTTGCCAATAGCGACGACCCCGGAGGATTTAGTCCAGGATGCATATGTCTTGACGGAAATCAAACGTGCATATGCAAGTCTTCAACCGTGAACGGAGTAACAGTAGTCGACGAGCAACATGGCAAAACGTATGAGAGCGAGAAACGTCTTTTGAGGAAAGAAAGCTGGGGCAACAGTTGATGTTTGAAGGAAGATTTTGAGGCAACTGAGGGAGACATAGCCGGCATTTTTGAGAGAATCATTAATGCCTAAAGACCTAGAAGTAAAAATGTATACCAAAGTATAAGCGCATGACTGATTTTCTGTATCATACCACGGCGGGGATATGTGAATTTTTTGGTTTGGCTGTGGCATGAATTTAGCATCTGAACTCCGAGAACAGGCACTTTGAGTGTTAGGAAGACCGGGAGCCAAACACGAAAAAAGAAACGAGCAACAACTCTCGAGAGACGGCAAACGTGAATCATCACCAAAGCTACCGGATGATAGGATCCTTAGACAGTCTCTCAAGATCAGTACGAATTACCGGATGGCAGCATCGTCACACAGCCCGTATGGATTAGCACGAGTGCTCTTCTACGTGCGTCGGGTGTCGGCTATGCACAAGACTCGAAGACAAGAGAAAATATAATGAACCGATCACTCAAAACAAACGGCCAGCATTCAGCATGAGCAGTTGCAAGGCAGATTTTGAAAGCGACCTTACGAGACTACATTATCAAATACTGCCGTCTAGTGCTGTGTCAGAAAAATCCTCAATTCCTCTCGTCAAGACGAGAGCTCGCGTCATGCACGGAGGGATTTATCAGGTTTAGGTTAGCAAGTTCAATGGAGCTAATGAATACAGAAAGATCGGCCTCGGTATCTTTCATGCACCTAGCAAGATCACAGGCTGAGCGTCAAGATCCTGGTACTATCTCGAGTGTATAGGCTCTTGCATTGCATTTTGTCAATTTTTGATTGCCGCGATAAGTTTGATCCCCCCTAATTTACTCCGAACGGTTCACAATTTTGACGGTCATCAGCCGAGCCGCTCTAGTAGGTAAAAAAAATTCCACCGACTTCTTAAAACATGTACACTTGAGCAGTTCCTTCGTTCATGTCGCTACTTGTGAGCTCCCTAGGTTGCGATGCAAGTCTGGTGTATCTCGTGAAACATGCATCCAAGTAAAGCAGCTATGGCTTCGCCTTGCAAATCTTGGCTTACCAGCGGTACCGCCCCTCCTAGAGATTTCGTCGTAGTTACCAAGGCATCTCCTCCATCGTACGGGGCCACTCAAGAAAATAGGATATACTGCTGTTGTCGGAGTGGATATCGTGCCAAACTAGTACAAAGTGACATATTGTTACGAAGATCCACACGACACGAACGACCAACATCGCAGCAGATACTGATAACTTACTTTGCTTTTTGTTTTGCTGCTCTCCCATAACTTCGTTTCATCAAAGCGTCTCATTCATAATTTCTTGCGGATATTGCGATGCATGAGGCTCGAGCCTCAATTGTCGATCCCACCCCTTAGACATTCTGCTGAAGATCGAGCACATCCAAAGATCTTTTACACGTCGCATTGATTGTTTCGTTATTCACTTGAGGTTGCAGTTCCATTTCTTATGTCGTTTTAGCTCAGTGCTGAGAATGTTTAATGAGCCTTGTACCCTACACCTTCATCTTCTGGGCGGTTAGTGTAGTGGTTATCATCCAACCCTTCCAAGGTTGGGACACGGGTTCGATTCTCGTACCGCTCAAATTTTTATTTTTATTGCCTCATTTTGGTAGCTACAAGTAGATATCGAATGCTCCAGCCAGGTCAGCTTTCGAAGCCAGCTATGGACTTACAGGGGCCCGTTTGACATAGTGAACTTGCCAGTACTCCTTAAAATTACAGACGCGGACGTGCTGCCTCAAAAATGAGGTTTCATCGACTCTCGATGAGCTACATAAATATTGAGAGTGCCGATTCGGTGGATACTGGTCTCTTACAGAAAGGAACACATTTCATGATATGGCCATGACCCAAAGTCAACACAACAGATATTCAATGTCAATGAAACTCACAAAGGGGACGGGCTTATCGATTGTGTTGTAAAAAGGACATAATATTTGATGCTTTCCATGTTGCGCAGATAAGAATACCGTAAGTTCCTTAGTGATGAGAGGCTGTTTGTTGTCAGTTTGCAGTAAAACTGTTAAGATTCATGGCTAGTGATACCCAACCATGCATGTCTCATGATGGGATCGAGTACACTTACAAGGTAAGATATATCTATCCAACAACTATTCAAAAATTAAGAACAACTAAACCATGTCTATTGGCGACATCATCGCCAGCCGCACATACTTGAATTTGGTTGATTTGGTTCAGTCTCAGTGATGAAAAGCATCTAACTTCAGTCCAAACTACCAACGAGCTGTGCTAAAAGCCACAATTTCTGAATCAATGTTATCAAAAATGTTATCCTTTGCTGCTTCTGGATTTTGCATTTGCTTCTTCTCCTCCAGAGTGCAGGTTCATATCACTAAACATTATCTTTTTCATAGATTAGAGTAACTAAAAATCAAAAAAACAACCTTATCGCTGCAATTCTCATCAGAGGAAAGATACGACAATATACTTAAGACGGCATGGCGAGTCTAAAAAAACCTTCGAAAACCCGCGAGTAGCACTCTTGACTTAAATTTCGGTAATTTCCTTGTCACAAGTAACCAATAGTCACTCGAGCGGAAAACTTTGACAATGGATACCATGTTGGATAAGGATCAGCATGTTTACGAAACAAATTTGGTACCTCGAACCGCCGAAGAGACACTCGATTGCAATGCTAAATCTGACATGCAAGGAACCAATATGTCACTATCGCAAAGGGCGGCAATATTGAGATCAAAAATAGTCACTAGCGAAGCGGATGGAAGAGTGCACAAGACGCGAGCAAGTAGCAAACATCAAATGGCCGCCTGCTGTTTTTGCAAGAAGAGACGGAAAAAATGCGACGGTGGCTATCCGACGTGTGGGGCTTGCAAGCTAAACAATACTTTGTGCACTGTGATCGATGTTCCTACAGGCAGGGAGGTTACCAGGAACTACATAGAAAGTCTGGAGGATAAAATAGAGTTCCTGAAAGAGCAGCTGGTGATGAGCAATGCGACTAAGAAAAGTGTACAGGAAAGCAGGGAATCTGAGTCGTGCTCTAGTGAAAATGAAGATGGAGGTAAGGAAAGCGCACTTCCCATAGAGGTTGGTTATATTACGCTTGCAGCTGCTGGAGAACCACGGTATATCGGTGCAAGCAGCGCATATTCAATTGCACGAGCGATTCACAGCACAATTAATTACTACCAGCAGCAAAAATCGGATTCCAATATCAATGATCTTGCCAACGTGGGGGATTCTCAGCTCGTACCGGAGCTGCAAATCACAGAAGCAACATTTAGCAAGCCCGCCATCAATGAGAGTCGCCAGTTGTTGAAAGCCTATCATTATGGTGTACAGTTTCAGTATCCTTTCTTAGATTGGCAATGGGTGACAGAATCCTTTGATAAGGTCATGAAGGAGAACTCAGAAGCAGACGAGCCGCTTTTCTTCACTTACATGATATTTGCCATTGGGAGCCAACTCTTAGAACACTCTGCCGGAAGCTACTCTGCTCAGAATACTCGCGCTTATTACGATAAGGCATTCAATCATATTACACCCGTTGTTGAAGGTACCAGCATTCGTGCCGTGCAAGCATATTTGCTCCTGAGCGTTTTCTCTCAAAAAATGCCATACGGAAGTTCTATTTGGCAAACAACTGGATTGGCACTAAGGCATTCGGTAGCGCTTGGCCTTCACCGAAAACCCTACAACGGTAGAATGAACGGGTCTCGACATGAGGTAGAATCCGTCCGAGACCTGAAATGCCGCATATTTTGGTGTGCGTACAGTATGGAGAGAATTAATGGTTTGGTTTTAGGCCGCCCCTTCGGTATAGCAGACGTTGACATCGACGTTCCTTTGCCACAATCGGACGAATACACTGCAGCAACTCATGTTTTTAAACTAAGAATGCTCCAGTCGAGCATTTGTTCATTCGTCTACAAGCCCCAATTCTATTCAGGGAGCTTAGAGGATACCCAAGCTACGAGGCATCAAATTATGTTAAAGCTGAATGAATGGAAAATGACATTTCCATACAAAATGGACGCGAAAACTACATGGGAGACTAAAAACTGGTGTACCATCTCCTACCACAACTCAGTTCTTCTTCTTCTGAGACCAGTTATCTTAGAAGTTGCTGAATTGAAGAAGAAGACCTCACCGACGACCGCGGAATGGTTCACGGTTTTCGCGCAGTCTGCGTCTGCTATATGTTTGAATTATAAACAGCTACACGCTAAGCAAAAGCTAAGTTACACCTGGCTTGCAATCCAGTGTGTATTCGTGGCAGGCGTTAGCTTCCTCTATTGTATCTGGTTGGACTCGTCCTTAAATTTCTTGAAGTGGATCAGAAAAAGCACAATTTATGATACCGTGTCCGCGTGTTCGAATATTCTTTACGTTCTCGCTGAGCGTTGGGAGGGCGCCAAGATGTTTCGAAATTCATTCGAGCGCCTATCAAAAGCTGTCTTGACGCACGTCGAGAGTTCTGTAGATGAACAAATGACCGGAAACGCTTTGGCGGTAGTGCCTCAGGACTCCACTATGGGGTTTACACGAGAGATGAAAACTATGATGCATCAAAATTATCAAGAGAGCTTAAACTACGAGATAGAGTTCACGCCTTTACCTGACCATCGCGAACAGTCTGCGACCGATGGTCTTTCCTTTACGATACCCCCAAGTGAGTCTGGAAACTCATCTCCCGTGGTGCCGAATATGGCCAGTCCAAGGGCTATTGATGTAGACACAGACTGCAACTCTATCTGGGACTTTTTGAGCAGTACTGCTGACAACTTCATCAAGGATATGTTCTGTGATTTAGAGAAGGCTTTTGATAAATAACAAGTAAAGGTATAGGTAATATAAAGACAAATTGGAGGCAAGTAACGATGTAACCTGATTTTAGAAAAGGGAATGAAGCGGTATAAAGAACATATTTCTTAGCAGACTATGATTCAGTATCTGGCATTTTAAGCCGGGCCCATCGCTTGCATGCTGGTTACCACGACAACCACATAAACTGCCAAATGCGTAAACTTCCGCATTTGTCGTATCTGATAACAAATGTAAAGTTTCCGACAATCGGCAATTTCCATCCCAGAAGAAATAAGCAAATACTCAAGATTGCCAAGGCATCGATAATAATCATCGAGGAAATCGAGATAGACTCGAAGAAACATACTTGCAAGAGATAGTTGAAATTTGCAGTGACACTCCGAAATGTATATAAAATGAGCTACATCATTCAGTTATGTCTCATGTCGAGCACGGTCTAATAGCCCAGGACCAACATGAACAACATCATCAGCCAATCTGGGCAAGAGAGTGCTAAACTTCCAGAAGAGAGGGAAAAGAGCCCCATCATTACTTCAGTTCTATCGCTAGAAGGCGAACTAATTGAAGTCAACGAAAAAGATGCCGACCAAGCTTTACAGTACGCCTTGGGAACAGAGCATCTTGAGTTAGATCCAGAGGTTGAAAAGAAGCTAATAAGAAAGATCGACTGGTGCATTCTGCCCATTATCGTGGCTCTGATGTCGTGCCAGCTGATGGACAAAACTACAAATTCCTACGCTTCTATTATGGGCTTAACCACCGACTTGGATATGACTAGTCAAGCCTATTCGTGGGTAGGAAGTTCCTTCTACTTTGGGTACTTGATCTTCCAATTCCCAGCAAACTTGCTTCTTCAGAGATTTCCGCTATCCAAGACCCTTGGTTGTGCTGTTATATTATGGGGTATAATTCTTATGTGTCACGCTGCTTGCTTTTCCTCCGCTCCTTTCCTTGTGTGCCGCGTTTTACTTGGTGTTTTCGAAGGCTTCATGAATCCAGCTTACATTTTGCTAACAGCGCAATGGTACAAAAAGAGCGAGCAGTTTATGAGATCTTGCATTTGGTTTGGATTCCAAGGTTTCGGAACGATTTTAGGCGCTGGTATTGCATACGGGCTCGTTTCACACAATAACTACGCTTTGTCGTCATGGAGACTGCTTTATGTTATTACTGGAGTCATCACGATTGCATTGGGTATCATTTCTGTTGTCCACATCCCCGATATTCCAGTCAAGGCATGGTTTTTGAACGAAACTGAGAAGAAATACTGTGTCGAGAGAATCAGAAGCAATCAGCAAGGTTTCGGTAATCAGCGCTTCAAGATTGGTCAATTACGCGAAGCGCTTAAGGATTTGAGAACTTTGATTTTCTTTGTTTATGGAATGTCCTATGCCATTCCCAATGGTGGCTTTACGAATTTTGGTTCTATCCTTCTACACAAGGATTTTGGATTTTCTACAAAAGAGTCCTTATTGATGAACATGCCAGGTGGTGGGATTGACATTATTATTCCATTTGTTGTGGCGTATATTAGCGTCAAACTTTTCAAAGGTGACAGACTGATCATTTGCTTCATTGTTAACTCACTTGTTATTGTTGGAATGTGTCTTTTAAACTTTACTGCACACAAAGGGTCTAAATTAGCAGGATATTTATCATTCTATGCTGCTACAGCCGTGGTATCTGGTATTGTTTCATGTATCTCTTCAAACACTGCTGGCCACACAAAAAAAGTCACTGTGAATACCATTTTTCTCATTGGATACTGCGTTGGTAATATCATTGGTCCACAAAGTTTCCGCGCCAACCAGGCTCCAAACTATGCTGGTGCCAAAATCGCTATGCTAGTTTCGTTTTGCATGGGTGATGTTTGCATTGCGGCGATGTACTTTTTGAACAAGAGGGACAACAAGATTCGTGATGAGAAAAGGGCTTCTCTTGGCGAAGACTATCCAGAACCGGAAAACCTCGCTTTTTCGGATCTGACGGACAAGGAGAATCCTGCATTCAGATACTCTCTTTAGAAATCTTCAATGCTTTGATTTACAGTTTTAATAATTTTAGATATTCAATTTAATGCACAGGTTTGGCAAATGAAGAAAGCTACAGAGGCTTTCGCTAACATCCATCACCATCGATAACATAATATGGCTGTTGAAATTTTCTCTCTGCAATGCTGTCCCGCGAGATACGCTACGCTAGATGTGTAGCAGAAGCAATAATATCTTGACAAAAGTGGTATCAGCACTCTTTCTCTCATCTTTCGAACTATGCATCTTGTGTGTTTATATCAACTCGTGACTCAATACTCGTACCTTCAAAAACTTCACGTCGAAATTAAAGTCACAGACTCATCGAAAAGTTTCCTTAGACTTTCAGTTAATCGCGTATTGTTCCTACTTGCCAAACTATTTGAACTTATGGCCGCGATAACGTTTTTGATTCGACCCTTATCTTATCTTTTGCCAAAGTTTATTTTTTTTATCTGACGTGTTATTCCGCCACTATCAAATCAAACAACAACTTGAATAATTCGGCAACTAGGTAGGTAATGCTTAACCTATCTTATTGAAAGAGATATAATAGCTCGAACATCTGCCATGGTTAGAATGAAAGGTGAACGTCTTTGTTTATTGCTCGTCAATTTCGTCTTCGAGTAAAAAATAAGTTTACAATGCCCAAGCAAATATCTAAAACTGAACCTATAATCATTGTCGGTGCTGGCGTATCCGGTCTTTCCACCGCCTATGCCCTTTTGAAAAGAGGATTTGAAAATGTACACATCTTTGACAAACGAGACTACATCACTCAAGGGTACAACTATTTTAAAGGGTGTGACAGTCCATCGTCGGATATGAATAAGATATTTAGAGCCGCCTACGGGGAGCAAACACATTATCAAAAAATGTCGCTGGATAGCAGGAAGGTCTTTTTGAACTGGAACCAAATGATAAAAGACTGCAACTTTGAAGGTGGCGATCCAGTCTACCTGAACAGTGGTAACATTCATCTTACGAGCCATCACGAACTGCCTCTCTTCGAAACGCTCACTCTTCAAAACATGGCACCTTCGCAAGCAATCCGAGTGTCTGATAGTGATGCGATCGAGAAAGCGGGAAGAATTGGCTTACCTCTTTCTGCTGTTGATCCTTTTGAAATGAAGAGACGTGGAAAACATCTTGAAGGTGTCCTTGATACTACTGGTGGTATGATAATTTCCGATAAGTGCTGCAGGTGGGTATTGCATCTTTGCAGAAGTGAATTCCCTGATAATTTGACTACTCATCTCGGTGCAGACATTGGTGAGATCGATCACCTTCTTCTAGAGTATGTTAAGGATACTGGCAAGAAAAAATGTGTAGGCATCAAGACTAAAGACAAAGCCCTGCATTTTGCGCGGTTAGTTGTTACTGCTTGTGGCCCATGGACAGGAGAAGTCGTCCCAGAAGCTCAAGAAAAGTTGGAAGCGACAGGTGGTACTGTTGTTTTAATCAAAGTCACCAATCCTAAAACTTTAGAGAAGTACAGTGAGAAAAACTTCCCTACATGGACGTACGATGTCAGGGATAAAGGCATTGGTGGCCTCTATGGTTTTCCCATCAGAAACGGATATATGAAAATTGGCTACAGGGGTCTGAAGTGGACTAATCCAACAAAAACCTTGAACTCGCAAGTCAAAACTGCCTATAGCGATTGTCCCGAAACGAATGTACCAATATTCGGACTAAAACTGATCAAGCAGTTCATTGCAGAGCACATTCCGGAAGTCAGAAAAATTGATAAAACGAGACTCTGTTGGTATTCAGACAGTGAAGACAACGACTTTCTGATTTCCTACTCCCCTCAGTATGCTGACAATTCTTTGTTCACCATTGGTGGTGATTCTGGCCATGCCTTCATGATGTTCGGAAGCATTGGAGAGGTTATTGCCGATATAATAATGGAATCAGATGCTGATCCTTTTCTCAAAGACCTTTTTTCGTGGACCAGGAAAAGAGAGCCAATAAACGCCATCAACAAAGGCATTGAGGATCCTCGTGCACTATGTAACCAACTTATGGCTACCGAGAATGACTGGGTTGTAAGAGAATCAAGTAAACTTTAGTGTAAATTATGCAGTTTAAGGCAAATAACCCGAAGCTATCTATTTCAGTTTTATCCTGGTTTAACTTGAACCCCAATCTTTAATAATGAGCGTAATTATCTTGTCTCGGATCTGCAAAATGGCAGTAATACCTAAACGGATAACTATAATGTATGTGTCCAAGGGTGTTGGTTAACTAATGCTATGTATTGTACATTTTATTTACGGCACAAAAGGAGCCAATACTAAGAAGTACTAAAACAATCATTGTCTACTTGTAGACCTTATCTGTAATTGGGCGTTCCTTAGGAAGGTTGATTAAACCTTGATTTTCTTTTAAGCGGAACTGAACAACTTTTAGAAGATTGTAGACTACAGTAAGGACAGGGGTCTCTACACCAAGCTCTCCCGCAACCTTAAGTAAGTTGCCTAGAATGACTTCCAATTCAATAGGGTTGCCCTTCTTGACGTCAACGCGCATCGAGGGTTCGAACCAATCTCCATCGTCAGAGTGTACCACCGCGTTTATGACATCATCGGGTAGCTCAACACCATCGGCTTTCGCTACTGCAACCACCTCCCTCATAGCAGGGATAGAAACAGCCTCGAGCCCACCCGAAAACTCGAGTCTACCGGTGTCAACTCCTGTTAGAGCGCAAGTTGTATTCAATGTTGCGTTGTAGACTAATTTTCTGTATCTGTACCATTTGGCGTCAGCAAAGTAGGTGCAGTTATTCTTTTCATTAGCGTAAATGGCAATGAACTCTTTTGCCTTCGCCTCTTGGAGTTCTTTTGACAAGCTAGGGCTTTCAAAATAACTGACAAGCGATTTGTCCTTTTGAGTTTGATGAATGGTACCGTTACTGTTATGGGAGCCAATATGGGACACTCCTGATAATATAACATTTTTGGGATATTTGGCAAAGAAAGGACGGCCGAGATCGAACCCGTTTTGCATCAGCACTATGGTGGTCTTTCCAGGCGTCACTGCAGGCTCGACAAGCTCCTCCACCTTAACAATATCGGGCAAATTCTTAGTTGTTATGATAACAAAGTCGTACTCAGTCCCTTTGGCAGCAGAAGCTTCGACCGTGGGATAAATATTGTCAGGCTTCCAGCCTTCAATTTTTCCGTAGTCAACAGAGTCAATGTTGTAGCCAGCATCCTTTACTTTGGTGTAGTCACGTCTGACAACGATGGATAAGCTCGACTTGCCAACATAATCAATTCCAAATGCAACGATTGTTCCTACACCTCCTGCTCCAATAAGCAATACATTATATTTAGCAGACATTTTAGAATTCAGGCAAACCTTGCAGATTGTAGCTTTGAATAATAATCCTGTTTCTAATTACAAACATATGATGGGTTTCATGATCTACATGCAGTATAGATATACCAACAATGAGAAGCTTGTCCCGTTTCATTTCGTTTACTTTCCCTTCTTATCGATAAACTCAATCAAGATAAAACGTCTTATCTACGTTGGTAAAAAACGGAAAGATAGCATTTACGTCGGACAAACACGCTCGAGTGAACACGCTCGATTGAAGTTGCCCACGCTAAGAATACTAGATAGTCGTCTGGGTAATTCATGTCCTGAACTATTCAGTGAAGTTTGTGCTCTTGACGATCGTTCAACACCATTTTTTGATAAAAGAAGAAGATTATACGTGAATACTCTCGAAATGACTATGAAGCCTTGGCATAGCTCTGTCACGATTTTCAAACTGTATACTAAATGCCAACAATTACGATAGAGCCCGAAAACAGCTCCAAAGAGCCAAGCGAAATTTGTGTCGACGAGGCCTCGGATGTGGGCTCGAAAACCGAACGCTTCTCGGAGCGTCGGAAAAAGTTCATTGTAGCGATTTCGTCAGCGGCGTGTTTTCTAACGCCAATGGCAGGCCTGGCATTTTTGCCAGCCATTTCTACCATTGCTGAGCGTTTCAATACGACTGCATCGACGATCAATGTGTCGAACGCTGTCTACAATGTTTGCATGGGCTTATCGTGCTTCTGGGCACCTTTCAGCGACTCATATGGACGAAAACCAGCTTTTTTAATTTGCATGTTCTTCTGTGTTGTATCAACAGTTCTTGTTGCTTGTTCCCAAAACCTAGCGATGTTTTTTGTGTTTCGGGCAACCACCGCGCTCTTTGGTACTGCATTTTTCAGCATTGGTGCTCAAATCATTGGCGATATTTACCCACCAGAAAAAAGAGGAAGTGCCATGGGCTGGAATATAGCTGGGAGTCAAATTGGGCCTCCTCTCGGTCCAACTTTTGGAGCTATTATAGTGACATACACTTCTTGGAGAATAATATTCTACATTTTGGCAATACTAGGGGGATTAGTGCTTGTCTTGGCATTTTTCTTTCTCCCCGAGACACTGCCCGACAATAGACATTCACTAGCTCTCAGTGAATACAACAACAGTGATGAAGTTGTCAAGAATCCGCAAAAGAAAAAAAGGTTCTTATTTATTCCTTTCAATATCATGCGTCCCATCATATCCTTCAAATATCCCTCCTTGATTCTTGCAGGTATCTCCTCTATGGCACTGATGTACAATATGTATTCTCTGCTGACGCCCATTAGGTATGTTGTTGATCCAAGATTTGACATTACACTGCCGATATATGGAGGTTTGTTTTATCTAGCACCGGGAATTGGGTACCTTCTCGGATCCTTCATGGGCGGAAAGCTTTCTGACTACCAAGTGAAGAAGAGCATCAAACAGAGAGGAAGGCGGGTCCCAGAAGATCGCTTGAGGATGACGTTGCTTTTCTTTGGATTTTTGAGCCCAGCGTCAGTCATTGCATATGGGTGGTCTATTCAATCTAGAAAAGGTGGGTATGCACTTCCAATCATAAGTATGTTCATCAACGGACTGTCGCAAACCAGTATCTTTCCCACAATCAACAGCTATTGCATCGACTCAATGGCAAGCGAAATCGGTGGCGGTGCTGTAGGCGGCAACTACATGATACGTTTTTTTGCTTCAGCGGTGGGTTCAGCCACCTGTTTGAAAGCCATAACTAGCATTGGAATTGGATGGACATCAACTATATCAGCCGGTGTATTAGTTATCGGTTCCATTTCAATGTTACTTCTAGTCCTTTATGGAGAGCAGCTGAGAGAAGGGAAAAAGGTTATAAAATAGACGCGTGGTTTATCGGCGGAGAGGCACCGTTCACTAACTTAATATGTATATATCACAAAAATGCAGTACAAGAGAGATTACAACAGGACACAGTTATTAAAATATACCATGGCTCACAAATTATCAAAAATAGGCCAATGTTAATATCAAGGATAAAGAAGCAGGTTGTTCATTTGAATACTGCGAAGACTCGGTGATGAACTCTTATATTAACATTTTATTCCGGTTAACTTTTGGCAATGACAGGTTGGTAGAAAATGACAGAGAAAAATGAAGAGCGAGAGAGAGAGAGTAAGTACATCGCCAAATTTTGAACGTTTTCGCATCACCACAATTTATAAACTTGCGCTGCACATTTATGGACTAAGCTTGAGATTTTGAAGGTACGAGGTTCTTAAGAACAATGGTAAAAGACCGCTTTTTTTTCATGATTAGTATATTGCTCGGAAGAAGACGACTTTTGGCTGTGGGATTTGATAGCACGAAATCACAGGTTTTTTTTGGTTGTTTTTAATTTATGATACCATAGTTGCTGAGCTTTTCAGCTACATCGGCGGGTACTACGTCAGCCACGGTGTGTAAAACGTTCATTGGAATGGGCAATTATCGCTTTGCGCCTAAAAGGGTCTCGAATATCCATCGGTGGAGCTGGTGAAACACCTCGGGTCTTCTTGGCTGTGTACAAGGTGTTGTAAAGTTGGGAATGATAGTGCCGAGTAATACAATGACATAATAGTACAAAGTGATATAACGAGACAAGAGCGCCGAATCTTCATCCAGAGAGGATTGAAGAGATACTCGAAAAGCGGTCTAGATCTTACCGATAGCTTATCAGTGCAAACAAGGAGCAAAGTTGTCGTAACAACTATGCCCCTATCAATACTTGTACTGTATTCTTTTGCAAGTCTTGGAATGATATAGAGAATGGTTAGATTCGGGGACTTATGATCTTCATCTACGAATTGAACGTAAGCTCAATCAATTCTAGATTAGCGAAACAAAGACGCTAGCAGTATTTCTTTTGCCGATTCAGACTCGCCTCAATAAGGCGAGCTAACAAAGATACTAGCAAATTTTCTCTCGCCGAGCCAAACTCGCCTCAAGAAAGCGACCTACCAAAAATACCAGCAAGCTTCCTATCGGCGCCTCATCAACGTTTCGTAGCACTCTCCGCCTCATCAATGTCTCGTAGCACTCTCCCAAACATTTAGCGTGTTGCCGAAAACCATCACTCCATATCACTTTGTACTATACTGACGCGGCACAAGTTCCAACCTCGAAAGCTTGTTATCACAGCCGTACCCAAGACTAAAAGAGACTAATCATTAAAATCAAAGCAGTCTCAATCATTCACCGATATTATAGCTGCCCGTTGGCGCTTGTAAATTGTTCCCCTTCGATAAAAGAAAAATTGTCCAAATTTACATCAGCGTGCTCGCAATTTTTCAGAACTTCCACTGCACTTGCTCACGCTCCTAAGTTTATATTAGTGCTTAATATCCCACTAAACAATGTCTCTACAGATGACCATTAAACCTTCAAGTCGCTCTGTTTCCTTCCTGTTACCCTCCCCTACTTCCACCAATGAAATTCGCTCATGCGTTTATATCCACCCTTTCTGGATTTGCGGGCTGTGATTGGCGGAGGAAATTTTAGCAGTGAAAAAAAAGCGAAGCTGGGAATCTATAGTCTCTTGCAACAAGTCAACTTTTTGAACTTCAGGTAAAGCGATTCCACCAAGAGTGCCTTCACTTCCCCATTGTCGTGCGTACTAGTAGTCGCTGCATCTTATATATTCGTTTGATTTCCCGGGAAATAGCGTCGATCTGCCGCCCGTCTCGAGCCAGTTTTTCCATTTCAGTCAAGTTTAAAAACGCAAGGTATATTCCTGCAAGCTAGCTCCACCATGTTGTCCCGTTATACTGCCGTCCGTGCTGCGGCCAGAACGCTCGCCAAGGCGAGCGCTTCGCGCGCCGCCACTGGCGCCGTGAGACCCGTCGCTGCGGCCATGATCGCTGGATCCAGACGCTGCGCGTCGGCCAAGGCCCAGCCAACTGAGGTATCCTCAATTCTCGAGGAACGCATCCGTGGCGTGTCCGAAGAGACCAATCTCAACGAGACCGGTCGCGTGCTATCCGTCGGTGACGGTATCGCCCGTGTGTTCGGTTTGAACAACGTGCAAGCCGAAGAATTGGTTGAGTTCTCGTCCGGTGTCAAAGGTATGGCTCTGAACTTGGAACCCGGTCAAGTCGGTATCGTGCTTTTCGGTTCTGACCGTCTCGTCAAAGAAGGCCAGGTGGTGAAGCGTACCGGCCAAATTGTCGATGTGCCAGTGGGACCCGCCATGTTGGGTCGTGTTGTCGATGCCCTGGGGGCTCCAATCGACGGTAAGGGTCCAATCCAAGCCGTTGGCCGTTCTCGTGCCCAAGTCAAAGCTCCTGGTATCTTGCCAAGAACATCTGTGCACGAACCAGTTCAGACCGGTCTTAAGGCCGTTGACGCTTTGGTGCCAATTGGTAGAGGCCAAAGAGAATTGATCATTGGTGATCGTCAAACCGGTAAAACCGCCGTTGCCATTGACACCATTTTGAACCAAAAGAGATGGAACGATGGTTCCGATGAGTCCAAGAAATTGTACTGTGTCTACGTTGCTGTGGGTCAAAAGAGATCTACTGTTGCTCAACTTGTGCAAACTTTGGAACAGCACGATGCTTTGAAATACTCCGTCATCGTTGCTGCCACCGCCTCCGAGGCTGCTCCTTTGCAATACATTGCTCCTTTCACCGCCGCCGCTATTGGTGAATGGTTCAGAGACAATGGCAGACATGCCTTGATTGTCTACGACGATTTGTCCAAACAAGCCGTCGCTTACCGTCAACTGTCTTTGTTGTTGAGACGTCCTCCTGGTCGTGAAGCTTACCCAGGTGATGTTTTCTACTTGCACTCCAGATTGTTGGAGAGAGCCGCTAAGATGTCCGAAAAGAACGGTGCCGGTTCTTTGACTGCCTTGCCAATCATTGAAACCCAAGGTGGTGATGTTTCCGCTTACATTCCTACCAACGTTATTTCCATTACCGATGGTCAAATCTTTTTGGAAGCCGAATTGTTCTACAAGGGTATCAGACCTGCCATTAACGTTGGTTTGTCCGTGTCCCGTGTCGGTTCCGCTGCCCAAGTTAAAGCTATGAAACAAGTTGCTGGTTCTTTGAAATTGTTTTTGGCTCAATACAGAGAAGTCGCTGCTTTCGCCCAATTCGGTTCCGATTTGGACGCTTCTACCAAACAAACTTTGGCTAGAGGTGAAAGATTGACTCAAATCTTGAAGCAAGCCCAATACGCCCCAATGGCCGCTGAAGAGCAAGTTCCATTGATTTACGCCGGTGTTAACGGTTACTTGGACAATGTCGAATTGTCTAGAATTGCCGAGTTCGAGAGCACTTTCTTGCCATACTTGAAGTCTAACCACGAAGAAGTCATTTCTGCCATCAGAGAAAAGGGTGAATTGAGCAAAGAATTGTTGGCCTCTTTGAAGTCTGCTACCGAATCTTTTGTTTCTACTTTTTAAGGTAACAAAAAATTACCGGAAAGAACTTAATGTAAATCATTGATCTTTTATTAAAATGAGAAAAGATCAAAGACGCTAGAGAAAGAAAAGAAGGTATTGAAAAAGACCAATGACACTTATAAATAAAGAAAACAGATTGTGAATTCATTCAAAACTACTTACCCCACGCCAAATTACACAAAGCATATGACTTTTACGATTGGATGAGTAACCAACTTAAAAATCTAAGTATATATACTGAAGAAATAGAGATATTTTTAATCCAGAATATCGAACAAAGTTGGTGCGAGAAGGAGAAAGAGATGTGTTTACAAGTTTCATGTTCTCCTTGATATACAAGAGGGAGCTAAACGGAAAACAAATTTTAACAAGTTTGGCTGTTTGTAGAAAGGACGTTCACATTAATTGACGAAACTTTGAATCTAGTTGCGCTCGTGGCCTTGGCTTCTAAAATATAATAAGAGCGATATCTTGTCATTTGTCCACTCGAGTGTTTGTCTTGTTTTTGACTGAATTTTACCGTGCATAAAGACTAGTAAAGATCAAATATCAATACCCAGAGATGAGTATAACAAAACAGTAAGTGCAACTTTCCACAAGAACATCGCCCAATTCATTGGACTTTCTTAAAACTTATTGTTTTGTTCAAACATTTTGAAATAGCTTCTGTTTTATCCTCCTTACTTGTTCAAACCGTTGGCCACTCAAGTTTCCAATACAAAACTAGACCGCATAACTACACATCATCCTCTCTATGATATGAGTACTATTACCAAAGAAACCGCTCCTCAAAAGAAGGCTTTGCAGACCAGCGTCAGAATTACCGACGACGATCTCTACCGACACTCTTCACAATACCGACTTTGGTCTTTTACACCTGATAGCATCTCTCAAATTCGAGAAGAGATCAATGTCAGGGCTACAGCCAAAGTACACCAGGATTTAAAAGTTTTCTTGGAATCTCACCCAGAGCTGTCGTCAGAGGAACGCGGTGCTATAGAATCGAAAGCCATACCGGTATCGACACAAGAAGAACTATTACTCATAGGCTATTTTGCTCGCATGATTTTATCGTTTGCAGGAAAAATGAATTTACCAACAGAAGTAGCCGCTACAGCAGTTTCGTTTTTCCGTAAGTTTTTCCTCTCCAACTCTGTTATGGAATTTGCACCTAAGGAGATGTTTCACACCGCACTCTTCTTTGCCTGCAAATCCGAGAACTATTTCATCGGCGTCGAATCCTTTGCGAAAAAGGCGAAGACTACCACTGATGCCGTTTTGAAACACGAATTTAAACTCTTAGAAAGCTTGAATTTTACGTTGATGAACCATCATCCATATAAAGCATTGCACGGATTTTTTCTGGACATACAAAGCGTTTTGTCTGGCAAGGTCGACCTAAATTACATGGGACAGGTTTACACTAATTGTAAGAAAGCTATCTCCGACGCTCTGCTCACTGATGCAGTATATTTTTTCTCACCACCACAAATCACTCTAGCAATTTTACTAATGGAGGACGAAGCTTTAATGATGCGGTACATGCAGCTGAAATTTAATCTGGGCTCCGAGATTGAGACTTCCAAGGATGACTCACAAAGCGTACCCCAAGCCGATCATCAAAATTCTATTAATGCCGAGAAGCTGTTAGAAGTGATAAAGTCCTGCAAAGCCGTCATTTCTGAGAAGATCATCCCTGCAAAAGAGGATGCTGTGAGAATTACCGCAAAGCTTCATTACTGTCAGAATCCCATGTCAGTAATAGACCGACTGAAAAGGCAAAGAGAAACAAGCAGTGCAGCAGAAACACCTGTACAAACACCTGTGCAAACTCCTGTTCCTGGTGACCTTGACACTAAAAGACAAAAAACTTGATGATATATAAATATTCTATATCGTGAAGTGTCTTATGGACAACGCTTACATTGATTGTGTCGTCGTCAGTTGTTCGTTCAGTTCGTCTCTATTTACAAATGCCTTTGAACTAGTACACAGTGTATTATTGTCCTCGTTTTGGGCTTAGTGTCTTATGTTAAACCCAAACCATATGCAGAGTTATGAGAATAATGGGAGTCTGAAGGCTGGCCATGAAGAAGATGCCTAAGAGCTTATCGTTTCTAGCTCACGCTTTAATTAAAACTGGAATCTTAGATTTGTCTCCTCCGATTTCCTTTCTGTCATCACTGTCGGGTCCCTCAACGACCTTATTTGTCATCATTTTAGCCTTAGAAGGTGACTCTCCATTACAAACAAGTCCGATCTCAGCGGAGTCTAATGTTTCATACTCCATCAGCCCTTGTGCTAGCCTCTCCAGTTCCGAGTGTCTTTCATTGAGTAGCTTTCTGGTTCTCTCCTCAGAAGCTTTGAGGACTTCCACCACTTCATTGTCAGCGATGTCGCGAATCTTGCCAGACCAGCTTTCCCACTTGTCTGCTAAGTTCACAGGACCGACACGCTCGCTCATACCATACTGAGTAATCATCGCTCTAGCAGTATTGGTGGCACTTTGTAAATCAGATCCACAGCCACTTGTCGTATTTTCTCTGCCGTAAACAATCTCTTCAGCAATTTTACCCCCCATACAGACATCTAGACGTGCTAAACATTCTTTCTTTGTGATGTCAACTTTATCCATTTCTGGTAGTTGAAATGTAATACCTAAGGCTCTACCTCTTGGCAAAATGGTAGCTTTGTATAATGGTGTAGCGCCTTGGGTATACATGGCCATAATAGCATGGCCGGCTTCATGAAAAGCAGTTGCTCTTCTAGTTGCTTCAGTCAAGACCATAGTTTTCCGCTCGGCACCCATCAAGATCTTGTCTTTCGCCCATTCAAAGTGACTCATGTCAACCGCGATTGCATTCTGTTGACAAGCGTAAACAGCAGCTTGATTCACTAGGTTCATTAGCTCAGCACCTGATAACCCAGGCGTACCTCTAGCAATGATAGAAGGGTCTACATCTGATGACAGAGTGACCTTTTTCATATGGTGTCTCAATATATCAGAACGACCACGTACATCCGGTAAATCAACATTGACTACTTTGTCGAATCTACCTGGTCTGGTTAAAGCCTTATCTAAGGATTCGGGGAAATTGGTTGCTCCAATGACAATGATTCCACTAGTCTGCGAAAAACCATCCAATTCAACCAATAACTGATTAAGAGTTTGCTTAGCATAAGCTTGGTCCTTAGGGTTACGTTTTCCTCCAATAGCATCCAGCTCATCAATGAAAATAATGGCCGGAGCTCGACTGCGAGCCTGAGAGAATAGTTCACGTATACGTTTAGCACCTACTCCCACGTAAACCTCATCGAATTCGGAACCTGACATGAAAAAGAAGTCCACACCTGCTTCCCCAGCAGTTGCCCTCGCCAAAAGTGTCTTACCCGTACCTGGAGGTCCCGTCAAAAGAACACCTTTGGGAAGTTTACCGCCCAAAGATTCGTATTTGGTAGGATCTTTCAAAAAATCAACAATCTCTTCCAATTCGGCACGGGCTTCCTCACATCCACGAACGTCGTCGAACTTGACGTTAGTCTTGGCAACATCGACGGATTTGTCGGCAACCTCTGATGATTTCAAAAGTGTGGTATTTTCGGTGATGTATTTGAAACCTTCAGATACACCATAAGTAACCAAGCCAAACACAACCAACCACTTTACCCATCTAGATACTATCGTGAATGTGGATTCTGTGACTACTACATGCAAGGGCTCTTTACGAGATCCCATGAATGGGTTGTAGCCAGCAGATCCAAGAGTGCCAGTTCCAGACGATGCGTAACGTGCGTATTCGGAACCCTGTGATGGATTAGAGCCTTGCGAGGCAGCAGCCCCGCCCAATAACGACTGTCTAATTGATTCGGCGTCAGCATGCCTCCCCGTTTTCTGTAAGGCTTCTACATAGAGCGAAACACACTCTGGAGAGGAAGCGATACCGGGAGTTTCAAACCTTGACACAACATACTGAGGATACTCTGACTTCAACAGAAGTTGATAGAAGTCAGCTTGAGCCAATGGATTATTGAGATCTTTATTCGCCAGCTGTTCCTTCTGGGCCAAAACTGCATGCGATGCTGGTGAGGAATTTGCAGCTTCGCCAGCTTTTGTAGAGGACCCTTCAACAGCATCTGAAGCTTTTCCGGCGTCTTTGCCAATTGTGGAGTAATATTTCCGCTGACAGAACGCTCGTCTAGTGGCTAAAGCAAATGTCGGAGACCGACATAGCAGGGGTCTTATTAATGCTCCATTTGTCAGGAATGAGCGCCCTAAGACCCTGGATAAGCTCATCTCCTGTGTCGAGGACTTAGATATTGTTTCTCATACATAAGCCTGTAGATGCGTTAAATTTTATAAAAGCTGATAAAGTGGCAAACAAAAAACACATCGTACGAGAGAGCGGGTAATCCTATCTCGATCAAACCGGACGTTAATGTCAACTATCCACGAATAGAGTACATAATGTCTTACAGCCATGCCCTCTTTATTAATCCGGACTTCCTTTCGTGGGCTTTCGAATGTCCAAGCGTGCCAAATTAGTGTGTATTGCGCCAAAACCAACGTCGACGTGAAATACAATTTGAAGGCATATGTTTGAGCCTTCGGTTAAAATGTTTGATACAGTTTGAACATCCTATTTGACCTGAAGACGAACAAGGGCGCGTTTCCAAGACGATTCTATTTGTGGGCTTATTTGCTGGTATTAAATGTCTTCAGGGTAATAAAAGAAATTGGAGGTCGGAGGCACATAGTATAGCTTTCTTGCTTTCATGATGTGGCAGCAGTTATGCGAGCCCTGGTCAAATATGAACCCTGACATTACGGCACGACTGGCGTCACGGAAAATCTTGCGGCGTTCATAATGATCATTGTCGAGGTTCAACGACATTGTGGTACGAAATGATCAAATACTTTCCTCGAACCAAAAATTGTAGTCTGTGAACTGCAGCCCAACTGTACCATGTTTCGGCGAATCTACCGGCTCATTAAGAACCAAAATGGCATGTCATTACATTGTACTTTAGCAGCTTGAAAGTCTGGTAACAATGCGACCAAGGTTCAAAAGTCAATAGTTTGTATATTTCTATCCGTCATTTTCCACAAGTGGCCCTATGTGAGTAAGGTTGTTGACCGGCTTGGCTATGAATACGCTTCAGAACTCTCAGAAATCGCTACCAGCCTTTCAATTTTTACAGCGAGATCATCAAACTCTTCAGTAGGTTCCACAGCGAAACCATGCTCGTTGGCCAAATGCAATAGACAGATGAAGCAGAAACTTGTCGAGAGATCCTTCTTCCTCTCACCGCTGTACATTTTACTAATGCGCTCTGTAATATCCGTGAAATTAAGTTTAACGATGGCTCCAGATTCTGCCCCGCCAATTTCGCTTGTCGTAGACTGCTCGGCTTCCTCTTGCCCCAAACGCTCTTTAACGGCTTTGCTTATCGAGCTCCAAATGTTATCCTTAAGACGCTTAACGTCAACTTTCTTCGAAACTCTGGAGTATGTTACTTTAACATCCGGTTTTCCTAAAGGTTGCGCGAGCCCTGCAGATCCACCTGCGCGAAGATCTAACGAAGCACTATTAGAGTCATCCAATCCATCGGTTCCGAATGCCTGATTGAAATCAATACCACCATCATTATCGTCGAAAGGATTCGGCAGGTCGTTTTCTGGAAACTCCATCTCATGTGGTCCATCAACCTCATCGGCTTTATCTTGTTCTCGCATTTGATAGTTCTGAGCCCAGAAATTCTGGTCCGCGAGCCCAGGAATTTCGCTACCTTCGTTTATGTCTGTTTCATCTATTTTAATAGTACCACCGACTCTTGGATAATCTGCAGCTGGTTTCCTGTGCGAAAAGAAACTCATCTGTTGGGCAGGCTTGATGAAGAGCCTTGTGATCTTTTCTGTCGAAAATTGATAATCATTCGGAAGCAAATAATGCGTTGAGTTTGTACGTAGCTTTTGAGGCATTTCAATGTTGGACTTTTTCTTGTCGAATATCCTTTCCTCCATTGTGTGATCAAAGTTGAAGAAATCAATCGATAATTTCTGCTTTATTGGCTTTTTTGCTTTGGGAGCTTCCTTGTCCTTCTCTGTGGCTTCGCCTTCATTTGCCTCACCATCAGGTTTCGGTGTCTCCCCGGCAGCTGCTTGCATCCTATTTTTGAAATTCCGAATTTTCCAGTGTTCCCGGCCCCGCCAACTAGTCTTCATCGTTTCATCGAAGTACGCCATCACGTCGCGGTCCATTACACTCGTTGTTATATCAGGTGCTGATTTCTCGCCTTCTGCCATTGCTGAAATATTGGTCAGCGCAGTCCCGTCCTGATCGTTATTTGCAGAGTTTTCGTCATCGTAATACTCTCCGTTCATCCCAAAACTGTTGTCAGCAGGAATGTCGAAGTTGGCCTCATTTTCATCCGCCGCATCCGGCATTGCGTCTTGCAAGTCCTGATCTGTTAGAAAGTTATCGAACTCCTTATTGACATCATCGATAAATGACTTTGCTTTATGCACGTCGGTCACCACATCTCGTAGCTTTTTCATGGAAGGGCATATTTCAGCCTCATTTATGAGCCTAAAATCAATCAGGTCCATACCCAGTGCCAGGATCTCGTCCTCCACGTCAATACTTTGATTTGCTATGGGTTCACTGGCTTCCATTGCCATACTATGTGCCTCTGGGGTGTTCTCCTGAAGAACTGACTTATCATTAGTTTCGTAATCTTCAGAGTGGTCTTCATCCATAATCACATCTCCGTCTCCATCTTTTGTGATAAGTCCAACTATTTCAGCACTGACATCAGCCTGCACTGCATTGTGATTGGGATTTTTCTGAAGTTCATGGCTGGTCGTAGCGTCAAATACTATCCTCGCAGAGCTATCAATGTGGAGAGTGTTTATGAGTAGACTTTTGGCGCCGCCTTCATCAAAATCAGCTAACGCTTTTTTGAACAAAGGATCAATGCTTAGCTCTTGGTCCAGTTCTCGCATTCGCAGATTTTCGAAGTCTACGAGTGTGGTCTCCAGAACTCGATTATAGTTACGTCTTCGGCTTATATTATCGACTTCATTTGAGATAGGTAGTCCTGTAGTGGGATCTATTGTAACACCGCCTTCTGCTCCCTGATTTGATCCGGTAGCCCCAGCATCGTCAGCGTTTTCGCCTTGTGCTGTCTGCTGGTGTTTCCGCTGTGCCAATCCACTTAGCAGAATCCCTGTTTCGTTTGCAACAGAGTCGACTCTGGAGGAATAAATCTTTACGCAGCCGTCGAGAGTAGCGGAGGCTTTTTGAAAATTGATGTTGTCCTCTGAGTCCTTGAGTACGTTTAAGTCGTAAAAATAGTCAATAAGTGCAAAATTCCAACTGTTGCTCGAATTAATCTTGTTGTCGGTAGCCATCTTGATCCACTGTTCAAAGTTCGCCATCATTGTGGATTTATTTGTAAACAAGCCCCTGTCATCATCTTCGTCCTGTACATGATTAGCCATCGAGCTCTTTACTACTTATCTGGGCCCGGTTTCGAGGGGTTTGACAGTGGTTTGGCTATGATACCGTTGCCGCTTTCATATTAAACTATATGTTTACCTCAATCGATCTACTTTATTATCATGGGTCACGTGAAAGTCTTAGATCTATATATTTATTTGTAGTTCTTGAGCGTCCTTCTCAATACCTTGTACATTCCAAGGCCTCCAACTGCCATGGCAGCAATTATAATCGCCTGAAGATAGCTCAGGATTTTTTTCTGTTTCTGCTCGATTACAATGGCCATATGGTAGGGGATATCTGCCCTGAAAGAAACCATGGTATACAGCGGCAACCACTTATCTCTGAATAGTCTTCCTAGCATAGTGTCGAGTTTCTTACGCATCAAGTACAAGTTTGAAGTTACGCTGTGGGACATTTCTTTGTAATTGTTCTTCGCTAACTCAATTATTGAGACGAGGTCTGTATGACGTTTCTGGCTGTACTCAGCAAAAGCAGCAGTACGGTCACCCTCATGTTTATCCAAAAGCTGCATTAGAACTCTAACGTCCTCAAAGCCGCAGTTCATACCCTGGCCGTAAAAGGGAACCATGGAGTGCGCCGCATCACCCAGAATGATTGCTCGGCCATTATCCAAGTGATACGGCTTGCATTCTACGCACATCAAAGCACCGCGAGGGTTCTTTTCAAAAGCATCAACAGCTTGCTTGGTCCCAATTAGCTCCAAAGCGTCTGGGAAATTAGACATCAAAAACTCTTGAATTTTTGCCCGTGTGTCCAAGCTTTCCACCAACGACCATGGACCGAAAAAAGTAGACGTGAATGAGCCATCACCGTTGGCAAGCGCAATAAGCATATAGTTGTGACGAGGCCAGATGTGCAAATGATTTGGGGATATCGCGAATGGCCCATTAAATTCGGTATTGTGGACCTTGGCTGGTGCAATGTACAGTTCAATGTAACAGCAGTCGATGTATTCCTGAGAATAGTCCATTCTTATATCGCGCTGCATTTGCGACCGCGTTGTAGAGTATGCACCATCACAGCCGACTATGAAATCAAAGTCATACGATGCTTTGCTGCTGTCAGCCATAAAGGTACAGCTTTGCTTGGACTGTAGATTGAACTTGACTTGTGATAGTTTATGGCCGAATTTAGTGTGAATATTACTGATTTTGTCCACTTCATCGAGTAAGCTGTTGTTAAGAACACCGCGATCTATTGAATTGATGCATTCCCCAAATAAACCGTAATTTTGAGATTCCTGATTTCCAGCGCGGTCGTGGATCATACGCCCGTGCATTGGAATTATGTCTTTTAGAACTCTTTCACTTATCTCTTTATCTACATACTGTAGTGACTCGATTCCTCGAGCAGAAATTGCCAGATTAATGGATCTAAGGTTCTTGTCTGAAGTTGTTGTAAGTCTGGGATCTTGTCGATAATCGAAAAGAGTGACATCAAAATTCCGCTTGGCCAGCGCGATGGCAGTAAGACAGCCCACCAACCCGGCACCAATCACACCTACAGATTCAGGCATTGTAATAACAGGTGTCACTTTCCAGTGTGATAGAAAGATAGGAAAGCTGAGAATTTAAGGTGACTGACTTATTTTCAGCGAGTGAAAAAAAACGTCGGAAGAATTAACTAATAGAACAATGATGGTCAGATAAATCCGAGGGAACAGATAAACAAGTAGCGGTGAAAGGCCAATTCAAGACTTGGACGTTGAAGACTAATTGATCGAAATGCGTACAATTTTCTAAGTAACAGTGTAAACGTTGGTTTGTGGTGGAGCTTTTCCATATAACTACAAATTCCAATATGCCTAAGGCAGTGACAGATTCTCAAATGCATTAAAATTGTATTACATATTGTACAGATATATTTATGGATGGATGGTCACTGCGTTACGGTGTTATATTACTTGAATGTAGTTCGTCACAATATCATTTTTTCTTTAGTCGTCGCTCAACTAAAAGCATCTCTGTCTTTAAAGTAGCAACAATTATCATTAAATTTAAAATATACGATATACCAGTTAAATGGGTAGTGGCAGAAAACTGAAAAGAGGTGTACAGTTTATTAGGGCCAAAGTCAATTAAAAGTTCATGCGTGCTCAACCTGTTCCACGTTGGCTTTCTCGTCCCATTCAGCAGCCTTCACTGCTAGACGATGGTGACGATCCAATGGTGGTTGTCTAGGCACATTTTTTCTACGCAGAATGTACTCTTGGAAATCTGGCCACAATTGAGTGAACTGGAAGGCAACGCGCTTACGCAAAGGCACATCGAAAACTTCGTCAAGTTCTTCTAATGTCAACTGTTTGGTTTCTGGCATTAAGAAATAAACCAAGAACCAACCAATGACATTCCAGCCAGCATAGAAGCCAAAAGCACCTTGTGGATGTAGAGCATTTAGCATTCGTGGCCAAGTCAAAGATAAAATGAAATTGAAGCCCCACAGAATTATTGTAAACAATGAGGCACCAATAGCACGCACGTACAATGGGAAAACTTCACCAGCGATAACAAAGGGAACCACACCACATCCAAAGGAATAAATTGCGGAGAAGATGTAAATACCCATGGAAACAACTCCAATACGGGCCTGGTCACCGGGTATCCAGAATGCAAACCCAGTGACGAATAAAAATACCGCCATCAGTGGGAAGGTGTTTAGTAGAAGGAATCTGCGACCAAAACGATCGATCATGAAAAATGCAGGTATGGCAAAGAAGAAATTTACCAAACCAAAGCCAAGCGAGGCACACAGTGCGGAAACCTCGGTGAATCCGGAGCTTAGGAAAATGGCGGATGAATAGTATGCAATGACATTGATGGCACAGAACTGTTGCATGAATGCACAGACAAAGGCGACAATAAAGGCGTTACGATTACGCCTGACGGAGAAAACCTCACGCAGTCTCTGGAAATAAGGTTTCTCTAAAGATTCTTCCTCCAACAGTAAAACGTGTTGGTAGAAAAGATCGCGGCATGCAAGGATGCGATGAGGTCTGATTTGAACGGTACTTTCATAGGCTTCTTTGTAACGACCTTTACCCATGAGCCAACGGGGGGACTCGGGACACCATGGGATTTGGACCAAAACGAGAATGGCCGGTATCATGGCCGAGGCCAACATCAGACGCCAATTCAGACCACCGGAAACAGCACCGCTGCCAACTTTGTAGAAAATGAGGGAGAAGATGTACCCCCACATTATGCCGAAAGCGGTGAAGGTTTGCCAGTTCATGCAGATTATACCACGCAATTTTTTGGTGGAACATTCGGCCAAATACACGGAAACGGTGGCAGATTTGGGACCGATACCAAATCCAAGTAAAAACCGCATGGCGAATAGATAGTGCCAGCCGCGTTCTCCCGTGGGTGCAAACGCTTGTAGTAAACACGCGATAGCGGATATCAGGCAGGTGACAAATATGACCCGTTTACGTCCCATGAGGTTGTTGAGCCAATCAGTCATCCAGCAAGAGACTCCGGCGCAACACAGATATGGCGCACCGTTGACTAGACCTTGAAGCCAGTCGTTGCGGTCGGTCTTGGCGCCCAGCGCCAACGGCGTTGGGTAAAAAAGAAGCGCACCGTTGATCACGGTTTCGTCCATACCTTGGACGGCCGCGCCCATGGCCGACGCGCACACAATGGCTATAAGCTTGCGAGGCATGTTGCGGAAGGGCTTGTGCTCTTCGTCGTAGCAGGCCAGACGCTCTTCCTCCGTGAGAAACGACATGTGGTCGTAGCGGCTGGGCAGTCTGGCCAGCGCCGCGGCACGTGCAAACACATCGTCGTCGTTGGGCAGTTCATATTTGCGGGCAAACGCGCGCCCCATCTGCATTACTTGTTCTTCGGAATACTCTGCTAGCACATTGTCGGGAGCCAGGTCTGGGGCGTGTTTTTCGGAGTCTGCAAACGAGAGCGAGGCCGAGTTTTTTTTCTCGAGCAGCGCGGGCGCCGTGGCCTCTGTGAGCGGCGTGGCCACTTTGTCGTCGTCGTGGTGGGCAACGCGGGGCTTCTCCTCCAGCGACGAGATGGAGTTGGGACTCGTAGACATGTCGGATGTTGTGTGTGGGGTGTGGGTGTGCTTAACGTGCGATGTGTGGGTGTGGGTGTGAGTTTTCAGAACGCTGTTCAAAAAAGTCCGGGCTGGTTTTTTATTTTTCGATGTTCGAGCAGGATCCGCAATACTGGGCTTGCGCTTCTGTTCGTGTTCGGGGTCGTGTTTCCAGTCGTGTTCTTGCACTTTTTTTTGCTTGTATCTTGACTATTGGTATGTGTGCTTTCCCTTCCCGGCCGTGGTTGTATTTATATGCCTTATGCTGGAGAAACCCGCCATCATCATCCCTTGGTCCTCTCGCTCTTTTTTTTCTCGAACAACGGGCTCGATGACAGCAAAAGCGCAAAAGTGCGGGGGGATTCTAGACGTCGCGGATGATGTGGGGTGATGCTGATGTAATCGCCGAGCGTGTAAAGGCTGGGCCATCCGTCGTTGTGGAATCGGAACGGCGGAAGGAGACGGGGACGTAAGGCGAGAGAGCGAGAGAGAGAGAGAGTGTGTGTGTATTGAGGTAGTAATAAGGTTGCTGATCTGGGTCATGCAGAGTCGAGCTGGGATCCGGCGTTCTGTTTATCTCTGTGTGGTTCTCTCGGGGATGTGGTTGGTTTTTGGTGAGCCGACGCTGGGTCGGTGGGCGGTGGTTAGCTTGCCGATCTGGTTGTTCAGGGCGGTGACATGCGAGGCTCGTATTGTGAAAGGTGAAGAAGACAAATATCACTCGACAACCATGAGAGAAACCCGGTTTCGGAAGGCAACGCTCGTCGTAAAACATCTGGCAGGCTTGGCTAGTCGCGGGACATGTCGTGTAGTGCATCCGGTATCCACTTCTGAGCCAGTTCGAGATGATGCATCGAACGATCCATCGACTTTGAAAGATCACTTTGTACTATTCTGTCACAGCCCTTGATATCAGATTGGCTATCCGCGCATATTGGGGATGCAGTTGATATCGCAATGATTCTCTGGTCGGGTTTTCCCCAGCTCCATGAGTTGTCCGCCAAGTGCGTTACCTTTTGGCGCGCAAACAACGTCAACGTGCGCACGCTCACATATCCCATATCTGCTCTCGTAGCCCGCAATTTCTCAACTCTCGTATAAAACTCCTCTTTTGGCAAATCCAGTACTGTATCTCGTCCATGCAATATGTGATCCCGCTGTCCCAGTGTTGTGACAACTCCCGGAGCTTTCCAAAGAAAATTGTCTTTTTCCCATTCTGTCAAGCCTGTGGCACTCAATCTCCTAGTTGTATCTGGCAATTACGCAACGACTTTGTTTTCGAACTTTTCCTGTAAGCAACTCAATGAAACATAATACAGCTCATCATTAATCGTTCTGTTGCAATCCTCACGCCTTGGTGTGGTCTCATCTCACGCATTACCTCTCTTTTCGTTACCGCGGGCTCATGAGCAACGCAGTTTGCTGTAGGTTTGCGCCTTCTGTAGTTATTCGTGTTTTTCCTTCGTTTTCCTTCTCATGATCCTCATGATCTTCTTCTCCATTTTCTTCCTGATTTGATCTCTCTCTGTCCGAGTCGCCTAATGATTTGATGTCCTTTGCCTCCAGTTCTGCTCTATCATTACCATATTTAAAACGGGTATGGAAAGGACCTATTATCTTGGAAGTAAGCTTCAGCAATCGTCGTCGCTGCTGTCATGGTTCGCGACTGGCACTCTTATTCTGACCCACGTCATTATTGTCGAACTTATGCCACAAAAGAATAGTACAAAGAGATGTTGAATACATTGTAAATACCTTCTACTGCATTGAATCCACTCGTAACGCGATGTAACGGCTGCTAGCTCGCTGTGCATTATCAGAATAGCCACTATTGATTATTGACAAGACGGGCGTACAAACACCGGTGGTTTTTCAATGCAATGAGATCCTTAATCTTCACACCACGGGTGATAAGTAGAACCCAGAACCCAACACAGATTAATGAGACACACCATGAACGACTTAATTGACCAATTCAGCTAGCTAACTACTATTGATGCAAAATATGCCTCTCACTCCTGTACGATACATCGTTTAATACATCAGGTCTTGACCAATGAATTATCGTTTGACACTTGTCTTCGCTTCTATGTTTTACTGATATCACTCTGTACTGTTCTGTCACAGTTCTTTGTTCTCGTTATGATCCTGCCCGATATGTAATTGGCGCCATCATACAACAGCTCTGCGACCCCGACATGAATAGCTCGGTCTAAACCAATGTATTATACAAGCTCTGAGATGTGAGTAGGGAATAAGCCGCGTGCAAGTGGGATGCAATTATAACAGTAACTTAGCGCCCTTTTTGTTTAATATCACTTTTTACTAGTATATCAATATACAAACTTGGCATTATCATCACTTACATCAACTGTGTGGCTATAGACGTTCTTGATGTCTACATTTTGTATCACTATTCCAACGGGTTATGATCAAATTTTCTATCTCGATTCTGGCATGTTCACCTTATGGGGTACATGCTGCACTAGCAGGAAGAACCAGATATTCCCTAACAGCAACCTAGTTCTAAATAGATAGCACTCGATGTTAAATTATCCGCATGCAAACACAATTTGTCAATTCCTGTCCGCATCATGGCATTCCCGTTTAGCAATTGGGTCACTATCTACGAATTTGCTACTACATAAATCACTTAGCCACAACCCTTGACACCAAACTTCGAAATCTTAAATCGTCGTGCGATGGCTTTGAGAACTTTTGGAAAGTTCGTTCTTACACCCGTGGCCGGTTTTGGCCTGGGAATAGCAACTTTCATGGATTCATGGCCTGCCGCTAACGACGACGGTCTCAAAACTGTTACGTTAAAGAGATCCGTGGAACAGCAACGGCAAGATATCTTGTCGCAACTGCAAAAGCATGATATTTACCAAGATCTGATACGCAAGGAAAATGTAGAGCAATGGTCGCAGAGCGAAAAGATTGTGCAACCACACCGCGATTACCATGTAGGGCAAGGACTCCTTTACGGACCCGGAAGACTCGAGATTGACCCACTGGTATTGCATGACCCGGAATCTCAAGAGTTGGTAGTGTTCTATCACTTGGGCCATAACCTAAGCAATGAAAAAGGCAAAGTCCATAAGGGTGTAGTTTCGCTTTTGCTCGACGAAGCGCTGTGTTATTGCGGATTCCCGACTTTACCAAGTAAAGCTGGCGTCACAGCAAAGTTGGACCTGAAATTTCATCATGACGTACCTACAGACTGTACAGTGGTGTTGAAAGCCCATGTAAAGGAATCGAAGGGTCGAAAATGTGTTATTGAAGGCTCTTTACAAACGTTACCATCTCGAAAATGGTACAAGCCGTGGACTGCGGAAACTTCAACTGTTCTAGCCACAGCTACGTGCATATTGGTAGAACCCAAATGGTTTAAGCACGTTAAGTGGATGCGCCCGTCGTAGAGGTCTTGCGTCAGTACTAAACTGCATTATTTACTGGCTATGCTTGCCGCAGATGTCATTTTAGGATAAAGTGATATAGCTTCTCGCTTTTCAAACAAGATCATAACAACCTTTCAAGATACATATTTGTAGGTTAAGGTTCCCATTTATTCGGAGATACAAACCAACGAACCTCAACTTTACGTGGTACTTTTCACTCCCATTCCTACTGCAGTTGCTAAGGTTGTTTCTTAGGACTTTCAAATTCAGATAATACTTTGAGCTCTATGAGCGACGAATCTGGTGAAATTTATAGCTCGAAAGAGGAAACCACTTCGGTTTTCCGTAGGTTGACCTCCAAGCAAGACAACAGGGCTTGCTTTGACTGTGGAGCCAAAAATCCGACATGGACATCGGTGCCGTTCGGTGTTATGCTGTGCATACAGTGTTCTGCAGTGCACCGCAATCTAGGTGTTCACATCACATTTGTTAAGTCTTCAAATCTAGACAAATGGACTGTTAACAACCTGCGGAGATTCAAACTCGGTGGTAATCACAAAGCTCGTGAATTCTTTATGAAGAACAACGGAAAGCAGTTTTTGGGTACTAATGTCGACGCACGCATGAAATACACCAGCTCCGTTGCGAAGAACTATAAATTACATCTAAACAAACTGGTAGCAAAAGACATGGAACACCATCCAGGGGAAATCGTGCTGGTTGCGGATGACGATACAGGGGATCTTTCGTCCGGATCTGGGTCCAATTCTTTGGGGTCTTCTAATAACAACAGCGTTGACGACTTCTTCTCTAGCTGGGAAAAGCCAGCAACTGCTAACACTCCATCACCCAAGATTCTGACTCCTTCGAGTACGGGGAACACCAGAAATGCGTCCAAAACATCAATCCTATCCGGCAGCAGTAGCAGAAGGAGAACAACTACTGCACCTGCGGCAGCTAAAAAACACTCCATCTTGTCCTCTGGCAGAAAATCCACCAGAGTTTCAGCTCAGAAAGTAGGTAAATCGGACGCCGAGAATATGTTTGACGATTTTGAGAAAGCTGCCTTGCTAGAAGCGGAAGAGGCAACGCCGAAAGTGAATCGCTCCAAGGCTGCTGAGAGCACGACCGTTTATAAACAGCCGGCTCCAATGAAAATAGGATCCTCCTTGGACTCCGATGTTTCAGAATATAATGACGGTGTGGCGTTTGATCAGGTCAAGGCCAGCTTTACGTCCAACGATACTGAAACCGCTAAACCTAAATTAGCAAAATTAGGTTTTGGTATGATTACGAATGATGCTGATCAACTTGCCGCGAAGGCAAAGGAAACCAAAAGGGCTGCTTCTGGTCCAAAATATACTGGTGATGTAGCCGCCCAATACGGCGGTCAAAAAGCCATCTCGTCAGATCAATACTTTGGGAGAGGCAATTACGATGAGGACGCTTCTAAAGAGGCCAAGGATAAGTTGAAGACGAATTTCAACAATGCCACATCGATATCTTCGTCCAACTATTTCGGTGAAGAAGAACCGGAGCTCGACGACTTCGGACGTCCTAGGCAGGATACTCATAACAGTGGGTTCGTCGATTTTAATAATGACGCAGATGACGAATTCCAGGTCATCAAAGATGTCGTCGAGCAAGGAGCACAGAAATTGGGCAATTACTTGAGGGATTATTTGAGAAATTGATCCATTTCATGCTTGCTATTTTACATAGTTTGTAAGGTTTAAAATGTTAGCATAGAGCTTTAACCGAAATATATACGTGTTTGTACATTTACTCATTCCACTTGATCATTAAACCTGACATCAGCTATATATAATATTAACTCTTATTAAAAACGATATGGACATTGCATGTCCCAATTTACTAGCCCAACCTATGCGCGCTCCACGCCCATGGGCGAGAGTGGGGGGTTTTTCTCTACTCTAATCTTCTCCTCTTCATGTCATCTTGTAGATCACTGTTTGGCGTTGCCATTGAACTACCGCTTGACTTGTTCTTCCTTTTCCGGGTCTTGATGGTGTTACCACTACCGTCGAGGTCAAAAGCCAGGTCTTCTGGTTGGAATCCGTGGGCCTGGAATTCGGCAGCATAGCTCCTTTCGAACTGGGAGAGCACCGTCTGACAAACGTTCCAGTCCATGTTTTGAGAGTCGAACAAAGCTGAGTCCCGTTCCATCATGAGTTGGCGCCACTGCTCAGGGCTCATCTCTGGAGTTATGTTCACTTGTGGCATCATGTCTGGGTTGTTTTGAAATAAAACGGGCGCAATATCGCCGCCTTTGCCGTTGTCTCGCGTGGGAATGACGGAGAACTTGCCCGAAAGGTCGTTGATTTGGTTCTTATAGGATTTCCGCAGTTTAACAGCTTTTGTGCCGTCTGCATTTGTGCGTGCCACTTGCTGTGATAGGTCCTGCAGTCCATACACTGATATCAGGTCATCCAGTGGATTTGGCTGTTGTGGCTGGTACAGAGTTGCCGGGTCCACGTAGTAGTAGTACGCCGGCGAAATATGGTCATCTATGGTGGTCATTTTGGTTGTGAAATTGGAAAACGGACAGGTCAGAGGTGTGTATACGCAAGTCAGGAGCTCTTAAGTATTGCAAACTTGCGAATGAGGCCGTTGTTTCGCTGTGCAGATGCAAATCAAACTGGACCAACAATATTAGCGCGTGAGCGACGTACGTAATGTTGGTTGACTAAGAATTAAGCCACCGGTTTCGTAATGGCTCTTTGGGTCTTGCTTGCAGGGCAAATAGAAAGGAAAGAACTAAAGTATACTGCAGAATTTACCCAACAGGCTTTGACTTGATCAGGCTTAGCTCGGCGTACTTCAACGACTTTCAATATCGGTGTGATTTGATGATTGTTGGGCTGGTTTGGACCCACAATTGGGTTCGGTCGTTTAACGTCATCGCGCCGCCGTGCATAGCGCTCTCTTTTTAGCTTGTGACTGCTGTCTTAGTTTGGCCAGCCCATACCCAAAATCCAAGAGATACGAGGGAAAAGGTGCGAAACGTAGCTCCAGAGCCGCATAATCGAAACCATTCAACTGCCAATGCATAGCGCACTAGTCGAGGACCCTGTGCACATCTCTTTTCGTGCTCAAACGTAGCTCTCTGCGTCTTGTATCTACATATCTGTGAAAATCCATGAAAGTCTGTGAAATCAATTTGCAGCTTTGTGTGTGGTGTGTGGGCGCTTGCCAACTTTTTCTCATCGTTTTGAAAAAACTCACTGAAAATATCGAAAAACTCTCAAATTCAATATATTTGTTTGCGTCGCGTCGGTTTTCGAAAAACAAAGAATGGAATCCGTCTCGGAGACTCAGGCGAGAACTCGCTCTAGGCTCACCGACGAACCTCTGTTGCTGCCCAGCCTGAGCCGGCTTCCGTCTAGCGACTGGCGTCCCGACTGAGTCTCCGCCTGGACCTCCCAGCCGAGCGTAGGCAGAGCTCCTGTCTAGCCTGCCTGCCCTGCCTGGAATGCTCCAGTGGCCAGCGGTGGGATCCTCGTAATACACCTTCTGTGGAAAAACATTTGACCAATGCAAGAGGAATTGTACACATTTGGAGCTTAGTATCAAAATCACGGAAAGTAACAACAAAGGTATGTGGGAAATGCGTAGTGAAGCGCTTTAGAAGTGGAACCTAGAAGGCAAGATGAGATGAGAAGAATGGAAACGACACCTTTCACGGGAGATTAATAAAGACTGTTTGGAAAAATGCACATTTTGTTTGGTTGAATCGGTTTTGAGCTAGCATAGTGCAACCGTGGGTGTACCAAGGGACTGCCAAGAGCCAGGATCACGAGCGGTGTGAAACTGAAGGGCTCCTCGTTTTTGAGTTTTTGGTCTTGGCCCAGGAGAGTAACTAAGTGCGTCAAACCTGAGTATTGATCCGGTGGCTTTGGGCGTACGTATGCCCAGGTCTGCTATCCGCAAGAGAGGCTTCGAGCCCAGTGTTTGGAATTTTTACGACTTGAATCTTGCCTCGAATCGTGCAACATCTTACTAACTTTGTCCCAGATGGCTTCTTCTCTACCACACCCAAAGATTGTGAAGAAACACACCAAGAAGTTCAAGCGTCATCACTCTGACCGTTACCACAGAGTCTCTGAGAACTGGAGAAAGCAAAAGGGTATTGACTCCGTCGTCAGAAGAAGATTCAGAGGCAACATCTCCGAGCCAACCATCGGTTATGGTTCCAACAAGAAGACCAAGTTCATGGCCCCATCTGGTCACAAGACTTTCTTGGTCGCTAACGTCAAGGACTTGGAAATGTTGATGATGCACACCAGAACTTACGCTGCCGAAATCGCTCACAACGTCTCTTCCAAGAACAGAGTCAGCCTTTTGGCCAGAGCTAAGGCTTTGGGCGTCAAGGTCACCAACCCTAACGGTCGTTTGGGTTTGTCTGCCTAAGCGCTTACAAGTTTTGAAAAAATATCAGGTCATCTAAGGACTGGATTTTTTATTACATTGTATACTTTAAACAACTTATCGACATAATTTTAACGTCTCATCGATGCGTTTCAAACCGTTTTTTTTATTTAACTAGGCATGAACATACGGATATCTCCATACTGCACAGAAAACTCGACCGCTTTTCGCTTTAGTCTAAGATGTCTTACTTATTAAGTCTCTGCATACAAATCTGCCAAAATCCATCAAGGACTAGCTAAAGAAGAAACCTGTCGCTAAAAATCGCCCATTTAGTTCCAAATTCCTTGGACCTTTAATAGTACATCCACCCGAGAACCAGTGCGATAAGCGCCACGAATAATATAATGGCTAGATTTAGGGGTGTTTCTTGCTTCGATGACCCTTGTAGTGAAGCATTAGCTGTTCCAGTTTTGGATTCCAGTTCAGATTGAGCCTTGGTCTCCTTTGATGTTTCTTCCGAACCAGTTGTCAAGTCCTTCTTGGTTTCTGACAATGGCTCCGACGCAGGGGCATTTGGTTTGACCGTCACATCCTTGATGTCCTTGTTATCTGGTTCGGATTGGATCACGGTGCCTCCACTGGTCTTATTTTCACTAGATGTACTTGGTTCATCTACAGATGATTCTTCGCCCAATAAGTACTTGACTTTGATCTTCTTAGAAACAGCGTGCTGTTTAAACTCGGCTTCCAATTGTGGCCACGCCTCCGTGACGCTGGAGGTACCTAGGTCATATGGAGCTGGCAAGGTTATCACAAGGAACTTGTCGCGACACTTGAAGTCTGCAGCAGGTTCCTCAGCTAAGCCCAATAAAATGACTTGCACTTGCACTTGCTCGCCTGGAGCCACCAAAGCGGCATTAGGTCTAACACAATAAAATTTGGGAGCTGTGGTTTTCACTTTGAAAACTACCGCCTGATCTGAGTTGTTGGTAACAGTAACATACTCAGTAGCTTGAGCGGTCAATGGAGCTGTGTAAATGCACTTGTTAGTATAAGGGGCATTGGATCAATCGCAATTAAGCACAATCTGCAGGTAAACTCGATACGTGGGAAAGAGACACGTACTGAAGATGATCTTAAGATATCTCAAAAACACAACCAATAGATGCGCACCTCTTTCGTCCTTCCCAGCTCTCTCCAAAATATTTCTAGGATATTTTGTACTATTTCGTCTGAAAATACCAGCAATTAACCGCGCGAAATGCCTCTATAAGATTCACCTTCATCACATACGTTTGTACTCCAATACAGTGGGCTTGATATCAATCATGGTCTCTTGAATATAGCTCTTTTCTCGTCAAATTCCTGTTATTGAGTTGTTCTTTGCGGAAGGGCAACAACATCAACAGGAATATGTGTAAACTTTTTTTGTCCGAGTACTTTTAACAAAAGTTCACGAGTACTAGCCCGATGGTGATTCGCCCTAACTCTTTCTCGGGGTATCTGTATGAAAGACTGTTATATGTATGATTATTGAGCTATATGTGCTTATTGTCAGTCGTTTCGTTTAGTAGTCGTCACCTCTGGAGACAACTTCTTTTTTGTGTGGATGCAACAAAATGGTGTGTTCGTATTGGGCAGTGTAAGAGCCCTGGATGTCGGACAAGGGTGGATATTCTTCAATCACGCCCTGCTTCACTAAACTGTTAAGTGCAAATAAGTATTTGTCTTCACCCAAGCGGTCTAGATAACGGCGACAGAAAGGCAAAGTGCCAAAATTATCGTCAATTGTCTTGAGTAGCGATTTGGCGCGTGAAAGCGATGGAGTAGGAAAAGAGCCCTCGTTCTTCGCATAGTGAGAAACCTCACCACCCGAGATTACGTAGCCCCGTCCCGTGGTTCCAAAGGTTTCAATAGCAAAATGCTCGCCTTCCTCCATCTTCGTTTGATCGCCATTCTTGACAAGCGGGACCGACTTCCCGCCATGGATCTTGTAGGGTGAAATGTTGTGGCCACACAGATTCCGGCAAGGTTTGACCTGAAATGTTTCGCCGTTGAGCTCTACTTCGTATGACTCCATCACTTCCTGAATGGCTTCACCTATATCTGTGAGTCTCACGTCTATGCCTGCCTCACGCACACCTGTGTTGGTGGCTTCCTCCACAGCCTTCAACAAGTTGTCATACTTGTGGTCAAATGTAACGGTGAAGGCCGAGTCCACGATGTACCCGTTAACTTGAACTCCGATATCTACTTTCATCACGTCTTCGTACCTGAGAATAGTCTGGTCGCCCGCGTTTGGCGTAAAATGCGCAGCACAATGATTAAGCGAGACACCAGTAGGAAAACCAACACCCTGGGATTTCGGACGATCCTTGTGGTCACCGTTTTCGTCTACACCGGTAAATTTCCGGGTTGCGTCCTCCACGACGTTAACGACATCTGTGAGACTCATGTCCGGTTTCAACTTATTCTGCAGATTCTTACGCACACGGCGGTGAATCTCTGAGCCTTTGCGCATGTCGTTCCATCTCTGTGCGTTCTCGCTATCCCGCTGTAGGTAACGTTTTTCTTCATCCGTCGTTCTCTGCAAGTTGTGCTCCTGGTGATAGTCCATCCATTCACCCTCGGGGTACTGTAGGTCTGGGTAAAGAAGCTCGATGTTCTTGATGTTGTTAGCCTTCTTCTTCTTCTTTTTCTGCTTCTTCTTCTTGTCGCCAGTTGCCGGTTGTACATTCTCGTCCTGGGTTCCCTCATTGTTAGCCGCCGAGTTGTTCGACGTTTGGACGGATTCTTCCAAAACCGCCTTTTCCTCGGTACGGACGCTATCACTCATGTTCAATAGTATCCAACGGGGTTTTGAGTTCACTACTCACTGCACTTTCTGTAGTCCGAAGATAATAATTATCGATTATTTTTTGAATATACCAAACTGAAAAATTTCTATGTCAATCTTGACAAATCGACTAGACTTGACTGAGTAGAGGCTGGAAAGCTAGAAGTTGTTGACTGAATCATTACAGAATGCTATTGACCAGACTGGGCTTGATTACGGGTCAAAAAAGGCTGATGTCAACGAGCATGAAGCTACTAAATAGCTCAAGCTCGCCTATTTTCGATCCAACACAATTGAACCCTTTGAGCAACACTAAGAAGAGCTCTGGGTCGTCTTCCAAGCTTCAAATTAACATTTCAGCACCAGAACAGCGGTTTGCCGCTGCGTCCTTTATCGCATCACCTAAAGAGGATGCTTTAACATCAAGACTGACTGGTGTTCGTGCGGGGAGAACTGTGGATGTATACAACGGAGACACTGCTGGGGCCTTCAGACAACTGAACTCAGTGGTTTTCGCAAACAGGATAGCACACGACAAACGGAATCAAAGATACCACGTCAAGCGAGGTAAGGCCAAGGAAATGCGTTCGTCTCAAAGACACCGTCGTGAATTTATGAAAGGCTTCAAGAGGCTCATTGAGGTGGTCAAGGACGCCAAACGTAAGGGTTATTAGAAAACCTGGTGTCACATGAATAGTCAGAAACGTACTTGTACATATAAACATAATAAAAGCGAGCATATTTGGGTTTAGCTTACTAGATTGAGGAAATGGCAGCCTCTTCAAAACTGTTCTATTTTGCGTCTTGAGGACCTCGGTAGCTTCCCAGTGGAACAGCCAAGTGCAACCAATGATAAATGTTTTACACAAATCCTATTCGCTCTAAAATCATACTTTGACGTCTGAAACATAAAATCTAACAACAGTTTACAAAACACTCATTGAGTTGAAAGACCCTTTATCGAGATACAAGTATAAGAACATAGACCACAATGCAATAGGTCATAACCTAAGAAATCAACTAGTAAGTGTATCTGGCTCGGGATACCATCAAAACTGCCAATTTCCGTTCACTGCTAGCTAGTTATTTCTTGCCTTTTACGGGTTTGTCTCCCATTCATTCCAGGAAAATCTCAGTTGGCTCCAAATAATTCATGTATTCATAAGCTCAAATGAGAACCGAGAGACTGTCCACAAGACTTGACAACAACTTCTTTGGTGCTAATCACATTGGAAATATCTGTCATTCAATCTTCAATCATCTGCGACGTTTTAAACTTTCGATTAATATTTACCGAATCAACTATTTACCCAATTACGTTTTGATAAGCGATAAATGCCCAATTAGCCTCTAAGCAGTTCCAAATCTAGTAGTTCCGTTTCTCGCACTTAGATAGAATGGTATCATCAAGTGCATCTGGCGTGTTGACTTTGCTTCACACGGCCTGTGGAGCTGGCATCCTGGCCATGCCATATGCTTTCAAGCCATTTGGGTTAATATGGGGGTTCCTCATGATAATATTCTGTGGATTGTGCTCTTTAAGTGGGCTCCTTATTCAAGGGCGAGTATCCAAATACGCGGAGACAAGAACTGCATCATTTTTCGCCTTGTCACAAATAACCTACCCACAGCTAAGTGTTGTTTTTGACCTGGCCATTGCTGTTAAATGTTTTGGCGTGGGAGTATCATATTTGGTGGTAGTGGGCGACCTAATGCCACGCATATTTGATGCCTTTACCTCACATAGTCTCCTTTTGAATCGTAACTTTCATATTTCAATGGTCATGCTGTTTATTGTATCTCCGCTGTGTTTTATGAAACGACTAGATTCTTTACGTTACGCGTCGATGATAGCCATCTCGTCCGTTGCATATCTGTGCGTCTTGGTGGTAATTCATTTCGGATGGCCATCGGAGGAGATTCACGCTATTCGAGGTGAAGTCAGCGTAGGAAAACCGGCGGGTCCAATTTCAGCTGTTTTCAGTTGTTTTCCTATTTTTGTGTTTGCCTATACTTGCCATCACAACATGTTTTCGATCATCAACGAGCTTCGCGAAAACACCACGTCCACTATCTACAAAGTTTCTGCGGTTTCTGTGTTTTGCGCAATGAGTTTATATTTGGCTATTGGAGGTTGCGGATACGCAACTTTTGGAAGCAATGTGGCAGGTAATATCATCACCTTGTACCCACAGTCCGCGGCCACTATTGTTGGGCGTATTGCAATAGCGCTTCTAGTAATGCTGGCGTTTCCTTTACAATGCCATCCGGCTAGAGCGTCTATCGATCACATACTTCATTTCATCAAGGACAAAACTCAAGACGCCTCCGCCGGCTCTGAAGAGTCGCAACTTATTGTGCCCACTCCAGAAGATGTTCTTGTGGAAGAGGACAGCCCACAACAGCGCGCAGTCGTGCCTCTTGAAGGAAAAAGGTTCGTGGCGATTACAACAGGAATTCTGGTTTTCTCATATCTACTGGCAATATCTGTGACTTCCCTGGCCCGAGTATTGGCCGTCGTTGGGGCCACAGGCTCGACATCCATATCTTTTATTCTACCTGGGATTTTTGGCTACAAATTAATTGGTTCTGAATTTAAGTCCGGTCAGATTCCAAAGTCTACAAAGTGGTTCAGAAGACTTTCTCTACTCTTGGCCTGCTGGGGTGTTGTCGTACTAGTAACATGTCTCTCAGCGACAATTATTTTAGGAGCCAATCATTAGTGATCGCGGGAAAGTAGCGCCGCGAAAGCTCATTCTCAAAAACTGGCCGGAAAAGAAAGATAGAAGAGTTTTGGAGAGTTCAGAATGTTATCGAGCATTTTCAAAACACACGCCGCGCCCGGAAATGCGTGGCGCGAATGTCACCTGTCTAACGGTAAGATTGACATGTCAATTGGACCTAACAGACCACATCTTCTCCAAACTATGTACCTAAGCTCTGCCTCAAGTAAGCAGGCAGAGACTAATAACTACAGTCATATACATGCCTGATAAATATTCAACAAGTTTAACAATTTGAGTCCTGGAGGTTTCAGAGATTTCTTTCTATTTCTCGAGAATTTCGCTGACACGAAATTTTGATCTAAACATCGTGATTTACATATATATAACGTCTATTCGAAAATTGGACAGACCCATGTTTCAAAAGACGCCAAGAAACTTCAACAGCTACCTACTAAGCCAACCAAGAGTTCCTAAGTACATTTTCTACGTGATAGTCAAATTCTAGGAAGAAGATATCGGCCATCTTTTCTTAGAAACGCTGTAATTACAATAAACCGTTGAATCAACCAAAAGAGAGACTTCCTGCTGAAAATGGCTATACCCAACCGCACGGAGGCCAAGCAGATGCGGAGCAATCCGCACAGGATACATGAGTTTAAAATAGCCAACTTGCTCACAGATCCGTTCGCTATTTCACTGCTATCACTGGCACTTATATCGTGGATTATTGCATTTGTTGGATCCGTAACAGCGGCCTCCAACAGTTCAAAGTATCCTCCATTCGCTTGGTGGGGGATTGCGTACCAGTTCTTGTTATTGGTGATTATATTTTTTCTTTACTGCTACGAACTGATCGACTATTATCGATCGTTTCTTGCAGGCGCCTTGGCTGTGGCTTTTATCTACACCACAAACAGCACTGGTGATTTGATATATCTAGATGGGTCTAGAATGGGTGCAGCATCGGCTGGCTTGATTTTACTTTCCATGATCAACGCCATTTGGCTATTCTATTTCGGTGCAGACAATGCCTCACCTTCCAATAGATGGATTGATTCCTACTCTTTGAAGGGAATTCGCCACTCTGTGTTTGAGTCTTCAATCGCTTTGAGTAGTAGGCCTACGATGGCTGGGCGCAACGTGTCAAAGTATTCTGCCACTCCTCATGACGCGCCCTACAGTGAGCAGCTTCCTCACTCCACAAGTTTTTACCCAGATACTCATTCCCAACACTACGTTTCCTCTACCGCATTGAATGGGTTTGAGAACGCAGAACCACCAGCTGCTCCAGCGTTACAAAATAATTTGCCAAACACGCAAAACAGCAACACATTCTTCACTGACACAACGAATGGTAACACAGAAACAACGATGGGTGACACTTTGGGGCTCTACAGTGATGCCGGCGACGAGCTGGGTAGCTTCCCTTATGTTGCAAAGGCTCTGTACACTTACTCCGCTGACTCCAACGATGCTTACGAAGTATCATTTGAACAAGGAGAGACACTAAGGGTTGGGGACATTGAAGGTAGGTGGTGGAAGGCTAAAAGGGCTAACGGTCAGACAGGTATTATTCCAAGTAACTACGTGGAGCTAATAAGCGAAAGTTCGTTCTAACGCATCGGTTTATATTAGGTATACTTAAGTTGACACTAGGTTTTCGTTTTTGTAGGAATTCTGCCAACAACAGGCTTTTGTGCAGGCTAGTAGAATGGCGACCATCCCATGTAAATGGTAGCTAAATTGCCCACGTCTGTCGCCTGATGGATCAGCTCCTGTATCGTGGCCTCCACGCTCAGACCACTTCCTTCAAGCTTGTTTTGGACATCCTTGAGTGCTCTCATCGATTCATTGTTATCCTCCAAAGCGGTAGCTTTGCCAGCACCAAGCTCAAATTCTTCGCTATCGTCTGAGATGTTGGCTTGTAACTTCCGTTTCCTCAAGGGCGAAACGACCCATGAATACAATGGATCCCATTTCAACACGTTGAGTACATTCATTACTCTCTCCCGTTCGCTATGCAACACTGAGTAGACACGCTCACAGTTGCTACGGAACACGCCTTCTACTCCTGTTACACCGAAACCGTCCACAATATCTCGCGTCAGTCGGAATGGAACAAGTTCTGGAATAGGTAAAAGTCGACCTTGATCAAAAGCTACCCCTAGGTCGATGTGAACTGGCTCTCCGTTTGACTTATCAATCAGAATATTATTTAGGTGCCGATCACCAAGTCCTAGGATATATCCAACAATGGAATTGGTGACAACACCCTTGGTAAATGCGTATTTAGCATCAAGCCATCCTTGTGGATCGTGGAACGAATCAAAGAAGAATCCTCGCAATCGAGGTTTCACTGAATTGCAGATCTTTATGAACACATCAACTCTCTCGTCGAATGATTTACTTTGAGCTTGCTTCATCATCTTCCTTGCTCTGTCGAACGTCAAGTCGTCCTTTTTATGCAGCTTGTTGAGGACTTCATGAAGAGATATTGAGTTTGGCACAAATTCGATAAGTCCAGCTTGAGGCCCAAGAGGCACAACTTCATACGTTCTGATTCGTAGGCTCTTTTTTCTTGTTTGCTTATCTTTTAGCAAGATCTGGTTGACCTGTTTGAATACCTGTTCCATTATCGAATCTTGCCGCAAATCGTCATTACTTCCCTTCATAAGAACTTTATGTTTCGATCCGTCCGAGAGACAGAAAGATGCAATTTTGGGTAACGAAAGCCCCGATGAGGATATGTCAACCGTTGGGTCTAAATGAGTTATAGTCGCTCGTGGCTTGCGTCCATCTGCTGAGCAGGCTATGGGAACAGGGCTGGTTGGTAAAGATAAACCTTTCCGTTTTATCAAATCTAACCAATAGCTTCCGGATTTTAGGTTCGCAAGGTTTATACTTCGGCAGCTCTTAGGGAGCTTCATGCTCGAAAGTTCAACCGACATCTCACAAAATTCCTGAATGGGTTCCAAGTAAGATGTAAAGAACTGACCATTATCATACTTTCCTAGCTCATTGAAAAGCTTTTCAACAGCCTTAACTCGCATTGCAATGGAAGGGTCGTGCGCTGATTGATATCGTTTGTACAATCTCAAACTCACGAGAGGGTATAAGGTTTCATTGGGAAGCTTGAACATCACCCTCTTTAAAGTCAACTGCAAATTCCGTTGAAACGGTGAAGTATCGATGCTCAAGCGAGAAGTCAATTGATAAATCCAAGGAAGAAACTTGAAACTTGGTATGGAACTAATTTCATGATACAGCTTTGAATTGAGCTCACCATCCTCAGCATATTGAAACCACAAGCCACAGAATTTGTCGAGGACGTCCTCATCCAATTGACTGCCATATACCAAAGCACTTAGGTAAAAATGAACAGACTTCCAAGTGAACAGTTGTTGCTGCTTCGCAAGATTTACCAGCATATTTTGATCTTGTTCAACCTGTAGCCTCAGCCTATTGTAGTGTTTCTTGGCATCTTTTCTGTCTTGATCGGGCGCTCCCGAATCCTTAACAATCTCCAATACGCTCAATAGCTCGGCGTTTCCTTGTTCTGACCTTTTGCGTCTTTCGTTAACGGTCTCGTCACCTTCGAGACGTCTCACTTGTTGAAAGCAAAACTCGCCAAATTTGAGATAGATCTCAGCTCTGTCACTGTAGTCTCCGACCTCAGAAATTTCGCTAGTCGTGTCCGCAATGTAACGAGTATATATAGAATGAGCAGAGTGCTTTCGCTGAAGTGACGTCCACTCGACTAACAGTGCTTTCAAACGAACTTGAGAAACATGCGAAGACTCTTCTAGCAAATTCAGTGTCCCAGAATGGTTTGCATCGTTATTCTGTACTAAATTTTCAAGTATTGATATTGAAATCTGATGCTCTTTCTGTAACCAAAGTGCTTGCGCTCCTTGGAAAAGGGCCAAACGTTTCCAGCTTCCATTCTTTGTAGTAATGTCGAGATCTCTTGCTTTGTTCTCGAGGAGCACCGCAGCTGTTAGAAATTCTTGTAAAGCTTTATTTTCTCTTGAGGCATTCGCATAGTTGACCAGCTCAAGAAACTCGCAGCATTTCAATTCAACCCTAGAGCCAAGAATTGTCAGGTCATTATTTGATAGACTAAGAAGCGAGTGGCGGGCTTTCATCTCTAATTCGTGATCAAAGAAAGATCTTCTTTCCATACTTATTGCATCATAAGTGGCGATCTGATCCAAGAGCGACTTGAGGTAAACAGGATCGTTATGATGCAGATTGAACAATTCTGAGCATAAGACAGTGCTCAGAGTACCAGCCCATTCATTTTTTTTATTGAACCAAACAGCGTCTGCGACAACTTTTTTTAGATGGGATTTTGATATCTTAAGTGCATCGGAAGGGTTGGCGTAAATCTTTTTTGATAGGGAATAAAGGGCATCTGATGCTGAGCTACAACGATCTGGTAGGGGGAGATCCCACTTACTCAACCGCAGGCTCCACTGATAAGCCTCCTGGTGCCCCCGACTTGAAAGCTTTGAGTTCACATTGCTGACTATCTCCGCTAATCCACTAAAACCATTAATATTACTGGTTTCAACAAGCTCATCCATATTCGGGCCTTTTCGAAGTATGCTGTTTACGTCGAACTTGCAATTATTGAACATAAAGTTTTTGAAGCTGCGCGCATTATATTTCCCGACCGATGAGAAGGCGTAGTCAAGCGAGGGTTCAATGGGGAGTGCTTGCATCAAATCAGCATCCCCAATAGCTTCAAAAACTGATTGCAGCGGTTGCAGGCTAGGACAATTATCATTAGAAGAATATTCCTCGAAAAGCATGTAAGCCAAAGTTGCCATACCTACTTTAGAGGCTAACCTATAATAGTGTTCAAGATCAAGCGCTTCATAAACTTTTGCTAGACTCCCCTTGCAATTTTTAGAGGCCGACCTTACCACAGAAAACAAGCGTAAAAGCAGCGTAGCTTTGGAATTAAAATCTTTGATATTGTGATCGCCAGAAAGGTCTTTAAAAGACATCAAAAACTGAAGTAGTTGGGTTACGCCTGTCTTATGATCGAGATCCTCTAAGATGAAAAACATGTCAAACAACATAGACTCAATGAGTTGAGGCCTTTGTTCTTTTAACATTTTGAATGCGGAGAAGCAAGGCAAATAGCTATCCAGCTTGCAACTCAATTTAATCATTATGCATGAAATCCACTGATTGTACGGAATATCGTGCAAGCAAGTCATGTAACTTCGCAATCCCCTATCGTCTGAGGCGCCCAGCTGGACGGTTGGTAGCAGATGAAACTCTCGGCTACTTATCTGGGTAGCCTTTGCATCTCCTACCCAATTCATATCCGTGTTCCATCGAGGATCGACTTTCTCTTTTGCAAGCACGGTCGAGGCAAAGGAAAAGACAGAGTTTATCGCGAAATAGGGCCGGGCGTCAAGGGTCTTGTCACGGTACAGCTTTAGATTTTCCATCAATGTTCGTAGCGGAGTATAGGAGTTATCGTAGAGTTGCCCAACGTTGTTATCTCGCTTGAGTGCGCCAGGGATACGAGCGTACTTAAGATAATATCCTCCAATATAGTAGCCTCTCCAGAGATCAAAATGAGGAGAAGTCTTGTAATTTAGCCTCGATAAATCAAACAGATTGTTTGCGACTTGATGAGAATAATGAAACTGGAGATCAAAAGGAGTCGGCTCGGGGTGGTATTCGAAAAGTTGGGAGAGAAGTAAAAACCTGATCTCGGAAGCTTCAACGATCTTCAACAATTCATCATTCAAATAAACGCTATTACCCAGCACCTCCCCTTTTAAAACTCTTAAACAAGACTTCCACGTTTCAGAATAATCCGGAATGTTTGTCGAACAAACATGAGATAAGGACTGCTCCAAAGATTCTATCAGGGGCGTAGCAAATTTAGTATGTTCTGCAAGTAAACACGCAAAAGTCGCGGAATACATTTCAGCAACCTCAGCGACCTGCTCCAACCCGAGGCCAATGATGCAACTAACTAAATCTAAAGCTTCGGTTTGCAACTCTCTGAATTTAAAATTAGCAGCCAGAACGCCTACCAGTCTCGGCAAATAACTACATGCCCTTAATGAAGATTCGAACAATATCAGTAAGCATTTCATTTCTCTAAGTATGCTAATCTTCATACCTGGCGAAATGGTTTCGCTAAGGTCCGCGGATAGCCTCGCAAGCAAATAGCTTACATCACGTTCATCCATGCTATGAGCATCGATGTGGGCTTTGAGTAGATTAAGAGAAGTTGAAGCAGGTATTTGCAGGTTTGTTTGACTCCTTGAAAACGATGGCAGGTGAGCAAGCAAACGCTGCGGTAACCCAGACTTGGGAAAAAGAGATTTAAGAGTTTTTTGTAGTTCATCGGACAATTCCCATTTAGTGAAATATAAAAACCAATAACATATCTCACGCGCAAGCTCTCCTACTATTTGATTATAGCGCCTACCGAGCGTATCTCGGTGCTGCTTAATGAGGTTATCGGAAAATTTTGTTGAAATGTGACATAGGGGGATGGATAGATGCAAACAATTCTCGAGCAAATGCTTTTCCACTTCCCCGCTTTGCTCGCACAATCCTTTGATCACAAAATGCAGTTTGATTTTCTTCGAGAAGTAGAAGGCTGATAACTCAATACAATAACATTTGAGGAATTCTTGTAAAGATGTAAACCCGAAGACACAAATTTGCCAAGAATCAAAGTCTGCTGACGAAGTGCTTAAGCTTCTTTCGTACCAATATTCAATCACTTCAAAGCGATATAAATGGAAAAGCTCTTGCCGACCTTCCATACCACTTGAATGCGCAACGTCGTCAAAACAGCGCTTCGCGTAATGTAGAGCGAACTGATCTTTGTGCTGATTTAACATATCAAGGGTAGAGCGAATGGCTTGGTAACTCGAAACTGCTCCCATGTTTGCTAATATCATAGCATGGAACGCTGGAATTTCCAAAGTATCTGCTCGGGATGCGAAAATATCTGAAATCTCGGCATAGGCGATCATTTGATTTTTTGTGCTTATTCTCGAGACGTAGTGTTGAAAACCTTCCACAGCGCCATTGATCATGAAAAATGGTAGCCTCCGAATGCAATTTATGAAAGCTCCAAATACTTTCTGCTTCCCTCCCACAATTTTCCCCGTTGAAAAGTCTTGAAATCGAAGCAAGTTAAGCAAGAGCTTGGATAGACTGAGGACGGCCCATGCGGCGCAGAATGAATTTTCATTGAGCTTCGCCAGAAGCCAGTCCAGTATATCTCCAGAATCAGCTTGCAATCTTTGACTCGCACCTGAGAGCCACGCCCAACGAGTAGAGTCCAAGTACATTGCCAGAAGAGACATTGATACATTAGATGTGTTATACTTAGTACTCAAAAGCGCCGCTCCCAAAATTTGCGTCAATCGTTCTAACTGTTCCAAACTTTTATCCGACCGACTCACGCTATTCAAGAATGTTGTGATGTATGGTACAGATTGAACAACATATCTATCCGGAAGTCCATCCAAGAACTCCACAATGTTTAGTAGTTTCTCATTGTCATCATTCCCCAAAAGCGAAGAGCCTGTGAGGCTAAGCAGCCTCAGAACATGTTCGATCACATACTTTCCGAAAGCCTGAAAGCCTTTCGGATGCGGTGTCGGAGTCGTGCTTTGAGATCTGAATTCCCGTGAATTTTCAAAGCCATCCAACTGATCTGTTGATGAGCTTGGCAATTCTTCTGCAAGAATCAAAGACTTCAGCTCTCTAAGTATGTTTGAAACATTGAGATTAGACAGAAAGACGTGTGAGCGGGTGCTAACTGATTTCAGATGCAAGACCTCATTTAAGGGCTCAGCTGATAAAAACAATTGGGGGTCGCAAAGGTTGCTCGCCACAAGTTGTATTTCGTAGTCTAAGATTTTGATATGATCAGCGAATTGCTGATCACCTATCAGATCAAAATTTAGTTTGACGCCTTCGCAGCACCACCGTATGCTCCAGATTTCATCGCTATCCGGATTGCTAGCAAGCGTGCTAAATTTTGTCAACACCTGAGATAGCTCCATTGATTCTACTAAAACCTGTGGTACGTCCATAGCTTTTTTGATATCTTTACCGTTGCTATTTGAATTTCCAAGAAGAAAGCATCGTTCCACTGAAAACTGTTGCCAATATGTATAATAGGTATCGCACTGTGGCAAGAAGTTTACACGCTCGCTTTCTTCTGTGTGTAAATCATTCTTTCCGGCCAGCCATGCTACAAATGTGTGGAAATGCGTTTGGTCAGGCCGTTTCAAGTCAAGTTGATTCCATTTTGAAAGCAACCAAGAAATTGTTCTCGTACAGGCAGAATCTTGAACTCGGGACTTGCGGGAGCATTCGAAAGTATACAAATACATCCAAAACTCGAATGTCTCGTCATTCAGTAAAGCAGGACCATTAACATCGGATAGCTGGTATAGGTAATTGACTTGTTGAGCAATGGAAAAATCTGCGAGTAGGTTGCGACTGTAAAATTTAATAAGACTTCTTGCGAGCGCACATGCGCTTCGGCATAAATCTGGAAATTTGATAAGGGGAAGACAAAGATGAAATATTTTTTGAACTAGATTCGCCGGCAACTGCGAATTTACATCCGATACCAACGGCACCAAAGCAAAGCAAGCCCATCCTTGCAATTGTGTATCTTCAAATTTTTGGAAACTCAAAGCACCAAGTTGATCAAGTTGAGACTGCTCCATGTTAAAATTGGAAGCAAAAAACCCACAAGCTTGCAGGCCAAATAATTGGAATTTTTTAATCGAACTCTCGATGCACCGAGTAATGAAAACTACTGGGTCCATTGCGTCTTTGAGGAATGAGTCAAGAGATTCGTTTTTCTTTGTTTTTTTGAAGAGAAGCCCTTCGTCAGTATTTCTGGAGCCGTTAATACAAAAATATGCTCGGATCATTTGTGCTATGCCAAACATCTTTAAACATGGAGTTGTCTCAAAATCGCAATGTAATTGAAAGTCCTTGTATTCAAGCCACTCCATTTTATTTGAGACCTGTTTGAATTGAAATTCTGCTTGATTCAAATTCGCAGGATCGTAATCAGTCAAAATAGCTATAACGTAATCCTCGAAAACGCGAAATAGCCGCTGTTGGTCGAAACCCGTGCCCTGCTGACCCGTTTGCATAACTTTGAGAACGTCTGAGTTGATCAGAGAGCATAAAAAAAGGTTGAAAATGGCAAACTCTCGTTCCACCCCACTTGTGTTGAAAATCCGAATGCGAAGCGAGAACCGCATAGTTAGCTCAAGTATTTCGAGGCAGTTGAAGTAGTTGATCAAATGGGTTTTTAAAATGTAAACATTTATCAATTGCAGCAATATCTTTGTATTGGAGTTCTCATTTTGCGACTTATGTAGAAACTTCGCCAATGGTTCCACAAAGCTTGACTCAACCTCCGGTAGACTGGCAGAATCTAAAAGTAGTAGAGAATTCAAAATTCGAAGCAGAAAATAAATATTTTTATTGCTCAAGGACTGGTCCAAGTGCAGAGATAGGTAGCTTGTTAATTTCTGGACCAATGTTGTCCATTGATGGGGCTCAAATTTAAGCTCAAAACACTCACTACTGATAAGGGAGTCCAGAGCCCATAATAAATGAACGGAAGTACTTGCCGACAGTTCTTCAGTTCCTGGATTAGCTATCAAACTCGGCAGCAAGGTTATCAGGAACCTAAGATGCTTGGATTTGAACTTGCAGGCGGTAGCTTGAACGAGAACCCTTAGAACATATGCTGCCGAGGAGAGTCTGTTCTCAATAGCCGTAAGTTTGCTCTCCGAGAGTGCTGGAGCACCACCAGAGGTCAGTCTCTCATGCTTGGAACGTTCAATCTCAATGATATCTACTAGAATCTGCAGTATCGTGTACAGATATTTGACTGGTAGCTTTTCCGGATCTTGTTTGAGAAGAGTTGTAAGTTCATCTAGGCCCTGGCTCCGTTCTTTAAGCTTTCCCGAAGATAAGAGGTCTATGATGGTGGAAACATGCGACGATTCCATAGATTGTATAGATTCATGATACAACAGGAGGTTTGTTTAAACGGGTAAGGGTATTTGATATGAAATTTAAAAATTCTAAGATATGTCAAATGAATCACCTCACGATAAATGTCTATCGTCGAGAATCAAATCGATTGACACCTTTGACTTTAGTTCAGTTTTAAAATGCGATTACTTTATATTTGAATCAGAAACCTTATTACTTATACATTGTGCGGAAGTTTGTTTGTAAGAAAACAAGCGTTCGACATTTACACAACGACACCAGAGTTGGAGGCGATTCTTGGCCACAAATCGGCACATTCCTTACCGACAGGACCGGTAATGGCGGAACCCTTCATTTCACCCTTAGGGTTAGCAATGACACCGGCGTTGTCTTCGAAGTACAAAAAGACACCGTCCTTTCTTCTCCATGCCTTAGATTGACGCACAACGATAGCTGGCATAACCTTCTTTCTCAATTCAGGCTTACCTTTCTTGACAGTGGCCATAACCATATCACCCAAAGAGGCGGCTGGCAATCTGTTCAATCTAGAACCAGAGCCCTTGACAGCCATGATGTACAAGTTTCTGGCACCTGTGTTGTCAGCACAGTTGAGGATGGCACCAACTGGCAAACCTAGCTGTAAAAAGAGAAAATGTTAGTATAATGATTGCTAGCTTTTTGGGAGTGAGGACTTGAAAATTTGGCAAATCTGCCTATGCTGCGGAACGCCAAGTAGCACGCTAGCCAAAACATTCAACTTGAGCTGTTCTAGAGATGGGAAAGCCCACCATCTTCTTTCGTTGTATTTGGCCTGCTCTGTGGATAATTGCTCTTCCGACAACACTCGCTTCTCCTGTATTCAGCGTTCCCACGGTCTTTTTCTCGCTCCTGTTCCACACTTCTCTCCATTGTTCCCACATTATAGCACTTCTTTTATCCGTGTCTCTCGCTCTTCTTCTCCCTCGGATTGTGTGTTTTAACATACAGAAATTCTGAACTTTGTACCTTGAGCACCGTTACCAGACATTGTTGCTGTTTGTGATCTGTATTACGTCTTTCGAAAGCTCCTTAGATCAAGTCTCTTGTACAAGAGCTTACCACAGTTCTTCAATTAATCAAGTATACTGTCGATGGGTTAGTTCCAGCTTCCAGCAGGCTACTGGTTCCCTCACAGAGCCTGAAATTTTTCACCATACTTCGTACAGAGTGCACCATTTTCGGTTGCGTTTTGTTCGTATTCGAGAATTGTATTTTCCATTTAAAAATGATATTTTTTTGAGATTTGATAAAAAAAATGTGGACAGAGTTTGTGGGTTGAAAAAAACAGTCCAAAGAGAAGGAATTCCAATGAAAGTGGGCAGGATCACTAACCTAAGCAAGTTACTGCAATAGCTGAGATGACTGGCAGTGCATTCTGTCACTTGTTAAATGGATATGAGGGACGCAAGAAAGAGCCAAGTTGCGGGAAAGGCAAACACGACTCTCTTCCATAGGGTCATGCCGGGGAAAAAAAGTGGCATAGAAGAGACGCAATGCAATTTCAATAGTTTTGGCAACGAGCCTGTCCCATTATTCATTTTCGACCTATAGAAATCGAGTGACATGAAGCATCGTGTGTATGAGGCCCGCGTTCGCAGTGTTTTTTATGTTTGCCGTAGTTGACATTGCGTCAGTATAGTACATAGTGATATGAGACAAAGAGGGACGTGCACGTTGGCACAGCGCAGCACAGTGTCTATTGTAGCGCGACACCTGTATGTATTAAAGAATGAAACCCATATTGACGCTGATGACTAACAAGAGTTATCGCTTATCGATACCCTGATGTCGGTACCCTGCGGCGCTTGTGCACAGTCGACTTTCAGAAGAAATACTGCCTACCTTGTTGTTCCAACTGCTGTCACGTCTACCCAGTATTATTAAGTTAGTCCAAACTCGACATTTAGGAAGAAAAGCCGCCTTTTTATTGGTACCAGCTGCGTTCCAGACGCAGAATCTACGTTAAATTCTACTTAAAATGCCGATGGCCTCTATTGAAAATAAACAGCTATGTTGCTACTTCGATATGACACGCCATGGCTGGGTATAATGGTTGCGGAAGACTACCGGTCATCTTAGCGAGCCCACGTATGGCGATAGAAATTCAATAAGCCAATAGCTGCATTTAATTACATGGCATAACAGTGTAAAGTGAGCAAATCTGAATCTCGGTGTAACCTCCAAATTGCGACCGATCTGGTCATTTGTTTGTTTTGATTTACCCACGACGACCGTAATAAACTAGAAACTCTTGAGAAAGAACATCCTTTCCTCAACAGTGGTCGAATGCTCTAAACAAATGTTTCGTCTATTGTGCTATATTGACTGATTTCAAATCCATAAACCTTAAGGCATCAGCACAATATCAAAGACAGTGGTGGTCTTCAAGACAGTCCTACCGTCAGGACATCAGACTGGTTTGCTACTAAAACCTCAAGTTTGGGGGGCTAGTAGGTTTTATCCTTCAGTTTCTTGGCAATCTCGATTTCCACAGGGAGAAACTTAGCATAACTGCCTGTGGGGTCTTTCAGGGTACCTATCCCAATTCTTATTTCTCTAGCGACACAAGCAACCCGTTAGTTTTTATTCTGCATTGTCTTAGCATCAAGTGATCGAAACTGATATTGCATTTGCTCGTTTGCCAAAATAGTGCTTACTGCTGGTGACAAGTACAACTATCTTATGAGCAGCTCTGAAGGTGATTCCTTCTACGAGGCAGATGACGGCAGCACGGACTATGATTTTGAACCTGGGGTAGATATGGATGGTCTTTGGAGGCAACGGAAAAGGCGTCGAGTTCAAACACGATCTGAAATTAACGATGATCAAAACGATTATTCCGAGGAGGATGACGGCGACGAAAATTACGACAGCACTGAAGAAGAATTAGGCGATGAGGTTATCGAACCTGCTAGATTGTCTGATTTGCGCAACGACGCAAACCAACATGTGGACACAGTACCTGTCATTTCACCGTCAATAGACCCATATTTGTCGCGGCCTTCTCCCGATAGCGGCCCTGATGTGATCGATATTCTAGCACAGTCAGATTCAGACCCAGAACAAAATATTTCTGACCCGAATGATTCAGAGCCGTTGGAGGTAACTAATTCTCCACAGGCTGTGGAAATTCCGGACGACGAAATTTCCCCAGCGGCCCGTCCTGCACATAAAAAAGCGTCTGACTATAGGTGTCCTATTTGTTTCGAACCTCCAGAGGCTGCTCTTTTCACTCCTTGTGGCCATATCTTCTGCACTGAGTGCTTGTTTCAAATGATCAATAGCACAAGGACAAGTCGTAAAGCTGGACAATGTGCACTTTGCAGACGAGACGTAAGACTGAAAGAAGTCAAACTCATAAAAATGCGCAAAAAGAAAGTTGCCAAGAGTTCCTAGGTGTTGAGCCATTCCTATGTTTACGCGAAGCGTAAGGTGCGCTTGACGTTTTGCGACGAAAGTTTACATTATGTGAGAAAAAGATACTGTTTAGACCACTGAAACAAGAGCACAATACACAAGTATCGCTATTGCTGTGCATATACAGAGATAACAACCTCGGTTCGCTTTCGACTTATTGCTCGACCATTTTATACACCATGTTATGCGACGTCGCACTTCGCAAAAGAGTTAGCAGGTTTTACAAGAAAACTCCCACAATCCAGTTCTTGAAACGAGTTGAGTCAAGGTCTCGGAAACCAAAAAGGTTCATACAACCCTCTGCCGGTGGTGCACTTTTGATACGTTATGGAACCTTACACGGCTATCAAGACTTGCGTGCACTTCAATGTCGGTACAGAGGTATCAATCACGGAGACAAGGTTAAGCTTGGGTCAAGGTGCCAATGCCAAACACATGCTTTGAACCCTAGTCCTTTACACAAGGACATATCTAGAGGGATGAAAAAGAGACTCCAATTAAAACTGCATTCATAGTACTCATACGTTTCTAATACAAAAGTTATCAGCATATAATAAATACGGGGAAAAAGTTCTGGGTACATGCTGTCGCATGACTTACGGTAGAATCTTACTTATTGTCCAACTTTTGAAATTGTTTAACTTTGAAGGGTCGTAATTCTCAACATCGTCCTCACACAGCACTTTATCAGTCTTCTCTAAATTCTTGCGGCCGCCAATACCTCTCTTTTGAGTGTTAGTTTGAGATTCAAACCCAACTCTTTTTTCTAAGAATAATCGTCTGTCAAATTCTCCGTGAGTTATATGCCCCGGCACACCATTTGAACGCACATCGTAGTTCCTTTCCATTTCCATTAAATGTAACGCATCGATATCTATCAAGTTGATACCTTTTTCGTTTTTGGCCCAGCCATCTCCTCCCTCGAGAATATCTTCCACGCATTCTTTCGGCGTCAACTCCCCTGGTCGAGGATCCCACGGTATCTGGAATGTCCTTTGATATAGCTTCTCAACAAAGGGATTATTGATTGCAATGGAAAAGGAACCTTGAATATCCGTCGTTTTTTTGGTAGGGCTCACACCGTTTGATGCTCCAGCTGTACCGTTGCTATTAGACTGAGAAGTGGAGGATGCCGGAGAACTAACATCGGAGGTCCCTTCAAACACCTCCGTTATACCATTACGGAAAGCATTTGGTAGCTGTCCCGAGTTGACATATTGAGGAAGCTGAAAATCGTCAAAACTACCGCGCGTTAGCTCCATATGAATTGCTATGCTCAGAATGGAATTGACTTTGGATTTCTGCAAAAGGAAGCGACTTGGGACTTGATTTTGTTCTTTATTGATATACTCTGCAATGTTGACTTCTACGACACCCAAGAGAACTTTCCGTGACACTTTTTTGGTATACACGCTATTGGAAGAAGACGCAGAGTCTGAGATTTGATATTTGTCATTGGCAGGGTGGCTCGTGGGCTCTAGAAATTCAAAGTACACTTCGAGCACTAGCTCCTTAGGGTGCAATTGCTTGAATTTGTCACTTGTGAGTTTAACCTGAACCGGTTTCGGTAGGTTATAGTTCCAGTGCGCCCTATGATGCTTGACAAGCACCCTAGCTGTGGTACCACGGCTTTGAGAACTGGATCTGACGTTTTGAGAGTCTAGGGCAACGCTATTCGAGATAACTGCATGGCTTGTGGTACCCGTGCCATCTTTTAGGTGCCATTTGACAAAGCAATAGCCAGAGCTCTGCGGTATATTCGTGAGTTCGAAGATTTTCAAGTTGAACAGAAACTTGGGTCTTTTGCTTTTGCCCTTGTGGGCAAAGGTTATCATGGCAGTAGGCGGTTTACTAGTACCGTCGCTTCACGAATCGTCCCGGGTGTGCCAATTCGTCTATAGCAGTTCGACCTTTTTCAAGTCTGACTTGGTCTTACGGGTGTAGTCTCCAGAATTGGACGTCCGTACGCTATTAGCTTTAACTAGATCCTGGGATTGTATGCTATCCTATCAAAACGCAACGAGGTCCACTGATTGTCCCTTAATTCTGAGCAAAAACGCCAAAAAGTCGTTTTTAAACTTGGCTTAAAAGCTTCTTGGTCTTCACCTATACCTTGCCTCTCTTAAAAGCCCCCTCTAACGTGTATCAGCGGCTACACTGATCGTATCTGAGCTCTTTGTTTTTTCGTATTTGCTCCGCTCTTGAAATCAACAGTTGAGTCGCTAGAGGTAACCAAAAATTATTCAGAAACAGAGAATTAGTGACCTTTGAGATTAAAATATTTTGAATAAATGGTTACAGGCCAAGCAGGAGCCAACAAACTGACACTGTCAATTAGCAGAGGCTTGACGAGGTCCTCTGAGCATGACAAGCTCTTTTTTGTCAATATATTCGGATAGCTGGACGCTCTCAGAGCGTCCAGGATCCAACCTGATCAAATTCGAACCCAGTGCCAGTGACTCTGGATCAAGCGTGCTGGTAGACCGATTGACGGGCCAGAGCGAGTCAGGTGCACCAACAACAGGATCTATTGGACATGTTTCTCCTCAGAGTCTTAAGCTCCTGACGTCAGAGGTTGAACTGGAGCCAATGGGAGATCTGGCATCGATGTCGATGGCACAGCGCAGTTTGGAGACTCTACGGCGAGTGGAAGAAAGCATGCGGCTGGAAAACGTACCGGTGACGCCTCATCTGATAATGCACCGCTATGCGTGGGATGTTGAACAGTACGCCAAGAGCCAGAGCCAGTTCCCGCTCGACAACGTCCCCATAAAATGCAACATTTTGAAAACGCTGTTCGAGCTCTTGCGGGAATACCAGGACGCCGAGAAGCAGTTGCCTCTGGAGAACGTGGCTAAAGTTTTGCACTACTTAAGCAAACTGATTCAAGCATCGCAGTTGGAGGTGCCTTCTTTGGACGCGTCACAGCCGTTGCCCAAAGGCCGTACCGTGTCTCTGAGATCTCATACAGTGTCCTCAGCTTCTCCAAGCCATAGTCACACCACTAGTTCGCAGTCGGTAAACCAAAGACACGCTAGCGTGGGCCATGACGCCTCGTCACCGCAATACCCTTCAACGCGCGTTAGCATGCATTCGGGTTCAGGCAAATCCCGGATATTCAGTAAGTTCTTTGCTCCTGCGAAAAGTCGCGAATCTTTACATACCAGAAATACGGTCCACACCAGAAGCACGATTACCGTCCAGCCTGTTGGAAGCAGCTCGAACGCAGCAAACAGCACCTTGCCCATCAATTCTCCCAGTACAGGCTCGACACACGACGCATCAACAACAGCGCTGGAGTCCGTTGTGAGTTCACATAAAATCCAAGATATCGAAGCCATGAAGACATACAAAGACTCTATCTTGGCCCTGGGTAAAATTTTAAAAGGGTTGCCTCAAACCGATCAGAACAATATCGTATTTCATTTTGTTGACCGTAGCATTAATCCGTTCATTCTGAAAGACATCCATTCGCTTCTCAAGCACTACATTCAAGAGGAAGTTATTTTCAGACTCTGAAGTACGGATCGGTTAACACATGCAGGTACTGAGGAGGAAATCTTACATTGGCAGTAACACTGCTTGGGCGCTGGCGATATTGCAGCGAGCCACAGGATACAAAAAGCATTATAGCGAACAAACAGAACTTTAAGGTAAAAGGAACCAAATAAAAAGCATTAAATAACGGCGGCCGCTTCTTAATTGGATAAAATTGTTTTTGGAACATAGAAGCAAATGAATTCAAGCGATTGTCACAACCCGTTGCATGGGGAAAATAGGCCATACCTAAGTACGGAAAGCCGCGGATGGTTAATAGCAAGCTGGGAGCGAATAGTCACATATGTATAAAGCATTAAGCGTTTGAACCAGGATCGTGATATTCAATAAAATTGACCGCACACATCGAGCCAGGAAACCGCAATCGCAATTGTACAAAAAAAGAGTAAACCGACGTTTAAAAGCTAATAAGTAGTCGCAAGAACCTCGCAATGATGTCGTCTCAAAACACAATTCTGACTGATTGAGGTACTTATCAAGTTCTTTGGTTAGAGTATCTGGTGAAAGAGATAAAAAACTAACAAAATACATTTACATGGTCATCGATAGTGAATAACTACAAAGATATAACAAGCTCGATGATCTTGAACGTCCAACGATTTAACTGATGTCAGTATAGTTTTATCAGTATCATATGTTTCGAAACGGTTTGGTCACCTTTTACGAACATGAATAATCATCATTCTTGTCTGGTAGCCACACATTGACATCAAGAGGATTAATCCAAGATTGAAAGCGGTTAATACTGGTATCAAAGCCATTCGTATTGGCATCAAAACTGTTTTAAAAAGACAGCTTTTCAGTTTTGAGATGAATGGGAGTGCTAATGGAAAAAGTAGAACCCCCAAGCTGGGGCAACTGGAAACGAACTTTGGGAATGAAATGAAACGGTTCGGGTCTCAAGAAAGCCTAGGAGAGACAGAGCCTGGCAAGCTGTTTATCACTATAACGGAGTACAATAAACGCATGGAGGATGAGCTGGACATGAAGCCAGGCGACAAAATACGGGTGATAACTGACGATGAAGAATACAACGACGGGTGGTACTACGGACGCAATTTGCGAACCCAAGAAGAAGGTCTGTATCCCAAGGTATTTACACAGGAAATATCGACTCCTTCGCTGGTGAGAGCGAAGTCTGCCCGCAGAGTGGCCAGTCCGCTTGCCAATGGCAGCACGACGGATCTGTCGACCTTTTCTAACGACGGCTCCACCAGTGAACTGCCCACTCCCCACCCTTTGGAGACAGCAGCCCCTGTAAAGCTGAGCCTCGACCGTAGTGCTTCAGTAAAAGTAACCATGAGGGACATCGATAAGGCCCTAGAGGATTTTCGCGGGGATACGCTCACAGCGGGAACGCTGCAGCCTGGGAATAGAGAAGATATGAACACTACGACTACCACCACGGATAGTGATACTGACATGTCGCGACAACATATTTTACGCAGCTCCAACTCAGTCCACTCGTTAACGAATGATACCTCCTTTGGATCTACATCTATTAATGGGATCGATACTAAAGAGTTAACGCCCTTAAATGCCCAGAACTGGACCCCCGAGCAGGTAACTGCATATTTTATAGGCTCTGGCTTCGATGTTGAGTCGTCAAGCAGATTTCAACAACATAAAATTTCGGGAACCATTCTACTTGAGCTGGAGCTGGCACACTTGAAAGAGCTGGATATCAACTCTTTCGGTATAAGGTTCGAAATCTACAAGGAAATTGAAGCGATAAAAGATGTCATCAACACAAAGGATCCTGTGAGATTACCGAGTCAGCTGATGCCCGCAGCGGCTGTTAATCAACGCTCTTACATGGGTCACACACGCAAAACTTCTCAATCATTAGAGGATCTTCCAACAAAGCATTCTACTGTGGACCCGTCAGCTAGTCAAAGTCGAACGGGTAGCAAGCACAGGCCATACTCTTTGGTGCTTAATGGGCGCGAGTCAGCCTCTCAAGGTCCAGAAAAGGTGGTTGCCTCCATGGGTTCCTACGATGACAAAAAGAAAGCTCAACCAACCAAACCACAAATTGATGATAACCATTTTCTCTCTCCCAGAAGAGCTCCAAAGCCGCCCTCATATCCAAGTCCAGTCCAGCCACCAAAATCACCTATCACACAAAGCTTTACGCCCAGCCCATCAATTGCTAGCTTCGCTCAAAATGCTCGCAACGGCGCCCCAACAATATTCGAACGCGCCACACACATGGAAAGTCGGCCAAACACCACCTCCGAATTGCAAACGCCAAGCTTTCAGTTTCCCAAAACCACACCTCCTCAACTCTTATCGGATACTCCAGAAGGGAACGAGAATGCAGAGCTAGAGCACACCAAAAACCTGAACGTGATTCAACCTTCTGACAATTATGCAGGTAACAGAAGTTCGGTAATTTATTCTGGACAACAAGGCCACAAGAAAGCTAAATCAGGTGGTTCTTTTGCCGACATTTTTAATCGAATCTCTCTTATGTCGCCAGGGGCACCCAGAGCTACTCAGAGTGATTTTGAGGGTCTTGCATTGGAAGAGAGTCAACTTCAAAGACCAAGCTCGAGTATTTATGAGCACTCGCGAACTGCCTCACCCAGCCATATTAAGCACCCCTCTCAAGTTACTGCTGAGATCAAGAGACATAGAAGGAATTCTTCGATATTGTCGTTCTTCTCGAATAAAGGCGAAGAAAATGTCAAGTCGCCTACTAAAAAAAACGGTTCCAGACATGCTTCGGTTTCACACAGTAGAAAGAATTCTGCTATGAGCTACAATGCATCTAGACCTTTTTCTCCTGAAAAGGGATCCAGGTCGCCAAATAAAAGGCATTCTGTGCTTGTATCGCCGGTTGTTGCTCCAATTTCACCGGTCGACGAATCGTTGACTACTGAGGAAAAGCGTAGATCAGTTAGTGCTAAGGAACCTAGTAGCAATTTAGCGACCACAGATTCGGATTTATTCTACGATGCTAAAGAAGATACCCTAGATGACACGAAAAACAAAAGGTCAGTCAGCGAAGCTGTCAAGCCTAAGTCAACGCGAAGCAAGTCTAGTAAGAACTTGCCCAGAAAAATGAAGACCTCCGCTTTTATGGAAGGTATCAGAACTATTAGTGTTATGGATGCCATGACCGAATCTGACTGCTCCGGCTGGATGAGTAAGAAAGGTTCTGGCGCCATGGGCGTTTGGAAGAATCGGTTCTTCACCCTTCACGGGACCAGGTTATCGTATTTTTCTAGTACTACCGACACGAGAGAGAGAGGTCTGATTGATATCACCGCACACAGGGTTCTTCCGGCCAAGGAGGATGACAAACTTGTGGCCCTTTACGCTGCCAGCACAGGTAAAGGACGGTATTGCTTCAAGCTTCTTCCGCCCCAACCTGGCTCTAAGAAAGGCTTGACCTTTACACAACCCCGTGTGCACTACTTTGCCGTTGATACTAAGGAGGAGATGAGAGCATGGATGGCAGCACTGATAAAGGCTACAATAGACATCGATACTAGTGTTCCTATCATCAGTTCTTGCGCTACTCCTACGGTGTCATTGAATAGAGCTCAGGAAATGTTGTCTCAGGCGCGTGAAGAAACGAGGCAGCGGGAGGAGCAGCGATTTTTGAATGAGGAAGATGAGGACCAGATGCTCTGGGAACAACAACAAAGAGCCGAGCATAGTCTAAATGAGGGCTCAACTGACGGTTCGGCACCGAGTTCGACGGTACAGGTGAATTCGAGCACTAATTCAGGGTTTCATAGCCCCTACCTATTAGCATCTGGGGTATTATCGCCTGGAACTCCACAAAACAACGGTCGTCTCCCGGATCAACAGAACAACGACTACTTTCTGCTCGGCTCGAAATACTCAAGTAATAAAATCTAAATTGCAGGACTAATTGGGCTCACGATATTGCCGTCCCTCGCATTGTAATAATACTCAAAAAGTAAAAATTTATTAGCTTTAATTATTGTTCTTCGCTAAATTCGTGTGGGTTTACGTATTCTTCACTTAGAGCTTGCCTTAGCATTCACATTTTCATTTGTCAGAGAAACGTGAAGACTGGCGCCCGTCATCAGTTTCATTGTGGCGATCACATATACATTCCAAGCTGATTCTACAGTGCATGTTAAGCTTGACATCTAACTCGAGAACGCTCCGGAATTGGGCAATAGTACACTCTCGCCTTTGTGTTGCTTTCGAGCTAATAAAAACAGTAAGATCATTTCGCACTTTTTGAACTAGATAGTAGAACCCTACAAAGTAATACAAATAATTAATCTTCGATTTGTCATCGCAGGCTACCGAACGCTTTTGAAACTAAAGTGCCACGAATGGCGTTAGATATATAGTTTTAAATAGTAAAATTGAGGAGTTGATGAATTGACACTTCTTTTGTTATGGGGGCATAGACAGAACTCTTTTTACCAAAAAAATGTATAGCAATTGGTTGGCCCTTCATCGGTATTTCAACAAATGAGATGAGAACTTTAGGAGTGGTATGATAAAAGTCAAAAACTATGTCCACAATGACCACATTATCATATGTAAATAGCAATTTTAATTATACACAATATAGGGAGTCCCCGATTCAGTTCCCGTTGCTAAAAACTAATTGTAGGTATTTGATTTTAGACCATAACTTGGAAATGAAACTTGCATTAGCAAGCTTCTTGATCGTGAGTGTTACGACGATAAATTTATTGACCCCCTAGCATTTAGTATAATACCCCTCGCACTAGTCCGCCGGTCTACTCTTTTTTTTCCCCTCTGTATCTGATGTTAAAGGAGACCAAGTTGAAGTAATGAGTTGATCCGCAACTTCTTATTGCATTCGACTAGCCCGTTAAGTACCACTTTTCAGCAACAGCTCAAAAAAGTTCTCTTTGTCAGATGCATACTTAGTGCAAGCTTCTTTTTGCGGGACACTTCGTTCGAGAGACCAACGATAAACAGTAAGAATTTTTTTAATCCATAAGATGACACTTTTCCAGAGCAGTTTGAATCAACTGGCTTCCCTTGGGATCTAAGTTCATTGCTACTGTCAACTCTTTAATAGCATCTTGTTTCCTGCCCACGATTTGATATAATTGGCCCAGCAGGAAGTGGATGGTGGCTTCGTCGGGTGCTATAGTAACTAGCTTTTCAAAGCTCTCCAACGCAAAGTTATATTTGCCCAAGACCAATAATAGTTGAGCTCGTTTGAATAGTGCAAGCGATGACATAGGCTGTAATTCGCACGCCAGGTCGTAATACTGTAAAGCTTTCTCCTGGTGTGCTAATTTCTCTAGCGCTACACCGCAGCAACAAATCAAGATTACATTGACGGGGTTTATACTTCTCGCCTTTTCGAAATGTAAAAAGCACTCCTCGTACTGTCCCAACTTTAAACAACACATACCTAAACCGTAGAACGCATTGTAATGGTGTGGATTTGATGCAATTGCCTTACGATAACATGTCATCGCAGTGTCAAAAGCGTCGTTACTCGAGTACTCATGACCTTGCAACGTGTAAGCATAGGTGAACATTGGGTTAAGTTGAGTGCTTCTTTGGAATGCCTTGGTGGATTCCTCGTGGTCCTTTTGCAATGAAAACAGATTGCCAATGCAGCACCAGGTCTCTGGCGCCAAACGATCTACCTCTAAAAGTTCGTGACAAAGGTGTGAAAGGCCTGTTGAATCATTCAAATGCCACAATAGAGTGGAGTATATTTCCATATCTGAAATTCTGGATGGTTGAAGTTCTCGCAGTGCTTGAAAGTACTTCTTAGACATTTCGTAATTTACTAGCTCAAAGTGCAGCTTACCCAAATTAGCTAAAACCCATGGCATGCCGGTCAAAATGTGACGCGGAAGTTCGTCGCTCAGTATACGAACTGCTTTGTAGCAGTCATACCTCGATGCAGATTTGTAGGACTTTGCCAAAGCGTAAAATATAGCATCAAGTCCTGATGTAAATGCTGAAGAATGGCCAGTCCCTGAGTTGGGTCCACTAAGGTTTATACCGGCCTCCTTATGATCAGGAGTTACTGATTTATCATGTATAGAAAACTTGGACGGTGGTGTCGTCAATAATTTTGATTTTGGCAACGAAGAATGGGGTGTAGTGACGCCTGCGCCATTGATAGGTTTTAGAAGTGAGTTTGTAGAAACGCCGAGCCTTTGTTTCACATTTGGCGGTTGATTGTTATGCGTTCGCCTTTTTGACTCAAATCCAGGAATCTTGAAAGGTGTATGAGGCTTGACAACTAAACTCTTGCGATTTTTGTTGTGACTTTGCGAAACTCTGGAAGAGTCCTGAGAGTTTTTGTAGAGCTTGCCTACCTTTACATTCGCTCTCATGTCGCACAAGGCTCTAAAGGACTCCCACATATACGGGTCAAGGTCTAACGCGTGAGAATGTGCTACGCAGCTCTCCTTCACTTTACCCATTTTGAAATAGAGCTGTCCTAAAATTGTGTACGTGGTGGCTTCCTCTGGCATTCCATAGTAAGACTCTGCTTTTTGGAATGAGTGTGTGTCTAGTAACAGCTCCAAACATCGTGCAGCCTCATCCCATGCTGATCTGTCAAGCTTCAAGGCGCACCGTGCCAGCACGTACGCACAAAGCAAATTTTCGGCCCTATATAGTCGAACAACTGCCTGGGAACTTTTGAGATCTCCCTTCAAATAAAGAACCAGTCCGTAAAGATAAGCAGCTTCTACAGACTCGCGCTCTGCACTTTCCAGTCGTTGTACTTCAGTGCACAGCAGTTCCGCTAAAAACTCGGCCGTCTCTAGATTGTTCTGCTCCAATGAACGTCCAATTAGGCTTTTCAAACGCTCACAACTGTCATCAGTGGTTCGTACTAGACCACCAGACCCTACACGAAACATTTCCCACGGAATGCTGCAAGTTGGTTATTTTGAGCTCATCGTTTGCACACAAACATCTTTTTTATATAATTTAAATTGGTATTGAAAATAGACAAAAAGCTAAAGTACTATCCATATCCTTTGGACATGGAACAACAAGAAACAAGGTAGTGCTGTATCGAAACAACGCTTTTTGATAAGTAGCAATCATTAATTTCGGCGCTAAACGAAATTTTCGGGTGAATTTTTGGCCATGCTTGTTTTTGATTGTAGATAGTAGTAATCCATCTTTTGACTGGGCAGCTAATAATGTGGACTCTTGCTTTAGTTTTCATCGGATCCTTGCATCGAAATTTGATTAAAATCCAATCCCTGTCGTTACACCGTGGCGAATCAATTGAGCCGCTAGCTCACGGATGTTATTTCCAACACCCGCAAGTTTTATAGTACAGCGATATAGACTTCGCAACGGCGCTAACTGGGTGTTTTGGAGTAACAGGAGTGATTGCTGGGAAGTCTCAGATCGAGTTGGTAGATTTTCAAGTATTGATCTTCTAGACCGGGGGGGTAGAGGTTCCCGTCACTGGTAATAAACACCAGATTTGGGCTCATGATACGAGAAGTTAATGGAGAGTCGGCTTGAAATTCGAGAAGGTTCTTGTTTTCAAGAGACTGATGCTAGTCTCTGCATCTTCCTTCGGCATAATGTCAGACCGATTACTTCTCACAGTATTCGAAAGTGGATAGTAAGCCGTTTCGCTCGGATATTTGGATATTGACACATGGTTGAAGCAAAGTATGGGCTGACCCTTTTAAAGCAGCTCCAAGTCCTGGCATCATGAAATAAGCGGCTTGACATTCTGTATAATTGGCGGCGTAATTATGCAAGTTATTGACGTTCCTCGGGGTTTTAGTATGTTCTATCCATATTCCAATCTAATCCAAAGGCAAGTGCAGTGAAAGCCTGCTAGATTGTGCCAACGAGTATAAGTTCAAAGGTAAAGGAAATCTCTCAATATTACGGCCCTGCAGTTTAATCCGCTACAAGTCCAGACGCAGGTAGTCTGGCATAAAAACACTTCAAGCTATAGCTTACAAATTTCGAGCGCAGAACACTCACTTGCACAGGCATATCCAAAGGGCACAAATGTGTAAAGTCGCTGAGTTTGCGAATTCCAAGGACGGCTACGTGTCAGAATACCAAAACAACACTCTTTTTTGAGCTCAAAATTCGTGTAGCTCCGGAGGTATCATGATAAATTACGAAGGCCTATGTTCACAATACAAGATCGTTCGTTTCTTGCCTCACTTGTGGAGCTGAAGGTGCCCTTCTCGTCTCCGCTTCTTTTAATAGCCAACATTCTTCGTTCGCACTATGCACGAAGGGCCCTGAGTGCCAAATCTAGAACTTTGAGGGTAGTGCTGGTGTTTACCGCTCGAATACTTAACACCGCTATTCTTCAATCTGAAAGAGAGACAAGCAAAGGAATAAGAGGAAGAGGTGAGTATATTCAGCGGCAACAAAGGCCTTTTCAATCTGTACGTGGTTTACTTAGTTTCTTTGGTTCCATATATTAAAGAGTCTGTCAAAACATTTGTACGTTAGGCAAGACTTACCGTGTCTTCTCGGTACAACAAAGTTTAAAAACTTGCTGCTGAAATTGTGCCATATTAAGCAGTTTACATTCGCTACAATCTTTGCAAGAGTAGCTGTCAGAGTTTTACTCGAGGCATCTTCACATCTGGGAGATCTTTCTGGCAGAAGCCCGAGCAGAAGCAAGAAAAACTTCGGTGCAAACAAGCGAACAACCTCTCGCTGAAGAAACAAAGGCGCTTGGAGCTCTCTGTTCTATACGTCTATTCTTCACTCCCAAGCCACTACCATTGCATTCCGAAGCTAGCGAATTGCTCATTTACATCTTCGGCAATATCGAAGGGGCCCCTCGTGAATAATCAATGAGAAAGAAAACCAAGAGCATATATCTGCTCCTCGCATGTTTCGTGCTGCTATGGACTTTATGGAGGTCCCGTTTTCAGGGCCCAAGTCCGAAGCACGGATACGATCCATTTGACTATGGTTGGGTTAGGCCAAATTTTTACAAGAAAGGCGATGAAGTTGAGCTGGTCGTCAATAAGGTCGAGTCTGCTCACAGACAGTTCCCGTATTCATACTACGATTTGCCATTCGTTTGTCCACCTTCTGGAAGTAAAAAACCATTGCATTTGTCACTAAATGAGATAGTACGAGGTGACCGTAAGTGGCAGAGTGACTACCATTTGAAGTTCGGCGTAGAAGTCGAATGCGAACGCCTCTGTGATCGCAAGACGCAGCCGGAGGCCTTACGAGAAGCAGATCGTCTAATTCGTCAAGGTTACGTGGCCCATTGGTTGGTAGACCGTGACATGCCAGCGGCTACAACGTTTGTCAAGTCGCGCAACGGCAAGAAATTTTATTCGGCAGGTTTTCCGATAGGCACATTCGACTCCAGCACAGACAAGACTTATCTACATAACCACGTTATGTTGGTAGTACGGTACCATACCTTGGACATCAATAAACACACAATTGTCGGTTTTGAAGTGTACCCAAAGTCTACTTCAGACCATCAATGTCCAGGTGGTTCAAAAGGCTATAAACACTTTGAAATCAAAACTCAGGAAGAAGAAGTAAGTTTCATTCCTTTCACGTACTCTGTTTACTGGCGTGAAGAATTCCATAACGATTGGTCGCATCGCTGGAATTTTTTCATGACAGAAGACCAGCGAAACCCCTCAAATCTGTCACAGTCATTTCATTGGATGTGCCTGGCCAACAGCATTGTTGTAGTGGCGTTTATGTCGTTTGTTGTTGCTTTAATTTTTGCCAAAATTCGTGGAGACGAAACCGCAAGCTCCTTAGCTTCATTGTGGATTTTTCAGTCAACTCACTTCCTGTCGCTGCTTAATTTGACAACAGCTATGGGCGTTCAATTCCTGTTTGCCACACTGGGCTCACTGATAGTTTCTTGCTCATTGAATAAATTCCATGATATCACAAACTGGGTCGTATCCACAGCAGTCATTTGCTTCATTTTAGGAGCTTTTGCATCATCAATTCTGGGCTCTCTTTTATCGCCGGGACAGCGGGTCAGTCTGGGGATATCAGTTTTGTGTGGTTGTGCGCTACCTGGCTTTACACTAGCGGTGGTGTTGATTCTCAACTGCATCGTGTGGGCTAAAGATTCAACTAACGCCTTGCCATTCGGAACAGTAGTACTGATCGTAGCAGTCTATTTTGTGATATGTGGGCCGCTTTCTCTACTTGGCGGGCTCTCGGCAAGGCGAATGAAGACAACTTACAAGTTAAGCCTAGAAGACGTCTTCCCCTTCTCATTCTTGTTAACAACAACTTACGATGGTGGTAATGGGGAAACTGAATTAGCGCCAGATCCGTTGCCAAGAGTGCTTTCCAACCCCTTCCTTTTGACCTTAGCGTCTGGTTTGCCGCCTTTTATGGTAATTTGTGTCGAGCTATTGTTCGTTTATAAGTCATTGTGGCTAGAGAAAACCGGTTTCTACTCTCTGTACGGCTTTTTGTTGGTCAACATCATCTTACTGTGCATCATCGTTACTGAAGTCTCGCTGGTAGTGTGCTACGTAATGATGTTATACAGCTCCTCAGTGTCTTCTGGTCAAAAAAAGGCACAAGAATACGAAAGTCTTAAGCTAGAGGGCGGATATTATATCCCAATAAAGCGCTTGGGAACTTACCTCAAAATGCTGGCCAGAGTATTTTCTGCTAACCTGAATATGGCATTCGCCAACTGGCGGTGGAAAAGCTTTGTTGCTGGTGGTAGTATTGCTTGGTATCTGGAGCTGTATTCGCTATATCATTTGGTGTTTGTGCTTCATCTACGCGATTTTTCTTCTATTCTGCTCTTCGTTTGTTACACCTCTCTTTTTAACTTCATGTGCTGGTGTGCATTCGGCGCTCTAGGATACCTGTCATGTTTGTGGTTCCTTAACCGCATCTCCAGTGCCGATAAAGCCCAATGACTTTGTAATTTGCATTTGTGTCCTTTGGTTTCTCGCACCAAATGATGATAACATTATTATACATTAATGAATAATTCAGTAAACAATCCAGACTATCTTCATTTATATAGCTTGTCCTCCTAAAGACGATGATTGCTGAGAAGTTTGGTGGTGCCGAACAAAACCGCCCATTGCATTATTACCGCTGCCACTGTTGCTATTGGCGCCATGTTCTGCATATCTCCCATTATTTTGATTGTTGAAACGGCGATTTCCGCCGTTATTGTTGTTATAGAACTCCCGACCCTCGCCACGCTTGGAGTTGTTTCCAGGGACGAAACGTTTTTCGCCATCCCTTCTTCCGCCTTGTCTGCGTCTAAAGTCTTTATTTTGATGACTGCTTTGCGACTGTTGTTGAGCGTTGGACTGCTTAACTTTGTCAATTACATCATCTTGAAGCTTAATGTACTTGATGAAATTACCCCTCACGTAAATCTCGGGTAGCTTTATTGAATCGTCGGCCGATGTGTGAGTTACATTGGATAACGTTAGGTTCATCCAATTATCGACGTTTGTCAGTTGCCCAACGATTGTCTCACCATTTTTTAGCTCTATGACCATTTTCTGGCCCTTGGCATTTGTCAAGAGGTATAGCGGAAGCATCCAGTTAGTGTGTTGTCCCGTTTGTTGTTGGAAACGAATATTATAACCTACTGAGAGCTGTTTTCTGCTTGTCAGTAGATGTGCATTTCGGCAAATGAAAATATAGCACTACGTACGAACTACCAACAGATGGGTGTCAGTTCACTGGAAAGGAAAGAGAGCACGGTATCTTTCAACCACCTTACTTAAATCAAATGCCCAGCTCCACATTTGCTGAGTGTCTTTCTTGAGCTTTTTTTTCGCGACGCACGATATACCGACTTGAAATCTTTACGAAACAATTCACATTCGCCAGCAGAATCATGAATCGATTGAAGGCTTGATTTTGATTTCCAAAGCAGACATGCCTCTTCAGCGCAGTGTTTTAGGCTTGTATGTTTAACTTTGATGTCGCATTCCCAACTTTGTCAGAATTGTACAGATGACAGCTTTACAGAACTCTTTTCTGTCTCGCAATGGAGGCTGACGCTAGACCTGACCTCGTCAGCATAAACCTACATTCATTTTTTAGCAAGATACTGAGAAGCGCTTGTTTGTGGGTTTGTTGGGCTTTATAAACTCAGCAGAATGATAAGTTATGCACTTTTCCTTTGTTTATAGGATGTTGACAATTAGACTGGGGCAAAGACAGACCTCTGTGTCTGACTTCATTGGTTGGGTTTATATCTCATAGTGGGCGTTTATCAAAGTCTTTTAGCTCAGTTGTTGTTATCGAAAAGCCTCATATGTTGTTGTGTAGTGCCTTTAACACACTCACTACGGAGGTTAGACATTCTTGTAGCTTATCATGGACGCTACAGAGATTGTCACGCATGCTGAAGACATACATACTTTTCGTTTCAAGTAGTGCCGCGATAAATTCTGTAATCAACCTTTGGATCTTTTACCAATTGTTTTTAGTAGTGCAGAAATTATGGACCTTGTCTCATCAATATACGCAGTTCGGCAACGGAATTCGAATACATTAGGAGAGGTTTCGGTTCGACTGTGAAATTAGCCGCCGAAGCGTGCGGCCTTATCTAGTAAATGCTACAACACAATGTCTCTCTAATTCAAAATGTGCATATTGACTATTAGATTGGTACACCTCGTTCACATTGTCTTCGAGGATCTTGAAGCCAAAATTATAAGGATAGCTTTCACAGTAGCGAGTGTTGAAATGGAAGTTGGCAGTGTTGCGGCATGAGTGAAGCTGCTCTTCAAGTTGTTCGGGTTGCTGAACTTTCTTCTGAGCTGAGCGCTTTGTATCTATAGTTTCAAACTGATGCGGAAGCTATGCCTTCCGATAGTTCTTGTCAGTTCGGGGAATCCGTTTACTGCTCCGGTGTCGTTCTTATATCCTGGATATGGAAATACCAGCAAGAACATAAAACTGGGAAGACAAGTGTTTCATGTCAGGGTTGACAGTTTTGCTCAAGACTCGAACTTGAAATCCTGATTTCGTAGGGTCTATAATTCCCACTTTGTCTTGTCTTATAGATTGAATGATACAAAGCTTCTGAGCAGAGAAATTCCACAAATTAGAATGCCGTGGAGGAATGGTGCTCGAAATCAGACTAGTGTGGCTGAATAATTCTGTTTGATTTTGGCATCCTACTACAGAGTCTTTACGTGCCGCCACGATCATTGAATCCGCCATTTCCGATATTTGAAGTGTGTGAGTATGAACAGTGCGTGTGCCTGCCCTCAGCCTTTTCACGGTTGGGAATGGAGCTCACTACTAACAGCTGTGTGTACACAAAACTATACCTAGATGGCAGGCCTCGGAGCGTCCCGATATTGACATGCGTTTGACTCGACAGCCTTGTATCTCCTATACAATTTGTGAGCTGTTCAGTAGCTCTAGCATAAGTCGATACTTTTGTTCGCCACAGATAAACGCGGCAAGGTTCCTAATCACTGGCTTAGCCCCATTTGTTGGGTTTTAGGCTCGTGCAATCAATGATTGCCTGTTTGGTTGGTGCACCGGAAATCTCATCCGTCAACTACATGTTCCAATCTCAAAGACAGCTGTTCATTTCAAGACGCTCTGCAAGTTGGGCCCATCGTCCTGGCGTCATGTAAACAAACAAGCTCTTGGCTACTGTGGTCTCTTTAACTACTTTGCTCACTACCCGGCTTTTTTATCTGACTGGTTTTACGCGTCATTATATTGCCAATTTCAGCATACTAATGTTCAAACTGAACCACAACCTTCAGTTGACATAAAAATCAACGCAAGTGGGGTCAAAAGGGTTTTCAAGTCTTTTGTAGCAGTACAGCAGGTTTGGCGAACTCATTTGACAATGCATAACGGATCCATGACCACTGAGATCGATCCACTGCGGAACATCGACGAAAGACTCACGAGAACTGCTGTGGAAAGTGAGATCGCGCCGGTTATTGAGATCGCGACATATGCTGGGGTAGATGTCTACGAATGTTATTGTCGAGGTCAAGAATCGCGCATTGTCATGCGCAGGTGTCTGGATAACTGGGTCAATATCACGCAAGTGTTCAAGATCGCGTCGTTTTCCAAGACTCAGAGGACCAAGATTCTCGAGAAAGAGTCCAATATGATTAAACACGAGAAAATCCAAGGTGGGTATGGCCGGTTCCAGGGTACCTGGATTCCTCTAGAGAACGCGCTCTATCTGGTTGAGAAATACAACGTCAACGATCTAGTCGTGTCAACAATACTCAATTTCCTGCTTGACCCGACAAACCCGCCAGCTCGCAGATCCAAGAACTCGGTTATCAAGAAACAGTCGCCTGGAACTAAGATCCAGTCGCCTTCGAGCTATAACAAGACCCCTAAGAAGAGCGGCGCTGGAGCTATTAAGAAGCACAAGAAGAAACTGGCGAGTTCCATGGGAAATGCGGTTCATGCCGCTGCTGCGGTTAAGAAGTCGCAGGTGCATCCTAGTCCTTTGCAGAACTTAGCATTTCAAACACCGCAACACCAGCAGCACCATTCTATGCAACACAATAACTCAACTGTGATTGCTCCGGACCAGCAAACTCCGCTTCATCCTACAGATTACGAAACAACTCAAAAGCCTTTGCAGTTTTACCCGTACCCTCAACAACAGCCTGCATTTCTGACATTTGATTCCAATAACATAAACCAGCAGCACCCAATTAAGAAGCCAAAGAAGGTTGGCAAAAATTCGTCTTCGAGTCAGTTTCAAGCACAGCACAGTTTCCGAGTTATCAAGCAACAATTCATGGACCAAAGAAACCTCCATTCCGCTCGCTCCATCCCTCATGCCATGGTTACGATCCACCCGCAACCAACCACACACAAGACTTCTCACTCAAATGGATCGAACGGTTCAAATGGTTCGTCTATTGAGTGCTTTTCGGCTCGCGAAGAACACTCGCCCATATCTTCTCGTTCCACTTCACCCAAGCTACGGCAGCAACAGGAACCTGATGCTAAGAGTGAAGCTAGCGAAGAACGAACCACTGAGGAAGAATATAAAGAAATTCTTTTGCAAGTGTTATCATCGGATTACTCTGCTAATGGTTCTGACACCATCTTGCTTCCTGATGAACTCTATCATCCACCGTTAGACTTGGATATTAACTTCACAATCGATGATCAAGGTCATACCACCTTGCATTGGGCTGCTGCTATGGCCAATGTTCCATTGATAAAAGTCATTCAAACTCTTCCCGTCAATATCTCACTTTGCAATCATCGCGGTTTCAATGCTATCACAAAAGCTTGCTTTTACAACAATTGTTTCAAGGCTGGTGTGTTCCCAAAGGTTCTGGAGCTGCTTAAACCCTGCACAATCACACCGGATATGAATGGAAGACTCCCGCTGCACTATTTGGTAGAATTAAGTGTAAACAAGTCTAAAGACCCTGTGGTTATAAATTACTATCTGGACAGTTTGTTGGATACCTTGGCACAGGAAGATGTTTCATTACTGCGAATGTGCCTTAACCATCAAGACAATGCAGGAAATACAGTTCTCCACCTTGCAGCGCTAAATCTCAATCTAGAGCTTTGCAATAAGCTTTGCTATATGGGAAGCTCCATGACAATCTTGAATCTTGAGCATGAGACTGCAACATCAATTTTGGCTAGATTTAACTTGGTCCCTCCAACGTCTCAAGAGCTAGGCGGTGCAATCCCTGAGCTGATTGAGGAAAGTGAAACGCAAAAGAGCAAGCAATTGAGGTTGAGCACACCCGTAATGACAAGAAAAAAGAACGGGAGTTTCACCCAGGTCGATGATCAAACAGTAAATTTAACACAAGAGCTTTCTTCGATCTCTAGCATCCCTGACTCTTTTGCAGACTCCTCAAGGATCAAAAGCCCGCGGGGCATGAGTTCGCTAGCAATTCCTGATCCACTTTCGGTCTCATCAACGGTCCACAAAGGAATCAAGCCCACAGCTGCTATCCCACTAATAAAGCTTGAGAGGGCCCGATCGTCGCAGACACTTACTAAACAACTCTCTAATCTTACTGCGTCACTTACAAATTCTGTGGACGAAGAAATAAGTGGTTTAGAGCTGGAAAAGGAGAAAGTTCAAGGATGCATTGAGAGTGTGGACAATTCGCTCAAGAACAATAAACAATTAATGCAAGAGATTTTACAGGGGTTGCCACATTCGGAGCAGTTGCATGACGATGTCTTCGAGCTTTCAAAACAATTGGAGTCCCACATGGCACTGCTGGCTAACTCGATCGAAAAATCACAAGCGTTGGCACTCGCCACATGGGTACACGAAGAAGAATCTACAATGACCTCTAACTCGACTTCACCGCACAAGGACGGAATAACAAACTCACCGGTCCGCGTGATCGGTGAGCACTTGCTGCGACTTGGGCTGCAACTCACGCTGCTGCAGTTTAGTCGTAAGCACACGATCGAACGGCTTTCTCGAAGCAAATCGGAAATTGGCTCTACTCCTAAGATCAAGAAGTATCGCAAGCTTATAGGAACTACTATCGAAGATATTGACTCGAAGCTCGACGATATTGAAAAGGATTTACGCGCAAGCATCTGAAAGTCACCTATCCTCTAAGCAAGATTTATAATCATTCCCTCTGCATGTGGCACAGCCATCAACTTTTTACCCAAATTATCTATTTTTCCAAGTTCCAGACGTTTCATCTCATAAGATTCAACGAACTCGTCGCATCGCTTTTTGCTAGTTTATATGGCAATCGTTTTCATTTCATCTCATCGCATCTCATTTCATTTTCATCTCAGCTCGTCTTATCTCATCTCATCTCATCTCATCTCATCGCTTGGCTCTATGCTTAAGCACGAAGAAGAAACGGTGGTAGCGTTCAAAAAAAATTTTTAGCTTGAGATGAGATGAGATGCGATGAGCTGTTGTTTAAGTTAGTATACTCTTTGGATTTCAATACCAGAACTTCACTTTAATTGTTTTGAGGCCGAACTTCAAGCTTTTAGAGGCTACAGAACCTACCAAGGAGAAAGCAGTTTTGAAACAGAGGTGATTCTGTCCTGAGATACCGAACTTAGAACATCGCACAAGCTTTTTCTGAAATGGACCAGCAGTTTATCTCGCAATTGGAGCAGTTGCTTAATGCTGTGATCCAGCCCAACTCTGGGTCATTGAAGGAGGCTACTAAAACTTTGCAGACGCAATTTTACACTCAGCCTGCTGCCTTGCCAGCCCTGCTACACATATTGCAAAATGGTTCCAGCGATGGTTTGAAGCAACTGGCAGGTGTCGAGGCTAGAAAGCTAGTCTCCACTCAATGGAGCGCTCTAAACGCACCAGTGCAAGTAGAGATCAAGAACTCTTTGCTGAGCAGCGCATTTTCCGAGCCAAAAGAAGTTGTTCGTCACGCAAACGCTCGTGTTATCGCAGCTATCGGTAACGAAGAGCTGGACGAAAAGAAGTGGCCAGAGTTGGTGCCAAGCTTGATTCAGGCTCCAGCTGGGAATGATGTAAACACCACGGAAACTGCAGTTTTCATTTTACTTTCTTTGCTCGACAACATGAACCCAGAATTGAACCTATATATTGGCGACTTTTTGACCCTTTTCGCACATACTATGAGTGAGTCTTTCAGTTTAGAAACCAGATCTTTGTCCGCGCAAGCATTGAATCAAGTCTCAAACTTGATTGAAGAGGAAGGTCAAATCAATCCTGAATACGCAGCTAAATTCTCATCTCTGATCCCTACGGTGGTTAGCGTATTGGAGGCGGTTATTAAGGCCGACGACTCCAACAACACCAAGCTAATCTTCAACTGTCTAAACGACTTTTTGTTGTTAGACTCTCAACTGACCGGTAACAGTGTTACTGACTTGATTAAGCTATCTTTGCAAATCGCAGTTAATAAGGAGGTTGATGAGGAAGTTAGAGTTTTCGCCGTTCAATTTGCCACTTCTGCACTCTCTTTCAGAAAGTCCAAGATCATACAGGCCAAGATGGGTCGCGAGATTACCATGGCTGCTCTCAGCGTCGCCTCTGAAGAGATTGATGTAGAAGACGAGCTTAACAACGAAGATGAAGCTGGTGAAAATGAAGAAAATACTCCTTCTTTGACAGCAATCAGACTTTTGGCATTTGCATCCTCAGAGCTGCCTCCTTCGCAAGTTGCAGTACCAATTGTGGAACACTTGCCAGCTATGTTGCAATCTTCTAATCCGTTCGAGAGAAGAGCTATTCTGTTGGCCATTTCTGTTGCGGTCACAGGCTCACCTGATTACATTCTCTCTCAACTAGACAAGATCATCCCAGCCACCATTGCTGGTTTGAAAGATGTTAATCCAGTTGTCCAACTTGCAGCCTTGAAATGTATCTCTCAGCTAACTACAGACTTGCAAGACGAAGTGGCCAAGTTCCATGAGGAATACCTGCCTCTCATTATGGGTACGATTGACTCTGCCAAGAACGTTGTGATCTACAAGTATGCTACTGTCGCTCTTGATGGTTTGTTAGAATTTACTGCTTATGAGGCCATCTCTAAGTATTTGGAACCTTTGATGAACAAACTGTTCCATATGCTGGATACCAACACGTCTTCCAAGTTGAGAGCAGCCATCGTTTCGGCTATCGGTTCTGCCGCGTTTGCCGCTGGTTCTGCTTTCTTGCCTTACTTCAAAACATCTGTGCAGTATTTGCAACAGTTCATTGAGAACTCAGGCCAAATTGAGGGCATGTCTGAAGATGACCTTGAGCTTCGTGCTTTGACTTTTGAAAACATATCTACAATGGGAAGAGCAGTCAGATCTGAAGCTTTCCATGAATTCGCCGAACCACTCCTCAACTCCTCTTATGAGGCTATCAAAACTGATTCTGCAAGATTGAGAGAGTCTGGTTATGCCTTCATTGCTAACATGGCTAAGGTTTACGGAAAAGACTTCGCTCCCTTCTTGGCCACCATCTTGCCTGAAATTTTCAAAACTTTGGAACAGAAAGAATACGATTTCAACATCGATGAAGATGCCGAGGAATTGGCGGAACTTGAGGCTGACGACTTACAACAGAAGTTCACTGTCAACACCGGCATTTCTTATGAGAAAGAAGTTGCCGCCGCTGCTCTATCAGAGCTAGCTGTCGCGACGAAGGAAAACTTCTTGGAGTATGTGGAACAAACACTGAAGGTGTTGAACGAGCAGGTTGAAGAATCGTACGGTTTAAGAGAAACTGCTCTACACACGATATGGAATATCGCAAAGGCAATTTTACAAACCGCGAACGCGAAAGAAGAGGTCTACCCCGTCGGTGTTCCATCTGGCTCCTATGTTGACAACAGCGTACTCGCTGTGATTCAAGATATTAGATCTACGTCTTTGGACAATTTGACAGAGGAATTTGAAACCTCTATGGTCATTACCATCATGGAAGATTTTGCTGAGATGATTAGAAAGTTTGGTGCCATTGTTATCATTGACAATGGTGACTCGTCTTCTCTAGAAAGGTTGTGTGTCGAAGTCATGAGCGTCTTGAAGGGTAGTCACGCATGTCAAACGATTGACTACGAAGAAGACGTTCCAAAGGATGAAGATGTCGACGCTTCTGAAACAGAAGCTGCCTTACTAGATTGTGCATTGGAAGTCCTGGTGAGCTTGTCATATGCTTTGGGCGGTGACTTCCCAAAAGTGTTTGAAAACTTCAAACCCGTGGTACTCAGCTTGTTCCAGTCCAAGTCGAAGAATAAGAGATCTGCTGCCGTCGGTGCCATTTCTGAGATCGCTGAAGGATTGAAAGACCAAAACCCCTTCGTGCAAGACATGCTTGAAGCTCTGATCATCAGACTAACTACAGACAAGTCTTTGGAGGTTAGAGGTAATGCCGCCTATGGTATTGGTTTGCTATGCCAATACGCCTCTTTTGACGTCTCTGCCATTTACGAACCAGTGTTGAGAGCTATGTACGAATTGCTAAACACAGCGGACCAAAAGGCTCTTGCTGCGGAAGATGACGAGGCTACAAGAGAGATTGTCGACAGAGCATATGCCAATGCCACTGGTTGCGTCGCTAGAATGGCCTTGAAGAACCAAGCTTTGGTTCCTCTTGAGCACACGCTGCCCGCGCTTTTGAACCATTTGCCTTTGAACACCGGTTTCGAAGAGTACGATCCTATTTTTGAGCTTATTATGAAACTATACCAATCTAACAACAATTTGATTGTCAACGAGACTCCTAAAGTGCTCGACTTCCTTGAGGCTGTGTTTACCAAAGAAGCCGAAAGAGTCAAGCTGGAACAAGAGTCTACTTTGGGCAGAGAAGAAAACATGGATAGAATGAAGCAGTTTCAATCCGCCGAGATGCAGGCTAAGGTTGTTGATCTTCTAAAATATTTGAACACCACTTACAATGGTGCTGTAGCCCAAAAGGCCGTTTTAGCCCAAGTCATTGCTTAATGAGCTTCTGCTAAACTTCACTTGTAAATTATCGAAATTGGACATTCATTGCGTATCCTACGTATACCTAAGTGTGATCTATATATTTCTCATACACAAACCACCTCAGTAATTTTATAAATTGCCCAACGCTATGCGTATCGTGTTTGAAATCAAACGCAGCCGCAACCGCAAAAGGAGGATCCCTTGATTATAATTTAGGCTGAAGAAGGCTACAACCGATGAAAACATAAGTCTTGTGGAAGTTTGTTGGCACTATATAGGCACGAAGTCCGAAGCCGCGCTGCAGATCTTTATCGCCAAGATGGAGTTCATAATCACTCTGTACTATTTTGTCATTGCGATATAATAGATCGATATGAGCAGGCGCGTTTATAGCCAGGATCGTTTCTAAGATTTTGGTTATTGTTTTGTTCGTCATCAAAAGAGCTTCTCATAAGTGGTTCAATTGGCTCGAAACCTCGATACCATCACCAGCATGAAGTCCGTCAATCGCATCCTGCATCAAACCACGCTAATCTGCCATGATCAGCAGTATTCGTCAAGACTAATTCAATTCAAACCGTTTCTGCGCAGTTTGGCGTGGAGGCATTAAGTTATAAACCATCTGAGTCGGCATCAGAATCCCCAAATTTTGTAATTCAAGCCTGAAAACTTTTCAGGCTCCAGCATGAATCTGCACATTCAAAGCGACAATATGGATATTGCGGTTGCCTAGCTGGGGAAAACCTCTGGATAATTGAAACGATCAATGGATGTCTAGTTAGTTTTCCGTGTTGTCCACTTCGCATCGAGTTGGAACGGACTATACACGACGTCCCCGTGTTTAGTGCTTCAATATGATATGACCATAAAAATATCCGTTGAGTGGACGGACCAACTATGCTACTTTTAGTTGTTGATATCCATTGCAGCCCATTGGCATCCAATTAGTATGAAAAAGAGTGATCTTGGCAGTGGTGAAAGGCCCGCTGAAGCGAGCAGCGAAATCGAAATGAGCGACAAGAAGCAGGACTCTGTCAATTCACCTTCGATCAATGTTCGCAAAGACCTGAAAGACGTTATTCACTATATGATCTTTAATCCTGAGGCCAATCATATCATCATGCCACTATTGTTGGCTGCAGAGTTTTTGGCACTGAAGTGGATCGTAACCAATGTGGCTTACACAGATATTGATTATGAAGCGTACATGGAGCAAATCTGGACAATCCAGGATGGAGAGACTAATTATAAAATGATAGAGGGTGGTACGGGTCCTTTGGTATATCCTGCAGGTCATGTTTGGATATATCGGCTGATGGAAAATGTCACGTCTGGGTTGGACAACGTGAAGGCCGGGCAAGATGTTTTCCGTTACCTGTATCTTGCGACGATGATGTTGCAGATGGTATGCTACGTATTACTGCAACTACCTCCTTGGTGCGTGGTCCTGGCTGTTATGTCGAAGCGTCTACACTCCATTTACGTCTTGCGCTTATTCAACGACTGTTTTACTACTTTCTTCATGACCCTTACAGTGTTACTTTTGCTGTTCTCAGCTCGTTGGCAGAGAAGAGCCTTTTGCGTTCTTGCTAGCGCCAGCTACTCCATGGCGATAAGTATCAAGATGAACGCTCTGCTATTCCTGCCAGGGGTTTTATTGTCCATATTTCAACTCACCGGCGGGCACTTGGCGTTTACCCTGGGGTGTTTGGGAATTATGGCAGGCTGGCAATTCTACGTAGCGCAAATCTTCATTCAGCAAAACCCACGCGAGTACTTCTCCACAGCATTTGATTTCGGGCGTCAGTTCATGTACAAGTGGAGCGTGAATTGGCAGTTTGTCGACGAGGAGGTATTCGAGAACCCGTGGTTCCATCGTGCTTTATTGGTAAGCCATTTGGCAGTCTTATCTTTATTTTTGGTAACGCGCTTCTGCTCAAGTTTCTCCGAAATTCGGACCTCGTTTAAGGCTTTGAAACATCCCTTTACCCCAGTTCTGCAATCTTACCGCAGCGTCAAGACATTGGATGTAGGTTACACCCTGCTGGTAACTAATTTTGTGGGCGTGATGTTTGCGCGTTCATTGCACTATCAATTTCTTTCATGGTATCATTGGACGTTACCAGCTCTATTAAACTGGTCTTCGCTGCCACCAATTGTAGCATTTGCATGGTATGCTGCGCATGAATACTGCTGGAACAGCTACCCTCCAAACTCAGTTGCTAGTGCCCTGATGTTTGGCCTAAATAGTTTTCTGGTGATCTTGGTATTTGTCAAGAATCGCACTTCGCAACACGACATCAAGAAATCGCAATGACTTGATACCTGAAGCATTTTGAGCAAGATGTAGAGTAAAAAGACTATGAAATCATTTATGTGTGTATCGCACGCGAGATTCTAATGGGTGGAAGTACCACAATATTCTTGAGCGGGTTATGGAGAATTAAAAGGAAAGTCTTGATTTCTTAGAAACCCAGCTTGAAGATCGTGGGCCGAATTGAATAGTAATTCTTACTCAGTGTAGTTACGTTAATTTCTTATACTGATGTGGCTCTTGACATTTTGACACTACTCAGAGCAACATACTTTAACCAAATCAATATCTTGACCTTATGACATGTCTTTATTTTTGCAGGACTGCCTAGCTGATCTCGAAATGATTATGGCAGCATAGCTGAGCAGTGCATATTGATGTCGCTGCATCATGCAGTTACCCACTGTTTTCAACTTACGTATAGATAAACCTTTTTCGCATTTGAAGATGTAAAAGCGCTTGTCGAACAATGATAGTCTTCAAGCTCTCTATTCCTGTAGTTTGACACTTTAATCTCCATCGCCTGCTGCTAGGAAAAGCTGTTTGAAGGTTAGAGAATCGGTTGATAAGCAGCTTCTGTTTCCTAAAGCTTTCTGATTATTCTCTTTGAGGGCCTTATGTTAATGCCCATTCTTGTATGCGCTTTATGGTTTGAACGATACATTCAGCAGGTACAGTTCGAGTAGCTACTAAGTAGCGTTCCTGTGTATCCCATGACAACCTATCTGCACTATTTTCGATCTAGAATGGAGTTGTAGCTTGCAAACGTTCTACTCTCAAGAAGAAATAACACCGTTCAGTGAGGTTGATAACACATTAATATCGGGCTAGCTTTTCTATCTCTAGAGCTTTTTGGTTTAACATGGCGGAGCCTTTGGATATGAAATACTGCGTAAGAGGTAGAGAGAGAGAGAGGGAGAGAGATTCAGTTCCTAAACCCGTTACTGATGAAGTCTGATCAGGTTCGATAACTTAGAACGCAAAGTCGTGAACTTTTTTCTTCCTGAGAGAACGACTCTAATACTAATAGCAAGACGTCGAGTCCTCCGTCTAAATATCGAGGGTTTTCGAGGCCATAAATGGAGTAAGCCATTTCTCGTGCGGCGAAAAAGCCGTAGAGGCTGGAATTGGGATCAAGACATCTACCACTGGCTTCACTGCTGTAATTGGAGCCGATTTTACAACCGAAATCCGAAACTCGAGTTTCGATTTTGAGCTCCGGAAGGGCTGAGAAATGCGGTAGTCGAGCAGCTGAAGTGCAAGCCACCGCACAGATAATTGTGCCGTCCTGTAGATATCCGCAAGCAATAACAGCTACTGCTTTAATTTACCCAAGCACATCTTCGCATGTATGCGCCCATAGACCAGTTTTTCGTCTCATTTCACAAATACTTCGAGCGAGTTTACACAGTGGACTTGGAGGTCGTTCATCGTGTGCACGTTACGGCACGTCTCTTCCCTGAATACCTACCACATTACACAGAGACCTCAGTTTGGCGACCACTTTTTACCCAAAACCAGCCCTGAAAATCCCAGTCTGGGCCTGCTCCATAGAACAATAGTTTTGAGCAGCACTCCAGCTCAATAATTCAGTACTACCATCTCGTATCTCATTGCTCTCCTACGGTGATGAGCCCTTACCTCGTCGTTCCGTACTTCGTGATACAGATTTACCTCATCGAGTTGTCAATTTTCTTGAAATTTTCTATTGAGGGGCCCATAAGTCTCGACAACTCCGAATATTGGGATTGACGATCGAAAAGCGATAAAAAAGGCCCTAATTGAGTGCTTTCAAGACCGGAAAGTAGCTTTTTCGAGTGGCAGGCGCATTGTCATAGCAAATTTGGTGGGTAATAGTTAATAAGCTGGCATATTTGACCGCCATCGTCTTCACACATTTGTTAATAACTTGCAGCGGATCTAGCATTGTCGAGATTTGAGTGAGAAATTTGGAAAAACAGGAATATTCGCGAAAAAAGGCCAGCCAGCGCACTGCAAATGACTTCAAACGCGACCCCGGGACTCGGCGGAACACGCAGCAGCGAGCAGTTCGCGCAACACGCGAATGCAACGCGCAACGTGCGACCTCAGCCAAGCAAAGCAGGATCCAGAAACCACGCAAATCCAGCTGCTGTAGGTGCCACACCGCTGCCTCACACTGACAGCGCGCGTGGCTCGGAGCCGGAGCCACGAGGAACCTCGAAGCGGCTCCTAAACGCATATATATACGACTTCCTATCGAAATCTTCGCTTTCTGAAACAGCAAAAGCATTTTCACAAGAAGCCATCATAGAGGAGAACGGCAAGCGAATTTCGAATCACACAGCTTTCAAGCCGCAGAATGATGCACCTCAGGGATTTCTTTATGAGTGGTGGCAGATTTTTTGGGATGTCTTCAACGCCAGAACCCATCGAGGTGGGTCTGACATGGCTCAGCAGTATTTCCAGTTGCAATTCGACTCAAGACGGCAAGAACACACGTATCGAAATGTGGCGATGCATGCTGCGCGCATGCAGCAACAAGTAGAACAACGAGGGGAGTATCAAGGCGAGGTTTTTGATCCCATGATGTTTGCCATGATGTTTTCCAGCAACACAAATGCGACCACCGAATCAAGAAAACCGAACGATAGCAGCCGCAACGGGTATGCAGGTCAATCACCTGCTCATAGACAGCCCGCTCGAACACAGCAGCCGCAGCGACAACAGCAGCCCTCGGATTACTCGCAAACTCAACTACAGCAAGCTCAAGCTCGGGCCCAACAGTCCCAACAGGCTCAAGTTGACTCTCAGCAGATTCAACAGGCTCAGCAAGCTCGACAGGCTCAGCAGGCTCAGCAGGCTCAACAGGCTCAACAAGCTCAGCAGGCTCAACAAGCTCAACAAGCTCAGCAGGCTCAGCAAGCTCAGCAAGCTCAAGTACGGGCTCAACAGGCTCAAGCGCAGGCTCAGCAGGCTCAACAGGCTCAAGTGCAGGCTCAACAAGCTCACCAAGCACAAATTCAAGTCCGCATGCAAGCTCAGGCACGAGTTCAACCACAAGTCCAGTCTCAGCAGCTAGCACAGTCTGCGCTACATACACAGCAAGTGAGACAACGCACACCTATGGCGGCGACTCAATCACGACAGGAGCAATCAAAACAAACTCAGGCGCAGGCACAGGCACAACAACAGCATCAGCAACAACAGCAACAACATTCACAGCATCCACAACATCTGCAGCAGTTACAACATGCTCAACATATGCAGCAATCACAGGTCCAGCAGCAGCAGCAACATCAGCAACCTGTTTATACACAACATCCACAGCAGCAACATCAACCACAATCCCAAATCTTTCCTCAGAATATGTTGATGATGAACGGAGGAAACCCAATGGTAGTACCCGGCGCTAATCTTCCTATGTACATGAATTCAGCGATTCCTGTTAAAGCAGGTTTCCCACCTGGCTATATGCAGCAGGTGGTTCCTCCTCAAGTACAGCAGCAGCAGCAGCAGCATCGCCAGCAGCAGCAGCAGCAACAACAACAACAACAACAACAACAACAACAACAACAACATTCGCAATCGCAACCACAATCACAACAACAACAATCACAATCACAACAACAACAACAACAACAACAACAACAACAACAACAACAACAACAACAACAACAACCGCAACCTCAACCGCAACCTCAACCGCAGCCGCGACCTCCATCGCAAGTTCAATCTCAACCTCAAATTCAATCGCAACCGCAACCGCAACCGCAACCGCAACCTCAGCAGCAACCTCAGCAACCGCACTCGCATCCACAGCCACAGCAGCAACCGCAACAACAACTGCATCAAGCGCAACAGCAGCATCATCAGCAGCATTTGCAACAGTTACAACACCATCAACTACTTCAGCAGCAGCAAGAACAACAACGACATCAACAACAACAAATGCAACAACAACAACAATTGCAACGACAGCAGCAGCAGCAACAGCAACAACAACATCAACACCAACAACACCAACAACATCAACAATACCAACAACATCAACAACATCAACAACAGCAACTAACTCAGCAACAACAACAACAACAACAACAACAACAACAACAACAACAGCAGCAGCAGCAGCAGCAACATCAGAAGCACCTACACCAACAACAACAGCAGCAGCAGCAGCAGCAGCAGCTACAGCTACAGCAGCAACAAAGACATCCACAGTCTTCACGGAATGATGTGCGGCACTCGCAGAATCAATACGAATCTAACGCTTCAAGTCACTCAAAGACACCCTCGTCAAAGAGAAAGAGTCAAGCAAGTGCTGCCTCGCCAGAAGTTCCTGAAAACTTAAAATCTGATGCACACCCTTCCAGCATGGAAGGTCTCTACAATTACCAAAAACAGCTGCTGATGCTGGAAAAGGAGAATGAAAAGGTGATGACGTATCGATCTACCGCCTCGACTCCGGGAATTACGATGAACAAGACTAATCCAGCGGCGGCTTACGCAGGCGCATCGCCATTGGCTATAAACTTAATGAACAGTCCGGCAAGCCTAGGACCAGCTCCTTTAAAACCAAGAGAATTTCCTAGACGAAAATCAGCCACTGCACAAGCAAGTGGCACACTAATCAATTCGAGCAAGAAAAATATATCAGAGCCTGTGACACCTGTAGGACCCATGACCCCTGCTAGTGGTAATCTTGGCAAACACATGCCACCTAGCTCACTCACTACACTTACCGAAACTCCTATGGAAGGCTCAAATGAACTGACTGATGGACATGCGAGTAAAAAGATCGCACAAAAGAGAGTCAAAAAGCCTAAGAAACTACAGGCATCTAATTCGTCTTTGGGAATGCCAACACATCCATCCTCGCCGTTGATGGACAATATTCTGGATCCCAAGAAAAAATACCATCGCAGCAAGCCGAAGAAACCTAACGCAGTGTCAACCGTGAAAACTAGCAACAGAGTGGCGCGGTCAGCTGGGGCCACTCCTTTGAATACTGAAGATGCACATCCTGGGAGCTCAAGCAGTAACGACACTGGAAGCAATACCGGAATGTTTAGGGCTTCGGTGGCCACGGACCCTACGCCCCAAACGGATTTCGATCCATTGGGACAAACTGATCCTACTTTGGGCGCTACGACTTACAACTTCGAGGAAGAAGACATATTCAGCATCAGCAGCGAGATTCTTGACAAACCTGCTCCTTCAAAGAGCTCGTCGTCGAAGCCAAGCTCGCATCAGTCGCAGGATCCGTCGCAAAACCAGGCACCAATTGACGAGCCATTCGATTTGGACTTTCTCGACCCCAATTCGAACATGAACTACACCGATTTGAATATGCTTAATTGGCAGTAATACGCTAGATTTCCTTGCCAAAGCAGAATCAAGACAACTAGTGGGCAGTAGATACTCGAAAGAAATAGAAACTTAGTTAAGAGCAGATATTGGTTAAAGGCGTCAGTCAACCACCCGACAAATGAGAAGAAACATCGGCAATGTTGACTAGACGGGGAACCCTGAAGAGTCGATAAATTCACTTTTTAGAGATCACGTTTTTAAAGATTAATTTCGGGATCTCACAGGACCTAAAAAATTTGACATCAAGTTCCTGTTAGTAGAATCAAGAAGACGAATATCGCATTTACATCACTTGAAAAGCCCATTTAGACTGTATCCTTAGATCAATTCACAATACTATAATGTCTTTTTATGGAAGCAATCGATCCACAGGGGCTTTACCGGTGTCCAAGGTGAATTCTGCAGAAAAAGACTTGGCAAATGACATTGTGATCCAAAATCCTGCGGAAGACTCCATTTCAGACATAGCATTTTCGCCTCAGCAAGACTTTTTATTTAGTGTAAGTTCTTGGGACAAGAAGGTCCGTGTTTGGGACATCAATGGCGGCATCCCACAGTGTAGAGCTGAATATCAGCACCAAGGACCTGCGCTCACAACAAGATGGTCTGACGATGGTACTAAGATCGCCTCTGGTGGGTGCGACAATGCTGTTACCATGTTCGATGTGGCCAGCGGCCAGTCTCAGCAAATTGGAGCTCACGACTCAGCGGTAAAATGTCTAAGATTTGTCAAATGCGGACCAGCTAACACGGAATGTCTAGTGACCGGTTCGTGGGACAAGACGGTACGGTACTGGGATATGCGACAACCACAACCGGTCTCGACACTGACCTTACCGGAGCGGGTGTACTGCATGGATTCAAAGCAAAAGCTACTCGTAGTTGGCACAGCTGAACGACACATAGCGGTCATTGATTTGAACAATCCAGGTACTATTTTCAAGACCACCATGTCGCCGCTCAAATGGCAAACTAGGACTATTTGCTGCTATATCGAAGGAAACGGATACGCAGTGGGATCCGTTGAGGGCCGCTGTGCTTTTCAATACGTGGATGAGCAAGAACAGCGGAAGTCTGGGTTTTCTTTCAAGTGCCATAGAGTGCAGCAGCAGGCTACTGGTTCTGCTGGAGGACGTTCCACAACAGAGTCTCAGGTTTATCCCGTTAACAGTATCGTGTCCCACCCACTTTACGGTACTTTTGCCACGGCGGGCGGCGATGGAACTTTTCATTTTTGGGACAAAAACCAACGACACAGACTCAAGGGCTTCCCCTCACTGCAAGCATCAATTCCAGTTTGCAATTTCAATCGCAACGGCTCGGTATTTGCGTATGCTCTCAGCTACGACTGGCATCAAGGACATACGGGCAACAGGCCAGATTATCCCAACGTACTTCGTCTGCATCCTACCACTGATGAGGAAGTGAAAGAGAAAAAGAAGTAGTTTTAAGAATGGTAGGCATACGAATAATAAGGGCAAGGAAAGAGATGAAAAATTGCCATTAGACACTCAAAACGAACCGCTGCTTTGGCTGCTTTGCGGAGATGCTGACAGAAAAGTCAACTTTTATCAATTTAGTCGTTGTTCACAAGTACTACGATTCAATAGTGGTGTTCAGTTAATGCTAAGATTCAGTCCCCCTGTACGCCAATGATCGTCATTTGTTTCAAGAACCCGTTGTTTACAATGTTTATTGGCTCGCATTGGGCTCATGATCATGATTGTTGATTGAGCTTTTACGGTTAAGAAGTTAATTTTTGAAAAATTTTCCAGGCCCGTATGGTTTTTGAAAAATAATATAACTTGAGAAATTAGCAAGCCAATAGAAACACGAGCCAAGACTCGGTTTTGAGGAAGTTCAACACGTTCAATTGCGAGCACTGAATCGGACTGTTGGATCAAGTGGATCTTCGACGTATCTGACTCAAACTTGAATTGAATTCTCAGCGTATTCAGTGCATTTAAAAGTATCACTGCTTCCAATTGATCCCGAACGATATAGAAGAAATGCCTGGCCAAATCGTGAGCGTTCCGTTTCTGTCGCAGGTCGAGGACATGGACAAATACTTGCTGGAATACCGAAGCCTCAAGGTGATGCCGCAGAATGCTGTTAACTTTCAGCAGCAGCAGCAACAGCAGCAGCAAGTGCGCTACCCTAACCAAAGTCGGGCGCCCGTGACGGGAAATCAGGTTATGAACATGGGCTACAACATGTCAAATGGGCGGAAAAAAGCGGTGGGAAGCAATTCGGGAATGCAGAACTATTGTCTTGGAAAAAGTGGGCCCAAGTTTGGACAGTTGCAACAAGCGCAACAGCAGCAGCAGCAGTCTTCGTCTGGTTCCGGCTTCAAGCAAGGTTTTCCTCAGGTGTTTTATGGATCCGCTAATAACAGCAATACATCACTTGCTCAGCAAGCCATGCCTCCTCAAGTATATGCGCCAGGACCAGCCGGTCAGCAACAGTTCATGACAGCAAGTTCGTCTTCGAGCTCTACTCCACCCCCTAGACTGCATGTTTCGGTCAGCGGGACCTCTTCTATCTCTTCCTTGAGTGGAGATTTTGACTACCTTCTACCTAACGACTTGAACGGCCAATTATTGCCCTCCGTTCCATCGCAGGGGTCGCCCAACGTGGCTAGTACAGCTTCTTGCCCCACTAGGGCTACGACAAGCACTTCTGGTCCTGTCAGACCTCATCATGGCAACATGAATCCAATGGCTGCTGCACCTTTAGGTGGAAGCTATTTGGATTCCATGCCAGCTGCTCCTTCAACGACTTTTAAGGCCGAAGGCAGCATTTCGAATTCTAATGATTTTATCAACGGATTACCGTCATCCTTGTTGTCTGATGGCACGGCCTCTTCAGAGTTCGCGGGTCATAATGGACAAGATTTTATGTCAAGCAATTCAGCTGCCTATCCAGGATCTAATACTTCGAGTCACTTTATGATGCCCAATTCCAAAAGCTGGGGCGCAAGCAACCCAACTTCGTCTTCAAACTCTGGGTCATTTGGTATTTGGAATAATGACATGAGCGTTTGGAGCTGATGTTTTATGAAGTAGGTGGGGAACTCAGGGACGAGCCCTACTAATTTTATTTTTTTTATTTCACAATTTCATTCCGCTGTATCAATGGAGGCCATAGGAACAGCGGGCTACTGGGACGACAATTTTTCATTATTATTACGAAAACTGATTTTATTTTATTTTCCCGTTGGTTAGGAGGGGTTTTAAGCAAACGCTTAGCTTTTTAGGGGTCTGGTTGGCAGATGGATCGATCCTGGGGTGGTGTATTTGAAGTCGTCGTGACGCTTTCTGTAGGCTGTCATGACAAATGAGTTTAAAAGTTAATCTGGAGCTATAATTAAGAAACGCATTTGTGTTTTACAAAAGAATGGTTAACACGTAGATAGAGTTGTATTCACAATATTTGTTTATCGAGCATTTAATAAGTTTCTATTTACAGCCGAATGCATCACCATGTAATTTTCAACAATTTTTTGAAGGTTTGTTCAAATAGCTGTGGTTTTACGCGGCCCTGAGAGAGACGCATTCCTTGGCCCACTAGAAATTTGAGAGAGTTTTTTTTCTTGCCTGTAATGATTCCCTCAAGTAGTTTCGGATCGTTCAACTGAGACAGGATGTCCGAGCATATTTTTTTCAGTTCTTCTGGATCAACATCTTGTATTGCATTGAGTTCAAAGTTGTCTATTAGCGCGGAAAGATCAACTGGGAGGAGATCAATTGAGCCCTTTGCGCCTTCGAGAATGTGAAACAATAAAAGTTTACCACTTGCTTTCGACAACGTACCTTCATGAATCAAAACTAACAACTCAGCAAATTTTGAGGGGGTTAAGGTCTGTAACGCTTTACTTAGTGGAAATTGCAGCCTATTCAGATTGCCTAGCAGCTCGTGTATGATCCAATTAGTAGGTAACTTGGGATTGATGTCTTCCTTGACATGTGCCAGGTATTCTTCGAAAGTGTCAAGGTAGAATGTTAACAATTCGCTTTGAGTGTACTGTTGATCACGACCATTGCCATTTACGGTAAGAATCTTTGCATCCTTCAAGGATAGGAAATATGGCTTCGACATCAACCGCCGTAGAATTTCATCCGGAAGTACTGGTAACGATGTTTTCACGCCAGCGACAACATCTGGAGAAAGTTCAATAAGCGGAATTTCGGGATCCGGCATATACCTGTAATCGATGGTAGTTTCTTTACTTCTTAGCTTTACAGTGGAAGATCCGGTCCAGCCTCGCGTTTCAGGCGTGGACAGAAGTTCATCTGCATCGCCTCTTCGTATAATATCCACTTGCCTCTTGTATTCGAACTTTACTGCATTCATAATCGAGCTAGTATTAGGCAAATTTTTTAGCTCGACTCGGCAATAGTCGTTGATTGACATGTTAACGTCAACTCTCATAGCCCCGGTCTCTAAATCTCCAGTAGATATCCCCAAGTGGCGGACAAGATTTTGGTACTTTTTGATGAAAGACCGTATTTGTTTGAGATCGGTGAAATTAGGGAGCGTAACCATTTCTATGAGCGGAACATTGGATCTATTGAGGTCAATAAGTGAGACATGCTCAGACTCCCTATAGATAGACTTGCCGGTATCTTGTTCTATCTGCAATTGCATGATATCAATCTTTATATGCTCCTGATCTATGCCGTCCAGCGCTTTCGTGAGTTCAATCGAGCCTCCTTTAGCCAGCGGGTTGTAATGTTGTGTAATTTGGTATCCTAAAGGTTGATCTCCGTAGAAATAGTGTTTACGGTCAAATTGTGAGCTTAAGTTGACTTCGCTTTTGAGTGCTACCGCAAGTTTAACTGCGAAAAGAACCGCCTCTAGATTCAGATTTGGTTGCGTGCCCGGAAGGGCAACGTCAAAAAACGATGTGTGGAAGTTCGGTACATTAGCTGATGCAAAAGGATCATTTGTAGAATGTGAGAATAACTTGTTTTGGGTACTTAATTGAGTATGAATCTCAAGGCCGCATTTGAGCTTGAAATCTGGTAACAGGTGGAAATCCTGTTTCACAGCTTTGGATCCATAGTTTCGAGCTAATCGGATCATTAGTAAAGGGCCTTCAAAGAATAGAGCTCTAACTTTCGTTGGTCATCGTCTACATAAGATGTTCAAGATTCCAACTTGAATAGTCACTGTTGACGTTTCGAAATGACAGCTAGTTGCAATGTAAAATGATCATTCTCTAGAGGTTAGGGAGTACGCTGTTGCCTTTTCTTAAATTAACGATCTCAAGATAATCTAGTATACTGGGATACTTCGATCGATTAGTGCTAGACTGGCTGGCTTGTCAAAACATGTGCTTCAACGACTATCATGGTTCGGCACTTGCTAATGATATGGACATGACTTGGTAACTAAACTCGTGTGATGAAACACTGTTAAATGGATTTGCTCTGTTGCAGCAGTGAAACGGTGCTAAAACGGAAAACACTATATTAGAATTCGAACTTTGTTTTCAGATCATGTTGAAAGTTAGCACATTACAATGAAATATAAAAAGCTCGACACGAACTTTTTGAGCAAAGGAAATACAATGTGTTGTGGGTATAATTTGATCAATTGAGATCATGGCTCTTGAATTCCTCGTCATTGGAAATTTTAGGGTCTTTTGCAAGTACGCAACCTAACTTATTATGTCGGTGCATACGACAATTATCAAATGCTTTCTCTTCAAGGGACACAGATATTGAGGACGACTCCCTTAGAAGTTCCGCTGGATCCAGAGGTTCCTCAAAAATGGAGCTCTGGTTCCTCTGTGCGAGAAAAGAGTGAGGCATGACGTTTCTTCTGCTGCGTACCCTGTCAGTGGTTTTCAAATTCGACCCTGACGATAAAGGAGACGTTGGCGCACATTCACCAATGAACAATTGATCCATGGAGAATTCTTCAAGCTTATTCAATTCTTTGGCGGTTCCGTTGAGATTTGGAGGCAGTTTCCAGTCTGACCAAATACTCTGATAGACCTGGTTACGATAGCAGCCGTTGCGGAGGTTGGTAAGCTGGACTTTAAATTGCTCGGGTATCATCTCTAAATCGAAGAGCAGCAGGTTCCGGAAGTCAGTGAGCGGTAACTTAACCCTTTTTAAACGGTGACAGAAGGGATGACCACACGAAGTAGTGTCCATCTCTCGCTCGCATATAGTGAATTGCAAATGTTCCAAAGCGTGCTGGCTCAAGGTATCGGGCGCTGCAATTGAATCCTGGTTGCTCTGCATATCTGAACTACGAGGTCTTAGTTCCGGACTACCTACTTTGCTGCCAGACAGCGGTGCAACTTCTAAGAAGCTTTCCATACTATTTTTGAAGATAGCTTCGGCAGGTTGCTGCTTCTTGGCATGAACAAGCTTCCTTTTCTCAATCTTGTATTTTCGATTCCCTCTAGGTTCGGCCACATTTGTGTCTTTCGCACGTAGCGCCTTCATTATACAGTAAAAGCTATAGACTTCGAAAATGCTCTAACCACTATCTAATAAACCCCAGAGTTGAGTACTAGTTTCCCAGTAGATTAAGTTCTATTATCTCTATCGTCAATTTCATTTACTGACATGACACAAAAATCTGGCACCAAACCTTTCAAATGTCACTAAAAAGCTAAGGTGATAATTAACAACGTTACCCGCACAAAAAGATTCAAAATTTTTTAAAACTTATATCAGATGTACAGGATGAAGCGCTTGTAGATGCTCAAGATCAGTGTAAACATTGGTCGGTTTGCGAGCTTTAATACTGTTTTTGAACTATGTCTATATATTCCACGCCTTTGAAGAGCGGGATTGACTATAGCAGGACAGTTTTGGGTCCATCAAACGTGGGAATTGGCGGAAATGACATGACAAACGACGTAAAAAGACCCTTGGGTACTGAGCATGGTTCGTTGATGGTCTCTGGCTTCAACATGGTGGGTCCAGCGGCCACGATAGGTAGTGCCACCGGTGAGGAGCACCTTCGAGTATCTGATTTCGCGGACAAGCCTCCGCTGGAGTTGGCTAGCCAATACATCGACCACATGCAGAACCGGGATTCCAGCAGTCCTGTGTTAGACGAGCGTTCTTACTATAACAATGGCGTTAACTATAACTTTAGCAAGGAAGTTGGCGGCTTGGGAGCTTTTACACCGCTGGAACGCACTCAAGTTATCAATATTCCGGACGTGATTTTGCGTGAGGCGGCCAAGGCTGAAATCAAGAGCGATATGGGTCTCTTCCCCGAGCTCAATCGGTGTTGGATAACTATCGATAACAAGTTGATCTTGTGGAATCTGGACCACGCGTCTGATTTCCAGTCTATAGACGATATCAAGCACACGATTCTGTCAGTAGCATTGGTCAGACCAAAACCCAATACTTTTGTTGAGTCCGTCAATCATTTACTCCTCATTGCTACTCCATTTGATATTTATGTGCTTGCAATCGAACATAATGCAAGCACTTGTGAGCTTGCGGTGTTCAACACCGGCATGTGCATATCTGTCCATGGGTTAGACGTGAGCAACTTCGTATCGTGCGAAAAAACTGGGCAAATATTTTTCTCGGGGAAATCGAGTGGCACCAATATCTGGGAACTTCAATACTCTAGCACCGAGGATTGGTTCAACAGTAAATGCAATAAAGTGTGTCTGACACAATCAATTTTCAGTAGTTTACTACCAACGAATTTAATGTCAAAAATTCCCGGAAGCAACTTAGTACAATCATTTTTCGAAGAAAGCTCCAAATACTCTACTGAACATCTAATACAAATTTGTGTTGATGAATCTAGAGATATTCTGTATTCCCTGTCCAACAAATCTGCTATACGTGCCTACAAAATCAATGGAAAGCATTTGGAAGGCCCACTTTCGATCGAAACATCATATATCAAGCGTATCATGGGCACCACGTCGGCCAGAGGCGCTGCAATCTTGGGCAATAAATATTTGAAGATCTCCAAACTGACTGTTGTCTCAGGAACAGAAAATAGCAATCTATTTTTAGTGGCCATAACAGTCGGCGGTGTTCGAATCTATTTCAACGGCTCATCGAACAAAACGCATCTGGAAGCTTTGAGACTGGAGTCGATAAAGTTTCCGCCAAGTTCCGTCACCCCAGAAGCTATACAACAGGAGCTTCAACAGCAGCAGCAGAAAAAGAATGTGCCATTTTATTCGTCGCTCGCAAGCTCCGAGTCGGTTATGCTGAAATTTCAAAAAAAATCCTCGGTGCTTTTAGAGTCAACTCAAGCAAGCACGATTATATCGCCCGGCATTTTCTTCTCTGCGGTGTCGAAAGTATCCCAGCACGATAATGCCGGACCTGCACAAGATCAGCTATCTGGTCAACAACAAAAGTCGAACCCAACAGTTCATTGGGCTGGTGGACTACCTCCTGTCCAATCACAAACTTCAGGTGCTGAGCCATCAAGCACTCACGTACCGCAACAAAAGTTGTTTGTCTCTATCCCTGATTACGGTATTTTAAAAAGGCATGGAAAGTATGTGGAAAACGCTACTCTACTAGACACTTCGGGAATTGTGAAACACATTGTGCCGATAAGTCCCTTATTCAATGCCACAAATAAGCCGGAGGGCTATGCAAACGAGTTTGCAACTCAATATACTTCCTCTGAGTTCAAAGTCGCTGTTCTTACAAGCTCAACTGTGGAAATTTACAGATACAGAAACCCTGACGCTGTATTTGAATCCTTAATTGAAAATCCCCTACCCTTTGTTTTAAACTATGGTTTAACTGAAGCATGTTCCACTGCTCTCTTTGTTACTTGTAAGTTCAACAAGTCTGAAGCGTTAAGATCGAATGCTCTAACATTTTTCGCAGTTGGCTTGCCAGGAGTAACAGACATCAAGCCAAGATACAGCACCTTTGCTTCATCTGCGATTCCCACTATATTATCCAAACCCTCCATGATTTCTACTCCTCAAAGACCTTCTTCGGAGGCAGACAAGGTAGGCTTCGCCTTGTCAAGGACTGATGACAACTTTAACTTGGGAGATGTTGTATTATCGCCCAGATTCTATGGTATTGCCCTATTCATTGCCAGGCTTTTCAGAGATATTTGGGATAAACCGGTCTTTGTGAAAAATCCTACCGCAAAGTTCGACTTACAATCTAAGTTGAGGAAGAATTTGGCCAACGAGGATAATCTCATTGATTCGATATCGAGTATCAAATCTGATGTGGAGTACTATCTTTCTTCTGTTATGATTTTGAATGATTTCTTTGATACTTACGGAAACACTATCTCTAGCATATCAATCCCCTCATTTCAGAATGCAAAAAATGTTGACAGGTCTGAGGAAGTTGCCAATCAAGCAGAAAACATCGCGATTAACTCTTTAATCAAACTAATTCACTCGATGAAAGAAGCTTTTTCGTTTCTGAACGTCTTGTTCGAAGAGAGTGAAGTTGAGGGCTACGAAGGTCAATATTTGGCTTTCAAGGATATCATCAAGTTTTTGAATCTCGAAACTCAAGCTGAATTAATCAAGCTTAACTACAAAGATATTTTCGCTCCTAATGAAACCACTAAAAATCACTTGCGGGAGATCTTATCCTCTATTATCAACAGGAACATTTCAAGAGGGGGCTCCATTGAATATATTGCCACTGCATTACAGGAAAGGTGTGGATCATTTTGTTCAAGTAGTGACATTTTGGGATTCCGCGCAGTGGAACACCTAAGGAAAGCTAAAGAAATTGGTTTGCGCGATCACGAGACGTCCAACTATCACCTAACCACGGCTATCAAATTATTTGAGAAGATTGTTGACACCATTTCAATTGAAAGACTGAAGGAAGCTGTTTCAACTATGATAGATTTGAACTACTATCCTGGCACTATAAAGTTTTTGCTGAACATAGCAAATTCCATGGATAAAGGTAAACTTGCATATCAGTATGTGGCGGATGGTTATTTAGAACAAGATCCACGAAAGACATATTACGAAAAGCGTATTCTTGCTTATGAACTTGTCTTTGAAACGTTAGTGAGAGTCGATGAAATGGTGTCAGCTGCTGTCTCTACTGGAATTCCTAGTTTGAACAATGTTGAGGAATTGTCAAAACTAAAGGAGGAGAGTTACGCTACAGCTTTGAAGTACAATGACAAACTTTTCCATTATCATTTGTATGATTGGCTGGTATCTCAAAACTCACAAGAGAAACTATTACAATTGGATACCGATTTCAGTTTGATGTATTTACAAGAAAAATCTAAGGAGTCTTTGGAAATCTCGAATTTGCTGTGGGTTTACCAGTCAAAGAGATCTCATTTCTATTCTGCTGCTCAGATTTTGTACTCTTTAGTCATATCCGACTTCGAAATAAACTTAGGGCAGCGCATTGAGTACTTATCCAGAGCTAACGGATTTTGTAATAGTGTTTGTGCACCAAACCAACGGCAACAAATGATTCATCTAGCCGGCATGATTCAAGAGATATTTGACGTGGCTAGTGTCCAGGATGACATTTTGACGTTGGTAAAAAAAGATCTGAGAATTGCTTCGGACACTAAACAAGAACTGATAAAGCATTTGGACGGCAAAATTTTACCCGTCAGTGACTTATTTAATGATTATGCGGATCCCATGGAGTACTATGAGGTTTGCTTGGCGATATTCAGGATCTCAGATTTCAGAAATAATGATGAAATCATCTCCAAATGGACACAGTTGTTTGATTCGCTAAAAATTGAGTTGAACCAAGAAGGGGATTTGGAAGAATCGGCCAATTTCATAAATCTTCTGACCGCGGTTGTAGTCAGAGTTGGTAGGAATGTGAAAACTTCTGAATTCGTGTTCCCAATCGCAGACTTATTTCCTATAATATGCGATTTTTTTTATGAGAATTTGCCACAGGACCACATTAAAGAAGGATCTATAACGTCCATTTTTGTGTCTGCGGGCGTTTCATTCGATAAACTTTACTACATGCTTAAGAACTTGATAGAAACCGCTGATTCTGCGAACAACATTTACAAGAAAGAAATGGTATGGCTTATCAAAGAATGGTATGAATCTGACACTAAGTTGAGGGACCTTATTTCATTCGATGATGTCCGCAACTTGAAAACATATAGCATTGAAAATGATCCTATCGAAAACCAAGTCAAGAAGACAGGTATAAGCATCTAAGGCAAGTTGAAGACAATTTACAATTTGCTATCAAAAGATTTTATGTGACGATTAATTAAAAAGTTCAATAAGAGTTAATAGATAGCAAGGGGATCGTTAAATGCGGTCCACTCTATACAATTGAAAATGAATTAACGAATTTATTATATCCCTTCTTCTTACCAATAGAGATGCGTTATAGGAAATCAGAATGTTGATACCAATGAAGGCATGATGAAGCCATCAGCATTACTATTATATAAAGGAACCAGCCGTTTATAACAAAAATAGGTAAACAAAGGACAGCGCACGATATGGAGTGATGGTAACGGAACAGTAAATATAGAGCCAACAGGTGTAGCATTTAGAAGATTTGGTGCTAGACACAGGGAATCGAATAATCGAAAAAAGATATCTGGTGTTCCAGTTATTTGTGTTGTCCTATTGCCGCGGATAGAGGATAGGTGTCAAATGAAGAATTGTGAGATTTGGATTCCGGTGTGCTGCGGGGGTGCGACTACTCGCAGGTACCAAAAGTATTCTCTCCAGAGTAAGTGACGTACAAAAACCCGTCTTTGTCTTTGTGCTCTTGGTAAATGGCTGACATCAGAGCTGCGGTTGGTGGCAACGTGTCGTTGACGAAAATAAAGATCGCCTTTTCCGCGGGAAGCTTGATCCGCTTTCTGATCACGTAGACGAACTGGCCCACCGTGAGATCTGCCGGGACCAGATACTTGCGCTTGTCGATTTCCGGGATGTCCGATTTCTCGGCCTTTTCGCAGATCACCGGGATCCGGTTTTCGAACTTCTGGCTGATGCGCTCCGATTCTGCTTTTCTTTTCTCGAAAGGATACTCCGCCTTGAAAGCTGACTTCATGCCGGCCGTGTGTGTCTTTGTGTTTGTGGATGCGTCGTGCGCGAAATGCTCGAACTGATGAAACTTTTTCCTTTAAGTCTGCTTTCCGGCCTTGTTCTAAGCCGTCTCCGAGTGTTTCTGCTATTCCTGACCTCACTCCCGAACGATTTACGAGTTGTTATGCCTTTTATAGCCGCTGTTTCTAGTTTGTCTTGAGCTTTCTTTCTGTTATCCCTTGCTCATTGTTTATATAGCCTGTGCTCCGTAAAATCAAACTGCCCCTTGATAATAAAATGAAAACACGTCAATCGAGTCCGGGTAACAAGAATGGAAAAAGCCACGTGAAATACACGCGAAGTTCACGTGCCAAATAATAGCGTGATATCCACGTGCCTACTCGTCATCTGTGATAGTGAAGCTGGCCATTGCCTCTTCCAAGAGCTGTTGCTCGAGCATTAGCATGTTCTCGTAGTGATCACGCTCCTGCAAGAGTACTACGAGATCGTCGTCGCCGTCGTCATCATCGTCATCGTCGTCAGCATCATTTTCGTTGCCGCGGCGGTCATCATTTTGGGGGATGCCATCGGCTTCGTCGTCCACCTCGTCGGCGTCTATATGGTGTAGCTGGGCCTGAGCCGCAAGCTGCTGTAATTCTGCGTCTCTTTCCAGAGCAATCACATCTTGTTCCATTTGGTCAGCACCGCCACGCGCTACAAGCGCGCGGTTTTCCAAAAATGTTCGATGCCGGTGACTTTGCCAGCTTCGACGCCGGTGTCGTGAACGTGCAGCCATAGAACGGCGTCCAGTGTCTTTCAGTGGCGATGAGAATGGTTGTCTAACACTTTGATATTGGCATTGGCGGTCATGCTGCAATTTTTCTGCCACTGACAAGTCGAATTCTTGGTTTGCCAATGGACTACTCGGACTTTGATCGAATGAAGGTCCTGTGGAACGCCCAGCAGGATTCGATGCAGGTTCTGGTGGACTGGACGGTACTCGCAAAAATTCGCTGTAATTCATGGGTCTGCTGTACAGAGATCTCTCACTTTCCCATCGTTTTTTTCGGTAGCTCGCGCTAAACTTTTATTCCTTCAAGTTTTCTAAAATCGTGGGTTTCATTAAAAATCAGCAACAAATTGATGATAATCTACATGTGGGGGTCTATCTCGTTATATAGGTGCTCCTTAGAGCTTTAGAAACCTTCTTCTCAAGGCTCTGAATTCAGCACTCCTACTTTCTAATTTTCATGATCAAAGTAGGGTAGAGCGAGCTTCAGAAGCTCCAAAACAAGCCAAAAACTCAAAGCCCATCTTCTATCTATCTTCTCAAAGTCTGAATAACCTCAATTTGAAGATAGTGTCGTTGATGGATTGCTCCTCGTCAGCAATCTCGCCCTGTTGCGATCCATCAAACTTGGTGATTTCGGATCTGCAGGTCTTCGTCAACATCTCGGAATGCACCTCAATGACGCTTGGAAGGTCAATGGTGTCCTTGATTAATTCGTACTGAACCATAACATCATCAGTGGCTTCGAGGCCACATTTCTTTCTGAGTTTTTGAACTCTGTTGACCAACTCTCTGGCTAAACCCTCGGTTTTCAATTCAGGGTAAATCTTAGTGTCCAAGATGATCAACACGTCCTGGTCAGTTCTAGTCTCTAAACCTTCTCCAACCAAGTCTTCCGACAAAACTCTCATTACAGTCAGGTCGCCCTTGACTAGCTCGATGCCGTCCACCACAATTTTACCTGTTTCGACGTATTTTTGCACTTCTTCCGAAGTAACTTGGGGCAAGGCCGCCTTGACCTTCTTACCGTCTTTTTTCAGTTTTTTTCCTAGTACTGGCCAGTCGGCAGCGGCTTTGTATTCGATGTTGTACTTGGCATCATCAGACGTGATGATAAGGTCGCGCACATTGAGCTCATCGACAATGTACGATGCTAGAGCTTCGATATCTTTCAAGTACTGAGGGTCACTGTGGAAAATGACCAAGCTCTTCAAAGGTGTCTTCAAAGAGATGGTCTTTTTCTCACGAATGTTCCTTCCTAGGTCAATGACAGATTGCATTCTAGACATGGCTCTTTCGATGTCATCGTCAAATCTTGTCTCGTCCACCACAGGGTATGACAAGAAGTGGACGGATCTGCTATCTTTTCCGAACTTGGCCAATATCTCTTCAGACATGTATTCCTTCATTCTTAAGTAAATGTTGTCCGATAAGAAGGGAGTGAAGGGAGCCATAGCACAGACAAAAGTGAACAACGCATCGAAGAGAGAGTTAAGGGCTTTCAAACAATCTTGCTCTCCACTTTCACCCTTCAAACGACGACGGTTCAAACGAATATACCAGTTAGTCAACTGATCGATGAAATCAAGAAGCCTTGGAACAACTGAGTAAAGCTTGTACGACTTCATTTCTAGGTGAATGTTTTTGACCATAGTTTGCAAAGATGCCAGGATCCATTTGTCCATAACGTTGTCACTCTTAAGCTGAGGATCATACTTGAAATCGACATCGGAGGTTTTCTTCAAAAGGGCAATTTGACCTTCCAAAAATTTGAAAGAGTTCCACCATGGCAACAACACCTTAGAAACAACTTCTTTAACACCGTCTTCTTTGAACTTCAAGCTCTCCGCCTTCAAAACAGGCGAATTGATGAGGTAAAGTCTTAAGGCATCAGCACCGTATTTATCCAAGACCAAATTTGGATCTGGGTAGTTTTTCAAACTCTTAGACATTTTCTTACCATCGGCAGCCAGAACGATACCGCAAACGATGACGTTTTGGTAAGGAACAGAGCCGAAAAGCTGGGAACCCAACACACCGAGAGTGTAGAACCAGCCTCTAGTTTGGTCCAGACCTTCTGAGATGAAATTAGCGGGCACTCTCTGTTCGAATTTGTCTTTGTTTTCGAATGGGTAATGTTGAGAAGAATAAGGCATAGAACCAGATTCGAACCAACAGTCGAAAACCTCTTCAATTCTCTTCAAATTGCCCTTGCCCTTCTTGGATGGGATGGTGATTTGATCTATGCTGTCACGATGTAGATCATGAATGCCCTTGACGCCCGACAATTCTTCTAATTCTTCGACGGAACCAATGCAAACGACTTCTTCATAATCGTCGGAAACCCAGATTGGGATTGGCGTACCCCAGTATCTGTTTCTGGACACGTTCCAGTCGCGGGCGCCAGAAATCCAGTTTGCGAATCTTTTTTCCTTTATAACGTTGGGAACCCAGTTGGATTTTAGAACGGAGTCCAAAAACGTAGGAATGATAGGCTTAACACGCACAAACCAAGCTGGGACCGACCTGTAGAGCAAAGGTGTATCAGATCTCCAACAGAATGGATAACTATGTCTGATTTGGGTATTCAGTAACATGATTCCACTGGCAGTTAGATCTTTGATAATTTGTTTGTCGGCATCCTTGACGTACTGACCTAAATAGGCGGTTACGGGCAAAGTTAGATGGCCAGTATCATCAACGGGATTAGGCAATACGTCATCCTCAGAAATAATGCCATGGGCTAAGCAAACCCTGTGATCCTCTTCACCGAAGGCTGGCGCGCTGTGTACGATACCTGTACCAGAGGTGGCAGTCACAAAGCCGTCTTCAATAACTCTGAAGGCTTTGTGTCCAAAAGCTTCCTTGTAGTAGGGATAGGTTGGCTCGTATTTGATACCTACCAAATCCTTACCCATGATCTTCTCCACGACTTCGTACTTTTCCTTCTCAGGTTTCTTGTACAGTGATTTAATCAAGGACTCAAGCAAAATAAAGTACTTGTCTTTGTTCTCGTCATAAATCTTAACGTACTCGAACTCAGCGTTGACGCACAAAGACAAGTTGGATGGGATAGTCCATGGGGTGGTAGTCCATGCGACGAAGTAGGTCTTGTCCATACCAATGGCTTTCAAAGTCCAAGTGACGGCTGGATCGTTTACATCTTTATAGTTTTGTTGAGCTTCGAAGTTACTCAAAGGAGTCGTACATCCAGTAGAGTAAGGCATAACCTTGTACCCGCGGTAAACTTGGTCTTTTTCGAACAGTTGCTTGAATGCCCACCATGTTGATTCCATGAAAGATGGGTACATGGTCTTGTAATCGTTGTCGAAATCAATCCAACGACCCATGCGACCAATCGTTTTGCGCCATTCTTCAGCGTACATCATCACGATGGCTCTGCACTCGTCGTTGTACTTATCGATACCCATCTTATAAACATCTTCTTTACAGGTGATGCCCAGTTTCTTGTCGATGATGTGCTCGATGGGAAGACCATGAGTATCCCAGCCAAATCTTCTTTCGACATGGTACCCGTTCATTGTCGCGTATCTGGGAACCACATCCTTGACAGTAGATGTTAAGATGTGGCCGTAATGTGGAGTACCAGTGGCAAATGGAGGACCATCGAAAAATGAGAATTCAGGCTTGCCTTCGGTCAATTTCAAGGACGTCTGGAAAGCGTCAATTTCATTCCAGAATTCGAGCACTCTCTCCTCTTCCTTGGGAAACGAGAAATGTCCGGATTGTTCACCCATTGGAACGGTAAATACGAATGCGTATCTGGTATTGCTTACTCAGTGTGTAGCAGATTCTTTTGAAACTTCAATATATATTCAATCATCGCTCTGTGACTGATTGACTGATTTTTGAAAATTATAAAAATTTTCCAGTGATTTCGTCAAACATTACAAAGACGAATGACAGAACGACGAAGAGACAGCGATTACATGACAATCAAGCTGTGCTTATTGTGGAGAGTTCAGCATTCGTGAAGTCATCTACCTGTGCACTGCCTTTTTTTTTTTTTCACGCAGTTAAGATATCATGACATCTCGAATTATGTTTGGTGAACGCTCATTTAGCCAGTTCCACGATCTTCTCGAGGTATGAACGTTCCCCATAAAACTAGGATATCAATGTGTTTGCACACACAAACCTTTGTAGGACGTTGCACAGTTGCCGGCATGATTGATCAACCATTCAAGCTCAGAGCCGTCACATGACAGCGGTGGCACAATCTTCTTTTATATATTCCCTTACTTAGCTACACTTACGATTTCTCCCCAAGACAGTAAGCGGAGCGGTCCATGATTACAGATATGGGCTTCGAGGTCGGTTTGAGCCCTTGATACTTATCGCATTCCGGGTGTTGCAATTTCTAGTCTGAGTCCGGTGAGGGTTTTCGTAATAGCGTCATCAATAGACACAATATATCTTACTTAATTGATCATCATTGAACATTCTCTCGGCGATATATATCGCTCCGCAACTACTCAAATGCGAAGAATAAACCCCCGGCATAAGGAATTAACCATTTGGCTCTACACAATTATTTTCGTTGACAAGATTTGATAACATAAAATGTTATAGACTGTATTTTTTTGGTTGCAACAGTCTCAGATGCAACGATAGTGAATCAATGTTACTATAGGCGCTCCATGATAAATATGTCATGACATCTCTCTTTTTTGTCGTTTATATGCACCGATATACCTGGCCCAATATCTAAAATTTGTCACTTATACCAACGTGTCGTAGTCGAAATTAATTTGATATCGAGCTCTTGGCGTACTTAAAATATTGAGTGTTGAATACGCATGTGGGCTTTGCTAGATTGTGTTGTATCCATTTCAGAAATACTTAGAGTGTCAACAATGCTGCATGGCTGTTAGAGATTTGCTATATGACCACTAAATAGCTCAAATGGAAGACGAACTTAACGTTAGAGGAAACATGAAGTTATCTGTTTTGGTATCAGCTGTACTCAAAAGGTACTTTAGAAATTCGCTTCTTGATAAGGGCCGTATAGCGCGGGGTGACATTAGTATTAGTGGCAAAAGATCGTAAACCGGTTTACTTTCCGTCTAGTATTAGCCTCCACTGTATGACGTCTAATTGCCGACCATTACAGTCGATAATGATGAGATGAAACATTGTCTCACAGTAATAACCATATTGCTTAATTAAACCATTTATTTATATATGTATGTGCATTTTCGTTCCCCATTCCTGTTTGCTTCTTAGTCCACTTCTTCAACGGTAGGACCAGATTCCGAAGCACCACCAGCACTTGGACCTGGACCTGCACCGGGAGCGCCTCCTGGGACGCCTCCGGGAACACCGCCTGGAGCACCACCGGATTGGTAGAACTTGGTCATTATTGGGTTTGCAACTTCTTCCAATTCTTTTTGTTTATCCTTGTATTCTTCGGTTGAAGCTGCTAGCGACGAATCCAACCACGATACTGTTTCCTCAACCAGAGATTTTAGTTTCGTAGCGTCCGCGTCTCCCACCTTTTCTTTGAAAGCAGATTCACCTAAAGTGTTCTTCAAACTGAAGACATAGGCCTCCAATGAATTCTTGGTCTGGACTCTTTCTGCCTCAGCTTCATCTTCGGCTTTGAATTTTTCAGCGTCCGAAACCATTCTTTCGATATCATCCTTGGATAAGCGACCTTTGTCGTTGGTGATGGTAATCTTACTAGATTTACCGGTACCTTTCTCCAAAGCGTGTACGTTTAAGATACCATTGGCATCCAAATCAAATGAGACCTCAATTTGAGGAACACCACGAGGGGCAGGAGGGATTCCGCTGAGTTCGAATTTACCCAACAAGTTATTGTCTTTGGTTCTCGTTCTCTCACCTTCGTAGACTTGAATTAAGACACCGGGTTGATTATCCGCATAAGTGGAGAATGTTTCCGACTTTTTGGTGGGGATGGTAGAGTTTCTTGGAATCAACTTGGTCATGATGCCACCAGCGGTTTCAATACCAAGGGACAAAGGTGCCACATCCAATAGCAACAAGTCCTGAGTTTTAGAGGATTTGTCACCAGTCAAGATGGCAGCTTGCACGGCAGCACCGTAGGCGACTGCCTCATCTGGGTTGATGGATCTGTTGGGCTCCTTGCCGTTGAAGAAATCTGACACGAGTTTCTGTACTTTGGGGATACGAGTGGACCCACCCACAAGCACAATTTCGTCGATTTGAGACTTGTCGAGCTTGGAGTCGCGCAATACTTTCTCCACTGGATCCAAAGTGGACCGGAACAAATCTGCACAGAGTTCTTCAAACCTGGCTCTGGTGAGCGAGGTATAGAAATCGGCACCTTCGTACAATGAGTCGATCTCAATAGAAGTCTGAGCTGACGACGAAAGTGCACGCTTCGCACGCTCGGCGGCAGTTCTGAGACGCCTTAGCGAACGCTGGTTGCTGGTCAAGTCCTTTTTGTTCTTACGTTGGAACTCAGCGGCGAGATGATTCACAAGCCTGTTGTCGAAATCCTCACCTCCCAAGTGGGTGTTACCAGCCGTGGCCTTGACCTCGAAGATACCCTCGTCGATCGATAGCAATGACACGTCGAACGTACCACCACCAAGATCGAAAATTAGCACGTTGTGCTCGGCGCGATCTTTCTTGTCAAGCCCGTACGCAATAGCGGCTGCGGTGGGCTCGTTGATGATCCGCAGAACATTGAGACCCGCGATGACACCGGCATCCTTGGTGGCTTGCCGCTGCGAGTCATTGAAGTACGCGGGCACAGTTACCACGGCGTCGGTGACGGAACCGCCCAGGTAGCCCTCGGCGGTCTCGCGCATCTTGCTGAGCACCATGGCCGAGATTTCCTCGGGCGAGAACACCTTGGTTTCGCCCTTGTACTCGACTTCGATGTGTGGCTTGCCCTCACGTGGCACCACCTTGAAGGGGAAGTGCTTGGCGTCGACGGTGACCTCTGGGTCATCGAAGCGGCGCCCGATGAGACGCTTGGCGTCGAAAACCGTGTTGGTTGGGTTGATAGCCGCCTGGTTCTTGGCCGCGTCACCGATCAGCCTTTCTGTGTCCGTGAACGCCACATACGACGGCGTGGTCCGGTTACCTTGGTCGTTCGCGATGATCTCAACGCGGTCGTTGGTAAAATGTGCCACGCACGAGTACGTGGTTCCCAAATCAATACCTATAGCTTTTGACATTGTGTGTTGATGTGTGTTGATGTGTTGATGTGCTGATGTGCTTTGTGTTGTCAGTACTTGTCTAATGAAGACTTCCTAACAACTTTCCGTTCTCAAAAAGCCGCCTGCCCCCCTTATATACTTTTTAGGGGATGCTAAAACCCCTCATCTTTCCTTGTGCTCCCCTAGCAATTAAGAGACACTCTGGAATTTGCTGGAATGCAGTCGATGAGCCGGGAACGTCTTCCAATAACACGAGCACAATATCCGGATCGGAACAAAGTCCAGAAGGATGTAGAATATTCTAGAATGTGATGGAACAATCAGGCTCGGCGGCTAGTGGTACACACCCAGGTCCCGATGGCCAATTCTTCAGCACAAAATGGGATTGGTGAGAGGATGGGTAGGCCGATGCTATGTATGCGATGGGGTTTGCGCCTTCGTTTTAGATCAGGAAGATTCTATAGAGGTAAAATGTGGTAACTTACGGATTGTGACCCTAAGAACGCTTATTCGTGGTTTGTGGATCACTGTTGGTGTTCCACAGAGCGATATATACTAGTTTTACATATATACAACAGGAGAAATGTGCCACTGGCGTGTGTGTCTTGTGAAGGAAAGTTGTTAAAGTGGGTAAGAGTTGGTTAGAAACTGCATTTTATTTTTTTGTGTCACAGATGACAGTTTTTTTATGATGGGCGGGTAACACAACAAGGTCCGCTGGTGATGCGCTGAAGGTTCATTGGATACTGCTAGTAGGTGATAGAAAAAAGAGACAGAGAGAATTCTCAGTCTCTGGCTTTTCCTTTTGCTGCTTGTGCATTTCCATCGACTGCGTTTGGTCCCAGATTCCAGGGGCCAAAATCAATTCTGAGGATCCGCGTTCATCGTTTAGCTAAGTTGCTCGCGACACCCGTGATGCCAAATTTATCGCGCGGGTTCAAGCCGACAATTGTAGAAGGTGTACCCATGGTGTTGTGGCCTTAATTGGCCCCAATTCAGGAAACGTAGATCCCGATTTCTTTTATTATTTGGACTGTGCGGCCTTTAGGGCACTGGCCAAGCATTGTTCGTGTGCCCCTCACCTAGGTATATAGCTCACGGTCTCTCCTACCACCGGCGCATCGTCGTCGCCTTCGTCGCTCAAATTGTGGTGTGTGACTTCAGCGTAGTCGTCCGCATCGCTCTCGCCATCCAGATTGGGCCATATTTTCCGAACCGCGGCAGAGGTCTGCTGCAACTTATCCTCGTGGAAAGATTCGCCAACGATCCGCCTCCACACGGTTTCATTCAACATAGTGTCTACGTAAAATTCGGGGAGGACCTTGAGCTGGCCCGCCAACATCGAGTCCAATTCGAAAACGACCGATTCCTTAACCTGGGAACTGAAATATATCAATTCCAAGATATTATGCCATTGCAAGCTCGACCCGTAGCTCCCAAAGAGCAGTGTGTTGAGAAAAGCCAATTGCAGTTCTCCCAGTAGGGAGTATATCGAGCTGTGATGGTAACGAGCCAAAACAACTTCATTCAAATAATAACTCTTATCCAAAAAATCCTGCATCTTATGGTCGTCACGAATGGCCTCCTTGGACTTGAAAACAATAGGCGCATAATTAAGACTGGCTTCAGACTGCGCAGGCAAACTTTCACGATAACCCTGCCCACGACTGGTTAAAACGCCCACCAACACCTTCTTTTCTTCCTCCGTTGTGATCGCCGAGTCCATATACACAAATTGCCCGCTACTTCCAGCGATGTATTTGATGTCTAACCACTTGACAAATTTGGTCATTTCTTGCCATGAGTCGCCCTCGTCTACTGAAGGGTACGCAACCATGAAGGAACTCAATTCTTGAAACTTATAGTAGGCATCTTTTCTGTCTTGATCGCTTTCAAGACTCCGTGGAACGTAAAGTTCTTTAGCTCGATCATAGTCAAACTGAACGTAATTGGAATCACTCTCTAGGTAGTATCCATATCTCATACCATTTTCAGAGTGTTGGAAATGCACCACATGGATCCGAGGTTCTTGAGGTATGCTCTTGAAGCCATGGAATGGCTGATCAGGCTTTACCTCGAAGGAGTATACATCTATGCCAAACGTAACGGCTTGCTCAATTCGTTCGATGAAAATTTCCATTAAGTATGGCCCATACCTCGATGCACTCAAAGCGGCTATCGTATTTTAGTCAGAAGGATGAGATGCAATTTGCATGTAATCATGAAGCCCTAATCCATTTACAGAAAGTTGGTAACGTATATAGCGACCCAAGTTTTTTCAGGTTTCCTTTGCTATATAAAGCGAAAACTTTCTTGCTTGTTAACGTAGGTAGTTGTTCATTCGATCCAAAAAGATAAACTGAAGTGTAGCCATCTTCCCTGCTCTAAGAGGTAATTCGAGAAAGACTAGACTAAGTCAGATGACTGATTTCGTTTTCCCCGAATTACTTAGAGAGTTTAGCTCTTGTAGTAATCAATTGTTCTAATATGATGAGAAACATATTTTACACAGACCTGATCTGAATACTTTATGCAGATAAACAAATATTGCAATTTATTTCTGACTATTGAACAATTTTGTAGAGATTAGTAGAAACCATAAGGTTGAACTCGGGTCTGAGCGTCAGCCAGACAGTTGTCTCACTATAAAATATCAACCGGCTTTACATACCCCCATCCACCGAGTAGTTCTACTATGCCGCACCATCTAGCGCATTCCCAAAGCTCAGCATGAACTGCAGCGTTCTAATGGTAAGACTTGTATTTGTGCTTTACAAAATTATAGAAACAATTTACATTGCGAGGTAAAATGACGGGGAGATGATGCCTCCAAGAAGATCAAACTGATTAAGCTTATTTCTTGGCGGTCAATCTTCTCAAGTAGAAGGCCAATTCTTCACCTTCCAAGATGTAACCGTCACATCTACCGGATTGACCTGGTCTGGAAGAGATGCAGGCGTACAATCTACCGGCACCGAATTGAGTCTCAACGGTGTGTTCGATCTTAGCGTCGGCAGCTCTGGCGGCCCACTTCTTCTCGGCGCTCTTCGATTGAGAAACAACCTCTTCTTCGGCACCCTTGGTGTTCTTCTTCTTACCCAAAGCTTGACCGTAGTGACCTTCGTACCACTGCTTGAAAGGAGTGGCATCGATTTGGACGATGGCGGCCTTGGTCAAAGTGTTAGTTCTGACCAATTCATTGTTGGAAGGGTGGTACACGACACCAGCAAGTCTGGTCTTTCTGGTGACACCTTCGGAAGCCCACGAGAAGTTACCGGTTTCGATTCTCAAAGCTCTGAATTTCTTGTTACCACCTCTGGTTCTGACGGTGTGGATTCTCTTACCACCGATCTTGGTGTTGGCTGGTTGACGGCCCAACTCGAACTTTCTCTTCTTTCTGAACTGGGCACGTTTGGCACCAGTAGCAGATCTCTTGTGGCGAGAATCACGAGAAATACCCATTTTGAATCTGAAAAGAATATGTTAGTAACAGGTGTCTTTATGGACTAGAAAGGAGCCAGAAGCGTCAGACACAGTGAGACAGTCCATGCGTAGTCTGCAGTAGCAGAATCCGCTACGTTGATACACGATTCATTTAGAGAGTGTTTGGCAATTTTTCGCTCGGGTACTTCTTTAGGCATCTAAATGTAAGCCTTGGGGTTCATTCTATCGCCTGCTGTCTTCTGTTCCAGTGCGCTGTCTGATTAGCATCGATTTGCTGCTCCTTAGGGTCATGGTTTCACATACTATTGTACTAGGGTTTGTAATGCTCTGTAGTGAAGGCTCTAACGGTAGAATTCCTTTAACTTTTCTTCCAGAGCTGTGTTTCCAGAGTATGTGAGAAACCTGCACCGCTAGGATACCGTGCCGGAGGCTGGCTGCTGGGCCCAGCTAGACAGAACGTTGGGTGGATGCTAGGCAGGGACCGTAGGCAGAGCGCTTGGCAGAGCTAGGCTGGACTTTGGAAGGGACGTCCCTTCAGCTCAGCAGGAGGGACGTCCCTTCAGCTCAGCAGGAGGGACTCTTTTTTTTCTTTCGGCGCGACTCAAAAAATATTGAAAGCTTTATTTTTGTTTTTCGCGAAAAATTAAAATCCAAGAAATATTTGTTGGTGTATGGGTGATAAAAGACAGTCAAAGGTAATATGATGTTGAAACTATTACCAGTGTCACAACTGTTTGTGTGCGTTTTAGGGTGGATATCCAGGAGCAAGATGGGTGCTTCATCCACATTTACGTTTTGATGGCACACTTACCGTGTATGGGATGGGCTAGCGTTGTAAGTACACCACGAGATCCAGCACTCGGCCTGTATGGTCTCTGAACTAGACTAAACGACAGGTATTCTGGTCTGCTACCGTCTGTGCATTGTCCTGCGGATAATTGAACCTCATGTATGAATCTACCGCGAGCAACAACTCCTGGTTCTCTTAGTATTATCCGCTGGGTGAAGTGCTCGTACCTCACCGGCTACGAGCAGTTGGCAGCAAGATGTCATAATAGTGCAGAGTGATATAAGCTATCCTGAGTCGGAGAATATTTGTGATTCACGACGTAGCAGAATATATGTCTCTCGAACGAACCACCGCTTAGCTCAACAACGGCATCCAGCTCCCGGCAGATCCACACTAGCACGTTGCGTATTAAGAAAAATTTAGCGAAGTCACAAATTTGTTTGACTGCTTGACGGTCATCCACCTCGAAAATTTTTGAATCACTCACAAACGATTGCAAGAGCTTCAATTCCAAGCGGGCGCAAACGGGCATGAACTTTCGCCTGGGACCCACCATTCAAAGCTGTTAAATCACACACTTCATGAAGCTCGAATAAAAGAAATCCCGGGTTGACACATGGCACGTGACTCGACAATGAAAAAACGTAGCGATGAGCATCGTTGTCAACTGGATAGCAACGTTAACACATCAAGAGACTCTATCAAAATCCGATTAACCACCCATCGGCGCGTCGTCAAGCAGCCCGAACTAAGTTACGTGACAAGAACTAAGACATTCCTTCAGAAGCCACTCTTTTGCCAAACATGTCGACGTACGATCAAGTTGAAATTGAAGACATGACGTTTGACCCTGACACTCAAATATTCACTTACCCATGTCCCTGTGGCGACAGGTTTCAGATATACATCGACGACCTCTATGACGGTGAAGAAATAGCCGTGTGTCCAAGCTGCTCACTAATGATCCAGGTTATATTCGAACAGGAAGATCTGCGGGAGTTTTACGACGAGGCTGGCACGCAGCCGCCCGTTCCTGTTACCGTCTCGGCATAGAACAAGTACCAAGGGCCACGCTTGTCGTTGACGACCTAGTGAAATGTCTATAGAAGTTTTTGCGGCGCACGATTTTGCCGCGGTTTTCCATTTTGGCGATGGGAGATTCGTTACTTTAGAAAAGACCACCCAAGCTGTGATTTGAATGACTGTTATTGCATCTGCACTACTGTAGTAGCGCTCAGCGACACATTCAAGTGTGTAAAGCAAGATTGTATTATCAAAATAATGAAATCTCGAGGTGGACCGTGTAAAACCACTCGAAATTCGAGGTAATTATTAAAGGACAGGACTTATTTCGCTCATCAGTATAAAAAACAAAGTCAATCATTGGGAGAAATAGAGCTCTGAGTTATCGTTTGAATCGTAAAGTCTCCCGCTCTGACCACCAATACGTAATGACTGAGAAAATCTTAGCCAAACGAGACGAATTTTTGAAAACTCAAACTATTAACCAGGATGTGCCTACACCTAAGGAGATTCCTCAACTGGAACTGTTGAAACGAGTACCACGACCACTAAGACATGTAAAGTACATTCCCGTCAAGAACTTGGTGTTTTTCTCCAAGCACACGACCCCACAGTTCTCGTATGAGACCCGCATCAAAACTCCCATTCCCAAGGACACGCTCATTGTCCAAGTCCGCAATTCTGGTTTGAATCCCGTAGATCTCAAGATCATCAACAGCTACACACGTAACATGAATCGTGAAGTGGGAATCGGGCGGGAATTTAGCGGCGTCATCACGGAGACTGGTAGTGATGTGCGCGGACAATGGAAGGAGGGTGACGAAGTCTACGGTGTCTACTTCCATCCGACTTTAGGAGTTGGTACTGCGCAAAGTTCTATCTTGGTGGCTCCCGATAAAGACGTGATATTACGCAAACCCTCTAATATAGGATTCCAGGCTGCTGCAGGTACTCTATATTGCCTGGGAGCCGCTCGTAATATTCTGGATGGTCTTGAATCCAAAGGTCAGCTCACGCCAAGTTCAAACATATTAATCAATGGAGGTACCACAAGTGTGGCCATTTTTGCTATCCAGTTACTAAAATATCACCATAGGATCCCTAAGAAAATAGTGATACTATGTTCAGAATACGGTGCGACATTTTTGAAGTCACAATTCCCAGACTTATGCGATGAGTTGATATTTGTAAACTACGTGATGAATGCTAGACAAATTCACAAACCTCTCGAAGACATGATTAGTAATCACGAAACAATTAGTTACGACGCAACAACAGGGCAACCGATCTCAAGCCCTTATGATCAAGGCAAGTTCAACGTCATTTTAGATTTCATTGGTGGGTACCAACTAATAGGTCATAGTAATTCTCTGTTAGAGAAGAATGGTGCATATGTCACGACCGTCGGCGATTACCGCACCAATTATTCCAAGGACGTGTTCAACGCTTGGGATAATCCTAGCGCTGGCGCAAGAAAGATTTTTGGCAAATTACTATGGACATTCGACTACACCCATTTTCATTTTGATCCTAATGCCAAATATGCGAGCAAGAACGGTTGGGCAGAGAAGTGCGCGGAGCTTGTAGAGAGTGAAGTCGTGAGATGCGTTGTGGACAAAGTTTACGATTGGAAAAAATTCGAAGATGCATTGGATTATTTGAAACGGGGCCACTGCCACGGAAAAGTCATATTGGAAGTTGAAAGGTTCTGAGAGCTTCAATAACATGACAAGTTACGTAGTGTTTTATTTGTTTAATGGTTTATGAATTTTGTGTCAAACTACGCACTGCGCAACTCAGATTTAATCTTTTTTTTATGTACCTTGTATGAACACTGAGCACTGTAACCAGCTTTGATATGCTCTCAAGTCCCGCTTCCTGTCCAACCATCTATTTCATGATAATGCCTGCAACTACGAGCACAATGGCAAAAATAATGTAGAGCTTCGACCGATTATTGTCATGCTTGCCCTTTTTGGCTTGCATTTTCTGCATTTTTTGCAATTCTTCCTCTACTCTTATTCTATCTTCAGGATCTGTAATGTCCGAGATCTTTATAGCTTGTTCTTTTGCAGCTTCTTCTAAAACGTCTTTATCTGGCTCACCGGCCTCTGGCTCACCATTTTTTCTGAGCTCCTCGAAATGGGCAAGGTTCTCCTTGACGAGATCAGGGAAAACGGCTTTGAACCGAACGTTCTTGAACGTGTTGTATTCTTTGGAGGCTCTTGCCATTTTCTTTTTGTGTTCCGGTGTGGTTACAATAGCGCCCGTCGTACTCTCGCTGCTAGTCATGAAACTTAGAAGTCCAGTCAGAATGGTCGAAACTGACCAAGATGGGTTCCAGGTATCGGGGTGATAGTCGCTCATCGAGAGACACAACCGTGTGTCTTCCCTGAATCGACCGCTAGGAGTAACCATCCTTATTGCTGGAGGTTTGAAGGGATAGTCTGATGGAAAAACGAGTGTTCCATGGTACTGGCCTCCCGAATAAGGTGTTTCGGGCGGTCCTGATATCACATAGTGCCATTCCAAGATGTTATTTTCGTTAGGCTGTGCTATGATGAATGGAGGCGGATTTTCGACCATGGATTTGTACTCCTTCGTGAGCCTTTTTTGAGCTTGTCTTGTAGCCATGATACGCGGGACTTTGAAGCACGATAATTCGAGCTATGAAGATCTAACTTGACCTTATTTTCTTAGCTTGTCTGCTTAGACCTGATCCTGCTTAGTGTCTTACACGTATAAGCTTTTTATCTGTAAGCGCAGCCACGTGTATATCACGTGTATATGATGTTACTCGCGACATAGAAGTTGTGGTCGTGGGCGACTTCAGGGTTATTCCATTGGTGAGTTGATTCTTTGTCGAGGGTGTGCTTGACGTCAAAAAAAAGTATGGTGGAGGGCGCAGCGGCTGCGGTGTTGTTCGCAAGGCAGGTTGTCTAGAACATGGATTTCTGTTGGCAGTATAGATCATTTTGTCTTTTTAGCTAGTTTTCCACTGAATATCAAGGTATGTCATGTCTTCTTACCAGTGGCATCGTGAAGAATTTGTCTCGGTTTGTGCAAGCTTCTTTTGGTCTCCGGAAAAGATCAAACGGCTTCTTCATCAGGACCTGGGACAACACAAATTTATTGTTGTAGCGCTGTTGCAGAATGATTTTGTAGCTTCTCAACGCTTCAAGTTTTGTAATTGCTTCGTTTTCACTTTCAAACAAATTGCAATTAGAGCCGTGGCCAGTAAGGAAGTTACGCAGTCTTGGATCGAAGCATGCGAACCTATTAAACTACTCGTTTTGGCGAGCTTTTTCTTGACTAGTGTTCGCTGGAACGTTATCTACAAAGGGACCTTGACTCTTTCTCAAATACCGTGCATGCTTTCGCATCAGCTTTTGAGCTCAAATTAGAAGCCTTTTTCGTATCCCACCATCTCCAACCTTAAGATGTAATAACACCATTAGTGTTGGTAGGGCTCCCACGTATTCGTACCTCCTCTTCTGATAGCTTTATCGTAATGCACTCGAAAACCAGTTTTCTGTCCGTTATACATTTTCTTCACATAGTGGCTGTAGATATCTCACTGCGCTTCTAACAAGTCCTTTGAAGTGCCCTTTTGATCAGCAACGGGATGAACTTCAACTCTCTAAGTTTATACTAGTGTATGAGGTGAACGTTTGACAGAAGGAAGGACATCTGATTGCTCATGGAAAAATCGTGAGTTAGAAGGAATATCTTCGTTAGAAAAATTAGCCGCCGAGATTGATTTGGACAACTCCGAAAAAAAAGTCTAGGTGAAAGCAGGCCAAATTGTTCTTGAGCGACAACTTCTCAGATATTCTCTGCCAAATAGCACTGTATTCCTTGTTCTTCTTTCTTTGGTTAGAGATATCATCTAACGCTAAGTTTTGCACTGTGGGGCAGGTCCTTTAGTACCCTCATGCACATTTTTCAACCATTGTGGTTGCTTCTCATATAAAGATTCAAACACCTTTTGTTAGATGCACCCTTCAATACACTCGATCAAATCTCATGTTTCAATGTGAGACGCAATCGCGTTTGGAAGGGCTGTGTCTTACATCTTTCGCGTTTGTTTACTCTTCTCAAACTCGTGTCCTTCCATGACCAGCGCTTGTTAAAACTGGTTATCTTGGCACTAGTATGTTTTAAAGCAGCCAAAATCCAAACTTCGGCAATATTCAACACTCGGCTGACGGCTCGACTCCTGTATTCGCTAAGACAGCCGCGAAATATTATAAGTTTTAGATTCCAAGTTTTTAAGGTAAGGAGTTCTAATTTTCAGCTAAAGCTTCAAAAATGTCTCGATCTAACCCTGATTTTCATTGGTGTCCAGTTGTCCTTCGCGAGTTCGCTTCTTTGATGCTTCATATTTGTTATTCTTATGGGATTAATCCTGCCAATCCACGATAGACAATGAATTCGAGGCCCCCATCATATACTCCTCGTCTAAATCAATTTTCCAATAATGAAGCGGTAATTCAATAGTGGAGAATTGGCTTTCGGCTCTAGATGAATTTTAGTCTATTAAGAGGGCTAGATCAACTGGCTTCTCTCATGTCTTTCAACATTTGGCGTGTAAATGTGAAGAACAAGAAATTTCGCGCCTTGAGCAGCTACGAAGACCTTACAAAGCACCATGAAGCATTCGGAAGTGCGGCTAGCTGAGAGACGTTAAGCGCTCGCCATGAGCTGGTTTTTTTTGGGACGTTACTTTGCCATTAATTCAAAATCCCCGCTTTCAATTGGTTTCCGAAAAAAATTGAGTCACTGAACCGTGGCGTTTACAGTTTCTAAAGCACTTGAAAGCGTTTAGAATAATTCAAAAGCTGGATGTTGTACTAGTCTGCTCTACACCCGCGTACGAGACACCTCTTTTTTCATTTCGCTGTTCACGTTTCGCTCCCAGTTTCTTGTATCGAAGCTGTCAGTACCGTCATTCGGCAGCTTGGAGACGATGCAGTTCGATGGTGAAGTCGCAAAGTGCCTTTATTCAGCTACTTTGCGAGCTTTTGGACTTCAAATGCTAATAGGCTCGGTTTGGTATAAACGTCATGTGATCGCTTAATAAATTTTTGAATTGATCATTGTTCCAAGACTGACAGGATTGTAAAGATAAGAAAACACACGATCATCTACATTATTCTCGAGCTTCTTTTGGGCACTTAACGCCTTTGAGGTTATATATACACACCAACTACATGGCCTCTAATAGTATCAAGCTTTTGTCCGGCAATTCTCATCCAGAATTGGCCGAGAAAATAGCTGAATTACTGGGCCTATCGTTGTCCAAGATTGGTGTTTACCAGTATTCTAACAAGGAAACCTCAGTGACGATTGGTGAAAGTATCCGCGATGAGGATTGCTACATCATCCAGACTGGCAGCGGACAGCAGGAAATAAATGACTTTTTGATGGAATTACTGATCATGATCCATGCCTGCAAAACGGCATCCGCAAGAAGAATCACTGCTGTGATCCCAAATTTTCCATATGCACGTCAGGATAAAAAGGACAAAAGCCGTGCACCTATAACTGCCAAGCTGATTGCCAATTTACTAGAAACTGCTGGCTGTGATCATGTCATTACCATGGACCTGCATGCTTCGCAAATCCAGGGGTTCTTCCATATACCTGTTGACAATCTGTACGCTGAACCTAGTGTGCTCAACTACATAAGAACAAAAACAGACTTTCAGAATGCTATCCTTGTTTCTCCCGATGCTGGTGGTGCCAAGCGGGTGGCATCAATTGCCGATAAGCTAGATCTCAATTTCGCTCTCATACACAAAGAAAGACAAAAAGCGAATGAAGTCTCAAGGATGGTGCTAGTTGGTGACGTCAAAGGTAAATCGTGTCTCTTGGTTGATGATATGGCTGACACCTGTGGTACTCTCGTAATGGCCTCCGACACCCTTTTCGAAAATGGTGCTAAAGAGGTCATCGCAGTAGTAACCCATGGGATATTTTCAGGTTCTGCGAAAGAAAAATTGGGGAAAAGTAAACTTTCGAGGATGGTATGCACCAACACTTTGCCAGTGGATCTACAATTGGATATCTATGACGAAATAGATATTAGCCCAACCCTAGCCGAAGCAATCCGCAGGCTTCACAATGGTGAAAGTGTTTCCTACCTTTTCACCCATGCAGTTTGAGCGACCGCAAGGTGAAGTCGACTTAGTTGAAATTGATTAAATTCAAAACTTACACTCCTAAATAAATTTGACATCCAAATATAATGCCTTTTTAATAATGCCTCTTCAAACTGAACTTTTATTCCTTTGTTGATTTTTTGAAACTAAACAATCTGGATCGCCGTCTGGATCCCTTAGAAGAAGATTTCACCCGTATGTTGCGTCCCTCAGGAACATCTCCCAATCCGCATGAATGATCCGTTCTATTACATTCCATGTTAGATCTGATCTTTTCGTCAAGTCTAACAAGTTCATCAACGGCTTCGGCATACTTTTGCCGCTTGTCGAGACCATCCGCCTTTTCATCGACGACGGACATTTCTTTGTAGAAAAGTAGGTACGCTGTTGTAAGATCATCTGAGTTACCCATGAACTTTAGAACCGTAGACTCATTAACTGTTTCTACAGTCTCATCGTCAAATAGAAGCCAACCAAATTTGTCCGTTTTGCATAGTGAGACGTAATGCCCATGATGGGGTCCTCCGCCCATATGAACAACGAGCCCTACGAGTTCATACCGTTTGCAAACTGACGAATCAAATGTTGAGCAAACTTTGAGAGTTAGTGGGTAATGTATTTTATTGAACAGCTTGACATTGCAATTATGTTTTTCAGAGTACTTGAATCTCTTCATGTGTAAAGCCAAATAGAATGGCAGCTGCTTTAAACCGACGACCCTTTCTGCTTCTTGTAATCCACAACATTCGTCACAGTAAAACTTATTTGCTCCATTGAGCATTTCCTTTTGGTGAAAATCTGATAGTGTCGTTTGAATATCGGTATCCTTATCCTCATGAACTTCGATGGCGAAATCCAGGAATGGCTCGTTACGGTATGTCACATTGTCGCAAGTTAGACATCTTGTCCTGTTAGTTAACGTTCCTTTGAACAGTTGATCTATGAAGTTCGCCTCTTTGCTTTCCGATCCTTCGCCGTCTTCGAGCTCCTTGCCACGATGGGCATCGAGATAATCACTGATTTCGTTCAGCAAAAAATTTAGAAATTCATGGGCGTCTTGGTGCATCATCGTGCTGAATAAGACATTCTCCCGTTTCAAGGTTTCCACGAATTGTATCGGAGACACCACTCCTGTCAAGCAGATATTTTCCGTTATACTTTCATACAGGTCCTTTACAGCAGTGTATAGCCCAGCTTTCTCATTAGCTGGGACATTTTCAGTAAAAGAATGATCCACGTTGATTACGGGGCCTTTTATGAGAGCGGCTTTTTTGCGTTCTTCGCTTGAGGTTTCTTCTGGTTTAGTAGATGAACCAACTGACGAATTCGATGACGAAGACGGTACCGATGAACCTGGCGTCGGTGCTGAGCTGGAAAGAGTTGGAATTTCTTGGTGGTAGGCTTTTTTGCCACTTTTTCCCCCGGTACGACCCACAACAATCCTTGTATATCCTTCATGTAGCTTTTCCGTTATGGCGTCTGAAGCCATCACGGTACCGTGAACAGTGGCAGAACTATGGGATCTGTAGCTTCTAGGGCTAGTAGCTGACTTAAAGCTTTCTCTATCCCTAGATGGCGGATTAGAATTCTTGCGAGGTCCTGTGTCTTTACTGGAACAGTTGCCGTTGCAATTACTACCTTTCCTGGAGTGATCGCTGCCATTCGTTGGTAAAATAAAGCTAGTGTCATCAAAGATTCTAGGCTTCAGGCCCGGCATATGGGTCTTTCGTTTCCTAGGAACAGCTGGATCCTTGGGTGGAAACTGAAGTATATGAGACCGTAATTCCGGAAGGTTGTAAATCACTTGGAGCACGGAATTGCAATAACAAGTGTTGCCGAAGTTTTCGTATCCAAATACTTTGTTTGAGCCGTCCCCGTAGGGCAAAAGCTTACTGGTTTCCGGGCGTAGTAAAGGAAAAAGATCGTACTCGAACTCCGGATCATCGGAGTCGCTTATGGCAAATGAAGACGCACTCTTAGGATCATTTGACGCCCCACTGAAGTCGCGATGTCCATGGTGGCGCTCTTCCATCGCTAGAACCGGCGATTGACGGTCTGGGTAGGACGCTGCCTTGGAACCACCCGACGGTACTATAACGTTCAGTAGTTTATCTCCCAGCGACGTGTCGCTTTTGCCAGTCTTTTCCGCCGCGTTTTCAGGAACAGCGGGCTTGGCAGCGGAATCCTCGAGCCCGTGTTCAGCCGCCGCTTTCTGCTTGCTCGATTTGTCACTCCTGGAGAGCCACTTTTTGAACGACATCTTCCTGTTTTGACGCGCTTTTCAAATGTTGCAAAGCTGGAATACGCCTGTGCTACAGATTCCCAGCTTAAGTTCGCTGCTCAATGACAAGCTTGTTAGCCTTAATCTGACTGAGAACACTCGCTGGATCAAGAGAAAAACTCTGGATTTCCAAATACAGTCGGAATACTTTTGACTATATTGCCAGAAGAAGTTCCCCAGGTACAATATATTATCGGTCGTGGCTTACGACAAAGATTCACTTTCAGTTGCAAGCCTTTGTCCAATATTCAGTGCCAGCCCAGCAATTGTGCCAGATGCTCAGGAGCTAAGAATCCTCAATTCTAGTCTCGAGCTTATTTTTCAGAATGACGCCCGGTAATTTAGTTATCTTTCGATTTCCAAGCTTTGATTTTGAAACTTTGAAAAAAGATACACACGCCATTATCCGAGCACCATGTGTGATGTATTTTGCGGGGTCTAAACGGTTCGCCTGAGCCTGGCAATCCGAGTTCTACACGTGTGATTTAGATTTTGTTTTACAAAGCCAAAAAAAATTTAGAATGCCACTTCCTAGAATCGAACGAGGGTTTCATCTGCCACAAAGATGTGTACTAACCACTATACTAAAATGGCTTCTTATTGAAGATGTGAGAAGATGTATGGTACATAACAATTTCTAGACGACACGATGACATAGTTACGTTAAGGCGCCATTGTTATGACGCCTTCGCTGCGGGCTACCGTAGCAATGCGACACCCAGCTTCCTTCTTCTAGTTGTTGATGCGTGTAATTGAATATTAACAAATAAATATGTAGTGTTCTATAGCGGGTAGAGTTTCAAAACTCGGGAGCCATGTTGATGTCGAACCAGCCGAGAAAATCATCGTCGTCGGCAGAGTTTTGCTCCATCCAGCCAGCACTCTGTGCCTGGAAGAACGTGTTTAGCTCCGATGATTGTTTGGGCGGTATTTGTACGGGAGCGGGGCTTCCGCCGTTATTGTTTCCCACACTTTCGCCGACCGTCAAGAACATGTTTAGGCTCGAGTATGAATTCGAGGGTAGTAGCGGAGACGCGGGTGGCATGAGCTCGGGTGCCGCTAGCTTGTTAAGAGCCAAACTGGGTGCCCCAGTGCTGTTGACTGCAAAGAGCGAATTAGTGTTTCCCGATACCAAGGACGGCGAAATATTGGTCATTCGCCGGCCGCTGGAGAGTGACTCTGTTGCGGGTGTGCTGGCCGACCGCTGCATGGGCTGGGCGAAGAGGGACGGTGACTTCGGCAGGATATCCTCAGTTGTTGCGCTCGTCTTCATCACGCTATGAGGCGAGGTGAAATTTGCAGCGATCAACGGCTCCGGGTACAGAATAGATTCTTGATATTCAGCACTGTTGGTTGATTCCAATCTCATGCTACCAGTTTCGTCCAGGACGGATATGGGAATTCCATTGATGTATCTGACCAGACCCTTTTTATCCCCCTGACTTTTTGCCAGCTCTTTTGCCTGTTGAATGGCATTTTTCGTGGGTATCAATGTGGTAATGGTGGTGCCTCCCGGCGTGGTCTGCGTGATAGTCTCAAAGTCTTCTTTTGAGATTTGGTTATAAAATGGTAAGGGATATAATTTCCTCTTGGGAAGGTCGCTCTCAATCTCCGACTCCTTTTCGCTACGCTTGGCTAGTTCTTTTGCGAAGTTTGGGTCATTTTGACGTCGTCTGGCCTCGTGAATGCACCAAACCAAGTCGTAAAATAAAGTTGCAGTCAAATGAGATCTCATGCGGGTGATAATGCCCTTACTTTCAATAAATATCTCCGGTTGTGAAATTAGCACAAAGTTCAACTTCTCCAAGACGCTAGCGGTTCTTGAAATGTCGTTCTCTACACTGGTGGTCCACGCTGTAAGTTGGTTCCTGTAGAGTCTGTGCACAGTAACAATAGATTGGCGAGCCGAGTCGATATATTTTTCCGGCAAAAATGGCGTCAATTGGAGTTTGAAGAGGATCAGTGCCGAATAGGTCACACTTTGTCTAACATAGATTGGGAGTTGGATCAATTTTGTTTTCTCTAAGAGTTTCGTAAAGAGAGTTACAACTTTTGTCGCACACAAATATGCTTCATCGACGTACTTGCTTTGATCCCCTGCGGGGGTATCCGGAAGAAATGCGAAGCAGCATATCATGAGTCTCACATACAAATAATACATTTGTACCACTGTGTCTTGCTCAAACTTGAATTTAGACTGTAGCCGTTTCAATTCCTTCTCCAAAATATCCAGCGCCCCGGCTCTCTCTGATGCAGTAAGTAAACCATCCGGGGATGTCACACTGGACCCCATCATTTCACATAACTTGACCTGAAAATTGGCCAAACAAATTAGTTGACGAAACCTACTAGGAACAGCGCTTTCATCTTCGCGGAGACGGGCTAGCTCTATCAAATAATCATTTTGAGAAGTTGGAGGTAAACCCAATATACTTGCCCAACACTGTTCAGCGAAAAAAATTCCGAGCCAAGTGCGTGTCCTCCATTTTTCAGCATTGGGCATTGACGTTTGGGTTCTTGTGAACTCTGACATAAACTTGCCTCGATGTAAGCCCAATTGAAGAGATAACGATTTAGCTAGTCCCACAAAGCGGTATGAGCAGTCATCTAGCACTTTTTGATTTGGCAGAGGCCAATTGCACAGAATCAGTAAAGCTTGTGAAATATGCGTAGATCTCGGAGTTCGAATCCAGCATGTTTCGATAGCCAATTGTTTTATTAGAGAAGCTAACTGGTTGTAAAGTGTTGGTTCGGGATCTGATAGGCATGCAGTGAGCATAACTGTCCAAAAAAGAAGCTGAGACTGTGAATAAAGCTCTGTGGCGCTGTTGGAATACATTATGGGAAAATACGGTAAGAATGAAGCAACAAATACTCGGTGTAATTCATTTGCCGTGGAGATTGAGATTTTGACGTCACCAAGTATAAACTCATCTATACTTGCTTGAGGTGATGGCAAAAGCTGTATGGCATTAGTGGTGGCTACTACGTGTTCTTTGCGTCCAAGCGCATCAAAACTTCCGATGTTGTCTGGAGTAAGGCTGGGACTCCTCGCACGCAAAGAACTCTCTTGTGATGTAGCGTACTTCAGCGAGTGACGTTTCAATGCGATTCTCAAAACTCGAGGAAGGGTCTCATCATTGAGCAACGACGAACTTTTTTTAAGAGGAGACGTGGTGTTGTGTAATTCTCCAGCGGCACTGGAAGATGACTCAGAAGTCTTCGAAGATTCTCCGTGGATGAGGTGAGGTTCACTCGTAAGATATGTTTGAACCGTAACTTTCGCCTGGGATCTTTCACCATAACCTTTGGGTTTGTTAGGCCTCTGAGGTTGTACATCAAGTTTCACGCTCCTAAGCAGCTCTTGGCCCCATTCGGTCTTCGCGAGGGCGCGTGCTATCAGGCTCTCGTTGTAAGTCAAACACTCTATCTTCAGTTTCAGCTCATCAACGTCAGACCGCAAGCTCTGCAGCTGAGAACCCTTTTTTGGTCTAAACTGTGGGTCAATCTCGCAAGCAAGTCCCATCCTTTCACATCTGGAGCACGGCGCTGGAAAATTGTCGCTCGCATTACATTTGATTTTGTGCTGCCGACAATGTGTACACGAGGTAACAGGTCTGTGGCCAGTTGGCCCAGTTGCTGCTGCTTTATTTTCGTTTATTGAGCTTTTATCTTCGCTAGCGCTGGGCTTATTTTGCGGTCCTGAATCGCTTGCTAGCGATGCCACATTATCTGCAGTTTTCTCTGCCGCGGCTGCCGGTGATGCGGATTCTTCACTCTTGATAGATTTCCGCTTATTGTTTACAGCGCTGCAGGGTTCATTTGTGTTTGGAGAGGCCCGTTTCCGGTTCTCTTTACCTTCCGAACTGTCACTCGTTGTCTCTGGTGACGCGCTCATCATTACATCTGAGGAGTCAGAATCGATGACTATAAAAAATCCACGACCTTTCAATTGGTCCATCTAAAGTGCAACAAGACGTGCTACTCAAATAAAAGGGAGTCTGAAAACACGAGCGTTTTTTCGCTTTAAAACTCAAAAGATCTTGTTTTGAGTTGAATTATTCGGATATCTGCTAATAAGTATTTTCTCAAAATTATCGAATACAAACGAAGATTTGTCATGTGATCAGAATTGAGCTTGACTACATTGCCTGCTAAACAAAAAGTGTACTCCATCCCTGATTCTGGGGATACGGCTCGGTTTTGAGCATCTCGAAAGTTTCGTGGACTTCTCTCAAGTGAAAGCTTAGCTAGCGCTCTATTTATTTTTTCTTTTATGAATGTTATCACATCACATTAAATGTCCATAGTTATCCTCATATTGTTGTCATATTTCCTACGTAGAAGCGGCTTTTCGCTCAAGCCTTAGTGTAACGCAAGTATGGCTTGACAGTTTTGAAATCGCCGAATTTCTCCTTTGCAGCGGAGTCGCTGACGGTTGGTGGGATGATTACATCCTCGCCAGGTTGCCAGTTGATAGGAGTCACAACGCCCTTGGAATCGCCCTTTTGCAGAGCGTCAATCACTCTGAGCACCTCCCCGGAGTTTCTACCGACAGAAGCTGGGTAAGTGATGATCAAACGCACTTTCTTCGAAGGGTCAATGACGTACACGGATCTGATGGTAGCCACAACGCCTTTGTTCAGATTCTTGAAGCCCTCTTCATCCACCATGTCGTACAAGAAGGCCACTTCGCGACTGGCGTCGCCAATGATGGGGAACGCAAACTTGTCAAGACCGCTGATCTCTTCGATGTCTTTGATCCACGACTGATGCTTGTCGACCTCCTCAGCAGAAAGACCAATCAGCTTCACGTTGCGTTGGTCGAATTCCGGCTTCAATTGTGCAAACGCTCCCAATTCGGTGGTACAAACAGGTGTGAAGTCTGCAGGGTGTGAGAACAAAACACCCCAGGAGTTGCCTAAGTACTCATGTAGGTTCAATTTTCCCTGGGTGGATTGTGCCGTAAAGTTAGGGGCCAATGAGTTGATTCTGAGTCTTGGTTGTTCTTCTTGTTTGAAAGTTCTAATCATTCTCACTGTGTTTCTCAGCATAGGTTGTTGCTGGATGGGTTTTCTGACCGAAAGCAAAGAACGAAGCATCATATCGAAGTTTTTAAAAAGGTCTGATAAGCTTTAAAAGTGCTATAGTAGGGGTTAATTGAAGAACAGAATGCCGGCAATCCCTAATTCTTCTTACTCATTCATTTGCTGACTGAAAGAGACACCTTTAATATATCGATCCCTTCATGCTGTGGAAAAATTTGTTGCGACAATGTGGCTTCTAAGAACCAATAATACTTCACGTGTGAGTAAAAGCGCGGGGAACAATAATGGTAACGGGCATTCACTAACTCTACGTTGTGTAGGGGAGGAGAACGGTGGTTCCCATGGACCACGATTGAAGTCGTGTTGACCAGAATATCAGTGAGTTAAATTGTGTGAATGCGTGTGGAAACTATTCGAGGTGGGAGTGACTCGTTGCATTGATTTACAATCAGATGGTGAACATCAAGATACGCTATTAAGCATGTGCGCGTTTATGGAAGTGGTCATTGGTATCGTTGGTTCAATTCCAGTCTTAGATCAGAGCGTCTGTCTGGAAAATAGTGATATGCAAGCTACAATGGAGTCTGAGCACTTGCGCGGTGAAAAAAATATCGAGCCTGTTCTCTATCGACCATTTTCAAGTCAATGAGGTTACTATGGGCATAATCATTTACTTGACAAGCGTTGGCTGGCTAATTCTCTCCGTGGTTTTTCTGACTGAGAGTATGATCGCGCTACATTGAAAAGTTGTCGGTATTCATACATTCTTGAACGCCAAAAGTACACGTCTTATCAATCAATGTAGCAATCTAACCGCAGCTATTCGGATGAGAGAGACCATCCTTATCGCCATGACTAGGTTGCGAGTGGAAAAAAGGCCTCTAAGTTACTCACAATCGTGCTGTATGTCACTTTTTACTATACTGACGCTGAGTCGAATTTAACGTATTATATACAAGCATTCGTAAATTTCTGGCGGAAGTGTAAGTATATCAAAATCCCACTAAACTGCTAATCTGCTCGATATAGTAAAGGGGTCTACCCTTCAGCAACTCGCTGATTTGATTTGAATGTTCAGTATTTAATGTTTTTGCAAGTCGCAGTTGTTTTCGTATTTTGCTTGAGTGTAGCCTGATTATGTGTAGACATTTGAAAAAGAATGGATATCACCTGGCCTTTCGAAATACACACGAGAAGCGTAGATCGGAGTCTTACTGATCTGTTAGTTTTAATCATGCAATCGATTTATATCTGTTTATAGATCTGTTTATAGAAGTTATGAGGTACTGTACTGATTTTGTGGGCTAAAAGATGTGGCCACATTATCCGCTTCACATGAGAACACATTTCTTGTCCTTTTTCTTGTCTTTTTTGTCCTTTTTCTTGGAACTACTTTTCTCGTCTTTCTTCACCGTCGCACGAGAGGGGGCGCCTTTCGATTTGTCGTTTCCCTTCGAGCTTGGATTTGTTTTGACTAACGGAGCGCTTCCAGTTAAATCAAAAGCAGCTGGCTCTGCAGGCTTATGCGAGTTGCCACCAGCGGGACTTTGAGTGTTAGTGCTTTCAGAGCCGTATTTGAATGTATTAGGACCATTGGCACTCAAGGGTTCGTTGTTTGGTTCAGTGGTGCTTAGAACACCGACGATGGAGCCACTCAAATTGGAAGGAGCACCAATCGAAAGCTGGTTGGGGGTATGAGAAGATGCCATTTTTGGCGGCGTGCGATTATCAGTTTCGAGGATGTTTGTGGAGGATGCAGATGAGAATAAGTTAAGAGCCGTAAGACTTTTCTTATTCTTAACATGAGGGGTGTTTTCGTTGTTCAGCTTGCTAACAGCGCGCTGATCATTATTCTTGGCGGCGATCTCGTACCACTGGCGAGCATTTTGAGCATTGGCTTCGCAACCTTTACCTTTTTCGTAGAAATAACCCACTGTGAATTGGGCCTTTGCTAGCCCTAATTTAGCCGCCTTCAATGCCCATTGGAAAGCCTCATTCTCGTCTTTTTCAAATGCGGGTTCAGCTCCCATTAAATACCAGGCACACAGGCCTAACATGGCATGCGGTTCTCCCTGTAGCGCAGATTGTGTATAGTAATGAACACTTAGGCTTGTATCTGGAGGTACGATTTCATTACCTGATTCATAAATGTTGCCCAATGCTGTCGAAGCTTTTGCGTGTCCCAAGGAGGCGGCTTGGATGTATAGCTCCATGGCGTATTTTATGTCCGGTATAATAATATCCAGGAACCCATTCCTGTAAATCTTGGCCAACTCGTATGGAGCGGCGTTCGTAAGTTCATTTGCGCGCGCTGCAGCACGAGATAACCACTTGATACCATTTTGCTTGGTATTAACATCATGAGAAAGACCCATACGCCCATAAAACGAGAACAAACCTAACTTGTACATGGCAGAGGGATGGTTTCTACTCGCTGCAAATTTCAGAAACTCCACTGCCCTTCTAGAGTCGCAAGTGGTTCCCAACCCTTCTTCAAAACAATGTGCCGTCCTGAAGGCACTTTCGACATGACCGTGTTTGGCCGCTGACTGAAATAAAACAAATGCATCCCTATTATTAACCTTACCAAACGCGCCAGATGAGTATGCATCTGCTAAAAGATATTGAGCGTCAGAGTAACCTTTAACGCTTAACTTCTTGAGATACGTTTGAGCTTCCTTGAGAAACTGTTTGCGCATATCTTCTTGGGTGACACCGTTTGCATCCTTCTTATCAATTGGCACAGTCGCAGGAGAGCCACAACCGCTAGCGTCGATTGTAAGTGCCGTCTGAAGCATGTATTGAGCATACTGAAACAAAACATTGGGGTCTTTAGACTTCTTGACGTTCTGCTTGTACATCTCGATGGTTTTCAAACGAGGCACCAACGAGGAATTGTTAGCTTCTCCCAAGTATTGCGAGATCATTTGATGCGAGAGATCAGCTACGCTCTCATTTGTTGCCGTAAACTGCGTGTCCTTGTCGCTCAGCATGAATAGGTGTGAAAGATCTAGCGACTTGCGACTCCTTCTCGCGTTAAGCGATGCTGTACTTTCAGAATTGGTGCGCATCTCGACGAAACTACCACCTGAGCCATGTAGGTTGGACCGCGATGAGTCGGGAGTTCCTGTGGAGGACATCACACGTGACGAATCAGATATTGCGTTCTGTTGGAACTGCTCTGGAGCCTCCAGCGGCATACTAACGTTCTCATAACTGCGGGGACTTTGCCCGGATGTCTCTAGTGTAGAAACATGGCTTGTTTCGTGCTTGTTCATTCCCGAATCACCGCTTTCTAAGTGATCGAAACCATAGCCCCCCGGAGTTGCCGATGTCAGGTTCTGGCGATATGGATGCGCAGTAGTAGCCATCAACAAAAATTACGGTACGTTGGTAACACCTTCAGGCTATGAAACAATCCTGAAGACCACAATTTGTGTGTTACACGCGTAAATTCTCTCTTACAGAGTACTGTTCTATTCTTATAATGTGAGGAAAAGGCGAAATTTTCGCACGGGCCAAAAAATGAAATTTTCGAACCGAACAATAAAACAATGGATATGATGCTATCTAGCGTTTGTAAGCGCTGTCGGGATTAGCGGCAGCTGTGAGACGAACTCGATAGAATTAGGTTTTCGGGAATTAGGCTTTCGAGAACTAGGTGTTTACTAAAAATTCCGGAATAATGCTTTAACGTGGTTACAGAAGTGAGTTGAGAGGAAAAAGCAGCAACAAATGAGTTTCGTAGAAATCTTCAACGTTAAATAGTGCCCTGTGAACTTGCCTCATTCGTCTTCTTCGCGTGGATCTCCCACACCGTCTTCGTAAATAGCGAAAATACACTCTGCCTCGGGCAAACATGGAGAGTCCACCACCTTGCATATTCTCTGGCAACCTCTACCTTTCTTAAACCCTAAACGCGTGGTTGAGGAATGCGCCATGATGTTACCTCCTATAGGCTTCTTAGGGTCTGGGTTAAAGCTCATTCCACCGTCCACTTGGGCTACTACTTGATTGGTGACCACAACTGCCACCCCAAACTGATCCGCTAGCCGTTGCAAGGCGCGCATAAACTTCGCCAGATGCATCTGCCTAGCACTCAGCTCTCCACGACCCGAAAAATCTGTTCTGTACAAAGCCATAATGGAGTCCACCACAATCACCGAAAATCGAGATTCGCTCATCATTTGTGCCGCAGCGTCCAAGAGACGCAGTTGATGATCAGCATTGTAGGCTCTAGCATATGCGACATTGTTTAAAGCATCATCAGGATCCAAGCCAAATCGTTGTGCTATCGATACAAGCCTGATGGGCCGGAATGTGCCTTCAGTGTCGATATACAGACATTTGCCCTCTCCTCCTCCCATATCGAGCGGAATTTGACACGTCACGGCCAGGGTGTGGCATAGCTGCGACTTTCCTGTCCGGAACTCGCCGAACAATTCTGTAATAGATCCAGTCTCAATTCCACCGCCCAGGAGTGTATCCAGATTTTTGGACCCTGTCGTCAAACAAATCATTTCCGAGCGGCGCAGATGAAAGTCGGCAGCAGTGACAAATCCCATCGGAACCAAACGTGCGGCTTCGTTGAGTAGCCGCTCTGCTTTGGCCTCCGAAATACCCTTAATTTCAAGCAGTTGTTTGCGGGAAGCGTACGCCACTGCTTCTGCGGTATGAATGCCGTTTTCCCTCAGCTTTTTAAGATCTAAGGCCGTTATCCCGTTAATTAAAAGCCGATCCAGCGGCACAAACGATACCAGCGCTGCTTCTTCGCCGGGCTCCAGCTCGTTTTCATTTGGATCCATTGAGTCCGAAACGAACATTTGACCTTCTGCAGCTCCTTCAGAACCGCCGATTCCGCCATTTCTTTGACTCATGTCTTGTTCACCCACTTGCGAGTCTCGATAGACTGTTGCTGGTTCCATCGGTATTCTCTCTTGCCCTCTATGTGTTTGATATTAGGATATTTGACCTTTTCTATGGGGGCGAAACACGTAAGGTTTAATATTTTTTTTTTTCAGAACCATTTTCGCGTTTGTTTATTCAAAATGCTAGCGATCATTCACGTAAATCAATGAAAGGGCATCGAGGGCAGGTGCTGCTAACAGACATGTAACTTCATGCCATAGAGTAGCAGCTGGCCTTGCACTTGCTCAATGCTACAGAAAGTAAGACTTTTGAAATTTGGCCTCTAGGTATAATATTTATAGGCACATATTGTTCTGAACCTGCTGAGCTCACATCAATCAGTCACTTCTGCTTCAAGAGTCCCGGTTTGAAAGTATTAGCTCCCAGCCGAAGGAATCTCTCTAGCGTCAACATACGTGCCGGAAAAAATGATAAAATTGGTTTTGTAGTAATGTGCACCAGCAGAGATCTACGTCAAAATTATCACAGCTGCATTTCATGCTCTGCAATTTTGGTGTGGTTGAAGTACAACTGTACGCTCAATCTTGGTGTAGTTGTCTTAGAGAAGTTTCTAATTTACTACGCTATCGATATTAACAATAATCGTCAAATAAGAAAAACACACACTATGTCGTTCGATAAATCGTGCCGTTCAAAGACTAGCCCATCGCGACAAGCATAGCTGCAAGACGAAGTTCCTCAATCGCCCGGTGACGCCGCATGTCAATTTAATCTAAACCATATCTCCAATCACGTGTTAAAATGGTCTTGGCTATCACATCATGTTTCAAATTACGTTCCTGTACCGTTCAAAACCTAATGTGCGTCTAATCGCAATCCATTCAACCAGCCATAGGCCCATTGACATAACAATGGACAGCGAAATAGCTCTGGATTGCGTTGCTGATAAAAGGCTGCCTTCAGAAGATGCGACACTTACCGAATCACCGAAGATTACGAACATTCATGAAATCGTAAGTGACACACCTTCAGCACCAGAGGCTAGACAGAAAGCACTCAAGATTCTTACAGGAAAGCTTGAAAACGTCGATTTCAAGGAATATGCCAATTTTCTTGGCTCTTCAGAGAATGCCGCTGTGTTAAAAGAATTCTTACTTCTGCTACACCCACTGCCTTCTTCATTGACGGGAACGCTACGAAAGCTCTCTAGCAACATCTACTTTATTGCGGAAGCCGCAAACATTGATACAATTTTGGAAGCACTTGCTAAACAGTGGCTTGAAGCACACAGCATGCCTCATTATCAGAACAACTATCGATTATGCCACATCGTGATGTTTGCTCTTCTGATGCTCAATTCAACATTACACAATATAGTGGCCGATTGCAGATTCACACTTCAGGAGTTTGAAGAAAATACGATACACGCGCTTCAAAAAGAATGCGCCGAAATCGATGTCCCTTGTTTCGAGCGAGACCTGAAGAAATGCTACATCTCACTCGATAACCAAGAATTGCCGCTACTGAGGCCCAATAATCAACCGAAACACAACCTAGAAAAACGGTCGAATACACCAGCTCACGGCAATAACCAAAACAACATGAAAAAGCTATCCATGCTTTCCATGCGAGGCAGTTCTTTAGAGCGCTTACACTCTCATCAATCAGTGGTCTCATGTCCAACCAGTCTTTCAACCCTTACTTCAAGAGATACAACAGCCACAAGTAATTATAGAATTCGCAATAATCAGCCTCTTCAGAAGCTGTTTCTTGATGAACCATTTGATGAGGAGATGCAAGACGTGAACGAAACGCCGTGGTTGATGGATTCCGTCGTAAAGTATCAAGAAGCTGCTAATACGAATAGTTCTACATCTCAACTGCTCACACCGGCGAATACCAGGAAACGCAAATTGTTCGGATGGTTTAAAAAACCTTCGAAAGACACATTATTTCGAGAGAATGCGCACGCCGCTATAGATCACAATTGGTTCCGCGCACGTATACGGGTATACCAAGGTCGACTTTTCTTGTATAAATTCAAATTTGCTGGCACTGAACGAACAAATGGGGATCCAATGCGGAAATGGGAAATTGACTCCGGCAGAAGAAATTGTTCTCAATTCCAAGTTTTTAACCTATACGGAACAATGGCGTCTGTGGTACAAGAAAACATTGTGGCTAGTGAAAACTCAAACGTCAACTCGGTTAGTCTAACCCTAGAGTTTCCTCACGGGATTGACACTACAAGTGGTTTAGCATTTCGATTTCAAACACAGAATTTAGAAGAAGCTAAAATGTTCACATCTTGTTTGAACTTTTGGAGTGCTCGTATAACGCCCATTCCATCTGCTCAGGCTGAGATGATCTCCAACGAAGAATATGGTTGGAGTCAGCGTATACTGAAGGAGGGTATTGATCCCAAAATGGTTAAACTAGCGAACTGGGCTCCGCTTGTGGGACTTGATGCATTGTTTGCGGAGATGGACGAGAACATCGCGTTATGGGATTTTGACTCCCATCTTCAGAATTTGAAAGTATTTACGGAAACGCTGGATGCACAGTTAGATGCTCATAATTCTCTCAAACCGCAAATGATAAAAGTTTTGTCAAAAAGCTCCCTTAAAAGCGAAGTGCCTCTATTTGACAAAGCTATGGACAATTGGAACAACAAGTACCTTTATTTGAACCAGCAGTACAGCAAACACCTAGTTTATCTCAAGGCTTTGCAAAACGCTGTCGAATTCCACAAAAATTATGAGCATTGCAAGAGTTCTGGAACTCTAGCAGAAGGCGATGCTCTTGAAAAAAACGCAGACCAATAGGTGCTGTAATGCATTTGCCGTATACTGCGGAGCACTATTTAATTACTAATTTTACTGCATTATTATAACAAAAGACACCCAATAGACAGAAAATACTAGGTATACCTCAGAAGCCTTGTATAATTGCAATCAAGCTCTATTGATGTCTATCGAGTTACATAGTGCAACCAGTGACACTTTATGCGTCACTATCGTCATTTATTATTTCCTTCAGAAATTGATATCACGTGAATGTACTGGCCTACTAGAACACTCAACTTCTAAAGTTTTGACCTTAAGAAAGTAGCCAGTGGCAAATCCATTCTAACTAAATACCAAAACAGTCATTGACTACAAGCTTTCGAGATGTCTGATCCGAGTTCTATAAACGGTATGTGCATATGAGTCTTTGAGAATTATTCTAGGATAAACGAATGCCTAATGAGCCGGTGTTTTTCGGCCATTTGGTCAATTTCGTCATTTTGGTGCCCACTTCCTCACGAAAGATAGCTTCGATCTCGAGACCTGTCCTCGGATAACTGTCCTGATCTTCAGTACTAACTCGTTACTTTATAGGTGGTATTGTTGTCGCCATGGCCGGCAAAGACTGTGTGGCAATTGCGTGCGATCTGCGTCTAGGGAGTCAGTCGCTTGGTGTAGCCAACAACTTTGAAAAAGTATTCCATTATGGCCATGTTTTTCTGGGTCTAACAGGGCTTGCTTCAGACGTAACAACGCTCTCAGAATTATTCCGCTACAAGACAAACCTGTACAAACTGAAAGAAGACCGCCTCATAGAGCCAGAGACTTTCACCCAACTGGTGTCCAGCACACTGTATGAGAAAAGATTCGGGCCTTATTTTACTGGTCCTGTTGTGGCTGGTATCAACTCTAAAACTGGAAAGCCTTACATTTCCGGATTTGACTTAATCGGTTGCATCGACGAGGCAAAAGACTTCGTAGTAAGCGGGACGGCCTCAGAACAATTATTTGGTATGTGCGAGTCACTTTACGAGCCTGATCTCGAGTCTGAAGATTTATTCGAAACTATAAGTCAAGCATTGTTGAACGCTGCGGACCGTGATGCTCTTTCTGGCTGGGGTGCTGCCGTATACATAATCAAGAAGGACGAAGTCATTAAGCGGTATTTGAAGACCAGACAAGATTGAGAGAAGATGATAAATGCATTCCAGGGGAAGTTATGAGCGAAAGGGACTGGTGGTAGGTCCTAAAAATGTACAAAAAAGGATTTCATTGCGGTTTCAAAGGGAATGGTCTCCAGCTGTGGTCAGCTGCTCTGTTCGACCTGTTTTTGATTCTAGTCATATATAAATATATATATGTATAATTCTCGAAATATTTACATGAAATTGGCGACAAGCTGCCACTAACTGCGACCTGCGTTTCTAGTTTTCATTTAGCCCGTTAGTTCGACTTTTCTGTCATTTCTTTCTGCTTCTTGGCAACTTGCTCCTGGATAATGCGTTTGAGAATAGCATCCTCGCCGTACTCTTCTTCTTTAATTTGCTTCCACTTGGCGTCCATCTTCTTCTGCTTTTCCCGGTTTTCCAAGATTGCAGTCTTTCCAACTTCATACCTGGCCTGGTGCAAGCACTTTGAAAGAGCTTCCTTTTCGTTATTGCAAAGCCCCAAAGCCCTCTTGTAGTATTCTGCTTGGTGACATTTATCCAAAGCCTCTATAAGATCAAGGCATGCTGCGAGTCAATTTATTGTTAGAGTTTAAAGCTTTCAAAGGTACATAACTAACCCAAAAGGTCACAAAACATACAATGAAATCTTTGTGATTCCAACTGGGGATGCATACTGGCTTGTGGTACTGTAGTATGTGTTTTATGGATTGACTATGTTCGCTTGTTTTTGAAGTGAGATTTAAATTTTGTTTTTGATAGCTAGCTATTTGGGATTAAAATCATAGTAGCTGCTCGAAAACGCAATTATCACATACAAAATCAAGAGTTAGTAGTTAATCTGAGACCTTTCATGACATCTGCCGTCCAGTTGAGCGTCAGAGAAATTTCTGTCTTTTCGGAGGAATATAAAAAGCGCCGTAAACTGCAAATGGTGCGGTTCTTCGGCGCTACTGCTTTCACATTGATATCAGCCCGTCTGGCTTTCCGAGGCGTCCAATCCCGCAAATGTATGTCTCCCACTACTCTACCAGAAGGTGCATCACGAGAAGATCTTACTAACCTATATTTTGTGTAGATATTCCCACAATGTTTCAGCTCAATCATAAACCCCCGCTGTATTCCTTTCAGGGCGAGGCCGTCAGCGCCCTCGCATTTGGAACAGGGCTTGCCACTGGCTCTTTTGGTATGTTGGTATTTGGAACCTGCTGGATAGCTGACATATCATCCTTCGCGGAGTTTACACTGAAGGTCAAGAAGCTCATGGGTGAACCTACTACCCAGGGCATTAACGAGCCCATGGATCCAGAAACACAGCAAGTTGCGCAGGCACTCCAGGATCTACTTGATAGTGCCAAGCGTGATTAAACGTTAGACAAGGCAATGAGCTCGAGCTCATAGCTAGAATCTTGTATATAAGACTTAAATTCAAATTCCGGATCACACACTACGTTTACTTTGGAATAGATCAAGACCTTATTTCAATAGTACTCATCAAGCCTTCTCGCGTAACAGACAACAGTGAAGACGTATAGGCTTGGCAATCGGGTCAGTACAAGGCTCAAATGACCAGTCCACGGTCAAGCCCCCATTTTCTAAGGTCCAATTCCAGCAACGATGAGATCTTGACGCGAAGCAGGCACAACACGGTGCTTTCCACTTCTTTCGTGTCTAGTCGTAGGGCTGATGAACAGCCGGCATCTCCATTGACTCCGCAAAACACGAGGCGAACAAGAAGCGGCACCGTCAAAAGTATAAGTAACATCAAACACGACATTCACCATGTTCAACAAGATCTGGCTCGTCTCCGGAAATCGAAGGAGGACACCGAGAAACGTCGCGAGTCGGCTACAAACGATATATACCCTGGAAACTACTCACAGGAGCACTTGCAGAGACATTCCCTGGCACTACAGTCGAATGACCAACTGCGGAAACTGGACCAACAGATAAAGAAATCGGGTGAGCTGCTCACTACTCTTCGAAAGCGGTTGGACAGCACTAGTTCTGCTGTTGCCGAAGAGGTACGGTCATCTATGAACTCACAAGCGCCGTTTTTAAACGAAGATTCGCGGAAACAATCAGAAAGTGCTCTCACCAACGACAGCGTCACCGAAGAGGAGGAGCCTATCTCGCCGTCACCTTCTAACCGCGAGAACTTCTCTTTAGAGGGTTTTGGCGATATACAGGATGAAGATGAGGAAGCCATGACACGCATGTCCTCTAGTCGTGATGCCAAAGCAGGTAAAGAACACGCGACATGGCTAGTGAGTGACTACCTACAAAGTCTCCAGGACAAAAATTCTGATAAAGAGTTTATTCTCAGTAAAGCCAATGATTTGGTGTCACTTTTAAAACAGAATCCATCCATAAAATTCGATCTCGTGTTGCCTGCATTTTCAAACACTATACAGCAATTGCTTTTAAGTGACGATGAAGTCACTGTATCTGCAGCTTATCGAATTTGCCGATACTTAATTACTGGTCCTGAATTCATCCAAGAGCTACGGAAGTTACTACTGGAGCCTTTCTTGATACTATCTTTGGCCAAGGCTAATTCTTCGAATATAGAGAGGCTTCAAGCTTTTGAACTTATCCGATCTTTCCTAAAATATGATTCAGGCATTAGTCTAGGTATAACACAGGCTGTAATTAGCATTGTGGAGAAAAATGATGATAAGTTAAGGGAATTAGCAATAGAGACGCTATTGGAACTCTGCTACCTCAAGCCGGGATTAGTACGACGTTGTAAAGGTCTATCGGTACTGGAATCATTTATTGCCGAGAATCCGTCATCGTCACTATCTCCACTGATCTTAGAGTCTATTCTTGATCTTTTGAATTATAGCGACACAAGGCGATACATTATCGATTGCTTTAGCGTCTCCGTGCCTCTGACAGCATTAGCAGACACTCAAATAAAGGCTAACTTTAGCACTGAAAAACTTCAAAGCAGTATACACTTAATCTGCAATTGTTTGAAGAATTATAATGGCTTAATTCTATTTTGTCATGACGATTTTAAAGTGTTTCGGGAATTGCTTGCTTTTCTCCAGTCCCCACTATTGTCGAAATATGTGATTGATCTTTTTCTTGACGTTTTGAGAATCAAACCCTTGCCTTACTCGGACCGGAAGAAATCCTCTCAAGTTTTCAAAATGATTCCGTCCCAATTTCAGGCTGAAACTATGCCAGTGAATCAGTACATCGGACTTTTGGCTAGTATTCTTTTTGAGCTGCACTTCGTGGATCATCTAGTTCCACTTTTGAGCCAAACGCTAAATGCCAAAAAAGATCACAATTTAGCTGCAAAAGCCAGATATCTGATCACAGAATACTGTAACATATCAGTAAATTTGGCAGGTTTGAGACCTGGGGCAGCGGACAGTTTGCTTTTTCCAAATGATACAAAACTAGAAACCGTCTTCACACAGATATTCCAATTCGAAAAAGTTACTATTCGACTTAACAAAAATAGAAATACGATCGGAATGAATGAACTGGGGCCGAAGCATGATATTTTGGAGTTTTCTGAGAATTCTAAACACAAAGCACTCATCAATGACGTTGACGAAGCAAGATTCAAAAAAATGGTTTATGACACTAAAGTCTTGCAAACCAAAGATTTTGCCTTCTGGAATTGGGGTATTCTTTCAGATCTGATAGAAGGCCCTCTTCTAAACCCGAAAAGAATTGACGATCTGGCCAAAACAACCAAATTTTTTCGTCGTCTCTTGGTCTTTTACCGACCAATGAGGTATCGATTCTCGATGATTCTCCAAAGTTCCCGAATTGCCACAAGGTGCGTGCAAGTGGGGTGTCAGCTATTCAAGACCCTGACTTCGACTGCGGAGGGTATGCGCGTTTTAAATGATGACACCAAACTTGTACCTCAAATAGCATCACTACTGTTCAAGGCAATGGAAGGCCGATTGGCTGGAAATGTTTTTTCGGAAGAGAATCTCGGGAAGACTGTATGCCCTGGCTATTTCAAGATTTTAGGCACCTTCACACAAACTATCCGAGGCTGCAAAGTTTTAGAAAAGTGGAATGTTTTCACCGTTATTTATAAAATGTTCCAGCAAACCTCTACTCTTACAAGTTCTTACCTTCGTTTCATACTGCCAGAGCTTAGTTTCGTTTACTCTCTTCACGCGCGCACAATTTTGGGCAAAGCTTTAGTTCACCCATCGGAAAAAGTTCGCGTTGAGGCAACCAATTTGCTGGGCGCCAAACTACAAAACTTAGTGTTTGAGGCCAAAAGTGGTCCGAACTTTGATGATTTTGAGAAGTTTCTTCTAGAGCTTCTCGTTCGCCAACTGTATGATCTCTCGACCGTTGTGGTAGCCTCCGCTGATAAGATCTTTTACAATTATTGTGCATTACAGGATTGGCCCCCAAGTGTAGACACACCGCGTCACCATTTGCTCAATCAGCTGGTGTTCATACGGTCCCCAATTCTACTTGAATTTTTGAGGACCCCAGCTGGCTTTAAACAACTGTCCGATATTGGTTTCCTTGGTACTGAAAGGGAGAAGTGGTTACAGACTAAAAATAAGGAGTATGTGTTTAGGGTCGAAGCTTTTATCGAGAATGAGATGTCAAGACCATTGAGTGCCTTGAATATTCCAGTTTCAAAGAGAAAGCTACCAATGCATTTTTGTAACAGCTTAGCCAGTACGGAAGAGGGTGTAGACTTAATCTCTCAAAAGGGAGATTTTGTTGAAATTATAAATGTGATAAAAAAGTACAGACACAACGGCTATCCAGAAGTGACTGTTGAAGAGCATTTGGAACTGAAAGCTGCTCTTTGGTGTTGTGGCTATATCGGTTCGACAGTTCCTGGCATCAATTTGTTGGATACTTATTCCATTGGAAGTGATATTGTAAATATCTGCTTTCTGACGCCCTCGACGTCCGTGAAATTCACTGCCTTTTATGTCCTAGGTCTCATCGCCAAAACTAGTGAAGGGTGTGAAATTCTAGACGAACTCGAGTGGAATTGTTCCTTCAATGTACAAGGTGTTCCTTTGGGATTGACGTATCCAAAAAAGTTGCAACAGTTGCTTATATACCCGGAACTTCGTGAAGGGCATGGTTCTCTTTATGGTCTCGAACAGAATCAAAGACGATCGGAGGGTACGCCAGAGTATGAAACCCCCAACATGGACCTGGATGTACTCTTACAAAACAAAGCCAAACTGGAAAACACAATGGACGACGAGCAGGAAGAGTTTCAGGCTGAAGTTGATCGCCAAGCTCGCAATTTAGAAATGTTCAAATTGCAAACCAATCCGACAAGTACTGACGAAGTGGCCGATAAATTGATGCGGGTTGCCGGCAAACTGAACAATCATATTCTCTCTAGTGCTGCAGTAAAGGAAATTTCAGAAATGATTTCCTTCTATGGGCCTGCACGCTTTGAAACGGCAGAAATATTTCTGCGGATACTGGCGCTAATGGAGCAATACCGATTCAAACCCCAAGCCCGCAAGTTTTTGTGCGAGTCGCTTTTGAACAAAAGAACCCTCGAGATGATGATTAAAAAGGACAAAAAAAACTCAGAAGGTAGGAGACATTGGTTGTTTTCTGTATGTAACATTAATAGCATTGAGTTGCGCCCAGCGAGGGCAACAAAAAGTTCCGGATCACAGGTCCTTGTACAGCAGGGGGGCATTCTTATAGAGTGTGTACGACTCTTGAAGAAATTCTGGAATTTCGATGTCTTCGGGAGCCTTGTTATCAAGCTCTTCGATCAAACTCAAGTACTGTTTTAGATCTGGGATTTTCAGAATAGATGCTTCCGAAATCACTCGCTCAGAAACTCGAGGATCGTTTTCCAGCTCTTGAAGCACCGTGGTAACGCTCGCCAATTTTCGCAGCATGGTGGTGTATTCTCTTTTCAGTGACGACTCTTGCTTTATAAGTTCTTCGCGTCGCGAATATATCTTTGCATACTCTTTGGAAGGCTCTGAAGGCTTGGAACTAGTCATAGGATCTGCTTTGATGGTTGCTCACGTATAATGCAGTCAGAGCATAACGTTTCGATGATAGTGATCGCTTATAAGTTTGGCGTTCGTGAAACATGAGATACGCTTTAAGAAAACCAGAAACGTCACAGTAGTGTACTGCGTTTCATTAGAGCTCTTTGGGACATCCTGCCAGAGCTCTCAAAGCCACCGAGGAATTGAGAACTTCTCGATGTCTCGTTCAAATTTCATTTAAGTGTTATTTTGATAAAGATCGGAGTTTGTACGTGGTCGAGATGTACGTTCTCTAGGCCGAAGGTTGCGAGTTTTACACACAAGATGTGTAGGAAAGTAGATCAAAAATGATGGCTACTGAAACTAGACATCTCGATTCGAGTTTTTTGACATTTACGCCTGAATTTTGAAACATAGGAAACGTAAATATCATTAAAACATACGAAACGCAAACAATACTCAACCTCATGGATTTAATACACGAAAGACGTGCTCTAACAGTAGTCGAACATAGGAAGGATTCTGGATCTCCAAACAACGCGCTTGAGACTTTTCGTATTTTGATGAATATAACATCACTACATACGAAGACAATAGATACGAGGCCCTCAATAAGCGCCCAAAGTTATCAACTCCGGCACCATTTCAGGAACCGAACGACAGAAGCTGATGCTTAGTAACAAGCTCTAACAAGGCACTCAGTTATTGCTAGAATACACGCGGATGGCTTGGGTCCAAGAGTGAATGTCTTAACACTTCAAGATAGGCTGCCAAGCACTAGTTTTCGCGTCGAAGTATGTTTATTGAAGCTGGTTTCAGTCCAGTGGATCCATGCTCCAATTCGAATAAAAGAAGACCGTGGCTTAGGTCGCCGAACTGACACGTACGTCATTGAATTCCACTTGCAGCTGGTCACTCGAGATCTTCAGCTATGCTCAAGTTCGTTTCCTAAGGACAACCAATACGCGCGAAAATTACATTTACGAAGGTGGCATTTTAGCCGACTGCAGCACCGGCTCAACAATGAATCCCCAGCTCACGTCAATGTGCTGCTCTCGAACGATATTATACGACGCGTTCTATTTGATTGCAGTTATCCTGAATGGGGTCCAACTAAGATGTGGGGAACTGGCCGTCATCATACTTTCCTCGCTCGTTCAAGAGCTTTCCACCAGCCTTGACTCCCATAGCAATGAAGTGGCCACTCGCCGGTTGATATCGTTTGTACAATCTTGAAAACTCACAGTGGGGCATGCCAATCCATTAGAAAGGTTGAACATCACTATTTTCAAAGTCGACTGCAAATTACGTTTTGTTGGTGAAGTGTCGATGTTCAACTATACCCGGCTTCAGCAAGGCCACAAATGTCGCGCTTTAGCTCGGCCCCAGCACTACTGCGCTGGTCTCAATTCCAGCTTCCAACCCATACGATCGTAAACTGGTTCCGTTTAATTGTGAAATTTCCGTGTCAGAAGGTAAACAGACTCGGTGCCACCTCAAACTAACGCCTATATTGGACTTCTTTGATTCTTCAAACTTCACGTGAATTTGTTTTATGTGGTGGCTCAATTGTTACGCTGTAACTTACATTCACGGATATTTTGAGCACGCGGAAGAGCCACATGAATAACACACTTCTAGATGGAAATCATTTGCATGTGAATTGTGGATCAACGATGTTAGGCCGTGCGCACAACTTGGCGCAGAAACTCGCTCAGGATCATGAACCACACTTAGAGCGGTCTCATTCTAAGTTTACACCGACCTGTCGACTATGGAAAGGAAACAAAGCTTCTAGAGCTTAATGATGAATTGAAATTCGCATGGGCAGGAAAATTTTTTAACGAGGCAATCAAAGAGGGGACTGTTCAAAGATGTATATAAAGGGTGGAGATTGACGACAGTTTAGACAAGGCTTGAGTTGTTGTCAGTTCTCCCCTTTTTGATTTTTTTACATTCGATACAGACCAACTCCACACACATCTCATACAACATGGTTCAATCGTCCGTCCTAGGTTTCCCAAGAATTGGTGCCAACAGAGAACTAAAGAAGACCACCGAAGCCTACTGGCAAGGTAAGGTCGGCGTTGAGCAATTGCTCAAGGTCGGTAAAGACATCAGAGCTAACAACTGGAAGTTGCAACAACAAGCCGGTGTCGATGTGATTGCCTCCAATGACTTCTCGTACTACGACCAAGTCTTGGACTTGTCTATGCTATTCAACGTCATCCCAGAACGTTACGCTAAGTACAACTTGGCCCCAATTGACACTTTCTTCGCCATGGGTAGAGGTTTGCAAAGAAAGGCCACCGAGACCGAGGCTGCCGTCGATGTGACTGCCTTGGAAATGGTGAAATGGTTCGACTCTAACTACCACTACGTCAGACCAACCTTCTCCCACTCGACCCAATTCAAGTTGAACGGTCAGAAGCCAGTTGACGAATATTTGGAAGCCAAGGCCCTTGGAGTTCAAACCAGACCTGTCCTTTTGGGTCCTATCTCTTACTTGACCTTGGGTAAGGCCGACAAGGACTCTTTGGACTTGGAACCATTGTCTTTGCTACAAAAGTTGATCCCACTTTACGCTGAGATCTTGAAGAAGTTGGCTGAAGCTGGTGCCACCTCCGTCCAATTGGACGAACCAGTTTTGGTTTTGGACTTGGACGAAAAAGTTCAAGCCGCTTTTAAGACCGCTTACGAATCCTTGGCTTCTCAATCCGGCTTGCCAGCCATCACTCTAGCTTCTTACTTCGGTACCGTTGTTCCAAACTTGAGCGCCATCAAAGGCTTGCCAGTCGCCGGTTTCCACTTCGACTTTGTCAGAAACCCAGAGCAATTGGACGATGTTATCTCCATTTTGAACGACAACCAGACTTTGTCTGCCGGTGTCGTTGACGGTAGAAACATTTGGAAGAACGACTTCGCCAAGTCTTCTGCCATTGTTCAAAAAGCTATCAAAAAGTTGGGTAAGGACAGAGTTATTGTTGCTACTTCTTCTACTTTGCTACACACTCCAGTTGACTTGGAGAACGAAAAGAAGTTGAACCCTGAAATCAAGGACTGGTTCTCTTTCGCTACTCAAAAGGTCAAGGAGGTTGTCATTATCGCCAAGAACGTTTCTGGCGAGGACGTCTCCGCCGAATTGAAGGCTAATGCCAAATCCATCTCCACCAGAGCCTCCTCTAACATCACTAACAACCCAGCTGTCCAAAAGAGAGTTGCTGCTATTGACGAAAAAATGTCTAAGCGTTCTTCTCCTTTCCAAGAAAGATTGGCTGAGCAACAAAAGGCTTTCAACTTGCCATTGTTCCCAACAACCACCATTGGTTCTTTCCCACAAACCAAGGACATCAGAGTCAACAGAAACAAGTTTGTCAAGGGAACTATCACTCCTGAGGAGTACGAAAAATTCATCAACGCTGAAATCGAAACTGTCATCAGATTCCAAGAAGAGATCGGCCTAGATGTCTTGGTTCACGGTGAACCAGAAAGAAACGATATGGTTCAATACTTCGGTGAACAAATCGATGGTTACACCTTCACCACTAACGGTTGGGTTCAATCTTACGGTTCCAGATACGTCAGACCACCTATTATTGTTGGTGACTTGTCTAGACCTAAGCCAATGTCCGTCAAGGAATCTGTCTACGCTCAATCCATCACTACCAAGCCATGCAAGGGTATGTTGACAGGTCCAGTTACCTGTTTGAGATGGTCTTTCCCAAGAGACGATGTTGACCAAAAGACTCAATCTCTACAATTGGCTCTAGCCTTGAGAGACGAAGTTAACGACTTGGATGCCGCTGGTATCAAGATCATCCAAGTTGACGAACCTGCTTTGAGAGAAGGTTTGCCATTGAGAGCCGGTGAAGCCCGTACTGCTTACTTGCAATGGGCCGCTGAATCTTTCAGAATCGCCACTTCTGGTGTCCCTAACGGTACTCAAATCCACTCGCACTTCTGTTACTCAGACTTGGACCCTAACCACATCAAGGCTCTAGACGCCGATGTCGTTTCGATCGAGTACTCTAAGAAGGACGACCCTAACTACATTGCTGAATTTTTGAACTACCCAAACCACATTGGTCTAGGTTTGTTTGACATTCACTCCCCAAGAGTTCCATCCACTGAGGAATTCAACACCAAGATCTCCAAGATTTTGGAATCGTACCCAGCCGAAAAGTTCTGGGTCAACCCTGACTGTGGTTTGAAGACCAGAGGCTGGGAAGAAACCAAGTTGTCCTTGACTCACATGGTTGAGTCTGCCAAGCACTTCCGTGAGAAGTACGCCAAGAAATAAGGCTAGTCGGCTTAACCCGCTAGTCTTTGGCTGCATTCCTCCTGCTCACAAGGCGTAGGTCAACTTTTTCCATCCACTACAAAAATTATATTGGGCTTATACCACCAACCGACGCAAAGCTCATTGACTGAGAATATTGATATGCCACAGGGGTATATCGAGTCGGTTGCATGGGATTCAACATCGGTGCTTTAATGTTTATAGTTTTTCATTTCTCTTGTATAATAACGTGTTCAACATCCGTTTACAAAACTGTAACTTAGTTAAGTCATTTTGTTCAGAAATAGGAAGCTCGTTCTACTGATACCTAGATCCTGTACATGTTCTAGTCGGTCCTTATGGCTCTTGCACCTTCTTCAACGAAACTAGTTTCCGTTTCTCACGATAATTTGACTTCATCATCTTGATGGCAATCCCAAGATCCCTTCAACAAAATCAAATTCCACAAGTGAGAAAAGTCCAAAGGCATTGCTTCACCTCACACCATAGTAGCACCTAAGGATGTCTGATGAGAATATACAGCAGTTTATGGCTTTGTCCAATGCGCCTCTAGAGGTCGCTCAAACGTATTTGAACGAATTTCCTGATCTCGGGGTATGTTGCGAAGATAGCATCTCAATGCAATAGCGCAAAGAGTATTTACTAACGACATTGAAAAGGACGCCTTGGATGCATTCTATGCGGCTCAAAACGGAACTTCTGTATCGTCAGAAGCACAAGAGCCTCAAAGTTCCCGCGCCTTAGGAAATGTGGGAAATGACATCTCAAGCTCCAAGGGTTCTAGGGTGCCCTCCAAGTCCTCATCCCCAGCAGCCGTCAAGAGAACTGGAAACTCAACTCCCAAGTTTAAGAGCTTTTCTGATATTTTGAAAGAAAATACTCAAGACGAGGATGATGAACAGAGAAACACATTTGCTGGAGGAGAAACCTCTGGTTTAGAAGTTGCTGACCCAGGTGATCCAGACTCACTGATAAGAGACCTGCTAGAGAAGGCAAGAAGAGGAGGTCAGAAACCTAGCAGTCACGAGGATGAAAACGCTTCTGGCACAAGTCAAGATAAAGAACATCATTTCACAGGGAAAGGTTTCAGACTCGGATCGTCACTTGATGCCCCAGCTCAAGTTACCAATGATACCCCGGAGGAACCATTACCTTCGAGACCTCAAAAGGTTACACGCGAGATTACGTTCTGGAAAGAAGGGTTCCAAGTCAATGACGGAGATCTGTACCGGTACGATGACCCCGCAAATAGTTACTACTTGAACGAATTGAATCAAGGTCGGGCGCCTTTGCGCTTATTGAACGTCGAATTTGGCCAAGAAGTGGACGTGAACGTTAATAAGAAACTGGACGAGAGCTTCAAGCTACCCAAACGTAAAGTGCAGGGGTTCCACGGAAAAGGTCATAGGTTGGGGTCACCTTTTCCGGGTGAATCTGTATCGCCTGAAGCGGCGCCAGAGCCAACTGCTAAGGACAGCTCGCCACCACTTGAAGATAAAACAGAGGAGCCTAAGGGGGACACTAGTGTTCAAATCAGGTACGCTAGCGGGAAGAGAGAGGTGTTGCGGTGCAATTCCAATGATACTGTAAAGTTCTTGTATGATCACGTCAAGGAAGGAACGAGCACCAATAAAGTGTTCACTTTGAATCATGCTTTCCCAGTAAAACCCATCGAGGACTTTGAAAAATGTCTGAAGGACGAAGGACTGTGTAACGCCGTTGTTGTCCAGAGATGGGTCTAGGATGTGCTAATGTCATGTAAGCCCAGTTTCCCATAGAGTCCATAATGAAATAGTTCCATAGGAGAGTTATTGGTGATACGAAGGACTTAAATATATACTTACAAGGTCTGTGCATTAATACAGCTTTAATTCTCCTGTGATTTGATCCATGACGGCTTTTGGTGCTGGTCCCAGCCCAAGAACTGTGGCACTACCAGCTGCTATTTGAGTTCTGCCAGCATCATGAACAACATACGAGTTCACTCCCAAAGATAATGCCATTGCGAATAACTCGTCCATCGTCTCTTTATCGGGACATTTTAGAGTAATTTTAGCTTGGCCGTGATGAAGCCATCTTTGAGTCATTTGTAAGTTAAAAGAATCCCGGCTGGGATCTGTGGCAATCAACCTGTAGCACGCCAATGCAGCATGGCAACATTGCGCTGCGATTTTACCTTTTTTCATCGCCAGGTCTTGACGAATTACCAATGCCATTTTGACTTCGCCAGGAATGTCATTCAGAGACAACGAATTGATTTCGACCTCATCCTCATCCTCATCGGAACCATCATCGCAGCTTTCGTTGTCGTCTTCGTAGTCCTCGCCTTCGGCATCACGCTCTTTTTGAGCCTGTACTTTGCATTTGCGTAAGATATCCTTAGCTTGTTCCTTCTTTGCTAATCCAGAAGAGACGTTCACTCTACCCAAATAGTATCCGCTAGCTAGCGAAACCACAACGATACCGACAAAAGTACCCAGGTTGGTAACTGATGGAGCCATTGAGATTTTGTAGCAACTATCGTTCTGCGATGGAATTTTTATAGTTTTTTCAATCGATTTGAAGACATCATCATCATCAAGACATCATCATCGTCATCATCATCAATCAATCAATTCTCTAGATGAGAATTTAAAAGTGCACAGGCATCCTGTTGGTTGTCTATTTACTTTATACAGTACTGATTAATTTTCAGACCCCACGCGAGTGGCCCAAAACTTTTCTGCTTGCACAATAGTGCTGTGGTTGGCCATCATTTTATTCAAAGTTTCCTCGTATTCGTCTTGTTCATCTGAATCAAAAACGATTCCTCCGCCGGCTTGCAAGTATGCCACACCATCTTTGTAAACCATTGTTCTCAAAGCAATGCAGGTATCCATAGACTTACCATCATAAGACCAGTTACCTACAGCACCCGCATAAACGCCTCTAGTTTCGCCTTCTAACTCACCAATGAGTTCCATAGCCTTCACTTTGGGGGCACCACTTACCGTACCTGCTGGGAAAATGGATCTTAGTGCATCAAACCTAGTCTTATCCTTCCTCAAAGTTCCGGAGACCTGCGACACCAAATGTTGGACGTGTGAAAATTTCTGCACCGTGAGTAATTTATCGACGCTGGTTGTCAAGGGGTCACACACACGATTAGCGTCGTTTCTTGCTAGGTCTACGAGCATAACGTGTTCAGAACGGTCTTTCATTGAATTTCTCAACACGTCAGCCAACCGGTCATCCTCGGCTGGAGTGGCACCTCTTTTCACCGTACCGGCAATAGGATGGGTGATGACCTTATTCTGTGCATCTGTCTGGCACAATAGTTCAGGAGAAGCTCCGATCACTTGAAAATCCAAGAGGTCGATGTAGAATAGATATGGTGATGGGTTGACGGTCCTGAGTTGTTTGTAAATGTTAAAAGGATGCAGAGAGGTGGGTCTAGCGACTCTTTGAGAAGGAACGGCCTGAATGATGTTCCCCGCCTTGATGTTGCGTTTCAACTCTGTGACGTGAGATTTGTAGCCTTCTTCGCCAATATTGGATGTGAATGTTTGATTGAGCTTAATTTTGCCCTGCACTACGTAATCTGAGGTACCAGGAGCTTCCATTATGGCAGCAACGTCGCTGATAATTTTCTTCGCCTCATCATAGCCTTTTTCTAAAGATTCCACAGCATTCAAGTTAATGTTGTGGATAATCTGAAACCGCTGGTAGACGTGGTCAAATGCCACGATCGTGTCGTAAAGCATTAAGCATGCTTCTGGCAACTGTAGCACGTCTTTAAGCGGACGTTTGGTTTTGGGCTCGAAGTACTTGACACAGTCGTAAGACACATAGCCAATAGCACCGCCACTCAATTTGGGAATTCCAGGAACATTTTCGGCCAGTTTACAAGTCTCCAGCTCTTTTTCCAGCACCAAGAGCGGGTCTACTTCCAAACCCTCTCTGACGCCTGTCTTGATTGTTTTGCGCGGATTTGTGCCCAGAAACGAGAACCGTCCCAATGTGTTGTCCGACGTAGCACTTTCTAAAAGAAAGGACTCTTTTCTGTTTGTTTCATTTATGTGAGCCAGCTTTGAGTATGCTAAGTGTGGTGTTAGGTCCATAGCTGGTAGGTAACAGAAAACTGGATACATGTTGATCGAATCATCGTTCTCTTGAACATAACCTCTCAGGTCTTCAAGACTAGGTTGTATCTGAGCTTGCAACATCGCGTTATGAAGCTTGGGTTCGTTTCGAAACTCGCTGTAAAACAGAATACCAGCGTTTTCGATAAAATAGCATCGAACTAATATTTCAATTTTTCAAGAGTGATAAATATTATATCTCTGAATGACTCAATGATAAAATACATCACAAGACAGTGTAGATCATCGCGATTGTAATGACTGAGTTAAGGCAGAAAACCAGATTATAATGATAGATTGTGACGATGAATGATGGTTGGGTTTTGTTGGAACGCAAAGTGATGATAGGGCCAAGTTGGATAATGACGGAATACCTAGAGTGACAACCTGACTTGATAAAGCCAGCACATCGATCCAGAAAGTGAATAAGAACGCAAAGGTTTAGACCTTGATGCAAATAGTGTTTATAATCACATTTTTTCTGTGTTGCTGCGTTCGAAGAATAGAGGCTGGGTATATTTAATAATCAAGTATACAACACTTCTCGTTATCAAAACTTTCTCATTGGTATTTACACAATTCCTGCACGAATAAAGGTGCTAGTCCTATCAATTTGTGCAAACCAACTATGGGCGGCTACTCTGGCAAGAGTTGTAAGGTCGTGTTGCGAGTAAAATAAATGTCGTTTGAGATATACATAATTTGAAGTATCACTTCGTACTATACTGACGTAGAATGGATTCCGACGATGTTTGACACCAACGAACAAGCAGACAAGCTTTGGTCTCTTGTCTTGCAGTATTCACCAGTTATTGAGATAAGCGAGTATGAGTGGCACGAAATAGAGCCTGCATAACTAAAGAGATCTCCGGATTGGCAGCCATAGGAAGATGAACTAATTATTAAATAAGGGTATTTGAAATAATAGAAATACAGATCAAAGTCAGACCTGTCTTCCTTTAAGTGATTTCAAGCTGTAAAATGATAGCCGCTTTAATTCAGCGTGGTATAAAGTAAAAAATTAAATCTCGCCTTACGAGATGTACCTTTTTTGCTCGATGATGGCGGAGCTTTCGTTTTCTTTGCAGTGTGACGATGTGAGCATTGTGTTTGTTCTAAATTTTTTTAAAAAGAAGCTGGATGATGGGAATCAAGCATCCCATAGCCTTTGCAATCATACAAAACTTCAAGGTTCCAATTTCAAACACATCATCTTGTATTTCTTTTTTCGACTTTGCCGGCAAACCACCCAACGAGCTATTTTAATTAGTCTCGGCGATATAATAATCGCACTCTGTCATGCAACAATGCTATACAGTTGATTCTTGCGCTTTTTTTCGTGTTTCTCAATAGATGGCGGGGTACTTAGATGCACTCTTATCACTTTGTACCTCACTGTCACCCTCGAGTAAATTATGGTACAGCTCTAAAAAAATAATGAGAGACAAAGGGAAAGCCACTACCATTCTGAAGGGGCGGTATTATTTCTTCAACAAGCATCAGGCGTCAATTGAGCAAGTGCTACCATTTTATAATATTTCCTTGGAATCTAAAAAACAATCCTCCAAAACAACTTCCGTGACCTTGTCAAGAAATGCAGAGTCTGCTACGAAGCCACTTGACTACTCTTGTTGCCGTTGGAATAAACTGCATTACAAGTGCCAGGGTAAACAACCGCCAATCTTCATAGGTCACCATTTACGAAAACAAGTTTCTGGAGCAATCCGCGTCTTGCAAACCGCAACCCATTGACTCAATTTTACAGACTCGCCAAACGAGCCTCATACTTGCTTCTGCCCTAACAAACAAAGAGCTCTATGTCCACTTCCCTTAGTAGCCTAAAGTTTATGAACCTCACTTGCTATTAATATTGAATCACCATGAACGTAATAATTTCTAAAGTAAAAATTTGCTTATATCTCATTTTGCCACCCCTACCACAACTAATAACAGGACCAAGTTCGACCTTCAATTCGTTACCGAAAACTCCTGAATAACGCGTAAACCCTACTACAATGGGACAAATTCTATCCAATCCGATCATCGACAAGGAGGTGCACTCGGGAAATGATCTTCTGACGGCTTTCGGGCTGTGCGCTATGCAGGGATGGCGGATGTCAATGGAGGACTCTCATGTGTGTGCGACGAATTTAGGGCCCAAGGATGGCTCCAATGGTCATGTGGCATACTATGCAGTCTTCGATGGGCATGGCGGTTCGTCAGTAGCACAGTTCTGTGGTGACAAGGCCGCCAAGGTCGTGCAAGAGCAGGAATCGTTCCAAAAGGGATTGTATGCTCAAGCTCTAATCGACGCTTTTATCGCTACCGACAAAGAAATCTTGAAAGACCCTTTGCTCAGGAACGATCACAGCGGATGCACGGCCACGACGATGCTTATTTCCAAAGATCAACAGAAGCTATTCTGCGGTAACGCCGGTGACAGCCGAACCGTACTTTCGCGCAACAAGCTGGCTAAAGCGCTGTCGTACGACCACAAGCCCACGCTGGTGGGCGAAAAATCGCGTATTGTTGCCGCCGACGGGTTTGTCGAGATGGACCGTGTCAACGGTAACCTGGCACTCAGTCGCGCTATCGGAGATTTTGAATTCAAGTCCAACCCCAACCTCCCCCCACACGCACAAATCGTAACGTGTGTCCCAGATGTGTTGGAACACCCCATAGACTATGAGGACGACGAATTCGTGATCCTGGCGTGCGACGGTATCTGGGACTGTCTTACGTCCCAAGAATGCGTGGATTTGATTCACTACGGTATCAATAAGGGCAACATGAGTTTAGAAGAAATTTCATCTCGCATTGTAGACGTGTGTTGTTCTCCAACCACAGAGGGTACCGGTATCGGGTGCGACAACATGAGCATCGTTATCGTTGCACTCTTGCAGGATGAGGAATCCATTGAAGATTGGACCTCGCGCATCAGAAGCAAAAAGCATATCGCATCTGTTTCTTTCGCAGAGAGAAGACGTGCCGTTTTCTCATTTTACGATTTCCCCAAAGAAGACTCCGAGGTTTTCGCAGTCTCAACAAAGAAAACTGATGAACACAGCAACAACTACTCATCCAACGATGATGAAGAAACCGAAGTAGAAAGACATGAGGCGAACCCGGGGCGCTCTCAAATGGACATGTTTTCTTTGGAGACTTTGTTGGGCTCCAATGGGATTCAGGTAACCCAAGGCGGTAACAACGTTTCTTACATTCATGGCTCTGCACTTTCCGAAGTTCTGGCTTCTTTGGGAGGTGGAGCTGGCGCTGGTCAAGTCATTGATGAGGAAGGCGAATCCGATGACAAGACGGAGAAGCTCAAAGAAATAAAAGATTAAAGAGAGTGTTTTTTTCTTCCTTTTGACGTGTTTCCTGTTTTGATATACCATTTCCCTCATTTTCCTGGGGATCTTATTTCTTTTACGCTAATGAGATGGCATGCTGATTCGATTGTGACTTTATTCTTAAAAATACAGTTGCGAATCTTCAATTTTATTCGATTTTTTTTTTAACTTTTACCTTCAGGATTACATCTAGGAGTTCCAAAAAACTACGCCAAAATTTAAAAATGACGAAACCAATACTTGACAAGCTTCTAATTTCCTCCGTATGCTCCCTCCCTATCTGTTTCAACTTATTCTCGAGAGCCACCAAGGCTAGCTGTACACTAGTTTCCCGCTTCCAGCGAGACAGATTATAACGAATTTTGAAATGTTTAATGAATTATAATGTAATTTTACATATAAGTTATTCACCATAAACATCACAAGTAACCTCCCAAACTTGAGATGCAACGTCCTCAATAGGAAGATCTTTTACTCGAGCCACGACTGATGCGACATGTCCCAAAAAGCAAGGCTCGTTTCTGGATTTGATCGTAATATTGTCGCGATCTTGTATCGGGTTTTTATCGAGTCTATCGCGTTTGACAGATTTGAACCATTTTTGGATATCAGGGTATGCTTGAGATAGCCCAAAATTCCACGGATCGTCAGTTTCTAGTTTACAACTGGATAAGTCCGAAAATAAGTATTTGTAGGAATCATGAGTCCTACGAATATCACACCATGGGGCATCCGTTTCGAGTAAGAGTTTGTTTAAAGGAATAGATTTAACACAATTTATGTTTTCCTCAGTTTTGAAAGAGCAACCATTCATCCCAATATAGGAGTAATCAGAAAGAGATAGAATCTCTTGCATTTCTGTAACAGATCCGGTGAAGGAATGAGTTACAAATCTTCGATTTGGAGAAAACTTATAGCACACTTCACCCGACTCATTAATCCAAGGCAAATATGGCACACGTCTAGGGATATCAATTAATTCTTTCAGATCGAAACGGTCCGCAGAATCTGTAAAACCTATAAGGAATTTTTTAAGCACTGCGACGAAATCTGAACAACAGTTTCTCATATGTAAAAAGAGCGGCTTTTCTGGAAACAGACAGCTGAGTTTGAGTTGTTCTTCGAACAGAAGCAATTGCATTTTTTTTGAAGAATAATAGAATCTGTCGTAGTCTAATCCAATTTCGCCAATAGCCCGGAATTGAGGATCTTGTGATCTTTCGTTTATCAGCTCAAACAGTTCTCTGATCTTAGATTTCGTAAAATTTATGTCAGTAATATCGAGGCCCTCGTTAAACTCGATGTCGTTCGTGGGATTATCGATAGTTGATTGATTGCCATCGAGAACAAATTCATTTACGCAGCAGGGATGAACACCGAGGGTATAATAGAGACGGGTTTCGTCGGTGTGATACTGATGTGAAAGTTGGACGACTTGTTTTGACTCGAGGATCGAAGATCCCGTCAAAAGCATATTTTGAACGCGGGCCATTTTGGCGCGGTGCAACAGATGCTTGATATCACATTCGTGGTATTTTTTACCATGATAGATTCCTTGATACATAGGATCGCTCAGATTTAAGCCTATATCATAATATTTCAAAGCTTGGGACATTTTCCTAAGCATTCGTGGATGCTGAATTTTAATCTCATCGAGACACTTTATTTTGAATAATATGAGTATTTTTCAAATTCATCATACCAACGAGCGCGACTGTTGATCAAAGATGAAAACCGACTTCTTTTTTTCAGTGATAAGGTGGTCACTCTGTGGTATTAGACCATTGGCATGTTGCTGAGTAGCCTCAAGATTGATCATCAATGTTAAAAGCTCTAATAGGTCAGGATAACATATGAGTAGCGACAAAAACAGCGCATAATAAAAGCAAGAGATTTTTCGCAACACCGAAAGACAGCCATTTTTGATGCATACGTTACTTTAAAAGGACAAGATCTGATGGCACTTCTACTGAACGATATATTGGATAACATCACGTCACAAGAGCTATTTTCAAACCTTTCGAATTTTTTAAGGTACAGCGGCATAGCGCAGCGTAAGTTTCCATACAAATTTGAAAAGTCTAAAACAAGGTGATGTTTGAATTCAAGGCGTATGTTGCGGGAGAGCATAGTCCTCGCGTGATAGATGGCAACCAATAATGGTTTCTGAGCAAAGTTTAATTGTGACTCGCGTTGCGAAAAAAGTTGCGAATGAGGCTTCTCTAACAGCCAAAAAGACCTTTGTGACAAGTGTTCATGATTTTTTGCTGCACTATTGATCTATGAAACTAACAGCTTAGTACGCTGACACTCCTCTAAGTTGCAAGATTTTATAAAAAAAATCAGTAGATTGTCTTTCTACCACCTCTAGAAGCCGGAGACTTCAATTCATAGCTACTAGAATCTTACTACAGTGCCTGAAGCACACAACCGCCCAAGCACATATCATTTTGGGCTACCTGTTCAAGATAAAGATGATGAAATTATGGTCAAAATCTTGCCTTGACTAAAATTTCTCGACGTATTACCCAGATGAATCAATTGACGAGGAATTCGATATAGAAATATGACTAGTGTATCCGGTAAGCCGGTTACTGCCATCGAACTGTTCAGTGATATCATAGTGATATCTAGCCCGATATCAGCTCGTCTATGGTGATCTGAAACATACACGCTGGTTCATATATCAAAGGCGAAAACCATACGAACAAATTGTCCAACTTTTCGCGCATTTGCCGCGATTTTCGAGTCCATCTTAAGACGCTTTGAAGACTGAAGCAATTTGGGAAATACTCAACGCGTATATAACGATACTACATACTATCTTTCTTGTTTCTCCATGAAAGTATATAGCCGCACTGGCGCAAAGCCCGCTACGCTCCATGAAATAAGATCATAGAGTTGAATCCATCTTTTTACATTACAGTTGCAGGGAACTTTTAAGCTCCACAACAAGTCCGTAGAAAGTGACTATATGATGCAAACTCACTAGATTACGAGATTGAATGCATTGAGGCAACAGTTCTTCTCTAATGTCTTCTCCATGCAAGTAAGCAAATGACTCTTAGTGTCCTCTATCGAGCTCAATTACTCCCGATCTCTAAGCAAAAGCGCTTAAAATCAAGTTACCGGGTAATTATATCATTTAGAAATGGATAATAACCGAACTTTATAGAACAATTTACGAAAAAAGGTAAGTCATATATAAAAGCCACCGACTTTAATTTTAATTTAACATTTTTGCCATTTGATTTAAAGATTTTACGGCAATCACTGCATAGCTTACTATACCGCTATACTCTTTTTGACAACAGTTGCAAGAACTTGGAAATAGATAGACTATCTTCATTTTTTGTCATTTTTAAAAGAACGCTCATAAGCAAACCCTTAGGAACTTTTACTACAACATATCAACAACATGTCTGACTGGGATTCTACCACTATGATTGGATCGAAAGTGAGAACTGGCGGTGGCGGCCCCAGACAGCAAGTGGCTCGTACTCAAGGTGAAATCAACGCCGCAAGAAGATCCGGAAACGTGCTCTCCGTCGACAAAAAGTACAGCTCCAGTAATGCCAAAGGCAACAACGAGGGCCAAAGACTAACTATGGTGGACCGCGAAACCGATATCGTTGTCCCCAAGAAGCTGGATGCGTCCGTGGGCAAAGCAATTGCCAAGGCCCGTGGCGACAAAGGCTTAACTCAAAAGGATTTGGCCACCAAGATCAACGAAAAGCCAACCGTCATTAACGACTACGAAGCCGGTCGTGCTATTCCAAACCAGCAGATTTTGGCCAAGATTGAACGTACCCTAGCCGTCAAGCTAAGGGGTAAGGGCATCGGCGAGCCTTTGGGTCCCAAGAAGAAGGCCTAATTGCGCTACTCAAGAACTCTTGTCAAAACGCAACATGTCATTCTTTTTTGCATCCGTAACGATCACGATCCAGCCATTTGAAATGGCTGTAATTAAATGGACTAAATAACCCACATTCTTGCCAGCATTCAGGATTTGGTTTGTCTTTAACCTTTTACTTTACCTACATAAATACGAAGCTATATTTTTTTTGTTGACATCTTTCGATTTTACAGTTTGTCGTTCTCAAAAACACTGATTATCATCATAGAAAAGCAGTATAGTCTGCCTGCACACCCTCGAAGCAATGACCTCTCTAGATTTCAGCGCCTTACATGACGTCTCCACGGTTTTTTCTATTGCAAACCAAGCTTTGAAACTGACTAGTGCTGAAGACATCGAGCCAATCTTAGAAAACCTGGCTAAAGTCACCAAAGTCACCAAGCTAGACTTTTCCGGTAACACCATTGGTATTGAAGCATCTAGAGCTCTTTCCAAGTTTATCAGTGACAATGCCAGCGTGAAAGACCACCTGCTCGAAATCAATTTTGCTGATTTGTACACGTCTCGCCTGGTCGACGAAGTTGTTGAGTCTTTAACTATTTTCGTTCCCGTGTGGCTCCAATGTCCTAAATTGTCCATTGTTAACTTATCAGATAATGCTTTTGGTCTCAGAACCATAGATTCGCTAGAATCGTACATTTCTCAGGCGGCGCAGTTACAGCATCTGATTTTGTCTAACAATGGCATGGGTCCATTTGCCGGAGAGAGAATCGGAAAGGCTTTATACAAGCTGGCCCAACTTAAAAAATCTCAAGGCAAGTCAATGTTGGAAACCTTTATTTGCGGTCGGAACCGGCTGGAAAACGGATCTGCAACTCATTTGGCTTTGGGTTTGAAAGCCCATGGTTCTGGTTTGAAAACGGTAAGACTTTACCAAAATGGTATCAGACCCCAAGGTGTTGCTGTTTTGATTAAATATGGTCTCTACTACAATACCAACTTACAGGTGTTGGATTTACAGGATAACACCTTCACTACTAGTGCGTCATTGATATTAGCCGAGATATTGCCAGTATGGCGTGAATCGTTGGTCGAGCTAAATGTTAACGATTGTTTGCTAAAGGGCCCCGGTTCAGACGCTGTCATCAAAGTCTTGACCCAATACAAATTCAATAATTTACACAGGCTAAAATTGCAATACAATGAATTGACCCAGGAAACTTTTGAATCAAGCTTGTTGCCAGCTCTACAATCTGAAAATCTACCCGCCTTGAAGTTTTTGGAACTGAACGGTAACAGATTGGAGGAGGACTCTGACGCATTAAACGAACTAGAGGAATCGTTCGATGGTGAAGTAGATGAATTAGATGACCTTGAAGAAATCGAGAGCGACGAGGAAGAGGAAGAGGAAGAAGAAGACGGTGAAGGCACGAACGAAGAACTAATGTCTGCCGCAGAAATCGAAGCGATCGAGAAGACTTTAACTGAACTTCAAGTCGAAGATCTGACAAATGACCTTGCAAAGGCTTCAATCTGAAGTCGAGATAAAAAGCAATCGAACTATTCGCATTGTATATACCTTTCGAAATTAATTAATCTTAACATTTTTCTGCATGGAATCCAGCATTAGGTCTTTCTCCAACCAAGTTTTCTCGAGCCATGATTCTAATTTCCTGTCGCTTAGTTTCATTAAATTTGATAACGGGTATTTGTTTAGATGGATTCTGATTAGAATGGGTGAGTCTTGAAATCTCGATCCCAGAAGCTGTAAAAAAGAAGGTGTTATTTGTTCCAGTTGATAATGGTCATTTTCTTCATCAATTCGATGCAGTTCCAATTTATGTACGTGGGCATGTTCTCGTCCAGATGAAAGTTTGGCGCGATAGTAGACAATGGTGAAATCCCACACGAATGGATCTATCCTCAAAGAGGTCTTCAACAACTTAGGGCGAGTTGCTACGTTTACAGTTGGTGCGTCCAACCCATCTTCACCCAAGAACAAGCTCACTTGTGCAATCTCTTCGGCGTCAACCTTTGATTTAGAATGCTTTACTTTGGACACCATACCGCTAGCTCTGGTTACTGCTTTTCGCAAATATCGGACTTTACGAGATTTCTCAACATGCTGGAGGTGCGCCAAACATTTCACAGTGGATGTGAAATTCTTGAACCTTGGGTACAGGACGTTGTTCATCATGGGCAAATAGCTGTCTTTCGTTAGTTTTCTCTGCACCAGGCGCAACTCGGGCGTTAGTACATTAACCTCTGGAAACATTGCTAGTATTTGATTGCCCTCTTGTTTAAGAAAGGACTCGACATCGCTAGTGCTGATGGCGGCATTTTCATCCTTCATCATTATGTTGGCTATGAATCCGATAGAAGGCATATTTGAAATTCGTCCCCACGAAACGAACTTCAGCTTCGGAATGTATTGTAAATTCTGCCCCTTTAAAAGGCTCCACAGGTACTCCGGGGCACCAAAAGGCCTGTCGCCTTGAACTAGACAATTTATCAGCGTGTAATCCATGATGGAGCGATGGTTGGCGATTAAAAGTGCGGTCTGGGGTTTGTCTGGGCTAGTTTCTATTTGAAGCGGGTCGCCAGTCTGAATAAACTTTATGTTGGCATTTCTCAACGTTAGATCGACAAGGGACAATTGAAAAAGGGTCTCCAGAAACTGTTTAATGCGTCTCATCAGCGGTAATTTTTTGAATTTGACAGCCGCTATTATTCGATCAAAGGCGCGTGCTAGCGCCTCGCCCACGAATGGGATACATATCAAAGCCCGGCCTATCATTTTAGCAAGCCAAATTCCACACTTTGACTCTACAGATTGCTCAACAAGCCATGTCTTACAACTCCATATATTATAAATCAACAAATATCTTGCCAGCGAGAATAGCTGAACGAGAAACCTCAGTAGCGTCGAAAGGTCATTATTCTTGAGCTGAAACTCGGAACCTACAATATGGGTTCTTATCGTATTTTTTAGAGCCATTGAAAGGATGTTCTTAAAGGTAAAAGGAAATTGAAGATATAATTGTCCTTGGCGGTAACCACTTTTTTTTGTGACGTTTGAGATCAAAATCGCATATATAGAGTTATATATATTACTTAAACATACAAGTCAATTGCGACGCTGTGTAATAAAGCTAAAGATACCAGCAAATATGAGATAGTTATTCAATGTGCCCAATTGGCCTCAGGGTCTTTGGAGAAATGCCTTTTTGAAAGAGAATTGGCAACATGTACTCGTGCCAATATTTTGTGTACTCGTGAGTAAATGTTCATCCAGTATGCTAATTTTTCGCATCTCTCAGCTTGCTTGCAGAAGGCATTGAATCGATCGGCAGTGGATATATCTTCATTGTTTTTAAGCGCATCATTTGACCATGCTAAAAAGCTGCTTTAACTTGAGTGTACGAAAATGTGCAATTTCAGCTTGTGTTGGCCAAAAAGTTTCGCACATAACCGCTTCAAGATCTCTCTCTCTGAAACCAAACTTCAGCAAATTGAAACTCACACCTCCACCAGCGGGCGGTGTCGTGGGCGGCATCAACGACAAAGTTGAAAAACCCGATGTTGATTTTTTCCACGGGTCGTACCATTGGGATTACGAAAGAATCACTGCTATTTCGTTGATACCTCTAACATTGATTCCCATGTATGGCGCTCTTTCCAGTGGCACCGTTTACCCTATGATCGACGCCACTCTTTGCAGTGTTCTGCTAATACACGTTCAGCTAGGCCTCACTAGTTGTATCGTGGACTACATTCCCAAGCGGAAATTTGGCGTATGGCATAAAATGGCCATGGCAGCACTTTATTCAGGCACCGCTGTAGGCTTGTACGGAGTTTATGAGCTCGAGACAAGCAACAACGGTCTAATAGATCTCATTGCCAAACTTTGGAAAGACGAGGACGCCGAATTGTCTATTTTTTCAAGATCTTGATCTAGAAAAACTGCATAGTTTTATCTACTACACACCAGGCTGTCTGTAAGGGGGGAACCGGCTCAGCCAAGTATAGTCGTAACGTCCAAATCCGATTGGGAAGCACTGCTTCGTAGAGTTCAGCTAAGCCCTGCATGCACCCTGTCTCGCGAGTTCATCAGCCATTTCATTGCCAGCGTCACCAGCGTGACCCTTAACCCAGTCGATCCGAAACTTGGCATCGCCAAACGAACTCTCGTTCACTTCATAAAACTTTTTAACTTTAGCATATTTTTGAATCAAAGGTTTCACCAAGTCCCCATTGGGCAACTCTTTCATTTTTTTCTCGTCGTAGCCCATGTAGCGATCGTTGAGCAGCTTTGAAACGTACTCAGAATCAGTCTTGATTTGGTATTTCACCAAAGACTCTTTCTCGGACAAATTGTGCCAAATTATGTCCAAAGCGCTAGACACTGCTAAAATCTCAGCCCTATTGTTAGTAGGTGCACCACTTGTTAATGGCTCCGAAATGTTATCTTCTTGACCATTTGCAAAATAGACGCCATAACCAGCACGCGAATTACTCTGTCCATTGCTCAAAGCAGACCCATCACAATAAACATTGCACTGCTCAATTGTGGCATTTGAAGCGTTATTTTTTTTATAACGTTGCGTAAATTCTCTCTCTTGAATACCGATGTGATGATAGTCCTTGGAACTGGAACCGTTGATAAAATCAACAGCATCGCTTTTGCTGGCCACTTTCCGATAAGAGAGACCACCTTTGCCAGCAACGTAACGTTGGCAATCAGCCCAGGTTTCGAAGACTTGGTCCGCAACGTTGGGGTTGGAGCTTTTCACGGCGTAAAACTTTTGGCCTCCAGAATTGGTAGTCGAACCGCGTGATGCTCTATTATAGTGTTCTTTTTGCGAAGATGTGAAATTCTGCGGCTTACGATTGTGTTCTGTAGCATAGGAAAATTTACGATCTCCGTTGTAGGATCTCAAGCTTCCGTACGATCCTGATGAAGATCTAGGGGAGCGCTCGCGATAAGAAGTAGGATTGGACCCATAACTAGAAGAGCCCCTATCACCATTGGGAAACGTGGTATTGGATCCATAGCCAGTATCACTTTTGCCGCTCCCAGAGAAAGCCTGAGCTTCCGCGAGTGTGTTGAATTTCTTATAAACCGCACCATTATACCCGTTTACTTGGGACCTGCATTCATCCCAACTGTCAAATACACCATTGGAACGTCCATTCTGGACTGCATAGTATCCCCTTCTTGCCATTTTCTTTGAACTGAAGGACAGAAAGTTTAGGCTCAATATACTCTCGAAATGGTGAACACCACAACGATTGATCCGATTTGTGAATTTATAGACGTTTATCGTAAGCTGGAGAATGTAAAAACGTCAGATCATACGGATTAGAATCGGTACCTCTAGTTGTTTAACTTATCTTCGGTTGTATGAGAATCGAGTTATGCTAAGATAGTTCCAGGCGCTTCACAGCATAATCGAAGTCGAGATAACTAACCACGATAATTGATTTCGATATTCCACTACTAAGATACTTGCTTTCAAAAGCTTACAAGCCCTTTTATAGTTTGTGACATGAGTTGAGTCTTCTTGTGCAATTGTCATGTCGTCCTTATTCTTGGAGATATTGAGTATACGATTCCGGTAGAGCAAAATAAAAATCTCAAGATATAAGCTAAAGTTATATATCTAGAAATCTCGATGATGACTGGGAGATTTGTGAATACTTATGGCTTTCATCGGGAACCACTGGCATTCCATAATTTCGGAAATCTTACGGGCGATTTACATTGTAAGGTCAAACCATTCGGTTTGCTTGAGTAAAAATTCAGCCACCAGCCACTAATTTTATGGTAACATACAATAGCATTATTATTTGCGCAGTGTATACTAAAGCTGGCATCGCGTAACAGCAGAAAAGCCCATCATCATCTCCAATCTCTGTGTGATTCGGACCCCATTAGTTTATGATGTAAACTCGACGTGTGAGGAAGCTGAGACAGTAGCTCATCTCAATCAACATACCGCCATGTTTGAACAAAGAAAATAATATGAGCCTTACGTTGATATTTAATTCGTTGAATTTTGACAATGACACGTTTGTATAAAGTGATAACAGCAGTATTATTTTATTAGAACGCCATAAGTAGTATGCCGGCTTGAATGGCTGATAAGTGCATTGATATGAAGTCTGGAATATGCGATGCGGCCGCGTGTATATATTACTACTTCTCCCATACATGAGGCTGGTATATTAGATGTCCAGTCTAGAACGATTCATATGTAGCCTTGAACATTTGTTGTTATGGGAACTACTCAACTAAACGTAACTGTAAATATATAAGCGACTTTATATTTACGTCGAGAAGATACTTTTCACATCCATGAAAGCTGCGGAAAGAGTAATATGCTGAAGCTATTCCTGTTAACAGCTAGTTTTATCAAACAGTTGCTTATTGACGCAATTTCCAACTTCATCAATTTCACATAAAGTGAATGGACAGACAGGAACTCTCTAAAAATCGACGAAATAAGTAGCATACTTTACATTTCAAGTTCCAAACTACTCAGTTGAAGATAAAGCGATATTAACTATTAGATGGTACTCTTTTATATATGTGAACGTATCTCGACAGCTCGACAGCCCGATAAACTGTTTTGGTGCTAGTGATGACTGGAGCGCGCGGCTTTAACAATTTTCTCGGTAAATAGGGCCTTGGTCAAGCTATCGCGAAACTCTAAGCTTCCCATGACGTAATCTGCTTCACCCTTGGCAATTAAGATTCTTAGAAGAATATCCTGGGTTGCAATGTTGGTTTCCAATGGATTGTTCTCCGCAGCTCTAATTTCTTTGTCGAGCTCAACTCTCCGCTTGCGCGACGCATTGGCAAGAACAGTTTTGCGGCGGGCAACACTTTTGGCTCGTTTTCCCAAGTATCTAGCATGTTTCTGGTCCCGTACTTCGATGTCATTGGCTTCGAACAACAATTTACGATATTCTTGATTAAGACCTTCCAATTCTTTCTTCAGCTGCAAAGGAGACCTGTCATAGTATACCGGTATCAGTAAGAGAGCTTGGTAATGGGCGTTCTTGAGCTCGCTCATGGCTGGTCCTTCCCCGTTGTTATGAAAGAAGTCTACACACAAAGCTCCGAGCCATTCGAAAATTGTATCAATCTCCACCTGGGTCAGATGTCTATCTGAACTGCTTGGTGAATTGATTCCATGCTTTGCTGCGTCTACTGCATTTTCCCATATAGATTTGGCCTTGGAATTGCGGTATTGTAATCCTTCGGCATCAGATAAGAACGGTAGCAGCAGGTCGTCTGCTCGGCTCAGTATTTCTTCCCACGCTTCGAGCATAATCTTAAGTAGCAAGTCGCGGGATAGATGAGACGCCAAGATACTCAAGTTAGCGTTCAAATAATCAAACAATGGTACCAATGAATCGTAAACGACAGAATTGGTAGCCTTCACTAACCCAGTGGGACCGCACACCGTTTTTAAAGTTGTTCTCGAGAATGAAAAGTGTACAAACACCTGAAACTTACTCACCATTAACTCAATCGATCGATCTCGGGCGCGATTTAACGAACGAAACGCACGTCCCATAGAGAATAGTGCGTCTAGTCTTTCGGTTTCGACCGCAATCTGAACTATGATTTTACCGCGAGTATCCAAGTTAAGACAAACTTGCTCGGGGTAGCCGTCATCTCTGAATTTGTTGGAGTCCAGACATAGGAAAGCTCTGCCGCATACTTTCGAAGAAGCTGAGTTAAACTTTTCCTTATGATTCCAGAGTATGAAACTGATCAAGCGTTGGTCATTTATTGCAACGTCGAACTCAAACTCCTCATTCCAAACCGGACGCCCAGATTTCAAAACTTCGCGGGTCTTTGCAACCTCTCGTTTTAGTTTCGTATCAACGATACTTATTGCAGTCAAAGCATTAGCTTCATGCGCTGACGAACTGAGGTTTTCAGCGCGTACTATCTTTATAGAGTACAAGTGTCTCAAACCACGGTTTTGCTTTTCAGTCATCGATTTTCGCTTCATATCGACTTGCTCGTGGGCATGAACTGACTTTGAGATCTCGTCTGGATTTATTCTTTCTTCCAAATTGTTGATCAGCTGCATCATCTGATTGAGATTGTTCAGACAGGTACACGTTCTGCTTTGGAACTCAAAAGGTTTCGGTATAGACACATGATTAGATTTCAAAGCATTTTTCATTTCAGTATAAATCCATGAGGTTTTCATTTTCGCCGTCGCAGTTTGAGAAATAACGTTGAATCCCTTTGGAAGCTCCTCATTATCCTCAAACGTTTCGCTCTCTTCCAGCGTTGTGTTGATATCAGTTTTAATTATATCCGTTATTGTGTTGGCATAAAAGCTTAAGCCATCAGCGACAGATTTGAGGAGGAAAGTGTATATCTTATGAATTTGGTATTGACTTCCCCACTCCAACTTGACAAACAAGTCAATTGATTCGTTTATCATTTTGAAAATATCAATGACAGAAGTACTGTAGCTTTCAGATGTGTCAATCGGATCCCAAGTCTCCTTCTTTATAGCAGTACTTATCACTTTTATTGTGCTTGCACATGCTTCATCACATAACTCCGAGAGATACTTCAGAAAGTACTTTTCCAAATTGAAAGGATACTTTTTGGCTGGCTGGACCTGAAGGTAGACGTCCCGTAATTCTCTTAGCGACTTGTAGGTTTCTGCGCCATCGTAGAAAGGAATTTTACCTCCTTTTTCAACTTGAGCCAGCATCGCAGAGCAATCTACTCCAAAAGCTTCTACAAGAATTTTCGCACACTCAACTGCAATATTAAGCTCACCAAGTAGAGGTTTTGTATACTTTTTTTGAATGGTCTGGATCTCCGACAAAATACGATCGGCAACGCATTTGATGTCGTGGATATCAAGGGCTTTATCTCTTGGTAGCTCATTGACAAGGCTAACGTAGAACTGCTCGCTTGCTCTAAACAAAACACGCCTAAGTCTTTTGATGTGTCTACGATACAGATCAGACTTGGTTAATTCATGGTTTGAAGCTTCGAGGTCAGGCAAAATGAAGCCGTAGTAGACGTTCAAAACAGGTGAGAATTTGGGTCTTGGTTTTTGATGTAATTCAGAGAGTAGCTGCTGCGTCAAGTTCAAAGTTTGTTCTAAGCTGAAAGTCAGGTTTTTCGACCACTCTTTTTGATCAATAATATGCCAAGAGCTGCGGTCTCGAAAAAGCTCCTCTGAATTGAAAATCTTTGTTGATATCAAACTGAACAGATCTTCAAATGCTTGAGTATTTAGGCAGTCACCGCCCAGCGGTCCAGCATTCGCTGCTGCGTACAGCATAGTTGCTTTAGAACATGGCGAATTTACTCTCCAGTATGCTGCGCATTTATTAAGGAAAAACCAAGCTTCTTGAGATAGGACTAGCTTATTCGAGGTTGCGCAAAACTCTTTGCTAAAGATCAATCGCGTGAGTTGAATGTAAACATCTCTTGGGTTTTCGGGAATGTAATTAGCAAGCTCATTAAAATTTTTGGAAGAAGAATTTGAAGACTTCGGTACTCCTGCACTAAATTTGGCTATGAGTACGTCCAGTTCTTTTGTTTCTTGTTTTAGCCAGCTCTCGAAGTTGTCAGATTTTGAAAATGAAAGGCTTGGATCGGAATTCGTTTGCTGCACAACTCTCTTTTTCAGCACTTGTAGTGATTGGCTGAAACCATTATTGTTAGTATCGCTCACATGCTTGATTAGTGTTTGCTGAAAGTCAATCTCAGAAATATCAAAGAGTTCCATAAGATACTCAGAATGCTTGATATCCGTGATTTTGAATGTGGGCTTGATTGATGGCTCTGTCGATATTAAACCAGACGAAAGACTTGAAACTGGTGAAAGAGCAGTTGTAGAATCCCCAGACCTGCTGAACGATCCCTTGTATTCATTAAGTCGAAGTGCCAACTTTGACGCAGGAGAGTCATAACCTATAACCAATCGAGTGATCATATCAATGAAACTGCAGATTTGTCTGTAAAGCTCTTGTTTGCCATTGGCTTCTTGGTATACCTTGGTAATTTCGCCCTGGGCAGCTTTGGTAAATAACATGATAAGTTCCTCGGGTCTGTTGGTCGATGAAAGCTGTTTTGATGCCTTAGGATCTAAGAAGCTGTCGTTGTAAAACTTGAGAAGGCTCCGGCGAAAAGATGCCTCTTTTACCTTGATCTTGTCTACCGCGACCATTTTTAAGTAGTTTTCCAGCACTGGCACTAATTTGTGTAATTGTTTGCCTTCGCTTGACTCACTTTTCTTTCCCGAATCATCCGAAAACAACCAGGACCTGCGCTTGGCACGCTTTTGTTCGGTTACTTCTCTTGTTCGCGCTTGTGGCCTACTATTTGTCGCAGGACCCTTTGTTCTAACGTCTGTTTGCCTGAACCGGGGTTCATTGATGTACTCTAGTAATATCACTTTGATTGCATATTTTAGTACTTGATCCAGACTGATGTCCAGAGAATTATTGGGCTCTTCCTTGAATGCAATGAAATTGCCAGTACTTTCCAGACTTGTGGTGCTAGATGCTGAGACGTTTCTGGTCGCCATTGCCGCCTGCAATGGTCGGATGGATCTTCATTTTCTAAAGAGATTTCTTTAAGGTTTCAATTGGAGAATTTCAAAATTCAATAAACCAATATTGCTTAGTGATGAACCAATTCTAAGGATCAACAAAATCTAGAGATTACACTTATGTATCAGTACAATGACTGGGCGCTATCGATTGTCACGATGATCCCTCGTTAGTGCTAGTCTTCGTCGGCACGACTGATAGGTCCAAATGCGGCGGCTAGGTTCTGAATGCATTACCCTAACCACTATAAACGCTTGCTTGGTAAAACACTATATTGAACGCGTCAGTCTTGACAAAGAGTTTGGAACGATGTTCTTTCTTGACTTTAGAAGTGAAGAAGATTGGATCAGTCACTTCCTGTATCAGTTTCGCCCGAATGAGACGATATTTTGGATCTCTTTCGATCGGAAGAGCTTTCGATGGAACCTGTGCTGTCTTTCTGTTCTACAACGTCTTTCGCATTGAAGATGTGCTTCGACAAGCACTTATTGAGTGCGAACATGGTAGTTTTCTCGCCAAAAATTGGTTTCATCGTCTCATCGCAGAGTATTTCTCTGCGATCAGAAGGGTTTTGTAAGTTGTGCTCTCGTATGTGTTCCCACACTTTCTTAACAACCTGCGTTCGGGCCATCTCTGGTTCTTTGACCAATTCCTGCAGCTCAGGACTGAGAAGCATCTTATTCTGGCTCAAAGCGTTACCAGACTCGCTGACCTTGCGCTTCTTCTTCGGTTTAGCATCTTTGGATCCTTTTTTGGACCTTTTTTCAGTCCCATTTATCTTCTTAGAGAGTTTGCGGGCTATGGCAGCATCTTTTTCAACCAGTTCTTCCGGAGTTATCTTGGATCTCGAGTCTTGGAGCTCGTTAAACCTTTCTATAATTAGGGCATTGACTTTCTTGCGTTGAGACTCTAATTCAACGGCAAACAACTCCTGAATGGCTTTGCGTATCCTTTTGGCGCTTATTTCATCGGGGTTGGAAACGCTTAAAATCGCCTATGTTGCAAATGTTAATAAGTAATTCATCGCAGCTTTCTATTGTTCGAAAATATCGCATCTCCATACATCAATCATGGGCACGTAGGCTTCCAGTTCGGTCATTGCGAAGGGTTTTCCGCACTGGTTTATGTATTTTAACCACTAAAGCTAGGGCAGCTGCACTGATGACGACAATTCAATAGTTTAATGACTGTGAGACAAAAATGGGTCCAAAATCATAAAAAACTAAAAGCACCATTTGAGATGAAAAAGCTTGGTTTAAATAGATGCATTTACTAGTGCTAATATACAATATTTTTACGAAGTTTCAAACCAGGCTTCAGTGCTTATTTGGCTCCTTTCAAATTTCTCTTTTGCTGAAGCTCGTTTTTCTTGATAACCTTCTTACGCTCAGCTCTGCTCAGTGTTCTTGGATCGATTAGCTCGTCACCAGCCTTCTTGGGTTGGTCATCAACCTCCACAAGCCACTGAGAGTCCAGCTTTTTATTAGCACCCTTGTATCCCCATTTGGGTACCCATTGGCCAGCATCTTCGTCGTATACCATTTTCCCGGATCTTTCTTTTGGCTGGATTCCCTTCTTAGCAGCAAACTGCTCCCATTTAGTAGGAGCCTTTGGCTTAGGCAAGGGCTTCTCTCTGGGCAATTCGCTAATCGGGTCTGGTAGCTGCACGAGAGTCATGCTAGCACTTTGACCGCTGGTTCCTCCAGCCGACTCAGTTGTGCTTTTTATAGGGAGTGACAGAATCTGATTGATCATTAACTGCACGTTTTCACGTGTAACATCTTTGATGTGTTTCTCACGCTGAGCATTTGACGAGTCCAAATCATTCCTGTCCAGAGAATTAGAATCGAAAACCGCCAAATTTCCAAGGTCGTAAGAAACAGGAATGGCTTTTTCGACAGTCACGGGAAGTGACTTCTTTTCTTCAGCAATAGACGACATCTGTGTTTTTATAAAGCTTTCTGTGATGCGCGCTACTCTTGCTTCTTTGTTCGTGCTTAACAGCTCATCGGGTGCTCATCGCTTGCGTATTGGAAAATTTTATGCGAGACAACATTCAGATCATACCATACGAGGGGAGGATGTCAGTTAAGGATAAAGTGTGCTACTTCATTGCGGCAGCCGATCGAGCGTATAGCTCCTATGATGCACCGATTTGTTTTCTTTTCTGTAAAGTCACTTTTCACAGTTCAAACAATCGGCGAACAGCCCGACTTTCCACCGCCCTACCATGACAATTCCAGTTTTCTCGAATCAATTGTTTAGCGTAGAATCTGGAGGATGAAAACTGTTGGAGGATATCAAAGTTATCACCAGGCTCTCGTTCACCGGTCTCGAGCAGCCTCAGTTCTCGCTGTAGAAGTCTTTTCCCTCCACATAGAATTTCCATATAATTCATCATACTTTGATTGTACCCTATCAGCAGCGAGCGAGTGAGTTTCGTGATAAGTTTCAAAAATAATGGAAGTTCATCCAATAGCTGAGCCTGCAGCTCTTTAAAATGTATGGCAACTATCTCCATTCTAATATCGCGAGCATCTTTAGACTTGAGAAACGAAATGAAGTCTTTTTTTAGAGTTCTCAAGTCCTTCACTTTGGTGTCCACTGGCTCGCAGAGTTTGCGCAACTGAGACAAAGGTTCCAAAATCAGTGTTTGGATGTCTTTTAGCTTCAAAAGCATTACGTCCTGCCTCTGCTGATGGATTTTATTTACGTAAGTTGTGTAGATGGACTCCACATTTGCGTGCTCGGTGAAAAGCTGACTAGCAGGCTCGAACTCGAATATTTTACGCCATTCTTCCGCTTGCTTTAAGTTCTTATCCAATATTGCAGCTAGATCGACCGACATTATCTCTTTTTCCAACTTCGCAAGATGCTTCTCTATTTGTTTGAATCTCCATATGCAGTCATTAAGTGTCGGTATCTCTTTTTCAATATCAACAGCTTTCGAGGTACTTTCTACAACTTCGGGATCACTGCGTGCTTCGTTACCGGAATGATCAGAGTACCTGCTGGACGATAGCGAAAAATGTGTATCACTAGATCGACACGAATTGTCGCTAGCTGGAACCAAAAGATGAGGTTCGTTTTGGCCTGATGAAGGTCTCGAATAACTCTGGCCCGAGATTGCGGCTTCGGAGATAAGCAAAGATCTCGCTTCTCTCAAAAACTCAAAATATCGCTTCTGGAACAGGGTTAACTTTCTCACATTTTCAGGTAACAGGTAGTTTTCGGCATGGAATACTACATTGGAAATATCTTCATAGAATTCCTCAGCCCGTTTCATTGGGGCGTCTATAATATCTTCTATGCGTAAAAAATCGCTTTTCTTTAGGCAAATTTCGTACCATTTGTAGAATAAAGAGCGTTTGTTTCGTTTTAGAGCGGTAAGCAGCTCTATTTGTTTTTTGTGACTAGAAAAATATGCATGGTAAGTGGATTTGATTTTGTTCAGGTGAGAATCAAGAAAGTCTGATGGGTCAAATATATTCGTAAATTCCTGGGGAACAGCGAGACGTAAACCAAATCCTCCCCAGTCTTCCATGTCAGTACCTGATAAACAGCATGTCTTGACGTAATTTTTCAAAATTTTAGTGAGTATTCTGCTCAATTGTGATATTGTGTCGATGTTACCGAACAGCAAAATTTCCTCATTGGAGCTGAGGCGTATCAACTTCTCTCCGAATTTTCTGTTGTTGTGAAGTTCTTTTCGGTATATCATATTCAAAGCGTCGGTGACATATGAGTATTCCTCTTCGTTATGTAACATTTGGTAAAATGCATGGAAAAATTCATCCCCTGTGAATGCTTTTTTTGAATCTTCTCTCCTCCCCTGTGTGTCATCAATGTGATGCTGTTCCGTCGGTGACGGTGCAGGCGAAGTTTTTGACAACGATACTTCGGCTTCCAAAGCAGGCGATTTTTGTTGTTTGGCGGCCAGTTTTTTAAGTTGTTTGGCGTTGCACTTGTATTCGTTTTCTGAATTCCATATTGATCTGGAGTAAGGGTTTCCGGTAGGAATTTTGTTGGTTTTAAGCCCATCAGCGCTCTGGGAGCCATTCACACTGGCAAAAAAGCTTTGTCCGCTCTCCCGAATCGGTGAAAGTGTGGAGTTGGCCGGGAAGTCCAGCTGGTATATTGAGTTCGTTGATTTAATCATATCTTCGGTGGTTCTGTCTCAAAAATCATACATGGATCCAAGTTCTGAGTTGTGGCCATTAAATATATCAGAGTTTGATTTTGTTTCGAGTCTGTTTCAGGAACGTCGTTCGAATGTGTCAGATTGGTATCACCTCGACGTCAATCTGACACCACTAATCTCACTCAACACGAGTCAAGCCCGCCTCTCCCTATGAACTCAGTAACAACTCTGAAACGATCTTTGCTGTTCTCTTTATCGTTCAGAGCCATCCGCAGAAGTGAAGCATTCTTTTGAGCTTCAACCTGGGCTTGCTTCATTCCCTCGGTTGTTTCATAGTCAACAATGCATTGCGGACATTGAAAAAACTTCCCGTCCTTGCCCAAGTACTCTTCTTCGTTCAGGCATCGCTGGTGATATATGTGGTTGCATTTGAAAAATACCACTGGTGGGGAGATTTGCAAATGACAAGTGTTGCAGTTTTGGCTTTTTAGCTTTATTTGTAAGGGATTGTTTTCGTCTATCAATGAGTTCAGCTTGTTGTCCTTTTCGGTTAACTCCGCCTTATACGATTCAATAAGCTTTTTATTATTTCTTATCTCCTGGCTTTCAGACTTGATGTGCTCAATCAAAATTTCTTGAACCAGACCGAAAGTGGCAACGTTTGTGGAGCCCAAAACTTGTAAAATATCTAGTAGGGGCATCAAATCGAGGTCCAAAACTCTCTGTAAAATCTTCTCTCTGAAGACAGGTTCCCCACCTATTTCTTTCATGACACTTTTTGAGCTGATGAAATGCGCCAAACCCATGGAGTATAGAGCGGGTTCCTGGAGACCATACTGTTCAATGAATTTGAGCACAACCAAAGGATCACTGGTCAAAGACAAAGACTCAAATTTGTAGATAAGGTCTGCTTTGTCGTATTTGAAAGTTTTGCTTTCAACATCAATTTCATTTTCATCCTGTGACAGATCAATGTCGTTGACCTGCGAGATCAACATCATTAATGAATTATCTACGGGCTTGTTTGACCTTTCTCCAGAGAGCGTACTGTTCGTTGAACTGCTCGCTTTGACTAATTTGATGCTATCCTGATAAACGAGTCGGGCCTTTTCCCTCCATTCGTTTTGGCGACTTTTTTCGTCGTCTTTTGCTAACGACAAATAGACATCATAGAGAGTAGTGAGGATTAGCTGCTTGTCGTGGTCAAATCCGCTAAATTCGTTATAGCTTCCAAGACAAGCTTCCAAGAACACAACAAATTCAAAACGTTGATTAATGAATGATGTAAAGATCAGAGCAGGCCGAGGTGGATGATAGGTTGGAGTGCCTGCATCCGGTTCGGAATTTTTTATGTTGGAGGTTGACTTCATGAAATCAACGAACGATTTGTAGCTGTAAAAGACATCATGATCTGTCTTTTCGCCATGCAAGCTGTTACTTCCACTCACATCTTCGAACCTTATCTGCTGGTACTTTCCGGTAAATAACTCAATAAGCAAAGCATTTGTGTCGTTCGGCAGAAGTTCGAGTAGTTTTTTGGAGAAGCTTATCAGCATTCTTAATGCATCATCAACAGGCAAGCTCTTTGTGTACCTAAGAGCAGAATGAGGATCGTTGAGATCGTCAATCAGTATATCAACTACCATTTCTGGACTTTTCGAAAATTTCCTAGCGAGTTTATAACTCAGTAATGCAAATCCTGACTCCAACATTAGCCTTAAGGTCAGATCTAAGTCGAAAAGAGTTGCATCAGAGTAAAAAAAGGACTCGTCATCGTCCATCCAGCTTTGTTCAGATTCTTCCTGCTCCAGGTATTCGCCAGAACGGCTGAAATGCCTTATAAAGCTATGGATGCCTTCTTCGTTTTTCAGCTTTATTAGCGATATGATATAAAGGGTTACATGGTCTGAATTACTCATGCCCTTTTGCATCATGGACAACAGATAGAACGAAAGTATCGAAACATCTTCAGAGCTTGACGAGTTTTCGACCCCGAACTTTGCAATCACTTCGCTTGTTTCTGTTACATTTAGGCATTGCAAATACTGTTCAATAGCATCTGTCTTATCCCCGTTGTTGTAGAGATATTCAGCATACTTCTTTCGTATCTCCTCAATTCGTAAGGGGCTTAGCTGGCTTTGTTCAGCCAAGTCCAGTGCTATTTGGTAAAGTTCTTTTTGCTCAACAATTTGAACTTTTTCCGTTATCGATTTCTCGTTGATTTGGTGCATAGTACCATCCGAAGTTAAGAGTACTACAGATGGCTCACCTGTGAGATTGCTTGCAAAAATATCAAGTACGTTCCCTGATATCAATGTGTTCATGGCGATTAATTTGTTCCGAATGTCAAGAATGACTAATCGGTTACTGGGGCTTGCAGTGTTGGAAACATGAAGAACGGTGTTGTTGGACGCTTGTACTCCAGATAAAATAAGTAAGTGGTCTTTATCTATCGCGTAAACCCTTTTTATTGTAGTGAGATCTGTTACTAACGACCGCTTCTCACCGCTGGGCTTGTAAAAGTCAATTGAATTATTAAAACAACAGATAAATTCTTTACCGTCGCTACTCACACAACTGCAATTGAGGTCAACACCCGATTCGGTTTTCAGTGTCAATCCAGGCTTACCACTATTTCTACCATACGTGTCAAATAGATGTAGGGCAGACGTAGTCGAGGCAAAACAAGTTCTGTTTTCACTATCGAACATTAGCGCGGTTATGGGCTCTTTGTTTGGGTCCTCATAGATAATCCTTTGTTTGGACCCGCGGTCATGAACAATGTCACCTCGTATTAGTACGATGCGACCATTTACAAAGCCAATGGCCATGCACGTCAAGTCTTTCGATATGGATATCGCAGATAGAGGGAATGTATTCTTTCCGTTTTTCACCTCAATAGCGCTGTGAAAGTCGAATTCGTTGCTTGGCCGCTTGTCAATTCTCCACACCTTGAGCGAGCAAGGTTTTCCGACTTGTTCTGCAACGCTGACAACATAGGTATCTTCGATGGCACATAAATATGTCACCTGAAATCCTTCCGGATAAGCTTCAAACTCGAGCTCAACTTCTAAAGTTTTCAAATTCACGAGACGTAATACTCTCGATTGAACTGCGATAAAGAGTTTGCCATTCTGCAACGGACAAGCTGCGGAAAGTGTAGGATCCGAAAATAACGGTGTTGGACTCCCTATCTGCGGGTCTCGAAGAGGAACATTCTCGAAGAACTGAAATTGCCTCCATGATCTGAATGACATATGTCACGTATATCTCGCTAGTCTCAATTCTATCTAATTGAGAAGCCCAAATTAACATCAGCAACTTACTGTACCCATTCACATGAGTTAGGTGATCAACATAAGTAGCACAGTTCACGAAAAACGTGCACAATGCTTCATGACACTTTGAACATCTTGATTAAAGCTCATGCACCGGGTCATTCTATTAAATGTCTCGATACCGCAAGGCACCTTCAGCCACCTCTCTTCCCTGTTATTCAGAAAAGTGAAATTTCAACTGCAGAAGAGCTACTTTAGATCTCTATGCAAAACTCACCAACTTGAACATCGTTGACGATCCCGCTGAAGCTTGCTATATGTAAACGTTCCGGATAAGCTATCAAGGATGTTTGCATTATTTCAGAATGCAAGTCCAACAAATAATCTGATTATCGGATTGCGGTCCGGGCATTTTATATCTTAGATACCGCTGTGTGCGAGATTAAGCCGTCGTTTTCTAAATACAATCAAGACACTGGTAACTTGAAGCTGACTTGGACGTTTTCGAATATCACTAACGTAGCAAGACCACTAAAAGTAGAATGTTGTTTAGAGCTCCCTTAAAACTGTCTTGACAAGATAGCTGTTTTGGTTGCAGGTAAGCCGCGCCCCGAGTGACGTTCTGGCGTAATCATGTACTGAAGACCTTGAGTCCAAAAGCAGCTGGTTGAAATGACACCATTATGGTGGCAAGTACAAAACGCCAGCAACGGCATTTGAGCGCTGTATGGTCTCGTTATCATCTTTTGACGCCATTAGCAGCATATCCTTGAGATTTGGCCAGTTTACGATATTAATCCGTCTTAGTAGAGCTCATGGTGACATAATTGCCCGGACTTTGGAAAGGGAATGACAGATGGCTTTCAAGATATGCGAAAAGATCAGAATGACAAGTACTTGGAAAAACGAAAATCCGACGCGGCCTCGCCGCTAATCTAATTCAATGGCCACGCTAATTATTCAGTATATGAAACGGGTGTTTGAGTGCTAGTTGAGGCATAAAAGTGAGCTCACTACTAATCCAAAACAAAGTTGTGCAGGAAGCTTGCATTTCATTTGAAGTGTGCATTTAGATAACATGTAACCACAATTGTCACTCTTTAAGGCAAACCCTACGTGAAATTGCTCATATCTCCGAATCTTCAAGGTAGAATTTGAGACTATTCAATGTCTATTTTCATAGGATTGAAGTGTCCTGCCAAGGGTGCTGTAAAAGCTCTATACTGCTTGGTCTCTTGCGATAATCCAACTCAAAAGCTTCGCGCAGGAAGTTCTTCGCTTCTTCACTCGCCCATGATGGCGACTCTGGATAGGTGTTAGTCCCAATTTTAAAAATAGCTTGCATTTGCGAAAAATCAGGGAATGGGTGTTTTCCTGTGAACATCTCAATAATCACACATCCGACAGACCAAATATCTGCTTTCTCGGTAGTTACAACCTGTTTGACAACCTCGGGAGCCATCCAATATACAGAACCTTGCAGCGACGCTCTTTTGTTCTGCTGCTTGTTTAAAGGAGACAACTTTTTAGATATTCCAAAATCTGTAATTTTAACACATCCTTTAATATCAATGAGAATGTTTGCACCCTTAATATCTCTGTGGATGATGCTTTTCCTGTGCAAATAAGATAAACCAATAAGAATTTGCCGGGTGAAGTTTTTGATAAGCGGCTCTTCAAACGGACCGTAATTGTTTAACATCGATGACACAGAGCCACCTGGCACATATTCTAGGAAAATGTTCAAGTTTCCGCCTTCCTGAGAAGATCCATAGTAAGTGACTATATTGTCGTGATGCAGCTCTTTTAATAATCCCATTTCGTGTTGTAAAGCATCGATCATTTTTCTATGAACCTGAGAACTATTTTTTGCAACAGCGGTATTAGGATTTTGATTGTATTGTTTCTTTATTTCATCTGAAACAGACATAACGCCTGCTGCCACAGCAGTCGGCTGAAGCTCCACTTGCTTCACCGCCATTAGTTCGCCTGTTTGAGCATTCATACCCAAGTATACGCTACCAAAACTACCTGCCCCAATTCTGGCTCCTTTGAGCCAATTCTTTGGTGTTGCAATTTTTGTTGGTAGCGAGATGGTATCTTCGTCATCCTCGTCATTGTCTGAATCAACATTAAGCAACTCGATGCGACCTGAATTTCTTTGTCTTGAAGAAATTCGGTCCCCTATATTGTTGTGAGAAATGAGGCCAGGGCGCTTTGCAGGACTAGTGGTTTTTTCACCATTAATTTCGTTTCTCTGTGCATCGTTCGCCGCCTCGCGGGATGTGCCGGGGTTTCCGAAGTTAAGCGTATCCTCCTCTAAGTTAGTTTGCCGTGTACCCGACGTTGTACTCATTGTGTTTATTGCTGGTGTGGTATGTGTTTTGTCGAGACTCTGTAAAAGAGCTTTGCCTACAGCGTTAGAATTGTTCACCCATATGTTTCCAACATTGTTGCTATCTGCGGGAACAGCGGCACCGTTTATGGAACTCAATCTTATGGATTGGCGGACGGAGTTTCTCAGCGTTTTGCGTAGGTTCTTAGCATCTGCATGAGGAAAGTATTCTCCTAAATTGGTGGAAATAAGTTCACTAGGTGGTCTTTGATTAAAAATCTGTCTTATTCCTCCCTTGCTGTTCTCAATTCTTAAAGTGTTTGGAGACCCTGCCGTAGCTTCTTGAGCCGCCAATTCGTTTGCTTCGTGGAACCTTGCACGAGAATTTGGTGTGGCATTTGTGAAGTTCGACAGAGATCCTAATTGGTGAATGACGCTCAGCGTCTTGAGATAAAGCTTTTTGGAGGTCAGCGTTGCTCTATCACTTGGAGTTTGATCTTTGGAGACGAAGATGAGTCTATTCTTTTCTACACGATCATTGGAATGACAGATTGTAACTAGCTCCACATCGTAGAGGAGATGCAGTACATTTTTGACGTAGTCGACCACGAAAACATCGTAATCTTGCGAATTGCGCGTTTTCTCGCCCTGAGGTGTGCACGCAATAAACTCGCCGGGCAACTTTTTAATCAACTTCTTTTTAATGGATTCTGCATTGAAACACCCACTAACGTTCACTTTTTTGGCAGAACCATCGTTGAGGATAAAAATGGCAGAATGTTTGTCTGTTACAAGTTCTTCGGTCGTCGTGAGCTGCGCCACACTCATAGCTTGGAATTTCTGCAAAAGCTCCCGTACCTCGATCGAGGAATGTGCTCGATTTCCACGCAGCGTGTGGCAGCGTTTGAGGATTCTGATCCGATCTCCAATCTTCTTGACGCCAACTTCGATTAGGATTTCTTTGTCTAGATTGGCCATATCATCTTGGGAAGTAAGGTTCAAAGCCTCGAAGTTGTGGCGATACTGGCTGCAGTTGAGTTCTCGCAGAAAACTCACCAGGTAGGGTTCTGTATCGCTCATTTCTAGTGAATTAGCAGCGTCAACTTGTTGGAGAGGTTTGAATTCTGATCATTTCATTGTTTAGGGTCTTAGTTACGTGTGTAATGATTCAACTTCAAATGACAGATCACTTTACCGGGTTTTGAACGTCCTAGGAGGGCCCCGGCAAACTTGAGGTATGGCAGTTCATTCTGACCGGTGCAAGTAACCCTGGCATAGTTTGCGTTTGGTCGGAAACAAACGCTATTCTTTTTCAGGTCACCGTTTTTGTTCAGCAAGAGCTTTGAACAAAAACAGCATAAAGCTTAGCCGAAAAAATATTACCGCGACATTATCGCCGTCTTAAAGTTTATTTCTCACTCATTTATCAATTCATTAGCTCGAATCTTGTCAAGTCGCCATGTTTCTTTGAACTTTAATCAACTTTCACGACATTATGCAATTATTTAAAAATAGGGTCCTTCCTCACTTTAGAAGCTCATAGTATTAAGCTCCAACAACTCATCTCCATAAAATGGCACCTAAGGTAGACGAAAAAGCGGCTGATAAGGTCGAGAAGTTCTACATGAATCGCGCTGGCAAAAGAGTAGAGGTTGACATGAATCATCTACGCAAACCCCACACTTTAGAACCCCGGAAATTCCCCATGGATCAGAATCCGTTGGTTATGGGCGGTGATCACAGACCTTCGGCAGAGCCAAGTGCCAGAAGTTCGAAGGAGACCGAAAATTAAAGGAATTATGCTGCTTTATATTGACATTGCAGCTCAAAATGCTTGTTTTCTAGCCGCTTAGTATATTATATCTACATCTCGCTTTTTTTTAGGTTTATGCACACCACCCGTGAAAAATTCCCGATGACTTTACAAGACATTTCGTCCTCAGGGAACTCCAAAACTGAGGATAACCACCAGTGAAGCCTCCCTGTAAATTCATGAGGGGACCTCCAAAACGGTACGTGCGGTTGCTTGTGTTTTTAGCGCTGTTTATTGTTCCAGTGGCCGTGGTGAGAACATGGTTGCAATGGCACAGACAAGCGAGTCATACTCTTATGAAAACAGTACTTTTCTCAGCAGCCCCAGAAGAACGCAACAATATAAAGGCTGCCGAAGCATTGCGAGCTAAGTATCAGGACGGCTATTTCATCGCCAGTGTGGGAGTTTCATCCTGCTTTTACATAGGCAATTTTTTTGAAGTATGTCCTTCTTTCGCCAGACACCGTAACCATCACATACAAACGCAGTTCCCACTCGAAAGAGAGTTTCGGATAGTGCATAAGGATCTGACGCGAACAAGCAGCCTTCGTCTCGCTGGATTTTCTCGTTATTTGAGCTACGAGACCATCTCTGTGGAACAAGTGGTTAAGTTCCTCACGAACTCCGAAGAACAGATTTACATTTTAGAGCAGTTTGAGCCCATCTCCGAGCGTTCAGAACCTTTAAGCAAGGACATAATGATTTCTCTAAGGGCCCTGACTGAAAAAAGCGTGGGTCAAACAGATTTTGTCACAGAGCTTGATGTGCTTTTCGGATCCGATAGTGTAGAGCCTAGAGTTGGTTGGCACATGTCAAGAGAGTGGGCTATTGAACTTGGTAATATGCCCAAGTACATTTCAGTCAAGAAACACGCTTCTCCTGTCAAACCTCTATCGATTCCTCGCCTGGAAGCAGACTCTCAAGGCACCTTCAAGATTGTGCAGTTGGCCGACCTTCACTATAGCGTAGGTGAGGGCCATTGCCGGGATGAGTTTCCAAAACATGATGTCTGTCATGCGGACTTAAAGACTTTAAGCTTCATAGAAAAAGTCTTGGACGCCGAGAAACCACAACTTGTAGTCTTCACAGGTGATCAAATAATGGGTGATACGTGTTTCCTGGATTCTGCGACGGCACTTCTGAAAGTAGTGAATCCCGTTATCAAAAGAAAAATACCATATGCAATAGTATGGGGTAATCACGATGATGACGGAAGTCTTGACAGATGGCAATTATCGCTCCTTGCGAGATCTTTGCCTTTCTCTATTTTCCAGATAGGTGAACAAGATACTAACGACAGAACGTTTGGCGTGGGGAACTACGCACATCACATTAATGATGAGAACGGAAACCCGATTTCTGCCCTATATTTCCTTGACTCTCACAAAATGGCACCCAATCCGAAAGTGAACGGCGCTTACGACTGGATCAAAGAAGATCAGTGGAAATATTTTCAAAATTATGAAAATAGCTTTCCTAATCAAAAAGATTCCTTGTCAATGGCATTTTTCCATATTCCTCTACCTGAGTACTTAAACTTTCAATCTAAATACTCGCCAGATTACCAAAATCCAATGGTTGGGAAGATGAATGAAGGAATTACGGCGCCTCGGTACAATTCAGAAGGACTGAAGATGTTACGCCAACTGGGCGTGAAAGTGACCAGCGTTGGTCATGACCATTGTAACGATTTTTGTCTGCTTGATGACTCTCAGTCGCCTGCGAATGAGGATAAGATTTGGCTGTGTTATGGCGGAGCTGCTGGCGAGGGTGGATATGCAGGGTACGGTGGAACGGAGCGTCGGATAAGAGTCTATCAGCTGGACTTCGCGAGTAAGAAAATCGAAACATGGAAAGTCTTGAACAGTTCACCATCTGTCCCATTCGATCAGCAGGTTTTGGTCAACGCTGGGTCTCCAAAAACTGACTAACCTGCATTACATCGAGATTGAATCGATTAAGAGCCATTTCGAAATCCGCTATATGCTGTTGAGTTGGTGATGTTGTCAAGAACAAGGGCAACGTGTTATCAATGACAGATGTGCTTCCGTAAAATGAAAGCTTATGCGGAAGTGGCAGGTAAAATATCTTTTCTGCCAAGATATGCACAAATAGCAAGTAGTAACCGAGCAAGCTATTTTTTGAGATACGATCTAAGCTGTCTGTGATCGCGAATATGTCTACTTTTTTGAGTTGAAAACATAAAGAAGATTGATCGCTGGCATCAACGACGACAAAGCCATCTGGGGCGCAAAGACCCGTTTGTTCCATTGCGTCGAGTAATTGCCCAACTTTCTTGGCTGCAAGTGATTGTACACTGTGCGCAGCATTTGTGTACTCAGAAAAAGTGTATCCGTACTCTTCGTTAATTCGAGCTTCCTCTGTTGCTTCATGGAGAGTAAAAGATTCGACACATCGCATGGTCTCCAAGGACTTGATCTTCTCTTGTTGCAATTTAATGTGATATTCGAGTTGCTCGTTTACGCCCATAAGAACTTCTTTCTGAAGCGGTCTCGGGTTATCTATCATTCGGTTATCAATTTTATGCGACAGTTCAGCAAGCTCTGATTGAAGCTGTGTCAAGTACTCTATAATTTTATTCAACTTCAAGGCACCGTTAAAGTTGAAACTTCGACTCTTCGGTCCAGTCTCACTGTGCTCTTGAGGGGCTTCTTGGAATTCACCTGGAAGGCTAAATAGTCCGTCTGAAAATTGTAGTACAGGGATGTTGACCCCAGTTTTTGGGCCCAAGCTAACATCGTCACTCAAAACTGGGCACAGCTGACTGAAGTCGAGTGTATAGCAGGCCAAGTAAGCCCACACGGGTTCTTCGCAGTTTTTAAGTAGACTGTTTGGAAGTAGTCCCACAATTTTTAACTTGATTCTGGACAACGTATGTGGTAAGTGGGGAATTTCGTTGAATTGTGCGCAAAATTGAGAGCCGCCTTGCACCTCACTCACGTATAGACATCTTCCTTTTAGGTCTTCAATAGTAACGAAGAAAGATGACACGGTTCTGATCAGGTCACCAGGCGCATCTTGGTTGCGAATCAAGGAGACGTTATAGATCGAAATCGCGTTGAGATGTCGCAGTCTTCGCTATTAAGGACAGCAAAAATGTTAATAAGGCACTCTATAAGTTTCAAACAATTGATACACGTTGTACGGTTTTCATACCCTCAAGAGATACATCTATAGCGCAGTTAAACTCTTCGTATATATGTAAGCTTTTTGAATTGAAGATGCATTAGGCTTCATTTTCAAAGTCTTATTCAAGCTAATAAAAGTGATCTATTGAAAACTATCTGTGAAAGGTCAACAAATTAAGAAAATCTGACATCTGAACTTTGATATTTATCACCATGATGTTAGCTGTACTCATTTTCCTATTGACGACTGTTAGTGCACACGTAGGACACCATCACGGATTTGAAAGAGCTCATGAATCCGACTCAAGTGGATTATTGACAAGATACATGTTTCCCTACTCTGCCCGCTACAATGCTCTGCTGGCAACTTTCTATATTTCAATTGCTCCCTGCATAATTGTAGCTGCTATTCCAGCCTTTAGAAAGCCTCAAAAGAGCCGCATATTGTCGTTGATGGTGGCATTCTCATTTGGAACATTGATGGGTGACATTCTTCTGCACCTGTTGCCAGCTATCTTTGCCGCGGATAGTGATACTTCCCAGAATCTCAAGTGGTACGGAGCGGTAGCCGAATTGTTAGACTTAGGTGCCTCAAATGTGCAAATTAGCGAACTTTTGTCAACTATAAGTCCAGACGGATCGAAGTCTCTCTCTGCAGGGAAAAGTCCCTTAAGAACAGTTCTTCTTGGCTTCCTGGTGTTTTCGGGGTTCTTGATTTTCATGATCATCGACAAGGGTTTCAAGTTAGCTAATTATGGCGCAGTGCAGAACTCCGACAATGCACACTACCACATCGGCCACTCACACACACATGTTTTACCTGTACCTGAAGACAGCAGCGATGTCGAGTTAGCTTCCATTCCTTCCGTATCCTCTGAGGTGTCAGAAAACCAAGAAATCACGCACAGGAGCTCTAAGAAAGATGCTGGTGAGAAAACTTCCTCTAAAATTAGCACCAACTCTGAATCTAAGGAGATGGGTTCATTACAAACATCCGCATATCTCAGCTTAGTTTCTGCCTTTGTCCACAATATCACCGACGGATTCGCTTTAGCCTCATCGTTCTACGTGTCACGCAGCACTGGAGTAGTTACCACAATAGCTGTTCTTGTGCATGAAATTCCGCATGAGCTCGGAGATTTTGCGATTCTACTTGCCTCTGGTATCGATTTTGGCAAAGCCCTTCGATTGCAAGCAATTGGTGCCATCGGCTCACTATTGGGTACGCTCTGTGGGTGTTTGGCAAACGAGATGACCATTACCGAAAGTACGTATATCATGCGTAATGGACAGGAACATTGGCAGTTTTCTATTTCAGAAGGAATGCTTCCCATCACAGCTGGCGGGTTACTCTTCATCTCTACCATCGGTATTGTTCCAGAGTTGCTCAGAGCTACCGCCAAGACTAAAGATCAAGAACTGGCAAACAGTATGCTGCAGTTAGCTAGCATTCTTGCAGGTTTTTTGCTTATGGCATGGATGAGTCTAAGCGAGTAGATACGACGGTAATCTTATGATTATGAGTACTCCTTGAATCAGGATATTTACGCGAGGGAGTGTGCAATCTGGCTTAATCGCTTCATATTGCATCCAACATCTGAAATGAGAAAAGAAAACCATACACACGAATATTGTTATCATAGTTGAGCCGCTGATGACCCTTTAATCTGCTCTGTAGGGGGGCTTGTGAGAGCGGTTGTGGGGGGAAAGTGGACTTTGAGTTCGAACACAGCAAACACGTAAAGGGGGCTTCCTGATTCAAAACTAGTTGAATACATGTGGTTCGAAAATGCAGAGGAGCTAGGGCAAACATACCAGAGTGATCATCGATCTCTTATTGATCCGCGGATAACTGTACAGCTCACGGGTGCTATGTGTCAAAAGATAACAGTGCTGTGCTGCGTCAAAGTGTCAGAACTGTCTTATTATGCTGCTTGTTGATGTGGGTCAAAATTCAGAAAATACACAGCGTCATTTAAGTTAAGAATTACTCGGTTTGAATTTTAACGAAAGCGCATAGATAGTTGAGTACGTGTGGCCCCCAAGACGAAACTTCCTTAGCAGAGAGGTTGGCTACGCAAGATCTCAGCAAAACAAATTTTAGAACGCTTGGGCTTCCAATCTAGCCAAAAGCTTAAATTTCAACAACAAGAGAAGCGGATGACTAGTAAACTGGAGTTATGATCAAGACAAATTGTAATCATTTGTGCTAATGTCGGCTATGCCGCAGATCCCCCGATCCCGAAAGCGACGGAGCAGTGGACTCCTGCTGTCATAAGTCACCATTTTCAATTTTACAGGATCGATGCCAGGCAGAATTGAATTGTCTTGCGGCCCTGTCACAAGATCTTCAACCTCGATTTGGATCAATATCCCGTATAAAGCGACATGTATAATTCTTATCATTTTTATCTTAAGTGACGAGCCCTTTTTCGAAATCGGAAGGGGTTTTATCCAGTTGATCTGGCGACAAGAGGTTGGAAAATCATAAATTGGAAACAAGTGAAACTTAAGTTGACGCCTGGTTTTGTGTTTAACCTTAGGACTTCATAGCTTATTTTTAGGTCACATTGGCACGAAAGCGAACTTACAGATGTCAGTGTACGTTTTGAGAATTCCTCATCACGCCCTTGGCGAATTTTCGAATAGTGACAAGGTAGTAATTACTGGCAGTTTTGATAACTGGGAACACACAAAACACGTCTTGAAGTACAACAGCAGCGACGGGAGTTACAACGTAGCGGTTCCCCGCGGAGAAGCGAACAGCATAACGTTCAAGGTATGTTAATCAGTGGAAAACTCAGGAGCATCAAGTGTTCGTTGATTCAAGTTATATGGGCATCTCGCAAAAACACTTATCACGACAACGAAAGTGTGGAGCCATCTTAAAATCTCGTGCTCGATTTACTGACTACTTGCAAACAGTTTGTTATCAATGATAAAGAATGGGTTATCCTTCCTTATTTCGAGACCCGGACCGACAGCAGGGGCTTGGTGAACAACATTCTGCGGTGGCAGGACAACAACGAAGAATGTCTCGACGACATAACCATTTCAAGTGTAAAGCCTGTTGACCGGGCCCTATACACGTCTCTCATTGATACTAATTCTGCGGCTACGCAGTCGGAAGAAGTACAAGCTCCTCTGGCACTTGGAGCGACCAATCGAACGTCGCACGTCTCGCCCGTGGAACACGACTATATTCACGTGTCGTCTCAGGACGAGTTGAGCAGCACTGAGAATCTGAACTTAACAGCACATTACAGCAGCGACTCAGCTGAGAACCTGGAACTGTCGTCTCCTTATGAATCGCACCCTATGCAGGGCGGAACTCCTCCGGCTTCCCAGAAGCGACTTCAGTCGCTCGTGTCTGTTGTCAAGCGCGTGAAAATGTACTGGAGCAGCTGACAAAGTCTTCTCAGTAAGAATCCCGTATTTTTCTCTCTGCTCAAAATCTTTTTCTTTGCTATACAGATATGCCTGATATCCGGGATTTTTCGTCGTGGCCTGTCCTTACCTTGACAGTGTCCTTAATACTGCCCTTTATACACAGAGGGATTTTGCTGGTCTCGACGTAATCGGGATGTAAATTAACGCGCGCTGGCGCTCGAATATACAATAGATGTAACTGTTTCAATCGATGGGATTTTTGTATTGTCTAACAGACGCTATGTATCAACGACACATTCGTCTGCTGTGATTAGAACGCCAAATACGCGATTTCCTTCCTTCACGCGTCTTCAAAATTATGATATTCACGAAACAATAATTAAACAAACCTGCGTTTGAGTAAACATAAAGCTCTAGAATCAGAATCGCGGGCGTGAAGGAGTCTACTTAGCAATGTCAGAAGTTCGTCGCTCGACCAGAATACGTGACAAGTCGTCCAAAGATGATGAGGAACGTGAACAAACGGATTCGATGGGCTTAATTCATGCGGATGAAGACATTGATATCGGCACCGGATCAGAAGATGAGACGGACAACAATCACGCACATCGCTCAGTAGATGATGAGGACTATCAAGAACCCAAAGCCAAGAAGAGAAAGCGAGAACAAAGCGACAAGCCACAGGGGCGAGAAACTCAGCATCGTTCCAAGAGGACCCGAACACCATACTCCAATTTAAGCAAGTACTCGAAGAAAAACAGCGATGCTTTTTTACAAATGCAGCAGGGATTCGAGCCGACAGAACTGTTTCAAATTATGGCACACTCTGAAGACTACTCGATCGAAGAATTATCTAATAGCTGGCTCGAATCATATTCTGCAAATAGGACTCAAGCGCTTCAAGAATTTATCAATTTCCTTTTGAACTGCTGTGGTTCTTTGATTCAGGTTCAAGAACATGATGTAGCCTCTAATGAGACCGCCAACGAAACAGTGGGCGAGATTCAACTTTTATTTCAAAATCAGGAACTTCATGAATCATACTTACTCTTAAGCAAGACAAACAAGAGACGAGCCAGATACAAGCCACTATATCACAACTTTACCGAATTCATGCACAAGCTGATCGAGGTAGCAAACGAACGTGGTCTGCTATATGAAGAGTCTGTGGGTTCAGATAGCGCAGGCAATGAAAATAGTTCTTTGATTTTGGATCTTTTGACATGGCTTTCCTCATTGTCGGTGAGCAAAATCAGATGCCTCAGGCATGTCGCCACCTTATGTATGTATTCTTTCCAAGATTATTTGACGGAGCTCAGTGTGGATCTCGAAAACAATTATCTAGTCAAATTAAGACGACAGTTGAGCATGGAAGAGAAGAAGAAGCGAGCCAATCCCAAGACCGCTGAAAAATTAGAATCTACCATTGTAGAAATCCAAGAATCCAAGTCAGTCGTGGAAAACAGCATCGACAATATTATAAAGCTGGCTTTTGTACATCGCTTTAAAGACGTAGATGAAGCTATAAGAGCAGATTCGATGGTGCACCTTGCTATATGGCTTGAAAATTATCCCGAATACTTCATGAAAGTTACGTTTCTCAAATATTTTGGTTGGCTTCTATCAGACCTGTCATCAACGGTGCGATTACAGGTACTCAAAGTTCTTTTGGAAGTTCTCAAGTTTGATAGCAAGCGAAGTAAGCACAAAGTTGGAAATTCTGCAATTCGCCAATTTTTCGAAAGGTTCAAGCAACGAATTCTCGAGATGTGTCTAAAAGATATCGATATGCAAGTGAGAATTACCGCCATCCAGGTTTTAACCCAAGTCAATTCATTCGGCTACTTGGAAGACAATGAAATTTCTAAAGTATCGAGCCTAATTTTCAATTACCAAAGGATTAACACTACCTCAGCAGCGAGAAATGCTAAATTACTGAGTTCCGTTGCCAAATTTTTCGCCAGTGTTCAAAAGGATAAAATGGATCTTGTTCTCGAGTCGTATACATTCCCAACCAAATCAAAAGTATTGAAGTCCCACGACATTGTGGAAGTAGGATTTTTTATGAAAACGTTGATCAAATCTATGTCAAGCTACTTGAGTGACCTAAATGATGAATGTACAGTACAAGAAAGAACGCACTTGATATTTCAAGCGGCGGAGTTTCTTGAACCATATTTTGGAAATTTGATTGTCTCCATGTGTGAGCTGTTATCATTTGATGGAAGTTTAGATGGCTTCGCCGACGTCGAAGAAGAAGACAACAACGGTGAAAAATTGCTGCTTTTGCCAACTGATGAAAACAGTACAGCTCAATATGTGGTGGTTTTGAGTGGCTTGTGCAATGGCGGAGCTAACGAGAAAAATTCGAAGAAAGCAGAAAACACAACAAGAGTCTTGCCCCATTTAGCAAAATTATTCACAACATTACCACTGCATTCGGGTGTTGTAATGCGTTATCTTTTCAGCATTTACACTCTTTTCACATTTGAAGAATGGGTAGCTGCTCATTTAGAGCCCCAGTTCCAAAAAATTACCGACTCAATCGTCAAAATCTTCGACAGATTGCAATTCACTAATGATCGAGACGATATCAAGCGATCATCATTTGCTAAACTTCTACAGTATCACAAAAACTTAGGGTTGCCTCAAATAAATGAGCTATGGAAGAACCAAGTTGGCCAACTTCGAATCTCACTACAGATCTTTTTAGAGACAAAGACCGATGATTTCAGTGAGTCTGAGTCCGATGAGCTATTCACGAACGTTTTTGAGATGTACGTCAACAAGTTGGTACTTCTTGGTAAAATTGTTCCGTTGGACATCACTTCGGACTTCCTTCAGTTGTTTTTCGTTAAAATTGTGGACAAGCTGCCGCATGTTTTGAATTCGTTACAGAAGGAAACCATTAAAGAGATAGACTTCAGATTTATAACCTTGGTTGTCACCTGGAATCTGCAGCAATGGTTTAACATTCTACAGAATAGCACTGACGCAAGTCCGCTCTCTAGGAGCGTACTTGAGACAGTCACGAACGTGATAAATCAACTGACTCATAACTTATCTATCATGGGAAGTTGTCAAACAAACGAACTGCAAACTCGTTTGCACATTAATTGGAAGTTCTGTGACACTCTTTGCGATTGTTTGACAGCCTTCAAAATGTTTGAGTTAAATATTCCTGACAGAGATTATGATTGGCAACAGGCTATGGTCCAAACTTACGCTATAAATGTCGGGTCAAAGCTGACACAGTCGTTTCTTGATGTGTTTTTGTATTTGGAAGGCTTACGCGCGAAAGAATTAGGGGTTTATTTGGACCGTTCTGAGGACGAGGATGTAAATCTAAACAGCATCTCGGATGATACAATCGATAATGTTGAGCAAGAACTAATTGTATATGTGGTGAAGCTGAAAGGCCTGATGAATTTAGGACTTCTTGATGCTAGTGGCATCGAGAGCCGAATCGCCATGAACAAAGATGTATTAGGAGAGGAATTTGTCTCGGTTGTTGATGATACGGCCTTCGGTTCTCAATCAGCTCCCAAAAGACAATTAGCATCTGCAAATCACGAGCATCAAGTTTTCGACCAAAGTATTCAAAGTGATCAAGAATCGGATTTAGGTCAAGAACCTTCGGCTCACAACGACAGGCCGTCATTAAATGCTTCAGCTACCATATTGGAAGAGGCAGAACCTCGTGAACCTAGTTCCCAGTATCTGTAAAACCTCTCAAAGTCAAAGGGCGTTTGGGAAAGCACATTAGTGTCATGTGACACGAGATGTTTTAACATATTTGTTTGTTTGTCGGTAGCTTCAAAGATTAAGATGAACTACTACCAAAAAAAAGTATTATTACTTGTGCCTGCTTTTGGTCGATCCCGATGAGTGTGGTCTCAAAGTTTCTTCTATTAATATCTACCTTACAGCTTCTGCATTCAGGCTTTTCAAGCCATGAGTTTCTGACTATGAAAAAAAGGCTGACTACAAACAGCAATCTCAACGTTGATGCTGTACTTCTGCCGAAAGATATACAATTGGAAGCAATCTGTGGGGTCGTTCTGTTAACTTTATCGATATTTCTTTCGTTTGGTAAGCAGGAGTTTCTTCCTCTATCGGGAAAAATGAAGCTTTTGAAAGAAGACAACTTGCTACAGGAGATCAATATGAACAAAGCGACGAATTCCAAGAACCTCGCTGGGTGTAATCCGTATGGCGATATCACGCATTTGCCCAGCTTCGTGGATATTCATGAAAAAAGAGAAGAAGTGCGGCGCTGGAGGGACCAAGAGACCAAGCAAAAGGACTGAAACCAGCCCATTTGATATTCCTCTCTTATTAGCTAAATTCCCATCGTCACGGCCGTTATGCTATTCAGGTAAATACTACATTTTCTATAGTTTCACAATACTGCCATGTCCCTTCACTTGTTACCGTTCTGTGTAAAAGGGATTGCGACTAAATGTGCTTGGCCCCTCGACTACTCCATTGAAGCTTTGTGATAGTGGCCTCTGTACGCTGCTACCATTGTGTGACATTTCTTTCTTGAGAGGACTTTCCTGCATCGTGTTTCTAACTGCCGCAGGTATTTGAGCAGCGTCGTCCTGGTCAGCGACCACAGTAGCAGAGCGACGCAGGTTGCGTTGTTGCGCCTTTATTTCACGTTGGAGCTTGAATTCCTCTAATTCTTCTTCTAACTCAATCAGATCCTCGGGCGTTAAACTTATCGCTGTGGGTAGTCTTCTAATCATGCTATATATATAATATGAATGACCTATCAAAGACTATTGCCTGCAGTTAGACTCAACAGTATAGCCAATTGTGGAACTAAAACTTCAAAGGTATGCTCGGGCTCCTAAAGCTGAAATACCTGCCGTACATTTTGTAGAACTACACTGACTAGTATCTTTATTGGAACTTGACACAAAGCAAATACAGTCACACGATTATTAATCTTGGTATTGAGTTAGCTTTTCTGAATAGTTTTCCAACAAATTAGGAGCCTTGTTGGCGCAATCGGTAGCGCGTATGACTCTTAATCATAAGGTTAGGGGTTCGAGCCCCCTACAGGGCTTAATTTTTTCTATGTCACGTATTAAAATCAAGTGGTATCGGTTCCCGGTATTCGCCATCAATCTTTTTGGCTAGTGGCAGGTAGTGTGTTTACTTGTAGGAATACATCTTGGTCTTCACCCTTTAGTCTGTCAAACCAGCCATACAGGATCTCAGATTTCAGTTGCTGGCTGTTGGTGTAGTTAGGGTCAAATATTCGTTTATTTAATAATTTAGGCATGCCGATCTAACGTCCAGCTGTGATTAAAACTACTGCAAGAACTGTGGATACAAGAATATCATTCTGCCGTTCCAGAAGCAAGTGGAGAGGTGCGAAAATTCTTGACAAAGTGTAGATTTTTACCTCGGATGAACAGAGTCGTGGTGGCGAACGTCAACTCGGTCTACATGGTTCAGAAAGCGCTGTGTATTTGTTTGTTTCAAGTATTGGCGCATGCAATTTTTCGCTATCTATCGAATTTGACGATGATTCCCTTTCATTGTAAGTTACGGGAGGAAAGGCAAACTGATTTAACTGCGCGACTCACTAATCTTTCACATCTCATTCTTGAAATCAGTGTTCCAGCGCTCAACTTCCAAATAGATCACGCCAATCGGTTTTCTCAACGGAGTATATATTCATGTCTTTGTTGGAGCTATTTAAAATTTTTGGTAATTTGTAAACGGGCTACTGCAAATATAAAAAGTATCATTCCCAACAACAAAAACAACAATTAAGAGGCTCTTTAGGGAAGTTTGGGAGCTTCAACGGGGCTATTTGACTGAGTTTTATGAACGATATGGATTTTTTGTCCTCTGTGATGCCGAATCCGCCCATGGACAGTACTATTCCAAACGGAGCTACATGTCGGATCTGCAGAGGGGAACATACCGATGAGACTCCACTTTTCCATCCGTGCAAGTGTCGTGGTTCCATCAAGTACATTCATGAAGGCTGTTTAATGGAATGGGTGGCATCTAAAAATGTGGATCTGACACGGCCTGGGTCAGAAATTAAGTGCGACATCTGTCACCACCGAATTCAATTAACAACAGTTTACGACGACAATACACCCGATAGAGTGCCACTGGCTCTTATACTTCGCACAACATTTAGTGTAGTACTCAGAAAAGCCCAGTACACCTTATGCATCGCCGTGGCAGCTTCTTTGCTGATCGTTGGAATACCTCTGGTTTGGAACATTTTGGGCAAGTTTATTGCAATGCTGCTGTTTAAAGGTACGTTAACGGTTTCAGGTCATTTTTGGAAAAGTGTGCTCTTTGGATTTGAGAGCACTGTACCTGAAAAGGCTACCAAACTTGACGTAACTCTACAGCTTTTGAAGAATTATCGGTTTTCGGTCTCGCAAATTGTGCTCGTAGCCGTAATACACATCGCACTATACTTCCAATACGACATGGTAGTACGAGAGGCTATATTCAACAAGATGGTATACCATAAAATCGGGCCACGTTACAGCAAAGAAGAGCTCATGACCGAGAAGTTGAAGCAACAGTTTCCCAGCATGGATGAAAACACCATTCACCATATTGTACAATTGATGAGAGCTAGAGAAAGACCGGATGTTGATCAGGAGGCACCTGTGGTGGATGCAAACGCTGCAGAAGGGCATCGTGGTGATAACGAGGACGCACATGAACCTAGACATGGTAGGCGAAACACCGACGATGACGGCAGCAGCAGCAGCAACAACAACAACAACAACGGCAGCAACAACAACAATAACAATAACACAAACTATAACGACAACTTTGACAATGACAACGACGACCATAATAACGAAACTAGCCTTAACAATGCTAATCCACTGAATGCCGGCGGTGCTCTTTTCCGTCATGGTGCCAATGCACGGACAACACGCAGTGGCGTCCAACCTTTGAGCAATGAGTTGCCACCTGCATATGATGCCATCGGGGATAACAGCAATGGTCTTGAGAGCTTTAACGGCAGAGAAAACCGCAATAGTGAAGAAGACGACGAAGATCAAGATTATGATCCTAACGATACATCATTATCGCAGAGTTCAAACTCCTCAGTGGGCTCTAGTAATCATGATATCAATGACGAAGAGCGTGACCTGCTGATGGAGGACGCCGATCCCGTGGGTATTTTTAGGCATCGTCGTGCCGTAAACGAGCTGGATGATATTCTGCAAGCTCAACAAGAGAATGCACCAGGAGGGCAAGCAGATGAGTTTGTCTTTATGGACGTACCCAACGATGCTGCTGGCGCCGTTGATCAAGCCGATATGAATGATGTATTGAACCAGCAAGATGGCCCTGCAGTCTTAGGTCTGCATCTCAGGTTCATGAATATGCCATTTTACTTCCTTGCAGCCATTGTCTTCTTGGCCCTGTATCTATACCTGGCGTACGCTATCCCAACTTTCGTTGGCAATCTTCTTCTTCAAGCATACGGATCAGCAATCTCATACACGATACGTGGTATTTTCAAATTGGCAAGTATTATTAAATTACCTCTGCTTTTCTCTGAGATAGCAAGAGTATTTCCCTCCTCTGCTACCTTCTTCTCATCATCGATGTCTCAAGCTTTCGATTATTGTGCTTACTTGCATTCAAACTATCTCGACTTTCAGAATAAGGCTTCCACAGTGGCACAATCTGTGCCTGCACTCACCACATATTGTACTTTTCTTGGTTTAATTTCTGCGAGTACAAGCTTCATCTGCAAAGGGTTTGGGGTCAAAAATGGTATGAAGAATCCAAGCATGAGGTTTGTTTTTCAGTTGTTTTTTGCTATCAGATGCTCCCTCAAGGTTTTCCTGTTATTTGCCGTGGAGTTGGTCGGCTTTCCCGTTTTGGCGGGCTTGATGATTGACTTCTCTCTCATAAGTCCATGTCTTCAAGCACACAAGCACCTTCTTTGCGTGGGAACACTCGACATCTGGGCTCCAACTATTTGGGTTCTTTACTGGGGTATTGGAACGTCTTATATGTTTTGGTTTGCCAAGTACGTCGGAATGATTAGAAATTTCATCATTAGGCCAGGCGTTCTATTCTTCATAAGATCTTCAGATGATCCGAATATTAGGATTCTTCATGATAGTCTTATTCATCCCATGAGGATACAATTTTCAAGATTAGTACTGTCTATGGCTATCTATGCCATGTTTATTGTCGTTGGGTTTGGCTTTCACACAAGAGTTTTATTTCCAGTAATACTCAAGTCCAAATTATTACCTTTTGCTGATGAGGATAGCTTTTTCTTCTGCTTGATCGGACTTTTGATGCTGAATTCAAATCTTCTGATGGACTTCAACAAGACCTTCAGAGTTTATGTGAGACAATACTGGACCAAGGTTTTTGACATTTCATGTGAAAAGCTTCGCTTGTCTTCCTTCATGCTGGATAAAGACATACCAACTGAAAGAGGTTACGTGATATATCGCAATATCTTCTATAAATTGCTGCTTTCCAAGAAGGCAAAATGGTCTAATCCGGAGCTGTACGTGGATCCGAAAACGCCAAAGCAAGCTGAAGAGCTTTTCAAAGTACAAAGGGATGTGCATGCCTACTTCATACCTAATGGGGTCTTAATGAGGGTACCAGCAAACGACATCATCTCTCGTAACTATGTACAAACGCTGTTTGTACCAATTACAAAGGACAACAAACTCTTGAAGCCGCTCGACGTTGAGGCTATCAAAGAGCGAAACAGAGAAAGTGTTGGTGAATTCAGTCATTTGGATGACCAGAGCACAGAATTTGATGCATATACTAGGGTGTACACGCCTCCCAATTTCCGCTTGAGGTATTCCACGTTGATTGTCTTAATCTGGTTGTTCGCCTCTCTTTTAAGCATATCCTTGGTTTTGATGTTCAATTTCGTCGGCAGGATAACTTTGCTGGGCATATTGAGTCCTCTCCTCAAGCTAGACTTTGCGCAAAGTCTATTCGGTATGTACCAAAATCTTACCGCAATTGGGCTATTTCCAATGGTGGTAGGAGCTTCGGTGTCTATGATCGGGCTCGAGGTTTACCAGGAACTGTTGATAGCAAGATTTATTCATGGCGAACATGTTGTCGATCCTCAAGAAGACGAAGACGCTCCAGAGCGTGACATTGATGAAGCTGGTATACTTCCTGCTAGGAATGTAGCCAACGACCAAGCTGCTCGCCCGGAACCTTTGTGGGAGAGGTTTGTGTGGCAGCAGAAGAATGTTCTGTCATGTTTGATTGGAGCCGTCGGTGCTACTAAATTTATTTTTGTGCTAGACTACAATTACTCGACGGTGGCAATGTTTTTTAAGCTAATGTTTTCTCATGGTGATCCTATAGAAACTCGTCATCGTCTCTTTCTTGCTGCTACGACCAACGACACCGTTTCGGCTTTTACACAATGGGAATCGAAAGAAATGCTCATCTTCGCCTCTTGGTTTCTTCTCAGCCTCTTCATGGATCAGAAATGCTTTTTCTCTTCTTTAATTCGTGAAAGGCAGGATGATACCGTTCGACAGTTAAAACTTCAACTAAAAGGTCTAGTCAAAGAGTGTTTGACTACTGCAGGTCTCATTTTACCATTGCAATTGATGGTTTGCATTTTTGAGTACGCATTCAATGGCTCACGGTATGATTCTATCTACGCAGTCTTCTCTTTTCTAATGAATTCCAGAGGCCTGGTACCTGAATCAGACGTGCCTTGGACTATACTTCAGAGACTATTTTATATCGTCTCACCCGTGGTGTGCGGTAAATACTACCTCACAGGTCTTTTCCAAAACCTTTACGCTTTTATGCAAAAGTCAGCCGCCATCACTAAAGAGGAGATATATGGTAGAGGTAGAACTCTGACAAATTTGTTCGACGAAAACGAATTATAGAAAGATGTAAATAGTATTTTGATTCTGTTTTCCAGTAATTGCTATCCTTTGTTGTATACCTTGAGACATAGCCTGAACTTTTTCTGAATGTGGCTCGTCCAACACAAACATAAAATTCTACGAAAACGAGTGGAGAAATCTACAGGTTTCTTCTAAACAAATGAAGGTCTCATATGCTAACTATGCTAAATGTAAATGCTATTTTCTCTATAATATCCGATCTTCAAAATCCTTCTCAGGATACTTCACGTCTCTGCGTCAGCGATTAATACCGTTCCTGAACTTGTGAACTGGGCCTTTAGGGCTAGATATCGACAACCCTCCTGACATTGAAGTGTTTGGCCTCACAGAAGTTACATCACAATCGTGAACCTCTTCACAATCTATGCTTCCATTATCGCTGGTAGAAGAAGCGATTTTTGAATGTGGGGGGATATTGAAAATTTCAGTCTCCTTCGCATAACCAGGACGGGACTTAGTCCTGATCAACCTCACGTCGTCATCAGTGTCGACGTGAGGTGAGCCGATCAAAGGTTCGTCATCACCCATAGCGGTATTACGCCTTTTTTCTTTGATGTCAACTTGCAGAGGATCGAACAGAGAAGAAGTAGGGCTACATGGCTTGTAAACAGCTTTATCAGATTCATTATTGAGCTTGTTTTCCTGGTTTTGAACATCATTCTTGAGAATTTCTGTACTATCTCGTCTCACAGATTCAGTTTTACGTTCTTTCGCCCTAAGACCCTCCTTTGATGAATGTTGCAAGTCCTGCGAGAGTTGACCATCAGACTGTACAGATTTGACTGGGAAATATGGTGACTTACTTGACATATCTCCAGTAATGTACGACGGAGCATCTGGAGAACTTTCTAACACCCTTGGACATAGTTTCTTTTCTGGCTTGTCAAGTTGCCCCTCTGAAGCGTCCGATAGCGAAGCCGTTCTAGATCTACTGCTACCCATAGCTTTCGTGTGAGCTTTCAAAGTTGCATCGGTGACTAGCGAGTGGCTGCCAACATTTACGGCGATTTTTTTTTCACCAGGAGAGCTGGTCGAAGTCTCGCCAGTAACGATCGGCATCGAGTTTTTCCCCAGATCTGGTTTTTCAAGTTCATTCTCTTTTTGATCATTTTCCTCTAAGTGATTCTGTCCTGCATAATCCTCTAAAATCTCAATGTCACTATGGCCCTCGTCGTCGCTTTTAGGTATGCCTGAATCAGAGTCCTCAGTGATGCCATTGGACCTGTTAAACTCAATTTGATTTCTTTGCAAATCCCACAAAATGCTACGAAGATCGGAGCGCGCGTTGACCCTTCCCTTTCTATCGAAGTACTCGTTGATAGTTCTGGAGTCTGACTTGTTCTTAAGCTTACTCTCTCGCCATAAATCGATTGTTTTTTTCGGGTTGTCGAAAAACGTTCTAGTGTTAAGTATTACATGTACCCCACAATCACTCATATTAGGTTGCTGCGGAACCACGCAGGTTTTCATCTTCATTTGATTTCTTGAAACTTCCAAATTGTACTTATCGGCGGCGTAAGCGATTAAAAATTCTTTTATTGGCTCAACTTCGCGGGAGTGTGTCTGACGGAGTGAATCATACACCATAATTGAAACGATTGGCGATGTTACAGATATGTCATCCGAATTTTCATTCTCACCGTTCTCAATATCGCCTTGGTGTTTTAGTCTGAAATTATGCTCTCTTATAAGAAATGCGAGCAATGCCGGGAGATTGCTTATTATACAGCCATACCAATGAAAGCTCTCATTGATTGGCATCACAACGTAGTCTTTGTTGAATAAATCCGTGTCTCTAACCCATTTCTTTACATTTGTGTAATAATTCTCTGCGTTGCTGACCAGTTTTGTGTAAAAAAATGACGACATTACATGGACTTGATCAAAAGATATAATGTCCTTTGCTGCCGAGCACTCGATCCAGTACTTTATGAAAAAATCAAGAATTGAATCGTTGATCCAGTCATGATTGTAGAGACATTTAAAGTCCTGATTGGTAATGGAAAGGGTTGTTTTATCGCCAAACTTATAGAAAAGAGACGGTTTAAATGTTGCAGGTGTTTCATATTTGATGTCGCTTTCGTCAGAAGAAGAATTGGTCGAATTTTTGAGAGTATTCGATCTGGTCACACGTTGTACGCTTGACAGCGTATGATTTATCAATGAATTTTGGGAGGGTTGAGTGTAAAATCGGTCTGTAGAAATTGATTGCCCCGGGGGTGAACTCGGCTCGCGCGGAATGTCTATTGTAATCGCAGAACCGCTTGCGTGAGGTTTCGAATTCTTAGATAGTGACTGGAACAATTTATCTTGGAAAAATCGCGGTTCACTCCTTTGATTTGGTTTTTCCTCGTTCATTTTAAACGAACCTTTTATAAACTCAGTTGGTTCCTTAAATTTAATTCTGTGCTTTTTTAACTCACTATTCATGGCGTGCAATATGTAATCATCTTTTGCACAATTTTCATCAATTATCACAGTATTCACGAGGCTGTGTTGTAGCTTTTCTCTTATGTGCGTAAGGGTAGTACCATTCTCCTTTGACTCAGTCCACAGGAAAATACTGGCCTTGTCACTGTTGCCTACATTAAAAATTCTTGAATGCTTGAGCACAACGCCCAAATGCATGTCTTGACGACTAAAATAAACGGTTTTGCATTCTTCCAAAAATTCCACAAAAGACCCTTCTATTATGTAGCCGCCCCGTCGTACACACATTCCAATTCCCTCGGCGTTGAAGCCAAGAACTGCACAAGTCTTGAGCGTTTCCTTGCCGGAGTCATGAAGCACGCGAAACGTCCCTTGATTATTACATTCGTAACCCTCTGGTACCTCGTCAATATCGAGAAGTGTAGGACCAGAGTGGGTAAGGCGATTGCCATTCCTTTGGCGTTTAGCGCGGCCTGCCTGGACCTGTGCTGTAATACCACCGTCGTTATTGTTCAGAATCCGTTTTGATGTGATAGATGAAGGCGATTTTGGATTGTGAGATAACATTTCTGGCATCAGAAAAGCTTCCCCAGATCTGTTATTCAAGTCATGGACAACTTTAGGATCCTTTCGCTCAGCCGTGTATCGTGTTGGTACTTGAGGAGGTTTCGGTTTCACTGAGTCAGTCAAGCTATCTGAGGGAATTAACCCACCAAACCTGGCAGATGGCCTGCCCATAGCGATGACAACCTTACCTGTAAAAAAGCAGCTCTGTGATGGCGTTTGTCTTCGTCTTCGAGGAATTTTATGGAGTGTTCAACCTGATCTCCCAGTTACAAGATGAGCTACCATTGAACATTGCCGTTATTGGTGATACTGATTATATGGCACATATAATTTTTGACTATGACACGAAAGTTTAAAGTGATAAAAGCTTTCTGACTGGCTGAACATGGCCAGCCGGCTGGGGTAATCGGCCAGAACAAGCACCCTTGTGGAGATATACATATATATATATATATAAGTACACAAGGTGTGTTTGATTACTAGATCCCGGAACGAGGCTGTTGCAACTAATGTCTGGGAGGTCCTATTTTATCAGGTCTAGGCAACTGAAATGCAGTATAAAGATCGACGCTTTATTCTCTTTGTTGACGTTTTACTTTTGAAATCCATAAGAAGGCGGACAGATTTACATGGTGAGTTTATAATCAGTAGTAATTATTATTATGTCCATTGACGCTATCTGCAATAGTGTCATGAAATAATCTTAGGTGATAGATACCCAGAAAACCGATGAAAACAACTGAACAGACAGGAGCGATAGCTTACTAATTCATGGTCATCGAGAATTCAAGCCTCAATACAGGTGTTGGCAAATTTGTTCGAGATCTGCCGAGCTATTGATTGCCTCAAACAACTCTGAATGAAAGTCGCGGTGTTACCACATTGGTCTCATTCAACCGAATATCGTATCTGAGTTCCAAAAATAAGAAGGGAGTAATACACAGATCGCAATTCAACGATATGTATATCTATCTTACATCGTCTTTAGGCCGTCGTGTGTTAAAACTGAATAAAATATAACAATATTTGGTGTAAGTTTCTTGCGAATCAAAATTCAAGAACGGCGTTTGACATCGAACCCGACTACTGAATAACGAAATTACAAAAGTCAACACATCAAGAGTACTTTGCATTTGTCTTTGGATCTGTCATTCTGGTTTTCGAGTAACAACATCTCTCAAATATGAAAAATTTTGAAAATAGTTAATTTAGTAAATGTACTTGTAAAAATCACTCGCTTCGCATCTACTAACAAGGCTCCTATAGTATGTTGAGAGCAGGGAAGCCGCTTCCAAGCGTTGTTGTTCGCCGTCATCTTTCGCAAACATTAAGGGCTAGCCAAGGAAATCCTAGATCGCCGCTGCAAATTTTCCGTGAAACGTTCAAACAAGAATGGAAGAAATCTCAAGAGCTTCAAGACAATATCAAAGCTCTACAGGATGCATCTGGTAAGCTAGGTGAGTCTGAGGCCTATAAAAAGGCGAGAGAAGCGTATTTGGGTGCGCAAAAGGGATCTACAATTGTAGGCAAGACCTTGAAGAAGACCGGTGATACAGTGGAAAAGGTAGCTACAAAAGCCTGGGACTCAGAGATCAGCAAAAGCACAAGAAAGGTTATCAACCACACTGCCACCCGATTGGATGAGTCGTTCGAGCCAGTGAGAAAAACTCAGGTGTACAAGGATGTATCCGAGGTTATGGACAGCGGCAATAGTTCACGTTATGGTGGTTTCATTTCGAAAGAGCAGAGAAGACTGAAGCTAGAACAGGACATAGCCTCTGGAAAGAGGCCAAAGGCTATCAGAAGCAATGATGATGCAGGCACAGCGCTTGTGGCTACCGAAATCGAGGCTAAAGAGAGCTTTGGTAAGAAAGTTGACGATTTCAAAGAGAAGACGGTGATGGGCAGAAAGCTGCAAGATGCTAAAAACAAGCTGTGGGATGAAAGTGAAAACCCTCTGATAGTATTGATGCGGACGATTAGTGGCAAGATAGGTGGTCTCTTTGCCGAGACCGAGTCTGCGCGCGTTATGGGTCAATTCAAAATGATGGACGCCAACTTCAATAGTGAAAACTTCATGAGTCATCTCAGAGAATATGTTATTCCTGAGGTGCTTGAAGCATACGTCAAGGGAGATGAAAAGATTCTCAAACAATGGTTTAGCGAAGCACCTTACAATGTATACGCGGCACAACAAAAAGCGTTCCGGGAACAAGGTCTGTTTGCCGACGGTCGCATTCTTGATATCAGAGGCGTCGACATTGTAAGCGCGAAGCTATTGGCTCCCCAGGATTTGCCTGTGCTAGTTGTGGGTTGCAGAGCGCAAGAAATCCACCTGTACAGAAAGGTCAAGACTGGCGAGGTGGCCGCTGGTACGCAATCTAATATTCTCATGAGTTCTTACGCTATGGTGTTTACCAGGGATCCAGAGAACATTGAGGACAAAGAAACTGAAGGTTGGAGGATTCTCGAGTTTGTCCGTGGTGGCTCCAGACAGTTCACATGATGAGCCGGAATCTCTATTCAATAGAAATACTGCACTTGTATATATATAACGAATCTAATTTACATCAGCTGCCTTTCTGATCCGCAAATCTCATTCACGTTTGGGTACCAAGTTTTTGCCCAACACTAGGTTATAGAGCTTTTGCCCGCACTGTTGGCCCTGTCTGACCACCAATCGCAGCCAGGGCTTCATCGCAATCAAGATACCGGTCCACAAAATACCTTGTAGAAATGGTAAAAGTAAGACATCTCTTAGCACCACTTTGCAGATGACGGACGCGCTAATCCGGTCGTTTCCTTCGCTCTCCGTGCCCAGCTTTTTATTCTTTTTCGCCTCCCTTTTTAAGGCATTTTGGAAAGTTTGCTGAAACCTCAAGTCAGGTATCGCCAGCTTTTGCACCTCACCTACTAATCCCGGAGCTGCCATTTCTACAAAAGGACTTGAATTTGACTTAGCGTTTACATGTTCTTCAATATTGGGATCAGAATCTCAAGTATCTGTCAATTTTACAAAACATGAATACATATCGCACGAGTACAAATCAAGTAAAATCGATTTGTTTCGCAATCCGACAGTTTCGATCATCAAAAGCTGCTGGATGACTTTAAGAAGCTAGCTTATGAGTTTGTTGCGCGATAGCCACACTTTGCTGAATGCCGAAATTTTTTTATTACGGCAGTTTTATAGTTTGAAAAAAGGCTGAAACGTCAATCTTTGAGAGTACTTTGGATCTCTAGCCTTCTCTACTATCACTTCAAACCTGATACAATTGCAGTTTTTTGAATATTTTCGCAAGGTGACCTTATCTTAGTACACCTCCCGTACCATCACGCAAACGTAAGGAATCTCGGACAAGTGAAAAAAGATGAAAAAGATGAAGCCCCTAAATTGAATATCCTTTTGATTTCAGCTTGTCATAGTGACTGTAGAGCTCAAGCTAGAAGATCTAGAGGTCAGATGCTAGACCAGCGCCCGAGTGGTGAAGAATCGGATCACTCTGAACAATTCTGACATGGTGAAGTCGCCGCCGTTTGAGAATCTCACTTAGGCATGAACTCGTTTGATTAGGCTTGACAACAAATCCATGCGAAAGGGGAGGTTGATCAAGGTTATCATCAACAAATTACGACACGAAACATATTTATATCTACTTGTTGTGATCCAGCAATTTAGCTTATTCAAATCTTAAGCTCGGCACCAACAATAATATGGGCACCAAAGAAATTAGCCCAGTTTGCTAGACTGTTCAAACAGACACATATCATCGAGTACCTAAGTATTCATGATCCTGAACCTACTTGACTCCATCAGATGAATTGTTCTTTCATCACTGTCACACCAAGTGCTACTTCAGCGAAGAAGAGTTTTTATCCTTTGGGCAGCCTTAACATTCGAAGCTTAGATGTTTTTCACCGCCCGGCTTGCGACAAGCTTTGCGACATATCAGGTTAGCAAACAAAAACCCATATATTTAACCACCATAGCTATAAAAGACAACGACCCACCTTTCAAAATTCAACACGCACATCCGAGCGTGTCTACACCGTCGCTCGAAGCTTCTAGATCCAACTTGTCATTCTCATTTGAATATATATTATTCCATGAGTACAAATGTACTTGGTCTTTGCTGAATCTGAAAAATTTGTCAATCTTTAACGCTACAAGCACAATGATTAGTTTAAGTGAATATCTCCATTTGTAGTCGACCTATCTTGGCTAGATATCGACCATTTGTGATCGCTCTCTATAACTTCGCCCCGAATATGGCAGAAGAAGGACCCCAGGTTAAGATAAGAGAGGCAACGAAGGACAATGTGGACTTTATTTTGTCAAACGTAGATATAACGCTGGCCAATTCGCTGCGGAGAGTGATGATAGCAGAAATTCCCACACTGGCAATAGATTCAGTGGAGATTGAAACTAACACAACAGTTTTAGCAGATGAGTTCATATCTCACCGTTTAGGGCTTATTCCGCTGCAGAGTTCGGACATCAACGACCTGATTTATTGCAGAGACTGTTACTGTGAAGATCATTGTGATCGTTGCTCAGTAGTGCTCACACTGCAGGCAGTAGGCGAAAGCGAGTCTACTACTAATGTTTACGCCAAGGACTTAGTAATTGTTAGCAATCTAATGGGACGCAATATTGGACATCCCATCATACAAGACAAGGACGCCAACGGAGTACTGATTTGCAAACTGCGTAAGGGTCAAGAACTAAAGCTCAAATGCATTGCCAAGAAGGGCATTGCCAAAGAACACGCAAAATGGTCACCAGCATCTGCCATCGAGTTCGAATACGACCCTTGGAACAAACTAAAACATACCGATTATTGGCACGAAACCGATGCTGCTGCTGAATGGCCCCAATCTAAAAACTGTGAATATGAAGATCCTCCAAACGAGGATGAAGTTTTCGACTACAAAGCAAAGCCCGGTACCTTCTACATGAATGTCGAAACAGTAGGGTCACTGACATCAGAACAAGTTGTTGTAAGAGGTATGAAAACGTTGCAGGATAAAGTAGCTGACATTCTTTTTTCACTCAAGAAGATGGATCAGGACAAAGTAAATTTCGGAGGGACTGCTGGTCTTGTGGAGCAAGATGGCGGTTCTATGCCCATGGAACCAGAATCCGGTTATCCTTACGCTGGTGACTCTACTCAATACAATTCTGGAGGGCCAAGCTCAGGGTTCGATGATGCATGGTAAATCTAAAAGAGAAATAGCAAAAATGCAGGCATATATATATATATAATACGGTGCCCGTGCTGTGTATAATTACGACAAAGATGAAAAGTGAAAAGAGATCTAGTTAAGCTTACCTTTGCCTCTATCTACCTTCATTCCACTTGCAACACTCTTGAAATGTGACTAAATTACCTCCGAAAATGTCCAATGCGCTACCGTACGTGAGATCGACCTTCCCGTGACTTAGCTTGTCTACCAGAGCCAAATCGTGAACGCTTCTGGCACCGCCAGCGTAGACTATTTTCAAATGCGGTAGATGTTCCGTCCACTCGTATAGTTTGGTAACTAACTCTTCGTCTACTCCGCGACACAGACCCTCGACGTCAGCTGCGTGGATCAAAAACTCATCTGCGTATTCGCTCATTCTTGTGAAAGTTTCCTTGCTCAATTCCACGTCAGTAAGCTTCTGCCACTTGTTCATAGCTACGACCCACTTTGGAGAACCTGAACATTCCACTTTTCTGCAACTTAAATCTACCACCAGCCTATCTTTTCCGCAGCGCTGGGAGATTTTTTGTAGATGCTCCAATAGAAAGTGACCCTCAGAGTCGAAAAGCCAGCTTGTCACTATCACTTTGCTGGCGGTTTCTAACCACTCCAAACAGTTGTCGTAATTTATACCACCGCCAACTTGTAAAAATTTAGGCGTCGCTTTTAAGGCTTGACGAGCCGCTTCATCATTGTTTGGCCCCAGCTTGATGACGTGACATCCTGTAACCTGATTATCTTTATACAGCTGTGCAAAGTAAGGTGAGTCTTGTTGACAAACAAAATTCGTCTTTAAAAGTTCATTCTCATTTTCTTTTAGCGTTCCACCCACAATTTGCTTAACCTGACCATTGTGCAAATCAATACATCCCACATAGCGTGACATCGAGTTGATAAGGCGAACTAGTGAGTTCAATATTTAAGTTCGGTTTCTTCTTCCTTAGGTCATCGATAGGCTACAATTTTTCTGTAGTGAAAAGTGAAAAATTCATTGAAGTGCACAGATGAAGCTCATCGCATACTTCAAAACGTAAAGAGTTGAAGATCTCCGGGAGGTTTTTCGACTTTTAATAGCTGAAAATGCAAGAAGAAGACTATGCTAAACAGTTAGAGCTCCAGCGCCGCGCTTTTGAGGCACAATTCGGCAGTTTGGAGGATATGGGTTTCGAGGACAAAACGAAAGGTCAGATAGTAAATGAGTTTTCCGAGAGCGATAGTCAAAAATCCCATGAGTCTGATAGCGAATCAGGCACAGGTAACGATGAAGAATCTTTCGAAGAATTTTCGGAAAACGAGACTGAGCTGAACGTGAGAAAGCCTGAAGTACAGCAACGCCATCGCCAACCTAAAGTCATTAAATTTGGAGGTGCCAGTGATGTCTATATTGCTCCAAGTAAAAAAGAACAAAAACTCATACGTGCTGGGAAAGCCCCAAGAGAAACTCTTTTGGACTCGAAGCTCCAAGATGAGCTTGCTGGCGCTTCCGAGGACAAACTAAACGCAGACGATGGAGACAATGAAAATCTGCAAAACGATTTAGAGCTGCAAAGGTTCTTGAAAGAATCGCATCTCCTCAGCGCGTTTGGAAATAGTGCGGCGAGTGGTGCCGACCTTACACTACAAACTATGGACAACGTCGAATACAAAGATGACCAGGTTTTTGGAAAAGCCAGATCGCGTACGTTGGAGATGCGTTTGAAGAATTTAGCCTCTACAAACGGGAAGGGTCAAAAGCTGGAAAAAGTACCGATGACCATAAGAAGAGGAATGGTTGATAAACATGTTACACGAATCAAAAAGCATGAGAACGAGGCTCGTGAAGGCGGAATCATCCTCTCAAAAGTCAAGAAGGGCGAGTTTCGTAAGATAGACTCAACCTACCGCAAGGATATTGAGAGGCGTATTGGTAGCAAGAACGCATCTAGCGATGCCCTAAGAAGAGCCAAACGTCAAAAGGGTCTTAAGATTCCTTCCATTGGCCGGTCCACACGTAACGGGTTGGTGATTTCTTCTGACGAAATCAAACGAATCAGCGGTGATTCTGGTCCAAGAAATGGCAAAGGAGGCAAAGGAGGCAAGGGTGGCAAGGGGGGCAGAGGAGGTAAAGCTAAGAATAATGGTAGAAGATAAATGTGTAGACTAATTTTTGGGAAAAGGTAGTTTGGTGTTACAATTATCGTCACATTGTGTATAATCAGTCTTGTGAAATGCTGTGTACGGCAGCCGTTTACTTAGGCCCGATTGATTCTCTTGAATGTTGCATAATCGAAACTAAATTAAAAAAAGAGATCAGCTTTGATATTTTCGCCTAAGCAAAACTTGTATCAAATCCTTTCCTCGCCATGAGCAATTACCTGGAACCCCAGCTTCACGAGAACATATAATACAAATCTCAAACCTAATTACGCACTGAGATTAACGTTTACAATTAAGTACATTAACAACAACGCAGTTATTGTGTCACTTCTTATCACTATGTACTCTAATGACGTAAAAATTATGACAGAATATTCCGTTCCAGCAGATGGGCAGCAATTACACCGCAAATTGCTGCCTGGTCTTTGAACGCTAATGCATGTTTGTCGATATCCATACTGTGTCAGGATAGTACGAAATGACAACATGAAAGATATTACAAAAAAGCATACGACACAAGTACTATTCACGAAGCGTTGTTACTACACGCGATAGGCCCTCTCTTATCCCAATAGCTTGATTAACATACTTGTTTTGTTTTATCAGACGAGAGCATCTCGGTCCTCAAAAAACGTATCGATAAAGATGATTTTTCACTATGTTCAGAATTTATATTCTCATCTGAATTAACCACGGAGCAATATGCCCAGCCAAGTTTCAAAAAAATCCAGTGATGACATCGCTTGCAGCCTAAGAAGCTCAAAAGGGCCATCAAACAATTTGTTTCCTCGAGCACGACCATCGAACAATTCGCCCTTCATGTGAGACATATCCGTTGAATGTTGTAAAGGTAATCATTGTAGCGAATTTCGCGTGATATTTCAAGACGTGTACCCATGGATTAGATTACACGATAATCACCAGTATTGACAGCTGGAATTCATCACAAATTAGGAGTCACCACTGACAATTATTTAAAAACTTAGCTCTATAATGAAACACTCATCTCCGAACAGATTTGGTCATCACTTTATACAATTGTGTTCTACGATAGTGCCAATGAAAACTTCGTTCAAATTGTCGAGCAGAGAGTTAATTAAAAGCCAAAATCCATAGTAGGAAGTTCGGGGTCGCTACGTGTTACCAGCACTAATTTCATTAAGGTAATGTGATTAGTTGAAGCAATAACAATATTTGAGATTCGTACGGAGTGCCATATGAAGTATTGGAAAAGTCAATTAAAAGATCACCGAGACGATTTTGGCGCACGGAACGGTTGAAAACAAACACAATCCATCTCTTACATCGTTTGCGAAAGGCAAATCGGCGCGTTTGAATCGCAGCGTTATACCAGTATTGCAGAGATAAGAACTCGCTGGACTTAACGCGGAAACACGAGATTAAGAGTCCATCCAACGTCTCACGAGTTCCAATGCAAAACTATGATCATAATTCTCCCAGTAATGGCGCACTAAATGGCCAGAGCGTGCTGGATCAGGTAGACCAATACCTCAGCGATCATAACGTTACGCGAGGCTCCGAGAGACCTGTCCTAGATCTCGACTTCGACGTCGTAGCGCACCGATCACATGATATGGGCGAACAACCCAAGCTTAATATGAATGATCATCACCACCAGCACCATCAACATCCCGGCTCTCACCACATGCCATTTCACTTCGATCTCGATGTATCCGCGCTGCCACCATCGCATGACTCTCGCTTAGTGCGGCCTGATATGGTGTTTTCGCCCATGGTATCGCCGGTAGTGGAACCAGCTACACACCATTCTACATCGGCATCACATACCAATACGCCATTTCTGAGATCCCAAGCTACTAACAGTAGTCACTCGGCGATTCCGTCGTCAAAGCCTCATTTTTCACCGCTTTCGTCACCAGCCATGGACGCTTTGGAAAATCTGGCTGCTTTGAAACGAGTATCGTCCTCTTCTTCATCGCGTGGTAAGCGAACGCCTATGTCCACACCCGCACTTACAGCTACCACAGCCGTTACTTCGGCCGCACAGTCGTCGTCCTCATCGTCTGCTTCCGTTAACACAAACTCTAAAGTGGTGAAAAATAGCCCACAACTAGCTCACAGGCGGTCCGCTAATTCCGTTTATACTAAACGCAAGAGTACGGTGTCTTCAAATTGGGATGATATGTTCAAACTTCCGGATAGTTCAATCCCACCACCACCACTGACGCCGGCGACAGTGGCTGGTAATCCTCCCATAGGGCTCGCAGGTCAGCACCACTACGAAGACTCCAAAAGCTCGCGTCCAGCATCAAGCATGTCTTCTACCCGAACTCACAATTCCGCAAATTCAACCGTTACACTTGGCAACTCGGATCTTGAGCTAGATGGTTATCACCCTCATCAGCTTTACCACAATGACGCTACTCCAGCTACTGTGATGAAATACCCGAAGGTAATTCTGCCGTCAACAGCGTCAGTGACTACACAATCGCCTGTCCGAGACTCGGTGCAGGCGACTGGTGGCAGCGGGAATGATAATAATGGAGGCCACCAAGATTTTATCGTTGCTTCAGAGTCTCCGGTAATCAAAGCTACCAACCCATCCCCATTCTTTCAGCGTTCCAGCACAAATCGTAAGATTAGTGCGGGGGCCGTCAGCGTCCGAACGACACCAGAGTTGAAAGCGCACCACAAGAATAGCAAGTCTCTTTGTGATATTGATGGCGATGGAGACGACGCTTCTGCTACTGCCGATAATACTGAGTCCGGTCAAGGTGAAGAATACGGGGATAAGAACAAAAAGGATGTTCACAAGGCCGCTGAGCAGGGCCGACGCAACCGTTTGAACAACGCGCTGGCCGAACTTCACGGGCTAATCCCGTTAGAGCTGAGGGAATCCATTTTGATCCCTTCGAAGGCCACCACAGTTGAGCTCGCCTGCGATTACATTCGCGACCTACTTGCTAGAGCCTCACATCCCCCAAAAGATATCTAATAGTTTAATAGTTTTACGCCATACGGGCTACAGGTTGAGCTCAGGTGCACGGTGATAGAGCTGAAAGTAGAACGTGTCATTTAGAGTGTCCAGACAATTGCTCATGAAGTCAGACGTGAGTTTATTTTCGAACAAGTGAATTTTTTTTGAGCTACACGACTGGAGCTGTTTGCTTCCAGTTTCAGAATCGATGCTAAGCGGTTGAGACCACCACCATCCCATTCAAGTGCTTGTAGTGAGGGGTTACCATCTAATTCCGACTGACCTCGTAGAAATGCCAAGAAACGTCTCAGCGACCGGCTAACAGCATTGGTGGTCTCAGAAAAATGCAGCGAGGCTATTTGACACCGAGCGCAGCCAGTATAGGAGCTGTCAGCGGCAGGAAAATGGCAGCAAGAATAATGAGTGTTGCTGAAGGGAAACTGACGGCAGTCGTACAGCGTCACGCTTTTTTGCACGAAAACTATCTCATCTGGTGTTGATTCAGGAACAATGTCTACCAAAAAAAGGCCTGCTTTCCAGTGCTTTGTATTCCTTCCGGTTCGAACCAATTATTTTGCAGGCTGTCGTATCGTGATGCCTTATGTTTTCCCAGATCAAAAAAAAACATTGCGGTTCCAGAGACCCCCAGCTCTCCTCGCAAAACAGGACTTGGCACACTTAGGTTTTCTCAACCGATCGCCAATGCGGTTCTGGATAGCGTTGCAGCGGAGGCTTGTGTTTCACGGATGAAAAACATCAACAAATGTGCCTCAAACCCGAATGAACCCTGCAAATGATAAAATGCTGATCTTGGCAGTAACACAGCTCGAGTGCGATGCTGTTACTGACCGCCCGACGCCCCGCGCCAGGGTATATCCCAGTGCTATCCTTTAAATCACTTTGACCCACGCAGTCGCCCGCTATCGACGAACCAATGAAAATCCATAAATACTAAGCTGAAAAATTTAGAGACTTTCAGACGACAGAGAAATGATAACCTACAATTAATTTGAACTCAGTTGAACTGTTTCCTTGGGCAAAACCTTAAAGATTGATTTCGTTAGTTGAAAGGACGTTATTCTGAGCTAGAATTGATGATTACCAGTATTTCGGAATTCGTGGACGAGTTGAAGGAGGCCTTCGTGCCTGCCGTGGCGAGAGCTGAAGACGAAGGTGCCGAAGAGGCCGAGGAGAAACCAGCGGAAGAAGAAGAAGGAGAAGGAGACGAAGAGGAAAAAGCCAAGGGCGACGATGAAGACGGAGAAAATGAGGAGAAGGAAGACGAGGATGATGAAGATGAAGACGAGGACGATGAGGACGAAGAGGACGAAGAAGCCCAAGTGGACCAAATGGACGCATTGAGAGAAGAGTGCAAGGCTAGAGAAGACTCAAAGCCGCTTGTCCACCACTACATGGAGTGTGTGGAACGCGTGCAGAAAGCGCAGGAAGACCCAGGATACGCTGACTCCGAGCACAAGGAGGACTGTGTCGAAGAATTCTTCCACTTGCAGCACCACCTCGACAGTTGTGTCGCGCCCAGGTTGTTCGACAGATTGAAGTAAGATGCACGCTCCTCGCGTGTGCGTTCACATTGATCTCGATTTCGATTTCGATTTTAACATTCCTATATTTTCCCCACGAAAACTCACGATCCCAGAGGGTCCACCGTCCTAGGATACAAGAAAAAAACTTTGAAGGTCGGTGGCGAGGCCAATTGTGCCCCGGTTTTACCAGAACACTCTAAAGCATGTCCGTGGCACGAACCAGGTTAGGGGCCATCGAGAACCGCTATCCTCAGGTCCGTCACACGTATTTATTATAATATTGTAGCAAAAAGAATAACATTTCTTAACGTCTGTGTTTGGCAGATACTTTTCTTTTGTAAGATGTAGTCCTGTGTGAGAAAGACGAGTTGAGCTGAGCCTGCTATATTTTTGATGCTCTCCCCTAGAGCAGTTGACAATTGATCTGCCTATTTGTTGCCCTCTCATTGTAGAGGCGCCTGGCGCGTCTCTGGTCAGCTTAACATTGAAGCATTGGCGTGTGGCATCTATAAGTACTTGAAACTAAATATCACGGGCGTGTCGAGGAGCTCCCGAACAATTTGCAGAAAACAAACTCCTTTCATTCATGCCTGTTTGCCAATAAAGATATAACTATCAATACCAACCAAAGAAAAGAAAAATATATGCGGCATTGAAGCAGGTAATCATATTCATTCAGATTATTTGTGGTTTCTTAGCTGCATATCATTTCAAATCTAAACTTGATTTTGGCAAACGCTTCCTAAAAGCGATTGGTTGCAGCTAGTTTACAAGAGAAACAGACTGAAAGCGAAATGTGTCCCACAAGAAATTATCGTGATCTGTAGATTGGTCTTTTTTGTACCCAAGGATTTCTATAATTTAGTTGATTCGAGGAATCCAATTGGCGCGACGACGTCATTTTAGTAGAGTTTTTCGAAGTAAGCAGACAAACGCTCCAAAGCAGGCCACATGACTAGCTGCCTAGAGGCCTGCAGCTCACCATGGAACCTCTGCGCCATCAAGAACTTCGTAAATCTCTCAGGATGTTTGGCCCTCCAGTCCTGCAAATACCTGTCGAGAAGCTGGTGCATTCATCTGATTTTTGAATATCTACAGTCTAAAATCCATACGTAGCTTCACTAATATGGCCATTGACAATGATTACTTTGTAGCTAGTAAGATCAAGATCTATGAACAGCGGAAGAAAAACCAAATCAGCATCAACCATGAGAAATCACCAAGACCCCCGCGCCAGCCCACGGCCAAGAGTTGCTGTATACAAACTTCCAAACTTGTTTTCAGGACGGTAAGTCATACTGTTTTTTTGTCGGTATGGACCTCTTCAACATTCGGAAAGCACATGCAGTATATCGATTCACAGCAGCGACCTACCTAGTCATAAGATTACAATCCTCGACTTCAATAAGACCGGTTAATTGCAATTCACTGACATTGATTCTGGAGCTATCAATCGACCGACATTGATTCCGGGGCCATAGTAAGCGACTCGTAATCAACGATCTAGAAGACCAAGCCCTAATCCATAAACAAAGCCCTAACTCCGGCAGTGACTGCTCGACACCCATGCCCCAGTACAAATGAAAAAGTTCACGAAATAAAAAATCACATTTTCAAAAAATCTAGAACTTGCGTGGGTATCCGCGCAGAGTCCAGAACGATTTAGTGATGCTAGGCTCGATGCCTCAACATCCAGGCTAGGCTGTCCCAGGCTCTCTACGCTGGCAAGCCCAGCACCCTCCACCCCAGCTAGGCAGAGTTTCCAGGCAGACTCCACCAAACCCTTCCGCTGCCACAGAGGCCGACCCTGTGAGCTTCCGTCACCGGCGAACCGGTTTCCCACGATAGTACGATCAACTCATAAGATATATCCAAACTTGGCCATTTGGGTGTTTTCAGAGACACTAGCAGAGTAAATTATCGACAAGTACGTACCATATGGACACCAAATAGCGGGAAACGATGGGACACACACATACACAGGTTTACCAGTGAAGAAACCAGACGAGAAAGCTCGATAGTTCTTGTGGGAAATGAATTCAAGACCAACGGGACTTTTTCGACCAAATGTTTAGAGCCGTTCAAACTAGTGCCCCGCACAGAAGACCAGATGGATATTTGACAAGCTGAGCCCGTGCGGACGTCTCAACTCGTGGGAATTGAGATTTCTCACCCAAGAACAAACCGGAATAAGCACGTTGCACGTGCGTCGTGTGCTCGTGTTCCCACTCTCAACGCTCGCTTCCCAACACGAACCTTTTTACTAACATTGCTCCCTCAGAGATGTCCAAGTCCAAGAACCATACCGCTCACAACCAAACCAGAAAGGCCCACAGAAATGGTATCAAGAAGCCTAAGACCTACAAGTACCCATCTTTGAAGGGTGTTGACGCCAAGTTCAGAAGAAACCACAAGCACGCCTTGCACGGTACTCAAAAAGCTTTGGCCGCCAAGCGTGCTGAAGAAAAGAAGTAAGTCAGGATATCACAGATTTAACATCAACTGCAACAACAATAACATCGTCATTTGCTGTCTGTAAAATTATATATCTTTTTTGATTTGTTTCTATTTACGTTGTTGAACTAAAGGAAAGCCAAAGTTACCATTATCTCGAAAGCTCAGCTGCGTTGCAGTCCACACCGGTTTACGCTACTATCGTGCCCAGGAACTGGAATTGATAAACTATGGGACTTTAGTCTCAACGCTTTTGCATGTGTCGCCAATGACACATTTGGTTTTTTTGTGACAGATGCAGAAAATTAATATAAATAATTAAACCTTTATTGATAAATCTGAAAATAGGTTTAAATACAATCTGCTTTCGGGAAAGAAATAGTGGTATTTAACAGCTCCACACACCTTATCCTACCCATCATGACAGCTGAAGCTATCACAGAACGTATTTCTATGGAACCTGACAATTTGGAGATCCCAGCGCCCGCTGAGGTCAAAAGAATCTATATTTCGAATTTGGACTTTAGCACAACCGAGGAGGAGCTCAAGCACTTCCTACTGGACTACAATGTTCTGACAGTGCTGATACCCAGCCAGACTATTCGTGGCTTCAGAAACAGCAGCATGAGACCCCTGGGAATCGGATACGCCGATTTCGGCACAGCCGAAGATGCTCAAAACGCTGTGACAAATCTTAATGGTCAGAAGCTCAACGACCGCATCCTGAAAATCAAGGTGTACGTTCCCTTTAGCGCCGCTGCTGCGAAAAACAACCGCAAGGACCGCAAACTTTCCAAGCGGAAGGATAGCACGTCTAGAGTTGTAGAACCCCGAGAACAAACGACCGAAACGGACCCAGCCAATGCCGAGGCCGACCCTGGCCAACTTATCGGTGATGAAACCACCGCTGTGCCAGTATCAAACCTCCAAAAATCGGATCTTGAGCCGGTTTCAAGCGACACCGTGTATTGCGCGTATTTACCTTCCAACGTCACAGACGTAGAGCTACGCGAGTTCTTCATCGATTACGACCCGCAAGATATATACGTCTACCGTAGTAACGTGTCAAGACGTCGGATCCATTTGCACCGGCGCTTCACCGCAGCTCTAGTTACATTGGGGGCCCCAGATTCCCTTGATAATGCCTTGAGTCAGTTGTCACCCCAAAAGTTTATGGGCAAAAAAATAAGTCTCAGACCCGCACGACTATCCAAGATCCAAGAGGTCAAACTAGCGGCCGCGAAAAAACTGGAGCTTGAACAGGCTCAAGCGCGCAAGAAGTCCATAGCTGAGGCCACTAAAGTAATTGCAGAGAACCAAGAGCTGGAGGCCGCCGAAGAAGGAAGCTAACGGGAGTGGCTACACGCGGCTCATAGTGTCAGCGCTGCCTAATTCACCACATCATTAATATTCAAGCTACATAAAAGCACGTACTAGCAACTAGGTAAACACATCGCATTTTAGACACAGGGATGGCCACAGTTCAAGACTGACGTTAGCTCCTGAAGCTGTGACACGCGTTACTACATGGTTGAGCCTTTGGCACCGATTTTGCCAACATAAGCTCCCTGGGCAAATACGTGTTGAAAGCTAATGTTTAGTTTTGCTAGAAGATAGATCGATGTGAAAGAATCCTAATTTCATTCTTACAATACGGTCTTAGCTGGTCATCTTCCCTCGTTGGTCTGCCAGACATGAAGTCAATTTTTAGACTATTCTGGGTCGAGGAGTTTACCCCTAGTATAAATACAAACAGCTGAAGATTACGAGTGTTCATATAGCTTATTAGTGAGCTCTGGTACAAACAAATTTCCGACGAGTCTATCTAACTACTTCCTTGTATGGAACGCCTAATAATTCGATGCAAGAAATACCCCAGCGCTCTTCTTTGAAACTACTGATAAATGTAGGAATAACCTGCCGGTGGAAGGCTACTGAGAATTTGGAATACCAATACTCATACTGTCACAACCTAGATCTTGCGCTATTGGTTCCAGCGATCCAATATTTCCAATTTGTAGCGATATCTTATGACTGTTTTTTCACCCAAACATCCAACAAAAATAAAAGTTCCTGAAAAATAATGGAAATATCAAAAAAGAGTCAGTGCACAATGTCATCGAATGATCGTACCCATCCATTGCATCCTCTCCGCCTAGCACGTCCGAGACTCTGCCTAGCATCGCGCCTCTCCAGACAGAATCTCTGCCTAGCTTGCAATGGATCCAGCCCGGCTCCACCAAGCTTCTCAGCCTAGGGTTTCCTATCGCCAGGCTCGAGCTCTGCCTAGCGCCTGGTCTGCTGGAACCCTGGTATCATGGGTTGGCATATGCCAAATTTTTGGAAAACTAGTAGGTATACTGGAAAATAGTTGAATTTACACGTTTCTAGTGGATTAGTCAAACCAGAAATCAACACAAGCAATGGGTATGTTATAGATGCTTGAAACAAAGCGCGGGCAAGTGTGCGCCCAACTGCAGGAAAGCGCAAGAAGACAGACTGTTTGAAGCAGAGACCAGATTTGAGGAAAAGCCAAATGGAAACTAGTGGCATCGCAATACCATTTTTTGTTGGATGGCTCATACGAACCCAAGGATTACATGCAGCAGAAACACTTCTGAGCAGCTAGCTGCCGTTCACCAGGTTTTAGCCGCGACACTTCGGGCAGTTTTGTTTTTTTGGGCGTACGCAGCGCTCCTATCGCTGTGCTCTTACTAACACCCTCTTCAGGTAGAGTTATTCGTAACCAAAGAAAAGGTGCTGGTTCTATCTTCACCTCGCACACCAGATTGAGACAAGGTGCTGCCAAGTTGAGAACTTTGGATTATGCTGAACGTCATGGTTACATCCGTGGTGTTGTGAAGCAAATCATTCACGACGCCGGTAGAGGTGCCCCATTGGCCAAGGTTGTTTTCCGTGACCCTTACAAGTACAAGTTGCGTGAAGAAACCTTCATTGCCAACGAAGGTGTCCACACCGGTCAATTCATCTACGCTGGTGCCAAGGCCGCTTTGAGCGTCGGTAACGTTTTGCCTTTGGGTTCCGTGCCAGAAGGTACCATCGTCTCCAACGTTGAGGAGAAGCCAGGTGACAGAGGTGCTTTGGCCAGAGCTTCCGGTAACTACGTTATCGTCATTGGCCACAACCCAGACGAGAACAAGACCAGAGTCAGACTTCCTTCTGGTGCCAAGAAGATCATCAACTCCAGCGCTAGAGGTGTCATTGGTGTTATTGCCGGTGGTGGTAGAGTTGACAAGCCATTGTTGAAGGCTGGTCGTGCTTTCCACAAGTACAAGGTTAAGAGAAACTCTTGGCCAAAGACCCGTGGTGTTGCCATGAACCCTGTTGATCACCCTCACGGTGGTGGTAACCATCAACATATTGGTAAGGCTTCTACCATCTCCAGAGGTGCTGTTCCAGGTCAAAAGATTGGTTTGATCGCCGCCAGAAGAACTGGTTTGTTGCGTGGTTCTCAAAAGATCCAAGATTAGAGTAGTTAGAAATCAAAGAAAATAATCTATAACAAATGGTCATCTCGTATTAAACTGTTTTATACACTAATCATCTAACCTAGCAATCCATATTATATGTACTTCTATTTACAATCTGTTTCCTTATTTTGATCTTCGAGCTTTCTATAAACCTTGTTTTCAATTGAGTTCAAAATAATAAACTAATAAAAACACGTTAGTGATATATTTCACAAAATAAGTTTGGAACACACCATTTAGGGAGCTTTTTTGATGACCAAGGTACCCCAAAGCTCATAATTTCAATTCATATGAAGGTGGAAGAACTTATTATTGATGGATTCAAATCTTATGCTACAAGAACGGTGATCTCGGACTGGGACCCCCAATTCAATGCCATCACAGGTCTCAACGGATCTGGAAAATCTAATATCTTAGATTCCATCTGCTTTGTGCTTGGAATCTCGTCCATGGCCACTGTGAGGGCCTCAAATCTACAAGATTTGATCTATAAGAGAGGTCAGGCAGGAGTGACAAAAGCCAGTGTTACCATTGTTTTCGACAACAGTGACAAGAAAAACTCTCCGATTGGGTTTGAGACGTACCCTCAAATATCTGTTACCAGGCAGATAATGCTGGGTGGTACTAGCAAGTACCTCATCAATGGGCATCGCGCTCAGCAACAGACCGTGTTGCACTTGTTCCAATCGGTGCAGTTAAACATCAACAACCCAAATTTTCTTATTATGCAAGGTAAAATTACCAAAGTTCTTAATATGAAGCCAACGGAAATACTCTCGCTTATTGAGGAGGCTGCAGGTACGAAGATGTTTGAGGACCGCAGAGAAAAGGCGGAGAGAACAATGGCTAAGAAAGAAACCAAACTACAAGAGATAAGAACATTACTGAACGAAGAAATAGAACCCAAGCTCGAAAAGCTTAGAAGTGAGAAACGCCAATTTTTAGAATATCAAGATATACAATCGGATCTTGAAACTACGTCGAAAGTTGTACACTCCTTTACTTATAATTCTCTAATCGAAAGCCGCAAGCACATTGAAGAGAATCACAAGTTCAATAATGATCGTATTCATCAACTCAATGAGCTACTTAAGAAGGCACAAGCAGAAATGGTTAACTTGGAAGAGGACCTTAACGTAATACGAGACCAGAAAAGAAATGAGATGAAAAAGAATGGAACCCTAAGTCAGCTTGAAGTCCTTGAAAGTCAATTGAATAATGAAGTCTCAAGGCTACGAACCACTTTGAATATCACGACTGATAACTTGACTGAGGAAACAACAAAGGCCGAAAAGCTAAAGCAAAACATTAACAAGTTTCAAAAAGCATTGGAGATCAAAAACTCTTCTTTCATGAATACCGAAGCTGAATTTAGCACTTTGAATTGCTTTGTTCAGGATTTGAAAAACAAGCTTCAGTCTAAGGAAGAGCTGCTATCAACACTGACCACCGGTATATCCTCCACCGGTGCAACCAACGCTGGTTATGGTGCTCAGTTAAACAGTGTTAAGGTAAAACTAAACGACGCACGGATACAGGTACAGAGATTTGATATGAAAATTGATCTTTTGAGAAAAGAGCTAGCTGCTAATGAGCCTAAATTGATTAAAGCAAACTCCTTTAGTGAGGAAGTCAAACGAGAGTTGGAAGCGAACAAAATGCAATGCGCGGGCTTGAACGCAAAACTGCAAAAATTAGGATTTAACCCAGATCAGTTAAAGCAATTGAAAGAGCAAGAAATAGGTCTCAAAAATAAGCTTTACAATACTACCAACGAATTGGAGGTTTTGAAGAGGAAGGTTGCAAACATTGAGTTTTCATATTCCAAACCCTCGCCTCATTTCAACTCTAATTCAGTCAAGGGCGTGGCAGCTCAACTTTTTTCCTTGGACGAAAACAATTTCAATAGTGCCACTGCCCTACAGATCTGCGCTGGAGGTAGACTTTTTAACGTTGTTGTTGACAATGAAAAAACCGCCTCACAATTACTCGAAGGCGGAAGACTGCGAAAACGAGTTACTATCATTCCTTTGAACAAAATATCAGCCCGCTCTCTAAACCAGCGGGCATTGAGCGTGGCTAAGGAACTAGCGCCAGGTAATGTCGAACTTGCTCTCAACTTGATAGGCTATCAAGAGGAAGTGTCAAGAGCCATGGAGTTCATCTTCGGAACAAGCTTGATTTGCAAAGATGCAGAAAGCGCAAAGAAGGTAACATTTCATCCACAAGTACGAGCAAGGAGCATAACGCTGCAAGGCGACGTTTATGATCCCGAGGGAACGTTGTCTGGAGGTAGTAGGAACAACAACAGTTCAATACTAATTGATATCCAAAAATATAATGCATTGTCCAAAATAGTAATGAATCTTGAGGCAGATCTTAACAAAACCACGAAAGAGATTGAGCAATATTCGGAAATGTCTGCCACAACAAAAAGCATTCAACATGATCTCAATTTAGCTACACACAAGTTGCACCTATCAGAGAGAAATTTCGAAAATAACCCGTCTGTTCAGCTTTTAACGAGAAATAAAGAGATTAATGGGGAAATAGCCGAGTGTCAGGAATCAAGGAATAGTGGAGTAGAAGAGGTGGGGAAACTAGAGGTCGAATACACAAGGATACAAAAAGATATGGAGGAGTTCAGTAAGGATAAGAGCTCGAAATTAGATGAATTGAAAACTGAGATTCATGACATGCGAAGGGAAATTGAAGAAAAGAAAAATGTTCTCGACAAACAAGAAGATTTTAATCAATCTTTACAACTCGAGATCGAGCAATTGAAAACAGATACTTTAGCGGCGCAAGACGGGGTAAGAGAATCCGCAGAGATTTCCAAGGAGTTGACTGATAAGCAACACAGCGCGGGGGAAAAGCTCGAAGTGGTTTTGCGTGAACTCGAACAGACTAAAGGAAAAGTAGAGGAGGAAAAAAAGAGGCTGTATGAGATTGATGAGGAAATGAGGGTACTGTCAGAACTTGTTAAGACAAAAAACGAACAGCTAAAAAATGATGGGGTTGAACTCAAAAAGCTGACGAATGAGACCAGTAAATTAGCAAACAACAACAATTCTGTTGATGAGAGCATTAAGGTTTTGCTTCGCGACGAGGAGTGGCTTAAAGACGAAAGTCTAGTCTCCAGTATTCTTATTCAAAATCAGGGAATAAATTTACAAGCGTATCGCCAGCGTTCTCAACAACTAAATGAAAAGTTCAACGGTATGAAGCGCAAGGTTAATCCAAACATTATGAGTATGATTGAAAACGTTGAGAAAAAAGAATCCGCGCTCAAAACAATGATCACAACGATTGAAAAGGATAAATTGAAAATACAGGAAACAATCTCTAAGTTAAATGAGTATAAACGGGAAACTCTAGTAAAGACCTGGGAGAAGGTAACAGTCGATTTTGGGCAAATATTTGGAGAGCTGCTACCGAACTCGTTTGCGAAGCTAGTTCCAGTTGAAGGTAAAGACGTAACTGAAGGTCTCGAAGTGAAGATTAGGTTGGGAAGCATATGGAAAGAAAGTCTTGCCGAGCTGTCGGGAGGACAAAGATCCCTTATTGCGCTTTCTCTCATTTTGGCACTGCTTCAATTCAAACCGGCCCCCATGTACATCCTGGATGAAGTCGATGCAGCGCTCGATCTAAGTCATACTCAGAACATCGGGCACTTAATCAGAACAAAGTTTAAAGGCTCTCAATTCATTGTTGTTTCCTTGAAAGAAGGTATGTTCAACAATGCAAATCGCGTATTTAGAACTAGATTCCAAGATGGAACATCCGTAGTAAGTGCAATATAAATGCAACTGGAAGAAACACTATCGTTTTGTGTTCGCTTTGTTAAACTCAATCAAAGTTTGCATGTAACAGAACACAGATGCTTCTCATTGTTACATCTATAAGCACATATAGAAAAATACACTAATAAACTTCCAAAATATAACGAGAAGTTTCCTTCAAGTCTTCAATGGCTTCTTCGAGATTAACTTTTTCACCTCTTTCGTCGGCGTCAGCTTGAATAATATCCTGCAAGGCGCTAGTAATGTCAGGGACTGGCCAAGTAGGGCCGCACAAGTAGAAAGAACCGTTTTCGTCAATCATTGCGGTTCTCAATTCACCGAGACTCTCACGAATTTTGTCTTGAATGTAAATCTTGTGAGGCTGATCTCTCGAAAACGCAGCACCAATATGTGTGATTATTCCAGCGTCCTTATAGGCTTCCCATAATTCACCGTACAAGTACTCTTCTCTCTTGTGTCTTGAGCCCAAATACAAGAAAACTTTACCAATTTTGTGGCCTTGTTGTTGTTGCCAGAACTTTTCCTCCACAATTGCCTTGAAAGGAGCCAGACCAGTTCCGAGACCACTCATGATGACTGGTTGCTCTGGAGAGGGGGGTAATTTCATAACCGATGGTTTCACACTAACCACCAACTCGGATCCGACAGAAAGATCAGATAAATACTTAGAGGCTTGTCCATAACGCTTGCGTCCCTTGTTGTCAATCCAGTCCACAACGACAATTAACAAATGAACTTCGTTGGGATGCACTCTCTGTGATGATGCGATGGAATATTCTCTCCTCTTCATGGGAGCAATGATACGTACCAAGTCTTTAAGAGCGGGTCTGGCTGAGGGAAACAATTCGAAGATGTCGGCATAGGTGTAATATTCAATATCTTGATACTTCTTCAACTCGACAGCTCCTGCCGCAGACACAAGATCCTCGAGCTTCATCTTTTCGTCGTCATTGGACGCAAACTCAATTAAAGACTGGTAGAAGGCTTTTGGAGGTTTGCCAAAGATATCCAAATTTTCCGTGAAAGCTTGTAGAACAGTTCTACTATCGAAAAGCTGATGATGTTCTCTGTTAGGAACTTGAATGATGTCTTGCTCATTCAAACCATATTTAATCAAAAACTCCTTCACAAGATCTGGGTTGTTTCTGGCATGAACACCAAGGGCTTCACCGATACCATAAGTTAAACCTGTGCCCGTGATATCAAATTCAATATGGAAGATGTATCTGTCGTAATCAGCGGGTGTTACACGTCTATTTTCTTTCACCTTGACAACGTAATTCCTCACTGGCAAATCAGGTCTTAAAGAACTTTGCGTCGCGAAAGCTTCTTTGAAACTCAAATGCTGAGAAATGTTTGCAACACTCGAAACCCCATTTTCAAGAACTTCTTCCTGTTGTTTTGGGTTGGGTTGGAAACAAGTTTCTGCAACAAGCGATGATAACGTGGGCTCTTCATCCGCATTGGTTTCCACGTTTGCTAAAGTCGCAGATAGTTCCTCAGAAGAAACTTCAAAAAGTCCAACCTCGAATGCTGTAGTGATTGTGTCGGACAACACGGCGGCCAACAATTCGATATCCGAACCAGCTGAGCTCCAGATGCGACGAACACTTTCTGCAACAGATAATTTGTATGCATATTTCCAAAATGCGGCTTGCATGACGAAAGAGCTGGTGCGGCCTTTGGTTTCTTCCTTGTCACCAATTGTTTCAGTGTCCAAGAAAACAAGCTGAACGCCTTTATTGGTGAGCTGTTTCAAAAAAGCGCCTGGGATTTTCAAGTCCTCAACAAGCACCTTAGCGTCAGAAATGTTCTTCTCCTTCAACGACTTTTCACTAATAACCACAATAGTGCTGTTTTCTTTACAGCTGCTGGCAACATCAAATGCGTTAAGCAAGGATAAATTTTCCACAATAGTAACGTCCGCGACGTCCACGTTAGAAACAAGTGAAGTTTTGACTTCGTTGCTGGACACGAATTGAGCTTGGAAGGTACCTCCGTTTGCATTATTGTCGAACTTGGTTCTCAAGGAAACTTCGCGATTGTCGACTAGGGATAGGGAGTGTACTAGTCTGGCAGCGACATCGAGGTTTACACTGGAGTCGGAAGCCCAATAAATAAAGTTTTCGCTTTCATGTTTTGCGGCGGTAGTGAATTCAGGAACAAACGAAGAAAGTACTTGTTCAACAGCGTTTGGCGACCAGACAAATGTTGGCAAGTATAGGTATTCGGATACCTTTACGGATCTAATTTTGTGAGCAAACAAAGCCGCCGAAACTTGGGATTTCAAATAGGTTGGCGACTGCCCGTCCAAGGATTGGCCGACAACAACGACATTCTTAGCCGATTTCGGAATCAATGTGACAAATTTAGCAGTGTCGAAAGGTAGTGGGATCCGAATGGCAATCAAACCAATCTTACTTTCGTTTTCCAACACGCTAGATCTGAAAAGCTCAGACTCGACACCACCAAAAGAGACAAAGACGGTTTCAGCGTTTTCGTCACCGTAGTATTCAAAGTTGTGTAGCTTGCGAGAAGCGTTTTCGTTGAACTTGTCCAAAATTTGGTCAAAAGTCGAACCGACCGCGAGAGACTTGGACAAATGCGAGATGATGTCTTGATCTTGCTTTTCGGTGATGTTCAACACAGACTTGGCGTAGTTTGGCCCATCAAACAGATTGACAGCGCCGAGTGGCTGGCCGAATTTGGCCAAAGCCAGTGATAAAAGTGTCGTTTGTTTGACTTCGTCGACAGCAATGGGAGAAACAACTGGGAAGCCCAAAGCAGCAGCGGTTTTTACGGGAGTAATGTAATCGCTTACCACTTGGCCTGATTTCTCATCGTAGTTCAAAGCTCCCACGTTTAGCAAGAACCGATTGGTGTTTTCCTTTTCACGTTGAAAGCTGTTAGCGAAGTAGCTCAAACCATAGCCTGGAGTGATGATTCCGAAAACCGAGTTCTCGCTGCTTGCCTTAGCGAAGCCCAAAGGTGCCAAGCCAGCGCCGGATCTCAACTCCAGCTCTTCAAAACGTAGATTGCCAGTGCTTCCTTTCTGAACCCACGTTTTAATAGCTTCGTCTAGCAGTTCTGGTTCGGAGAAAGTCTTGTAACTGAAAATACAGCTGAAGTTTTGAACAAGAACGGACGAAATGGCAGTGACGGGAGTAGTATAGCCTTCCGAATTCTTCCAATCCGAAGGAAGTCCGAATGGGTTAGCAGAGAATCCGATAGCCATTTTTACACTTTTCAATCTTAGATCTCACTGTTCTGAAGTTTGACAATCAGCAGGAATAAACCTAACCTTCGATTTGGCTCCTTATATATATACAATATATATACATGTGTGTATACGAGATAGGATGCCAGCGTCTGTAGCTCTCTTTCCTCGAAGAGATGAATTCTTGACAACTTTGAAGCCACAAGCTATCGATCCAAAGTCACATGTGATGATCGATATTATCACTCTCATGTGATGAATAGTATCCGTGTTCAGTTTAGGCGCCTTTACGAAGCAAGTCCATGTGGAATAGGAGCAGTTTAGCTTGTTCACGAACTGGTATGTCAGTCTCTAAAGTTTTAAGCTTCACAAGATCGTATAAGCCCATCTTGACAAGTTTCGAGCACCGTTGAGCTGCGAAAATCTTGAGTTTAGCTGGAGCATTCAGAGTCTTCGGCCTTTCGAACTCCTCGGGGTGGCCGACGGCACTGGTGACAAATGCGGAACCTTCGGACTCTTCGCCAAGTTCCACGTCACCGTCGTCTTCATCTTCATCCTCTTGCGAATCATCTTCGTCGTCTTCGTAGGTGTCACTTAATTCTTCGTCGTCGTAAGCCCCGCCACTGTCATGCGCTTGTTCCTTGTCGGCTCGCCGAACGCCGTGGCCAGCACTTGAGTTGGAACCAGATGCTTGTGTTTCGGTCGCCTCCAAGACAGGGTGCGGCTCTGTTGCGTAGAAGAGGAAGTTTGAGGTTGTAGATGCCCATATGAGATTTGTAAGAATCCACAAACACGCAACTTGCAGATCTCCTTTCGTGTGGCCAAATTCGGCACTTCCTCCATTGTGTTCGGCCAAAACTTCGCTAATAAACCAAAGAACCTCGTCTTGCTCAATAACCATTTGCCTCTTACTTTCATTGATAGCAGTGATGTTGACAATGATGTATAAGACGCCTTCTAATGTCTTTCCTTGGTTTGGGTCTTTTGAGTCTAGTAATCGCAGCTTGTGGGCCAGATATTCGAATAAGTATGTCGACTTGACAGATCCAGAACGCTGGTTGGGCTCATGAGCTGGCTGGGGGTCGTTGAAATTCTCCAGCAAAATGTTCACAACTTTCCGAGAATTACAAGTGAGGTTCCTAAGCAGCTGGAAACATTGTTCTTGGACCAGCCAATTACCGTTATTCACAAACTGAAGTATAACCTCCATAGGTATAATCGAAAGCAGCTCCAGTTTCTCGTCATTATGTGAGTTGTACATCAGATGTCTCAGGACCCACAATGCATTTGTTTGTACCTCCGCGACGCACATAGGAATCGAATAATTAAGGTCGTCCGCGGAAGCAGATCTGACAGTCTCGTTGAAGAGCGGACTTTTCAGTATTTTCCCGACTACATCAATTATGCCGTTCTCAACAATGTATGATTGTAGATTGGAAAATTCCACAACGAAATTTGAAAGGATTCCTAGTGCAGCACTCATTATTTTCAGTTCTGCGTCTAGTAAGCCACTTCCACTATAGCTTTTATCTTCGGTTAAAAGAAATATGCTCTTTACCAGATCTAACAACAACTCTGCGAGTCTGTTGCGTTTCAAAAATGTTCTTAGAGCAGTGACACTCCTAGAAAATGACTTGAGAAGCAGAACCCAAGAGAGTGTGCAGTCACTATCATAAAAAGGTGGAAGGTCCCTAATCTCTAGCAAAGACCTGTGAATATCTTTGTGAGTAACAAAACTGTCAATAAGTTTCAAATGTGATTCCAATCCCGCTTCTGCATGATGTAATAGAGATTTGTTAGTAAACAGGCGTCTTCGTGTTGTCTCGCTAAAGCTTGTGAGGGAGGCGCATAATCTAATTAATTGTTCCGTGACCTTCAAAGGACCATTATCTCGATTTCGCAGACCGAGGCACTTGGCGAGAAGACGAACTACTGAGTTCATGAGATTCGTATCTAGTAGGAAGTCAGAAATAGGATTGCTTTGCGGGCAAATCTCATTGAAATGATTGACGAGACGAGTGAGAATGTCAAACGGGTCAAACCACCATGGTAAATCATCATAATTAAGACAATCGCAAAGATGTGGTAGCCATAATTGAAGAGGCTGTTCCGCTGGCTTGAAAGTGGACGCACAGAGATAAGGATACACCATGAATTTGATAGAGGCACATCGGAGTGTCATAAAATCGCTTTTCAAGAAACTGCTCATGAATACGACAAAGCCTTCGTTACCCCACAAATCAACACTTCTACAAGTCGTACTGTCAGCAAGACTCAGCATTTTGATATAGATGTTGAGAGACAAATAGAGGATGGACCTGTCCGATGGATCTCGAATATCTATCGCATTAGGACATGTGTTAAGTGTAGGTAGGGACGGCACTCCCGTTTTTTTAGAACTAAATGGCTCATACTGATGTGAGCTTCTAGACGCTTTGGTTTCGGCTGTGATATATTTGAACAGCAATAGATATTGGTATTTGCTAGAGAGTCTGAGCAAAAGAGCATGGGTAGCAGAGAGAAGATCCGCGTTGGTTTCTTCGTAATTTTGTTTCATAGTGCAAGTAAGCAGCTCTACAATTATCGTATTGTAGTGTTCGAGACACTGCTTAGAAGTCCTTTCATGAACGTACCATGCAAGTGTTGCCCGCAGGCTAGTCATCAGAATCGAATTCTCCAACCCGAATTCATCGCAGTCTCCAAGACACATATTGACAAGCCGGGCTTTTTGAAGACTTATTAAAGACGAGTCTTCTTCTTGGAAGCGAAGTCTGGTGAAAACCAAATCAACGATACTGCTAAATTCAGACCCTATTTCCTGCTTCGCCTCTTGACCCATGTTTAGCAATATCAGCAAGAACTCCAAAGCTTGAAAGCTTAGATTTTGAGAACTGGCATGCGAGACGTTGCAATTTGTTTCCAAAGCAATTCCAAGGACATCTGTTATCACATCCGGTCTCTCCTTGAATAAGCTCAATTTCGCCAAATCATCACCTATTAAACCGCTTTTCATCTTGCGAATCTCGCTTAGAACTCCAGTGAGACCATCACCCATTGCAGATGGCATTCGGAACTCGAATTAGGATGCTCTCAAAGATCGGCTAAAATGTTTACACACCTTGATATTGCTAAGTTACAATTAAGGTAGCCACTATGGAGTTGTCAGTTTAAGGTTATCAGAACATCAAGAATCACAAGGAACGGATCATCGCATACCAAATAATTAACTTAAGCGAACTTGATTCCCTAACATAATAACCAGAACCAAAGATCTTCTTCAATCTTGTGCTGGAATGTTGCCGGGTGTTTAAGTTTGCCAGTCTTTGCCTAAAATTGTAAGCTTTCCGCAGTGCATCGTAACCTGTAATGTTAATTTCCAGGAAAGCAGTAATTAGATTTGCTTAACAACACACTCAGGCATGGGCAACAACAGAGACTGCGAACGAGTGACATTGGGCTTAAGAAAGGACAAGAAGGGCGCAAATATTGAAACTCTTATAAAAAATTACAGCCTGCAACGGAAGCTACGCAAGTTCCCTTATCGAAACATTGAGTGTTTGGTTCGTTGCTCTCAAAAGGCTATGCATTTATGAAGTCCGTGCTTTCAACTCTCTATACAGCCCAGGCTGGATGCACTGGTTTACCAAAATTATAGCCAAAACTCCAAAATGTTCCAAAAAGCCTGTTTACTCTCGCTAATTGATGATGCGAACTTGATCCTGGAATTTGAAGAGGGCCCGCCTTCTGTTAAATGCTTTTTGAGCTGGGCTTTAGACACACTGGTAGCGCGGAAAGAGAGGTCGAGAGAAAGTTAAAAGTCCGAAATTTAAATTTAGTGTCAGTCGCCATAAACTCTAGTAGTTTTAACTGTGGAATTACGAGATGCTCAAAATATAATATGCTACACCCCATATGGACCAGGGTGACGATTATTCAAGGTTGTTTATCAAAATTTTATTACACTGGGGAAACTCATTAGACGTGAATTGTTTTCAAAGATTCGTGTGAAGAATATGGCTTACAATCAACGCTGTCTATCCCAGCCTTCGAAAGTCTACCTAAGACCACTGGAGCCAGATCTTCTGTACATGTGCCGCATCCTCAAAGGTTTGGGCTATTCCCATAGTGGCCAACATACTAAAAGAACCATTACTTGTAGCGAGCTCACGGAGGGCGTTTTAGAAACTCCCAGACGGCAGAATTATAACCGAATGTTTACAATTTTTTCCAAGCAAAAGGACAAGTTTATGTAGAGTAAGGCCTCCACAAGCTGTAACATCGACCTGACTGGCACGTCGAAATTTTTCAGGTATAAACGCTCTCAGATCGCTATTTGATATCGCTAAAAGCCGGGCCACTCGCCTAAAAAATGGCACCAGATTTAGACAGGTGTATCACGAAGATCAGACAACTATGTCAAGTGCTCCTCGGGAAAGCTACTTTCCCATGTCCAATGGTGATCGAAAAGCACTATATACGTGCTCGTGTGCAGTGAGTTGTAAGTTCGTTGATCTTGGCAGTGGTGATACTCTACAAATCTCAACATATTCAGTTAGCAAACCCAATGGCATTGATGGAATCTGTTTGGAAGTGGGCAGAGTCATGCCATGTTAACGACTATAGCAGCTGCGCCAAGTCCGCTGTAGATTCGGTAGCGAAAAGAGTTCAGAATGCCGAAATGACCACGATGTACACGGCCGCAGCGATAGGTGCTTTCGTTCTTTTGCTCGCACTCAAGCCATCCAGTGGGTCGAAGAAGAAATCGAAGAAGTCCAACCACAGTGACAAGAAGAAGTCTGCTTCTGCAAATGGAGCAAAAGAAAAAAAACGTTCAAGTTTGGAAGAACAGATAGAGGCCGTTTACCAGCGGTATTTGGGCGAATACAAGAGTGGTCTGGATCATTTGATTGAGACGTTTGACTCAGGTTCCGAAAAAGCACAATATCAGCTCAGTTACTTCAATGAGATGCTTTTGAAGCTGCTTATAGAATTGGATGGTGTGGACTTGGTGGACGTGGAAGCAGCCCGTAAGGCTGCGCTAAAGGACAGGCGCAAGCAGGTGATTAGAGAAATTCAAACGGATTTGAAGAGACTTGATTCTATGAAGAATTGAGAGTGAAAAAACCCTGGGGCATTAATCATTTCATACACCATCCCGAACGTCCAAATAATCAGATGCAGTGAGCATTGTGAATCAAATGCATTTCCAAGGCGGTAAATTGGGATTCTACTTCTTCTTCAGAAACTCCGTATTGATCCTATGTATAAAGTACCTGTATTAATTTCTAGACACATTAATGTGTGGTATTGGCTCTTAACAGTGAAATACCAAGTAGCACGATTAATCGGTTATCCATTAAGTCTCTTCTTTTAGCCAGACTCGGTGTTCATTGAACAATTTATAAGAGTGACTGACTAATCGCTATTTCGCTATCTTTAAATTGGTGAAATCGTCGAAAAACCCATTTACAATTAATAAACCTTTGATCACCACAATGTTTACCGGAATCGTTGAACTCATAGGCACTGTTGCAGAGTACAAAGAATACGACACTTCCCATAGCGGTGGGGGTGGTGTATCGGTGACTGTGAAAGACGCCTCGCCGATTTTGGGTGATTGTCACATAGGAGACTCTATTGCAATCAATGGAATATGTTTAACTGTTACAGAGTATGATTCAGACAGTTTTAAAGTTGGTATTTCCCCGGAAACCATTCGGAGAACCAACGTTGCGTCTTGGCAGGCAGGCGCCCAAGTAAATCTAGAAAGAGCAGTCGGTCAAGACGTAAGATTTGGTGGTCACTATGTACAGGGGCACGTTGATGGAGTTGCTGAAATTGTTAGCTGTGTACCAGAGGGCAACTCCATTATCTTCGGCTTCAAATTACGTGATAAAGTGTTTGAAAAGTATATCGTAGAGAAAGGATATATATGCATCGACGGCACGTCTTTGACAATTACAGGAATGGACAGCAATGGAGTCTTTTACATTGCTATGATTAAACACACACAAGAGAAAGTGGTGATGCCATTGAAATCCGTAGGTCAAGAGGTAAATATCGAAGTGGACTTGACAGGGAAAGTAATTGAGAAACAAGTCATCTTGCAGCTGCAAGATCAGATTGATAATGAAAACTCTCCGCTATCAAACCTGGTTGAGAAGCTAATAAACCAAAAATTGGAGAAACTTCTCAAATAATAAATTGTGGTAAATATTTTAGAATCTTTTATATGTTCCTGTCTATATTGCGACCTAAGGCAGTTGGAAGATTAGTGATACACCTTCATCACCAGCCGTTATTAGTTTTTTATCGTTTTCAATCAATGCAAAATCAAGAACACCCATGTTGTGACCGACGCATTTATGAAGCTCAGACCCAGTTCTTGCGTCGAATAAATATACCTTACCATCAATACAAGCTGCGATCAAGGTAAAACCTGTAGATTCGTCGAATTGTAGCTTTGTAACAGAGTCCGGTAGTACAAATTTGTGCCTTACTCTCCAGGTCAATGTATCATAAAGTAAAATTTCACCACATACAAGACCAATGGCCATTAGCGACAGTTTTGGCGACCATGCAATAGACTCTATAGAGCCGTCCAAATCATCTTGGTCTTCTTTAAGCTCAATAACTGTGCTCAATTGTAGAACGGCTCCGTTTGTACAGTTGATAATACTTAGTACTCCGTTGTTGGCACCACATGCGATCACCTGTGTATTCTTGGTCATGGAAATTGGGGCTTTGGAGAGAGAAACCCAAGGAGCTTCAATTCCTTTGATTTCAGCCTTGGTAACCTTGAAAATTTGCTGACTGGTGTAGCATGACCACCCAATTATTGTGCAGTCGACGGAGCACGTTACTAGGGACAGATTGGAATCGCCTTCTTCGACGTTAATAAACTCGCCCATTGTGCAATCAGCCTGATGTACAAACTGACTCATAATTTGTTCGAGTTGCCCAGTTTTGGAGTCTACTTGGTAACACCATACCGAGCCATCTGTGGAACCGAAGGCAAATACACCTGACACTGTTGGGTGGATCTTGATCCACACTACTTCCTCAACTTCCTGAAGCTTGGCGCACTCCTTCCATTTGGCGCCGCCATTGGTCGCTTTGTGCACCAAGATCTGACCGTTCATGTCAGCAGTCACCAGATACTGGCCATCTGGCGTAAAACCGCCGCCAATCACGGACTCTGTGTGCGAGACCGAACCCGCAAATTTTGGAGGCTGTGAATGGGACGTCCACAAATACGCGGCATTATCACCGCCACCACTGCACACCAACGGAAGCGTGGGGTGTGTGAAAACCGTGAACACGGAATCTGTGTGTTTATCGAAATAAGCCATCGAGTTGTTAGACATGTCAATTTCTAACGTATCCTCGTCTTGCTCCATGTCATTTTCGTCATCACGCTGGATGTCTTGAGGCTCTTCTTCATCGTCCTCGTCTACAGGGAAATCTCCATCTTGATAGTTTTCGTCGTCTATCACTTCCTGGTCCACTTCCTGGTTTGTAATAAACTCTTCCTCGGGAGCTTCGCCGCTCATATGTTGCTGGTCCTCTGTTGGGTATTCTGACATGCTTTGTGGTTTCAATAGGCCTGCTAAAGTGGCGTTCAGAGATGATTTATCTAAACGTTTGTAAGCTCATCTCATCGCACTGCTCTCAAATTTTTCAGTAAAAGAAATCGACCGCGTCACATTGAAAAATAGTGATATCGCCAAGCAGACTTGCGAATAGTATGCTATTGGACATGCGCGCGCGATCAGAGGCATCTGCATATTTCTATAAGGGCACTTGCCTCAGCTGCAACTTGAGGGATCCTTAAAGGGGCATTTAGAACTCCTGGTCAACTTTTTTGTCCGCACACTTCGCTAAAACGTTCGTTAATTGAAACAAAAAGCTACGTTTCATATGTTCGTCTTCCTAGTGCTATTCCGAAACTTGCCAGTGCTGTCTCAGACCTTGTTCGCGTCCCAACATTGCATTCCAATATTGGTATTCTAACATATTCCATATGATCATCATTCTTGACGACATTTTCGCTTTTACCAAAAATTTGAAGCCTTACAAAAGACTCAACCTGTAACTTCAGATTGTTCCTCTACTACTTTTCCGCTAAGACTTCGCTTTATAACCTCACAAGATGAGCCAGTCTATGGGATTCAACTGGGGATTCAAACCTAGCAGCGACGCTTGTACTAGCAATGCGTCTTCTGCTTGCAAGATCACAAAGCCAAGGGTGAAAAGAAGGTTCGGCACCGAGGAAACGGTTTCAGCACCAGTCACAAGCTATATCAAGCCTGTAAGAACCATTGCAAGGCGCAGAACAGCAGTTTCCGGGATTCAGGGTCAGCCTTTGCCGCTTTCTCGAGCGCTGGAGCTCATGGATCGCAATTTGCTCGAGTCAACGCTTTTGGAATTGGTCAAATTGCATCCGGAGATTCAAAGCACTTTCATGGCATTACAACCTCCCTCGCGTACTGTAGATCAGTACGTTGCAGTTCTACGGGCGAAGCTGAACCACATCTTCCAAAACCTGCCTTACTCCAAGCTGCGAGGCTCGCTGTCAAACGAAGAAAACGAAGGCCTTAACGACTACGCATTTGTACGGGTCAAATCAAGTGTTATGGAATTTCTCAACTGCCTCGTGGACTGCTTATTGGAGAGCATTCCTCCACAAACCCAATCGGCATTGCATTCGCTCAAAGTTCTGGACGCAGCTACCGAACTCTTGAGTCAAGTCCCTCATTTCTCTACTGCTAGCAATAATTACTACAAGAACGTGTGTTACGAGCAGGTTGGTGAGATCTGGTGTACCGTGATACGCCAGGTCACGCAGGATATTACTTTCACCACCTCTACGACGGGTATTGTGGATTGGCTACAGATTTTGCAAAAACATAACGAAAACTCGCATGGTAGATTACAGAAACCGCTCCAACTCTTGGAAACCTTTCAAGAACCTTTGGATCCATCCCAAACGCAGTCTACCCTTTCTCAGGATCAGCATTCTTCAAATGTATGGAGCAATTTAGTTTAGAGGTTGAGAGCATATATAGGTATGTACGAATATGTATAAAACGACATATAGGAACGGATTTCCTAACGATAAGAAGAGATGAGATGAGTTCTTAGCCTGATGACATCGTATCCTTGGTTTGGAAACGACTTTGAATCTTTGAGCCTCTTTATGTTTCAAAGCATTGCTGCAAGTAAGATATGCGCTTTATTGGAACGGACTAGACGCCCTAGCCTCTACTCAACTTTTTCCATCTGCCATGCTTGCTCTGTGACGCCTTGCTTCAAAGCATAAGCTGTATATCTCTGACATGTCTTAGCGTGATGCGCATTGTAATTGCTTCGTACAACGATGAAGCAGTAGGAGCAAACTTTCAGCGTCTACGAGGTTTTGCTCGTCAATTCATACCTTAAAACGATACTCTGTCGCTTTTGCTAATTTTCTAAATTTCCGTCAAGTTCGAGCCATGCAACCCTACTACGTTTACGACAAGTTCATAGATACAAATTTGAACGTTAATAAAACTACGCATTGGGACATAAATCATATTTCTTGTTCTCTAGTTCGTTATCTTTTCATGAACTTTATCTATACGATTTCAATGTATGAGCGAGACAAAGTCTAAACGGCAACGGATGAAGACCCCGGAAAGCCACGACAATTAAGAAAATATCTCTTGACCTCTTTGAATTTACATCCTAACGTAACGCACTGCCTTAGCCACTTCTGCTGCTATTGTACGTTCAAATATGCTACAATATACAATCTGATTGTCACGAGATGCCTGTAACGAATTTGTTTCAAACGATCTAAAACGCTGATAAACATACAATTCGTTTAGCTCGTAGGCCAGCTCCGTCGTATTGCAGTGTAGCTCAATCTGAAACCAGCGTTTAGCAACATTTACGGCACTTAACAATGGGTGGAATCCAGCCAGCTCATTACGATCCGGAAACAGTCAAAGAGTTAACTAAGGAAGTAAGTAAAAGTCCGAAATATGCTTAGTTTTCGGGCGGTCTAGCTAAAATCGTCGTATTACAACTTTACTAACCGGCATCCTTCCTCTACTGTATAGTTATTAGTGGCATCTGGTATAGGAGCTGTTAGGGGTGCTGCCATCGGACTTACAACTGCCCTGCTGTTACGGAGATTCTCGACGGTGTACCGTACAGTAAGGATACAGGTGCGTGTGTTCTACCATATTTCATGGATCTCCATGGGAGCGGTCTTCTACGCTGATAAGCAGCTCATCAAGTTCCAAAACCGGTACTACGAGAATGAGTCTAAAAGACGGTCTAAGATTCTAGACGAGGCAGCTGAAAGAGGTATATTTCTAGAAGATGACTCCGTGGTGACCCGCACCACTTCTTGAGCTTATATGAAACTTCTTAAAATCGGATATGTCTCTGGTAGACCCGAAAGTCACTCACTCACCACACGGCCAATCTAATGACCTTAAGTAATGTCAATATCATGATTTTAGCACTTTTCATTATGGTGAACACAAACCAGATTCCCCAGAATAGGATCACAATGAAGACTTCCAACACGCGATATAAAAACATTTTGAGTGGCTCTTTGTTCATTCGGTTCAAAGTGCCGAATTTATCTATTTTCTCCTGTAGCAGCTTGAGCCGCAGCGTCAGTGTGGTATTAATATCGCTGAGAACTCGATCGCTAGATGAGATTAAATTTTCCACACGTATGGCGTAGTCGTTGAGCAATTTTGATTTCCAAATGTCGCATGTTTTCAGAGCCTGTGTGAGTTCGTCGCGGTAATCGTTTATGACTTTTTCTGCGGATTTGCAAAACTGAGCTGGGTCTTCAAACACAGTTTTACTGGCTTTCTCGGCATTTTTTGTTTCCAATATATTCAAAGTTCCTTGGCGATTCTTCATTACTTGCCATGTGCATCGCAGATACTTAAGCTCGTTGTACTCTGCCTGTAGAATGGTCGCCTTCTGATCATGCTGAAGAGGCTCCTGCAGCTCTAAGAATTCGTAGGATGCTTTGTTCGAATCTCCAGAAATGCTTCTATGCTCTGGAAACCGGTTTCTGACACTCTTAATGTGGACTTCTGAGGCATTTCCATGATTAGTCGTAGGTTCCGTAGGGGTACTGTATGGCACTTGATTGTGGCCGGCAGATTTGGAAGCACCATTGATGTCGAGGTTAATCTGCTGCTGGCTGTTGGATCTGCTATGCAATGTTGATCTCGAAAGTCTCTTAGTCTTGCCCCGCATCTTTTCGTATTTATTTTCAGATGAAGGGAAGCTTTCTTCAGCATCCTGGTCAACACTCTCCACAGCAATCAACGGCAATTCCCAATTAGACGATGACTTGCCTGGCAGAACTAACGAAGATGCCCTGGAATGGTTCGAAATGCGGTTATTCCTGTAAAATTGACTGGGATAGGAACGCGATGAGAGTGTCGCTGAGTGCGACCTTGATTTGTGTTCTTTAACAAACCAACGTTTCCCGTCGGGTCGGCGTAGCTGGTCCCAATTTGAAATTCGCCAAGCTAAGTCACCAGATCGTTCACTAACGTCCACAAACCAGGGGAAGTCTCGGTCTTGCGACTTCGAGAAGTCTCGGATCGCTAGAATAGGCGGTTTCATGAACGATATATCGTTGCGAAGCTGTTGATGAAGTTTTTTCTTGGCTTTCCGGTTCCGTATTACCTGCAGTGGGTTGTATGTTCCCTCGACCCCTTCATGAGCCGAATTGCTTTGCCCGCTGGCCACTTCCTCCTCTATCAAATGATAGAAAAAATGCATGTAAGAGCGAACCCTGTCTGCCCGTACTTTGCTACCCTTGGATATAGTCCTGAGAGGTCTTTCTCCCTGCTGATCACCGATGTTGGCCGAGCCATTGTTATATGCATTTGATACTCTAATGTTATCCACATTCAGGTCTTCCAGTAAACTGGATTTGGCATCTGCTAAGAACTTCGCCGTCTGTAAGAGTCTGTCTGAACTGACGTGGTGGGAACCATCAAGTTCAGTATCCTCGATGCCAGCCATGTACTACAGTACTTTATATCAGGTTTGAAAAGGAAATGTAGTAATTTTTAATGAATGTGAACCATATATCCGGAGAATATTCTTAAAGGACATACGGCCAGGCTAGAGTGCTATAATGCCATGCTACTTTGCCATTATAGGTGCTAAAGACAATCCTATATACGAGGCAGAGTTTACAAGTCCTCAGCTCAATCAGTTTCCGCCAGAATTGAAAGAATTGAACCCATTTATTCTCCATGCTTCACTAGACATTGTAGAAGACCTACAGTGGCAAACGCACCCACAGGCTGGCGGAAACACGAGTACAAGTGGCGGCTTCTTAAGATCAAGGCATTCCGCAAGTAACAGCAATTGTTATCTGGGCAAAATCGACCACTTTTATGGACTGGCCATAACAGCATACTTGTCATATGGAAATATGAAATTCGTCATGATCCATAGCAGTAACTCAAACAATGGTGCTCCTGTGCAAATAGAGGACGGTCCTGTAAAAAGCTTCTACCAGGAGGTACATGAATTATACGTCAAGACTTTGATGAATCCGTTCTACAAGCTTAATGATCCCATCACGAGCCCTGTCTTTGACAACAGAGTGCGGGCCTTGGCGAAGCGGTATCTGACAAGGTGATAATACAAGATCAAAAATGTAAAGTATGATATTAATAATACACGGGATTAAGAATCGTTATTAGGTCGAGCCATAAGCCTGCTCAGTCCGGTCAACAGGCTCTTGATATTTTCTTTTGGTTGCACAGCCGCTTGAGACGTGAATATATTAAGGTTGATGCAGTTCGACAAGCTTTGCAATCTCAATTGTGCGCTGTGAGACAAAACCTCCGCGTTTGAGTGCAAGAAGTGACTTATGGCGTATAGATTGTCCATTCTAGAGCGAATTTTTTCCTCCAGTTCTGGTACTGGATCGTATTCCAGATCCTGTGAAGAATAGAGCGAACCGTTAGGACCCAAGGTCTCTTTTATATTTGCCAGTTCTTTTCCGAAAACCTGCCATTCACTCGTCTTCTCTGGTTCATCCAGTTCATGAATCCACCGCTTTATTTCATCTTCCAACGCATCGATTTGTTTCTGTAACACATGCAGGTTTTTTGCGTTTTGTACATTTTTTTCGTTTGGTAACTTAATTAAATGCTTTCGGCTACTTCTTCTCTTGCGACTTTTGCGTGCAACCTGGCTGTCGTCATCGTCGTCATCTTCGAATAGTTCTCGCAGCTCAGTGTCTTCCTCCTGATATCGCGTATTGTCTTCAATAGCACTATCTTCCGACTCTTCAACATCCCAACTGACGTCTAGTTTCCCTTTCCGCAATTCTTCCACAAATTCCTTTATAATAACCAATGATATCCTTTTCGGATCCACGTACGCCTTTCCGTTACCCTTGTCCTCGTTTGAAGTGGGTGAATGATCTGTGTTTTCCCATTTTCTAAGACAACGAATTAAGCACCAGCTGAAAAGCTGTCGTATTTGCAAATCTTGGCCAAAAGATGTGTTTGCGATGTGTCTATAAAAATCGTGCTCGGGTACGTCCTTGTGAGGTGATATTATGTGGCTATTGTCTTGTAACGACAGGAGCGATAATCTGCGACCTCTTTGGGCCATTAGAGAATTTCGCTTTTCCCGCCGCTGTTGACTCTTCTTAGCCACACTACTCTGGACGTCATTATAATAGTTGTACGCCGAGTAGCCTGGATATAACGGTGGTGGTGGCATTAACTGACTATTGGGAGGGGGCATTGGAGGCATAAATGGTTGTGTGGAGGTGTTGGGGTATCCTTGTGAGGAATTGACATATTGTGCCATTTCTTGGTCCCCAGCTCTAGATGGAGAAGTCGACATATGGGGATGCGCCATAGGCGGACCGTAGGGATAATAGTACATGTAAGGCATGTAAGGAGCCGTCGGGAGAGGCAGCATTGACTGCTGTGGATGTTGCGACTCTTGCGATGATCTTTCGCGCTGCGAAGAACGAGGAAAACGGTCCATATTAGCTGACGAATTAAAGTTGTCCATCCAGCGGGCGCGCTGTTGCTCGTGAATATTATCCAGTCTCTCTCCCAAACTGGCGGTGCCCGCGTTGTTCCGGTGCTTGTGTCGTTTGAACTTGAAATCCTCATCTCTTTCGAAACTGGATTGTAGGCGTTCGCGTTGGTACTCATCCAAGTCCTCTTGCAAGCCGTCTTCTTCCTGCGTCATTCGCAGCCTCTCTTGGGGCTTCAGATCGTTGGGGACCGGAAGCATTTGCATCTTCAAGCCATGCCTTCGCTGAGAGCTTTTCTGGCTCTGAGGCGTTACTGACCGCGGCCTCTCTCGATCCATGTGTCTTCAGGCTACCTTGAACGGTGATCCACCGGTAGTTTGTATCAAAACTGATGGATTTCGCGATTCTCGTTACGCGATGTGTGTAGGTAAACAAAGAGCGACAATTTCAATGTTTTTATTTGTGAATGGCGAAGAAGCCGATATCGTCGTGAGAAATGATATACTCTCACAATTATATCAATCATTGACTTAAACCCGGCTTCAAAGGCGTGGCTGATGTCTCGGAACCAGTCGCAGTTCTTCGTCAAGAGCCTAAGTTCCATCAGCAACCTTGCGCTTCTTCTGCTCAAAAAGAAAGTACTAAAATTTTCTTGAAAAAGCCAGCCCACAGCCTTGGGCTCGTAACTCTCCATCGCAATCGCTAAGCTATCCTTGATCCGTGCCCAGGACCTCTTGCGTCCACTGTTCCAGTAGCTGCGAGCATTTTTGGTAGTCCAGTTCTCGCTGCGAGTCGATCTTTTCGTCTGGAATCTGCGTCAAAAGCCACTTCTCGCGTATGTTACGAGTCATCACCAGCAGGTCCTGGACGCCTCTTATGAGCTGCGCTGTCTGTGCATTCACCATCATGAGTCCCGCTGTGGAGGTTCTTACCGTGGATTCTGGTATCTCTTGCGTCCCATGCTCGTCTTCCTCATCGCCCTTGTCTTCGGTGATGGACGCATATTTTACCAAATGAGTCAGTGAATGAGACAGCGTCTCCGTGGTACGGTCCAGCTGCTCCAAAAGACCTCGATCGCTCATATCTTCAGCTTACTTACGCTTCAATCTGTTGACCCGTATGCTACATTGTCTAGTATGACTTACAAGATATCCAATTCTCAATATTAAACATAATTTCGATACCGTGTTAAGTGATTATTGATTGAACGTCTTCCCATTTCCTATATAAATGGCATTATAAGTATACATTTGATATTCCTGTTGACCTTTCCAAGAACCTTGTCTATCGGCTAGTTTCCGGTACTTCCGAAACCACCGGCACCTCTAGCGCTCTCTTCGAGTGATTCCACCACGACGATTTCTGCATCGTCAACGATCTTTTCCAGAATGAATTGGGCCACACGGTCCCCCTTTTCCACTGAAAAGTCCTTTTCAGAGTGATTGAAAAGCACGACTTTGACTTCGCCGGTATAATCTCTGTCAACAACGCCGGCTCCGGTGTTAATGCCGTGCTTCACGGCCAACCCCGATCTGGGAGCTATTCTGCCGTATGTGCCCACAGGAACGGTGAACGACACATCCGTAGGAACCATGTTTTGCCCTCTCGCTGGAATCACGGTCTTTTTGGATGCGTAAATGTCATATCCCGCCGCGCTTACGGATCCCTTGGTTGGGATTGTAGCATCTTTAGACCGAAGTAGGATCTTCAGAGAGTTGTTCAGTTTTTGATGCTTAGCGCTTGGTTGTTCTGTGATGCTCATTGTTTTTGGTGAGGAAAGGTTGCGGTTAGAATTGTGCGTCCTATTGTGGATGTGTTTCAAGAGTCGATTGATACCGGTTTTTTCAAATATTAATATTTATACTTTCAACTTTTTTCCAGACGCGTCATAATTTTTACGCGTTTGGGCGAAGCAGAACAACGAAAAAAAAAAGGGAACCCTGGGATTCATAGCGGGAAGCCTTGAACCATGCCTTGAACCATGCCTTTAACCATTGTCGTTTGTCGTGCGGCAGATATTTCTTGCACTTGATAATAGTTCTATGGTGAACGTTTGCGTGGTTTAGTTTATAATTCTTAGGGTTTCAGTTCCGGTATAGAAAAAAAGACACAGAGACGTTCCAAAGAATCGCAATGAGGATTAATTGGGGTTTTGTCAGATCTGTTGAATATGAGCGATACTGAATGGAGATCCGGTGGCTGATCTCAAGCTCAAGCTCTAGCAAAAAATGCTGAAACATAATGATTGTGGTGAAGAGCACATGAACTTATGAAGTAGGTATGGAAGGCTATTTGTTCCATAGTTATCAAGCAAAGCGCAAGTGGTTTAGTGGTAAAATCCAACGTTGCCATCGTTGGGCCCCCGGTTCGATTCCGGGCTTGCGCAGTTTATTTTTTTCATTAGATACGTGGGATTGATACACGCTCTTGTCTCCTCCCGAAGTATGCCAAGTTGTATCATTTTTATATAGTGCAAGTACTTTTCCTCCTTAAAACCAGCAAAATTTGGAGTTGTTGTCCCAAATAATATCTTCGTTCTTCACATTTGCAATTCTGATAGCACTTCTGGACGGGTTTTCCTGGTACAAATTTGAGGGCTTCTCAACTTTTTTCAAGAAAGTCAAAAGTGGTTTACTCCATTCCTGATGGCCAAGCTCGGTATCCCAAAACTGCAAGTACTTGACATCATTATCTTTGGCCTCGCAAATTGCCTGTGCTATAAGCTTTTGCATATCTCCTTCTTTGTCAGTCGTGTCGTCACTGATGTGTAGCTTCAGCACATATAGAGACCTTTGATGGGGCCAATAGTTTAAATGCCATATAATGTGATTTCCATTTTCCAAAGCATATCCAAAATTCGCAGAGCCCGCTGGATCGAGAAACTTCTTTTGATACAAAGACCTTCGATGGAACCATTCGAATATTGCGTTGGAAGGTTCTAATGTGAAAACAAAAGCGTTGGGATTAGCCAAATGAATTTCTTTCAAACTATTAGCAAAGTTCTCTTTTTGCAACGCAATTAGCCGGTCACATCCCTCAAGCCCAACAACTCTGTTGCTGTCTCGTTCCTCCTGGCCTCTGCAGTAATGTTTCAAGACCGTATCCAGCTCTTCTATAGTGTGCAACGGAGCCGGGCGTGAGCCATAGCCAAACTTGGCGTAATATTCACCCACTTCACTGTAAAGGAAAATTACTATGTTTTTTAGTAGATCGGGAGCACCAGGCGTATCAGAGAGTTCATCAAATAGTTGGTTTACCTTAGTAATCATTTCAGCCCCGTATCCTTGACCGCGAAATTCCGGGATGGTGAAGACCCCTCCGATGCATACACTTAAGACCGGTTCGATCACACCTTTAGATTCTGGCGTCACACTCCAGCCAACTCTGTTCAGAGTCTCACAGCTGGAAACAATTTGTGAGGTTTTGGATGTCACGGGCAAGCTTAGATCTTTCAAAACGAAGTATTTCATGCCAAGATACCTGCTGGCACCTGGAAATCTTTCCGCCATTTTCTGGCATTTATCTTTGGTTGAAATTTCGCTGCTTCCTATGATTCTTTCACGCTCCGCGTATTCGTCCAAGGTCATGAATTCTGGTCTCCATGTTAGCCCGTTTTGTAAATGCGTGAAGCGAATCACTTCAGGATCGTACACCTGTTCGAAGCTCAGATTTCTGGTTTGTAACTGCATTTGTGAACTCAATTAAATAATTACCGTCTTGACGTAACAAATGTACAAAGGTTTGTCTTTGTGTAAAACCAAGTAAGAATAAGGTTGCAGCCTGAGAGTCTGCCTGTATTCCCTGCTTTTTATTGAGAACCTATCCGCCCTATTTTATAATACTGTATCTCTTTCTAACTATTTTAGAATTGTGGTGGTAGCGCACCGCGCTTACAAGAAATCCCGGGGATATTTTGAAACAGTTGTTCGTATATCGTGACTGGTTTCAAGCTCGGAACATCATATCAAATCCGATAAGCGAGCCGTCATTTTTCTGGCAAGCGCCGGTTTGTACGTGAAGCCAAATTACCACATAAAACTTGAAAGGTATGGACGAGGCAGACGCTAAGTTTCAAAAACAAGTTGACTGGATGTGTGCAGCTTAACAAACCTAGTACCTAATAGCCAGATATTGTTTTGATCACTTTATACTATAATGTCATCGAGAGGGTGTTAGCCAAATGCTCCAAACGTGGCACGTAGCCTCCGCTCGAGGCTTGCAACATACTTCAAAAGCGCTAGCGATTTTTGTTTCTAGATTGTGGATTTCCAGGGCCACTCAAGTGCTCGCTTCTTGAACACAAACCTAAACTCAACCGGTTTTGCCAACGGCAAGACTTTCGTCATTGTCGCAACGTCTCATTTACGTAAGCGGTATTCATTTACATCCTCAATTCTTATTAATGGAAGGGCACAAGCAACCTTTCTGTTCATTGCAACAGTAGTTTCGGAGGGTGTATTGGTAGAGTTCAGTTTGACGGTGGTCATTATGACTCTAAATATTTCTTTGAGAGCCAGATTACAGATCTTAAATGCATCTCCTTTATAGGCAAAATATTTGAGCAGCTCCTTTAACAAACTCTGAGGCTTCCCTTGAGATGCCTCTATAATTTTTTTCAGATCAACGGTCGATATTTTCAATCCTTTTAGCTTTAGATAACTTTCAACCTGCAGGAAAAGACGTTTGTTGGATATATCATCAAAACTCATAGCGCTCTCCACCATAATCGATATTTTGCTTCTAGTTTTCGAATAGATAGAAATATGTTGGTCGAAAAACGTGCGATACTGTCTTAGCGTTAAAGTTTTCAACAGATTTTCATCGATAGGCTCGTCTTCCACATCGAAATTATATCTTCGAGAAGAAATCTGATGTTTGATGCGCTTGTGTTGTAGCATGGGCGCACCTTGCTCTCCTATGTTTCCACTTCGGACATTGGCTTCAATTTGGGCCATGACATCTGCGGGACCGGCAGTCTTTTGCAATTTATTCGCAGGACCGCGCTGAGTTATCCCCTTGAACTTTTTCAGATTACTTTGAAAGTCTTCTTCTGACATTGTGCCAATAATTTCCTTTTCCATGAACGAGAGATATTCGTTGATCTGAAATTCCAGATGTTCTGGAGGAGACCCAGACATACATGTAACGTGGATTCCGACAGTTGTTGTGAGTAATCTTAGTCCTCCAAATACGGCGTAACCAATTTGCTTTTTCGTTCGCAAATCTGGAACCAAGGTCGTAGACATCAGAAACTCTGTAAGACTGGTAAGCGTGAATATGCGCATATCATCGCGGTCACCGGTTTGAATGAAATAGACGATGCTATTGTTGGGATCTTCACGCGATCCATGACGCTTTATATATACATTGGTCCCGGGTTCCAATACATGGGCCACCGGCTCCCGAACTGTAGCTTCCTCTTGTGACTGATTTTGGGCGGCAAACTCGGAGATGAGCAAATCATTAATCGCGTCCGCATAGCTAAGATCTCCCTGCACAAACAAGTTCAGGTAAGTTGGCATCGTGAGAAAACTAGAGCAAAACGATTTGAATGTCTCGATGTCGATTTCTTCGAGAGCATCTAAGCGGTCCTCTACAGGCCACATGCATTCTTCTAGGACAATCAGGAGACCAACCGTGGCTAGGGCGGTACAGTTTTCGGAGGCTGCATTTTCGTATTTGCTTCTGACAGCCACCCTCGCTTGGCGGAACATCGCCGGTGAAATTCTTCGGGTGGCGACCATATCCTTCAGATTGCTAGTAATTAATTTTATGATGGCGTATACGCCCTCGGGAAAGCCTGAAATTGTGAAGCCCAGTCGCACATCCCCTTTACTGGATGGAGATATCTCGTACGTATAACCAATTTTTTCAGAAGGGTAGAGTATTGGTGAAATGAACGCCGCCAATAATTGACTAAGTATTTCCAGATGCATCGTGTGAAGAGGAGCGCCTTGTATTTTTTTGCTAATCACTTCAAAACTTGCCATGGTCTTAGATCTGAAGGAAAGATCAAACTCTTCTTCTTTTACCCACAGTTCGCAATTTTGATTTTTACTAGTTAGTCTAGGAGAACTCTGTAACAAATCTTTCTGGGCAACAAGCGACAAGGATGCTTCCTGCGCCCGATTTGATGAAGCTCTTAATGCCTTTTTAATTAATCCCAGTTTTCTTCCTACTGAAGGCAAGAAAGCGTTATAGTTAGGGACTCGAAACTCGTAGTCGGGTAAAGATTCAGCGGCTGTCTGGACGGAAAACATGTCAATTGAAGCCTCAAAATAGTCGAACTCGTAATCTGGATCAGATCTTGGAAAAGATACTGTTGAATTTAGCAAACTTGAACTTGATCGATCTCCCAGCATCGCAATACGCAGGTTTTGTCGGTTCACGAACTCACTGATGAAATTTTGCAATTTGATGGCTTGTCCGATCCACCATGTCTGACTCTCCAAGGATTCGCTGAAGTCACCGATGGAGAAGTTTTCTTGGTTGCATTCGAGTAAGGGGCTCCCTTTCAACAGACATTTAGGGTTTAAGGCGTCCATATCGAGGAGCATGCGAGCGCTGTATTCAGCGCAAATTTCCATTGGAGAGATCTCCGTACTTTCGTATAGAAATTTCAGTAGGTCAATGGCGTTCAAATCACTTAAATATCGCGCGATATCCTCTGTCTGATCGTGTATGAAGTTAGGAATGTATCTATCAAATAGAATTCCCAGTATTCTTTCTGTATTTCGCCAGCCATTTTGAGTCAAAGAAAGCTCTAATGTTAACCCGTCTTCGCCCGTACAAAATTGCGATACCGAAGACACGATTCCGGTGACAAGTTCTTGCTGCTTAAGACAATGTGCTAAAGAACCAATACTTTCCTCGCCGAAAAAGTCACACCAGATATTGGACAAGCTCAATAGAGAAGTGGTTGATAATCTGGTGAACTTATGATTGATCGGGAAGATTAGCCTTAAAACGGGATTTTTTGACGAATTGATTGCAATTATGTTTCTTGACAATGATGAACTGAAAGCATCCGAATTTCGATATTTGGGCAACCATTCAAGCTTGGCAATCTTAAAATTTGAGAGTGAAGAGTTTTCACTTGAGTGGGTGATCTTCAATTTTGATGAGGATAAATGTCTTAAGCTGGGCCGCGATATTAGTTCCCCTTCTGCAGGTATGTCCCCGAAAAATTTCACTGCAAGTTTTGTTAAAGCGTTCAAGGACTGCGAGCCTTTGATGCACATGGTCATATTAGGGGACCTGTAATAGGTCTTGAAATATATAGATAGCGCGTGCTTCAAGTTAACTTTGTGAAGGCTAGGAAAATTGCACAAAGTGTTGAAGTTTCCAGTGCAAAATCGGCCAAAAGGGTGGCGTCTATGTGCCAATAGACGCATTGCATGATACAATTGTTTTTTTGTTGATGCTTTGTTCACATTGTGCTCGCTCTCGATGGCGTAGATTTCTTTGTTAATGATGGAATCACTGAAAACCGGATTTTTGAATGACGAGGCAAATAGTTCTAGCGCTTTTTCAAACACCAGCTCACCCAAATCAGAAGCGCCAGGCAGTTCAAAACAAAACGTGGTATCTTCGCCTGTCGTGTAGGCGTTTTGAGAACCTCCATTCTCTGCGATGGTCTCATGGTAATCATGAGTCTGTGGGGATTTCCTGGATCCCGAGGAAAGTATGACATGCTCACATAAATGTGCCAGCCCCGGAATTTCATCTGGATTGTTATGCGATCCTGAAGCTACAGTCAAGCTGCAGGCGGCAGAGGTATCTGCCGGGTCAGATATCAATAAAACCAAAAGTCCATTATCCAGTTGACAAAATTTAGAACTGCGGTTAGAACACGAAATAGGCGTGTAGAACGCAACGTCAAAGTTTTTCACCATAAGCTTGGAGATTAATTTGAGCACGAGTAATCAACTGCTTTATCGAAGCCAAGCGCGAAAACATTACGTCCAGAGCACCTTCGAATGGGTTTATAGAAGACTCTTCACCATATGTTGGTCTATTACCCTTACCATAGTAGGAACAGTGAAGTAGTTTTGAGGTTACCGTTTCGTCTTAAGGGGTCCAGTCGTGGTTTCCTCTTAAGGCTATCTCAATAGAGTTGACCTAACTGCATACGGTGATTGAACCATAAAAATCTCTTTCCTAGCCTCATAACCGAACTAGATCCCGTGAGTCATTATCGGCTAGCTGGATGCGTCTATAGCTGTGTTAACTTACACGTATATCATTGTTAACTCTAGCCGAAGAACCATGACCATGAACACCATGATACTATGCCTGAATTACGGCTAGTGGAACTATTGTAAAAGTGGACCTTGAAAGGCAATTCCTTTCTTGCTGCAATTGAAATGAAGTGGAGTTCCATTTAGAGGCAGCATGCGGCACATCCGTGTAAGTCTTTTAACAGATCATTTTAAGTAATTGTATCTTAGCAGTTTGTTGTAGCTGAAAAATCGCAAGATCATGTAATTCTTGGTTTTTTACCTCTAATTTGCCGCCCTGATCTCAGGAACAACCATTGGCGTCTTGTTCAGTAGAGATATACTCGCCTCAGATATCGTATGCGACTTGACAATCTGCGTACAAACCAAAAGCGTCGGGAATCAGGAATTTTATGAGCCTTCCCTCTTTTGAATCAGCGCGAGAGCCAAATTGTCCACTTTCAGGGTTCCTATAAATATAAGGAATACTAGGCAAAAAATAAATCTCCCGGGGGCGATTCGAACGCCCGATATCAAGATTTCGTGATAAATTACAGTCTTGCGCCTTAAACCAACTTGGCCACCGAGAGGATTGTTGAGGTAGTGCTATTTTCGTAATAATATAGTGTGTGTACAAATGCAGATGAGTTCTCAACGTGCACCGGTGATGCTCTCAGCGGTACAAGGCACTAAAACGTCCGGCATTTGCACATTGAGTGTGTTCTTTTGGTTTCTTTAGCACGGATGTGACTAAAATGTGTGATCTTGGGTGTTGGTGTATGTGCTTGACAGGTTGTTGCCCTGATACCTTTCACGAGCGTTGATTGTCTTCTTGATTGTCTTGTCCTTTCTACAAGAGCTCCACCCGCGCAACTAGAATTGACATTATCAAGGCCAGACGGGTGCCTGCACAGATTTTGTACTAGTCTTGACACCTTCTAGAACTGAAGCAGCTCTCTTCCAGATTGAGCTGAAAAGCTCTAGGGATCACCGCGAGATTGATACTCCAAATGAAAGCGCAAAGACATGATTGCAATCAAGTTGGAGAACGGCGGAAACTCGACTACTTAACCCCAAAAGTATCATTATCAGGCAGTTCAGTTGATTGCTGGTATACATCTCGGGATTGTTGCTGCTCGAAAAGATTTATTTTCTTGTCCGAACATTCCTAAAAAGCAGTATCTCTTGAACAGACACGCCTTGTGACGTTCTCAATACCTACAGCCATATGCGAAATACAGTGCAGTAGGTCTTGATTCAAGTTAGCGTAAGCATTACCCAAGCGCAGTAACAACAACTTGCTCCTCATTTCGACCCGGTTTTAGACCATCAAAGACCACAAACTCTTGACACAACTTCACTGAGAAAGTTGGTACGTCCTGAAGAGCCAACTATTCGCTCTCAATATGCTCGGTTCCTCTCATGGAGCATTCTCATTGCAACGCGTAAACTTTTTGTCTTCAAAGCGCGTAACGCGAAAACATTTATTTAAATAAAGAAGGCTGACTCAACTTGTATTTTACATATAATTGTTCGAATTCGAAATTATCGCTACGGGAGATTTGAGAGCTAACGCCAAAACGCGTTTGAAAGTTGGTTTAAATTGTGATAATCGCGAAACTGGAGCTCCGTTGCGACTGGAGTTGAACTGCTAGCTAGCCTGTTCGAGTTAGGACACGGTACGAAGCGGTAAGTTGTGGGCAGTAGTGCGAAATACGCGTGTGAGAAGTCTTTTCAACCAGGATTTCAAGAAGAGAAGCTCGCTCTTATTTAAACTTATAGGTTTGTGGTCTATCCTTAGTCAATACAAGGTTTCGTTAAAAGACTCATTCGGAAGTTACCGTGCGGGTTGAATTTTCTAAGGCTTTGCTACGCTAACAATGAGCGACTTGACGAGGAGTCGTACTTACAACAACGCTATCACAAACGAAAACGCTAATGAAGGCGCTAGCAGACAAGTCAGGAGAAGCAAGACAATCGCTGGAGCGTCTCTAGGAGCCCAACGCAGAGAACTAGCAGAGGTCAAGAACTGGCAATCACAACAATCGCAGGACGACTTGAAGCTCGAAACTTCCACTCAGGAGGTACGATCTCAAAATTGCCAGGAATCCTCACAAGATCAACCTAGCAGAAAGAAACAGAAAATATACAGAAGTGATGACGAAAACAGTAATGATGATGATGACCACGAAAGCCTCGAGTTTAAGCTTGGCGTAAGCGCAACAGATACTATCGAAAATCCTATTCTGGCCTCGTACGGAACCAGCGCTCGGAAAGACTTGGATAGCGACGAAAAAGACGACGTCTACATGGTGGTGGAATACACAAATGATATCTTTGACTATCTCTATCAACGCGAATGTCAAACCACACCAACTTACAATTATCTGACAATTACAGATTCTCCTCAGCATTTACGACCCTCATTAAGAGCCATTTTAATCGACTGGCTCGTGGAAGTACACCAAAAATTCCAACTGCTACCTGAAACCCTTTACCTCGCTATTAATGTAATGGATAGATTTATGTCCCTAAGGAAAGTATCGATGGCTAAATTACAATTGCTAGCGGTGAGTAGTTTACTAATAGCGGCAAAATTCGAAGAAATCAATCTTCCTAAACTATCCCAATACGCTTATATTACGGATGGAGCTTGCAGTTGTCAGGATATTAAAGACGCAGAAATGTACGTTTTGACTACTTTGAAGTTCAACATCGGATGGCCAAACCCGTTGAACTTCTTGCGCAGAATTTCCAAAGCCGACGACTACGATAACAAAACGAGAAGCATAGCCAAATTTTTTTTGGAATATGCTATGTGTTGTCCAAGGTTCGTCAATATAGTACCGTCACACTGTAGCGCCATGGCGATGTATTGCGCGAGAGCGTCTTTGGATAAAAACGACAAATGGGATGAAACATTTGAGCATTACAGTGGAGGAATTGACGCTGTGAACGATAAAGAATTTCAAAAACTCTGTAGAGAATTGATCCAAGAGATTTCCAAACCAACTACCCAGCTTAAAGCTTTAGAAGCAAAGTACAAAAGCAATTCAGCCAGCAGCGTATTTGAACCTGCTAGAGTGTGGTGTAATTTGATGGTAGCAGGTAGTTTTGAAGGTTTGTTTGAGGAGTAAGTAAGAACGGCATTTGCATAGCGATTTTCATAGCGCATTTAATGATAATTAATTTTACTAGTTGTTATCCTTTTCTTGATACTTACTGTTGATTAATTAACGGACTGCTTTGAAATCCCTTCGAATTAAACTCGGTACATTAGTCGCGGCTATGCTAAATTACAATTAAAATTGTGGAAGGTATTGAGACTCATTCTCGAATCCTAACCTTAGAACTGAAATAATGGTGAGAGAGGTTAACTGGCTTCCTCTCTTTTAAGACTTGGCGGTTTGTTTATATGTTACTTTTTGTTTTGCTGCGCTTGCTTTCCAAGAAAAGGATAATCCGTTAATGACGGCACAATACTGTTTCGACTCGCTATTTCTTTCATTCGGAGGTTTCATGCAGTGTCATGATGTCGTAACCGTGTGCAACCACTTTCTTCGCCCATTGTCGTGAAATAACTGATGCTTTCATAAATTTTCTGGATGCATACTTCTTGAAGAATTCATCGTGAACAACAGGTTGAACTAAATAATCCATAACCATATTGCACACTGGTGCAAGCTCTTCCCTTGTGTAGCCACCGCTGTAGTGTATGAGATTACCATCCCATTTTCCTTTGCCCAGCATTTTCCTTGAAAGAAACATAGATGTTGCAGCACATAATGACGGCAAAACACCAATGAATCTAAAATCCACGATAGAAATTTCTAGAAGGTATTTCGCCAGTGTTCGTGATTGTATATCGTAATCATCTGCTTTTGATATCCTTCTCAAAAAGTTCATTGGATTGGGGTAATTGAGATTGAATTCAAGGGTCTTGAGAATGAACTTCTCACCTTCTCTAATCTCGTCTTCATCGCAAGCGCCATCGGTTTCGTATGCAAAATGTTTAACACTTGGAGAGTAGACTTCTTCATATTTTGAGGCAATGAATAAGCATGCAGTACCGACCAATTGTAACTTCTCCAATTGTACAAGCTCTTTACAAAGAAACCTGTCCATTATATTCAAAGAGAGATAGAGTGTCTCTGGTAGCAGTCCAAATTTATTGTGAATTTTGACCATCCAATTGACCAGTATATCTCTATTCTGACGAATATTACTGTGCTTGTAAAGATCATGACGGTTCGGCAAAGTCATGATCTCCAACTTGTGTAGATACTCAAAGATGTCTGTAACATATTCGCTGACCATAAATGGGTCATTTACATCTTCGGCATCTAAATCTTCCCATTCATACTCGGTTCCCTTAGCGCAAACTTTGAACTTCTTAGGTTCCTCCTGCTCGACTACGGTAGATATAGGTCTCTTCTTACTGACGTCGGTAATTGGCTCCAATAATTCGGTGGAATGGTGTTGCATCTGTCGCTGTTCTTGCTGTAAACTGTTGTGATGGGCCTCTGTCTGAATCACACTACTGTAGTCGGAGTCCTTAAGCATCGTTTGGTTTTCAGTATAGTTAAGTGCTTCGTTGGAGCTGGAGAGTGATTGGGATTGAGATAATTGTTGCTCTTCCTCGATGCTCGGTAGTTTTGATACGAACGGGTCTACATTCTCCTTATCAAGGTCTGATGGGGTAGATTCGGATGTTGTGTCTAGGTTGCTGGTGTTTGAGCTTTTCACCGAACTAGCGGTGTTGGAACAAGTAGTATCATTCACATTGTTGCTGTTGGAGTTAGAAGAGATCTCTTGACCAACATTTTCTCGCCTTACCTGTGGGATAAGAGATCCAGCGGTCTTAGCATTTTGAAGCCTGGACCTCGCGGTGCGAAGCGCTTTGCCCAGTGATCGTGCGCCAGAATTGACAGTCTTCGCTTCTTGTGCAACCGTAGTATTGGTGACATTGTTCAACGCGGAGCGAGTGGACTTGAGCGTTCTGGGTCTGGGGTCGAGAGAATTCTCATTGTGCGTAAACGACATGACAAAGAGATGAGCGCGCTGAAAGACAGTTGGCTCAAGTTGTATGTGGCAGTTGCGCTGTGACGCCTGGTGAATCCGGGTTTTCGTCTTAGCGATGCGATGCTCGTGCTATAAACCAGTTACGTGCGGTTTGTACAAAAAATTAGTACTTTCGCTGCGCTGTCGGTGTGCTGTCCCTGTGGTATGCTCTCCGCTGGCAGAGGAGCAGAAGAATGGGGTAGGAAGATGAACTGCTGCTTCTCGAATACAATCACGATTCAGCTCTATCCTGGGTTTTCTCAGACAGGGCTCGATTCAAAATTACTTATAAGTATCCGAGCCTCTCGATGTTAGCACACGATGTTTCCGTTTTGCCTGAATCGGATTCTGTTCACAATCTTTTGTGGAAATGTTTCCCACTACTATCAAAGGAAGACTGTATCTCAAAATCAATCAGAAATTTCCCACAAGAGGCACAAAATGGCAGAAAATGCTTTGGCTTCTCTCTGCTCACAGCTTTTCTCTCCTTTTCCGGCCTTTCCGAATTCAGCTTTGCTGGAAGAGTGCGTCTATTCTTGTGTTTGGATCTTTCCAGCTTAGGTTCAACCACGACTCAACTAGGGCTCGAGATTCGATCACTTGTTGATGTTTACCAATTTCCCGAAAGGGGAGGCGCGATGAGCTAGAAATTCGAGACTGCCAAACGACAGAAACTGAAAACTCAGGATTTGTATGGGAAGTTGAGGCCTCTGTGTGACAATCAGATTAGGCCCGAAGCAACTTGAGAGCGAGGTGGTGACTATTGTTTTCGATATGATTTGCAGCGATCCTGTAATAATATAAACAGGCCAAAAAAACAAAACAAACTACGTTGAAAAAGAAGCTTGATCACCGGAGCTCGAAAAACGTAGAATACGGGAGGCGTGTAGTGAGCTCGTCGTGAATATCTGGCCCGTGCTACTCATGGGAATTTCCAGAAGTGCTGGCGTAATTTATTTTGCCAGGGTCCGGTCACTTAGCGCGGACCTGCTGGTATAGTCCATCATTTCCGAAAGTGCCCTGAAGAACTCGTCCTTGTTAGCTCAGTTGGTAGAGCGTTCGGCTTTTAAGCGTTGCTTGCAAGGAACCGAAATGTCAGGGGTTCGAGCCCCCTATGAGGAGTTCTTTTCCTTTTTTTGTCATCGGCAACAGATGAACCTGATGTATGCTTCAGACAAAAGGAACGCTGGTGTTGGTGGACCATATGTGTGCCAGCTGCTGAGCTTTTTGCGCGTTCTTATCTTTGAGTTCAGTATCTGTCTCAAGCGGTAAATGGTTATCGATGGAACCGGTTTTTTCAGCCGCTGGCGTGAATTAGTAAAAATTGAAAGGAGTTTTCATGGGCGATTGACCTGGAAATAGTCGCTGAGAGATCGCATGGTCTCCCAATTGCCAGGTACGTGCTTATACGGAACGTCAATAACGCCAGTTCCAGAAAGACGCGTCTGCTTCGTATTTGATGATATGACACGTCTTCACATCTGAATATAGATATAAACTTCATACCGTATTAGCTTGCAAGTATCAATAAAGTTGCTGCGTAAACTGTCTTTACCTGACGTTGTAAGACTTCCTCTTGGCGTTGACGATCCTTTTATGTTTCTGTTTTTCATTTTTGTTTTTATGACAGATTAGAGCTTTCAGAATTTGAAGCTGATTGCAGGAGCCAATGCCTCACATATTCTCAAAGATCATCTATATCTGTTACGGTAACTCTAAAATCTTTATTTATACAACGATATGACCAATACTGGAGTAAGTTAGGTCGCAACTCCGCCCACAGTATCACTTTCTGCCATTGTCGAGCTCTTCGCGCTTGCAAGCCCTTGCTTTTGAACTATGTTCTTGAACGAAACTATTTACAGGTAACGAAACTGTCGCTTCTAACCCAGCAACTCTCCGAGATTGAACTTTCCCTCCGAATCCTTGGTAAATACGCCAACTTCGGTGACAATCCCGTCTATCAATTCATGTGGGGTAACGTCAAAGGCAGGGTTCCAAACGTCTACGCCCACTGGAGCCACACCAACCTTGCCCGAAACGGGGTTGCCGTCTGAATCCAATTGCGGTTCGCCACTTTTGCCATCAATTACAGTGCCAGAAACATGTTTGAACTCGTTCGCTTTACGCTCTTCCACAACGATACCGGCTCCACTTTCGGTAATGTTGTCTATAGTGGTTTTGGGAGCAGTGACAAAGAACTTGATGCCAAATTGCTTGCAGATGAGAGCGAGTTGGTAAGTCCCAATTTTGTTGGCGGTGTCGCCGTTGCGCACGATTCTATCAGCCCCTACAAACGCAGCTTTGATTGGAAGCGGACTGGTTGCGATACGATATGTGATAGAACTATCAGGAATCAAAGTGGCTGGAATTTGGTCGTGAACGAGTTCGTACGCGGTCAATCTGGAGCCTTGGTTGTAAGGACGAGTTTCTAAAGGAAAGACATGGGTCATCTTGGCATTTCCAGCACCTACCTTACGTTTCTTCTCCAGCGGCTTATCGCTAGCATTTTTAGATTTAGAGTCCTCCCACAATGAACGTATCACTCCGAGCGCCGTGCCATAACCAGACGTAGCCAGGGAGCCAGTATTACAGATAGTGAGTACGGCAAAGTCCTGATCGAATCCCTCTCCTTGAAGCTCTTGCAGGAGATATTGAGCACCATTGTTCCCCATTTTAACGTTATTGGATAAATCATCATCAATCAAGAGACACACAAATTCGTAGAGACGAGTATGGAAAGTCGCGAGATCTGAAGCACTTGTGAGAATCGTTTTGATCTCAGACAAAGCATTAGACAGATTAACTGCTGTAGGTCTGCTGCAAAGCAAGAAATCCAGTCTCTCGACTAGCTTAGTGCTGATGGCATCGAAACTGGAAGCATCGTAAAATATCTGAGCCTTTACGAAGCTGTCGTTTTGCAAAAGCTGTACTTCCATGAGCACCGAAAGAGCTCCAACAATGGCAATCGCCGGGGCACCCCTCACCTGCATGAGATTGATCACACTGTAACCATCGTCAATAGTGTGGATGGGGATGTATTTGGTGGTGTAGGGCAACAGTAGCTGATCCAAAACCTCTACAGATACATTTTTAGGCTGCGTCCTATCAAACAGTATAGCCTTCAAGGTCATATGAACTAATTATGTGTAGTTAACACTGAATAAAGAGTTTATGCCAACCAGGTGTGAACAAAATTTTTGATCATCGAACAATTGGTTTAGCGCTTAAAGTAACTACTCCACGTGAAGTAGAGACAGGGCGAGAAAAACACACTAACAGTGCTTTGCTGAATACTGCTCAAAATCGAAATCATGTAATTCCAGAAGACTAGTGGTACGATGTTTTAAAATTGCCAAAAAATAATGATACCCGCGAGGTTCGAACTCGCGCCTCCGAAGAGACCAGGACCTCGACCTGGCGCCTTAACCACTCGGCCAGAGTACCTTTATAGATGTTGTTGCTACCATTGTTTCTGAATAATAATTATCAGCTACATCGCCATAGCCGCATATCGTGGAGGTACTGAAGTAAACGATGAATGGGTGAACGGAGTGAGAGCTAGAGAGTTCACAAAGGGTTATTAACTTCACTGAGGTAATTTGTCGACGATTTGAGTAAATCTAGCAGACAGCTGAACCGTCGAGCTTGAAATGTGTGTAGAATGGCGACGCGACGTTATCAAATTAAACTGGTAGAAATAATATTAACGTTTGATTCGCTATTTAGTTATATTGGATTCATATTGGTTTATAATGCTCAGTCAATGATATAATTTTATAGCAACGGAGGAAACTAAGACTTAGCCTAGCGTATTGAAGCGCATACGATTATAGTTCAGACTACATTTAAAGTCAAGATAATAAGCCACGACTGGGCACCTGGGCATTGACAAATATGGACGAGCAAAACTTCTAAAGGTCCGCCTACATGAAAGTCAGCGGAAATATGATGCTGAAAAGTTGAGGTGTGAGAATTGAGGCTCAAACCTCAAGAATCAGAATGTCAGTAAGACCTATAAAAGTTGAGGTAATTTGAGGAACTATGATTAGATAGGAATTTAAGTAGGCAAACTACCAACTGAACATTGGGAGTATAGGTGCTCCAAGCAAATAAGAAGTCGAGATAACTAAGACATGCGCTGCTTATCAGAACGACAGGGTTCCGCGAATACTATGAAAAGTTTAAGACCAAACGTCATACATAAAATTGACGCTCGATGGAGGCGATAGAGGGAAGCGTCTAACAAGAGACGTTTGTAGCTCGAGAGTAAGATTGTAAACAAAAAATTGTGATATTTTGAATTAACGAAATAGAACTTGGAGTAATAAGAGGAAAGGAACAACAGAGATCGGGCATTCATCTAGTTACCTCCAGAAACCTGCAAATAGTTCAGGTTCTTGGTGAAGTTGATGGAGTAGAAACCGTATTTTTACCTCAGGGAGCATGAATATTAGTGTCGAACTTCATCAGTTGGTTAGCTTGCGATGCTTTCAGAATACTAGACCATAGGTGGTGCTTGAGGCCATCATACGTCGCGTTGTATCCAAACCGAGAATGGAATGATGTTATACTATTCAAGCTAGCTACTGAACGCATGACTTCCTTTACTTTTGAATAATCCAATCAAGTTCCATAGTTTGAGGTGTCCCGAGGCAACGCATACCGATTATTTTTGAGGAGAAGTCCGCTACCCTTCACCTTATATAGCACCATAGTGCACATACCACCTAAGTTTTAAATCGCATCTTTTACCTCAAAGCAACATAAACTCAAGCTGAGCGTCAAAACCACAACTGCACGATTCTTGAGTCCTACCCAAATCAATAAATAGCTTGTCTCCAGATTCTCTTTGTGGATCACCTGTTTCCATATTCCACGTCTTCTACTATATCTTCTACTGGGATCTCTAGTCGAACCCCGATTTCTTCTAGTCACCTAAATTTTTTATGCGACAGGTGATCTTACAGTTTTAATCGTGAAGGGGTCTTATAAAACTAAGCGAATTACTGTTCGGAATTGACAAAAGGTGCTCCAGGGACACAGAAAAGAACTACTTGGCACTGAAACGACGCCTCTACAAATGTTTTATCAATCGGTTTTACTCGCTGTAGCCGTTTTGGCACAGCTTTCGGCCGCTGGAACAAGTTTTCTAGCGATCAACTCGCAGCGGTACCAAGAAGCTTTGAATGACGACAAAATTGAATCCTGGGCCCAACTGTCAGATTTGGGTAACGCAAATGAGCCTCTAGTATGTTTCAGGTTTGCTCAGTTTGATTTATTGGCGCAAATTGCGCGGTCTTCTGCAGAGACCAGATTTTTGCCTACGTTTTTTGAAGACTCCGTAACCGATGTATGGAACGACGATTCTTTGTCGGCGACTTCGGAAATCACTAAGAGTGCAATCGTTGAGGTTGGGCAGCTTTCGGAGCTCGTCATCCCTTCGCTTTATAGCAAAATTGATGACAACGATGCCGTCGTTCTTTTTGAATTTACGGAGCCTTCGTACGACTTGGAGCGTTTGGACGAGTATTTGGAGACCGTATACTTGTTTCTTGAGGAAGCTTTGCCAAACATTGATAATTTGGTTATCCAAGTGCCCTCTGTTGGCGAGACTTACACCAAAAGTTCTGCTAAGACTTCTGAGGTCGAAGTCTCCGATCCAGAGAAGAATCCTGGCAAAGACTTACCAGCTGGAGACGGCAGGAAAGTAAACGCTTTGTGGACCGAGGGCTTGATAAGTTGTTTGATCGTTGCTGCTCTGCTGTTGTCCATTTTGGTTACTGCCATATCTTGGATTACAAGCCTCGAAATCAGCTACGGTGCCTTAGAAAGGCCAGCCAACCCTCTCAAGAAAAACAACTGATGTGCTGTTAGATGCTTGTAGGGTCAAATATCCATATAGAGAAAAGAAAGTAATAATTTGGACATAGATACATTCAAAATATACGCGGCCGGTTTTCACCGCTCGAATCCAGTTCAAGTCAGATCACCGGGATTGAAGAAGCTTAATCCAGTTTCTTCGCATCCTCAGCCTTGGTCCCATCACTGGAACCTGTGTCTTCACTAAACGCCACTACGACATACGCAATCAAAACCAGGTTCGCAGCTAGAGCTGCCAAACCACCACTAACTATAGTGTTACTGGTTACCTGCTGAACCAAAAAAAGGTCAGGACTGGTAGTATGACCATGGCAGCGGTGAAGAACATCAGTTTTTGAATAACTATACTATCATATAATTCATCCTGTTAGTAAACTAAACTGTCACCGTAGTCTTAAGTAGAGACAATGTGAAGAGACTTGTCTTCATAGGCTCACATACCGAGGCACATCGACGGACATGATGGTTAGATTGCTGATAGGGTTCAAATCTTTACATTATGGAAACGGAAATGATTTCAAATTTGATTCCAACTTCTCAAAAACTAACTTCTTTTAAAGCATGCCATTCTGAAAATTATACACCAATTTAAGCATGGTACTTCAATTGAGTCTTGTATCTGCGATAGATGACGAATCATACGACCTATGCACATCCACGCTATGCAACTTATCAGGGAATCCTCCCGTCCTTTTTAGTCACTTCACAGCCATGCTCAAACCGAATCCGACCTTCGATATCGAACAGACAAATTCCAAGAACCAATTGATTGAACAAAACCGATTGAAATTATGCAAAGAGGTACCTCTAGACCAGCTCGAACCCGATGGATCGAAAAGAGACTACGAAATGCTGAAAAACTATCAGGATGATAAGTTAGATGGCTTCAACCTCCAAGTTGTCGAAGATATGCTTCATGGAAGCACTGATTTAGACAGGATGGATGTGGATGAGGCCAAATCAGATGACTCATGGATTTTGAGTATCGCTGATATTCCAGCCGCTGGTTCCAATCGAAAAGTCTCAACGCAATCAATCACAGAAAACACCATTTTGTCGTCTGGCGGTAGTTCCCCGTCGATAATAGCGTTTCTCTCTGAATTCGGTTACGTACCGGACTACCAGTTTTTAACGCTTGGGGTCAAATTTAACATGAACCATAGCGTTTACTTAGAACTTTCTAAAGTCTGGCTGATACAGGGTGGTGAAAGTAAACAAATAACCAAAGGCGGCTTCTTGGTTAAGGCATTTGTTAACGTAACCAAAGGTACAGATATAAAAAGCATAAATCATGGCACGAATGCTCTCCTGAATTTACAAAAAGAGCTTAGCGGGTATATAGACCTCACAATTCCAGACCGAAAATCAATGGATTCTCGACTGGAAAATCTTAGCGACATATAAAATCTTTGACTGGTTCAAGACCGTAAATTCCTTGTCTGAACTACTTAGTTACTAAAAGTTGATAAATGTACAGGGGTGCTAATGGGAAATGCATTTAATGAAAATTATTTTTCCAAATCTGTCAACTTAGATTTGGCCTTAGCGATAGCTTTCTTTTTCAGCTTCAACTTGTCGACTCTGTCATCCTTCTTTTCATTAGAATACTTCATCTTCTTGTAAAGTTTACGCTGCTTGTTACTCATCATAATAGTCTTCAAGTCCTTCTCCTCCTCCTCCTCAGTGGCCTTACGCTTAGCCGCTTTCTTTGGTTTCTTGACTTCCTTTTTATCCTTCGCATCAGAATATGAGATACCCTTAGCTTCCAACTCTAGTTCCTTCTGAGCGTCAAGATCTTCATCACTTTCCTCTTCTTCGGCGACTAATTCCACAACCTCTGCATCATTCTCTTCTTTGTCACTCACGTCCTGTTCCTCTTCATCTTGAACCTCGACTTCATCTTCTTCATCCTCTTCGTCAACAAGCTCTGCAGTTGGATCGTATCCACCAGCATCACCCCAAGGCGATAGATGTGGAGGCAATGGTTCACCTGGTAGATACTGGCTCGCAGGTGCCAATTCGCTTTTGTTAATCGAATCAAACACCCATTGCGGTTGTAGGTATGTTCTGCCACCAACCTTATTTTTCAACACAGGTCTGTCCACTATTTGATGGGTTACTTTAGACAAGTCAATATCTTTACGGGATTCCAATTGGTCCAACGCAGCCTCACATATGACAGAACCACCACAAGATAAGATCAAGAACTCTAAAATGTCGACTGGAACTTCTCTTGAGATAAAGAAAACGAAGTCAGAGAATAGAGTCGCAGCGGGCGAATCGTATTTGCTAGGCTGGTCCAAAAGATCACCCTTGTTCTTATTCGAGTCTTCAAAAGTATCCAGTACGGTCTCCTCATCAGCGCCTTCTTGGTCACTGTCTTCATTTTCTGCGCCGCCAGCATTATCAGCCTTCAAGGCCGAAGATAATGTGCTTGCATCCAATGCCTTCGCCTCCACAGATGTAGCAGATAATTGTGGAGCAGTCAAAGCCGATTCTTCGGCATTGCTTTCCAAGACGTAAGCGCTTAAACCACCGATAATTTTGTTTTTGGCAAGATCCAACTTAGGAGGATATACCAAACCAGAGTCAGTGTATAGCTTGTAAAGTACGAAATGCATCAAAGTGGAGTAAAATTCGAGGAACGTAAGCATGATTCTGAAATCAACGTCACTTGGAATGTTTTCTGGGAATTTGTAAGGAACGAGCCATCTGATGTCCTCACCCTTCACAGATGCCTGATAATAAACACCCTTGATGGATACGAAAACTTTGCGGACGGCTCTCTCGCGGGAGACATAGGCCAACCATTGGTTACAAATGCTCTGTGCATCTTGAGTGACTCGGGAAGACACCTGGTCCGATGCCGGCAAATTGGCAAACAGAAATAGCATGTTGAGCGCGTCGTCAATGTCTCTCAAGGCATCTGGGAAACCTGGATAACGTTCCTTGATGATATGGTCCAGTTTGTAGTTTGGACTGTTGGTTTCAAGTCTTTTAGCTGCGGAAACCTCACCTCTGCCAAGCGCTTTGGTCAATTTCTTTGCGAAGGTTTTATGCTCACGGAAACGCTGCAAGACGGGTTCATGCATCAAATACTGGATGTCCTTCGAGTAGTAGAACGTGGTAGGAGCCGTCGAGCCTTTGTTGGCTTTCTTCTTGTTGCGCGGCTCACGAGGATAGATACCTTTGAAGATACACAGTCTTCTAAAGTCAGCCAAGGAGACTTGCAGCTTGCGAACCGCCTGGGAACGGGTCACGAAGTTTCTAGCGTTTCCGCTGACGTTTCTCTTCTTGATTCTCATTGTTGTAGAGTTATACTATAAAGACGATAAAACGCGACTAGTAACAGGGCCGAATTGCTTGAAGATAAAAACTATGCAAACCAAAGTTTTTAGAGTGTGTGAAGTTCCTTAAAGTAGTCACTTAACCTCTGTAATAGGTTTATTCTTGTCCAAGTATTCCTCTTGGGATAATAAAAGCTATGCTCATCTCATCTCATCGCATAGAGCGCTAGTCAAAAATTTTTTCTCCACCGAAAAAGGAAGCATAAAAGTGTTGATGTCATATACAACGAAATACGGAATTGTTGACGAAAATCAAATGTCTAAGAAATGGCAACTTTGACGTCAAAGAAATTGCTAAGTGGGAAAGAAAATATTGAAAGCCTACAGGAGCTATTTTGAATTGGCCGAGTCCATTATTAAGATGATATATAGAATAGGATCTCGTGCGCATGTAAGAAACTTTGTAAAGAGTGCAATTGGACCGCGCTTTCGAGATATGACAGAGATAAAGAAGTATGTGGAGAGCCCTAAATGGGCGGTTGAAGAGTTCCTTAAACAGGATGATAAGGAACAGATACAGCACCTACCTTCTGAGGAAACGGTCAAGCGTCTTTTGAAACTCTCAGGACTGCCTCTCGAAAACTTCGACTCAATTCGCAACCAGTTGGGACGACAACTATTATTTCTGGATAAACTGATGACGCTGGATGTGGACGAGAATATAGACCCCAATCATGCAAGGATTTTGGAAAGACATCCGCAGCCTTTGCGCTACGAAGAACTATTTCGACTAGCGCACAACCAGCGTCAGGAAAAAAGTTTGGGTGAGACTGACGGCTCTTGGGAAAGTATAAAACTTGCCACGCAGAGCGAGAATGGTTTTTATGTTCTGCGCGAAGCACTAATGAAGCGGGAATGATCTGGAGTGCAGCAACAGAAACAAGACCAGACGTCGGGCCCAGAACGCTCGCGCAGGTAGCACCTGCGATTAGAAGCACAGATGACTGGAAAAAGCAGTCTTCTCAAACAATCCTGACAGGTTTCTCAAGACAACCGCTGGTTTACCACCTGAGCAGAATTGACTCTTCTCAGGGATAATGAAAGGCTCTATCAGCCAGTTGAAATATACTGCAATTGAGCAGCTTGAGGAAAAAGTATTTTTAATCTTTGAGACATCATTAACTCCAGAGAGTGTTTTTTCAAATCAATTAGCAGGACTCAAGTGATTCAACAGAACTTTCACAACGGCAATTGTTCTGCACAATAACGTCCCATGCCACATTTCCGCAAGCGTTTGCTTACAGCTGTGGCCACACGCTTGTCAAGTCTTCAAATTTTGAACAGTTATCTGTAGCTACCCAGGCTTAGTGTTTGGCACATAAGCTTTATTCAAGAGTGTTTCTCTTGGACGCTGCCTTCAGTGTGAAATTCCAGTGCGAAGGCCATCGTCACACCACAAGAATAACTTCCTGTGGAGTCTTGGCACTGCAGTCAGTTTATCGAACGCATCGCATTTTGATAAGGCATGAAAGCTGCTTCGAAGAAAATACGGAGTGATCGACCTATCGCCACTACCACGGTGACTGCTTGGACGTTTACATGTTAAGAATGACGCGAAACCTAGTAACGGCGAGCACTCGCTATGGCAAAGAAAACTTCATTCTATGCTTGCGAAAGGAACATGCTGGAACAAACAATGGTCCAATTTCGTCCATAGTTTAGTATCACAATCTTGCCAAGGCTACCGTAAGAGTTTTTAAGGAATGACCTTTTAGTATTTACATGTAAGTAGTTGACATTAGCTTCGTTCATTTTGCTTTAAAAGGCGGACAAACTTCTCATACGACGCTGCTTCTCCTTTTTCAGTTGTGTAGTGATCAGATAGGCGTATATAATACCAGCCACAGAACCCCCCAAATGGGCAGCGTAATCAAAGGAACCCCATCTCATTGCGCAACCGGCGGCGTTCCAAGCCATGGAACCCAGAAATGCGATCCATGCCCCTCCTGGGATGGGGAAGACAAACAACATTATCTTTGCTTGTGGGATTAGATATGAAAAGCATCCAAATATACCAAACAGAGCACCACTTGCGCCTAAACTAGGAGCCATCACAGAAATTCGCGCAATACGAGGGTACCAAAGGGAAACAAGAGATCCCAAAACAGCACTATTCAGGTAAAGAGAAGTGAAGTTAGCTGGCCCAAGCATAGTAGCCAGATTTGTTCCGAAAGACCATAGTGCAAGCATATTCATACCCAAATGCCATACTTCTTGATGAGAAAACGCGCTTCCTATCAAGGACCATTTGCTGTAAATATGGTCTTTTTCGAGAAGCATGTATCTTTGCAAAAATCTCCAATACCTAGGGACATGCCATAGACCAAAGATACCGCAATTTATAGCCAATATACCATAGACCAAATGAGTGGGATGGGTCCTAAAATAAGTGAATGGCGGGACGTATTGAAAGAGATACGGGGTTCCGACAAACGTTGCTCCCATGAACAGCGTCCCGGCAATTGTCACATTCCGTAGACTGTTGTTACCAAAAAAGCCGCCTCTGCTCTTGTTGCCACCATTCTGGAACTGTTGAAAGCGGTTTAGCCTGGCGTAACGACTGCTGCCAGCACCATTGAAGAGGTCTTTCCAACTAGCATTAATTTTAGAATTTTGCGAGAAGTATCTCGAAGGTTTTATTACCGGAGTGATGGTACGTAGGTTCAAGCCTAATAATGGCCTACTGAATATTGAAGCCTTGAGCGGCTTTACCTGAATATGAATAGCATTGCTTAAAAAAAAATGCTTGCCCTGTTTCGCCACAAAGGTGCTCATTCTGCAGAGTCTCTGCCAGTTACTTCACGGTGGATAGGACAAGTAAAGGTACACCTTCAGTAGTTTGATTCTTCTAATTACGGAGTCACTTCTAACGTATACTAAATCTCAAGTTTTGTAAGTGCGACATCGAGCTCTCAACCAGTCCAAGAGCGATCTCAATCTCAAGCATTGCGGGCTTTCATGTTTCATGTTTCTAAGCTTCCCAGCAGAAAACTGCAATTTTTATTTTATGGCGGCATATTATCAATATGTATTCTCCGCACTCGAATTTAATCAGTCATTGCAGATCGAATCAACTTATCACATCTTAGCCCACATCTGATGCAGAAAAGTAATACACAAAAAATCCGATGAGGCGTGTTTTCTCTTACGATTTTGTTGCGCCAAGACGTATGCTTCGCAAATACGATACTGTACATCCCCATTACATTTACAACAGCTCTTAAAAAACATATTGAAAAAAGGCATTCGGGTAATCCATTCGCCTCCATCATTTTCAGTAAAGTGAGTATGAAATTTCAATTCTTTCATGTTCGTAATTGAAGTTTTGCAACGTCTTTAGTTAGGTCTCAAATTCTATCAAACTGTTGTCTCCGGATCCGAGTGAACCGGTGAACGAGAAATCTTGCAGTTTCTTCCGCTGAGATTCTGATCGAACACCATCCTCGCTTTCTTCCTCAAAAGATATTAGGTCATTTTTGAGTAACTCTTCATGTTCATAAGGGTGGTCAGAGCTGAAATCGTCAACCTCTTCTTGGCTGTCTAGTGTGTCCATGGCCGCACCTGACGAACCACTGCTTCTAGTTGCAGCAGAGTCGACTCTACGGCGGACTTGAGAAGCTACCCGTTTGCCGTCGGCCAGCAACCCGTCAAACATATTTCTTAATGCCCCACCGCGACCATCAAGGCTTCCTATTTTCTCGCCAACATGAATCGACTTCCTGAAAGTCAGAGCAAAAAACATCTCATAGGTCTCGTCGGCTAAAATTATCATGCGGAATGTAGCCAAATTCATGACAGATCTTTTTTCTGGGTTTAGAGCCGCGTTAGCTCGCAGTGTTTGCCATTTCTTCTTCTTGGCTTCACTACTGTCACCCTCCCCGTCCGAGAGATCAAGCAAATCTACCTCCTCTTCGGGTTCCGCAGCTTTTGCGTACTCAAAAGATCGTTGTAAAAAATGGCTTGCCGCCTGGAGGTACCGTTCAGCCTGCTCTTGCTTGTACTTTTCCTCATCAATGGTCACTCCCGAAGGTAGCTGTATGTTTTCCAATGACTCTCCTTGACCCGAATTTTTGATGATCAGCGAGTCAGCGATGTCGTCCTCTATAGCCTGCTTTGTTAAGTTATCGACACAGCGCCCGCTTTTCCAAGCGTCCGTGAGGAAAAGTAAAGCTTCTGAGAGCTGCAATATACCTTCGCCACTAACCTCATCTTTTCCGGATTGGCTGAACAGCGCAAAGAAGTTGTTAATAGAAGACATGATATCCTTTGATAATAAGCTGTCAACCCCATACACGACATCATTGAGTGTAAGCTCTCCGGTTACGTTTCTATCCCATTTGGAAAAAATTCGTTTCAGGAAATCTCTTTTCTGCTTGCGAAACCTCGGTATATGATCGCTGTCACCAGGCTTACACCAGTCGCAGAAAGAACTCAGAAACTGCATAAATGCTTCAAAGTCCATGTTTGAAGAACCTGTGCCCATGCTGATTTTGTGGCTTTCGATACAAAGGTAAAACAAGTCGTAAATGTTCGAGAGCTCTTCTTGCGTCAGATTGCGCACCTGTGGTAGATTCCTTAATTGGGTCCTTTTAGCGAAAGATTCTATATTGTGTAGAATATCTTTGCAGTATTTTTCCCTTTCTTGCTCAACCATGGATACAGTTACATTGCTGAACTCTTTAAAAGAAACCACCAAAAGTTCTTGAAACTTGGTAATTTGTTTATATTTAGGATTGGTAGACTCAGGGTGAGCACTTTGTTCCAGAGTATGAAAGTAGTTCTTTAGGATGGCAATGAACATTCCGTCATCATCTACCTCGAGAAGGTCTTCCGCATTAACCTTCAAAATACCAAGCGCAACTTGAAACAATGCGTTAGGTCCGTTGAGTAGAAAAAGGTCCATGATCCTGAAAGCAAACGGTAGGGGCATTGAAGTAAAAAATAGTGACAAGAACCAAGGAAGGGAAACCACAGAGAGCTGAATGTCATTTTCGATGATGTGCTCCCACATCAGAGGCATCTTTTGCTCGACAAAAGATTCGAAGACCTTTTGATCCAATAATGTTCCATACATGGTCTTAGAGTAATACCCAGGGACGTAGTTGTCACATATACTCACCAGGCACCAAAAAGCCTGCTCTTCAGTCATAAAAATCAGTAATCCGGCCACAAGAATGTTCATAGCTTGACAGTAGCCGACATCTGGATTTTTCCACGAATAAGCAGTCAAGACATTCCGGAGCCGCTTAATTCCTTCTTCGTCTTGATAAGCTGCATATTCTGGTAAAGACCTATTTAGATCTTTCTCGATCTCTTCGATAGCTCGAGAATCCTTCCCGGCATTGGCTTGCAAGATGTTATGGTATTCGTCAGGATTGGCAAATCTGTTGTAAATTGATCCTGAACACAGTTCCCAAATTTCTCCTCTTAATCGATTTGGCACCCCAACCCGGATTAGTTTATAAAACAGATGGTTTTTGACTATCGTTAGGTTTTTGCCATGATCTTGAAAATAGTCAAACCATAATTTGAGCTTTGCTTTCTCCTTGGAAAGATCGCCTGGATATCTATACTTTTGGCCAAGACCTGCAGGCGATGGTCGAGCGTCACATTTGCTCAGGACGTTTTTGGCAATCAGATATTCCGAATAACAAGAGTCCAAAAAGGGGATTAATTTCTTGGTGTTGGGCACATTCTCTCGAAGAACATCCTTCAGTTTTCGGCAAAATTGCTCAGTTCGGTTTTTCAGGCCAATAAATTGAATTACCATTCTGGTATCGCAGTAAAGTGTTATGGCTAGCGAGGATTCATATGAAGATGCTGGTGCCCTCTCTACTTTTCTGATGGTGCTCAGGTTTATCGTGAAATTGCATGACGCGCTGTCATAACTATCCTTGAAGACAAAGTAGTGGGGCGTCAAGTACAAACGGCCTGAGTAGACGTACGACGAGTTACGATCTTTACCACCAGTTCTACTTCGGTCTTTTGCCCGAGTGTGCGGGTGCATGATGGAGATATCGGCATTTGTATCATCAACAATAGTCTCTTCGGATGGGAGTTTGTACTCTGAGCGGAATCTCTGGTCTCTGGAAGTAGGTTGAGAAGAATCTGTAAGTTTATCCAAGAAGTTGACCGAGGCTGCTTTTTGACGCAGCGAATCAAAAAAGGACATTGTCTAGGACACGCTTCTGTGATGCTTGTTCGAATAAAGCCCACAGACAAAATTCAATGCAATCGTGCAATTGTCGCAGCTTTCCAAATATATTTCATTGAGCGACTTGAAGATACCTTGACGATTCTCGACCTTAAAGAACCTAATAAAGATAGCATCCTGCACGATCCGCGCAAATAACGCCTTTTACTTCATAGGGAACTTGAGTGAAGTGTAAAGATGCACAAACGGGTTCAATTTTGGTCTAATAACTAACATCGTAGTCATATCAGGCGTTAACAGTCTATCGAAAGCCGTTTTACTCTAGTCGCTTCAAAAATTTCTTTGCTCTTCACGTCAGTGAACAAAATGCAACTCGAAGGAAACCAGATCTGAGCATTTCGTAGCGACACACTCATGACAGAATGAAAGATGAGCATGTTTCAGAGAGGGAATGAGAGTACTCTAACTTATTATACTGTGACTGAACGCTCGATTGACAATTGTGCGGAAAGCGGCATCATTAGACGCGTGCCATCAACATTAGAGCGGTTCAAAAAGCTAAGGGGCGTGGCATCGGATCTTTTTACTTAGTAAGGCTCTGTACATTTATAGAACATAGCTGTTTATAGCGATAATGACATAATAGAGCATCTTACTCTTACCAAGTGCAAGGGGGAAATGCTCGCACTGAATGAGGCTATCAAGGCTCACAAATTTGTTACTTGAAAAGTATCATGGAGCAAACTTAAGTTACGTTAGGTTCACTTCGTATCGACACATGTAGATCGCTTTTAACGTAGAAATAGCCGCCCAGACTTGATGAATATTACGCTAAATAATATCAGAATGAATGTGAAAAGGTTCTCACATGATAAATGCAAAAATTAGTGAGTCGTTGGATAAAACCCAGTAACATCTTCATCATTGGGTTGCATGTCCTGCGAAATACGGCTTGATTGCCGACTGGTAAACCCTAGAGATGAGGGGCGCGGCGTGTTACCGGCTTCGTGTGGAGGAAACCTAGCAGACTGGGGGCTTCCCGACGCTAGTGAAGACACTGTGGTATAATTCTCGGAATTTTTGTGCTCGCTCTCCTTCTTGTGTATTGTAAACTTGTTGCCTATTATGTTCCCCGTGTGCTGGAGAACAATTTTGATAATGTCCTTTTTGAGCGTTGCAATGAATTCATCACGCGACCACAGTTTGTTTGAGTAATGAAGAGTGGGAACTTTGACCGTAAGTCCATCTACGTTGGTAATCAGACTTCGAGAGCCCTTGTAACTGATAGATATCATTACTTTCCTAATGATAACAGAACCCACGTTGAAGTATCTTGACGACCTATTGACCATTTCATTCATGTCTCGCCCAGTGCTTCGACTGAACGTGGCAGTGGGAGCTGATTGGGAATTTCGGCTCTGATTTCGCAAGGATGCTGACGAAGACATCGGAAGTGGACCCTTCAATCTCCAGCTGAGGTTTAAAACCACAGAGTTCTCCCTAGATTCGGTCGAAAATGAGCCATTTTCGGCGATACGAGGACTAATGCCAACTGGTGCCTCATTTGTCCTCGCCGGAAATAGGTACTTCAATAAGATATCTGATGTCAGATGGTCCATCTTGAATCTGAAGGGCTCTAACAGAACGACTAGTTCAACTAGGTCAGAGATTCCACCGATGGATGGCCCTATTGTCCACAAAATTTGTATCAAAGGCTTCGTCACATCAACAATTGCATTGTATGGAGAGAGTAACTTTTTGTAAACGGCACTTTCCTGCAGATTGATACATTCTAGAGATGTAATGACCAGCTTGTTATTATTTGTTCCATCTAAGGCTTGTGACCTCATGTAGCAAGTAGACCCAAGCTCAAACAACACGAAGTTTTCTCCTTGGTCGTCCAGGAGCTTCCATGTTACTTCATCGGCTCCGATCTGCCAACACACTCTGTCTTGAGTTCCGTCCTTTCCGTTCGAGAGCTTGAGCTTATCATGATTTTTCTTGACAGCAGTCATCAAAAGATTCAATTCCAAGACGGCCGCATCCAGCTCGGCTGCAATTTTCTGCGCGACCTTGTCATAACATGTCGGATCGTTAACTCTAAGATAAGCTCTGGTTCTATGCAAATTTTTTATTGAGTTTTGAAGATTGATGATTATCGAGACATCCAACTTATCAAGATTGTTCCTGACTTCCTCAGCCAACATTACTTTAGACAATTTGTCGGCCTTCTTGTCAAAACTAGATGCAAAGTGCAATAGCTCTACCGCGATAGCATAAATGGACGAGTATTGGTCTGAAGTTGAAGCCAGTGTCAGCCTAGGAAAGCCGATCCTGACCTTTGTCTCACTTCTACCAATGTTCTTGACCTTATCCTGAAAGTAAAGTGAATTAGGCTGTATGAAATAAAATATCATGTCATTTCTAGTCAGGAACACAGAGTCTTTCAAAGATTCGCAATTGTAGCACATTTCCATTGGTAACCATGGTGGCCAATACTTTGAATTCTCGTCCGCCCCATAGCCATAGAGTTGAAACCCCAAACCATCCTCTGAGGAAACTTCTTGTTTGTCAAATATAAAAAAGTGTGCCTCATTAAGCCTGGTGCAAAATCTTGATTCAACCAAACTGTTTACATCGAGTGGAATGCTTTGGTTGGTCGATTCCGGAACTTGATTTATGTCTATAATCGAGGTTTCTATGTCTCTTGCAGTGATTAAAATACACTGCAATGGAACTTCTTTTGAGGTTATTTGTATCTGGGGAGAAACAAGCTTGATTTGATATGTATCAAATGCTTTAAGACCGTCAGCCATAACTTGCCTGATTATGCTGTCGAACTGTTCCATCAACTCTTCGTTCGACAAGGAGTCTTCCGAAGAGAAAAAATCACCATCCACCGCACGGGCAGACGGAAGACCCCAAAGTTTGTTTTTTAGCAGCTCGTCCAGCAAAGCTACAGCTTTGTACGTTTGATAAAAACTAGATTTTTTTCTACTCAGGACATTGAAAGCATAGTCGAGCATCAAATCTCTGGTTTTATTGTTGATCTTGAGTAGAATGTTGTGAACGATAAATCTATTGTCAAAAGATGATTTCACGAAAGCACTGGTAGCTTTTCTCATAGACCGAAAGGTTGTGATTGTATGCAACCTCTCCATAAGTTCTTGAGATTCTGCTTCGGCTTGGTTTGCACTTTCGTTTGAGAAGTTGCTTTCGACGTCGTCGGAAATTAAGGATCTGGAAGGTAATTTTGACAACATCAAATCCTCTAAGACCTTATGGATGATGTGCAGCCTATGTCTAAAGTCATGCAAACGTCTGTTTAGAGCATCAAGCTGCTGACCTCGGAATTTAGCGTCGGTGCCCTCATTGGTCTCCGAATTCAAATTAGTAATTAGCTTTCCGATCAGATCAAGTTGAATCTCCAATTCCTCGGCTCTTTTTTTAGCAAGGGCCTCCTGGGTAACCATTGGGTCGTTGCGACCGAGGCTACAGGCATGATCTCTCTCTAGCCCAAAAGGATAATCCAACGGTACACCTTCGCTAAGCTTTCGCAGATAAGATATTCTAGGAGAGTACAAGAACGGAGAATCTTCAAATGCAAGAGGCTTTGCGTCTTTATACAGTGCTTGGTTTACATCATGATAGTCTTCCATGTCGAACCAGTCAGAGCAGAATTTGTTGCCATTTTTCTGCGGCACGTCTTTGAACCCGCTGTCATCCATACATTGACTTTTCTGAGGAGGAACTTTGCGATCTGACTGAGACTTGAGAAGTGTATAAATCAACCGAAGGTCTGCTTCAACGCAGTCGATCTCCCCAGCATTCATTTTCAGCTTCCAAACAGTTCGCGAAACCTGCAATTTTTTGTCAGCATGGGTCATTTTAATCCTTTTTTGATGGAGGTCTAATTTCAAGCTTTTGAACGTGCCTTTCAAACTGGTGAACGCCATTTCCTCATCCTTTCTGCTGGCAAGCTGCGAATCGGCATGTCTATAAGTATGCGAAATCACCAAAGGCGACAGCTGTAGCTTATACTTTATAGTGAACAGAGCTTTTGAAAACTTTCTAGGATTTTGAACCAAATTTGGAAATAATGGGCCCTGTCGGATGGGGCCTGACGTGTAAGTACTGAACAAATTCCACCATTTGAAAAAATGGGTCATGCTGTGCGGTGCCAAGTAAACTTTGTTTGAGCTTTCGTGCTTTTCATCAGTCTCAACGCAGAAGAATAAGTGAATGAAATCACTTCTAAATCCTTTATATGAGTCGTGGCCTGCATCACCATCTATGAAAAGAGGGTTCCAGAGGTTCACTTCGTAGTGCGATTTGAAAGCGTTCGAGCGTTTTTCAACTCCAGGATCCTTGAGATTACCAGACTCAAACGAAATTCCCATCGTCCAGGTAACATGGCCACTGAGGTTCATTAGAATTTTTTCGAGTCTCTTAGGCTGTGTGAAGTCCCTGATTCCCAGCAAAAATTGCCCAGATGTAATTTTAAGGAAATCAGTTGGATCCGTTGATTCGTGTATGGAAAGCCTTGCGTTGCCTCGCCAGCAAAATGAAAGACCTGCACCTCTGTCCGTAATCAAGTAGGGATCGTGGGACCCTTTTAAGTTTAGATGAATTTCGCTATTCCCAAGCCATTCAAAAACCAATTGACCATGAATAAGGAGACGAATTTTGTCCCAAAATCCAAGTTTTTCTGAGGGGTCTAAAGGAGGTTTTGTTAAATAATCAAACCAGATCATTACGGACTGGTATCCTGGCTGTAGAGACTTACCCCATGTTATCGTTGTAGGAATGTTCGAATCGATTTCACACTTAAGGTTCATGTACGTCTTGAGCGGATTCATTGTACGGATAATTTTTGATCCATAAATAGAGTCTTCAGAGACATGAATTTCGTCTTCTGCTCCAGGAACAAATGGCACATAAACGTATCTTTTGGAAAATGAGTGTGCCATCCTTTCTGCAAAGACCAAGTCACCTGAAATTTTTAAGGAAGGAAAGTAAAGAATGGGCAAAGGATAATCTCTTAAACTGAACTCACACCTCCCCCCTTCCAATCGAATACCAAGTGGCAAAAGAGTTGTGAAGGTGGTGTCGCGAGGTAATTTCTTTCCATACTTATAGAGAAAATCAGAGCATTTTTGAAGCGCAAACGAGGGTCGTCGCAATTTTAAAGTTACTGTCTCCATTTCAACCTTGAGAACTGTACTGTCCAGTCCTTCCAAAATTCTCAAAGAGGACGAACCTATGTCTTCACTCCTCACGGTTCGAAGAGGGTTTTTGAAGAAGGCGAAGCGAGCTTTCCTCATGCGATTGATCCACGAAGTTGAAAAATGTTCGAAAAGCCTCATCACTTTAGGATTAAAATTATTAGGACTTGTAGGAGCTGAATTGTAATATGGGAAATGTGACTTCAGCTCTTCCTCCAGCAATCTCAATTTTTCTATGCGTTCTTGCTGTTCAGAGACGCCTACCTTAAAAATTAGCCCGAGCTCCTGCTCGAACGGATCTTCTTCCACGTTGAGGGAAAGAGTGTTTGTCTTGAAGTCTATAGCACTCACTGCTTTCGGACTTTCTGCGAATAGCTTTGTAGCCTTGAAATGAGAAAGATCTTGAAAAGAAGCCCCGACCCTTTTGAAGCATTTTATCATTGTGCAGATGTTGTCAAGTATTTTGTAAAGTCTCAAGTGATATTCAAATTTAAGCCATAAAGAATCAGCATCAATTTTGGAAGCTGCGTCAGAAGAAAAGCTTCCCAAGTCAGTAACAAGTTTGTTTAATATCAAAACCGTGACCAACACATCGTCAGACTGATAGACGGAAGGTGTCAAAACGCTTATTTTTTCAACAATTAGAATAAGCGACCCGCCCTTGAAAACCGTACCTTGTAAAGTGAACAACAGCTTTGCGGACTGTGGTAGCTCGACTTCTATAAGCGTTGACACAATCTCAATCCCAACTGATTCGATTAATCTGGATTTCTTTACATGACGGACTGGTGAAGAAGATGACACATAGGCTGAGTTTGACTGAAAGAACTGCTTAAAGATATCTTTCAAAAAGAAATATAGCCAGATTGTGGATACGCCGAAGTTAATTTTAACTGCTGAAGTGCGACATTGGTACCCCGCGTAGCTATTTTCAAGTTTGAAGTCCTCTATTAATGCAAACTCTTGATAACTCAGCGTCTGTGTGCTATCCTCCATGACTCTTGAAATGGATCCATTTATAACGTGCAATTTATACTCACCCGGGTAAACGTCAAAGAAAGCCTCCGTTAGACAAACGCTGACACCACGAGCATATTCTGTGAGATTAGTAGATGTGTTACCAAAGGCATCAAGATACCTCGGAAGGTGATGAGCCACAATCACTGTTGCCGTTGTATTTTTTAGCCTTAATTTTAGTGAATAATCGAGGCTAAACTTTGGTTTAGATGTCAGTTTCGATGCCCGCGGCGTTAACCATGATCTCCAATTATCAAGTAGGTGGCTGGCTCCTTCAATAACTTCAATATTTTCCAACGATAACTTAAGATCTCTTAGAGTGCTTGTTAGATCCTTCTTCTCAGAGCTGATATTTTTACTAAAAAATTCCCATTTACTGAAGATGACAATAGGAACGTCGAACAGCTTTGAGCTTGTGGCCTCATGAAATCGGAAATATCTCAAGCTAAATTTATCAATTTTTAGAAAATTATCCAGAGGGTTTTGAGTTTGTTTTAAGCCGGCGATATCCACGCTCTTGCTAACCCCGTCTTTCTTGGACTCGGGTTGATGTTGGGCAAAAGCATGGAGATTGTTTAAGCGGAAAACGAAGTGCTTTGACTGTGATGATTTTAACGTAAAAGATGCATTGGACATAATAAGTTTTATAATGAATGATTTGGACTTTGCTTCCTCAAATATCAACCGCCAATCGTGGGTTGAGCTTTCTGATGAATGGAAAATGGAGCTAGTATACAAAATCCAGAGCTCCTTCAGTTGAAACTGCGTTATAGTGACAGCTGGGTCGACTATTGCCATTGTACATCCCAATGTAAGATTTGAGATTTTGGGGACAAAAAGAAGGGAGCCCAAGTTAGAAACAGAAGTCAAAGTTAACGTTGGAACTCTCAAGACTTCCTGATTGTTCAAAAGACCCACGGCCGAATTAACGGTCAAGGCCATTTCATGAATGAGGGGACAACTGACGTCGCTTGGAAGCGAGTCGAGCATCCCATGATGTAATGCGTCTATTGTCTTCAAGGACATAAAAACTCCCGAGAAATTGACGGAGAAAGGATCCCTTACCACAACTGAAACATCCTCTAGTCGGATATCTAAACCCCTCAAAGTATTCATAAAGAAGCGTAGACTGCTGTTATCGGCTATTGAAGTCTCTGGGAACGTTGCTTGCGGAGTTTTGGCCTGCTGAGATTCGTGCTGGCTCTGTTCGCAGCTGCCAAGAATTCTAAGCCCTCTTAGGATAAGTATGTGGCTGTGGTATCTAAGGCACCAATGGTCCATCTCTTTAGATTTGTCTCGTTCCAGAGAAAGATAAAGATTGTACTGAAGCATACGCAGAATGAAACGCCCGTTGCGATCTTTGATCATAGCCGCGGTAACATTTAATATGGGTTCTGATCCTTCTGAAGAGAAGCATATATCGAGTTCCATGTTCTCACAGCTAATGATGCTGCCGGGTCCAGATAGCTGGAGTTTGACGTTTTTCAAAACTAGCTTTATTGGCCAGATGTGCCGCAGAATGGTTGAAAGATGGCGGTTAATAATCATCCGTGGATTTGCCTCGCTTTTTGTCTGGGGTAAGTTCGATGGTCTGTCAGCGTCGAGTCTTACATATAGGTCGTTGACTTCAATTACAAAGCCGCGACGAAGGCTGAATTTGATGCATCCTATTGATATCGAAGAGCGCCGAAAAAGTAGGCGAACGAAGTAAATCTTGTTTAATAGTGGAACACCCGTTACAACTCTGGTTAAGCCCCACAAAGAGTCCTTCCAGAAAATAACAGCATTGATTATGATGTTAGCCAAAAGCACAATCGCGGGGAAGAAGAGTATGTAACGAGAGATAGGCCCAATGACATTACAGAACTCCGGCATACTGCTACCTGCGGGATTTTTTTTCAGTCTCAATTGACAACTTCAGTATTAGATGTTAGGTATGAGTTTTGATTCTGCTGTCAATCAAAGCTGCGCAATCCTCGAGTTCATTGCCGACTGAGTTCTGTTGGTGAGTTCTTAAAAGCGGCTCTGGCGATCTTTGATAGAAAAAGAAGATGTTCACTTATTACGAAATTTTTCAAAATTCCGAGTTTAAGGGTCGCTTCGAAAGCTTCGAAAGCTCAGCGAACTTGGCAGTTTCTGAATCATCAAATTTTATATTTTTATCCACAGCATCTTCAAGGACAGTACACATCAATGCGTACATGGAATTGAATTCATGGTGTGGATGAGCGGCTGATAAAATGATCTGCATAGTGGACAAATAATGTTTCTTAAACATGGCGTCGTAAACGCCCATGTCAATCCCGTTCAACCAGCCATGAGCAAGCGGATAGAAAAACTTTGGGGCCACCTTTCGAAACCTATTTTCATGAGCAGCATTTGAAGAGTCCAACTTCTCAAGTTTGCGCGATCTCCACACCGTATGAGCTTCATTTGCTGTCGTGTTTGAAATGGGTGCATGAACATCCTGGAAAGGTTGGTCCCAAGGTAGTCTTTTAGTTGGAAAATCTGTTTTCGGCTTGACAATGACGCCATCGTCGAGACCTCGCAACTCCCTCGCTGCCAGGCTCATGACCGACAGAATGGTAATGCGTTGCTGAAGCGATAATTCTTGACCAAACAAGATCTGGACCAGATCCACAATTTTACCGGGAACAGTTACAATAATACTAACCATTGCATTTAACTTCCACTCCTGAAATTCGGATTCGTCCAAATCATTATTTAGTGAACATATCATTGCCAATAGCTGAGAGCTATATGACTCAACCTCGAGAATAAAGTCTCGCTTTTGTCGAACCAGCTTCACAGTAGCTCGGAGAAGCTGAACGCGATCTTTACTGCTTCCTGCTAGTTGCTCGAACTCGCGAACCAAATCCTTGAGAAAAACGATATCAAACCCGTCTTCGTTGCTTCCATCTTCCGATATTGATAATTTTACGAGGCTTTCGACGGTCGCGGGAGTCATAGATTGCACAAAGTTGTTAGAAGCGTGATTCTGAAAAGCGCCAAAATCGATATATTTGTTTCCAGGGTCTCTCACTATCGGAATATCGATTTTAAAATCACTTTCATATGTGAGTTCACCGTTCGTGATTTGCTTTGCAAGAAACATTGTTCTTTCCCTTACCAGGGCATCTTGAGAACTTAAGCGTTTGGTTACGGCATCCAAGAAAGCGCTATCACTTCCAAGTTGAAATCTAACGGAGCTCGAAAGGCCTTCGAGAACAACCGCTAGCAAGGTGCAGACCAAGTTATCATCTGCGTCGTCACCTCTTCGAAAAAATCCTATTAAATAACGGTACACCTTCAAAAGTACTTCTTCGGACATGAGTTGGACAACAATGGTTTTAAGGGTGGTGCTTCTTAATTCTGTTAGAGTCTCATACTGTATATCCTCGACCCCGGTTTGTTTTAGTATATTGTAAATGGCATCGTTGAGCTCAGGACTTACTTTGTAGTCAAGATATATCAGAAGACTTTTTATGAGCCGATTTCGGGATAACGCAGACCCATTCTGTAGTTGTAGTATAAAATTCTGGAATCTGCCTTCGCTAGAAAGTGCCAGATCTTGAAAGACAACCTTTAGACTATGACTCTCGTGAAGACTGAGCAAAGCAACAAGAAAATCTGCATTGATCTTGTTATTCGATGCACTTGGATGGTCAAGAAGGTACTCCATTTGCTTCAGAACAAGCTCCAGGTAACCAACAATGTCGATTTCGCTCCCGAGACAATTTAGAATTCTGCTACCAAAGAAAGCTGATTTTAGCATTTGCTGCTCCAACTTCGTTTTGGAGTGCCTAACATAGTTGGCCAATGCTGCAGGATTTTCGCCCAAAGCATGAATCAAGAAGGCTCGACAAATTCGGCCTTCTGGCTTGTCTTGTAGAAGTTTGGTAAAGCTCAAAATGTGCGTCACTAGCACAAAAGAATCTCCCAGAATCAAGACCAGTTGCCTTTTGACAGTTTGCGGCAGTGACGGGAAGGCGGGTATCACGTATTTAACTATTACCGCGGCGGCTTCCAAACTTAGTTGTTGATCTTTGCTGATTACCGCCAGGGACCTAGACGTGTCTTCGGCAGAGGGCTGAGACTTGAGAAGCTCAAGTGCAGCATGGGCATCAAGCTCTAACATAGAGGGCTAGTACTCTTCTTTCAGACGTGAAGGGCAAGTGTTTTAGTTGTAGCTTCAACTTTAGAATAGGCGCACTACGCACGAAAACGTATACAAGACTTATTAATTAAGTGCGTTATTAAGCGTAAGCGTAAATTACACATCAGACATAGCCATGCGCAGTGTCGATTGATTCCAGCACAATGAATGTAGCAAAGAATCTGAAAAAATTACTGCAATGTTCCCTATAAATCATGGGAAATTTTTACTCCAAAGCACCCCTGATGAGTTGATGGCATATTTGTAGCACGTCTTGTAAGTGCCATTATTCGAAAACTAACAGAGTAGTATTTTCTTCCACTTCTCCAAAAGCCCAATAATAAATATATAGCTACTTGGTGCCTCTCGGCTCTCAAAGAAAAGAGCCACCAATAATCGTAATTCCGGTACGAAGCCGATGGTTTCAAAGAAAAAAGCTGAACACGGCCAATTGCGGACTTATGGAGGGGCTTGAAGTGTATACGTACAAGTTATAGCTACAGCTATGAAAATTAGACAATTTTCGCAGATTCAAATCGCCGATCTTTATGGGGGACAGTAATATTTGATGAATAACAAACGTGCGTGTGAAGTGATATGCATGTTATGTAAACGTCTGTGGGAACTCTTTATTTTCATAACATTGAATTGTTCTAACTGCGGTTCCTAATTTGATATATATATATATTCTTTGTATAATAAATACAGGATCTCTCAAGGCGTGCATTTCACGAATAAGCTAAGTCACAGACTGACGACAGCACTAATGGGCGAGAGAGATGCTGCGCTGAATGATATCAATTTGAATACGCCTGTCCCGAGCCTGAAGACCAAGGACACTCCACATGATAACTTTTTAGAAACCGCAGATATGAATGGGGAGAATTGTGCTGCAAACAGCTTTTCAGGACCAATCGGTTCAGAATATGCGTCAGAAGCTTCGAAGTATACTTCGGTTATTGAGGGATTCTTGAAATGTCCCAGTTTGAACAAGTTCGAAACCGTGAGCGAAAGTCTGACACGTCTATACAGGGCGTACATGTGGAAACACCATTTCAAGAAAGTTCGGGAATTGACTAAAAGAAATATGCTAGCTGTTATCAAGCTTCTTGAAATTGGAGAGACCAACCTCGCCGCGCGTGGCGTCATGCTTGTGTTTAATGAAACAAACCCGCACCAAATAAACACACTCGATCAGCTTCTCCTGGCGGATTTCACGTCTTGCAATAATTACTATCTTTTGGCACTAAAGCTGCTCGCTTTGCAGATCATAATAAAGGGCAGAACACACGACGCGCACTGCGAAACAATCCTAACAGTGTTCGCTAAAGACTCCAGATATTTACTCAAAGGTGGAAAGACTAAAATAAGTTCCATGTCAAAGGTGCTGCTCAACTTCTTCTCTCTTCTTCCCAAGTACAAAGCTCTTTTTGGGCTCAAGTTTCTCCAGTATGTCAGACAATTTGACCTTGACTACAAGAGCTTTATCAAAAACATGTCCCTTCCTCAATTTCAAACCCTGATCCAAAAGTGGGCCAAGACTTCGATTTCGGATATAGAGGAGTTTTTAAATCTTTACTACGTGAGTTACTCGAGGCATTTTGCAACAGCCGATAAATTAATGCTTCGTGACATTGTGGAGCACAAAACGGTAAACCGTATAAAAGCTCTGCCTGGACTGTTCAACTCGCTTTCCATACACCAGTGGAACTCGCATTTGAAGACACTATCCTCAATGTCAAATAATGAACAAAACTCGTTGGTAGAATTTGTTGAAGTAAAAATACATGAAAAGGCCTGCAGCGTACCGAAAGTCGCCTCATTAGTATTAAACTTCATGCAATTTGCCAATGCTCGATTCGTGCCGGCCTCGAGTCATTTTTGGAGACTTTTTGACAAGTTAACAGTTTTTTTGAACAGCAACCTCGAAACAATCGCTATGCATGTGCTAAAGGAATTGATGGAGAGTATGTCCGAGTTCTGTTTGAATAATATGGAGTTAAAAAGACTCCTAAACATTGCTAATGTTGCTTACAATGCTTTTATTATTCACAAAATGGAAGTTTTTTTAATGGAGGCTGCCAGATTTGACCGCCTAAGTCAGACAATGACCGAGGGTTTGGATCTTAATCTCTCAAAGCTTGAGAAATTTATGTCTTGTGTGTCGAATAATTACCGTGTCGAGCTTTTCAATTCATTATTCAACGTCTTTACCTGTTTCAGGTACGACACACTTGCTCCATTATTAGAAATGGTAGGAAAGTTTTCGAAATGCTACAAGCTCCTCAGGCTACCGTCGCTTCATTGTCTGAATGGTGCGTCAGAACTGATGATATGCCTCCTAAGCACATCACAATCGCTTGATCTCGAGGCTATTCCCCACTGGAGCCCCTTATGCCAAATGATGTACTATTCGCACGAGAAATCAAGAAAAGGCAACGACACCCACGTCTCAAACAAAAAAGACGAGTTAGATCCTCTTAAATTATATGAACCCTTAGTGAGAACTGCCTACTATCTGGGATTGGAGAGAGAACAAGAAGCTTGCCTGCGCCTCCCTAAAATAGCAGATGTTTACATTGAAAAATGGGTCAAAAGACCGATATCTTCCGACGAGGACATTAGTGCCTTCGAGATCTCTTTGATACAAGTACTTTTTGGAGCTTTGAAATTTAATAAATTTTACAGGAAAGTGATCAGTTTAGCTGAGGCGTTGTTATCGTCAAACAAATCTTACTTTGAAAAGTGCGCCGAATTTTCTCAGGGGCAACTGGTATTTGCATACGCCGGTCTGCAGATGAAAAAGAACACACTCGAAAGTATTCGCAAACTGCGATTCATGAGCCACTCACCGGTTATTACAGACATGAATGTTAATGAAGCATCTGATTTTGTTGAGGTTCGGCTGCTGTCTTTCGAAGAGCATAAAGATTATACCGCATTCAATAAATTCTTTAACCAGGACCTTCCCAAATCAAGGAGAGAAATGCTTGATGTAGGTAATGTGACGAAGATGCCAACGAAAAGCTACCTTAGAGTCCTGTTGCTAAACATCAAAATTTTGAACACTGCTTCAACATTACAACTGCACAACAATAACATGAAGGCTGCTCTGATTGAATCTAAGAGGTCACTTAAGCTGTGTCAGACGCTTTTGAAGAAAGTTTCAAAGCTCGACCAACAGGTTAAATGGGAGCTCCTAACGTGCCTTGGAAAGTCTTTCACAGATATAATCAAGATATACACCCAAGTGGGGATATCCAAAGATTGTGAATTTTATGTGACAGAGTACCTAAGATTTGCTTGTTCGATAAACATACCTATTTTAGTCCACGATTGTTTGCACGTATCACTCAATTACTACAAGCTAACGGGGCAAAGCGGCTTGATACATACGCTTTTGAAAAAGGCCAACTCAATGTTTGACAAGCTTGACGGAAGCGAAAATATTGAAGCACTTTCAAAGTTTTTGCTTAACAACAACGAAGGTGAAAAGCTTTTAAACTCTCTTAATTTATTTTTCAAGGACCAAACGACCGAAACACTTCTTTACGACTACTGGAAGCTTCAACTGGGTGAAACACTTTCTTATTCGCATGCCGATCCTCTTTTCAATAAAATCAATGATATAAACAAAGGCAAAAAGCTGTATGCTAAAATTGCGAGACAGATGGACACCGATCCATTTTTTGGAAGTATGAAAGAGTCTGTCACTGCAATTCCTTCATGTGCCCTACCAGCTCAACAATCAAAAGTTCTTCATCCGGGAAAGAACGAATTCGACACTCCAGTTAAAAGAAAGCTCTTTCCATTTGCGAGCACAAATTCGCCGAGACCATCTTCCTTGACTCCACGAGGCAAGTCGCTTAAACAGAATTTCGACCGTGCTCGTACTGTCAACGACTTAAAAATTGTTATTAATTTGATCGAGGCTCTGGACTTAAAAGGGATGAAAAATTTCGAAATCAGAGACGCATCTGATCTCTACTCCTTATCACTCTCGCTAATGAGTAGTATTACCGTTTCGAAAGTAAGTGCAATAGTTTTAGATCAGAAGCTAGCTCTCAGCGATATCCCAAAATTTCTGCCGTTGCACTTTGATAAGGTCTTCACCAGTCTGGGCAATGAAATCTACGCATCTTTCGCTCCCAATGTAATCGAGACTGAAAGCCTTTCAATCAATGCCGAAATACAAAATCTGCTGGAATCCCAATCAATCTTATTCTCCACTTGTCAGGAAGCATTTAACATCATCACAATAGATGTTTGCGGTATCACAGGTGATTTAATGCTATCCAAATTGGAGTCCAACAAAAATCCCATTTGCTTAAGGCTACCTGTAAGTCGACACAGCTCTAGAGACGTCGACGAAACTCCATTCAAATTTGAAGATGCCATTCGTGAACTAAAGTGCATCATTGAAGAAAGCAATAGATCAACATCAATCGAGGTCACTTCTAAGATAAATACAAAAGAGGAGCGAAAAGAATGGTGGCAACACCGTTATGGGCTTGATTCTAGATTAAAAACACTATTGACAAAAATAGAACGCAGTTGGTTTTGCGGCTTCAAGACATTTTTCAGTCAATGCCTTGTGGAGCAAAAATATCTCGATAGTTTCAGAATAAAGTTCGAAGAAATACTTCAACAAACGTTGCCGACAAGAAAACAGTTCGGCAGTCCTGATCACTTTCTTCGTATTGACGACGTGATACTTGAGTTATTACTGAAATTGAATCCAACCGATAAGGATTTCATGGAACTGATGGAGGATGTTATTTTTTTTGTCTTCGACCTTTTGCTTTTCCACGGTGAAGAAAATGCTTATGATGAAGTTGATACCAATCTCTTGCATGTACAGCTGGAAGAGCTAATCAAAGATTACCATAAAGAGGTTACTTCTCCCAACATACTCTCCCACACCTTTCTCGTGGTATGCAGTGCAGGTCACTTGATACCTTGGGAAAGCTTGAGCTTTCTGGCAGATACTTCCGTAAGCCGCATTCCTTGTATTCAAAGTCTAGCCGATATTTTACAGAAACGTCAGTTGCCTCTTTCACCAACCATTGACCTAAATGAGAAAATGTCAATGATTTTAAACCCCGATGGCGACCTAATACGCACTCAAGAAAATTTCAAGGGAGTCTTTGAGCAATGGAAAGATGCTGTACCCCATTCAAGTCTCTTAGTCGGGAAAAAACCGGAGGAAGCCCAGTTAGTTGATATGTTAATCTGCTCCAAGGTTTTCATCTACGTTGGTCACGGAGGAGGTGAGCAATATGTGAGACTTAAAAAGATTAAAGAGCTAGATTCAGCAGCCCCCAGTTTCTTGTTGGGGTGCTCATCGGCATACATGGATAGTAGAGGAAAATTGGAGCCCTCTGGAGTTATCTATTCTTATTTACTTGGCGGCTCGTCCATGGTGGTTGGTAATTTGTGGGACGTTACTGACAAAGATATCGATAAATTTAGTGGTGCTATGTTTGGCGAGCTGGGACTGATGGGCGAAGGAAAGGAAGGAAAAACGGTCTCGCAAGCGGTCTCCCTTGCCAGAAATTCTTGCCATTTAAAGTATCTCAACGGCGCAGCACCGGTGGTTTACGGCCTACCGTTAAAGTTCAGACGTTAAGTAGGTGTCATTTAAAAATATTATTCAACGAAGGCCAGCAATTTATACATCATGAAACAAAGTACTTTGTGATTTTTTATTTCCAGAAAGATTCCAGCACGGCTACCTTTGAAAAGGCCTTGTAGTGTCGGATCATCTATATGGCCAAAATTTAAAGTAGTCCTCCCTTTGCTGTCTACTATTAACTTATCAGATAGACCCGAATCACTGATTACCCTTATGTCGTAATTCTGAGAGTCTCGCCCCACATCTCTGTTTGAAATTTGAAGAAGCCCTTGATGCACTTTGTCGATCAAGGTTCTTTTGCTGAGTTCAGCTATCGAAATTGAAGGTTGAAGAATTTCAGTGTGACTTATGTGCCGTATTGTAGCGTTGAGCGACGATGTCGGGACCCACTTCATAAAGCTAGCACCTTGCTTTCGAAGCAGTGTCTCATTGTTGCTGACATAAGATGTGGGTCCGCCACTGAAATGCTGGGCGTAGGAATCGACACCAAAACTTTTCTTACCATCATCAGACTTGTCCACAAGCTTGACCTGTAGAAGCAATTCCTTGGGAGCCCTCACGCGCGTGAGTTTATCAAGCCGCATTGGAGATGACAGTAATTGTGCAAACAGATTTCCCTTCAATGTCGTTTTGAAATATGATGGTCGCGGGACACTGTCAACGCTTCTAAAATAAAGTTTCCGTGGCTTACCAGCCCATTTTTCAAAGTTCGAGATAAGAGGTGAACGCTCACATTCAGGTTTGTGGGCTGCACGACCGGTTTTCTGGAGTCTTTTACCAATCAAGTTTTCCCAAGTATGAGCTAGAGCTTCGGACTTCCCCATACTACTTCACAACGAGATTTTTTATATATATACCAACATTCGGCCCTTGGGCTACTGCGATGGCTCGGGAGAAAGAATGTAATGTGGCCGATTGTTGAGCTTAACGAGTTAATCATATATTGCATAAAGGTACTTTTTGAAAAAATTCATTGTTCAATATTCAAAAACTGAAATTGGAAATCAAAAACCAGCTTTCAAGAGCTGTTATAAGCTCCAATTCGACCTGTCAGCACCTATGAGGTTCCCAATTGCTCGGTTTCAGTCGACAATCGAAAGAAGCGCGGTAATACAACAAAAATTCAAAGATTCGATGGCTCGTATGGGTAGTCAAGCTACGATTTTAACGTCTGCAGGCAAAAAATCACTTCCACACACTTTGTTTCGAGGCGTAACGCTGTCTTCAGTGAGCTCGCTATCGCTGAAGCCCATGCCATTATTGCAGTTTAATCTGCAGCTGCCATCTTTCACATCGGAATCTCTACATTTGCATGAATATTTCGCTATACATTTGTTGAAGCCAGATGCTGAATCAATGGCTTTGGCCAGAACTTTCAGCAAAGGTGCTATGAAGCACCACGTTAGTGGTGAAGTAGTACCCACTCAGCCTTTTAGAGATCTCACAGATGAAGTACACTATGACACCTATCCTTTGAAGCACAGTGGACTGGTAGTGCCGGTATTGACGAACTCAGAGCGAGTATTCGTTTGCCAGAAAAAGGACGTTTTCAGGGTCGGGGACCATGAAATTTGGGTGGGCAAGGTCGAGGACATCATCGAGAATAGCGCGCTGGGCGCCACAGTTAGCGGTGGGCTACTCTACTGTAATAGGAGATTTCATAAGCTCGGGGGGCACATTGAATGAAAAGAATGGTTGCTGAGAAACCGGGAACCGTATTTAAAAGTTGTTAAAAAATACTAGCATTAGAAGAGATTCAAGCATTACATATGCAATATTCAATGAAACGACGTGTTCGACAAAATTAAAAAAATTATATGCTGATGGTCACATTTCAAGGACTTCTATTGCGATCCCGATACAATGATTGATTTACGTTAAACGCATCGGCGTCATCGTTTTCTTCGATCCTGTTGCCGGACATGAAATAGTCAGTCATGTTATTGTTACTCACATCTCCACCTTTCTTGGAAAACAGAAGGCTATTAAGTGAACTGAATGAAACGTTCTTTTTGTGTTTTCTCATCTGCTGAGCATTACCTGCGAGCAAACTTTGGGAGCTATTGCCGGCTTTTGGGCTTGAATAAACATTGGACGGTGGCTCATTTATTATAGCGCCCATGTTTCCAGTGCTCAAATTTTTACGCAAATTGTGGACAGGAGCGCCTCTGTTTATCTGACCACCTTCCGCCATCCTTTGATTTGCGTTAGTACGATCACTGGACTGTTCATTTATATTGCTTTTGTCCAACCTCTCGTTTGAAAACTCACGGTCGTTCAATCTAACCATGGGCACGACAGGCGCTTGATTTTGTCCTTGCGCAGCGGCAGCGTGTTCTGCGGCCGGATCTAGACCGGGCGTCGATCCTTGAGAAGTTGGTGCTACAGGGATGGCAAAATATCCTCCTCCACTACTACCGGACACATGACTGCTGGGTGAATTCAAAACTTGGTTTCCAGACCCATCGGAACTTGCACCGCTTGCTGCTAGGCCAGGAGTTCTTTTTGGTGTTTGTACAGGGGTTCTATTGACAGGCGTAGCATGGTTGCTACCTGGCGTTTGCCCAGGGGTAGCATGATTGCTACCAGGCGTTTGTCCAGGGGTTCTACTAATGGGTGTAATGCCATTGCTCGTTATCACATAGCCTTGCTTCGTCGGTGATAAAGCAGACTGGCCACCAGTCCCCGGGGTATTGGATGGACTGGGTGACATTCTGGGCGATGAAAGCTCGGACAAACTTTTAACGGAAGGTGTGCGGCCTTCTCCTGCTGTTATCAAGTTACCGTTATCGTCAATAGATGGCGTATTGATCTTTGCTCTGGCCAATGCCGAAGCTGCAAAATCCTGTGCACCCAAATGAATATACTGCGGTTTGCCTCGACTGCCAGGTGCCTTAATGGATGACGGCTTTTCAAACTTCTTGGCATCAGCGCCCATTTTTAACAGATTGACTGAGCTAGCACGATTATGAGCACGGAAGATCTTCTCTTCAATGAATTTGGCTCTATCCGCTGAATTGTTGAAGCTACTCAAGTGCTTAACCTCAGAAACCCACTTCTTTAATTCTTTGGAGTCTTCTGCGCTGTGCCCACTACCAGCCACTTTGAAGACCCACGTTGCAACATCATCAGAGCTTTCCTTTTCCTTTTCCTTTGGAAGAGGTCCCCCACCGCTTGGTCCAGATAAAGAGGTATGGCGAATACCGTGGTCTTTTTTATGACCCGGCGTTTTGGCAGTGCTCTTCAGAAATTTTTGAATAGACGATGTAGATTTCGAAATTATTTTGCTGGTCTCGGCAGATTTTTTATCAAAATTACTGGAGGAAGTTACTCCTCGAATGCAAAATTTGTGCTCTGTTACTTCCACCACTTGCGCACTATTCAAGTGAAGACTCATCACTGGTACCATGCCTCTTTTCTTGCTACCAGTCTGTACCTCACCATGATCTTTCTTTTCTGATGTTTCTTGCGACAACTTGAAAAAGTTACTAGACTTGAATTCGTGGAGGTAGTTGCTCGTTAAGACGAAGTAACCCTTATTGTAGTTCTTGAGAATTTGGGATTTCTTCAGTAAATAGCCAGCCTTAATGCATTTAGCCAGTGAGGACTTCATCCTTGGGTATCGTATATCAGATAGTTTTCTTGGCTGTGGTATCGGTTCTGTTGATTTCCAGTCTATCATGCATTTTGGATGATGACCAACAAAATGGTCCCATTCCGTAGCTGGTGGCTTACTCAAAATACCTTGGTGCAATTCATTGCAAAGGTTACTGATTGAGACGCGTGCGGATGTGCTAACCAAAGCGGAGTAGCGTTGTAAAGTATGCTGGATTTCGCCGTATATGATTTTTTCAAGTTCCATACCCGACGATTGAAGATTGATGAAAGCTTCTTGCAAATAGTTTTCTTCTAAAAGCTGGCGCTTCAATTGTAAATCTAGTTGAAGTTTGAGCAAATAGGGGTCGTGCTTAGGTTTCAGTTTTTGGCCTTTAAATTTGAGCAGATTCTGTTCGTCAGTGTTGGTAGACATAAACTTTACGGCAGCCATGTATTTTTGTAACAACTGGCCTGTAAGAGCAATGTGTTCCCCGATGTTAGTTCTGAAATCGTTATGCAAGTCTTTGATTTCCTTGATCTTGAGCTGTAAGTCTTTGCGAAGATCGTCGAGTTTGGGAACAACCACAGTGCTTATTTCTTTGGACATTTTGATCTGCTGGTTGCCCATGGAGGAATGGTATTTCTTCAAGATGACTTGAATATCCTCGATGGAACCAGAACCGAATTTCATGAACCCGGACGAGGCCGATGCATTGTCACCAGGAGCCATGGGCATGTTTGGTTTCAAATCCGAAGGCTGGAGAGAGGAGGTAGAAGCGTTAGAACCCGCAATATCGTCCTCCAAGTTTCTGAGCAAGCCAGGACTGGGTTGCGCTTGGCCAGGCTTCTTAGCCCTTTGCTGGAATGGGTCTATAATACGGTTTGTAGATTCTTCAAGATCAGTGAGAAACGAGAACTTTACGTTGCTTCTGAGGCCGTAGTTGATCCGTGCAAACCGCTCCTGTGCATAGGCTACCTCGCGCAGGTAGTTGGCCAAGCCCTTTAGTATTTTGCGCCATTTGCTGAACCGATCAAGCAGGATATCCGTCGGGTACTCGCGTACATAGCCTGTGGTTAGATCCTGCCCCGATTCACTGCCCTCAGGACCGAGCTGGCTTGGTGTCGGCACGTTCACAAAGTATGGAGAGTGAAAGTCTGTCTTGGGCAAAATGGTTTCGCTGTCGTCAGAGGCGTCTGCTAGATCCATCAAATAGCCCGAGTCTGTGGAAAACAGACTGCTTGCATCGTCCTGGTCTGTTTCTGGCGCCAGGTAGCTCATGGAGGGGTCTCCATCGTGAGGCCCAACTTCCGAGTTTATCATTTGTGGAACCGAAAGCAATGTATTCGAGTTAGCCCGTGTGGGTGCAATATCAGATCTAATCCAACAGTACTAGCAGCACAGTTATCCCTTCGCTACTTAGCCGTTCAACTGCACCTGTTGCAGTCCCTGCTTAACACAAACAACTGGCAAGAATACGTTCTAGGACTCGTTGAGCTTTCAAAATCGCAATTTTATGTTCAGATCAAGAATTGCACATTGTTAAATTTATTCAGAGCCCCTTTTATATTTAGATCATTGATCAACTGATATTTTTATGTCACAACAAAAGTACAGAAGTACTCGCCTGAAAAACTAGGATGAAGAACATTGACGACGAGAGCATAAGTGGAGGTGCGATTGCTACGAGAGCTCCTGAAGCGGGATGGCCTCGTACGTTTGAGCGTTGAATGATGGTGGATAAAGTTTTCGGAACCTGGGTTTCCACCATCGGGTGGTTAAGTAACGATTTAACGCGGAATTTCACAGGGTCCTCCTACATGGCTGTCTAAAGCGACAGCACCATCAACATCATCTGATGAAGCTCGCGGAAGGACGGGAAAAAATATGGCTAAAGCGGTGAAAGGAAGTCAGCAAAGAGGTCTGCAGGTCGAATGTGTATCGCGGAAAATAATAGGAAATATCTGTACTGGAACCGCAGGTTCAGTGTATCATATTGTTTATTGGAAATAATTACATCTGTAGGTAGTATTTGGGAGGCGGGAAAAGCAGTGGAGATAGTGGTGCGTCGAATTATACGTGCGAAGACCGTAGCAAAAGGCGGATTACTAGCTTGGCAGTTACTTTAACGCACTTTGCACAATTTTCGGTCGCCTAATCTTGTTGTATTTCAATGGTGCATCCAGTTAAGTAAGTTGGTAGCACCGCAAGTTTTGTGCTGAGTGCCGGTCCGTTTTATGGCTGTGGCTGGTTGCTAGTATTCAGTGCACCTCGGTGGCAGGCTTGTCCTGCACACGCTTACTCTTAGTGAGGATATCTTTCGCCACGCACAGCATCCGGCAAAACCACACCAGATTCAAAACGTCCAGGATAAAGTTACCGGACACGATAGTAAAAGTCTCCAGAGGCAGGAACCGGGGGTCGTGGCGGATGTGCCAGAAATCGCAACACAAATTGAAAATTTGGTACCACCCCCAAGCGATACGCGCTCCAAAGAAAACCATGATCAAAACCACGTTATTCAACAGCTGCACCAAGTTCAGCAAACGCGCCACCAAGCTCTTGTTAGCATCCGACACTTGCGGGAAGAACTTGATGCCGAACCAGCGGAAATTCAAAAATGGATTGGACAATTCAAACATCAGGAAAGCAGGAGCGTAGAACTGAATGTAAGGTTTCAAGCCAATCGAAAACATCAACGCCGAAACCACGCCATGTAGCACAAAGGGCGCGGTAGAGTAAGCCATCGAGATCATAGCGTCCCACACAAAATAACCGATCGCAAAAACACAGATCACATCTGTGTCCATTTCGTGGTGGAAAACCCGCATTTGTGCATTTGGGTGCGTTGTGCCATGGCCGTGCGTGTTCAGGTACGTCAGACACAAGTACAGGATCACAAAGCTTTGCACAAGACTCACAAAGTGCAATGCGGCCTGGTTCACCAGACCCATATGGCCGCGGCGCGAGTGGTCCTTGCTGTGCGAGAGTCTCCAGCGCACTAGAGGAGGGAATATAAACCATTTGCTCACCAGAAACACCAAATGGTACCCAAGTGCCACGTAAACCGTCGAATGCAGGTTTGCGAGAATTTTGGTCGACGAAATCACATTTTTTGAAGCCAAAAACTTCACTATCTCATCCCAGAACGCTCCAGGCGGGCCCATACTCATCAGACGCGATACGCAAGCCTCCATGACGATTCAAAGACACGCTTTCAATGGAAAAGAAGGAACGGGTACTCAAACTCACTAGTTTTCGAGCTCTCGAGATGTTCGTTCCAGAAAATTAGAAATCTGATCAAGCGCATATGAAAATTGAAATAGTATTTTTTGATACTTTTTGAAAAGATAGGGTATGTACTTCAACTGTCGGCCAATAGTGTCACCAGCGTGCTATACAGTAGCAGGTGAATAGTTGAAACCGGTTGAAAAGAGCTAGAATGCCGGTCTTCGCAGGAAAATTGAATGCTTCCTTGTACATAATCCAGTAAAATTGAGAATTACTTCCTGGAAGTCTAGATAGAGAGATTGGTATAACAGAAGTTATACCGGTTGCTCGGCTCGTTTGTTGCAAGAAACGTTCCTGATTTTGCAGGTTTTAGCAGTAATCACAAGTACCCGAGACTCGTCGGGAAAGGCTGTCATAACTCTCAAGGTACTTTGTAATTACAGCACTGGACATTGGAAAGCAAAGCAACCCCCCAACAATTAAAGCATAGCCGAACTGATTACAATTCAAACACCTGGGAATTTTATATCACCCGCTGTTTTTCAAAATCATTCATTACACATTCCTACACTAAACGTCGCTGGTGCACGCACTCGCTTCTCATTTATAGGTGTCAACAACGTATCTACCGACAATTTGGCCCTTTTCCATCTTTTGGAACACGTCTGCTAGTTCCGACAACCCGACAATCTTGATTGGAGACTTGACCAAACCACGAACGAAGAAGTCCAAAGCCTCTCTGGTGTCAGCTCTGTTACCAACGTAAGAACCAACAATGGAAATGGACTTGACAACCTGGTTGAAAACGTCTGATTTGCACTTGGCGCCACCTGGTAGACCGACTAGCACTACTGTACCGTTGGATCTCACGTAACGAGTTGAAGATTCGATGGCAGCCTCCGAAACGGAAACGTTGATGACACCGTGAGCACCACCGTTTGTGGCCGCTAGCACATCCTTTTCAACATCCTTGGACTTGCGGAAGTCGATAAAGACCTCCCCGCCCAACTTCGAGAACAATTCCTCTTTTTCGTCGCCGCCATCAATACCCACGACACGGTAGCCCATGGCTTTGGCGTATTGCACAGCCAAGGAACCCAAACCACCACAAGCACCCGAAATAGCCACCCACTCTCCAGCGCGCAAGTGGGCAGACTTCAAAGCCTTGTATACGGTGACACCAGCACACAAGATTGGAGCCACCTCCGCCAAATCTGCGCCCTTTGGAATCCTCGCAGCTTGCACAGCATCGGCTGTACAGTATTGCTGAAACGACCCGTCGTGGGTGTAGCCGGACAAATCTGCCTCTGGGCAGTTGGACTCATTTCCAAGCTCGCACGACTCACACGACATGCACGAGCCGTTCAACCACTTGACACCGGCCAAGTCGCCGACTTTCCAGCCCTTGACGTTTTCGCCCATGGCGACAACCACGCCGGCACCCTCGTGGCCCCCGACCAAAGGTAGCTTGGTGTCCAAGGGCCAATCGCCTTTCCAGGCGTGCAAGTCCGTGTGACACACACCGGAATACTTGATGTTGATAAGCAGCTCAGTAGGCTTAGGGGTTGGAACTTCGATGTCTTTGTACTCCAGGTCGCCGCCGTTGGTATAGAAAACAATTGCCTTCTGGGTCTTGGGAATAGTTTCAGACATGTTAAGAGATGCGATTGAAGAAAGTTTGAATGGTTGTCTAAGCTAATTTGTGAGAATAGCTTGGGTTGATAAAAACTTACTTTGCAAAACGCAATTATTATTGACAAACAGCCTTCAGCCGCTCCTTTATATATACATCGCCCTGCCTCTCGTCGCTGCCAGTCAGTCAGTCAGTCAGTCTGAAGTCCGTTCTAATGGTGTTATGCTTTCTCGGTCCTTGTTAGGTGTCATGCAATCCTCAAGCCCCGGCGCGAGCCCAACAACGGAAGCCACGCAGTTTGTCACTTTCACTGGACGTTTACGGCCAACTGGCCTGACCCTGGGCTTGGTCGTGTCTTCCACGAATCAAACTACTGCGAAAAAGCGGGAAAAGGGAGCAAATCATCCGCACCCTCTTAGGCTTCCGCGAATTATACTAAGAAATTTCAACAGCATCGCTGCAAAGGCAGCCCTTGTAAGACCAATATTGTCAAACAAAGGAAGGATGAGCAAGCACGATATTGGCAACTGGAATAATCGGGATTGAGGAGGTCCTTTGCGGAAATTGGGTAGTACCCGGCACTTCAACTAATGATACCACTGGAAAAATTTTGACCCTCAAGGAACACTCAGAGAAACAACAACAGCATTGGTGCGTTTGTGGGGTGATTGGTAGATGCAAGAATTTACGGAAGGTTGGCAATGTGTGGGGATGTGTTAGGTATGTGGTATGTATAGAGATGGTGTAACGACAATGGGTTGATGATAGATTTTGGAAATTCCGGATTTTTAAATTGGGACGACAAAATTGTACAGAGTGATCTGGTGAAGAATTGGCAGTTGTATGTAAAGCGTCCAGTAGATTACATCCAAATACGATGCTCGATCATTCTAAGACCCTTTTGCTAGTTTCTCTGGCATATTTATTGCATCTATAAATGGCAAAAAACTAGCTATATTGCGCGAACCAGCCACGCAGCCGATAGACCCAGCTCTCTCCGCGAAATTTCATCAAACCTTTGAGTTTTGCTCCTCAAGAGCAGCGTTTTCGATGAGTTTTGTGTTTGGCTTCTTAGAATACGTCGAGATGTGGTCGCAAGAGTCACGCACCTCGAGCACAGTCTTGGAAGATTTCTCCATAACCACTTGGTGGGCTCTGTAGGCGGATAATCCCTTGGTGAATAATTTATCCATGTCTTCTAATGCGATACCCTTGGTCTCGGGCACGAAAAAGAACACGAACGGGACGGCCAGAGCGGCAATTGCAGCGAAGAAGAAAAAAATCCCGAATTTCATCTTGTCGATCATGGTTGTGGTTAATCTTGTCATGATGAAAATGGGGACCCACGACATGGCGGCGTTGATGGCCTGCACAAACGTTCTGATGTTTTGTTCGAAGACCTCGGAACTCCATACGAAAGGACCGCCCGACCATGCCAAAATAAACGATGCCGTCCATATGAACATGAAAGCAATAGCAGCGGTTCCACCGGGACCAGGAACGTTGCCCGGCTTCGTTGGATCGTTGATTTTGAGGTATGTGCCCAAGTACCAGAAACACAGGGAGCACATCGACGCGGATATTAAGAAAGCCTTACGCCTGCCGAAATTGTCCACAATAAATAGGATGTAAATGAAAGTGCAAATGAATTTAACCACGCCAAACATCCCGGACGAAAAGAGAGTAGCATTTGTGCCTTTAACGCCAATGTTGGCAAAGATCTTGGGGGAGTAGTAGTTGATGGACTGAATACCCATAAAATTTGGGATCACCAACAGCATTGAACTGATAATTAATCTGCGGGCGTATTTGCGGTTGCGAACAAACACTTCCTTTGCAGGGTCCATCATTCCAGGCCCAATACTAGCGTTTTGCGATTCCACAGAATCCCGAATGGAGTTAATTTCCCAGATCATGTATCCGTTGTCGTCCGGCAAGTTCCGCAGGAAGCACAGGTTGCGAACCGCTTCCTCGTCGCGATTCATTTGGAACAGCCAACGAGGTGACTCCACCATTATGAACGACCCCGCGAAGAAAAGTCCAGCAGGAATCAATTGCACGCCAATAGGAATGATCCACTGCTTGTTTCCAGGTGGAATGTGCTGGTTGATGCCGTAGTTGATCCAGAAACCCACTAGATCGCCCACACGCCAGCCGATCTCAAAAGCAGCGATGATTTGGCCTCGAATGGGCGCAGGCGAGACTTCACTGAGATACACGACCGTGAGGTTTGTAGATGCACCCACCGTCAAACCCGTGAAGATACGTCCAACGTAGATAGGAGCAAGGCTGCCACGTACCCCCACGAGCATAAGAGCCGCACCAATTGTAGCCAGCCCAGCTGCAATTATCAACGCAACTTTGCGACCCCAGTAGTGCGATAGAGGGTATGACAGCAACGCTCCGAAAAAAGCAGCTGCGTGAAAACACGAAATCAAATTCGAAACCGTGGTATCAGTGGACGTAGTGTTTGGGACGAGCCCGAAATTTTTCAAGAAATATGTGTTGGTGAAGGTTGCGCCCACAAACCCAGTGTCGTAGCCGATCAGCACACTTGCTGTGGAAGCCACCAGCGCAGTGCCGTAGATTCTCCAGTTGTAGACCTCTGGTGGCGTAGGCCGGTCTTCTGTCTTGGCAAAGATGTTTTTCAATTTTACGCCTAGCATATCTTGTTATTAACCTCTCGATGAGCTAGGTACTTTCTTCGCTATTCTCTCTACCTCTTCGATCCCTACCATATCATCTTCCTTATATACGGCAGAACCTCTCGACAATAGCTGTCCATTGGCTCTGTATCATAGCCGTTGAACTACCAATCTCTCGGAGCATCGGCTAGTCTTCAATTTCCCCGCGAAAATAAAACCTCTTGGCTAACAACGGTATAGATCTTCTTCTGCAACAAAATTACTAAGTATCCCTTACTGCCACGAATGACTAAATTTACAACATTTTCTCGGCCAAGAGTTAAAGAAAGCTGCAGGCTTCGATCCACGCACGTAATTCATCAATTGAATGTGGTAGCGGACGTCCGGTTGAGCATTGTGGGTGAGAAACTAAGTGGTTGTTGTTATCTTGACCCCCATATTGAAAGTTTCGTTACAGCCGGCAATTACTGAATGCGGTTTAAGAAGTTATTAGCTGCTATCAAAGCGTTTGAAATTCGGAATGTGTCTATAGAATAATAGGATGAGAATGATATTTTTCACACAGCTGTAATTAAGAAATGCATTAATATTATTTTATTTATCGAACTTGTATAAAATTTGGGTAAAAGAAGGAAGATGGTTTTGGACTGTAGTAGATATACATGGAAGGCGAATGGCTGAATACCTGGCATTTGTAATCTAGCTTGATTGAATTCTCGAATCTGCTCTGCGGATACAATTTTATTCTATACTTCTACACAGATATTCGTATTAATTAGTTGGGCGACCAAATCGAAGGGTTCTTTTTTGATTGTGTGCTCTGCTAGTTAGCAACCTGAGCTCATAAGCAGCATCAGATTTCAACAGCCTTTCAAACTTCAGCGTCTTTCTTGGGAACGAGTTTCTTGGAACCGTAGTAATTACTGATTGCATACGCGACGGCAATGCAAATACCAAGCCCACTCAACCCTATTCCCATGTACCAAGAGCCGCGGTATCCTTTGAGAACGTCTTTGCCGCCGTCGTTTACTTGGGACTCGATGGTGCCGGCAAACCCAAGACCGAGAGAAATGGAATAGTTCACCATTGTGTTAACTAAAGACGCGGCAAGCCCTTGGTGTTCCCGTGGCATGCAATTGCTCAGCATGATCGTAGCCGCAGGAAAAGACATATCCATGCCCCAGGGCATGACTATGATGGACACGAAAGTTTGAGCCCAGTACGTTTGCGCGACGGGAGCCGTGGCGATCAATATTCCACCCACCGTGAAAGCTGTCATTGCGAATAACATTACTGAGCTAGGTGGAAAACGGCTCAGGACGAAACCGGTAGTGATGGCCGCGCATAATCCACTAAAAGCTACGGGAACAATCTGTGCGCTCGACAGGAGCGGACTTTGCTTCCGTAAGTCCTCCATGAACCGCCACAGGTAGAATAGCCAGATTCCAAAGCTGGACCATCCAGCAGCAATGCATGCGAGCACGAAAGCTGCGTCTCTTGAGAGCGCGGCAAACGGTACGAGCGGAAACTTGGAGTGCTTTTCGATAAATGCGAAAGCGACTAAAAACGCAACTCCCACGATTAAGAGTGCATACGTGTATGGAGTGGGCCACCCAACAACAGGGCCTTGGTTCCAAGCGAAATTCACCAGTATTAGTCCAATGACACCTGTAATCGCGCCAGCAACGTCAAGTTGTTCGAGCAAAGGTCTCTCTATCTTGGGTGAGGGTGTATGTGGGATGACCAAGATTCCACTAATGGCCAATGCTAGACATGCAATTGACATGACCCAGTAAGACCATGGCCACCACAACAGCTGGCTGAAAATCGAGGAGAAAACAGCTCCAAGCACAAATCCTCCCGGGGCAGTTGCGCCGAAAATGCTAAAAATGAAATTCTTGCGTTCGCCGGGCTCATATGTTCTACCCAGGATGGCAAGCGCATTTGGGAGCAAGAAGGCCGGGCCGAGCCCTTGGAAAGCGCGACAACAGTCGAAAAAAATCTGGTTGGAATAAACACTGAACCCTGCGAGCAGCGACCACAGGGAATACCACAAGAATCCAAGCACGAACAGTTTCTTGTGGCCATATGTGTCGCCCAGCCTTCCAGCTATCAAGATGAAGGTTCCCACCGTGAGCGAGTAACCAGCTGCAAACCAACTCAACTGGCCCGGGTTTTTGGTCCCGAAACTGTCGCCGATGATCGTAAGCGGGGCAATCGATTGAGCAAGTCCGGCCTGAGTCATGAGTTGTGCGCAAGCTACCACTCCTACAAACATAACTTCGGCCAGTAGCGATTCCGGTTTCGGCACATGGCTTTGGGTTTGTTGTAGCGGGTGGGAGTGGAGTGATTCGCTGCTGCGCTTATCGAGCTTGTTTTCCCGAGAGTCGTCCGACATTGAGTCTGCCAGTGGAATGCCTTTTTGAGACAAAGTTGGAATAATGTTTCTCGAGGGATTTCGGGATGAGCTCTTGAGAATTGACTTTATAGTCGAGGCAGCGCTGACGCAAGTGATGAGAAACTGAATTTCAGTAACTGACTTGAAGTAACTTAAGCCTTTATCTTAGACGAACCCTTCTACTCCAGCTCCTTTTTATACACCAGGACCCTGTCAACAACCGCAATTGCCGCACACTCTTCAGCTATCGTTCATCTGATGTTTTCGATATAGTCCGTGGGCATCGCTTTTCTTCAACAGAATTACGAACTTTGACATATCTTGAGCTTTCCGCAGATCCCGCATTTTCCGCAAATTCCATAAGACATCCGCAATACCCGCAAGCTCATCGCGACCATCGCAAGGCAAGAAAAAACATAACAGGGGAAGGGCATTGGAAGTGGATTGTTGCACAGTGGTAATGGGTTTTGATAACGTCCGGAGTATTTATATGGGCGGGTTGTTTCGAGTTTTGGAAATTCTCGGAGTTCACGTATTTGGCAAGCAATCTCATCTCGACAAGTGATGCCAAAAAACTCGCCCAAACAAATTCCTAAATTCATGAAAGCCATCCAGTTGACTCGGGATTCGGCTAGTATGAGTCCTGTGATAGCATTGAGAGAAGATATCCCAGTTCCAGCTGCAGCGCCAGGGCAGTTGTTGGTCAAAGTCCGGGCGTCAGCGATCCAGCCTAGTGATCTGTGGAATGCACGCGGCGGATTCCCATATACTACGTATCCACGAATCCCAGGGCGCGATTTTGCTGGGATTATTGCAGCGGGCCCACGCTGTGGCGAAGAAGTGTACGGAACGAGCGGTTTCACGCACGCATTTACGGCGGACGGGTTCCACGCCGAATACTGTTTGGTGCCAGAGGACGCGGTTGCGCCAAAACCGAAAAACCTATCGTTCACACAGGCGGCGAGCGTGGGCGTGCCACTCACCACCGCTGCGCTGGTTTTACGCAAGGGATTTGCCAAGTCTTCAGACGTGGTTTTCGTGATCGGGGCTTTTGGCGCAGTGGGTTCTGCGGTGGTGCAATTGGCAAGAGCTCAGGGCTGCACAGTTCTCACCGGATCGCGCGATGACAATGCAGACGTTAACACCAAAGTTGACGAAAATCTGGAAGGTTTGGCGACTTTGACGCAAGGGCGTGGAGTCGATCTTGTGATAGACACGGTCGGAATTCCTGCTTTGACGAAAGCAGCCATTGAGAACCTGGCCCACAGTGGGAGAATCTCCATTATCGCCGCTCCTGGTGACGTGGATTTGGTAGTGGACATGAGGAATTTGTATCGCCAGGAGAAGACGTTGATCGGGTGCAATTCTTTGTCCTACAGCGTGCAAGGTATGGCACAGGAGCTGGCGGCCATGACTTCCAAGTTTGAAGAAGGCACTTTGGTGCCAGGGTCAGAAGATATATGGACCAAGATCGGGCTAGAGCAAGCCGTAGACGTTTGCAAAGGAGTATACAAGGAAGTAGGTAAATTCGTGATAGTCATGGATTAGAATTGGCACGTCCACGGTCCCCTGTACTGTAGGCTCGATATTTTTACATAGAGACCAAAACCTTTATATCATCCATCGAGCAATATGACGAGGTTCGCACTAACCACAAAATTATAATACATAGGATACGTTTCCCTCATGGTGTTTCTGGGAGGTTGGACTTTTGTATAAGTATGATGTTTGTAATAAAAACAGCTCATACCGCTGCTACCAAGTTGAACTTTGGATGCTGGATATCAAAAATTTGAAAAGTCCCGCTGCATGTAATCTAAAGTGTAGGATGGATCTAGTAGAATATCCCAGTTGATTTCCGGCGACTGCATTACTTCAGCGGTGGCCTCACTCAAAGTCGCACCTTCCAAAAGTGCAATCTCATGCCGCTTTTTTTTAACCGAATCACGAAGCAGAAGTTCAACTGTGGCCTCTGCCTCTCTTGCTATGTGCGTACCCAAAATTGTCACAATGTTACCAAGTATTTTCTTTGCATCGACAACGCGTGCGAGACTTTCACGAGTGTCGATAGCCATCAGCGCGCATACATATTGGAAGGAGGCACTGAGAACATTCCACCAAACGTGGTTTCGTTGTACAAGATCCACACTGGCGGTGAGAGCTACGTCTCCAATATCCACTATTTGTCGCACAACGCTGCTATCCAGAAGATGATTCAGCAAGCGAAGGCGGCGGTAAAACGAAAGAGCAAGATCCGCTTTAGTTAGAGATATAAACGGGTGAATTTCCGGCATTTCGTGTATACGCTCCAAAGCGCTCAGTAACTGTGCAACTTGAACATCATTACTAGAGTTTACTTTCTCTTGGGGAATTAAGTGTGCTAGTTCAGCAAGCTGGAACGTGTAATTGTTTTTAGTTGGCGTTGCTGGTAAGCAAGTAATAGTCGTGTTCAATGCGACACAAGAACGCCCGTAATCATAGGATAGAATAGAATTTATGGACCAGGCCGTCCAGAATAATCTTCGTGCCCGCTCTGATTTAGCTTGATCTGGAAGTGAGCTTGTAGTTAATTCGATTTCTTCTGCTTCGTGGTGCAAGGCCGTGGCCTCCGCGAGGTGAATTGTTACACAACTGGCGAGCCACGCAGTGTGTGGCCGTGTAGTGGCTCTGAGATAAATTGTCCGAAGTACCCAGGCGGAAACTTGCTCCACCGTAGGTAGACGGCTGTACTTTGGATCCTCGAGAACGCCTTTCGCATAATGTACCATGTCTGTTTCTCGAGGATGGCCATGATCACCAGAGAAAAAAGATCCTAGTGCCATTATTCCTGCAATGACAGCTCCAAAGGCAGATGTTGAGCGACTATCCCAATAACGTCCAATGCTTTTTTCGATTTGCTTTCGGTCCACTACAGCAAACACAGGATGAACAACGGCAAAATAGGTGTCAACAAAACGCAAGCAATCTCCCTGTGAAACAATGTCCGGCAATATAGGATGAGTGTCGGTGTTTTCCTCGGGCCTGACGCCGCAATTCCATGCAAAAGAGTGCAAGTGGGGTGGATTGGTCGAATTGAGCTCCAGCCCAAGGGCTCGAGGGAACGCAATCGCAGAATTTAAACTCATGTACCTGGATTTGCTTGGGTCAAGGATACCCTTTTTGACGTGGCCAGTAATTCCGTTTTTCTCTAGCTCGACCTCGTCTTTGGCCCTTCTCTCAGCATTCACCACGTATGGTGCTGGCATTTGCACGAAATGTGCAGGATGTCCATCTTCTTTATCGTACTGACAATGATAGCTGTACGCAGTGCACATTCCACAAGGAAGCTCGCCATCACATTTCCGTTTACGCTGTCTACATGGCAAACACGCTTTCCGAGTGCGAAGACGTTTGACGGAAACCGATTTTGCCATCTCACCAGCAGGCTTTATTAAACTAGCGGTTATCCAAAGCAACCGTTGTCATGTGGGAAGGAGGAGTTAATTGACAAAGATCCATTGTCATTAAATCTAAAGTGGATATGAAGCAAAAGACTATCAGTAAAGTCACAAGCGAGTTTCTATGAGTTAAAAAAAGGAGGGAGGAATTCTCGATAAGGTGATAGTTCCTAATTTAATTAAGTAATGGCGAGATTCAGGCGCAAAGTGAGTTGAGCTTTTGAGCAAAGTTTGCTTCGTTACCGTTGGGAAAACGACATTTCAGCATTGTTTGAATTTTTAGAGTTTCTGGGTCTCGAGATTATTCGGCCAATCACTCCGAGTGCTTGCAGTGAAATTAAACAATTATTGGACAACCGTCCCAGGACCATCTTAAGTGGTCCTGATCTTCTCTTCAGTAATCTATACTTGATCGTAACATTTTTTCTAGTCTACAATGTTCATTATCTTCGCTGTAAATATGTTATATGTCCTGCCGGTGCAGAGGAGGTCTAAGAGTATACGCCTGGAGGGAAAATGGCGCCGATTTCCGTGTTGGGTCGCACAGTGCTACGTACGCTTTAAATTAGCGTTGTCGGCATCCTTGGTTGCCAAAAGCATGGCGGCACGATTCATCTGTATTACGTTTGCAATCTGCTTGAAAACGTAACCTGGCAAACATATCACTCCGATAATGGCACCGACGTGAGTGGAGCCGAAAATTGGCAGGCTAAAATGCCATAGTTGCGGGAAGGAATACAGATATAGGGCCAGATAGAAAATTTCGTTGAACGCACATACGGTGAACAAAACGGAACGACGGCTGTAGTAGAGGTACAGGAGCCACTGCTCCTTTTCGATGCTCTTGTGGGAGGCGCCACCGGAGCTTAGCGTGGCGTACATGTGCATGTAGTGGCTCGAGAGGTCCAGAGAGATCAGAAGTTGGAATAGTGGCGCATATTTAGGAAATACCACACACAGATAGCAGATCAAGGAGCTTGTGGTTGATCTATCCGTGACCATATCGAGCACGGCCCCGAAGCCGCTTGTTTGATTGTACTTGCGGGCCATCGTGCCGTCAAGAGCGTCCAAAAGACAAGAGACTCCGTAAATCCAGGTTGTCCATATCGGATGCTTAGCCATCAGAAAAAACGACAGAATCGCGGTAAAGACCCGCGTATATCCAATTTGGTTGGGAATGTACCATAGAACCTGTTTCGCCGTAATATTCGCCATGTTGAGAGCTTGTACTTGGTGAGAACTGAATTCGGAGGTAATCTTGGCAACTTGATTATTAAAGTTGATTTTTTTTTACATACACCGCCCTAAAGAAAATACTTGCAAGGGCGGAAATACACAGTTTAGAGCAAACATATTGTTTACTGGCATTAAGTCTCTCGGTTATAATGTTATGTATCGTTCTAGCCTGTTGCTGGTGAGCTGACAGAAAGCTCGTACTCTTGTGTAAACAAGAGCCATGGCATGGTTTCTACTTCAATCGAACAATCATTATCTCACTTCCTTGCAAGACGACCGTGACGGATGAGACTTTATCAAACGTAAAGGTGACATTAAAAGCTGCCTCATCCCAGATGATGCGGCCTGCAAAGAAACTACATAATAATGTACAAAAATTATCCAAATTCAAGAGTATCTGTAATGAATACTATGTTTAAGTTGACCAAGGTTTCTGCAACGAATGCGTGCCACCGGACGTCACTTCAAAAGAAAAATAGTCTCCTATGACTCGCGAGATGCCGTCAACGTGGGGGATACAACCGCCCACTGTTGCAACTTGCGTGCGAAGGAAGAAAATAATTCCTATAATGACCTCTGGTAGACAAACAAACGCTTCAACAAAACCTCGACCTGTGCGAAATGCGATAAGGGTGGCGGATGTGAAAAAGGGAGTTTTAAAAGTATATTTGATGGAGGGAAACTGGGGGAGAAAAAACTAACACACAATTTCGGACCAGCTTAATTAGCCTCGGAAGCCTTGGCCAATTGGTCTCTCTTGACCTGGGCCTTGACACCGATAAGACCACCACCCCAGTGCTTCTTGACTTCATCGTACTTTTCCAAGTAGTTGGCGTTGACGGTGGAAACGAGCTTGGCTAGAGCAGACTCGTCTTCGTCTCTGACTTCGGTCAAGGCGGCAACAGCAGAGGTCTTTTGGTTAACCAAAGTTCCTAGTCTGGCCTTACCCTTGACAATAGCGTAAGGAACACCCATCTTCTTGCACAAAGCTGGCAAGAAAACGACTAGCTCGATAGGGTCGACATCGTTGGCGATCAACACAAGCTTGGCCTTCTTGTTCTCAACAAGAGAGACAACGTGGTTTAGACCGAACTTGACGGCGTAAGGCTTTGGGGAAGCGTCTTGCTTGGACTTACCTTCGGCGACGGCGGCGGCCTCCTTGGTGAGTCTCTCCTTCTTCTCGGCTTGAGATTCAGGTCTGTACTTGTTGAAGAGCTTGAAAGTCTCAGAAGCAGTGTTTCTGTCCAAAGTGTGTTGGAATTGAGCAATGGTAGGAGGGACCTTCAATCTGATGGACAAGATCTTCTTCTGTCTTTGCAATCTAACGTACTCTGGCCATTTCACGTATCTGGACAAGTTTCTCTTTGGCTGGAGATCTTGACCGATACCGAAACTCTTTGGGGTAGAGTTGGTCAAAGGGTTCTTGGCCTTACCGGCTTTGCCGGCTTTGGAAGCCAATGGAGCTGGAGCGACTTTCTTGGATGGGGCCATTGTTAGATGCTATAGTTGTTTGATGAACACAGTTCCGAAGAAGTCTTTTGAGAAGTAGGAGAAGAGAGTTCTTATACCACTTGCCTTGGATTAGAGAGCGCTAGATTGAGAAATGATGAAAAATTCCAATGTCCAAAACAAGTGCGTCTATCGTTAATAACGTGAAATACGTGGATTTTTGAAACTTTTCGTCAATTTTTTATAAACCCAGAGCTTTTTGTAAAATTGTGGGTGGTGTTTGGGTTAAAAAGCAGTCACAATGTTTTGGCAGGATCCAGAGTTTGGTAACTTTGAGCATCAGTGGACGGTCTCTTGGTTATTCAGAGCAGCAATGATATAGTCTATGCTGCGTCATAGCGGCACGTAGCTCGACTTGTTGGGGATTTATTTATCTATAGCTATGGTGAATAGTTCGTAGATGGAAAGCGTTCACCGCGGCCTTCTGATGCGCTGAAGCGAAACAGATTAGCAGCGGCGACAATTTCATATTTACCACAAGTGGCTAGACCTGCTTGATAGTGCTTGTTCTGGAGAAATTGGCCATTGTGGGACCTTGTATATCGTTGAAGTGACATGTTTGATGATTCGTGTGCTATTTAGTGTAGAGCGATTTGCGTTGGTTAGCGGATGGTAAAGCTTCTTGTTAGAGTCTGTCTCTCTATAGAACGGTGCGTTTCTCTCTCACTGTCTCATTCATTCTTACATACAAACTCACTCTCTCTCTTGACCGCGCCCTCTAGTCGTTCCTCCAAGGGTTTTTCGATCCCCAGGTGTACCTTCTCACGAGCGTATGTGAGTTCTATTCGTCTCGCTAGTCGTGCTCTCCACAACACACCACCTTGACGCCACTCAGCCTCCCCGTTGGTTCTGACGATACCAACAACATGTCGTCTTCATAACCTCTTCATTTAATCGTTCTTACAATCTTCCGAAATGCTCGTGTCGCTGGGAAAAACATTAATTGACTAGTTTACACTTCAGAATATATATATTATACGCGCAAGGCTCAGAGTTTCTTTAACCTCAACCTTAATGTTACATGTTTTTGGCTGCTGTAGAATTGTTCCCCATAGTGTTAACACCATCCTCGACGATGTCGGTCCAGCCTCTACATCTCTCGATGGCCGCCTCCCATAGTTTCCATTTCCGTCTTCTGTCGGTATCCAAAGACTTTGATCTGAAAATTCTGGCTTGCGGTGGCTCAAAACCATCTTTAGGTTTTTCGCCAGGCTCCACGCCGCCGTACATGATCCATTTCTTCACATCTTTCAAATCCTTCCATAACTTGCGATCTTCCCGCTTCTCGTACGCCAATGCAGCTGCAATAGCTGCACCCAAAGCCGTGCACTCAGAACTACTTGACGTTCTAACTGTCACACAAGGCCCCAAAATGTCGGCTTGGATTTGCATAACCTCCTTGGATCTTGACATACCACCATCCACTGCAAGCATTGATAAAGGTGATTTTTCATAAGTCCCTTCCCCGATTTCCTCCAAGAAATCTCTGTCCTTTTGACCTTCACCAGCAGCATCTGAGCTCATAGCTTTCAAAATGGCTCTTGCTTGGAAACAAACACCCTCTACCGCTGCTCTTGCTAAATGGGAGGCAGTTGTGTGCTGCGACATACCCATGATCGTAGCTCTCGCGCTCGCATCCCAATAAGGTGCAAACAACCCGGAGAATGCGGGTACAAATACAACTCCACCACTATCGTTTACCCTTGACGCTAAAGGTCCAATATCTTCTGCCTTTGGAATAAGTCTCAAATTATCACGTAGCCATTGAACCACTGCACCCGCTACTGCCACGGAACCTTCCAACGCAAAATGGGGTTGGGCATGGTCCTTGTCTTCCAAATGTGGGAACCAGTAGCCAAATGTCGTTAAAGCACCGTGGTTAGAAATCAATTTCTTCGCACCAGTATTGTAGAGCAGAAAGCAACCGGTACCATAGGTACATTTGGCGGCACCTGGTTTAAACGCCAACTGACCTACAAGCGATGCGCTTTGATCACCCAGACAACCTTGAATAGGAACCGGGGGAGTTCTACTGGTGAAATCGCATAGCAATGACCACGCAATTGGAGTTAAATTGGTCTTAATACACTCGGGAATAGTGAAATCGCCGTAGTATTCTGCTGAAGAGACGATCTTGGGTAGATGAATCTTATCTCTGGAGATGTCCCAGTATTTCAACAACTCATCGTCGTAATCCAAAGTATCCAGGTTCATGAACCCAGTTCTGGAGGCATTGGTGATATCCGAGACAAAGGCGTGGTTGGAGGTCAAATGGTAAAGCAGCCAAGTATCAACGGTGCCAAACATAAGATCACCGTTTTCATACGCGTCGCGAACGGCAGGCTCGTTGTCCAGCATCCATCGAAGCTTGGAACACGAAAAATACGTGGAGTAGAGGGGGAGACCGGTTTTGGCTCTCAACCGATCCTGCAAGGCCTGTGGCGTGCTGTTACGCTTTTCGGTGACAATGCCAGTGGTACGCGTATCGTTCCAGACAATACCGTAGTTGACAATGGGGGCGCCGGTCTTTTTGGACCATACGAGTGTGGTTTCACGCATGTTGGCGATGCCGATGCATTGGATGCGGTACGGGGCCAGCTTACTGGAGATTCGGTCGCTGTTGACCTTGTTCATGGAGATCAGGTTGGCAGCAAAACACTGCACGACATGGGCGAGAATTCCGATGGGATTGCACTCGACCCAGCCGGGCCGTGGGAAACTGAGCGTGGGGACGCTGGGGCCTTCGAGATCTTCGATTTCCAGAAACTCGGTGGCTTCGATGGCGATACCCTCGGCGGAGAAAATGGGCGTCGAGCTGTTGAGCCGCGATTCTGTCGCTGACGTGCCCGTTCCAGCCCCAGCCGTTCCAGTCCCAGCTCCGGGACTGCTGTTTCCGTCGACGGAGAAGCGACGAGCGCCCACAGAAGCGAATTTCTCCTTGGACGCCGACGTGGAATACTCGATTTGGTGTTTGGACACTTCTTGGCCCAGCATGTTGAAGAGAATGACTCTTGACGACGTAGTTCCAACGTCGATGGATGCCACGAGTGGCACCTCCTGCGAGTGGTCCGGAATGCTCATGCCGCGCTTTGGACTGTCCGATAAGATGTTTTCCAACTTTCAAGTGAGCGTATGCCTAAATTTCGCCCTTAATGTGTATAATATATATATAGATGTTGATCCAAAAATCAACGCGATATGACGATTCTCGGAGTTTTGTCCAGCAAGAAAGCGACCTGGAGACGATCCTGTAATTTTCGCTGGCTGTGCGTGTTGATTCGAGCGTGCACACCGGCGTTCCCATCCTGATCGCGGCTCTGCCATCTTAAATACAGCTTTTTTCGAACCAGACGGCCGGCAGTCCGACACGGCGTGTCGCATGGACAACGGTAAAAGAGGGAATCTGGATTGTTTTTAGTTTTGCGGTGCTGTGCAGTTCTGTGCAGCGCTCGGGGGCCAAAAGGGATGGGGTGGACGGTTTGCTGATGACTGAAGTTGATGTAATTTTCAAGCGTGCGAGCAAGCGGAGGGCTTGTGCGGTTGATTGCGGCGGCCACCGGACCGGCTCGACCACCAGAGATTAGGACAAGAGCGGAAACGAACGCGAGAAATACACGCGCGAGGCGACGCTATATATGTTACAAGATGCACAAGCCAAACGCCGGCAGCAGAGACGTTGAAACGACGTTTGCAAGAGAGCGAGACAAGTGCGCGTCGAAAAGAGGGTTTTGAGAATTTTGAAAAGCCTTCAGGAATGCTTTCAAGACTGGCTTTCTAACGGTCCTCCACTGCCTCCAGCATCGACTCGCCAGGTCATCGTATCGAGTTTTCCGACAAACTGTTTTCATTGCTCTACTGCAATATTTTAATTCCATTGTTTTAATTTGCTACCTGATGGATACTCATTCGAATAATTGAAAAAAGATCGCAAGGTTTAACAAGAATTCGGAAAGATTCGTATCTTTCAAGGACCTCTTGCGTTCCGAAAGCCAGTGAAAACGGCTCCCTACAGCGGTTACACAAGGTTCTCGCCATCACAGGCTTCATATCACTAAACCATGAGCAAGAGAGATACTCCTGAGCCGCAGGACGAACCGCACAAGCAACCGCAGGAATACATGAATGATTATCTGTCGACGAACGATGCCGGGTCGCAGGCGTCGCGGGACTCGACGTCGGACGCCAACCAGCACCACCACAGCAGCAGCAGCAACAACGTTAACAACAGCAGCAACAACTTCCACGGCAGCAGCAACAACGTCCAGAACAACAACAACAACAACAATAACAACAACAACAGCAGCAGTAACAACGTCAACGACATCAACAACAACGACGACGACCACTACATCCCGTCGCGCGACTTTGCTCCACAGCACCGGATCTCTGCGTCTGCGTCGTATGTGCCCCGCAAAAACGGCGGTGAGAACAACGACAGCGGCTACCAGGTCCAACAGGTTGTGCCCAACACTCAGCATGCAATGTCGCGGTCTAACTCTGGCGCGCAGTCCACAGGCTACCGGAACCGGGCCCAAAGCGGCGTCTCCAGCTCCAACATGAACATGCGGTCCCTCAAGTCCAACGCCAACTCCACACAAGATGTCCAGCAGCCAGAGGCGTCTGAAGACCCGCGCGACTCCGATGTTCCGCTCATGATTAAGCCCAAGACGCTGTACCAAAATCCACAGACTCCAACGGTTTTACCCTCTACGTATCATCCCATCAATATGTGGTCCACTTTGAAGCAAACCTATCTGAAAGAATTCCTTGCAGAATTTATGGGCACCATGGTTATGATCTTTTTTGGGTGCTCAGTCGTTTGCCAAGTCCGGTCTGGTCAACAGCAGCAGCGTGTCACTTTCTTGAAGCAATTGGCGAGCTCTCAAGACATTGACGCCGAAAACAAACTTGCGCTATTACAGTATCTTGTCCCGGTAGACATTACCGGTACTTTCGACGACGTGGCTCTCATTTGGGGTGGTGCAGTGGTGATGGGTTATTTCGCAGCAGGTGGTAGTGCTCTTTCAGGTGGTCACATGAATCCTGCAATTACGCTCAGTAATTGCGTTTTCCGCGGATTTCCCTGGCGGAAGGTACCCATCTACTGGTTTGGTCAATTGCTAGGTGCTTATGTCGGCGCCTTGGTCGTATTCATATATTATCAACCGGTCATTGATGCGGTTTACCCCGATTGGAACGGTAACGAAACTGTTCTAAGTATGTTCTGCACCGACCCGCTCGAGTACCTAACTCCTTCTCGCCAGTTCGTCAGTGAACTTGTAGGTGGGGCCGTGTTACAAATCGGAATGTTTGCATTGACTGATCCTTATACTTGCTTAAGATCAGATTTATTTCCACTGATGTTATTTGTATTAATGTTTTGCTTAATTGGTTCTACATCACTTCAAACTGGTGCTGGTATGAATCCTGCAAGAGATTTGGGTCCTAGATTGGCATTGGCTTCCATGGGATTTGAACGAGAAGTGCTATGGACAAATCATCATCATTATTTCTGGGTACCGATAGTTGCTCCTTTCGTAGGTGCTTTGTTAGGCGGCACCGTCTACGATATTTGCATTTATCAAGGTCACGAATCTGTTTTGAATTGGCCCTTCTCTTTGGTCAGGGCAAAGTTGAGGCGAATTTGGGCTCTTCGTCCCCGCTTTTACAAGAGAGAAAAAGAAGATGCGGGTGGAGATATGAGCGATTGGGATTACGATAACGAGAGCAACAACGAAAGTGCTAGAGACACCGACTACGATGAAACTCCAAAGACCGGCTTCTTTTCTGAAAGTGACCCTCAGATTCAAAAACAAGTTCAATTCAAGAGTATGTCTAAAAATTTCAACGGTAAAAGAAACCCCTCCTCTGGTATCCCAACAATTTTTGAAGAAGGCGGTGACGATGACGATGAAGACGATGGTCAGAACAATCAAGCTAGTAAACCCAGCGAGATTGCCCAAAGACCGTCTTTGGCGAAAAGCAAAACGAAATCTAGCGAAAAGAAAGGTAAGCGATATTAATTTTCATAATAGACATGAGACGTTCAAAGTAGTGCAAGGACTTGAAGTCAAGACTGCGTCTTGTTTCTTCAGTTTTTACCAGGTAAAAAATAGGAATAGTATACACACAGTAATTAAGCCGGCTAAAATTACGGCATTCTTCTTTCTCCTAGTGTTAATCTTAGCAATGACTTGGTTAATACCGGGCACTCTTTGGAGGCTGTGTAGCATCTTATCGCTTGCCGATTGGAGTAGAGCTCTTTGCGATGTGAATTGATCTTGTGTTTGCCATGCTTGCGAAATCAGGCTGTCGACCACATTATGTGACTCTTCTATACGGCGCGTCTCATCTTGGATGTAAGCATCCGGACTTTCCTCAGATTGTTGCGCAATGTCTTTTTTAACGCTGAATAGTAGGTTCAACCTGTTCCGTTCTTGTTGGATCGATGATCGTAGGTTTCGAAAGTGCTGCCAATGCTCTTGCAAAACTTCGCGGTGCCGTTGCATTTGTAATGATTTGGATGAAGAGATACCAGGCGTCTCGTCACATATCTTGGCCAAAGAATCTACCACATCTTGTCTTTGAATTAGAACAGTTTCCAACCGGTTGTCAAGGCTCTTTTCGTGAGACGTGGGTTCTGAACTTGTAGTTTGGGCATACTCAGAGTACTTCGACAACAAAGATTCAGTTTGTGATTCTAATGAGATTGCTTGCCCCCTGACAGTAACAAAGGATGCCATTGCTATGCTTGAGTCTTTTGAAACCCTCGGTTATGGAAACAATTGTAGTTTCAATGAGGATTGAATATAAATATCGTTGTTATCAATCTATAAAAACCCGAGAAAATTCAGGGTCGAAGATCGTCAAATAAATGGAAGCCCAGCGTTCAAGATAGTGCTCCAGTTGAGAGCCCACTATACTATTAGTGTCACAACCGTGGACGCTATACCATAGGTCTCTGTTCAAATTATGTAAATAATCGAGGCGTATGACAAAATCTTGTAAATTCAGCAACCGAGACAAGTCGGGCGGGAAGTACACCTGCTTGACTTCTATATCTTGTTCAACTTGGACTTTCCAGACCTTGAAAATTAGCTGGGGTTCTTGATAGATATTTGAGTATTCTACTTGTATTTCGAGCGTGTAGTAAGGAAGTGACAGGTGTTTAACGACAGCGGTGACTACTGCCTTATCATCCGATAATGATACCTTCTGGCATAAAGACCAGCGTCGGAGTGCTGGTAGAAGAGTTTCCCGGATCTGGAGCTCAAATACCTCCTTTGTAATCATAGGGTGTAGCGATTTTTTACCAGATATGGACTGCTCACTTGATTATGCTGGGGAATCTTGTTATACTTTTAAGCTATCACCTTCGTCAGCAGGGAAGGTGAGGCGTAGTGTCGGTGAATACAACAATAAATAGTTTAGTAAGAATAAATAGTTAATAAGAATAAATAGTTAATAAGAATAAATAGTGCGACGATAAATAATAGCCAGGTCCTGGGAATCCACCCAATAAAACCTTTGATGTATGTGTGAGCGTGGGAAAGATTTTATTCCTAACAGAGCGGTGGCTAGATCCGCCAGAACGACACCGCTTAATGCTTAATCGGTGGCCAAGGCCTTCTTGATTTCGGCAATTGCTTTACCGGGGTTTAGACCCTTAGGGCAGGTTCTGGTACAGTTCATGATGGTGTGACATCTGTAAAGCGACATGGAGTTTTGTAGCATTTCCTTTCTCATCGTGGAGGCCTGGTCTCTCGAGTCGACCAACCAACGGTAAGCCTGCATGAGCACAGCGGGACCCAAGTACTGCTCCTGGTTCCACCAGTACGAAGGGCACGCTGTGGAACAGCATGCGCACAGAATACATTCGTACAGACCGTCAAGCTTTTTTCTGTCAGCAATGCTCTGCAAGTTCTCCTTGCCGTCCTCGGGCACGGATTTTCTTTGCAAGTAAGGTTGCACAGACTTGTACTGCTGGTAGAACTGCGTCAAATCTGGCACCAAATCCTTCACAATGTACATGTGGGGCAGTGGGTAAATCTTGGTCTGTTTTGACGTGTCTGGGTCGATCTTGCACAGACATGCCAACGTGTTTCTGCCACCGATGTTCATGGCGCATGATCCGCAGATCCCTTCTCTGCACGATCTTCTCAACGTCAACGTCGCGTCCTGCTCGTCTTTGATCTTCAATAGTGCGTCCAAGATCATGGGCCCACAGTTGTTCAAGTCCACCTGGAACTCTTGCAACTTTGGTTTCTCAGCTGGCTTGTCAGGGCTCCAACGGTAAATTTTGAAAGTCTTCATCTTGGGTGCTGCTGGAGCCACTTCACTGGCCAATCCGCGTCTAAAAACCGCTCTCCCCACGTTCTTCTTCAAAAGTCCGCTCATCATCATCTTAAAACACTTGCCACGCCTTGAAAGAACGAAGAAACTCACTTGTTTCCTTCTTTTCCAATCAAAACCTTAAGATATTTCCTCGTATTGCTTCATTCCTCCCGGCTATTTTTTCGTTGTCATATTTATATATGATATCCAAACAGATGATTGGGAATTTACCTTTGTCGGATCCGAGAGCCGGTTCTCAGCTGACAGTGAGACAGTTTGGGTAAAAATGACAAGCGTAATGGTAGACAAGCTTGCTGACTGGAGACATATTGGGTTGCACGGCTAACTGATGGGAATTAAGAGGCTCTATGGTATTTCAAAAGTCAATGAATGACGCCGTCTATGAGCCTCTGCGTTTAAGTCAGAAAAAGTACGATGATTTTTGAGTACTCTTACAAGTAATATCGAACATATACGATGTCCCAACGTTCGAATCACAGAATCCAAAGATGCCCAGAATTGCTTCTATGGCATTCTGACTTCCTGCCGCTGAAAGAGAGTTCCGTGAGCTTACTATTAGTGGAGCCAATGGACATATTATATCACCTTTTTTATTATAACTAATTAACAACTGGGCGATGTGAAGAGGCGAATCTCGACATGGAGAAAAAACCATCAGTATTAATGCATCTGTTTTCGTCGACCTGCTGTGGTAGCGTAAGATATTGTCGAGTGATTTTCAATCGCACCTGTCTATTTACTGGGTGCAATGATAAGTATACGAAGTGGAACGTGACTGCGTCACTTATCCAGGCCACTATATCAGTACTCAGACCTGCTGCCACTTTATGCCAACGTGTCATGGTCAAAATCCGCGAAATCATCCATCTACAGCTTGATTCTTTCTATTAGACGTTGCGCAAATATTCTCAAAAAAAGATGACGTGCTGCACATTACCTACACACGCTATCTAATAATTCGCTTACGGAATCCTTACAAGCTGTAGCTGTAGCTGTAGCTTTGACCAACTCAACTTCTTCTCTTCATCAGATGTACTCTATTTTCGTTTCATATAACTGTCATCTTACCGCCATCATTGCAGTTTTTAAAGTTCTGCTTGACAGTACTTGTTGTACTCATTGACCGCTATAGATATGTTCTTGTAGAGAAATCTCTTTTCGTCAGGGTCTGCGATAGGCACAAACAATTCCGTAGAAGCGTTTTTCAGTGTGATGACCAACCCAACTCTCTCCAACGTCATGGACCGTACGTCAATATAGCGAACTTTCCACATAATTTCCAAATTTGATAAACGAACCTCTACAACGTGCGAGAGCGAAACAATAACAGCTAGCTGTTTACCAGGTAGCACAACATGTGCCAAATACTTGTCATTGATACATTCACCACCATTGGCACTCTTGAGCCAATACTGGCCTTGAGATTCGCGCAAGCTGTATGGCTTAATAGTTTTATCGAAACCCACGTACCTGGGGAGGCGAACTCGGTTAGTCGAGGATGCATCCATAACAGTTGTAGTATTTCTAATTCCTTCACTGACATTGCTGGCAAGGTCGAGTACTCCAATAGCTGTCTTAGTTGGAAGGCCTACTAAACCTTTTCCCAAACCCTTCAAAAATCCGGGCACACCATCTTTAGAAGCACCTTTATATGGGTCAAATGCAACACCTCTGAGGCCGCTACTAACTCCATTGACGAAGGAAGTTGCACCAGAGCCAAATCCGTTAATGCTCTTGCTATTCTTAGCCTTCCTTTGTTCGAGCCGACGCCGTTCTTGAAAATCGGTGTCCTGTGTTGCGACGGAAAGACCCTTAGCCACGGAACCAGTGAAGCGCGCAAAACTATCGGAAAGTCCAAATACTGATTTCTTGACGAAGCTCAAACCGCCTTTGGCGATGCTGATACCAAGCTCTTGAGGTCTGTCGTTCAGCATATAACCTTGATAGGGTTCATAGAAAATATCCCACACACCTGAACTGATGTTATTGAATAGGCCGACAGGGTTACCTAGAAAGTCTGCTGAGCCTAGAATTTTGTGAATTTGATAAAAGAATTGTTGCCCATAATGAGTTTGAACAGCACTGATTAACATTGGCAATGGCACTTTAACATTGTCCATGAACAAAGAGTTAAGTTTAATTGGAGCATCATTGATATTGCCCAATGCCATAGTAAGAACATTCGCAAAAAACATCAGAGTATTCTGAGGAGAGATTTTTTCATCTTCAGCATTAAGGTGTTCCGTGCGCACAAATGACAGATGAAGCATGGTAGGTTGTAAATGGAGAACTTCAAAGTAAATGTCGTGGTTTCTCTGCAACTCGCTTGGATATGGTAGCATTGCGTATTCTGTATCCAATTCTTCCTTAACTTCGACAATCCATGCAGCGCCCGGCATCTTGGCAAAATCAATCAGAGCAAAAAGAAAGTCTTCATCCAATTGTATAGTAAGTTCCTGCAGCAAAAGAGTGGCATGTTTCAAATACAGTACACCATGCGTATCATCCTTTACTTTTGAAATAGACCCAGAGAGAACGGGGTGGTTGTTCAACTCTTTGAGGTTTTTTTGAATAGCAGTTGGATAAAGGATATTTGGGAATATACCGCCAAAAAGCTGATTATCAATCTGCATCCACTTGAGCTTCACGCTCACAGTTTGGTAAAGATCCGACTCGTTGTACCTGAGCTCCAGGCCGCTAAGGGTGATATAACAGAGCTCTTGCAAGCGCGTGTTAATTAGAGAAATACCAACTCCCTCTAATGAAACGATGAACTTTGTGAAAATGTTTTTGTCTTCCTCTCTTACCTCAAAACGATCGCTTTTTTCGGAAGAAAGGGAAGTACTTGTTGTATGGCCAGATCTGAGCTTATATAAACTCAATTCAGGATTGTAGTTTGTGATAACCAGGGCTTGTGTTGGGCCGTCTGCAACAACATTCAAGTCTACAATGGCGGAACTCTCAGTAGGAGTTCTTGGCGATAGTCTCATTGGTCTTAAATTTCCGATTTCTGCCAGCTGAACTTCGCGCTTGCGCTGCCTAGAAACTAGAACTAATTTCTTTTGCCGAGCCGCTGGATAGTCCCAAGCATACGGCATCGCGCTTCTCGGAGGTACTCGATAATAAAGTGGTTCGTATTTCATGTCTCCCAAGTCGTCATACAAGTCATAGTCTTCTTCATTGTCAAAAGCATGGGGGTCCCGCTGGTAGAATATAAATTCATGGTCACTGAAATTTCTGATAGAGTAGGGCCATTGGCCTTTCGCATCACTGATGTTGATAAAAATCGTCGAATCTTCCAACACAATGTCCAATTTTAGCAATTGATGGCCAGAGCCATTTTTTAAAACTTTCACATAACTCGACCCGATGTCTTTTATCATAAAGGGAGATGACCACTCAGACTGAGAACCAAGGAACTTAATGCTGAGATGTTTATTGATTATGCTCCGCATTTTGTATAATGGGAATGAAACCATCGAGCATGCAGTCATTACGGAACTAGAGCCATATTCACTCACTTCTAAATCCACATCTAAACTGTTGCGAATAATGTAACGCGGTAAGATCTTCACCACTTTACTCAATGCATATCTTCCTGTGCCTTCGGATACTGCTATCCCGATATTGCTTTCTTGATTGCGATTGGGTATTTCCACTGCCAGATCCACAGACTGACCAATAGCATCAAAAGAAGTATGGATACTCCAGTCAGAATCCTTGAACTTGATGCGTGCTCTATTCTTGTTAGACTTGTCGCGATCAAATGAGAACATTTTGGGCTTAGAATAACGCGAAGAGTCGGGCTTCAACAGAACCTTGGAGAAGGCAATGTTGTGCTTGTCTCCCTCAATTTGAAGATCTCGATCAGTACCATTGAACACAACGTAAGGTGAATAAATGCTGATCACCTTGGCTCGAGAACCCTTCAACTTCTGGTAATGAAGTTTGAGATCTAACCGTTGACCATTTTCGTACCTCAAAGAGACCTTACGTTCAGGTCTAAGCTCGGAGTTAGGCTTCGTATTGATAAGGGCCTGTTCTGACATGTGTAGCCCGTCATCTTGCGGGTGCACAGAAAGTAGTAGGTAATCGCTTAGCGTAACGCTGTGGATTAGCACGCGTTCACCCATGTCCAAGCTACAAACTTCGGTCTCATCTTTACTTCCTTGGTGGCTCACGCGGTCTGACTTCCAATACAACTTGTACTTCATCGAATAAGGCAACAGATTCTCCAAAACGAGTGGCGAGGATATGACTATCTTCATGTGTGGATATATCCTAGCAAGGGGCTCGTTGACATCAAACTTAGCGTCTACTTCATAATAGAAGGGGACGTCGCTCTCATTGGAGTCACAAGCAATCGAAGAAGGGTTGGATAAAAGTTTTTTCCAAGATATACTTTCTTTCGACCAGCCGTAGTTTCCACCCGGCTTCAAGTAAAATCGGGTCGCAAATGCCTTTTGCGCTGGAATTGAGCGCGATTCGCCAGGCGGAACCTCATGAATTTCGTTTTCATTGTCATCCAACTTGAAGCAAAAGGTGCCAGCAGTGGCGTTTTCTAGAACAAGGGTCGATTTAATCGTTACAAGTTTGACGTTATCCTCACTTAGTTTTAGTTCGCAAGCCAAACGAGTGTGAACACCATCGATAGCGGGGTGCAGTGTATATACATCTTCACCCTCCGAGGTCGCATCAATTTTGAAGGATGTCTCGTACTGTTGACCTCCTATTTTTACGCCGAGAATATTCATGGAATCATCTGTATCAAGATTCTCTCGGACTTTCCTCCAATCCTCGAATTCCCAAGGAATTGCACTTCCATTCTCAAGTAGTGTTTCTTCAGGGTCTGCTTTAGATTCTTTTGACGAAACCCATATTAGCAAATCCATACCAGTATCGTTAAAAATTTTGTAAGGTTTTGTTGCTCCCCTCGCCTCTGTGTCTTCTTTTTGGTATAGTGAATTAGGTATTTGCGACAACAAAGCAATTGTTCTGGAAGAGAGCGAAACCTCTGCCAATTTGCGCGAAACCACATCGAAATATAGAGCTGCATCTCCTTCTACACCTTTTGACAAATGAAAAGATAAAGGTACAGTTTCCAAAAGTGGCTCCCAGCTTGACCTGGAATAGTTGAAGATATTGGCGTAGGTTTCAATAGAAGCAAGAAGCTCGATATCATTCGACCAATCTTTCGCTGTTACTGAAAAAGGTTTAAGACTCATATCTATGATAGGAAGCTCGTGAACATCACCAATCAAAACGAGTCTCAGTCCTTCAAAATCAGCTTCCAGCTTCTCATCTTTGATTATTGTAACCATTTGTTGCTCGGATGTTGCTTCACCTTTGGAAAGATGACTGATCGAAGAAACTAAACTAGGAGCGTACCTAGAAAGAGTTTTTTTGAATTCTTTTGAAAATGTGCCATACTTTGTTGGTACATCATCTGCTGATTTGACGTCATCTGCAAACCCGTTTTCTTTGGCAAGTGCCATGGCTTTATTGAAGATCGACATAGCAAGTCTTATATCTCTCAATGCAAGCCTCATCACAAGAGGCTCGACAGATATCCGCACGTTTGTCAACAGCTTTTTGGCGGTTGCGTCTCTTCTATCAATAACTAGCGACGCAGAAAAGTCGTCTAGAAGCCTAATACGGTTCTTATCAAAGGACTGCATTTTGCACAAAAACATACCGATGTTATTTGCGTTGGCAGAAGTAATGTTTTGTTCGGTTAAAAGCAGCTGCCCCACATTGAAAACGATAGCCTCGGTGTTCGAATCAGAGGGATCGGATAAAAGTATGAGTGAACTATCAATGATATTCACCGAAAACTGAAACTTGGATTTGGACTCGAGCGCTTCGTCCTCTGCAATTGTCTGGTTCATTTGGTATTCACTTGGAGGAAGAAGCTTGGCGGGAGATTTCATATTTATGGAAGCATCAACAAAAGCTTTCAAAGAAAAGAGATAATCCAGAGCAAGAATGATTCGAGGACTATCCAAAGTCACATTAACGTTGTCCACTACGACAGTTTGATGCTTTTCTCTCTTGAAGGAAGCCATGAATTGATAGCTATCATGGGATACCCTAGGTATAATCTCGTTATGCTGATTGTGCTTCATTTTCCTAATATCATCAACTGTGAAAGAGGATATATGAGTCTCTGCCTTGATGTTCGAACCATCTGTTATTTTCATAGACAAGCCTATATTGTTGAGGCTTATCCGCGTTATAGCTTGGTCTTGAATATCGGTCAAGTTGTTAGTCTCGTTATAAATAGTGAGGGAAAGTTGAGGAGCAGTTAAATGAAAGGAAACGTCAGTATCTCGAGACACCGTTTGTTCTTGAGAATTGCTTTCCATCGGAATCGCGCCAGGCGATACTTCCTTACCAGTGACCGGCGAAACGAATGTGTTAGCAAAAAGAGCAACGTTTTGAATCTCGTCAAAGTCTTCGTCGCGATAATCAACAATGAATGCAGTAGGTAAACTTTGCGAAAGCAAATAAAGATATTGTAGCTGTAGTTCAGTCAAGTCTGCAAGAAGAGGCTCAAACACGCCCTTCACTTGTAATTTTGGGCCTTCTTCCCCCTTTCCTGGATAGTGATCGACATCAAAATGAAGATCCAAATTATTGATCAGACTCAAGCTTTGAATGACCTCATGCTCCATATGAAACAAGGAAGAAAGACTACCGGACCTTATTCCTGCCTTTATTTTATTGACCAATATATCACCATCTCTAGAGAAGGTGTTTTGAACAGAAAGCTCACCCAAAAAGAAGGAAACATGGTCATAGGCATTTTTCTTGGGATCGATCAATTTTGGAAACGTAATAACAGGCGCTCTCACAAGAATATCAAGCTTAACGTTATTGACAGACTCAATGCTCCCGGCCTGATTATAGGCTGCTTCTCGAGCCTTGTCAAACAAAATCTTCATCTTCTGAAATTTAGCCAGGAAATTTATTATCCGATTAACGGAGTCGTCTACAAAATTCACATTCATGGAGCCTGTTTTGAAAGTAAGTTCGGAGCTGTAATCTAGGTTTCCGTTTTGACTATCATAAGTCTCATATGACAATTCTGCTAGTTCCTTACCACTCATGCTTATTAGCTTCCTCATTGGTGAATCGGATGACAATTCGTCGTGTATCTCGTTTGTCAAATGCATTGCCCCAAGCTTAGCTGTTAACTTCATCTTCTCTGGAAGTAAGAACAGCTCAACTTCAGCAGCACTTAGCTCAAATGTGGCCAACTTCTGCGAATCATCGTTCAAAATAATTATGATGTTATCCATATTAACGCTAAGGTTGATTTTTTGTGGTGCATCCGCGAAGTCTGGTGAGTTGTGTTTCAAAGCATCAACTGGCATTTCAGGGGCATCTGGATTTGTGAAAGTTGTGAGTGTATAGTTCAGCATTGTCAAAATGGATTTCGGAGTTAGAACAAACGACAGCTCGGTCATGGCAACGTAAATGTCCTGGTCGAAAACCTCGATCAAAGTGCCATTGTATGCCACAATTCTTTGAGCCCTGTTGAAGTTCAGCTCAAAAAGTGGGGAGCCTTGCGCTGTTTGGGTGGACGAAGATACCATATTCTTGAATTCATCAGAAACATCATTATCAATGCAATCTTCGATCTTGAAAGATTGCAAACTCATACTCAAATCCATTTCTTGCGCCCTTTTGGCGAAATCAAGATGCAGATTGTTACCAATTAAATCGATTAATAAATCAGATTTTAGAGTTTCCGCGTCGTTGCACTTGAAAACTGACAATTGAACGACCTCAACATCAAATTTTATTTGAAGCAAACGTTGCTGAAGCTCACCGGTGGACATCTTGTTCAAGCGGTTGGAAGTTTGCCTTAATATTTCCACATCTTTGTTTGAAATCGGATCGTTCTTGGGATTTGACCACGAGTCCTCCATGTTTTCCCCAGCATCATCCAAGTCAGGCAAGCAACGATCAATAAGTTGCATCATAATCTTGTACTGATAGTCATTTAAGGAGAGTTTTAGCATGGGAAGCTTTCCATATATTTTCACCTTAGGCAAATTTAAAGCCTTGGGTAGGATAGAGACGTCAACATCGAGCTCAAATTCTAAGTTGTTCAGGATTGTCAATGAGCTCTCTTTTTCGCTCACTTTGAGATTAGAGATAGTAGTTCGGATATCAGGCCCGATTAAAAAATGCGTGTCCGTCAAGCGAAGTTTGAACCTGTCAAACATCAATCTTTTAATGTCCTTCGAATCGAGCTTCTCGTATTCGCTAGGGCTCAAACTTTTATATTTCTTTAAGGTTTCCTTGGGAACTAGATCGCTAGCAATAGAAATATGACCAGCATCTATAACAGCACATGGCGTGTCCCATTTATGGGGATCCAACGGGATTATAAGCAGTGGAGCCTGCAAGTCTAAGCTTAGATTTACAGTTTTATGGTCTTCTAGAATAGATTCTAGCCCCATTCTAGTTTGAACTGTCCATCCCTCAACAGTTGCCTCAGCTGCACTCATGATAGCACCAATTGTGTCCAAATGTTGTTGGGGCGGACGAAATAGCTTAATAATTTCGTTGATGAAATGAACATGGTAGAAAACAGTCATACTACGAAGTTTGATGTCCACTTTATTGTCTGCAGATTGATCGAGGGGATTATTTTCCAGTGCGACTTGAAAGAAAGGTTCTTCTAGTTGGGGTGAGTGTTTTTCGTCGTCCAATTGTAAGTTCTTCACGCTCACAATGTGCTTGTACAAAGTGTTGGGTGACCCGTCTTCAACCTTCAGCTCGTGCAGTTTGAAAGAAGCAAAGAAGGAATCTGGTCGTTGCAAGAATTCAGTTTCAGATCTCTCAAAAACCATTTCTCCCAGCTTGAAATCTCTATTTTTGTCAATTATTGAGAGGGACCCGCGATTTAATAAACAAGATATTTTCGCTGTGATTCGCTCAGGGGGAAGGTCCACCGATTCAACGATGTCCTTATTTTCATCAAATTCAATTGCATCATAGAATTCCTGTTTTTGTTCTGCCGACATAACTAAGTCATCTGAATCCCCATTTGACGACGATCCACCACCCCACCAGGAAGAAAACCAGCCAGAGGAGCCAGCTTGGCCTGCCTTCTTCGAGTCCGTTACTGCATGTTGACTTTCTAATCTTTCAGCGGCGTAGGATTTCTTAGCCAAAGCCCGAAATAGCTTTATGTCGTTAAAAGATAAACACTGATGAAGAGCTTTCAACTTCTCCACATCTTCTGTGTTTAGCGTTTGTGCCTTCGTTTCGGCGGCGAGCTTCATCTTCCACAAATTGATATATTCAATCCTTCTGTCTCGTCTCCATTTAATGTAGTCCCAACTGCATTTGTAGTTTTTCTCATGTACTTCTTGCAGCACAGCTTCAGCTGTGTACTTGAACCATGCCTTAGGGTTTTCATTAACACTGAATGCAGGCCTGTTTTTTCTGAATTTGAGAGTTTTTTGATACCAACGTAACTTCGAAAGCGTGTTAAGGATGTCTTCATATTGACAATTGTTAACATCAAAACCAAACTCGTCAAAAAGCAAGGCAATGTCGATATGTGGATTTTCGTCAGTGGCACCGGCTTTGTTCAAAACTAGACGCCCAGCACCCGTGACAGGTCTCAGCAAGAACTGGTGATCGGGTATCGTATTTTTGTTGCTGATAGTATTTCTCAATCGTGTAAAAAGCTCGTCATGATCCGGATGGTACACACTCTTAGTGTCAGCATTCCAATACACCGCAAGTGAGTTCAAAGTCAAAAGTTTGCGCGTAATCGCACTTGTGATCGATATGAAGCTTGGTTGCCAGTCCTCGTCCGTGGAGACTACTGAAAGTTCACTGAGCGTTATTCCAACAGAGTACGGAATCTCTGCGAACACGTTATCCATGTCTTCGTACCGCACATGTATGTTCTTGATGGACACCTGTACGTTATCAACAATCTTTGTTAATAGCGATTGCGTAAAGCTCTCATTACTAGGGTCATCATCCTTTCCTGGGGGTTGCGATTTACTGAGAGCCTCGAATTCGTCCAGCTTCTGCATTTTAAGGCGAAGCTCACGCTCGGCGTCCTCTACAGCACTATCTGCAGACTGATTGCGTGGGCCACACAGCAAGTAAACATCTTCAATAAGGATTTTGACGGGCTTGTTTTTGAGACTTGACCACGGAACTTGCAGTGTCAAATCGCCAAGAAACCCGAACTGCACATCAATTGGGAGATCTAGAGCATCCAAAGACTCTTTTTTGAGTTTCAAGTTCTTCAATTTTACGTCTCCACTCCAAATCCCAACATTGAGCTGCTTGCTATCGAAATTCTCGACGTATGCTCCGAGAAATCGATTCAACAATCCTGCTGCAAGGGATTCGAGCATATTGATTCGAAAAAGACCCTGCTCGAATTATTTGCTCCCTAAAAAAATTCTACAATAAGTAGTATCACCAGAGTGTCTCTGTAAACTTTTGTAGGCTTTTGTAAACTCTGATAGAAACTTGATCTTTGAAGGACTTGAAATTGAAACACTGTGAGATATATATCCTTTAAATTGCTGTGTGAAATCCCAGATCATAGTATACGAACAAGCTCTCTGTTTGTTAAACCGAGACCTCTTTTGACCTTAATAACGATGGGCTGAATATATTATTGCCACCCTACAGAAGAAGTAAGCTAACTAGACGCCGAGAAGGTCGTTGAAACGATAGAGACCTAGCTACGGATAACAAAAATGGCATTGAGCGAAAGTCAGGAGCTTCAACTCATAGAGAAGGCTGACTTGAGGTTTGTGCTTGCTTCATCTGAAGACGCATTGGAACGTAACTTGGACATATTTTTCCCCGCTGTTCTGCTGAAATTAAGCTCGGAACACGCTGCCGTGCGCCAGCTGGTTTTTCAAGTTATTAAAAATGTTATGGGTCGCATTAGCTCGCTGACAGGCGTGAAATTGCCCACTGCAAAACTTGTGGCTCAGTCTAAAGAAAAGTCTCACGAGTCACCAGCCGTAGGCCAGTATAGTCTTTTGTTTGCTGCTCGGGGTGTTGATCGGATGGGAGTTGAGGAAAAACGGGAATTGGTCCCGCAAGTAATAGCTGGATTCTCACTTCTTCCTGAAGCACTTCAGCCGCGCATGTTCAACATTCTTTGCAAGCTACTCCTGAATTGGAAAGCTCCTCGAAAGGGTACTTCAGAGGAGGACGCGGTGCGCAAATTCTTGGACGTGGGATCTGTCGCTGACAAAAAGTCAATACTCGAAAAGTTCACCGGGTTTTTCCTTCTAAATCCTGTGAAAGTAGATCCGCAAGCAAATGTGATTCCTCGGGGCTACAGCTGCCCAGGACTTACTGTGTCTGAGGTTGAGTTTTACACTTATAGCGCAGGGATTAGTTTCAGTAGGGAACACCTCTTGGCGTACAAAGAGGCCATATTTTGGTTTGTGGTCAGCGGATTTGTTTTGGACGACCAATCAATAATTGAGTTTCTTACAATAGTTTCTACCGACTCTTCAGATCTTTCCAATCATGCACTTGCACTTTCTAAACGACTGCGTGTACCTTACGAAGACGCGCTATTTGTCAACAATGTCATTTCTTTGTACATCGGCGATACGACCATTAACAGGCCACCGGCGGGTCCTGCCTTGCAAGAGAAACTGCTTTCAATCCTATCCAATAGCATCATTGCCACCAGAGATTCCAGTCGCGTATCTTTGATATCGTCAATTGGCCTTAATTCGTCCCATTTCAAACTACGCTCGATGTCTCTTTCCTTTGTTCAACACGTTGCTAAATACAATCATCCAGCATTAGCTGCTCATGACCTCTCTGCCGATTATTCTACCAACATTGCATCCCTGATTCGCAATAACCTGCATACCGAAGGATGGCCTAAATTTCAGCTCAATTCATCCGTGCCGAATTTCGCGTTAAGCCTGGAGCAAAGGCGTAAGCAGTACGAAACTTTGGGCGTCATATTGAAACAGGATCCTTTTTACCTGAGGGACTTATCATTTGTCGAATTTCTTATTGACTCATTGAGAGGTGACTTGAGCGCTTTCCGAATGACTATTCAGGAAGCTTTGAACTCTTTGAATCAACTTATGAAAACACTCTCAGAAGATTCTAAAATCAGAATAAAGGAAATAGGAAGAAAATTGCTAACAGACAATTTCGATCTTTACCAGGGAGATACAGATAACAAGGATGCGTTAATGTATTGCCGAGGTGTTATTATCAATTTTTTAAATTCAGCTTTCCCTTTTCAAGACGCTGAGTCAAGATTCCTGAATATTATGGGAACATTCAAAGAAAATAGATATGACATAAAGGAGGCGTCGTCCAAAGGCTTACATCCTTATTGGTTTCAAATTGCACATTCAGATGGAGCATCCAAAAGTGGTAAAATGAAGCGAATAGCAAGCGATCAGTTCGACGAAATTACATTCCCCAAGACACAAGCCATGCTCGATCAGTTCAACACAGAATTTAAAAATCTTGCAACGGGAAGAAATGACACCTTCAAGCAGAGCATTGATTTGGTAGCCAAATTTATACTAAGGAATCTGGTCAGTGAAGCTACGGCTGGCAAAAAGACTTCAGTAGTTCAGGACGAGCACTGGCAGCTTCGCATTGAAAGCTCCATGCAAATGGATGGGAAGGTGCGTTCGCTGGTAGAACGTGGACTTGCTAAGATTGATTCGACTGTTTTCACACAGTTCCTTCGTTCAATTATAGCCGAGCTCGCTAATGGAAGATTTGTAACTGCCGACAAAAAAGCTGGCAGTGAGGATATTTCATTCAGTTCGGCTGTAGTACTTTTTACGGAATTTGCACAACCTGTGGTTCGTCAGAAGCTCTACAATTTTCTTCCACAGTTATATGAACTTCTTGATAAACACAATTCCCTGCCTGACGACGAAATTGACCGCATAGGAAAGTTGTATGGTACCATTTTTGCTAGTTGTGCAGATGAAAATGACATTTCCGTCATTTTAAGTAAGACGGATGTGCCGATAGAGTCTTCAAGCTTTGTGCCTGCAATTATCTCTGCATGCTACTCAGTCCCCCTTTGCAATTTGCAATGCAAGAAAATGTGCGGCGAAGATATATTAAGATATATCACAAAGATTATGTCCGCGTTAGAAGTGAAAACTACACGAACTGTTTCCATGAAATGTATGGGAACGCTCCTAAAATTTGGGCTTTTGAATTTATTAGGCGAAAAGCAGAGAAAGGACATTATAGAAAGCTTGACGAATATACTACAGAAAAATTCTTTAGGAGGCCGACAGTCAATGATGCTATGGTCCCTTCTTTCCCTTTACGCAACAGAGCCTGCCACCGTGGAAGAGTACTTCGTAGCTTTGCAGTTGTCACACTCGTCTAAGGAAGTTGACTTGCATTTCTATACTGGGGAAGCCATATCAGTCTTAGCGAGTAGATGGAAGTCAGACGTTCTTATCTATGAAGATCGTCTAGAAGAGCACATCATTGATAGTTTACAGTCTACTTTTGATGACAGATTTTCGGCTCCAATCTTGTCAAAATTGCTTGCCTTATGCCAAAACCCAAAACCGTCTCTACGCAAAGCCGCATGTATTTGGCTGTTATGCTTTGTGCAATATTCGAGGGAGTCATGCGCTGTTCGTACCCTCGCGAAAGAAATACATCTGTGCTTCGTTCGCTTCCTTGCGGAAAGTGATGATTTTGTCCAAGACTCTGCAAGCCGAGGATTAGGTCTTATTTACGAGGTAAGTGGCAAGGAGCTTCAAGATGACATGTTAAAGGGCTTGTTGAAGTCTTTCATAGACCCCGAAGCTACACTCAGTTTGACGAATGGTACGATAACATCCGAATCTCAACTATTCGAACCGGGGTCGATGAATACTGGTGAAGGATCACTGTCCACCTACAAAGATATTCTAAACTTAGCTAGTGAGGCTGGTGACCCATCGATGGTGTACAAATTTATGCCTCTTGCTAGAAACTCGGCTCTTTGGTCGTCTAGGAAGGGCGTTGCTTTTGGGCTTACATCTATCTTTTCCAAGATCTCATTGGAAGAGCTTTTGAGTAGTAACAAAATGAGCACCCAAAAGCTGATTCCCTTGCTTTTCAGGTACCGGTTCGATCCCTACCGTAATGTTGCCGACGCCATGAACAAAATTTGGCAGACTGTGGTTAAGAGCACTGCAGACACTGTAGCCGAATATCATGACTCCATACTAGATAATGTTCTTAAGGGTATGGGTGCCAAAGATTGGAGAGTAAGAGAAGCTAGTGGATACGCTCTGATAGATCTTTTAGAAAATAGCAATGAAAAGGCCTATCAAGAAAGTCTCGAAATGATTTGGACGATGGCGTTTAGAACTATGGACGATATAAAAGAGAGTGTACGCTCTGCCGGGCTAAAATTGACGAAAAAACTCTCTAAATCCTTAATTCGTTCTGCCGCAAAAGGTAATGGGCAAACTGAAGCATCGCAACAAATGCTAGAGAAGCTCATACCTTTTTTTTTAGGTCCAAAAGGTCTCAACAGTGATGCTGAAGAAGTTAAAAGCTTTGCGCTAGAAACTCTTGTTACGTTGATAGAAGAGTCTGGAAGTGCTCTAAAGTCCTTTACGCCACTCCTGACTTATGAATTCCTTTTATTGTTATCACCACTAGAACCCCAAGCAATCAACTACTTAACAATGAATGCCGACAAATATAATACCAGCGCTTCTGCTGTTAATGCTCAAAGGGCGTTGAGTATTCAGGACTCGCCTCTTATGAAGTCTATTGAGAAACTACTAAACTTGTCCACCACCGACTCAATACCGGAAGTGGTAGAGAGAGTTGTTCTTGCATCTAAAAGATCAATCGGGCTTCCTTCCAAAGTGGGCGCTTCTAGAGCCATAACTTTACTTGTCGCGCTTTATCCAAATGATCTAACTCCCTATGGTTCTAAGATGTTGAAAGCTTGCTTTTCTGGTTTGAATGATAGGAGTGATGCTATTTCAGAAGCATATGCCACATCTTTCGGCCGTGTTTGCAAAGTATGCAAACCTGAAAAGGTGGTCAAGTACGGAGCTAAACTGATCGACAAGTACTTCAATGCAGATGCAGAGGCGGATCGAATTTTAACGGGATTGGCTGTAGAATCAACTTTCAAGTATTCTCCAGCAATGTTTGAAAGTATTGCTTCTATATTTTTGCCCTTTATTTTCATTGCGAAACATGACGTTGAAAAGGTGTCCGAGGTTTTTACAAGATTATGGGATGAAGCCACGTCGTCAGGTTCTGGAAGTGTTAAGCTCTATCTTGCAGAGATTATTACCTTGTCAAATCAAAATTTAAAGTCTCAGGACTTCAACACGAGATTAACGTGTGCAAAAAGCATATGCGATGTTTGTTCATATACCAACTCGGACACACCAGAAGAGTTAGTAAATCGTTTGCTATCAGCTATGCTTGAATCATCAACGGGACGTACGTGGCAAGGAAAAGATGTGGTGATCGACACACTAATAACCTTGGCGACTAAATTCAAATCCAATTTGCAGGCAAACCCTGAGCAAAAAGCTGCGCTTGAAAAAAGGCTTGTCACAGAGCTATCGAAAGACAATCACATCTATGTTCGAAAAATTCTGCCGCGCTACATGTCATTTATAGCAGAGTTCCCTCAATCTGAACTTCTTGAGAAAGGGTTAGAAGCGGCTAGAGAAATCGTTTTGAAAATTGACAATGGCGGAACTGACCTCGATTCTGAAGATAATGAGAGTGATCTCACTTATAAGAAACAAAGGCTTGCATCCAGCCTCACTCGCAAGTCTCAAAAAGAGAACATTTCCAGCGAAGAATATAAAATTAAACTGGTCAAAACCAGTGCGGGTGCTTTGGAGGCCTCTATGCAGGTACAAAAGTTGACTGAGCTTTTGGAGTTTATAACCGCAACATCGATGGGGTTATTTGAATCTAAAAGTGTCGTTAACACGTGGAGAAGTCAAACAGCTGTATCCGACATCGGCTTGCTACTGTTGAAGTCGAATACTGATATTTCGAATAAGCAATTGGTAGAGTCTTTGCGGAAACTATGGGCTAAATCGTTTCAAGAGGCCATCAAACCAGACTCTATTGAAAGTGTCAAAATTCAAATGATAAGATTTGGTAAAGAGTTAAGGAACAATAAACTGGCCTTTGATTTTGTGGTGGAAAATAATTTAAGGGAGCTTTTTCTCTCAGATCCCTCATCCAAAGTTGTTGTGGAGCTAAATAATGCAGGTATCATGTAAAAATGGTTACAGTTTAGCAATATGTATTTATTTACTAGAAGGTTGTCGCGTTACCCAACTTTTGAAACCAGTTCTTACAACCCACCACGTAATCTCAACACCAAGTGGAGCGTGGATTCCTTCTGGATATTGTAGTCAGAAAGTGTTCTTCCGTCTTCCAACTGCTTACCCGCAAAGATCAGTCTCTGTTGGTCGGGCGGAATACCCTCTTTGTCCTGGATCTTGCTCTTGACGTTGTCGATAGTGTCCGAAGATTCCACCTCCAAAGTGATGGTTTTTCCAGTCAGTGTCTTGACGAAGATCTGCATACCACCACGTAGTCTCAGCACTAGGTGAAGCGTAGACTCCTTCTGGATATTGTAGTCAGAAAGTGTTCTTCCGTCTTCCAACTGCTTACCCGCAAGGATCAGTCTCTGTTGGTCGGGTGGAATACCCTCTTTGTCCTGGATCTTGCTCTTGACGTTGTCGATAGTGTCCGAAGATTCCACCTCCAAAGTGATGGTTTTTCCAGTCAGTGTCTTGACGAAGATCTGCATACCACCCCGTAGTCTCAGAACTAGGTGAAGCGTAGACTCCTTCTGGATATTGTAGTCAGAAAGTGTTCTTCCGTCTTCCAACTGCTTACCCGCAAAGATCAGTCTCTGTTGGTCGGGTGGAATACCCTCTTTGTCCTGGATCTTGCTCTTAACGTTGTCAATAGTATCCGAAGACTCCACCTCCAAGGTGATGGTCTTTCCAGTCAAGGTCTTCACAAAAATTTGCATTTCTCAAAATGAACCAACTAATCTAGGTCTTATCCAGCAACGTTTCAGCGTAAATAACGTTAGACAAATGTTCTTGTGCTAGAATTCCTGCTTTGTGCGGTGGCAAAGGTTTCTCGAAATCTTCCAGCATTCTCCTTGGTATTTATACTACCCCCCTTTACCCCTTGAATCATTCCTCTGGTCCGTTATTAATCGGCCGGAAAACACCGCCAGGCCGAGCCGTTGTTTATTTGTCCTCTCGAACTTCTAGTCGCGTTCGTTCGACGTGACTAGAGAGCCGGATATACATTCCTTTTGAGGCAGCGGACTCTTGATCAGGAAGTATTGCCTAAAATCGATGTTGATCGAGTAAATCACATTTATGGCATCTGGAAGCGAGCCGTACTTGGGTAGATTATGAAGCCATGCAAAAAGCGGCAAGTGGCAGCGAAGAGAGAATCAGATGTAGAAATGAGACAGCTAACAGAAATATGTCTCGCTTCTCCCTCTGGCATCTGGCCATACCTTAAGGACGACCCTTTGGTTCACACGGAAGATGTCTGACAAACATTTGACATTCAAAGGTAGTCAACTGGTCAATTCTCTTGCGAATAGTCTATCTCCTTTCACTACTACCGCGGCAGTGAGTGGTGTCTGCTGTTCAAGGTTGACCTTAGCGTCGCAGGAAAAAATATCAGCCCAAAAACTGGAGCATCTAAAAATTATGTATCACTATGGACGTAAATGTCGAGCGTTCCGTTGAAACCGAACGAATCTTGTATGTAGAGGCATTTCAGAGTGACGTGGGGCTGATAGATCGCGTTGCTGATACGCTCCATTTGTAGTAAATGTCCAAGACTCTAGGCTTGTGATTGCGCCCACAAAAATGCGTCGTCATGTGACACGAGGTTGTGGTCAGGCCTACGGTTACTAACCACCAGGCCTGCCTTTTCTACAGCAAAATCCGATTGGGAAGACGTCGCGTAACCCCACGACGCGTGTATATACCTTCGTCATTGAATTTGTCGTCTCTGTAGCTCGTTGTCACCGTATTTTCCTTATCAACAGGCTCTTCTTCCCGCAGCGGTCCCAAAACCTCCGTTCGCTCTTGAAACGGCTCAATCGTGTGCTTGAGAGGACTGGGTGCACACCACCGCTTTAAGTCCAGGCTTCGTGTATGATTCTCATTACTGCGTCTTATTGCAACCCCCCCTGGGGCCATCTTCAAATGACTGTTGTCTGTAGATTTGCGGCCGGGCGTTGATATGCTTGATCTGAATAGTGTCACATCACTTCGGCGTTGTCGCAGAAGCAGGTCATCTCGCAAAAGCCCCGAAAGGTTTGTTGCGAGACTTCGTATTTGGACTGCCATCGTCTCGTTGCCTCGACTGCTTATGCTGAACTCTTTGAGGGTATCTATTAGATACGAGTAAGAGCGAACCCACGCTACAAACTCGTTGGACCCATTGTTTATCAAATAAGACACCAGTGTCAAAGTCTTGAGTATGTGAACTGCATTAGTGTGCGAGCTTTTGCGGTAATTCCCGCTCAATCGCTTTCGGATAACCTGTGTTATTTCGCGCAGAGTCCTCGGACTGTAAGTAAGCACTGAAAGCTCATTCATCAAAGAACCCGTAGCACCGTTCACCTCGTCATCATTTGTAGCGCTTCTAGTCTTGATCTCTGTTGAACTTTGGCCTAAATTTTTGACACTTTTCATTAGTGACATGGCGAACGAAAACCAGCGTCCTTTAAAAAATTCCCCAAGGGTTTTATTTGGCGAGGGTAGAGACTTGATTTCAATCCAAGTCTCTTTGTATAAACTGTTCTTCTCCCAATCGTTGATGAGGAATTATTTAATTAAGTTGTGTCAAGCTTGGCGTCTTTGAAAAGTACCCGTGGGTACTCATGCTAAAGGTCGGTATTCGCCGGTATTTTAGCACGGTGAAGGGCTTCGGACAACTCTCCAATTATCGTTAGCAAGTCCCTCAAACGAGAAAAAGATGTACTGCTACCTTTACGCGCAGACAACTGAATGTTAGGACTGAATGTAATATTAATGTTGGCGCATCAAAGCTGGAACAACGCAAAAGAAGAAAACTGTAGCTTGTACTGAGGTTAGTAAAACTTAACTGACCGTGTCAAGATTAATTTTTAAGTAGTTAAGAAACGATTCTCCCATTCACTGATCTTCTTTCAAATGACCTTCTCTTTGTCATCGCCTCTAACTTGGCTGTCTTACAAGATGGATGGCTAATTGAATGATTATCATTACATATTCATCAGAGTGTTATGAACTTAGTTCCTTTAAGCCTCCAGTTATGTTAAAGGTCCTGATGGTCATGTTTTTTTTAAATCATTTGACGATACAGGGAATATCTCTTCTCTTTTGTCTAGTAGCAGGGGCCATGCCCAAGTAGCTTAACTTTGTGAATCGTACAAGGAGAAGAGAAGTTCTGCTTTAAGCATATAAGCAGCCACTTCTTGATGATTCTTGTAAATTTTGGGGCAAGATCCGAGTATGGTCTCAGACCAGTTGAGAGCTCTGTGTATGTTGATTGCATGGGCAGCCTGCTTTATTCGTTGAACTAATCGAGTTTGGCACCCACCAACGCGGTACTCGTTACAGCTTTGATATAACCCGCAGTCGAGTCCCATATGTACGCCAAGTTGCTTACATCATTGAAAAACTCTGTAATTGACTTTTTCAGAGCCCATTTTTTTGATGGTTTGTTATATTCATAACAGCAGAGAGTACATTGGTCAGTGTTTTCAAGATCCTTGAACACCAAATACAGGACTTTCATACTAGGATCAAGATCCCATGCCACTAAACTTTTGTCGGTGAACACCAAAGTTTCTGTTGCCAGCGTGTTGGGCTTTTTTCTGAGATCAAATATTTTCAGCAAGCTAGCGGTAGCTAGTACCAGCCAATAGCCATTAGAAGCAAACTTAGCTGATAATATTGGTCCCTCGACCTCAACGTCATGAGCATACTCTATTGGTGCTTTAGCGACGTCTGTCAAATCTTGAACGATTAGATTCTTATCATTGCCCTGAAGAAGTAAGAGCCCGTCCTTGTGTAAATGCGCGAATGTTGTGCGAAAGTTGGTGGCTTTCAAATCTACCACTCTATGGTCTACAGTATCTGCTAAGGACACCAGACCATTAGAATTAACTACAACGTATGCTCGCTCACTTATCTCCTTTATCCAGGAAACCATAACGACTTCACTATCGTCATCATTCTGCAGTACGGTAAAAACTTCTTGTTGATCTACTAAATCATAGACTCCGTGCTTGCCTGACTTTGTTCCGAACAGTACCTGTGTAGCACTCAAGGGAGCAGCAAAGTTGAGGTATTCATTTTGCTTTAGAAGCGATTTCAATGATCCCGTCTCAAGTGTTGAAGAAGAGATTATATTACAGGAACCCTCGGCGCTGTGGAATGCAACGAGTTTGCCGTTAGCGATATTTCCGTTCACAAAAGCAGATTCAATTTTGCCGTTCGGTGAAATATTTGCGATCACTTCAGTGTCAGCGGTATAATGAAGATACGGAAGAGGTTGAAATTTGACTTTACGACTGGCTTTAGCAAACTCTTGCGAGTTTCTAATTATTTCTTGCATTAGGCTTGAAGCTAGCTTATCCGTGGCTTCTTCATTATTAGAATCTGCCTTGATCGCTTGAGCCGGCGCCAAGTTCTGGGTCAAGATGCTCAGCTCTTGTTTCAGATTTTCAGCCTCAAGGGATGCTCGCGTAGCAACGTTCATAGCAGCATCACATCGGTATAAAGCCGTTGATAATTCCTTCTTGCTTGCTTCGAGCTGCTGCCTCAGCTGAAAATTTTCCAGCACGATAGCATCCCACTCATCTTGTAGGGATGACAGTAGATTAGGAATACTATAATTTACCTTTAAAGTGGAAGAATTCAATGAGTTCGACATTGCATACTGCTCCGAAGTTTGGGCTATTTCTATAAGTTCTTCGACACTCAAGGCTTCCTTATTAATTGGATCGATTCCATTTTCTTGGACATAGCTTTCTATCAGAGATTTTTCGAAGACACACTTGGATTTCGGCGAAAAAACGGCGTATTTCAGTGGCCGGCCGCTGACTGTGCAGAAGTTAGTAAGGTTCCAATATAAAACGTTGATGATTGACCAGGGTAGACCACATACTTGCACAAAACATCCTGACTTTGGCTGAGATCTTCTTATTTGTGAAGATAGAAGAGGCCTTCACATGTTTGTAGAGCTTTAGATGAAAAATAGTACAGATATGGTTACCCGGCAAGCGGCTCATGAATAGCGATTAGCCCAGTTAGATCCATTAGATGGTCGCTGGTTCATGACCTGTCATAAACGCGATTAAGTAGAGCCTCTATGTTATTTTATAGCGCGGAAGCTTTCGCGATATATATTATCTCTTTTATCTTTATCAGTGGTGGGTCTAGCTGTTTCAAGCTACCCACTAACACTGTCTTCTAGTTCTCTCCATATCCATTTCCTCCATATATCACCGGCCATATTATACAGCTCATCAAACGAGTTGGATGTTTTGTCGTCGTCACCCACCTCTATAAGCATATGTGAAGTGGAGGAAGATGATGTCGGCCGTTTGGATAAATCCTCTGGTTCTGTTTCACTCGAGCTTACCGAGCGCGATTCTAGATCAAGTTCGTATAGTTTTCGGTAGTTGTGATCATCGGCCCGTGAGAGAGATGGCACATTGTTGAAAAACTCGGAAATTTCTGCTTCTTCGAATTCCAGTAACTTGAACTCATGCTGTTGTAGGATAGCCATGTATATGAACACTAGTTGCACATGCGGATCTAAGAGCGAGAAGGGGATATTTACTCCCCTTTGAGAGACACAAGCAGATTTGTTACCATTATTTTCTGTTTGAACTTCCGACTCCTCATCGGATGTGCCGTACTTATTGCGTCGAACCAGCTCAGACAAAACTTGGAAATCGCATCGCATGTCTTGGGATCCAAGTCGCAGTGTTTCCAAGTCGGGAAACCAAAATGCGTCATGTCCATACTTGCAAATTTTATGAAAAAAGTCGGAATCTACGTGAGAAGATGTTGTTGTCGAGTACAGGTGTCCGAACAACTTGTTGTTGTAGTTGAGGTAAAAGTTTAGTGACTTCGGGTGAGGTCTCCATCCAAGCAATGTGTCCCATATCCGAGCTCGATCCTGTTTGTGGAGTACGCGAGCCCCCGAACACTTAAACCACCAATACATCCAATTTGTTTTCTTCGAAGGCCTGAGAGTCTCTTCGTCACTCACCGGCTGATAAAGTTCCGGTAATATAGTGGAGAAAACTTTGAAAAACATTTGGCACTGAAATGCAAGATCTCCACCAGATACTACCGGATAATATTGTAGAGCAGGGGTTATTCCGGATTCCGCTTTCGCTAGCTTTTCAGCTCTCGGTATATCCGGACTGTGCAAAATAACGAGAGTCAACCTTTCAAAAAGTTCGTCGAATGTAAACTGGGCTTTCCCCAGTAGTTCAGATCTTATTTCTTGCGGCAGAAAATACTCATCGTATAGGTTAACTGGGGGGCCGTGTCTTTTCCCAGGTAGCACGTTGTTGTTGTCATCAAATGGATACCACTCTGCTAGAGCTAGTGCAATCCATGAGAGCCCACTTTCATACTTGAAAAACTGGCCCCATTTTTTAAGGAATTTGCATATGCAGTCTTTGAGAAATTCTATAATGTGTTGTTCTTCGGATGGTATCACACATGTATCGGTAGTAGATGCCCCTGCATTCGCCCCGTTAGCGGTGTTACTCCTTTTGCCGCCATGGCTTCTTCTGCGGAAATATTTGTTCAAATCGTGTACCATAAGAGTTTGAACTTCCTCGCTAGTTCTCGTTTCAGGATGGTAGCGCCATTTCTGATTTTGAGAGTCCCACACCAACGTATTTGACATGATATTTGGCGATATAACCATAGGGTGGTATTTCAATAAAATAGGCCATACGTTTTTGCGCAGTTGTGGTGGGATTCCTGTAGTCCTTGCCACAAGTGCCAACGAGTCATGATCCTCGGCCTTGATAAGTTCTACCACTTTTGATATCAGCTCTCTCTGCCAATTTTTCCTTTTTTCATTACGCCAATGGATGTGTGTATGTACAAGTGTCTTGCGGTCTGTCATTTGTTGAACAGTCCCAATGGAACAATTGCGGAGTTCTTGAACTGAACGTAGTAGCTCGCCTCGAACTAGTGCCATGTCATCTTAAATTGGCATTCTTATAAAATCTATACGTCACGTGGAATAGCCGTTAGAGATTCAACTATGGTCAGAGAAAGACAGAAACCATAGACGTACCAAGCATGAGCTCTGAGTATACCTCTTGAATGGCCACCGGTTAGTAGTGCATATTTTCGTTCATACAGTACTATTGTCGTGGTACTGTGCTGATGATATGGCTCTCGGAGAACTTTGTACAATAATTTAGTTGCTCAAAGTCTTTGGGAGGATCAGTAGGCTCTGCAACGTACTACACAGAATAGTCAGCTTGCTATACATTATATCTGCATATGCTGCTACCATGAAATCACATCCTAGTCTTTAGACATCATAGGAATATAACGTTTAGTTTCTAGTAGCTCTGCTTGGCTTCGAAGCTATACATTGGCGTGAGAAGAATAGACGAAGTACTTTTCTCTTATCTGAGTGCTGCGCATCGCTTGTCATTGGTGGTAAACTTGATTGCTGTCATTTTTAGACTAAGGAAAATAAATGTCAACTCTGGCTTATAATTTTTGCTGGTGAGCTAGTGCTATCCCTGGCTATTGACGATTGTGCTTCAGTTTAACTATTTTGCTGAGAGCTCTCATGCTCAAAACCTTCCTTTACTAAATCAAAAATTTCTCGGCGGCAAAAGGTTGATCCCTTACAAGCTACTTTTTGAGAGCTAGGACCACAAATGAAAAATAGTGGCATTCTGGATCTCTATTACCCAACGCGAACTCTGGGAGGTATCATCGGGAGACACGTTCCGCCACTTGATTGACTGCTACATCTGATGAACTCGGCGATGTTAATTCCGTTGTGGTTTTTCTGGATATGAAGGGGGAACTGTCGGCATAGAGAATAACTTACCGAAATTCATGGGAATATTCTGATTTACGAGCGAAAAGCTCCAAACTAGATTATCAAATTGTACCAGCTTAATGAGTAAGTGCAGTAATAAGAACGCGCGGTGGTTCCCAGCTTCCTCTCAGATCTCTGATCGATTACCCCAGCCGGCTTGACTTGTTCAACCAGCAATAAAGCATTCGTCGCACAAAATTCAACGCTCCATAGTCAAAAGTCAACGCTTGATGTCACCAAGAATCCAAATGAACATCCAATGGCAGCGCAATCATCGTCAAGCTGTTTTTGAAAGAGGTAGGCGTCTTCTAAGTTCGCTAACTCTATCACTATACACGACGTCACAATTGAATATCGCCGTTGTTACAGGCGGCGGTAACTTTTGCTGAGCACGAAGCGTTGCCAAGGCCAATCACTCACTCTCTCGCTGTGACTCCTTTGCGGTCCCTCAAGTCCCGCCTTCGTTTCTCTCTTTCCACAGGCATTTACCTCCTTAATGCTTCTAATTATCATTGAACACGAATATTCGCTGCCGTCAGAAGTTCCATGCAGTCCGCCGTGCGTTCGATGCGGATTATTCTCGTTCTGAAGAAAAAAAGTGCTCCCAGACAAGACGGTGGGTTAAGAATAGACCGGCGATGCAAATGTTCGAACGCAAGGGCTCCTTGCGATACGTAATTGGCCGATTGCCTGGTGCTTTCGAGAACCATATTAAAAGAGCTTCGAATGTTGACAAATTGTTCTCAAAGAAAAATTTAGGAAAATCGGCAATCCAGTCATTGAGTGGAGCGTGTACGAGTGTAAATCTTGTTGCGCGCAAAATACTCCAATTGTCACCTCTTGTTGAACAAACGTCAAACTCGAGTACTCTTTCTTTCCCAGTCTTTCCGTCCTTATATCCGCAGCTTGAAAAGCCGCGGCAAAGAAATCTCAGAAGGATTAGCAGACAGCGGCAGTCAGTATACCTGGTAAGTGAGCATCAAGGTTGTAACATCCCGTACCAGCAGGGATCTCACCTGACGCTCTCACTACGGAAGGTCACGTTCTTGGCCATCTCGAGGCACGTGACACATTAGTGCCAGAGATTTCGTTTACCTTTCTACTCGGCATTAAAAAAAGAAGGTTGGAAGGTATCACTTCTACAAGATTTGTTCCAACAGCGAGTGCAACAGCAACGTCTCCAACTTTGGATGAACTGCGGTAACAGAGGTCCCGCCAGCTGGATTATTACTGTCCTTCTATGGGTCCACTTGGTTTCGCTCACAGGAGCTACTCAGACGTACTGCTCCTCGCAGAACACGGGGTCCACCCCTGCCAATTACGACCTGTACCAAAGCAACGGATTATGCTCTGGTCACTGTAGCGGATACTCGTATGCGGTTGTTCAGGGCTACGACTGCTGGTGCTCGAATGACGAACCCACAACGAAAGATTCCGTCGGAGATTGCAGCTCTGCTTGTCCCGGCTACGGTTACGAACAGTGCGGGGAATCAGATAAAGGACTTTTCGGATACATTTATTTGGGAACCTCTAGCTTAACAACGAGCTCAGGCTCTTCCAGCTCCACCTCCTCGTTCGTTTCATCATCATCATCATCAAGTAGCTCAATTTCTAACAGTCCCTCAAGTTCCTCAAGTTCGTCAAGTTTTCCAAGCACTCTTCCCGTGTCCAGCACTACATCCTCTTCAAGCTCTTCCCTCTCCGCGTCTGCCTCCCCCAGCTCGAGCTCAACTTCATCGTTGGCTGGAAGTAGCAGTACGACACCCTCAAGCTCATCAAATACGCCCATCTCATCGTCTTCATCAGGCTGGTCATCTTCTGCTCCCTCTTCGAGCTCGATGAAGTCCTCATTAATAAGCTCCTCGACGGCTGTATCGAGCTCAGTAATGTCTAGCTCGAGTTCCTCGACATCCCTTTCAAGCTCTTCCACATCTACTTCAAGCTCCTCCACATCTACTTCAAGCTCTTCCATTTCTACTGCAAGCGCTTCGACTTCGAGTTCAAGCTCATCGGCATCTACTTCAAGCTCATCGATACTATCTGAAAGAACATCTTCGTCGAGTACATCAATGAGTTCTCCATCATCATCCTATTCTCCCTCAACATCCTCGGACGGTCTTTTGACATCTTTGCTTTATTCTGTGCAGACGGTGACAGCTTCGCCGACAGCTGGGGGAAGTTCGAGCGACTATGTTCTTACTACTCAAGTCATTACGACTATTTACTCTACACCCACCGGCCAAACATCCTCTGGAACAAACTCTAATCATACAAGCCCTCAGAACTCTGGCTCTGATGCTAAAGGCTTTTGGGCTCCACCCGGTAAAATAGCTGGAACCTTTGTCGCAGTCGGTGTAGTTGTAGCTTGCCTTGCACTTTTCGTGCTACTATTTTGGTATCGCCGCAGGCACCGTAAGGATGAAGATTTTGAGAGAAGGTATAATGATGTTGTGGCACCTGTTTGTAGTAATGCCAGTATTGGGCCTGCATCGACGGCATCGCCAAACGGGTTTATCTACGCTGATGAAAAAGGAATTCAAGGAGCTCCACCCTCTTCAGAGAAGAATGACAAGCGAATATCCCAAACTACAAGTCTTGCAGATTCTGAAAGTGGAGCTGTACCGGAGGATGGGCCAGTTGTTGTAGATCAACGATTAGACCCACGACAAATGTTTATGATGCAGTGGGAGAATGGTGGAAGTAAAGTGTCGCTGGCTGACGATGTTGACTATTCTAGAAAGGTGTTGCGGGTAATAAATGAATGATAATATACATACAAACATTAATAACTAACAAAAGTTCAAATAAAAACTATAATCAAAGTCTATGTGATGGGGGCTCATCAATCATTCTTCCAATTTAGCTTAATCTTGATCGATAAGACGATTTACACATAGCTTACCAGTAAAGTGGAGCGTAAATGGTGATTGAACTTGTAGGCCGAAGAGAGGCCTTTTCTTTCGTGTCACAAGAAGAGGAAGTAACGACAGTTTTCTGTATTTCGTTCTTGGACTATTTCAATGAGTGGTGATCGTCCTGTCATAGAAGCGCGAAGCTAAGCTGTTGCGGATGATTGCTTTATGTATTGAATTTCTGGATGTTCATCACTTGATGGGAGTTCGCTGAGGCTGTTCGTAATTTCCGTCACTAGACATATTATATCACTTATTTGACTATAATTCATAGTACTTTAAGTGAGTAAAATATCTCTGCCGTTAATAGATGTGAGAGTTGAGTTAGGTATCAAGAAATTGCCTGTCTTTGATGCAGGCGACGAGGTCTGATGACACGAAAAGCTATAGACAAGACTAATAACCGCAACAAGCGTCCATTATTTCGGACGCCATGATACAGAGCATTTTGACTACAGGAACTACACATTATCGTAGCCAGAATTCTTATCAGCTTTCTACATCGGCATATGCTAAGTCTAATCTGTCAGCGTTTGACATTCCATATTAAAGTGTCACTTTCAAAAGCCAGTACAAATGAATACAAAACCAATGCGAAAAGCTGAAAATGATAACAAGCTTCCATTATTATTTTAAGCCAGTGCTACAGTCAGCGCACTTTAACTATGTTTTATTGGACATCAAACTCACGCTTCTCACTTTTGTTTTGTCTGTGTTCACATATAAATCACTAAGTGATGTCAATTTGCCCATTTAAGGAACGAAAAACTTCACTTTAAACAGTCCGTATCATTATGAGTGGCGCAATTGGCATTTTACTGTCAATTTTTTCAACGTCACTCTGTTGATAATTTGCTGAAAGTGGACCGCCGTGTGTGCCTCGAAATGTTTCACCTCAAATTTAAAGTATATCATGGGAATTTACTATAAAGTAGAAATTAACGCACACTCCTGATCTTGATTTAAATTGCGTTAAATAATATGCCTTATATTTTTCCATACGCTATCATTTTCGTGCTATTTTTCTACCATTGGGGGCTGACCTTTTTCACGGTCAAAAGCTTTCGCCCAAAATCATATTGGAAGTTTCGGGCACCCGCACGATGGGATACTATGCTCCAAAAATAGCTGTGCACAAAAGTTAGATGATTTTGTGTTTCTTTGGCGTAGCAATATCATTATGTGCGCGGTAGTAAGTCATCACGTATTTATCACATTTTGTGATATTGGCGCGAAACCAGACGAAATTGATTTTTACGGCCAGCAATGCAAACAATCACACGTAGCACTTGAACCTTAAGTTTCTGTTTCAGCCCTTGTGTTGGATTATCCATCTGTATTCAGGACGTTATCTTCAGCTTGCCCACATTCCGTTGTTCCTATGTCAATGATTTCAAATTATCCCATTTCTATGTTTTCAGCTGCCTCTGAGGTCATCACATTATTTCTTGACCACATAACTAATGTCGCTGTGCAAGTGACAGCAACATGCATACCCAAAGATAGCTTTGAAATTTCCAAAAGGCATTAACCTCGATGAGAATCTGTGAAGCACACTTCAGACATTCTTGCTCCACAAATACTAATTTCAACAAAGCAAAGGACAAGTAACACAGCATTAAATAACTTGTGTTTCGCAAAATCTTCATAATAGCTGTCAAGATGAAACCGCAGCCTTGCTAGTCCACCAGGAATGTCATTTGGTCTGTCAGAAGTCAAATTATCGCTAAATACTGCTTTATATTTTAGGCTTTGTAGTTTGACGACAAGTTTGAAGAGTTGTGAGTTAGTTTTAAGTACGTTTCGGGGCAATGTTTCATTTCTTCAAGCATGACCCGCTTTAGCGCGGCAGTTTCATTTGACGCTGAGATTAAAAAACAAAACAAAATGCTAGAGTGTCGAGCTTTTGAATTTGTAAAGGACAATCTCGTGAAGACTGTTACAAAACGAAAAACACGTTGAACTTTGATAGTATTGAATCGGATCTGATTCAAGAATAGAAAGCTTTTTGATATCTTTGCTCACATCTTCCATGATTGATTGGGCCGTGTGTTTCCTAAGTGAAGGTTGTAAATTACTTCCCGTGGATTTTTTAGTAGCAAATTAATGCCTTGTTCCCAAAATAGACCAAGGGTTGATACAATTCTGATACTCTATTAAGACATGAGAATAAGAAATGAATGAGGGTGCAACTTGGATGCACATATATCAACAGAGTACTCATGTAAAATACAGTTTGGGTCTCTTGTTGAACTTCTTTGGCTCTTGACTTATAGTCTTGAACTACCAGATATCAATTAGCGTTCTTCTTTGTTCCTATCACTTTGTACTATTCTGACATTATGCAACTAGGCCCTATCATCACTCATTTGCAACAAGAATTACGTAACTATATCCAGCTTTAGATGCTTCAGTCTGGCCGATAAACGCCAACTTCAGTGTTTATTTCGTAACTACAGATGATTATCTCTATGTATCAAACTCGTTCTCTTCACATCGATGATAACACACAAGTAATCAAATTGCCCAATTTGTAATCTATAAAACGATTGAATGACTTGAACATTTCGTTTGAGTTAATGGTAACAATCTCAACGAGTACAAATTGGGTGATAGAGGGTCTAATTTATTATTTCATTTCGATGCATCAGTCACATAAGTGGCAAGTTCTTCTTAAAAGAACCCAATGAAAAGAAAAGAAAGCCAGCTGCATATCTACGAGCTCATCAAAATATCCAACTGTATAACCAAAGATACTGAGTAAATTTGAGTTCGATAGACGCTACTCTTACTCGACTGAAAGGATATCCATTATTTTATCATTCAAAACGTGTGTGATATCTCATCAAACACGTCATGTTAATCATAATGGAAGAAAAAAAAAAAAGATAATATAATTTAATTTAAAGCCACCTTTCTGATTCTCCAGATTTATTGATTGGAAGGAACCAAATCTTTCAAACTTAATAAGTGACCCATAACAACAAGACGAATCTACGCCATTGTCCAATTCCCAATAATGGCACCATTGAAAGACTTATTGAACCATGACGAAAGCTCTGGGTATCTATCTTCCCCTCCCAGCGAGGATGAACGGAAGTACTGGGCAAGATCGAGCCGCAGCGACAGCGAATCTTGCCCATCAGAAGCCTCCTATAGTGAGAACGACTCGAATGGAGGACTTGTCTGTGACTGGGAGAGCTGCGGACAGAAGTTTCCTCAACCAGAGCTGATGTATCACCATCTGTGCAATGACCATGTTGGTCGCAAGTCTCAAAAAAATCTGCAGCTGAACTGTCACTGGGGCCAGTGTACCGCAAAGACGGTAAAGAGAGACCATATAACGTCCCATTTGAGGGTCCATGTGCCGCTCAAGCCGTTCGCATGCTCTACATGTAGGAAACAATTTAAGAGGCCCCAGGATCTTAAGAAACATTTGAAAGTGCATCTCGACGACGAGACCGTGATCAAACGTAGGCGGGGTCCTAAGCCTAACTCCAAGAAAGTCGTCAAGTCTGATGTCAATACAGCACCCAAGTTGCCATCGATTACGTTTGAGAAATTTTTGGCTGACGAGATGCACCATTACAAACCTTACTACACTCCGCAGCTGGGAGAACGTCTCCAAGTCATGATGGCCCCACCCCCTGCTCTTGTGGGTAGCAATAATCTTGATCCGAGACAAACTCCTTTCCGCTCAGTCCCACCTGCTCCACAACAGCTGCAATCCTCATTCAACCTATCACCCCATTCTGCTCCTCAAGATATCAGAGTTGCAGCTGGGTTCTTCTCTACTCTATCGCAGGACATGAATAGAAGACTTCCACGTTTGCCCCAGCTCAACACAGTTCGTTCTTCGACTCCAGTGTCACCTCTAACTCCTGCGTCCATTCCTTCGAGATATCCTCCAGTGCTCCAACTGCCACCAATTCACGCTGGTGGCCCATACAACAACAATAACATGCAATCTTGTGCATACCCAAGTGTACCATTCGTGTCATCTCGGATAGATTCCCCTGCGAGGTTGCCCCATCTGCGTCCTAATGACGCCTTTAGCATGCACCAAAAGAACTCTGGAACTGCTGTTCAAGATGATGACACGCGGGATCACATTGAAAATTTGCTAGCTGGTTTGAATCTGGAGGGCACTGAGCAGGAAGATTTCCTCGATGTTCTGACGAAGGTTAATGCCATCAAAGACTTTTTGATTTGTACCATGTTAGAGGACGAATACGACACTGAAGAAGAGTCGGTAAAATGCAATGCTGCGGATCTCACATCTGTGGATAACTCATCTAGTGAAAGGCTGGATGCTGCAAAGCAGTTGTCGAAATACCCAACGGTTGTTGTTTAAATTTTGGCAAGTATATAACGGAATTACTTTGCGTTATTTATTTACTGACAAACTGTATATTATATTAAGGCTTTAGGAATAAATGTAAAAATTAACATAGACCTCAGCTGTACGGGAAAATGTCGATCTTAAGTGGCAGATTACTTGTGAATTAATTTTATTTTTCTTTCAAATTTGACCACTGAAAAACTAATGAATATCAAAAGACATTTCCAGATTGATTACTCTTTTTAAGTTCATTGCTGAAATGAGCTATCGTATGATATTTGACGTTGAAATGAGGTTTTATTTCTATACCTCCAGTCTTTTTTATTAGTCACTAACAGATATAAGTGAGTTCAAAGGTGGAACTAACATTCGGGCCTCAATATGATCAGATAAGTAAGGATGACGACTCTACAACGTCGTCGAGTGGCTCTGAAGCATCCTCAGACTCAAGTAATGAGTCACTGTCGTCACAAAAATCGGCCAGTGAGTACGATGATGAAGAAGAGGAGAAAGAAAGCCCCGGTGAAAACTTGAAGGATTCGTTCTATACCCATAAGTGGGAACAATTTTGCCCGCGTGTAGGAGTCAATTGTTGTCCCTTGAATGGCAGCGCCCAAACTCTTGTAATTGCGCTGAAGCAAGGGCAAGATATCATGATCAGTGGAAGCTTTCAAATAAGGATCGTCAAAGGTGGCATTACGTACAACGAAGTTCATTATAATGCGTCTCGAGAACTTATATCAATATGGCACCCTACCTGCTCTTCAATGTCGCCCATTTCAAGCTCATTCTACGCTGGGTGGGATGAGCGCAATTTTCTCAATAACGACATTACAAAAACCGGAATAAAGCATCAAGAGTTCGAGTGTATTTTACTGGTCTCAAGCCGATGCTCGGGATTGTCAAACATCTCACGACTTAACCATGTCTTCAAGAGTCTTTGGGTTCCCCAGGATTACCTGTTTCAAGGTGCCAGTTCCGCAAATTCCAGTTTTGCGATCCTCAGTCGAGAGACCATGAAGGACACTACAAATATTTTGACTCTGAATATATCGAAAGCGTGGTCCTCAAAGCTTTCAGAGCTTTCACTTTTCCACAAAAACAACCTCCATGACATGAGAGTCATGGTTTTAGGTGGCAAGAACTCGGGCAAATCAACATTTTTGAGGCTTCTGTTGCAGAAGTTTCTCCATACAGACACTGAAGAAGATGAGGCTATTTTTTACCTGGACATAGATCCAGGGCAAACTGAGTTTTCTAGGCCCGACTCCATATCGCTTACAAAAATCCAGAAGGACGTTGAACTAGGAAATCCGCTTGGGCAGTCTAATGACACGCCGCTTACCGAACGATACATAGGAACTAGCTCCCCTGGTACTTTTCCCTCACAGTACCTCCAGGAGGTCAATAATCTCATGAGCTCTTTCACAGATGAACAACACATGGGCACTACACTTCTCAATGTACCTGGGTGGATAAAAGGCTTTGGAATACAAATATTGAATACTGTCATCCGTGGGTTCAAGCCCACTCACATTGTAATTATAGATTCTGACTCAAGGAAGCAGGTGTTCTTAAATGAATTTCAGATTGGGCCTACATTTATTACACCACAGCGTGAGAGTTATGAGCCAGAAATTAGCAGAATAGACGGTTACCATGGGTCTTCAGCTTCGCTAATACAAAGTCGATTTCATGCTTCGCATTTGAGGCAGTTTCGCCTTTTATCACACTTTCATAAGACCCACAGCTCAAAATTACAAATTGAATACAATTTCACACCTATGGTAAACTATGCTCCATTACGGGTCTCTTTCGGTGTGGGCAAATCAATCAAAGCTTTCATGATTGAGCAAAACGTCGAGGGTTGGTCAGATAAGGATATTAAAGACGCGCTGGAGGGAACAATTGTTGGCATTTACACCACCAATGAAGATTTCATTGTCGAGCAGCCAAATCGAATACCAATAGTAAGAAAAGCCGAGAAAAGTGCTTTCACAAGCCTGGGGCTTATCCACTCCATTAACGTGCGAGATTCATTCATCAATATTTATCTCCCACTGCATGTGAAAAACATTCAGGAGGCCGGAAAATCTTACTGGTTTCTCAGAAGGTGCAAAACCGAAACTCCCCTTTGTGAACTATATCCTATAGACGGTTCCTTGGCTAAGGATAGCGACATAGACTTACCATTCATCTCCTTTAAAAGACCGAAGAAGTATGAATTCATTTGGAAGGTACGCAGAAATATTCTTAGAAGAGGCCATTCACCCAAATGAAACCTATCATAATTATTTTAATGCAATGCTAATGTACTATAGTGGCTTTTCATTCCTCTGCCTCATCTATCCATCCCATTTTCTTGTTTAACCTGTCGTACTTCAATCTATCTTTGTCACTTACAGATGGCTTAACCTTTTTTAAGGCATTAGTAAAGTCCTTCATGGTGACTATAACTTCTGATGAAGAAGTACTGAGCTCTCCAAATTCTTCTTCCAAATTGTTTTCAGTGATGGAGTGGATCTCATCAGTTCTGAAAAAGCTTCTCTTCAAGGCCAAGACGGAACTTTCCCTTACGAGAGCAGCTAAGTCGGCACCAGAGAAGTTTCTGCAACTTTCTTCCTTAACGACAGCCTCCAGATTTACATCGTCAGCAAGTGGTGTCCCATTTGTTCTAGTCAAAGTTTTTATAATGTCCACTTTTTCTTCAAAATTTGGAAGCTCAATGAACAACGTCTTGTCGAGCCTACCTGGCCGAAGCATTGCAGCATCAATCATATCTGGACGATTTGTAGCACCTATCACAAAAATGCCTTTTCTATCGTTGAGTCCGTCAAGCTCTGTAAGTAAGGTGTTGACAACCCTGGACGATGATTCTGACAAGGAAGCATCTCTTCTTGGCACCAAAGCATCCAATTCATCGAAAAAAATTACACAAGGGACTGATGCACGAGCACGGGTGAATACTTGCCTTATAGCACGCTCCGATTCACCAACATATTTGTTGAGAAGTTCGGGCCCCTTGATTGAAATAAAATTGGCCCTCGATTCATTGGCTACTGCTTTTGCGAGAAGTGTTTTACCGCAACCAGGGGGGCCCCAAAGAAGCACACCTGCAGGCGCACTTATCCCGACCTTTTCATAGAGCTCTGGGCGCTTAATGGGCTGGACAATTGCCATATTCAACTCAACCCTGGTCTTATTTAGCGCACCGATATTGGCCCAGCTCACATCTGGTACAGTAGCAAACCCCTCTCTCTTCGCGGTTGGCTGAATCGTGGGCAAAGCCTTTAAGAAATCCTCATATCTGATTGAAAGTGCCATTAATTGTTCGCTAGTAAGGGGTTCTGGAAAGTTTTGTATAAACCTCTGGACTGTTGACAAAGGTAAAGGATCGATCATGTTTGCTGTGTTTTTCAACTCCGAAACTAAATCGTCAGAGGGGAACCCCCCATCTACTTCCATCGAATTTGACGTGTTGTGGTCAATGGGAGCATAACTATTGAAAATCCGCTTTATGGCACAAGTTCCTGCGGCAGTGCTTAGCGCTTTCAAATCAGCACCGACAAATCCCGGAGTAAGTTTTGCTAATTTGGAGAAATCGATGTCTCCATCAATCTTAAGATTTGATGACATTTTTTTAAGAATGTGCAATCTTGACAACTCGTTCGGCACATTGAGGCATATCTCTCGATCAAATCTACCTGCGCGTCTAAGTGCAGCGTCTAACGAATCGGGTCTATTTGTGGCGCCAATAATGATCACTGGCTTTCCACCTGTTTTTTCAAAAGACAATTCATCCATAGATGTCAATAACTGCGCTACTATTCTTCTCTCCATTTCTCTTTGAGCCCCACCGTCTCGTTTTGGTGTAATGGCGTCAATTTCATCAAAAAATACTAAACATGGAGCTAGAGTCTTCGCCTCGTCGAACAGATCTCTTATTTTCTTTTCACTTTCACCTGACATACCACTTACCACTGAAGGCGCCGAAATTGATATGAATGGCACTTGAAGCTCTCCAGCCAGCGCGTTTGCAATAGATGTCTTACCACAGCCTGGAGGCCCATGCAACAAGACACCACGAGGAGGCTCTACACCGGTAGAGGCGAAAATTTCTGGATGCAAGATGGGCAAACCAATGAGCTCCATGAGTTGAGCAACCACATCGTCCATACCACCCAAGGATGATAGATTGCTAGATGGCGGACTTCTGTCCTCCTGTGTTTTTTGCCTCTTGGACTTAGTGCTGCTGTCCTTGGATCTTTTCTTAGATGCTGACTTTTTTTCATCTTCTTCCTTAGTGACACCTTCGTTTTTGGTCGTACTCCACAAGCTCGTAATGCTTTTATTCATGTCATTAGTTTCCGGTGCAATCATCATGTTTTGCTGGCGCAATGTATCGTTGTCGAGCTTTTCCAGATCTTCTTTAGACTTTTGTTTAGCAAAGAAAGGCGCGAACTGCTCCTGCTCTTCTAGGACCGCCTCCTTTAGAGCTTTTTCCACCGTTTTTTCAAGCAACACTTTCTTAACTCTCTGCATCGAGAGATCTTTCGATTGTACAAAAGCTAGTACCTCACCGAAAATTAAGTCCCTGGCCAAGAAAACCTCAGCAAAATCGTCATCTTCCGATTCCTCAGCATCGTACATTCCATCTTCTTCCTGGCGGGCTCTTTCAGCTGCTTTTATCCTTTGCTTCTCTAATGACTTTTCATCTAACATCAGGTAAACCAAATCCGATATTTTCTCTTCAAAGCTCCGCGCTAACGAGGCCTTGGGCTTTTTAACCTTTCCCATCCTATTTAGATCAGTCTTATGCAGCGAGATAGTGTCGATGGAGATACTTTGGCACTGCTAGCCCGTGACGCTATTGTGTTCTTGTTCAGCTAGATGAGATGCGATGAGGCCAAATTTGATGTTTTTTTTCAGCCAAAAAAAAATGAAACTTTTGAACGTCTAAAGCACCCGCCCTATTAAGGTTAACCCTGAGATCTGGTAACGACACCACAGGTTAAAGTGGATGTAGGAAGAGAAAATGTCTGCTCCAGGTATCGCAGTAACTACTAGAAATGCAATTACGACATCCCACAGAACTCTGCTTTTGAATCACCACAAGTACTTCCCTCCCAACAACATGGCGAACGAGTACCCGCGAGAAGACGCGCTAAAAATGTGCTATCGGAGACTTATCAGGCTTAAGCCTTTGATCTCTCAACGGGACATGGTAAGAATGACATATGTTCAGTATCTGCGTTATAAGTTCATAACTGAGGATTATTCTAAGAAAGTGAGTACAAGTTCCATATCCCTTTCAGGCCTGGAAACCGATGTAGTACGTCAAGTAGAAAACAGCCTTTACTTTTGCTTGAAAGCTGTATCAGAAGTGAAAAAACGAGTACTTGGCGAAGAGGCAGTCTCGCAGGAGAGTCGAATTGCAAGAAATATATTAAAAAATATTTTAACCATTGAGTTTGAAAAGGCCACGCTGATTGCTAAGGACCCGCAGCAGAACTTTCCTATATTAAGAAAATCCTTCAACTACCTGTCACCATCTGCTAGCAAGTCGCCAGCACTTTTAAGATTTAATTCACTCAGAGAGTTCGATCGATGTTTGATAGGCCTCAATGAGACACTCGGCACACGTCTGTAAAGGCTGAGTCAAGGCTGTCATTTCAAATTCCTTCAGCTGTAGCAGCTGCATTATCTGGTGGGTATAGATCACTTTCAAAGATAGAATGAGGATGCATCTGTACGTCCGATTTTATTTGCATTCCTTTAGAAGTGATGTAGTTCTTCAGAATTTCGAGCGCTTTTTCCATTTGCTTATCATCAATGTTCTTGTAGTTGAGGCTTACGGTATTTCCGTCGAGTGTGGTATCCACATTCATTCCTTTCTTCAACGATGCCACAACTTGATTAGAAAAATCTGCGGCATCGGAAATGTTACTATCGACAGTTATTTGTCTCTCAGAGGCAAAAAGCGCCATCAACTCGTGAGCAGCTTTGGCTGCAGTTTGGTCATTTCCCCTCACCTCCAGCTTTACACTTTTTCCTGGAATCTCAGTTGGAAATAGAATATAAGCCCCGGTTTTCTTCTCGATTTCTCCAATTACATTATGCTTATGATCGCGTGTTTCCTGGAAGTAATAACGGTACTGACCAAGAGAAAGCTTAAGGTATGCTTTGGGTTGTAACTCGCTGTATTCTGCTACAATTCGCTTGAGCTCCTCTTTTGCCGCAGGTATAGACTTCCTATTTTTGTATGGGCATCTTATGATCACGTTGTCGTGCCTGTTGAGGCCAATATCATTTTGATGAGATTGGTATGTGTTGGAAAACTGGATAAAGACGTTGTATCTTCTCATGATTGTTTGGATTACTGAACCCCGAGTACCTATGATGGGCCTGTGATACGCTTCCGGTATGAAAAATGAATCCTCTGCGGGCAGCTCATCGTTTAACAACTGCACTCCGATTTTTGCATCCGCGAAAGAATCTGAAATGAGAGATAAGCACATGTTACTGGCGTTTTCTTGTGACTCTAATGCTATGCTGCATTTAGCGTTTTCCATGATTCTCGTTATTTTACCATTTTTCTTGCCAGAAATGAAATCCCTGTATTCGGGGTGTAACTCTAGGAGATATCGAATCTGTACATTGCCCGGAATGTTCAATTTCTCTATTGATGCTGTCGCTTTAGCTATGTCTTGGGATGCTCCTATCAAAACGAAGTTAGTTAAAGGAGGATTGAGTTGTGCTATGAGAATATTTCTGTTTGATGCGATTTGATCCAGCTGAAGCTCTAGGTTATCTTGTGAAGAATAGCCGCCTGTCTGATCCTGAAAAGCAAACTGGGCCTCGAGGACAGGCATTAAAATTTCTAGCGTAAACTGTCTTAAAGCCGAACTCAAAGCGTGCTCTGATGTAGCAACGAAGCTTACCGTTGATTCTTCTACTTTGATATAGCACTGGTGTTTTTCTATAATTGTGGTAATTTGGCGTTGCCTGAATCTGTTTAGAAACTGGAGCTTTAATGACGAAACATTGGGCAGTTGTGCATGATAAAAGCTATCCTTTGCACCCGCTAACATATTCTCGAGACGCTCCTTGGCCATGAGCACAGAAAAATGGGCGTCTCCGGAGAGAAATATGCTATCGGCCCCTGTATCCGAAATATCTGGGATGATTACTTTGGTACCATATAGGTCGCGGAAACTCTTCAAATTATTAAGATTAGCACCAGCACACACCGGTATCAATGCCGGGGATTCCAGATGAACGTATTGCATAATTTTGTTGTTGAAAAGCTCCAGAAGAGCTATTACGTGAGGCTTGGCTGCAGTGACACGAGCCTCAGACCCTAAAATATACAACACTCGCTTGCCTTTGCTTTCCATCTTCCTAGAATAGATATCACAGGCTGTCACTAAAACGTCGACGTCCAAATCCTTCGAAAGTTCAATCATCTGCTCGGATTCTGCACTTGTGAGGCGATGCTGCAAGCATATCTCAAACTTGATTGTCGGCTCCAATTCTGTCTCGGACTCAGTTGTGCAGCGGCACAGTATGCTGTTTGTGTAGGTTTCGAAAGACTGAATTCCAATGCCATGGTTTGGTATACCAAGACACCAGCTTGCCGGTCTGGAAATTTCGAAGCGCTGCTCCTCTTCCTTTTCTAAGGGCTTCCACAAATTATTTGACACCACCTCTGCATTTTCGGGTCTAAAAAAGACATTAGTATGAAAGGGATAAATAACTAGCGGTCCCGACATGACTAGATAATTGCCACGGTCCCTGTGATAGTGGTATTCCACTTTGTTGTATCTGATTTTCGAAGTAATTGAAGATGATCTCCATAGGTAAACAAACAATTGAACAAGGTCCGAATCATCAAAAAGAGGGTAACTTCAAAAGTCACTAACACTAATGACAATAGTAATGTCAACAAGCTTGCGAGATAAAGGTAGCTTGATAAACGTCTAATTATTGATGGACATTGGATCAGAATGCTCGACCTACGAGTATTGAGTACAATTGTTCTTGTTTTAATTTTTTAGCAAGCGCATGAAGCACGAGCCTCGGTTATATATAAAGCATTAACGGGGCATCTGCGCAATTTTGCTTGAACATCTTCGTCCTTGATTTGAGTTTTGGCGATTTAAGCTCTTGCAATTGTGTGGCGCTTTGAAACGCGTTGCCGTCTATCTTTCACAATTACTGTCCTCTGTACGGCCGGACGTGAAATTCGATACGCAACAGCGCAACGATGTGTAATCACATCCCTTCGGCCAGCTTAATATATATTTGACGTTGCCCAAAGTCTCCTCTCTTGTCTGACAGATCTCTGTCAGTCTGCGATGCCAAGCATGGTTTTGAAATAGATAGGTCGCAGACTCGAGCGCCATTGAAGGATGTTTCACGAAGAACGTAAAAACGAAAATTTCGTTATCCAGAGCGATAATCATATATACCAGAGCGTTCGTCCGTCGGGTAAGAGTAGCGTGATAAGCTACGTATGATTGGTATCATTTGCCAAATGTATAAGAATACCGTGTAAATAAACGTGCTATAATTTTCAAGAGCTCTTAATATCTCAGTTAGGCACACATGAGCGATTGAAGTTGCCAACCAAGTCTCTGGCCATGTCTCTTGGTGGAATGTATACTGATGATTCATGATGTCGAATCTATAGTTTGATGAATATATCATATTGTACGAGAGTGCGATGCCAATAAAGTGAACATCATCACGTCCTGTGCTCTAGCAGCACTCTTATATTATTCGGTAGTGAATCTTAAGCAACGCTACGATCCGTCGCAGACACGCCATGGCGGTTAAAAAAAGGAAGCCTCATAATATCAAACCAATTCGCAATGTGCAGGATGGTCAGCCTACACACAACCCGTACGATTCGGTGAGACTAAAGCCCGAAAAAGTAGGAGCGTTAGTTCACGACGAGAGCGACACGATCTCTTACCGAGCATATTTGACACAAAATTTCATCAAGTCTAGCGAATGGATGGACGTTCTGACCACTCAAAACGTTCCGCTGCAGTGCATCCAGCCACCACCTATCTATCGAGACCTGAATGTAGAAGCGATGAAACAATCTATTGCAGCAGAAAAGGAGCAGATTAGCGCATTAGAATGCCAGCTTGAGAACTACAGCATCGAACTTCCCAAGGATTTCATAAAATTGAGGGATCTGTCGGTGGCACTCGCCAATGACAGCGGCGACCGCAAATCGACGGAACCAATAGAAATCGAATTTATGTCAGAATTTGGAAAGCATCTGCAAGATGGTCGTATTTCCATACATCACCAAAAATTTCCTCAGCTACGTGGTGATTTGTCAGAGGCGCCAGTTGATTACTGGGCTAAGCGTACCGAAATGTTAATCAAACAGCACGAAGAGACTGTTAGGCTCAAAGAACTGCAAGAGGAAGAGGAACTCAAGCGTCGAACAGAGGAACAGGACAGACTGCGGCAGAAGCAAGAAGAGCAAAGGTTATTCGAAGACCCCTTTCAACCGCAGCAACCACAGGTGCAACCGATTCCGAGCGTCATGGCTTACAATGTAAATGGCAATCAAGCCCAGCCGCAGCAAGCAGATGCTGCACAACAAGGCATGCTTGGATCCATCTTTGGTGATATGAATGGAGAGAATTTCAATAACGGTTTTGAAGATGAGTTTGGTGAATTGGACACCGCGTTCTTTTGAGGCGCAAATGGCATACGGGTTTCTATAATTTATCTAAAGCTCGAATGTAAAATATGGATTCTACTTAACGGTAAAAAATGCGACCAGAACAATATCAATTCCAGAACAAGTTGTTTATTTGCCGTATGAGTCTGCCGCTTGCAAACGCTATGGTTACCAAAGTGATAACCACTTGAATTACTATCAAACTCAAGCCCGCAAACATAAATCGAGGGCAGAATATTTTCCATACCATCAAATGTCTTCTGAAATGTGTCACCCATACGAAGGAGCTTAGACACAAAACAGTATTGTAAATTAGCAGCATTCCACAGTTTGAAACAATCCTAGCTAACAGCGTTTGAGGCTTTAGCACGGTTGGGGGCTGCTTCCATAACGTGAGCAGCGCTACGGATAATGCAACTATTATGTGGGGACCGAAGGTGTTCATTACGATCCCCAGATGCGTAAACGGAAATTTGATACGTTCAGTAAGTACAAACCCAACATCCCACTGAACAGCCGGAATAGTAGCTTGATGGCCGGTTGCGAAAAATTGCTGGTAAGCAAGCAATCCCATAGTCACAGGACCGATCAAATTATCTTTCAGCTTCAATAAGTCAAAAATTTCTAAAATGGATAAAAGTTGGTTGCACATGAGGAACAACGATATTTGCGCCAATGGCTTGTTGAACAACATTATGCACATAAAGAAATTGATGACCAGCAGGAAAAACTGGGCTCCGTAGACGTTGGCGTATCCAAGAATTGTTGCTTGCTGAGATTTTACATCTGTGTTGTGTATATTGAGCTTAACGCACAGCGGACCCATCATCCACCCAACGTTTGCAGCAATAAGTGAGAACCCTGCTACAATTCTTGAAATAGTAAGTTTCAGGATCTTTGCATCCCAAGACCAACCTGGGATAGTGTTTTCTAGAGCGCAAATTGTCCAGTAACAAAAATTTGTTAATAGGACATATCGAAGAAATTGACCTATCCAGATAGGAGCAGCAGCTTGGTAGGATGAACATACGTTGTAGTAGCCCCGCAGGCACGAAGGCAGAAATGCAACGACAACCAGGCACAGTGTTAAGCACCAGTAGGAGTAATTATTGGCTGTTGTGAAAGTTGGTGTGCAGTATTCACCTTGTTCTTCTCGGCATATCGTTATCATTGAGGAGAGTCTTGTACAAACAACGAGAACAATCGAATGGTACCCACCAACAATACGAGCAAATTTGCCGAAGGGTGAAGATTCCGCTTCTGATGCCAAATGCGCTTTACCTAGTGGAGAAGGTTTTTTTTCGCCCATAGCCGCTGTAAGTAATGCAGTCGTTAAACGCCTCTTGGGTAGAAACATGAATTCGTAGAGCGTAAGCATGCCTAAGGTAGCTAGGAAGAAACTTACTATTTTATCCTCCCAAATTGTGAAAGAATTTGAGGTGAATAATAGGGCATGTAATGTGATAAAAAGAGCCGCAATTCGGGACCAATAGTCAGATAAATCCTCCACGAACTTTCTAGAGATCCAAGCCACATTGTAGCGATCGAAAATAGTTATGAAACAGCCAACAATGATTCCAATGGCAGTGGCGAATAAAGTGCACCAGATCCAGTTTTCAAGGAAAACTGGTTGGTGTAAAACATGGAAAATACCGTTGAAGCAGACGTTTGAGACTAGCGACATAATAGTGATTGATGGAACAAATTCAGAGACCATCTGACCAATGACAATCGATGGAATCAGTTTTGTAACGATTATTAGCAACAGAAGTGAAGCTGTTAGTAAGGCGATACCAGTCGCAATGCTCCAGTAGTCAAACCTGGCCCATAAATCTTTGCACGACTCCAGAAAGTATTTCTGGTACTCAGAACCCACCGATATGTCAAGCAACGACTTCGACCACAGTTCTTGCAAACGCTCGTCCTTGGTAGAATCTGTAATAACTTTACTGACTTCCTTATAATCTCGAATTTGGTTCAATGTTATATTATTGTAAGCTTTCAGCTCGTCTGTAGTAGTTGCGACCTCGTCTATGGGCCATCCTAAGTTATTGAAGGGAATAGGGAGGCCCAGAAGTAAAGATAAAGTAGGAACCAAATCTATTTGGTTTACTTGCCTGTATTCCTCACCCAAGTCGCTGGTGTTGTAGTTAGAGGATGTCATGTGCTTCCACATTTTAGGCTTCTTAGAGTATAGCCAAAGTGCAGCCTCTAGCTCTGCCTTTGAGTCGCCGCCGTGATTTCCGGTATGGTCCATGCCATGGTCGCCCATGACGATAAATAGCGTTTCCTCGTCAATTTTGTCGCAAATCCGCTTGATGAAAGCGTTAGCCTGTAATTGCTTTTCTCTCATTGTGAAGTGACCTGGCCCATATTTGTGGCCAACATGGTCGATGCCTAACATATGACCGATTAAAACATCCCACCCGTTTGTGTTTGAATTCTCAGATAAGAGATGCTCATCAAAGAAGCTCATGACACCATTATCAACTGTGTCCAAGTCCCAGACGTTAAGAGATTCAAAAGGCCGACTAGAGGGGGACAAGAATGGGCTGAATAAAGCATCCCAAGTATCATCACCGGCAAAGTAGACTGTCTTATTATTGCGAAACATCTGTAGAATCAAATTATCCTCTTCTATTACTGAACCGTCAAAATTCGACCCTGCATCGATAAATGTGGGCAATGATCCAGTGGTGAGGCCTTTTAGCCGCTGCAAGGTTGTTGTAGGTGGATCTGCGATAAATTTGAGAAGCAGCGACGATTGGCTGTCCTCATTTGGGTGGAAGACGTCGAAATTGTTATGAAAATTAGCATCGTAGCTCACATAATCCGTATCAACTGGAATTGTAAAATCAAACCGTAGGGCATCTATCACCAAAATAACGCACTTGCTGAATTTTGGTTCATAATGGGACTCCGTAGACACATTCTCTAACACATTTCTTGTGAGCAGGAAGCCCTTAGAAAAAAATGCAATTGCAATGATCTGTAAAATGGCTAGTGAACCCATGAGGTATATGTATAACCTGTGTGTTGTCTTAAAGCGATGAAGCCGTGACCAATGAAGCCGCTTATCCTCAATCGAGCTGTTCATTATGCTTTTCTTAACTCTTGTTTCATCTGTAGCATCCACTGAAGACATCGTGCCTCTATGAGCCTCTATGCCCAGCATCGATGAGGTTTCCTATATTATATTTGAACGTTCGGTAGATGACGGCTGTGGTAATATTTGATTTAGTGCCAAGTGATATATCTTTATTCGGGTTCGTAACATCTTTCATATGCAACATGCGAAGATAACTTCATCGCTTTCTGGATAGAGACCCCCAACTACTGGCCGCTTCATGCGAGTATTTAGTTGTAAAATAATGTACTGCTCAATTTTGATTAGTCCTTTAAGAAGTCAAGGAAATTTACTAGACATTAAATAGGTTCTATCAAGAAGGCGAATTGAAGAGATTCGCATGGCAGTGGTAATGAGACCAATGGTTTTTGTACTTGGACGTCTCTAACTTTTTGCAGAGTGGTAGGGTATTTCCAGCAAAGCTACAAGCTGTCCATAAAGTTCACAGGGGAACCACTTCTCTTGGTAAAGCTTACTTCATCCATTAACTCCAGTATTTTTCGAAGTGAAGCAATGCTTAACTGTCGTACGGCGTTGCTGTAGTAATCAGAATATCCTGGTTTGCAGATGCGTATAGCGTCCTTGTGCATGACTAACTCGGCTGGTTTTAAAGTACTATAGCTTTTGATGGATGACCGTACATTTCCCAAGTCAAAAAGTTTTACAAAAAATTGGTTCGCATCGCTTGCCCTAGGAGCCAGAAATTCCATCTTCATACAATCGCTTGTCACTAGTAGAAAAGATCGTAAAGCGCTCAATATTCGTTTCAATACTTCAATCTTTTCAGTTTGATTGTCGAATGTAGCGACTTCAAGGAGGAAAAGAAATCGAAGCATTATGCCGTGAGTAACTAGAATGACTCTGTTGAAAATTGGAGTCATTGTGTTGGCCAAAATATAGCGCATTGCGCTTGGAGTCACTTCGGCTAGTCGGCCGAAAGCATAATCTTTATAGTACTCGAAAAGTTGAAAAACTATCTTCATTGAGTCAATAAGATGATGTTCGAAACCGGAGAATGATTCCGGTTGCTTCGAGTGCTTATATTCTTTTTCGTAATAGAACATTAGCAGAGACGAATTGGATAACTGTTTGATCAAAAGTGCAAAACGTGTTTGGAAGACGGCAATTTGTTTGACAGACCCAATCCTTACTGGAATTTGGCCTGAATTGCATAGAAGATATAGGGGCAAACTCATATCGATCTTGTAAGATGGGTCAGCATCGGGAAAGCCGTCTTTAAAAAAAAGTGCCAGCCGTTCGTTCTCGTGTACCTTGTCCTCTAAAAATTCATCATTGCTTTGATGGCTCTCTTCAATATCGCATAGTACTTCCATGAATTGATGATTTTTCAAAAGCATTATGTGGTAATCCAGTTCTATTTGGTCATCTGAAGGTAATTCACGAAGTGATATAGCACGATAGTCGTCAAAAACTCGGTAGTGGTCGGAGAATTGCCGGAGTTGGTTGGCCTTGACGAAAGAGTTGCCTCCTCTCAATGTGTGCTCGTGTAAGCTTGTCGAACAAATTGAAAGCCACAGTTTCCGACGATATAATTTTTCTTGTACGGTGACATTAGTTTGGAATTCGTTCTCTTTCGTATTTCCTATGACATTGTTGAACAAATTCATCTTGAATCCTAAATAAACAGTAGCCTCTAGCATTTCGGCGTTGGATACGCCCAACGCTGACCACATATCGGTACCTTCTAGCAGTAAATTTGATCGAAGATAAATCATGCAACATAAAATATCCTCGGTGGGATTATCATAGATGTTTAACAGTTCTAAACATCTCTTTATCAGTATAAGAACATCTCTGGAGACTGGATTTTGGCATAGCCATGCTTCTGTTTGTTGTCTGTGAGCCGCATCTTGTTCGATCCTTTCGTTATACAAACACAGACAGACATTCCCCATTCGTATGGCCATTAACAAGATGACCAGATGAGAAAGTTTAGCCCATGGGTTTGCAGGGTCGGTGTTCAATTTAGCAGAACCATCAGGCGCTTCAATAACGAAATTTTGAAAAGAGCGCTCGAAAGCCTGAATGTTAAGAACTGGCACAGCGGTGTAAACATTTTGATAAAATTGCACTTTGTATGTCTCGATGGCCTGCATGGAAGGCAAAGCGCTGGCTATATCTTTTAGAAGTTCGGTACACTCTTGAAATGCAATGGAACTGTTTCTAGGCTTGTTGGTTCCAAAAGGGCGTGTTTGTGGCTGCTGTGCGGGAGGATCGACAAACAAGAGTTCTAGAAGATGATGACATCCTAGTGAGAGACCGAACCACAAGTGACCTATATGGTTGGAGTTGAGATCACGGGCGAGTTGCGGGCCGCAGACGGTTGCGGAAACGGCAAACTCAAGGAAGAAAGGGTCTTTTACGATATGGGAATTGAGATCAAGGGTCGTGTGGAAATGCGCTTTGATTGGATGATTGGCCACCGTTGTGTCAGTATCGATGGAGTTTACGGAAACGAGAGGAATCTGAGGGGTTTCCGAAAGGGATAGTGGTTTTATCTGTTGCGGCAGTGGCACTGATAGCGGTAAAATTTGTGGTGGTGGCGTAGTAGTTTCAATAGAGAGGTCAGGGTTAGGTGGTGCAAGTATCTCGCCGTTAGTGCTGCGCCGGATCAGGTGCTTGGGAGGTAATTCGTAGACGCATGGGATGTTAAGACGAATGCAGCGTCCGCAGCGAGGTTTCTCGCGTGAGCAGCGACGCTTGCGCTGGCGACAGCTTTTGCAAGTGAACATGGATTGTGTGGGTTTAGCAGGGAACGTAGAGGGTGGGTTTCGGGCGGCCATCACAGCATAGTTTCGATCCCGAGGCTACGAGCGATAGATAGATAGATTTGAGTAGGGAATGGACCGGGGCGCAAGCAGCTGGGTTGGTGCTTGGGCTTGGTAGTTTGATAGGTTGGTGTGCTAGCCGTTGTGGATCTTGTTGGGCTCTTGTATATCACTAGTGTTGGTGGAACCAAAAAAAAAACAGGCCCACACTAACAAAACGCGGGACGGACGATCTTTTGGCTTGGCTTATTGGCGCCTCTTCGCACCTCTTCGACTGTCTTCTCTTGTGTAACGGATGAACGTCTGCCACCTAAAGATCAGTGTGTGCCGGTGGATTTCCGGCAGAGAGCTTGCTCTGTTTCTTTCCACTTGCTGCTTCGATATCCAACCGCCGCACGGTATAAATAAAGCCAGGCCCTTTTCCGATTCGATGAATGAAGCTTGCGGAACCCGCCTACACCACGCGTCCAAGCATAGAAGAAACCCCAGGAATCCAGCCGCCACCTTCGCCGTCAAGGCAATAAAAGAATGGAAAATGCACTTTTTCGTCTAAGAAAATGGCCCACCAGACCTGGCGCGCAAACCTCGTTTCAAGCCACGTACTAGATCAGTTCGCATTTCTGCCCTCACCGTACCCTGAACACTAATCTGGGTGTGACTGCGCTACTCTGGTGCGGCGTTGCGTTCTCCAGTTCATCATGGCATGTGTGACAGACAGAGCATGTGTGAATGTCTACTGAAGGTTACCACAAATGTGTGAGTGAAAACGAATCGGGGGGGTCTCTGTACTCTCTTTCCACGCACTCATTGAATTTTTTTTGGCACCACTTCCCAACATTGGATGATTGTGTCAGCGACTTCGAGTATACTGCAGGCACATGCGATACGACCTGGATTGCTGCGCCTCCATGCGGGAGCAAGAGTCCAGAGTGTGCGCTGTGTTCTGTGCGAGTGCTGCGTTGTGTGCCTGTGTGCCTGTGTTCGCCGCAGCCTCCTGCAGTCGCGGAATTTTGGATTTGGCGTGCATTGTGTTTTTTGTGTTTTTTGCATTCCTACGGAAAAGTCCGACGGTCATGGGCCGGAGAAACATATTCTCGGCTGAAAGAGGAGCTATTGGCCGAGATTTTTTCCGCAGCTGCATGAAGACGAGGATCCTGGCGGCAAAGGGGACAGAAAACCTTGATCCCGCGGGTAATAAAAATATGTAGGTGGCACAGGGTTTGAAAATCGGCGGAAGCGGGTTCCGCGGAAAGGCATCAAGCCGGCTTGCGCAATTCGTGTGACGCGACCATGTGCGGGCGGGTAATCTCTCAAGTGTTCTTGAGGTTTTGGGCGGCAGTGGCGTCGAATCGTCAGGGTCTTCGTCCAACGGAGAAGTATATCTGTGTGCAGGAAGTACTTATAGGCGTTTCTGCCGAGAAAAAAAGGGGAGCGGATCTGGGGCAATTGGACCGCTTCCCGGAGCTGCCGGCCGAATGCAGAGAGAAATCTCCGCGTTAGCCGCCGTAGTTTCGTCGCTGCGAGAAAATAGGCATTTATGCGCATATTCACGGCGTTTATATATAAGGTTTTTGTTCAAGTGGCACCGAGAGTGGGGAAGACACGGCGATATAAACGAGATTTATCCCGAGAACAAATTGCTTCTCGAATATCCCCGATGGGATTGTGGTAGAGGAAAGGTGAACCTTTGCAAGTGTTGTGAACAGTAAGCGAGGAAAGTAGAACAACACGAGCTTTAGCGAGTGTTGTGGAGAGTGAATTGTCATTTGCATTGAATAATCGAGTACCGTGACAAATGTGGTTGTAGTTTATTGAACAATACGAGCTCCAGCGAGTATTGTGAAGCGCGGGACTGCAGTACTATGAATTAGAGAGTGTCGTCAACAACACCTGTAGCACTATTGACAATACGAGCTTCAGCGAATATTGTGAAGTGCGGGACTGCAGTACTATGAATAATATAGTATCGCCAACAGCACCTGTAGCACTATTGACAATACGAGTTTCAGCGAATATTGTGAAGCGCAGGACTGCAGTATTATGAAAAAGATAGTATCGTTAACAACACCTGTGGTACTACTGAATAACAATACTCTCACATATACCAAGATTGTAGTTCTATGACCTCGTATCGTGAGCGCATGACCATCTACTGTGCAATAAGCCCTGCTAAAACATAGCTCCTAAAAAAAATTCCTGCCACCTAGCTATGTCTCGGTGAGATTCTACAGGATGCCTTTCGACTGGCTGCGAAGGTTTCTCGATCTCTGCGGTCGGATAGCAGGCAATGTAGCTTTTGGTCTGGATCACGTGTGTAACGGTTCATGTTTATATACACATCACGCCAACGGTGTTAAAACTGGGATAAAGTTATTTCAAGTCATAGTATTTGCGGCACCAAATTGAGCTCACCTGGAGGGTGTTTTGAGGCGCGATCTCGAGGCACATCTGCAGGGTGTGCCAAAAGTAGTCAGCTTGCTGAATCGGTTCGGCTGTGTCAATAGTAGTCAGCTTGCTGAATCGGTTCGGCTGTGTCAATAGTAGTCAGCTTGCTAAATCGGTTCGGCTGTGTCAATAGTAGTCAGCTTGCTAAATCGGTTCGGCTGTGTCAATAGTAGTCAGCTTGCTAAATCGGTCCGGGTGTGTCTGATAAATTCGTATCAGGGTCTGGGGTTTCTTCTCCGTGAAATCTAACTATTGTATCGGTAGCGGCAAGAGTTCTAGACTGAATTTTCAGTCTCCATTCTCACACGCAATTATTGTAAAGCAGTATAAGCACATACACCACTCAGCACCGATGTCCAGACCTCGTATACTAGATTGAAGATCGAGCATTGTCACTGTATTGTTAGTTCCCTCTCTGATCTACTCTGTCATGCACTTGACGCTATCCAGTACAGAAATCAATTGCCTCTCTTTTCTTGTTTTACATCCGCTTCTTCAAGGTCTGTAGAAGTAGCTTTCGTCAACTACCTTGCAGCGGACTTGCCGCTAAAGACGACCGTTGCCTGAATTCTCCGGCCGACATGTTCCGGGCGAGGTCGTCGTATTGTCCTGAATGTCACTTTGTACTATACTGACACAAATTACTTGACCGCTCAGGCCTTCACACTCTGGGGCGATCTTCTTCATCCCTCGCATCCTACTAATCATATAAGCTACCCAGAAGCTGCAGGCAGATAAGAAGGTACGAAACACGAATTTTGGAGTTGGCGCAAACCTCGTTCCTCACATACGCGGTTCCCTTCCCAAATGAGCATGGCCACCGGAACGCCAGCGTAACTGCTTCTTCCGTCCTTCCAATGGCCAATGCTGGCGCGGAATTCACCACACGTGACCGAGCATTGGCACGTAGCCGACGGGTTTTACGAAATCGTTTACCCTTAAGTCGTACCTGCGATCTCGTCGCGGCCAGGGATTGGCTCCACTAGCGGTTTCTCGAAAGCCACATGCGCCTGTGGTGACCATAAGCATCCGTTAATGCTCGCTCCCTCCCTCTGCGCCCTCCGGTCAGTCCTCCACTCGTTCTTCTCGTCGCACTGAAGAAAATTAAGTTTATTTTTTTCCCACTAGCGACGGATCCCGGCGGAAGCCCTGACGGAACTGCCACCACACTTCCGTTCCGTTTGTTTTTGCTTAGAAATGAATGTGTACAATCTTGCGCACAGTCAATGGATTGGATGAGCCTTGGCGCCAGTCTGTCCTTGAGTTGTATTGGATGATACGCTCATTGTTTTCTGCAAATAGACAAGACTGCAACAAAAAGTTCGTGGATCGGATACGGCAGAAAGTCTCTTACTCATCCCGCTCCGTTACTTTGGAAACTTGGGTTTACATATAACGTAGTATATTCTTCCTACGCTCACCCGATCTTCAAAGTATTCGAAGGATTTACATTGACAGACAGCCAAAAGCTTTTTCTTCCTTTCAGTTTTAGGGAAACTTAACTCTTCATCTGCACTTTCAATAATATAAAGAAAGAGGATTCTACACCTGGACGCCCGCAGACAAACACATACACAAGGTCTCTAATGTCTCCTGCACAGTTCTCAAGCGGTTCTGAAGATTCAGACCCTACTCTAAATGCCAAGACGCATTCGTCAGACGACGAGCGCTCCGCTGTTGGTGCTGTGGCCCACGCAGATAACGGAAAAGAGTTCCAGCGAAAGAAGGATCATATGCCACGTGACCGCAGCAATAGTCATCTAAGCATGAGTTTGAGTCGCAGCTCGCGAACTCGAGACTCCAGCGACTACGCAGACGCCGTGCGTGATTTTGAGGCCAAGCCCAGCAACAGTGCCGAAGATCCAGACCTCGAGCTTGTCAGGACCGGCACCAACGCCACATCCGAAACCCACGCCCACATCAACAGACGTGTGAGCCGGTTTTTGAGCGGCTCCCAGCACGACGAAAAGGAGAATGCCGTGGACTACTCCAACTGTCCCAATATGGGCGGCGGAAGAGCGTTTCCTCCCAGCTTGCCTGATCGTGAACAATTCGAAGTCACTTTCGACGGCCCAAATGACCCAATCCATCCGTACAACTGGCCAAAGGGTAAGAAGGCGTTCCTGTGTGGTTTACTGGGGCTCGATGCCCTCGCCGTCGTTATGGGCTCCTCCATCTTTGCCTCTGCGGTACCCCAGATTAGCGAGATTTACCACGTCGCTAACGTCGTGGCTATATTGGGTGTAACCCTTTTCGTCTTTGGGTTTGCTGCCTCCCCAGTCGTCTACGCTCCGCTCTCTGAACTTTACGGAAGACAAAAACTACTTATTCTATCGTCCTTTGGTTACGTTTGCTTCTGTTTCGCCACGGCTGTCAGCAAAGATTTACAATCCATTCTAATTTGTAGATTTTTTGCAGGTTTCGTTGGTGCTGCACCACTAGCTATTGTCCCAGCGTGTATGTTTGACATGTTTGACAACGAGGGGCGTGGTACAGCTGTAACTATATTCGCAATGGGTGTTTTCATGGGTCCCATTCTAGCTCCAGTGTTCGGCTCCTACATCACTCAATATACCACCTGGAGATGGACTCAATATGTGACGGGTATGTTTGCCGCGTTAGTTACCTTGCTATTGGCTTATTTCTATGAAGAAACTCATCATCCAATTATTTTGGTCAACAAGGCCCGCAAAATGCGCGAATTGACCGGGAACTGGGGTATTCGTGCGGCTCATGAAGACGCTCAGCTTTCCTTCAAGCAAATCGCCGAAAAGACAATCACCAGACCTATTTACATGTTGTTCACGGAGCCAATTCTATTTTGTATCACCCTATACCACTCCTTCGTCTACGGTATCTTGTACCTGCTCCTGGAGGCCTATCCAATTGTTTTCGAAGGCAAATACCATTTTTATAAAAATGGGGAATTACCATACATCGCTTTACTTGTTGGTATGGCAGTGAATGCCGTTTACAACATTTACGAAGAGAAATCCTACGTCCGGAAAGTGCGCGCCAACGATGGTAAACCTTTGCCAGAAGCTCGCCTGCGCACTATGGTCATTGCCGGAATTGTTTTTCCCATCGGAATTTTGTGGTTTTGTTGGACTGGTAACTACGCAGACAAAGTCAACTTCATGGTTCCCACTGTTGCCGGTTCTTTCATTGGCTTTGGTTTGATTGGTATTTTCTTACCTTGCTTCAACTACATCATCGATTCTTACTTATTCCTGTCCGCGTCGGCTATCGCTGGTAACACATTTATGAGATCATCCTTCGGAGCCTCATTTCCACTATTTGCAGGATTCATGTTCAATAACATGGGTGTAAACTGGGCCGGTTTGTTGCTGGGTTTGTTTGCCTTGGCCATGGTGCCCGTTCCGCTGCTGCTGATGAAATATGGTAAGACACTAAGGATGAAATCCAAATTTGCCTTTGTGCTATAATTGAAACGAACACGTTAATGCTTGATACGCCTTAACGATTCACGGAAACATATCGTAAATAACTAATACAAAATTACTACATTCAATAGTCGCTGAGATGATGAGAAACCAAGTGTTTTTTGTCTTACTAAGTTTCCGAGGAGTGATTCTCGATAAAACTGACAATCTCGGCTACCATGTGCCATTACAAGAACTGTTTTTAAATAAATAGGCAAACACAAAACGTCAGAAGAACGATTTGACATACCGAGAAGGAGCACATCAGTTTACATCACATACTTAATTAATTGCTTGATCGGTACCATAGTATCTCACATTGCTTTCAATCTTGGACGCCAAGTATCAATTAACAAGATACAATGAAAACTTTGTCAACTTAGACGGTTAGAAAATACACCTAAAAAAAACGAATTTTGATTGCCACTTTCCTCACTCTCATACGAATGAAATTAGAGCATATCGAGTGAGTTAGATCTCATCAATTCGGGCTTCCAACATTGTCTATACATTAAATCGCCGCGAAAATGACCACTCGACAGAGCACGTTAAATTTGAAAAACTCCCGTACATCGATGAACACAATTGGCAAAGTCCCTACCTCAGGAACGCCACAAGGGAGGTCTGGCAGGCCTTGTGCTAACTGCACATGTTCACCGGGACTTATGTCGAGACAGAATCGTAAGTCTTCTCTCCTTCTAAGACATCTGGAGAACTCGCGCAAAAGGCCATCTTTGGATAAGACAGGCAGTACAGGCTCAAGTAGAGACTCTGTGTACTCGTCTGACACAATATGTCAAGCTAAGAATATCAACACCTCAGAGCGACTTTTGATGCTAAGAAAGAAAATGGCAGCTCACGAGCTGTGTTGTTACATTGTACCGAGTGAAGACGAACACCAGAACGAGTACGTATCACTTGCAGACCAGCGGCGCGCATTTATTTCTGGTTTTACGGGATCTGCTGGTGTAGCATGTATCACCCGCGATCTCCTCAACTTCAACAGCGACCACCCTGAAGGCAAGTCTTTGCTCAGTACGGATGGCCGTTATTTCAATCAAGCCACTCAAGAACTCGATTTCAACTGGTCTTTGCTCAGGCAGGGTGAAGACACCATGACGTGGCCCGAATGGTGTATTCAAGAAGCCATCGATATGTCCGAGGCTCTAGGGGGCCAGGAAGCGAAAATAGGGATTGACCCTAAGCTGGTGAGCTACGATACTGCTCAAACAATTCAAAAGATGATCATCGATAAGATTGAAAATACGAAAGCTAATGTAACCCTCGTTCCCGTTACAGAGAACCTTATTGATCGAATTTGGGGTAAAATTGAGCCTGTTCCGGTTAGAGACTCTAACGACCTCTTGTTGATGGACTCGAACTACACAAATGAAACGTTCAAGCAGAAAAGAGAGCGTGCTTTAAAATACTTGCTTGAAAAATTGCCTGGTTGCAAGACGTTTTGCGTAGCCACATTGGACGAGATTTGTTGGTTGTTAAACTTGAGAGGTTCTGATATCGCGTATAACCCAGTCTTTTATGCATACCTTCTGCTCAAAGGCGATGAGACAATTTTATTTACAGACGACCCTTACGATGATAAAATCAAAGAGTACTTGGAGATCAATAACGTCACGGTTCAACCATATCATGAAATTTGGGATTATTTGTCATCTACAGCATCGGCATACTCTCAAAGCAGTGAATCTGTGGCAATATCTTCGGGCTCGTCCTGGGAGATTGTTCGCACTCTAAAGGGCACTCACTTTAAAGAAATACAGTCACCTCTTGAGCTATTCAAAGCCGTGAAAAACGAAGTTGAGATTTCGAATGCTCGCGCAGCTCAAGTGAAGGATGCTGTCTGTCTCGTGCAGTATTTTGCGTGGTTAGAAAATCAACTGGTCTCCAAAGACGCCTTAGTCGACGAGTACAAAGCCGCCACAAAGCTTTTGGAGATCAGAAAAACACAGAGGAATTTTATGGGCAACTCTTTCGAAACCATCTCTTCCACAGGATCCAATGCAGCAATAATACATTATTCTCCCCCAGAAGAAAACTCTGCTATGATTGACCCAAGCCGTATCTATTTATGTGATAGTGGGTCTCAGTTCATGGAGGGTACAACAGATATAACCAGAACGTTACATTTTACAAAACCAACAAAGGAGGAAATTCATAACTACACACTAGTGCTCAAGGGCAATCTAGCTCTTGAAAGGCTAGTTTTCCCCGAAGGAACATCTGGCTACAACATAGACGTGATAGCTAGGCAATTCTTGTGGCAGCATGGTCTGGATTATAGACACGGCACTGGTCACGGCGTCGGTTCTTTTCTAAATGTACACGAAGGACCTATTGGCATCGGTTTCAGGCCTCATTTGCAAAGCTTTGCTTTGAAAAGCGGCAACATAATTACCAATGAACCAGGGTTTTACAAAGATGGAGAGTACGGAATTCGCATAGAGAATGACATGCTAGTCGAAAAAGCCAGAGGTCTCAAATTCGGAGAGCGTCATTTCTTGAAGTTCAAGAATCTTACTTTGGTGCCATACTGTAGAAAACTAATCAACGAGAAAATGTTGACGTCTGAAGAAAAGACTCAAATAAATGCTTACCATAAGCACATATGGGATAGCATTGTTCCCTTTACCCAACCGCAAAGCATAAGTTACAAATGGCTAAAACGGGAAACTGCGAATTTGTAAGCGTACGAGGCAAACACTTGAAGGATACATAATCGTTTAGAGAAGTATACGGCGGAAATGAATGAAACTTCCAACCAATTGCGGAACGACGGACTTCAACAGCTAATGGTTTATATCATGAGTCAATTTCATGTCACGTGCTCGATAGTTGGTTTAAGTATTTTGAGAAGGTAATATAACTAATGACCCAACGCTTGCCAAAGAGTAAGAGCAAGCTTGAAGGTTTTGATAACTGTTATAAGAGACACGAATAGAAACTCTTGTTATAGCTCTTCCATATTTAAGGCCTTCGCGCAATATGAAAGCTGTTACGACCTATCGCTCTTTGGCTGGACTTCACGTTTCGCCTGGATCGAGGCTCTTCTCGTGCATGAATGTACTGTCAAAACGCGCCCCAAATCAGACTTCAAACGCCGAAGTTCATGGCTACAAATCTAAGAGCTTTAGAAGGTTCCTACAGACTAACCATTCGCAACGCTCGCTGGACAGCGCTGGGCCAGAAAGATGGAGTTTTAACTTCAATACAGGTAAGGGTTCCAATCAGGCTATCCAAGAGGAAGGCCACGCATCGACAGGAGGTGCCAATACCAAATCCGCCAAATGGTCCACTTATTCTATGCCCTCGAAAGAAACGCTTTCACAGCAACAGGAGCAGGCTGACAAACAGAATGAAGCCGCTCAAAAACTGGCGTCTCAAGCCCAAACACAAGAACCACAACCAGCGAAAAAGCAGAAGAGAAAGCTGAGGCCTCGCAAAGCGTTGATCTCCCTCACTCCTAACGCCCTCAAACATTTAAATATGCTACTGAACCAGCCCGAGCCGAAGCTAATAAGAATCGGTGTTAAGAATCGCGGATGTTCCGGATTGACATATGATTTAGAGTTTATCTCGACGCCTGGCAAGTTTGATGAGGTTGTCGAGCAAGATGGTGTTAAGATAATAATAGACTCTAAGGCATTGTTTAGCATTGTGGGTAGTGAAATGGACTGGATTGACGATAGACTTTCGTCCAGGTTCGTGTTTAAGAATCCAAATTCAAAGGGTACTTGCGGTTGTGGAGAGAGTTTCATGGTTTGAGACTGTTGGTGCAACGTTATTTATTAATTATTTATTATATTCATACAGGTGAGATCAAATTTCGAAGAAGAGCTGAAAAAGGTGTGAGGGCACGCCGCCTTGTGAACCTATGTCGTGGAGTCGGTGTGATTCTGTTAGCTTGTTTTCCACGAAGAAACTTATTGTTTGTTAGTCTAATGACAACTTTCGGTAGTTTAAAGGCTCAAACTTGTACAAAAAAGCTCAATACTTTTATACTGCCACATTTAGGTTTATCAATTTACACTACACTAACGCGTTGTCTGAACCGAATTAAAAAGAGAAAAGCCAATGATGAGGCTGAGGAAACGAACGTTGCCGCCCTGCTTACTTCATATTTCTAAGTAAATTTCGGTCTTTTGTAGAATTATAAGCTTCGCACGTACAAGTTCGAACTCCTCAAATCAAATTACTGTACTTAAATCCTCAGTAACTCGCCATAGTTGTTGATCTGATACAAATGTCAGAACTGCAGCCTCTACCAACTGTATGTCGAATTTTTGTCAGAAACTTTTCGAACACAGCTCACCGTATAGCTGCTAAGCTGCTCCGTATGCCTGGCAGAACGAGTTGAGGCCTATGCTCTCTCATGGTTTAGTTTATCAAAATCTGTTTCGTTGGAGTCATGTCAGTATAGTACGAAGTGATAAAAGTTGCTCGAACGACACTACGTTTGTTTGAAAAGGTGTTGAAGTTTCAAATTCAATAATATGGAGATATAATAGGCCCATAGCTTCACTTTTACGCCGATTCAAACTTTGCCTTTGGTGGCGTTGTATTTACGTCAAAGATTTGAGAACGATTGAGGCAGCCAAAGCTTGCTGGTGGTAGCCACCAGGGACACGAAAATCAAATGTGCTCAGGGCTGCGGAAAACGGGTAGCAAAGAGCTCACTCTCTCAACAAGAACAATAACGGCTAGGGGCGAATGCCCAATTGCATCATACGGGCTCGACAGAGTCCTTATCATTGCACGTGATTGATTTTGTAGAACTCATTGTACAATTTACACACAAGCTCCAAAGTTTTTGGCCTCTTGTGTGAGCTTCTGAATGTAGTGGTTTTTGCAGCAATTTCTAAAACTTACCATGTTGGCATAGGCCCCTTTGCAGGATTTCAAAAATTTTCAGTGTCAATCGACGAGGCCGCAATAGGATGGAGGCAGACACGTTTATTTACTGCATTTCATAGTATAATACCAATATGGTGCTAGCTGCTGCCTTCAAGAAACCTTTTCGCTGGCCTGCGTTCCGACTGCTACCGAGCTCCTTAAAAGTGTTCACGTGCGGATTGATCAGAATGATTTAACCCACTTTCGCTGCTTTAGAATTGATGCTTCTACAGCAAGCTACCGGAAGCTACAGCTCACCACGCACTAAGCTGAAAGGTGCATAGCTTATTCTTGGGTTCAATACTGAAGCTTCTGGGAGCTCGAGAGCTCGACACCGAAGGATATTGGCCGGTGCATATATTCCGAATCACGTGATTGTTTTTTCCAGCAAATCCTAGAAAAGTTGAGAGAATTAGGGATTATACTAGACGGGCAAAGATCTTTCACGCATATAGACTCCGGGATTCTCGCAACGCATATAAATTGAGAGAAGTTTTGAGTTTCTCTGGAGTAGCTGAATCGTTTGAATTGTTCTGAAACCACTAATACTAATCAGTTTATCATCGCTAACAATCACATACACAACAGATACGCAATATGGATGACCAAACCCAATTTACAGAAAGAGCATTAACGCTCGTTACTTTAGCACAGAAGCTGGCACAAGATCACCAGCATGCACAATTACAACCGATCCACCTTTTAGCTGCGTTCGTTGAAACCCCAGAAGACGGGTCGATCTCGTACTTGCAGAATTTGATCGAAAAAGCTCGGTACGACTACGATGCTTTCCGCAGAACCGTGAACAAGCACTTGGTCAGAGTCCCACAGCAAAACCCAGCGCCTCCTCAGATCTCGCCCAGTTATGCGACCGGACAGGTGCTACAGGAAGCTGCCAAGATCCAAAAACAACAGAAGGACTCTTTCATTGCCCAGGACCACATTTTGTTTGCTCTGTTCAAAGACTCCAGTATCCAACAGATTTTCAAAGAAGCACAAGTTGAAATAGAGGCCGTGAAACAACAGGCACTGGAACTTCGGGGCAACCAGAAAATTGACTCTCGGGGCGCCGACACCAGCGACACGCTCGAGTATCTTAACAAATATGCCATAGACATGACTGAGCAAGCCCGTCAAGGTAAGCTCGACCCTGTCATCGGCAGAGAAGAAGAAATCAGAAGTACGATACGTGTTTTGGCCCGCAGAATCAAATCCAACCCATGTTTGATAGGTGAGCCCGGTATCGGTAAAACCGCCATCATCGAAGGTGTTGCTCAAAGAATAATTGATGACGATGTTCCAAGTATCTTATTTGGTTCTAAGCTATTCAGTTTAGACTTGGCTGCACTTACTGCAGGAGCCAAATACAAAGGTGACTACGAAGAAAGATTCAAAGGCGTGTTGAAAGAAATCGAGCAGTCCAAGACTCTAATCGTTCTGTTCATTGATGAAATTCACATGCTAATGGGTAATGGTAAGGACGATGCTGCTAACATTTTGAAGCCAGCGTTGTCCAGAGGCCAATTGAAGGTTATTGGCGCTACGACTAATAACGAATACAGGGCCATCATTGAGAAAGATGGCGCTTTTGAAAGACGTTTCCAGAAAATTGACGTTCAAGAGCCCACTATTAGAGAGACCGTTGCCATCTTAAGAGGTTTACAGCAAAAGTACGAGATCCACCACGGTGTGAGAATCTTGGACAGCGCTTTGGTGACGGCTGCTCAGCTCGGTAAGAGGTACCTACCATACAGAAGACTGCCAGACTCGGCGTTAGATTTGGTTGATATTTCTTGCGCAGGTGTTGCTGTAGCCAGAGATTCAAAACCGGAAGAGCTAGACTCGAAAGAGCGTCAACTGCAATTGATACAAGTTGAAATAAAGGCTCTAGAAAGGGACGAAGAAGCCGATCCAACAACTAAAGACCGTCTACAACAAGCCAAGCAAAAGGAAGCGTCTTTACAAGAGGAATTGACTCCTTTGAGACAACGTTACGACGAGGAGAAACAGGGCCATGAATCATTGACAAAAGCCAAGAAAAAGTTAGAAGAGTTGGAAACCAAGGCTCAGGATGCAGAACGTCGCTATGATACTGCAACAGCTGCTGACTTGAGATATTTCGCAATTCCTGACCTAAAGAAGCAGATTGATCAACTGGAAACCGAAGTCGCTGAGGAAGAAAAGCGCGCCGGATCGGGCGCCATGGTCCAAAACGTGGTAGACAGTGACACTATCGCTGAAACTGCCGCTAGACTGACTGGTATTCCCGTCAACAAGTTAACAGAATCTGAAAACGAGAAGTTGATCCACATGGAAAGACACTTGGCTTCTGAAGTCGTCGGACAAATCGAGGCCATCAAGGCAGTATCCAATGCAGTTAGACTTTCTAGATCTGGGCTATCAAACCCAAGACAACCAGCATCCTTTTTGTTCTTAGGGTTGTCAGGGTCTGGTAAAACGGAGCTGGCCAAGAAAATTGCTGCCTTCTTATTTAACAACCCCGACGCTATGATCAGAGTTGATTGTTCTGAACTAAGTGAAAAATACTCGGTATCGAAGCTGCTGGGTACTACAGCCGGTTATGTCGGCTTCGACGAAGGTGGATTTTTGACAAACCAACTGCAACGTAAACCATACTCGGTTTTGTTGTTTGATGAAGTCGAAAAAGCACATCCAGACGTGCTAACGGTTATGCTTCAAATGTTAGATGACGGTAGAATAACTTCAGGTCAAGGTAAAACTATCGACTGTTCCAACTGCATCATCATCATGACCTCCAACTTGGGTGCCACTTTCATCAACGCTCAATCTGGTTCTCGTGTGGATGATCCAACAAAGGCTTTAGTAATGGGTGCAGTGAAACAGCACTTCAGACCTGAGTTCTTGAACAGAATCTCAAGTATCGTTGTTTTCAATAAGCTTTCACCAAAAGCTATTCACAGAATCGTCGATATCAGACTCAAGGAAATTGAGGAGAGATTTGAAGAAAATGACAAGCACTATAAGCTGGACGTTACACCAGAGGCCAAAGACTTCTTGGCCAGAAATGGTTACTCGGATGACATGGGTGCGAGACCATTAAACAGGTTGATTCAAAATGAAATTTTGAACAAAATGGCCATCAAAATCTTGAAGAAAGAAATTCAGGATAAGGAAACTGTAAGAGTGGTTCTCAAACCTAATCATGGCGATGAGCCCTCTGAACTCGAGGTTTTACCTAACCACGAAAGTAATGATGCTGACATGGATGTCGACGACTGGGACGATTTAGAGGACAGCATGACTGATGGCACTCCTCTAGACTAATTCTAGAAGCAAGTCACTTGATGTAATTTATATAGAACAAAGGAAATGTTTATCTTTTAAAAATCATTTATCGCAGACACTTGGGAGGAAATAAATATATTTAAACTCTAAGCAAGAAGACCACCAAGCCTCAGACCGCTGACATTGACTCTGGGACTACCAAACATCATTAAGCACTCTTGGTTTAGCACCTTGTACTGTTTTGTCATAACGCAACCTGACGCTATAACTTTTCATATTCCAGCATACCAGCCATCGTGCGAGTTCAAAGTCACGTCAATGAATATTCAGAAGGATCTTGACAGCTAGTGGGTTGGTGGATGAGTTTTTGTGTCATCTAAGTCTCTCTCCACGCGCTCAATTTACAATCTATCAGCATCACATTTTGTCTGAGTCTAAAGGCTTCATTACCGAAGAAACTATTCTTGAATTATGATATATCAGTAACTGTAAATGACGACATCCCAGTTTTGATTATCGATGCTTGGGACTCCTGAGAAAGAGGATGGGCTGGGCTAGAAGTTGAATATAACATGGCAGATCAAATCTGCACTTGTAGGTTATATGAGATTTTTGTTTAATAGAAATGGTTGATCTTTATTGAGATTGCTTGTTGCCAGTGGACATGGCCAATTAGATTCTACTAGTATACAAGCGTGAGATAGATAAATCTCTCCATAATCTTCTATTCGAGAAGACAGTCTCGGTACGCTGTAGAACCATAGGTATTTAGCCATTTCTTGATCGGCTGAATGTGCGCACTTGTCAATCCATGTAAACAAATCAATTGTGGCTATTCCGATAAGATATGATCTGCTTACGATTGGGGTCAACGCAGTAAAAGATAATTACAATATCTTCTGTACAACTCCATAGTCTTCTGGCGTGGTATAGATTCTGGCAGTTGTGCTATAAGAAGCTTTCTTAGTTAGGAGTTATTCTTTGTCAGATAAATCTAGTATGTGATTGAGTTGATCAGGTACACCTTTTTTCTGGGATTACTTTATAACGATTATTGTGTTACCATTCTGTTGAATGTCCTGTGTTCGACTTCTAACACCAACAAGTCGTTTATGGAGTTCCCTCTACGTCCATTTCGGTTTGGAACTTCTCTTGCAGATGATTCAATGTGGATAGCGAGAGAGAAACTGTCGAACTATTGAAATATTGTGATATTAATTGCTCTGATCTCGTTTACTAGTCCTGACAACATGAAGTGGTCCACAGTAGATTCTTAATTGTATTAGACTCATTCGTAGGAGCAGCTGCTTGCGGTGAACCGCGGCTGTTTCCCTTATATCTCTCCATGTCAGTGCTCTGATCAGCCGATGTTGGATTGTTTAACAGGTATAAAAGCTTTATATATACAATGCTAGGATCTTGATGCTAGCGAGTATTATCGAGACAAAACTGCGTCAGCAGTTGGTTTGCTGAACAAATTGTTCATGGAGTGTCTGATTAATTTGTTTAGCGTGTGGAAATTTATAAATATCTCCGTAATTCTTTCAGCTTCTGAGAGAACAGCGTTTCGGTATTTATGTAACAAGTGACTGAGCATGAAAGTTGTTGCGCAGTTTAGAATAATCGTACGGCACATCTTATGATACATCATGTTATTGAGACATATCTGCGTCAGGAGTAGTAAGCTTGCTGAACTTATCATTTAAGTTCTTGACGTGTGTCGTCCTTGATTGGTAAAATTTACTCAAGCCTCTCCAGTAATTAATGATGTTTCAGGTTTGCAGCTGGACAGAACTTAATGGTAAAACCCTTCAACGACAAGCAATACCGCCTGGAAGGTCTCGGGATTTCTTTTGTATTCATCTTTTGTTAGATTGGATATTCTCAAAGCATTTGATCTCCTTGCAAAATGATCCAGAGCTCTCGATTTCTTGACTTTATCATACGTTTTGTTGAAGGTCGTTGGGTGTAGATTGCGAACGTGCTTTGATAGATTTTCTGTTTATTTTCTCTCAGGATATTGACCCCCCCCCCACATAAGCACTTGGCAAGCTTTTTACCGTTGAATGTCTGAAACTCAAAGAAAGGAGGGAGACAAAACTTGCGCATCCATTTACTGGTTTTTGAGAAGAATCAGGAGAGAAAACATGCGCAGCCATTTACTGGTTTTGAGAAAAATCAGGAGAGTCTCCTGGTGTTGAGCGGCTAATGTTCGCGCTTCTCCCACCAGGTGACTCAGAGCGATTTTTGGAATTGGAGGCGTCAAAAGGCATAGCTCAAATGACTACTGCTTCATTCGAGGTTTCTATAAGATTGTTAGGTTGCATTCCGAAAGTTAGGACTAGACCCGGAATGTTCTGTTTCGAATTTCATAGTTATAAATGCGCCAAAATTTAACAAAAGCGTCACAATAATATTAGGCTTGCGCTGAGAGGACAAACAAGCCACCGAGCGGCAAGCTTGTCAACGCCTTACAACGCTGAAAATACATGGCAGACACTTTCACTCGGGTTAATTATTATATGGTCAGTGTAATATGACTTTTTTCTAACGGTAGCCAAAACAAATTTGGGCATCTTGGTACATCTTGTTTTATGTCAATTTGACAGGTTACGTGACGGAAAAATGACTGAAAGCGTGGGGAGGGCACAAGAAGATAGGTTAAGTATAGTTGAAAGCGATGAGCTGCCTGAACGAGAGCATTATAGACCGGGACATACCCATCGAGTATTTTAAGGACAAAGTGATGGGTGATTCTTGGGCCTTTCGTATGAAATCGCTACTCAGTGGTCAAGCCTGCTTATGCCGCACCAGCGATGTCACTTTGTACCAAACTGGCACGTTCATTCAATACGCGGTTGGCGCCGTCTAGCAGTAACCCAGGGATCCATCACAACTCTGTTCAACTCCGCATTTGATCTCGGCTCTATTCGCCACTACCTGCTGGTGCTCGTATTCGTTGTAGTGCCTGTTCCGCCCACATCACGTGACCGATAACATTCCACAGTGGTGTGCGAAAGACGTCAACGTCGGAGGCATAGAAAAGCGACGTAGCCAGGGTTTCTAGAAAAGCCGATGCAATAGGCCCCAGCGAACGAACACGTCAAGCTGGTGCAACAGTCCCCCAGTTCCAAAAAAAAATCAAGCTACAAGTCTCCAGTCTGGAATGTCGCGAACCATGAACCCCCAGAGTATCCCAGCTTTCCGGCCTCGTCGACCACCGTTTGTTCCTGCTGCCCATTTCATACTCTGCGGTAATTCACCTAATGGCACACCACCTCTGTCCCACACTTCATTTTCCTTGCTATTGCTCACAAAAGCACACGCGATCCAGCTCCATGACAACGCATTCGCGGTGCTCGAGAATTTGCCTAGCTTGCCACGGCGCGCCAGCACCAAGGAAAAAAAAAAAAAAAACCCCTCCAACGGCCCGGCGATAAACAATGTGGATACATATTGTGCACTCGCTTCCGTACACAACGACACATCTTTCCGCCCAAGAGCGTGCGCACGTGGAGATCCCAGCGTACAGCAATGAAATGCCCAAGCTCGCCCCCTCTCCTCCCACCCCAAACCGGGATTACGGCGATAAAAGTGGTCCGTTCCCGCATCTGAAACAAACATGAGGAGTGTGTCATACGATCGCCTGTGTTTCGCCTCTCTCCATCTGACACACTAGCCGCACGCCAGCCAGATCTGCCCGCTTGAGCAGCTTGTCTCGAACTTCCCGACTGTGGTTCGATCCAGCTTCCCCTCGGTGCAAGACAATCGGGCCAAAAAAGAAACAGCCTGCCCAGCCACGAGACGCATGTACTAGCCGATCTATGCATGAAACATGCACGCGCGCATACAAACAGCGCCACCACATGCACACTTATGCACACACGCCGCATGGACCAACGGGTCTCGCGTCGAAACCCGGGGCAACAGCCGCCTGTCTCACATTTGTATCATTTTTCATGCAGGACAAACCCTTAAAACCGGATCAAATCCAAAACGGACTTGAAACCCACATGCTCGGGCACCGACTTTGTACTTTTTTTTTTTTTTTTCTTTGTTGTTTTAGGTTCGTTCTTTTTTTTTTTTGATTACTATGATCTCTCTCCCCTCTTCTGTTCACTATCCGTTGTCGAACTGCACACACAATTGCATTGGGGGAAGAGATCAATGGTATGTGTGATCTTTGAGGGGCGGCTGTGGATCGGAAAATGTATAAATACAGGCAGGCTTGGGCGGATGAGACAGATTGTTTTATTTTATTTTTTTTGATCTAGGCGGTTGGAGAGTGAGTAAAGTCCATTGGATCCACCACTGTTTTTAGCTAGTTGTCTCTTGTGTGCTATCTGAGTCACGTACGCTGAGCGCCCTGGCTTGTAGTTTGCTTTCAACTGCTATCACAATTTTTCGCGCGGGTTTTTTGCGTTTTTGAGGATTCGTCGGTTTTATTATTTTTTTTTTCCAGTTCGTCTCGATCGCATCGGACTGGTCGATCTGCTTGATTGAGGTGACACCATTTACCGTCGCTCGAACAACAGAGGAAGGAAAACTTGGGAAAAAGAATTAACAAGTGGGATCACATCGCACGAAGAGATGTCTATAGAACCTTCTACACCTGATTTAGAACAGCAGCCATCCGTGGTGCACACGCCAACCACGGCCGCAAAGGACGAGCTTTTGTCGCCCGGGTTCAGCGACAGCATTGCGCAGTTTTTGCCCACGGAAGTCTCGGAGTCTGACGAAGAGGAGGAAGAAGAAGAAGAGGAGGAGGAGGAGGAGGAGGATCAAGGGAATGCGGTTTTCGCGCTCCAGAGCCACGAAGAAGACGACGACGACCATGCCGACAACTCTGAGCCTCCTGTCGGAGAAACCCACGACGTCACCCCAATGTCACCCGTGGGTATTGATGATGATGGCGCGCAGAGCTGCGGAAACGAGCTTGCGAGCCGTGCGGCCATTTCCAAAAATACGGTCGTGAGCGCATCTGGTAAATTTCGGGGCCGGCCCTCGTCTTGCGTGTTTGTTGCCAGTCTTGCCGCCTCGCTCACCGATGATGAATTGTGCCTTTCCGTAACAGAAAATTTCAAAAAATTCGGTCAATTGACCATGGTTAAAGTATTACGAGACCCTGCCAACCGGCCGTATGCTTTCGTACAGTATACAACCGACGCCGACGCCAAGAAAGCTTTGAACAATGCACAGGGAACTACTCTCAACGGCAGAACCATTCGTTGTGAGCCTGCGCGTGTCAACCGCACCTTGTTTTTGTGTCATAAAGGAAGGTTTTCGAATACCACATCCAGCGTACCGGTTTCAGCCGCGGTGGTCAACCAACTTATGAGCAAGTTTGGAGAATTGGAACAGTTGGTTGCTTGTAGAGACCAATACTCCCACAAAAAAAATTATTTCCAGTCCGCCTCCAATAGAAGCAATGCGTGGTTCATTCAATTTGCATTCCGTGATGATGCCATTCGTGCTTTTGCCAATCTCAAGACTGATTTTAATTGGATTGTCGAATGGGCTCAGAATATCGAAGCTCCAACGCACATGAACATGTTGAATTACGGTAAAGATTTAACAATTCCTGAAGAAACTGAAGCTTCAGAAAACGGAATTCAAGAGCCTCACACGCTAGATTTGAATGGCGCAGAGTACAGTGGCAATAATAGCGATGTCATCATTGACCAAAAATCTGTATTTGTAGGCCAATTAGATCCTATGGCTACAGAAGAGAAATTAATCGAAAGGTTTTCCAGACATGGTTCGGTTGTTGACGTCAACTTGCTGGTCAAGCCTAATAATATCTTCGCATTCATCAAGTTTGATACCGAAGAAGCCGCCGCTGCAGCTTTAGAAATGGAAAATCACGCAATTTTCTTGAACAAAACCATGCATGTTCAATATCGCGAAGTCGGTGGTCTCAAAAAATACAAGCGCAATGGGAACAGTCATGGTAATAGAAATAATAATAATAATAATAGCATTGGTCACCTTGGGAATATCAACTCATTCCAGCATAACAACCACAACCACAACAACCACAACAATGGCAATGTCCGATTTTATGCCAATCACCACGGCAATACATCGGCACATGGTAATACGTCTCGTTACAACAATGACTACAATTCGGGTAATTACAATGCGTCATACCAGCCGCCTCGCTTGAACTTGGCACCACCTCCTATTAATGTCGGTAAAAGGAGGTCTAGCACTGGTTCAACACCATCATATTCAAACTACCCTCCTCCAATTCCTGAATTTCAGGTATTCACCCAACAGCAGCAAGGTCATATCCCTTTGATGTCAGGGCCCAAAAAGTACAAGTCTAGTTCAAGGCGTAGAAGTATTGAGATTACTAAATCTAATGATGATTCCAGTAACTCTAATAGCAATGAAAAAGTCGAAATTTCAGCTGCCCATGAAGCCGGTAATACAACAAGTCATTCTATTGCCACAGATGCAACTTCCGAAGGAACTGAATCCGCAGGCAATAACGATGCTTCCACCAATGCAAGTACTTCTCACTATACTACTTCCGCTGGCGGAATTAATTACAAGAAAAGGCTTGACGAATACAAGAAAAGAGGAAACTACCCAACCTTCGACCCTTACTACTACCCTCCTTATTATTACCCCATGGAGTTTACAGGTCATACGACTCCCCTCAATTCTTCAGGAAGCCCTTCACACTCCGGTAATAATGCTACTCATCCATGTTTCATGTATTATCCTGTACCGCCAAGCAATGGTATGGAGTTTGCCGAAATGCACAACATGATGATGCCTCATCTTGCTGCGTCACCAGGGTCAATCGGAACGCCTCTTATTCCGATGCCCATCACTCAACAGCAGTTCATGCCAATGGAGCCCAATTCCAATTTTAATAACAACAGCACCAAACCCGATCTAGAGTACTAAGTTGTTGGTAGCATCTTGCATGGTGCCTTTTCATTTAATTCTTTTTTTTTAAGGTTTCAATTCTCGGGACTTGTTACCTTAGTGTTTTGTCAAACCATTTTTCACACGTATGGGAGTATCCACGAACCCCTACTCTCCTCATTCTTTATTCTTTTAACTTTTTTTTTTGTATTAATCATTCACTTCATCCTACCCTAATCAAACTTGTGGTTTAAGTTATACTTACTTACTTCGCCTCATAAGCTTACTCTAGTTTTTTCTCTTTCTTGTTCACCAATGTTTAGTCTCCACCAAATATTTGCCCAATGCTTGAAAGAGCTTTCTGATCTCATGCCTAGAAACCCCTTCTCTGATTTGTACGAGCTCAATAGGAGTAGTACCATTGAAGTATTTTACTAGCTTGTGAAACAAAACTTGCACGTCTGACGGCTGTCCTTCTACGCACTTGTACAGCCACCGTTTTTCAACCGCTGTCGCTCGCTCGGGGTTCAAGATAATTGTAAAATCTGCCCGGTTAACAATGTCTTCATCATCACCATAATAAAAAAAGTCTAAGTCGTCTTCTAGGTCATCAGGTAGACCTGGTGTGATAACATTGTCGCTTGTGTCAGTATTCAGGTTTCGATATTTTGAGTTTTTAGGTCTCCTCACACCATCAACTTCCAGATCTTCATCGACTGCAATTTTGATGCGTGAATCAACCCTTAAGCGAACGAAAGTCAACAACTGTGTCAGGTAGCCGTATCTTATAAGCCAGCTTAGTGCATTCAGGTAAACGTTTTTATGATCTTTGGATGGTATGAGGTTTCCAAATGGTCTCGGTTTGGAGGAGGATACGAGACTCAAGAAAGATGGAAGCGGTGGTAGAGGCGGAAACTTTTTTGCAAAAATATCCTGGTTTTGAAAGATTAACGGCTTATTTTCCGTTACATTACTTCTATTGCCTGCAAAATCGTCCTTTGCACAACCTGTGACTGGCGCCAGTGGTGAGACTATATAAGTGCTCTTGGAAGATATTGGTATTATAATTCTTGCGTGACGCCAGTACATTAGGTGTAGGGCCAGAGACCGCAACATCCCTGTTTGAAATGAGTTTTTTCTTCCGCCATCGTCTAAATCGGAGGCCCCCATGACCTCGTCTATGATGAATTGATAGTTTCGCAGCGGAACTGTTGGCTTCAAGTTTTTAACAAGTGACGACAAAATAACAGAGGTGACATCGTCACGAAAGGACGAATACTGCAACTGCTGCATGATATTTGCAGGCTCGTGTAAAAGAAGGAGCGCGTAGTCGAGGAGGTCGTCGTCGTCGTCAATGTCCTTCTCCCATGGCTCATTTCCCGTTCCAGAACTGTCTTTCAAGAACTTCTGATTCAGTATAGAGGTCAAAAACGAACCCTTCAGCACCGGATTTGTTATCAGATCTGGCAGTACGAGGAACTCATCTTTGAGCGGAATCTGCAGGGAGATAATTTTATTATCATCAATATCCAAATTAGCAACTTCATTTCGCGAAATGGCATCGTAACACTGAGTAATAGCTCGGGCCAAAGCAGATTTCTGTAGTATCCTTTGATAAAGATACTTACCCTTGCTCGACTGGCCCTTTATAGACTTGTATTTTTCTGATACTTTGAGGACATGATCTCGAGTTTTGAGAATCTCGTAGCATTCTTTGGTCACGAACTCAGTTTTGGACTGAGCATATCTCAATATTAGCGATAGCCTGGAAACAACATAATGGTACATGTCGTCCACCCTCTCATTGTACTCAACAAGCTGTGGATTCATCAAAAAGCACAAATGGAACATGTTTACACTTTTTTCAAGATCTTGGTATTCGTCCCTTCCATGGCTTTCTTCTGCATCCAGAATTCCAGAGCCAAGGTTTACACGAGAATCCGGATCAGCGTCAACAGATCCTGCCCGTGACTGCGATACATTTCTATTCCGTAAGCTGGAGTTTGACCTCTTGGAACGATTTCCAGGCTTCTTCTTTTTGGATCTGCGCCAATATCCATCAGTGTTTCTATGAACTGGGAGACCCACAAGGACCAAGTCATCTATAGAAAGCTCAAATCTGGTGTTACACATATCCTTGGGTGGTGAGCTTACCTCTGCAAAGAAATCTGCATCGTAGCGAAGAATCTTGTTGATTGCTTGGAACTCAGAGCCGAAGTGCTGATCATCTAATTCATAGAGCAGTTCGCCATCGTCATCAGATTCCATGGGTGCGACGTTAGGCCAAGACATTTCCAATTCTCGGCCTAACGTATGTTTCGAAACAATCGAGTTCCGTTTATTGTCATCAGTGCTTAAGTACTGAAAGACTCTACTGGAACTTGTATGCAGATCTCGACCGTTGCTTTTTAGTGATGTTGCTTGCGACTGAATGCTTGGACTATTGTCTATGGAGAATCGTGTCGCAGTGAACTCTTCACTATTGGGTGATACGTCATCAATATCTGACCCTGATGAGCTATATCCTGACGACACATCTGCATAATCAGTTGAAATATCACTGTCGCTTAGTCCACTGCTCGTGTTTTCATCTTCGCTATCACTCGATTCAGATTCAAGTTCGTCCGTCCTCGTGGAATGTATAGAAACGTTGATATCGCTTTCTGCTTCATGATAGGACCGCTGGGTTCTTTTGCGTTGTGTTGGAGTGCGTTCACTCCCAGAAGGCACCGAGATCCCGGTATCTTGAGCGTCTTGGTCCTTTTCATAAGGGCTGGACTCTCCTTCAGTCTTTCTGCGCGAGGAGAGCTGGTCTATTGGTGGATAGTGGTAAACGACCTGCGGTCCAGAATGAGTCGATATAGTCAAAACAATCCCTACAAGACATGGATTGGGCAGATTAAGATACATTCGAGTCTATTATCGACTTTTGATTGCTTCTTGACGAATAAAATATAAGAACTACCGCCGTCGAATCTTTGATCTCGTGAAACACTCACGCGTTTACAAAGCTCCCCAAAGATGGCCCTAACAGCCTTGATGAGCTGTGGACGTCAATTAGTTTATGACTATCAACTAAAATCATCAACAGAAAAAATACTTGAGCTATTCTAACTTCCTCATGTACTGTGAAAAATAATTAATATGCTATAGAAGCCATTTTAGTATAGTGGTTAGTACACATCTTTGTGGCAGATGAAACCCTCGTTCGATTCCAGGAAGTGGCATTCTTTTTTAACTTTTTTAACTTTTTTAAGTGTTAATGCTTCAGCTAAATGAATGACATACGTCGACATCCAATGAAACCATTAGAACGTTGCTTTCGAATATCTAATGCGCTTTTGAGAACATAATGAGATACGTACGTATTTATACAAAAGAGGTCACTTCAAAGAACCGTCTCAAATAATATACCTGAAATAGCGAATTGGCAATCACCACGGCCAACTGGAATACGGACCACCACTTAACACGATCATTCGTAGACTCAGCAGTGTTTCTGTGAGTTCTCTCTCTGATAACGATATAGCTTTGTTCATTCTTTAATTCACGAGTTAGTCTGGCCAATTGTTTGACCGCACCGTCCAAAGAGTCGGACTTGGGGTCGTTCCAGTCAACGTAAACAATTCCCTCAATGTTAAACGTCACATCCTTGGTAGTTGTGCCAGAGTTCTCGTTCACAAAACAGTATTCAAATTTTCCATCATATGGAACAGAAATGCGCACATCACCGTGTGACACATCTCTGAAAGCCTTAATAACTTCGTGATCATGAGACCCATATACGACAAAGTCGCCTTTCATTTGTTCAGTCGATTCTAGTGCTCGGTCGCCGAACTGAAACGATACCGCTAGCTCGTCCTTTTTGTTCAAGGTCTCGAAGAAGCAGCGTTGCCCATAGGCTGGTAGCAGCACCGTGTGAGCACCACACAGTGTGAACCACATCAATGCCACGAGGCTGGATACTAGTAATCTCATTTTGGTTACTCTAAGACCTGCGTGTAACTGTATCTTTGAGCTGGGCACACAAATTCAAAAACGCTGTTTTGAATGTTAAAAAAAGACACGACGATTTATGATATTTTTAATTCGTGTTAGGTTAAAGCCAGAAAAAAATGAAAGGGCGCGAACAAAAGGCGAAATTCAAATGAAAACTAACTTCACACTAATTGGAGACAGGCTTGCATATTCTTATCGTTAATTACATAGGTATAAAATTGGAAAAACCGTATTGGTCGTGAAGTAAATTTCTCAAAGCTAAAATACACAAATACAAACGACGTTTATAAAATAATGGGAGTAATGTGGAGGCAGTGGGTGGCGCATACGCAAAATGCGGTAGAGTTTGATGGGAGAGAATATAATGATCGGATTCCAACGTTGGAGGCACGAAATTGCGATAAGTTTTATGACAAACGGCGAGCATAGGACTCAAATAGGAATCTGAAAGTAATCAACAATTGAGTGTGCGGATCATGTATTCATCTTCTTAACACAAAGCACACTCATAATTACCGTTCAATGCGTTATGCTAAAGTTTGCTATCTTGACAGTTTTTCGAGTCCTCTTCCGTTTTGTATCATTTTTTTTGATAGTTTTTGGTCCTTCCAGAAACAGCACTTTCGTAAGTAAAACTTGCTTCTAATCAAACAAGTCACGGTTATTCCAAACTCTTTCATCGTTTGTGGTCATAACAGTGAGTTTTCAATGCAATGCTTCCCCAATCGTCCTTGCAATCACGAGCTACTCTTGCTAATCTCTCGCGTTGAGTAGAGTATTTCTAGTGACGACTTTTAACCTCACACCATATGCACACAAATTCATATCGGGACATAGTAGAAAATTGGGCGAATGCGTAAGACGGATAGAAAAAAAATGTAGGCGGCGAATTAAAAATGTCTTGAAAACGTTTCTCGTTGATGGGGGACGGTGTGAAAGGGGAAGGGGGAAAAGGTAAGTAATGGATAAAGGAGTAAGACCAAAAAAAAAAAAATTGAAATAATAAATCCGGGCACAAACTCTCCTCATCCCATAACTAAAGGTTGTTCACCATTCGAAACGGTGTGCGTTGTGGCCACCAACACTTTCTCTCATTGCTGTACCATTCTCAAAAACAAACGCGTCTATTTCTTCTTCTTGCCCTGTGGTCGAGGCAAAGTCTTTTGGGCTGGTTTCAAAATCTGGAAAGAGCACAGTAGACTTTCGTCCACACTCATCATGGCCCCAGCGTTATCGAACTCGCCACAGTAGTTGGGCGCACTGAACAGCGTAACTAGTTGACGCTTGCTGAAAAATTCATACCCGTCTTCCACTACTTGATGGGCTCTACAGATAAGCTCCATGTCTTGTTTTTGTAGGAAACGACTCACCACGTCAGGTCCGAATGTGAACGAAACACCACGGTCATTTTCAGACCATCCCACAATATCCTTGTCCGGGTCGGACCATAAGAGATCGCAGAGCAGTCCCACGTCTGGAATGTCGGTGGGACGCATCACACGCCTGATTTGTTCCATGGTATTTAGATCAGGAGATAGCCCACCGTGCATGCAGAAGATTTTTTCGTCGATTATGGCCGCGATGGGTAGACAGTTGAAACAGTCGGTGAAGGTCTTCCATAGTTTAATGTTATAGCGGCGCTTGCATTCGTCGTAAAAACCGTAAATACGGTTGATGGACGCACACTCATGGTTCCCTCTTAGAATGAAGAAGTTTTCAGGATATTTGATTTTGTATGCCAGCAACAGACAGATCGTTTCCAGCGACTGTTTCCCACGATCCACATAGTCACCTAGGAAAAGATAGTTGCTCTCAGGAGGGAATCCCCCGTACTCGAAAAGACGTAGCAGGTCGTAGTATTGTCCGTGAATGTCACCACATATCTGATAAAATAGTTAGTATTGGAGAGAAAAAGTGGGTAAACCATTGGCGAATAGAATCAGAGCACAAAACGCATCGGGAAAAAGATAGTAACGCCCCACAAAAACGTCTCCAACTTGGCCTTAACTTCCGCCAAGTTTAAGAGATGTATCGAGTCACTTCCCACGATTAGCCAGTTTGCCATTTTTTCGGTGGCAAAAAAAATAATTCAAAATAAAGCCATCATCGCGGTGTAGGAAAGGGGGTCGTATACCTGATAAATTGGAAAAAATGGGAAAAATTGGGAAATCGGGGGAAACTCGAGGGTTTTGTAGACGATACGGTCATCTTGACGGTCCATAGAGCCACTCATTTGAAAGCACTGGACGCGCTTTACAAATTAAACCTCGTTGTAAATCGTGAAACTCCCGGAGGGTTCTGAAAAGTCTTTTTTTATCTTCTGCGTTTCGTGTCTTAAACCCGCGTTTAACGGTGTCATATTCTGCCTTTTGTGTCGTGCACAGCTTGTGTTAGTCCACTACATACCTTGATGGGGGCCTCTAGCTCCAGTAGGATCGGTTGCTTAATGAAAATGGACCGCGCCTTCGAGCACAGAAACCGGATCTCGTGCTCCTCTAGATCGACTTGCTGGCCGGGTTTCGATCCTCTTACCTCCAGTAACCGGTCGATGATGTTGTCTAGGTCCACAGCCGGCGTTTCCATCGTGTGAGTCTGTGTGTTCGCTTGTGTTTTGCGGCTCTGGATTTTAACAGAAGGATGTTGAAGAAGTGTCGGGGACCATCAACAATAAGAATTTGGTCTAATTTTTTTCTCAAATTTTCTCAATTTTTTAGAACCAGCTAAAGTTTACCCGATGTTCTATAGTGAAGAATTGACGGAAGACTGGCGCCGCGGAAGAGCCGAAAGGTCTGAGACAAAGCGTTCTCAATATGTTTCTTTACGTAAATTCGGAGCGTATATTGACGCTCGAATAACATTGAAGCTCTAGCACGAGCGTCCCGCATGTAATTTGCTGAGGAACAGGCCAATTCGTGTATAGTTATCGATGCATTGCTCGATATACATGAACAGGGCTGGATCGGAGATCATCCATAGAGCTCAGAGCTACAATGTTGGTCTAAGAATTGAGATCGCAAGTCGACACGACAGGTATAGACCTAGAATAAGTGTATATCACAACCGACGAATCAAGCTCTAGTACTGAGATGGATATGATTACTATTAGCTTTTAGCCTGCGACCTCGTTTGTTAAAGGACTTTGGGCTTGATTGAAGAAAATGCGACTGTCGCAAACTGGTTTACTGCATGTTTGTCTGTTTAGGATGCCTCGAAAAACATTTGTGCCTTAATGCGTATAGGAGACATTACAATGTGACTTGATATTTCTTGCGCAGAACCTAACTATTCATTGGGGTGTTGCGGCGCAATGCAAATGCTTATATAGGAAACGTGTCAGAATGTGAGTGATAGTAGCGCCCAGTTACCTACTGACATATTAGTACAGAGTGATTCCTGCAAAACAGTCGGTCGGTGAAACGTTCAATGCAACCTACCGAAGTGAACATAGGTATCAGGCGATAGCCTCATAATCTATGAACTATAATGTGTGACTTGTCGTATGATTGTCCAAGACTAAATGAGTCTTTTTATGAATACCCACGAGTTGGGTCAACCTCATAGCTGGCAGAATCACGGTGAGATAGCTCACACGCTCATCAACGAATCGACTTACTCGAGTGATTATGGAAGAGCTAAACAAGAATATCAGCAAACTCTCTATTGCTGAATCAGACTCGCCTCAATAAACCAATAGTTGTCGCTTTTGTAAGCTTGACTTCTATACTCGTCACAGTCTTGTTGCGCGGACTTGCCGTGGCTTGTTAATTGGAAAAAAATTACTCTACCCCGCTTAGTCGCTATAACTGCCACCGAGCGTCTGCAGATAATAGTACCTCATAGGGATTATATTTGGACAAATGAAAGACGCTGAGTTTCCTTCCCATATAGCCCTCTAACTAAGACTTTCACAGAAAACTTGCGTTTCATTTGTCAAGAGCGGAAGGCGACAGGTGCTTGTGCTGCGACGTTTTACAAGCAAGACAAGAAATACCACCAGTGTGCTACGTTGAAGTGGGTCTTTTGGCGATCAATTTTACGAAACCACTTTCAACCTCAAGGTGATTAAGGGGTTACTTGCGTAAACTAAGAACCGCGCTTTCTGCCCTTCTAAATCAGAATTGGTCGCGATCTCACACAGCTGACGTAATTTATCCTATTTTTACGGAGGCACGCGACATTTTAAGGCTATATGTATGCTTTACCGATCCAAACAGTAGTCCATTTTTATGACTCCATGTCTCCCAGTCGGGAAACAGCGTTATCCACGACGAAACAAATGCTGACTCGCGTTCGAGTCTCGTCAGATGCGCCAATGTTTTCAATAAAATAGTTTCGCACATATAATGATGAACGAACATGCGTGAACAATCTCTGAGTAGACATAAGTCTATGTAGGATTACAAAACTTGTTGCCTTCCTTCTGATGTGCAAACATATCTTTTTTTTGTTTGGCTAAGGTATTCACATAGCTGTCGTCTGTTCCGTCATATATAATGAGTGATCTCATAGAGCCCGACTTCGACGCGTCGGAGCGCTTGACCAATCCTTTTTCCGATCCGGGTGTCTTGGACGCAGGTCTCATTCCAAGAGCTGGACGTGGTACCTTGGACGAGTCCGTGGCGCAAACTCTGAAGCGGGACCTGCTACAGATCAACTCCAGACTGAAGCAAGTAGTATACCCCCGCTTTTCACGGTCGACAAGCCGAGATCAACCAACACGTGATCCAGAGTCGATGATTCAACCCAGGGGTATGGGGTCAAGTGCTCAGGATCATTGTGCCGATCTTTGGGCACCTTTGTTGTTTACCATTGCATACAGCGTTGCGCTTTCGCGACGTTCAGAGCAGTTTTCCAATCTTTTTGTGCTTTCGTGGGCTGCCCTGGGAGCCATCGCAGTACATTTGACCCTGGGTAAGACCGATGACGGAAGAAATACTCCCTTCCTTGCGGCTGTATCGACATGCGGCTACTGTTTGTTCCCACACGTTATAAACGCCATTTCGAGCTCTTTGTTATTTCCATTGTTCACTGCGTTGATTTTGGCTGGCCAGTGGAGGTATCGCGTTTTGGCTGTACTACGAATTGTGGTTTTTGCTGCATGCTCGTTCTGGTCCTGCAGCTCCGCTTTTAATGCTATGGGAGCGAAAGGCCCTCTCGATAAGTATCCGTTGATCTTAGTATTGTTGACATTGAACTGGTCGTGCGTTGTATCTTGAATACAATAAAAATCGATCCAAGTGGACTTCTGGGAAGCTGTATCATATAGAACCAACATCGCAGTTAAGATTTGAGGCTGATTTGCACTGTTTACTATTAATGCATTTACCACTGTCATCTTATGTAGTCGTATCTTATGCTTCATTTATATGTAGTATTTCACACTTGAATCAATTTCAACCCAAATGAGACATAGGAATAGGATACTAAGTTAAGATAGATAAAAATAAATTGTGAGACACTTGAGAGCGTTGCAATCGGAACTGTGAACCTCTCGACGCGGCTACAAACGATGCCTCCTTTATTACCATCGCCGGTTTCTGACCATGCAACAAGCCTCCCGAAGATCGATCCTGACCTGGAAGCTACATTATCAGAGTGTGAGAAGAGAGCAATGACGCTGGACTGCAGGACTGGTGCCAGCGTGATTCTGGCAAGATCTTCTATTTTTGTATATGGTGGTTTCACGGTACCTTTAGATCTCGCGGAGGTAAATTCAATTTCTGTACAGCAGGAGCTCATTCTGTATTTTGCTCGCGAAAGCAAGTCTTCGGGCAGTTTTCAGAACCTTGGCGATTGGATAAGTCGAGAAACTTTTTTCTTAGATCTTATCTCGCGAAAATGGGAACGCGTTGTGACTGACGATGGCTCATCGCCCCCAATTGAGGAATTTGCAGATGATTCTTGTCATAACAAGATGAAGGAACGCGTGTTCCACTCTATGTGTTACCATGATGGTCATCTGTACGTCTTTGGTGGCCTTGTGGTATCTCCGCAATCGGGCTACGAACTGATTGCATCTAACGAGCTTTGGACAATGGATTTGCGAACCAAAACTTGGAAACAAATCAGCAGCAATCCTTCCATTACCAGGCGCTTTAATCACAACATGCATCTCGTTCCTGGTACAGAAGAAGCGGGAGATACTTTAATTTATATCGTGGGTGGTCTCAATAATCTGGATCGGCCAGTACATGTTGTCGATGTATATAACTTGACGCAAGACAGATGGGAATCCTTAGATGACGATTCTTCCACCGCAGATACTCAGGAAATTGTCACTAACATCAATGGCCAAAACACACACCTGGTCCAATACTCTAATTTCTCTCTACTGATACGAGACCAGATGTCCAATACTCCGCTGATAGCCATGTATTCGCCAGGTGAAGGCGAAGACGATAGTAATATAAGCCCGCTTGTTGTTCAACCACTAGTACCGGGTCCAAACGGGCACCGGATGCCCGTCTTTCAAGGACTTAATGGGTCAGATCGTGAGAGACACAAGGTTCCATTCAATTTGCAACACCCATCGGGCGATTATTTTGGTCATAACATCATTGTTTCTGGCTTTTATCCAGACACTCAGCCGTCTAATTTCCACTGTTTTACTTATAACATCCCGACTGGTAAGTGGACGGAAATAAATACGGTTTGCGATGACCCTGATGGCGAATCTCACCGCTTGTGGCAATTATTTGTTTGGCATTCTCATCACAAGGTCGTGTTGCTGGGTACGAAAGAAGCAGAAAACTATCTACCCAGCGTTCAAAGGTTCAGCAGTATCATGTGTATTGCCTTACCAATGATCAACGTGTTTCACAAGGCTATTAATCACACCGTGGGTAGAGATAAAAGCGCAACTGGGTCAGAGTCAGTGAGTTTAGGAAACGAGGGTTTCGAAGGCTACTCTCGCTATTCTGCGCCTCCATTGGAAATAACTACAATAAGCTCTGTTTTTCCTTCTCATGCCATGGCTTTGGGTAAAGACTCTTTAGAGCTATGTGGACAACATTTATCAGACTTCGAAATCGTAACAGAAGAAGGCGATTCGGTTAGGGTGCCGATGTTTTTACTAAGAAAACGATGGGGAAGATATTTCGATGAAGTCCTTGCAAATGGCTACTTGAAAGCGTCAAAGGACTTCGAAAGCCGGAATAGACACAACGAATTTACCAAGCTTTCTTTGGACTCAACTCAGAATAATGCTACTCCTACTACTCAACATTTCGATAGCACGAGTTCGAAAGGTGTAAGGGGCTCATCCTCTCAGGGTTCTCTAGATGCAAGTTCCACAAAGGGTGAGACGTTTCAGGCCTCTCAGCCACTCTTTCCACTGATATCAAGAAAGTCCAGTCCATTATTCTTCGCGAACAAACCTAATCAAGGTGCTAAATCAGAAACAAACGACAAAAGCGAGAGTAATGATAAATCAAGTCCTGATCCACAAACCGTACTGCCAATACATCACTCAAAATCGGATTCCTCGGCAATATGCTCGTTCAATGCTTCTTCAAAAGGTTCTAGAGAGCAACCGCATACTGTCAAAAGCGGACAGTCCGCTAATTCCGCTCTAAATAAAATAGCAAGTTCTTCGAGCGGAATGGTTTTTCGTCTGCCGTTTCAAGAAGGGAGCGGCGGGTCCGCTCTTCCTCTTCCCGTTCTACAAGCACTCAACAATGATTCAAGCCGCGTGGAAGGTTCAGAAAAACAGCTGGGCCCTCCAAGTCGCAGAAAGTCTTCTACGTCTTCCCCGTTCATGTTTGATGGAGGCAACTCCAGTTTTCTTCGTAGGGCTTCCCACCCAGCTATCATGAGTTCGGATGACAAAATCATAATACCAACCTCTATACCGTCCCAGAGCCCTTTCTGCTCACGCAAAGCGTCGCTGACTTCCCAAAACAGCTCCATATCTTTTGTCAGTTCGGCTTCTGATAGAATGGGTAATGCTGCACATCGTCGAGCTTCGCAAGATAGCGGAATGACAAGCTCTACGTTGAACTCGCTGAGCTCTCAAATACCCCCACCGCAGCCAATGCCCACCGAACCCATTCCAGTGGCCCCTCACCACTCTCATATCGACACCACTGCGTCTTTCGTATCTGCGAGGAACAGCCCACTTTCCTCGCGGAGGTCATCTTTGTACCACGAGCTGCTGCGACCAGGGCTGAACTCATCGGTTTCGCAATCTCTCCTCGGGATACACGAGAGCCAAGTTTCGGATAACAATACTATGCTGGAATCAGATCCTCACTCAATACACAAAAGATCGATGGATAGACAAATACTGGAAGACAACCTAATAGACGTCGAACTGGAGGCCAGTAGTTCTGCTCACAAATCTCCTTTATCGAAGCACATGAGACAATCCAGACAAAACAGCTATACGAAGGCATCGCTGGAGGGGGACGGTAGCCGCCCATCGTACTTATCGATGGCGGAAAGCGGTGGTAGCACTTATTGTGATGCGATTGGAGAATTCGAGCCTCTTCTCCTTCCCAGATCGTTGTACATGCCTTGGCCGACCACTACTATCAGATCTTTTATCGAATTCTTTTACACTGGACAAGTAAATGGCAAGTGGCTGCTGTCACCTGTAGCTCTCAACTTACTGGTAATGGCTAAGCTTTATGAAATACCTCTTCTTTACGATTTGATGTCAGAGGCCTTCTATTCCATTCTAGGAAAAAAGGAGGAGAGTCTCTTAGCAACGAGTGAAACCTTGAAGCACCTTTTTCTGCTCAAATACTCGAGGGCGCATGATAAAAACGAAGACGCGATCAAGCAATCTTTAAAAACGCACGCCGTTTATCAAGATTTTTTAGAATTCGAAGAATCGCTGCACTCAATTGACGATGGTTTCTTTGATACTCATCTTTTAAAGAAAATAATGAGAAAAAGCTCAGCAAGCAGTTCAGAGAGTGCAGGTGGTGATGGGGCGGCAGCCCGTGACGGTAAAGAGGGAACGTCTCTCAATGTTCCAATTTTGTTTGCGGGAGGACCACGAGGAAGTTATGATTCCGTTGGTTCCGCCACTGTCTCTGCGCCCATGACGGCTGATCCGCTCAAAAACAGCTCACCCAAGGCAACAGCTACACGTCCACAAAAAGCAAGTTTGGGCAAGGAGGCTGCTTTGAAAAATTCATCTCAAAGACACTTAAATGATTACACCCTCGATGGGAACGTAACTGATGAAAGAACTGACAAAACTAACCGTGAGAATAGGGCCGAAAAAATGGAACAACAAACGCTAAGCAACATGTCACAAAACGAAAATACTACGTATTCTACCCAAATTATCGAGATAAAACAGCCAGAATCTAGCAGTGAAGATGGCTCTGATAAAAAGAAAGACGAACACATACATCAGATCCAGACCCATGTTGATAAAGGCAATACTGACCCAAAGCTTTTGGAAAACTCTACATCCAGTTCAGACTCTGACGATTTAGGTGCTGGTTTTGGCTTGGCTTCTAGCTCAAAGATTGACAAGAAACTTCGCCGTCGAGGACGTGAAAAGCCTGTTGATCCTCTTACCAAAGCAAGCGACTCCGAAGGCTCGTCGTTGAAGAATATCATCGATTACTTCAAAAAAGGAGACACTTTGTATAGACCGGAAACCAACACCGTTGAGACACTGACACTCGCCAGCATGGCCTCTGCCAATGCTCTCCCTCCTGTGGATTATGTTCTTGAGCTAATTCACGAAACTGCTGCCTTAGTTCATGATGTGCGATTGATTGTAAGATGCTTTAGTGTGATAAAATTGTCAGAGACATTGAAATCGTTGAAGCGACAACTTGATCATGAGATGACACAACTCGATGATGAAGCAAGGCGAGCCCGTACCCCTATAGAGGTGACATTACTCAGTCCTCGAAGTACGACCGCTAAATCCGAGGATCCCGCCTTCCCGACGCCAACTTCTTCCATGGAGAAGATGCCTAGGGTATCTTCGAACCTAAGCCTGGATAAGAGGAGCCCAAAACCAAACACTTTAGATGCCGGCCCTAGAAATACATCAGCAATTGAAAGTAATTCTAGGTTTGCTTCGTCGGATCAAAGTCTTTCAGAAAAGAGTGATTCAGCTTCAATAAACACCAGAAGTTCTAAACAAAGTTCCAGGCCACCAAAATCAAAGAGGATGAACTCTCATCTTGCCGGTAGCGGTCTTACGGGGGCAGCTATGTTTATGACTAGCTCGTTTACACCGGTGCCAAGTAAGACAAAAAAAGATACATCTGGTTCTACATCAGCCACTAAGAGTGGTATACCTTTCTTTGGAAAGCGCAAATAAGCATTATGTTAAATATCAGTAACAATGAGACATTCCAATCCAGTACGACTTGTTGACGATCTGCATTTTAAATCTGAAGGAAAACAATGAAAATTTAATAATCTATCACCACTAGTTTTATCGCGGTATTCTACGTTTACTATTACATTTACGCGGAGGGTGGGATGGTAAATTAACCAAGTGAGAACTATCATCTTGTTCAGGCCTCATTTCATTACCATGAGATCATCGAGGAAAATATATCCTAGTTGGACGATACGCTGAAATCAAAGGACCTTGCTAACCTTCCAACAGAATTACAGGAAACATTAGTGTTAAGCAAGCTTAAGTTAAACTGTGAGAGCTACTGTTCGTATTGCTTGCACAAATTATCGACCAATGGCACCGGATGAAACAAAATTGGTATAATTGTGCTGCGAAGTGCGAGTTCTGTCTGTCCATCGAGGCCGGAGACTATGGTAAACATATGATTCAATGCATTGACAAGAGAGAAATCAGATCTGCCAGTTTAGGGAATTGATTGTGGCCAACTGCTGATTGAAACATTACGTCGTGTCGCCAACCACAGGTCGTTGGAGTTTGGAAGCATAGCAAGAAACAGATGTCCGTAAGGCTATTACATGATCTAAATCTGACCCCAACGGCCTCTATAGCTTATGAGAACTGAAATCAAGTAAAAATCTGATCTTTACAACTTTCGCTGGCACTTACATAAAATTATTTTTTTCTCAAAAGCCCGGTTAGCGCTTGAATCTGAAAAAAAATTTATTTCAATGGTTAAAATACACTATCGAGTGTATCGAAGTGCTGATTGTAAGGCTGAATAACCATCATGAGTCTTTTGAATGGGTCTTTAGACGGAGCGGGCTCTTTACTGGCTCAGAAGCTCCAGGACTCATCTCTTTCAGCGCGTTTCCCCGTGCTGGAGGAGGTAAGTGCCATATTGGAAACTAAAAAACAAGACACTGAATTGAGTAAGGATACAGCCAAAGAGGTGTTGTTAGGCCTGTCAAATAGCTTCATGTACATTCGTGATGAAAAATCGATGGTTTTGGTAGTTTCAGTGTTCGAAAAACTATTTGATCGTGCGCCGGAGCTGCTCGGAACGTTGCTCACGTCAATTCACGGCACTGTGGCCAAATCGCCAGGCTCTCGTGCAGCGGTAGACTACCTCAATCTGTTGGAGTGGATCAATGCATTGATCAAGTTTTGCGCTAGCCGCGGCGGCCAGTTTGAAGCTGAAACCGTAGAGTTACTCCAATTGCTTTGCTTTACCGCCCATAACATCGAATCTGCTACAGATAGCCAAGAGCACGTTAAGAGCTCAAAAACAAAACAGAACCAGCACCGTAGGAGAATACGCTATAGCGTACTGCAATCGATAACCAAGACTTTTGTCTACGGGCTGAAAATCAGCTCCTGCTTCTCAGTCGAGCTTGTCGCTAACAGCACGCTTCAACAAGCCGCATCCGTCAAGCTACCACCAGCTGGTATGGTAATTGTCATGGGCGCACTTACGAAAGCTGCGTCACAACTCTCATCTTCGCAGCCAATCCACCTTGCTGCCTTGGCAAACCAATTCGTTGTCCCCTTTTGCGAGTATATGGGTAAAGACGTACTATTGACTAAGGAGCCTCCCTCACCTTTTTGCATCGAAATGTTCTATACACCTTTTGCTGAAGAATTTTTGTCCACTGAGCTTTTCAAATCGTACCTCCAGCCCAATTTGGAAAAATGTATTTTGAGGTCGTCAGACTTAGGATTCCCTCTAGCCGGCGAACTTTATCTCAGCATCGATCCACACAAAGTGGACCTTATTTCAATTTTTGTAGGCTCAAAACTTATGAGCCAGTTTTTTGCCTCACTCAAGAGTAACAAAGAATCTGTTAGACATGCAGCCTTGCATTCGGTAATGGACCTCTTGCGATCCGTTCCCAAATCACCTTCGTCAGCAGAAAATCTACAGAAATTCATTGCGGAGGTGTTCAAAAATTTAAAGTCTAATTTGAACACTGATTACAAAGTTATGATATCGCGCTTGTTACATGCCACGCCCTCCGTTTCGGAAGGTGTTTCGTGTGACATAATTTGTGGATTGTCTCCATATTTGTCGAAGGAAGCTAATGAAACTGCCCTGGCACCGATGCTAAAGGCCTATTTCAACCATTTTTCGAAACTAGGCACGCCTTCAGAGTCGATCTTGGCTCTCATCAAGTCAGGACTTAATGATAAAAAACAGCAAGTTAGGAAGTTATGGATCTCCTCTCTTCTAGAAGTGGTTGATGAAAAGTCTGTTACCGCCTTATATGATTTCTCGAAAGAAATCATAGAATTTATACATGACGTCCTCTCTTCACCATTCAAATACTCCCCAAACAATGTTTTAGGTTGTTTTGTTTGTGTTGATCGTCTTTCCTGCATGGGGGGCAACGAATTAGCCACCGAGGTTTTGTCGTTGTTAATTGAAATTAATCAAACTTCGCACTCCGTGGGCTATGCTTGGTTGGTAGCGACGACTTCGAGCGAATTGGATGCTGATGAAAGATCTCTTGGAATAAAATTGTTATCTAACGCGTATCAAAGAAACCCCACGATGGTAGGATTGGCTATTGTCAAAGCGCTGGAGGAAGAAACAAAAGGAGGATTTTCCTCTGGGCGGGGTGGTATGACACTCCGTTATTCTACTCCGCTATTTACAACTTTGGGACAAAAGGGGAGTGACCAAAGTGCTATCAGTAAGGTACTCATTGAGCTGCTGGTAGTTTCTCAATATCCTAAGTTAAAATTGAAAAACAGTTGGGCAGGTTTAGTCTTACAGGCCAAACTTGACCCCGAAGCGTTGATTGCACAATATGCCGATGATGTGATCCAAAAATTCAAGTCTCTGACTACTAAGCAAGATACTGCATCTTCGCCTTTGGGTGATGCAGCTGTAAAGTCAGTATCTTACGCCGCCTTTATAAACTTTTCGGTCATGGCTCCACTTATTGTAAATGTGATAGAAGGCGATTTGAATGCTGCAAGGTTAACAGCAATCGACGAATTACAATTGAGTATTTACAAAGGTAATGAGGGAGAGCTCGTGGTGGACGTCTTAGAAAACAAGAAGAAATCTTCTGACAACAAAAATACGAAAGACTATGAAACTTTGAAGTGGGAAGAAGACATAAGAAAGAAACAAGCGAAAAAAAACGTTGGCGCCAAAAAATACTCAAAAGAAGAAAAGGAATTAGTTGACGCCCAGTTATCCAAAGAATCAAGCATCAGAGAGAGCACAATTGCTATTGTAGGAGAAATCACGCGTAGTTGTGAGTTGATACAACACTTGAGCAATGATGCATGCTTGTTTGATAATGGGGCCAATACTTGGTTCCCCGTTGCTGTTGCCAGTCTGCTGAATGCCTTACAGCAAGATGTGATTTCAATACTATTACCGCGGCAAGGTGTTGAAACATTTCTGAAATTATCTGAAGTTATTTCCGATAGGCTGAAGCCCGTCAGAAACTCCTTAGCCCTTGCAACTCTCCGTGCCTATAACGTGCAGGGAATGCCCGAAAATCTGACTGAAGAGCCTTTGCTTGAATTAATATCGAGAGTTTTGTTCCGGATAAAATTTGTATCGAACAAGAAGAAGTTCGAATCGCTAACCTTGACATTCCTTTTACCTTTGATCACAAAAGTGTTGGAGGACGGTAAGGCCATCTCTTTAAAAAATTCAAACAAGCCCATGGTCAAAAGTGAGTTCGTTGAGGAGGACCAAGAAGAAGAACATCTTTTACTCGCAATTGAGATTATAGGTAGTCATGCCGAATCCTTCGCTGATCCTGCCATCCCCAGACAAAACATTTTGGAGGTCTTGCTCTCTTTGCTTTCCGTGGCGTCAAAAGCAAGATCTGCAAAAGAATGTTTTCTGGCTCTTTGCCAAAACATTTCATTGTCTCCAACTGAACCAGATTTAAACCTCATTCTTGGCAGCTTAATGTCAGCCAACCAGTTTGTCAGAGCAACTATATTGGAGGCTATAGACGATGAGTTCGATCTAAGTCCTTACATGACCTATTCATCTGAAATCTTCATTTTGATGCAGGACGCTAGCGAATCTAATAGGGAAACTGCGGCTTTCATTTGGCAACTCAACAAGTTTGAAGTTACGGGTGAGCTCATGACAGACTTGATCAGCTTTTTTGCTCAAAAGGATAGTGGCTTGCGTCTGTTTGTTGCTAAGGCATATGCCACTGCCTTGCAGGTCTTGACTACTCAATCAGAACAGCTGTTTGGTAGGTATCTAGAGGAGCTAACCAACTTTTATTCCTTGAAAGCTCGTAGTCCGGAACCAATTATTGACGAGTATGGTTTAGTCATCGTGTCATCCGAGGCTCAGAAGGATTGTTGGGAAGAAAGAAGTACAACTGCGATTGCTTTTAAAGAATGTACGCAAGTGTTTCCTAGCGAGAGTGACTATCCAGTCGAATTCGTCAAATTCCTGGTAAATAGCGGAGCTTTGGGCGATCGTGAAGCTTTAGTCAGACAAGAGATGAAAGAGGCGGGTATAGAAGTCATTGCCCATCATGGATCGCGCAATGTCGAGAATTTAATACCTGTGTTTGAAGAAGTGTTGGCTATCAATCAAGATAATTCAACGAAGGAAAATGTCATCATTTTGTATGGTACTTTAGCAAGATATTTGTCTGCGGAAGACGCTAGGGTTATCACCATTGTTGAACGCCTGCTTGACTCGCTCGAGACGCCTTCAGAAGAAGTGCAACAAGCAGTTTCAATCTGTATCTCACCTTTGGTTGGTCTTTTGGGTTCCAAAATTGAGAGTTACTTGAGAAATATGATGCAAAAACTGTTGGACCCTAGAGCAAAGTTTCATTCGAGACGTGGTGCCGCTTGGGGCTTGGCTGGTTTGGTTCAAGGGTTTGGAATCAGAGCATTTGCCCAGTTTGACATTATTCGCGACCTTATTGACGCCTCTGAAGACAAAAGAGAGCCGTTGAAGCGAGAATCGGTTGCTTTTGCTTTTGAATGTCTTTCCAAAGCTCTAGGAAAGTTTTTTGAGCCTTACGTTATTGAAGTTCTGCCAAATATCTTGAAGAACTTGGGAGACTCGGTTCCTGAGGTAAGGAATGCCACTGCGAATGCAACTAAAGCTATAATGGCTAATACTACTGGATTTGGTGTAAAGAAGCTAATTCCTGTTGCCGTTAATAATTTAGAAGACATCGCGTGGAGAACAAAGAGAGGTTCCGTAGAGCTACTGGGTAACATGGCGTACTTAGATCCTACTCAGCTGTCTGCTTCGCTTTCCACTATCGTTCCTGAAATTGTTGCTGTTTTAAACGATTCTCACAAAGAGGTTCGTAAAGCTGCCGACCAGTCCTTGAATAGGTTTGGAGAGGTTATTAGAAATCCAGAAATCCAGAAGCTTGTCCCAACTCTTATCAAAGCTATTGGTGATCCAACAAAGTACACTGAGGAGGCCCTGGACGCATTGATCCAGACTCAGTTTGTACATTATATTGACGGGCCTTCCTTGGCACTCATTATTCATGTTATACATAGAGGTATGCGTGAGAGATCTGCCAACACTAAGAGAAAAGCATGTAAAATTGTCGGAAATATGGCAATTCTTGTGGATGCAAATGACCTTGTGCCGTACTTACAACAATTGGTTGACGAGGTCGAAACTGCAATGGTTGACCCAGTCCCTAGTACAAGAGCAACTGCAGCACGGGCTCTTGGTGCTTTAGTCGAGAGGTTAGGCGAGGAGCAATTCCCACATCTAATACCTCGTCTAATTGCAACATTAAGTGATGATAGTAAGGCTGGTGATCGTCTGGGCTCGGCTCAAGCACTTTCAGAAGTTATCAGTGGTATTGGGCAGTCAAAGCTGGATGAGTTACTCCCCAGTATCATGGCTGGTGTGACCCATTACAAATCATTTGTAAGAGAGGGTTTTATGCCGTTGCTACTTTTCCTGCCAGTCTGCTTTGGTGCACAATTTGCTCCTTACATTAGTCAAATAATTCAGCCCATTCTAGCAGGTTTGGCGGATCCTGATGAAAACATCTCAGATACAGCCTTAAAAGCAGGCAAGCTCATTGTAAAGAACTACGCGACGAAAGCAATCGATTTGTTACTTCCAGAATTAGAACTTGGAATGTTTGATGAAAATGAAAGAATTAGACTCTCTTCTGTGCAATTGACGAGCGACCTGCTGTTCCAAGTAACAGGAATTTCGTCTAAAAATGAGTTTGATGACGAGGAGACCGACGTCAATCATGAGGTTTCTAAGCAGATGCTTGAAGTTTTGGGCCAAGAACGCCGTGATAGAATTCTCTCTTCACTATTCGTTTGCAGATCAGACACGTCTGGTGTCGTTCGTGCTACTACTGTGGACGTTTGGAAGGCAATTGTTCCAAACACGCCACGTACAGTAAAGGAAATTTTACCTACTCTGACAAGTATTATTGTTGTTCATTTGGCGTCATCTTCTGCAACACTGCGTCATATTGCAGCTCAAACTTTAGGTGATTTGGTTAGACGTGTGGGTAGCAACGCCTTGTCACAATTACTACCAACGTTGGAGGCCTCGCTGATCGAGGCTCGTGGATCAGATTCCAAACAGGGGGTCTGTATTGCTTTAAGGGAATTGATACAATCATCTTCTCCCGAATCATTGGTCGAATATCAAGATATCATTGTCAATATCATTCGCAGTACACTTGTTGACGACGACGTTGTTGTTAGAGAGTCTGCAGCTATGTCTTTTGACGCTTTCCAAGAAGTATTCGGCAAGACTGCTGTTGACGAGGTTTTGCCTCATCTGCTCAATATGTTGAACTCTTCTGATGGCTCAGAATATGCTCTCTTGGCTTTACAAGAGATTATGTCCACGAAGTCAGAAGTAATATTCCCAATTCTTATCCCGACACTGTTATCGCCTCCTATTGATGAGTTTAGAGCTCGTGCCCTTGGATCACTGGCACAGGTCGCCGGTTCTGCACTTTACAAGCGTTTGTCCGTAATTATAAATGCTCTTGTGAATACCATGGCGGGAACTGTTAGAGATGAGCAAACTAGAGTCGCTCTAGGCGCTGCCTTGGAACAGGTATTCTGCTCTGTGGTTGACGATGAAGGTATGCATCCATTGATGCAACAAATTTTGAGCTTGATGAAAGATGAGAATAAAGAAAAGCGTGTCGTAATTTTACAGCGCTTAGCGAATTTCTTCGAAGAAACAACGCTCAAATTTGACATCTACACTCCCGAAATTGTTTCACAATCCATTTCCTCATTTGACGATGAAGATCCTCGTGTTTTGCAGAGTGTTTTCGACGAACTACTTGTGTTGATCAAAAAGCAAGATAAGCCAATGCTGGATAAACTGGTAAAGCCGTCCAGACAAGCTTTGCAGCAGTTAGGGAAAGATGACAAGGAACTTGGCGTTTTCGCATTAACAAAGGGGCCCAGTTGTATCTTACCTGTATTCTTACATGGTCTCATGTACGGCTCCAACGAAGATCGTGAAACTTCTGCTATGGCTATTGCAGATATCGTCAAGAGAACCCCAGCAACAAATCTCAAGTCTTTTGTCACCATCATTACGGGTCCATTAATTCGTGTTGTCGGTGAGAGGTTTTCAAGCGATGTTAAGGCAGCCATTCTGTACGCATTGAATACCTTATTTGCCAAGATTCCTCAGTTCTTAAGACCATTCATCCCTCAACTACAGAGAACATTCGTGAAATCATTGTCTGATCCTTCCCATGAAATTTTGCGTTCGCGTGCTGCTAGGGCCCTAGGATCTCTTATCGAATTTCAACCTAGGGTAGACCCGTTGGTTGTTGAGCTGGTTTCTGGCGCCAAACAGGCCACTGACGACGGTGTAAAGACAGCGATGGTAAAAGCGTTACTTGAAATTGTTTCAAAAGCTGGATCGAAGCTGAGTGAAAGCTCCAAGAGTACCATTGTCAACTTGGTGGAGGAGCAAATTTTAACAGTGGATGATAAATTAGCTACGGCGTACGCTAAATTGATCGGATCGCTATCCGGAATCATGACCAAGGACGAGGCAGCTTCGATTTTGAAAGACAAAGTTCTCGAAGTTGATATTGGAGGCGAAGCAGGCCGCTTCGCTATCTTGACCTTAAATTCATTTTTGAGAGACGCGCCTGCGCACATTCTGCAGTCTGAATTTACATCGGATTTCGTCAGTTATCTGATAGATGCGGCCACTTCTAAACTTCCTTATATTTCCGACAATGCTTTAACAGCGATCGGTAAGCTATTACTTCTGGTGGGTGAGAGTAAATCACCATTTTCTGGTAGAGAGTCAGAGAGCTCATTTTCTGGTAGAGAGTCAGAGAGCTCATTTTCATTAGCCGAAGAGGATATTGGAGCACTCGTCAAGGTTCTTTGTCAGAATATGCTCCGTCCTGCGAGTAATTCACTCGACTCTAGAAGAATGTCTCTAGTTGTTGTGAGAACAGTGGCAAGATTCAAATTTCAGAGCTGCATCAGACCCTTTTATGATCAATTGGGTCCGTCGATTTTCTCTTGCCTGCGTGATGTTATCATTCCCGTTAAGTTAGCAGCCGAAAAAGCTTATTTGGCAGTTTTCAGACTAGTCGAAGAACGGGACATGGAGACGTTTGAGAGTTGGTTCTCTCAGTTGTCGGGTTCTGTTGTGGAAGACAGCTTAGGAAATTCAATTCCTCTCAGATCGATCGGAGACTACACAAGGCGTGTAGGCAAAAGATTGGCAGGCGTAGAAAGAGACAGAATAGCAGCTGGCGGTGACCCAGAAACAGTCTTTTCTGACAGGTTTGAGGATGAATCTGAAATTTGGGCAGTTGGGGGTGTTGAGCTGGTGAAAGACGCCTGATTTTCAGTTTTTATAGATCTTCATGTAAACACATAGACAATTTTTCAAACTACATGATGATTCTCGATACATTCAAGGATTCTCCAAACCAGTCTCTCTATTAGTGGCGATTTTTGCCATAAAAGCTCACATCTTTCAGCTCTAGGTGGACAAGTTAAGAGCCAATGATACAACCAAGGTAAAAAAGGCCTTTTAACAAGATGAAGTATCAAGTTTATCACAAGGATAGTGGATAGTAACCTTGCTATTAACCTTAGTGAATTCATTATTGCATACAGATACTTTGACTCACACAACTTTTATACTTATGATCTGGGTAAGGCAGACAACTGTACTATGAGAACGGAACACAAGGCTTTGCTCAGGGCTATTGGTGTTGTTCAGTGTTATCCGATTCTGAAAGTGAGCAAAGGAAGACCGGAACTTGAGTTATTTTGCCAGCGCTTACGAGTTAGAACTAAGCATGCTTTTAGAAAGTTGTAACCCTAAAATTTCATTTGCTAGAATTCGAATGCTCAGCACTAACATCAAATCAAAAATCGTGCTTCTCTTGACCACGCTTTCTAATTATGATTACTGTTACATTATTTGGTATAGCTAAATACGCCGTATATTATGGGAGATGCAGGAAATTCAATGTAGTTCTCCTGCTCTCATGCTATCTTTTTCCATCTGCTCAAATCTGAACTTGTCGGTTTCCGCATTGAGCTCTTCAATTGCATCATCCTCCTCTTGAGTTAAGCCACTGAGATCCTGGTTTGGGATCACTTCCTGTTCCATTCTAACGCTGGGGGCTCCTTGCAGAAACCTAATATTTTCCAAACATCGTATTCTGATATTGTCTAGGTACTTTTTTGAGTTTTTGTTTTCATAAAGATTGTCCAAGACAGGGTGGAGGGAGTAGTCAGGTCCAAACCAGTTTCGGAACGGAATGTCAGCTGGAATATCTTCAGGTATTGAAACACCGTTCAGCAAGCTTGTTTCGTACGCCCATAACCGTGATACGTTTCTCGGCGTGTAGCCACCACCTCCGAGCACTAACATCGGGAGCCCAAACGACTTTACAAATTTAACGCACTCGCCGTGTGCTTGGACGTTTAGATTAAAACACCCTAGCCGATCATGGCCCAGAGAATCAGCTCCACACTGTTGTATTATCACAGTAGGCTTAAACGACGTTATCAGTGGGTCGATGATGCTCTTAAACAGATTGATATAAGAGTCATCGTCGATGCCATCGTCAAGTGGAACATTAAGGGAAAAGTGTTTCCCGCGAGAACATCCGATTTCATCGAGTTTTCCTGTTCCTGGAAAAAACTCACCGTTGTATTTGTGAAATGAGACAGTAAAAACCCTATCAGTAGTGTAAAATGCCTCCTGAACGCCATCCCCATGATGTAAATCGATATCTATGTAAAGAACTCTTGGGTGATATCGCAGTAAATTGAGAACGCTGAGTACTATATCATTGACGTAACAAAACCCTGATGGGTTGCTTTTTTTGGCATGGTGCAAGCCTCCCGACCAGTTGATTGCAATGTCTGATTGACCTTTGATGAGTTTACGTGTAGCATCGAGCGAGGCACCTGCGTATAGAGCCGAATAATCGTATAGACCTTGGAAGATGGGACAGTCGTCTCCGATATTGAACTTCTCAAGCGAGCCACGCGGCAGTTTTGCCAGACTGTCGGGCGACACTCTCGCCAAAAACTCAATGTAGTCCTCTGAGTGGAATTCGGCCAATTCTTCCCTAGTGGCGGGCCTCGTCTCGTAGAGGTCCATGATCTTGTGCAAGCCATATGAAGAGACCAGATGGTCTGTCAGCATGAGCCTGAACGGCTTCATTGGGTGCTTTACACCGTAGTGAAACTGAGAAACGTCACCATTGAAATGGTACGACACGTTCGGGTTGTACGGGGCATCAAACTCAAACTTCGGAGAATAACCCTCTCTTTTCGAGTCGTACTGTAAAGTGCTGGACATTCGACCATACAACCAGGCACCTACAACCGTCACAGAAGTCCTTTCGAGATAATTCGACGAAGTCCCAACTTAGATGTTTTCTTTGAATTGAATACTGTTTTGAATACATGTAAGAGTACATGTTATTTTAGATTCCGTTGTTAATGATGTATTCAGGCTCCGATCTCATTAGAACCTAATCACATACATCACCATCTATATGGTTGATGCATCACCATAGGCCTGTGCTATTCCACAATTATTCTCGGTCGTCTTCCTCGCGTTGAAAAAAGTAGCAAGAGCAAGGCAGTCCTCGACCTCCCGGGTCTCTTTAGAAAATTGCGGGGAGCTCGCCTCTTCTTTTATGTATCATTAGGTCAACAAGATGCTTAATCCTCTCTCTTCTATCCTTGTTTGTGCCCTTTTTTTGATACATTATCGTAGGTCAATGTTGTTCTTGTGATATGTAACAATTTTTGAGATCCAAGAATAGCCCCAAGATGCCTCAAAACGGAGTAGCAGCCTAAGTTGAGCTGGCTCACACTGCGTTTTAGTATAGTTTGTGATAATTGTGATATGTAAATTTGTTTGTTTCCGTCAAGATTCTAGAGACATTGGAATTAGTTTAAATAGAATGTCAGTATTCTCGACAAATATTAGCTTTAGATCATCTTCGAATCCACAATTGATTAGCAGTTGAAACACAAGCCATAGAAATCATAGTTTAGTCCTCGAAAAAATGAATCTAGAGCTTGTAAGATACTTCATCGAAAACCACGCAACGTTGTTGGCTCCGCCAGTTGCTGGAACAGTCGTGAACATCGAGCTTCTATTCGCGATGAGCCAGACCTTATCGAGAAAAGAGAGTTGCCAGGATCCTGAATCGAGTTCCAAACACGAAACAGAACAGTGGAACACATTCTGGAGCGACCTGATGGATATGATTGCTCTCAGTCCGGGTTGTGTCAGCTTCGTGACGCAGGACGCTCCCGGCAACCGCGGTGCGATTATCGACCACATTGACGTCCAGACCTTGCAAATTATGTATGACTGCGCTGTTCCTGGATCTTACACAGGAGCCAAGGGATCGAAAAGTTCTAAACTGAACTATCCCGCTAACGCGTCACTTTCGGATCGCCTGCTTACTGTCTTGGATTCTAGTGCTGCCGAGACCCCTAATCAGCAAATTTTGAGCCAGCTACAACGAGTGCTGGCTGTGAAGCCTGCATCGCACACCCTCGGCCAAGAAAGAGCCCAAAAATTTACACCACATTCGAGTTTTATCCACATCTGCAGCAATCGCAACCACTCTAGCGTGTTATCTAGCATTGCTAACGTGTCAAACAACAAGATTGTTGCTATTGATTGCAACAAACTTCAGAATGCAGACCAGGACTGTCCCGGGCTTCTTAAATGTGCTCAGTCCAAAATTCACTTCATACCCAATCTGAAGCCTCAAACAGACACCGGTCTTGGCGATTGTTCATACTTAGACACCTGTCATAAACTTAACTCTTGCAGATACGTTCATTACTTGCAATATGTGCCCGAGTCCCTAGTTCAGTTGACTTCCCTCCGTACGCGCGAGACTAATGAATCATGCGACTCCAACAAACGAATTTGTCTCTATACGCGAGGATTATGTTGCTCCGTGGGTTCAACGCCTACGCTACCAGCCCAATGGATTCAATGCGACGTTCGCAGGTTTGACTTCAACGTCTTAGGTAAGTTTTCCGTAGTTGTGGCTGATCCAGCATGGAACATTCGCATGAATCTGCCCTATGGAACTTGCAATGATTCAGAACTCACTGATTTGCCCTTGAATCTTTTACAACAAGAAGGAATTATTTTCCTTTGGGTCACCGGTCGAGCCATAGAAGTAGGCAAAGAGTCATTGCAGAGATGGGGTTATCAGGTTTGCAATGAAATATCTTGGATTAAGACAAACCAGCTAGGACGTACAATTGTAACAGGACGTACAGGTCACTGGCTCAATCATTCCAAAGAACATCTCCTTGTGGGTCTTAAGGGAACTCCAGAATGGCTCAACAGACAGTCGGACATCGACCTAATCGTTTCTGCTAGCAGGGAAACTAGTCGCAAACCGGATGAGCTATACGGGATGATAGAACGACTAGTTGGACCTCACGCACGGAAACTTGAGATTTTTGGTCGTGATCACAATACTAGATCCGGATGGTTTACTATAGGCAATCAACTCAATGGTGACAGTGTTTATGAACCAGACGTCAAAAGGAAGTACAACACCTATCTGCAAAGGCAGAAAAAAACTCACCGCGCACCATACCCGACACTAGCTTGAGATACCATAGTCTAAAGACATAATGACAAAGTAGCATTACTTTTCTTCATCAGGCAGCGAGCCTATATGTACAGTTCGTCCAAATCACTTTAATAATTGGAAACCTTCATATTTTAGCTATCATCAATATTTTGTCAAGTCATCCAGGAGAGTGGATATAAAAACCTTGTTCCCTTTTATATACTCAATCATTAAAGATGGTTGTGATATTGAACCCCATGTTAAATTTTGCATCAAAGCAGCAAGCGTTAAAAAAGTGATCAGTCACCTACAAAAGAAAGCAAACGGTACGACGCTATAGTAATGTTTCATGTCAATAAATAGCTCAGTATATATAATCGAGGCAATGCAACACATTGCAGGTTGTAACCTAGGAGATGTGTGAAGTTTTTGATGGAGATGACAGGTAACACTTTTCCTATGCAGATTGACCGATCTCATGTAGAAGAGATGGCGACTGTACATGTGCTAAACCGCGTTAGTATGTTTTAAATTCGATCTAAGCCACATGCGTCTCGATAAACCCTCTTTCAAAGCCGCATTCTTGTTTGATGTAACACTTCACGCCGACGACGAGACCGTGAGAGATCTGCGGCCAGGAGCATGTAGCGGATAGCACTACATTTTGAAGTGCTGCAGCCCATGATGCCAATGGTGTATCATATAAGCATTGCGACACGGTGAGAAATGCGGATTTCAAGTTTTTAGGGTATCCTCTGATGAAGGGATAACCAGTTGAGCTGAGCTAAAATCGATTATACACTCCATTTCAACTGCTAGATAGCGATGCCGTCCAGATTCACGTGCGTTTGATCAAGAACATTGGTTGTTCCTTGAGGTTCGCAAACTCACTGGGACTTCGGATGCATGGGTACCTTCATTTTATCATTTTGTACCCTGCTGTCGCGTCGATTTGTCTTGCCGAAGAATCAAATGAGTATGCCCTTGAAGCTTAATTGTTTTGGAGCTTCAAATATAACGCCAACGCGTTCTCTTGGAAAGACATGCCTCTGGGGTGGTGATGATATTTTACCGCTTTATTGAGGACAGTTAAGTACGAAGTGACTATGACACAAGTAGTTGACATTTTTATCATCGATGGTAGTGTCTATTCCTATTTTACTACTAAAAGGACCCTGCACGGATGTTTTCCAATTACTTTGTCATAGTCTTTTCTTCATTGTTTATATAGTGCCAGATCTTGTTCGCTAAGAATGCCATATTCGGAGAGCTGAAGAACAACTGAACGAAAATAATCTACCCGGAGCATATTGTAAGACCTTTGCCCACATTGTAATTCTTGAGGTGCGGGATGTGACTCTCTTGTGTTTGCACGTATGACTCTTCGAGCAAAAGTCAGGCCTTCCATTGCGGTCTGACTGTCCTTCGTGGGGTTGTGCCAAGTCTTTACCTCAAGTTGTTTGACTTGCTCCGGTATCAACATTTCATTGTGACCAACTCCCATCAACAAGCGCAAGTGGTTTAGTGGTAAAATCCAACGTTGCCATCGTTGGGCCCCCGGTTCGATTCCGGGCTTGCGCAATTTTTTTGTTTTTACTTGCGTAGTATTCCCAGAGGATAGCATGTAACGTTTGTTTGAATCAGCCGTACTAAGAAGTCCAGAAATGAGCTCATGACTACGTATCTGTGCTCTCTATTAGCAACTCGTTTCTGCTCTCAGCCAATCATATCGCTGTAAATCCCAAGATTCGAAGTTTCTGAGCTTCTCATCGTTATTAGTGACTATCCTCCCGGTTTCTCTCGATAGTCAATCTGCGCATCTTTTAGCGATAGAAAACCATAACTCCCTATAGTGATGGGAAAAATTTTAAATTAAGCTAGGGCCAAAATCTATAGATAAATCAACTGACTTCGAAGTCTTGAAAGCTATTCTGGATTACGGCTTTAAATAAACGTTTTAAGACCTTCAGTTCTCTCTACAACAGCAAAAAAAATGCTAAGACAAGCTATCAGAAGAGCTTCCAGCCTCCCCCCACATGCCTTGAAGCCAGCTTTCGGGCCAGGCGATCAAACCGCCGCTAAAGCTTTCAAGGAAACCGCTGAAAACACACACCACCATGCCAAGGAGACATCTGGCTTGTGGCTCAAAATCACCATGTTTGTGGCTGCCCCAGCAATTGCTTTGGCCGCCGTTAACACTTACTTCGTCGAGGCCGAACATGCCGACCATCGTGCGCATTTGAAGCACGTTCCAGATTCCGACTGGCCCAAGAACTATGATTTCCAAAACATCAGAACTAAACCTTACTTCTGGGGCGACGGCGACAAGACCTTATTCTGGAACCCAATCGTCAACAGACACATCACGGACGAGTAAAGGGTTGATCCGGCCGTAAGCCAAATCACTCACGATCCTCGTCATCAACATGCCACCTATTTAAAATTATAGCCCTTGATTGCAGAGCAAAACAAAGCGTCATTTTCATACATATGTGTAACCCCCCCCTCATTGAAATAAATTCGTCATTGCAAAACAACTATCTTTTGAGTGGTAAGACAATCCCTTACCTGGCAACTGTCACTTACCCTTTGCCCTTTTGATCTCTCTTTGAAGTTGGTTTATTAAATTGGAAAATTATACAGACTCATACGATAAGATTGATTGATATCATCTAACTAAAAGACCCTTCTGCGTGCCTATCACCGAGTTATAATGCTGAAAATATGAATAGATTATTCGTTGCCGCGATTGCCACACTGTTTTCGCTTGGATGCCATGAGAAATGCAATATTGATTTCTTAAAATCTATGTCATCACCCCATTGTTTGTTCCGCGCACTTTGTTGTTCCAATGATCCCAATTTCTTGGATTTGAATGCTGTCTTGTCTGCCTGTAGAACTATTTCGTCCATAGGCGGCGAGTTACTTGTCTTGCCGCCAACCACATCTGGATACATCATGAATGTGTTATTGTAAGACCCGGTCATCAAACTGGTGCTGTTACCACTGAAGTTGACCTCGAATTTGTCGAATATGGCATCATTCTCGTAAGTGTCGCTTAAACGATCCTTTAATTGGTCTTGGACGTTGATCGTTTTCACAGGTTTGTTATCCATATTCACATCCCATATTTTGACAGTGAGATAATCTCTGGACGCAATATAGCGCCCGTCCGGACTGAATTTGACATCCGATATCGAGGACGTGATTTCTGTGAAAAAATTGTGGTTTATGGGGTCCAAATATTCTTCGAAGGTCTTGGCGCGGAAATCACATAGTGCATTTTGTCGCATATCTGTTAACTTGATTGTCCCTTTTGAAGACGAGTACATGAACAAATTACAATGTTGCGGGTGAAAATCTGCACTTGTAATTACTTCTGTCAGCTCTTCCATATTCGCTGGTTTGATATCCACGATGTTGAAGGACTGGTCCGGTATGTCTAGATTCCACAAATTTATTCTAAGGTCGTCTGCGCTAATAAAGGTTTCTTGATCGGAATTTATCGATATGGAGTTGATGTGATATGTGTGTGCGTTACTGTAAATTTTCTTGGGCGCTGCAGCAATGATTTTGTCGTGCTGAGAAAGTCGCGGTAACTTCAGTGTGGACAGTGATAAGACTGCTTTGGCAGCTCCGTTACCGTGGTGCGCTTTTGGTGTGGAGCCGGAGAAGTTGCTTAGCGCACCTTCACTGAGATTATTCTCGCTCACAAGCTTAATATTCTTTTCGTACACCTTCCACAGCTTGACGGTCTTATCGTTGGTGCTCAGCAGGAAATGCGATTGGTTGGTGGGACGACACCATTTGATCTGGTTGATTTTCTCCTCAATTTCGAGGGACTTCAGGTAGTCGAATTCCGCGTCGTGAGACTGAAACTCTGTCAAAAACTTGTATTCGCAGTGCTTGCTGTTGTTACGCTCAAAAAGCACGACTCTACCGCCCCTGTCTCCGGTCGCTAAAAAATCTCCACTATGGTCAAACTCCACCGCCGTTATGATGTCCGCCTCCGTCACCACAATATCTGCCTTGTCTCCGAAACACTGGCTGAACTTGAAGTCAAAACTGTTGTTGGCTGCCATGGTCTACTATGTTGCCCGGGACCCTCCTATCCACCTATTTATTCAACGGATCTGTGCTTCTTATGCCGAAATTCTCAGTCAAATTTGGAGTCTGATATCGCTACGAAAGCGCACAATGGACTACTGAAACCGACCAGAACGATTTCTCTTGTATCGAACCCTCGGATGCAAGTCTTTTGCCGAGTTTTGCCCGAGTTTTCACTGTTTTGGACTTTGATGTTTTTGATCAAATGTGAGTTGGAAATAAGGGGGTCCCCTGTGTTAAAATTTTTTTTCGAGATGTCGTCCCTACTAAATTAGTTATGCCCAACAAAGCAGAATCAATGACAGAATAAAGAATTTAAGTTAATCGTCGAATTTCGACAGAAGAGTGTCTTCAGCTATAGCTTGATTTGTAGAAAATGTTTGAGGAAGAAGTCTCTGAGTGGAGTTACAGGATTAGCCTTGCGCAGCCATCTTATGAGTGTTTTCCAAAGAAAAAGTTGCAAGATTTTGAAGTTTAGTAGATAAAGCCGTGTGTCCGCCTGTTAAAATATGCTAGTTCGTTTCTACATTTTCACTTGAGTTCGACCAAACAACTTTAATGTTTAGTTGGCATTTCGAGAATTACGGCAAACAGTGAAAAATCGTAAAGGCACCGAAAAAAGCGTGAATGATCTTTCTCGCGACAACACTGCCCCTTATCCAACAACCAATGATGATACTAACTTGTCATTTAGAAATATACAAATTCTTGAGCTATAAAGGCTTCCTACAAGCGTGGGATTACTTAAGCAGCAGCTGGAGCTGGAGTAGGAACAGAAGCTGGAGCGGCAGCAGGAGCAGAAGCTGGAGCGGCAGCCTTCTTGGCAGCGTCAGCAGGAGCAACCTTGTTATCTCTGTTGAACCTTGGTCTTTGTGGAGGAGTTCTGATTCTTCTGTTTTCTCTAGATCTGACTCTGACGATTCTGGCGTGGATGGCACAAGAAACACAGTAGTGCAGTTTGTTGTAGATCTTTGGCAAAGCGTACTCGGAGTACACAGAGGCCTCAGACAAATCTCTGACGGCGGCAGCCTCGACAATGTTTCTAATGGTCATTCTCTTGATGGCCTTGTCCTTAGGGACACACTTGGAGCAGTTGACACATCTGACGGGCTTGACGTGACCTCTACCCTTCTTGTTTCTACCGTTGGACGCTCTCTTCTTTGGCATTCTGGAAAACTTGGTTAGTAAATGCAATGCAGTGCAGCACAGCGCGTGGGAATACCGTGCAGACGCTCAGCAGAACTTCACTCGTGACAGCCTTGTATTGGTTCACGGTTTCCGAACTTGTCACTGTAATAGCGCTCTTCCCTATTCTTGAATGCGCATTCTTTCTTCTCTGCTGTCTACAGGCTCATCCCACACTGCTTTGGGCTATAATTCCTCCCATATGGCCACATACTTGTTCAGATTCTTCCTGTTCTCTGTAAAGGATCTTCCTAGTTAAGATGAAGCACTTGTTGATATTGAAATTTACCACATTGCTTGAAAACTTTTGACGGGTAAGCACAGTACGACTGTCTCGGCTAGGCAGAGACTCTGGTTGGCATCCAGGCAGGTATGAGCCTACCACTGCCTGATACTCCCCCGACCAACGGTAGGCAGTCCTGCCTAGCTCCCTCCAGAGCCAGAGGAGACTAGCCCAGCAAGGAGAACCAACTTGTTTTGGTCGTGAAGACCCACGCAAAACATAAGTTTCATGTTTTATTTGTGTTTATATTTTTCTTCATTTTTCGAAGTATTTGAAAATGTATGGGTTTGGCAAAGTAGCAGTCACATCATACTAGCTGCCTTACGGAGAGAATATACAGAGCAAAGCGTCCTTTGGACGGCATGAGGCATATGTAGAGTGTTTAGCGTGCGAAAGACGAAGCCGATAGTTGGCGCTTAAAGAAGGCTGCGTTTTGATGCGTACTTTCCTTGTGGATTGTGATCGCTGTATCCCATAGAAGCTGTTCATTAAACATAGGCTGGGTTCAACCAGGTACCGCACGCTTGTCACCAGGAAGGAGGACGCTACATCCTGGCCATTGAGAGTGTCGGAAATTCAAGCGCAGAGACAAACGATGCTTTTCCAGAACATGGGCCATTAGTGCAGACCTATCTATATCACTTTGTACTAGTGTGTCACTGCTGGTGCCGCCACCTTTATTCAACAGTCATGTTAAAAGCTCTTTCAAACCAACCTATCCGTGCCACGCTGCCTTGATAAGGTGCTGCTCACCGCCATTTATTGCAGGAACTCCAACGTGCCGTCCCTCAGCTTATCGATACATATTACCTTTTATTGTTGACTTAAATAAATGTTTAGATTCAAATGAAAAGTGAATATTCATGCTAAGGCATTGAACGCTGGCCCTGGTGTGGGTGCCTATTCTTTTGAATTCCAACCCTTAGTGTAGCATGCAAGCATGCCCGATGCGCTGTGAGTGTGTCCCTCTATTGTATTTCGTACATGATCTCCCCGCTCAATGGTGGTGGTCGTCATCAGTCTTGACACCGACTGCGTTCACTTTGTATACGGAACCACATTCCCAGCATCTAGAAACTTGGTTCACGGTGGGCTTTAGCCACATGATAGTGTGCGATCCGGCTGGAGAACCCGTGCAACCAACGTAACGGTAGTCATCGTAAGTGTCCACCAAAATGGGGTTTTCCATGGTACCGACTCTCGAAGAATCCAAAGGCTTGGTGTCGAAGACATCAATACCTTCCAATTTACCCAAAAGTTCCAATCTGGCCAAACCTGTAGCTTGTTCCAATTCGGTAGGTACTTCGCCCTCTTTAGCACCAGGACCGATTAAACTTGAGGTACCGTCAACTTCGGACAATTTAGTAGCGGTCTTGACCACTTGTTTCTGCATCATAATTCTTTGAGATGAGAACGCTCTGGTGGCGGGAGACATAAATCTCATGGTTTGGCGTAGAGACAACATTATTCTGATTAGTTGTTAGTAAAAACGTGCAAATCGAGGAAGGCAGAACTGGAAGAAAAAGGTGGATACGTTATGAGACCACACGCGGGACCAAGCACAAGCACATTTCGATTCTACGGATGGAATCGTTCGCTTTAATGAGGATAGCTAAGGAGAAGCAGCTCCTTAGTTATATCAGGCATTACAGTACCACAGATAATTAGTGTTCTCGGGTGACACACTTCTTACAGCAGTCTTTTACGACATAGCAAACAACACAGATATCCTGTATCTGCCCCTTTCTCGCGACTTGCCCAGTCAGCGATACGTCCTGCACTTGTTCCCAATAAACACTTGTAGCCGCGCAAAAAACCCGTTTTCTTCGAATGCACCTTTTCTACCACACTTTCTGCTTATAATTTCAACGAGACATACCTATAACCACTTTAATAAGCTCGATAATCCCGCTTTTCAAAGTGCTTGATCTATTGAATATCCCAATTTTCAGTGTATATTCAATCTTCAAATTTTTTTCTATTTCATATATCGGACCAGAGCAGTTTGAAGAATCAAGAACTTTGAACTAATGCATGAAAACCAGCGATTTGGTTGGCCACGTGTCACGTGAAAGACGTTGAAGTAGCATTAAAGTAAGATTAGTAGACTACATAGCGAGTATTGGGCCAGGATTTAGCGACCGTATTTTCGTAATTCGATGTATCTGAGTCCCGGGTATGCTACACCCGAAAATGCCATGCTTAGCCACATACCCAAGTCGCCGCCATTCGCGCCATAGTGGCGCGCTATGGGGCCAATCCAGTAGACCTGAGCCATTCCCAGGACGACTCCAGCAACGCCAAAGAGGAAAGCCAATGTAGCGGCGTATCCATGGGTCAAGACGTCTTGGTTGTTCCACATGTCCCAATTGTAGTGGTGTTTGGTGAAGCGAGATTTGTGCGTCTTAAACTCCCGCAGGCTTAACTGAGACGACGCACCCCCTTCTACGGTTTGGTGCGAAGGAAATTCCTTGGAGTACAAGCGCAGGAAATGGGCACGGAAAATGACGTTCTCCTCTAGTAGGATAATGAAGTATATGCTAATCCAGTAGCCCACCATTGGTAGGAAATTTCCTAGGATTTCGCTGAAGTGGTTTCTGCCCACCAAAGCGCACACTAAGTAGAAAATAGTGCATGCAATAGCCCACACCCACCGTGGAACGCGCGCCATGTGAACACTCGATAGCTGGATGGAGAACGCGGCAGAATACGTGTTGATAATGTTGTTTGAGATGAGACTCAGAATCAACACTACGACACAAAATTTGCCAAAACCGTTCCACCGCTCGAATCCAGCGTGCAGCAATCCGCCCATCCCATAATTCTGGTACTCTTCATTCCAAGGCTCGTAAGTTGCAGCGCAAGAAGCTAAGATCAAACCCAAAACACCAACAAATGTAGTTGGAAGTAAAGTCCCAAAAAAAGTCAGCAAAAACACTTTGTAAGAAGCTGTGTCCTCTGGAAACAGAATATAGTAATCTGACGTGATGGAGCCCCATGTCGAAGTTATACTGTAGCAAAGCGAAAAGAATGACATCCAATTTCCTTTAATTGTAGAAGGCTCGATGTCGTCATTCTTGAACGTGTCCAACAAATTAAATTTGTCACTCGAAGCAATGTAAAGCAGAAGAAAACAAGTGAGGACAGGAACCGAAAGAAACGTCTCAACCCTCAAGACTTGTTTAATACCAAAAATTGCCACGAGGAATGACAGCGCAGTGACAATGATTATTCCAACCCAAATTGGAATCTTATTGTCAGAAATCGCTGCCAACATTTCACCTCCCACCACACAATTAACAATACTCCACCCCATCACGCCAATGATTGAAACTAAAGCCACAAACTTGACGAAATACCATCCGAATAAATATCTTGCGGTCACCATCTGCCTACATCCAGACTGCGGCCCCATTGTAGAGCAGTAAGCCGCAACTCCGCAACCGATGGCCATTGAAATTAGTCCGCTCATCAAAGACTGGCGAAACGTAAGCTCAAATATCAACGGGCCCAAAAAATATGATGACATCGACGACAGCCCACCGGCGGCACTCAACCACAGCCCTGCAACGCTAAAGAACTGCTTGGAAGTACCTCTTTCATATGGAGGAATTCTTTGAATACCACGAATCTCGACACCAAGGGAGTCGAGTTTCTTCGATGCCTCGCTGGTCTTTTTCAAAATTCTTGAGAAGATCGTTGGTTTTTGCCGTGTTTCCTGCTCGACCTCACTAAGGCTTATTGCCTCTACCTTCTCAGCTCTGTTCTTCACTACCATTGTTTTGGATATGCTAGAAGCTCGGTGGTTAGCGACCACTAAGGAACACCAGTTGGGCAATGTGTCTTGGGCTAAATGGGATGAGGGCTTTCGCTTAATGCTTCCTGCCGTTCAAACTGAGTCACTTCAATAAAAAAAAGTCAAATCACTTTTCAGTTTCCTGACGCTACACATTGAGAGTAACTAAAACAAGAGAATATATACAAGAACTGAAACAATCTCAATGAGCCATCGTTTCATTGAAAGGATGTTGGCATCTGATATTTATATCTGGCCGCTGTCCTTTAGGCGAAATTCAAACGGAGTTTGAAAGCCAAGTTTAGTTTTGTAAAGACCGAAAACGCTGTCAAGACATTAAATTTACCGACTAAATCCTTCTGTACTTGTACTTGAATAACATACCTCTGTTCAACCCTTACCGATAATATACACTGACATGCACTATAAAATGCTAATTGACTCGCGAATACCCCGGAGACCCATGAATCACTACCTCTAAAATATTATTCAATGCAAACTCGCAGCTTTGGTAGAAATTGTCTTTGGTGCCACTTCCAATATGGGGCGTGATCGTGACAGATTCATCGTCAGCTAAAAGACAGCTCTCGACCTCGGGTTCGTTGTAAAAAACATCTAAACCAAAATGTCTGATCTGCTTCTTTGAAATTGCGCTCTCGATGGCTTGCGGATCGAAAATAGTGCCCCTGCCAATATTGACAATTACCAAATTATCGTTGCAGTGGCTTAAAAATTTTGTGTCGATAAGGTGTCTTGTGTCTAGTGTCCCTGGTAAGGCCACTACAATTGTGGTGAACTGTGAAAGCTTGGAATATAATGAATCGTTTAGTTCGTGAAATAACCATGAAACCGTGGGATCACAATTGCGTTTAGCGTAATGGATCTCCATACCCAGGCCATAATGCAACTTGAGCGCAATTTGTTTCCCAATGCCGCCCAAACCCAAAATCAATCCTTTTTGACCTTTGGGAGATCTTACGTCATATGATTTTAACTCTTGACCAAACATGAAATCTGCACTTAGCGGGTTTTTACCAGCAGCACTGCGTCTAGCATTCAGCGTATTGCCAGTTTTGCGTAAATTTAGTTGCTGGTATGAGAATTTCCGGTAACCCTCCAAAACATGCCACAACGCACAATCTGCTACATCATTACTCACTAGACCAATTTTTTCGATAGCTTCAACGCCATATGTCTCAGGCCCTTCTTCATCAGTGTAGTTGTACACCTTGATGTCGTATTTCTTCAAGGCAGCAAGATCGATACCATTAACACCTCGAGAACACAACACAATGCATTTCAAAGTATCTTTAGGAAAACGGGCGTCCTCGATTATGTCACTCGTCAGACCTCCTATTACGTGGAAAGCAGGGAATCCACCGTATATTGCTGTCAAAGGCTTAGATTTAGAGTCAAATGTCTCGCATAAGTATGTCAAGAAAGATTCTGGATCACTATAATTAAGTTCAAGAGTTTCCACTTGAAATTCTTCCTTTATGACTGTAGCGTATAATCTAGATGACGAATCTGGCTCCGCAATGAAGAGGACTCCAGGTTTGACCATTATTTATTCTTCGAGCGAGTACTCTGGGTGTCTTCAAGAGGGGGAAAGAGAGCTTGGCAAAAATGAGCGTGAAAATGGAATCTTAGATGCATTTAATTATTTATTTACTTGAAGATAATGATTGATCAGAGTTTGGCACGACTGGTGAGAAGGCAATGGCGCTTGATGCCGTTCTGACCAAAAAATTCTTCGTAGATGTTGGGAAGCTCGCCCTGTCCGATAGTGTTCGACGCCAGATGCCCGTTCAGCTTATTATAAATAATCCTACCCTCATCGCGCAACTCGACGATGTCAGCATCAACCATAGCTTCCAGCAAGTCTTCTTGCAGATCTGCAATGCTTTCAATACCGCAACATAGCCTGATGATATCTTCTGGGAATTCCCGTTCTTGTCGCAGTGCCGGATCGATTGCAGCATGAGACATTTTGCCTGGCATGGAGATCAACGAGTTGACACAGCCAAAAGAAACAGTCACAGACCAAATTTTAAGCTTGGGCGATGATACTAGACGCCTGGAATGCTCGAAGGATCCAGTTTCGAATGATAAGACTGCTCCAGGCCCGGAATTGAAAGATTTGTGCAAATCAAATTGCGGATGTGATTTAAGCCCCACGTATCTAGTCAAAGTACGTTCTTTTTTGCTCTTCTTCAAAAAACCGCATGAGTTTTCGAGCCAGTGAGCCAGTACCATGGCGTTGTGTTGTTGTTGATACATTCTGACACCAAGTGTCTTGAGGCCTCTTATCAACAGCCACGAGTCAAGTGGCGAAAGCCCGCAACCAGTAGAGTTAACAATGAAGTAGATATCCTGCGCAATCTTGGGTGTCCGAGTGATGATAGCGCCTGCCATGATGTCGTGATGACCATTTAAGTACTTGGTGGCCGATTCGTAGACCACATCACAGCGGAAATGAAGCGGGTTGCAAAGCATACCACTCATCATGGTATTATCAACTGCCACGACGCAGCCTGGGTTTGTGGATTTGATGAATTTACAAAGTCTGGGCAGATCTGCCACCTTCAAAAGAGGATTGGTGGGAGACTCTAAAAGAACACAATCAACTTGTGGTTGTTGCTTGAAAAGCTTCACAAAGCTGTCATAGTTGGTAGTATCGACATGCAAAACACGCGCATGGTTGCGGGTCTCCAGATGTGTGAGCAGACGTTGTGTTCCACCGTATAGGTCATCGCCAGCGATGATCGTGGGCACGTGAGCGGAATTGTTCAATACCAATCCACGCAAAATCATGTCGAGCGCCGTCATTCCGCTACTGACGGCAAGCACTTGCGAGGCATCCACGCCATATAGCTTACCCAGCTGATGCTGAACTACGGTCCGCGTGGGATTTCCAGAACGAGTATAATCATACGCCTGCGAAGCACCCTCCTCAAGTGAGCCCACCTTGAAAGTTGTCGACTGATAGATAGGGGGGACACTTGAGCCATGTTGATCGTTGTGTTGAACCACGGAAACGAGCTTCGTGGGCAAAGAATGGTCGACCATTTGAATCGTAAATAGCTTTTGAAACTCACGACGAGAGCTCTTATAATCTTATTGAATGAATACTTTGTCAACTCACAATCCCTAGATCAAATTTGCCGCTCTTATATTCACAACTTTCGTGATTGTTTTCTTTCACTTGAATTCTGGATATTCACACTTCTGTAACCTTCAAGTAACTGTGGTTCCTGTCTTGAAGCTGGCTTCCACAGACAATACACCTTTCTCGGAGAAAGGTTCATTTAGCTTATCGTATCGGTGTTATAATAACAGAGCCCAACCAGTTGACCCCGCTTACTTTTTTCCTACAAAGGTGGTCGGTGTTATTGCCATTGGTAGCTCGCTTTCATACGCATTAAGGCCATGGAGTATTGTGGCGTTTACCAAGTTCACGTGGATATCATGGTGGCATTCAGCGACCCCATAATCACGTGTTTGATGATTTTGGAGCTCGGCGGCTATCTGTAAACCGAAGGAATGGAAGAAGACGTTAGCGTAGAGAGCAGGTACTCCATAGCAGGGGAATATATCAAAAGGAGCAGTGCAAGGTATACCCACACAATTTCGGCACGGGATCGCTGAAGCGGAGAGCTTTGTAGAGCTATTGGGCAGAGACTAATATGTCAGCTTTGACCATTAGGAACGCGTTAGATTTCCCAGGGAAGCCCAGTGTCGACACAGAAAGACCACAACTAACGATATATAAGGCTGGAGATTTGAATTTATCCTCTTGCAAAAGTGGTGGCGAGAAGGGAAACTTTATTCGACGGGGGGGAAAAATATATTCGTGAAATTAATCACATAAGCTCAGGGAATCATGCTAGTTAAAACTGGTAGCCACGGCGTTGGATTAACTTGGCATGGTCAGGTCAGGCAAACATAATGTATAGAGAAAGAAAGAAAATATTTGTTTGAACACAGATGCCAATGACACTGCGAACTGCGACATGCTCTGCATTGTACAGTACTGGCGAACACTTGTCTTCTTCAATTTAGGATCAGTGATATTCAATCTGCATGCCAGGCATATCGTGAGGTGAAAAACACTTCTGTGCCACCAAGAGAGCTGTTGAAAATCCAATTGGTTCTTGCGTCCCAGCCTCGTACACTAACACTAAGTTGACAACGTTTTCGTTGCCCAGTAACCACAAAGAATCAGAAAGATCGAACATAGTGTTCTCACATCCAAGGCTGATGTATCATCACACGTTGATTTGGCCTCGGGGCGCTGGAGCTCAGAAGTAATAGTCCTATGTTCTTTTAGTATTTTAAGACATGACAACTTTCGAGAACCAAAAATGAGATCTGGCGTATGATAAGAAGAATAATGCCAGCTTCGCGTTTTTATTTACCCACCAAACCTGAGCCAGCTATGAGGAACAAAATGTGCCTGATACCTTTAGCGGCCCTTTCGTTATTATTTTATATTGATACGACTTGGAGATGAAAAATTCCAAAGTGGAATGAGAACATAAAATCGACGCCGAGTATGCTGATTTGTATGGTCTTCCCATATCAACAGCTCGATTTTGAATCCATGTTGTAACTTTTGAGCTATTATCACTTAACGTCACGATATCACACCAACGGTCGAGCTGCGCAGGTAAAGGCACCTATAACATAATACGAGATCCTTTTTCAACACACATGGTCTAATAAAATGTTAAAACCCATAAGATCAAGATTGGGATGTGAGGTGTTGAGCTCATTAGTTCGGCTTTCTGGACGTAAGTAATTTTAGGCCCAAAATATTTCGCCTGCTTGCGAAAGATGCCACTCTTCGCGAGGGCCTTTTAGCAAATCAGTTCTTGCCTGAAATTAGCCCGCTGCAGTCGATTAAATAAAATGTTGATATGGTTTTGTTTTGAATGAAATAATTGGGCCCCGGCTCGCAAAAAATCTATGGCCGAGAATAATTGCACATGAATAACTAAGCTCACAATGTCGCACATCAAATCTAGCTTCAGATATTATGTTTTGACCTTTCGATTCTGAAACTATGAATTTTTCCGTATGCTGTTATCTGTCATCGGAATTTGCCTTAACGTTTTGATGCTAAAAAGACAATCAAACGAATATTAGCAGGAAGGATGAAATAGAAAATGATGATTTGTGGTTCATATGGTTCAATAAAAAGATATTCATGTCATCTCAAATAATACCGATCAAAGACCAAGCCGCTTTGGTCTTAGAAGATGGAAAAATATACAAGATTCAGCACCGGCGACAAAGAAAAATTTTGAGCTGCGTAGCTTGTCACAAGCGGAAGATCAAATGCACCAGAGAAACGCCCAGTTGTTCGATTTGCTTGAAGAAAAACATCGAGTGCCACTACTTTTTGAATGATCGAGTTTCAAGAGGTGGTAATGCTACCGTGGAGTCGAAAATCGAGCTTCCAGGAGCTGCGCTCGTACCTCCCGATGTTGGGTCCCTTGATCCCATAGAGAAAAAAAAACAGCTCTTGATGGCTATCGAAAAGGCGAAATCAATGGCCAACGTCGAAAAGACTCTATTGGAGACGAAACGACAACAAAAACGGGATTTCAGCCGTAGAAAGGGCGGAAAGTCTGTCTCAGATGATCCTGAAATACTCACTCAAACGTTAAACTCCGGTGGTGTTGCTGAATTTGGGAGCTTCAGGAACACCCCCAACAGCACTCCCACCTTCTCGCCACCTATGTCAATTTCACCTACTCAAAATAGCCCGCGCCCAACATTTGGTAAAGACTTGCGCATGTATCTGCCTTCGCCACAGAGAGCGATTGAACTTTTTACCATTTACCATACTACGGTACATCCTATTATTCCGCTTATAGACATGCCTAAGTTTATGCACGACCAGGAGATATTCTGGATCGAACGTGGCCAGGGGGATCCTGGACGGATGGAATTTCTGTTAATAATGTTCCCCGTTCTCTATGCTGCTTCAAAATCCCAGTTTCATCAATGCAACAATAATGACACTCTTTACCAAGAGATGTCAGTTTTTCTAGAGGCTTCTAACGTTCTTTATGCCCTTCATGACTTTCCGAATACCTTTGACATCAACATGATCACAGGCTCTGTTTTAATAAACTCAGTCATTGAAAATCCTAGCATAACGACAATTGCTCAACTATCGCGTCTTGCGCAAAGAACTATGCTCACCCGCGATCCTGCGTCCTACCATCAGTTATCTGACCTGGATGTGATACAGAGTCGTCGAATCTTGTTTTGGCAAATCTTTCAGTTAGATACCATGACGTCTTTATACAACAATCTACCACCGTTGATCAAACTTGATGAGTTTGATACAGCAAGACCTGCGGAAGTAGTAAATGGCGAAGTTAACCCCAGTCTTTGTCTTTTGAATGCAAAATACAGATTTGTCCTACTACTAAATGAACTATGCTCGCTTACGAATAGAGGAACATTTCAGGGTTTAAAAGAGAGAATTGTGGATTTGCACGTCTGTTGTATGGGAAGTGCATTGTCTTTGCGCAACCATAATAAACAAGTAGGCCAAGGTAGTGCCCACGATGCTAAATTCATAGAATGGGCAGTATTCATGTTGAACACTTTCGCAGATCGCGCGTGTCTGCTGTTGCATCTAAACATCATAAAAACATCATTACCTATGTTAATGAAAAGGCGACGACTGTGGAAACAGGAACAGCATCTTCGGAATGGAGAGAATTCTGATCCTATCACCGATAGTGGGTATGGAAAAAATTTCCGTACGATTCAGGCTATATTAAATGATAGCGGTAATTTGACATTGGATCACACTTTAAGAGAAGGCCCCGATGGGCTGATCAGTACAGGCCTTGTTTATGACTATGAGGACCTAACTAACAATTTAATTCCTGCATCGTTACACTACTTGGACGAATTTCTAAAGTATCATACTGATGACACTTTTTCCTGCTACAATTGGGAATTAATGGTAGGTAACATGCCTATAAATGCCATCACGTTTGCTATCAAAACTTTAGCCCTGGATGTGAATCGGGCGCAGCAACTGAACCAGATTCTAATTTTACAAAATGATTTGAGATACATCTTACTGTCTAAAGCTATCCCAGTGGCCGAAATGAAAGTAGATGCCAAGACCGCTGTCTGCAAAAATTGTTTTCAGTTGATAAAACTGCTTTTCAAGCTTATCATCGTAAAACATGGAAAATACATCGAGTATTTAAATGATGCTCCTATAGATGGGTCAAAGCTCTTTTACAGCAAGTATGACACTGGAAATTCATCTTTGAATAGCTCTCGATCCGGAGTTGTACCACAACCAAGTGTGGGATCAATGAGTGGATCCGCCGGATCTCCGGGAACCCTTCAAGGACCAAATTCTAACCCTGCAGATGCAGATTCTGCTCGGGATACCAACCGAATTCTGAGTATAACGAGCATCATAAATGGAGACGATTTCTTCAACGATGGGTTTTCATTTTCCGGTAATCTCATCTACAATAACAGTACCCTTGATACTTCCTACACCACATCCTGCGATCAGATTGCTCCAAGGACTATGAGAGCTCTCGCCGCTACCCCACAAAATCAACCAGCATATCCCGTATTTGGCGAGGCTGGCGTTCCAACTACCCAGCCTGTGCCGATGGATCCAAGTGTTCCTTTGAATAGTTTCTTCATGAACCCTTATGTGCGTGATATGCCGCTCGAGCCGTCGCTGGCCCTCCCAGGGGCAGTTTCTGCGACCGGTGCTGGTTCCGTACCTGTTATGGCCTCAGAATTCACAAATACTGACGCTATGTACGGAGCTTCGGCCAATGGCAAGTCTGGCACTTCGCTTACTGGTAACACCGTATCCGTGGAGCCGCAGCAGGAGATAGATTGGATCAAACAAGAAGTTCAACGATACATTTTGTTGCTGAACAGCGATAAGGGCGAAATGGAAACTATTGGCACGGGAGATGAATATTACCGCGAGTTTGAGAATGCGTTGCTGGAGATAATTTGTGGGATAATTAGTAGCTAAACAACTGGGGGCCAAACAGTGGTATGGGGTGCAACACATTACAAAACTAAAAACTAACAATCTCAGAATTCAGGAGCCCAATGCTTAAACAGAAGCTCTAGATCAGAACCTAACGAAGAATAATTACAAGCTAATCGTATATGGTTCTTGGAGCAAAATAAAAATTACTACGATTGAATCAAGTGTTATCTCCCCACACTTCTCGCGAAAAGCGCCAAGAAATAGATTATGGACGTATAGTGCACAACTTAATCAAACCAAGTACACACTTAGGATTTGTTCTCAATCTGTAGCAAATATATCAGTCGACTACGACATATAAAGTCTCCAGAGCGTTAATATTCTCGCTCTTAAATAGTCTCGTGGTTTTCACCTCAGCATCTATAGAGAGGGCTTATTTTGCCAAAAATATTTAATATATAATCATTCTGAAAATGCCGACTGATAGCCGAAGCAATCTCGAGACACATTTGTTATTAGGTGTGGAAAGTATTCTTGCCAGGCGGCACAATTGAGTGCAATGTTTATATACCAAGCTCAACGAACAATGTCAAGTGATACTTTGGTAGGGGCCAACGGAAACAACAGTAAGGTTGATTTGAACACGCCTACAAATGGAGATACCACGTTTAATTTCCAAATAATACAGAAACCAGCAGCTGGAAGGTCAATTGCTAATGATCTCACTGGGAACACATTACAGGTTTCTAAACCGGAAACTCCGGCATTTCAGGACTCGAGCTTGCTCGAGGAAATGCTTAATAACGGAACCACTCTCGGAGACGAACTGCGGCGACCCACTGAATTAACAGAACACTCAAGACTGCCACAAATGCAGGAATATAGACGCCTATCGATCTCCGAATACAATAGCACCAAGCCGGTCTACTATGAGTACGAATTCTTCGAAAAAGGGCTTGCAGATCGGAACGAGGAAGAAGACATCATGATAACAGACGACGAAGGCCCGGATACATTCTCGTTTTCACCACGCAGACAATTGCGCAAGGATTCTGTCTTCAGTGATTACGGTAACGAAATGGTTATGAATCTCTCACCGGAAACATTACTTTCCCATCTTCCGGGTTCTCATCAGCAGCAACCATCTTTAGAAGATAACCAGGATTTCAAGACGCAGGAGCTGATCCGTCTTACGGGTGGGGACGGACAGTGCAAGAAAAAAGTCAAGGACTACTTCAAATTGAACTTCTTCAGCGGCCCTAGAAGCCCCGACATACTAACCGACCCAGAGATTTTTGAGGAAGAACCTCAGCCGTTTTTGAGAAAGAAGTACTTTTGGAGTCGGAAACCCACAATCCCAATCTCAGGCCGGGACTCACTGTCTCTAATTGAACCCGTGGTCAATCCATCAAAGCTACTAAACTCAAATGACATAGACACCCACCGCAACCTGGGAACCTCATTGACCGACTTTAGTGGTTCGGAGACTACCCCAGGCTCCCCTGAGCCTAATATAGATATCGGAGTAGTCAAGAAAAAGAGGCTAGGATTTCCGAAGACCCGTGGTAGAAAACCGTCTCCAATTTTGGATTCTTCCAAGCACTTCGCATGCGAATTTTGTGATAGAAGATTCAAGAGACAAGAACATTTAAAGAGACACGTTCGTTCACTGCACATGGGTGAAAAGCCCTTTGGCTGTCACCTCTGCGGTAAGAAATTTAGCAGAAGTGACAATCTCAATCAACATATAAAGACACACCCGGAAGACGAGTTGTCATAACGAGATAACGAACTCTAACATTCAGTTGTTTTACGAACCTCACTAAACCTCACTAATCTAGGACATTCCGAAAAAGTTTCAATAGCAACGTTTACTATGGTAGCGCCACTTAATTGCATCGACTGTGAAAGAACCTCCAGCGCGCTCCCATAATTTTCTCGTGTATATTAGCTCAGTTGTACACAAAAATCTAATCAAAATGCTGGTATAGCTCTAACTGCAACGTGGAAGGTTCGTAAATTCCATGAACTCCTCGGGTATACCTAGCTCCGTCCTCAAGCTTTTTGGGTCAACCATAAAACGCCTACACACGAAGCCCGTTATCAACTCAATGTTGTCTGTAACAGCCTCTAGTTTTCCTATCTGTACCGAGAGCGCCTTGATCCTCGCCTCAATTTTGGATTGGTCCCATCTATTTTCAGCTTTTTGATCCCGAGAAGCGCGAAGAGTCCTGAGTTGCACCTCGAGACTTTCTAGTAGCCCCAACTGTTCTGCTCGGGAAACCAGATGTCCGCCCACGTCAAATCTATCCTTTCTAAGGAAATTCACATTTTCCTCGAATATGTTCTTGGCTTGTATAGTCTCCTGTTTGGCACTTTCGATGCGAGTATGCAGCGTATCCATTTCTTGATGCGTTTTCATAATAATCTGGTTTCTGAAACACCAATAAACGTTAGTACTACCGCACTTTTCGACCGATATGATACCGTCCTCATCTATCATCTCTTGAATAAGACCTTTGACCAGCATAGACGAGACGCCACTGCACTTCTTAGGTATGAGCTTCTCAAGCTCCTTTATGTTGTAAACAGAGTGGTCATCTTGGAAGAATTGTAGAATGCTTGCCTTCTTTTGAGCCAGGGACACTGTAGCTCTTCCCTTGGGCGGCTAAAGTTGAGCTCTGGTAAGTAGGTGATAGGATATGGGAAGAACAGGGAAAATAAAGTTGTAGTTACCATTCCAGCTGTTTAAGTTAGCTGTAAGTAGAAGATGTCTTAGGTTTGAGAACGATTAAGTGTGTGTTAGCCTGAAAGTGGTGGAGTAATTCACATCAAAATTGGCAATTTATACATTTTGAAAGAAATTGAGATCTTGCGAGAAACAGGGTGTCGCAGGAGAAACCGCAACAAGACATCTACCCAATGACAACTACGTTCAAAGTCAGAGTAGCTTGCCATTAGGCTTGTTGTAAGGCAGAATATTGACACTTCAAGCGCTTATGGGTCGAACATGTCCGTACTTTCAGGGTGACTCAGAGAAATGCTACTAGAATTTGTCACAACGGTGTGTTGAGGAAACTGTCATGTCATGAAATGCATCATGGCTGTTACAGTGAGTTTTATTGTCTTCGATAAATGATGATGAAATAGCTCTTCAAGAAGTCTCTAGGTCGCGCAACTAACTTCTAAAGAAGCCAACTAGTTTTGATTTTTTGATTTTATTCCAGGGACAATCCGATCGTGCACGCTGCCGCCATTTCAGCTTCTACGAACCAGGCCTTCTCTTACTCGAAACTGTCCACGCATAACCGAAAACCAAACACACAGATGACAAAAATGGGAAAACACTTAACACAGGTCACGACTAAACTAGGACATCTCGTGAAATATTCGAAAGCATAGTTCGATTGAGCGGCTGGTGCTAATTCTGCGCCTTGTTCATTGGAAAGTCAGGTGAGTTTTTTAGCCAAGGCTCTGCTGTAAATTAAGAACTAAGCTAAACAAACATTTCAACATGAAAAACAATAGTACAATTTCCCACCATTGCTAGTTCCAATTAATCACAGCAATGGCATATAAAGGCTCCAAGACTACTGAGCGTGAGCTGAGAAGTATTTTAAACTCACCACAAAACTCGAACAGATGTGGTGAATGTGGGGCAACATTTCCAACATGGTGTTCGATCAGCTTGGGCGTATTTCTTTGCGGAAGATGCGCTTCTGTCCACAGAAAGCTACTAGGTCAAAGAGAAGATGCGGCTTACTCTGACGTTAGATCACTAACGATGGACCGTTGGTCAACTGCCGACTTGGAAGACATCTCTGATAGTGGAGGCAATAAGCGAAACAGAAACATTTGGAACTCTAAGGACGAACCATTTCCTTACGACGGTGATGAAGACAAGACGGCCGTGGAAAAGTTCATACGTGACAAGTATATCATGCGAAAATTCAGCAGCGATAGCGGCGCGCAGCCTTCTGACTACGAGAACAGAACTTCTGTAGCGTCTTCGTCTAGACCCACCACGTCGCGGGGCAGCTCGAGCCGAAACTCTTTCAGCAACCGCCCTTCGACCCATTCAAGTGTTGCAGCACAGCCAAATAATCCTCCTCTCCCAAGAAGACCAGTTACAAGTCTTGGGCCTCGCCCAGCAATTTTCGATGGATTGGACAACGCGGCTACTGGTGCTCCCACGGCTTCTTTTGATGGCTTCTCTCAACAATACATAGATCCATCTACGGGGGTGTTATATGTCGACCAACAAGCACTATATACACAACAGCTTCAGCAGGAGCAGATACAACAGCAGGCCATGTATCAACAAAATTTACAACAACAAGCACTGCAACAACAACAAGCAATACAACAGCAACAATATTTTCAGCAGCAGCAAATGCAACAGCAGCAGCAAATGCAACAGCAGCAGCTTGAAGCACAGGCCAACAAAAATGCACTCCTTTCGTTATATGGGCGTCCTGACGCATACACTAGCGCGGTGGAGATCAATCCTTCACACCCACAATACCAGCAACTGATGCAAATGCAAATGCAACAACAGCAACAGCAGCAACAACTACAACAACAACAGCAAGGTCAACAAGGATTCTACTACAATCTGTAGAAATGAGACAATATGCGGCTAAGAAGAACGTCGATGGCTTGCCGAAAAACAATGGGAAATTAAAAGGTTTCAAAAACTATCGGGGCTTTCACGGAGCCACTTGGTGGGCCTTGAAAGATTCAACAAAGCACAGACTGCTTGCTTTGAGTAGGGCCATGGGACCCTCAACATTTTGCTTTAAGGTTTGTATATTTCACGCGGGGACACGGCTGGCACTAGCCACACAAAGCACCTGGTTTTCAAATTAACGCAGTGCGGGTACGTGGCAGAGGTGACGATCAAGTGTCGGTTCAAAGATATGTTTCAGAAACTGAAGAAAATAGAACAACATCAAATTTAAGATGAAATGAGGCAAAGAACTGGCCAGTCGATAACAGAAATTGATGATATAGTTACCAGCATTCTCGGCCCCTGCCAAAGTGAAAGATATGCACAGCTGTTCGCTGTTTCAGACAAGGCTTCCGCAAAAAAGACAGAGCATGGAAAGTGCCACGTAATTACTGCATGCCCCCAACAACCATCCAAGTCACTTTTCTCATCGTCGCTTCTCTTTGATGACTGCAAGCGTCTAGATGGGACATGTGGTGAAGGAATCATCCTACAGACAACCAATCTTGCTTGTTTTTAACTGCGACTTGTTCTCATGCTGTTAGAGCACCATGAGTAACAGACTATACGGTTTTGCAGCTTTACAGCCCTCTAATCTAACTCGCTTTTACGCCATCATCAGTTAGTCTTGTTGACTCATCTCGTTACCGTACGTAAAGTCGTCATACCTTTGTACGAGGTGTGGCGTTCAATAGCTCATCGGTTTTGATCTGGATATCTAACACCAAAAGAACCCCTTGACTTTTAAAACCTCACAATAGAGTAAGGTTAGTCATAACTGTAAGAACTGAAGCACTGATTGTACAGTTTTTTACGTTTGAAGACCAGGGGACCTGTTGTTAGTGAGTTTTGAAAACACAAAGTCGCAAGGCTTAGTGAAAACTTCGGCCGATATTCGTTCCATGCCATTCTGATAAGCTACTGACAGGGTTAGGACTTAAAACTAGCTACATCAATAGACAGAAAACCTCATCCGTTTGGAAAGCATTTAGCGAGAAAGAGATTTACAAACATGAGCGTCAGTAGTAGCAGTAATCACGATGCTGACGCATCTACAGCGCCGGTTTTGATTGCTGAGAAATATGCAGTGGAACAAGAGATAGGCAAAGGCTCTTTTGCCACCGTTTACAAAGGCCGCTTAGTGTCGAAAGGGGAAGACAGTACCGATTTCATTGCGATCAAAGCTGTGTCGCGATCGAAGCTGAAGAATAAAAAACTCCTAGAAAATTTAGAGATTGAAATCGCCATTTTAAAGAAAATCAAACACCCTCATATTGTCGGACTCATGAACTGCGAGCGAACGGGGTCGGATTTCTTTCTGATCATGGAATACTGCGCTCTTGGCGATCTTACCTTCCTGATCAAAAAGCGCAAAGCTCTCATCGAAAAGCACCCCCTTGTGCGAACAATGTTCGAAAAATACCCACCTCCAAGCGAGTCCCACAATGGGCTCAACCGCGTTGTTGTCGTGAATTACCTTCAGCAACTATCCTCAGCACTGATGTTTTTGCGATCGAAAAACTTAGTTCACAGAGACATCAAACCCCAGAACTTGCTAATATCCACACCCCTCATAAACTATCACGATGCGGAAACCTTTCACAAGATGGGTTTTGTGGGTATTTACAATCTACCAGTTCTTAAGATTGCAGATTTTGGATTTGCAAGATTCTTACCAAATACATCGCTTGCCGAGACCTTATGTGGATCTCCATTATACATGGCGCCGGAAATTTTGAATTACCAAAAATATAATGCTAAAGCAGATTTATGGTCAGTAGGCACTGTGCTCTACGAAATGTGCTGCGGCAGACCGCCTTTTAAGGCTTCAAACCATCTAGAGCTTTTTAAAAAAATCAAAAAAGCCAACGACGTGATAAGTTTTCCGTCTCATTGCAAATTAGAGCCCGAGATGTGCGAACTCATTTGCGGTCTTCTGACATTTGATCCTTCTCAAAGAATGGGGTTTAACGAATTCTTTAGTCATGAAATAGTGAATGAGGATTTGTCTGCATACGAAAAAGAAGATATGCCTGATTTGGAAGACAAGTCTAAAGATGTTGCAGGAAGCAATATGTTTATATCTGAATATCTCACCAAGCCTGCTGGGAAGCCAATGGCTATGAAACCGCTCAATGAAATCGTGACATCTACTGCGCGGTCTATGAGTTCCTCGGATACCGCTAAAACGCACGATAGGCCCCGCAATAGCAGTACTGGCGATCGAAATGAGAAGGCAATTGGGAGTCTAATGGACGGCTCACGCGCACACCAAGATACTTCTATCGAAAAGGAGTACGTCATGGTTGAAAAGAAAAGTGTGGAGGTTAATGCGCTAGCAGATGAATTTGCAAACTTGGGAACTCGCGCTGGCAGCGAACTCGATAGGCGATCTCCACCGTTGAAAAGTCTACAACAGCAAGTAAATGCGCCACAAGCCACTGCTATCAGAAAGTCTTCATCAAGTAGTGGAGCAACAGCCAGAAGGCCTTCCCTGGTTGAAAGGCGTCTGTCGATTTCGTCTTTGAGCCCTTCAAACGCGCTGACCAAAGCTTTAGGGATTGCATCAACTAGGTTATTTGGCAGTCAGCATACTCCTGCACTATCCGTTTCCCCTAATCAAGTCAACCAACCTCTTTTGAGTCGACAAGTCTTTCATGAGCTTACCGAAAACCTCGTGCTCTCTGCTGATCACAAAATGGTTTCTGCGAAGTATAGTGAAGCTCACACAGACGCAGATATAATTTCATTACTTGAGTCACTAGCTGCAAAGGCATTTGTGATTTCTTCGTTTGCTGAAGTTAAATTCTCTCAGCTTGTGCCGCTGCCACCCTCGTCCTTGGGAGAGCCATTTAGCAAAAGGCTTAGCAGCGGAAGCTGTGCCATAGAGGAAGAAGATGAACATATTGCGAATGAAGATGAACACTTCAGAAGCAAAGAAGCTGCGTCAGGCTCGGAGACCGCTAGCTCGACGCTGAGAAAAAGAAACTCAAGCGAGAACTCAGCGTTTGAAGCTGTATTGAAAGATCTACCGCCTTCGGAGGTTTATCAACTATGCACAGAAGCCATGGTGCTTTATATGAAGGCTTTGTCAACTTTAGCAAAAGCCATGCAAGCGACTTCCAACTGGTGGTATCGATCTCAAGAGAAAAACTGTTCACTCAAGCTCAATGTTCTAGTTCAGTGGTTACGTGACAAGTTTAATGAATGTTTGGAGAGGGCAGAATTTTTAAGGTTAAAACTCATATCCAAAGGCTCTTTTTCAGCGGACGATTCTACACTGAGCGCATCAAGAATAAATGGAACAGGTGCCGAAACTGCAACCGCTAGCGTTGAAGAAGAAAGTGAGCCTGTTTTTCTCGAGAAACTTATTTACGATAGGGCGCTTGAAATCTCCAAAACTGCAGCAAAATTCGAAATGCAAGGTGAGTTTTTGAACAATTGCGAACTTGCGTACGCAACATCTTTATGGATGCTGGAAACTGTACTGGATCAAGATACGGCAGACGACAACATTGGTGATTTTGGTTTCCAGACTACAGAAGCTTTAGACGAAGCTGACCGGCTAATGATCAAGAAGTATATTGATAGCGTTGCTAAGAGGCTAAAAATCCTGAGAAGGAAACTCAATTCTTCATAATTAGAATTCAGTTGAGAAGTCGTTACCCTAAGAGTACCTCGTTTTTAAACCGCTATGTTTTTTCAACATACACTCAATTTTTCCCAATACCATGGTATGAGACTAGGCTATTGAAGTCATCACGGCTCAATTTACAGGAGTTACTTTGTATAATTTACTATTAAAGGTTATGAGTAAATAATAATTTTACATTCTACAGAAATACCAGCAACACACAAGCACAATTATTCACACAGCGGCTCATCAATGACCATCCCAATACTCAGCATTCTAAATCAGTTCAGATTTGAGTTGAGAAACAAGATGAAAGATTATTCAATTAGCTTGATTGTTCAGTTGGCCTGCGTTCGTCCAATAGCCCCACGCTGACTGATTTCGACCTATAACGCCCCTTAAGATCTCTGCTCATTTCCCGATTTCTTCTGGTTTGAGACTTTGAGGAGTACTTCGTCTCGCGCTTTCCTTCATAATGATTGACATAGCTTTCGTTTCCTGGTTTAGGAAGGTTGCGCGCCATTGGAGATACGGAAGGTCTTCTACTCGAACCTGCTGATGTTAAAACGCTTTGAAGCAAATCCTTTGACGTCACACGATTGTGATCTCTCTTGAGGTGTGTATTTAAAATTGGATTGACACTTACCTCCTGGGTCGATGCTGGACCCACATTATTAGGGAGGAGCAAGGGCTTTTGCGCCATTCGATTAGGGTGAGAGAGATCGGGTGATCCGGCATTGACTTCCAAGCCGATGCTGTTTGGGGAGTCGGATGTTGAAATTGGCGGAGCAGTGTTGAGCTCAGGAATCATGTTTAGAACATCAAAAGGCACATCAACACTTCCATCTGCAGTGTCCCCTAAAATAAATCCTTCTGCATCTGGTGCAATCTCTGCAGTGCCGGGGTTCATGTTCACCATCGTGTTAAAATAGGCATCATTGTTACCATTGGTAAGTGTTGAGACGCTGCCTGCTGATGCTTGATTAAATGTCGGAGAGGGTTCAAAAATCTCGGTTCTAAAAGAAGGACCTTGTAACTGCGATTGAGTGTGGGAAGTTTGCCTGGAACGGCGGTATCTTTGAGAACTAGACGAACTTGAGATTGAGCCCTGGCGACGGGTATGCCCAGCGTTCCCAACATTTAATGTCAATTCATTATCTTCGCCAACTCGCTCTTGGTTTTCGAAAGCTTCTCTGATAAGCCTACCTGTCAATGGTGTGAAAGTCATATTATTTGAGGGCAGGTCTCTAAGAGAGACAGTACTGCCGTGTTCGGAGTCTATACCAAATTCAAAGGGAAGAGATTCAGTCTCGGAGCGGTACTCATCAGAGTAGTCATTTTGCGATGCCGAAGCTCCGCTGGTCGTTGTTGATTGACTGTCCTCTTCATCACTTCCATCGTAGCTTGGAAAAAAGTTCGCCCTTTTGCCATCCATAGCCATTGTGTGCTTTGGCAAGTACTGATCGTCATTCAAATCACTCTGTTCATGTGTCACGGACAGAGGCTTGTTTCTGAGATGTGATGGATGTGGCAGAGTAGTCGGTATGGTCGTTGAGTCCCGTGCTACGTGTCTAAAGCGAGAGTTTTCCACGCCGCTGTCTTGAATAGACCGGTTTCCCCCAAAGTGGCTTGTTTGTTGAGACCTCCAACCATTTCTTTCACCCACAGAAGGCATTGCAGGGGAAACACGATACCCCGCTTGAACTCGTGGACTTCTAGCACCGAGATAAGTATTAGAGCTGTAGGATGCCTTGCGATCTTGAGAACTCTTTGAATTTTTTAATGCAGGCGGAGGCCTAGCAAATACTACGTTTGATTTCTCGGAAGACAAAGGTGGGGTAGTAACCGGTTTGGTATCAGCTAACGGTTGGTTCGCGGCATAAGTGTCCATGTAAAAACTGTCCAACGAAGCAAAAGAGGAGTTTACTGGTAAGGAGACAATGGTACTAGGATCCCTCTTGCTGTCGAATTTTTGTAACTCTTGTTGAAAGATTTCTCTTGCGCTCAGTTCACCAGGACTGTCCCGGCGACTTAGCATCGGGCCTTCACTTAAAATGAGATTTCCATTACTGGCTTGAGCGCTATCGTTTGTCTTGATGTGGAGTTTGGATAATCCATTTAAGTTATCAATGTAGTCATTAGTTTGTTCGTGAAAATCATTAGTGTCATTAGTATCTTTTTCATTCCCGCTCAGTGTTTGCGAGACGGCAGCTGGGGAATTTCTTGAAAGACCAAACGAATTCAACATGGAGCGTTTGAGCTTGTTTCCTATACCACAAACTGCATTGTCTAACTCATGGGTAGAAATTGAAATTTGCTGGTAATCTTCGTCTTGAGAACGTTGAAAATTCATTTTATCTCTCAGCTTATGTGAACCAGTGTCTCCTCCTTTCCGCACATCGTGATCATAATCCCAGCAAACAAACGGATGTGTCTTGATCTCCTTTATGCCAATTCTTTTGAAAGGATTTTTTGTCAACAGCTTATCTAGCAGATTCTTCGCTGCATCATATTCTGTTTCCGAAGAAATGGCAGAAACTCCGTTATTGACCATGTGCTCGTAGGGTTTGATTGTTAAGTCATCGCTGATAATTTTATCGAACAACTTCAATTCAAATTCTGAGCGAAATGGCAGCATACCAAATAGAAGGCAATGCAATGTTACACCAATAGCCCAGATATCAATCTTATTTGATATTATCGAGCCTTTGTGCTTGAATTTGTCACCGCTGCAAAACCTCTCAGATGCTTCATGCCCAAGACAGATCTCAGGGGCAAAAAATGCAGGAGTCCCTGCCGTTTTGGCAAGCTCCAACTCGTCTAACGTTTCATCACCCTCACCTTCATTGCTGGCAGCAAAGGATACTCCAAAATCAGATATCTTGACTGTTCCTGATTCGGAAATCAACAAATTGGCAGGTTTAATATCTCGATGTATAATTCCTTGATAATGCAAATATTCTAATCCCAGTATTACTCCTCTAAAGATTTCCCGCGCTCGCTGAAATGATAGCAGAGGAGGACCACTGGCTTCAGTTTCCAGCTGGTCTCCAGGACACCACTTAACTTCTCCCCTAGCACAGTATTCGAGGACCAAGTAGATTTTGCGAGATGTGGAATCATCAAGAACTTCTATCAGCTTCACTACATGTTTGTGATGGCATTTTTTCATGATTGCCACTTCTCGTTTAATCTTGTCATCGCCAGAAGCCTCCTTCTTGAAGCTAAATCGATCACTTTTACCTCCGTTCCTATCAACTATCTTTATGGCAACCAGTTGCTTGGTGACCAAGTCTTTAGCCAGCTTCACTTTGCCGTGCTGACCATGTCCTAATTCGCCGATGATTTCGTAAGTGTTAAGGACTTTTCGTTTTGAGATAGGATCATACTCCAACGATATTTTCGTGGTTTCTTTGACCTTTGGTTGTGAAAAGCTTACAGGCGTTGAAATGTGGTCTTGATGCATAGGGTGATTTAGTTGCCGTTGTCGCTGTTTCTCCATGAGCATATTCAATGAGTCTGTAGACGATGCAGTTGACGAACCATCTGCCGCCTCCAGTATGTGTTTGGTGATCTGTGAGCCATGATTCAGTGACAAATCCAGCTTAAGTTGTATGTCTGGAGGTATGTTGACCTCCTGGCCGTCACCGGAGAGCTCACTCATGTTTGTGAAAGTGTTGCAATCCACCAATGCCAGGTTTTCTCTTATTGTATCACTTCAAGTCGCAGTATTCCGTGATCACTTTTTTCGTTTATATCTGCAATCCCTCTCGCTTGAAGATGCAAAGCTGGTGCAGATATAACTATAGCGTTCAGTTACTAAACAAGGATATTTGGAGAAGCTTCCAGACCTCGCTTTTCACTGTACAATTGTCTCGTTTGCTGCTTTTGATGTTCTCTGTTCACGGTGACAACTCATTTTCCAATATTGAAATGCTACGACGAAGGCACGTCAGTTCCGTGTAAGGGGATAAAACCGCATGTGAAGGAACAAATGGGTTGACAGGAGACAGAGTAAAGGAGTTCGAGACATACTTATATTCCAATGAGTGGTAAAACGATTATGGTAATTAGTCCGCGAATTTTTAGATTAATCCCCTGGAGCTTGATGTTTACAACTTTGTCTTTCATCGCTGAGGAACAGTTGGAAATGCGAACTTTGCCTGCAAATCATCGGGATTGGTATTTGTGTAAGCATCTTGTTCCCGCTTGAGTTTCGCTTTGAGGCTATGATTTCTCTTCTTTGCATCCAAGCGACTCTCATACATGATTTGGCTTAGACTGTACGTCCGCAGCTCTTTTCGTAGCTTGGATATTTTATCTAATAATTCTTGATACTCGCTTCCTAGAGTCTCTTCTTTGGAGCGCGAATCGTCTTTCGCCTCAGCTTCAACTTCTGATTTGACATCTTCTTTACTTGGTTTTCTTGAAATCATTTTGTTGACCCACGAATCCCAGGTTCGTGCTCCTTGGCTTTTTTCAGTATCAAGCTGTTGCTTCACGACCTTCAAGTTGTCCATAGCATCGTGGTAGCTCGCAGGGTATACTGGTTTAGCGAACCCCGGATTGTCCTGAAAGTGAATCTCACAGCAATGAAACCAATCTTGAATTGATGAATTAAACAATACACATGTAGTAGGCGTAAAGCAGATCATGCAAGGTTGTGCATCCTTTTGGGCAACCGTGCGCCTTGTGTACAAATTCCCCATCCCGAAGAAACTTCTGCTTCACCGCTTGTATTTACTAATTTACTAGAGGCATGTTATCAGGCTTTTTGACCCGTGATACGTTACCAAGGTTGACGGAATTGGGAAATTTTATCATATACCTACTCCATCTATATCTTACTACTTTGACCGCCACTTTATAGTCTTTTCTTGGCCCTGTCCCACGCACTGCGAGGCTTTTTAGATGCTTGTCGAGAAGTGCTATCTTCAAGCTTGCGCTTTGAATTGAAGATGCTGAAATCTTCACCGCCTATCATGTTGACCTTGGCGGCTCTTTCCCTCTGTTTGGTCTTGCGTCTTTCGACTTTGTTGCCCTTGAGGTTGAGTCTGGTAAAGTTATCTTCTTCGAAGTCCTTTACACGTTGCTCCTTTTGGGAGTCCCGCGACGATTTGATACCGCCTTTACCGTGATTGACAATGTTTGTACCCACTGAAGCTTCCCATTCAGGTTGCTCAGACATTTCACGAACGTATTCGTCCATTGCCTGCATGCGAGACTTGCCACTGCGGTCCTTGTGCTGTTGAGCATCAAATTTATCATCGAAATGATGCTGCGGAGGTAACATGGCACTAATTTTAGGTGGTTTGTAAGTAGAACGAGAAGAATCTTCGTTTTCTTCGTCGTTGTCTTCTCTATTTTCTGTTTCACCCTCTGCAGCTGCACTTTTTGTATCGCTTTTTATTTCTTTGACTAGGCCAGCCGCATTAGGCCTGAAGGACATTTCCTCGTCCTCGGAATCGCTTCCATTGCTTTCTGCGTCACTATCTTTCGACGATCTCTGCTCTTGCTTCAAAAGCGCGCGCTTCTCAGCCGCTACATATTCTGATTCCATGCGAGTATATGCGCGTGTTAGTTTATCAAGCTGGTATGACAATTGTTTCTCTAACGGACGTACACCTCGCTCAAGCGCAACACGATGCTCCACACTGCTTACTCTACCCTTTGTAGCGGTCATATCCTCTCGACTCAACTTTTCACCCACCACCATCATAAGACTGTTGACATATCCTAGCAGACTGCCATTCTTTAAGGATAGTAGCGAGACTTTCTCGACTTCATCTTTTTGGCCCATCAAGTCTCGTACCACCTTATTCCTCGTTTCTGTTCCATCTGCAGACTTCTGATCATACTGTCTTTTCAGTACCTCTAGAGATTCGCTAGTTGACTCCAGCGAGTCGTTGATCTGGAGTAGAATGTCATTCAAATTGCTCATGTCCGGTATTGTGAGACTTGTCCGTAACTACTTTCAATCAAGAGTTTCCGGTTCTCTTATGGCTAAATTCAAGACTACCTTTAGTTATAATGGCCTTGTAGTGCTCATCGCAGGTCAGCGCTTTATCTCATCGCCTAAAATTTTTTCATTGAAAAAAGAACTAGGAACTTTAAAATTTTTATGCGATGAGCTCAATACACTTGGTTATAGACTTCAAATCAAGACCACAAAGAACACTTTCGAGGCATTCGCTGAGCTTTAAAAACAACGGCTTAAACATACTATAACGCTAGTGTTTCTTTCAGGACTTACTACGATACCAAAATGCCTCAAAACGAATATATTGAGCAACATATCAAACAACATGGTCGTAGATTAGACCATGACGAGAGAAAGCGTAAGAGAGAGGCCAGAGAGTCTCACAAGGTGGCCGAGAGAGCCCAGAAGCTGACTGGATGGAAGGGTAAACAATTTGCCAAGAAACGGTACGCCGAGAAGGTTGCTTTGCGCAAAAAGATCAAAGCCCACGAGCAATCGAAGGTCAAGGGCCCTTCAAAGCCGTTGGAGGATTCCGGAGAGGCTCTACCTACATATTTGCTGGACAGAGAACAGAACAATACTGCGAAGGCAATTTCATCGTCAATCAAGCAGAAACGTCTCGAGAAGGCCGACAAATTTTCGGTGCCATTGCCAAAGGTACGTGGTATCAGTGAGGAAGAGATGTTCAAAGTGATCAAGACAGGTAAATCAAGGACCAAGAATTGGAAACGTATGATCACCAAGCACACTTTTGTAGGCGAGAGTTTCACGAGAAGACCAGTGAAGACCGAGCGAATCATCAGACCGAGTGCACTAAGACAGAAGAAAGCAAACGTAACACATCCAGAGCTTGCAGTGACAGTGTTCTTGCCTATTCTAGCAGTGAAGAAGAATCCTCAATCGCCCATGTACACTCAACTTGGGGTTCTAACGAAAGGTACTATCATCGAAGTAAATGTATCGGAACTTGGGATGGTTACTGCCGGTGGTAAGGTTGTATGGGGTAAATACGCTCAAATCACCAATGAACCTGACAGAGATGGGTGTGTGAACGCAGTACTATTAGTGTAAGTATGGGAATTAGATTATTGTAAGATGGCCTGGTGCAACATTGAATTAGTATGTGCGTGAATGTGATGGTCGGTGACGATACAATGCGTACGGTTATATATACGGGATACGTATATACGCCCGCACGATTGCGACCACCATCACGTGGCGGCAAACCAATCGTAGTCAATGACATGATTGAGGCAGGGTGTTTAGAGCGTTAAGACAGACAAGTTGTATATACATGCCTGGATGGTAGTGTGATAAGTGGGTGCAGCGGCGTTTACAAGCGAAGTCTACTGCTGAAGACAAACAATAGTCAAGACTGCCTGCCTGACTCATTAGCCATGTTGTTGGGGCGTGAGCGATAATAGTGCTACGATACGTAGCGACATATTAGTACCAAGTGACAGGAAAAGACCTCGGAGATGTCTACAACCTTCATTAGAAATCAACCAAGTCGTTTGTGGAAGTTCTAGAATTGCTTAACCACACACGTACACTCCTTCAAAGGGTCATCTACAACGAGGACCCTCCATCGCCAGACCACATTATTTCGTTTAAAGCGACAAAGTCGTACGTGAATAGCAACTTCAAAAAATCGAGGGCGTGGAAAGCGACACAAATCAGCATGGCTCCCCTAAAAATAGCCGCCAAGCGCGGAGTTTTTCGTAGACTATTACTCCAGACCTGCTTTTTCCGGAGTGTTTCCAAAAATAGACTGTTTAGCCCGGACAGTCAGGCTTTTATGTCTTCTTGCCTCGTCCACCGCGCACTAATCAGCGTGAGCTCACATGCGCGCTATTCCCTCAACCACTCTTCTCGAGTAGCAGCTTTCTTTGTGCTTTTTCTTCGAATTTTTTTTGCAGTTTTCCAACATTTGTGATGTTATTTTTTCGCGTTTGTTTCAAAAACCTCCGCGGCTATTTTGTTTGCGCCTCGACGTGGCGAAAAATATAGATTAAAAAAAAAAATTCAATGAATATTTTTCGAAGGCGTGATATTTGTGTACGTCGAAAAAGGCTAACGGCCACCTTTTGCATGCGCTAAAATTAAAGTAGAACGAAAGGAAAGAGCAGAAGCCCCGTAGTTATTTCGCGCTCGTTGAAACGGTTATCTACGTTGCTCTTGGAGCGCTGTGGGTGGTCTGTACTTCTTGTAATTCTCCGCTTTCTCTACGGTGCGCCTCTTTCGTTTGGTTGAAAATTACCAGGCTCTGGCGGGGTAATGAACACAGTTATTTGATCGATCAAAATCGAAATCCGGAACTTGATGCAGTAAAGTGTACTGATCTTGCTACACACACATCCTTTTTTTTGCAATCCCATTGCGCATTTCAGGACTGGAAAACAACATCCTGCGAGTTTCCAAGGTACGTAAAGCGATAGGTATAGATGTAGAATTCAATAGCAGCAGCTGCAGCACCACCACCACCAGCACCACCACCACCAAAGAAGTGCCAAAGCGAACCGCCTCCACACTAATGCGAGGCTGAAAGAGCGCGACAGCAGAAAGTGCGAAGCACGTCTACCAGAGAGAGAGTTTCCCGTGGCTGGAGGGCAAGTCCAATCCAAGGGCAAGAACTGAACCACGCTCGATCACGGCTAGTGAAACTCGATCAAGCAATTTACAGGAATAAAAAACACAGGCTTTCTCGGACATACTGCCGTTTGTTCCATTCCCACATCGTAGCCTGTTGCCCGCTTGAATCCACCCACTTTTTCGCCCCCTCCACAGCACGCTTTTGTCAGGCTTCTCTCAGGCTTCCTGTTCTCTTCTTTTTTTGGCATTTTTTTTCGTTTCCGTCGGTCGTCCGTTGGTCCAATTTTACTGATTACTTTGTTCTACTTTTTTTTCTGGCCCAGACCTCCGGATAACCTTCGATCTGTGTCGAGGTTCAAGCTGAACAGAATTTGAACCAAGCTCCTAACCATTGCTGAATTGTGCTACTGCTGCCACTACTTTCACAAGCGTCCTCCGATTACAATTTTATACTAACCATTACTCGAAGCTAGAATCAGAAAATATCAATTTCTGAGGAAGAAAAAAAGATAAAATCGAAGAAGATCCGATTTCAGCAACTTTCAATACTGATCTCGACATAGTCTTTTCGCAATTACCGTTGACTGTTTCCTGTGTTTGTTTCAACAGAACGCTGTGTTTGTATTAGAGCTAGGCCCTTAAGTTTACGATTTCTACCTTGGTGATCGGGCAGACAGCAGGCGGTCTTTAACATTCAAATATTTGAAGGAAAAAAAAACTTTTTGATCATACAAAGCACCCTTTCGGAAACCGCTTTCTGGTAGCCCTGTGTCTCATTTCTCATGCACCAGCCTCAGCTCTCAATCAACTCGGTTCAGTCGCTCGTTGAGCCGACTACTCCGCCACTAGGCCAGATGAGCAATCGGCAAAACCACCAGCGAACTCATTCGCTTGATCTGTCCGGATTCAACCAGTTTATCCAGGGAAATTCACCCATGATGCCTATGTCACTGTCGCCTGGCACTCCGCCGGTGGCTTCCGGTCTTTCTGGAGGCTCTCTGAGCGCCACCGGTGGCGTCTCGGCCGTTGCGAATGCTCATCGCCCGAAATTGAAGTCATTGCCCCTGATCAACGAATTCAATCCCAGTTTCTCGGTCTCTTCCACTAACGACGGGCAAATCTCAATGCCCATGCGCACCGTCAGTGGGTCTACCACGTCTTCATCCGCCTCAATGTCGCATTCCCACTCAAACTCGCAATCCAATTCTGGCGCGCCTGCAGACTTAAATTGGACCCCACTGGAAGAGTTGGATTACGTCAAGCTTGCTACTGATCAGTTCGGCTGTCGCTTTTTGCAAAAAAAGCTGGAGACACCTCAAGAGTGCTGCACCGTAAGAGATCTTATGTACCGCCAGGTCAGTCCATTTTTCTTGGAATTGATACTTGACCCGTTTGGGAACTATCTGGTTCAAAAACTATGTGAATGTTTAACGACTGATCAGAAGACACAGTTGATTGAAAAGATCTATCCTCACGTTTTCCAAATTTCTATAAACCAATACGGGACTCGCTCATTGCAAAAAATTATAGACACTGTCGATACAGAAGCTCAGATTGATCTCATTGTTTCAGGCTTTGGTCAAAACCATACTTCTATTGACCAAATTGTTGCTTTGATAAATGATTTGAACGGAAACCATGTTGTTCAAAAGTGTATTTTTAAGTTCCCACCTACCAAATTTGATTTCATAATCGATGCCATTGTGGATCAAAATAACATTGTTAAAATATCAACTCACAAGCATGGTTGTTGTGTTCTACAAAAACTGTTGAGTGTTTGTACCTTGCAACAAATCTTCAAAATATCGGTCAAAATCATTCAATTCTTACGTCATTTGATTAACGACCAATTTGGCAACTACATCATCCAGTTTCTCTTGGATATACGAGAGCTAGATTTTTACCTTTTGGGTGAGCTGTTCGATAAACTATCAACTGAAATGTGTCAGTTGTCCTGTCTGAAGTTCTCTTCCAATGTCGTTGAAAAATTCATCAAGAAGTTGTTCACCATTTTGAAGTTTGCTGTAGTTCCTGCGTCTGCTAAGAATAAAACTGTCACGGATGATGTTATCATGGTGGCAATGAGAATCTTAATCAAGGTGATTGATATTTTCACTGCTAATTTGAATGTCTTAATTAGAGACAATTTTGGAAATTACGCATTACAGACTTTGTTAGACGTCAAAAACTACAGCAAGTTGCTGCAATACCCCAATAACACATATGTGCACACTTCCGCTAACACACTAAACTTCAGCCGTGAGTTCACTGTGAAAGTAGGAAATTTAGTTGTTCTAACTAAAGAACTATTACCCAGTATAAAGACGACTTCTTATGCCAAGAAGATCAAAATCAAAGTGAAGGCTTATGCTGAATTGACCGGGTTGATATTTAACGACCCCCCTGCAACGAAAGGCGGCAATGCTTCCAATCCTCATCAAAACAATCATCGCAAACAACATGCTCGTCATTGCTCATTGCCCGCTAACACATATCGACACCGAAGAAATAGCAGTTCGTTATCGCTTTCTTCAGGGTACCCCATGTTCCAACCACCCCAGCAGCACATAACACAGCCTCTTGCCCACACTAACAGCGCATTTGGAAATTCATCCCAAGCATTTCCAGTCGATAACGTCAATCATGCTCATACCCAAAATTTCTATTCGGCTCAAAATAGACCAATGAGCGTCATGTATAACCAACAACCTGAAGGATCGCGCTTCATGGATAACTCCTTCGTTAACGTTCCTAATGCTGCCATTCCAGCGAACAATTTTGCATATAACGACCCTCGATTGCTGCAGATGCCAGAAGCCCAAGAAAACATCCACACTTATACTCCTAATGGTAACCGTGTTGTAGCCAAATCGTCAGAGAGCTTGTATGCCAACGGCAACAATTACGAGAACATCAATTATGGTGGTATATTCTATTAGGCTATTGGGGCCTCTGTTTGAATCGAGGCAACTTACAATATACCCAATCTGCATTCAACGGCATAACATCCAGCCAAACAAATTGGCGTTGTACTAAAAACACTACAAGCGAAAAGCCGAAAGTCGCATAAAGACCAACCGAAAGAACACCCGAAAGAATACCCAAAAAAAACAGAAAAAAACAACCACATCGAAATACCAACTCAACGAAAAACTGCCTAATGCTAGGTATGTTTTAGTTTTTAAATTAATCACACTCGTTTCCTTTTCTTTTTCTCCTCCACGACCACCAAACCTACGTTCGCTTATAATCCATCCCGCTACTTTTTTGCTGGGTGTAGTAAGAATCCAGTGTCAATCAATATATTTATAGATCTTCAAACCAATGTTTGAAGACTTGCAATTGATATGCACTTACGGAGAAACAGGTTTCCTTTAGCATTTATGATATATAGTTAGATTTATTGCGAAAGAATACGCACCCAATCAAATTACGTGAGAACTTCGCAAGTTTATACCAGCCGCATCCGTGTCTTTTGTAAGAATCAACAAACGGAGCCCGTCCTTCTTGCATGTTGTTCCAAAGTGATGATCACCTTTCTTGACCACATGCAGTTCAGCTTCTACGAGAGTTTCGAAATGCTTCAGGGAATCAGGAGGAAAACAGTCTGAAAAGACCTTGATAGGATAGTACGTTGTGACTCCTGCCTGTGCGTCAATGTCGCGGATTAAATTATCGGCGGCCCAGGTTGAAAAAAGTTCAAATGTGTCATCGCTAGATCCTGTGTTCTTTCGACCGTACAAAACAAATCGCCCATCGGCACTTGTTTTAATTACTTCAGTTTCTTGAACTAGATTTCTCACACTCGTTTTGAGCAGTAGTAAAATGGGAGAGCAGGTTTTGACTATGGCTTGACTTGATTTGGGCACTACTGCCAGTATTTGGCCTTTGGCGTTTATGCCAGATACAAGAAGATGTTCTTCACCGAGTTCCCTTATATTTAGAATACTCGAGCCAGGAAAGCGGCAAAGAAGCTCTGACAAGTCATTCGAAGGTGTCAAATGACTTTGCATTTGATAGAGGGCGCCGCTGCGAGTTCCGAACCACCCCCAAGGACTTTTATGTACAGCTTTCTGTGACCCCAACTCCATGCACATAACGTCACTTTTATCTTTATGGACTGTTCGCCAAGTATCTGGCCTTGACTGTTTCTTGGCAGGCTTACAGGTCATTAGCTTGTTACTTTGTGCTGCTAAAAGATGTTGGATGTTATTAAAAGCAGCATCAGAAACTTCGTGCTTCTTGCTAGAGTAGATTGCAGTGCTTATGTGTTCGGGCAAATCCGATGCATTTAGTTTTATGATTGCAATTGAAGTTGCACCTAGACCTTTGGCACTCATGATTACACACAGATGATCATCATTTAAATGAGTCTTCGCAAACTCACATTCAGATTTTGCAAGTATTTGTTCTTGATAAATGTAGTTTGCGGATCCTGCAAGGTTCAACAATATAATGTTCATACGGTCGGTTATAACAAGCAAAGAATTCTGTTTTGGTAGACAAACAAGTGCCTTTGCCTTTTGAGCTACTGATCCTAATAACGGTGTCAAATCTGACCACACCCCACTTTTTTGTATCAAGTCAAAGTCATCCGTTTGTTCACCGCTTTTTGCAATATTGTATCTGGTGGTTAACTTCTTGAAGTAATTCACGTCAGGCCCAAACTCCCTGCTAAAAGGATTTATTATATCGAACTCAGTCTCATGAAGCGCTTTTTCCTTCAAACGATCAAGCACGTTCTTCGAATCCTTGTAAGCAGTATGATCGTCCTGTTTCTTGATGCTCTCTCGCTCGTACTTCTGATCTGATTTGGAAGAAGCATGTTGGGTTATCTTGAAATACCGTTTTCGCTCTGTATCGTAATAAAACCCAGGTATGTTCAAAACGTTAGCCATGAAGTAACATCGAAGTTCTTTGCAGCTTGTTCCTGTGGAAATTTTACTTTGGCATGGGTCTCTCTATTAAGTTCTGTGTGCAACACTTTTTCATTTATGCGTTAGACTTGAAATTCACATTGCTAAGCAAATATTCGCAAAACTGAGTTTCAATTCAATTACATTAGCGAAATGACTAATCGTGGCACATATTATATTATACTGAATAAACTAAGAAGTGTTTTAAGAAGGTTCACGACCTTGTTTGATATATACTAGGCGTAAACGACGAGTCCTGGTGATATTGTTTTCTTTTGACTTATCACTCTTGTCCAAACCCAATTGTTTCCTCGACAGCAAGTGTCAGTTTCTGTTTCAAGGACTCATAATCATCGTATGGAGGAAGATCGACTCTGTTGAAACAAGTGTGCGATTTGGGCAATTGCTGGATTTCACCGGCCTTCTCGATAGTGAACCTTCTAGGACCGTCGGAACCTTGTAGATCTTTGAAACCGTTTACTGGTATACGAGACGTACCCGTAGTAAATTGTAACAGACGAGCTTTTTGCTCGTTGTCCCATTCGGAAATAGCTTTCCAGAACCACTTGATCGTTTCGTCGGATTCTTGGTATCCACGATAATCGGTATGTTTTTTCCAGTCCTCAACATCAATCTCAGCAATACCACCGATCAGTAGTTCCAGCTCACGCTCATCAAAAACGTTCACTAAATCTTCGGGTATCAGCTCGTTAAAGCCGTCCATGAAAGCCTTAAACTGTTCCTGAACACGGTTATAGATTTTCCATTGAGTGAAGAGTTCAACATACTCTTTCTTGTTTTCATCAGTTACCTCAATATCTCTTCCCTCTGGTTTCAAATCTACAGTCATGAGTTCACCAAAAGTTTCATCGTCGGCGCTAAAGGTCAAATCTAAAATTCCGTCTATGTTATTCTCCAAGATCCATTTCAGAGAATTGTGAACTTCAGCGTCAACTCCTTCCATATCTTGTAACACAACTTTTTTGTGAAGCATCATCTTGTATAACGCACCCACGAAAAATGCATCTAAAAATCTTCTGTGGAATACACCAAGACCGACGACCCTACCTATGAATTTAAAGTAGTTCAAGTGCTCTGGGTTGATTCCACTCTTGGGATTTATCTGGATAGTATAATTATCATGAGCAGAATACTCGAACAAACAGTAAAAGGGGTTGAACATTTCGTGAGAGAGTAAAAAGAAAAATTCTCTGGAAACACCACCGTAATCCAAACCTTCCTCACCGTCAAATTTGATCATTAACCGTTTCTTCAAATCTTCTGGAGTTTGTCTCATGATTTCTTGATAAGCATCTTCAAAGATGTTCTTTCTGCGGACCTTAATATGACATTGTCCCGGCAGAATTCTAAGTGCCGGCTGCGATCTGAAGTAAATGACTTTACGTCTAAAATCACGCTTGTACTGAGGCACATTTTGGTCCAATGAAGATGGTAAACGTGGGTCGTCCCAGGTAGTAGTCTTAGTATTATGGTCAACAAAATAAACACGAGCTGTGTTAGTCAATCTCATTTCCCAACCAGAAGGTAGAGGTCCCAACTGTGATACTGGTTGCTGTTGAATGGTAGTGTTTGCTGGACCATAAGTGCGAATGTATTGTTGTCTACGTGGGTCAACCCAAGTAGTAGTTCTGGTGTTGTGGTCAACAAAATACGCGCGGCCCTCAGGCGTGAAGCGCTGTTCCCAACCTGGAGGTAGCTCGCCTAAACCGGAGGTTGTAGCTCCAGTAGCAGCAAGGGCCGCAGCAGCAGCTCCGTTTACTGTAGGTGTAGACGAACCATTGTTGCTTTGAACTGCAATGGAGGAGCCGCTTTCAGAATTGCTGCCTCCGGGCAGAGTTCTGCCACGATGCTGTCTTCTTTCCAGCTCTGTATTGGCATTAAGCTGATCGCCACGCTCACTCTCTGTTTCATCGAGTGTGGGTCTTTTCCAAGTCGTAGTGCGAGTGTTATGATCCACATAATACGTCCGTCCGAAATTGTCTGTTCTCCTTTCCCAGCCCGGTGGTAGTCGGCCATATTGATCTTCGAAGGAAGAATACTGCCTTGAAGCCGCGGTGCTGGATGGAGGCGCAGTAGTCGAAGTTGTCGCAGCAGATCCGCTCTGAAGGGTGTTGGCAACAGTTTGCGCCGGGGTTGACCCGGCGGCACTGAAACTTGGGGCGTTTATGTGAGGAGCTGCCGTTCCCGCCGTTACATCGTCTGCGGGCGTTGTGGTGGCTGAAGATCCGGAGCGCGCCCCGGACGACGCTGATGTGGCTGCATTTGCGGATGCAGTTGATAGTACTAGGATCAAGCGTCCACTGACAGCCATCCCATCATTCGACCGTTTCAAATCCCGCGTGATAGTTTCTTCACGCCGAGATGACGACCGGTTTACCGAATCTTCGTCTAAATGACCCAGAACGTCGCCGATGCGAACGTTGACAACACCCAAAAAGCCTTGGTCCTTCTTCTTGAACTTCTTTTGGTCGAACACCTGAATGGTTAGAATCCCATTCTCATTGACTCCCGAGAAAGTAAAAGTCTCGTTCCAGTACGGATTCAGCGTTTTCCGAGCCGCAGCGGTTGACTTGGTTTGCGAGCCATCAATCGTCAGCACCGCAAACGGGTCTGGCGATCTAAAAACGTCTCTTTTGTACAGCGACTCTGCCGCTACCAGCTTTATAGTTATTTTTGACATTTTGACCGATGTGAAGAGGGGTAAAATAAATGAAGTTTATTCAAATGGAAGTAAGTGGCAATTTCTCAAAACCTAAACCAATACAAACTGCTTTCAACCGCGGTTTCTTGCAAATGGTGCACCAATCTGGCAATCGTCAATTCCTGCAGAACCTGCTTTTCAAAACCACTATATGTCCTTTGAAAGCTATAGGAACGCCTCAACGATCTTTGGAGTAGAATCTCCGAACACTCCGCGAATAAAGCCTCTAAAACAGCTCTTCCGCACTTGACGGCTCTTGTGTATCGCAGATGTACCTGTGATTGCCGCTTAGGCTCGAGTAGATGCCTATTTTATGTCAATTATTGACCTGTTTTACTTATTAATACAGAACCTGGACTGCTTACTCTTATAACTTGTACGTATTTTTTCCTACTCCTTGTTTTTGCGCTAAAAAATGAGCACGCCTCAAGCATGTGAAAGTCACGTGAGAAACATATTATGGGAATAGAGTCTACGAGTCGGGAAACATGCCTGATAGAAGGTCTGTCTCAATGGTTCTGCTGAGGTTCGTGAGAAAATCCACAGCTATCAGCCCAGATTTTATTTCGCTGAATTTAAGATTTCATGAACACGGCATTTCGCGGGCTTCAAAGGCATGTCTTTTTATATCTCAAAGACAAATTAGAATGCTGGTCAGGCTTGGTGGATTCTCCCTTGATGCTTTAGTCCTTGGGTCTCAACGTTGTAATTTTTTGTCTTTGTAGGGTGGAAACGCGACATACAGAACACCGCCATGCTACGAGATGAATCGGTTTTGACGACAGTGGCACGACGTTTGCGAGCAGCTCTGCCTCAACGAATAACGTCATCTTTTTTATTGGTCTGCACCTGCCGTTTGCTTCCCAGCACTTACGGTTTGGGGAAGCGATTCATTGATCAAGGCGAACAGCTTGCTAAAAAAAATAGTTCGCTAATGCTGGAGGTTTTCCTTGCGAATGTGCGAGGTATTGAGGAGTTGTTAAATAAAGGGCCCAAGAACCCAGCTTCGAATTGCTTAGTGTCCTTCCTTCCTTTCTTTCCATTTTTCAAGATACGAAAGGGTAAAAGCTGTGCAGAAGAGTCAGTTGCTAAGGTGCGTACCTGGAGGTACCCAATTATTACCATCGTTCCGAATTGATGGTTTTATTCAGCATACCGACACCTGCCGTCCGCTTGAAGTTACCGTTGCTATTGCAAAACCACCCAATCAAGTTTCACAGGCTGCACATTTGAAATAAGTGGGATATATCTTATTTATAAGACTGTAGCAACGTCCCCGTCTTAGTTTATGCGCATTTAGAGGCCTTTGCCAATTATTTTGAACAATAGCTCTCTAACGAAGAAATTTAAGACACTTCTTCAAGACGACGAACTCTCAATCTTTATTAATTGCAAGCTTATCGACAGGTGCTGGTCAACTATAAACAAAGTCCATCGGTTGACTAATTTTATAAAGCTCGTCGACTTGGAAGCATTACTGGCCAAAAGTGTTGATAGCACTTCCCACGAAAAAACATCAAATTTACGAGCCTGAAAAAAGTACTGCATCGTAAAGGCCAATTTATGAGATAAACATGCTAAAGTCTGCTGGCACGAGCGTTGATAGATGCTCATATACCTACAAAACGGGTAAATACATGACAAACTGCAGTTAATGCAAATGGAAAACATCTTGCTGGGGAGAGTTTTGGGAACTCTATCTACATAAACATCCCAGCAATTGTGACGAGGCTGGATCAGCTGGTTTGTTTTGTTTACTTTTTCAAAAAACATAAACAATCACCAGCGCTAACAAAAATACAGGTTAAGAGTCAAGCAATTACTCTTCGTACTTCTGTTTTTAGCATGGTAGCTCTCGTTGCGGGCTTGCCACATCGCAATGGCTCCATGACGCAACTCCACCTCTTCAATCTCGGGCTCTTTCCATATAAAAGTCTCCTCGTAAACCAGCGCTCGCCTTTCGGGCTCTCACTTAATCCCCAACAGTCAGATATGCCATACTATACCCCCCCTAACGTATTCAGACAACCTGCCATCGTCGCACGCAATTCAAAATCACCTGAACCTCCACAACTAGATACTCATCGTCGTTCGTGGCAAAACGATACATCACGTCTGAAATCACCGCTCCTAAGAAAAGCTTCAGGCGATATGAACGACTACTTTACCACTCAACAGCTCCAAAGTGAGTTTTGGGCCCTGCCACAATCCTGTGACTCGCCTAATTTTTACACCTCACTCTCGAGCGCAGAAGATGTCATACTGGCCTCCAACACGGCTACCGGGGAAAACTTAAAAATGTATACTCTCAAGGCCAAAAATCAAACAACAGCCCAATTGGCCGAACTACAAACTATTTCAGTTCCAGGGAAGCCAATAACTACGTCGAGGATCTTGCCACAAAGTTCAAGTGCTGCCAAACAACCCACGGAACATAACCGCTTACTTTGCACTGGCCATCAGGATGGTATTGTAAATCTCATCTCAACCTCTGAAACTCAAGGAGGTGCCAAGATTATTAAACGATTCAATCATGCCAAATATCTCAAATCAACAAAACCAGATTGTCTAGATGAATGGCTGCAACAGAAGAGGGCTTCACCCGTCAGACAAATCAATGACTGGAATAAAATGGGTTTTATCTCGGTAATCAATGAATCTTTGTTTATCTATGATTTCAACCAGCACAAATTGCCAATATTTCTGCAAAGTTTCACAGGCCTGGAAGCTGTTGAGGTCAACGCCGAAAACCCAAATATCTTATCGCTGGTAGGTTCGAACTTTGGTGACAGTGGACTCTCTTTGCTCGATTTGAGATGTGGCGGTGGCCAAGGAAAACAGTATAGTCCCGATGTAAGCACAAACACCACTGTCAACATTTCTAGCGCTTGCGCCTGGCTAGACGAATACACAGTAGCTAATGCTATCGGTAATAGTGTCAAACTGTGGGACATAAGATCCTCGGGGGTCAAATGTACCGTAGAAGGACACAAAGGCTCTATCAAAGCTCTAAAGTACCATCATGATACTCAACGGCTTTACACTTCTGATGATCAAAACTATACCATTGCATGGGACATGGGAGATTTGACCAACGTCTCAGAGTGTCATTTGGCCACAGGGTTTCAGAGCATATGCGAAGACAATATTTCACACGTAAAGCAATGCGGCAATGTGGTCCTGTCGCCAAACACTTCTCCAAGCTCATTCAAGCCTGACGTACCCGGGTCCGGTGTTTCTGGATTCACTTTCCTACAGACCTACCATGATGGATCTTTACTCACTTTAGATTCCAGAGAGCTTGGGCTGCACACAATAAAGAGTGTTGAAAGACCATTTTTACCCCCTAGGAATCCGCTGCGGCTGCAACGCAAGCCTGAAGTTGACGTTTTGGAGTCTGATAGTACGATGAACCAAGAGTCAATAATTTCCAGTTGGGACAATGTCTCAGAAGGCACGATTGAAGGTGAGGAGCTCACAACTCCCGCCAAAAATCAGCCGCTTAGTCCTGTTATGATCAGTGAAAACACTCACAAGACTCATAACCCAAGTATCTACTCACTGAAAGATTTTGATTTGAGTGGGTCTACTATATATAATGAGCGTATAATACACGAGGACGTCCTCTTGTAAATATTATGAATGAAGTTGCAAATTAAAGATTGAGATTTGTTATGGATATGGTCCATGCTTGAAATAAGGCGCCGATGTAATTCTGAGCGACTTCACTGATGACGATATGCATGCCACGATCAACGCGGCTGAATGCCTCTACAAAGCATCCCGGTACGTGGATTTCAAACCAGACCCTTTATCCACACCAACAACATAGCCTCTTAAAGCAGCTTTGCCCTTCTAAAGAATCTGTTTCATTTTGTTGGCGGTCTGAAAAGTTTCCATTGCGTTGGCCCATGGAATCGTACGATTGCATGACGTTCCCGTTTTTATCTCTTATAGCAGCTTGGCTGGTCATTTGAGTACGTAGTCGTTGAGCTTTGGAATACGAATCGCGATGTACTCGTGGGACTGCCGATTTTCGCGCTGCTTGAGAAGTTTTTGGTGTAGGATTACCATATCCGTGAAGGTTTGCCCTTCTGTTGACCCCAATATTCCAAGATTGGCCGTTGTTCAGATCTAGCCAGTCGTAATGCTCATCGTCCTCATATCCATTTTCTTCAAGCGCTTGAGTCATTAGAGAGACCAAAAAATCGTAATCGGGCTCTTGCTCAAACCGCAGTGACCGACAATATGACAGATATGTCGCAAACTGGGTTGGGATGTCACGCTCTACTAGATCTTCAGGCCTCACTTTCTGCTTTGTGAGACCAATTTTCTCGTACTTCAATTTAGTGTTGGCAACTTTGAGGCCTTGCCAGGGTAGAAAGCCACGTAGGAAATAGAAAAATACATGGCCGAGAGACTCCAGATCGTCGCGTCGTGATTGCTCGCGCCCGAAATGAGTGTTGATCGACATGTAACGAGCAGTACCACTCAGAGATTTGCGCTCTTTGTACGGGATGTGTTGTTTAGTCTTTGGGTCCCTGAACTGTTTGGCCATTCCAAAGTCCACGACGTAAACCAAGTTAGGATCCCCATGTGCAGAAGCGGCGCAGCTCTTGACAAGCTGTCCATTTGGCAACTCGCGTTGGTACTGCGCCACGAGAAAATTGTCTGGCTTGATGTCTCTGTATATAAGATCGCGCTCGTGGATGGACTGTACCCGTCTAATCATCTGCTTGGCGAGAAGACACGTTGTTTTCACCGAGAATCGCCGCCCACACCATTCGAAAAGATCTTCCAGCGATGGACCAAGCAAATCAATAACTAAAACGTTATGCATGCCCTCTTGCCCGAAATAGTATGCTCTGGGAATTCCTGGTAGCCCTGCAAGGATTTTGTATGCACGGAACTCATCCCTGAGCTGCGGAGCCTCTGCTCTGCGCGGTTCAAACTTGATTGCCACAGGACCAGACTCTTGTCCCAAAACGTTTTCACCCTCGAATATAACCCCAAAAGAACCTTCTCCTATCTTGGGTCCCACAGCATAATGAATTCCAACGATGTGCTGCGATCTTCCGCTCATTTGAAGCCTAAATAACCGCACTTAGGACCTGTTTTGAGGGTTTGGAGCAATCACGAAAGTGTCGCTTTTGTTTGAAGATGATTTTCGTAATATGTCAAATTTCCAAGATTGCCCGGCTGAGAAAAAAAGGCAAGTAATAGTCATATCACATCAAGATCATGTTTCTCTCTACACATGGTCAAACCATTTAGCAGCCTGAGATCAAATCCAGGCATGTAAATGATATCCGCTAGCGCAGAAAGGTCAACGTTTTGTAGCTTGGCTCAACTTCTTACAATTCATTTAAGCAAACATGGTAGAAAGTCTAAGACCGCTATATAGATCGTAGAGGAATCATCGGTTTTAATGCAATTACTTCACGGATTGGAATAAATAAGTATTTACAGGCGAGGATTATAGTGCAGCAAGCTTGCGAAATGACGTGGATAAGATACTCATCGCTTGAAAATGTCAACTGTGAAGAATGGCTGTTGTATAATGTAGATTATATTTCAATAGCAGCAATGTATCTAACAACGACAGTGAAAACCCTTGCTTGTATTCAAATCAATGAAGCATGTTTCGAACCTAAAGTTTCATTCTTCCAACAGTAAAAATGCCTCATGCACCAATTACAGCCCCCCCGTTTGCTGGCCACGTTCCTATATCTAAGAGTAACTCCCACTTATATGATCGTGAAAGGAATACCCTGGATACTGCCTAATAGTCACAACTTATGGTTTACAGATCCTAAAACAAGACTACCACAGTACGGCGTGTGCCTAGCAGAACATTTGGATCTTGACGTCGTTTTCCGCTTTTGCTGAAGAAAAGGCGTATATGTCAAATACCGATATATGTGGTAGCAGCGCCGAGATCGAGATTACGCCTTTGTAGATTTACTTTAAGTTTCTTAAGGTATTGGCCGGCAGCAGAAATTGCTCCAAACTCGAAAGCAAGGGAGGCCCATACATTAGTTGGTGTTATTACCTACTTCTAAGCACGACAGATCGATATGAAATGACAAGAGCAAAATGCTAGACCTAGCTCGCAAATTCAGTAAGTCGAAAAAAATGTTGAGTCTGAACGTTTTTCTGGGTAGTGAGTATGTCGCGCTGTGCCAAATATCCGCGTCCAAGGTGTAGAAGCTTACGCAATGAGGACGCAGTACAGAACATTCCACGTTGGCAGAAGTGATTGCTCGAATAATTTTATAAACACCAATGGCTTACTCCTTGTAAAACTGGCGTGATATATCATCTAGTTCGCAAAAAGCAATACTAGGATACTATTTCAATCATGTTTCTTCAACGTTTTATTATTTAATTTTTAGACCTCTGTCACTTGAAGTAATTTCGGTAAGGTAATCAATAACAGCGTCAATGAACACGAAATCCCATTTAGTAGATTATAACTGGTTGCTGAATAGATAGTTCAAAAAACTTTATAGTGACCCGATAGGTGAATTGGGGACCTCGGCATAGAGAATGAATAACTTTATTTCTATTTAGTCGACGAAAATTCATGGCACAAAATGGTTGAGGCTGGATTATGAACTGCATCAGCTTGATTCTTGGGTAAAGTGATATTTTTTGGCTGAATCGATTGATTTTTCCTTCCGATCAGCTCTCCGAGCGGCTGCTGTAGCCGTACTCCCAATATAAACATGTTCAGCGAGTAAGAAAGCATTGTCACTTCATACCAAAGTGTCATAATCGAAAGCCCACACTACCCTTCGCTCTGCAGTACCTAATTCCAAGCAAAAGTTTGAGAAGCTACGTATAAGTTCTCCCGGCAGAATGGTTGCGCCATAGTCGGTAAAGAAAAAAAAGAGAAGAGCACCTCAAAGTCAATAACAACCTGTGTCGTGAACCGAAACAAATCTTTGATCCGACTCGGCTAGAATGCATGGGTGAGTGAGAACTAGCCCCAAACGTATGTGACTTCTAAGATACACAAAGTCAAACGTACATATTCGTTCTCAAGCTTTTGCACCAATCCAGATTTATGCACTCATTCATATAATGAAACGGAAGGCTATGATCAAAAACAATAAGCATGTAAGTAACTTTTTTAGTTTTGAAAGTAAAGATTAGCAATAGATAGAGGCGCTTGTCTCCGTGAGCTCGAAATGGTGGGCATTGTTTGGTAATTTCTTCGCTGCAATGAAAACTATGTCATAGATTGATAAATCAAATCAGGGCATTCCTTGCTTATTTCCTATCTTCATAATGAAAGCTAGTCAGACATTGATGTTGGTATTGATGTGAAAGGTGACGCCTTTTATATGATTTGGATCAAAAAAGTCTGATAATAAAGACAATACGAAGCTGCAGTGAGTTTTGACTCAGACACGCTAGCAAACAGAATTTTGCGACTTAAATAAGCATCATCAACGATTTCTTTTTGATGAGCTCGAGTTTCAACCCAAATCGAAGTTCAAATGTTTGAGATGCTTTAACAGTAAAATTGAAGAAAGTGCGCTGAATTGTCTTCTGTCTGAGCTTTTCATCCGAATTCACAATGAGTGCAGTATTACAGTGAACAGATTTGACCAAAGTCTGATTACCATGATGTTGTTTATGCAGACGGAAAACCCACGTTCTAATGATTAAAAGAACGCTATTCCATGATCACGATAGTCGTGTTCAGTGCTATCAACATGTCAAGCTCCTAATAGCGAAGTTTTCTAGCTTGAATCGCCATAATGCTAGTTGCATATTTTTTCACACTACTAGATAACAACCTGAAGGTGCGGAGCTTCTTCCAGTTTTAGATCGGTCTTTTTGTTCTGCTTGCTTTCAAATGTCAAACCCAGATATAAGCTCATCACAGTAATTATAAAAATAATAAAAGCCTGAGAGTAAGGTTTGACGAAAAAAACCAAGCCTGAAAGAAGCATTGCAAATGCCGTTGGCGGTGGAGGATAAGTGTCTTGCATTCCATGGACCGCTATTATATGCAGCAAAGGTCTTGAAGGTTCATGATCCTGTTAGTCCAGAAAAAACGGCTGACGATGAAGTACCGGCAAATTTGAAGGATCAAGAATGTTTTTACATACATTATCGTGGATGGAAATCATCCTGGGACGAGTGGGTCGGTCCAGAAAGACTCAGAGAATATACGGACGAAAATTTGGAATATAAGAAACAGTTGGTGCAGCAGGCGAAAGAGAATCGGCAAGCTAAAAAGAAGGTGCCTGCCAAAGTGCGCAAAACAGAACCCCGCAAACGCAAAACAGCTACCGCAAATATAGATGAGACCGGACATGCCGTGCACCAGGGGCCAAGGATTGTTGTCCACATCTCACAAGCGCTAAAGGCCGTCTTGGTCGACGATTGGGAACGCATTACGAAGGACAAAAAGCTAGTATCTCTACCATGCAAACCAACAGTTGCAAAATTGCTTCAAGATTACTATCAATCAGCCAGTACACACGAAATTTCGCCCGTGGCTCAATCCCACCTTCAAGAATATTGCGATGGGCTCAAACTGTATTTCGACCACTCATTATCTGCGATCCTCCTGTACCGTTATGAACGGCTCCAGTATGCCGAGCATGTTGAGGAGCCCCCCTCTTCAGTATATGGGGCTATTCATTTGCTGCGATTACTTAGTAGTTTGCCGGAATTGGTGTCACTGACTTCGATGGACGAATCGGGGTGCGATGTGGTGGTGCAGCAGACAGATAGGTTTCTTAAGTGGCTTGTCGAAAAACACGAGCTTTTTGAGAACGGTATTTATGTCAATACGAGTAGCCAGTACGAAGGAATGGCTTTGGGTATGTAAGGGAGATGTAACGAGAACTCGGTGTATGTAATTGAGAAAAACATATTGAGCACATTCTTTGCGGTTCATCACTAGATGCATGTCTTCGTAGAGCAACTAAATAAGACCTAAATGTGAGTAAAGTGCAAAATCTTCGCATACTCTCGAGCAAACGTGATTTATAAATTAGTTGTTGTAACAAGCAGATAACATAACTGGTCTATAGATTATCAACACCACTTTGTGGAATTCAATCAACTCATTCCTGAGATTCTTTTCAAGCGCTGACTACGTTTATTCTGGCAAATTTGATAAAGTTCCCTAGGATCCCAAATGTTTTAGGTTGATCCCTTACTCAAAGTATATAAATAAACTGGACGCAGTGTTTGATATTTGCTCAGCTACACAAATTCATTAAAATCGCGCAAAGTTAATAGTGAGCCTAGGAAGTCTGTAGGTTGAAGCTCGGTTTCAGTAATATTCAAAAGGGTAATACTTCGGTAGTCTATTCCCAAAGCTGCCACGAAGGACTGTTCATAGTCAAAAGAGACTAAGAATGTTTTTCAAAAAATAATTATGATGACTTCGTCCTTATAACTTCATTTGCGGAAGATACTTCAAGACCGCGCGCTTGTGATTCTATCAATTTCTTCAAAATCGCATAACAAAAAGTTTAAAAAACTTCGAACAACTAAAAACACACAAACCTGAATGATTGAAGCACTCGCCTGATAGCGTTTGGAGAGCTACTTAATATCAAAGCGTGGCTCACTATTTACAGCAACTTTGTTTTGAGCGTTTGAGCTGAGGTCGGAGGACCACCATTATCTTGAAGCAATGGAGCTAAGTAATTCGACATCAGAAAAGAAAAATCATCAGGTGGAGATATTTCTCAAGTTCGCTTCTGAGATAGGCAGAATAGATAAACATGATGCCGGTCGGCGAGTCCTCACCTTTCAGGATTTCGTGAGATTAATTACAAGTTCGAAATCACTGTATTCTAAATTTACAGACCACTCTTATAACCTAAACCAGGTTCCTGATGACGCTTTTGGATGCATTTTCTTTGCTTTAGATGAAAATAATAAAGGTTTCCTGACGTTAAACGATTGGTTTCATTTCAACAACCTATTGGAGTGCGATAATTATCATTTGATTATCCTATATGAGTTCTTCAAAAAATTTGATGTTGCTAACCTCAACAGGAATTCAACTGGTTCACTGGCACATGGTCTAAAATCAATTGATTTGGCCGATGATATTAGAACTAAGCCAGTGAACTATGGAAGCAGATTTCTTAGCTTTGATAGCCTGTATCTGAATCTTTCTCAATTTAAGGACACTATCAAGTTGTTACACGAATCGGTGAATAACGAATTCTTGACAGCAAATAAAATTTTGCTCAACTGGAACGACTTTAGGTGGTTAAAGTTCTATCAAACTTTCCCGTATAAACTAAGCGAGGGACCACACATCAGCTTGAACGCTTTGGGGACGATTCTACAAAACGATCTGAAAAACGAAAAGCTGTACCTAGGCTTTGAGCGGCTGTCTCACATAGATCACAGAAACCATGCTCTAGTATTGAATAAAAACCAGCTTGTTTATTTATTGAAGGTATTTTACTCTCATAGAATATCAGCTGACGTTTTCAACTCATTGAACCTTTCTAATACTAAGCTGATAAAGTCAAACAACAACTGCATCAATTACAATGTTTTCAAGGACATTTTCTTTCTCTTTCAGAACTTTGACCTGCTGAATCAGGTATTCATGAGATATGCCAAATCTCAAAATTTTGATGACCAAGATTTACGAGAATGCGTTATCTCGAAAGAGGATTTAAAAGATTTTCTGAGTATTGAGTACAACAAGGTAAACAATATTGTGGAATTTTCACCTTCGCAAATTAATCTCTTATTCTCAATAGTGGCAAATTCTAAGAGGAGCAAGTTGATTGAAAGAAGCCTTAATACTCATCATGAGGACACCGCCATTGAAAAATTTATCCAAAATGACTTCTGCAATGGAGACAGTCGTAAAAAGCAAACTTTGAGAGACTTTAACAACAACTATCGCGAGGTGATTGGTGGAATATCAGATGAACTTAATAATGCAAAAAACATACGTCGCCAGTCTTCTTCTGGGTTATTCGATCGTTTGTTCAAACCCAAGGATGATCTTGATACCTTTTCGGAGCTCGACTTGACAATGGATGACTTTCTGAAAATTCTCAATCCTAATTATCTCAACGACCTTGTGCACCAAATGGAAATTCGCCGCATTCAATCTGAATCTTTGTACACCAATTTCTACTTTTTTCCTATTTTCGACTCCATCTACAACTTCTTGTTGGGATCTATTGCGGGGTGTATAGGGGCGACGGCAGTTTATCCAATAGACCTGGTTAAGACACGCATGCAAGCACAAAGAAATTTCTCGCAGTACAAGAATACGTTTGACTGCCTCGCAAAAATTATCTCACGCGAAGGTATTCGAGGCATATACTCAGGGCTGGGTCCTCAGTTAATTGGCGTATCACCAGAAAAGGCAATCAAGTTAACCGTGAATGATTACGTCCGGAGACAGCTGATGGACAAAAGCCAGCGTCTGACATTACCACTGGAAATCCTTTCTGGCGCAGCAGCGGGGATGTGCCAAGTTGTCTTTACGAACCCACTTGAAGTGGTCAAGATCAGATTACAAGTTAGATCGGAGTACAGCTCTAGTTCACTTAGTTCCAAAGTCAATGCCATAAGTATTGTAAAGGAACTTGGTATCAAGGGTCTGTATCGGGGAGTTGGTGCCTGTTTGATGAGAGATGTTCCATTTTCTGCTATTTACTTCCCCACTTATGCGCACTTAAAAAAAGACCTTTTCAATTACGATCCACAAGACAAGACAAAGCGATCAAGGCTACATACTTGGCAACTACTGACAGCCGGTGGATTGGCTGGCATGCCTGCTGCTTACTTAACGACACCATTTGACGTGATAAAAACTAGATTGCAGATTGCTCCCAAGGAAGGTGAGACTAAATACAATGGTATCTTCCATGCCGCTAAAACAATTTTGAGGGAAGAGAGTTTCAAGAGCTTTTTTAAAGGTGGTGGGGCCCGAGTATTGAGAAGCTCTCCCCAATTTGGTTTTACTTTGGCTGCCTATGAAATATTTCAAAACTTGTCTCCGCTGAATAATCAAGCGGAAACTAAGCCGAAACAAGACAATGAGACGCCTTCGGTAACTGGCACATTTTCTAGGTTCTTCACGTCACTTAAGGAATCATCAAAGAGCCATGTGGAAATCACGGAGTTCTTTGGACCTTCGGTTGATCCTTATAGCTCAAACTATTTGAATTATTATTACAAGAGTTGTCAAGTGGCCAAATTATTTATAGATTTGGATTACAATTTTGCAAAATTTGATTATGGAGTATACTCCAAGTTTCACAGCTTCATCAAAGATGCAGAATCAAAGCCAAAATAGCACACATGAGCGCATCACCGCGCCTGCATATCAATATATATCAAATACCTGCATTACACTTCCATTATCGAGCGTAAAATATCATCAAAGCAATATCAATTTCGTATCCTTGCGCGAGAAAATATTTGTAGATGGCTGGGATCCCACTCGAAATTACCTTCGTTGACCACATTATTGAGCACAATATTTCTAAAAAGAAATTGCCGTTTACTAGGAGGCAGATCAGATCTCGTTGCGGTTAGAAATCTGTGTCTAGTTTTGTTATAGAGTATTTCACGCGATTTTGTCATATCGGCCATATTTTCTTGAGTGTTAGGAAAGTCTAAACGGCCAAAGCCAGGGGGGGATTTAGAACGTTGTCTCAAATTTGCAAATTGATCGTCCTGATCATCATTTGTTACCACCTCATTTTCTGAGTCATCTTCAGTGACAAATTCGAATCCCCTATCCGGATGCAAAACAAGCTTTTGTTTCTGCGGTGGTTTACCTGCAGCTGAGTGAAATTTAGACAGTTTTGAGGACACAACATTAAGGCGGCCTTTGTGGGCATTGTTGGCGATTTCGTTCAATTTGAAGTCTTCATATATCCAAGGCTTTTTGGTAAATGGATTTTCATTCAGATCGAGCTTCACCGTATTTGAAGTTCTTTCGTCGATTCTCGTAGTAGGTGTTTCCGCGTTAGAAGATTTCCGTTCCTCCGTATCAGACCAGTCCAGATCTCCTTCTGAATCGCTAATCACCGCTAGTTTTCGCTTGATGGGGCTTGACTTTTGGAGTCTCGCGTCATTGAGACCGACCACTTTCAACGGTGAACTGAAATCGATCTCCTTGCTCTGCATATCCAGCGTTCCTGGAATCAGAAACTCATCAAAAAACGCAGGCTGGCTTGATTTGGGATCAAAACTTTGCTCGGCGTTTTGAAGCTTTTGTTTCTTCTCAATCTGGGTTAACGGTAACTCGTTATTCTCATCAACTTTGTCTTCCAAAAGGGCTCCCAGACTTTCATCCTTGACTCCACATTCTACGGGCAATTCTTGGCTAGAGTCTCTTTCCCTTTTGAGATGCGACACTCCAACATCACTCTTGATGTCATTCACAGAGGTTTGGTCGTTCAATAATATTCCAACGCGCTCCTCAATCTCTTGAGTAAGTTCGATCTGAAGCTTTAAAAGCTCCTTTATATGCCAATTTTTCAAGGCATTCTTAACTAGCACTACCTCACTTTGCGAACAGCCCGCTACTCGTTCCATAGGCCACGTTTCATGTCTTTTCGTGTTGTAACTGGGTGAAGCGTTTTTTGGTGACTGAATTTTAGAAACGCTAACATATTGAAAACAAAATGAACCAAGATGTAGATCAATCTAAAATCAAACAAAAGTCACTTAGGTATGTCTTTGAATGACTTTCTGAGTAAGAACTACGGATCGAGCAAACCGAGCAAAGAGAAGCGGAAGAAGTTAGCGGTTTCGAAGACTCCAGGGCTCGACATTGTGGATGCCTCTGCTGCCAACGATATTCTACTCACCCGTAATGTCGAACAACTGGCTAATCCTAAGGCTCAATCTGATATGTCAAATCAAAAGCAGAAGAAAAAACTGTGGAAAAACCTCAGCACAAACGAATTAAGCGTTTGGCAACCTGTTGAAGTGAGCACAGAGAGTAGCAGACATACGTCGCAGTCGAGCACCCCGGTGGGATTGCAGTCAGCTGCTGATGTGAGAATACAAATGGAGGAGCAAGAGCAGAATGATAGAGCAGTCGTGGCTGCGGAACGTGGAAGTGGCCAAACTGTTTACAGAGATAACCAAGGTCGAAAAATCAACAATTATCAAGAAGCTTTCGCGTCCGAGAAAGAAAACGAAAAATTGCGACAGAGTTTATGGCAGAAGGAGCTTCAAGACCTAAACTTGGGCGAAGTGCAAAAACACAGTGCGCTGAACCTCGGGAATAAAAAAGCTGACGGTGGCGATACCGAATTTGAAGACCCTCTCAATGCTTTCAAAACAGGTACTCTAGCAGCTGACTTAGCTCCTAGATCGACGCTTGGCAGGAAACTGTATGATAAGATCAGTCCTGAAAATCGTTTTGGAATAAGGCCTGGCTGGCGGTGGGACGGAGTTGACAGGTCAAATGGATTCGAGAACAAATGGTTTATGAAACAGAACGAAATAAACGAGAGGAAAGTGCAAAGCTTCACATTGCAAGAGGATGATTGAAATACACAATTGAGTTCTCTTTTTTTTATTTATCTACATAATGGTGTTTTTGGGTAATAATACAAACCTCTAGGAAAAGCTTGATTTTCAACAGTATACTATGTCTTAAACTTCAGCGCCACCTCGTCCCCTTCCTCTAAAAGAGCCTCTTCCTCTACCGCGGCCACGGCCACGGCCATTTCCCCGCCCTCTAAAGCCGCCTCTTCCTCTCTGTCCGCGAAAATTGTCCTGGTGCATTTGTTCATCTTCATACACGTTTTCATTCTGCACGGAGCCATTAGATATACTGCCGTTATGGTCAACATTGTTTCCGTTGAGCGCGGCCATTATGTGCTCTGAGGCTGATGCATGAACAGGAGAATGATGGTGTTGAGAGTATTGGCTTGCAGACGGTGGCACAAAAGGAATACCCCCTTGATGTGGCACTGGGTAAAATCCTGGTGGTGGAATGTTCCCCACTAAATGAGGTGGTAGGGCACCTGGAGGAGGCAAGTCATAAGGGAGCCCGTGTGGAATATGCTTGGGTGGTTGAAGTGGAGGTTGGCCATTGAACTGGTTGAAGACTGCATTGTAGATATTGCTTGCTATGGCCCGGTCGTTCTGAGAGGCTGGCTCTGGGTGGCCACTATTGCCAACGAATTCTAAGGATTCCTCATTCCCACCATTTGCTTTTCCAACATTCTTCCCCTCCTTTGAATCTGATTCCGACTTTTTGATATGAGTCAGTAGCTCATGAGCTTGCTTCTTCTTATAGTCGACAGAGGAGTTCTTCGTCATAGGCTTCCCTTGAACCATCTTATTTGGTTTTTGGTTCTTCTTCGTCGATTCCTTGGCTGTCTTGGAGGCTTTAGAATGGTAGATAAATTGCCGGTTGGTCAAATTGAGCAAAAATGAAGAATCGAGACCTAAACCGCGCTTAGTTCTTAACCGCCCCCCAAAGTTGTTCCCTGCCACAATCTCGTTATCGAAGAGAACTTGAATTGACAATTTGGGACCAATGGTAGTATAGCCCACTACTGTGCCCTTTGAAAATAATGGAACTTTTCCTGAGTCTTGAATGTATATGACCCTGTCCCCAAGCGCAAATTTTTGGGTACGAAGTAAAGAGGAAGACACCTGAGGATCAAGAACGGCCTCGCGAGGAACTTTAGCCAGCTGTTTCTTGCTTACTTCAGAGGGGGTCTTAACATACTTTTCGATAGCTTCTTCTACAGCAGCCATCGAAGCTTTAGTCAAAGAGTCACTCTCAAATGACACGGTGACAAAATTTTGCTTGACATTCTTTAGCCAAGAACGAACACTATTAACCATGGCTTTCAAATCTTCACGTTTGGAACCTGGGTACATTTTTTCGAAAGAAGGAGTTTCCTTGGCCTGAGTTGACATTTTATAGAAAAAGTCGGGGAAGTTCTTCTTGTATTCAGCTAGTAAAGCTATGGTCATGTCGGAGTACTCCCAACCTTTCATGTTACGTCTGGCGTAGCCCAAAACCTTCTCATGACGAGACTCAAACTTGATCTCTAAACCAAAATTTGTTGGTCTTTCGCCAAATCCATCAACCATAAACCGGGATGTAATTCTCGACAAAAACAAAGGATGAATTTGCAATTTCTTGGAAACTACAAATGATGGATAGTATCGGATCATTTTTTCGTCAAGCTGAGCTCTCATTTTTCCCGCTGTAGGCTCTGATTTGGTAGTATGCTTTTCAACTGTAAGCTTTAACCTAGTGGAGCTACTGTAGCCGTCAATGGTTGCTTTCCCCCCGTAAGCATAATCTCCCAAAAAAATGACGTCCGAACCCTCAATGAACTCTTCTTCAATTGGCAATGGAGGTCTTTCCATGAAGCGTGTGTCTTTATTTTCGACATCCTCAACTATCACTTGTAATGGATAAAACTCTTCATTCGAGGAAAAGGTTTTGATGTATGCGCCATCTTCGGTTCTTGTTAGCCCATTCACCGGAACGACGCGAACTATAGCACGAACATCATCCAATAACACACCCTTCTGAACGGAGTAATTTCTACGCATGTTGGCCTTTTGGGAGTAGAAAAACTTCCTCTCAGCTTCCTCTAAGTTTCTCTGAACTATCTTGGCCTTGCCGCCTTTACTCATGCGATCACTTGAGATTTCGAAGCAAATTTGACCGTCCATTACAGAGAGAACTTTGGACTCCCTAAGATTTGGCCACCTGGAATATACCACATTCCCCAAATGAGTCTTCGCAAATTCATCCAGAGTCAAGTTGCTTTCATTGTAAGCATCTTTAATGTCCAGAAGCATAGACTGCTGCCGAGAAGGTTGCTGGAAAACCATACAACCATTGTATTCCAAGTGGTTTTTGAATGATAGTGTCTTGAGCGTTGGGAAGCCAGCTAAAGCTTGAGTACCTAGTTTGGCACCTGAGGGAAGGCCAAACAACACTTCAAGGCCTTCCATTGACTTTGGCACATATTCGCGCTCTGCGCAATGGTTATGTTCAATGTCAGAGAAGAGGCCGTTAAGGGGGGATTTGTAAATGCCGTCAACTTGAGGGTTGTACACAAATATCAAGTCAGTTCCAAAACTATTTCTTTTCTTTTCTTCAGGAGATAGTTTATCATCTAAAGGACTCATAGCCTCGATAAGTCTATTTTCATCCACGAACGAAAGCTTCACAACAGCTTCCCAGTCCGCAGTTTTCCCATTTTTGTCTAACTCTACCTCGCTTGGATAAAAGTCAGCGATTGGTGATTTTGGGTCAAACATCAAGGGCCTGTAGACTGTGGGTATCAAGTTTTTAGATCTCTCGGGCAAGACTGCCATTAGTTGTTGAAATGGCTTGAAGGGTTTGCCGGCATTGAATTTTATTATTTGATTTAGACCCTTTTGCACGTCGGAAATACGAGGTGCATAATGGTACTTATAGTACCAAGACCAGGACTGACATCCTTGATAATAATAGTAAAGTACCCACTGAAGACCTTCGACGTAGTTCTCAGTCAACTGCTTCAGTTCCTCTTCATCATAGTAACTGAATCCTAGTTTATCCTTGTAATATTGATCTCTCCACTTCTCAAATCTCTGGTTGTAAAGTTTCTGCTCCTCCTCCAGTTCGTCGCTGTTCTCGATGAGCACAGCTTGTTCGTACTTTTTAATCGATCTTCTCAAAGACTGTATCCGAGACTCATGCTCTTCTTCGGACTCCTGAGGATTGATACCATCAATATCGAGCTGTAGATAGTAGTTATCTTTCGACTGAGAGTGAGCCACGAACAAGCCTAGATCAAAAGCTAGTTCTTTCAAAAACGGTAGATTTTCCTTAATGATTTCTTCATCTAAAGAAAACGTGGGTACGTGGTCTTCGGATAATGTGTTTGCATCAAAATGTGTTGAGGCTGTCTTTAATAACCAAGGTTTTAGCATTCCTACTATCTTTTTCTGTTGTTTTAGCAACAACTTTTTGCCCATTCTTGCTCTTTTTCTCTCACCTTCCAGCGAGATGTTTTCTAATTGCTTGTTGAACCATTCAACATCAATGTCATCCCTTTCAAAGTTCATCAACTCAAATTCCGACAAATACTGTAACCAGACTTGAAACCTGGGAAGGTTAATAGTACCTTGTTCATTTATGTAACCGTCGGTGTGCTTCAGCGCCTCTTTGAAAGTTTGAAGCAGCACTGGGAAAGCACCCTTGTTCAAATGCAAATCTGGTAAGTTAGGCAGAAAATCATTTCCTATGACAAACATCACCAAAATGAAATCATCCAACATTCTTTCAAAGTCATATTCAAATTGTAGATCATCGGCTACCTCATTAAACTCAAGTTCCAAGTATTCTCTTAACAAGGAAATATGCAGTAAGAAAAAATTCTGGTGCTCCAGAGCTTGTGATTTTTGACGCCTGCCAAAAGTTACCTCTTCTCTGAGTAGAGCAAAATGCGGATCGTGAGTTGAAAGACCCAGCATAATCAGATCAGCATCTAAACCGTAGATACAATGTCTGGTGTTAGGATCATAGTCCGGTTGGGATCTCAAACGTCTAATCTGTTCCATAATCTTATGTTCACCTTCTCCGGGAACTTCATGGCCGGATAGAATGATTTTCGCAGAGCTCCAAGCGGAATCATTGGAAACCTTGTCGTGAATGAAATATTTCAAGTTCTGCGTTAGTTTGGCCATAAATTCTGTGCCAGGAGTAATACAATTGGAATCGAATGGTTCACCTTTAGGGATTTCTTCGCCGTTCGCAATGGCTTTTTGCAAAGCCTTTTCGGCATCCATAGCGGTCCTAAACCGCCGCGAACGCTGCTGGTTCATTTTAGCCCGAGGTGCCACACCATCGATGGCCATATAAAATGTCTTTTTGGGGCCTATTGTGTGAAACAGGTGGTCGATGTATGCAAAGATCTTAGAAAACACCTCTTCCTCTGTCATTCTCTTGGTCACATCATCGTCATTGGCGTGAGTGCAGTTATGTAGAATGGAGTTCATATCCAAATACAAATTGTCAAACTCTGGGATCTGCGTACCATCGATCAGCTGTGATATCATCGGCCATCTCTCAGAGATGTATCTGAAAAACTTGGGAATACCCATTTCTGTCCTTTTAAGTTTACGTTGAAACTTCTTCCAGATTAAAAATGTTGTTGTATTGTGGGCTTAGCACTGCTTATCCCAGCCAATACTTTCTGATGTCCTAGGTCAGTGCCAATAATATTACCAGCAAATGATCCCCTTTCCTGCAGAGAACAAAAGACCTAAAAAAGTCGCTTTAAACACTAAGTCTTCTTGCTTTAAAGCTTTGCTGTGATTGAGCTTTAGTCGATCAAAAATTCGTGTCTTAGATCTCCTTTTCTCACAGTTAATGACAAGTATATCGTTACTTTACGTGGTTCAAACGCGATTAGTTCTCAACTTTTGCCAAGTTGGACGAAAAAGTGTTGATGTCGTTTATTACGCTGCAAAATTTTTTTGAGCTGATCTACTAGCCTATAGAACTTCTAGCCTGGAGATCTATTATAAGTTGGTAGGGATATAGCAAAACACACAGTTCGAATCAATGTTCAATTCTGGCAGACCAGGTTCTGCATCGATTGGGAATGGTGTAGGTGGTGGCTCGTTGTTCGGGCAGAACAAACCAGCCACGGGAGGACTATTTTGTCAGGGAAATCAGCAGGGTCAGAGTAATGGATTATTTGGGCAGAGCAATCCGCAAAACCAGACCAATGGTGGCGCATTCAACCAAGTTAATCAACAAGGCTCTGGTGGTGGCTTATTCGGCCAAAGCACACCAGGAAACAGCACATTTGGTCAGAATACTCAGGGAAACACCACGTTCGGCCAAAACACGCAGGGAACCAACACGTTCGGCCAAACCACACAGGGCAACAACACACTAGGCCAGAATACTCAGGGTAATAACGCAGGGGGTCTTTTCGGTCAGTCGAGCGGTTCCGGAGGGCTCTTCGGCACTTCAAACGCCGGTGCAAGATCCGGATCGGTTCCTGCGGCAAGCGGGCCTTTCGGGCAAAGTGCTCAAAACTCTGCTAATCAGAATTCTTCGGGTAGTCTCTTTGGGCAAACTACGAATACAAATACAAATACGGGGTCCTCGGGTGGCTTGTTCGGTTCTAAACCCACAGGCCTCGGGACCTCTAATACTGCACCCTCCGGCGGCTTGTTCGGAAACAACGCCACTGGCGGTCAGTTTGGAAATAAGCCTAGTGGTACAGGACTCTTTGGGAGCGGTAACAATAATCCTGCACCATCGGCCGCTGGAGGGCTCTTTGGAAACACTTCTTCTGCTAGCTCTGGAGGACTTTTTGGCAATAAGCCCGCAAGCTCGTCGCTCTTCGGCAATAGTGGCGCCAACAATGCCATGCAATCTCAAATGCAACTTCAGCCGGCCCTGCAAACATTGGCACAACTGCCGGTCAATCCAATGACGAGAATTGCAGACCTGCCGCCTCAAATCCGCCAAGAAATAGAACAATTGGACCAATACGTTCAAAGACAGGTGGCCATCTCTCAACATCTGAAAGCTGATAATGCAGACCACGCAGAGTTAATCAGGTCAGTTCCCCGCGATATCAAATATCTACAGACGACATATTCATTGACACACCAATCACTGGCGCAGGATTTGCGAAAAATAACTGGGATAAAAGATATCACAGACCAAAACATGCTCGATTCTCAAACTTTTTCTACCATTTTGCAGCAACTCATAACGCCTGGTTCCAAGATCTCTTCGCTAGAGCTTGATAAATTTTTCCAAGATAAAATACAACTGTACAAGTCCAAGCTGGACGAGTATTTCTACGTGCTTTCTGATATTGAAAGCGCTGTTCGCGGTATAGAGCGAGATATGTTTGGTGCTACATCTACGGACGGTGGGTCTGACTCCAACGGCGACAGTGTTGGCTGGAAAACAGGCATCAATGCTATAGTATCTACTGTACTGGAAGAATTTGAGCTGTTCATGGACATGGCCGAACGAGTTGCAGGATTGCACCAACAAGTGAAAGAAATTACTGGCGGCCAAAAAGCCACCGTTATGAAGGCATAGTCGATAATGAAAAAACACCAATTTCATGACGCTGACGTGTGTTGTCAATAAATCCCTCGTGGAAATTATCACAAAAACAGACCTTTATGCAAATGAAATCAATAATTAGCATCCGTTAATTTCACCAGCTAACTCCCACTGAGCCGTTGGAGCAAGTGTTTTATTAGGTTTCCAGACCAGCTTTAACTGATAGTTGAGGCTCTTAAATGATAAAGTTGATCTCGTGTCGCCCCGTACGAAAATGGTTTGATGAGCATTATATATTGGCCCAAGGGGGATTCGATGCCCAAAAGTATCTTTCTCCCAAACAACTGGAACTTGTTTAAGGCCAAACCAGAGTTTTAAAAGACGCTATTTTGATCTTGCAATCAGTTTCAAGACAGCTGGCTCAACGTTAAAGTTTAAGAATAACGGTGAGATCGAAATTGATCTAGCGCATTCTTTTAGAGATACCGTTTCGGAACTACAGAAAACACTCCAATACAATGTCAGTGAAGAAGAAAAGTGAAAAATCTGACGATAAGACGTGGAGCGTAGTGAGCTTCGATAACAATACGACTTTGCAACGGGACGATCGCGTTTCTGTCGAAACGATTTCAGAAGAAGGACTGTGTGATGATGTCTTGTCGAATACTAGTTCAGATGAGTGCGATTTACCCATGAACGCTATGGGAGGGCCAAAGGTGACCGAGTTTGGATTTGACACCCTTGTGGCGCAAACGGAAATTGCGCCGGAAATTCCCATCAATTCGGCGCAAAGCTCGATCAACCACCCACTTTCCCGCTGCTTTGCACCTTTGTTGGAAAATCGCGTTACTCGTGCCGTAGCCCAGTTGCAAACATGGCAAATCGTTCTTTTGACTTCTTCTACGACTTTGTTTCTCACTTGTGTTGTCCGAGCACTTTTACAGGCGTCAGCTACAAGTGTTGTACATGAGACATCTACTGCTCCATACTTTACTAATCACGGTGCGACGTACCGCGACGTAGATTTTGTGTTGCCCTTCGGGGATGTTCCAGCAGGTGTAACCAAATACATCGTGGATTTTGAGAATAGGGTTGCATACCCGATTGTTCCAGAGGTTCCGTTCTGGGAATCTGCGAAGGCGAGCTTCAACCAAAAAGCGTCTGCTTTGCGGGAAGATTTGAAAGAGTTCGGATGTCAAAATGTCCAAAAGTTGAGCGACGGACTGCATCTAACTAATTCGGCAATTCAGACATCGTTAGGAAGAGTCAAATCCTCGACATTGAGCAAATTTAGCTCTGTCCCTCTCTACTTAAAATCTTTACCACAAACAGTAAACCAAGCTTTTAGGGGTCAAGTTGTTAAGAGGTTCACATTTTTCAGAAAGGCGTTCCAAATGCAGGCTTCGGAGCATTTGATGACCCTTCATGGCAAGTACTCTAATTGTGAGAGAGTTGTGAAGTCAATTCCCCATGATTTGGAGCGTCTGGGACCCAAATTTAAGTGCACTTGGTTAAAGGCTTTAACTAATACTAGGCAGTTTCAGCGAGAAGCAAATGTTCTTTTATTTGATAAATGGAATAATACGATGGAAATGTTAAGGTTAAAGAAAACGACCGTTAAGAATTGAAAATAACAATTAACTGCCGTTGTTGGTTTTGGCAAAATTATATAGGTTTTAGTGGTTTCGGGTTTTCTGAAAGGTACGGGAAATAAATAGTTTAATGAGAGAGTTATTTCAATTTCAAACGTACTAGTTGTTACAACTTGTTTTCAAGAGATTTCTAGCGCTAATATTTCAAATTTGACTTCCTTGCCAAAATTTGTCTTGCAATTGACATATCCAAAGCTTTACATAAATATATCCAAATTCCTAATTTGTAATGTTTTTGCAAGGTTACACAGCCTTTTATTTCGCATGTTTAACTTTTCCAAAGCTTGCAATACCCTCATCCAAAATACCGTAATTAAACCATTCGTGATTTATTGCTTCCCTGGCGGTTATCCTCTTTGTGGGATCAAACTCGAACATTTTTTTGCATAAGTCGAGGAACCAATACCAAAATAAAAACACTTCCCTATCGAGCACTTGCTCGTCGAATTTTGATTCCAATAGAGCCCAGTTATCCTCGGGGCTCAAGTCCCAATTAATGATTAGCCATTCGCCGTAATCTTGTCGTATTTTTTGTAGGATATATTTGTCCAAACGATCACAGCTTGTTAAAATTCTCTTCATAGACCTCTCTTTTGTTAAAATCTCACCCTTTGAGTTCCGTTCAGGCCATTGTAATGCTAAAGTTTCTCTATCGAAATGCTTTACAACCGTGGCATTCAAATCCGGTGACATATTCCCCAACTTACGATCGGCTTTGTAGAACATATTTTCAACTATCTTGGGAGGAAATGGCCGGCCGTTGAATCTCTGCATCATTGCCATGTGTTCTAAATTTTCATGTATTGGGTATAAGGACTCACCGGTAACCAATTCTACCAGCACACAAGCAGTGGACCAAATATCACAAGGAAAAGACCATCCAAGACCCAAGACGATTTCTGGAGCGCGGTAATGGCGGGTGGAGATAACTGCAGGATGAAACTCATTGTGAAACACTGCACTGCCAAAATCTATTAGCTTGACCTCTGGATTTGTCAAGAATTTTCGTTCTCCGTTACAAGCGCTTTTACGACGCGGACTCAAAGTAGAGTATTGTTGTTGTGACAGCGGTTTCCCAACGTACGTTTCGTCGCATAGTAAAACGTTCTCGGGCTTAAGATCGGTATGAATAATACCCAAGTCGTGCAAAAAACATACAGACCGGATGAGTTGTTTGGAGATGGCTTGCACATGAGATCCCGGGAAACGGGGGCACCCGTTATTACACATGAAGTCATAAACCGACTTGCCGAACAAGTCTGTGACCAAACAAATGTGGTTTTTATAATCAAAGCATTCCCGTAATAGTAAACATTGGTATTGTCCCATCGGATCGTTGTCCAATATGGCCTTTAAGACACGTAGCTCAGTCTTGGCAGCCTCGCGATACCGATCAACGGCACGAATAATTTTGACAGCCACGAGTTTTGGGTAGTTAGAGCTAGCGGGACGATCAGAAGTTGGATACTCCAGGTCGAAGTGAGAATCTTCGAAGGATTGTGCGAAGGGGTCTTCCTCAAAACCGTGAAATTCGCTTTCGCGCTGGTAGTTGCAGGACACGGTCGGGGCATGATCGATGCATTGTACGACTTTCCCGAAAGTGCCTTGACCCAACAACTCTTTGACAACGAATCTACTATTACAAAAAATATCGTCTTCGCGATAAACGTAGTGTCCCTCTTTGTCGGTTTGGAAAAACTCGCGTTTCAGTTTTTTCTTGCCTGCAGAGACGAGTTTGGATATCTTGGGTGCTGTGGCCATACGTTTAAACACGGGAGAGGAGGGATATTGGTCTTGCGCAGTAAGCGGAGAAACGCTTCTGACAACGTTCAAGGTCACTGCGCGATTACCGTCTATGGTCTTGGTAGAAGAGCCACTCAAATGGATGAGATCGTCGTCATTTTGACGGCGAGGCAAAGCCCGGTATTGTGCGGCCTCGTAAAGAAGTTTTGCATGCGGTAGTTGCGGTAGCGAAATTGTTCTCTGTTTTTTGAATTTCTTGCTGGTGTAGTGGTGATCTGCCTGTGGATCAAGCGGCAGAGGCGGTTGGGCAGGCTGTTCCTTGACAAAAATGAGATCGTCGTCTTCCTCGTTATCCTCGTTAACGTTGTGGTCGTGAAAATTCTCGTTTGCGACCGCGGTGGCGGATCCCGAATCTTGTACTCCCTGCGGCGCACGGGAACCCATGCTGCCAAAGTGGGAGTCGATCAGATTTCCCTGCAGCAGAGCGGACTGCCGTGCCAGCATTTCCCCAATGATAGGATCGGCATCGTTGTCGAGAAACATACCCTGGGGCACGGCCCCATGCGACGCTGCGCCGCTACGCGGCGCCGCGGCGTCCAGCGTCCGGGTGCGCTTGCGTTTGACCTGAAGGTTCTGGGACATCGTGGAGCGAAGAAAAAGGAGGGATAGAGCCTGAATATCTGTCTGATTTTTGAACTCGGATATCTGTGACACTGCACTCGCGCTGGCGCTGGTGCTCGTGATGGTGCGGTTATCTCGTGTGCTTAAGGCCCCTGGCTGGTGCACGCTGGGCCCGGCGACTAGTCGTGTGTATATATATATGCGTGGATATATACAGACGAGCCTGCTTACTACTTGTGCTAGTTACACTTCATCACCACGACTATCACCACACGTATTTTCCAATCTAATCATTTCTGGCCGGCCAATATAATTGATTATCACTATTTCCTCGCTCTCCCCTTGAACTTTTTTTTATTATTACGAAAGCAACACAATTTCCCGTAAAGAGTGATCTCGGCTTTGAAGCTCTGATCCGGGTAATAGCATGTGTACTCGCGGGTACTTGGGTACTCGAGTACTTGCGCGAAGTCGTATCATGGGCATCAGCCGGTGATGGGTAATGATCATGAATGGCACGGCAGACGCTGTCATAAGAAGAGGGTGGTACTTTTGCACAAGGTGAGCAGTACTGAGATTTTAGATCATTCAACAGTTACAAACCAAGGCGGGGAATCGCAATAAGAAACTGTTGTATCATAGCGCAATCCGATAAGTACTGAGCTTTTCATCTTATTGGACAATTGGAAACCTCGGCGAGTACGTATGGATAAATAAGATTCTGAAACTACTGAGAGTGTGACACTGGTGAATGTTATCGAGTCTCTGGAACTGTATCACCTAGAGTGGGTCCCATGACGGTAATGTAATATATCAATGGGCATGTTCTAGAGAGCTGCCAGCCTTGGTTCAGTTAGTTCATTATCAATTATCGATTTCTATCTGCGTCAGTCGTAGTGAGCTTGCTGGACTGATCTTCTAAGTCGTTCGTGGTGTGTCTGATTAATTGGCACCCGGATCTGCAATTCTGTTTATCTGCGTCACTGCCTAAACCTCGGCGTTTATTTGGGCATATCTACATAAGTCGTTCGTGGTGTGTCTAGAGCTCGCATTAGGATCGGTGAATTGCATTTATCTTTCCGTGGAATCCCGACAGAGAGTAAACCATGTGTATTGGTAACGAGTACTGTTCTAGACTGATACTGTATCAGCGTCTTCTGCTGGCGCAAGAACACTGAACAAGTGAGATTGTAGGCGCTGCCCGAGCGTCGTTTTGTCACTTTGTACTATTCTGTCTTGTTCTCGTTTTAACCCTATTGTGATCTACTTTCTTACGCAATACACGCCACTGGGCACAGGGATCCCCACCTAATCAAACCATTCAGCCTTCAATATGAAGGTGAAAGATTTGAACTGCCAATGGTGTTGCTGTATACCTATAGCCTTATCTTCAGACCTTGAAAAGCAACGGCTTCGTATTTTTGTTCAAATCTCAATGTCTTACAAAGAATCTATTCCCAAATTTGGGAAGTTTGGGTTTTTTGTTGATTATTTCAATGGTTGGTATCGGTGGCCTGAGATTCGAGTCCCAAATTTTTATAAATTGTTCAATCAAAGGAGTGAGATGAACAAGGGCATTCAACATTGACATGCAGCTAATCTAGCGAATATGAAGTGCCCAGTCACTTTTTGAAAACATTTCGTTGTAATCATCGGATCTGCTCTTCGTCAGCTACTTATGTTCATGGTTTGTATGTTAGACTCCTTGTTCCGCCAAGTGAGAAAATTCCCGTCGAGGAAATAACTTTCGGACGCTCACATAATATGACATCTCGAATCCGGTCTTGTGAATAATGTATGATAAAAAGCCCGCAATTTTCTTACCAGCGGTGGACATTGCTATCAAACTCTTCTTTGGTCAAATTAAATTCTGTAGCAGTTCCATCCAATATGTGTCCCCGTTATCCTAGTGGTAACAATAACTCTGGGACTTTCTCAATTACTGTCTTCTCTCTTACTAAACATTTTGTTGAACCTATTAGAATTCAATTTCCAAACCTAATATGTCGTGTTTGAGGAATTCCTTGCGCAACGACTTTGCTCTCACACATAGACGATCCGTTGTAAATTCGCACAGCTCATCATTTTTGACATGAATATCATATTTTTGATCGCTCTGTTACGTTCCTTGCGCCTTTGTGTAACGTACTCTCTCTCTTTTCGTTACAACAGGCTCACGAACATTGGAGTTTGCTGTAGCTTCACGCTTTCTGTAGGTATTCCTGCATATATTCTTTCTTCATCTTCTTATGGATGTTCATTTTTTTAATGATTTGCATTGTGTTAATACCACCTGTTCTGCTCTCTTACTACCACCCTCAGAAGGGATATGAGAAGAGCCTAGGTGGTGTGAGCTTCAGTAATCGTGGTACTAGTTTGGCATTCAGTGCGTCGTCGGTACCAGGGCAGTGCTACTGTCGTGCTTCTTGGTTCCCGTTGTACTTCTGACTCACTTATTAACGCTACGCCAACGTCATGATAGTACGAAGTGATACTGAGGGTATTGTAAACTACGTGTACTGTGCTCGCAGCGCAGTAGGTATGCTAGGCCTTATCAGCAGTTACTGAATTGATAATATGGGTACATCCGGCCAGGCACGAAATGTGGAAACAGCTACATAATGAGATTTTTACGTTAGTAGTAGTTAACTCGCCGAACTGGTGTCATTCAAGTGGTTCATGATGTATTAAACAGTTCTTATTGGAATTAGGGATTCTACTCATCTCTCCGTTGGTCTTTCGGCTTTGAGGTTAAGCCATCGAGTAAAGTAACTGGTCCGTACTTATATGAAAACTTGTTGAGCGTAAAGATATTGAGGCACATCTGCGTCAGTATTACTTAACTTGCTGGACTGGTCATTGAGTAGTTCATGGTGTATTAAACATGATGAAGCAAAAAAATAAGACATCCCATGATAAATCAGCACCAACGATTGCCGAAATACACACATCAAATATAATAGTCCAAGAAATGGGGTATTCTCATATTTCTTCCGAGGGTGGTAGTGATGGGGCAGAACCAAACGAGTCTACTGGCAAAGACATGAAATCATTAGATGATTCCGGCCACAGAGAGCTCAAGTCAGGAGAAAAATGGAGAAGGAAGTGGGGAGGAAGACATTATTACGAATGACGACATATATGCAGAAATTACGAGAGACCCTCTACCGAGAGGGAGCAGAGAACGAGAACTAGAATGAGTATGTTGTAACGAAAAGTAAAAGAATAGATGATTTTAGAGCCATAAGACGCGGTCCAGAAAGAGGTATTTGTGCCGGGACCTCCGGGTCTATCTGACACAGAACTAAACTTGTCCAAAGAAGGGTTTAACAACAAGCATAGAACACTGGCAAGGGCCGATCGCCAAGGATATTAGATGCGTTTCTGCGATACCAGATGCGTTTCTTGCGATACCAGATGCATTTCTGCGATACCAGATGCGTTTCTTGCTATAAATCACAACTTGGGTATTTTACAAGGTTAATGGGCTAGATCATTGAGATCTACAATTAGCTGTGTGCCAGGGGCGGAAGTGAATGCTTTGTAGTTGCAATCTATGTACTACTGTTAAGATAGCGTCAATTGCATGATGAAGAGTCGTGGCATACTAGTGAGAACTGAAGAGCCATGACGTGCCAGTGTGAAGTGAAGAGCCATGACGTGCTAGTGCGAAGTGAAGAGCCATGACGTGCTCGTGACAAGTGATGTCGGCCGATGAACTCGGTGACCCGGGTGAGAGAATCATGTAAGGCGGGAGCTCTGGCTCGGTGAAGCTGCTAACCGTTCGATCGCCAAACCAGAACAGGAATGGCGCAGTTCCAAGGTCCTGTGTGGACCACCCTCGGACCACCTCTTCGAAAACAAAGTCCTCGTCCCCCCACTCCCCCCACTTTCACGTGCCGCGCGCTGGCCAACGACGCGCTCGTCCACAATGCCAGCCGCGCCAAGCGACTTACTTCGGTCCACTGCGCGAATTATACACGCGCCATTATCCACGCCCCACGCGTCCCACCAATCACAATCGGTCTCCCTCACAATCGGTCTCCCTCACAATCGCCAATCCGTAGCCAACCCCCTGACGATTGTCCGCTTCTCACACACAACAACGACAATCCCGCTCCTACATTTACCGTACATTTGCGCCCCTGATACACAAACGCCAAAAAACAAAAACATAAAACCAAAAATAAACCACGCGCCCCACGCGCCCCACGTGACCGGCCTCTTGCCGTGCACGCCCCTATCACAACAAGACACTATCGCCGCGGCGCGCTTGCCTCTTTCGGCCGCTGCCGCTTCGGGAGCGTCCGTTTCCGCTTTCGGCACAGTCCGTGTGTACAGGCACGCCGGACGCATGCGGCGCGCGCCGCACGCTGACGTGATCAGGGACATCTTGGGGAAAGAGCGGAAAGAGGGAAGAAAAAAGAACCGACTTCGAGAGGGCCTCTTCTCCCGCGGACGGGAGACAAAAGTCTCCATTGTGCGGTGGAAAAGACAAAACACCAAAAGGCTCCATTGTGTGGTAGAAAGACAAAACACCAAAAGGCTCCATTGTGTGGTAGAAAGACAAACACCACCACCAGCACCACCACCACCAGCTACGGTCTCTAAGCAAGCAAACGCAGCTTATAGCGGGCGCGATATTGGAAAACCACCAAGCGCCGGGGCTGGGCACCGGGAAGAAAAGGAGAAAAAAAAAAGGAAAGGAAAACAAAAGACGAGACCAGACCAGACCAGACCAGACGAAAAAAAAAGGCAAGTAGCACGGCGTGTACGTGTGGTGTAACCAACTGGCAACTATAAGGCTCTTTCGTCATCTTTCGTGCTCGTTAAGCTAAGTCCGGTTGGGAAAAAATTTACCGTCGAAAATACGGTCGATTTTTGTGGTTCGCAAGCGCTTGGCACACGGGCCGCCGATGATCTTCGGTGTTTGATGAGTTTGGGCGAGACGGGATGTCTCATTCTCGAGGGTCTGGCGGGAGAGAGCAGGAGGTGGCACGCCAGGCTGATACTACGGCTGGGTCATCACCCATTTCGTGGCACCAACGCGCTTCCCTCATCGAATTTTTTTTACCCACGTTCTCTCTCTCTCTCTCTCCACCGCTCGCTTCTGGTTTCTCGTTTTTGTATTATTAAAAGCTGGCGTTTAGCGCTTATGTACATATATTTCATTACCACCGGTTGTTGTTGTGCTGTGCGTGTGTGGGAGCAGGGACCTGGCCGCCGGTGTGTCGGTCCGGGTCCCGAATGTGTAGTTGTAGCGGCAAGTGCAGGCTGCCGTTCTGGGTTTGTTCGTATTGCTGGACGAGCACTCTTTGCGAGTCCAAAGCACGCTGTAGCATCTCGATCCGCTGCGTGAGCTGGACCGTTTGCTTCTGCAGTTGCAAAAACGCTTCGATCGGGTTTCCGGGCGGTTTGCCAGCCACTTTGCCAGCCGCGATCGCCCAGTTTTTCCATTCCTGCATCGATTCTTGCGACTCCGCCCACTCGCTATCCGCACGTCCCAGTGCGAGGGGCATAGGCTCGGAAGTATCTTCGGTTTTGGGCTTTGGCTTCGAACTCTTGTCCGGCACGGTTTCGGACCCTTCGTGGGTGGTGGTGTCCCCGGGCACCCTCAGCATCAAATTGTTGTCCTTGTCGATGTAGAACCGCAGCATGCATTCGTCCATGAGACGGTTGGTTTGGCTCGTGTGCTCCAGGTCTCGTTCTTGCTGTCTGTCGCGAACCGCTTTCCAGTAGATCAAATTGAACCGGTCCCGACATTGGCGTTTATTTCTATGCATGTTGTAGTCCGAAGTCAAGCTCTCGCTGATGCAGAGCCAGTAACGGCTGCGAGGCCGACACTTGCGAGCGCTCCGTAATAGGTTTTGATGGCGAAGCATGGTTTCCAAAAGTGCGCGATCGCTATTCGACGACCAGAAATTACGACACGACCGAGTCGTCTTCGCCATCGTCATGGCTCCGTTGCTTCGGGTTCTGGGCGTTGTTGTTGCTGTCGTGTGCTGGTTTTTGGATGCGGTCCATTCGGCGTCCTGGACCGGTTTCGTTACTTGATGAGTCCCCAGATGTGGAGGCGTGGAATCTCCAGGCGAACTTTTATTTGTGAGCTCCAGCTCGTTACCCATGTCCAGCATGGGATGGGAGTGCTGTAAAGTTAAATTGGCCATGTCTAGCACAGGTCGTAGAGGTTGGAGTTCCGTCCCACTCACAAAGCTCGAGTTCAAGCTTGGCGACAGCGAGCTCGGAGTATTGATGTTGTAGTCCAAATCCGTGGTGGTGCTTCCGCAGTAATCTTCTGAAAGGTCCGGATCAAAACTGCTGCGGAATTGCCAGCCATTGGTGTTGTTGTCGAGACTTGCTTCATCGCCGTTGATGAACGACTCGCCAGTTTGGATCGACGGCATACTGCAAGAATTGTACAGTGTTTGGGCGTTGAATACCGAATGGGTCGTCTCGTCCCGACTACTGGGCTCGTACATTCCACTTAACTTGCGGGTCAAGGGCATACGAATGCTTATTTTTGGACTTACAGTAATGGGGGTGCGAGGCGGTTTCGAGGTGGATTCGAAGCGCTCGAGGAAATCACCAAATTTAAGATGTATCCAATTTCCCCAAAAATGCCAAAGCCAAATGTGAGTACACATCTATATATATATATATATATATATATATATTTATATTCATATCTCAGGCCTAATAAATTTCTTTGTTCTCTCTTCCTACCCAAAATAACGAATCTTCGCCCCACCTAGGGTGTATCGATGGCCGGACCCAATCGAGCGCCAAAAAAGACCAATGTGCATGATAAGCAGGGCGACCAGACGGCTCCGAAAGCCCTAGACCACAACGCATTATCCTTTTACCAACCGATGTCCCTTCTCTCAACCCACCTGTCCCGAAATGTCTAGTTTCTGGAGCATATCCCAATCCGGTAGCTCCATTACCGACTCCGGACGGGCTCATTAAACCATGCGCGAGTCTCGACTCACTGCCCACCATTCACTATCTCCCATTGCGAGACGCTCCCGTTGCAGCTAAGGGAATGTTTCGGTAGTATCGTCAATTTGGGCCCACATGTTCCGGAGTTGACGTCTATACGTGCGTTTTTTCGCCGTACCACTGGCAGCAACATCTAACAAGGCAGACCAAAACCTAAGCACGGGCGGGCCACCTGTAAGTCTCGCGCACAAGACTCAGCTCGTTTGAAGAAGAAAAATTATTTGTCCACTTTGGGTGCAGCGAGAAACAAAAAACTAAAATTTTCCAGCTGCAATTGAGTCTCCGGCTTTCCTAAGGCCCGCATCGTTTGCTTAGATTTCTCCCGCACAATCGTGGGCCCGTCCTGATTTAACGTGTTGTCAAGGCTGTGGCGTCCTCTAGAATATTGGTCCTCGGCAGTTGACCAAGAACGTTCCGCAAACCGTATGGAAACAAACCCACTCAGCAGCCAGCAGAACACTTTATTTTTCACAACGGCTTGTCAATTTTTCAATCACGCAAGAGATGCGCCAAAACCTGCAAGTCCTGCAGTGCGCAGGACGTAATGAAACATTCGAAATCGAAATTGTTGCGAAGCATGCTCTGTGTACGGCTGTCGTGGCGATAGCGTCAGGCACGGTTGGCGCGAGAGCTGATGGGCAGGTTGCGATAGGACTCCCGCGCGTAAGCGCGATAAAGATTTAGTCGACGCAGTGCAACGGCGATACGTGGAAAAACGGTAGATTATGGTGACGATGACGTAGAATTTTAGCTTTCCTTCACTTACAGGCCAGCAAGCGAGACGTAAGCTACCTTTTACGAACCCGCAATGTACCCGCAACAAGAGCTGCGTGACAAGACAAGAGCTAAAGCTTCCAGCGGAGAAAGCGACGGTGATATGAGACGTACGATGGAGCACACGGCGCCGATTTCAAAAAAGTAGGCTTTTTTTTTCGCGCGTACGCTGTGCAAGCGCAACTTACCAACACGGAGCGCTGGAACGACCAGCACCGAAGTTTCGTCTCCTGTCTTAACCTGTCGTAAGCCCATCCGATTTTTCACTGGACAGACGCAACTTGATTAATTTTTCATTGAATCCAAATTTACCGTGCAAAATGCGCGCTCGGACTTTTTTTTCCGGCACTCGGTACGATGAAGAGTCGCGTGACAAGGGCATATTCTCGAGTTTCAATTTGCCATGGATTTGTTCGTCATCAAAACGAGTATGAGAGCTCAAACTTTTGCTCCTGTCCCACATGGTAACAAGAACTAAGATATAGCTCAAAAGCTGGTGCTCTTTGTTTGAATGTCTGTCTTATCGTAGCTAGTAAGAGATTCATTGATCACGTGACCTATCAGTTTCGTGCGCAGCGATACGTCGTCACGAATACGGATATTCACATGTTATGTTAAATGCCGAACTCAGATGATATGCGAATGGTTGATCTCTAGATCGGTCTGAAACAGCTTTTCAGTGAGCTTGAAGACTGTTTTTTTCAGAGTCCCAGGACGTTCCTAGCACTGCTAACAACTTACAGGGTTTTTTTTCTGAGCCGAAGGCATTCTTTACTGAGGAACAGTCGCGCTCATATTTGTCCCGGACTTTTCAGCACGAAAGTTTATCTTCGCGTTTCAGCAGCCTGAGAATTGGCTGATCTTTGCTCAATTCAGACTTGCTTCCGTTTGGAACTTCATAAACAGCTTTGAAAAGCTGGCTTTTGACCTTTTGGAGCCCGCAGAACCGCATCTACCACCCGTGGCTTTCATCGATACCTAATTGCACGATCAACTCTAAAATATCAAAAACTTGCACTTCATGTCGATAACTGACGCTTACGAAACGGATTCCGATGAGGGCAAATCGCCTTCTTGGATACCATTGGCATCCTGGGTAGAACTTTTAGATCCCGTCTCGTCCACTGCGCAATCTTATCATTTGCCCAAACGTTACTTCAGCAGCGCTACCAAGAAAATAAAAAACACAAGGCCTCGTCAAAAGCTCGCACAACTTAGAACCACGGCTCAGGATCTCACTCCGCAGCTCGAGGAGTTCAAGCGACGTACTTTGGGACGGCTTCAAGCCCTGGACAAACCTCTAGAGACATTATTTTTTCATCAGAGCTCTCATCTGGAGAAATGGTTTTACCCTTTCACTTTGGTAAACATTTTCGCCATCGGCTTCATTATCGGAAAGTATCCAGAATGGTTCCACGTCTACTACACCGCCATGCTCATACTTCTGATGCCAGTACGTTACTATACCTACTACAAGACTAATAGCCATTACTACATGGCCGACCTCTGCTATTACGTGAACATGATGTGTTTGCTATTTATTTGGGTATGGCCACAGTCCGTTCACCTTTATCAATCTTGCTTTGCATTTACCTTTGGAACCCTATGTTTTGCTGTCATCACCTGGAGAAACTCTCTTGTCATACATTCGGTAGACAAGATCACTTCTTGCTTCATTCACATCATGCCACCCTTAACCATGTACACAATACGACATGGCATAAGTGAAGATTTAAAATTGGCGAGGTTTCCGGCAGCCTCCTTAATCGCATCCAAAAAATGGAATTTGAAACACAATATTTTCTGGACCTCAATTTATTACTTGGTTTGGCAAAGCGCTTACCATTACTTTATTACTTTGCGGCAGTCTTCGAAAATTAAATCTGGTCAAAGAGTCACAAGCTTCGAATATTTGACTTCCCACCAGTTCAAGAACTTTTGGGCCGTCAGGCTGCCGGAACCCTGGCCAATGATCTTTTACATTTTGATTCAATATTGCTATCAACTTGGCACAATGATGCTATGTGGAATCTGGTTTCATTATAGAAGAGCCGCGGGCGCATTTTTACTGTTCATTTACATTTGTGCAGCTAAGAACGGGGCAACATACTACATCGATCATTACGGCAAGAAGTTCGAGAAAGACGTTGCCAAACTTAAGATGGAAGTTGAGGAACTGCAGCAACAACTAGAACAGAAAACGCTCATTGAAAAAAGTTCAGCGAGTGATGTAGAATCCAGCTCACTGTGAAACAACACATGCTGCATCAACAATATGTATTCGCCATTGAGTAGACTGGTCGTTTAGTGAAGATGCAAATTTCATTACTCATTAATACGTTTTATATTTTATTTACAAGTGAATTTCGGGATGTGAAATATTTTCTGTGCGTGCTACTTCGCAGTTGTGGGCTCGATACTGTCTAGTTTTGATCGTTTGTTCACGATCTCTATAAGTATTCTGATACTGTTTTTGTCTTCCAGCTCCACCAATTTACCGTGAAGTTTCTTGACCATTGCGTAATTCCAAGAAATATGTCTTTGCGACGACATTATGATACCCATGGCGTCACTGAACATTTGTTGATCAGTGAAAAAATCCACCATCAACGAAGCAAAGGCGGTGTCCTTTTTAGCCCTTTCAGCAGGTGCTAGCCTTTGAAATGCTGCAGTCTTTCTGAAAGCTCCGCGACTTTCCCAAGTTTGCGTGGCTAGTTTGACATCTTGGAATTTCACAGCTGCCCTCATTGCCAATTCATGTACACTGGAATCTCTTAAAATTTTGTGCTTCATGGAAAACAAATATCTAAACGTAGCTTGTACTTCTGTATTATCGGTCGGATTTAAATCTTGACCTTGCGATTGAGAGCTTTCCTCTGATTCTGGTAGTGTTCTCGATTTTACTTTGTTGTAAAGAGATGAAATCTGGTCATTCAACATCCCCTGTTGAAAAGAGAATTCTGAGAGCCGAAGCAAAAACTCAGTCTTGTCACCCATTTTAATAGGAATGGTCAAAAATGACATGAATGATTTAGTGCTCAAAACATTGTGGTTAACTAAGGTAGATTTCCACAAAGCAATTTGATGCAAAATTCGGAAAGCGAAATCGTCCAAAGAATCACTAGACTCCACTATTTTAGTGATTTTTGTTGAAAGATCTCCGGGTTCTTCTCTCAAATCGCAAGTACCACCATAGCCAAGATTAAATTGCCAAAGGGCGCGGGATTCCAAAAGGACTTGTGTACCTTGATTGAAGTCTGCTATTGGTAGCATTGGTAGCCGAAGAGGAAGTCCGTTTTCAGCTTCATCAAACTTATAGTTGTAATCGACACTATTAATCAAGTTTCGTCTGGTAATAGCCCCTTGATCAAACCCCAATAACAGTGGCAGCTTGTCAGGAGAGTAATTAGCATATGCCAGCAACAAATAGTTGAAGAGATAGGGATTGAGCGACTTAGACCACAGAACCTTGAAATCAACAGATTTCGAGTCGCCGTGATTCATTTTCCATTTGTTATGATTTTCTGTAAATTTGGCTGTAGTGTACTTGAAGTACAATGCCCTGGCGAGTCCTGCGTCACCATCGTAGGCACAGAGAGCCATCATCGTCATGATTGTGTCTTCTAGGTTTCGACCCCGCATGTTGACGAGATCCTCATTTTGATGCAGATACTTCCAGCCCAATAGTCTCAGTGACTCACCTTTGCCCTCGCTGGAAACTGGATCGCCACTAGCTACCGCTAAAACTTTTGTCAATGCATTTAGTGTTTCAGCAGACGTTTCGATTTTCAAATCTGCCATTTCATTAAAAAGATCTATGGCCTTTGAGTAATTCTTCTCTTTAGCACAAATATTGAGCATTGTTGTGTAAGTCTTGGTATCAGGTTTATGCTCTGCTGATAAAAATTTCATGGTCGCAAATAAGTCCCAGGCTTGGTCGAAGAGTCCAAGTTTGCTATAGTATTGAGCAATCGTGGTGTAATTCTCTCTGTTAGGCAAAATATCATAATCTTGCTTGAATTTAGATAGAAAATAATTCATCTTCTGCGTATCTGATAGTCTTGATGCAAGTTTGATGCAACAGTTCAATATAAGCTGGTTCATCTCTGCCTTGGGAATCAATGAGGTACCAGTAGAGCCATCGGTTATTTTTTCCTGCAACAATAAGCTCTGAGCTGCATCAAATCGTTGCAGAAGGGATTCTATGAACTCGAAAGTCTCGCTCACAGTCGAATTTGGAAAACTTTTTATATTCGACAAGTTTAGAAACATGCATTCGTACATGGCTGTGGTGAACCTAGTTCCATCATTTCCAATGTAATCCATTAGCATAGAGTCCAGTTTGCGAATATTTTTCAACGAAAGATAGGATACTTTGGGAAGTATGAAGACTTTCAAAATACGGTGACTGACGCCCTGAAGCTTTTCAGGACAGTTGTATAATTTGGACACAATGCTATTCCAGTCACTGCTGCGATGGTTTATGAGTGATTTTAATACGAGCTCGTCATCATTTATTCGGTCAAGTAGGATTTGTGGCAGAAATTTCTGGGCCTGGCGAGACGTACTCAAAATAAACGAAGACAGATTCATTTCTGATGTGTTTAAATTCGAATTTTGTTGAGAGAGCGTCAATCCACTTTTGCTCCCCAAAATTAAGTTGGCAGTGGCCTCGGTGTTATTTTGTTTACTAAGCTCTTCTTTGGTAAGCTCTTTTTGGGCGGCGTCTTTGTGGGTTAAATCGTCTGCGACTCGAATTTGCGCCTGCAGGTTTCTTGTAAACTCACGCAACTGCCGCAGCTTAAATTCTAGTTCTCGCGGATCAGTCAAATTAAGCGTTTTATCAAGCTCCAAGTCCTCGACAGATACGTCTCGTCTGACGTTTCTAACATTCCGCCGGCGACGCCTGCTCTTATCACCACTTGCCGGTACCACTACAAATCTCTTGAAAACACAGCCAAGCCAGGGCTTCAAAGTATCGATATTTCGCGCTAGCATTTGTGTGCAATATTTAAACGTAACTACCTCTTTCAATCAACCCCAGGCTGCTCTATCTTGTCACTAAATATGAGCTGAAATTGTCAGTTTTTAGTTCCAAATGCATCGCGATGAGCTGAAATTTTCACTGAAAAGAAACTGAAAAAATTCAACTTGACCCATGAGATGAGATGAGATGAGCTTATTTTGAACCTGTTTAGAAGACAAGCTCATCAATACTTAGTGAGTCACTGTTGCCTATACTGAAATATGAGCGTCGCTAAAAGATCGGTTGCTGATAGACCTGCTGAGATTAAAACTCAAGCGCCAGAACCTGCCGTTAAAGGAGCAAATGTTAGCGGTAGAGGCTGGAAAGTGGACAAAGGTCAATTCAGAGTTGGTAGCAGACAAGTAAAAAACAAGAAGCTTACGTCTTGGGAGCTTAAGAAAGAGAAAATGCTCGAGGACAAGCAGTTCAAGCTCAAACTAAAAGAACTAAAGGATGAGAAGAATCAAGCCCATAAAGATAAGATACAGGCGTTGAAGGAGCGCAGGGAAAAGAAGGAGGAGCAAGAACGCTACGAAAGATTGGCAGTCAAGATGCATGCAAAGAGAGTTGATCGTTTGAGGCGTAGGGAAAAACGTAACAAAGCATTGAAAGAACGTTAGCGCATGCTATTTTGTGGCATGCAGATGTGTGTACATTAGAATAAATATGAAGGGCTCGTGAAGAATTTTAATCAATAGATCCTCGGAGGAAATATACAAGTGTGTGAAAAGAGGCTCCGGTCAGGAACGAACTTGGTGGCCTGTAGTGGTGGGTTTATATCAGCGCGTCGATTCCGCTCTCCGGTGAACGTTTCTAGTTGTAAGAGGTAAGCTAACTGGAGCACAGCTATAAGAATAAAGCTTCTCACACAAGCAAAAATAAATGCGAATTCTGTGGATCGAACACAGGACCTCCAGATTTCAAAGTGACCGAAGTTTTTCTTCAGTCTGGCGCTCTCCCAACTGAGCTAAATCCGCTTATTGTTGAAAGTACCTTCGTACCTAAAGGTTCTAGCGTTCCGAAAATAGCACGTTGTTGATCTGATTAATGTTACCTCTGTTAAATACAGATCAGCCCAATTCACACCTGATGCTTCTCTTTGTCCTAAAATGGCTTTGCTAGCTGAATCTAGACATTCCTCTTTCTTCTCTTTCCTTTCTCATAGTAACTCAGTGCTTACGTTATTTGTAGTTAATAGATCAACAATGCAAAATCAACCCGATCTGTTCGGAAACAGAACTATATACCGTGACCAATTGTCTATTTCAAACAGGCCACTTTAGGTCCTTTTCACATCTTAATTCATTTTGTTGATCTAGAATTGTCTGCGCTTGATATATTATGATTTAAAATAATCATCTTGAGTTTTATTGATATACTTCAAACTCACTATAAGTGAATGGTGAATGTCAAATGCCAAGGTTAAAGTCATAAGAACCCATGAGGGACACCTGTTAGAGCTTGTGGATGAAGATGTTCAGTCAGTTAATGCATTCAAGACGAGGCTCAAGCTCAATCAAGATGAGTATAGCTTGAATGACACCCAAGATACTGAACACATTGCAAAAAAACGCAAGCCCCAAAATGATGTGGAGGTGAGTTCACTTACTACAGATATCGGTTCTACAGCCCAAGAACCATCCTCAGTGAGCGTAGATGAATTCAGGCAGTACCATCAGGCCAAAAGCAGAGTGCGAGAATTCTATCGAGAACAGCACGAGAAGCAGACCATGGCATTCAACTTACAAGCCCGGGTGAATTTCAAGACGAAATCAAGAGCTCGAATGACAATATGGGAAGCACTTTGTAAGTTGAGCATGCTGATTGATGACTCTGATCCGGACACTGAGCTGTCACAAATAGATCATGCACTGCAAACAGCAGAAGCAATACGAGCGGATGGTAAACCGCGATGGATGCAGCTTGTCGGACTTGTCCATGATCTGGGCAAAATCCTCTATTTTTTTGACAGCGAAGGTCAATGGGATGTTGTTGGAGATACCTTTCCAATAGGTTGTAAATTTGTTGATCAAATCATATTTCATGGGTTTTTCAAGGGGAATCCAGATGATTCGCATCCTATTTATTCTTCAGAATTGGGCATTTACGAAGAAAGTTGTGGACTCAGTTCTGTCATGATTTCGTGGGGACATGACGAATACATGTATTATATTGCCAAAAGTCAATCCAATCTGAATGAAAAAGCCCTCGCCATGATAAGATATCATTCGTTCTATCCCTGGCACAGAGAAGGCGCTTATTCTTATCTAATGAATAAAAAGGACCATGAGATGTTGAAGGAGGTTCAAGAATTCAATAAGTATGACTTATACTCTAAAAGTCTAAAAAGGTACGATATGAAAGAACTTCAGCCATATTACCTTGATCTGATAGACGAATTTTTCCCTGAAAAGTACGTTGAGTTTTGAGATACCTATCCTGGATTTTTATTCCTGTTAACCGTTTGTATTCTAATATACAGTCTATTAATACAATATTACATATTTATCAAGGACCCTTGACATGCTGTTCTCTCATTGATACACTTTAATGCGTCTAACCATAGTGATGAATGTCAATGTGGTATGCTTAGTTTAGACAGTGGGCAAAATTTCACCAACACCGAAAAATTGCTCGATGCCATAAGGACCTGGCTGTTTCCAGTAATCATTGTAAGTGGATAAAACGGTGACTTGTTGGCCCATTTCATTCAAAATGTTTTGAACAGCTTTGATTTGATTTTCAGCAGATGGGTAATTTCCGCCATTTTGATCACCACCGGATGGGTATCCAGTTTCAGTTACCTCAACGTTGTTCGTCCCGCAAACTTGTTGAATCAACTCGAGTTGGCCTTTGACGAAGGTTCCAGCTGAATCAGCAGAAGAGTTGACATCGAAATACGCATGAGAGTTGATGCCGACGAAATCGATCTTGGCATCTTGGCACAACTTGGGGTTATTTTCGAAAGAGACTGGAGGCTCGCTTGTGGTGAATTTGCCTTTGAATCCTGCGTTTTCAAATTGGGTTCTTACTGAAGAAATTTTACCCAGTAATTCATCGACAGAGCAATAGTTGTTAAGAATCGCTTCGTTACCAATAGTCAAAACATCGAATAAGTCCCATCCATTAGACTCGCCGTACGACAAAATCGCCGCAATAGAACTATCAATGGAGTCAACACCAGCAGAAGTGATCCACATGCCTTGGTTTATGGTCATACCTAGCGATTGGGCAGCAGATGTGATAGTTTCCAAAGAGTTGCAGTCTGTACCATAAATTCTAATCTTGGAGACGCCTCTGGACTTAATGTACTCCATATCTTGATAAACACTAGAGGAGTCTTTGCAGGTGTTGTCATTGTTGTAAGGAGAGTACACCAAGGCGGTAGGAGCACTGGTCAAGCCACCGGATGAACTTGATTGGGCACTTGATGAGAGAGTAGACGTTTGGGAAACGGACGAAGACACAGCTTGTTCGCTAGTTGAGGACGAGCTTGTTGTGGTAGAAGTCGTCTGCTGGGCATTAGAAGCGAAATCTGTTTGAGCCGTGCTTGATGAATAATAAATCTGTTGTGTGCCGGAAAGCGGAGCGGAAGAGCCGAAACTAGACGATACTGAATTACCAGAGGTTTCCTGAGCATTGGAGGTGGTTGATGCTGGAGTGACGGAAGTTTGAAGGCTTGAAGTAGTTGAAGTTTGTGGGCTCGAGGAAGTCACAGAGGTAGCAATTGTCTGATCATTCTCAGAATAGGCAGAAGGGACAGCTTGTTGAGGTAGAACAGAGGTGGAAGCAACAAGATTGCTAGTGAAATAAGTAGACGAAGCTTGTTGCTGACTTTGAGTATTAGCGTTCTGGCCCACCTGCGAGGCTTGTACGGCAGAGACGTAAACTGTTCCTTTGGGGGTTCCATTAGCCACAGTAGTAGCACAAGTGGTGGAGGAAGGATCCGCGACGTAGTTTTGTTGGGGTTTGATCGTCAATAGAAGGGTAGTAGTGGGATTTCCAGTAGGGGTGGATCCGTCTGCTCTTGGCAAGGTAGTCGTGAGCGTGGCATCGCCGCTGATTATAAACTCAACGGTGGGAGCGACGTCTACTTCCGTAGTGGTTGAGTAAAAGTCAGTCACTACGTTGGTAGTGCTAGCGGTGTGCATTCTGGTAACAATCTGTCTCTTAGGAAGACTGCCTAATACGGGCACCGCATTGGCAAAATATTGTGCCATTAGCACAAAGAAAAAGAGAATTGTAGAGCTAAATCTTGTAGAAATCATAGCTTCTTGTAAATATTTTGCGGCAAACGTAGGATGATTGGGTTATTTGAATCAGCTTGGAGATGGAGAGGATTAACTTTCATGCATGATAGATCTTCTTTCAAACCTCATAGCCTCAACTCATCTATTTTATAACTTTCTGAGGTTCATGAAGCTATGTTTTGATTTCTGCGCTCGATCAAGCTCCGCTTGGCTTGAGCCAGTCCTTTTTGGCAAGCATTGGATAATTTTGATGTCGACTACAAACAAAAACTCAAAAAGTCTGCTTTCAGGGCCCGTAAGCTATTGTTCGTCACCCGCAAAGCTTGTCATGTCAGTACACACACAAGCTCAAAACAGAAGTGGAGACATCTCTCCTGGTTTGTTTATAGTTGTAAGCTTTCTCATTTAGCTGGTGAAAGGCGCCAGGTTCATTTTTCATCGCTCGAATTTTTTGTTTACATAATAAAAACAGCTGGTTTACGTAAATAAAAATGGCTGACAACGCATTATACCATTCATATAATCAGTAGTAAGTTGGTGACTGAATAACTCTTTTCGTTTGTTTGTACTACGTGAGGAGTGGTGTTTTGTTTATTTATTTCTGCACCTTTTCTAACCTACATCGACATCGTTTTCGGATGCTTGGTAGGATTGTTACCAAAGCCGACCAAACAATATGTCTAAGACTCACGCCGCGACTCTATCAAAAATCTGCTTGCATCGATTGAGCATCAGCAGCAGGCTTGTCTACAATCGTTCTGGAAGTATACCCAAAATGTTAACAATCAACGAACTCCACCCAGTGAAGTGCTGTACACCAGTCCCCTTCCCAGTGTCGTGATTATAATTCTCGTATACGTAACCGTCCTCACCCCACACACGGTACATGTTTGCTATCAAGTTAGTCCTAAGGTCACTGTATAGCTTTTGAGCTTTTTGCACCGTCTCTAAATCCTGCTCATCGCCGCCTTGTTGGAAATAAAAGACTAAGCTGTCCAAAAGCAAGTAGTTCATGTTGATCCAAACTGGACCTCTCCAGTATACCTCTCCAGTTTCAAAAACCTCGTCTTTCCGGGACAGTGAGAGGATGCCGTAATCGCTAAACAACTTCTCGTTGTCCCCCATTGAATTTAAAAACCATTTTAGCTTATCGGACTTTTTAGGAACGAGTTTTAGTGCGAAGGGCATTAACGAGACATAGCCCTCGTGGCGCACAAATTGACGCAATTCGTCTTTGTCGTCATCGATCGTCACATCATAATAGCAGTGATCTTCTTCACTCCAATGGATGTAGTCTAAATTATCAATGATTTTCTTTTCTGTCTGAGAAAACCGTTCAAACTCTTCCGGCATGTCTAGAACCTTTGATATCTGCTTCATTGATCTTGTCATAACACCAGCCCAAGCAAGGGCATCTAAATGCAACTCTGCAACATCAGGAGGCTGAGCACGGGGATAGTCATCAAGACCACTAGGTAAACAGTGTGTGAAAGTTCTCCCAACCCATCTGAATGCCTCCTCTGGATGAACATCGTTGTGGAGGACTTCCAAGTACTCCTCAATGAATCCTCTTTGACTGTTGGTCCACCATTCGTAGTGCTTTAGAAGCTTAGGGTAAACCTTCTTGGCAAACAAAGTCAAAAGCTCAGGACGCTTTAGAAGTTCATCAGTATTGGATGCAGTGAATGAGTGATCTTCTGGTTCTTTGTTTATTGACTCTTGATATTCGAGAGCTCGGGCCAACATCTCGCTGAAACATAACAGCAAAGTTGGAGGATTTGCAATGTTAGGGTTTTGAACTTGAAATTCTTCAGGGACCTTGCTCCTAGCTTCGCTGCCAAGTATCAGTTCTCGTGCCACCCATCCACTGTCATCTTCGATCAATGCGAACCAGCTCTGTAAAATTTCTAGTGCTAGATCGAAATCATATTCCATCATTTGCAGCAGGTGGAACCCTTCATCCCAATAAAACCCCCGGGGAAAGAAGGCCCTACTGGGCACCGAACTAAACAGTTGCAATGGTCCCTCCTCTTTAGCTGCCTTGAGCTCAATTTTTTCGAACTGTTCTTCATCAAATTCTGTAGTGCGGTCAACCATTTGAGTACCATAAAAATAACCTATCCCTCCCATCAGATTTGCCAGGGTCTCCTCTGCAAATTGCTTGAGATTCAGGTCTTTTATGGAAAATTTGTTGTTGAAACGTACTTCGAGTTCGCTCATGGTCCAAGAGATCAAAGTTGAGAATTCATTCCTAGAGCTTATGCGCTGCTTTGAGCCCTTCTTGTTGAATATGATATCGAATTCGAAGGGTTCTTTAAAATCAAAAGTTTTTTGAACGAAATGAAAACTGCCAGGCGGGAAGTTGTTGGTGTTTCTCAACATCAATGCAGATGGCAAAGACATAGGATTTATCTTCTTGCCCGATGCCACTATCTGCTGTATAGACTCTGTCAACATCGTTTGGAAAATGTCGCGGGCTTTCCATACCTGGTCATCTGGCACTGTAAACGAAATGTGCGATGGCTTTGTGCTGTCGCCATTAACTTCTGAAGCAGGGCCCCCGCTGTAATACTCGCCAGAATTGTCAGTTATTCTTATGTCGTACGCGCCAAGCTCTGGAGCAGAGCCCTCAAGATATATGCCATTTTTGTCTTGACGTGTAGTGGAATCTCTCCCTAGGTTGCCCGCCGGACCGTTTTGACTGAAGTACATTACCAGCGAGGGCACTTTAGTCTTCGTTGGATCTAAAGGCTCTCCAGAGATTCTTGCACCCCAATTTTCACCATTCCTACTCTTCGCAAAATGAATTGTCAAGTTCAGGTTGTTTTCCCTATCTATTATCACTTCCTTGCCACCTAATCTTGGGTCGTACCTTTCGTAGCTGTACTTTTCAAGCTTGTCGCCTATGTCGACGAAATGTCTCAACTGGTTCAACCCCTGTGGCTCAGACGCATCAAACCACATGAGTCCCATCATCAGGGGGTTTTCGTTGACAAATCGGGGCCTTATTCCGAAGTAACAGTTGGATCGGTATGGGGCCCATAGTAGTGATTGGTTTGTATGTCTACCAAATTCTTGAAAATCATCCTCGAAGGAGGGCCTAGTCTCTGCCAATACAGTGAAGCATATCCAGATGATTGTCAAAGCTAGGCTGCGAAGCATTGGTTTTTAGAAGTTGATTTTCTTTCTTTGATATGTCAGTCAGTGCAAATATTTGTCTGTTGAAAAGATGAATAAAGGGCAAATCAATCAAATTTTGGTAAAGAAACAAGCTATGGCAATAATATTATACTAAAACCAACACATTTCATCCAAGACGTTTGATCTTGATGTGTGTCCAAGCAGTAGCTTTTCTTTTCATGGTTGAAATGAAATACAATTTCGAGTGTCCAAAAGTCAGTTGAATTGTTGAAAACATATACACTTACAAATACATCCGACGAGGGTTTTAAGTACACACATTGCCTGTCTAGCCAAACCCTCCAAGCCTTTTTTTCTTTTTCTTGAGCCGTTGCGAGCTTAGGGACTGTGACAACGTCGGAACTGGCTGCGAAGCAGATGTTAACGAAAATGCTGGAGTCATTGTATCTGGCAAAACGTTCGTCGGGTTAGCGACAGCAGAAACCTGAGAATTCACAGAGTTGGTCGTGCTCAATGTAGGTTGTGATGCTACTTGAGAGATACGAGATGCTCTTTTATCCTTAGGTCTCCGCAACTTGGGTGGACTATTCTGAGATGACTTGACAAAAGGAGGAATCTGAAAGTGTTGTGTGTGCAGATCAGATTTGAGCTCCAGAGGCGAAGGTTCAACAACCTTGGTGTCGATATCAGCATCATCCCACACATCTAATAATTCACGATCCTCATTAGACAGTTCCTCATAAACGCTCTCATTTGCCAATGAAAGCTGTGATAAGCTGCATATTCCTGTGTTCTTCAAAATTACAGTTTTCAACATCTCCCGGACTGCGTGCTCATCGTCCGGGAGCCCAAAATTCCAGCACTGTAATAATCTGGTGTAAAGAAGGCCCAAATCTGCGACGTTTTCGCGAATGAGCGAAGATGAAATTGTTGATAGTTCCGTGAACCAGACCTGTTGTTCTTTGTAGTGATCTTGAAATTGCCGGAGTAGCGATCCAAATTCTTCCAAACTTTCTACATAGCCAACTGTATGTGCTAGTTCGTCGAGAGAAAAAGACTCAACCCCGCGAGTGCTCATCTCGTTTGTCGACTCTTGTGCCCACGCCGTCAGTAGCTTATTCATTCCCTCCGAAAGTAGATATCCGTATTGTTGAAACGCGGCTTCTTCTTTTGAAGGGTCATGGTCTACAACGCTTTTGGGTAATTGGGAATTAAGCGTAACATATCTATGAGGAACACTCGCTATCATCATGGAGTCCATATCGCTAGCAGTATGCTTTTCTTGGTCCAAATTTGTATGGCTCGAAGGGACGTCGCCAGCAGACAAAAGTATCTTCCAAATTGTGCTACTACCACACTCTCTAACGAGACTAAAAAACCCTGGTTTCGCTTCGCTAGGGTCATTCCCCATGTTGCCATTAGAGACTATCAAAGTCTGAGGAATAACAACGTGGTCAATACCAGAGCGAAACCCCTCAACTTCCAACAAAGATGATTTGCCCACAGATTGAAACATTGAGTCGGTTCTGGAAAAAACATGCAATAGTATTTGAGGTCTTAAGCTGGAGAATACGAAAATGAAAAATAGTTCATCGCACCTACTACCCCATTCAACACCACTGACTGCACGAACCTCTGATCTGATCGTCACATCCTGTGGATCCAAAGAATGCTTCCAAGACACAACGCGCTCAATATCACTGTTTTTAAAATTCATTAAGATGATCTCTTTGCTTGTGGTCAAGACCGCAAACTGGTCACTGACGCGCTTGAAATCTCGCAATGACGACCAGGAGTTAGCCTGAATTATTTCTAACTGCGAACGGTTTTTCAAGTTCAACTCAATAAGTTTTGACCTACTGATGGCGAGCAGACAGAAGTATTGCGCACCCCATTCGAGCCTCCGCCACGAAGAAAGCTCTTCTGGATCATAGACAGTGCCTCGTTTGTTCATTGACAATCGAAGTCTAGAAAAGCGCTGTCCCTTTTTAACTATATCTCCTGAGCTCCAATTTCCTTTAGTGTCAATGATGGCAAATTCGTTGAAGTCCCAAGGGTTGAACGCGATGTCAACAAAAGCAAAGTCTTCAAAAGCACTGAACCCTAAAGGATCTAACCTTTCGATTGAAGAGCAGCCGCCAGAACATTCTATCGACTTAACTTTGAAGACGGTAAGAGAATTTGCTGTGATTACTGCAAGTATATCAGAAGCCCTGTTTAATGCCGTGGAAAAGCCTGGCACTACAATATTTTTTATCTCTGAATGCAAATTGTATCTTGAAATATCACCAACAAATTCAAGAGTAGTGCTAGCTCTCGTTTTGTCCACGACGCCTATGCTTAATATACTGCCTGTTTCACCAGATGCAAATGCGACGATATGCTGAGCGTCTTTGTTCATGCGCAAGTCTGTCGTGGTATGTATGGGGCCCATAGTAAGATTGGTAATATTGGTGGGATCAAATATCTGAAATTGTGATAGACTTGTTCTCGACTTGCCGTACGTCGATGAGGCGAAGAAACTTTGCCCAAGTTTTTGATCTCCCAGTTTCTTTGAAGCGCTCTCTGTGTTTGAGGATTCTACAGTGCTAAGAATCTGACCGGGCAAATAATTGTGTGGCGCAATAGAAGAGCCGACTTTGATTTCGTAGCTATGATCAGTCATAAGTTTAACGTCTCTAAAAATCTTCAATGTATTGGGGCTATCCAAAGGCGCCATACTGCGCAGTTCCGAGTTTACCTCACAAGAGCTATAATCATCAACATCGCTATCACTTGTTGAAGTCAGCAATATGTCATCGCCCTCGAGTTCGGCATTGGTCATGTCCCGATCATGCGTTCCGTCATTTTCGCTGTCCAAAAACTTCTGTTTGGGTCCAGCAGTCAAGACCAAATGCTTGTGTTCCTCGAAACTATCAACCTCTCCAAACACCCACTTCAAATTATTCGTTTGTCGTTGTTTGTCTGCGGTTGCGACATATATGGCTGGATTTCTGATTCCCAGGCCAAGTTGAACACCTGTATTCTTCTTGAATGGCAGAAACTGAGCCCTTTCCATCAAACTTCATAAAGTTCACGATTAGGAAAAACTCTGGGCCTTCTAGAATCGACAGTTTTCAGTTTCTGGACTGTTTTTGTATAATAGTTAGTTGACGATGAGATTCACTCATACAAATAATTTCTAGTTATATTTGTTCGTATTAAACCATGATTTTAGAAAGTATTTAGATCTCACGAAGTGTAGGGTAGAAAAGGTTTAAGTTTCAAGTTGGCGGCAACAAAATTCTTGTATAAACGTTAAGCAGCACTATTTACCATCTCTGGTATTCTATTTCAATTTCGGGGTCTGTGAGGCTCTCAGATGTAGACGTCAGTTAAAACCTTACATTTTCACTCAATGACTTTGGACGGAAGGGTCTTCCTCGAATCTCAAGTCCCAACCAATCTGAGGACCAAGCTTGGGAAGGATCTCAGCAACACTTTGCACATCCTTATCACCTCTGCCTGAGACGTTGATGACGATGTGCTGGCCTTTTTCCATGGTTTTCGCGAGTTGAACTGCACCATACACCGCATGAGATGATTCCAAAGCTGGAATAATACCTTCCAACTGTGACATTAGTTTGAAACCTTCGAGAGCCTGGGCGTCTGTAGCGGCAACAAAAGTTGCGCGGCCAGAAGCCTTCCAGGAGGCGAGTTCGGGCCCCACACCAGGATAGTCCAAACCAGCAGAAACAGAATGCGTGTCATGCACTTGGCCATCAGTGTCTTGCAACACATAAGTTTTAACACCGTGGAACACACCTGGTCTACCTGCAGTCAAGGTGGCAGAGTGAAATGCGGTGTCAACACCGTCCCCACCAGCCTCAACTCCTAAGAATTTGACCGATAGGTCGTGTTCGAATGGAGAAAACATACCAGTGGAGTTGGATCCACCACCAACGCAAGCAACTACAGCATCCGGTAGTTTGCCGTTGTTAAGCTTAGCGAATTGCTCCTTGGTTTCGTTACCAATCACAGATTGAAAAGTACGCACCAAAGTTGGATAAGGGTGGGGACCGATGGCGGAGCCAACCACGTAGTGAGTGGTCTTTAAGTTGGAGACCCAAAAACGGAACGCTTCCGAAGTGGCATCCCTCAAAGTCTTGGTACCATTGGTAACAGCAATCACATCAGCTCCCAAGATACGCATTCTGAACACGTTCAGGGCCTGACGGCGAACGTCCTCTGCACCCATAAAGACCGTACATTCCAAACCAAACTTAGCGCAAGCAGTGGCAGTAGCCACACCATGCTGGCCGGCACCGGTTTCTGCGATGATTTTCTTCTTGCCCAGTCTCTTAGCAATGAGGACTTGAGCCAAAGCGTTATTTATCTTGTGAGACCCAGTGTGATTCAAGTCCTCTCTTTTCAGCCAGATTTGAGCACCACCTGCGTACTCGGTGAGCCGATCAGCTCTATGCAAGGTTGAAGGGCGACCAATGTAGGAATATAAATCTCTAAATTCCTTCCAGAAAATAGGGTCAGCAACGGCACTTTCAAAACCCTGTTCCAACTCTCTTAAGCAGGCATGCAAGGCTTCGGGAACATATTGGCCGCCAAAGTCTCCGAAATTGGCCTGAAATTTGTGGACTTCGTTGAAATTGGTTACAGCAGCCTTTTTGTTTCTGCCTTCGGCGATGGACTTGGTTTGCAAGGCTTTAAACTCTTCTGGTGAAAGTATTGTGTGCTTTTGACCGTCGAGGATTTCCTCTACATATGACTTAACGACTTGATAACGTTCCTCCGGTTTGCATTCTTCAATAAGTTTGATGATCTTCGATCCAATAACCACACCATCAGAAGCAGCACCAACCGATTGAAAGTGTTCCCTGGTAGAAACACCAAATCCAACGGCTAGCGGAATATCTTTAGTGAATTTCCGAATATGGTCGACCAGGACAGCCACGTCGTCGGTGACTGAGATTTGAGCACCAGTAGTGCCCATTCTTGACACTACGTATATAAAAGAAGTAGCAATCTGAGAAAGGAGCTCCAAACGCTGGTCAGTAGTCGAGGGTGCCACTAGAGGGATTAAGCTCAAACCATTATCATTAACGTAGTCGCGAACTTTTAGGGCTTCCTCTGGGGGCAAATCCACAATGATAAACCCACTAGCTCCGGCGTCAGCAGCTTCTTCGATGAACTTCTGCTCTCCGTAGTTGAGAATTGGATTGTAGTAGCCCATAAGAATGATAGGCACTGTCACGCCTTCGGCTCTCGCCTGGCGGACCATATCCAAAGTTTTGCCCATGGTGACGCCGTTCTGCAGAGAAACAGTGTTAGCATACTGAATAGTTGGTCCATCAGCGATAGGATCGGAGAAGGGCATTCCCAATTCGATGACGTCAACCCCACCATCTTGGAACGCTTTCAGCATTGGAATAGTGTCTTCGACTCTAGGGTAGCCTGCGGTCATAAAGGTGACCAAAGCGTTACGGCCTTCGGCCTTAGCATCGGCAAAGGTCTTCTTCAAAAGTTCAGCCATTTCGCAGAAGTTATTTGAAGATTGAATAAAGAAATAATAAACTTTCTTTCCAAAATGCTTTCATAGCTTAAGCTGGCTTTTAAGTTCAGGAACTTTTTCTTCAAATATTAAGTTGACTCACTTTCTTTAGCGTACTTTTGAACGAAATGTGTCAAAGGGTTTTGAGCTCACTGGAGGAAGTCCATGTTCAGGTTCGTTAGATCAATGTTGTTAAGATCAAGCATGTTATCCTGCTGGCCCGAATGCTGTTGTTGATGAGTGTTTGACTGTGGGTGTCCCGAATTTGATTGCTCTGATATGGACATGTTCAAAATATTGGCTGGCGTAATGCTAGTCGGATTGAACTGCTGAGAAGCGGATGGGGCATGCCGCTGCGCGGGACCCTGCGATTTAGATGCTGCAGGGAAGGGCATGTTTGTGCCGTTGGCTGGAGATATTAAATTCATCGGACTGCTCATCATGTTCATGGGCGACATACTCGACAAAATTTGAGAGGGATTCGTAGCAGGCGTAAATTGCTGTTGCTGTTGCTGTTGCTGTTGTTTTTGTTTTTGTTTTTGTTGTTGTTGTAGCTGTTGCTGTTGCTGTTGCTGTTGCTGTTGCTGTTGCTGTTGCTGTTGCTGTTGCTGTTGCAGTTGTAGTTGTTGTTGTTGTTGTTGTTGTTGTTGTTGTTGTTGTTGTTGTTGTTGTTGTTGTTGTTGTTGTTGTTGTTGTTGTTGTTGGTGTTGTTGTTGTTGTTGTTGTAGTTGGACTGCCTGGAAAGAAGCTTGATTCTGCGGCTGCTGGGGCTGGGGCAGAATAGACGATGGGGACGGGCCCGAATTTTTCTTGGGACGTGGCTTTCTCGACTTTTTTGACGGGACAATATTCGTTGCAGATGGTGTTGGAACATTGCTGGAGGGTGTGCCAGCATTTGAATTGCCTTCTTTCGTAGTGTTCGTCGTATAGTTTGCGGACGGCGAGTTGCGGTTCGACTGCTTTCCCGCGGCGGCCAGAGTAGCCTCGCTCAAGTATGCAAGCCGCTCGAGGGGCATGAATTTAGTAGCAAGCTTTTCGTCTCTTGAAGTCTGCTGTAGACCGTCAAATAGCGGCTGCAGTCGGGTATATTCTGTCGAAAACATCTGCACCTCAGCGACGAACTCCACTAGCTTAGCACGGACTTGAGTAAAAGTCTCTTGAGATGAGCCGTCTGATCTCTGCTCCATTGCGGCCATGGTATTGAGGAGCTCGTTGAATCGCAGCCGCATTGGCAAGATCGAATTTTGAACATTTTCTAATTCGCGCTTGACGGATTCTTTGTAGCTGTTATCTGATCCTAATCGTTCGTATAAGTCGGCCACTTCAAAGTTTTTGGCATCGGAAGATTGCACGCTATCAGCCTCGCCACCCATAGAGCCGGGAGGTTTCCTTGAATACAATTAGGGCTTCAGCTTGTTGCTTTGTTTTCAGCTTCATTATTGAGAGAAATCCGATCTTCAATCCATCTCATATACCGTCTAGTGTGAGAAAATACCGCCGAGAATAAGAAAGAAGATGTGATCCGATCAAGATGTGAGGGTTAACGACAGTTTAAGATGTGCTAGGCTTTTTAGAACCGACGGCCTTGAATTTCACGATTTTAGTACTGTTTTGAAGGGTTTCAATAGTCCAGTTTTGACTTACGTAGTGTTCCAGATCCTTCCACATGCCATGAAACCAATAGACGCTTAAGAATGAGACTGACAACTGATTGTAGCATACAGAAATCATTTTCATAGTTCTCTGTTGCATTTTTTGAAAAGCAGGAAGTGCTGAGATGAAAATTCTTATTAACGACGAATCCGGGAGTTCAGAAACAACTTTAAACCAAACAGACGGTGGTTGATTTTGAATACAGTACACCAGCGAGAGTGTTTTAGAGGGCTCATAAAGGTCACTGTTGAGCATGTGGGAATTCAAAAGTGTCAAGCAACGGGTAAGGTTCCCCTCACCGTGAGAAATGTATAAGGCACAACAGGCTACCATTTGCTGCGACAAGCTGTTTGAGATCGCATGCTGCAGCAAGTTGTCAACGTAAAAACGGATGCTGGGATAACTTTTGTGCGCTTCGCGATGCTTGCAATAGTATTTCACGGTTTTCTCGTACACGCGAGTTGCAAAATCCAGGAATTTGGGGTCCCTGCAAATGTTAGAGCCTGCCGCCACAATTATTTCCCTTAACTTTCGCAGGCCGTGTTCCACCAAGCTGCTGTTCGGTGCCTGTTCCTCTTGAGTCTCTATTTCTTTCAAGAAGTCATCTCTAGCGCATTGGTCTCGCTGCAACTGTCGGAGAGCGATATTGGTGGAAGCGGATCGGCTCAAAAGAGATGAGTCTCTCAATTGGTCATGCAGGATCTGACGGCGAGCATTTTCAGAGAATGCAAGCTTCCGCTTCGCTAGTGCCTCTTTATTGTCCATCACTATCAATATCTTTAGATCCTATAATACGTCAATGTGACATATTCGTGTTTAGAGCATAACGACCTGCTATTTTCAAAAAGTCAGTGATGGCCGAAAAATAACTAGCCGAGAATTTCTTGTTTCTGCTTAATGAGGCCAGCTTCTCGCATATCAAGAGCCTTAAATATTCTTCAGCGCTTGTACACCACTTCGCCGACACCTTTGAATATTTTATTCTTTGGCTCTGATCAATTTAGCATTCATTCACTAAATGCACTTCACCAGTTGAAGAACGAAGCCCCAGATTTGATTGGTGGGCTACGAGTAGTGACCAAACCCACTAAGAAATGCGGCAGAAACTTATCGGTCACCAAGACTGTCCCTATAGCCGACTTCAATGCTAAATTAGGCCTTCCGCCAATTATAGAGTGCGATTCAAGAGAAGAGATGCTGGGTGTAGTGATGAAGGCGCTTCAAAGCGAGAGATATGACATGATTGTTGCCGTTTCGTTTGGGAAACTGATTCCAAAGGAGCTTTTGAGTAAGGTACCGTATACACTCAACGTACATCCTTCCCTGCTCCCGCGCTACAAGGGCTCGTCACCAATCCAGTACGCATTATTGGAACAAGACGATGTGACTGGGGTATCCATACAAACACTGCATCCTGAAAAGTTTGACTGTGGAAAAATTATCGCCCAAACACAGCCCCTAAAGCTTAAAAAGTTACTTGAAGAGACAAGCGTTTCTGAGCTTGATTTAAGCTCTTACGCAAGCTCCGACGCTACGCCCAAGGTGAACAAATTAATGGATAGTCTGGGCTACCGAGGGTCTGAGCTTTTAGCCGATGTGATAAGAAACCGACTTTACGATTCTCGCGAGGGCCTGGTCCCGCCGTATGCCGAGAGTTATGCGCCAAAAATCACCACACAGATGCGGCAGATACAATGGGCCTCGGATACGGCTCTTAGAACTCTCAGCAAATTTGAAGCACTCGGGTCTACGTTTGCTCTCAAAGAAACCGGCAAAAAGAATCACGACACAAAATTGAAGCGTGTTATATTCCACTCTTTGACAAGATATGAAAGCGAACCTGTGCCATCAACACTAGGACTTCAGACGGGATCTTTCGAATACGATGCAACACAGAAATGTGCAGCACTGCGATTTTCAGACGGTAACTGTCTCAAGTGCACTAAGATACAATTCGAGGGCTTTAAAATCGAAAGCCCTGAGCAGTTTTTCAAGAGTCTTCGCAAGAGATGCGGTACGCTCAGCTACAAGATGAATTTTGTGTAAGGTTGTAAATAGGTATGTTAGCTAGAAATTGGTCACAACATATCTGTTCGCAATGCCATCGGACAACAACATAGAGCGTAGCTAAGCTGTGCCAAATGTCACAGTATCAAAAAATAGAGACTCCGCGACGGGGAATTGAACCCCGGTCCCGGGCGCGACAAGCCCGAATTCTAGCCACTAAACTATCGCGGATGGTAGTACAGATAAAAGGTGCGTTTAAAGATATACCAGAGAGAGTTGGTCTCCTGATTTAATCCAAGGAACGAAATTTGCACATCAAGAGGACTCTTGGCATCTGCCTGGATTGAAGTTCAACAAGAGACTCAACAGTTTATTTGTTTGTCGAGCTATATAACCACCTCAATTTCGCTGAACCGAAAAGTTTGAAGCCTTTTACTGTAAGCAGTTGCTCTCGGATAGAAGTGAAGTGATAGGCTTGTATTTTCGCTGTACCAAAGTGAAATAAAGTAGGGCGTTCTTGATTCAAAAGTTTCCCATCGTTTTATTTTAAGTTTCCCCGCTCAGGAAGACGTGCCTGAAATTTCAGTCGAGTATATCAACCGTGTCTGCTAGTATAACCGGCTTTTTAGTATCAAATTTTGTGTACCCGGTACCGTTTCTTCAACAATGGAAAACAGTTTGCTGGCGAAGGAGCAGAACTTCAATGACAGCACAGCATCAAACGACGTAGAAGACAGTGCTTATGAAGAACCCCCTACGCACCGTAAGGTTGTTTACGACCTTTTCCTGTGGCTCTTGAGCAACATCTTTGACTGTTTCTTCCGCGAAATTCGGAGTAGAGGCCGCTACAAGATTCCCACTCAAGGCCCTGTTATTTTTGTTGCTGCTCCTCATGCGAACCAGTTTATTGATCCCGTCATTCTGATGGGCCAAGTGAAAAAAGCTGTCAACAAGAGGGTCTCGTTTTTGGTAGCCGAGAAATCACTTTCAAGAAAAGCCATTGGGACTCTTGCCCGTTGCGCCATGTCCATTGGTGTCGGAAGAGCACAGGACAACTTAAAAATTGCCGCTGGTAAAATTATGGTAAGTGACGATAACTCTCGCAAAATCATTGGCCGAGGAACAAAATTCGCACAAGAATTCGAAGCACAGGGTTTGATAGGACTTCCCAAATCTCTTGGAAATGCAGTTATTGAATCCATTGAAAGTGATACCGTCTTGTATATTCGGAAGGAATTCAGGCAAACCAAACCTGAGGTAAAACTTTTGTTGACCAAGGGAACATCATACAAGTATGCTCCAAAAGTCGACCAAAAGAAGGTGTATCACCGTGTATTTGAACATCTGGCTCACGATCAGTGTGTAGGTATCTTTCCTGAAGGTGGCTCGCACGACCGCACCGACTTACTTCCATTAAAGGCTGGTGTAGCCATAATGGCCTTGGGTTGTATGAGCAAACATCCTGAAGTAAATGTCCAAATTGTTCCCTGTGGTATGAACTACTTTCATCCCCACAAATTTAGATCTAGGGCAGTTGTTGAATTTGGTAACCCAATAGAAATAACACCCGAGTTGTTGCAGAAATACCGAGAATCAGAAACCAATAAAGACGCTGTAAAGGAGTTGTTGGATAAAATCTCTGGTGGTCTTAAGGCAGTGACAGTGACTTGTCCTGATTACGAGACCTTGATGGTTGTCCAGGCCGCCAGAAGGTTATATGCAGGTCATTTGTCCGCCAAGCTGCCACTTTCGTTGGTCATTGAAATGAACAGACGTTTAGTTAAAGGTTATCAAACCTACAGAGAAGACCCAAGAATAAAACAACTCAAAGAAGATGTCTTAAGGTACAATGCTAATCTTCGTCACTTCAATATTCCTGACCATCAAGTTGAGTCTGCGAAGATCAACTTCGCAAAGAACCTTGGCCTCCTTGTAATAAGATCCCTGCGGCTATCTATTTCTTTGATTTTGGCTTTGCCTGGTATCATCATGTTCTCTCCCGTTTTCATAGTGGCCAAGGTTATTTCAAAGAAGAAAGCTACCCAGGCGTTGGCTGCCTCTACGGTTAAGATCAAGGCCAATGATGTCATTGCAACCTGGAAGATTTTGATTGGCATGGGATTTGCACCGCTGCTTTACACCGTATGGTCTGTTTTGTTGACATACTACTTCAGAAACTCAATTACCAGAAATAAGTTTGCCAGTTTCATTGGAATTTACATTTTATGCACCGTTGTGACTTATTCTGCATTGATTATTGGTGACAATGGAATGGATGTTTTCAAGTCCTTAAGGCCCTTGTATCTTTCAATAACCACTCCGGGAATTTTCAAAGACTTGCAAAATGAGAGACGAGTGCTGGAGGAAAAGATCACCGAAATGGTCAACACGCTGGGTCCAGAACTTTACCCCGGTTTCGACGGTGTAAGCTTATCTGATAAATACAGGAATGGAATGATTTCCTCTGATGAAGATGAGGAAAAGAAGACGAACGAATTGAAAAGAAGAAGACAGTTAAGAAAGCGGAAAGAAAGCGGCAAGCAGATTTCTAGAAAAGGTGTTGAGACAGATGGTGAGAGCGATGCTTTGTCAATGATCAACAGTGACAACTCTTTGTCAAATATTCCACTATTTTCAAACATGGGTGATAGGTCCGGGTCTGTATCTTCGTTGACGTCATTCAGTTCCGGATTCGAGGTTATTGAGGATATGACCAAAACAGATGAGCTCAGCGGTAAGATAGCTCATGCAGTTCGTGAAAAAAGAGACTAACTTTAAAATTAAATATCTCGAGATGTCAAATAAATATTCAATGTAATTTCACAATTAACCTTAATCATTCCGAGCCGCTTTCGAGTCAGTTCAAATTCTTCTAACCAATATACTATTACAACAATAGGGATACAAAAATCAAATGCAGGTGGACACCAGGCCCACATCAGTAGTCTTTGGACCGAAGAGTGTCTATCATTTATCGCCTGTCCCTTGTCTAGAAACTGCTCCAGTTCCAATCTGCTGGGACACTTCCTACAATACTGTCCATCCTCCCCCGCTTGCCTTCTTCCTCTACTAAGTTTTTGCGATCAAGGGCCACATGTACGCCTGGGACAGGAGTAACCGACTTGGGGGTGTCATTATTTTGATTAGTAGTTTCGACAGAGGGGCCTTCGCGGACCAAGGTGTCGTACTCTTGAAGACAACCATCGCAAATCTTCGACAAAGATCCGACACCAGCACCACCAATGACAAATTTCGCATCGCGATCTAAATAGAGCCAGTGTCTAACGTGCTGGGAGCAAAAGATGTCTCCACAATGTCTACAATGATGTTTTCTTTCCCAGAATGTGAATATGCGGTGACAGTAATGACAAGAATTTCGTTTGCCGTCTGAGATCCAATGTTGGCGAGTAGGGGGCGGAACTTCGGTGGCTTTCGAATCCGAAGGGTTCTTATTCCAAAGAGAGCTGAGTTTCTTGGTGTAATCGGACATAATAGAAGAAGACGTAGATCTTACGCTTCGCACACTGCTACGAGTCGTATGCGTGCCAGAATTTTGAAAGGGCAAAAATGACGGTCCTGGCGAGCCCAGCTCGGCGCTAGTAATGTTGGTTTCGGAAATATCACGCAAAACAGCAGGGGTATATAGTGGTTTTTTCGATGCATTCATCTGCCTCAAGGGCCGCTTTGATTTTGTTCTTGGCCTTGCTGAAGTATCAAACGCGGATGGTAGCACGTCGAGCGGATGCTTGATAGGCGCAACCGAAGCTCGTTTGTTTGCAATAGACGAATCCATGATTATATTCTTCCCTCCAAATTGAATCTGAGTTAGGGTGTCCGGTTCTTCACAGTATGATTCACGGAAAGTCGGGGTGGAACTTGAGTTTGCTGAAGGAAGGAGCTGTCTTTCTGGCAAGGTACGAGGCCCCTCGCTGCTATTTTCTGTAGCGCCACCCTCAATATCGCCATTGCTGCTTTTCATTGATGAAAGCCTACGCAATGCATCGGTCGTTAGTCTTTTCTGTTGTTCGGCCTCATCCTCAAGGTTATCCTCAGAATTTTTGTCGCTGCCGCCATGAGAATCACTGGACATGGAGCCCATTTTGTCTCTTATGTTTAACTTCATGCCCGTCAATGCGGAACCTGTGGTGACTTTGTTACTAGCCCTGGAACTGGATCTTTGTTGATCTACTTCCAGCTGTCTCCTTTTGTCATCCGTGAAAGGCAGTTTTTGACCGATAGCGTCGTCATTATTAGAATTTGAAGCCCGTTTTTGAACCGATGCCATTGCTGGACTTTGAATCAATTGTGTAGCAGGAAGCCCGCTAACAGACAACTTGTTATTATGCTGCGGGTACTGCTGTTGGTGGGATTCCGCTGCCTCTTCATGAGTTTTCCCAATCATGCTACGCAGTGAGATACAGCTTAGGACACTCTGTACAGACTGGGTTCTTGTTCTTGGCGCAACCCTCTGCTTCTCGAAGGTCATGGTTGATTTATTACTGTTATTAGAAGATGTCCGTGTTGCTGTACCCATACCGCTACCGGTAGGCTTATTGACCTTTAGCCCAACTTCATCGGGCCCCAGATCGCTATTCTGACTATGAACGCTGCTCATTTCCGGCCAGACGGTTGTGACGAACCTTTGAGCAGATGTTAGAAGTAGATCCTGATATCGCACATATTAGAATTTCAAATGGAAAATATTACTTGGAGAAACAAATATTCGTTAGCGAGTGATAAAAGTGAAATAAACAAAGTGACAAGGATGGTGATCCGTGAATGCCAAGGAGGCGTATTGTGTAAAAAGGCAGGTGGTTATTCAGGCAAGAAGTCTGGCAGGTTCTCTTAGAGGCCTCGAGGAAATATATGTTGAGATGTTGCATGATTTTTTGTTCAAGCTTTGGGAGTAGCGAAGTTTCCTGCTGGTAAGGAAATGCTACAACAAATACGGAACTTGCTAAACTACTATCAGATGCGATTGAACTGCTGCGGTACGCAAGATGCATCCGCTAGTAGTCAGTTTAGTAAAAAATGATACAAGTAACACTTTGTAGCTGGAAACGTTGACTTTAAAGTATCCGAGCAGCTTATACATTTGTCGCCTTGTTTTTGTCTTAGCGTGTAAGCAAATAAGACTAACGTAACTTTGTTTCTTACCAGCCTACAGACGTTGAATTTGTCAGATCCCTGCGCGATTGCCAATTGCATAATGAAGTAGATCAAAATAGGATCATAATGGGAACCGGAACCACGAAGTAATAATACAAAGTGATATTGCCAAACAAGTTGGTAGATGGGTTATTCAATGCATATTCTCAAGGTAAAAACAGACGATACTGTAAATAGTCTCATATTAGATCAATAACTAATTGGGTGTTACCTTATGTATTATATGATGTATCGTACGATTACTTTATATTTAGCAAGAGTTTACACTCAGTCAATTTTTATACATATACCAGCTTGTTGTTCCACCAGATAGATTATTCCCATAGCTTAGAGAGCTACGGAGAGATATATAGAATTCTAAACACTACTACGCGTGTATTATACACACCACGAACGTGTCAGGATCTATGTGCTACTGCTAAGATAGCGTCAATAGCATGGTAAAAAAATTATGACACAATAGTACCAAGTGATATCATCAAACGTTGATCAATCGATAAACTATTCGATACATATTTTCAAACTGAAGACAAGCACCAGACGATACCCTATAGTAGTCTGAAAATTGACCGATGACTCATTGAACATTATTAATATAACATACGATGTATCGTATGATCATTATAAGCTGAGTAATAGCTTTCATGCCAGCCAATTTTTGTATAAATACCGATCAGTTACTCCACTATCCTCAGATTCGGGAGATAAGTAAAATCTTAGAATCCAGTAATTTTATTTTAATACATCATGAACGGCGTAAATTACCAGTTCAGCAAGTAAACCACCACTGACACTGATGTACCTCAATAATAAAAGCTTCTCTTCCGTGCGAATAGTTTTGAGATTGTATCATAGAGTTGATGCCAGAATTGTATGTAGTGATATTATTAAAAACACTCTAATCCCTCACTGTTATATTATCGGCGGTTTGGATCTCAAAGTTTGATCTTCTTTCTTGAAGAGGTTCAGTGATGTTATTTTGTCCCGAAGCATGCATCAGAGCTTCCGTGATGGATTCATACTATAAAGTGAAGCAAGATGATGTAACTGAGGACAAATGCCGCCAACAATCTTCATGGTGTTGCCGAAAGGTATATTGGATGCGTAGTTACGATTTACTCTCTTATCGAGCTCTACACCTTTGCTTCCAATGTTTCATGGCACAAGTGGTTATGATAGATTTAATATACGTTGTATATAAAATTCAATAATAAATCGAATTATGCTGACTGACTTACCGGACTCACACTATTGATAAAAGTCATTAAGCAAATGTCTCAGTTTACCCTAGTTTTTATATGTTCTACCATTTACTCAAGAACCGTCTTTTCAGCGTTCTTGACATTAGCCGACGATCCTATACACGCAACTAGCAATAGTCATGATGAAATAATGACGTTACTTGACTGAGATAGAACGGCAACGATCTACACCGACCAAGAAAAATCTAATTTCTTTATCCCTTGCCTCGTTCATCTTCGTTGTGTCCTTAATCTCGACGAAGAAAGACAGTTCATTTATAAAAGTCTTCTCAGTGCACAATTTGCTATCGCAGCTGTTCTGTTGCCTTCTTTCTCACCTCACAAGGAGTGTATTGTCGCTAATCGTAATTTTACTTCAACTGAACCCTGAGATTGAAATCAACAGCCCACTTTTGCAGAAGCTAACTGAAAAACTTTGAAGCAGGCTCATTGCATATAGCGTTAGATATGGGTCGCTGTCGCTTTAATTATCAGCTCTTCACTCTGTAAATCATTCATTTGAGACTCACGTGGGTATTTTTCACTTGAGTTCTTACAGCCCCGACATACAAGTAAAGTTCACTACACGTATACAATTCTTTTATTCAGACCACGACTGTAAGCGTAAGCAATCACTATGGGCAAGAATGAAGCATTGCGCTGGATTCAGCTGCTTCTAAAATGTACGATCTTTCTGTCGATGACAGGTGCGGCCGTTTCATCGAGATTGTTTTCGGTCATTCGCTTCGAATCCATTATCCATGAATTCGACCCATGGTTCAACTTCAGAGCCACAAAATACCTTGTGAACCATGGATTCTACAAATTCCTGAACTGGTTCGACGACAGAACGTGGTATCCACTCGGAAGAGTTACAGGTGGAACACTGTACCCAGGTCTTATGGCCACATCAGCTGCTGTTTGGCACGGGCTACGCAAGATAGGATTGCCAATTGACATCAGAAACATATGTGTCTTGTTTGCGCCTGCATTCTCGGGTGTAACGGCTTGGGCCACTTACCATTTGACGTGTGAAATCAAAGACTCTGGTGCTGGGTTGTTAGCGGCCGCGTTCATCGCTATCGCTCCAGGATACATTTCAAGGTCTGTCGCTGGCTCCTACGACAATGAAGCCATTGCAATTACTCTTTTGATGGTGACATTCATGTTCTGGATAAAGGCAATGAAAACAGGTTCAATTATGCATTCGACCTTCGCTGCTCTCTTTTATTTTTACATGGTATCCGCTTGGGGTGGTTACGTGTTTATCACAAACTTGATTCCACTGCACGTATTCATTTTGATCCTTATGGGCCGTTACTCGACGCGCCTATATTCTGCATACACCACTTGGTATGCCATCGGTACTTTGTCCTCGATGCAAATTCCATTTGTGGGATTCTTGCCCATTAGATCAAACGACCATATGGCCGCTTTAGGTGTTTTTGGGCTCATGCAAATTGTGGCTTTGGGAAGCTTCGTCAAGTCTCAAGTATCCTGGCAGAAATTTAAGACTGTCATGATTGTGTCATTGGTCTTCTTGTTTGCTGTCGGTGTGTGCGGCTTATTTGCACTCACCTATTTCGATTACATTGCACCTTGGACTGGTAGATTTTATTCATTATGGGACACCAACTATGCCAAGATTCATATTCCAATCATTGCATCAGTGTCGGAACATCAACCTACCGCGTGGCCTGCTTTTTTCTTTGACACTCAATTTTTGATTTGGTTATTCCCCGCCGGTGTCTTCTTGCTGTTTCTGGAACTCAAGGATGAGCACGTCTTCATTATTGCTTATTCTGTTTTGTGCTCCTATTTCGCTGGTGTTATGGTCAGATTGATGTTGACGTTGACTCCAATCATTTGTGTTTGTGCGGCTGTCACCATCTCCAAACTCTTCGACATCTACGCAGACTTCTCGTTTTGGTCGGAAGAGAACGGCGCCTCCGCTCCAAGCTCTCAAAAGAAGCGTATCATGACGCTCATCACAAAATTGACGGTTTGTGGTTCGTTTTTGGGTTACTTATACTTGTTCGTGTACCACTGTACATGGGTAACATCGAACGCTTATTCCTCTCCTTCGGTTGTCTTGCCTTCTCGAAACCAAGACGGATCCCCAGCATTGATTGATGACTTCCGCGAGGCTTACTATTGGCTGCGTATGAACACGGCAGAGGATGCGAAGGTTGCCTCCTGGTGGGATTACGGATACCAAATCGGTGGTATGGCCGACAGAACTACATTGGTCGATAACAATACATGGAACAACACCCACATCGCCATTGTTGGTAAAGCAATGTCTTCTCCACAGGATAAAGCCTATGAAATTCTAAAGCAGCACGACGTAGATTACGTCTTGGTTATCTTTGGGGGCCTTATTGGATTCTCTGGTGACGACATCAATAAATTTCTGTGGATGGTTCGTATTTCGGAAGGCATATGGCCTGACGAAATCAAAGAACGAGACTACTTTACGCCGTCAGGTGAATATCGTATGGATGAGATGGCTTCACAAACCATGAAGAACTCTTTGATGTATAAACTATCCTACCACAGATTCCCTTCGATGTTCAATGGTATTGAAGGAATGGACCGCGTACGCGGTCAAAAAATCAGAGAACAGGATATTGGCAATCTAGACTATTTCGAGGAAGTTTTCACATCTGAAAACTGGATCGTAAGACTCTACAAGTTGAAAGAGTTAGACCCTATGGGCAGAGATCTGCATACAGTGGGAGAGTTTAACCGCAATGCTGCCCGCGGTCTTAAGAAAAGATTAGTTAAAAAGCCATCCGTCGATATCAGAGTTTAGACTGTACAATAAACAAATATACAAGTGTGTAACGTACGCCGCATGACTTCTGAAGGTTATTTCGTTCAGCCTTTGGCATCGCCATGATATCTTGGACAGCAAATGCCTCCAAGTTAGAGTCTAAAAACGTGATTTTCCTGAGAGTCTAGATCCTTGACTTTTACCTTACCCATTTAAACTTCTTGCCGTACTTGAGACTTCTCTTGTTTTTCTTGTTATATTTCGCTATCTCGTCACGGCGGATCCGCTGAGTGTGCCCTACTAGGTTTGTGACCAGATCTTCGAACATTTCTTTATCTGCATCCAGTTGTGCTCTTACCTCACGTATTTCATGTATAGTTCCACACACCGCTAAAAGCGCGTCTATCAGTTGATCATGGGTCTCACTTAATTCTTGTTCGTTAAGTGAATCAATATCTTTGATTTTAAGTTCTAGAGCGGTTGGTTTCGGCGTTGGAAGTCTTTCTGGCGCCAGTAACTTGTCGCCAAGAATACTCTGTATTCCGGAAACATTCCCCGACTCTGGATTTCCCAAAAAAGGTTCTAAACATTTGTAAAGTGCGTTATCCAGTACCTTAGTAACTTTGGGGGTCTCGGGGACGTCTTCGATCTGTAACGTATGCAAGAGTTCTGATCTCAACCTCGAATGGCGCCATTGAAAGGGCCTAAGGTGAGGGTCCAGCACTACCAATTGTTCGTAAACAACCCGCGGTCTTTCATCTCTTATGAGCTCACTCAAGTCGTGCTTTTTGTTCGTATAAGCCATCGCTTGTCTTGGCCCTAATACTGTCTCCAGAAGTTTTTCCGGTGACACCATAAGCTGTTCTTCAGAATCCGAAGCTCCTTCAAAATCGCCAAAATCGCTGTCGCTATCGCTCATGGTGGCTATCAAATGTCGAGGGCCAGGACAAATTCAAAAGTGAAGAACGTGTGTATGCCCGAACAGCGTTGTTACCTTAACGTATATCTTCTTTTTGATGTGCTACGCATCAAGCTTCCCTGGAGACTGATCATCTGATTATCACGCCGAGAATCTAAGTATTGTTAATGAGTTTCCGCTTCCCAGCTAATATAGAGCCATGATAGTTAATGAGCCCTTCTCACTACTTTCAGAACATGCGTGCGATTGTTACGTAGCACAAAAGTTCTTTGGCAGTTAAGTAAAGCCTTTTACTACAATGTTGGTGTTCCAACGTATCATCAAGACGTACACACATTGATTGTACTATTACTCCCGAGGGCAAGCGATCAAAATTGACCTAGAAATGAGCACAATGGGGTTATTAATGGAAGAGCAAGACTAGAGTTGATTTCCCAACCTTGGTAGGGATAAATGAAATAGAATGTATGTAGAAGAGTATTGATCGAACAGCGAAAAGTGTTAAGAACGTAGAGACATGGCACTGCCTACGTAGTTGCTGCATCAATAGAAGTTACTACTAATGCTTATCTGCGCTCAGTGTTCAAATAATGGTTTCGTGGTCTAGTCGGTTATGGCATCTGCTTAACACGCAGAACGTCCCCAGTTCGATCCTGGGCGAAATCAATTTTTTGGAATTTTATTTTTTATTGATTAGAGACTCCTCCCAAAGGCTCTCGGCATTCAGTGAAATACCTTTCATCAACGTATCCATGTTCACAAGAAGTAACTCATCGGTTTATAGTAGAGGTTTAAAAACTTTAGATCGCGCGCCAGGTATTTTTTGACGAAATCGTTATTTTCAAAATAAACAAACGATTTTCGGACCTATCGACCATCTGTTTACTATTTGAAAGAGTTAATAGAATTGCAAGCTACAAGCATCAAAGCCATTGGTATTGGCTTGAGAAATTTCTTGTAATTATGGAAGCGGATCGTTGGTATGAGGAAGACTCTGAAATCCTCTCTGGGGGAAAATTTATTGCATTAGAAGTGTCAGACCATGAAGGAGATTACAACTCGTCTGAAGACGACCAAATTGGACAACATGCCGCGATTGTGAAAGTGAAAAGTACTACTGTCCCCTATGTAGCCAAAACACCAGAAGCGGGAAATGCTTCGGGTAATGCAGCGAACAAGAGGTGGTCCGTACTGTCAAACGGTTCCAAGAAAAGATGGTCCTCGCTATCCTTCGCGAGCGATGAGCGTCGCACGAGTCCCCCAAACACAACTTCCTCGAAGAAAAGATGTTCTACGGCTAGTGACGATAAATCGAGACGCGCTGTGGGAAGCGATACACACGAACAACAAACGACCAAGACCAGCGGCACCACCAATATTGGCACCACCAATATTGGCACCACCAATAATGGCACCACCAGCAGCTCATCTTCGCGACGTTTATCGGTTTCGTCTTCAATGTCAACCCTCCACAGAAGTTCGACGAGCAATTCGCTGCGCCAAATGTTTGGCAAAATCGTCCTGCAGGATGAAGAAAAGGAGAACGTACCTGCCGTGAAGCGTTTTATAAGCAAAATGTCGCCTATACGCGGCCAGCCCCGCGGCCAGCCTCGTTCTAATTTAAGCCCTCTTGACAGTAACGTTTATGCATCCCTCAACAATCGCAAGTCCTATGCGGATAATGCAAGTATAGCATCAGGCATGAGCATGTCTTCGGCAGCTTCAAACATGTCTTCCGCATCAAGATGGAAGTTCTGGAAGAAGAACTTGGACAACTCTGATGCAAATTCTACCTCCAACTCTTCAATGCAGCATCAGTCTTATTCCAACGCAAGTCTGAAGTCTCGAAGATCGCAGTCCTCTCTCAAACAAAAATCATCTCATTCATCTTTGACCAAGTTGGGTCAACATCGCAATTCTGTCACTAGTGAGTCGATTTCGTTGCCAATACCTAATCAAGTGTCTAGGGACAAATTGCGCACAAAACTCCGCAATTCAACGTCTGTTATGTCCATGAATTCAACGGTGATCTCAGAGGAGGTTGATGAGTTTGAAACGTCCCAATTGCTCAAGCTGTGTGAACAGTCTCACCAAATTCCTCTGCAAGAATTAATACCTGATTGGCCTAACGTGAACAAACTTTCCAAAAATGTTTTTTGCTCAGAGAACTCGGTGTTCAAGTTTCTTCCTTTGGGACAAGACGAATTAACCCATAGCAAACACATTCGCATCAAAGAGCTCCAACTCTTGAAACTTTTCACCAGTACTCCAGGTCTAACACAACTTGTTGGATCCCACCTGATTGTTATAAATGGGGAACCTTCATTAGTGTGCGAATTAAAGCACGCAGGTGTACCTTTAAGCAAAACTAAGATTTCTAGTTGGGCTGCCACGCTCAATATATGGTGGCAATGTGCCTTTATCATCTATGCTGCAGAGACAAAATTTCAATTTGAGCACCGAGATTTGCAATTGAAGCATATTTTATTGGATGCCAAGAACAATGTAACCCTATGTGATTACAAGTTGGCGCGTGCTTCTCACGGTTCTGTTGTCCACTATACAAGACTGGATCATCCACTTTTCTTTCAAGGTCGTGGCGACTACCGCTATGAAGTTTACAACACCATGCGCCATTGGGGTGCTGACTCTTCGTCTCGTTTCGATCCTCGAAACAATCTATTGTGGTTGCATTATCTAGGGGTCAAGTTAATCGAGAAACAAGGAGACATGCCGCATGATTCTCATTATTCCGAGTTGCTTAAAATGATAGCGCAAGTTAACCCCCATCGTCGCAAAAAAGCCTTCTTTCGCCGAAGCGATCAGATACTCAACTGTGGAGACCTTCTGCGGCTTAGGAAATAAGTGTTTGGCGTGATGGGTTCAACTAACATTGGGCATATGAAACAGGATTGCTAAGAACGTGCTAATAGCATCAATTGGACATTGATATTTTTATTAAGCTCACGCTTTGGACTGTGGGATTAAGTTTATGGTAAACTATGGTATGTAAGGATAGATAGAAACCCTGAGAGAATTTTTAATTTGAGCTGGCGCTGTCGAGGTTGTTCTGATGATATCAAGGCTCCTTTACATAAGAGGTTGAAAGGTGTTTTTGGGACAGCGAAAGAAGACGATGACTTGTCCAACGTGGCTATAAGATATCTTAGCATTTTTTAAGCGGAGCTTCAGAGCCATAATTAAACTTGAATAATGTTTAAGTTGGTTTTCTGGAAAGTTTAAAAATTCACTAATTACTGAGCTCAGCAAGTATTGGATGATATCTATTACATATCGAGACCAAGAAATTCTCTCAATTGAGAGGTACTTTGTCGCTGTCGCGAAGATTTATATTTGGAGGCGCGATTTATCGAAATCATCGAATCGTATGCAAATTATACTTATCTTTTGTAATCTAAAGTTTTTGGGAGACATGCATATTCCTCTACCAAAGACGAAAACTAGGTACACCTAGTGCACTTCAACCAGCAATTCGATCACTGATTCTATTCAAGTGAACATTAGTACCAATAGTATAAAGTTGACACGTAAGAAGCTCTAGCTTAGACGGAATATGGAGCTTGCCAGTAGAATGAACATTATTCAATCTAGGTCAAAGTATTCCAGATCGTTTTTAGATTTTGACTAGATAGATTATTAACTGATTAAGCCTCCGAACGTTGCGTTACTAATTCGCCCTTTTTGGCGTCTAGCTAGAAAGCTTTTTATGTAGTATGGTGCGGCCGAGATCCTGTTACTTCATAAGGAAATACTCTGTTATAGATCATCATGTTCTCTTAGTTTAGTGACTGACCCGATTTATAAGAGACTCTGAAGGCTCGCTCTCCGTTCCTGAGGTAAATCTTGGTTCGTTACACGGGTTAATACTATTCTAGACGAACGGTGCCATTGAGCATTTGATAGGAGATTCACATGCTCACTACTGCCATTCTACTTACCACTAATCGTGTGTATTTACTATCGCCGAATTACCTGCCTTGGCTTAATATGAATTGAATATAGCACAAGGGTGTGTGTGCGTGTGTGTGTGTGTGTGTCATAGGCGTCAAGGCTAAATGGCCTCTTGTTGGTTATAACTTGCGTTCCGCGTTCGCAGGCAGTTCGCTTATTGAATCAAACTTCTTACAACAAACTCTGCAGTATCCAAAACCTTTGTCAGGGCCCAGATCCAAATACCGAGACACACTGGTGTTTCGAGTTGCAAAGGTTTCAGAGCACCGGGCGCCCATACGTATCTCATAGGCGCCATTGCCAATGCAGCCCAGCCCTGTGACAGAATGGTTTCAATCATACGAGGAAACATACCCTGTGGCAAAGTGTAAACGGCTACTTTGCCTTTCCAGAAACGCAGGAGCAGCAAGGGGGCCGTTAGCAAGATTAACCGAAGTCTCGAAAGTGCCTTCTCCCCAACCTGGCGGGTCTGCTTCAGTTGTGCCTGTGCCTCAGTCAATTGTGTATCTAGTTGAGAAATTTGGCGATTCAGTTTCGTCCACTTTGCGTACTCGTCCTGAGCACTTGTTGACCTTTGTTGTCTTTGAAGATCCTGACGTTTGCGGCTCAATTCCCCAAGTTTGAGAGCTCCAGGTTTGCACCAGATAGCATCTATAACATTATCTCTGTAGTGCGAACCCCATTGAAGTACTCTGAGCGCTACAACGAGCGCAATACTCACCCAAATAACAGAACTTTGCATCGAGCGATTGTTTTAGGTGAAGTTATTATAGTTTTAAATCATCTTGAGGTTGAAAAATTTTGGTAAATTAACTCGATATTAAAGTTGAAGATGGAAAGGCGAAATAAAGGACGCGAGAGATTGAAAGATCTCAGATAAATAGTTAAAGGTGGCTTACTATAGAAAAAGATATTTGGCTGAAGGGTGCTATTTAGTCAAACTTAAGTTTCAAAGAGGAGTGAGTACTCAGTGGATTTGATCAAGAAAACGCTTTCACATATCAACAAGAAACCAAGTATTCAACAATCGTGAGAAAAAGATCTACAATTGAGAATAGCACAAGTCACCCAGATGAGCGAATATATTGGAGACAATTCCAGGACTGGAAGCAGCGATGAAAGTGGCCCTTTTGACGAGTGGATTCCATCGTTTTGTGCTCGTTTTGGTCACGAATATTTCTGTCAAGTTCCCACAGAGTTCATCGAAGACGACTTCAACATGACAGGACTCGCGCAGGAAGTGCCACACTACCGGAAGGCACTAGACCTAGTGCTGGATCTTGAGGCTATGAGTGACGAAGAAGGCCAAGACTCCGAAGAGCCAGTTAGTCGCAGCATCGTGGAGCACGCCGCAGAACAACTTTTCGGTCTTGTCCACGCTCGCTATATTCTAACAAAACCAGGCCTGCAAGCCATGGCCGAAAAGTTTGACCACAAAGAGTTTGGCACATGTCCTCGATATTACTGCGCCGGCATGCAAATGCTACCCTGCGGGCTCACAGACAGTCTTGGAAAGCTCACGGTCCGCCTGTACTGCCCGAGCTGCCAGGATCTATACCTACCACAATCGTCCCGTCATTTATGTTTAGAGGGTGCTTTCTGGGGTACATCGTTCCCGGGAGTCTTTCTCAAACACTTCAAGGAATTGGAAGACTACGTGGATCGCAAGACTAAAGAGACGTACCAACTGCGCGTTTTTGGGTTTTGCATCTCAGACGAGGCTCCCTCAGGCTCTCGTATGCGCTGGCTAAGACAATATCCCAAAACAGAGGAAGAGTTGGCAGAGCTTGAAGCATGTGAATTTCAGATTCCTGAGGTGCAATAATAAGAAGCCTGAGATCAGAATCTTCACTACAAAGATAAGGAAGTCAGCCTAAGGTTTCTGTCAGCAAGACAAAAAAGAGTAATAAAGAGGTCGAGTGTAGACGATGCACAGAGTAAACAGCGTACGGAATCGGCGGCGTGCCATACAGTTATTAGCCGCGTCTCGATACACCTCGGTGTACAAACACGAGTTATAGTGAGTATTATGTACGGTGGTTATATATAATTTCAGTAATGTATGGCGCGGATGTTTTGAATATTTGTCCTTAGCAGGAACGCGTGGGCCGTGCCGCTCGAGGGTATGGGCGAGGTTCTAAGCTCGATTGTACATGAGGCTCTCAACATAGTGGTAAACAAATTGACATGTTACCGCTGTGAAGATCAATACCGTGATCATAGGTAAATCCTTGCTCTCACGGATTCTAAAGTCATGTATTGTGTTAAAATCTTATTGCGTTTCAATGATTTAATTCCAGTCTCTTACCAGGCTCCCACTCCTTGATAGCTCGATCAAGACTGGTCCAATACTTCAACTCTACGGTTAATTGAGCGGCCAAACCCCAATTTTGGCAGCTAAAAGCTTGTCCCAATCTCTGTTCAAGATCACGCAAGCGTTCTTGGTTTTCCAATGAAACTTTTTTAACGTCGTCTTCGCTTGCTAGATTTTCAAGTTCTTCGTGTACGTCCAGGACCCTCATTAGCAGCACCGGATCTTGTTGAGCGATACGTTGTGCCACATGTTCATCGTTCAAGTCCATCCCTGCTTGTGTCTTCAAAATGTGTTGTGCTCGTAGCAAAGGCTGTCTCAGTGTTTGGTATGCATGATTTAATTCGGAGCTGCGGCTTGAGTCTGTGTTGGCATTGGTATCTGGATGTTCTTGTGCTTGCAAACCTCGATATTCCTTCCTAAGACTTCGCAAATCAACATTCCAAGCCCATTTTGCACCAACCAGGGTCTGTGGAAATGTCTTGAATAGATTCCGCGAGCTGTACAGTCTTCTAGTGGTGAGTCTCAGCATCTCGGCGATGACTCAGGTTGTTTAAGGAAAATATTAAACGTTTGAAATATTATTAACTTACTCAAAAACCTTGTATAGTTTCTATATTATCCTCAAAACTGGGCCAAACAACTTTGAACGCTGCTATCTAAAGGACCTACATGGAGCTTTCAGATCGCTTGATTATCTCCAAACCTCTCTACTTCACAGAACCGAATGAGAAATGTGGGTATTGCGGTGGTAAGAAGTCCGAGAAATATGACTATTTCGCTTCTGATTCGTGGTGGAACTTGCACGAAGCCGATGCTGAATCACTACAGTTCAACAACTGTACAATGGGTTTACAAGTGGAGTTGATGCCCATGGATGTGTACGATGAGTTGTGCAACCTAGGGTTCCGCAGGTCGGGCAACTTCTTGTACAAGGCGGATCTACTGAGAAACTGCTGCCGCCTTTATACTATTAGAACGACGCCGGAGAAGTGTGAGATGACCAAAGAACTCAAAACGTGCGTGTCGCGATTTCGAAAGCGTGTCGAATCATCGCAGATGAATGGCTCTACAGCCCAGCGAAAGCAAAAGAGCAAAAGCCAACAAACCAAGTTTGATTACATCCAGGAAATTATACAAGCTGAGTTAGGAAGCTCGAATTTTCGGACACGGTTCGAACCCGCCATGTTTACTATGGAGAAATATCAATTATTCGTCAGATATCAGGAAACTGTGCACAATGACTTCAAGAACTCTATTAAGGCCTTCAAAAGATTTTTGTGCGAATCGCCGTTCCCCGAGGATGTTGTAATGGGTACTCAGGAGGAATGGGACCAGCTGAACAACTGGCATAATATGAAATCAGATGAAACACTGAAAAGAGTCGGGCCGGCCCACGAGTGTTACTACTATGAGGACAAGCTTATTGCCATCGCCGTGTTGGATTTTCTGCCCAGTGGAATATCGTCCGTGTACTTCATCTGGGATCCAGATTATCCACGCTGGTCTCTTGGTAAACTTAGTGCGCTGCGGGAGCTGAGCGTTTTATCGAAAATTAACCGACAATATTACTATTTAGGTTACTACGTCGACGATTGCCCAAAAATGAAGTATAAACGCAAATATGGCGGTGACATTTTGGATGTGTGCAATAATGAGTATGTGCCCTTAAACCTTGTGGCCCCCCTGGTGGAGCACGGTAAGCTATTTGTGCTGGATCACGAATCTCAACATCAAGATGACGATGAAGATGAAGATGACGAGGACGAGGGTATTGAAGAAGCTGATGATTCCAGCATTGCCAAGGACGCTTTGTTCGAGTTACCCATGGACAGTGTGCCGAGACTCAAAATGACCGGACCGACTGTCAATATTGTAGACCGCATATATGGCGAAAACGGCGGTGCAGTAATGTCAGCTAACGAAGCTGTTGAGAAGCTCGTGGATTTGGGAATTGAATACACACCCACGATCATAAACGATCTTTACCGCCCCAAGTCACTTCACACCTTCTCCGCTAGTTCGGAACCCGAACTCCGGTATGAGGCCGATGACGGTGATGTTCCGGGTTATACCAATGAGATCTATCACTTGCCCAACGTCGTACCAGGTCTTTTGCCCTTGTGGCAAATACTGCAAATAATCGAATCAGGAGACATTACAAGGCTAAATAACAAGCTTATGTTGTACAACGTTCGCAGTGGGCAAATACGTTTTGTTACTGATTTTCAAGCTGAGTCCAAGCGTACCAAGCGTGTAATATGCAATGTCATTCGAATGATTGGCCTGAAGAGTACAGCTAAAAGTCTCATAATTATATGAAGAGACTGAATGTGATGAGCAATTGCTTAGTAGTAAAGATAACGAGAGCGTATCTGCGGTAACTGTAAAGAACAGCAGATCTTCAACATCAACGGCTTAATGCTTGATGGCCCAAACTTGCAGGTAGCCAAGAAATGTTTTCTCATCCCCGTGTTGGCTAGTTACCTGGTTAATTACTTTTTTAATTTACTCGAGCAAGATGTAGTCGAACGGCGGAACTGGCACCCAGCTTCTACATGTTGAAATCGTTGACTTTGGATATCACTTCGAAGGGATAATTAATTTGTAAATTTCTTGTAACAAGTCTCACCAAGCGCCTACCCATGGTATAAACTATATAAACTATTTATGGTATCCTGTTTACTGCAAACATTATACAAAGACTGTTTGGTATGCTCTAAAATACCTCAGTGCTGGGGCTCAAAAGTTCGTGAAGTCCTGTCTGGTTGAAATTTAGATCATTATAAACGACAAACTTTTATTGAACAATTTCTTAAACCCCAGGTTTCTCGAAAACTTAGAAAACACTGAAATCAAATAAATATTGTGAGCCTCCGGTCTTTTCGAGCCAATGAACGATCTTCGACAAGCGATACACGTACGTACCAAAGATTTAAATCGATTGAAAGACAACATTGTACTTCATTGAACCACTTGCTAACATTTTAACTCAGCTTATAGAAGCTTTATATTCACCGCATCCACCGCCCAACATCAATGAGATACAGCAGCAATTGCAGACCGTCCAGCGCTCAGAGCACGGCTTGGAACTCGCCAGTCAATTGTTGTCGCATGAAGCTGGATCTGTGAACGTAGAATACTTCGGAGCTCTCACGTTGGCGGTTCAATTGCACACGAAAACAGCCCATGATGGACTTGGAGATCTCCTTGAGGTAAACATGCTACACTTGGCAAAGCTTGCCAGATTATTTGTGTCCAATCCTAGTCAAAACGGCTCTCGCATGGTTGTCATAAAAAAACTAATGTCGAATGCTGCACAGGTATTCTTCAGACTTAACAGTCCGCACGGCACAGTTCCCCCCGCGACTACATTTACATGGAAGAATCCACTAGAAACATTCTGTCTACTCACGTCCGAGTCAAGCATCCATCCAGAAGCGTTCCACGACACTCTCAATCATTATTTATCTCAAACAATACCCTACGACCACCTCATTCAACTCATCGGTTCTTCCAATGAGTTAAATTCTCTGACATTATTATTTTCTGAAGTGGTGATCGAGGATCTCGTGAAATACCAGTCGAGCAAAGTTGGCGTTTCGCACCTTCACGGAGTTGTGCATGAGCATCTGTATATCACGAGCACGTCCATCATGAATTACAATCTTCAACAGATTGCTATATCTTTCCAAAATAATCTTTCTCAAAGTTCTCCACTCCCGGATAATGTATTTCGATGTGTGAACGCATGGATAAACTATGCGACTATGGCTAGGAGCAAGTCTCAAGGCCATATGGATTTGAGTGAGACCTTCGAAATCTTGATTCAGCTCATGTGTTTGCATGACTCGAATCAAGGATTGTTTCCCTTTTCAGAAACTGTTGTGTCCATCCTGGGAGAGATTTTTGGTAATGACCCAACCATGCTGAACTACGAATTGAGATCCAGCATTGAAGAAATATTACTTGGCGTTAACAGGTCCTCTAGTAGCAGAAGCGAGAGTCATCAATGGATGCTTCAATACATGAATCATCTGGTTGTCAATCAAATGTTTGATGAACTAAAGGAGCTTGCTCTTTGTGTTGTGGATTTTCTGCAGATCAGTAATTTAGACGTTTGCAACAAGCTGTTCACCCAGGCGTCGAATAACAATACTGAAAATCTAGACCAATACATCAAAGTGTTACTGCAAATGACTAATTTTACGCTAGTGCCGGTGTTGGAGGAGTTTTTCTCGGTGCGAATGGCGGACTTTTGGCTCGACCTTTGCGATGCTTACAATAACTTAGTAAGGGAAACATTCAAACCAGAGACGCCAGAGCTAGCCGCAAACCTTTTTGGCCAAGTGGTTCAAATTTATTTGCCAAAAATTCAATTAATCAATAAGCAAAAAATAGTGCAAGCGGGAGAAGACGATTCACTGCTACACGAGTTTGATGATTTCCGAGGCGCAATTCTTGACTTGATAGAATCCATGTGGGCGGTTCTGGGTAATGATAAATTGACAAACGTTCTAATCGCGAGCATCGGTCACTTGACGCCAAGTTCGGGGGACGATCTTTTCCAAATTGAAGCAATGTGCTTTTGCCTTAACAAATTGCTTGTTGATATGAATTTGAGTGAGAGTCCTGGGATGTGCAAAACTTTGAGTGAGAGCAACTCATTTTTAACTAATGTTTTATTAATGATCCAAACCGGATGTCAGCAAAAGGGGGCATCTAATGGGAAAGATGCTCAGATCTTAAGCTGCGACCTGGTCAAGACTAGCACTTCTTTACTGGCTACTGTAGCAGATTATGTGAAGAAAGACGAAAGAGCACTAGCAAATTGCATGGATGTCTTATTCAACTCTTTAGAATCATGTTCTAATGCAGATGATATCGATACTAAGATTGAACTACTGTTGACTAAATGTACTACCAGCATTTGTGAAACTAGCCGACTAGAACTAGCATCGTATCTACCAACGTTCATCAAGATTCAGAGTTCTATGGTTCAAAGAAGCTCCAAAGTATCAGATTTTACAAAACAAAAATTTACACGCTGTCTAGGCTACATTATTCAGAATTACACCCAAAACGGACCGGAAGCCCAAGCACAGTACCTGGCTGAAGTAATCAATACTATAAAGGCTGGAATCATGAACGCGCCGGATGATCGTCAACAAATCTTGTGTCTGTTGACCTGTTTTTCGGAATTAGGGTCCGCACTGGTTCCCCCGGAAGATTCGGACAACCAATCCTACCTCTCGCAATTGCCACAATTTCAAGAGTACTGGAGGGCCGATCCGCCCCGTTTGCGCGAACTCACTTTGAATCTGATAGAGAGCGTGTTGTCGAGGTACGGCCATGATGCGGAGTTCATTGAGGTGACCTGCTTGATAATGGGGAAAAAACTGACACTTTCAGAGGAAGAGCCGCATTTCTTGGCGTACTCTATGCAGGAGCTGATGGATTTCTTATTGAGACGGTGTGCAAGCTGTGAGCCGTCCACGGGGCTTCCTTACATCGTGTACCTTCTGGAGAGTGTCGTGAACCGGTACGGGGCTACGATGACGCCGCAGGACTTTAGCTTTATGCTCTCTACGTTTTTCTTGGGACAACATCGCGACGCGGTCGCAAACGACCCGGACCTGACGCAGATCATGATCACATTTGTGAACTCTGTCTTGGAGACGCGGCCTGGCTTGGCAGTGCACTGCGACCAGTGGACGAGTTTCATACTGCCCGAGTTTCTGCGGTTTTTGGCCTCCAAGGAGCGCTTCACCATCAGTGCGGTCACCAAGTTCTGGACCAAGGTCGTGAACAACAAGAAGTTCTCGCGCCACGACGAGGTCACCGTTCGCGAACAAGTGTGTGCTCTGGGTCCACAGCTGACGTCCCAGGCCATGCGTGCGCTCTTGCACGCCCAGCGGTCCGATCTGTCCTACTACTCCGATTTCCTAAGAGCCCTAATCGCTCGCTACCCGCTGCAATCGAAGCAATGGCTCTCCCAGGCTTTGCCACCGTTGTGCGATAACAACCGTGCTCACCAGTTGCTTGTGGAGAAGCTGTTGGTGACCCGTGGGAGCAGAGCCGCCTCCAATGCCGTGTTGGAATGGTGGTTGAACTGCAACGGTCTTCCGCAGCTGACCTGATCCTGCTTTTTGTGGCCCCCCGGAAAAACCTTTCTGCAGGTCCCTGCAGGTCCTTGCAGGTCCCTGCATCCTCGGATCAACCCCTCGTTTTACGAACCTGCATAATTAGTCTTTGCGGAACGAGCGGCCATGCTAATCTATCTTTTTATGCCCGCTGCTCGTTGCCGGCTATCATAAGCCCGTCGCATCTCGTTTAGATAAATAAAAAAGAAACAACATCATATCCCGCCGTATATAGGGATATGCGCAAAACTTGTCGACAACTCTGTCTGGAAGAATACGCAATGCGCAACGTCCAGCGTCGGTGTTTCGGGCCTGATTCTCATACTGCAAGGTCTTATGGCTATATGGGGAGCGGGCGTTTGAGCAGCACTAGATAGACAGGCTCAAAACTTATGGCGATAAGTGCGTCAAACATTATAAGACCGCTCACGCCTTGATAACAGACCGCTGCGACCTTGGTGGTATCGTTCCAGCTTTACCCAAAAACAAAGTATAAGAGGAAGGTGCCGGAATTGAAAAGAGGAGAGCATCATCCATCGCCACATAGTGCACACACGAAAAAACTCCAACACCATCAGAGGCAATTTTTGTTCGGTCTTTACGCACATCTGTTCATTGTTGCAGTTGTTTATCTTTCCAGTGTATCTTTCTGCGAAGTATCTCTTCTGTGAAATATCGTTTTCTTTGATCTCCCCAAGCTTCTTTTACCTAGGCCTTTTTCCATGACAGTCGAAAAAACGGTTCTGGCACGCGATCTTTCGCATCTCTTCTCCGATGAGGCCTGCCGGCGAAAACCGTCGCCCATCAAAACCACGATGGCGTACTTTCAAGACCCCAGCGTCGTTTTTTTGGGCGCTGGAATGCCTCCCTCCGATATTTTCCCGCTGCGGTCCATCTCTGTGGAGGCGCCCAAGCCGCCATTTACCAACGGGCTCGCCTTGTGCGAAGACACGATCGTTGCTTCGCTCGCCAAGGAACACCAAGACCTCACTTTTGACCAAGACATCCCGCTGGCTCGGGCATTGCAGTACGGGAATTCTCGTGGGCAAAAAGAACTTCTAAGCTTCTTGAAAGAGCACACCAAGCTTTTCCACAATATTCCCTATCAAGATTGGGACATCATCACAACCACAGGCTCCACCCAAAGCTGGGACGCTTCCTTGCGCATCTTCTGCAACAAAGGAGACACTGTGTTACTCGAGGAGTACACGTATTCATCGTCGGTAGAAGCGGCAGAAGCTCAGGGTCTCAACTGTATTCCAATGGCCATGGACCAGGAAGGAATAAGGCCTGACCGTTTAGAAGACTTGCTGGCCAACTGGACCACTTATCACCCAGGCATTCCCATGCCCAAACTTTTGTACACCATTCCCACGGGCCAAAATCCCACCGGTAGTACCATGAGCGATAGTCGCAAACCTCACATTTACCACTTGGCTCAGAAGTATGACATGATCATCATTGAAGATGAACCTTACTATTTCTTGCAGATGGATGCTTATTTGCCCGAGAACGAACGCGACCCTGATGCGAATGCTGAAAACGTTTCCCACGCAAGTTTCATGCGCTCATTGTGTCGGTCATTTTTGGAGCTCGACACTGAAGGAAGGGTTGTGCGGTTGGATTCTGTGTCCAAGACATTTGCCCCCGGATGTAGATTGGGCTGGATAGTGGGCTCCAAACAATTGCTCGATACATACTGGAATTTGCATGAGGTCTCCATTCAGTCAACCTGTGGTTTTGCGCAAAGTATTTTGAGCGGTATTCTCAACAGATGGGGTCAGGATGGTTACATTTCTTGGCTCAAGGGTCTACGGCAGCAGTATACAACGAAAAGAAACTGGTGTTTGGATAATTGTTCCAAATTTTTACCTAGCCAGGTAGTGACGGTGCCGCGCGTTTCTGCTGGTATGTTCTTCATGATCCTAATAGACGCCCAAAAGCATCCAGACTTTCAAACAACTTTCAAGGGCGACGTCAAGTTACTAGAACCATATATTTACCAAAAATGTGTCTCCGCAGGTGTTCTGGTGGCCTGTGGTTCTTGGTTTAAAGTCAACGGGCCAGATTCCTCTAAGTTGGTGCAATGCGACGAAGAATCAAAAACATTGATATTTCGGGGAACCTACGCTTCGGTGCCACCAGAAGCTATGGTTAAAGGCTTACAGCTTCTAGGGAATGAATTAAGAAAAGAATTCAAATTGGAGTGAAATGCATAGTTGGTCCCGTATGGATCCTTTTGAAAAACGCCAGAAGTTTAGATTTAGCCTCAAGTGCATCATCTTTAAATAGTCATGTGTAACGTTTTTACTGTAAGCGGGTGTTTTCAAGATTGTCAACAAATATGTTAAATATGATACTTGCATCAAATTTCTGAGTTTAACAAGCTTTTGACTATCAAACTAGGCTTGAAGTAACTTCAAGCGGTGACCCAATGAAAATTTTGAAGCTTCCATGGCTGGCACATAAAGGTATGCTATCTGTTCCGCGAACAAACTGATTTCACCGAGAGCATCTATACTAACAAGTCCATAGAGGAACATCGAAAATACGAAGTTTACACGGCCGATGTGAGTCCAGATGGGGAACGCTTGGCTACGGGTGGTTTGGATGGCAAAATTAGAATATGGTCAATACCAGATATCCTCAAAATGTTACAAAAAGATTTCAAACTTAACGATGATTGTCAAGCACCATTGGCTAGCATGAGCAGACACACTGGGTCTGTGACAGTGGTGCGCTTCTCACCAGATGGCAAGTTTTTAGCATCTGGGTCCGATGATCGAATTCTGCTCATATGGGAAAGGGACGAAGAGCAGAAACAGCCTATATTTGGATCTGAGAATGACAAAGAACATTGGAACGTACGACGGAGGCTCGTGGCTCACGACAACGATATTCAAGACATCTGCTGGGCGCCCGACTCCAGTATTCTGGTCACTGTCGGGCTTGATCGATCTGTTATCGTATGGAATGGGTCCACCTTCGAGAAAATCAAGCGCTTCGATGTGCATCAGTCTTTGGTTAAAGGTGTGATTTTTGACCCTGCAAACAAATACTTTGCCACAGCGTCTGATGATAGAACACTACGAATTTTCCGATATCACAAAACTGGGGACCTCAATTTTTCAATTGAGCATGTTGTTTCTGAGCCTTTCAAAGGCTCGCCAATCACTACGTACTTTAGGCGACTTTCCTGGTCTCCTGATGGGCAACATATAGCAGCGCCGAATGCTACAAATGGACCCGTATCATCTGTTTCAATTATCTCTCGTGGAAGTTGGGATACAAGTGTGACACTAATTGGACACGATTCTCCAACGGAAGTTGTTCGTTTCAATCCAAGATTATTCAAAGTTCTTGAAAAGAAAATCAAGAGAAGAAGCCCTATACCAGATGTAGATGCAGCTGAAGTCAGACTTTCAGAAGCTATAGACGGCGAGAACCATCGATCTGAAGGTGATGAGAATCATCGACCTGAAAGCGAAGAGAATCATCAGGCTGAAGGCGAAGAGAACCATATACGTTCAGGCGAAGAAAACCTTCGACCTGTAGGCGAAGAGGCGCGAGAAGAATCGGAAATAGAAGAGGTGGTGGAAGAAAAAGTGGATTCTGTCATTGCAACAGCAGGACAGGACAAGACACTTGTTATTTGGAGCACTGGAAGAGCAAAACCTCTTTTAGTTGCGTATGATATTACTAGTAAATCTATAACCGACATGGTTTGGAGTCCGGATGGCACTATCTTGTTCTTGACATCTTTGGATGGTTCTATCATTACAATAGTCTTTGAAGACAATGAGCTTGGAGTAGCTATTCCGCTAGAGAAAAACGTCGAGCAACTACATAGGTACGGTGTCGATAAAGATTCCTTTGACTTCCCTGAGAGTGTAAGACAGCTTGAGCTCGAAGACGAAGCTAGAAAGCTAGGAAAGGAGGAGAACAAATTCGAGAAAACCGCCAATGTCGAAAGTACCTCAGATCATGAACCAACAAAAAAATCTCTGGATCTGCCTCCTCCTCAAGGGACAGTACAGAGTCCGACATTGTTGAATGTGAAGAGAAAGGAGCCAGCAACTAAGAGCGATGTCGTCTTACCGCCTACTAAAAAGCTGGAGCTGGCGACACCTAGCAGTAAGGAAGAAAACCTCAAAAGGGCCATTGTCAAAAACGGGCGTAAGAGAGTTGCTCCTACACTAATATCTTCGGGATACTCGCCAACAAAGCCTACTGAAAACAAGTCTCCTTCTTTCAGATCCCAAAGCCCTGCTCTAAAAAGCTTAGGATCAGAAGACATTTTCAACAATCTGAAGGACAAAGTTGGTCGCCAGTCATTTCCCATGCCAAGGTTAGGAATACACTCCTTGATAATGGGGTTTAGAGAACGAGGGGTGGATAAATATTATCGCGGTGGCGAGGATATGGAAAATAGTAGAGAAGAAAATGACAGAGAAGAAAAGGATGGAACTGACGGGGCAGAAGCTAAGGTACCAAGCGATCATATTATGAGGCTCAATTCGAAAACAACACCAGAAAAAGTATGGTTTGACGAACCCAGCACTCGATACGTTGAAACACCCAACGTGTTGTCCGACGCTGACGTTGTGCTCGTTGAGTTTGGAGATCTTGATGACCTTTACATAATGGAAGTTCGCAACGGCGTCGAGCGTGGTTTGCAATTTGATAGGGACGCGTTGTTTGAGAGCCCTACAAAAATTTTGAGCTATCATCACGGAGAAAGGGTAATAGATATATTGATTCCCGAGATTATCATATGTGCCCTGGGCTCTTCGAAACGTAAATGCTGGATTCTCGCGACCGCTGAAGGGAATCTCCTTATCTACACGTCTTTCGGCAAGCACAAACTGCCGAAAATTGCACTTGGTCACAAAGCTGTCAAGATGGCAACAATAGATGATTATTTGGTCGTATTGACCGAGTCGGGATTATTGTACGCCTGGGATATTGAGAAAGGAATTTGTATACATAAAAAGGTTCCTATTTTACCCATTATGTGCAACTCCCCAGTTGACTCCAATCGTGTGCGTATTCACAAGAAAATAACAAAAATCAGCATAGACTTGAAGACTCATGATCTACTACTAGCATTCATCAATCCTCGCGAATCTTATTGTTGGAGTTCAAGTCTTGGTTGCTGGACAGCTAATGCTGTACAATCTTCTTTGTCCAGCAAACTAACTCCGATGTCAGTTTGCACTTAAGTGACAAATGTTGGGCCTGTCGCCGGTAGCGGTCATCATTAGAGCTGAGCGAGAATGTGGTGGTAGAGCGTTCTATATACTCCGTTAGCGGCTCTCGAGTCATCCTCCGATAAGGCGTCTATGTTTGTCTGCCGCGGAGTTGAGCCTCTACAATTATCAAAAAGCCGGCATCGGCGTCCTCACTTTCGCCGGTACCGGTCTAAAAAAATTTTAAAAATGACAATATGGAATACTGATCATGGCATCGGTCAAGTGAACTCGATAGTGGACGTCTAACAAAATCTTATAAAAAGAGCAGTGGTATTACCAAGGGTTCACAAAGGTTTGGTCCCTTAGTTGCTTGAAGAGGTGATAAACCATAAACATCGCTAAAAATGTCTTTCAAGTCTTCTGAAGGTCCAAAGACCTTGTACGATAAGGTCTTTGAAGATCACGTTATCCACAAGGATGAATCTGGTTCTTACTTGCTATACATCGACAGACACTTGGTCCACGAAGTGACCTCCCCACAAGCTTTCGAGGGTTTGAAGAACGCAGGGAGAAAGGTCAGAAGAAGAGACTGTACTTTGGCTACAGTCGACCATAACATCCCAACCTGGTCGAGAAAGAACTTCAAGAGCGCCGAAACCTTTATTAAGGAAGCAGACTCTTTGTTGCAAGTGCAGACGTTGCAGAAAAATGTCAAAGATTTCGACGTTCCATTTTTTGGCATGACTGATGCTAGACAAGGTATTGTTCATATCATTGGCCCCGAACAAGGATTTACACTCCCGGGCACTACAGTTGTGTGTGGTGATTCCCACACTTCGACTCATGGTGCTTTTGGTTCTCTTGCTTTTGGTATTGGTACTTCTGAAGTTGAACACGTCATGGCTACTCAGACCATTATTCAGGCCAAATCTCAAAACATGAGAATTTACATTGACGGCAAGCTAAGCCCTGGCGTCACCTCCAAGGATTTGATCTTGCACATCATTGGTGTTATCGGCACCGCTGGTGGTACCGGATGTGTTATTGAATTTGCAGGTAAAGCCATCGAGGACTTGACCATGGAAGGCCGTATGTCGATGTGTAACATGGCTATCGAGGCTGGTGCCAGAGCCGGGATGATCAAACCTGATCAAACCACTTACGACTATGTTGAAGGTCGGCCTCTTGCTCCAAAGGGTGCAGAATGGAAGAAAGCTGTTTCCTACTGGCAGACTTTGCACACCGACGAGGATGCCCACTTTGATTTTGACATCAAAATCAACTCCAGGGACATCATTCCAACAATCACATGGGGTACCTCGCCACAAGACGCTCTTCCAATCACCGCCTCTGTACCAAATCCAGACAGCGTTTCCGATCCAATCAAGAAGTCTATGATGGAAAACGCTTTGAAGTACATGGGTCTCAAGCCAAATACTCCTCTGAAGAGCATCACCATTGATAAGGTGTTTATTGGTTCTTGTACCAATTCTCGTATTGAAGATTTGAGAGCCGCTGCTGCCGTTGTCAAGGGCCACAAGAAAGCAGGCTCTGTCAAACTAGCCATGGTCGTTCCTGGATCTGGTTTAGTTAAGAAACAAGCAGAAAAGGAGGGATTGGACAAAGTTTTTGAAGAAGCAGGATTTGAATGGAGAGAGGCTGGTTGTTCCATGTGCCTCGGTATGAACCCAGATATTCTTGACCCAGAGGAACGTTGCGCATCTACCTCCAACAGAAATTTTGAGGGCCGTCAAGGTGCGAGATCTCGTACTCACTTGATGTCACCCGCCATGGCTGCTGCCGCCGGTATCGAAGGACACTTTATCGACATCAGAGAGTTTCAATACAAGGACAATGATGTTCCCAAGATATCTGTCGAGCAAGAATCCGAAGACAAAGCTTTGCAAGACGCTATTTATCAACACGAGAAACAACCTTTACAAAAAGGTGAATCTGCTGACGAGCTAGAAGAGGATGAGGTTCTTGATATTCCACCATCTGAACACGAAGCCCAAGAAACTCCTTTGAAGGATGCTCCTTCTGCCTCCGCTCCAGCCGGTATGGAGCCCTTCTTGACAGTTAGTGGGATCGCTGCCCCTCTGGATAAGGCTAACGTTGACACTGACGCCATCATCCCCAAGCAATTCTTGAAGACTATCAAAAGAACTGGTTTGAAAACTGGACTTTTCTACGAATGGCGTTTCACTAAGGGTGAAGACGGCAAAGATCAAAGCCGTGGTTTTGTTTTAGACACCGAGCCTTACACCAAATCTCAGATTCTTGTTGTCACTGGTGATAACTTTGGATGCGGTTCTTCTAGAGAGCACGCTCCTTGGGCTCTTAAGGACTTCGGTATTAAATCCATCATTGCTCCATCTTTCGGTGATATTTTCTACAACAACTCGTTCAAGAACGGGCTGCTACCTATCAGACTTCCTCAGGATGTTATTCTTGAGAAGCTCTACCCTGTCGCTCAAGCTGGCAAGACGATGACTATCGATCTACCAAACCAAAGAATTTTGGACTCAGAAGATAATGTCTTAGTTGACCACTTTGAGGTTGAGAACTTCAGAAAGCACTGCCTCGTCAACGGTCTTGACGATATAGGTATTACCTTGCAGAAAGAAGAATTCATCGTCAAGTTCGAAGCTAGAAGAAGAGATGAATTTTCGTTCTTAGAGGGCGGCTCAAACCTTGTCAAACCGATCATGGGCTCTAAAAAAAGTCCCTACGGGAACAACGCTCAAGAATGGTAAGATGATTGCCACAAATATTTCTTACTATTTAAACTTATTTATTTGAATGAATCAGACACGATTTCACGATTAGGAGGAAATGACAGGTTGATAGTGGTCAGAAAGTTTCTAATGTTCAAAAGCATGTAATATAGGCGGACTGCGTGTCTGTGCCCAAAACATACTTCAGTCAGAATAGAAAGCGTTTTAAGATTGATGAATTTTACTTAAAAGCCGAACGGATTATCGGCACTTGCATTATACATATTGGCATGCTTTTGCTGAGGCTGCGGACCATTTCCGAAACCAAAGCCGGTAGGCTGCGACTGAAGGGCCGGCTGAGATACTGACATGTTTTGAAACCCGCTGTTTAGCTGGCTTATACCACCCGTGAGTGAATTTCCCAAGGGTTGCTGCATAGCGCCGCCAGTGTTAAAGGATGTTTGAGGGAGCGAGACCCCCCCTGTCCTTTGCATGCCGAGTCCAAACTGTGACTGGGGTTGAAAGCCCCCCGTTTGATGCATAGTCATGGAAGGTTGTGGCAGCGGTTGCATACCACCGGTCCTTTGAACATTGAAACTGTTTTGAGGCATCATCCCTACACCGCCCGTACTGTGTGTTCCCATACCAAAGTTTCCGTTCAACTGGTTTGGCATGCCAAACGTTGTTTGAGGGTAAGTGGGCAAACCGCCTGTGACTTGTCTTTGGAATGAGTTTGTGGGCATCATATTTGCTCCGCCTGTCATCTGATTCCCAAATGAGGTAGCGGGCATCATATTTGCACCTCCAGTTATCTGACTCATGAAACCAGGCTGGGATGAACCATTAAATCCACCCGTGGATTGATATCCAAAGCTTGTTTGGGGAATGGTGTTTTGGAGTCCCATTCCTGACGTTCCAAATGGCAGGCTAGCTCCAGTCATTTGATTTGGCATCATATTCCCGCCTGTTGCAGACATGGGCATTACACCTGTAGATTGTATACCAAACGACGTCTGGGGCATATTCATAGGACCACCTGTGTTTTGTGAACCCATCATTGTTCCTGTAAACTGATTTTGCTGCAAGGGAATAGTTCCGCCAGTTCTCTGCAATGGCATGAAATTAGACGAGCCTTGAATTCCAAAAGTAGTCTGGGGCATTAATCCGCCAGTATTGTATGGAATCAACCCGTTTCCAGTTTTTTGCACAGGTAATATCGTACCTGTAGGTTGCATTCCAAAGGTTGTCTGAGGCATAAGTATTCCGCCAGTCCGTTGAAGAGGAATCAGCCCACCAGTGCTAACGGGGACCATCACAAAACCTCCGGTAGCCATAGGCAATAAATTGTGACCACCTGTTTTAAAGGGATCCAATGGGGCCATTGTGCCTCCGGTCTTATCGGATGCAAGATAATTGTCCGCTCTAGATGATCCGGTCTTCACTGGTTCTAGGTCTTTGAATTTTGGTTGAGGTGCTTTTTTAGGTTCTAAAGGTTGTAAATCGAGGAGGTCTTGCATGGAACCTGTAAACTCGGACTTCTGAGGTGGCATTGTGGCTTCTGAGGTAGCAGCTGGTTTAACAGTCCATGCCTCATCATCTTGAGCGCTGGAATTTTGGCCTGTTGAGGGATGAAACTTTTGAGGAAGCAAGTTCTCCGGAAGACCACTGCCTACTCTATCGGTGGATGGAACTTTAATAGATCCGTCTGGTTCAGAAAACAAACCTCCAGTGGATGTAGGCATCATGGTATTTTCTCTACCAAACTTTTGATCCAGGTATTTCATTACCCGAATGATATCACCTTCACGCAGACCCAAGGTACGGAGAACCGATGGTTGGATATCTGAAAGAGTTTCTTCTGAGATCTGCTCTCTTTCAAAATTGATGGTATACCGCTGACAGTTGTTAACATCGACGCCACAATTCAAAAAGAACTCGAACCAATCATATTCAGCCGCCTTTGAAGAGCTTCTAGGTAGCGTTTTCGCAGATGACTGATTGGAAGACGCAGAAGGTCTGGGAGGCTTGATGGGTGGAAGCTCTCTCTCTTGAGCGGCACGCATGTTCTCTCTTTCCTTATCGAGCAAGTCCCGAGCTTTTCTGAGCTCATTTAATTCCTGTTCCCGTAATCTTCTATCCAACTCTCTTTGTTCGCGTTCACGTTCACGATCGTCTTGCTCCTTTAATCTTCTTCTCCGTTCTCGCTCCTTGTCTCTTGCGGAGGAGCCATTGCTGGCACTTTTGGGCTTGTACTTATCCAAAGATGTACCAGTTAACCTCTCCACACGTTCTAAGTCTTCGAGGCACAGCTTGTCAGCAGCAACGGCAATTTTGACACCATTAACTTTGTGTAGATGAACTTTCCCCTCCACGCAACCGATAAACTCAGCTTCGACCTTGAAAGTGCCGCTTCTATCAACCCATACTCTTGTTTTTTTTGAATCAGGGAAATCTTTATGCTTTTTGCTTGAAGTACGCTCGTCCTCTTTCTTTTTGTGAGGATGCAGAAAAGATGATGATCTCTTTCTGGTAGAGCTCTTTTTCGAGACCTCTTGCTCCGCATCATCTTTCCAGTTTTTGGAGGAATTGTTTGAAGTGCTCTTCTTACTAGATTTGCCCAGTGATTTGAGGGAGTTTGCCATTGCAGACAATTGATTTATAGGCTCGACAAACTGCGCCGGAACGACACCTACTCGCCCTGTATCTGCTGACTCACACATCCACCAGTCTTTTGACTTTTTGTCGTCCAAGATATGAACGATCTCACCTTCTTTAACTGACAATTCATCCACAGATTCGCCAATGAAATCATAAATAGCTTTACCCTGTTTCCGATGGGATGACTTGCTTGGGGGTTTGGAAGTGGGTTTTGACGCAGCTTCTACTTCACGTAGGCCGCCAGCACGATACGCTCCTTTGAGTTCGCCTAAAATAGCCATGATTTCGTCAGCTACGCTAGTAGAACCCGTATGAATCTCGAGGTTAAGGTACGGATTGGAGAACTCGAAAAAGATATGTTTTTTCTCGTTATCGTATGTCATCAAATCATTAACAGGCCATTGCTGAGGTGTGCCCTTTGCTGGTTTGAAAAATATGGTACTCTTTCCAATTGCAAATTTGGCCTTGTGCTTCTTTTTCCCATTAACCTCGGAAACATCCCAGGTTTTAATCTTTCCGTCATTATCGACTGGTGTACTCATTCCAGCTTCACGATCTTCGTAGCTATCATAGGTCGATTCGCGAATGTCGCGAGTGTCTTCCCTGGGTCTTGTGGGTCTTGGTGGTGGTACCTCGTCTTCATCAGCAATGGGTCTCGACATTTTTGGGGGACTATCCTCGTAATCCGGTACTGGAGGTGATGGGTATGCTGCGGGTGCTGCTTGCGTTGCTCTCGCAGCATGCTGCGGTGGGGGCGGGAAACTACTGACGTTAACGGCAGAAACAGCAGGAGCCGCTGGTGCCGCTGGTGCTGATGCTGCTGCTGCCAATGGCGCAGACGGCCCGCTCGCCGGCTCAACATAGTTGCCAGGTACGAACCCGTATTCTCCTGTTCTTTGTGAGCGACACAAGATCCAATCAGGATCTCTGTCGTCGAAGACGTCGAGAATATCATTTTCGCTGAAGACAATCTCTTCATCTGCATTCTGCACTTCTGGATAATCGTACAACGCCACAGCCGTAAACTTCACATCCGCTTCCTCAATGTAGTTGCTTGGTACTAGCCCCACTGGTTCTTCAGTGTCAGATCCAATCACTCTTTTCTTCACCGACCACCAATCGTCTACTTCGGACTTCTGCAGCAGATACAGAAGGTCGTCCTCTTCAACGGCCAGCTCTTCTTCAGACTGTGGCACATACTGGAAGATAGCCTTGTATATCCCCAGAAAAAGCGTCATTTGTCTTGTCAGAAGCCTGGTTCTGGCACTTTTACAATTATTTCTGCAGAAGATTGCAAAATGTATTTATCGATCTTGAATCAACTTTTGATATCAAGTGCCCCTTTTCAATATATGACAAGCTAATGGTCATGTGACCTCCCTCCACCTCTATAGTTTGATCAGTGTTGCTAGGAAATCTTCGAGCCTGTATTGATGCTGTGAGCTTGTGGGTGCAGCGGCGACGATGTCGTAGCATTGTGACATTCTGTTCACGTACTGTAACCTTTTTCTCGTCTCACTTTTACGTACTTTTCCTTCAACACGTCACAGCTAAGTGGGAAAGGTGAGGAACATCATAATTATAAAATCTGAGTTAAGCTGTCGATAGGTCGAGATCAGCCTCTACGCTTCCTAGACACCGGATTTTTGTTGTGTTTTTTGCGCCGAATATATTCCGAATTATTTGTACTGATGCAAAAAAACACGAGTCGTCAGGTCATCACAGACACGCCTGGTGCTAGGTTTCATACCGTCACAGCTCAAGAGCATGCCCTTTTACTTCGGTCATAAATAAAATTTGTTAGCCAGGTATGGATCCATTTCCAATCGTATTCGTTGTAAGTTGCCTCAAGGCGCTTGCATCTTCTTGTTTTGCTCGACCCTTGAAGAAATTGCTACTTTCAGTTCTTTGTAGAATCCCAACGCAAAAAGTAGCTCAAAAAGAATCAAAAATGGGGCTGTCACCAGGCTTTGGACTAAATTATCCAGCAGGGCGGGTTTCCGGCGCTCGAAAACACCGTGACCAATAAATTGAAATACCCAACTCGCAGAGAAAATAGCTAGGGCCCATCGCAGCGGTAGGTCCAGAACGCCGGCTTCAATGCCCTTTACTACGGCGCCCAAAATGCAGGCAGCCAGAGAACCTGCTTTCGCATCTAGTGCAACGTAATAGCTAGCAAAAGCACCGGCTAGGACGTGCATAACTGTCCAGCCTCTGTATATTTCGAGATCGTATAGCATTGTCATTGAAGAATACAAGATCAGTGGCACAAACATCGCATGAATCAATACATTGGTATGGTTGCTGTGGTAGCTCTTGTAAAATGCCAACTGCGTGGTAAGATCAAATAGATCACTCATAATGCGGGTGGGAACTGAACAGTAAAGCCCTGATATAGTTCAAAATATACGTATTGAGCCCTACGTATGCTGTTTGCAACTTCTTTCTCTCTTTCCTTTGAGGTTTTTTGATATCATTAGGAAGTATAATGTCATTTCGATAAATTAAGAAACCTTACCGCTCAATTTATGAAAACTAAATCTAGACAAGGAATTGGTGGGGTCATACATAACCAGAGATATGGGATTTCCGAACAGCGCCTGGAGAATAAACACTAAAGCCACCACCTTACACATAAGCCAATCTCATTGAAGAAAATTCAAAAAACAGCATTTTCGGCGAGCTTATGTTTTATCAAACTTCAAGATTTTAACATCTGCAAGCTCTGTAGTTTCCCCACGTCCCGTCCGTGAATCCTACTACCGTTGTGTTTGAAGACAGTGAGAATGATTCAATTCTGACATGCCATTACAGCTATTGTTTTTTTGAAGGGAAAATCCAGTTAAAACTGAAGCCAAGAGCTGGAACTCAAATTGCTGGTGAAACTCCTGGCGAGTATTTGGGCTTCCAAAGCACGCTGTGAATCGAAAGGGACAATGTAGAAATCCGTTCATCGCGATTTTCGATCCAAACGTAGCTTAATCAAAAGACAAAAGGTACTTAATTTGTGACTGGATTGCTAGCATTTGCAGGTGCATTAGCGGTAGTCAAATCGGAGTTCTAGAGAGCGGGCTTTTCATTTTTAAAATATGACATTATGATTGTATTTTTATACGAGGATGGGTAGTTTCAAGAACTACATCTTGATCACTTGATTAGCATCAACACTTTTGCCACTCGAAGTAGGACTCCATTACAACAGCACTACGCAGTTCAATTCACAGTATGTCTGCAGCAGGATACGACAGACACATTACCATTTTCTCGCCGGAAGGCCGTCTGTACCAAGTCGAATATGCCTTCAAAGCCACAAACCAAACAAATATCAATTCTATGGCCATCAGGGGCACAGACTGTTGCGTGGTGATAAATCAGAAGAAAGTGCCAGACAAGCTCTTGGAGGCTTCCACGATGTCATACCTGTTTCAAATCTCTAGACATGTCGGTATGGTGGCTAATGGACCCATTCCAGATGCCAGAAACGCTGCGCTGAGAGCTAAGGCTGAAGCCGCTGAGTACCGTTACAAATACGGCTACGACATGCCAGCAGACGTGCTAGCCAAGAGAATGGCAAATCTTTCGCAAATCTACACTCAGAGAGCATATATGAGACCACTGGGCGTGATATTGACGTTTGTTTCGGTTGACGAAGAATTGGGACCTTCCATCTACAAGTGCGATCCTGCCGGTTACTACGTCGGCTACAAAGCTACTGCCACAGGACCCAAACAGCAAGAACTGACGAGTGCTTTAGAGAAGTATTTTAAGAAACGCAAGGTCGATCATGTTGCAGAGGAATCCTACGATAAAGTAGTTGAGTTCGGTATCACCCAAATGATTGATGCTCTGGGCACTGAGTTCAGCAAAACAGATCTCGAAATCGGTGTTGCAGTCAAGGAAAAGTTTTTCTGCCTAACGCCGGACCAAATAGAGGAGAGATTGGTCGCCATTGCCGAGCAGGATTAGGTAACTACAAACCGCATCATATAAGTGTCCGCATAATACACTCCCATTTTCTAAATACTTAAACCGAATATTACAAATAACCGACCTTCTATTTGGCCGTATAGCCATCGAATCCCACGGCTAATTTCATTAGAGTGTTGTCGTTTGCCCTTGCAGTCGCTCTACCCTCTCATACACATGTGTTTCTTCATATTCGTAAACCTGCGTGGCCCACTGAACCTTGCCTTGCACCTCTTACACAGTATAACTTTCTTAATCCCATTATTCGTTGGAGTCTTAAGCTTTTTTACAGTTTCTGCGGGCTCGCTGTATTCGGTGCGAGCCAACGGCGTTGTGGGGGTCGTGCTTGGCGGTGGCGTTGGTGTGACAACCGCAACAGAAGCCATGGCGGTCTGGTTGGCGAAGAGGTTGAACGCCTGTGTGGCTTTCTCAAAATCTATTAACTTGTGAAAATAATTTGCGAAGTCCGTGCTTGACAGAGCCTCTAACTGCCCGCGCGGCACATGGCCACCCAGTAAAGTGTGCTGGAGCTCCGAGGAGGTGTCCAGTGCTATTGAGGTATCTATTTTACTCAGATATCCGTGCACAGGAGCTCGCCTCTTCTCTCTACGCTCATTTTCGTCGCTTTGGCTGTTGGTTTCGTCTCTGGCGTCTCTCGCCTCACGATCACTTTCACACAGCTCCTGCAATTGTTCCTGTGACAGGTGAACTTTGTGAGAGCATTCTAGTGCTGAAAGCCCTGCAATGGTATCGTAGTATCCCAAGGTTTGCCGCGCCATTACGTTTTTTCTGAACTTCCGGAATTTGACCATTCAGTATAGAGAAAGAATAATATACTTTTAGATAGATAGACTTAATGTTTCGCCTGGGCATGTGACCAGTTTATAGAGTAAGAGAGTACACACCAATGCTGCTTTATCAGAGTCTGCTGATCAGGAGACTGCGTGCCTGGCAGGAGTTATGAAGCAGGCTTGTCAGGTTTTACGTGAAGTACGTCGTTATCCGGAAGCTACAGCGTGATGGTTGAAACGTTGGATTTATCTTCAAAAGATATATGGGATAAAAAGGTAAGGACACTCCTCGCAGTACCTATCCCAATCTTCGCCATACTTCTTCTTGCACTTCGCTTGGTCACGAAGGGCACGATGAATAAGCGTTATCAAGAAGAAAGTGGGGAAAAACCATGGTAAAAAAGAATTGAAGCCGCAGGAAAGCGCCCAGACCAAGGACTGCGTCCAATCCGCGGTGTAGTGAATCTTTCTAGCCCATTTATACCAGCCATCAATCAACAGGTAGGATCCACGCTTGGTCACTAGATATTTGGGTTCATTGAGCACTTGCTTTGGCAAAAATGGGAAGGTCTTCCGCACTCTCTTGTCACCAGCCATTTGTTTCCTAAACGAATTCTTTTGCGCATTGGCGGTATCGAAGAAGTAGTAGGCTGTCAGTAGCACAACGTACAACGAGAGGTTGTAGTACCAAGGCCAGTTGTATTCGCTGCGGTCGTGATAGTACAAATACAGAGTGCAATGGCAATAAGTGTAAGGCACGCCTGCGATATTCCAGAAAATCAACATGAACCCGAATTTCTCGTAAGCCATGTCCCAAGTAGGAACGATTAGTTCTTCGCCCTTGGCACATGCGTTCGCGTAGAGCCAGTGGGCTAGGAGAATAACACCCATTTGTGGCGTTACGTATCCGTAAGTCTCGTACTGCTTTAGCGCGCCGCCAAGAGTGAGGAAGAAAAGTGTAAACCATGGCAATCTGACCTCGAAGAACATTTTGAGATCCAAAATGCCCCATCTAGGATTTAGCGGAGCGCCCATAAACATGTCGTAGATGTGGTTGCCAGTCATACGATGGTAATCGCCTGACACATACAGCGTGTACAGATACAAACCAATTGAAAAGGCAAAGCCAGAACAAATGGCACACGTCATAAGTTCGCCGAATTTGTCGAGAATCGTGTAGAGCTTGAAAAGGCCTGACACGTGCAACACCAAAGCGATAGTGACCGAGGTGTAGAAAGTCCACATGGCGTTACAGAAATAAGGCAATTGTTTGTTCTTCATGTGCGTCAACGGCTGGCCTTTGGTCCAAACACCGGGCAAGGTGTAGTAAAACACAACCTGGGCCGCCCAGAAAGTCATGAAAATGGTCCACGAGCTCTTGGACGGAACGCTATGCTCGAGGCATAAATCCCACATGTGCCGTAAAAAGTCGCTCCAGCTCTCGTTGGAAGCAGGCAACGCCAGCTTTCCGCCGTAAAATTCGGCGCAGATCCACATATAGTACATCAGGGCTGGAAATCCGAGCATCAAGCCGGTCACACCAACGGGACCGCCAAATTCGTACTCGATTTCTTCTGGCTTCAAAATCTTGCCCTGAGGCAAGAAGTTGGTGCGGCCCGAATCATCAGCAGACTTTTTCTTCTCCGTAGACATTTATCCTTCAATTTAGCTGTAGGATCGACACTTTGAGGCTTTTCGAGATCAATTGAGACAAGTAAACAACTTCCATCTTTTTTATGATCCTATTCCATTCGTTTACTATAGGACAATAATACATTGAAAAAACCTCAAATCATACATTACGAATCTCTCGAAATTCAAATGCTAACTTTGAAAAGGGATGCTCTTAACTAGTGACAGTAATCCATAGCCAAACATTGACAATCTACCCTAACCAGCGCCTAATAGGTGTCAAATTGGTTTGTTAAGACCTGACAGATGTCCAGGAAGAATGCATAGATGAGCGCAAGTCTTGCAGCTAGACCTCGGCGACCTTGAAATAGGAACATCCGGTTGACGTTTCAGGTGGAAACTTGAAGGCCTGATTTCAAGGAGGTAAGCGTCGCTGTAACATCATAGACAACAAAAGGCACTGGGCACTTTCTAGCAGCGCCAACTACATTGGCAGAAATGAGTCTTGGGGATTAGTACTTGGCAAGCACATGACTTCGGCGGCTTTGTTGTCGATTTCAAATTCTGCCACAAAAACGAGCTCTGGAAAAAAAAAAAAATAAAAGAAAATGAAAACGAAAACAAAATGGAAAAATCAAATCATGTGGTACTCGCGTGACATTGGCCGTTAGTTTGTCTATGACAATGACATTTATAAGCCATGTCGACTCCGATGGCAAAATAGAGCTCTGCACAGCAAGTGTTTTCAAGGCCTAGCACCAGTTGTCGGATCCACACCTCCAGTATTCTTGCCACGATAGGGCTCAGGAACCAGACAGGCCTGATAGAAAATCTATAAACAAGGCTGAGTCACGGCTAACAAAGTTCGCGCATCGCCATCATGAACAAGTCAGCTAATGGAGGAGTAAAGAAAAAGCGCACGAAAGTCAGCAGAGCCTGTGACAACTGCCGTAGACGCAAAATCAAGTGCACGGGTGCGCAGCCTTGCCTAAACTGCCAGACGTACAAATGCACTTGTACTTATGGACTTCAGTCTCCATCTTCGCTCAGTTCGGGAGACTCCTCAAGCAACTTACACAAGACCACAAAAGTTTCCCCGCCAACCAACTCTAAACTCCCGGAGGAGCTCGGCGGATTCATGTCAACCGTGTCCCCGATCTCATCCCATTCCAACCCGGTTGCTTCTCCCCATTGCGATGGGTCCAATGGGCTTTATGAGGACGACAGCCACATTCTGCAACAAATAGGTTTACTTACAGACAGTATTCGATGTTTAAAGGGGGCCCGGCCTTCGCAGTCAGTCGCAGAAGCTATTCAGAAGATCAAAAGCCAAATTATTTCAATCGAGTCTAATTGGAAACCTTGTGTTCGACAAGCAGCGATCCGCGATATTCAACCCACTGGAGCGTCCCTAGAAACGCAGTTAATGATCAACAAATACACTCAAAAATTATCGCTTACCAAGTATTCTACAATTGAGCCGTCGTCTTTTTTAACTAAAAACAGCGCGCTTAATCAACATCCGGCTGTAGACGATATTTTCGGACTTTATGGCCCTAGTTTGCTACTTTCTTTGAGGGGTATAGGTTTCCTTTTCAAACACTTCTTCGATCCTGGTGTGAAAATGGCTATCGAATACAAGACCACTTTATTCTTGATGCTGAGATTTTTCGATGCCTGTAATTACTATTTGGAATTAGAGGTTAAGTCATGGTCGGCGCCAATTGAAAATCACTACAGGTTAAGCGGACAGCTTTTCCTTTCCAAAGAAAAAGCTATACACGATATGTTAAAGAGTATTCCTCAAGAGCTGATACGAAAGACGAGAGTTGAATTCCCGCTGTTTGAGCGGCCTCCAAGCACACATGACAACATAAAAATGTTTCATTGGATTTCGCGAATGATGTTTATTTCTTGTCGAGAGTCTAATTGCAACGTATCGGAACCTAAAGATTGTTCAGAATTGGTGCCTGAAATCTTGGAATTTTTGCAAACCGAAGAGATATTGTCTGTTCTCGGTTTTGAGTATCTGAACGTCACAAGTTACACTCCTGTTGGCGACCTCGACTACTTGCAATCTCTCCTTTTCATCTTAAAACATCAATATTGGGTTGGAGAGTGTCGTGTTTTCTCTCAATTGCTGTCAATGGCTACTGGATACGCCCAGAACTTAGGACTACATCGTTGGGAATATTACGTTGGTATTGATGAAAAGCTAGCAGAGCGAAGGAGAGGGCTGTGGTGGAAGTGCTATTTCTGGGACAAGTTTTTTTCAATTCAAACCGGTAAGCATGCTATTATACCGGACTGCAGCATCAGCTGTCTTCTGCCCGAGGTCTTCAGAGAGCTTGGTATGTTTGACTCCGATGAATTCATGCAAAAACTGGTCACTTTGAATAGACCACTGAGTGCAAGTATAGCCAATAGAATGTTGTTTTGCTCACTTTCATTGGCGCTCATTGTGGGTGATTTCTTCAAAACTGTCCTTTACCATAAGAAATATACCGATTTCAGACACCAAGCAAAACCCGCTTTTCTCAAAGAAAAACTAATGGCAGAATTAATAAATGACGTGGAGCTGTTTGTGGAGAGATTCAAAATTATTAAAATGCATGCGCAAGACATAAAAACTGTCACTGCGGAACGTCTTGATGCTTGCGATTTTTCTCCTCAGAGCGCAGAAGATGCGACACAGGCAACACGTATCCTCATGTTTCTGGAGTATGCCACTTCAGTTTGTCTGGGATCTGTTGAGCATCTTTTTGCCCGTTTCAAGGGTGCAGAGTTTCCTCGCGATATTCAAGAACCCTTGAACAATTATAGAATTCGAATACACACTTCATGGAGGTCAATTATCGATACCATAGGTTCTCAAAATATTGAGATTGTATGGCAAATTCTAGCCACAGGCTCCGTTCTCTATGTAACTGTGCTCACTGATCTTTTTGCACAAAATAGCCGGGATACAAGGCAAGATGTACTGCTTGTTCTTAGAGCATCAAGGAATTTAGACTGTCTTTCCTCCCTAGAGGAAGCCATGAGCAAAGCTGTCGAAATGAGTCGAATTGTGCGGCAATTGACCAAACACAGAACATTCTTTCAGCTCATGGTAAGAATCAGCCTTCAGCTCTTTATGCGTACGTCTCGGATGGCCAATGCTGAATTTTTACAGTTTCTAGAGAGGGAGGACAAGACACTGGTGTCATCAGCCGAACGAGTTCTTGGAATGACACACAATAATTTTCAAACGTGTTTTGTAACGAAGGAGAAGAGCTCGTACCGCTTAAGCGTTGAGCGCTCTCTTGAACAAGAACAGGCGTTGCCACCACAATCTTCGGTTCCCCCGGAATTGAATAACGATGTTACGCAACCGGTAACAGGTAGTTGGCCACCTCAAAATATCACACCAAAAGAAGACAACCAAGAATTTGGACAGAAGGTTAAAGAATCCACTTTTCCCATGTCACCACCCATAAATTTCAATTTGGGATCGCTGGACGATTTCCTGAACTACGGTGGAGACGATCTTTACAATAAGCTTTGGGGCGATATAAATATTGATGTTCCAGATTTTCTATCGCAGCAAGAACCCAGATGAACTATGTGCTACTAAACTTCAAATCTAATTTACATGTTCTTATATCTTACATAGTCTCACGTTTTTCACTCCACCTCCAGTATTCCCATAATTCTTCTGCCATGAGGGGTATTCCTTATGGGGCCGACTAACATCGGTTTTAGTGTGTCACTTAGTCGCTGATAGAGGGACCTGTTGTTTTCGCGAGCGGCGTCCAACGCTGTCTGTAGGACGTAATTCCCATAACCATCATGGAGAAGTTGTTCTATCTTTGTGCTGTTACCATGAGAAAGTAGCTCATTGATCATGACCTCAGAAGCGGCTGGAGTACGCAAGGCCTTTTCGACTACGTTGGAGCCAAACTTGTGCAAAGATAGCTCAATGATTTTCGGCCTCAGTAATGATACCACTCTGTCAATGTACTCAGACTCAGAACGTTCGGTTTGCTTTGTCAAAATGTACTGCACCACATAATTGCCGAAGGGATCGGTGGTCAACGCATCAACGTGGGTGATGATTTGCTCACAGAGCCGCCTGAACTGTTCGTCGTTGCCATGATCCAAACAGCGTTGAAGCACGCAACATCCATGTCTGTGAGTAGCGATTTTAACACAGGCCTCTGTCGCAGCTTCGAAAATAAATTCGAAGTCTTCTGGCTTTAGCTTTTGCAGGCACTTCTGAACAACATGGTTACCATTGAGATCTCTGCTCAGCTCTACAATAGAACCACGCAACGATTCCACAATGATACTTGCTTCTTCTTCCGTGGTAATGCACTCAACGAGTTTTTGTAAAGCTCTCGTGCCATGTGGGTCGAGAGAAATATAAATGAAACTCTGAGAAGAGGATCTTACCAACTCAAGTCTTTGACTGTCATTGACCCTCTCAAGCAGCTTCTGGATCAAGTAATTCCCGAAGGAGTCAGTCATAAGTTCCACCACGTAGCTTTTTGTTTCTTCAAAAATAGCATCAGCAGCATCAGAGCCACCAATATCCAGCTGCCTTTGAAGAAATCTGCAGCCGTGCTGGTCTTTACACAGCGAGAGGATGTTCCCAATGTAATTTTCGAGTTTAGCGTTCGCGTATTTAGCAGGGTCCTCACCCTTTCGGTGGTATGCTTTTTGGTTGTGGCTGCCCTTATGTCTACGTGAGTGCATCGGATGGCGATTATTGTGTGCATGCGATGGGTGCATGTGATTGTTGTTATTTCCTGGGGGGCCCATCATTTGATGATGCATCGGAACCATGGGTCCGAACGGATGGTTTCCATACATCCAGGGTGCTAGAGGTTGCGAGGATGCGGACCTAGGAGAATTGGCGTTTTCTGGAACAGGTCCTTCTTTTTCAGAATGCTCAGCACTTTGAAAAGGAACGTTGACAGACCGACCACCAAGGGGGGTCCCTGGAATGGGGGAGAACGACTGGAATGGTGATGAAAACCCATATGCATGGAAAGGAGAAGGAATTCCATAAGCTGGAGCAGATCCGGGTGGAGTATGGCCAGATAGCACCGGGTTTGGTTGAACAAGAGGTCCACCGTAAGGATATGCAGCGGCTGAGTACGGAACGGCAGTAGCATTTTGTTTTGACAGCTCAGGATCTGAGTCCCGTGGTTTTTGACCTGATTCCGCATTTCCCTCTGTTTTTTCCAGAGAGATGCTTTGAGTTCTGATGGCTGTGCCATCGGTCAATATTTCGGCGCCAGAAACGGCTGGAAATGTTTGTCTCCGCGAAGCGTTAGAAGCTTCAGGCAATTCCCGGGAGATGAATTGATAGTCAGGGCCAAAATCCTGTTTGCTGGAAGACCACAATGGGTCAATGTTAGTGGTAAAACCTATGTCCAAAGCGGTGGAGCCAGCATTTCCAGACATATTAGCATTAGATACAGCAGGGTTCGCAGTTTGCTGCTGCGCAGAAAATATAGCAGTAGGATCAACTGATGTCATATTCGCTTGAGAGTCCGAGACAAAAGGATCTGATGGTCCAGGGGCCTGAAAATATCCGGGGGAATGCGGCAAATGCATCATATGTGGATAGTGCATGTATCCCATATTCATCATGGGTGGTGGTGGGAAGACGCTGTTCGTCGAGGCAGCCGTGCCAGTTTCGCTCTGTTTTGGATCACGGCTGGTATCGGACAAATCATCTAGATGCAGCTGATCTAACGCCGAGTTGACGGCCTCGGAGACCTGCGCGTCATCCACAGGTGGCTGTTGAGCAGCGTGGTTAGTCATTGGAGAGCGCTGCTTTGAAAAAAGTCAAGATTGTAACAACAGGAAGCACGCAATTCGGCGAGCTAAGAATGCCGAAAATGTGAGTGGGTGTAGCTTTTCCTTTTGGATTAGCTTCTAATGTACAAGCGGACACCTAACGTCAAATTGGGAAAAACCTCGGTCTAAAATACACAGATCGTTTCTGATCCAAATAGTAATGTAATGTACAGTGGATGGCAAGCGAGTCGGAAAACAAACCGCGGCTTGGAGATTAAGAGTGTCAGAATCGGAGGGGTAGAGTTTGCAGGGTTTTTCTGAATTAAGATTCTATGAGATGAACATTATCAAAATTTTCTAACTTAATTTAACGAAGTCTAAGAATTCGTGAAAGAGTACGTGTCGGGAGAAACACCGGTCAAGCGTTCCAGGAGCCTGGTTGGTCGCCCGAGTACGTTGCGGTGGTCTCGGGTACAGCCAGGTCCTTTTCCTCGCGAATTTTCCGATCTTTTTGCCGGTCCTCGACCGCAATGTTACCGTCAAGAGTCTTTACAACGAAAAGTGTCCGATGTGCTTACGCCGTGGGCGTTTCCTTTCCGCTAGCGTTTCCGCTAGTGAAAACGCCAGCGGCTCGAGAACTTCGCGCTGTGTTTCCGGCTGTCCACCTTGCACCATATTCCGTTTTCCGGAGCCTTAAATACGAGCTATAACGAACTCACCGTTGCAGTAGCAGGGCAGGGCAGAGTTCCATGCGACGAGTATCGACCCCCGGGTGTTTCGCACTTCTTTCGCCTTTTCGGAAATTCTTCAGCTCCCACTGCACCGTCTGCGTACCATCTCCCACCACGGCTCGTAGCTACCTGCCGTGCGATATAGCGAAAGGCTGTCAAACCAGTCGAAACTTACACTGAGAACATGCATCTTCAAATCAGATGCACTCACCTGAACAACCCATTCAGCTGGCGTGAGTGTATAACAAGATCTACGTTTTCATCAAATTTTGAGTTGCAATTCGCTTATTCTGCCCTGATGCAAGCCGAATTTATGCTTTGCAAGTGCTTATAAATTCACCTTAGCAACCTGTAACCGAATACCATAAACAATCATGATTCTTCTGTTTGTCGTATCTGTCTTAGTAATTGAACACCGAGAATAAATGTAAAAATCATCCGACGCGCCGCATTCCGAGAGATATATAAACCGAGCAAACAAGCCAGATATGAGGAACGGGGCTCCAGGCTGGTAGTCAACAATCAAAGAAACAATCGAAGATAATAGAACTACGAAACAATGCCATTTGTTCCAAACTTCAAACCCATCGCTCTTAAAGATACAAACCTGTTCAAGCCATTGACGATCGGCGAAACCGTCGTGGAACACAGGGCTGTGATGTGCCCGCTCACCAGAATGCGTGCGCATTCTCCAGGAAACGTGCCCAACAAGGACTGGGCTATTGAGTACTACGGCCAGCGTTCGAAGGTGCCAGGAACCATGATCATCACGGAAGGTGTTTTCCCATCGCCTCAGTGTGGTGGGTACGACAACGCTCCTGGAGTGTGGTCTGAAGAGCAGCTTGCCGAGTGGAAGAAGATTTTCGCCAAAGTGCACGAGAACAAGTCGTTCATTTGGCCCCAGCTTTGGGTGTTGGGAAGACAGGCTTTTCCCGATACCTTGAAACGCGACGGCCTGCGTTACGACTCTGCTTCGGACGAGGTATACATGGATGCCGAGACGGAAAAGAAAGCTGTTGAATGTGGCAACAAACAGCACGGTCTCACCAAGGGCGAAATTCAGCAGTACATCAAGGAATATGTGCAGGCTGCCAAAAACTGCATCGAAGCCGGTGCGGATGGTGTGGAAATTCACAGCGCTAATGGTTACCTTTTGAACCAGTTTTTAGATCCTATCTCCAACAAGAGAACAGACGAGTACGGTGGATCTATTGAGAATAGAGCTCGTTTCGCACTGGAAGTCGTAGACGCTGTGGTCGAAGCAGTTGGTCACAAGAAAGTTGGTATTCGTTTCTCCCCTTACGGTGTATTCGGTACCATGTCCGGTGGTGAGGAGCCACTGATAGTTGCCCAGTATGCGTACGTCATTGGTGAATTGGAAAAGAGAGCTAAAGCTGGCTCGAGACTGGCCTATGTTCACCTGGTCGAGCCTCGTGTTACCAATCCCTTCTTTGTCGAAGGTAAAGGTGCCTACGACGAAGGCACTAACGAATTTGTTTACAGCATATGGAAGGGTCCCATCATTAGAGCTGGCAATTACGCCTTGGATCCAAAGGCTGCCCTGACTGCTGTTGAGCACGACGACAGAACTTTGATAGGGTACGGAAGACTATTCATCTCGAACCCAGATTTGGTTACTAGGATAGAGCAGGGTTTGCCTTTGAACCGTTACGACAGAGACACCTTCTATGCCTTTACCGACAAGGGCTATACTGACTATCCAACCTACGCGGAAGCTTCCAAACAGGTTGCATCTAAATAAGCTTTTGGACTGTAATTTTTTTAGAAGGTATAGAGATAAATACTAAAAGAGTGTTAGTATCATGGGAATACTTGATAACTAATGGGATACCGCAGTTCTAAATGAAGTTTCTTCAATCGAACAGAGGATATTATGCCACCAACTAACTATTAGTAGTACGATACCGGTTTAAACTTTATACCAATTATTATTAAAAACAAAACATTATGTTAATGAAATTACTATAGTATTCTTACGAAATTCGCTTCTAGAGTGTGTGCGAGAGAGTGTGTGCGTGTGTATGTGCGTGCGTGCGCGAGTGTGTGTGTGTGTGTGTGTGTGTGTGTGTGTGTGTGTGTGTGTGTGTGTGTGTTGTGTGTGTGTGTGTGTGTGTGTGTGTGTGTGTGTGTGTGTGTGTGCGTGAGTGTGTGTGAGCGTGTGCGTGAGTGTGTGTGTGCGATTGTGTCGTGTCAATTAAGTGGAGACTGCTTTGGTTAAAACTTGACCGTTCGGAAGTGTGTGTGTGTGTGTGTGTTTTCCTAGAGTTTCGTAATAACCAAAGCATTGAGTTATTGCGTGCCTTTGTGCGCAAATGTGTGTGCCAAAATTAAAAATTAGGTGAAGTGGGGATATCAGATGTTTAGTTCATGAGTTGTATCACCGTCCCAAAGAAATGAATGAAAACAAAGCTCCAAATCTTGACGAAATTAAAATCACAAAATTAATTGCATTTCAGCTTCAGCCAAGCCAAACCTGGAGTTGAGGTTTAGAGAAAGATGAATAAAAGGAATGGGGTTAAAAAAATAAAAGAGATTCAAAGTTCAACAGAAGTTGTGAGTGATTGTAAAATAAAATCCTTATCGAAAGGAATCACTCTGGTATTCGTGGTTACAACTTGGGTCAACCGACACCAAAATTGTAATTTCTATCGTGGATCTTTGGGTCGTAATCTTTTTTTTTTGAAGTTTGAAGAAAAGATAATAAGATTAATTCCATTAGTATCATTACCTAAACTTCAAACTTGTTAGTAAACGAGTAGTGAGTTAAAAAGCATCATAAGTTTTGGGATTATGAGTTTAATGACTCTTTTCGTGTTGAGTAGAGACTCTTTGCATTGCAACCAAGAAATCTTCAATAGATCTCTTTGGTGGTTCGTCCTTTAGTGGCTTACCGTTCATTAGTCTGTCGAAAGATTCAGACAAAGACATCATGTAGTAAGCACCACCCAAGACACAGAATACACCGAAAGAGAATACCCAGACACGGACAACGGTAACGATGTCGTTCCAGTTTTGAGACCACCAGCCGAACAAAGTGAACATGGTAGCGATGATGTCGACGCAGAAGACGGCACCAGCCAATTGCCACGATGGAATAGAAGACCAGAATGGGCCGACAGCTCTGGTGATGAAGATCAACCAATTCTCAGTCAAGGAGATTTGCAAGAACAAAACACCATCGATGGAACCGAAGTTTTGAATGATACCACCCTTAGAAACAAACATGGTAGTCAAGGTAATCCAAGTACCAACGGCCAAGATGATTCCCAAAATGATGGACATACCCCATAATCTAGGCAAGTTCCATTTAACAGGCTTTTGGTCGAATGGGGCATTGTCGTAAGCAATGGCCAAAGTAGCAACATCAGCGAAAATAGCGATGAAAACAATCAAGTCAATGTTCAAGGAGTTGTTCAAAATAGCAATCCATAGACCCAAGAAGATTTCCAAGTGGAGGGACAAAGCAATACGGTAGACAACGTAAGAGTACATTCTGTGGAAAATTTGTCTCGAGGTCTTCAAAGCATCAATAATAGCAGACAAACCAGGAGCCAAGAAAACAATATCAGCAGCAGAACGGGCGGCATCGGTAGCACCTTCGACGGCAATACCAGTATCGGCCTTCTTCAACGATGGAGCATCGTTAACACCATCACCAGTCATGGCAACCAAGTAACCTCTTTGTTGCAAGATTTCGACAACAGCGTATTTGTGTTGAGGGAAAACTTCAGCGAAACCATCAGCGTTTTCAACAAAGTCAGCCAATTCAGAACCTGGCATGTCACCACCGCCACCTAGACCTAGTCTTTCAGCATTGTAAATGTTAGTACCCAAACCCAATTGACGACAAGTTTCCTTAGCGATACCGACGGCATCACCAGTTAACATCTTGACTCTCAAACCTAGACGTCTAGCTTCGTGGACAGTTGAGGCAGTGTCGTCTCTTGGAGGATCCATACAAGGCATGACACCCAAAATTTCCCAGTGACCTTCACCTCTCTTTCTAGCAACACCCAAAGCACGGAAACCTCTTGAGGCCAATTCTGCGACCTTGTTTTCGTAGTTCTCGTGGACATCTTCAGGAATAGGGTGGTCTTCTTCGACAGTTTTCAAAACAAACAATGGGGCACCTTTAACACAGATAATTCTTTCACCTTCTGGGGATTCCACCACGGCGGTGACCTTCTTGGAGACGGGGTCAAATGGGTGGAAATCCAAAACCTTGTACTTAGTCAAAGCGTTCTTAGCTCTTGGGTATTGAGCCAAAGACTTCAAAAAGGCCTTGTCAATAGCATCCAAACCCTTCTTCTTTCTAGAGGCGGCCAAACAAGCAGTCAACATCAAGTCATCAGGTTCAACACCTTCAACAGTGTAAGGTTCGTGCAAGGACAACTTGTTCTTAGTCAAAGTACCGGTTTTGTCGGAACACAAGATTTCGACACCGGCTAGGGATTCAATAGCAGACAATTTTTGAACAATGGCTTGTTTCTTAGCCAAGTAAGCAGCACCGACAGCCATGGTGGTGGTGACGACAGCTGGCAAACCGACTGGGACACCAATAATGGTGATACCCAAAGTGTATCTTAGGATTCTGACAATGTTGTCAGTTCTGTAGAAACAGGCAGTCCAGACGAGCAACAAAGTAACAATGACCAAAACCAACAAAATCGTACCAATACCGTTCAACACTTCAGTGAAATGACCTTGGTCACCAGAAGCCTGGTTAACCAAAGCAGCGGCTCTACCAACGAAAGTGTTGTCACCAGTAGAAGTAACGATCATGAAACCTTCACCTCTCTTGACAGTAGACGAAGAGAAGGCAGTGTCACCGTAGTGCTTGTCGACAGCCAAAGACTCACCAGTGATAGCAGACTGGTCAATTTGCAAGAAACATTCTTCAGTAACCAAACGACCATCGGCACAGATAACGACACCGTCTTCCAATTGCATGATGTCACCAGGGACGACCTCATTGGAAGGAACTTCGATGAGGTTACCGTCTCTGATAACGACAGCGGAGTTGGCAAGAGATTTTTTCAATTCATCGACAATAGAACCGGCTTGGTATTCTTGAATGAAACCAACAGCGGCGTTCAAACCTAGAAGAGCGATAATGACACCGAAATCAACCCAATCCTCTAGACCAGCGGCCAAAATAGCAGCAGCTTCCATGACGAACTGAATAGGACCGATGAAGAAACCGAGGAACTTGACGATTAGCGACTCGTTTTCCTCGGCCATTTGGTTGAGACCGTACTTCTTACGACGCTTGGCGACCTCGTCGGAGGTCAAACCGTACGATGGGTCGGTTTGTAGCAACTCTTCGGGAATGACACGGGCCTCACCGGCGGCAACCTTCTTCTCATCCTCCTCTTCTTCTTCTTCTCCGGCATGGTTGGATTGAAGCTCTTCGATCAAGGCATCGATGTCATCTTCGTCGTCGGATTCGACGGGAGCGACAGGCTTCTCTTTAGTGGGTTCAACAGCAGCTGACATAATCTAAACGATGTAGTGTGTAGCTTTTGGTTTTTGGTAATGGAAGTCTAAAGGGCGGAAACCACGCTTAGTTTGAATTGGCTAAAGGCGAATTCGACGGGTTTTCTCAATGCTCCTGGACCAAAATCTAACACGACAGCAGTACAGATAGAAGTAACAACTAAAAAAAAAACCTTACAACCAAGATTCAATGATAGCACTAGTTATCCCGTTCACCTTATATACTTGCCCATCCCACTGGGTGCCTGGCCGTGCGTGAATTTCGTTTGTCCAGTGTGCGTGTGCGATAATACTCAATGTTTGTTTTTCTTTTGCCCTGCGGAGAACGAATACAGCAGCACACGCACTACACTACCGGTTCTGTAGCGTAAAAGGAGCGGAAAGGCGGCCGGCGAAACTAACATGTCCCGCAGCCAATGAACGTCCAGCGCCAGGTCTGTTTGCCAGAGGGTAAAGATTGGCACACTGGACTCAGAACCAAAAAAAAATATTTCACCGGGTTACGTGAGAGCCAGAAAGTGACGCTACTGCCAGCCACAACACAGCTAGGAAGCTCAGAAAAAAAATTCTTCTCGGGTAATCATAGGCTTCTCGTGCTTCCTGTCGTCGTTCACCATGGTGGTGTTTACAAAACCCGCGGTAAGATACAGTTGCGTAATCTCGTCGATGTGAGGCATTTTGACCACGCACTCAGTATTGAGCTCAGGACAAATTTTTTCCAGAGTGCTCTTACTGAATCGGGCTGCCAGCCCAAACAAACGCAGGCTGAAACGGGAAGGCTCGCTCAGGGAAGGACACAGAAAATGAGCCGAACGAGGTAGGTAGCCAGCCCTATCACCTCTCGCCAAGACTTTGGGAGATTAGCAAACTTAATCGCCGCATGGCCTCGTGGATGGTGATTTGACGGAATCCGGGTAGAGGGATTTTTGGGTCGAGAAATGGGTCGAGCAATGGGTCCAGAGAAACTTCCCAGCAGCGGCGTCCCCGTCAGCGGCGGATTTGCGAATGCCGTGCCGTGCCGTGTTGTAGTGGGCTGGCTGGGCAGTTGCAGTGGGATCTTCAGTCTTGTGGACCCTGTTCCAGGCGAGCCAAACCCTCGTTTAACGGCGAGCCGCCGACGCTATGAGCGTAGCACTGCCGTTTGGCAAAGTGAATCTGAGAAAAATACGGTGGCTACGCATTGCGAAACTCTGCAAGGATGTCTCGATAGAGCCCTTGCGCACCGTGTACCTCTTGAATCACCCCGTTTCCTGGAGGTTTGGTGTAGGTAGATGTAATTGCTCGTGTTTGTGTGGTTGTTTCAGAGAGACGCGCCGCGCTTGTCACGTGGTGTAACTCGAGAAACGGCTGCAGAATCGACGCGATAATCTACTCATTTGATACGACAACTTCCGGTCCCGAAAGAATCCGAGGTGAACCAACCAGAAGTCATTGTTCCAAGATAAGAAACGGAAACGGATACTGGCCACTGCCTCCTACGCCTTTCGAAAGCGGCAGACTTTGTTGAGCGGGGCTCTTGCACTGACGACCTAACCCTCAGCTTACGCAGTTCGAAGGGTTTAGCGGCCTTCCGGGTGAGCACTTGAACCCGATAAGCTAAAAACTACGCAAAAAAACGGCCAGACCGCACGTAGCTGGCAACACCCTTGAAACAAGAATGCTAGATGAAATCTTCCGGTCTTTCATGTTATCCGTCGTAAAACAAGTAAGGCTCCATCTGTATTCGAGTGCGTTATTAATTAGTATCCGATGTCTAAGTAGCTACCTCGAAGAATTAAGCAATTGACAAGTGAGTTCCGAACGCAACTACATTGGTAGTCCCTGACCTCTATGCCTTGCCTGCTCACTGCGAGTGGCGATGCGCGCAGCCGTTGGCTATGCAAAGAACGGACACGAGTGATATAGTCTTATCGCGCATAGTCAAGACGGAGCTCTCACGCGTACGTGGGGGGCCCAATAACCCAATTTCAAAGAAGCTCAAACCGAAGCTATCAGCGGCGATAGCGCACGCTTACTGAACTTTCTCAGGGTTTCTCTACCTTTCTCCTTCCGCGTATTTTGCGCGAGTTTCAAAACGGAACGTGGAATTTTTGCCCTTACAGACAAGAAACGCTACGCTGGTCGCGAGTAGAGCTTGAAAATTGCGGGAGCGGTGCGAAAGGCGTAGAGACTCGATTACAAGGGGTTCAAGAGGTTCAAGAGACCTATTACACAGGTTTCCGCTCAGCATTACGACCCACGTCCAGTAATAATCACACATATCACTTTGTACTAGGTTGTCACAGCGCACCAGTAGACAATCTCGTGCTGAGTTTGAGTAATGTCTTGTCCTCTGTGTCTGTGAGTCCTACATAACAACAAAATGCCGTCAACACACTTCCTCGCACACGCGTCCTCTGCAATCAAAATTCGTAAGGCATTAACCTCGCGGGTTGTGCACCTCGAAATTTGTAATCATTCAAAACGCAGACGCTTTACAAGTGGATCGGCCAATTGACACTTCTCCTCGAGGAAAAAGCCATCCTACGGGCGCCCTCGCGTTACTCTAATCCAAAGTGGCTACAATTAAAGTCCCAAATTTCAAACAGCTTGCTTTGTAGCGGCTCAAGAGTCTGCGCTATTCATGATTCAAGGACAAAGTAAGAGTACCAGGCTCGCTAGGGTCTAGCGTGCACTGTCACATCCACACGTCATCGACATTCGCTCTAGCTATGCTACGATCATACCATGTTTAGCGCTCGTACTTCCGGGTAACGCCCTATTCTCGAGCTAAATTTCGAGCAACGTTACTTCTAACTCGACCTAATGCCAATAGGCCACTTTGTCTTAGTTACCTCATCGATACACTAAACCCAAGGTTATGAGCTATCCCGAACAATTCCAAGGTTTTGCCACCAACGATCCCAAGGATTGGGCATCGCCCAAGCTTACTTCTTATCAGCCCAAGAATTTCGGGGCTCGTGACGTTGATATCGAAGTTGAATGCTGTGGTATCTGCGCATCCGAGCTATTTGCGCTCAAGAACGGATGGTCTCATGAACCAATGGCCTGTTTGAGCTCTAAATATGGTCCCAAGACCCAAGTGGTGGGTCACGAGGTTGTGGGTAAAATCGTAGCGATTGGCCCAGAAGTGACACTATGTAAAGTTGGCGACAGGGTTGGACTTGGTGCTCAAGCTTCCTCGTGCATGAAATGTTCTCGTTGCACATCCAATAACGAACAATATTGCGCAAAGTCTGTAGGTACCTACTGTGACCCTTACGAGGACGGATACGTTTCGCAAGGTGGTTACGCTTCCCACGTTCGTGCTCACGAGCAGTTTTGTTTCCCAGTTCCACCAGAAATTCCTTCTGAATTTGTGGCACCTTTGCAATGCGGTGGTCTTACTGTGTTCTCTCCAATCAAGCGCAACATTGCCGGTAAGCAAAACCCTAGAGTGGCAGTCATTGGTATTGGTGGTCTAGGACACATGGCCATCATGATCTCGAAAGCCTTAGGCGCCGAGGTCTACGCCATTTCCCGCGGGTATTCGAAAAAGGAAGATGCTTCAAAGATGGGGGCTGACCATTTCGTTGCTACGGGCGAAAAAGACTGGAACAAAGGACTCGACGATCACTTCGACTTGATCTTGAACTGTGCCTCTTCCACCACTTCTTTAGATCTCAACGCGTTGCTGCCATGCTTGAAGGTCAACTGCAACTTTGTCTCTGTGGGCTTGCCCGACATTGGCGAAGACTTCAATGTCAAACCCTTCAGCTTTTTCCACAACGGTTGCAACATGGGCTCTTCCAAACTAGGTTCTAGAGAAGAAGCTATCGAGTTGATGCAATTGGCTGTTGAGCACAATTTTAGACCCTGGGTTGAAACTCTCAAAGTCTCTGAAGCGGGTGTCTCCGAGGGTCTCACTAGGCTCGACCAAGGCGATGTCAGATACAGATTCACTCTTACCGGCTTCCACGAGTTTTTCGGGACCGGTAAATAAAGTGAAGAGACAAGAATTTATATAAATAAGGTAGGGTGTGTAAGATACCTGTTGTGACGATGAATTGATGAGATTTGTATATTAATGCCAGTGATATCTGTATCAACAACTGCTGAAGAATGCGATATTTAGATGGTTTTAAGAGGTTAAAAAGGCAAAAATATGGATTAAACCGGAGTCGAACCGATGACCTCTCGCATGCAAAGCGAGCGCGCTACCAACTGCGCCATTAACCCAGGTTTGTTGAAGAAGTTGAGTTACCGGTCTGCTATAACTTGTCTAAAGCCGAGTTCCTCATCTTAACGCAGACCGCTAGATAGGGACAACGTATTTTATTGGCATACGAAAGCGATCTCTAGTATATCTAAAAAGCCACTTCTAAACTAGAGGTGTTCTAAGATCTTACTAAAACGATTCAATAAACTTATGTAGCAAATGGATGACTTAAGCTACATAGTCAGCACCGTGAACTGAGAAATCCCAGTATGGATACATGCGAATGTCAATAGGCCGCATCGAGTGGTCGTCGGTAGTTATAAAAAACATTGATGAATTTACCAAAAAATAACGACAACTGCAGGATTTGAACCTGCGCGGGCAGAGCCCAAAAGATTTCTAATCTTTCGCCTTAACCACTCGGCCAAGTTGCCTTGATTTAAAAGATATCCAAGTTAATTGTAATATATTCACAAGGTCAAGACAGCTCTGTTGTTGTGGAATAGCAAGACCTGGCGAAGAACAGATAAAATGAAAAGGTTTCATCCCGAAGAATACTTCAAAACCCAATGTGAGGATTATGGTTTGGATGAAGCAGCTGAGTTGAATGCCAAACAAATGAAGTTCAAATCTCAAGAGCCGGAATATCGACGCTACTTCGTTAAAATCGGGAAAACTAGCAAATGAAGCACTGAAAGAAAAACCACACGACAATTCATAGCTTATATATTAAATAAGATAAATACACGGGTTATAGACGCCTTAAACAATCATTAAAATTTAGATCGCTATCCACGACACGGTTTGCGTTCAGTAGAAGGCTAGGGTTTCTGACAGTCTACTCGACACAGAGCCCTTTTGCTATCTTTTCCTGCCTGGTCTTTCAATCTCGAGTTGACTGCATAGGTTATTTGTTTTTGAATAAATTGTTTATAGTTTGTGCGTTACATTATGACATTGAATTTTCCCAAAGGATTTTAGCTCAAGGATTATCGAAGGGTGTCGAAACATCAAACCGATTTACTATATACAATGATCTACACCTCTATTAACCAAAAGCGGCCCATTCAATTGAAAAAAATGAAACCTGTTCCGAAGGATCCTCGGCTTCGGGCTTCACACCAGCTACAACCCATAGCTTTTTAACGCCAGTTCCAAGTCTGCCTCCGCTCACGACTTGTAAAAGATCCAGGGAATCCCGACTATAGTCTAGTGCAGGCTGTACTGTCATATGAGAGTGATATCTTAGCGGGTCGCCCGGGTATGCAATGAATCTGCCGCCGAACCTGGCACCTGGTGAAAGAAAATACTCTTGTTGTCTGAGCGCTTTATAAACGTGGTAGTCACCCTGATTCTTGCAAGCATCCCGAAGCTGTTTCCAAAGAAGCTTCTGTCGCGCCGGATCTTGTGGCTGGTTAGGAACCAGCGCTGATGAGTTCGGTGTCTCTATAAATAATGAAGATTCCAAAAGCAAAGATTTGGTCGTCGGACTCTGTCCATCGTCGGACGGTAGTCCTAGTTGTCGCAATTTCTCCACATGTTCTTGTTGCTTGAACTCTCGTTGTTCTGCAAATGATAACTCAAGCTTTTGGCGAGTCTGTAGCATGTCCTGAGGTGTAACTGCATTAGCTGCACTCGTAACGCTCTCTGGACCAGTTACAAAATATGCAGCACCTTTTTCCACCAACCATAGTGCCTCTTCAGTCATTAGTCGCAGCGGCACGCTAAGAAACGCATTTTGTTGCGTAGCTGAAGGCAAGGTGCCTGCCAAGATTCCCGCGATGCCCAGGTTTCGAAGGATTCGTATATCATCAATATCAAACACCAAAGCGACTCCGCCATGACTATGGCCTTGCACAAGACTAATGGCTACCCTGTCACTCATTTAGTTCTCGTCTTGTTAGGAGTCCTGTGCCGTGGTCATCTCATTGCATGTCCAACTTGAAGCCGGTGATGAGTGAAGACGCTAAAATTCACGCTTTGGACTCTGTCGTGGAAGAGGACATTGATGTAAGACAACCCTAATCACAAATACAGATAATTGAGATATTACGACCGCCTAGTAGCACGACCACCTGAATATATCCTTTCAGAGATTGGCGGACATTGACCTTGGACTTTTCGCTATAGACATTGCTGAAAAAGTGCCAATCTTTGACAGCGACACCTTGGTATAAAGTGACAAGATTTGACGAGCATTGGCCTGAAAACGTAGCGATGCTGGCGCGGCACATCAAATAGCACTAAGTGAGTCTATAGATTCAAGTATCAACAGCCTCTCAAGGCTCAAATACAGAACTAGAAGTTTAATAGTGATGGTCATTCCTTTGGTTGTACATGCTCACACTACCCATGGTCGCTCTTGAATTTCAAAGAACTCTACAATTTTGTGACAGTCACAATTAGGATCAAACTACAAAATCTCTCACCAAGCTGCCCTTATTTGTATTCAGTAGTACACAGCTGTTTATCCAAAAGCACTCGCTAGCGCTCATAATTGCGCGAAAATCCGGTATTCAGTACCGCTGCAATCTTGTTGAGTACAACAAGTTGTGTTTTTTCGTTTCCCAATTACGAGTGAGTCTTGGCCTTTGACCAGCTGAAAGCCATGTTTGGCCATGCGTAACCTTTTTTCCTCTTGCGTGTCGGTTTCTTCCCCGGTTTTAGAAGGTGGCAGAAGCTTGAAGACTGTGGACCCGAGCAAGTCCTTATCACTTTGACACAAGTTTATGACTCAATACGACGAAAGAAGAAGAAAGCGGCTCGATAGGTATAAAACGTTACTCCTGCATCCTGGGGCCGAGATCATGAACCTTAATTACTTACCACAATCGTATCCATAATGTCCGGCAAAAAGATAGGGCAGCCTACAAAGGTCTCAACGAGTGCCAAGCTTGAGAAAATCAATTCTTTCTGGTCGCCTAAATTGATTGGTTCCCTCAACAATGCATATGAAATAAAACTTGCTAAACTGTCGGGAGAGTTTGTCTGGCACAGTCACCTTGACACTGATGAATTATTTTTTGTCTTGGCAGGAAAATTGACGATACGTTTCCGAGAACCTGGGGCAAACGAAGAGCTTGAAGATGTCAAGTTAGTCGCTGGGGAGCTGCTCATTATTCCAAAGGGCGTCAGACATTGCCCTGTCACAGAGGATGGAGAAGTCTCTGTTTTGTTAATGGAGCCGAGCGGTGTCATCAACACAGGTGATGCGGGCGTAGTTGAAGGCCTTACAAATGCTGTGGAAGATTATCGGCAGTGAACTATGAAACCTAAAGGCCAGGAGGAAGTCTTAGGGGCTGTTCGCACAGAGGCATGGATTGCTCCTCACCCTGACTCCTCGCAATGAAGCGATATGCAGGCTACTACAACTGTATAGATAAATATATATATTCGTCAGCGTACAAAAAGTACACTACTTTCTTAAATCAAACTTAAGCCCGCAGTGGCCTAATTGCCGTTACCATACTAGTGGATGCCATGTGTCTGTCGGTATCCCTAAATTACAATAAGTACTCTCCAATTTCAGTTGTCTTTTGTCTTCCTGTTGAGTTTGATCTATGAGGGCGGCGGCGGTGTAAGTGACAACCGGTCTGATGATGATGGCAATGGAGGGCCAAGCGGCTATTGTCTTGTTATGTTTCGATGGGCGGTGCGCCGAGGGTCCTTTCAACGAGCTCTTCATCACGAGGAAGACTGCCGTCCTGGAATGCTAGTCCTTGAGCTTTATTGATTTGTTCCGCAGCAGCCAAAAGGCAGCGCTTGTAAGATGTTGCGTTAGGCTCTCACTCGTATTGTTCTAGTATCTCTGTCACTCATCTCCCTCACTCTTCACAATATTGTCCCTTGGGATTCTAATGATGTCCATGCGATGGTGCAGCCTCATATCACAACATGAACATAAATCCATCATCCAATTGCACTCGAGCAGGTTGAGAAGGCTCACTTGTGTTTCATGTTGCTGGGCAGCAATGGTGATGCTGTTATGACCCCGAGGCTTCATTTGCGACCAGGCTAGCCCTTCCACGGGTCAATCAGACAAGGGTCAATACGCTGTTGAGTATAGAAAAGACACACCGCAGATTGCGAGAACGTCTCATCAATTCATCGTATTCGAGGGAATGGCTAGACCAGCGCCCTTCAAAAAGAGCAGGATTTACGCTGAGATGTTTCGCTGAGATATTTCGCTGGAAAGATTGTTTGATGTTAGAACAATCACTCCAAAGCAGCATAAGTCGCATTTTAGCGAACCACATTTATGCCGTGCACTCACTAACGATCAAGAGGATTTAGCTTTCAGAACAGGGCTCTGGTTCAGAGGTATCTGACTTCCGCGCAATCTTGGCCGTCACAGGAATATAATTCTCTGTCTGCTAAACACGTAGGGCGCACGATAGCATAAAGTCACACACAGGGGTGGAACTTGTCGTAAACCGGTTACAATACCCACAGTATTGGCTTGCACTTGTGACGTTCAATTTCATGATTGATTTGACGCCAGATTTATCATCACGTAAGGTTACAATTTAAGTAGTCGCTGAGAGTGTGAAAGCCAAGTGACTATGCCCAACTGGGCAGACTTGCAATAAGCATACATCTTGTACGTGTAAATGAAATCACCTGTAATCGTACTTTTTTTGTGTAGTGATTCAGACGAGCCCCGAGCACTAAATTCTCAACCATTGAGTAAAGCGCCTTCATTTGAATGACCGTCCGGAGCAGTGTGAGCCGTGCATTCTGGTGAGCCGTGCCCTCTGGTCTTGACAGGTGCTTCGTCTCCCTTTCGCAAGTCTCCATTTTTGGGATGTCACTTCCGAAACTTTCGATGTGCAAATCGGCTAGCCGATAGACCGGGCTAACCACCGTCGCTACGTTCTGCTGTTGAGGTTCAATCCAGCACTCCATGTAATGTCTACATATTTAACCGCTTGACATGACCGTGATAGCGCGAGTACGAGTACAGATCGATACGCTCGTACTCGTACTCGCAGCCGGGTAAGCACGCACCTGCCTTACACGGGTCCATTCAAATCCCCATACAGGTTCAGAGCCGCCACTGCAGAGCGGTAGAGGCCAATTTACCTGGCACAGGCTCTGGAGCCAACGGGCCGCAGCTACTCGACCCTGGTTTCGGAAATGAACGTGCTTCGTGTGAAATTGCTCGATGCCGCCCTTTATCGGTCGGCCAGAATTGAGACACCTAACAGGATTGGGGACCCGCGACGCATGTCGCTCAGCCATCGTGGCTCATACCAGTTGGTGTTCCTACTTTCTGGTGATACGGGCAACGGTACTATCGCCGATTTTTGACATGTCACGCACGTACGACGTGACAGAGGCTGGTGAAATTGAAAGCACCGAGAAATGATGTAAGCGCGAATCGTTGAATCTTAGAATCCCGCACCGCACGACGCCGTGGTTGCCTGTTACAAAACCACAATGGGTGCACTCAAAGTACCAGGATGTCCTAGCCTAGCCCTCCACCTTTGTGCCCGACTAGGCTACTCTTAGCCTTGTCCCTCTTTTGGTAGGCCTCATCTCTACTCCTGCAGAGAGACCCTTACAGCAATGCCTGCTGCGCCTTTTCCGCGTACCGAACGACACAAGAAAAAGAAAGCTTTTTTTCTTTTCTAACAGCCGAGATCACTGCCGCGAAAAATCGTACAAGAAGATAAGCGCATATCACGTGGCATGTTACACATCTAGGGAATGCGCGTGGGCGCTGGAGGGTTCGACAACAACTGTAGCACCTGAAGTATTCACAGGCGCCAGCGACAACGCCCCGATTCTCGAGTCATCTAAAGCACCGGCGAGTAATCGTAGCCTCTTCCCCAGCCTTCATTGCTGCTTTAGCGATGATTGCATGTGCTTTTCCCACTCTTGACGCCCGCAATCGGCCACCAGCGCTACGATGTTTTTTGTTGACGATCACTCGCTCGCCTTCGTAATTGTTATACACTGCTTTATCACTCTTCCTTTCCGCGCCACTTTCGCCTTCCGTTTCCGCTTTCCCTGTCACATTTTCACTTTCTTGAACTACATTACAACCCAAGTTGCCCATCTCGACTGCATCGAGGCTTAGCAAGGGACTATCAATACTCATTTGACACGCCAACGCCTGGCTCGTTCTCTCTCTGTCTCTTCCCCTCAGGCGACCTGGTTATCTCTTTCAGGGTTTTTTCTACAGTGCGGGAAAGTTTAATTGGATAAGAGACAATAGGTAATGTGCTTAATTCGATAAAGATTCTCTCTCGTTGGTTTTCGACTCACTCTCTTGCGTATATTTATTGCACATAGTTGTCAAGTTTGTCGTGATTAATAGGCGTATCCAAGACGTACTCGATCGCTAGGATCATAGGAGGCGAAGCATAAAGTGCTTAATTTATAGTTGCTGTCATCACACGCTAGTGGACAGGATCAGGAGGCTTAAAGTGGGATTCAATAAGTTTTTCAAGGCGCAGACAAGCCGAGAAGAGCATTGTATAAAGAGTGCGACAGTGCAAGACAAGCGACAGCCGTAGAACCATACAACACTCACCACTACAAAGCTTTCAGCACATGAGTCAGGAGCAGACCGAGTTCCGGCTCAAGCCGCAGCAACTTTCTGAGCTCCATGACCCCAAGTCGCTCGCTGCCTTTTCGCATCTCTTCGATAATGATCCGGCAAACCTATACACACTGCTACACACCGATCGCAACCGTGGACTGGATCTGGCGGGCCAGGATGTAGCACAATCGTCCCGCTACGAGACCTACGGCGACAACCGCATCCCTCAGCGCAAATCCAAGCCGTTCTGGAGGCTTGCCTGGGAGGCGTTTCAGGACCAAACCATGATCCTGCTGAGCGTCGCTGCCGTGGTATCCTTCGCTCTGGGACTCTACGAGACTCTCGGCCAGCCCACTGAGTACGACCACGAGGGCAAGAAAATCACCAAAGTCGACTGGGTCGAAGGTGTCGCCATCATGATCGCCGTCCTTGTCGTCGTTCTCGTTGGCTCCGCCAATGACTACCAAAAAGAGCGTCAGTTCGCTCAACTCAACGAGAAGAAAAGCGACCGTGAGATCGTGGTTCTGAGAAATGGAGACGATCATCTCATCTCCATACACGACCTGCTTGTTGGCGATATCATCAGTTTACAAACCGGAGACGTGGTCCCCGCAGACTGCGTTCTCGTAGACGGCGCTTGCGACTGCGATGAGTCTGCTCTTACTGGTGAATCCGCAACCATCAAGAAGGTCCCCATCGACGTGGCATTTGCCAAATATCAACAATTATCTAGCGACGATGCCGCAATCGATATTGGCGGTCGCTTCAAGGGCGAGAAAGTTGCAGATCCAATGCTTATTTCAGGCTCCAAACTCCTCTCAGGGCTGGGACGAGCCGTAGTTACCTCCGTGGGTGTCAATTCCATTCACGGAAGAACTTTGATGGCTTTGAAAGTTGAAAGCGAATCTACACCTTTACAACAGAGACTTGACAGTCTCGCTAATAGCATCTCGGTATATGGGTCTGTCGCAGCACTGATACTATTCATAGTATTGTTCTGCCGATTCTTATCCAACTTACCTGCCGGTAAAAAATTACACGATTTGACCGCGGCTCAAAAGGGTTCCAAGTTTATGAATATTTTCATCACTGCCGTAACCGTTATCGTAGTGGCTGTCCCAGAAGGTTTACCGTTGGCCGTTACTTTGGCATTAGCTTTTGCCACTACCCGGATGACTAAAGACGGTAACCTCGTTCGCGTTCTCAGAGCTTGCGAAACCATGGGTTCTGCCACTGCAGTTTGTTCCGATAAGACAGGTACCCTTACCGAAAATAGAATGACCGTAGTTAAAGGTTATTTGGGACTTAGTTTCTTTGACGAAACCGAATCTGCCGATCGTAGCGATGCGGAGATAGAGGTGAATGAAATGTTGAACAAAGAGTGCACCGAAAACTTGAGAAATAGCGTTTTAACCAACATTGCTTTAAACTCCACTGCTTTCGAAAACAAACAAGCCGAAGAGGAACCTAATTCTAACGAAAATCCTTTCTACAAGTCTAACAAATCTTTGTTTCCCTGGAGTCGTAATAATAAAGGTAATGTGATTGACAATGACATCCAAGTACAAAGAGAGCCTTTCATTGGCTCCAAGACTGAAACTGCGCTGCTTTCATTTGCCGTGAAAAATCTAGGAATGGAAGATTTACACCGACTAAGAAATGATCCCCAAGAATTGAATGTCGAGAAAGTTGTACAAGTAATACCATTTGAAAGTTTCAGGAAATGGGGCGGGATTATTGTCAGATATAAAGATGGGTCGCATAGATTCTACATCAAAGGTGCTGCAGAGCTGATCTTGAAAAGATGTAACCAGAGGACAAATTCCAACGGAGAGTCAACTTTGCTTTGCAAAAAAGATTTCGAAAGCGAAAGCCAAACAGTAAAGGACTTAGCAGCAGAAGCTTTAAGAACAATCTCTCTGGCACACAGGGATTTTCCAAGCTCTCAAAGTTGGCCTCCCAAAGAATTGCAGGATTCCGTTGACCCCAGAATTGCTTCTCCGGAACTAATTTTTGGCGAAGAGGTCTCATTACCAGAAACTACCGATGCTACATCCGACAAGACAGTAACGACATCCGACAACGGATTATGTCTAGATGCTGTTGTGGGTATACAAGATCCTTTGAGAAAAGGTGTGAAGAGATCAGTTGAACAATGTCAAAAGGCCGGTGTCACCGTTAGAATGGTAACCGGTGATAACATTTTGACCGCTACTGCTATCGCCAAAAACTGCAGCATCTTATCTGCAGAAGAGGCAAACAATCCTGAAAGTGCAATGGAAGGTCCAGCTTTCCGCAAACTGTCTTCAAAAGAACGCGTCCGCATTTTGCCAAAACTGAAAGTCCTCGCCAGATCGTCACCTGAAGACAAAAGAATTCTTGTCGAAACCTTAAAGAAAATGGGTGACGTTGTAGGTGTCACTGGCGATGGTACCAACGATGCACCCGCCTTAAAGCTTGCGGATGTTGGATTTTCGATGGGTATAGCGGGGACTGAAGTGGCAAGGGAGGCTTCTGACATAATTTTGATGACTGACGATTTTTCTGCTATCGTTAATGCAATAAAATGGGGTAGATGTGTTGCCATTTCCATTAAAAAATTCATTCAATTTCAACTTACTGTCAACATTACGGCCGTTATTCTAACTTTTGTATCAGCCGTTGCATCTTCAGAGGAATCCTCTGTCTTGACGGCTGTGCAGTTGTTGTGGGTGAACCTGATCATGGATACTCTGGCCGCATTAGCCTTGGCTACAGATAAACCGGATGAACATATTCTAGAACGCAAACCTAAGGGAAGGGAAGAGGTTTTAATTGCCGTTTCCACTTGGAAAATGATATTGGGTCAGGCTTCTTTACAACTCACAGTGACTTTCATTCTACACTTTGCTGGAGCCAAAATATTTTTTCCACATAAAGACGTTCTTACTGGCCATGAACAGCAGCAATTGGATGCTATGACTTTCAATACATTTGTATGGTTGCAATTTTTCAAACTAATTGTCACAAGAAAGCTGGACGAAGCAGATGGTATCTCCAGATTCCGTGACAGAGTAACCGCCTCCAATTTGAACTTTTTTCAAGACCTATTCCGAAATTATTACTTCTTGGCAATTATCGTGTTTATTGGAGGATTTCAAGTTCTCATTATGTTTGTTGGTGGTGCTGCATTCTCTATTGCAAGGCAAACAGGACCAATGTGGGCTACCGCCATAATTTGTGGCCTACTAGCACTCCCAGTTGGTATCCTCATCAGAACTATCCCAGATGAATGGGTTCTCAAAGTGTTCCCTGTCAGACTAGTCAACGCTATCCTCTACGTTATCGGTTTTAAATTTTTGAAAAAAGCCCCCAAAAAATCCGAAGACGAGGAGTCTTTGCTTCAACAAGATGCCGATGCGACACTAGTAAATTCTTCTGCATTTGAAAGGGCCAAAAATGAGATGGAAACGGTGAAAGAACATGTTGGAAGAGGCGCTCAAAGATTGAATCCAATTCACGCTTTCAAGTCGTGGAGACGCAGCACTTCATCAGCAGGATCTGATCTCGAGGAGAAGTCATACATCGCCTCAGTTACCATGGTTCCTACTCTTGTAGGTGGAGCTGTGGGTGGGTTTTCTCATATCACAATGAAAGACAGTGACTCAGACAGAAAACCGCATAATGCGTAAGAAATTTCAATTAGCATAAGTCAAATACTCTGTATCGTTAACAGCATATTATATATATAGCAAAAAAGGCTTTAATATATCTTTTATAATTTATACCTTTTATTATGAACTAAACAAAGGTTGGGTCCATATCTTTCTTCTGAATATATGTCTCGGCCTCATTTCTGATGCGACTCACAAATTCGTCGTAAGCTAAGCTGAATTTCGTAAGACTACGGAAAGCCGGCCTGAGCTCAGCAAGATTCTGTACTCTGTTCAATAGTTCGTCGTTTCTAGTGCGTGCTGATTCCGTCGCTTGCGAGCGAATGAATTCAGAGCACAGAAGATCTCCTAATACTTTGAGCGAAGCTTTAAAGTCCGACAAAGAGACAGTCTGCGGTATTTCGTCTTCGCCGATGCCTTCAAAAGACGCTATCACTATGGATCGAAGATCTTCAAAACATTTAGATACTTGTGTGAGACGAGCTTTTATCAAGTTGAGATCTCGAAGAGTTTCTGCGGTCTTTGTACTTTCCCGGCTGTTCAATTTGATATCTTCTACTTGTGTATTGACTCTGGCTATGTTTTCCTTCAGATCCTTAACAGACGTACTCAGAGTATCCAGGTAGTACTGCAGTTTTGTCGTTCCCTCTCCCTGAAAATGTGCATTTTTGTAAGATAGCAGTTCCGTTGGTCTTCGTAGTCGTTGTATTGTGGACTCCAGTTCCCCTGTCAACCGGTCTGTATAAAGGTCAAGTCTTGAAAGCAGTGACGAAGAGACTGACTGTAAATTGCTTAATGGCAAGCCATTGGGAGATAATAGCAAGTCCAAATATGCAAGAGGAACAAACTTATCGTCGAAAAACATTTTCAAAATCTCATCTTCAGCCGACATGGTTCGATCGATGCACACCTTCCCAATTCTACCATCGGATCTTCGATATAATAAACCTTTTGGTTCTTTGATTTCGTGATACTCTTGCAGTCATTGGCGACGGACTCGGGCAAGATCTTGAAACATAGTTATTAATACAAGGCACACAAACCCTCTTCACCAGCCGCGATGGTCCCATCCTGTTCACCAGAACATGCAAATGCTGCGATGCGAAAATCTTTAGACACCAAATATGTTGGGCTGCTGAACGATTTCGAATTCGAGTCTACGTCAAAATAAATGGCAGAATCTGCTTCATATGATGCAAATAAGCGACCTGTCTGGTAGTGCATAGCTGTAATCGCCGATCCCTTATTCCAAGAATTGAAGGTCACTGCTTTGGAAGGATTTCTCACGTCCCACTGTGCCAAGATCCCATTTTCGTAACCCGCGTAAATTGTAAATGAGTTCTGCTGGGGGTCATTAGTTGCAATAGTACGACAAGGAGCCAAAAACTGATTGGGGATTTCAAGCATTGAGTCTTTTGAATAGATGTTATGGTAAGAAATTGTGCCTGAATCATGTCCAGCCAGAAATGTCTTGCCGGCAGTGCCGTATTCTGACTTATTTGTTTGCGTATTGAGTTCTGGCTCCACTTGCACCAAAATCATGGTGTTGATAGCGTCTTTGGGGTTTGAGCGCCTCGTAAAAGTATGAATAGCGTCTCCGGAGCCACATTCCCAAAGCTTAACGGTGCCATCTCTTGACGACGACAGAACGTTTCTACCACGATCGATTATAGCTGAAGCGGTAACTGGGCCTGTATGACCTGTTAGTGTACGGGGGTTGCTCCCATCAAGAGTTGACCAAATTTTGAGTCGCATGTCGGCAGAACCGCTTAGCAGAACTTGTCCGCTGGGGAAAAAGCGAACAGTTGTGACATCTGAATCGTGGCCCTCTAGCGTAAGATCTTGCGCCTTTCGGTCATTGAAAATTGTAATTTTACCAGACGCCTCACCAAGAGCATATTTGGGGCTTTCGAAACTCTCGTAAGACCCCACGCTTGTGATATTCGGCGTCAATGTGGTCTCAGGCTGAAGGCTAAAGTCACGGATGGGCTTTTTGAATTTGTAAATCTGCCCATCAAGGCGAGCCCTGAAGCTGAACGAGTCGGTCTGTTCGAACAAATTAGCTTCCCCAGCATCATATTTCACACAGGATGCTTGATTCGTCACTTTGACGCGATGCTCGTCTACTTTATACGCGGATGGTTCTACGTTGATGTAGAACGTCTCTTCCGCCAATGCACCGCTCTGGACGTCTTGGATACATTCTGCAAAGTCTGGTTGAATATGGCAATCCACGATGTTAGCAAGACTCATGAAGAAGGTGATGTGTATCGAATTCGCCTACTGCTGGCGGCGCATTGGTTTTCTCATTATACTTAGTCTTTTCATTGTATCGTAATACGGGCATTTTTGAGAAGAGAGAAAGCCACGCAATAGAGTTACGCTAAAAGCCTTTCGTTTAAATGGCTTGGTCCATGTCAAGACTGCAAGGATTAGCCATCATGAAATACCAGATCCTCCATTCAGGGATACCTTTCTCGTAATTATAGAGACAAAATATGTGAGAATGGTGTCTACACTGGGGGTCGCTTTCTTTTAAGACCCCCACGCGAAAGTAAAAAGCCCAAGTCATGGAGTCCATTCACTATTGTTCTATTGCATCAATAGCAAGCGTTTTCACTTCCTTATAAGCTAACTGGTCAGTTCGTTCAAGTGTCGGCAGGAATTTCGTTATACTGACGTTGGCTTTGGCGCTCTCAGCCTAGTGAAAATCACGGAACTCTTGATGGGAAGCAGGTACATAATGAGGTATTTCATAATTGCTGGGCGCCTGGGTTGGACCACTTAGTTTGGTCCCCTACTCTTGCATTCGCAGCGGCGCATGGCTTTTTTACGCGTTTCAAAACGCGTAAATTTTTTTATAATTAATTTAATTGCCAGGCATTTCATAAGTCAACGCCACTTAAGAATCGTCGACTACAGTTAAACTTTACTGAGCTAGCCAAAGAATAGTGCCAATTACTGCAGATCAGCTATGTCCAGCGTGAAACTAAGCGAGGGTGATATCCGTGCTATCTTTACGAATGTTGAAAAGTATCATAATCCAGCAGGAGGCATTTTCCAGTGCCACAGAACTCGCAAGAACGACCCGTCCGTTCAGGCCAACAGGAAAAACCTAATAGTCATTTCCGATGGTGTGACTAGAGTGAAAGCGCTTCTCAGAAATGAAGCGGTTAAAAAGGCTCGCGAGATGGAGATGAACGTCGGGGATATCTTCCAGATGACCCGCGGTGAACCGGCCATCGTGCAGGAAAAGAAGAAATATATAGTGCTGATCGATGATATTGAACTCTTGGAGCGAGGTGCTGAGATCCGAAGCCCAGGCTGTGACCTTATCGACTCTTATCTAAACGCGCACCCCGAAGAAGTCGTGTCACTGGAGGAGTCCGCCCACCCTCCCGCTCATGCTCCACCTCAGCAACAGCAACAACAACAACAGCAACAATATCAAAAACCCCCCCAGTATGCGCCACAACAACAGCAGTACAACGGTGGCAGAGGTGGTAGCGTACAGCAGTCGTCATCACAGAAAAGTAGACCCATTTTTGCGATTGAACAACTCTCTCCTTATCAAAATATGTGGACCATTAAGGCAAGAGTCTCTTTCAAAGGTGACATTAAAACCTGGAGTAATCAAAAGGGTGACGGTAAGCTATTCAATGTCAATCTGCTCGACACATCAGGGGAAATAAGAGCAACGGCATTTAACGACAATGCGGTAAAATACTACGAAATGCTTCAGGAGGGTCGAGTCTATTATGTATCCAAAGCCAGAATCCAGCCTTCCAAACCGCAGTTTTCTAACTTATCTCATCCATACGAACTTCAGTTGGATCGTGATACAGTTATCGAAGAATGTTACGACGAAGTTGATGTTCCCAAAATGAATTTTAGCTTCGTCAAAGTAAATGCTGTGGAAACATTGGAGCCCAACTCGACCGTTGACATACTTGGGATCATTCAGGCTGTTAACCCGCCTTTTGAGATCACCTCTAAGGCCGGCAAGAAATTTGATCGTCGTGATATTGTGCTTGTAGATGACTCCAACTATTCCGTCACCGTAGGGCTGTGGGGTAAACAAGCCTTGGATTTTAACCTTCCTGAGGGTTCTGTACTTGCAATCAAAGGTGGCCGCATCACTGATTTCAATGGTAAAGGAATGTCCATTGGATTCAACAGTACTATGCATCCTAATCCTGAAGTACCTGAGGCATACGCGCTGAAAGGATGGTACGATTCCGCCGGGCGCGGGCTTCAATATCACTCTTTAAAGCAAGAACCTAGCGCTGGGGGCGGAAACAAAGCTAAATTTATTGCGGAGCGCATTACCATTGCCAAAGCTCAAGCGCAAAATCTCGGTATGAGCGAGAAAGGTGATTATTTCAATATTAAGGCGGCGGTTAACTTCTTGAAGGTAGACAATTTTGCATATTCTGCCTGTGCGAATGAGGGCTGTAACAAAAAGGTAATTCAGTCTTCCGATGGCACCTGGAGATGCGAAAAATGTGATGCAAATCACGACAAGCCGCAATGGAGATATATGCTAACAATTTCAGTTCTCGATGAAACGGGTCAACTATGGATGACTTTGTTCAATGAACAAGCAGAGTTATTACTGGGAACTGATGCGGGTACGTTGATGGATCTTAAAGAAAATGATGCTGACGAGTTTACCAAGGCCACTCAAAAGATACAAATGTACCAGTTTGATTTCAGAGTCAGGGCTAGGGAGGATAATTACAATGAACAAACGAGGATAAGATATTCAGCTGCCAACGTTCACAGCTTAAACTATAAAGCAGAAGCTGACTTTTTGGCTGAGGAATTGGGGAAAACTTTCCTCATTTAAGGTATGTACCCGTTGTGTACCTTGTATAATATTGGGGCTGACGAGATGAATTCAAGTTCAAGCACGCACGAGAACATTGATCTTAATGCATGATGCAGGCACTTTGAACACAGAAAACTGATGTACCATCCCGTCTGTTCTTTTGAGAAAAAAACACTACCACAAGTGTCAAAAATGTTCTTCAATAATTCTTTTGCCGCAAACTAACGCTCCTATTAAGATGTTTTCTGAGTCTTGCTTTCACTACCCAAAGTGCACACATTTTGAGCATTGTGCGTCCATTCTTTTATGGGAATGACTGGAGAAGCTCTAAAGGTTGAGTAAATTGCGATCGGCAATATTGCAGAATTATCGTCAAACCATTGGATGATAAATTAATACATGTTGTAGAAAGATCGCGAAGTGTCACATCCACAGAAATCAGATAGTCAGCATTTACTACTGCCTCAGAATTTAGGGAGATAACCTCTCTTGAGCTGACTTCTGAAACATCCAGAAAGCGCTATCCAGTCACTAATTGAAAACGCGAAAGCTACAACCTCGATCATCGTAAAAGTTTTGATGAACTGATTTGTGTCATCTTCAGGCAATAAAAACATATGTGTTTCCAGCGCAAGGGATGCATAGTTAAAAGTTCATGCAGGATGAATAAGTTTTCACGACGGTAGGTTGGATGTAGAGCGTGTACCATCGAATATCTATTAGCCGTTCTTCGTAATTTACAGAAATACCTACAGCAAGTTTTGTCGTAACGAACATACTTATTCGAGAAGTTACCTTCAAATATTTGGCAGCAAATCAAAACAAGCGAGCTATTCATCTTATGTCACATACCTAATGCGCCAAGAAGCACACTTTTGATGCGTCACAGATTGCGCACCGTTAAAATTGTTCTGATTATCCCACTCCTTACGGAATAGGAGAAAAGAAGTTTAAAAATACAAATTTGCGTCTACAGAATTACTCAGTTCGAAGAGGTGCTGGCTACCCTCTGTATCGTGCACTTCCCAGCTCTCTAGCTTTTTTTTTGGCTTCAAAGTTGAAAAGTTTTGAAATCAGAACATTGTTAGGAACGTTGATTTTTTTGAAGTACAGCTAGCTGCCAACATAAATGGAACCTAGCAGACGAAATGAAAGTGATCAAGAGACGCCGGTCCATCAAGTCATGCAAATACTGCTACGAGCATAAGCTTCGGTGCAACAAAGAGCAGCCGTGCAACAGCTGTAAAAAGCATGAAAAATCTGAACTGTGCGTCTATGGTTTTGATAAAGTAGACCCCGGTTCTAAATTGCCCACGTCCAGCAGGATTCACAAGGTACGTGACAAAAAGGTCGCCAGAAGCACGCATGCCCACAAAATACCCAATCCTTACTATCCTTACTTACTCGAGGCCCAAGAAGCGAATCTGTTAGTAGAAAACAATGTAAGTCAAGCCACTGCTGGCGACGATGATAAATTGAGAAGAAATGCAATTACTCGCTTCGACCGACTTGGAGTGTGCACTATTCCTTTTGAAGAAATACTGAGCATGATACCCGAAAGCCAATCGTCAATGAGCCTTTTAGTAGACACATATTTCCACCGCATCAATCCCATCATTCCTCTACTGGACCGGGATGCGGTTCTTCACGAAATCAAATCTATCTATAATAAACATCGTTCAGGCCAAAAAGTATGCGAGGTGGACTTTATTATCATGTTTGCAATTCTTTTCAGTGTGGCATATTCTCACGTCGCAGAAGGACAAATATCAGATTTGCTGCTATGCAACAAATATTATGCAGCCTTCCAGGCTCTTTTATGCTACAATCAGTTTCCTTACAAATCGTCTATCCCTGCTATACAGGGTATAGTTATTGTGAACTTTGTTCTGGATCCTAATATGGTTGGAACTCTCGCATTATCCGCAATTTCACTACGCCAAGGACAGCAGCTTGGTATCGATAGGCAGATAAAGCGCCTACCAAAAGGTAATGAAAGACTTTATTTGCAAACATTTTGGCATTTTCTTCTGTATTTCGAAGGGTCTTCTTCAGTTGTTGCAGGTCTTCCCTTTTTGCACTCAGCGCAATTATTTGACTCAATCGAACTGCCAGACGCTTGTCACAGTCCCGCTCCTTCATACATAGCATTTGCGAACGGGAGGTTTTTAATTAACAGACTATTCCGAACAATCATGCACTACAAAGAGACTGAAACTATACCAATCGAAGAATCATTGAAAGAGGTAGAAAGGGAGCTTGCCGAACTTAATAAACAAGTACAGCATATTTGTGTCAAGATGGGCGAGCTAAGTAATGACCAAGGAACCTATTTGGTTAGTAGCTTACGAATTTTCTTGCTAAGAGCTTACCTAAGGTTCAAGGCATTGTTTGCATCATCAACTAAACTTCCAATATCCACAATGCACAACGAAACTTTTTGCAAGGACCGACTGACAATCATAGATGAGCTCATAGAATATGGCGCATGCGTAGATAGAGAAACAGCCGAACTTTCCATCGTCTTACTTTTCTATACGCTCGAGCGGCTTACGCTCGATAGCTGTTCAAGATTTACATGGTACTCTAGGGGTTCCACCGTAATGCAGTATCTGTTTATCATATTGAAAAACATTCACCAGCACCCTAACGAAATATATGATTTTTCTAGGTCTGACAATAAAATACCTGTGATCATTTCTAAGAACATCCTTGCATGCATCAATGTCGATAAATCAAGTTTCAGATACGTCTTGATTGAAGAACTCTTCAAAATTCTAGAGGTCAAGCTAGCTCCGCTTTGGGATGACAGCGACCTCAACATGTTTGTTTTGATGCGCTCGATAAAAGACAGAATTTGGGATCTAAATAAAGAGTCTCTTAATGCTAAAAGCTCTCAGTTGAAATCCATTAGGTCTTGTCCCTTGTTTCAATCATGTCATACCAAGGTGGACGATTTGCGTGCTGTTAGCTTTGAAAAGTGCTTGAAACGCTGGGAGTTTGAAAGCATTACATTTGAGTCCGAAAAGATTATGAGCTGGTTATCCGATATATGATGAACTGTAAAAACGTTGTACATGTGCAAGACTTATCTCAACTGACTAAAAGCGTTGAGTAGAGCAGACGCTGGCTGCAGTTGAGGCTTTGATTTTTCGAACAATTTCCAGTATCTTAAAGTTTCATCGCCTGCTCCAGATACTATCGTTGTTCCGTCTGCTGAAAGAGTCATGTGAAGCACTCTAAAACTATGCCCTTTCAAGATCGCAACTGGGTCCATTGTATTCCCATCCCATAACGTCAAGTTATACTTTGAGTATCCATGGGAGGTTACTATCTCGTTAGTGTTCTTTGACCAAACCATGTTGCAAACTTGTGAAGCCGTATCTACATCGTGCAATTTTGTAGCAGTTCTCACATTCCATATTTTTAGTTTCTTATCTGCAGTGCCTCCACCTGTTGCGAGAATCCCTCGCTTATGAGGAGACCACGCAATGGCCTTAACTGCCGCCGTATGATCGGAGAGTTTCAATATTGGGCTTCTAGAAGTTCCGTCATAAACGAAAACTAGATTGTCATTTCCTCCCGAAGCCATTTTATTTTCTTCCACATTCCACTTCAAACCACAAACTTCTTGCGTATGCGTATGAATTTCCTCAAAACAAGGATCAGGCGTTCGCACGTCTCGATGCAATATCCTGCGATCTCTACTGCCAGAGCTGAGCACATGATTATTCCACGATAAGCAAGCAACGCGATCTATGTGGCCAGGTAGAGTCCTGATACATTTCTTTTTCTCGACGTCAAAAATCTTTACTAACCCATTCAATTGTCCCACAGCAAGGTGAGAGCCCGCTCCCACCCAGCTCAGGCTGGTATATTCATCGTCAGTAGTAGCCAATTGCGCCACTTCACTCGTCTTATTGTCCGTGAGGAAGATAGATTTTCCCAATGCAACCGCAAGTATATCTGTGCTGGACCAATCTATAAGATCATAATAAAAGTCATCAGCTAGTGAGGGAGCATCGAGAACCCGATAAGGGATTTTAGCTATTTGTCTAGTTTTCTTGCTCGGTAGTAGAAGTAGTTTCTTTGAGTCTGGTCGTACTGGAGAGGCGGAGCAATTAAATTGCGTTTGTATCAATGAAGCTGTAGATGGTCTGGAAGCTTTTCTCTCGCAATAGGTAAGAAGGCTAGCACCTCTCATTGTGCTTGTGCTGGGTTTCTGGTGGTGATCAAATGTGAGCCTTCGAGGAGTTGCCGGGCTAGAGTTCGTTGGAGAAAGCAGTGCTTCTCTTTCGAACGTCTCATGCGATCTTGGTGGCGTAGTTGGTTCATGAAAAGAAGAAGAAGATGTGTATTTGATTCTATCGATGCTGTTTCCCGTTTCATTTGAATCCTTACAGAGCTTTTCGCCGAAAAGCTCATTTTTCAAAACGGCATCAAACGTTTCGTGTGCTTCTTGTTCCCTTCTGAATTCTAAGTGGTTATCGGAATTAGACGCGGGAAGGCTCGGTAAGTTTGAAGATCCAACAGAGATTACGGATTTCAAGTCCATGTCAGTTCGATTAGGTAAAAACCTGTCTGTGAAGCCACCGTTATTAGACCGCGGCCGCCGGACCGGCGAGGAGTGTACGGACGACAATGTGGATGATGACGAGTTGTCATGTTTTGACACCCGGTTCTTCGCCGTCCTCGGCTTAACAGGAGACGAGGACGGCGTATTACTGATAAAAGGATTTCTCAGCTCTTCTGGCATGCCTTGAATGCAAAGGCGTAACCGCCAACGACTTGTTGATCGCTTGAATTTGACGTTTTGTGGAAAATCCTAAGTTGAAAGGTGCTCTTTATTTGGTTGTAAGTCACTTCATACGAAATGCTTCGAAAATCCGAGAGGCCATTAATCTCTGTCCTATCCGCACTGCGTTTCAATCATTGATTTGCTGCATTTCGAGACTTGCACATTGCTTGCACTCAATTGCTCAGTTCTCTCTATCCCAGTATTTGAGCATCAAAATACTTTCATAGTCAATAGGTATAACAAAACGATCAAAGCTGATTTCATTTCCCCTTACATCGAAACTCTCGCGGGTTCGAAGGTCAATTTTGACTTCCTCGGCCTGATCAAGCTCTTGTTGTTGCTCGAGTTGTCCCACTTGATCGAACTCGTCTTCTTTCTCCCGGTATTCAATATTTTCTTCCACCTCCTCGAAATCGGGAGCCAAAGCACTCCATTTTGGTGGGATCACCAATGACCAAATATACACATTACCGGTTTCTAACCCATTGCTTGCAATGCACATGTTGTAGAAATCCCAGTCAATATCAAGCAACTCTTCCTCAGTACCTTCTAAGACTCTCACAAGAGTTCCAGTACTCGTTTCCCAAAGATATAAATCATGCGCCGAAGAACCATGGGTTGAAGCCACCAGATATTCGGCAGAATTGCTGCTGAAAAATATACCGTTCCATTGAAGCCTATTGATTACATCTTGATAGCGATACTCGAGCGTAAAATTAAACTCTGTGGCTTCGTCGTTCATAGTTAACATGTACTGCCTGATCGTGCGATCTGCTGAATTGATGGCTATTCTGTCGCCAGACTGGGATATGATCATGTGTTTTGCGTTTGAGTATGCAAACCGGAAAGTATGTATAAGTTCCTTGGCCTGCTGTGAAAGTCTGTATATCTTGATCCAGCCCTTTGAGGTTCCGGTAAGAAGCAGGTCTTTGTGCTTAGGATGCATGCATGCCACAAGAGTATAACCGTAGTCGACAGACTTTCCATCAGCTCCTTGTCCCTCATTTTGTCCTATATCACAAATTTGAGATACTGTGGGAACGTCGGACTCCAAGTCTATGGAAAACGCGTGGTTCTCTTCGTACACGGTTGCTACGCAGCCAAGCGTACCATTAGATTGCCATTGACACGTCCAAACCGGTGAATCAAATTTTACCTGCCGCGCTGGCTCCCCTGGTTTCTTCAGATCCCACATCTTAACGTACCAGTCTCTGGAACTTGTTAGAATGTATCGGCCATCTTTTGACCATGCAATAGACTGAATGGATCTGACATGGCCACCGCCTTTATTACCAAGCATTGAAATCGGTTTTGCCGTGTCCATGTCATATATTATAACCGCCCCATTTGAACAGCCTAAAGCCAAATAGTCACCTCCCTGAGAGAACTGGACGCAACATGTGTGTAATGGAGTTTCCAAAGTTTGTGTCAGCCGTTCCGGGTACTCTTTGAGAACCGAAAACGGGTCCTGAAGAAGTAGGTTAGCCATATGAATTTTATATACCTACCGGTATCTTATTACGCGTAACTAATAAAAGTTTTTCTTTAAACAACAAACTCTTTACAACTTTGGAACTCCACCTCTGTCAAAGGCCAGCAAAACGATGAAATTTGTGGATTTATTCATCAAATTGAGCGCACTGCTCTTGTTAACGAGCTTTACAAATGCCTTCTACTACTTCAGCAATGGAGGAGAGCGCAAATGTTTCAACAAGGAGCTTGTTCAGGGCACCGTGTTACACGGCAGATTTAATGTTCAGTCTTATGACGACAACCTCAAAGCCTATAAAACTCCTTCTGGTGAGGAGATTTCCGTGATCTTGGATGTGGAAGAGGTTTTCGACGATAACCACCGGGTGATGAATCAGAAAAGAACCGCTCAAGGCGAGTTTACGTTCAATGCTTTAGATTCCGGCGAACACAAAATTTGTATACAACCACAGGCACAAGGATGGCTAGCGAAAGTCAAAACAAAGGTTGAAATTGATTTTGAGACTGGCTCTGACCTACACTTAGATTCCAAGGGGAAAGAGGTCATGCAATCGCTACAAAACAAGATAAAAATACTAAATGAACGAGTCATGGAGATCAAGAGAGAACAGGACCTTGTTAGAGAACGTGAAGCCATGTTCAGAGATGTATCCGAGTCCGCTAACTCTCGCGCTATGTGGTGGACTGTCTTTCAGGTCTTCGTTTTGGGTGGCACTTGCGCATGGCAGCTCAGACATTTGCGCACATTTTTCGTCAAGCAAAAGATTTTGTAAATGTTACCTGAGCTATTAGTTAGCATATTCACTTTCAGGCCACTCCAAATTCCGATTGTGCTTCTTCCTTATCACGGAAGTATTGACTACTGGAATTCTCTAGGTGTATGTAAAGTTAGGATATGTACGCAGGTATTTCTTTAACGTTAAATGGTTTCAGAATGGAAATGTACCTCGCAAGGATTCGGCCAGCTTGAGATTGATAGATGCTGCTTTGATCCCGGAATCAGGAGGAGGCAAAAAGCCAAATAAATAGTTAGGTCCTGGAGGCGCCTCCTTGTCTAGCTTGGAGCTATTGGGAGTTTGATCATAACCACCACGAGCAGTTAACTGTTCTCTTAAGTTGAAGGTGAATGGAGCCGTAGTTGCACTCGATTCTCCTTGCCTGGATTTAAGAGCGCTATTCTTTGATGTAGATATTTCAGCGCTGTTAGAGCTATTCTCGGGCGTGTTGCGCTTTGATGCCGCAGAATTTGAAAACATCGGAACTTGTGATTTCGAGCCCAATCCTTGATCATTTGAAGTTTCATCTGTATATGGCTTGTCGTAAGAAAACTTGAAATCCCTTGATTGTGGGACAGCACTTGAAATAGGTTGAGCTTCGTTCGCAGTCTTCTCGGGAGACTTCGGTGCTGAAACTGTAGTGCGTAGTGACGAAGCTTTCGCAGGTTTGTATTTTGCGAATTGTTGAGGCGTTGTAGTCTTCTCAACATTAGCATTATCCTCTCCTTCGTCGAGCTGGACCTCGCTTAGAGCGATCGAACTGGCTGGGGCTTTGTTATCACCTTTCGATGGTGTCATAGGAACCGCGTTTTGGGAGTTCGCCGGCTTCTTGAACTTCTTGAATTCTGAAACGCGGCTGGTGTAGGGATTTGCAAGACCTGATGGCTGTGATTTGTGTTCTCCTGAATCCAAAAGTGATATCAGGGCAGATGCCGTATTACTCAGTTTATGCATAGCCGGGTTTTCGCTCCTTACAATATGATCGTCAGCGGTTCTAGCTCTTTTTTTGTCGGCAACATCAGCAGCACTGTGTCGATAGGAGCTTGAACCGTACGGCGAAGGAAGATTCGAGTAGTCAAACACGCGAGCTTTCTTCAAGCTAGTTGACGAAATGCTTCTCAATGACGAGTTTGCGGTATCAGAAATGTCGTCGTATTTTGGGATGAATGATGGCGTTTTGACAGATGCGTCGCGAGCGTAGGTCGCAGATTTTAGCACCGCCGAGTGTTCTTCTTGCATATGGGACGCTTCCGCAGTGAACTCGCTCATTGGGTAGGGATCAGATGAGACTTCTCTACCTTTTCTCATCAATGACATAACGCCCTCGTATTCCACGTCGCTTAAAGGCTTCCCTCCCTTTTCACGGAAAAAGGTCGCAAGCGCTGAGTTAGAGGCATTGGCTTCGTCAAAATCATCAACTTGGCTATTCTCTAAGTTTTGTTCGGGTTCTTGAAGTCGGCGTTTTGTTACCACCAAATCCTTCACGGGTTGATTGTAAAACCCTCCTGGTGTGCGTACTATTCCATAATGACGGGTTTCCACGAGATTCAAAGACTTGTGCGGATTAAAGTTTTCATTGTTGAAGAATGACTTGATCTTTGTGATTAACGATGGCTTCTATTGAAGAATATTGTTGTTAGTATATATGCATCTGGAAGACAAAAAGCCAAAACAGGGACAGAAAAATGCATACCTTATGACTCTGCGTCTTGGCCACCTTTGAATACGGAGCTTGGGGAGCTTTTCCAGGGACGTTATGACGAGAATTATTCATTGGCCTATACAATTGATCACAGTTGAATTCAAGTGATGAGCGACCATTTCTAAACCAACGTGTCATGATACACGATAAATTATTGAAGCGTTTAACTTCATTTGATCGTCTGGTGTTTGAAGTAATATTCACAATCAGTCAGATAAGAATAGCCAGATGGGTGCAATCTCCCTTGCATAACTTCAGACACTACTTTCAGTGCTATAGAACTGAAATCGTTGCTTTCAGCTAACGTGACAAGCATTTAACACAAATTTTACGAAAAGAATAAATCGTCCAGTAGCCCATACATGGTGTTTATTAGATACAATCCTTACCCACAAGCTTGACGTGCCGCTCAAGCTCATTTCCAATTTAAAAATAGAGGATTATAAGAGCTGTTACTGAGCGACGTTTGTTTTCTCGGCGCATCCAAAACATCGATAATGTGTTGAAGATAGAAGAAATAGCGAAGTATTATAGTAGCATAGCGGCCAAGGTCTGTACTTTTTTCGGCGCTAACTTAAGGTATGGAGTGCATGACGAAAACGTAAATGGTTCAGTTGACAAGCTCTTCTTGTTTCATCTTAAAAACACTTACATTATCGTTCAATATATCATCTGGTCCGTTAAAACCCAATTCGTGTAACTTTTGGTTTATATTTCCATTCAAAGTTTTTACACGTAAAAGATCCTACCAACCATCAAAATCGACAGTGAATGGTCGCTGGAGCAAGCAACTTTTGTGTTTATAAACTTACCAAGGGATGAATCATTGTCTTGGTCTCTCTTAGAATACAAATGAAAGTTAACGGTATTTAACAGATGCGTTCAAAACACTGTAAAGAAGCATTTGCGTGCCACGTAAAGTTGCTGCGGTAGTTGTCTAAGTAAATGAATCTACAAAACTGCGCCTAGTTCGGCATGGCAAGCTTATGAAGTGTATACATCTTTAAACTGTATTTTAGAAGCCATACTTTCCGTCAAAGACAAGTGCTGAGCTATCCCCCTTGAGAATAGGGGCCTCTTGGATAGTTATAGTGTCCCCAAATGTCTCACAAAGAAAAAAATAAACAGCGTTAAACAAAAAAGGGGCGAGCTGGGAATTGAACCCAGGGCCTCTCGCATGCTTGAAGATATCAACCAGAGTCGAAATCCCGGTTTTACCCAAAGCGAGAATCATACCACTAGACCACACGCCCGATGATTGATTATCTGTAACCTAAACTTAGACTAGACAGATGCAGCTATTCAGCTGACATGTATGCGTCATGAATCGACAATCTAGGCAAACCCTCATTGAGGATCACATCTCTCAAATGTACAAATCACTGGCTTGGGGCTTGATAGGGGAGAGAGCGCAGCCTTCGGTTGAACATTGAATCACGTCATATTGTGGGATTAAAGATTTTTTGAATCAATTTGAACACCAAAGCATCTCGCGGCATTTGATCTTGCGATACGACAAAAACGGACAAGGAGTTCAGCAGTATCTTTCCCTTTACGCCGCTGACTAGCGTAGCCATATCAGTGAATCCATAAAAATTGTTTGATCTTTCTAGATTCTGCGAGTTTCATAAGAGCGCCGCGTTGCATTGTTACAGAATTCAGTAGCGTTGTTGAACTTGGCTAACGCACGAACACTTTCTCAAAACGTCGATTTGAAAAGTAGAGCTTCTGCACGACGATAACGTAGCTCGAAAACGGAACAGATTAGACCTTTCTCATAAATCTCGTGACGTCATACTTGAAGCAGGCTGGATAGGTAGACTTTAGTCTTCGTAGCAGATAAATTGTCACGATTTGCACTCTCCATTTCAATAATACTAATGAATACTTCTTTATCACTAACCGCTAAACTAGAAAATTGGGTGTTCCCATAAACATGCAATTAATTGAAAAGCAACGACGTTGATGACCTCGGCTTCACTTGGTGCACTAGTAAGTAGATCTCCTTGTCGCAGTAAGAAGGAAATGATCATTATATATTTTGAGAGATGTAACTCTAATCGATCTCCATGAGGAATACCAAAGAGACTTTCGACAATTATTTCGTAATTGATCTGCATTCTGTTTCAATTCGGCTTGAGCTTTGGCTATTCCATGACTACTGTATGCAGCATACGGTGACTATGTACACTGGGCCACATAAAATTAGTAAGTAATGTGCCATCAAAGCGTGGGTCGCATTTCTTCATTCTTTGCACGAGCGTGCCATAAATATTGGGTCTCATATCTCCGTATGAGATGTAACATTCACTACACAGTTCTTGCCCACATACCCGCTTTGCTAAAGAAAGGAGCGCAAACAGAACATTATCATCAAAGGCATCATATCAAATCCCCTTAGGCACAGCTATAAAATAGCTGCCAGCAATTTAAAAAGATTTGTAAGACCGGAGGCGATGAAGAAAACATTTGGAACAGATTACTCTTCAGTTGAGAAAATCTCAGTATTATTCTTACTTTCCGCGGAGACCTGCTAAAAGACCGAGAACCACCTGGCATTTGTCATAAGGCCTCCAAAATCTATTCTTGAAATAATACCAGCCTTCATGCACCATGAAATAACCTGCTCAATTTCAGAAGGTGACAAGAGCTTCGTGCTTCTTGCCGCCAAATCCCCAACAGAGATTCCTGGGTTGAAGGAGACGTCCAGTAGCACGAGGGCAACGACTTGTTTCCAAACTGTCTTACGTATGCTTCCCTCGCCATTTACCCATAGCCGCGAAAACGGTTTTCCGATCGGAATAGGACACTGAGCTTTTACACCTTCCCATGAATTTTTGCCCCCAAGCATGATGAGGGGAGGCATTAGAGTCTCAAACCCATACTTCCGTGTCGTATAGTGCATTGGGTGTTCGTCAGATAAAATGGGGACGCTGGTTATAGACATAGATCCAGCTTGCAATAGATTCACGCATACCATTGCCGCATGATTTGAAATTTCTTCTTTGAAAATAACTCCCTTACGTCCTTTTAGCATTATTAGCAAGTGTTCGCTATACGTTGCCGCTTTTTCTAACATCTCAAAATCCCCTTTCTTTCTGAGTAACTCGAGCACTGTTTCGCTCAACTGGACTTTTGAAGGACTCAAAAAACTTATTTGCTTTTCCTTTGCCATATCCAGCACCGTTTTGTCAACATCAGTCTTCTCAAAACCGTCTAGTGGTCTCGTATCATCCAACTCGGCGGAGGTCTTGTCTATGAGCATCGACCTTACGATGGCTCTAATTTCATCTTCCTTCTTAAGTGACGAGTTCTCTACTTTGGTTCCCAACATGTTTCCATAGGTGTAGCATTTCCTTAGTAATACTGACTCACGTTGTACCATGGAAGACATATCAGGACCAGCTGCATGCGGTAAGCTAGGCACATCTTTAATCAACGTAAATTTCTTCAGGTTCTCCTCGTAATTTTTGAGTAAAAACATGTCACTCTCAGAATGCATTTGCTCCGCCTCTTCCCAGAGGTTGATAAGTTTAAGTAGATTGAGGCTTTCAACATCTTCCATGGTAGCCCTTTCTTCTTTCAATGCGTTGACAAGAAGTTTACGCCATTTGAGTTTGAGAGCTTTCCAGCCACTATGGCCCATTCTAATTCGTCTCGTAGTCCATTGCTTCTCTAAGTTGCTCAATGAATTGTTGGGGAAAAGCTTTGTTATTAGCTCCCATGCAATTTTTCCCCCGATAATTTCCGTTATGACGGCAGACATGACCAGAGCACGAACACCAATTTTGGTACCCACATTGTAAGAGCGACGATCGGCTTCTTCCTTAATAGCGTACTGAGCCATATTGCTTTGTACCAGAGACTGACGATCGGTTGTCAAAGTATTCGAAGGAGATAGTGCAATTTCGACAGGCTTTTCGGCACTTTTGTCCGCCTTCTTTTGCGTTGTAATACGCTTACCATTTTTGGTTTTCCTCTCAAAGTTTTTTATTCTTTCCGCAGATTTTATACCACTATGAAACCTGTCGCGCTGAGTGCTATCAAAGAAAAAGATGTCTGTATTTTTTATTACATCCTTGAAGTACGATTTCTTGCAGTCTTTTTCCTTGACTAGAAAGTCCGAGATTGTCTTTTGAGAAACATGTGGCAAAAAGATAATTCTTCTGCCGCTCATTTGGTCAACCCTGAACAATATCTTATTTGAAGACCTCAAAAGATCGATGTCGCCCTTAATCGTTTTCTTGTCCAAAGTGGTTTTGGAGCCCATCAATTTGGTTACCTCTTCAAAAAACTGATCTCTAAAGAAAGTCACTCCTCCGCATGATTTAACTGCGTCCAGTATAGCACGTTGGCGTTGCAAAGATTTCAATGAGTTGGCAGAAAATCCTCCGATGTTGATGACAGCCCTGGTCCTATCTCTGACATCATTATCAGTAACTGAGACGCCCGTATTTTTGGCGACGTCCGACCCGGCAAGCTCGTGAACCTCTGTCGAAACAGATATCGCATCACTCTGTTTATTAGGACCTCCAGGCTCTCGTGCCTTAAGTTTCTTCGAGCCTTCTAAAAGCCCTTCTTCCACATCTTTCGCTATTTTTCGTTTGCGTCCTCGGGGGGCAGCATTTTCATTGGCTGGTACTTTCAACTCTCCGTTCCAGAAGAATTTTTCACCACCGTCAGTCCCAATGAATCGAAGCGTGTTGCTCAAGGGCAAGAAACTTTTGGCGCTTAGTGATTTGAGGTCTTTCTTCTGAGGTTTCAGAGGTCTAAAATCCCCTTCGCCCGTGTCAGCTTCTGCAGATGTAAGCATTTTAAAGTACGGTTTTGTGAATAGCCTGTAAAACTTTCTCTTACCTTCAAAGTCATAGACCTTGACCAATCCGAATCCGTTACTGTCCATTTTTTCTTTGCCGACAGTATCGATGTAATATTCGCTACATTTTGTGAAAGACCGTTTGTAATCATTACCAGTAATCATAGTCACCGCTTGCATGGAAGAAAGACCTGCCGTTCCTTGCTTGTCAACCAAAGCAAAAGTTTGATTTTGCAGGGGGTAAAAACGATTGAGTAAAAAGTGCTTGGTCTCGGGTTTCACATCATCCTCCATGACTAGATTCTTACCCTGGAGAAGTTGGGTCGCATTTTTGGCGTTCAGTAACTCATAATCCTCATCCTCGGCAATCCCCAATTCGTTGCTTTGCGCCTCTTCATTATCCTCCTCAGCATCGGTCTCGTCTTCGAATTCATTGATGATTTTTTCTTCAGGTTTATAGTCTTTGAGATATTTGACGCATCTGATTTTAACCGAAGGGCTCGTCGGCGAGATCACCATCACCTTTTTCAGATAGCCCGCTTCATCAAGAGAAGATATCGCTGCGATAAAAGATTTTGATAGCCGCTTATCCTTATCAAATTTCAACTCTCTTTTCAAATCGATGAGTTGCCTAACGCCGTTTTTTGAGTTTTTGACTACTTCTACAATTTTCTGAAGACTGTCTCTCATATTGGTATAGGCCTTCTGCTGATCCTCCTGTCCTCCAAATCTGTGAAATCTCAAGTGCTTGACAACATGACCTTTATAAATTGTTTGAACTCCCGTAACAAGATTTCCAAGTTTCTTGATCCTCCCAGTTATGCTCCGTGGATCCTGAGAAGTCTTGCGCGCTAAGTCCATTGTATTTATACCATGCTCTTTCGTCTTCGCTATTTCCATAAGTAGTTCGAATGCGAGACCACCAACAGCGCATTCTTTTTTACAATAGCCCGTGAGAAACATGTAGAGTCTGTCTTCTGAGATCGTGCAAAGCACATCCTCACAGTCATTAAAGAGCGCCTCATAATCACTATTTGTTATGGACTTGCCATTTTTCGTAATTGTCATGTCTGGATGAGATTCAAAACAGCGTAGAACAAATGCCTTGAGTTTGTTGTCCAAATTGTCTGTGAGATCAGATACCAGATCCCAAAATCGCACAAGTGACAACTCTTCAGTTTCCTGTTAGTAATTTTGATCTTACAAATATCCTTCCGAGTGACCGAAAAAAAAGACATACTTCCTCCGGCATAAGCAATCTCTTCGCATAGGCGTTCAACAAGTTCGTCGGGTGCCAAAATCACCATTGGTGTACTTGCTCATATTTTGGTAGTCTGCTGCCCGAAACATAATATACCTTTAGTTTGAGAGCACTCCCCAGTACTCACCGTGCGAGAGTACATAAATCATAATAGAAGCAGCAGCTGGGACGAATCACGAATCCATTTGACAAATCCATCCGTCTAAGGTGATGGTCAATTTGAATCCTCCGATCAACAACTTACAAGAATCCGACACTGATCTGCAACATTATATATGAACGCGTTTCGCTGAAGTTAAGTCTGATCTCTTCCAAAATATCTCAGACCTTTCAAGTTCACGATGTTATCCAAAATGTACTTCACTCATCTCGGTATTGTTAACGGAACAAGGTAAAATCTTTGAGCAAAAAGGAGGAGAGACTATAAGGAGTTAAAAATGTGGTCTTTGGAAAAAGCAGTACCTGCAAAGACACCATCTGTCTCTGAACTCAGCTCCGCTGGTACACTAGTAAGTGAGCAATCGTTGTCAAGTCATGAAGAGTTGCTTGATGATAACCAAGTCTCGTTAAGCGATGGAGGTTGTGAACAGATTGAAGAAGACAAAGGGCAAGTTAGCGAACACGAACAAGGACACGTTCCTTCTGAAGTTTCTAATGAGAAGTATACTCAACTTGGCTAGTTACAAATCCAGGCTGATTCAAAAACTGATCTTGCTATTAAGGCTCGGCAAAGTTGCAACAGAGGCTCTGGTGAGGACTCGACCCGCGTAATAAGTCAAACATTGCATATTCCTTCTTCTACATATGCCAACGAGCTCATATGTGTCAAAATATTGTCTGAAAGTCCTTTACAAAAAGCCAAAACAGCAACTACTAACCGGACTATATCAGTTCCTACCTGTGATTGAATCAACCCCAGTGGGCCTAAGAGAAACGTTCATCATTCTAGCTTCAGCCCGAGCAATTCTGTCATCATAATGGATCTAGCGACTCAGATGAGCAGCAGACAACATGGCTTAACGATGACTCCTTTGGAAGTATGCTCGAGGATCAAGGTCCGATATCAAAAAGGGCTTTAATACAAATTCGATTTAGAAGAGTTTTCCATGAACCCTTTTACTAAACCCTCAATTAGCTGAAGCGCACAGCAGATCGATGTTGGCGATCAAGACAAAAAAGAATCAAGACTTGTTTGACTACATCTTCATGGCGCATTTGTGCTACTAAAGTTTATAACCAATACCCATTCGTATTGTGCAAATTTGATAAATGCGAGCACCGATTCCTTTTACGTGGCAATCCTACTTCGTCTAATTTCCTTAGACATCCTGAACGACAGCGTAATACTATGACTACGAACTCTTTCTCAAAGGCATGAAGGGTAAACAAAATACGTTGGAAACATTTTCAGCTTTTCGTACCACCGTTTCAAAGCCCGTACCCCTTGCGAAGAGATTTCTCAGGTTTTTGTTCCTTTACAATTCAAAGCGTCATTTGCTCAACGTGTTTATTGAAGGTATTAAACCTTTCAGCTAAGTGCTAAGTCAAGGATTTCGGCTTCTTCTCGATAACTTTAATTGCTTGAGACGTTTTTCAGTTTCATCGAGAAATACTTGGTTAGCCTTCTCGCACAGCGTGAGACCGAACTTAGTTTACAATTAAAGTAACTCTTCGTCAATCTTTCAACCTTTTGATAGATATCTGAACTTACTCAAACCAAAAAAGCTATTTGGCTGTAATGGTCTGCTTTTGCCCTAAATTGAACGGAAAATCAAAGTTGACTAAAGCTGATGTGAAAACGGGGAAGAGTCGTAGGATTCATATTCTCGATTTCATCAATGTGAGCTATCAGAGACACACGGGTGATAACATAAAACCGGCCTTGTTAAGCTGCCTTACAAAGTACGCGGTCAGTCATAGAGTGAACAGCATCACCTTAGACAATGGTTCAAATAACACCTCAATGCTTGAAGACTCGGATAAAGAAGTTTAAAATAGTTCTGGACCGAATGGTGATGGAAGTATTGTCAAGGTAAGACGCATGAATCATGTGTTAAATCGAGTTTATCTCGACCTACTGAAGGACTTTGAAATGCCCCACAAACAATTACTGTCGAGAATTGACAAACTAACTTACTTCACAAAGAGAATAACGATTCGCTCTTATATCCCGTGCACTATTCCAAAGCACAGTAACAAAGGCTTATCCCGCGTTTTCGTCAGCTGCAGGCTTTCTTGAAGGTCTCGAGAGGTGCCAAAGAGCTTTTGTTCGAAAGTCGCTTTGATCCTGAATATCAGCTTAGACAGGAAGACTCTTGTATACGTTGTTATGAGCGAGGAGAAATGGAATCCATTCTGTTTTTGCTGCGACTCACTCGGCTCTTTCATGAGTTCACGATGTTGTTACAAGGTGATTCCATGAACTCTTATATCATAGTATTGAGTATTACATGGAGGTAAATCAGTATCTCGATTCTTGTGAAAGGATCAATAATGGTTCAATGGATAGCGATTTTTTACAAACCGCGGGACTGAAGCCAACTCAATTTAGTGCACCCAAAGAAACACAGGATGATATCCTAGGTGCATTTGTAGCGGGGCACCCCAAATTCGAAAAATATCTTAAGGTCGCATATGAAGAACCTGGCTATCGGGCTGTATATATCCTGCAACCGCACCGCAAGTCACATTTGTTGGCTAATGTTTTGACAAGCCGTTCTCAGACCATGTTATAGAACTGGCCAATGCGTATATCACCCAATACATCAAAAAAATCAACGAAAGCTTCGATATTCATCTAAATGATGAGCATCTGATTACAGCAAGACTCAAACTCGTCAAAGGCAAGAAGTTCAAAGTCATGAGAAACTTGTCTAAATTTTGTGAACAGAACCTGGCAACCTGTAGCCGCGCAATAAAAAATGAATGGCAGATTTATGTGGACGAGCCCCTTGACGCTGACAATAGCTATTTGGAGTACTGGCTCGCAAACCAAAACTGATTTCCAGCTCTCTGCCTCTAGCCCTTTCGTTTGTCCACACAAAGATTTCGACCGCTCACGTTGAAAGACGCTTCTCTATCAGTAGGAGGATTCTCGAGAATATTTCTCACCTGCGAGTGAGAATCCAAAACGGACCATATTTTAAGAACTCGGATGAAATGCTCTAATGTCGACTCATAAAGTTTAGTGGCTAAAGACAGTGCATGGGATTCTTGGATTGAGGATGAAGAAACATCACAATCGACCAGCGATTTAGCCCCAAGTTGCATAAGACCTTCAAAATATAATCCAAATTTAATTGCGATGGTCTCATCCAGTGACGAGAACGATGATAACGAGCTTGAAAGAACAAGTGAGCAGTTTGATAGCGTTAATTGCCTATTTTAAGACGTCTAAATAGTGACCGTAATAAGTTACTCGATTCGTGAGAAAAGACTACAATGTGAATCCGGTCAATTTAATGTTTACTGGCATTTAGACACTTTCAGTCTTCAATGAATATATTCTAACGCAACGAAAAAGATGGCCCTTAAATAAAAATGTAACCTTATCAATTCCATCACCACAATAGCTCAAGTGCCTCAGTTGAGCAGTTGGATACAGAACCCAGAAACTCAACCATTGAACATTACAAAGTCTTTCAAAAGAAAAATATGGCTTTGATTCAAGGAGCTTTCAATAGATCCTTTCGACAATTCATATAGTAAGCCTGGCCCTCAGCACTTGGGCTCCAGCGTAAATGATAAGAACTTTGATTTTTGGCTCACCAGTTCTCCCTATGAATTCTGGGTTTCGAAGATCAGCGGTCGAAACACTTTTGGAGTTTGCAACTATGAGTGATGCGCATACACTTTATCTTACATGGGATTCATCTTCATCGTATATCTTTCACCATGTCAGTTGACAGCATGAGAACAACTCTGAAACCGCCAGCGAAAGTAAATGAGAAACAATCAAGCGTCAACAACTTCGCTCTAATACGTTCCGAAGGTACGAAACCCAATCAATCAACTGAACGTTTTTGATATTTCATTTCTTAAACTGCTCTAATCTTCATCTGTCGAATACATTTATCGATGGTTTCATTCCATTCACTTTCGTTCCATCTCGTTCATCACAGTTTTGCCTAGAATACGTGAAGGACAAAGACGGAAATACACTTCCTCCAGGGGGCTTACTTTTGACTCGCTTTGAAGAAGAATTCCACTTGCGACTGAAGCGCGCTTTAGAGAGCACCTATAACCTCAACCTTCTTATAAACACGTGGAACTTTGGAAGGCAAAGAAGCTCTACAGCTTTCTTGGTGTTCTTCTGTCCTAACTGGGACCAAAACACGAATTACTTGAAGAAGACATCACCACCCGCGAGCCATCTTGCTCTCATATCTTAGGCCTCATGACCTGAGTGATGAGAGACATACTACTGAGAAGGTATAAACAGCTCTTCTGACATGTCTTCAAGAGTATTCCATAAGCCATAAGACAGGCAGCATTTTCTTGGCCATTAGGCAAAATGATGCCACTATTCTTGAAGGTTTATTGATCTGCAAGAGGGCCTTGGAATTTTTTCCTAGGGAGGCATTTATAAGGTTAGATGCACGAACCATCTTCTAATCGTATTTTTCCAAGATGTGCTGAAATACTTTAAAAGATGCATGATGGGCACACTCAAACTTGAACAGCAACGTCTACATAACAGGGAGAATAAGCTCATATAATCCCCTTACTATCCCCAAGCACACAAACACAAGGTTTTTTCTGCGCCACCGCCAATCAGAAGCCTTTTTGAAGTCTCCAGAGGTATAAAGGAATATTTCTTTGAGTCTCATTTCGATCTCAATTGCTAACTATCGCAAGAAGAATCGGCGTTATTTTTTTACGAGCAGAAGGATACGGGATTGGTTCTACTTTTCGTGCGCCAAAGGACAATTTCAAGGAACTAACAATCGTGTTGCAGGACAACCATATGAGCTCTCTTCAACCGGGTATTGAGTACTATATGCAAATTGACACGTATTTTGAATTTTGTGACAGCATAAGAAATGGGTCTATTAAGCGACGTGTTTTCCAGACATTAGATTCCATCTCGAAACGGCATATCTAATTTGCGGTTCAACGCACATGTCTTGACATTGGGCTGAGGAATGTGCGCTACCCAAGTATCCTCTCCAATTCGCATGCCTGATTCATTGGAAGGCTCTGTAAAAGTAAGGTGCATCAAGGTCGGAAAGTACAAAGTGCTGAAGGATATTGAAAAGCTGCGTGGCCAGCATATCTCGAAAGTCCTGTAGTTCATTCAAAAACGAATGGCAGACATTTTTAGACGAACCTTTGAAAATGTTGGGACATCCCGTTGAAAGGCTAGAGCAACGAATAGGAGGAGCCAGACAATCGCAGTGCTTGTGCCGCAGGTCTTATTGGAGGACCGAAGCCTTAACGTGAAGATGTTGTATCACTACTCTCGAGCCACAAGGATTGAATAGGAGTTTTTTTTAGAATAAGAAGTGTCATTGTGAAAAGTAGCATGTAATGACGTCTAATACATACCATTTAAAAATACAACAAACCTTGTCAAATCTTTAAGAAGCTGGCCTGTTCATGCTACAGAAGTATATGTCACTTGCCAGCGCTCGTATATTGTTACCGATTCGTGGCCAAAAATAATAGAATTCGTGAACAGTGCTGCCCTGCGAACGCGACGTTAAATTTTAGGGCAAGCAACATTTTTCATATTTTTTCCAGAGCTGTTCACGATCTCCTACTCCTACTTGTCACTACACAATCGTAAACCAAGCATGTCAGAATCGGAAAGCGAAATCGAACTGTATGCCTCTTCTTGTTCTTGATTAACCCAACTAATTTACTTGAAGCTTACTAACGACTTGATTCAAGCTCATTGTCTGCGCACGCTTTAGCTGCGCTTCAAGAGTTCAAGAACGAAGAGGAAGAAAGAGAGAATAGATTTAAACAACTTTACGATGAAGCTCAGAGGAAATCTGAGCTGCAGAAGGGGATGGATTTGTTTAAAGAAGACTGGCAGCTGTCGCAGTTTTGGTACAGTGATGAAACCGCAGACATTTATGCCGACGCCATGTTAGAAGGCGCCGACGAAAACACGGTTATTGTAATCATCTCCGCACCTTCCGTGTTTGCTGCAATTTCCAAAAGAACTGCCTCCACTCTTCCAACTAAACATATCCACCTTTTCGAGTATGATACAAGATTTGAGGTTCTCGCAGGATCAGAACACTACCACTATTATGATTACAACGAGCCTCTAACATTTCCGGACTCTCTGAAAGGCAAAGTCGACAGACTTGTCATCGACCCTCCTTTTTTGAACGAAGATTGCCAAAGTAAATGTATGTGTTGATAGTCAGCGACAGCTCCTCCTGCTTTTTGAACCAATACTAACAACATTTTTAACTAGTTTCTATTACCGCCAAAGCCTTGCAAAACCCAAACAAGCGAGCTAAGACTGCGAGTGGTAACTTTCAGCATCGCACTATATGTTCCACGGGAGAACGTATGGCTGGAGTGCTTTCGGAACTTTATCCTGACTGTAAACTTACAGATTACTATCCCAATCATGCAAAAGGCCTAAGCAACGAGTTTAGATGTTATGCAAATTTTGAATGGAATGAATGGAAATACATATAGACGTGAAAAGGTGCTTTCGTCATTAATATATTCATAGTAACTTTATACTGTTATCTACCGTAAACAACCGTCAAGATGAATCGTTGCCTCAAACTTAATCCTTGTCAGCCGCATGTGATTTTTGTCTTATTAACTCGTCTATCAGACTTCGACACATCATGAAATAAATTTAAATTCTGGTAAAAAAACATTTGGGCCAGTTTACGTTTTTCTCGCACTATAATCTTACTTCTTTCTTCGGAAATCAAAAACTTCAAATCTATAGAAAAAAACAAGTACTATAAATTTGTTAATACTTTAAACAGCTAATTTTTTAAATTGTTACTGTTTTTAAAAGGTTTTGGCATCACGAGACTAGAATTGCTATCATTTGATCACACTGAGGCGCTTATAAGTTTAGCTTACGGAGTTAGCGCGAAGGACGTGTGAAACACTAAAGGGTCCAATACAGCTCTAAGTTTCAAGTAGCTATCTAAATGCAAAGCTTCTCGAAGTGATGATAAGTTAGATACCCTATTTTAGTTATCTCTCATGCTTGGGATTAGTAACGTTAAGGGGCAGTATTACAGATATTGAACTACATAGAGATCTTGACTTAACTGTCCACAGTAAGACTGATTGGAGCAGCCTGACAGAAGCTGCTTTTGACTAAATTTTACTTAACCTACTATTTTCGCAAATGTTGAACGAAATGAACTTGAAAGTCTCGTTTAGTCGTTTTTTAGAATAATGAAAACAGGCGATACAATTAATCATTTTCACATTCGCACAACAATAATACAAGACTAGACTATGCAAGAGATTAAATCTGTATTGCTTGTCGGCGGGGCCGGCTTTCTTGGTCTGCATTTGATTGAGAAGTTTTACTCCTTATCACCTCGGCCAGACATACATGTCTTTGACATCAGACCGCTACCGGAAAAACTATCCAAACACTTTACATTCAAACCAGAAAGCATCAAATCTCACATTGGTGATCTCACATCTGAGGCGGATGTAACAAAAGCTCTTCGTGACAGTAAGGCTGATGTTGTCGTCCATGCTGCTTCTCCCATGCATGGATGTAGTCAAGAAATCTATGACAAAGTAAACGTCGAAGGAACAAGAAATCTTCTGGACGTTTCAAAGAAGTTGCAAGTAAAGGCGTTTGTATACACATCCTCAGCAGGCGTTATATTCAATGGACAGGACATTCATAATGCAGACGAGACATGGCCCATTCCCGCAGTTCCTATGGATGGTTACAATGAAACTAAGGCAATTGCTGAAGGTATGGTACTCAAAGCTAACAGTCTCAGCGAAAACTTTGTTACCATTGCATTAAGACCAGCAGGGATCTTTGGGCCTGGTGACCGCCAACTAGTACCAGGCTTGCGAAATGTAGCAAAGATGGGACAATCGAAATTCCAAATAGGCGATAACAATAATTTGTTTGATTGGACGTACGTGGGAAATGTTGCGGATGCGCACGTTCTTGCTGCTGAGAAGCTTTTAAACAGCTCTTCACGTTCTTTAGTTGCGGGTGAGACATTTTTTATCACTAACGACTCTCCAGCTTACTTCTGGGCTTTGGCCAGGACAGTTTGGAGAGCGGATGGCCATGTCGACAAGTATAACATTGTTCTTAACCGACCTGTTGCAATTTGTGCTGGTTATCTGTCTCAATTTTTCTCCAAGCTAACCGGCAAAGAACCTGGCCTGACACCATTCAGGGTTAAAATTGTGTGCGCCTTTAGATACCACAATATCGACAAAGCCAAGAGACTTCTTGAATACAAGCCAAATGTGGATATTGAAGAAGGAATTGGTCTAACCCTTGCGTGGATGGATGAGACTTCTTAGAAAGACTTCGGCGTGAGCGCTTTCCGCTAGGGCAATCGCTCAAGTTACAATCTTTCACTACTATACACCCCACATATACATATAATTTCTCGCAAGGCACTTTGAAGCATGAACGTCAACTTGGTTATATATCTCGAGATAAAGATTTACTGTTATTTTTGACGACTGTTGTTCAATTCAAATCCAAAAGAACCTTACAATTGCACACTTCTTGCAGGCCGGTATTCAAAATTGCGGCCTATGATGATTGACTTATTTGGAGCACAGAAGACACTCATAAGATTCAACCTTTTGTCCCAAATTTCTTAAGCATTTTTGATGAAAGCCATGGTGGCATTTGAACAAGATGATTGAGGTCCTCGTGAGTTCTTCGGGATTCGATTGATTTGCACGAAGTTTCTGTGCTTGCTTCCAAACATCAAATACGTCACTAGAAAGACCAACTCCCCATATTTTTGCCCCGCATACTTCGCAGTCATTATGGCTCACAGACCAGCCACTCTGAAGTGCTCTCTCGTAGTCTAAAACGACCGAAAACGACGACTGATTCACAATATTCAGAACATGTAGAAATATTTGTTGATCAACATCTGCCAAATTAATAATCTCACCAAAAAGAGGAGCCAATTCTCGAACCTTTGTTAGTATCAGCTCCTGGCTCTCTAGCGCAAGTGTGAGAACTTCCCCCATTATGCTTTCTGCAGACTTCTTTGTGCTTGTACAGCTGAGCCTCGTCAGCTCGTCTAAAAGCCTTTTGATTGCAATGTGGTAGCTATTATCCGCATCGCGCGCATTGCCAGAATTCAAAACTAGGAAAATAAAAAGCTTGGACCAACAATATCTCGCTGTATCACCCTCGGCGGTAATGCAAGTTTCTATAGCGTACTCGAGAAGTTCATTGCAACATTTTTCGTCTTCGGAAACGTTCAAAAAGCTGATTATGTCCTCAATCACGCCCTCCAAATCGTTCATCCGACGTTTAACTATTATTGAGCCGTAAAATGATTTACCGTTTCTAAGAATCTCTAGAATCTTTTGGTATTCTACAAAAGAAAGCTTAACCCTACTAAGCATATCAGAGATATCATTTTCCATCCGTTTCTCGGACAGCAACACGAATAGTTCACATAACATTTCAAACTGCCACGATATCCGGACGCTGTGAAATCTGAAATATTCGAGCAAATATGAGAGTTTCATAGAGTTCTCAGCTTTCTTTAAAACTTCAACATGCAAATCTGCTTCAAATTCGTCGAATATGTCGATAACATCTGAGTGTTCTTGCTGAAGGACAACTTCATGATTTTGTAAGATCGCTTCAACTACAAAGCTTCGCTCAACGTGTTCTTTGCGTGTGTGTTGCAAACAAAAACGGAGGACATCTAACACGGAGTTGTCAGGACCTTCCAGCAGGTCTGACTTAAGGCGCAATTCCAATAAATCTGAGTAGGCACAAAGCTGTTTATAGGCAAGAAACAACACACGATCAAATTTCTTAAGTTTCAGTGGAGCGATTAACGGCTTCATATCGTTGAGAATATGGCTTGCCACGAGGGCTTCTAAGCTGCATTGTGCATCATTGTATAGGTCTAGGGGGCACTGTGTGCAGAGAAGTGAAACTAGCCTCTCGACCACCTGGCTCGACACTCTTATGAACTGAGGATACTTCGGTAGGTTTCGAAAAATGAATACTATGATATGTACCTTTTCATCCGAAGTAATGTTCAATTTTAATCTGTCTAACATCAAGTCCACAACGAATTGCCTACTAACCTGAAGTCTAAAATCATGACTTTCTCTTGATTGTCTCTGGGAAATAGATTCGTCATCGAAGAATGAATCCTCAAGAATTTCATGTAGCATAGCTAGACATCTTTTTAAGTCACAACTCAGCAACAATTCCATATAGGGGAAAGCTGGCTCGCCATTATGATCTCGACGGGTGAAAAGCTTTCGCTGGGAGTTGGGCGGCCACTCAACTAGCGCACCATTGAAAAGAATATAACAAATCTCTAACTTCAGATCGTACGCGAAGGATGGCGGCTTAATTTCATAGTCAGTGGGAAACTTCCTACTTGTCATAACAAATGATAAGTAGTCGTAAATGAGACTACTAGCAGCAGCCGGTTCAATTCTGAGCAGTTGAGGAATACCGGGACAATCTCCAAGTGCCACCAGGAGATCTACAAACGGACTTAGGTAGTCCGCTGACGATACGTTCCATAAATAGATAAGCTCTCTATCGAAACGACGTTTTTGACATAAGCGTACCGCAAAATTCAAGTCCATTGAAGAGAGATCCATATTGAGAATCAAAAGCCGAATGGTATGTGGGTCTTCAGAATTGGCACCATATTTTAACAACTCACTGAAGACAATAGGGGTTACCGTGGTGATGAATCCTCGTTCAATTAATGAAACTAAAGTTGAGAGAAATATTTGCTTGGTCTGCTCAGGAATTTGCTCAAAAGCTTGTTCAATAAAGCACTGTGATTCATTCTCGTCATGGAAGACTAGTTGGTAGATCGAGAGCGCCTCCGGTATTATTTCAAGTAATAAATGCTCGGATATTTCCACACTTCTGGTGCTCAAAATTTGGCGAATACTCGCCACCGACAGATTTCGCAAAGGCTGAGACAGTTGGGTTTTCCTTGCCGCAAAGTCTGTCTGTAATCTAAGAATTGACAGTGGTAAATTTGGCTCTGTCATAAAATACCGTATGCTTTTGAGGGCGCACATGTATGCGCCCTTCTGCACAAATCTGAGAATGATGTCGGACCATGAAAGAAATTGGCCTCTCTGCAGATTGTAATTTGTCAACACGATTACTTGTCCGCTAAATGATGCTAAGCTCTTTTCCACAGGACGAAGTAAACTTATCGGCAACAGGTCAATTGTCTCGAATTGGCGGATCTTCTGATGTATACTCAAGAGGATAAACTTATCCGAACTAGTAAGAACTCCGATAAAATTACTCGAAAACCATTCAATTTTTTTCAACGGTTCCTGGCACACCCATTTTACCTTATACTCTATGATGAGCTTATTTAAAGGCCTGACAGACTTGAATTTCAATACTTCTAAAAGATTTGCGCTGAAATAACAAACAGAGGCACCGCACTTACTCCAAATTACCTGTCTGGTACTGTCAACTGACATTTTCAACTGCTCATAATAGCATAAGCTAAATTTATTTCCAGATATAAGCGAGATCGATGAGCCAGATAAAACCGCAACAGGTTGCAGGTCTGAAAATGGAAGGTTTGCAGTTCCTGGATAACCAGCCGAAACAAAAGAGAAGTCCTTTGTCGGTGAAGATGCGGCGAGGTCGATGGTAGAGTATGATAGTTGCCAGATTCCTTTTCGAAACCCGCTGTGGTAAGCGAGATTTCCAGAGTCATCACTAATAACAACAGCAGTGTGCCGCTCGGACAAGAAGTCTAAACCGGTCACCGTGCGAGACTCGTGTTCTGTAATGTGTAAAATTGGAAGTAGTTCGTGGTGTCCGCCCGCAGCCCCACTTTCGCGAGAACCGCTATTCAGATCCCAAATAAAGACGTGTCCAGATTCTAAGCTAGCAGCGATGTGCGTACCGTCAACTGAAGTATTAATAAATGTGACATTAGACGTTAGACATTCGCTTGCAGGAAGTAACACCACCTGAAGAAATTGCTTGTAGTTGAAGATAACGACACTTCCTTTTGAAGTGCCAATGGCAAAGTACGAAAATCCAGGATGTATGAGAGTAGCGTGCCCGTAAGGACTTAAGATCTGATAAATCTTCTCAAGCGGCGTCCAAGATACCCAATCGATATCTTGCTGTCGAAGATTTTTGAAGAGATCAAAATTGCAAGGAACATTTTTGTCATCTCCTAATAGGTCAGCCTCGGTGATAGTCGGTACCAGTGGGGTATTGATCCCTTGGGCTCTGCGATCTAAAAAGCTTTGTTCATTGTCTAACGTGTCGTTCATGAACGATCCGTAGAACGATAATTTTACAATTGCTCAATAAAGATTTAAGTCAGGACGTTTCAACGATGCAGGCCTAATTTTTTTTACAGAATTGCAGGTTTATGTCCCCTTCGGAAATAGACAAAATCTAGATTTTAAAATATCATTGTTGGCCGTATATATGCTATAAAGTTGTTAAAGATTACTTACAACTTTTGCATAGCAGCGACATCGGTAGATTGAACGTGGTCTTCGTCCTCTTCGATGGCCACTTGCAAGTCCTCCAAAGAGACCTTAGCGTCTTCGACAACCAAGTTGATTTGCAACTTCTTGATACCGAAACCAATTGGAATCCATTGGTGGGCACCCCAGTTTAGACCGTCCATTTCGATGGACTTGACATTGGCGACCATTTGGTCCAAGTCGGTTTCATCATCCCAAGGCTTGACGTCCATGGTGACAATAGACTTGGCAGCAGGCTTAGGCTTGGAGCTAGTCTTCTTGGCGTTGTACTCAGCCAATCTTTTGGCCTTCAATTTCTCAGCCTCGTCGTCAACTTCGTCGTCGTCGGAACCGAACAAGTCGACTTCGTCGTCGTCATCTTCTTCGGCGGCTGGGGCAGCGGCAACCTTACCAGAGGCAGCTGGCAAAGAGGAGAACTGGGCAGACTTGGCGCCAATGTGGTTGAACCATCTGGCAAAGTCTGGGTAAAGTTGCTGGAAGGCCTTGTAGTAAGCAACGTCGGCTTGGGTAGCGGAAGTACTGCGCTGTTGTTAGTACACGAGTTCGTGGGTTAATAGCGAAGGACACGAAACGATGAATACCGAAAACTTCTACAGTTGGCGGGCACTTTACACTGGAATGCAATCTCCGAATGTCAGAAATGTATAATGAAATACTTCTTCTTTGTCACTCATACCGGGGGTCTTACTTCCCGTCATAAACACGGACCAAAGATTACGATCATCATTCTCGGAAGCTTGGCATCCTGCGCACAGGTTTTCAGCATCTAGTGCCGCCAAACAAGCAGCTTTTGCTCCGGATTTCTCTCGACTGTCACTCATCACTTTAGCTATGATCTGCTTTTTAGCGTCGTCAAAACATACCCTTCGACGTAGGACTTGTCAGCCAAGAAGGTGTTCAATTCCTTCAAGGTTTCGATCTTGGAAAAGTCAGTGGAAGACATTGTAATGCGGTGATCTAGCTCGATGCTTCTTCTAACATCTTGAGATGAAGACAGAAGTGAACTTAAAATTTTTTTCAATAATGTGTATTACAATCCTAGGGGCTCGAAAAATTTTCATTAAATACATCAAAATTTACGAGCTAGGCCCTGGATCACACAAAACGAATGTTATGTGCTTGAGTGATTAGGGCTCAGGATTACGAGCAAAGTGCAAAATGAGACGAAGCTTTTTAGGGTTTGAAGAACGTATCTCGGCACCTATTCTACCGCACGTCAGGTGCTACTTGAAGATTGTTGAAGGAGCCCTTAAACATATATTATGATGGAATTCGTTAAAGTCAAGCCACGAGAAAGAAACCAATGGCGTAATCACACCAGATTTTGCCAGATTTCGATGGTTCAATACCAATCAGCAACAGCACCTTGTAGTCCCCGCCCCTAATCTCTTTGATTTCATTCTTGGCCGCCCTCTATTATTGAGTCACCTCCGACGATAGACTTTGACGTCCATTATTGTAAGGCTATTACAATATATTATTATTAATATTGTAGTATAAGATAAACCTAGTCGCTGGATTTTGAAATCGATAAACATAGGGAGAGCGCTTGTTTTTTTGATGTCGCAGCAATTACTGCCCCAAGCATACTTGACTAACTTCCACAATCGAGTCAGAAACGAGAATGTGCCTTGTTTCATCACCGGTCAGCCTTCTCGAGGTCACAAACGTGGCAAAGTAGTCAACTACGCAGAGATCGAAACGGACCTGCTGGAAGAATTCGCAGAAGATGAGACCAAGGACGTTAACGGCAAGGAAGAAGAGAATGGGAAACCAGTCGCTTCAGCAGAAGATCTAGCTAACGAAAATGCGCTGCCGGACCTCGATTCCCAGGATGACAACACTAATATTCTCAAGTACCCGCGGATTCGAGAAACTTTTTTGCAGAGCCGAATAGCCACGCCGTACAAATTTACGCCTTCTGCTCAGACCAATTCTCACTTGGCTCCAATCATAATTCCCATTCGACTCAACTTGGAACACAATGGGCACAAGATTATCGATTTCTTTACATGGAACCTCAATGACCAATCTATCACACCCGACCAGTATGCCGCCATGTATTGCCAAGACTTAGACTTTCCCGTCACGGCCGCAGTTTGTAGCCAGATGAGTGCAGCCATTACTGAACAATTACAGGAATACTCGACGCTAGCGTCCGTTGCGGTACCTGATCTACATGTCATTATCAATCTTACCTGCAATCTGGATGATAAAATGTATGAAGACAACTTTGAATGGGATCTCAACGATCACGTACTGACGCCGGAACAGTTTGCTAACACAGTTGTCCAGGATTTAGGACTGACACGGGAATTTGCACCTGCCATATCGCATGCACTTCATGAGGCTCTGCTACGTGTCAAAAAAGATTGGCTAGAGGGACATTTGAGTCCAGATCAAGTGGACAATGGCGCGGCTTTCGGTTATCTGTCGGGTATAAGATTAAGCGTCGATACCCTGGGAGCAGATTGGTGTCCTAAAGTAGAGGTCTTATCTCAGTGGGAAATCGAAAAGCGGGAAATCGAAAAGGAGAGAAATCTAAGAAGACTCAAGAGAGAAAGCGCAAAAGTAGAGGACAGGATATCGCGGCGTAGTCGTAAGAGACGCGTTGATGATTTAGAAACGACAATGAGGATATGATTGGTTTTTCACTCTTCAACGAGGTACGTCTATGTAATATAAAATGAATGTAATACCTGAGGTGGAAGAATGATAGAGTGTCTCCTCGGACGTTGGGACTTCCAAATGTGATGTGTGATGTGTGGCATTTTATGTTGATCTTTCTCATTATTATCGTGTGAAGGGGTAGTATAAAGTCACTAGTTATTTATGCATAATTAAACAAGCTGTTCGAAAACGGGTGACCGAAATAAGATATTTTAGGAAGAGGAATAGGATGAGCTCTCGGCAGTGGCTTTTTAGGCCATTTTTCGAATTGTGTTGTCTCAGTTCGGCTATGAATTCGAAAAAAAACTTCAAGCGCGTCTTTTCAATCTGAACCCTAAAGGCATATTATGTACAAGAACCCCTAAACACTCTGAATAGCTCGTACCGCTAACCCGGTATGTCTGAGCAAATTTTGGTAAATTATCTGAGTCAAGGTCTGGTTACAAATACTCTAAGCTCTTTAGAGTTTCGGCAATTAGCTTCAACAGTAGATGGACATTTTTCCGAAAAAGAGAGTGCAACATGTTACGAAGAGATACAAGAGCATGACAAAAAGGTGCTCGATAACATTAACGTCAGAGTACACGAGTTCTTTGAAGGCACCAGAGCGCTATCAAAAGAGACCGTAGAAGCCGCGCAACTAAAGAACTCTGTTTCTGTTGAAAGTCTCGTGAATTCCTTGTACGCAGCCCATCACCTTCTAGATGGCAAGATAGCTCAGCTCGACTCTATTATAAATGTGTATTCGAGCGAGCTACAAACTTTTGAAAGGACGGTGAATTCTTTCAAACATTCAGCAACAATTCAGCCGATACTGGAAGTTCTGAAGACACTTCTCAAGCGAGCAGAAGAAATCAATAACTAGCAGCAGACCTCGCTTTCAACATGAGGCACTGGGTACTCTGATCCTAGCCACCGAAAGACTTCATATTTGGAATTAAGAGCATAATTATTATGCATACAATAGCCATCGCCGCTTTCGCTTTCGAGACAGCCAGTTTTCTTCATTGGTTGCAAAAAGATGCAGCGTTTGATACGCGAGTGTATGAGAGCCATGGCACACATGGAGCACGGCTCATGTGTCGTGTACACATCAAAGTTTAGACAAAGGTACGTCTCCTCCTTTTCTTGGCTATCTGGAGACGCTTTTCTCGCGTGTTCTAATGCGGCGACAGAACGAATACCTCTCATTAAGCTGTGGTCAAGTGGAGAATCGCGGAAACGCGCATCTGCAGCGTAGACAACTTTCCTAGTTTTTGGGTTTACGAAAGCTGATACCACCGGCGGTCCAGATTCACCGTTTTGCTCCTCACTGTTAGCTAGGTTACTTATCTTATCCAAAATCTCCTTGATAAATGGGAGGTCAAAGACGTAATCGTTCATGATTTGATCATTAGGGTTTCCGCGCCAGACCAGGGGCCAGTACTGAGACGACCACTTTAGACTCAAATCTTTCGTAGATGGACCTTTAGAAGGCACGACGAACTCGCCACTAATAGCTGTATACTCAAATGGCGCTTGTTCCATTAGCATCAAAAAGACATCCTCTTCTTCAATCATGTGCTTCGAACATATTATAACAGTCAGGGCGCCACGCTCTTCGCTTTTTCTTATCCTTTTAATGTGGAGAAATGATACCGGTTCGTCGTTTTGACAAAAGCGACGTACAAATTCAATATAGCGCTGACTATCTCTAGCCTGTATATCGACGGTCCAAATCTTCACGAGTCTAGGTTCATCAAGTCCTGCATGATTAGTGATATGTAGAAGACTACCCTCAATAATTCCTCTGTGATAGTCAATTCGCAAAGGATTCTGCTTCTTTTTTACCATCGTCGATATTCGAATATCAAGCTCAGCTAGGTATTTATTTGATATTTCCACATTTTTTAAAAGTTGAAGACAAATTACAAGACTTCTAACCAAATGACCAAGATATCGACAAACATATGAAATGTCTCAAAGATTTTATTGCCCAGAATCTTGTTGAAAACGAAAATGTAGGTTGGCTTCTCAATTTCAGTGGTGAGGCTTCCTCAGCAGGCGAGTTCAGATGTGCAATTTTAGATATATTTGTTTCACCAAATCCAGAGCAGTTCGAAAATCTTGCTTTGCCCGGCGGTGAACATTCTTCTGTTGTGGACGAATGTATTAAATTTCTGAGAATAAACACTGGCTTCAGTAACGTATTGACATATGGCTACAAAATTGCGAAGAACTCGGATGTGGCTTCTACGTTGCACTGCGAGTCCAGCAATCTGAACGTTACAAACCTGAAGAGTGGTATTTGGACCACGGTGCACAAAATTTTGGGTACTGAGTGTTTCGTCAATCTCATAATTAATTTCACGATATATGACTGCAGAAATGGTATATGCCGACAAACTGTAGGCCCGGTACAAGAGCGAGGACAGATTAATGGCTTACTACCCGTTCTGGTAGGAGCGACAACTATTGGCAATTCAGAATTCCTGTACAGAAATAGGGGAGTGTGCAAAATTTCCAGCATTATGCCATGTTCGCTTACAATACTGTGGTACCAGATTTTTGGTACAGATAAAAATAACAGCGACGGTATTCCTACTGAATGTAGGGTCATATTACGTCAAATATTATCTAGGGTAATCCATAATCACCGAAGATTAAAGTATAGATTTATTCTGGATGCCTTGTGCCCTTACAAAGATTTCAAGTCTTCTTACTCCAATATGGAGCCCCAAACAAGCATCAAATCAATTGTTAAGTTTTTGACAGTCATCATCGAAAAATTGTTTCCTCTGAGCTTCTTTGGATCAAGACATAATAAGTCAGTTCTTATGTCGAAAATCTCTTTCATTCTCAAGCTTAAACTGCATGGCCGTTTGCCTATTTCTTTTTGGATCAAAGGGCTTAGGATAAAAGATATCGAATGGTTAGGATCACAATCTAAGATTGACTATAGGGAGCTGAGAGCAAGACAAGACTTGCTGGAACGAATTATAGAATGGTTTTTCGGCCATCTTTTATCATCCGTGATAGTGACCTTTTTCTATTGTAGTGAGTTATCTGGTTCTCCAAATCTCTTGTTCTTTCGATTTGATGTTTGGGCTCAAATGACGCAGCCATTTTTGAAAGCTTACTTCGAAAGATATCTCACTTTAAATGAGAAATGTCAAGGGCATGTCTGTAATACAGAATTTGCGCATGGCTATCTGCGGCTAATTCCCAAGAAGGCTAAAACTCAATTTCGAGTAATATTTGTTCCGTTAAAATGTCGAGAGCAGGAAAAAGCCAACGCTGAATTGGGATACATGCGAAGCGTTCTGAAGCCCGCCGGCTGTATCCTTAGCTATGTGTCGAGTAAAAGAAAGATTTCCCCTGACGTCCCTTCAAAAAAGCTCTCATCTCCATCAGAGATCTCATCTGCCATCTGCGACTTTAAGGCTCGTTTACTAAAAAGATACGGTGAAATTCCCTACCTATTTTTCATCAAATTTGATATCGAGAACTGTTATGACTCTATACCGAGATCGAGAGCTAGAGAAGTTATCAATCAGCAGCTCAGCATTTATTCAGATTTCTATGTTCGATCTCAGTCTTTTTACGATTCGGAAAAGGGAAGCTTTAAGCAGATTTCCTCTGTCAACGGAGATTTAAAGATTAAGAAACATGGCATCGCTATCGATAATGTGCGCACAGTTTACTTAACCAAAAAAGATGTCATTGAAATACTTGACAAAGAGATGGAAAATAGTTCAATAATTTATGGAGAACACTGCTTACTGAGAAATTCTGGCATTTTTCAAGGGACAGCTCTTTCTGCACACATCGTTGACTTCTTGTATGATGATTTGGTTGAAAGTCATCAAGCTTTTCGGAATGAGCAAGGCGCAGAAAGTCTTATTTTGAGGTTGGCAGACGACTTCTTAGTAATTTCGACTAGTAAGCTGTATATTGAAAAGATCGAAACGCACGTTTGGAAAGGATTCGAAACTTATAATGCATTTTCAAACGAACGAAAGGTATTGTCAAACTTAAACTGTACAGACAACAAATCTTTGCGCTTCTGCGCCATTGATTTGGATATGGGGACCCTTGAAGTCATGAAACGTTGAGATCATACGCCTTATCTTGTAATGCATTCACCTGCCAGCAATAAGACTTCCAATCAAGGGGAATACGTATCCTAGGCTGGCTCGACGACCTATCTCACAGATCCAACGCCTGGCACTATTGCAATACACTAAATATGATTCGTAAGCTAACATATTTTAACGAAATGCTTGCATATATAATGCGACGAGACTGTATTTTCTTTAAACACGTTTATAAATATTAGTCCAGGCTCCTACATACCCATCATCAAACGCTGTCGTATAAATGTTGAAAATTACTTGACAGTCTAAGAACAAGCACTAATGTGACTGTCTTTAAGGGAGTTCTTGCGAAGAGACAGTTTTCGAATGTCACGGATGTCATTAATAAATGGGAGAGTTGTATTCAGGTATCAAATTACAGGACTTGCCCGACGATTTCATGATGGAATTTGTCTGAAGTTGGCTCTCAAATTCTCCTCATCTTTTTTTTGGCGTACTTTATCAACTTCATCTATACCGCCAGCTTTTTTGAAGTTGTTCTTGCCTACGAAATTACCAAGTTCGTCTTCAAATTCACTGTTGTCTCTATAGCCCTTTTCCCGATTCCTCAACTTTGCTGCTCTTTCGATTGCCTCAACCCTTTCATCATGATCAGGATGAAGAGCTTCTACCTCACTTAGTACTGCGTCTCTAAGTTGATTGAATGTTCCAGGTTTGGCAATGGGCAAAATTGGGTTATTAGTTTTCTTAGGATTTTTTTCCTTTTCCTCACAACACAACTTAACTAAGTCAAAAGTTTCTCGAACCTTTTCCAGATCTTGACTAAAATCAAAGGCGAGATCTTCTTGTAGCGTTAAAAATTGCTGTTCTTCGCAAACTTTCTCCAATTCACTTTCCCAGATTTTCTTCCAGTTTGGTTTTTCAATGGATATGTAGTCTTGCATTGTATTCAAGCCATCAAGAGCTTGCCTTAGCTCCAAATGAACAGTCTCGAGTTTTTTCTTGGAAGGTCTTGACCCTCTAATGGCGACGTCCTTTCTTAAAGCCTCGATTACATCCTGCAGATCATCAACTTTACTAAGAAGCTTATCCGAGACTTCAGATAGCTTGGTATGACTTTTCTCCATGTAAACTCTATTGGCGGTGGTAGAAGAGTTAAAGGACAGACTCTTGAATTTTGCGACCTTCTCTAAAATGTTAGAAATATTAACATCGAAGCTTTTCTTCTTAGCGCTGTGAATTTGGTGTAACACAGCGAACTGATGCCTAAGAGCTTCAACCTCTGCCCGAGATGCGCTGCTTGTGTTCATAGTTTGAAGCTGAGGTTCACGTAATTCAGGCGAAGAAGAGGAATCTCGAAGCTTCTGCACCTCAAGCAGCAGAGCCTCCTGTTTCAGCTGAAAGCGCTTCTCAAAGTTGTCAAACAACATAACGAGATCTGTCTCCGGAATGATAGAATTTACATCTGACGATTGAAGAGAAACCACCGAGCCGTCCTTGATCTTATCAAGATGACTTGCTTCTAATTCATAGAAAGCCTCGTAACCTGGATCTTTGACGTAAATTTCTGGAAAGCTGTTGGAACCGGGCGTATACGTGAACTTTTCAACAAACAATAATCTGAGAGAGTTGAAGGATGTTGGTAATGCGAGCGAACATTTTTTAACCTTATCATCCAACTTCAAAAAAGCTGTGATGCTCATTTCCTGATTCTCCAGCGGGAGAGATGAGTTCCTTGAAGGCACAAAAGTCGATCCTACCGTCCTGTTGATGGTTGATTCTGAAGGAGTAGCGACTTCGTTAGTACCGGCAAGCTGGCCAACAGAATGGGGTGGAGTTACCATGGCGGCAGCTTCACTCGTTGATTGATGGCTCAACTTAGCCATGTGGTAGGCGGAAAACCTTTTCGAGGCCCTTCTCTGTAATGTGTCACTTTTTTTGAGTTGCGCAAGCGCGGCGTTTTGATTTTCCCTTTGCTTGGGAACTTTTATGGAAGGAGGCAATTCTAGCTTGGTTGGTGTGCTCGTGGCAGCAGGAGACCTGTAAGGAGACGTATTCGTTGAATTGGCAGCAGAAACAATCTCTCTCTGAGTAGGCGTGGACCGCCCTGACGTGGCGCTCAAAGAAGATGCTGAACGAGAACTTCTGGACGGAACATACGGCTGACTTTGTTTCATGCTTTTCAGGAGAGTTTGCTTTACTTTGAGCTTATCTAGAAGTGTAACAACGATCTCACGGATGCTGGGTAAGTACTTGTCTAATGTTTCCTCAGATGGTCTTTCTCTCAATGCTACCTCCAAGACTTGTCGCAAACTTGATGGAAGATCACCTAAGTCAGACACTTCTAGTCCAGCATGAGAGAATTGCTTCGTAACTAACTTAAAATCGTTCCCGAGTTGAACGTACGCATCAGAGACGTTCTTTTCGTTTGCTTGTCCCTTAGACCATTGTGTCAGGCGCTGAAGCAGGTGTTTCGTGGACATTAAAAGCTTTGTCACACTCGTTTCGACGCTCGAGGAGCCCCGAGAGGATCTCGCAGACGATTGAGATGAAGATCTGGTGCCATTAGATGTCGAAATTCCGCTATTTTCAGACATTGGCGGTTTCCTACTTCTTTATTGATGTTTTGTGCAGTTTATCAAGAATCAAGACAGAACACCAAAAAACATATTAATACTACTGACAGTAAACCAGTCCTAATGGAGCATGGATGAAGACGCCAGTCTTACATACATACCGGACTCGGAGGCTGACGAAGATGAAGACTATATATGGTGGCCAGATCGTTGTCTGGGAGATTGGATAGGACCGATTCGAGATCTAAGTAGACATTTTCAAACGGAAGAGGCATCAGTCCGACGATGGGACGAAAACGCAGTACATGAGCGCCGAGAAATAGTCACACAGAGGCTGCGGTCATTCAGAAAAAGGACCGCAATTCAGAAGAACCCATATAGCCTAGATAGGATCCGGCACAAACAACTTCTGATGGGATTTGAAATACCTGTAGCAAGCCTTTCCTCTCGAGGCCGGTTTCGGGAAGACAGCTCTAATTTAAGAAGTCAACCCGATGCCTCGATACAAGATTCTGAATCGCGGGTTGTGACAAACAATGAGGAATTGTCGGAAGGCGAAAATGTTGAGGAAATAGAATCCCCGTACGATTTGGACCAGGACCACCTGGCCGAACAGTTTGAGCCCAGCCAAGCAGCGACTGAGCATGATGACAACGAAGATTTATACTACAGAGGGAGACACATCAGTATACAATCCGGATTTCAAGGTATTCTACCTAAAGTGGCGTGGAAGAAAGCACTGACGGACTCGACTCAACCAAGTATCAAATTGAAGAAACGGGAAAGAAAAGAAGGCAAAGGAGTAGCGAAACGCAAATCCGCCAAAGGGCGACTACTACACGATGTCATGCTTCCCGGGGACCTTTTTATTGCAGATGACAAAATTTCGATCGAGGATGAAGCACCTCAGCAGATTTATAACAGCGGGTCCGATTTCAAGATCATGGAATATCAATCAATCAGCGACAATCTTAATGCAAGGTATGAAAATGCTTATGCGTTTGACAGCCTCTCAGATAGAGAAGAACTATCAGATTTCTCCTCAACGCCTTTCACTTTCCCCTTCGACGTAAACTACGAAAGAGAAAAGGGTCTGGCCGAGCCAGATTCCTATGAAGATTCTTTTGTCCTGGATGCTGAAATAAATGAGCTGAGTAAAGCTTCAATTACTTCAAAAAAGTCGAACGGCAACAGCATCGATGCGATGCTGAGCGCAAATCGGAACAGAACAAAGAGAACTATATCGGAAACCACACTTCATCTTGATCATGGCACTACGAACAGAGGTTCAGCAAGCGCTGCTACTGCTATTAAAACCAGGAGAAACACTGTACGATATAAAAGAGGTAATCGAGACCATCTTCGTTCTGCTGTCGTGAAAAAGTCTGTGGGCAAGAGCAAACTAGGCCCCAAGAGAGTGAACGGGAATTTTATTAAGCTTGGTGGTGACATAAATGAGGAGAGAACACCGCAGTTTCAAACTGTTCAACAGGAGGATGATTCAATGTCGGAAACCCTTCGCCACAATAGGCGCAGTATTGCTAGCCTCTCCGGTTTTGTCACGTCTTTGGCAAGCAGCAAACTTACTGCATTTGAGACAGCAGTAGAGAAGGAGGGCGAAAGATTTGCCATCATCAAGAAACCTGGCAGAAGACAAGGAACCTTGGCCACCGAAAATAACCTTTTTTTTGGTGATGACGGTAAAAGCCACCAAATAATCAAATGCCCTCTGGAACCCCACATTTCTGGATTCATGGGCAAGTTAGCAGACACCGTGGATTTTACGTTATCAGGCCAACCTTTCAAACTTTCTAAATTTGATTCTAACATTGCGGCTACGTTAAAAGCCATGTTCAATCATATTATTGAAAAAGGATCTTCGGACATTGAAATATTTTTGATGAATGAATCAACGGTCAAAATTTTGGTTCAACTTGATAATCCCGGTTTATGGGTGATCATCGACGACTTTCACAAAAACTTTAGATCGAAGGCGAATAGCTTGAGAGGCCGAGCGAAGCCCATCCATTTTTATCAGATTGTGTTGTGTCAAGTTATGCTCTTAGAGGTAAGGCGCTATTCAAGCACATCACAAATTCTAGCGCGGGAGATTACAAGGAAAGTTCTTGACCATATTGTCTCATTTTTCAAGCTCCTATCCAAGTGTAGCGACATGGACTTGAACAACGAAGTCCTTGAAAAGAGTTACGATATGTTGTCGAATGTGGCCAAAAACATAAATCAAAATTCAGAACTTTGGGACAAGCTGGCTCTATGCTCGTTTCCGCCTAGAATCGCCACAATTGTGGCGACGCACTTCACAACAGATAAGGCTTGTTGGCCAGTTGCTGAACTTGAACAAACTTTCACTAGCGCAAAGGAGTGGCTTGGTTTTGTACATTATTGTGTCACTTGTTGCCAGTGGAAAGTGGATAGTGTACTTATTCAGATCTTCTACAACTTCTTTAAGGCCAGAAAGTTCCGCAACTTTGAGGAGGACGTGGAAACTGATGCAAAGCTGCCAATATATGGCACACCAGCATGGCGTACGCCCAGCGAAACAGTTTTCAATGTTTTTCTTGATATGATAGGATCCTGCAATTTATCCATTGTTCAAATAGAGCGAGTTACTCCACTAGGACAGATAATAAGTTTGAATGATCTTGGGTTACTAGCCAATCGAATTAATTTGCTTTTGGTCCTCGCTACTCAAGCCAGTTCTAATTTCGAACCTAAGTTTGAAGACCTCTGTCAACCATATTTTAAACCGGAAGGCGTGCTACATGCTGTACCAGTTCAATTTTTAGACCTCATTCTCACAGGTTTTTATTCGCTTTTACAAATCAATGCTTATAAAGGTTTGGTCACAAAGGCAAGAGTAATATCTATGGCTTTTCATCATGTGTCAAAACTTAAGGGCCTAAGTGGCAACAGAGTATGGCCAGATTTTTTACAACGCATCTACCTGACCACCAATAAACTGGGCAAATCAACACCATTTGTTTTGAAAGCCCTTTACCCAGCTTTGATGTTCATGGTCAAAAGGAAGGATAGGAGTGATTCGATACCTTTGCTTCGATTATTCGAAAAAAATTTGAGTGTTTTAGATCCAGCGTGGGTTATAACTCATCTGCATCAGGTTTTCGCCAATCTAGCTAGTGAAGATGACTTTTTGTTCCGTTTTTATTTTACCACTACGAAATTCCTTGCTTCTGAGAAAGTCATCACTTGGTGGTCAGTATTGAACTATAGTAGTTTCGGCTCCTTAAGAGACTACCGCGTCCTGTTTTGCACCAAAATAATCGAGAATTGTGACGAATCCTCCTTTTTTCAAATAAGGCATAAACTACTGCAGACGGCGATTGACTTGCTACTGCAACGGGCTGATTTGCATTTCATCAGATTTTTGAAAGCCTTGTCTAGAAAAGATAACGAGTTTAAGATGACCACAAGTCTGACATTCACATCGGGTCAGTTTGAAATTATAACAAGGACTTTAAAAGCTTTCAAAAAGGTCAAAGACCGCTCCTTTGTCGAAAGTTTCATACACAATCTCAAGGAAGAGTTTCTAGTAAGGCCTCACAAAAAGAGCTTAATCATGGATATAACAAAGTTCTTGAACTCAGAGTTCGTTGATTCTGTGAGAAGCAATCTCGACTTCATCTTTCTTAAAAGTCAATTCAATATATCTGATGTCGAAACTCAAAAGAGTATCTTTCGCGAGGTCCTCTTTTGTCAAAAGAACGACACAGAGCGAGCATTATTTATAGAAGAAGAGTTTCTTAAGATCGGAGTTCGGATCCTATCGCTACAGCCCTTCATAGACAAGCTCCGCTCTTCAATAGGTACCGGGCTCTATTCTAACGACTACATTTTTTTGGCCCGCCTGCTAGAGGCCAATGTCTTAGCTGGGAACGGTGTCATCACAGAGCTTCAGTGGTTCGTGCTTCTAAATTTGATTCAACTTTTGAACGAAATTTTGGAGTTGAACTTTTGTCAAGTAACGTCTACAGACTTCAAGGGGTTGTATGGCCTTCACGTAACGCTCTGTCAGGTATTTTATGGACCAAGATTTATATCTAATGGGAGTCCGACGGAATGCAAGTTTTGCAAGGAATTGTGTCTCTTTCTTACAAGAAATTTGACTATAACGTCAGGCTTTTCTGAGCATTCAGAATTACTTACATTATGTGATGAGTTTTTACGTGATCCCATCAACACATCCCAGAAGCAAAGCACAAACGAATTGCGATACCCGATAGAGAAGCTCTTACAAGCGTATGGACCATCAACACATTCTGAACTTCAAATGCAGGATGATCTCTTAGATTTAAGGGCGGATATCGATGTCTCGCTTACCAAATTGTCAAAGGTAGTCACATCAGAAGCAGTGGAACAAAATCTCATCTGTTAGGACGCGGGCGGATTGAAGTGCACCGTTGACTACCTAAAGCACCTAGCATGCGGCATAGCTGACCATGTTGCATAGGGAATAGTTTACCCAAACAGCACACATCATGTTGTGTGCATACAAATCAAAAAGTAGATAGCATTTTCAGAACAGCATAAGCAACGTATATCTTGCAAACTTACAAGTCAAATCTTTATGGGGTTTACTGCTACGTAAAATTCACACTTTCTTTATATCCTTTTCTGCTTCCAATTTGTCCACTCGCCTCTTCAAATCTAACAGGCTATTGATACGTCCAAGAAGAGCATCATGATAGTGTGCGACCTCGAATGTTGGCATTGCCGGTCTACTAGGCAAACCCAGCTCCTGCAAAGTTGCTGCTATTTTGCTTTGCGTTGCAGCCTTGAATGTGGAAACTCTGGTCGATCTTAGATACGCACCTGACGGCAATTTTTCTCCATGGCATTGAACACCCAGAGACTTTCTTTCTTCTGCAGTAAACCCCTGCAGCAGTTGCTCAGCATATTCGCTGTCTGCTTTCCGCTTTACAGCAATTTGCATCTCCTGCTTTTGTTTCTTAGTTTTCTTGGCTTGGTTTTGAACATGTGTGCTGTTAACTTTCTGCTCTTGCAACTGCTGCATCTGTTGTTTCTGCTGCGCAAACTGCTGTTGTTGCTTCATCCATGGATTCTCCGGCACAGCCGGATCGTGCTTGCGTTTTTTACTCTTATCGGACAGTAGGCTGTTATACAGTTGTGTCATACCTTGAGAGGTCAAAAATTGTGCAATCGGTTTGTCTGAATTTGGTGAGTCCAAAAGGCGTAGAAGCGTTTCTCTTTCGCTAGCCGTTTTTTTAGCCGCCATTTCAAACTTCTTAGATTCGACAATGAGAGCTTCTTCTTCTGCAATTTCAGCAGCCGACCTCGAAAGTAGTCTCTGGAGGTATTTTTTACGCTCTACTTCCTTTTCCTTAGAGAAGTTGAGTGATGATATCAATGGGTTGTCAGGATTCTTAGCCAAAAAATATTGATGACACACAAGATAAAATGCCTCTTTCATATCCTCCAAAGACCTAGGTTTCTTTCCTTCATGCCTATCTTGAACAATAAACCAGCGCAAATCATACTTTCGGCAGAGGTCAAAGAGTTGTCGTACTTCTTCGTAGCCCCATTGTTCCTCGTCTTCACTTCCGACTTTCGTGCCAGCCATGAAGCTATTATAGTCCTCCTCAGTAAATTCTGGAATGGTCAGTTTTGTATTATACTTTTCAAACGCATTAACTTGTGGCTGCTGATCAACTAGTTCCTTCGAACCTTTCACCCAATGCCTGAGTTTCACGGAAGGAGTTGGTTCAAATTCCGCGAAAGTCCAAGGTGATGGTTTGGCCATTGCTCGTAGCTTATCTTTGAACTTGCTTCCCTTCTGAACTGCCACAGGTGGTGTATTGTCTCCTAGAAGATTGTAAAGCTCTCGTTGCATTCCGCTTACCTGAAGCTTTGGGGCACGACTAGGGCCTGGCGTAGCACCAGAAGACCCTGGGCTACCAGCTCTTGGATTTTGAATGTTCAAGACATCAAATATATCGGAAGAAGCCATTACGCTATTCTCTAAGATATGGCTCTTTAGGTGGTCAACTGCATTAATATGTGACATTAATTTTATAAATCGATTTTTTGTATTGACTAAAATATGAACTGAAAAACAAAGCACCTTGATAAGCTCAGTAAGGCTACTCAGAACCAAGCGTTTGACTTGCTCATGTTTAAAATTCAGATAAGATCCCCAGCTGGTCTCGGTGACAAAACAGGATCTACTTTCGACGCCTCGTGGAAGATATTGGAGGATGCAATAGAAATGATATTCAGCGGCCGTTCGAGTGAATTATCTTTCGAAGTACTGTTCCGCACTGTATATAGTGTGGTATTAAGGAAACAGGGAGAGCAGCTGTATGAAAGAATCCACGACGCAATCGATCGCAAACTCCGAAGCGTCAAAACTTCGAGTCTAAATGTCAAATCAACTTCTCTACTTGATGACATTTTGCACGCCTGGAATGTGCAACGTGAGTCCCTTCGTGTGATAAGCGATGTGACAATGTACCTGGACAAAGTCTATTGCAAGGAAAGCCGGAAACCTTTCGTCTACGACATGGGAATCGATCTTTTTCACAACATCATTATGAAATCCTCCAAAGATCAGCTATACGGTCTCATTATGGGACAAATCAATAATGCCCGACAGTCTATCGCAGATGTAGACTTTCAGCAATTGAAATATTTAGTAGAGATGATGGAAACAGTCGCAAACACAAGTGATACCTATTTTCTTGCTGAATTCGAGCCATTCCTTCTCCGCGAGACGCAAGCATTTTACAGCAGGGTTGCAGAAGAATATGAGGGCGAACTTTTCACCTATCCAAGCACTGTTGAAACACTGCTGACCAAAGAGCAAGAAATCGATGCCAAATTTCTTGGTGACAGCGTTAGGCTCAAAATTTCAAAAGAAATACGAGGTGCATTGATCTCAGAAAATATTCAATTTGTTGGGATGCAAGTGCTCCCTAGTATTCTAGACAGTAACAGATTCACAGAGCTTAAACTATTATTTGAGTTGTGCGATAATTCAAATGATAGAAAGAAAATATGGAAGCACTTATCTCAATGTATCACCAAGGAAGGTTTAAACATTAATGAAGATTTGACTTTAAAGAAGAAGTCTCAGGTAGCCGTGAGATGGATTGCTGAAGTTATAAAACTGAATGAGAAATACGAGGGGTTTTTCAATACCTTGCCTACGAGTGAGCCAAACGGCCTCAAATATATTAACGAGGCAACATCTGCGTTCCTAAACCAGAATGGTAAAACTTCGGCAGAATACTTGGCCATTTATATTGATTCTATGCTTCGCTTACCGAGCGAAGAAGGTGATATGACTAAAGACCGGCTTGGAAAAAGCGTCAAAGTATTTAGACTTTTGAGACAGAAAGACGTCTTCGAGAAGTTATACCACCAGCAGTTGTCTAAACGGCTTCTTCAGCAGCGATCCTCTTTGGAATCAGAGAAGAATTTTTTAGCAATAATGGAGGAAGAAGCTGGCGCCATGTTCGCCTTGAAACCAGACGGCATGTTCAGGGACCTTTTGCTGTCACAAAGCAACAACCAAAAATTCAGACAGTCTTATAATGTACCATTTGAGTTCGAGATGAGCGTCTTAACATCAACGTGCTGGCCATTTCAACAAACGAGCAGTGAAAAAGAAGTCGCGCTTCCCCCAGCACTCGAGAAGTTAAAGCTGGACTATGAAAACTACTATCTGAAGGCATACAGTGGTCGAGCTTTGAAATGGGCATATCACCTGGGATCAATAGAGATTGGCTTTCAGTTCTCAAAGAGTTATCACATTATCACAATGCCAGTCTTTGCGGCAATAATTTTAATGCTATTTGAAGACTATGATGAACTTAATATGCAGGAAATATTTGATCTTACACACATTCCAGAGCAAGAATTAATGAGGAACCTGTTGACAATCGCAGTCGCCCCCAAGACTAGGCTACTGAAGAAGCAGCCCTTAAGCAAACGTATTCTTCCCACCGACAGATTCAGATTAAATTACTCGTTTTCAGCGCCTACGACAAAAGTTAAAGTCCTTGCTATACTTTATAAAGGAGACTTCGACGGTCAATTCAACCCGCGGTCGAGTGATTCGCTACAGGATCTAGCAAAAGAACGCATACGGTGCGTGGAAGCTTGTATTGTCAGGGCATTGAAATTCGCAACAAAAATGTACCACGACCCACTCTATCAGAAAGTAAGGGAGAATTTGGCCAATAGGTTTGAGGTTTCTTCAACGATGTTTCAGAAAAGCTTGGATAAGTTGTTAGAACGAGAGTACGTTCAACGAGATCCGGACGAGTGCACACTTTATCATTACCTACCATGAGGTGCCAGATCACAAGTCAGGTATGCGTGCGGCAACCTATAATTGATAGACTCTTATGAACTCACGAAGCCTGCTTTTTTAGTATTTTACTGAGTTCCTTGGCACTTCGGGCCACTCCACCAGTATCTTGAGAACAGACGTAGCATTTAGTGGTTTTTTTAGCTCTTTCCATGAAACAAACACTACAAAAGTAATGTTGGCATCCAGTGACTACTGGACATGTGTAATCCTTTTTGCAAATGAGACATTTGAACGGAATACTTTCGATCCTTGCAGAATCTTCTTTGGTGAGGTCGACTTTCCAGTCTTGATTTAGTTTCCACCCAGACTTAAAGTCATCTCGGGCGTGCAAAAACTTGCAGCTGTCCCCATAGCCGCAATAACCTGTCTGCTTATAGTCCTTACAAACATCTGGCTGGTAGTCCATATATAGTGTTGATTTCAAGTTGGAATGAGTTTTCTTGGCAGGATGAAAATTTGACAGTGATATTGCTGCGTCTTCAGAACCACATAAATTGTTCGATTTGGCCTTGTCAGACGGATCGGCAGGTGTCTCAGGCTTCGAGCCGTCACTCTGGGAAGTTTCTGAGTCTCGCTTGGGCGATGAGCATGTACTATGTAGCTTCTCGTCGCAGATAGTTGGGACAGAGCCTTGTGAAGAAGACGGGTCTGGTACGGTATCAGGGTCGACAGCAAGCTTTTGTCGCTTTGTAGCTTTTTGATCTTGCTTTACGCTTCGTTTCTTGAACATTTTTCAGCAGTCGATGAGGTACTAATAAATGTTGGGTTTTCACAATGCGTTTAGTAAACCCTAACAAAGCTAATAACTATCAAATTGCCACTTAGAACGTTAAACAAAGCGAAGCTTGGCAGATGAGCGACAGTACTAAGGAGCGAGAAACTAGAGCTAGATTTGTGGAGGAGCCTGTAGCGCGATTGGGAGGGAAAACTAATAAAGTCCTGCGGAGCGCTATGAAAAATCAGAGCAAAAAGGGACATGGGGATAATGATCAAGAAGAAGTAGAATCCTCTCCATTGTTGACTTCTACACCACCAACAGTGTCTAAAGCGCTAGTAAGACTATACCCGTATTTGATAATAGCGGACAAAGTACTGAGCATAATTACGTGGACGAACGATGACATCTGGCCCAGCGTTCTGGCGGTAGTGGGTTACATTACAGCTATTTTATATTTTCAGAATATTCTGAGGTTTTTTGGACATCTAGTGTTGGTAGGAACACTATGGTGCTACTCTTTATTGGACACTTTTGTGGAGAATTCGATCAAGGAAAAACCTACCCTTGATGACATTGTTCACATTATTACTTGCGTGAACGCCAAGGCCGACCTTTTGCTATCCCCTATTGCAGTGTTGACGGGCAACGATGTGAAAAGGCTGCTGTTCACGACCATTTTCCTCTCGCCATTATATGTGATTATCACCTTATTCATATTCCCGCCGCGCCGTCTACTATTGTTTAGCGGCGTATATTTGTTGACGTACCATTCTTCCTGGTCGCGGGTGAGTCGAAAGCTGCTATGGAAATTCAAGATTGTGAGGCTCCTCATCTTCTACATTACTGGGTTAGACTTGAGTGGAATCAACAAGAATCAGGGCATTTTCGCGGCAGTGCAAAACAAAGTCAACAAGCTGTCGTCAAAGAAGGGCAACACCGAGGATGGCAAACCTATTAGATTCACGTATGTGCTGTATGAGAATCAGCGGCGCTGGTTGGGCATTGGATGGACCTCCAATATGTTGAGTTATGAAAGAGCGCCGTGGTCGGACGAGTTTATAAATGAGGCTCCATCCCCAGAGCAATTCAAATTGCCTGAAGAAAACATGGGGATGACTTGGAGATGGGTTGATAGGACATGGAGACTCGACATGACTAATGATGGCGCTATTCAATTACCTAGTACACGTCCCAGAACCACGGCGCAACCAAACTCCGACGATGGATTCATCTACTACGACAATACCTGGAAGAAGCCTTCTACTGAGGATTCTTTCTCGAAGTATACAAGGCGGAGAAGATGGATACGTACTGCAGAGCTGTTGAGGAGCGACGCGTTCGATATTAATGGCTTGGGAAGTACTACTAGCTCCCCCGATGTTGCAGCTCAAACTGTTGAGGTGTCTGGAGAAACGAATGCCAAGACGGAAGGAGTGGAGCCACCATCAACAATTCTTGAGAACGTAAAAGAACTAGAGTCTTTCAGACGGAAGGTTTCATTCAATGATCAAAACGACATCCACATTATTCCACCTGCGAAAGAAGCTGACTACAAGAAAACGCCCCATTCCGCGGTTGCCGACGATGAAGACAACGGGAGCGAATTTCTGGCAAAGGCAGGGCCCGAGCCAGAGTATTCGACACTTCCAAATGCCCATGACGGGCTCAAAGAGTCGACAACGCACATGCCTGACACGGAATCTGAGACCAAAAAAGATGTATAAGATATAGGCTGTATAGGCGGTAAACAAAGGTGCGACGAGAGAGAGAGAGCGACGAAGCGCCATATGCGGTAGAATAATGCCCCAGCCCCCGTAGGACAAAAGATCCATAATTGACCCCTGAGCTGTGACTCGCACCTCGACTCAACGCACTCACTTATTCGCTCTCGCGACTTGCATTCAACATCTTAGCCCGTCCTCACAGCATACAAACTACGGTAGGGGTGCTTCCCACCCCTCATCAATTCACAAATGCACTGAGTTTCGATTAAAAATATACTTGAAACACGTATTCTTTTAAAGTTACTATAAAAGCTTCCCAAAGCCTAGACCGCAGTCCCAGCTTACAACTTGTTCACCTTCAAAGTAGGAGGCAAAGACTGGATCAACTTCTTGGCCTTACCAGCGTCGTTGACGATCAAAGTATACAGGTATCTGGACCCTCTGACCTTGAACTTGGTTTGTCTGAAAGCCTTACCGGACTTGTTCAACTTCTTGTTGATCTTGACGGTGGCAGTTTTCACGTCGGCTCTTCTAGCCAATTCCAAGAATTCCTTGATGTCAGTAATTTCTCTGGCCATTGCGTCCTATTATTTCACTGGATGATCGTATCTAGCAAACCTGAAATCCACAAATCCTCCAATTTCTATAGTGCCTTCTATTTTGACAAATTACATCTCACCAACTTCCTCCAGTTCCAGGACATCGAGGACCAACGGTCATGTGGCCCTGTTTGCGTGTGTGCGTGGCGTCTCTTCAGTGAGTAGGACGGGTTAATTTTTCACTCATTCTGATGAAATTGAAATTTTTTCAAAAATTTGTTAAATCGAAAAAAAAATTGTATGGGCATCGCGATGTAAAATTGCAGGCAGGAAACAGTCACAACACGTCCTCCATTTCAATTTCGTCTTCACCGTCTTGATTGAGATTGTCCGGGTCGTTGTTGGGATCGTTGCCGTCGTTGCCGTTCTCGTCTTCGTTGTAGTCGTCATCTTTGGCCAATTCCCCAAGCCTGGCGGCTCTTTCGGCCTCTTTGAGCCGTTTGTATTCGTTCTTGAGCGTGTATTTGAGCGCGTAGGGACCCTTTTTCACCAGGATGGCCACTTGGTCCAAACACTCCTTCAGGTAGACCTCGGGCTGTTTAGTGCGCTCCTTGAGACCCTTCAAAGACCAGTAGTCGTACTCGTCGAAGAGCTTGAACAAATAGTCCAAAAGCTCCTTCTTGGGCATCCGGATCGCGCGAACATTGTTCTTAGCCTTTTCACGACCGACCTTCAAGAAATTGGAATTGTCGGAGCGCATGGACATCCCGGCGTGGCTCATTGTGACCCCTGGGGTTTGGTCCAGAACTGTCACTGTGGGCTTGTGGACGTTCCGCACTATCTGGCGTCGCTGCTCGACAATCTTGTGGTAGTGGGGGTCGGACATCGACGGGATTGCATGGCACTCGTGACACACAGTTCCCACCACGGACGTCTTCTTGGGAATGGTTTTCACGTAAGGGATGTACCGGTCGCGGCCATCACGATCGGTCATGACCCGATTCTGGAATCGCCGTTTATTGTTGCGCCGCTTCATCTGCTGCTGTTTCTTGCGCAGCTCTTCTTCACGTTCCTGACGTCTCAAATACGCCTGTTTCTGTTTCTCTGGGTCTGCGGCCAACTCGCGTTCGCGTTGCTGGTACTTCTTCAGATTCTGCTCTGTGAAGACATATTCGTTTTCCACCAGCTTCTTAGTCAAATCCAGATCATACGTGTGTGGAATTTCACTGTTCTCCTCGGTTTGGTTCAAAATCATCTGGATAGTTTGGCTGTCATTGTTGATCCGAATTTTGCCCAGTTCTTGACCATTTAGATTGGACTTGTGTCTCCATTTCTCTGCCAGAAATTTCGGCAGCCTCACTAGCCACACTTGGCGCTCACTGTTCTTCAAATCCAGGTCAAGGGACTCTTCATAAATTCGTGTTTCGTTGTCCTCAATATCGTTACCATCGAACACTTCCTCATCTTGCGACAGATATTCATCTCCTGATTCGTTCTCGGTAGTCTTAGCAGCAGCTGGTGGTGTTGTACTCATTGTGAAGCCCCGTATGTGCTTCGTTTTGATCTCCTAAAACTGCTTGAAGTTTATTCAACACAGATTACCACTTTCCTGAAATTGTAGTAAAGGTCATCACTAAAATATTATTGACAGAGCACAGTATCAAATGTGTATATAGAGAGATCCACAGAATGGATTTGAGTAGCTTGCTGAAGGCTGAGATTGCAAAGAAACAACAGCAGCTTCAGAAAGGTATCAAAGAAGCTTCAGCTGTTGCCAACAATAGTCTCGCGGCGGTAAAAGCAGCGTCAACGACTGCTTGTGACAACGAGAAAGAAGAGACAGCAGATGACGAGGATATCAATCACTCACTAGATAATCCTATTCGCGAAGTAACAGCTCCAGAGAATACGCTTCTCGATGCGGAACGGCTGCGGACGCGGCCAGAACGTATTGCTCGGATTCGCGATGAGGACGAAAAGATGGACACCGCAATTGGCGCGAGTTGCATCGGAGACAAGAACCAAGAACCACATCTGGCAATCAAGTGCAATCTATATATTCACCATCTGCTTCGACAGTGGGAAGACACAGGCTACAAGCCCGAACTAATTTTGGAGACGAAGAAATCGTTGTTACCACTGCTGGTAAAGCTGCGAAAGCGAAAACTCTCGTCTGAGTTTGTGACTTCGTTGTCTACTATTCTGTACCATATCCAGCAGGCCCAATTCTCACTTGCCACCCAATCCTACATGAAACTAAGCATCGGGAACGTAGCCTGGCCCATCGGTGTGACCTCAGTTGGCATTCACGCTAGAAGCGCCCAAGAACGAATCCAGGGCAAAGACAAGATCGCCAATGTGATGCTAGACGAGCCTACGCGGTTGTGGATCACGAGCATCAAACGGTTGATATCATTTAGTGAACTTTTGGAGCGCCGTAAGAAGTCACAGTGCTAAGAAGAGCGATTTTTGCTACCCTTTCGTTGAAACCGGAACAGCACGAACTGACTTGATCTGTGGTGAAATCATTATACCAGTGTTTGATAGATCATGACTTCACTCATTCAGGGCTTTGTTGAAAGTCTGGGGCAGGACTATGCCACTGACAAGTGGAACGGTTATGCAGAGGCGAGATTTCAACCTACTAAAGGCATGTACGGTTCGTAGCTGCGAGAAGCGCAGGCGTCAATGGCGGTCTGTTACTAACATTTTTATCGTGTAGATCCATTTTACGAAAAGATGCCCAACGGTAAGAAGAAGCGGCGGAAGCTGCCAGATTTCTGCTCCCAAAAGGAGAAGAAAGCTTGGAAGAAGTTACAAAATAGAGCTTGGAAAGACGATAGGTGTTTGTGCGGCTGTCTGTGGGTAAATTGGGGACTTGGGTTGGCCCCCCTGCTGTCTATAATCCCAACGATTGGCCCAATCATCATGTACTGGGTTCATTCTAAGCTTATATCAATGGCCGACAAAGAACTCGCATTGCCGCCAGAAATGTTAGCCAAAATGCATGGCAATATCGTTTTGGATCTTCTGATATCTTTGCCACCGCTTCTTGGCACTCTTTTGGCGTGGATGAATGCATGTTCCACCAGGAATTGTGCGATGATTTACAATCATATTGCCAAACAAGCCACTAAAAGTTACAATCGCCAGGCTCAGCAAAGTGCATATAAACATGTGCAGGCTCCCCAAAGGTCAGCTCCACTGGCGGCATCAGATCTGCAAGAAAAACCAGTGATGGTGACCGACCTGAATAATCAAGGGCAGCGAACTCCGGCACGGAAACCTCCACCTGCTGTGCAGACGGCCAATCGAGGCTATTGAGTCAATGGCCAGTTATGGCTCCATACAAGGAAAGCTCAAAATCCATCACGTCGTGGTTGTAAAAGGGAAGCTAAACGACAACTACCAACCATCTTGATTGACGAAAATAGGTGATCACTTTTATAGTCAATAAGTACCCAAGATCAGAACAGAAATACTCGAAAATAACATGACTAGCGAACGAAACAGGCTGTGGATTGATGGATGTTTCGATTTCACACATCATGGCCATTCCGGAGCTATCTTGCAGGCTAGAAGATTAATCCCAGCAGACACAAGCTGTGGAACTTTATTATGCGGAGTTCATAATGACGACGAAATCTACTTCAATAAAGGTGGTAGACCAGTCATGAACGAGAATGAAAGGTATGAGCATACTCTTAGTAATCGCTGGTGCGGGGAGCTCATCAAGAACGCACCGTATGTCACACAGCCAGACGTGTTGGATGCGCACCATTGCAGATACGTGGTTCACGGTGATGATATAACAACCGACGCCAACGGCGAGGACTGCTATCAACAAATGAAAGATATGGGACGATTCCTAGTGGTGAAGAGAACTGAGGGTGTGAGCACTACGGATATTATCCACCGAATTTTGACGGGGCAAACAATGGACAAAGACTCTAGAATATGCCAAGATAATGAGGATGTGATGGCAAGGTTTGCAACAGGGTCTGATGGCCATTCGCCATGGTGTCATGTATTTGCAAAACAGGTCTCAAAAGAGACCGCAGTGGTTTGTGGCGGATATGACTTGGATCTGGAAAACATGATTTACGTCGAGGGAGATTTTGATTTATTTCACATCGGACACATAGAGCAATTGGCACTGCTGAAAGAGATGCATGGACCTGAATCGCGTTTAATTGTGGGAATTTCAACTACAGGAGACTGTTTTATGACCCAATTAGAACGGGTACTGAGCGTACTGAGCTGTAAGTATGTGGATGCGGTGGTTGTCGAGCCAGAGAGCAAGCCCGCAGTGAAAGAAGTGTGGACACTGGACGACCCAAGATTGAAGAACGGACAGTTTGGTTACCTCGATAAATCTGTGATAGTGAACAGGATTCAGGCAGAAAGATCCCACTACGTTGCTCGCAACATCAAAAAGGGCATGAGCGGCTACACCTAAACCCTGCGTCGAAGTTTCGAAAGCGCCCGGAAAATGACGTGCACTGAAATTGAGGGCTCGAGACCAAGACGTTTAGTTAGTTTTGTAGAAACGTTATAGAACGAAGTGGAGTGTGAATCGTACGCGATCAATCAATGGTTTTTCATGGGTTCAAAGCGTTATAAGATTACATATTAGATCGGCACTGCTAAAAGGGCTCACTGTCAGTGCGGTCGAAAAACCACGACACTCCGGGGTTCACTGCACACAAGGCTGAGCGCTTAAGCCCAAGAGCCAGACACCGTACGCTAATCATCTCTCATCATTCGTCATGCATTCGTTACTGAACGGTATATACATGTATAAACTTGTAAATGCGGCAGGCCACGCTTCATTCGTGGTTCTGCTGAACCTGGCCAAGCTTGCTTTCGTGCACTTGAGAGTTCGACCCGCGTCTCTCCTTGTGGAACACTGGGGGGACTTCCCCGGACTCGATCAGATCCTGGATTTCGTCACCCGGTTTACCCCAGTTGCCCTTGCCAGATCCATGTTTCTTGACGCCGTTAGGAGCTGCGCCGTAGTAGCCGTTGTGTGTGAAGTAGTGCGATTCGGCTCTGTCTTCGTGAATTGTCCACTTGTTGGTTCTGGTCATGATGTATAGATTTTAATTGATTTAGAGTTGGTAAAGATGCTAAGCACTGATTGAAAGTGATAGACTGGTACTGGTTCAAGTTTAAAATAACGCGTACGTCTACTACCACTGGAGTTGTGTGGTCTTTATATACTTCTTTTTCGCCAGTCCGAGTGACTCACATTCAAACGACCAAGCGATCAAACGACTACGATATTGAATGACTCCAACAATTTCTACATCCGGGTTTAGTTTGCATTGTGGTGTGTTGTAGGGTGCTTTCTTTCTTTCTTTCCCGGTATCCTAGCTTTTGCCCCCTATGACCTAGACAAAAACCCCCTGGGTGTCTTTTTTCCGGAGGTCCAGAATTAAAAGTTGGGCAAGCGGATGTGGAAGTGTTTAGAATTTAAAAGTAAATATGGCTGATATGGCTGATATGAACGAATGTTGATAGTAGTGGTGTGATAGGATGAGCTGAGAGGGTGAGTGCAGTTAGTAAGTAGTTTGTAGAGAGTTTGAGTTCAAAGATAATAAGATACAAGATCACGTGCGCGACAACGAAAAGCGGGTTGTGAGACAGCAAGATGAATAGCAATGAGAGTGAGCTGGTGGGTGTGGGTGAGTGTGGGTGCGCGGTACGTGCCGGTATGTTGTGTAGCTGTAGGAGGGGCAAGTATTCGAGAACAATATATCACTATACACGGACGTGTTTGGGTAAACGAACGGCAAACGACGGCAATGTCAATGCGAACCCAGCACTGCGAAGCTCTGCATTTTGTCGAACGATAGTCTCTGATACAGAAGCATCAATTAGGAAGCAGAATCGTACCCGTACTGCTATTTCAATGACATAGAGCATTTATGCATTCACAGAGCTTGCATTTCGACCAGTGTAATTATACAGAGCGTCTGTAGATCTATAGAACTCTTGCAATACCGGAATGGTCCGAAAAGGCTGCAAGTAAGCGGGGTTTTGTCGGACTGTCCCCAGCGTCACACTAGTATCAAGTGACATTAATCCTCCTACACACTATATACGAAAACGAGCTCTACCCGCATGCGTCCTTCCGTGCCGATCTCAAGTCAGTGGTCGTGGGTTTACACGCACTAGATACCGTCGCCCTTTATTCACAAGCAGCGATATTCATAGCTAGTGTCTGCGCGCCTCTCCACATGCAGTCTTACCACGGTTTGTGCCGTCCGCATACAAGTGTACTGAAGAGAAAAGACAAATAAAGACAGCTCGGCGCCGCTTCATGGGCATCTTATGATTTTCTTCATTTTGTAGATGTGAAATGTTATGACAGTGTATGCCTACAGATTATCAATAAAAATAAGTTCGAACTCCACAGTACGCTGCAAGTTTGCACAGCCTATTTGGAACAAGAATCTTGAGCTCTGTTCGGCCGCAGTATCCTACGATACTCTCGGCCTCGATCATTTAGATGACGGCGGCGTACAGAATGACAAACAGTAATCACGATGATCGAGGCGAGTGCCATTAGGAGGAACCGGTAACAAACTGGAGTCACCTACAGCTGCTAACCTACGATGCCTTGTGTCATCGGCTTTCCCGACGTTGAGCTCAGTTTCCAGAAACTAGGGAATTCTTCCCGGAAGTCCCGGGTTTCATTTATTCTGCGACTGAAGCTTGCGTGCATTCCTGTGCTCTTCCCAAAGGGTATTGAGCTAACCGTTTGAGCCATTAGAAACTCTAGTAGCTTAAAATCTCAAAATATTCATCTATCCGATGCGTCCGTAGTGATATGAAGATATTCATGGTTAAGCCGGCCGGCTTAGCCTTTTTGTAATAATATCAATCGTCTTGATCCTGTGATATCAAAACTTGAAGTTATCTGTAAATGATTCAAATCCTATAGCAGCTCGGAAAAGCCGATCTAGAAAATCAGTTATAAAAGGAGCTAAGTGAGTCTAAGGTATCTGAGTAGAATCATTAGTCTATTCCAACATCATCAAAACACTAGAATCAACAGAGTCCTAGCGTTTTCCAAAGCAAATAGAGAATACATCAATCTATTTGTTACATCCCCTAAATTTTATTCGACAGAAACTCTCAAGAAACACAATGACCGAATCTGTATCCCAAAAAGCCGTTTGCGTATACTGTGGGTCGTCTTTCGGTAAGGACCCACAATTCTCAGAGGAAGCCCGCAAGCTGGGCAAATTGTTGCACGCAATGGAGTGGAAACTCGTGTATGGTGGTGGTACCACTGGGTTGATGGGCGAAATCGCCAAGGCTACTATGGGCCCAGAAGCCGATGGTTCTGTGCACGGTATCATTCCAAATGCATTGGTATCTAGAGAACGCACCGAAGATAGCCCTGCCGACAAGGTTTCGGTTTCGTCTTTCAACGACGAAATCAAGAAATCTGTGGAAAACCACAATGGTCTCACACCTCTGAGCCGCGAGTACGGTGTCACTACCATTGTTCCTGATATGCACACCCGTAAGCGGATGATGGCTACCGAAAGCGATGCGTTCGTGGCTATGCCAGGTGGATATGGTACTTTGGAAGAGATTATGGAGTGCATCACGTGGTCACAACTAGGAATCCACAAGAAACCTGTGGTTTTATTCAACACCGACGGATTCTTCGACGGGTTATTGCAATTCATCCAGCACGCCATCAAGAGTGGCTTCATCAGCGAGAAGAACGGTAAAATAATCCAAGTTGCCACAACCGCCGAGGAAGTCATCGAGAAGATTCAAAAATATCAAGTTCCTGAAGGCCGTTTTACTTTGAACTGGGACGACGAAAAGACCATTGCGAACTAAATTGATCAATGAAAATTGGCATACGACCTCTCATCTTCCACGCTAGAAACTTCTAGCAACTTCAACTTTACCATTTTTATAAACATGCATCAACGACGCCATAATGCAGAGAACTCATTGGCTGAGAAAAATAGGCAACTTCAAAGCGTTTTACAAAATTAACAATTTATTCTTATCTGAAATAGCACATTAAATAGCTTAATATACACACATTCGGAAGCAACTAGCCCTTAGAGCCCTCAAGGTAGGCCGCGTCACGTAACTTTGATCGTAGCAATTCGAAACACTTTGAAGGCTTGAATGCAAATCTCATAGAGTGTGGAAACATAGAAATATCAGGAAGCTTGATCAGAGCCAATAGAAAGTGTAGGGTATTGCTTGTGATTTGAAACTGTAATAAATTAGATGGCATTAAGACAAAGATTGTTATACTGGCTGAAAAATCGCAAGCGGGCTCGAGTAGTTGATTAGTGCATTAATACAAAGGAATAGTCAGGTGATGCAGACGTGATCCATCGCGCATACCTATGATTGCATCCAGTCGAGGCTGTTGAAAACGGTGCCCAGTGACACCCAGTTAAGACTGTTTCATGTGCGTGCTTGTATGAATACCGATGGGGGGATCCTATTCTTTAGATGTAGACACGTTAAATCTCTGTGCTATTGCTCGATAGTGTCAATTGCATGATGAAGAACTGTGACAGACTAGTACAACATGATATCATCAAGATTAGGTCGGCTGATGGATTATTCGATGCATCTTCTCGAACTTAGGAGAAGCATCAGACCATGCTTTAAAGTGATCTGAATATCGACTGTATTTACGCTGTTTTAGTATTGCTGTGTCCTGAGGATGAAGCATTAAATAACCCGGCAGAGCGTTTCTCGTTAGCCACGCAAATCATTATATAAATACCGGCAATCCGTCGAGATCCTGACTGTTACATCCAGAACAGCCATGAGAAATAAATAGAATCCCAGATCTTGATACACATTATCTTACAATCTAAAATAGTTATCAACCACCAGAAGTAACTACAAAGGTCAGCATCATTTGTACCATTATTGGATTTTTAATTGCTGCTCGATTTACGTTGACTCAATATCTTTGAGCTAATTCGATATTAGAGCATTGTTCACTGTAAACTCATAAACTATTAAGGCATGCCGTTAGTAGTTGGTCTTTCAGGGTGTGTTGATTTAGTTTGGATCTGAAACTCTGTTTATTTCTCAATAGTCTTTCTAGAATCAAGGATTTCTGAATCTTGACATAGACTATACGCATCGGGATTAGTAAGGAGAAGTGTTCCAGAACGATACTTGAAGCATTTGTCGGATTTTATACCACTTCAGTATAGCATGAAGTGATATTGGAGATGTTGTGATTATCCGATACTACAGGATTAGTAGCACCGCGATGTAACAGCTGTAAAACAGCAGCTAATCGTACCAGTAAAAGGTGTAACGAAATTATTAATAAGTTGCCGTGATATATTGTAAAATATATTATTATTACAACACCACGAAAAGTTTGTTCAATTGGATTGATAGGACAGGCACATCCGCTCGATAAAGAAATGTATGAATAGTGGTATTTTCGAGAAGATCACGGAGATATTCAGCCAGCAAACGCTTATTTTGCTGTAAAGAGGTGTCCAGCCATGTCCACTGAAAGCAAATTAGAAGGCTTGAATTGGTCGATAGAGATGAATCTCAGCAATGCGATTACTGTATTTAGGCACATCTGCGTCAGTATCGGCTGTTAGGTTTATCCATCGAATGGTGTAACTGGTCGATAGTTATGTAAAAACTGGCCGAGCGTGAATATATCTTTACTTAGTTTAGGATGATTATACGACTTAGTTTATGAAACAGGGGTTGATAAATATATTGGGTAATAACCAATGAGTCACCAGTCGGTTTTCAGACCACTTTAAGGTACCGCCTGGTACATGTCTCTAGTTGGGGGACATGTATCGAGTAATTTATCGACCGATCATGTTTGATCATATCACGTTGTGCTATTCCGTCATAGTTATGCAGTTAACGTTACCTAGCAATGGCACAGGGATCTTGGCATAAGTGGTATGAGACACCCGGCAAAGGGACAGCCACGGGAGTAACATCTGGATTTAGGCAAGGACATGGGGCTTCGAATGGCAGCTGACCTTAGGGGTTATTTCTATTTGCCGATTATATGATAGTCATGACAAGTAAAGACGAATTGTATGATAATTTATTGAAGCATCTACAAGAAAAATCCGAAACTAAAGTCGTTGCGGAAGGAATCCCAGAAAATGACGGATTCGCCAGATACGACAAGTTAGGCTTAGAAATAAAATACCAAAAAATTTGATAGAATGCTAATAGGAATGGAGAAGACCATCATTGGAAACTCCCAAAATTAGGAATGCCATTGCAGGGCAAGAGAGAGAGAGAGTATTTGTGCCGGGATATCCGGGTCACGCATTAGATTTATCTAACACAGAACTAAACTTGTCCAAAGAAAAGTCAAATAACAGATTTAGTCACTTGCAAAAGATTGTGGCATTACTATGATATATTACTCACAAGTGCACATATTATGTGAACGTCCTTGCACAAAATACGTTGGTTGCGTGCCCAGAAGGGTTTGACTTAGCGTACAATACTTCTGGAACAACAAACATAAAAGACTGGCATGGATCAGATCATCAAATTACCAAGGTATCAGGGGATAGATGAAAAAAATTTGTACCTCATGCTATAAATCACATCTTGGATATTTCTACAAGGACATTTCATGCCGGCTAGATCATTCAGACCTACAACTAGCGGTGTGTCATCAACAGAGGCGGAATTAAAAATGCTTCGTTCCGTTCAGTTCCCAAATTTGAGAGTTTACAAGAAATAGCAGCAGAACTGGGACTCGAATCGCATGCCACTATATTCAGCGATAGCCAAACATTGATATCATCGATCACAAAGACCAATGTTTCCAAGTTCAGGAATACGTTCTTTGGCAATAAGGTATTTGGCCTTAGACAAGAATACGAGAAGGTGATAAGAACTCAGCAGATGATGATTTGGCTATTGAGGCACATCTGCCTCAGTGGTTATTAACTTGCTGAACAGGTCATAATTCGTTCATGATGTTTTTAGCGGAATCCAGGATTTTACTGATTCCCTCGGATCGGAGGATAACTCGTCGAGTGGAGTAACTGGTCGGTATGTATATAAAACTCGGCTGAGCATGAAAGCTAAGATAGCGTCATTTGCACGGTGAAGAGCCATGAAATACTAGTGCGAAGTGATGTCGGCCGATGAACTCGATGCATCCCCTAACGACTTAAATGACCAGTTCGGCAAGTTCACCATACGGACGCAGACGTGGCTGTATTTAGAGTCTCATATCGGAGCTAGGACGCGAACTGAATCGACCAGCGAGCTAATAACCACTGACGCAGATGTGTCTCTATTTAGAGTCTCGTATTGGAGCTAGATCGACCAGCGAGCTAATAACCACTGACGCAGACGTGGCTGTATTTAGAGTCTCGTATTGGAGCTAAATCGACCGGCGAGCTAATAACCACTGGCGCAGATGTGCCTCTGTTTAGAGTCTCATATTGGAGCTAAATCGACCAGCGAGCTAATAAGCTATGTGCCTCTATTTAGAGTCTCATATCGGAGCTAGATCGACCGGCGAGCTAATAACCACTGGCGCAGATGTGCCTCTATTTAGAGTCTCATATTGGAGCTAAATCGACCAGCGAGCTAATAAGCTATGTGCCACTATTCAGAGTCTCATATCGGAGCTAAATCGACCGGCGAGCTAATAACCACTGGCGCAGATATATCTCGATTTGAAAAGCCACGACGACATGAATGACACAGTAGTAAGAAGTGATAACAAAACAAGAGCGATGGCGCGGGCCCCAGGTGGTCAAGACTACTGAAACAAGCGCGTCGAGATACAAGGCGCGTGTGTTCTCCCAGCAAAGTGACAAAAACGCAGCGAGGGACCGGGACCTACGACCCACGGCCGTTTCCTGTTTGTTCATCGACATGGTCTTCCTGCCACAAGTTCCCCTGCCTCAAAGGCTCCTCCCCAACGCCACGGACTTGGTGGTATCTATCCCGACCACATTCCCCCGAGTGCAGCGAAAATCCTGCACACGCACCGAAGGGAACCAACCCACCCGCCGAGGGGAGGGAGCCGCCCTCCCGTTTCTCCAACGCTCTCGGCCCACATTCCCGAGCGGGTGTGACTTCGCTCTCCCACTAGCCGGGATTCTTCCTCGGATGACGTCAGCTGCCATCTTACCATCCGCTGCTCTCGCACATTCTTTGGGGCTTTTGCGTTTTCTTTTTTTAACTTTTTCCGCTTGACAGGAATGCGTTCATGAACGGGGCAAGGAACCCAAAATTATTTACGAGCAACCCAGTTTTTTAATTGGGAGTGGACGAGCCCTACGTACTACGCAGCGCCAGCGGGTGCCAATGGTGCCCGCGGTGCCCACTACTACATCACTCGTTCTACGCCTCGTTTCCTTGCTTCGGTTCCTACACTACACCCACCGTTGTTTCCCGCTCGTTTTTCCAGCCGTTTCTCAGCCGTTTCTCAGCCGGTTCTCTGCTTCCCGGTTCGGTGGTCTGTTTGCGCTTGACAGAAAAAAAAAAAAAAAAAATAAAATATGACGGCATCCACCTGTCTATCAATCGCTTTTTGAGTCAACTCACCGCTTCTTCGATTTTTTCTGTCATGCAATGAACAAACTTCTAACAGCGTCACCGATAAAAGTGATGATTCCAAGCGAATCGCACACTCAACAGGCTCTCAACAGTCGCTTGACGAGTCTCACACACACACACCCGGTATGCCACTACGTAGAGGTGTGCAAATCGCCAGTGGTGAAGCCGAAAATGGGCCGAACAAGTGACGCACGTTCTCTCGATACGCGTAGCCTAGCTTTAGCTTAGCTTAGAAATAGACTGGAATACTGTAGCGTAAGCACCGGTGCGTAAGCACCGGTGCGTAAGCACCGGTGCGTAAGCCGTTGTCATTGCATGAGCCTTACTACCCGGTGGAAGGCTGGGAAGTCAGGTATGGAACAAAATTTTCAGCGCATCACAGAAGCGTAGACCAACACTCACAGCAGCTTTAATAGCCATACAAAGGACTGGTTATGGGAAGCAAGGAAGGGGAAAGGAAAAAAAAAGAGATGTAGGAAGTTTTGGGCTTCGAAAAAAAGAGCCAGGAGCCGTTCCAGTTCCAGTTAGTTTCCCGACCAACCGCGGATCTTAGCGACGTTCCGAATCGCCAACTCGCGGGGCGCCAACGCACAGAATCAGAACTCAGCAAAAAGTGGTTTCGCTTTGCGCAAAGGAAACGACGAGGCTGGAAAGACGATACAGACGTTGACTGACAGCCGTGTGTGTTTCGCAGCATCGTTGTCGTGAGAAAAAGAATCCCACACACCTCTCATCCACTCTTCTCGCGCCCGACACCACCCACATGGACAAACACACCAAAAAGGGCCCGTGGTCGCCCAGCGAGGACCAGGCGCTGCTGACGCTGGTCCACGAGCTGGGCCCGCAGAACTGGGTTCGCATTGCCGCCTCTCTCGAGCATCGCTCGCCCAAGCAGTGTCGCGAGCGCTACCACCAGAACCTCAAGCCGTCGCTCAACAAAATGCCCATATCCGACGACGAGGGCGCCATTATAGAAGACCTCGTCAACCGGCTGGGCAAAAAATGGGCCGAGATCGCAAGATTGCTGAACAACGGCCGCAGTGACAACGCCATCAAAAACTGGTGGAATGGCGGCGCCAACAAGCGCAGACGGGCCTTGTCACCCATAGCGGGCGCCGGTCGCGCTTCTGCCGCCAACAACACGCCTTCAAACGTGGTAGGTCCCTTGCCGTCCTCCTCATCCTCCTCCTCATCCTCGTCTTCTGGACCCGTTTTTCTCAACGCGCCTTCCTCCAACGATCAATGGGCTTCTGCTTCTGCTTCTGCTTCTGCTTCTGCTTCTGCTTCTGCTCCTGCGCCTGCGCCTGCTCCTGCTTCTGCTTCTACTTCCTCCAACCCACTGCCGCCGGTCTCCTACATACAGCATCAAATGTACGCGGTGCCACACCCATCCGTGCCAACCGCGTCCACCAACCCAGGCCTCCATATACCTCCTCCATTCCACGCCCAACACCTTTACTATGGTTCTGCGCCTTCTCTAATGAAGCGTCCTACCCTTTCACAACTTCCGCAGTCACAATCGCATTCTCTGCCGCATGTCATCCCACATCCACATCCACATCCACAAGCGCTTCCGATCACGCATGCGGTACCGCATTCACTCTCCTATCAGTTCTCACACTCTAGAAGTCAATCAGAATTGCCATCGCTGGGTTCGACGGTATTACCACGCTCCCGAAAAGCTTCTGTTTCTGCCGAAAGCACAATCGCAGGCTCAAGACCGAACTCTTCCGGCCATTCGCGTCGATCTTCCTTGGCGTATTTGGACGGTATTGGTGGTAGTCATAAGCGTCAAAACTCAAGCCAAATAGGCTCGCCCATGACTTGGAGTCGACGTGTCAGCGCCGTCTCCATAGGGCTTTCCTTAAGCAACAGTTCCAGTACCAGCAGTATGGTCTCATCCAATCAAACATCAACACTGGGACCCATCGTAGCGGGCGGTCTGCCGTTAAATCAGGTGAGCATGCCCGGGTCGTCAGCTTCGAACCAAAACGCACTGTCGTCGCCAAGTTTGGCAAGCGTCGCACCTAACAGCAGCAGCAGTAGCGAGCTTTTCAATCCGGACTTCAAGTTCGGTGACCATCTAACGAGACATACGACTACCATTCTTCCGAGGCCCTCGCCTCAGGAAAGTTCTTTAAGAGATCAAGAAAATTTACCGTTGCCCACTAAGGTGTCGTCCAGCCGCCCAGAGCAGCCACGCGTCAAATTGCATGATCTGCTCAATGATACGGATACTGACTACAAATCAAATGATAAAAAGATTTCTTAACGTACCGGAGAAGCATCAGAATCAAACGCTTCAACAAATTAATGTTTTTACTTCATGACGTACGTCAATGCTGTGCCGCACCCAAAACAGCACAGCACTACGCACGAGCACGTACATAATACTTTTTAATGAACTATAGGACTTGGGAGATAACAGGCCATCATCGCCGCTTTACTGCACCGTTAAATGTCGGTTTCGAACCAGTTTTCAAAATTTTGTATTTCGATAACGTTAATATTATAATTGTTGGGCGCTATGGAATATATGCACGCCGTGTACCATTGCAGTAGATTCTTGACCTCAAAACCAGCAATGCGAACTACTTGTTCCCAAAAATGCTACACTTTATCACTACCATCGCTGAGATAAGAATTTTGCAAGAGTTGACTGCCGTCGAATAGCCTCAAACCGGGAATAATAATACATGCAAGAAAGAAGAACACCATCAGCGTACAATCTCAATGACTCACAATATGGGAAAACTCTAAATAATTGACAAAAGTCTCAAGATTTCGAGCTAAGCACTTTTTTTTGGCAGATCACAGATGAACGGACAATCCTTGGACTGTTGTAAAGCTGCTAAAAGATGTTAGCATGAAGGTCTAGCCGAGTGGTAGACATGGCTAACACTTTTCTTGCACCGCTAATAACATGCATTGTAGCTTTGCTTAATCGAAATTTACTTTACTCTCGCCCTTATTAATTTAGTACAAGCGCTAAGAAAGCGTTATGATAAAATTTTTGGAAAATTTAAAGCATCGCCGTTTCTAATATTCTTGCAAGGCGTCTAAAATACAGCTAAATGTCCGGTTCTGAGGACACCAAACCTCTTTCCGATGCCACGCAGAAGTTGAAGAAGACTGGATATACAAATCCTGCTTTCAAAGCCATGGGAATCCCCACTCTACGCCTACCTTCGCGCAATTGGATGATATTTTGGACAGTATTGACGGTGTCAGTTTCAGGAATCGTTTACGACAAACAGCAACAGAAAAAGATTACCAAGAAATGGTGCACACTAGTAGAGCCGCTTTCAAAAGAAAAGCTGGCTGTCAATGAACGCCCCAGAAAAATTACGGTTTTCGTTGCACCTCCTCCCAGCGACTACCTTGACACCAGTATGACTATCTGGAAACGTTACGTGAAGCCGGTACTTTTTTCCAGTGGTGTCGATTACGAGATATTCACAGAAGAAAGCCAGGGTTTGATCCGGGTGGAGGTGGCTGAGAGGATACGAGAGCTCAGGCGAGAGTTGATCAAACACGATGCTGAATTAAAGTGGTTAGAAGCTGAGGGTAAGATCTGGAATAAATTTAAGAAAGCAATCACTCAAGGCGTAAGTCGTTTAAGATCAGCTGAAGAGTTAGATTCAGAGAAAGAAAAGATTTTGGCGCTAAAGTATAAAACAGACTTTGATTACAAGAATTTACTTGGGGTCTACCGTGAGAATAAAAATCGCAACCTGAAAATTGTCAGTCAAGATTCTCTCGTTACTGATCCTTCGATGTCGGGAGGTGTCATCTGTATTGGTCGTGGTGCTTACAAGGAATATATAGATGGTCTACATGAGGGATTTTTGGGCCCATTGGATCCTCCACAAACTCAAAAGTCCGGAGCAACCGAAAATCAGGAAACAGAAGCACAAACTATCAATCCACCTGCGAAGGAACAAAGCAGCGAGCAGGAGAACTCGGCTGAGCATGTTGAAGAACCAGGCGCGACAGAAGAGCAAGCCGCAACTGAAACAAGTGAAGAGGCTCCAGAAAAGCCTAAGCCACTACCTAAACCATATATCACTGCAGCAGAGTACGCTAGCGCAAAAATTCCAAGCGAACTAGCCTCATCTGATATAATTCGGGAGGTAGAATCGCAAATCCCAGCGCTATTTCACCAGCCTATTTTAGTCCTTCCAATGCCCCACCTGGTGGGTTTCCTGAACATTCCTGAACGTATTTATCGCTTTTACAGGAAAAGATATGTGGCCGATGCATTTTGCCGGGCCACTGCTAGCTGTGTCCTACAGAAAGTTAGACCATTCGAACCAACAATGGACCTAGACCTCGCAAAACTCGAAGAAAACGATTGGCCCAAGAAATGGGTCCAGCAGGGCAAAGAGAGAAACAGCGAATGGGTACGAGAGCTACAAGGAGACGAGAGAGTGCTAACTAAACTGAGGGTTTTCGAACCATCAATGATTGACGACGAAGAGAATTGACAAGAGTAATTGAACCTGTAAATAATACGAACATCGTAAGATTTCATACAAGAGATTGTACCGAGCGCAAAGTAAATAGTCAGCTACGCGCTAAGTAGTTATCTGTGGCCAAAAATGCGCTATCTGATATGTTGTGTTTGCGCGTGTGCTGTGTTCATCATCTGCATATACAAGTAATATCAAGAAAAATAAAATTGAGGGCGAAGTATAAGCAGACATATACCGAAAAGTGGGACCCATATACGATGAGTCTCTTCTTCAAATCTCCAATTGATATTGAAATTCTGCTAGATGGCGAGGAGTCACGAAAGCATGTTGAGATCGCCAATTCCTCGAATAACCCCACCGCCAGAACATTGAAGGATCGATACCCTGTATATGAAGACGGAGAAAGTGTTAGTGGGATAGTCACTCTAAGAGTCAAGGAAGGGAAGAAGTTGGAACATTTAGGCGTCAAAGTCAGCCTTATCGGAAGTGTCGACATCACTAAATCCACCTCTGAGGGTAAGAAGCGACCCGTAGAGACCTTTTTGACTTTGAGCGCTGACCTCTGCCCTCATGGAGAACTGGTTCACTCTCAAAACTTCCCATTCAACTTCAAAGACGTGGAAAAACGCTACGAAGCATACAGGGGTAAAAACGTTGATGTTACATACTACGTCAAAGTTACCGTTTTTCGCAAGTCTACCGATATCGTGAAACACAAAAGGTTCTGGTGTTTGTTGTACCACCCGGACCCGACCCCACCTACGGTGGCCAATCCTTCCGACGAGAGAAAGCCGGTGAAGCTTGATATAGGAATCGAGAACTGTTTGCACATCGAGTTCGAATACTCCAAATCTCAGTTTTCCCTTAAAGATGTGATAGTTGGCAGAATCTACTTTCTTTTAACCAGATTAAAAGTTAAGCACATGGAGCTTAGCGTCATTACCCGTGAAACATGCGGAATGGAACCTGTTCAGCTTTTAGACTCCACGTCAATTCGCTACGAAATTATGGACGGGTCTCCTGTAAAGGGGGAAACAATTCCGATTAGGTTATTCTTGGGTGGATACGATTTGACTCCCAGTAGCACATTTAACTTTTTCAACATCAAAAACTATCTGAGTCTTGTCATTATTGATGAAGATGGCAGACGATATTTCAAGCAGTCAGAGATTACACTTTACAGGAAACGTAACTAATAGGAGAAGTGACTACGGTATAGTAGCTGGGTAAGTAGGGGCTCAATTTTTGTGAGCAAGGCTGCTCATACATTATCATGCACTGACTTCTAGACAAGACTTTTTTTTTTGACTGAAGCTAAATAACGGTGAGCCCATATCAAAACAGGATGTAGTGCGCATTTCACACAAGTGATCATCACGGCGGTAATAGAGCTTGAAGGTCTCTATAAAATTTGGATTTTGTTTATTATTTTTTCACATCAGAGGCGATTCACCTCGACAAGATTACAAACTTCGCGCACAGGTATCTCTGGCGAAGGATGCCATTGTTCGTAAAACGCCATCGAGATGATTTGCTTTGCTTTCCAATTAGATATATTCGTTTTACCACTTTTCCTTCGTCCTTTGTCCGTCTTACATTGAAGTGCTTTAATCCAGATTATATAAGCCCGATCTACCGTATTGGGAATATGATAAACATCAACGATTATCAACAACCCTGGAGTAAAAGAACGTCCGAAGACTTCAAGAGAAGCTTTTACTATGTTAAAGGATTCATTGAACTGGTCTTTGCTTGGCATTACGCTTTCTTTGTTAGTCGAGTAACTCCTCTAGCGCTATCCCGATATTACACGATGCCCAGAAAGAGGCCGCGTAATGGCTGCTTGCAGGTTCTTCAAGGGTGCGGAACGATCTCAAGTTTTGTTGGTGGATCGCTAGCGATTGTTATGTTGTGCAAAAGTCAAAATCAGCCGTGTTTTAATAAGCCTGCACTGATCGTCCTGACTAGTGGACTTTTTGCCAACGGCCTGTCCCAACTCGCCCTTGCCATCACAGAGCTGGAATCGCTGGGGCTACTTTTGATCGTGCCACAGCTGCTCTGTTTGGGGTCTGCTATTTGGTACGTCAAACATCTTCTGGAATGCCTCCCGAATTCCAAGCTTTCTTCGCTTGAGTTACATCTGGCGATCGCGCATCTTGGATTACTTTTGACTGCTATGCTTGTCAGCACTTTCCCATTATCTCTCGGCTGCGCTAAAAAAGATGAACAGGAAGGCGAAGCCGCGATTATGGACATGGAGAATTCCACCCCTGATCTAAGTATTGACGAACACGAACATTCCATGCACAGAACTGTAGCCATGAAAAACTCAGCTCAAACGCTCACCCCCGATCACGATTACTCAACGAATGTTAAAGCACAACAAAATTGGATGAACAAATACCCGTCCACCTATTCTAGTTCTGATTGTGTGTCAACAAGCTCAGTACTCAAGCATAACTTAGAACTGCAATCTGCCCAAATGCCGGCGCACATTCAAGATACCAACCCAAATGCATCAACTACAATAAAGTCTCCTTCTAAAACACCAAAAAAGTCTAAAATCGATGTTTTCGCCAGGATGAGATCTAAAAGTAAATCAAGCAAGAGCTCGCCAGAACAGAATGTTGTTCACATGGCGGATGATCTTCAAGCGCGTTACGTAACAAGACTGTCTACCATCCACGATAGCTCTAAAAGTTTCATCAACCTTGCGCATAATTCACTTCACTTAGACAACTGCTCTAAGAGCGACCGTTCAAGTTTTGTATTCAATGATGTACAGAGACATGATAAAGGCACCGAGGTAGCTCTCATGATGGAAAAGAATGCCGTGCACAGAATAAATAGTGCTCTTCTGCCACCGTCTCTGCGAGTCTGCGACAGCAGTGCTAGAGTAGGATCTGAGTTTAGTGGAAGCGAGTGTACGCCATTATCAAGCGCAGCTGATGATGACGACGGTGATATATTGATGGAAAACGATCTAGAAGATATCCCACATATCCCCAGTGGTCAAGTGTATAGTGGTAAAGAGATGGATTATGACGATACCCCCAAGATGATGAAGAATGTCAGTCTAGAGGACTGGCAAATAAATGGCCGTAAGTTAATACAAAACGAGCACAGCCTAATCGGAGAGAATCCAAAGTTGTTACCAAGCTTCGAATTTAAACCTAAGGTCGAGCTACGATCTAACGAGGATTTCAGTTTTCCGCTTGCGAAACCAACTCTCAATTTCGAAAGTGTGCTCGAGCACGAGCATGCCGATGCTGTTAGCGAACTAGACACTCTACTCAAACAAAAAGATATGGACGTGGTCAAAAACGGCGATGACACAGATTTCATGGTAAACGTACTAAAACATGAAGATTCATCCGCCCGTTTGAGAAGGTTATCAAAGGACCTGAGTCTCAATAGCGGACCCCACTCGCCTACTAAGTCAATGACTTCCATTCTGTCTGGCTCTGCTGCAGGAAGTATGAAATCTCCATATAAACTTGGTACGGTTTTCACGAATGCTGGTAATTCGTGTGCTCCGAACCAAGCGGGTCATTCAAGATCAAACTCGCAGATAACGACACTATTCCATTCGGTTGCCAATTATAGTGGAATAAACCATTCTACTCAGTCATCCCCGACTAAGAGCAGTAGACTGCGAAGAATGGGCAAAAAAGTATCATTGTCGAACATATCTTTCAAGCATGATGAGGAGGACGGTTCACACGGACATGCAAGGGGCAACAGCATCGATTTCAGCTACTTACACACCCTACAAAATAAGCATTCGCCGTCCAAATCTGTGTCGTCAATATCGAGACGCAATAGTGCCATTTTACCAGGTGATCGAAATTTACGAACGGTGAGCGCACTCTTTTCGTTGGCAAGCGATAGAGATCCCAATAAGTCTTGCAATAATTTAGATCGAACACTGCAATATGTCGATACCGGTGTCGACCAGGCAGACCAAGGAAGCGCCTTAAGTTCTTCATCAAGAATAAGTGACACCAATTACCCACAAGCTGTCATCGGAGAGTACGACCGAGAAAAGTGGACTACCATTCAACGTTTATCGTTGAACGAGAATGCCGCTGACGAGTGAACAATACTGGAAGCGGCATCCTGAGCGCATTGAATATAATATATTATCAAACATTAGTTCATAGAACGTTGATTAGAGTGAAGAGCAATGTAGCAACTGAAACTTTTCTTCTAGTTCAAATGTGTCGAACGATGAGCTCTTCGAGCTAAGTCAAGAAAGCTATTTCTTGACAGATTGGGTTTCTTTTTATCAGGTCAGCTTAAAACTGTCATAATGTGTATTCGCTAGAACATACTCTATACCAATTCTAAGGCCTATACGATACATTATGCTACCGGAACTTCGACTTAACGCTCATTTTGGTGGGATTGTTGCGGCTCGTGTTGAAGTATCTATTAATGATTTTGGGCAGAGTATCTTGATAAGCTCACGTCAATTTTCGTTACAATGCCAACTTCACTTTTGTTTTGTTGATTGGATCTCATCTTTGTATTATAAACAAGTTATCATGCTAGTATGCAAACGTCTTACAAGGCAGTTCGTAACATAAAGGCCAATCCCTTGAGATAGCTTTGCAATCATGCCTTGCAGAAACCGGCTTGCCTTTTTCCCTTCAACGGAGTCTCCAGCTTACCACATGGAATTAAAACGGGGACTGTTCACTGGAGTTAACCAATTCAATTGACAAACGTCCTCTCACTATCCGGTACCCACTCATACACAACTTAGCGGGCCTGCTCTGTCACTTTATGATAATATATCAAGACGTTGGCGGCACTAGAAATGTGGTCCAGAAATCTGTGCCAGTTTAGAAAAAAGTGATTTATGTACCAGAAAATTTTCCATATAATGAGTGGGAGAGATGAGATGCGATGAGGTCCATCACTATGTATAGAATTACGATCAAGTTCAGTTAAAGCTCTAAACAAGTCAACTCCGTTGTTTATAATGGATAATGACGATCTGTTTGACGTCTTCGATGAAAAGTCAGCCGAGCTGCCTAACTTGGAACAGGCTTCAACTGAAACTGAAAACAATAAGGTTGTAAATCCCAGTGCAAATGACATAGACGGCAATGAGCATAAGAAACGTCCTCTCGACCGTTCAGACGATGATGCATCTAATCCGGAAGCTGTTGAGGAGACTTTGCCAACGAGGGAAGTTGCCAAAAGGGCTAAGGGCGGTAAAAAATTACTGGATAAGAAGAAAAAGTCTGACGTTATTCCTGTTGTGGCAGACTCCTTTGAGCAAGAAGCGTCTCGTGAAGTCAAAGCTTCTAATGGATTAAGTGCTGATGATGCAGCCCAGATCGAGGAGGACGGAAAAGTCAAGCTTTCGCATCAAGTGAGACATCAAGTTGCGCTTCCTCCTCACTACAATTATTTACCAATTGGTGAGCATAAACGTCAGAACGAAGCAAGGACATACCCCTTCACTTTGGATCCTTTTCAGGACACTGCCATTTCTTGCATAGATAGAGGAGAATCTGTTTTGGTCTCGGCGCATACTTCCGCTGGTAAAACAGTGGTGGCAGAATATGCAATTGCACAGTCAATGAGAGAAAAACAGAGAGTCATTTACACTTCTCCGATCAAAGCTTTATCAAATCAAAAGTACAGAGAACTGCTGGCTGATTTTGGCGATGTTGGTCTTATGACTGGTGATATCACTATTAATCCTGATGCTGGGTGTTTAGTCATGACCACCGAAATCTTAAGAAGTATGCTTTACAGAGGTAGCGAAGTTATGAGAGAAGTAGCTTGGGTTGTGTTCGATGAAGTGCACTATATGAGAGACAAAGAGCGGGGTGTGGTTTGGGAAGAAACTATTATCTTGCTACCGGATAAGGTCAGATACGTCTTCTTGTCCGCAACAATTCCGAACGCAATGGAGTTCGCAGAGTGGATTTGTAAAATACACTCTCAACCTTGTCACATTGTTTACACCGATTTTCGTCCGACGCCATTACAACATTATTTGTTTCCGGCTCATGGTGATGGTATTCATCTGGTTGTGGACGAGAAGAGCACTTTTAGGGAGGAAAATTTTCAGAAGGCGATGGCGTCCATCAGCAACCAAATAGGTGACAGCTCGGGCTCCTCTAATTCAAGGGGGAAGAAGGGCCAAACTTTCAAAGGAGGTGCGTCAAAAGGTGACTCCAAAGGTGACATTTATAAGATCGTCAGAATGATTTGGAAGAAAAAATACAATCCTGTTATTGTGTTTTCTTTCAGCAAAAGAGATTGTGAAGAGCTAGCTTTGAAAATGTCCAAACTTGATTTCAACTCAGAGGATGAGAAAGAAGCCCTTACAAAAATCTTTACTAATGCCATTGATTTACTTCCGGAAGTTGACCGAGAATTACCCCAAATCAAACATATTTTGCCACTTTTAAGAAGAGGTATTGGTATTCATCACTCTGGGCTGCTTCCGATTTTGAAAGAGGTGATCGAAATTTTGTTTCAAGAAGGGTTTCTAAAAGTATTATTTGCAACAGAAACATTTTCTATTGGGCTAAATATGCCTGCAAAGACTGTTGTATTTACCAGTGTTAGAAAGTGGGACGGGAAACAATTTCGCTGGGTCTCTGGGGGAGAATACATTCAGATGTCAGGACGTGCCGGTCGTCGTGGTTTAGACGACCGTGGTATAGTTATCATGATGATTGATGAGAAAATGGAGCCTCAAGTAGCCAAAGGCATGGTGAAAGGCCAGGCAGATAGGCTGGATTCTGCATTTCACCTGGGATACAACATGATTTTGAATCTAATGAGAGTAGAAGGAATTTCTCCCGAGTTTATGTTGGAACATTCTTTCTTTCAGTTTCAGAATGTCACATCTGTTCCGATTATGGAGAAGAAGCTAAACGAGTTGACACAAAAATCTGAACTAATTGTTATAGAAGACGAACAAAATATCAAGGACTATTACGAAATTCAAAAGACCTTGGATGGATACGCTAATGATATTTGCCATATTCTTACACACCCCGCCAACATTTTGAGCTTTCTTCAGCCCGGAAGACTCTTAGAGGTGAACGTCGGCGGCAAATATGACTACGGATGGGCGGCAGTGGTTGACTTCGCCAAGCGTACTAATAAACGTGATCCCTCCGCCACTTACACCGATCATGAATCATATATCGTCAATGTTGTTGTCAATACGATGTACGCTGATGCCCCAGTAAACCTAATAAAGCCATTTAACCCAAGCTTTCCAGAGGGCATTAGGCCTGCTAGAGCCGGCGAAAAATCAATATCTGCCATTCTTCCCATCACATTAGCTTCGATTAGAAATGTGGGAAACTTGAGACTCTACATGCCAAACGATATTCGCGCAAGTAGCCAACGGGACGTCGTGGGCAAGTCTTTAAAAGAAGTAAAAAGAAGGTTCCCGGAAGCCGTACCACTTATTGATCCTGTGAAAAACATGAAAATTGAAGACGAAGAGTTTAAGAAACTATTGCAAAAGAGCGAAGTCTTGAAGTCTAAGCAGGCCTCAAATCCATTAGCTGGCTCGGTCAAACTTGACGACCTTTACAGCAAATACAGCGAAAAGGTTACCGTGAACAACGAAATAAAGCAATTGACAAGGCAAATCAACGAAGCTCAAGCTGTAATTCAGCTAGATGACCTACGCCGTCGTAAAAGAGTTCTTCGTCGCCTTGCTTTCTCCACGCAGAATGATGTTATAGAACTAAAAGGAAGAGTCGCTTGCGAAATTTCCAGTGGTGATGAGTTGCTCCTTACAGAACTTATTTTTAATGGTAATTTTAACGACTTGACCCCTGAGCAATGCGCTGCTTTACTGTCCTGTTTCGCGTTCCAAGAACGGTGCAAAGAAGCTCCAAGACTAAAACCAGAATTAGCAGAACCTCTGAAGAATATGAGAGAAGTAGCTGCAAAAATTGCAAAAATAGTGAAAGACTCAAAGATTGAGATTGTCGAGAAGGATTACGTTGAAAGCTTTAGACATGAACTCATGGAGGTAGTTTTCGAATGGTGTAAGGGTGCAACCTTCACTCAAATTTGTAAAATGACGGATGTTTATGAAGGTTCATTGATAAGAATGTTCAAACGCTTAGAAGAACTCATAAAAGAACTTGTAGACGTTGCAAATACTATTGGTAACGCAATGCTCAGGGAAAAAATGGAGGCCGCCTCGAAATTAATCCATAGAGATATCGTGTCTGCTGGTTCGTTGTACTTATGATAGACCTACCATTCATAAAGTCATATATAAAATATACGGTATGTTATTAGTTTATAAATAAACGTCTGCGACTTCAGCAAAAGAGCCGTGATCCTCTGATCCGGTTGTAATACCGCGATATGATTTTTTTATGGGATCTGCCCAAACGTTTAAAAAGTCATTCGGCAGAAGCAATAGATTCTCAAGTACTTCACGTCTGAGTTCGAACGTTTCTGGTTCCGTTATGCGTCCCGCTTTATCATCCACAACGTTGGACATGACCTTCGACAAGTTGTTGAGTAAGTAGTAAGCGGAGTAGTCATAGCTCGTGAGCTTCTGTAAGAGTACCATCTGCTCAATATACGGCATTTCAAGTATGCGATCAGCATTCAATTTTTCTTTTATGGTATTAAACGAACTTTCATTTGAGATTAGGTTTCTGAAGACAGCTAGATGAGAAGGGGTGACTCTGAGCATATCCATAATAGCTTTTCCTTGATTTTCAATTAAGTATGCCGGATTGACAAATTTCAAAAATTCTAGGAAATCTGGATTTGATGCGGTTATATGCAGATACTTCTCATCGAGGAGCCGAAAATATTCAGACTCTCGAAGTAGCGATATCTCTTTCACCAAGTTGAAAATGTATTTCCGACCATAATTCCAGGCCGTGAAATGTGTCTCTTGTTCCCTGTATAGCTTGCCATAAGTAGGTATTACTTCGTTTAAGATATGATTCAGTATCCTTGCTCCGGAATGCCCAGACTCATTCTTATTTCTAACAACTTCAAGTAGTCTGCTGTAATAATTAGTGATAGCAATGAATAAAAAGATGTCTCGGTCGATGCTCTCGATAATGTTTTTCCCACTAAATATGAAGAGTTTGTTGTTTAATTCGCCACTATTGGCATAAGGAAAAATGCTTTGCAAAAGCTCCAGAAGTCTAGCCGTACAGATAGGATCTGAGTTAGTTTTAGTGCGCATCAAAAGTACAGCATTATCACCTAAAATACGCCTTCTTATCAAAACATCACAACTAAGCTCTTTCAGAGCACTCTCGATTTCCGCAATAACGCCTACATCGGTTTTCGTATCAAACAGTTGGATTAATAGAAGATCTATAAGTCCTGAGCCGGCGAAAAGGCCTTTAGGGTCAGATCTTTGTATAACTCTGCATGCCAATTTGATCAGCGATGGCACATTACTGTTAAAGACATTCATAAGGTCCCCTACTTCAAATACACCCAAAATCTGGTCGAATGATACCATTCTTACAATCTGTCCAACCACATCAACAGCCATATCGTAATCCAACTCTGGGTATGAATCTTCGCTCATGATTTGTTTCATATTTGCCAAGAATTCAGTAACTTCTTGTCCGTGAAAACTAAGAGCAGTTGAAAATTGTAGTTGGGCTTCAGAAAGCAGCTCATTGAACTCCGCATAGTTTTTAGTGACTATACAGGTATTCAACCGCTTCAAGAGAACCTCATGGGTCGACATTTCGGTATCTTTCTGCATTTTCGAATAATTTGGATCGTAATTGGATATGTAAGAAGCAAATGGAATAAAAAATATGTAAATTTAACGCTCCATCGAACTATTTGAGTGCCGTTAATGGAAAACAAATTGCTGCCTAGGTCTAGGTTGGATTCGCTATATTCAGATTTCAGAAGGCTCAAAGACTTGAACCCTGAAGGATACGATGCCAATATCAGAAGTTGGAAACAGTTTCTGCTGAATGAAAATTTATACGAAAGGGTTTTACTTCGATGTGGCAGTGAACTCCTCAAGGAACTAACCGATTCACAAGTTGGGCAACCAAAAAGCCTAGATGTTGCTTTGGATGCGCTAATAGCGGAGGGGTCGCTAACCTCTATCGAAGACTTCAAACGTCACAAGCGGAACTTTATCCTGAATGCTCTTAGCAGGACTTTGAACAATTCTCTATTTCGCTTCGACAGTAGTAGAACAAGAATCTCCAAAGGACAAGAATATCTTCGAGATCATTCCTACGTGGTTGTGCCTACTGTTGAACGTAAATATACGCTTTTGGAAAAAGCTATTAAGAATTCTGTCTGCAAAAAGGCCGTTCGATACTCGGACTTGATCTTCACAAAGCGAGAATTCTGCCGAGTGATTGGAATGGAACATCAGTTAAGCAACTGGGAAGAATACGATGTAATGATGACGTATATGGAGCATCACAAGGGACTTATAAGCACGGACCTGAATACCGTCAAAGTTTGTAGTAAGGACGTGGCCACTCTGGTTTCCAAGTTTGGACCATGCACTATCACGGGAGATGACCGAAATATAGCATCTGTAAAAGAGGGAAGCTCGCGGCTCAGGAACCAAATTTCGAACCTCGAACATCGATTAGATGACTCTAAACAACTTTTGGTTAAAAGCATACAACAAAAGAAAACCAAAGATATACAAAAAATTCATTTGCGGACACAGAAGCTGCTTGAAAAGAATCTCAGTCTGGCTTGCAAAAATACGCAGAATTTAGAGCAGGTTTTGAACAATATTGAGCTCGCCATCGACAACGTTCACTTGAAGGACACTTTCGTACAATCTCAGGAGCTAATGAGTAGTGTGTCTGCTCAGTTGGGTGACATAGATGATATTGAAAAACTTGTAGACGAAATCAATGCCAACAGGTTGAAAAACGAGATGGTTGGAGATGTGCTTGGTAGCCAGCTAGGCGACCTGGCTGATTCAGATCTTGATGAAGAGCTTCAAAAAATTGGTCTTGAGCTAAATAACGATGAAACAGTGCTCAAGAAGCTCTCAGAGCTGCAAATTAACTCGGGCGCCAGAGACAAAACAGAACCTTCTGAAGACAAGCAGCATGCAGAATTAGCAAAAGATTCCCCAAAAAAGCAACCTATATTGTCGTCGGTATAAATAAATAATAGTAAATATTCTACTCAAACTCATCCTTTTTGTCCTCGAGTTTGACGCCGTTCCCATTAAAGGTTTTGCGGTCGGAGTCATCGTTGTTTTCATCATTCGTGTTCACAAACTGGAAAACATTTGGCGACACAGGTCTTGAGGGTAGGCTTAACTCTGACGGGTTGCGCGCTAGTTGGTGTTTAATGCGCGGGGAGTTCGCAGGAGATACATACCTTGACGACGCCAATGAAGCAGAATCGTCTAAATAGGGAAGAGCAGATTTTGAAGTTGGTCGACTCGCAATATCGTATTCAGGTTGCTTACCAGAATTCCACCACCCGGAGACTGAGTTAAACATTTTGCCGAGGAGGCCTGGTCCTTGTGCATCAATTACGCGTGGCCTTTTATTGTCGTTTTCAATAGCTTTTAATATGACTGCGGAGCGTGGCGTGAGCTGCAATTCACTGAGTGATTTCAATTCATCGGACTCAACAAAAGCCTCGCGCGGCATGCTTCTAAAAAACACGTAAGGCGCATCCCCGTCGTTTCTATTGGCGTCGACCCATTGTCTGACTGTATCTAACTTGGTCGAGGACGGAAATTGGTGCGTTATTGCATGTCCATTGAGAAGACGAATTTGGAGCGTACACGTTTTGGCCAGCAGATGCTCTGTATTCTTTATGTTATCATGAATGTTATCTAAGAGGTTAACAGGTACCTGTGGCCCTGAATCCAGATTAGTGCGTCTCTTGGCATTGAACTCTTCGCGGTCAGCCTTGACGAGCCGAATGATCCTTTCGCGCTCTGCCTGATCAATTTTTTTTTGTTTCAACATACTCTCTTGGTACATTTGCGCCGCTTTTTGAGCCGTTTGCTCTTTTAAAGTGGGACTTCTATGACCAAATTCAGCAATATCCCTATTGGTAGCAGGTATTTCGGGAGTGGCGGGAGGCACTTTGATGTTGAAGCATGCCATCAAAGTCGATCTATGATGGCCTGTGTCGTTACCATCTATTATCGCAGCAATCTTGCCCTCTACGATGCAACAAACACTAGGAATTGGCACTTTGGGACAAATTTGCTCAAAGTATTGAAAGTCGCCCGAGCCCGGCCGCAGTTTCAATGCTATACACTTGTTTTCCAAGGTTTGTCCTATATCATTACCAAACCAGTTTTCCAGCCAAGTGTCATCTTCCGCGGCGCAGTAAACGACCAGAGCTTTTTTCTCCCGAAGTGATTTGTCCACAGCGTCTTTCACAGAGTGCTCGAAGGTTAATCCGAGCTCTTTCATTCTAGTTTTTTAGATTCCTTTTACTATTTTCTCTAAGGTAAAGAGTTTACTAATTTATCATGTATTAAATTATGATAATCTTTAGCTAATAATAACGGAAACTATGTCCATCAGCTTTTCACAACGATCTCCACTTCCACGAATCAAACATTTGCTGCTTGGTGATACCATCGGTCAGGGCTCCTTTGCATTGTAAGTAAGGAATATTTCGGTAGCCTAATAGGTGGTTTTATTTGGCAATCATAAATGTCTTCCCTAGAATTGTCATAGTATATTAACCAAGAACGCAAAATTAGTGTCAAAAAGGCATGTTTGGATACAGATCCTAACACGGTAGTGGCGGTGAAGTTCGTGCACTTGCCAACGTGCGCCAAGCACGGTCTGACAGAAAAGAATGTTACAGAGGAGGTGATACTACAGTCTAAATGCAACGGGCATTTGAATGTTCTAAAAGTTATAGATTGCAATTTGACTCAAGATTTCTTGTGGATTGTTATGGAAATGGCCAGTGGAGGGGACCTTTTTGACAAAATTGAGCCTGATATCGGGGTGGACGTCGAGGTTGCACGCTTTTATTTTAAGCAACTGATTAATGTCTTAAGCTACTTACACGACGAGTGCGGTATAGCCCATCGAGACGTGAAACCAGAAAATATTCTACTTGACCAAAATGGGAACTTGAAGCTTGCAGATTTCGGTCTTGCTTCACAATATAAAAGAAAAGACGGCTCCAAAAGAGTTTGTTCCGATACACGCGGCAGTTTGCCCTACATGGCTCCTGAAATAGTGTATTCGCGAGGATACTACGCCGATTTGACCGATATCTGGTCATGCGGTATTCTGATTTTTGTGTTACTTACCGGCGAAACTCCTTGGGACCTGCCGAGCGATGAAGATATTCATTTCAGCGAGTTCTGGGCTAATAGTGGTAAATTGGCTGATGGACCATGGAAAAAAGTAGATCTGGCGCAGCTTAACCTCTTGCGCAAGATCTTACAGCCGGACCCTGCTCAGAGATCAACTTTGAAACAGCTAAAGTTGCACAGCTGGTACACTGCGCCCATAACATTTGCAGATGAACTAGGTATTTGTAAAGATCCTCAGGCACTGTCCCATAAATTGATGAGCAGGCTTCATATTTCGCTAAGTGACGAGGCCTATTCACAGAATGACGGTGTCCCTAACTATGGAGACCACGTTAAGCACATGTCAACGCAACCCCTTCAATCACATCCGGATGAGTTAGAGGAAGATTTTCTCGATAGTAATCACTGTGCTGCAAGCCAGTATGAGCTGACACACGAAACTTACGAAAATTATGCTTATTCTCAAGATATCAAATGGAGTCAGCATATCCAGAGGGATATGGCCACGCAGCAATTTTGTAGCACAAGCAAAAATGATACGTCCTTTGTCAATACTTCGAGATTGACAAAGTTTTACTCTACACAGGACATGGACGACATATTAAATACTCTGGAAAGTGCATTACAACGTTTGTGCATTCCTGTAAGATCAAATCTATACGAATCTTTTGTGAGTCTGAGTCATAATCATGCTTTGGATGAAGTGTCCCCACTTACAATTCAAGTTAACACATTGGATAGGAAAGGTTGGAATTTGTTGGGAAATATTTCACTGTTTAAGTGCGACGAGGGCCTCACGCTTTTATGCTTTAACAGAAGAAAGGGCGATCCGATAGAATGGAGAAGGCTTTTCAAAAGGATGAGCCTTCTATGTCGTGACCTTGTATATATACCTTAGCGTACATTTTTGAGGCAGTGGCTCATATGGGTCCACACTAAAGTTTCATACATGCATTCTTTTTTTGTTACAGTACATTCTGATCTGCTCGATTAGCTTCAGCGTCTGCCACGAATTTTAAAACAGCGTTTCTGAGGTAACCTTTTTGAGTGTCCGTCAACTGACTAAACTCACTTTTCCCAAATTGCTTGATAATTTTTACGATCATTCTTGTCTGTCTGTCTGTTCCAGAAACCTCAGTGTAAGCACCTGTCTCAACACAGGGCGAAGGCAATAAATTGATAGAGTTGGCGTGCGGCTTATTAATTTTACAATCTTGAACATCTTTGGCAAGGGTAGGAATAACGTTGTTGCAAACTTGCTGAGCCGGTTTTGGATATATTTGATTTTCTTTTGTCTTGCCTGACTTGAAGATTGGTATTTTCAGTTCGAGACCGGACATGCGCTCATCCAACGCATTACCAGCAGGATCCTGTGTCAACGAATCATGTAAATTATATGTATTGGAATTATGCTTCGCAACAAGTGACTCAAACAAGCCTGTTTGATCTTTCATTTCAAGGCCGTTACTCGTATCAAGGTTACCACAAGAATTCAATATGTTATCTCTACAGGATACCTTGTCTTTGTGTTGCGGTGCAGGAGTGACATCTTGTATGCTTTTAATCTCAGAGCGTTCCACCAATGAGCCATGCGCTTCCTTGATCGGGGAAATCTTGCAAGTCTCACTTTCGCTCTCCGTCCGTTTTTTCGCCATCGTCACACAATTATTTGGCGACTTATCGTCAGATATCGACGGCTCAGACGCGTTTCCCCTCACGCCTTGTGATGTACAATCAAACATATCATCACTGCGATTATCAGTTATCGCCTCTTTTTCAGAAGACAAGTGTACTTGGACGTTTGCTGATGGAGCGTTCGTTGGTAATCGTTCAAGCTTTTCGGTTACCGTGTTCTTGGTTGGACTCGAGGAGCAGTCAAGGTTGATGTCTTCAAGTTGAGGGTCGTGCCGACGCACCAGCGAGGATGAACAGCTTGTTTTTATATGTTGCTTATCGGTTGCACTGAAGTGGTGGGTCTGAACGTCCAAATCGCTGTCTCTCCGGTCAGGTTTAGTGCTGACAGGTATTGGATGAGTTGCTTGACACTTCGGAGAAGTTTCTAAGCTTTTTCTGCTTGACGAGGCCAATTCTTTGACCAAATTCTTGGTTTTCAGCGTAGAATTTGAACTACATGCAGGGATAGAGTGGAATTTGTACTGCCGGGAACATTTTTTTGGGTGAGGTAGATCATTCTCATTCTTCAATGCGGGCAGTTCGAAGAGGTTTGCCTCAATATTTTCCCGAATCTTTTTGATGCCCTCTGAATTGAAGTTCTGGGCCAAACAAAGAATGGAAAGCTGTTCGTAAACAAGGGATTCTTTTTTAGCAGGCAACATGCAGCAAAGCCTTCGCAGAGCAGGGCTTAGTGCTTTGTTGTCCTCGACTGCTATTATATTCAAAATCTTGGGCAGAACGTCCATCGCTCTACTCCTGTTCCCTCCAAGTCTTTCGCTGTTGCCTAGTAAGAACTCGGTTATTTCTTCTTTGCAGCTAACAATTATGCCAATCTTATCATAATCCATAGCTGCTTCTATAGCTTCAACGATAAAGGTTGACGAACTTTCGACCAGGCTTGTTTTGAAGTACTTCGACACCGATTCATTAGCTTCTCCAGCCTTATCCACAAGCATCACTAAAGTTCTTGCATTGATAATTCCTAATACGTGTGGCTCATTTTCTTGCCAGAATTCGGCTATATAGCTTGAGAACCCTGCAATGGCGAACATGCAAAGGGCTTCATTCAGTAAAGAGCGCTCCCTTTTCAGCAAGCAATCCTTAAGAACGCCTCTTTGCGATTTGCTGAGAACTATTTTAGATGAAACCAGCTCGTTGGGACATGATATAGCCATATTTTCGACGAATAGTCGGCAAGTTCGTATGCTTTGAAGGTCACCTAATTCCATAGCCCGACTTATGAAGCACAGCTTTAAGTGTTCACTTAACTCGCCGAAACATGTTGCTACGTGAGCAAGAGCATTTTTGGGGTATTCTGAGATAATAGGTTCCCACCATTCAAGCTTCAATTTTGATTTTTTGAAGTTTGCACTGCTCTCTAAAATCATCGAGCGCAGGACCAAAATTGAATAATCGTTGTAGTCCAGAATCTCGTGCAAATGTGAAGCTAATTGTGTGTGGCTTCTAACAGTAATGCCAAACTGCTCAACAAATTCCTGATCAATTTCAGGTGTATATGGACTTATTCGAAATTTTAGGTATTCAGACAATGTTTCTTTATCGCAATTGTTCATCAAACAGTGTTCCTCTGTACCTACATCGCGTTTAAGTTTATCGCATACTCTCATGACATTTTCTGCGATTTCTTTCTTAGGGATCTTATTAGCAATACAAAGTAGAGCCGAGAAGGCACTGTGAGACAACAACGGCGAGTGTATTTTGGAGCTCACGGAATTCGAGACGTAAGATACAACGGTTGTTTCATTGAAAGCCAGAAAATAGTTGTATACTTCCAGATCTGAGATGCCATTTCTTGTTTCGTCGATCACTGCTTTCAAAAGGTCAACGTAGCTGAACTTTTTTTTTTGCATAATTGATGAAATGACTTGTTGCATGCGTTTATTACTTTCACACGGTTTCCACATAAGGTGCTTGAATGTGAGCATACTAGAGCTTAAAGTTTGTGTTATCTTCTTCATGAAATCAGATAATGGAAGCAACAGCGACTCGGAAAAGGCGCGCAAACAGAGATCTTTTGTTACTTCAGAGACAAATGACTCTGGTGCCTTCTCGACATTGAGAGCGAGGAAATGAAACGAATTGTTGTCTGCGTCACTTTCAGGAGCATCTATCAATTCGATTGCATATTCCAAAAATTGCTGCCAGTACTTTTCGCATACTTGAGAGGGGAAGAGGAGAAAATCTTCCTCAACAACTCCTGCTGATGCGACAACTTTCAATGGGTTGTATTCTTTTTTACTAAGTCTTGCACTGTTTGGCGGCGGAAACAGGGCGTTGATAATCTGTAAACAGTATCCACGACAGCCCTTAAAAGAAACTTGAGAATCACCCAACAGCAAAGGTTTAACAATGTGGCTAAGATTGAAACTGAAAACTTTGGAATCATGATTGCAGAGCGCCATGTACAAAACACCTCGCAAAACGTAACATATTTGCTCCCAATCAGCTTTGTTTCTAGACTGTGCCTTAGCAAATGGTTTGAAGAGAGTATCTACGAGGACAAAACTTCTCTCGTCTGGGTCCCTCGCTATTTTACAGCATAAAACATAAGTTACTATTCTCCAAGATCGTAGTGCTAGGCCTCGTATATTCGCCTCGCTTGCTGCTTGGTATTTGAGATTCACTCTCAGCCAAGGGTTGATCGGGTTAGAGCACAACTTGTCAGTTTCAGTGTCGGAATTGAAAAGAAGCCCAACTAGTGCTAGCCAAAGGTCCATCGCTAATTTGGGTTCCTCCTTTTGGACCAGGTAATCTACACGCGTTAAAAGAAGCTCCTCGAAAGTGACTTTAGATTCCATGATTTCGTGGTATTTTTTTATTTTCTCATTGCCTCTAAATGAAGCTAGATGGTCAGATGCAGGCTGTTTGAGCACAATGAGAACACTTAGGTTATTACATTCCGTTAGGCATTTCTTGAGTAGATCCAGCAGTATAGAAACGCTGTTACTTGCGATCTTTGAAGAATAAAACTCCTCATCGATTAAAAGTCGCGAAAAGACCTCCGTTGGTAGCCAAGAATTGATGTTATCAAGCATAACATCTGGGTATTTCGCGAGAAAATTTTTTAGTAGAAGGAGCTTTTCGCATATTAGATTGGAACTGTCGATTTTTTTCATCTTTGGAATCGCTTTGATGATGGCTGTAACGTTCAACGCTGTCATTTTCTGTATACCGCATTGTTCCTCTCTGAGTAAGGCCAGTTGCGCTATTATCATAACTTTATTTGAATTCGGATGCTGCATGCTTTCAATGCAACAATGAACAACTTCATGTAGCGAAGACAGGAATAGCCTGTTTGTATCACAAGCCTTAATCAGTTTAAAGTTGGAAAATAAAGTGTTCAGAAAGCGAATTATCTGAACATATGTTCTAGATGCAAATGGGTCCTTCTTTAGGGAGCTAAGTAGAACAGCCTGAAATTCGATTAGTTGTGGAATGCATGTAGTTAAGATAAGATCAATATTGGAGATAACAATTTGTATTTTCTTGTCTTTGACCGCCGAATAAGTTTGGGATGTGTAAACTGGCATGATATTATTGAAAGTGGCATAGAACTCAAAGTATCTTTCCTTGGCTGCCGACGTCCCACTCGACATAAAGTACAGCCCTCCAGTTAATATAGCCTTGAATTCCGCGACGCTGTTGGTATCATATAGGCTGTGAACTTCCCCACAAACCCAGTAGTCAAGATTGAGTGGATTTAGCCTTACATGTGTGGAGGCGTCTAAAACAAGACGTTCTTCGTTGTATTTCCTAGATCCAGGCCTTGAACGCTGAGGGCTGCTTTTGAAGCGTACGGGTGAAACAGAAGGTTTGAGAATGGGTCTTGGTGGTCTAGCCTGGGATAGTGGACGCGGGCTGGAATTTAAAATGTCATTTAATGGCGAAGAGTCGATTCTGTCAGAAAACGCAACACTTTTTCTTAATGGTGATGAGCGCAGTTGCAGCGGTTCTGGTGACTCTGAAATGTGGTGGCTTACCGAGAGCTCTCTGTCCTTCTTTCTAGTTGGAGATGATACTACTGTAACTTCCCGATAAGGCTGCTTAGATGGTGCTGGCAGCCGAGAAGATCCTGAGATGGTCTGCAGCATCGAGGATAGCGCCCCATAATTGCTACTTCTAGAGCGCTTGTTTTGTTGTGACATGTGTTTCTCTAAAACATCCAGCGCCTTGGCACGCTTTTGAGAGTTTCCTGACGTGGGATCCATACTCTATTGCTGCATTCTTTGTCTGAATACTGTTAGTCCTGGATCATCTTGACGATGAGATCGCGTCAGAGATGTTTTGTTTATCTTGCCGCGTATTCAGAAATTACGTATATGGTGATGATGTGGATTTGTTGTTGGCCTCGTCAATACGAAGCCATTTCAATCGTTGACAAAGCTCAATGTGGTTCAGCTTAGATGTTTTCCCAGGTACTTTGCTTAATACGATGAGATCGATGCACTTTTTGTTGTATTTCTTTAGTATTTTAATTCCAGTATTTTTAATCATCAAGTGAATATTGAAAAACACCGGTTCTGTAAGAATATATGTGAAACAATGAATAGTTTTCACAAACAGGCAACCACCTTGCTCTCCGTGTGTAGTTCGTAAGTTAGGGTTTGTTACAAAATTGCGTAGTGCACATGGACAAGCCAGTATATGATGCAGAAGTTAAACTAGTGCTGTTGGGTGAATCGTCTGTGGGCAAGTCTGCGCTCGTGACGCGCTTTACGACTGGCAGCTTTTATCGCAACAATGCTACGATCGGAGCAGCATTCACTACCAAGTCAATATCGTGGGAGAATGAGTCTGGAGTGTGGAAAGTGAAGCTCGAGATTTGGGACACAGCAGGCCAAGAACGATACCGGTCGCTTGCGCCGATGTACTATCGGAAGACGGACGTAGCGATGGTAGTTTTCGACGTTACGGACGAAAGTACACAAAAGAAGGCTGACTCTTGGATTCAGGAGCTGCAAGGCTATATGCAAGACGAAGAGGCACCTAATATCGTTATTCAGGTTGTCGGTAACAAGATTGATCTTCTAGAAGCGCCTCTCGCCTCTGATACTGACTGGATCCCAGTGAGCGCCAAGACTGGATCGGGCGTAGCGCAACTCTTCGAGCGCGTGGCTAAGCAAGTCCCTGTTTCCAAGTTTACCGCCTCCGATTCTGCCACCTCTGCAGTTGTCGACCTAGCATCCGCACGACACAAGACCTTTACTTCTAATTGCAATTGTTAAGGCAAAATCAATACGTATACGCTTTAATACACATGATATTTTCGTTTTCCGTGCCTTTATAACTCGCCTGGAACGGGGAAGCTGCCGGCCCATTGCGATACCTCCTCGGCCAACGAGGCGACCTCGCGGCTCTCTTCACACAGTTGTCTAAAATTGGCTAATTTCGATCTGACGTCTTTCGCATCCGCTGGCTCGTGCGATTTCAAACCAATGGCTATTTTGGATGCTTTGTCAATATACTCGGCAACTCTAACAAATTCCTCGCGGCCAAATCCACGAGTAGTCATAGCTGGAGTACCCAGTCTCAAACCAGAGGGGAACAGAGCAGACTTGTCGCCTGGTACAGTGTTCTTGTTCGCTGCAATGTTAATCTTTTCTAAAACTGTCTCCAAGCGAGCTCCGTCGATACCAATGTTTGATAAATCAATCAAAACCAAATGAGTGTCGCTGCCACCAGAAACCAGCTCGAAACCACGTTTCTTTAACTCTTCGCTAAAGACACGAGCGTTATCCACAACAGACTCTTGATATAGCTTGAACTCCGGCGTAGCTGCTTGCTTCAATGCTACTGCGAGCGCAGAGATTGTATGATTGTGAGGTCCACCTTGGTGACCAGGGAAGACTGAAAAGTTGATCCGTTTGTCCAAATCATACATCACTTCTTTGCCCTTTTTCGTGACTTTTCTGACACCTTTTCTGTAAAATATCATCGACCCACGAGGTCCTCTCAGGGATTTATGAGTTGTAGTGGTGACAAGGTCTGAATAATCGAAAGGAGATGGAATGACGCCTGCAGCTACCAGCCCAGAAATGTGGGCCATGTCGCTCATCAAATAAGCGCCGCAAGCATCGGAGATTTCCTTGAAGCGCTTGTAATCTAGAAGTCTGGAGTAAGCAGAAGTCCCTGCAACTATGACTTTGGGTCTGAACAATTTGGAAGTTTGTGCCAAAGTGTCGTAATCAATCAACCCTGTTTGAACGTCGACGTGATACGGCATGGTTTGAAAATATTTGGAGACGTACGAAATCTTGGTTCCGCTAGCCAGTTGATAGCCGTGTGACAAGTGGCCACCGTGAGGCAAATCCAAGCCCATCAGGCGATCGTTCACATCCATGACTGCAGAGTAAGTATACAAGTTTGCTGGTGCTCCACTCAAAGCCTGGACGTTGACACCCCATTTTTCCGGGTCCAAACCGTAGAGTTCCAGCGCCCTTTTCTGGCAAAGAGATTCGGCTTGGTCGATAAACTGGTTACCGCCATAGTACCGTTCGCCTGGATAACCTTCAGAGTATTTGTTCTGCATCTCAGAGCCTAGCAAATCCATAACAGACTTAGAAGTGAAGTTTTCACTGGGAATTAGAGTCACCGAATGCTTTTGTCTGTGACGCTCTTTGGTTAAGATATCATGCATTTCAGGGTCCACTTCCTGCACATGCTTGGAAACCATGACCTGATTGGCGCTGGCCCCTGCCGTGGCATAAAGCCTTTGACAAAGAGCCAAGCTCTTGAATTGACGTGCAGCCATTCTCGAAAGCATGATCAACCGTTCTAAAACACTGACTAAGTGAGTTTTTTCTTGAAATGATGAACTTGGTGGTTGAGTTCCCGCACATCAAAATTATTTTTTCTAGGCGCTTTCAAAATAAGTAGCGGAATGATAAAATGGATCAAGAAAGGAAAAGCGTCTCCTCTCCAAACTTTATTCTATCCAATACCTTACGTATCTTCCACTAAGCCCGTCCTTAGAATGCGTCCATATGGCTTCTAAAATAGTGTGTCACTTGAAGCACAATAAATTTTATGCAACAAGCATCAAGTTTCATACACGTAGACAACCCGTGAGGACATTAAGGTTGGCCCATGCCTGCACTTGACGTTTTGCAATAAACTGCGTAGCAGAGAAGATGATGCTTAAACGCGATGTTCTTAGCATTGTTGGAGCCGCGGTCATAGACAATAGCGACGAAAACGAATGGAAGAACCTAGGACCTAGCTCGAGAGAACAAGTATGAAGGACCGCAAATGTCGATGATATTTGCACACATATGGGTGTAAAAAACTACGCATTATGTCCGTAAAACTGAAGAAGTGGTTTACGGTTGCGATTGATTCATTATGTCTTTTTTAAGCACAGATTATTCAACTATTTATGTAAGGTAAAAAGTCGCGGTATCATGTCATCCTTCGTCAAGAGAGAAGTGCCTAACAATGACAAGGTAAAAAGAAGTGATACTAAAATTAGCAAAAACTCCAAAAAAGAAGCTTGCACTCAGGTTCGAACTAAGGACCAACAGATTTGCAATCTGCTGCGCTACCACTGCGCCACACAAGCTTCTTGAAAAGTTAAATAATATAATTCACAATATATTCATTGACAATGAAGGTATTGGGTCGCGTCTTGTTATCTTAGCCATCACGACCATCAGGTATAAGGTATCCCGTGTGCTTGATTGTGGATGAGTAGGAGCTTGTTTAGATTTCATTTATCAATTGTTTCAGCCTTTACGCACTGTTTTAGATGTTCGCATTCTTGGATATTCCAATTTTCGATATAGCATTTGCGGGCTCCTATATCAATTTTGTGAGCCGCTGCTCCAAATCCCCTATGAACTTAAAGCACACCATGGGTCTCCGTATTCTAACGGTCACCTCTAAAAGTCGTGTGTTCTCGCACGCATACGTTTATTTGAAATTTAGTGACAGATCCAAAAAACGCAATCAATCACTAATAGTGTCAGCCAAGACATTTCTCAGTTTTTTTGACGTGCTTTGTTTGTCGCCGAGCGTTTGATAAAACCACACTCAGATCTCCACGAACGAGAACTACATTATCGTGGATGGATTAAGAGTTCTTATGTGACGCTGCGTATCATTTCGGGAATCCAGTTAAAAGTCTTGTATTACAATCATTTAATGGTTTCCTTCGGCCTGCGCAATTTCTTTCGTATGGAAATCTTACATAGATTTGGTCTCTACAGAACTCTGTCCATGATAAATGAGCCAATAGCCGCCGGCTCTGGTAATGAAGATCCCTTGCGAAAGTAGAACCATTTTATTAGTGCTCGTTGGTCTCAGTAGTGAGAGGTGAGTAATTGCTCATTTGAACATGCTCATCTATGTCTGAATGAGTTCCTTGGTAGGGAAACTGTGATGTTTTAGGTGGCAACGGAATCGCTCTAACTTCAACACGGAAAAAATCGCTCCTTAACCGCGTGTGGATTGACTGTGGCTAGCATTCGAGAGAGGCGCTAATTGAGCAAATAATATGTCATTTTAGGACGTTGGAATCGCGCCGTCGGAGACAGTTTTTTTATTTGAGGAAACAGATCTACTATGGTAATCTGATTTGGCTTCAGAAATGGTAACACAGCTTGTCATAGGTTTGGCCAGAGGTTTTGAAATTAAAAGAAGAATTGGTTACTGCAACTTCAGTGATGATACGGAAACCGATTGGCATCGAGCACGCAAGACTGCCAAGAAAAGCAAACCACAGAGATTTGATACTGTTCAACGCAAGCGTACGCGCGAACTAACTCTTGCCTCAAAACATCTTCGCGGCTTAGAAGCTAGTAAAGTAGAGAAGTCCAAGTAGAAAATGAGTTGAAAGGATTGTAATTACTCTTGGCTTTCAGAGGATGAGGTCTTTTTTTTTCACATTCTAACAATTCAGTTCGATTAGATGTTTGTCATTTTATTAAGATTAGGTTTAATCTCGGAATCGAAGAATTGGGAGAAGCCTCCAATCTTTGATTTCTGTGGCGCCTCAACATACTTGGGTCAAACAATTATCGCAGAGCTTGATTCTCGCGCAGCAAAATTTAACTATTCGCAATCACTCAAGCTTAGGAGCGGCTCGCTAAGTCAAGGCCTTGAATTCTTAATATAACCACGGATTCATGATCAAAACATACAGACGGCCATCTTTAGTCTATGACGATGATGACGAGCCCAAGGATGCAAGAAAGTTCAGAACCCCGAGCCAAGTCGTGGGTGCAACTTTAGACAATACAGATTTGGTGGCCTTAACAACTTCGTTTGATAGACAAATTACAGAAGGACACCCCATGTATTTCGATCAGAATGAAGGCCTAGATACAAGTCAGCGTGATGAATTCGACAGCGGCGCAGGGCCCCTACTCCAGACAAAGGGCTCGTCTCTCGATTGCGACAGGGGAGTAATTATTGAGACGGTTGAAAAATTGAGAACCGCCTATCTTCAAGAATCTGCTCAAAATGCAGCACTCAATCTCAAATACGACAAAGATGCTTGGTTTCTATATCCCAAGCCTTTGCCAAAGTTTTGGAAATTTGAGAAAGACAAACGGTTGCAAGACAGGCCAGCCGGAACCACCCTGAAAGGATATTTTGGCACAAGAGCCTCTGATGACGACGCCCGAGTTGCGGAAAAGGTCAAACTTCACTATACGGGTCAATTCTTTGAGCTTTCTCACTATACGCAGGAATTTAAAAAGTTCGTCAACCTTGAAGGAGCGTCATCTTCGTCAGTATTGCATCCTTACGATGATATTAAGGCTAGCATATTACCGATCTCCTCATTCGGGGAGCATTTTGAAAAGCTTGCAGGCTACATTGAATCTGAGGAATTCAACTTTCTGGCAGTCAAAAGAACAGAATACTTGCTGCATCGTTTCCATCTCTTCCAGCAGCTTCAAGGATGTGCCGAAGTGCGCGAAACGAGGCTGGTGCCTCATCGTGATTTTTACAACATTCGAAAGGTTGATCAAAATTACATACTCAGCGGTTGTTTCTCACAGCGACAGCTGAACGAATTTATCTGGGAGAAGTTGAATTTGGAACCCGACAGAATAATCTATAAGGATTTGCACGGGAATGAGTTCAAGTTACGACAGATTTTTTGTGATGGCGCAGATGCCAAATGTAACGAAGATGCGTCAATAGGGCTCAAGGCTGTCGACGATATTTTTTTGGACTGGTATCAAACAATTTACCTTTCGGGAATGCATCTCACAGGATCTCATTCGCTACAAGGCCAAAATTTGAAGTTTTACTTGATAGCTCAAACGTTCATGGAGTTTGATAATTACATTGCAGGCGAATATTTCGCTGAATTGGTTATCAAGTACGTAATCCAATCATTCGAAAAGAGTAAATATCAATTGGCGCAACTTTCTGTTGACTTCCAATTTACTGGCGATTGGTGGACGAAATTCTGCACTTGGGTGACAAAATGGAAACTTGTTTCTTACAACATTCGTTGGAACATTCGCTTTAGCAGAAACTACACTAAGCTTCACGATATAGGGCTTGTACGAAGTTTCCAGGACTATCTTGATTACATTTTCCAACCACTTTTTTCTTTCGAAGCACAACAGGACATGAAGTTGCAGTACGTTCTCTCAACCATTTGTTGCTTCGATGTTGTTGCGGATGAATCAGACGATTACCTTTGGAAATCTTTCAAAGATCCTCAATCAACGATCCCAGTTGAATGGTGCGCAACTGGAGACAATCCGCCTTTGGCATACTACACGTTTTACATCTACCAATATCTGAGAAGTCTTAACCAGGAGCGGAAGCGAAGGAAGCAGAATACAATCACCTTGCGAAACTATTGTCCAGCATCCAGAAGCAGGGTGTCACAGTTCCGCCAGGGTGTTAGCATCACGGAGCAACTTGAATCACTGATCTGCAACATTCTATTGTGTGGAGGAGGACTACTGCAGGCGGAACAGCTTTGGGACGCATCGCCCGCAATTCTTTACTTATACTATCTTTTTCAGATTCCAGTTGTTGTGTCGCCTTTGTCTTCTGTATCGTTAACCCGAGAACTCGGTCAGTCATCGCGGATTGAAAGGTCTCCTACGGTAAATAGAGATGTTACAGCACACTCGGCAAAAAGCTACACGGGAAATCCCTTCATGGATATGCATAAGATGGGTTTGAAGGTGATCCTGTCTAGCAGCTCTGTGCTATTCAACTGCTCGTACACCATGGAACCTATTATCGAAGAATACAGTGTGGCAGCGAGTATCCACCTTCTCAGTAGTGCCGACATGTGTGAGTTGGTACGTGATAGTGTACTAACAAGCGGATATGAAGGATTCTACAAAGCTCACTGGAACGGTATAGGCCTTACCAAAACTAGCTTTTTCAATGAGAAGATCGGTTGCACCGATTTATGGTATGATCTCGAGCTTGACACCTGTTATAAGCACAACGTCCCTACTACCCGGAGACTTTATCGCAGAGATTGCCTTATTCGTGAGTGGCATTTTGTTCGTGCTTGACTACTACTATACGTCTCTTGTTGTACTATCTTGACTGCAAGAAAAATGTGTCAAAGATAACCGAGCTTATTTAAACTTTTTCGAAGTCCGTTGGTTTTCGATAATGCCTATCATATTCTTGGCTTACAGACGGACTATATAAAAAGCTCTGCGTTTTCAAACCAAATATAAATGTAAGTGGATAAGACCAATGTCCGCGTTTCGCAGGTTACTGCAGAAGCTGGAGGTTGCCCCAGATGAACGGCCACTTTCGGTGCTAAGAAACCCTGACTTAGAGCCAATACCACATGCTAAGCGGCAGTGGGCTTTCTGGTCCTTTTTCGCCTACTATGGTCTACCTAATGTCTCCGCTGCCACCTTCAGTATTGGGTCGGCTCTACTTAGTCTGGGCCTCGATATCAAGCAGTCAATCGGCACGATTGTTGTTTGCAATATAGTGATTACGCTTTACACTATACTGAACTCCAACCCTGGGTTTAAGTACCACATTGGTTATACACTCGAGCAGCGCATGCTCTTCGGAATCTACGGCTCTGTGATTGGTATCATTATCCGGGTAGGCTTGTCGGTTGTCCTGTATGGCTATCTCTCGTGGCTGGGAGCGCTATGTTTGAACTTGATCTTCAGTTCCTGGTCTAAATCCTACATGAACATGAGAAATACATTTCCTGAGTCTGTGCCCATGACTACGCGCGATTGCATCTCATTTCTCATCTTTCAGTTAATTCAAATGCCCTTCAGCTTCATTAGGCCAAGGAAAATAAACGTAGCAGGAATTGTTTTCTGCTTCATGGCCATCTTTTCGGTCATCGGAATTTTGGCTTATACCGTCAGCGCAAATGGTGGACCGGGTCCACTTTACTATACAAGCCAAGAGCTCTCATCGAGCCAGCGTGCTTGGACGTGGTTACTTGCAATGACCGTGTGGTACAGTGGTATCTCTCCAGTAATAGCCAATCAGTCAGATTATTCTCGTTACGGCTCACACAAACTGAAAATGCATGCAGGTGTTGCAATTGGCGTCTGTTTGACCGGAACACTGGCACCTGTAGCAGGGATGTTCAGCGCCTCAGCAACTCAACAACTATACGGAGAGGCACTTTGGTTACCCACTGACATGGCATTGAAATGGCTTGAGGATAATTATTCGGCCAAGGCACGGTGTGCAGTATTCTTTATTGGTTTCAGTTTCACTGGTACACAGCTTGTCGTCAACTTGACTCAAAATGGGTATGCATGCGGCATGGATCTCGCGGGCATTTTTCCTAAATATATTAACATTACTCGCGGCACCTTATTTGTTCAGCTTATATCGTGGGTCGTACAGCCTTGGACTTTTTTCAACACATCTTCTGCATTCATAGACAGTATGACCTCGTTCGGTATTTTCACAACTCCGATTATGGCTATCAATGTGGTTGACTACTATATTGTACGGAAAACGCGAATTTCGATAGCGGACCTTTTCACTTTAGATCCTAATGGTGCATTTTGGTTCTATCATGGTTTTAATCTGAGAGCGATATTTGCGCTGCTCGTTGGTATCGCCTTAGGCTTGCCAGGCTTGATTTTTTCAGTTAACACGAAATTGAAACCAAACGCAGGTATGAACAATTTCTACAGTGGTTACACTTTCTTTACTGTAATCGTGTCCGGACTGACGTACTATATTCTGACCTTAATTTTCCCAATAAAGCAGCGTGTTGGCGTAACTGATGACAAGGACTATTTCAATGCCTTCAGCCTGACGGAATGCGAGAACCTGGGAATGGAGCCCTACACTGAAAAGATCAACTGCGAATACATCGACATGGAAAGAGGCAGAAATCGCACTTTATCAGGTAGCGCTCAACCACGTCTGAGTCTGCATTCAACACCTTCTGCACCTCAAGTCATACAATTAGAGGCGTCTAGCAAAAATGACTGATGTGGAGAAGTTAATTAATAAATACTAGGCATTCCAGCTTGGTTGTATGTCCCTTACATACTTAGAGTAGGTTTTCAATCTGTCTTCATCGCCAAATAGATTTTGTTCGTCATTATTCCCATGAAAAAAGAGTTTGAAGATGCTGGGTTTGATATCTTTGTCTCCTAAATCCATTGCAAGGTCTAATACACCAATGCTTCTTTGAAAGTACCATTTGTTTACCACGTTATCCTTCCTGCTCCTCCATACAAGCTCATCGGGGTATTTTTGAAACATTAAGTTGAAAATAATATCTGAGATTCCGAGAGATCCCTTCAAATGTGGCATTACCGCAAATTTATCGAGGTATGGAAAGCTTTCCTTTTCTGGGCCCTCGTAAGTGAGAATGGCTAAGCCTTCGTAGTCGCCAATGATTATAATGGATGCTATTCTACCGTTGATTCGATCTAAGTAATGCTTTAGATTGAGTGTTCGTCCAAAACTTTCATCGATTATGTGCTTAAGTTTCTTGAGATCCACTTTCGTCGAGGTGCTTGCGGTATCAATCTCGTTTTCTGCACCCGGAAACCCGATTGAGTTGGTTCGCGTAAGTGTCTTATAATCAAAAACCTTAATGTTAACCCCCCTCTTAACCACCGTTGTCATCAAGGCTGCATCCTTTGAATTGCCCACTGGTTCATCGCAAGCCGGCAATTCGTACCATGAAGATCTAGGAAGTGAATCCTTTTTGAATCTGGGGAGCGAGGAGGAGATCAAGGAACGATCAGTCAACACATTGTATAGAAGTGGATTGTTTTTGGTCAAATTTGATGCAGCATCGAGGTCTGTGATAAGTCCGGTTGCAGATGGTGGAAGCCTTGATAGCACGCGGTTCATAATCTGTAGGTCTTCGAGGTGTGACTGCCGTTCTGTTATGATTCTCTGTATTTTAGCTGGGGAGGAAATGGTAGTCAATTTTTGGGAGGAGCATTCCTCGCCCATGGCTGTTTCCAATTTTTTCAGATCCTTTACCAAAGATTGGGTGAGTTTGTTGAATTCTTGTGACAAGTTTATAAATACATGAGCATTGTCGTGTCTTTCGCCAGACGTGATGCCACCAAATTCGTTTAAGACAACTACCTTATCAATTCGGCAGTCTAATTGCGCGACAAGGGTTTCCATCATCGCTGGTAAGTCTGTGACGTGTGTTAACACGCATCTGTTCTCATCAAAAATACGCGGTTTTATTATTGGTATCAGATCTTGGAGCGAGTCATATTTTACCGGTGACTTAAAGGATCCGTCAGCTGCACGCGTTAAAGCTTCAGAAATAAAAATGGTCTGGAGGCCGCTTTGTCTTAGACATTTGTCGAGCACCTCCGATTGGGTCTCTACATCTTGCTGCGGGTGTAAAACAAACATCGGTTTGACGCCCAGCATTTGCAATTGTTTCACAGTCACGGCAAACCGAGATAATTTCTTAGGCTTTTGTGAAAGCAAGTCACGGATCGTTAGCAAACAGTGATTGCGCACTGATTCGTCGCCATATTTTTTCAGATAATTCTGAGCTTCCCTCTTCGTAGCCGTCGATTTGAGAACGGACAAAATCAGATCTTTGTTTACACGATTAGGTTGAACAAACCCAACTTTTTGATAGCTTCTTTTAGCTGTCACGCAGGGCCAGCGAAACATTTGATCCCAATGGACCGCTAGTTGGGCTAAAGACTTTTATTTGAAGCAATTCTTATAGTGTGTAATTGATATTACATACAAATTTGAAAAACCGTTACCGACCACTAACTTATTGAAAAAATGGAAATCAAGAAATCAGCTTTGTTGAGCTTCGTAAATACCAAATAGAGGCCTGGAAAGACTTGAGAGAGGCTATGTCCTTGCCCTGGAAACTTCAAGAGACGTTCTCGCCTGAAGAGATCCAATTTATTGTGGAAAATGAGCCTATAAAGATTTTTCCCAGGTTTACCACCAGATCGAAGGTCCGGGGTAATCGTGGTAATAAAACAGGCCAAACTCGTTGGAAACTCTTGACGGCAAGCGATGAGCCTTTGAACAACCTAGTGGCTATCCAGACTACCGAAGTAGCATTTTGGATAGCGTTGTTACTGAAGCAACAAGGAAAATGTAGTATAGTGGCACCAGGGTGGTTGCGACTTACACAGCTGCAGAGATTCATTGACTACGAACTGAAAAACACTGAGCGATTCAGCGAACTTCCGTGGAATTGGCTAGTGGTGGCACAATTATTGTTTTCCAAAGCGGCTGACGATTTGCAAGATCCGGTACATTTGCTGCGCGGGAAAGTACAGGATTTGCGCGAAATTCGATTAGGCAAAATAGGACAAGGTCTAAAGCATTTGAACGAATCGCATTTGCAATTGGACAATTTGAGTTTGTTGGAGATCAATGAGCTGCGACCCTTTGTGCTGGGCGTCATGAACAAACTAAAGCAAGTGCATGGCAGCATAGCAGACGAGCAAGAAGAAGAGCAGTAGCGGTCGTCGCTGAAAGGGCGTCTTAAGGGAGAGTGAAGCACGTTTTCCGAACCCAGTAACTCATCTCAAGTCGTTTATCGTGATATAAACACTGAAAGGACATTTGGTCAAAGGGACCATCAAGCTACGTACTTACGGGGCACTTCCCTAACAACGGTAATCGCAGACGGCGTGGCCCTTATTGATGCCGCATCGAAATTTAGCTTTTTTCTCTGGTGTTAACGCGTCCACTGATGTGACCGTTTTTGCGTTCGCATCGGCGAGATCAGTCCGGCTCGAGAGCCATAAAAGCTCATTGCATCCCCTGAAAAAGAGCGTTACCTGCAGGTTCCTCTGGAGATATCTACCGCGGCTCTGTGACCCGAATGGATTGTCCTTGCTCCTCTTTTCTACACGTGATATCCACGTGCTCCGTTTCTGTTATCATTTTCCGGTAAATTGCCATCTTGCGGGCTTGCACGCCCCTTGGCAGGCAACAGTATAAATACCCTTGGTGTTTACAAAGGTCAGGGATTTATTCTCGAGGAAGTACCGGACTGGTTTTCAGATCTTTGGACACCCAGTGTTTAAAGTATTAAACAGCACCTGTAGGAACGACATAATCCGGTGGACAGCTCTGAGGCGAAAGCATATCTCAGAAAATCACGAGGATTGTTAGTTGCAGAGTTACGCGAAACATAGGTACGCCAGAAATACCTCACATACGATTTGAAGTCTCAAGCCAACAATGTCGTTCTTTAAAAGACTCTTTGCAAGAAACAAACAGACGTCGCACCGCAGAACCGAGGCAGCGACGCGCGATCTGGACTCGGAATACGTGTTTGTGGCCGGTCCAGAAGCAGAACATGACACCAATGTAGGGGTGGAAGGCGTGGTTCTGGAGACGCGCTCGGCGTTTGCGGAGGATCCTGCCGAGGTGGACGTTTCAGCATGGGAGATGGCTCGGAACTGGACCAAACGTGGACCAGAAAAGGTCACGGTTCCAGTGACTAGCTCAAAGTCGCAGCGCCTGGCGCAGCGGATCGAAACAATCCGCAAAATGCGTGGCTCCAACCGGACAGTAGTGGCCAACGCCAGCGCTTCGAACGACAACAGTGATCGTCGTGCCGCTTGCTCCGTTTTGGAGTACAACGATGTGTCTATGGACGAGGAAACAGAGTGTTTGTTCGACGATAAATGGAACCGCAAAACCAAAGTCGAATCGCGTAGAGACCGTCTCAGCAAGTTCGGAGCTTGAAAGAAAAGGCGCTCGAAAATGAAAAGAAGAAGAGAAAAATAACAGAGGTTTGCGGATTGTTGAGCAGACTCTCGGCGCTTCACTCTCCCACCTTATGATATGCCCCCCCACACAAAGCCCAGTCACCCCTAAAATATAAAAGTCCTAATATAGCAAATGCCAGGAGCGTTGCGACATGTACGATTGGCGTGTGTTGTTGTTATATATCTATATATATTTTAATATATTCCAAATAGAGGAAGTAATGAGCAAGAAGATGAATAAATGAGCAATTCAGTCACGCATTTGATGATGAACTGTGTCGCAAGGAGGGAAAGGGCTTACTTGCTCTTTTAAATTGCATTCTTTATTCAAGCTGATCTTTTAAATGAACTGATTGTTATTGGCATAGTGTCTTCGACGTCTCACTCGTTCCTAGTGATGTCGTTGTTTTCGATAACCAAACGTGAGAGAGACCCCTTAGTTAGTTGAGTAAAGCTCAATTTTCGCTGATACCATGATGAAAACATAACCTATAAAGCCATTTTGGTCAAGCTCAGAAACTTGATAAATTTGACGTAACATCTCCCGTAGTGTAATGCTTCTTTTAATTTGTTATATATTGCAATAAATAGCTTCTTTCAACAAGCATCCGATATAGTGTAGGGGCTATCACACCACGCTCTCACCGTGGAGACCCGGGTTCGATTCCCGGTATCGGAGTATTAAATTGCAATTCAAAAAATTTCTGAATTTTATTTTTTGGTAAATTCTGTCGTAAAGGTTGAATTGTTATCCGTTCATGAAGGATGAAATCATGCTCGTAGGTTTCAACGCGACACAGCATGCAGATTTACCAGGTACTTATTATCCTGTAAAGCATACGCACACAATGCTACGGCATAAACTCTACCGTTTGTCGATCGTAGTTGACTTGTGAACTCAGAGAAGGACTGAATTTTCTTAAAGTTGCGTGAGGTTGATGCTTATTGTGTAGTTCCCTCCTAAATCATTCTCATCTTATTGCATCGGATGCGCTAGTGCTCCTGTGTTTTGTTTCCTCTTGGTTTCTTTAGTTAAACTCTATATTCCCCTCAGGCAAATTATTTTCTCGACATCCCTTGAGCAAACCACTTATCGAAAACCATATTTCGCCAAGGATTCCAAGAATTTCAATCCAGAAATGAGGGTTTCTACACTTATTGCCGCAGCCGCTGGTTGTGCGCAAGCATTCGTTTTACCGCAGACTTTTTTGGACGCTTTCCAGCTGTCTTCAGGCGTCGATGAACAATCGTTTTTCTGGCCCCATAAGCCGTATTTCCTCAAGCATGAAGTGGATCCTGAGAGTTTCCCCGATGACATTGAGCTTGCGGAACTCAATTCCACTGCTTGGGACCTGTACCAAATCGCAGGTACGTCCAACCGTACTTACGGCCACCCAACTCGTGTCATCGGCTCTGAAGGTCACTGGAACACTTTGAACTACATTCTGCGCCAGTTCGATGAAATGAGAGACTACTACGAAATCTCCACCCAAAGCTTCAAAGCCTTAAATGGTAAGGTTTACCACTATGACTTGAACTACACCAATGGTGCCAAAGTTCCTACCGCTCAAGCGTTTAGTTTGTCCCCTCCAGCCGCACCCTTTGTTGGCAAGTTGGTTGAGATTCCAAACCTGGGTTGTACCGACGCGGACTTCGAAGCTTTAACAATAACTGAGGACTCTATTGCCTTAATTGAAAGAGGTGAATGCCCTTTTGGTAAGAAAAGTTCTTTGGCTGGCAAACACGGCTTCAAAGCGGTAGTGATTTACGACAACGACCCTACATCTGAGAAGGGAGTTAGTGGTACTTTAGAAAAGCCTACCAACCATACGGTCTCCACGGTCGGTGTTTCTTTTGCTGTGGGTCAAGAACTGATTTTGGGAATCACCTTAGATCCCCACTTTTCACTGTTTTACTACATGGACTCATACGTGAATGAAATCGAGACTAAGAACATTATTGCCGACACCAAACACGGTGATCCCGAAAATATCGTCGCTTTGGGTGCTCACACTGATTCCGTTGCAGCCGGGCCTGGTATTAACGACGACGGCTCAGGAACCATCTCCTTGCTTGCTGTCGCTAAGCATTTATCTAATTACAAAATCAACAACAAAGTTCGTTTTGCGTTCTGGGCAGCAGAAGAAGAGGGTCTGGTTGGATCTAACTATTACGCTGAACACTTGACACCGGAAGAGAACTTGAAGATGAGATTGTTTATGGACTATGATATGATGGCGTCTCCAAACTACCAGTATCAAATTTACGACGCTAACAATATTGATAACCCAAGAGGTTCTGAGGAATTAAGGGACTTGTACATTGACTACTACACCGAACATGGTTTGAACTATACATTGATTCCATTTGATGGTAGATCCGATTATGTCGGGTTCATTGAGCACGGCATTCCCGGGGGTGGTATTGCCGCGGGCGCCGAAGGCAAGAATACTGACAATGGTAAGGTCTTGGACAGATGTTACCATGAGCTTTGCGATGATGTTAACAACCTAAACTGGGAAGCGTTTTTGACGAATACTCAGCTTATTGCGTACTCCGTTGCTCGCTATGCTGACTCCTTGAAGGGTTTCCCAGAAAGAGAGATCAATGCGACAGTCACAGCTTCCAGCGCTGACATTCAATATAAGTACCCTTACAAGGGTGGTGCCAACCTTTTATTGTAGGAACGAAAACAACGCAAGACTTTCTTGAAAGCTTATAAACGTACGAAACGAAAAGTTTGCAATAATGATAGGAATTTTTTAGTACTCTTTAGATGTCTATAAAAAGGGAGGCAACGCCTCAAGCAAACCCTCCAAAATTCATTTTAAAGTTTCCGCCTCCGAAAGGGAAACCGCCACCATTGTTATTGCCGAATGGGGAGCGTTGTCTTTGAGTACCTCTTCCAGACCTCTGATTGTCGTAATCTTTCCGTTTTTCCTCGTCACTCAATATTTCATAAGCTTCGTTAATTTGAGACATCTTTTCCTCGTTTTTCTGTTTCTGTTCCTCCGATAGTTGCCCTTGTTTATCTGGATGATACTTTCTTGTCATTAACAGGTACGATTTACGGATATCCTTGTAAGAGGCATCCTGTGATAATCCTAAGACTTTGTAGAGATTTTTCTTTGATAAATCGTTCATTGGAGGTGGAGCATTCTGATGTTGCTGTTGTTGACGTTGTTGCTGTTGTCGCTGTTGCTGGTTGAACCTCTCCTGATTTTCCCGTCTCTTTTTGGCACTCGCATTGCTTATTATCCGCTTCACCTTATTGATAGCCTCGTTATGAGACCGATCCCATTCATGGTCTTTTGCGAAGTTCTCCAACAAAGACCATACTTGAGTGGTGTCAATTCCATAGCGCGTCTTTTCTTTGGCCGCCAAGGCAACAAGGCATTTTCTGACAGCGTGTAGAGCCAGTGAAGGTGAATCTTGCCATAAATTGTGAAGAATATCTTTCACGTTTTCAGGGTTTTGAAGATTCTCAGTGAAACCGTTCAATAGGCTCAGCGATTCCTGAGGTAACTTATCTTTCAATGCTGCGCGGTAGTAAGTATCCGCAATTTTAGTCTGAGAAGTCTGGTCATACGCCTCACATAATATCAAATCTTGAAAAATTGTGAATGCGGAAGAAGCTGAGCTATCGAGCTGCCATTTTTTATCGATGGAGGATAGTGTCCTTTGTGTCAGTAGTTCTGTTAGAAGATTTCGTTGAACATCACGAAGAACTTCCAAGTTGTTCTTACCACTTTTGGTACCATCAAACACAATAGGCTTCGCACTCTTGATATAAAATTCCAAAACTTTAGCCCAGTCAAATTCAGAGAGTTCTAAAAATTGATCTGGGTGCATCACAGAGGTAAATTCGGGGTTGATTCTCCTCAATTTGCTGGATAGCTTAGAAAGTTCACGACAAGGCTTGTAATCCATGTCAAGAGCTAAGCAGCTCATAAGATTCGTGGGCGTAGTAGACATGACAAACATTTGCAAAACTGAAATTGCGTGGTGAATGTGTAACTTATCAGTGACACTGACAATCCTCTTGTGTTTGCTGAGTACGATTTTATAGTTTTCGATGATCGATTGTGCGGCGTTTATACTAAGTGTTCGCGACAAATCGTAATACAGGGCATCGTTAATGAGAATGCGAATGTCTAGCGACGAGGGTGCCAAGCCGACTAATCCGTTGAGGAGATCGGTAGGGACGAGCTCGTTGCGACTCAAATATGACAAAAGCTTTCCCTTAAGAGTCTCGTAACGAGCACCTAGACTTGGATCTTCAGTCCTTTCCCAGTATCCGAACTCCTGATATATTTCCTGTAGTCTTTTTTGCGCCAGCGATACGAACGCTGAGGTCTCTGGCGACTCCTGGATGGCCTCAAACAGTTCAAGTGCAGCCAATTCGTTTCCGCTCGAGACTTGAATGAGTCCGCTCTTGTATAGAAGTTGATGACGGAGATGGTTCGCCTCTTGTGTATCACACAAAGCCAGTTGTGCGCTTAGCTGAGCGTACTGTGGAAGTGCTGACTGGTCATATCGCAGCTCCTGACTGAGCCCAGATAACCGTGCGAAATCGCATTCGGCCCATACAGCCGTTAGACTCGTCCAGAGCCACCATACGCACACTAACATAACATGTATATATATATTGTGTAAAGCTTCAAAACGCAACAAGGAGCTTGAGAAGGCTATCAAAAACCCTTATGAAAAAGTGATACTCAATAGATCTCAAAGCTGCAGAACTTAGTCTAGAGTTCTCTGAGGGCTCGTCAAAGAATCTTTATGGTCGGAAAAAAGCACTATTATCTTCCGAAAAGATTGACTTGATTAATTCATTCAATTAGATTAAACATCACATGTGAGAGATATCAAACTAAAATATTACAGTAGGGATTTAAACCAATTTCAGCCACATTCAGAAAGTCTTAAAACTGAAGATTTGGGAGATAGACTTGATTGTACGTTTGTGGACTATTTTCAATACCTTCTGTGCATTTAGCAAGACTTTCTGCTATCTTTTGAACTATTGTTGTCAAGCATGAGTGGAGAATCGGGACTTTCTTTTGGTCATATTTCGTATTTGACGTTTGAGTCTGTGTTGCAGGTTGTGATAGTATCTTTTGCCGGATTCTGGTGCGCGTACTCGGGCCTGTTGCCGAAGCAAGGCCAAAAAGTCATATCGAGGCTCAACGTAGACCTATTCACACCTTGTCTGATCTTCAGCAAGCTGGCACGCAGTCTTTCTGTGGCCAAAATCTTGGAAATCGCTGTCATTCCATTATTCTATGCAATTACCACAGGTGTTTCTTTCGGATCTGGAAAGCTGATGAGCCGCATCTTGGGACTTGACAAGGACGAATCAAACTTCGTGGTCGCAAATTCGATTTTCGGTAATAGCAATTCGCTACCAGTTTCACTTACCGTTTCGCTTGCTTACACTTTGCCCGGTCTTTTATGGGACGAAATTCCTAACGACAACTCTGATAACGTCGCTAGTAGAGGTATTTTGTACCTGCTAATCTTCCAACAAATTGGGCATGTTTTGAGATGGTCGTACGGCTACAACACGCTTATGAGATGGTCCGGCGATCGCGGTAATCCATCGGTCGTCAGCGTTGCAGAGCAGCTCGAAGTTCCCGCTGTTGACTCTACGGGTTCTTCGGGGCAACTGAGCGATCTTTCAGGTCGCACTTCAGACACCTTCTACAAATTCCAGTCTAAGTTTTCTCAATTCCGTGACAAGCTAATGTCCGTGATGAATCCACCTTTGTGGGCTATGGTTTTTAGTGTCTTAGTGGCCTGCATTCATCCTATTCAACATGAATTTTTTAGCAAGGATGGCTTCATCAACAATACATTATCGGACGCGATCACACAACTCGGCGGTATCTCCATTCCTTTGATTTTGGTTATTCTGGGCTCAAATCTATACCCCTCGACTGACACTCCTCAAATGAGTCGCAATTATAAGAAGTTGGTTTTTGGGTCCATCGTTGGTCGCATGATCCTGCCCTCTCTTGTAATGCTTCCCATCATTGCAATGGCTGTGAAATACATTAACGTGAGTATATTGGATGATCCAATTTTCTTGGTTTGTGGGTTTATTTTGACGATTTCTCCACCTGCTATCCAGCTTACGCAGATTACTCAGCTGAACGAATTTTTTGAAAGCGAAATGGCTGGCGTTTTGTTTTGGGGCTATGTTGTCTTGTCGCTCCCAGTAAGCATTTTTGGTGTCAGTGCCGCAATGAGCGTTTTGAGATGGGCTGAAGAATCCCACCAATAGATATCTCCAAACTTTGTAGTTACGTAACTTTTATTAAACAAGCTAAGAAACTAATCTGATCTTCTGCCATTCAGCTCTTCCGAGCTTTGTAAGGCCATAAGCGTGGCATGCAGCGGATAAGAAGTGTCAATAAATTAGCCGTGTTTGCTACTAAGCGATATATTACAATAACTTCTTCTAATTTATAAAAAACGGTTGTTTGGCCGAGCGGTCTAAGGCGCCTGATTCAAGATATCATATCTTAGCACTGTTAACAGTAAAATACTCAGGTATCGTAAGATGCAAGAGTTCGAATCTCTTAGCAACCATTTTTTTTGAAAAGTCAGTATAGTAATTTGATGCAATTCTTGGACTCGCACCACCTTCATTTTCTAGCGTGCGACATGTAAGCTTCGGCTCTCAATGTCTTGATGAGCGATTTATTAAGATCTTGTTAGATCACCGGGCTGACCCGCTTAAAGTTAATTCACAGCAAAAATGCTATTTCAAGGTCGTGCGAATGCAATGTTGATGTATTCTCGCTGTAATAAATGAAATGATACGAAAGGCCATACTAGCATGTAACCACTCGCCAGGAAAAAACAGACCAGCTTGTAAACAAAGTTTGCGCGTTTGAAAGTGCCTGAGCATGACAAAAGTTCCGGGAAAGAAGAATCCTCCTTATATCATCAAGTTATATGCCAGGCAATCCTCTTCTTCAAGAGCGCTACAGAGCTTGTTTTTGTTTGGTAACTGAAACTAGTCTGACACACAATGAGACCAGTGGGCCAAATGTACCGAATGTTCAAATTCTTCGACATTTCAATAAAATTCAGAAAGAAAAAAAGGTTTGATGTAAACAGGACGCATTATTTCATATTAGTGTCAATAGGTAACCTATAGTCGTCGAATATCCAACCTATAATTGTCGAATATCCAAACAGAATCACAGCACATGTGTAAAAAGCAACCAATCAAGATGACAGGCGGCCTTATGCAAGTACTTTGTTTGCCATCTTCACGAGATCAAACTGAACATAAGGTCTCATACATAGCGCACAGTAAAACCGTAGTTGCAAAAGCTTCTCGCTAGTGTTATATGCAAAACAATAGCTTTCGTCACGGCGTTACTATCATGACATTATTTTATCGCGTCTTTTTTGTTCATAGTGATATTAAGTAACGCGTTACTGTTCTCGAAAATTGAGTCGCGTTAGCATTTCTTTCAAGTTTCAAACAACATCCAGATACACAAACCCAGGTCGCAATGTACATCAAAAGCGTCGTAATCCAAGGCTTTAAAACCTACAAGAACATTACGACAATAGCGGACTTATCGCCGCAATTCAATGTGGTTATCGGGGGTAATGGATCTGGTAAATCGAATTTCTTTGCCGCGGTGAGATTTGTACTAAGTGACGACTATAGCAATTTGAAGAGGGAAGAAAGACAGGGTCTTATTCATCAGGGAACTGGATCAATAATGAGTGCATACGTTGAGATTGTGTTTCACGATCCAAATGGCCAAATGATGATGACATCTGGAATTCCTACAACAGACGAGAACCTCGTTCGAGTTAGGAGAACCATTGGACTGAAAAAAGACGAATATTCGGTCAATGGAAAGACTTGCCATAAGAGCGATATCACACGTATGTTTGAAAGTGTTGGATTTTCATCAGCTAATCCTTACAATATCGTGCCGCAAGGTCGCATAGTCGCAGTTACAAACGCCAAGGATAAAGAGCGTTTGGCTTTGCTGGAAGAAGTGGTCGGTGCCAAATCTTTTGAGACCAGGCTCAAAGAGTCTATCAAAAAGATGGAAGTCACCAACAGAGATCGGGCCAAGATCGACTCCGAGCTACAAGAGCTCAAAACCAGATTGGAAGAGCTAGATGAAGAACGCCATGAGTTGGAAAAATACCAGGAACTCGAGCGCGACAAGCGTATTTTCCAATTTGTGCTCTATGACCGAGAGCTAAACGAAGTAACGAGCCAGATCGAAAACTTGGAGGATGAGTACAACCAAGTGCTACAATCTTCAGAAGATTTTGTTCAAGAGTTGTCCAAGAGGGAAACTTTGATATCTGACGTCAGCAAAAATATGGCTAGTGTTGAAACTGAATTAAAAGTCAAGGAGTCCACCGACTTGCAGCAGGAGAAGTCACGGCTTTCGGAAGTTTCAAAGAGAAAAGCTGACCTTGAGGTGCGTCTTGAAGAGATCAAAAGACAGTCGGAAACCCGTCGCGGACAAACAGCAACAGACCAACATAATTTGAAGATAATCGAAGAAGAAATAATTACAAACAAATCTCAGTTGAATCGGCTCCTTCCAAGATTTGAAGAACTTCGAAGTGAAGCTAAACAATATGAAAACCAATTATCTGACCTGAATCGGAAACAGAGAGAAATGACATTGAAAAGAGGCATATACGCAAGATTTGAAGACCAGGAAGAAAGAAATGAGTGGATAAGAGAGGAGCTAAAGTCATTGGAGTTACAACATGGAGTCCTAGACATGCAACTCTCTACGATGTTGCGCGATAAGGAAGAGATAGCTTCTGAAATTGGAAAACTCCAAGAAGAGATAACAGAGCTTAACGACTCAGTGCGTGGTCCTGGTGTATCTGCTGAACTTGAGGATCTACAAGCTCAAATTTCCGGTCTAAAGCGTCATTATTTTCATAAAATTGATGAACGTAAAGAATTATGGAGATCAGAACAGAGGTTGCAAACTATATCTGAAGCACTGCTTGATAGTGTGAAGCGCTCGGAAAGAAACTTATCCGAAACAATAGATAGAGGCTTGGCTAACGGCCTCAAAGCTGTGAGGGAAATTGCAGACCGTCTGAAGCTTCCGAGCGGTTCCGTACGTGGCACTTTGGGGGAGCTTATCAAAGTCAGTGAGAAGTATAAGACATGCGCGGAAGCGGTTGGGGGTAACTCGTTACTCCACGTCGTTGTGGACACTGACGAAACTGCTAGTATTTTAATGCAAGAGCTTTACAATGCAAAGGCCGGAAGAGTAACCTTTGTTCCTTTGAACAGGTTAAATACGAACAGCGTAATATCATATCCGGATAGCTCACAAGCGGATTTCACACCTCTTTTGTGGAAAATCAAATATGACAAGTCTTTAGAGGCTGCAGTAAGGCATGTTTTTGGAAGGACTATTGTTGTTCGCGACTTGGGGACCAGCTCAAAGTTAGCAAGGGCTCACAATCTCGATGCAGTAACACTTGATGGAGACAGAGCTGATAAAAAAGGTCTTATAACAGGTGGCTTTCACGATTATCACAAGAAGTCAAGGCTAGATGCCCTCAAAGACATAAGCACATCTAAATCTCAACTTTCGGATGCTTCTAATAGTCTCGAGGCTATGAAGGAACAAATTGCCGCCGTCGACGTTGAAATAGATCGGGCGAACAGCGGCCTCAAATCCCTTTCAATAAGAAAGGAAGCAATTCTAACTAATAACGAGGTACTCAGAGTAAAACTCAATAAGCGGTCAACGGAGCTATCTTTCAAGAAGGATCTGCTGGATGGTTTAGAGTCGAAGATCGAGAAAGCTGAAACCTCGGCAAGGATGAACAAGGAAAAAACTCAAAGATATGAGGTCGATTTGACGCAACCTTTTGAAAAGAGTTTGACTCTCCAAGAAGAAGATGAGCTGAAATCTCTCGCTGGCGAGATGAGAAGGCTATCGGACCCTTTAAGTACGACTACCGAGGCCCTTGATAAGCTCACAGTAAAAATAGATCTTCTCAAGACTGAGCTCGATGCAAAATTATATCCGCAGAAAAAAGAGATTGAAGGTAGGCTTTCACAAGCTTCAGGCTATTCTCATGCTCTCAATGACGAGGAAGTCCGCGAACTTACTGAAGACTTACACGGGCTGGCCTCTCGAGAAAAAGATCTTAAGACATCTGTCTCAACTATAACCGAGGCTATAGATGCGTTGAACGAAGAAAAAGCGACGAATCAAAGACTAATGGATAAGGCCAACTCGCAACAAAGATTGCTGTTGAAGAAGCTCGACAACTTTCAGAAAAATGCCGAGAAGTCTGTCGTAAAAAAGACAGCTTTGATTTCGAGACGTGATGAAGTTCAGCAGAAAATCAGCGAAATCGGCTTACTTTCTGAAGACTCACTGGAGCGACACCAAAACTTGAATAGTGAACAAATTCTTAGACAGCTGAACAATGTCAATGATAAGATTTCGAAAATGAGCAACATAAATCGGCGTGCGATCGAAAACTACAAAAAGTTCAATGAAAAAAGAGAAGAGATGGAGAAAAGAGCAGAGGAGCTCGTATATTCGAAAGACTCTATTGAGAAACTCATCGATTCTTTGAAAAAGCAAAAAGTAGAAGCTGTGGAGGCGACTTTCTCCAAGGTTGCTCAAAATTTTAGTACCATTTTCGAGAAATTAGTGCCCGCAGGATCAGGAAAGCTAATAATCCATCGACGTCCTCAAGGCGTTGAAAGAAATTTCAGGGCAGTCCGCGAGGACAGCATTCCCAGCAGCAACGATATTGATGGAGTTGGTACTATTTACCAAGGTGTATCAATTTCTGTTTCGTTCAATTCCAAGAAAAATGAACAACTGTATGTAGAGCAGCTCTCTGGTGGCCAAAAGACAGTTTGCGCAATCGCCTTGATTTTAGCCATACAAATGGTTGAACCAGCTCCATTTTACCTATTCGATGAAATTGACGCTGCTTTGGATAAGCAATACAGGACATCCGTCGCTAGCGTTATCAAAGAATTATCCGTACATGCTCAGTTCATTTGCACCACCTTTAGAACAGACATGATACAGGTTGCTGATTCTTTTTACCGTGTAAAATTCGACAACAAAATATCTGAGGTACAAGAGGTTTCTCAACAGGATGCAATCAAGTTTATCAAAAGAAGGAACAAAATTGGGTTACTCTGAGGCCATCTTGTAAATTTGCTTACTGGAGAGATCTGGAATCTAGAGAAATGTTTACGAACATGCTAGTTAAAATACTATGTCGCGTTAGTAGTAATGATAATAATACAATCAATTTTTTTTGGAGTCCTTAACTAGAGATGCAAATCCGCTGTTCGATCTTTTATGGCGTCCCAATGCTTTGCTGGCGGATTTGGCACTTATGAAATTCGAACTGCTATCACTGTCAGAAGAGCCATTACTACTGTCGCTCTCATCCTGGCTTTCACTTGCGTCGGACTCCTCTTGACTTTGCTCGTCACTTGATCCTTCTTTCTCAGCAGTTGGCCGAAATGGTGCTTGGCTGCTTTTCAGAGAAACGTCTTTTACTTCGGGTACACCACGAGAAACTAAATCGGACAATGAGCTCAAAGACCTGCTTGGCTTCGATTGTGGCTTTTTGGAGTTTCTGATTGACGAAGGACTTTGTTGCTTTGAAATTGGAGAGGACATTTCCATCAATCTCGTAACGGGAACTTTTGTTAAGCTGTCTAATGGCTGATCGGCCGAGGTTTGTTGGGTTGACTGAGGCGCATTTTCCAAAGCAGAAAGATCGCTCGCTTTTGCACGTTTGGGCAAAGAAATGATAGCCCCCTTTGGGGTGTCAACGATTCCTCTCCGCGATTTTTTGCTCGTTGTCGACTCGTCCTCATCTGAAGAAGAATCTCCTGATGAGTTATTTTCGTCAGAGGAACTGTCAGCGTCCGGTACATCTTCTACAGAGTTTGAGGAGCTTGAAGCGCTTTTATCTAGAGGCTCTTGATCTTTTCTTTCCCTTTCTAATGGTGGTGGTTTTCCCGAAGTGTATTGAGATTTCAACTTTTGCAATTGGGATGCTTTGTCTTCCTCAGGGGACTGCGCCGGTGCGCTTGCGGAGACCTTTGGTCTTTGCGTGGCTTTGGTCTTGTCGCCTGTCGTAAAATATTGAGCCAAATCTTGGGGCTCTAAAGAAGTACTAGGTTCAACGTTTCCTCCATCAGAAGCACTTTTACCGTCCAGGACAAGTCCGGTATCCAAGTTATTTGCCGCTTCTACGCCGTTTTTACCTCTTTCTCCTTTCTCGGGCTTACTATTTATTTGGATTTCGCTATCAGTTTCGTTTGCTGATTTTTGCTCCTTGGATTTCTTGACAGGTTGCTCAGATGCCGCCGAGCGAGCTGCCTCAGAAGCTTTGGAATTCGTCTTTATTTCACGTTTTTTAGTTGTCTCTTCCTCTTTCATCTTTTTCTTTGCTTCGCGTTCAACTTTCTTTTGGGCTGCAATTTCGTCTTTCTCTCTTCTCTTAGCTTCTTTCTCAGCCTTCTTTTTCGTATGTTCTTCTTCTCGAGCTCGTTTCAATGCTGCTCTCTCCTTACGTTTTCGTTCAGCGTCTTCTTTTCTCTTAAGAACAGAAGGTGGCGGTCTTTTCGAGACAGATTTCGTTGTACTGCTAGCACCATTCTGGAGAGATGATACGTTTGGCGAATCATTATCGGAATCCTCTACAAATTCTTGGCTTTGATAGGGCTTAGTGTCAGGATTAGGTGGTGCTGGCGAAATGCCTTTGATCAAATTAGAAGAAATTTCCTGGGGCCCCGTCAAACCTGGGGGATGTTCACCTATCGTTCGAGAATCGGCCGACTGCTCCGAATTAGGTGTGGATCTTGACGACGTTTTCGATGCAGCAGAACTCGAGACTGTGTTATCAGCGAGATCCTTGGAACTTTTGGTGATGTTATTGTTTTCTTTTTCTGAAGCATCCCAATTCGTAGTGGCCAGTGCGGACGACTTGGCAGATTTGCTAGGCGTCGCACCGACATTAGATTTAGGACCTTTTTCTGGAGTAGCAACAGTAATAGCTTTACCGCCTTTAACTTTGACGTTTTTCTTAGCTTTGAGCTGCTTCTCAAGGCTTTTACCTATTACTCTTTCTTTGAGCGGGTGGATGTTGAGCTTCTTCAGCGCCTGATTTTCCAATACTGTAACTTTGTCGTTGTCACTCCTATCCGTTTCAATGTCGCTTGACTCCTCCTCACTCTCTGACGGTGGATCTGGGTTTCTCGACTTGCCAGTAGAAAGAAGCTCTGCTGCCTTTCTAGCTGCAGATCTCTGTAATCTTTGGTTTATAACGTCTTTAACACTAGCTTTTGACTTTTCTGCTGAGTTTTCAAAATAGCCCGCCTTCGATCTCAAAGATCTTGAGCTAAAGTCCGAAGGAATATCAAACTTGTTGCCTTTAAGCATCGAAAGGAGCTCGGACTTTTGAAAGCTAGTATTACCGGAGTTATCTATATGATTGACCCTAACAGTGTCATTGGGGTCCTGATGTAGCCGATCATCTTCTAGATCATCTTCATCAGAGAATGTATCTTTTCTCCTCGTTGCGACAGCTTCGTCCCTATTGTGTCGCGAGTCTTCTTTTTCCTTCTCCGACAAAGTGTTGGCGTTTTTGATTAAAGATTCGACTTTACTCTCGAGGGATGATTTGCGAGTTATCCTCCTTCCAACTGATGGCAGCTCGGCTAAGTTCACGTTACCAATCTTGTTACCATCTTTAATTGGAGATCCGTTGTTGTCAGCAATTGAGGTTTGACGAGAAGCAGATAGTTTGAAGCCAGGCTCGAGCACTTGCTTTATATGCCCTTCAGCTCGAATCTGATCATCTTCAGCAGATGATTGACTTTCATCTTCGTCGTCTGACATAGGAATATCTTGCTTCTTCATAGGTATACGATCAGGACGAGCTGGTAATACTGCAGAGGGGCTCGCCGGACCTTGTCTCAGCTCTTTCTCTACTTCTGAGATTTTGGGCTCGGGAATTCGCAGCATACCCGATGTTATTCTGTTATTAGTTGCCATTGGTGTAGCTGAAGCGGTGATTTCAGCATCATTTACCATTAGAAGTTGATCTTGACTTTCTATTCCGTTCGGTGTTGTAGCAACCCTCGTCTTGAGCGGCCGCATCGGAGTGCCCGATGGTAGACGTTGCTGTCTAGATTTGTCGGGATCAACAGCCTCGGATCTTGATATGGTATTGTCATTGAAGTTAACTTTCTTGGCACTGTCAATTCCAGAACTGATCCTGATTGGTTGCGATTGGGGCTGTGGCGGTGGCAAAATGGACCGATCACCGACATCGTCGTCCTCATAATCTGAATTCACCTGTCTGCCATTGGCAGGAGGATAAATTTGGTTTGCCAATGGGGTCGAGACCCGCATAGCTGTGGAATTTCGCAACATATGAGGCCTTTTCTTGGCAATATGAAGAACATTCGGTTGACTACCCAAGTTTCCATTAGGAATTCCACTTTTTACCGCCTCGCTGTTCAGACGTCTTCTTTTGATGGGGTACAAAGTCTGAGGTTGATCTTCAGCGACCTCAAGGTCTCTTCTCAATACTGCGCGAACCATGTTGTCGACATTGAAAACGTCTTTAACGAGATAGTCTGGGTCAAGGTCACACTCGTTAGAATCCTGCAGTGTCAAAACTTCCACGGGTTGCGCCAAATCAGGATAAATTTTATCGCATCTATCGACGATCTCCTCGGCCAGTGTTAGAAGGGTATTAGTTGGTTTGGTAAAATGCAGTAGTTTCTTCAGTTTGGGCTGTGGAATGTGGCTTGACATAAAACTAGACATAAACAAATTGTTGTTGGTACCACCAGAGCCTAATACCTCAGGTCTACCACCCGCTAGGATTGCCGATCCGTTGGCTCCCATGCTGGATGGGAGCACTTGCGAGTTTTCAGCCGTAGCTGGAATTAAAGACAGCGGAAAAGAGCCATTCGCCGAATTCGGCGGCACTAGCACCACTTGAAGCTTATACATCCCGCTAAAAAGCTTATGGAAAGCTGTATTATTGGCTTATTGTTTCTGGTTTTGTGAACATTTTTTCAATCTAAAATTTGAGAATAATAATTTCATAGATTGTTAGAGAAGCGAGTGAGTTAGTTTCAAGATACATAGAGATCGAATGATGTTAGAGTGCTGCAAAATTATCATTTATATCTGCCATCGAGTGGAAGGCGTCCAACTGATCTAATGTTATTTTCAGAGCTTTCTGTATTTTGTAATTGCCGTCCTGTCAGCTAAGTATCACAGCTACACAAGAAAAGCAACGAACACATCAGGCATGTAGCTTGCGAGAATTCGACCACCGGGGTGTTTCTATGGTGTCAAGAACACTGTAGTAGGCGTCTCGATTTTGCCCTTCCTATTCCACCATATTGGTGGTACAAATGATATTGGCGCGGTGCCGTATCTTACAATGGGGACGTCGCTTGTGATAATGTTAGATGGAACAGTCATCGTGACAAATCAAAACAATATGTCTTATATAAGACTTCCTTCTGATCGATCAAATATCAACTATCAGACGTTTGATCAAAGGCTCCTTAGCATATTTTCTACTTTGAAAATCAAAGAACCTTTTACTCATGTCAATAAAGGTGCCCTTCAAGCAAGTTGACGTTTTCACGTCAGAACCCTACAAAGGAAACCCAGTAGCAGTTATAAACTGCCTCGAACTGGACGAAAGTGAGATAAACCAGTCTCAGCTCCAAAGAATTGCCAATTGGACCAATTTGTCGGAAACTTCATTCTTATTCAAACCCACTATCGAAAAATGCGACTATAAGCTTAGAATTTTTACACCTCAAACGGAACTTCCGTTTGCGGGGCATCCTACACTTGGCTCATGCCGGGCGTACCTGGAGTTCACCGGCAAGAAGAATGTCGAGAAGATCTATCAAGAGTGCAAACTTGGAGTGATTGAAATAACCTCAGAGGGTGAAAAATTGTCCTTTGAGGGAGCCAAAACAGATGTGGTCGATATTCCATGCGAAGTGGCCGAAGAGTACGGGAAATCTTTATCCGCAGAAATTACCGAAAGGCCCCGTTTGCTTGAAGTAGGACCTAATTGGGTGGTTGCTTTGGTCAAAGATGCACAGACGTGCTACGATATGGAATTGGATTTCACGCAGATGAAGGCATCCAACCTTAAACACGGTTCCACTGGTCTCATAATTGCCGGGAGATACGGGAATGAGGACAAGTACGAAATGAGGGCATTTTGTCCGTTAGATGGGATCGCGGAGGACCCCGTATGTGGCAGTGGGTCGTTAGCTCTGGCCAGATATTTGCAGGATGTGCATAACTACAAAAGTACATACTCATTCGCGATTAGCCAAGGGGGCAGAGTGGGACGCGAAGGCAAAGTCTCGGGTTTAATAAAACATGAATCCGGCAAGATTACTTACCATGTCGGAGGACAAGCTGTCACTGCTATTGATGGACATATTTTGATAAAATTAAGCGAGGAATCCAATTTCTCCACGTAAAAGCGAAAGTGTGTCTGCGCTTTTCTAATAAAACTAGGAAGTGAAGCACCGAGATATTCAGCATTGAGTGGTGAGCTGATTTGTCGCTCTTTTCGCCGGTGCATTCGAGTGATGAAGTCTGTTATTAAAGGGAGCATTTATCTCTGTCTGTAGTAACACTATTACCCGACGACATTCACCATGAATGAGCCAATTGCAGGAAATCAGGAGCTCTATCTAACATTATGCAATGAGCAGTATTTTATTAGTCATTAGTATTAAATATTTGGGGAAATGGCTTCTTCCCAGACTTTACGAAACAATTTTTGGCTGAAACCACAAACGTCTAGCTGTAGTTATGAGAAATGGCATTTCCTGCCTCTCAAATTGCAATTGAGAATTTATAATGCCCAGAAGTGCCCCGGAAGACTTCGCCCAACGCGCATGGCTAGTCTAGAGGGTTCATCGCGTAACGTTGCCGCTCAGCCTTTTAATCTCGGAGTTTATAACTTGGGCTCATTGTGCGGTAAACGAGTCCAACGACTAATTCCGTTCAAGCTCACAGCTACAGCTTTCCCAGTCTGAACCTCGACTTTGTTGTAAGATAAGTTGATCTCCTTTTAGCATTCATACACTTGTTTTACCGAACCTTTAACCGGGATTGATAAGTTGAGAAAGGTGATTGTCAATTGAACAGTTGTGGGCTACTAATAAGACCGAAGTCATTAGCTGTTGATGATCTCACCATTAACAGAGCTCACCAACTTTTTCAAGTTTCTGACATTTACTAATTCAAGTTTTGCCGAAAATGTGATTTGAGAGTTCGTTTTCGAGATGGAAGTATTTTGCTCTTACGCGACGGATGCTTGCAAATTCGGTAGTATAAGTATCGTAGTATAAGTGTCAAACTGAAGTAATTTCTAAGGGTTCGTCCTCGATTGAACGCTCCCCACGGTTACGAGTTCATAGTTGCGTGGTCCGTGTTAAGTTGAAAAAATGTCTATTAAGCGTTCCATATCGCCGCCTCCGGCTGTAACCAAAAAACTCAAGCTAGCTGAGAGCTTTGAGGAATATTACAATCTCGACCCAAAGTACTATCCAAAGCCAATCACTTGGCAACAAGCCAATGCTTTCAACAACGGAAAAAGACCTAAACCCATAAATTTGCTTAACGACCAAATCAAGAATCAGGAATCACTCAAGAAGGCCAACATTTCCACTGTTGTTCATTGGTTCAGAACAGACTTAAGACTAGAGGACAACACAGCCCTCTTCCATGCGGTCCAACAACTGAAGGTCGCTCAAAAGAATAACACAAATGCGCAGCTTGTCGCTCTCTACACCATAAACGAGCACGATTTCAGGGCGCACTTGGATAGTGGTTGGAAGCTGACATTTGCATTCAATGCGGTGGAGAATCTGAGAAAAGCTTTGAGCAAAATGAATGTGGCTCTGGTGGTTAGACTGTTCGAGTCAAAAAAGCCGCTTCTCTCGCGCTCCAACGAATATGCCGATTGGTTCAAGAGCCAGTGCTTGTCACTTGCCAATGGTAGCGCCCTAGTTACTGCTAATGCACAATATGAGACAGATGAGTTGTATCGGGATTTGGAAATTTACAAAAAACAAGACGACAAGTTTCATTTCCAGGTATACCATGATCAGTGCACCGTGGAACCGGGCGTTCTGACGACAGGAAAAGGCTCGCAGTATACAGTCTTCACACCCTGGTATAAGAAATGGGTCGAACATCTGAAGGCACATAAAGACGGAAAAGACATCGTTAAAATGCTTAACATTGACATTGAGAAAACTGTCAATCAAAAGCTAGAGCAATTTGAATCTTGTGATTATACTTTGCCTGATGAGTTTGTATCCTACTTACCAACTACGGAATTGCAGCTTCCTGAGGCTTCAGAACAGCAAGCCCACAAAGTGCTTGACGATTTTTTCAAAAAGGGCAAGGCATTCGACTACAACAACAAGAAAGATGTTTTGGCTCTAGATAACACATCACACTTAAGTTGCTATATTACCAGTGGCCTCATAAGCACGCGAATGGTTGTAAACCGCGGTTTTCACGAAAATGGCGACAGTCTCATGCGAAAAGACATCAAACAAAATAACTCCGTAGAAAACTTCGCTAAGGAAGTTGCTTGGAGAGATTTTTATAAGCACGTTATGTGCAATTGGCCGTACACTTCAATGGAAATTGCCTTCAAATTTGATACCGTAGACATAAAATGGGAAAATGACGTCGAAAAGTTCCGGAAATGGTGTTTGGGCGAAACCGGATTGCCTATTGTAGATGCAGTAATGCGAAAGCTACTGTTTTGTGGTTATATTAGTAACCGCTGCCGTATGATTGTGGCATCTTTTCTATCCAAAAACTTATTGGTAGACTGGCGCTGGGGAGAACGCTGGTTTAGAAAACACTTGATGGACGCGGATTTGGCATCCAATTCTGGAGGATGGGGATTTTGCTCTAGTACCGGCGTAGATGCACAGCCTTACTTCCGCATTTTTAATATGAAACTTCAGTGTGAGAAGTACGATCCAAAAGGAGCGTTCGTGAAGGAATGGGTTCCAGAATTGAAGGGTGTTCAAGACCTCAAAATTTTGAGAGAAGGTACGTCAAATGATCGAACTGCCGATGGCTACGCAATGCCAATTGTGGATTTGAAGGAAAGCAGAGAAAAAGCTCTTGAAGCCTTTAGGGAGGCAATGTGAAATAGTGGTTTTATGATCAATGCGAATTTAACTTTTGTTTGGTTTGTACGGAAAGAATAATGTATACTTTAATGTAGCGAGGCGAAGATGTTTTCACTACCTACGCCTTTACTTTCTTGGAATCGGATTTGCTGCTTTTCGGGGGTTTAACGACTTTCCAATTACGCGTTCCTCGAGGAGAACACTTTTCGATGTCAAATGTTTCAAAAGTTTCGGCCAAGCCTTTGAAGTGCTTCTGAAAATTGGTCATTATTTGTCTTGAAGACAGCGAGTAATCGTCCTCAATAGGAGAAGGTGAATGCTGTGGTGTCTCAGAAAACTTAGAGTTGTCGCTACTACCAAGTTGCTGGTTCTTAATGTCAACAGACGAGTGTAGTTCCTCAGAACCTTCTTGGGATTTGGCCATGTGCGAATCGTATTCCTGAAGTTCGTTTTGCAGCTTCTGTTTGCTGCTGGTAACTTTGGCTCTTAAAACTGCCATTGTAATGAGACTTTTGTATTGTAAGGGCGAGACCAGCTCGAGGTAATTGTGACCGGTTTTGCCGCGGATTTCGCGGTCGATCGATTCGTCGAGCAAGTCGAGGAAAACTTGGAAATCAAACGGCACACAGTGCCAGTCGACGTTTAGCTTTTGCAGCGTTTGCGTGAGAAATTCGGAATCATGCTTTTCGGAAACTTTGGTCGAATCGAGATACGTTTGCAGCTTCGCCACGTTGAGCTTTATTTTCGATTTAGGTCCTGGGCGGGTGGCAAATAGACAAGCCAGAATAGTTCCGAGAGCCCACTTCCCAGCTGACTTCCACAGCGCATAGTTTTTCGAGACCTGGTCGAACTCGAGGATGTACAAGGGACAACTGCGACACGAGCCGTGCGACACACAGCGGATCTTTAGATTTTGAGTTATGGTTTCGCAGCTCTCGAGCTCCACAGAGAATGTCTCTTGAATGGAGCCCAAGTATTTCTGTACTTGGGCAATCTCTTGGAAAATGCTCACCAGTGTCAGTCTTATACATTGGTCGTCACCAGTGGGAACGTAGATTTCTTGCATTGACACCCGTTGAAAAAGGCAAAAGAGAACTGTTTTGGCAATTATGAATTACTACAATGCTCAATTGAGCTAAAGAATCGTTAGTAAACAGAGAACAAAAATGATATTTGGATGTTTGACTAAATTTAAAGGACGTGGCACCAATTGAGGAAAAGTGACGATTTAAATTGATAGATATCAACGTCAATAGTGATGTGAATAGAAAATGCTAAGAATTTAACCCTCTTGATCGATAAACGCTACTATACCGGCAAAAAGTCGACGCCTACCGCTTTGCACCATGCCATGAATTTAAGTGTGCTCGAATTAATGGTTTTGGTCCAACTTTTGAATTTTGATTCCGCCCCTATACAAGGGTTGTGATTGGAGACGGGGGGCGTATCGATGGGCACTAATCAAATCCTCCCCAAAGTTTATGCACACTTTTGCTCTGGCTCAGAAGTGTGGTGGAGTTTCCAATGTTCGAACAAATAGCTAAAAAAATTTGGACGAGACCGGAGTCGAACCGATGACCTCTCCCATGCTAAGGGAGCGCGCTACCAACTACGCCACACGCCCGAATTGATGGAAGTCATGCATCAGCTCCAATATAGACCAAGCAGACCCAGTCACGAATGCTGGTGAATAAAGTAGGTTTTACTTATGCGGCGCAGCTCACCTCTCTTAATCTCCCTCTCTCCATATTCGTATCCTGGCGGCAGTATTTTCAGTGTTTGCTTTTGTAAGAGTTAAAGGCTTTTTAAAGACGCGCTCAAGATGACCTTGGTTCGGCATTTCTGGCTTCCAGTAGCATAAATTTCACAGCGAACAAATTTTACTACTGGCTTGGGTAACAACACGCTTATTCCTTTCACAGTCGCTCAAATCACACTTTGATTTTGGAAAGGAATAGCAGATGGTTTTCTTTCTTCTTTCTTCCTTTGACCGTTGTCTTTTTCAATTGATGATCCGTTCATTCCTTGCAAACCCGAGTGCCAGAAAGAAAAACCTCGATGACAAGACGGTGCGATCTAAAGTGCGGATGCCGAGAACGCCCAAGGCATGAAAAAAATGAAATTGTTTGGTGCTTTTAGAATTGCGTGATGCTGTCGTCTTGCTTAGAGCATTGTACAGTAGCGAGGTATGTGGCCTTTGTTTTGATCTTGACTTGCCTAGAACAATCCAAGCTTCGTACGCCAGTAAAAGCTATGAAGATCTGGGCCTAACAAAGCAGAAAGTGCGTTTCAGCCGCATTCTGACTGGATGAGCCAGCAAGAGAATGGCTAATGGGTGAAATTCCCGCTAACAAATAAAAGTGCGAAAAGGCCAATTTTTTTTACTCTAGTCCAATGTGTCCTGCATGGTGAAATGAGTAGCTGGCCACAGCAAAGGCCCACCATGCCAGGATCTGAGTAAATAGGACCAAAACTAACAAGCTGGTGTTTTTTTTGCACTATCTCCGATCGCATACCGTTTGGCGATGCCAGACCCCAGGCAAACGGAAAGGATTTACATGTATTCTGTTTTGTAGACGGCACGCGCCATCTAGTCGTTACTCAAGTCACAAATGACGTACTTAGCGATTAGCATATAACTACCTCCTTCTCTCTCGTCACCTATCTATGGCCGTTCATCTGTCGAAACCTGTCATTCTAGACCCGTATCCATAAGCCCAGTACCCAATCTCGCATGGCTGTGGCTCTTGATCCCTCACGCCCGAAGTTTAATTAATCTCACCCGCGCTGGCCAGTATGCCCGCTGACACTTCACGTCAATTTCGAGGGGCAGCTTCTGACAAACATCCTTCGACGCAGAGGTCGGGCGTAGCACACTAGACCTTGGGAAAATCTATTCGCGATGATCTCAAATTACTTATTCAGGACCGCCGCCTATCACGAAAAATCAACAGGCTGGATTTCCGCATACAGTGAAAATCTGAAAAATTTAAATATTTGATAAGCTTCGAGATTCTCGAGATCTACCTAAAGCGTTCGCATCAATAATTTTAACGGTTGGCTAGACTGCTCTAAAGCGGCAATACAAACTAAGCTGTTCCTCGCCAGGCGTGCAAATCGCGGCTTGCGTTTCCCATATAGGTATTTTCAGTAGTAGTTGCCATTCCTATCAGCGGAATGCCAACGGAATGCCCTCTTGTCAGAAATTCAGAGCTATGGAACAATTGAGCGCCAGTCTAGACTGTGTCAAACCTAGTGCGACTTCTTCCTTTTGGATCGGCTTGTAAACAATAAAGCAGCGACCTGGCTTACATAAATAAACGAGAGTCGTGGTATGCCTTCTTCTTCGAACCACGGTTCAACGTCATAGGTGCTAGCTGGCCAATTTGTAGCTTCGGCGTATGCTTGCTGCTGGCTCTAACAATTGTGATGCTTCCATGCATCCGTGTCGAGACCCGCAGTGGCTGGATTTTCGCGTCTCACAGGTTGAGTCTCATCCAGCTCAGACGGGTGAAACGATATGTGCGACGCTGGAGATGAGACAGACACGCGTCGAAGCAAGCCCCAGAATGCGGTGCTGGTTTGAGTAACGGAAATGTGGGCGTCGTGCGCGAAAGTAGCCCTGTATAAGAGAAAGGAGGAAAAGACAGTTTTAGCCTCATTTCACGAAATCTTTCTTGTTACAAGATTCTTACTTTCACTCAGCAAGCAACAGTCAAGTCGTCTCGTCAACCGCTCCTCAAGCCCAACTCCCAAACACTCCCTTATCGAAACGCTTTCAGTTTCCGTCCATTCCTTTAGATTCCAATCCTAACTTCCGCTTCCCCTCCTTAGACCTCGTCTTATCGCAATGAAGTTCTCTCAAGTCGCTCTAGCCTCAGCCGTTGCTGCCTCTACTGCCTTTGCTGCTCCAGCAGCCACTACCGTGACCAAACACGTTCATGCTCAACAAACTGCCGTTGTCAGTGGCAGCTTGTACGTGGAAAACGGTTCCACCTTGACTTCCTGGACCACTATCCTCCAGGACGTGCCTGCTACCAGCGCTGCTGCCAGCGCTACAGCCAGTGCCACTGCCGCCGCTAGTTCTTCTCCTGCAGCGTCTTACTATGAATCTGTCATTGTTTCCACAATCGTGGTTTCTGGCAGTCAATCGGCCTCGCCCTCGAGCGCTTCTGTTTCAGAGGCTTCTGCTTCTTACACATCAGAGGCTGCCTCCACTACCTCGGCTGCTCCAGCCTCTACTTCTTCTGTTGCTCCAGCCTCTACTTCTTCTGTTGCTCCAGCCTCTACTTCTTCTGCTGCTCCAGCCTCTACGTCTTCTGCTGCTCCAGTTTCTACTTCTTACTACACACCATCTCAAACTTCCTCATCTGCTGTTCCAGCCTCGTCTTCCTCCGCAGTCGTCGAGAAAGTCGTCGCTCAAACTATTGCTGCAGTTTCTACTACTGCTTCTGAAAGCGCCTCCTCCTCCTCATCATCTTCGTCTTCCACCACCACTTTGGTCCCAGCAACTACTTCTTCCTCTGCCACCACCACTTTGGCTCCAACATCTTCTTCCACCTCCAGCTCGGCTCCAGCTGCTACCTCCTCTGCATCTTCGGACTTCGCCTCAAGTATCCTCAGTGCCCATAACACTAAGAGAGCTTTGCATAAGGATACCTCGAGTTTAACTTGGTCTGACACTCTAGCATCTTACGCCCAAGACTACGCCGACAACTACGACTGTTCCGGTTCTTTGACCCACTCTGGTGGTCCATATGGTGAAAACTTGGCATGTGGCTATTCAGCTACTGGTTCCGTTGAAGCCTGGTACGACGAGATTAAATCCTACGACTGGTCCAACCCTAACTACTCCTCATCTACCGGCCACTTCACTCAAGTTGTTTGGAAAGGTACTTCCCAGGTTGGTTGCGGTATTAAGCAATGCAGTGGTGGTACTGGTGACTACGTTATCTGCTCTTACCAAACTGCAGGAAACTTCCTTGGTGAATTTGCTCAAAATGTCATGTCTTTGAACTAGGCTATTAGATTTACAAGTTTACGGCAAGCCATTTAGACTTCGAATTATAAAAGTCTCTTAGAGAAATGGTTATCGATGTGCTTTAAAATTGTTTGAAGCTAGTTGCAAGTGGCAATTGGCTCTGAACGTTACGATTCTATTTCAAAATGTGCATTAGGTTTTTTTAAGTTGTAGCATATAGTTTGAAACATAAATGCTACCAGGATATACATCACAACGCTTTCATCGTTTGGAATTTGTTTCAAGGATTCATGGTCTACGTCCTTTACCAGCAGCTAGACAACAGAGAACGCTCTGCTATGTATTTAAGTCGCTATGTATTCGAGTAGATGATCCGACCAGGCTGCAATTGGTTTCTCGATGACGCCTCATCTTATATGCGTCCTGGTGCTGGTCACACACGCCGTCGCCGTTGTCGTTTCCTTGATTGACAGCGTTCCAGCACATATAACCACGTCTTACTCAGAGTCTGCGGTCCTTTCGTGGACCACGGTGCGAACCACCATCTTCAGATCCACCATTGTTGATTCAGGGTCTTCAAGCGCGATTGGCCGGTCTGAAACAAAGCCGAGCTCTTCTACGAGCTCAAAAGAAACGACGTCGCTGTCAAGCTCAACACCATCGCATACTGCTTCTAGCTCGAAGATATCCGCGACGACGGCCCCCAGCTCAACTCATACTAGTCCATCATCGTTTCAAACTCAGATTCTTCAGCAGCACAGCGCTTATCGCAAGCTTCATGAAGCCACGGACCTCATCTGGTCGCCAGAACTTCAGGGCCACGCCCAAAGTTACGCAAATAACTACAACTGCAACGGTACGCTCATACATTCCAGCTCTCCCTATGGCGAGAACTTGGCCCTTGGTTTCAACACGACGGGAGCTGTCACCGCCTGGTACAACGAGTTCAAGCTCTACAACTACGAGAAACCCGGATTTTCTGAACAAACAGGTCATTTCACTCAGCTTGTCTGGAAGGCTACCACACAAGTAGGATGCGCTTCCGTCGACTGTGGTGACTACTATGGCCAATACACCATTTGCAACTACAACCCGCCAGGAAATGTCGCTGGACAGTACAAACTAAACGTGGTGGACGGCTAGAGAGATTGAAAGGGTTAGTAGCGAGACCCTGGAACTTGTGCAGGCGTGGATGGGCAAGGAACATCCTGAAACATACAAGGAGAACACTTAGAGTACACACTATCATGTGATTGAAAGAACCGTTGACTTTCAACTTACGGTGTACTCGGCTTGGTACTGAAATCGTTAAGAGTTGGTATTTGCCTAAAAATTTTCCTTAGTCCGCGATCTCGTTTTTAGCTTGAAAAGAAAAAGGCGACGTAAACATAATTATTCTTGATTTCAAACTAAGCACCCAATTGCACGAAAACAAGGCTTTCTGTACCAACTAGACCTCCATAACACTGCGCTTACTGGATAGTACTGGCTTTTTTTTGATTATCGAATTAAGTTCCCGAATTGCTGCTTTTGAGCCCACTTTTTGAGAACCTTTGTAATACCCGTTTTTTTGGCTACCTGTTAACTTGTTGATCTACTATGTCGTACTCTGAATCTGAGCCTGCCGCTTCGGTTGTGGAACCCGAAACCGCTGTTGGAACACCTCCTATTTCCCTGGACTCTTCCTTCGAGGGCAACAGCGCCGAAAGCACTGCCACCGAAACTGGATCAGAAACCGCGCCCGAGGAAGCTGTGAAAAAACCTCTGCCAACCAAAAAAGATTTCCCTTCTCTAGGCTCCGGTGCCTACCTGACGGCAGCTAATAAGGTCTCATGGGGTCCAAATATGAAACCCGCGGCTTCTGCCTCTTCCAATGGCTCATCGGCCGCGAACTCACGTTCTGCCACTCCTTCGCTGTCTGCCAAGCCAGCTCGCTCCACGACTATTCAGGAAGCCTTTTCGTTGGACCTAGAGTCCCAGATCTCTGTTGCGAAGCTGGACTTCTCCAGAATTGTCCAGAGTGTCAAACAAGCACACAATGTCTCCATCGAATCCACTTTGTCCAAGGCCAGTCGTACATTCTTAATTTCCGGTAAACCTCGAGATGTCAAAGCCGCCAGAAGGGATATCATTAAGAAGCTCACCAAACCTGTCACCGCAACCTTTCAAGTCCCTTCCAAGACCAGAGCAGCAATCATTGGGGCCGGTGGTAAAAAGATTCGTGAAATTTCGGATCCATTAGAAGTTAGAATTGATATTGGTAAGGAAGTTAATGAAGACTCTTACGACGAAGATCTAGATGACTCCCTAGTCGACGTTGTTATCCATGGTGACCTAGAATCTGTGAGATTCGCGCAAGAGAAGATTATGGCTATTGTCAGAGAAGATACGAAAAACGCTTCTATCAAGGTTTTCGTCCAGGACAAGAATTTGATACCGTTCATTACCTTAGACTTCCTACAGCAAGAAGTTGAGAGTAAATTTGACTCCGAAGAAGGCAAATTCCAACTATCTGGATTGCGTGAAAATGTGCAAGCAGCCAAATTGTCTATCACTCAATACCTCTCCGAACTGAGCACTCAGATCAAGACTCTGAAGATTAAGATTCCCGCAAAGTTCCAATTCTTGATCGATGAATCGCTTATCAAAGAGAAATTCAACGTTATTGTGAAAGTCTCAAAGGCAGGCGAGGATGAAGTTTCCTTTGTGGGCGCGTCTTCTAAGCTAGACGATGCTATCCATTTTGCGAGAGAGAATTCCAAAAAGTACACCGTCGAATCTTTGGAAATTTCGAAAGCGCATGGAAAGAACGTTGAGCACGCCAAGAACATTGCTCATTACTTCGAAAAGTACAACGTTTTGGATTCCATTAAAGAGAAGTATCCAAATGTGCGCCTAGCTTTACCCTCACCTGAGGAACTAAAGAACGCCGAATCCGTCTTGGTTAGAATCACGTCAACTTTGGAGCATGCCAGCGACTTGAAGGCAGTTCGCAAGGATATCATCAATCTAGTTAATGAACTACCTATTACTCAAGTCTTGATTGTTGACGACTTGGACTACGAACTCTACAGCAAAGAAATAAAGCACTTGCTCATCCAGGAGGAGAAAAAAGCTGGATTTGTTCAACTGGGGGACGTTTATCCAGGTGATGATAGAGTAATTATTGTTGCCAAACTTTCTGACGAAGACTTTAGACCATCAGCTGAGGAGTTGAAGCAAACTTTAGACGAAGTAAACTCATCTCTGGAAACTTTGCGTAACAAACAAAGCAATCTTTCCCTCGAAATTGTTGATGTTACCTATGCGGTGCAAGAATCGTACTTGCAGCCTTCGACCATCGTTCGTGCTCTAATTGAAGAAGAAATCACTTCTCAAGGAGGCCACGCGCAATTCAAGCTTCATCGCCCGTCTGCCGATAAGCTAACTATCAGAGGTGATACTAAGGCCGTTAAAGTTGCCACTGGCGCCATAGAGTCACTTCTGACCAATGGTGAGGAGAAATACGAGGTTAAATTCGATGTCTCGTCCAATGCTGTTCCAAGACTAATTGGATCTAAGGGCGCTAATCTCAATGCTATCAGAGAAAAATACCAATGTAGCATTGATGTAGCTCAAGAAGCTAATAACAACGCTACTGAGGTCACTATTTCTGGCCTCAAGTACTGTGCGGAGCATGCCAAGGCTTACATGATATCTGAGTCAAAGAAGTGGGCCGATGTCATCACGAAAGAACTTAACGTGCTGCCCAAGTTTCGCGGCAAGCTAATTGGATCGCAGGGTACCTACCGTAATCGTTTACAAACAAAGTACAACGTTTTTATTCATTTCCCAAGCGAAGGTGAAAACAAGGGTGTTACTATTAATGGTCCTTCCCGCGGTGTTTCGAAAGCCTACGACGAATTAAAGGCTCTTCTCGATTTTGAGATCGAAAATGGTCACAGTTCTATAATCAAAGTGCCCACTGAGCATGTTCCTCGCGTGATTGGCAAGAGCGGTGATACAATAAATGACATCAGAGCTGAGTGTGGAGTGGACTTAGACTTTTTGCAAAAAACGACAGATGCTAAGGCCACTGAAACCGGCGAAGTCGAACTTGAAATCACTGGTTCTAGACAAGCTATCAAGGACGCTACCCAAAGAGTACAAGACATCATCAAGGAGGCTTCTGACGTTCTAGTAGAGTCGTTCGATGTCAATCCAGATTACATCAGAGATATCGTTGGTGCTGGAGGCCGCGTTTTGAAAGATTTAATTTCAAAAGCTGGGGGTGACGAGATTAGAAACAAATCAGTTGACATTCCGGATGCCAAATCTCAGGAGAAAAAAATTGTTGTGCAAGGTCCTCAAGCATTTGTCAAGGCTTTGGTCAAGGAGATCAAGGCGATCATTGAGGAAAGAGATAACTCTATTGAAAAAGAGGTAGATGTTCCACTAGACAGAGTGGGTGCACTAATCGGCCCAGGTGGCTCGGTGCGCCGACAATTGGAAAGTGAATTCCACGTAAGATTGTTGCTGCCGGAAATTGGCGACAAAGACAGCAAGGTCAAGATCTCTGGCCTTGCCGATAACATAGCGGCCTGCGAAAAGAAAATTTTTTCTCAAATAATCAGAGATAATTGCGATGTGGAAGTTCAAGTTCCTGCATCCTATCATGAGTTCGTCTCCGAAAAAGGTGCTTTCATTCAAAAATTAAGATCCGATTTTTTTGTGAACGTTAAGTTCGGCAATACCAATGGTAAAGCCAACAAGCTAGCTCGTGCTAATTTGTCCATTCCTGTTGATACTGCTACCGGTTCTGACGAAGAAAAAATCAAATTCACACAGGAAGAAAAGCCTTTGGAATTAAATGCGTCCCAAGGCTCGATTCCATGGAGATTATCCTACGAGCCTGTAGATTTATCGGATATCTTAACTCCCGAAGAGCAAGCCAATGAAAAAGAACCAAAGAAAGAAGAAGTTCTGTCAGCTGTTCAAAAGCTAATTGAAGCCAGGATTGAGCTTGCACCAAAAGCATCATTTGTTGGTTACTTGTGGGCCAAGAATTCTCAAGATTTCAGAAAAGTTGTTGGATCGATGGGCTCCAACATCAAGAAAATCAGAGAGGCTACCAACACTTTGATTACTGTACCAAAGAAGGGCGACAAAGTGCCAGATATCATTTACATTAGAGGCACCAAGGAAGGGGTTGAGAAAGCCGCTGATTTGATAACGAAGAAGCTCAAAAACTGATCTTGCATTAGGAACTAAAAAACTGAAAGTTTTACCGTATTATCTGTAAATAGAATTCATTGTTAAGTTCTTTACTCTTTATTATGAAATGATTGATATGAAGTTCAGGATCTGGACTATGTAGCATTGAATGCCGGGCAAAAGTGAAATAGCGTGTGTATAAGTGTTCAAGCACACGACAGCAAATGAATTCAATTGGTGTAGAAATAGACTTAGCCCTAGCACAGGGCTTACCAAGGTCAGTATGGAATTTCTACAGACGACCTCTTCTTTCAAACTTAATCCGTGGCTAGAAAACTAAACGTGGCTTAGCTATCTTTTCAATCAAGCACAGCACGAAGTGGAGTCATTCGTCGATGGCCTTTGAAGTTCAACGTTGAGCGTTTTGCGAGGTTGGGTTGCTGCGGATGCTGCAGATTCCGCGGTTTTCCGCTCATAAACCTTCTCACCCATTTCTTGAAAGATTTTAGCGATACCTGCACCAGTCTTGGCACTAACCTCGTGGAACAGCAAATGCTGCTCCTGGGCATATGTTTGTGCATCGTCGATTTCCACCTGTCGAACTGAAGAATCGGCTTCACAGAGATCTAGCTTGTTGCCCACCAGACATATGACCAAATCCTGGTCGCCGACTTTGTGTTTGAGTTCTTCTACCCAGCTTTGAGCCTTTACCAGCGAACCAGGTTGGGTCACATCATATACTATTAGTGCTGCATTAGCGTTTCGATAGTACATGGGAGCAAGTGACTTGTACCTTTCCTGACCAGCTGTGTCCCAGATTTCGAATTTGATCGTTACATCTTGGTGTTTCTCTAGCTTTACCGTTTGCGATAGAAAGGCTGCGCCTATGGTACTCTCTCTGAACTCATCAAACGAGTCCTTGACAAACCTATGGACAATGGACGATTTACCAACCGACGAATCGCCAAGCAAGACTAGTTTAAATTGTAGCATTCTATGATAATTACCAGGAACTAATGCAAAAGTCAGGCAGCTTTATCGATGATCGAACGTTTTCAAGCTCAAATTGAACTAGTCTCTTATGGGGAGAAGAAAGGAACCTTTAAACATAGTCATAACGTTCATTAAACTATATGTGTCGTATATAGTGACATTGAATATACCTTCAATTAAGGTTCATTAAGATGTGGAATATGGACTTGTATCAGTTTTGATGTGCATCCTGAGAATCATCAGACGACGCACAAAGGAATTGAGATTATTCATCTCCTCGTTTACGTTCTCAGAAGCCAAACAAAAAAATTCTCAAATTTCGGTAATTTCAGACGCTCGGTAGCGTGGCCTTGATGATACCCAGCTGGTCCAGCCTTCTGATCGCGGCCATGATACGCTCCGCCTCGATATGCTGCTCTTCCTCGGTCCAAGAGTCATCCATATTTGCCGAGCTCTTGCTATGGCACGCGGTAGTGATGGAAGTAGACGAATCATTCGCATGCGCGCATACCTTGCTAGATACGCCCTCGCAATCGACAAAAGTCTCTGTAGAATTGTTCGAATTAATTAATGGTTGTGACCGCGGGATCTTTGTAATGTCTTGCGGATACTCCGATGTTGGGGTTTGGATATGAAGGTTAACCTCTTGCAGAATAGCATTGATGGCATCGCGTGTGTCCGAGCATGATATGGAAGAGTTGTGGAGTTCCAATAAATAGCACTTCAAATCCACTTCGGCACCCGGAAGACTCCTGAGGCATGGTGCGATCTGTTCTCGCACTTTGGTGGGCGATTTCAGCACGAACATATGCATTACGTGCAGGATTTGTGGAATCTTGTAGTCGGTCAACGAGCTGTATAGCTCCTGAGAAACCTTTCGTAACCACTGCGTTACACTTTGCTTGAGAACCAGCATCAAGTTAAGAACCATGTCGAAGGTGGCCGTAAGCTTGTTTTCCGGTAGCAGCAGTAAAATGGAACAAAATTGTAGTAAGGTGCCAGAGTAGCTCTCCAGAAGCTGGTGTGATCTATTCCGAAGCGTTACGTTGAGTTGTTGAAGCGAATCCCAAAATACCTCATCAAAATTGTGCGCTTGAGACCCGTAATGATAGCTTACCGCGTACCAGTATTTGCCCAGCTCTTCCAGCACCACTTCGAGAGCCGGATCTGGCGCCGATCCACTAGCAGCGAGAAGCGCGACCAGGCTCTGAAACTTTGTTGGAGCGAGCTGCGGGTCGAAAAGGTCGATATCGCCAGCGCTAGTGATCTGTATTGGTGGTTGGCAGTGTGCCAATAGAAAGAGGACTCTCCACAGCGGGATTTCATGGCTGAGGGCGAAGCCCGGCTGCCGAGAGTCATAGAAGAGGCGATGCTGGACGTCTCGCAAGATGTCGGGCGTCTCGACCAGCACTTGAGCCCTGAAGCTGGGCGTTTTCAGCAGAACGTTGGCGAGGGCCACCGCAACGCAGTCAAGCTCAGGTCCATATGGCTTGTCTCTGAGTCCATGACACAGCGCACTAAGCCGGCGCACGCTGGCGAAGTCGACAGCCGGCTCATTCCGAGATCTGTCCCGGAGCCGGATGCTATTTTCCAACAGAGATTCGCTACTGCTGATTCTCTCGACGAACGCATCCATAGCTAAACCTAACTGACACTGTATGCTTGTAGATTCGAGGATTTACAGCTTTTCCACTAACTTTTATGATCGTCTCGACTCTCACAACGATGTTCGGCGATCTTTTCTAATATATAAACTCGTCTACACTAGCCTTCTTAGTCAGTAACTAGCCAAGACTAAAAACTGCTCAATCTCGCCAGTATCACTGTGCAACAGGGTCACAACTGCTTCAAAGCTTTTATAAGAAATCCGCCGTTCGCTTGCAGCAAGACTGGGCCAACAATCCTCCGTTCTTTCTGTCAGGATAAATCCAAGAGCCATTTATTCACCATCAACGAATCTCTGGCTTCGAGTGTTCGAGGCCTTAAGAACATTACTCCTGCGCAGTTCCAAAAAGGGAAAAAACTCAACCTTCATCTAGCGTAGCGTTGTCTTTTCGATACAGGACACCGGACGTCTTTTCAAATTTGCGCAATAAGGCTCCCGCTCTAGCGTGTGAGCGTTGGTGTAGAGAATGGCGAATATCTGCAACAAGCGCAGCACTTGCGGAAATTATACATTTGCTGGAGATAAGGCTACGCTCCGAACGATAAATGAGCTGTGGAGACCGGAGAACACTACGGGTTACGAGGGTGTTATGGAGACACGTTGGTGTAGTTTCCTCCTCTTAAGAGGGCAAGTCATCATGGCTTTTGTTATTTGTTGATGGTTAAACATTGTAGATTTGGCAAAGCAAACATTATTAATTAATTAATTTTGTTTCTCGCAAGCAGATAACGCTTAACAACTTGAAAAATTGAAAAAATAATGTCAACTATAGCAATACGGCGATGAAAAGCTGGATTCTTGGCGGGTGCTGCCGTAGATCTTTCTATATGCAACGGTCACGATCTGTTGATTGAAGTGCATTTTTTGCAGTCGAGAGGGCTCTTATTCAATTCTGTTGAGAATTTTGCTGTGTCGGCCCATTGTTTGTTTATCGGTGTCACTCATGATTGGTAACAACTCATAAAGACTGCATGAACGCTTTGGACGACGTCTGTACGATCTTAAGAAAGATCTTCCCTAAGTTCGCTTATGTACAGCCACTCAAGATCTCGCGTAGTTAAGCAGATCAATCCTCTGTACGTCCACGCTCTTGGCACCACCATCCATCCACATCCGCGAGCAACATAAACAATATTCACATTAGCGACATGTTCGTTGCAGTGAGTACTATTCGAGTATTCAAATGCTGGAGGGTAACGCTATCGAGCGATTCCATACATGTAAAATTCGAACAATAGCACAATGATGGCGAATGTGCCCAACGTTTGCTCTTCAAGGCTCTGTCATTCACTATGGCCCTCGACATTACCCATGGCACGGCCTGCCAGCTTTCGTTGAGAAGTGATCCCTTGAGCATTTGCATGTCTTACAGCGTGCATCTCCCTCGAATCGAAGCTTCCTGATATCGCAAGTCCCGAGGCGAGTTGTCCAATTGCGGTTTACTAACTCGGCTGGTAACGTATTGGATCCGTACCCCTAAACCATCGAAGAGCTACTATTGTATGTGCCGCGTCAAGAAGCGACAAGACATATTATCACTTTGTCCCTGTGCGTCGCTAAGCAATTATCGCTACTGCACCTCATCTTCAACAACTCACACAAAGGCTCCAGTTTTGGGAATGCAAACCTAAGCATGCGCTCGTGCGCTGAGCCAGCGTCTTCATTTGAGTGTAAACTAGAAACCATAGCGGGACCACAATAAGTATCAAGGAACGATCATTACTACATTTAAGCATGAAGTAGTACAACAAACTTTTCAGACCGGTTTGCTTACGCTCAAAAGCAACAATGCCTAGTTCAAAACGCACAACATGCATATGAACTAAGAATTGCTTCTATTCATATTTTATCATTCTAAAGCTCGCAACGAATGGATTCCGGCTGTGACCGAGAGTCATTTCGAATAAAATAAAAAGTTAAACCGTACTCGATCTCTATTTCCAACCGCACTTGACCTTTATTTTCAACCACACTCGGTTCTTTCTACCCAGAAATCTGAACACACGAGCAACAACGTTTCCTCGCCCCTAAGCATGAATCATAGGTGGTCGTTTTTCATTTCCCGCCATATAGTAAAATAAAGTAATCGTAGTCCCAACAAGGGACGATGCTTTAACGCGTAAATACCTAATTGACAAGTCACTCGTAGTCACAATGGTTTGCTCAAGCGAGTTTTGCCCTTACTGAGTCAAGAGCGGCCTTGAAACATCATCACTGAATACGAACATACTCAAGATACGGTACTTTTCAAAGTCCCCTTTAAACGCAACATTCGCGTCAATTACGATCGTGGAAGTGGTTAATACACCCCTGGTCATAGTGGCCTTTATCGCGCACTATATCGGACCTTCAATCTTATTCACGCGTTAATTCTCGTCTGACGGGACTTTTTTTTGGCTCAAGCTGTGGAAAACTCATTTGCAAAATTTAACCCAGCCAATGGCTGTTCAAGATATTCTCTACTAATTAGTAGGTTTAGGACCCATTCTCATAGTCTGTTGATTGGCACAATTGATTGTTTAATCGACTATGTTGAGATCCCGTAATGGTGCTACATGTGCTAGATTAGCTAGAACGGCGCGTTGCGGCCATTTCTCGCGCAAAATGGCAACTTTTCAAGGCGAACCTTTGAAAAGATCTCATCCATTGAGAAACTTCGTGATTCGCGCCACTTTGGCCATTACTGGGTTTTACGCCGGTGGAGTTGCTCTATCGGTGTACAGCGACCAGTTCGGCGAGTTGTTCTGTGACAATGTGCCGTTGGCAGAGGAACTGGTCGAACTTTACGAGTCCTACCGAGACGATTCTTTCCAAGCATCCAGAATGTCCCTGGAAGATCTAAAACAAAAGTTTGGCGAGCTAGGAACCAAGACAGACCAGATCCCTGCCCGCGGTGCCGATTCCGTGTTGACCACGGAAAAATTCGCCGCCAGGCCTGCAACTCCGGAGATCAAGGTCGAGCAAGAAGCTTGTGTAAAGCTCAGATTACCCACCGTGGATATCTGCAGTAACTCAGACCCTCGAAGCGAGCCTCTGTTGCAGGCTGTTAACGCAGCTGTCGACGAGATCAACAGCATGTCTCTTTTCCTACCCGAGGACACATATTCTGCTGTGTCCGACGCATACAATAAACTAAACACCGCACTTCAAGAACTAGACCGTAACTTCCAAACCGACTTAAGTGAATCCTTGGCTCGCCAATACGGGGAAGCCTCTGAGGATTTGAGGCGTAGTTACGAGCTCAGGCAGAAGGCTCGCGAGCTTGAATTAACAGAACAGTTTTTGAATGAATTCAATGCATTCAAGTCACAACTTGAAAAGCGTTCTTCTGAAGAGCTTTCCACCTCTTTGAAGGCAAACGAGCAAGCCTTGTTAGCGAAACAAGCTAATGAGGTGGCTCTTCTGTCCATCAAGCAGGTTGAAGAATTTAACAAAATTCTGGCAGAAAAATTGGACCAAGAAAGACAAGGAAGATTATCGAAACTCGAAGAACTTGACGGTTCCGTCAAGGGACTGACCGAAGCTATCGATCAAGTCGACACTTTAGTGATTAAAAGCGAAGTTGTTAGCCAGCTTACGCTTTTAACTACGCTCTTGAAAAGTAAACTTCGTTCTGGTTCGAACAGTAGCGTACAAATCGACTCTGAGTTGGCCAGGCTCAAGACTCTGTGCGAGATTCTGCCAGGTGGGCCTTCAAAATGCTGCAAGACGAAAAATCCACAACTTCTGGACATAGTGGTTTCTCAATTAGAGTCATTGGCGTCCAAGCAACAAATTTTGTCAAATGAGCAGCTCTACAGCAGATGGACTCTTTTGCAAAAAGACTTGACAACGTCGTCCTTACTGCCCCCAAATGCAGGTATTTTGGGTCATACAGCCGCGAAGATTTTCAGTCTCTTTCTGTTCGATAAGAGTGGTGCGCCTGTCGAGAACGACATCGATAGCGTAATTGCTCGTGTTGGCACGAACTTGACACTTTCGAAATTGGACAAGGCTGTTGAAGAGGTCGTAGCCTTGAAAGGCTGGCCTCGTGTTCTGTGTGATGAATGGGTCCAAGAAGCTAGAATGAAGCTTGAGATAGAGACTCTTATCGACGCTCTAGACTGTGAAGTAAGAAGCCTGTAAACCGAAGAGAGTTGGAGATACTCGAGAATTGTTGAAAGATAAATTAGCTGTTCACTCACTGAAGTCTTAAGATCTCATTTGGTGAATAGAATTCGACTCAATCTAGTTGAACATAGTAAACCCTTGCGATGACCACCGCTCATCAATTAACATTCTTATGAATAATATATGTAATCCTAAAAATCACTGTACACGCAATTGAAATTAAATGTCAAGTTTTGATGTATACTACAGGTTTTTATATGTTTTGATAGATTAAACTCCTGAGCTTTCTGAACCGAGACACAATTGGGCCAATTTGAATGTCAAATCCTGCGCTACAAGTTTACGGCGGTGATGAAATATCTGCGGTAGTGATCGATCCGGGATCTCATAGCACAAACATCGGGTATTCTGGTACAGATAACCCACAGCTAAACATCCCATCATGTTATGGGCAATACACCGGGGCAACTAAAGAAGGACAAAAATCGTTCAATGACCAATTCATGGGCCTCCCACGGCCAGATTTTGAGATAAAGCCGATTGTGGAGAACGGATGCGTAATAGACTGGGACGCAGCTCAGGAACAATGGACATGGGCAGTTCAAGAACAGCTGAAGTTCGACACCTTCAGAGGTACTCCAGCTTTTCTTACCGAGGCAATTTGGAATTCTGAGGACAACCGCAAAAGATCGCTTGAAGTTTTGTTGGAGGGAATGGAGTTTGAAGCGTGCTATATAGCACCTACTGCCACCTGCATATCATTTTCTATGGGCAGGCCAACTTGTCTTGTGGTAGATATTGGTCACGACGTATCGAGCGTATGTCCTGTAGTAGATGGGATGACTCTTTCAAAAAGCTCTACACGAAACTTTTTGGCCGGCAAATTCTTGAATAAGTTGATCGAAAACCAATTGAAACCTCGCGAAATTATACCTCTGTTTAGGGTTGCGCAAAGACGGCCAGAATTCAAACCCAAGCAGTTTGATTTTGAAGTCAGCAAGTCTGTCGACGATTTTGCCAATAGCAGGGGGTTCTTACAGGAGTGTAAAGAAACTTTGCTGCGAGTGGCACCTACGGATTCAACGAAATTCGTAAGTGAGGTTGAAAATATGTCTAAGAGATCAATAGAAGCTCCTTGGGGTGAGAATATTGTATTTGACAGCAAGACTAGATTTTCTTTTGCAGAGCAACTCTTCAAACCATCTAATGATCATATACCCACAGGCTGGCCAACGTCAAATGGTGTAGTGGAAACGTGGCACAATGACTACGTACCAATGAAGAGAGCCAAGCCGAATGTTGGAAATAAAGACAAAGAAGGAACAACAGATTCCACGCCCGCTCCTGAGGAAATTAAGCCCGAAAACACAGCAACAGAGGCAAACGAGAACGGTAAAAGACCTTTAGAGGAATCATCAGAAGTTCCCCAAGGTATCGCAGGACTTGGTGACCTAGTGAATGCAGCAGTTATGGCCACAGATGTTGATCTGCGAGCCACCCTTGCACACAATTTAGTAGTGACAGGAGGCTCATCTTCTATTCCTGGTTTAACCGATAGATTGATGGCGGAACTCAATAAAAAGCTGCCAGCGTTAAAATGTCGCATACTTACTTCTGGCCACTTAAGAGAAAGACAATCAAGAGCGTGGCTAGGTGGAAGCATTTTGTCAAGTTTAGGCACATTCCACCAGCTCTGGGTCGGAAAGCAAGAATACGAAGAAGTAGGTGCTGAAAGACTGTTAAAAGACAGATTCAGATAATAAATTAAATAAAACTCATGTAACATATACTGAAAAGAATGAACAAACCTTACGAACCTTTAATAGTAACCAGACTTTAAATGCAATCGTATCTTGCTTAAGATTTTCAGCCGCGGGGAACACAAATTCTCTTGCACAAAAGATCGCGCCCGCACTCGGATAATGCTCGATTTCTACTTTGCACAAATCTTGCCTTATTATAAAATTCAAGTTTCCTGGCAATAATATCGTGAGGATCTTTGACCTGTAGTAGTTGCGATAAGTCCTCCACAGCACTGACCAATAGTGCTTGGTTATCGACAAAAATTTTTGTTAAGTTATGAGAAGGGTCAGAATAAAAGGCCACCGGAAATGACCACTTGAGAGTAGTCCTTCCTTCAATTAAGGACCTGATGCTCTCGGGTAGAAATTGAGTTTCTATCCAAGAAATTCCGATATTTTCCTGGAGGGCTCTTACTTTCTGCTCCACAGCTAGTCCTAAAGCCCAATCTAATTTGGAGGAGTTTTCATGCTCACTGAATAACTTATAGTAGAATGTGTACTTTCTCAGAGAGTTCTTGGTTTCTGTGGCCCCATTTTTTTCGTCTTTGCTGAACCGTGTGCATTCAAAGAAGCCACCGCCATGTCCCTCCCATGGCAGCTCACATATCCAACAAAACTCATACTCACAGCTCTGGCAGGTCATATGGTTGCAACCGCCATTTTTTTCGATATTTACACCACATTTGGGACATTCTTTGGTATTTTTTAGAACCCAGTTAAGATTAGCAGACTCTAGTTGTGCCATTTTGACCCATACTTCGGCCACCTGACAGTCCCCAGGCGCGTGTGACTCCAAACCACATTTGAAGCAGAAACGATGATGGTTGTTACAAACAACGAAGGGGGATAAGTGGAACCGAGGAAACTCAGAGAGCGCAGAGATATTGGTTACCTGAATAACACAATTGCAATCTACGAAGGGGCACCATTTATAATGATTATTGTGTTTGTGAATGAACCCTTTGATAGAAGACCTCATAAGAGTTTGGCTTGAATTGTCGCCGACGATGGCGTCTATGTCAGGATTTTTCAAAGCCAGCGAGCAGCTCATACAACTTATGATCTTCCCTTCGAGCAGTTTATCTTTGATGTAGTGCTTGTAGCATTCTATGCAATATTCGTGGCCACACTCAAGACGAAAAGTTCTCTGTTTATTGGACTCGCAGCATATATTGCATACAAAATCTGAATGATCCTGTATACCGCGAGACCTGTTGGAGCTAGTAGCAAGTTTCAATCCACAGGAAACAAGCACTCTCTCTTGATCTTCTGTCCAGTCCTCCAAGAGCCGTTCTTCACTCCAGCCGTACTTTTGTAGCATCACTATAATATCTCCATAAGAAATCTCGAAGATAGGTTGTATTCGTTCCAGTCTCGCTAGTATTAGGTCGAACATTTGATCAGTTGTCAGGCAGCTATAAGCAAGTTTCGGTACTCCGCTGCTTTCGTATGCCATTTCTGTCAAGCCGCGGCCCCATGATGGTTTCTTCTGGTCTGCATCTAAATAACGGCTGCCACCTGTATCCTTTTTATCCGAAGGTCCGTCACTGAATTCATTGACTTCGCTGTAACTGTGAGATGAGTCTTCATCTACTTCACCTAATTCATCAATTTCAGAATCACTCTCAAACTCTAAAATCACAGAATCTTCATCTCCGTCAAGATAGTCTGATAGTTTGACGCTGTAAGCCATCTCGCTCGCCTCCAGGTAGTTCAGGCAGAAGATCAGCTTGCTTCTTAGGGCTTTCGTTATATAATGTCATTTGTATAACATGTACGTTTCGTTTAAGATGATATATAGTGAGGTGCCGACTGCTATCGGTTAGGACTGTAGTCTATCGTGTGCGGCCTTAATAGTCATACCAATACGAGTGCTTAGTTCGTAGTCATCCGCATAGTTCTGGGCTCTCGTTATCCACATTTGGCACTCTTTTAGCCCATCAAGTCCCTTCAATTTCCATGTGAACAGAGCACGCTCATAGAGAGCGGTTGGATAAGCCCAAGGATCTTCAGTCTTTCGTATATACTTGAACTTCTCAGCCGACTCAATCACAATAATATGCGGCAAAACATGCTTGTCCAAAAGTTCGCAACCTTCTTCCAATTTGCCGAGTCTCCGCAAAGTAAGAGACACCAGAAGATTCCTTAGGAGTTCCTGGTCTGGATCTTTGGCATCTACCATGGGATTTTTGTACGTGGTGAGCAGGGTATGTGAGAGAGTGAGAGCCTCTTCTGTCATTCTGTTGTAACCATTGTAAAAATACATTAATTCATGAACTGGAGAAGTCCCGATAGCATCGAGTGGGTCATCTACGTGAAGCTCAGTTTGGTTTTTTTGGAATTGGCCAACCTTTCTTAGCATGAAGCGTTCCAGTGGCATATTTTTGGCCATGAACTTCTTCCTTCCGGCGAGTTCTGGGGAACCAAATATCAGTTCTCTCGCGCGCTCTTTGAAAAAAGCCATCTTGGCATCGTCGAAAAGTCCCATTTGACACATCCTGTACATTTCCAAGTAACAACAGCCTGCGAAGTAGGTGTATAACGAGTGAGACCATTCGCTCACGTCTAAAAGTGAAAGTAAATCTTCAGCAGCCCTTTCAAATTTGTGCAGATTAACAAGAATCATAGCTCGATCGAATATCATTAAGGCCTTGACTTGCTTCATCTCTATGCCATTGACATCGATCGAATCCATCAAGTCGACTGCGTCTTGAGGCCTTCCCTTCGAAGATAACATCCTCGCTTCTTGCAAAAGCCACAGAGCACCGTTTGGAAATACAGCTCTGGCTCGCAGTAGTAAATCTTCTAGTTTTTTTCCAGGATGAAGGAGTGTTGGCCCATCAAGGTCATTGGACGAAGTCTTTGCGATTTCGCCACTGGTTGGAGGGATGTCGAAGTCTACGTCCGTGAACTGGAAAGGACCATCGTAGTAGAATAATAGAGACAAAAGACCTATTCCACCATGTATATTACGATCTCTTGAAGATCGCCAGATCATTCGCAGGCCTTCTTCTCTCGATCCGTGGAATCCAACAACAGAAAGCACGGCACCAATAGCTGGTGGGATAAGGGAAAGGACAACTTGCAAAATGCCAAAGCACAAATTGACACCCGAATGAATAAACTCGTCTATTGTGGCTTGATCTTTGTCTATTTCTTCTTGTGACAGGGAAACTGGTTTCTTGACTCTTTTTTTGCTTGACAGATCTCTTACAGCCTGCAAACCCAGGTCTGTTCTAAGCCTCTCGGCAGCAGGCGAGTTGCCAATATGTGCGCCTTGTAGTCTTTTCTTTCGCATGTGGTATACATCTTCTGCTAACTTCATCAACTCACGATCGTGTTGCTCCTGAGCCGTTAATTGATAAGGAAGGTCTACGGAATTAAAGGTCGTAGTATCATCAGCAGTAAAGGACGCAAAGGATTCGTTGGCATCTTGGGCGTACAAAGGTGACTTAGCCTTCAATTTGGCAGCTTTGATGTCGTTCAGAACCTCCTGTAGCATGTGGTAGGCCTTTCTCAACTTAAACAATGCTTTTGCACTTTCCACCATGCTCTCACTGAAAAGCATCAGTAAGGCGTGGAGCAAACAAGCTTCCGTAAATGTGACAGCATATTCAGTTCCTGGCGGATACAACGAGCTCGTTTTTAAGTTGATTTTCTGGAAGTACTGCCTTCTTTTTTGAGATAGTTGTTGCGCCTCTGCTAGTGTTGCTGCGGCCTTTTTCATGACGCTTGATTCGAATCCAAGAGTGGCTTCCAGGAACTCTATTACACCGCGTGCCAACACGCTGACACTACGATCATCACCATCCGCGCTGTTTTCAGCCCCTTCCAAGAGTTTCATGCCCTTTCCTGGATGGTCATCCAGGACATAATCCATTGCTTGCAATGCTACCTCAAAGTCATGAGCTTGGCTAAGGATTTTCTGGCTTCGTTCTTCTTGACTAATTTCTGCATAGTTTCCAGAGCCGGTAAGGGCACCTATAACTCTGAACATTGTGCTATGAATACGCTTTCCCCAGACTATAATAATGTTAAATTTCATGATTTGATCTCTATGTTAAAAGTACCTTGGCAAAAATACAAACACGTGATTATAACGTATTTTGGCAGGAGAAGAGTTACTCTCCTTATAGTTGCCAAAAAAGTTCATTTTGTTACAGTTGAGCACGCTTGAGCTCTTTTTTCAATGTTTTCATTTCTTGCTTCATTTGTTTTTGCTTGTCCTTACGCTTCAATCCCAGCTGTGCCTCGTTAGGCACATTTATAATGAATCTATCAACACTTTCCCACACTCTAGGTTGAATTTTGGAAGGTAGTTTCCGCCCATACAGACTTTGATCCACAAGCCACATGCCCACAATGAAAGATTTTCTCTCCAGGGTACCGTCGCAGCGAGTATCCACCATGTCGTAGATAGTGGCAAGTTTGTCTTGCGGCAGGTTGCTCCTGCTCCAGATTGCCAGCACTACCAAATTCAAAATTAAACCTTCATCTGGTACATATTCCTCCCGAACATGATCTTCCTCCCACCAAGGGAGTAGCTCGAGGTAACAATTTCGGTTCGTTACCCACATTCCTTCGTATCGTTTCCGTTCAGCTTGTGTAACAAACCCAATATCGATGTGGCTCTTCCACGGCTTGTCCTCGTTAAAGCCCTTTTTTTGTGAATTAGTATGTCCCGATGCTTTCTTGATGTGTTTACGAATGCGAACTCGACTTCTCTTAGACTTCTTTTTCTTGCCCGTACCATTAAAATCATCGTTTTCAGAACCGCTTTCATATTCATCACTACTCTCTTCAGGGCCAGACTCTTCGTAGTTGTTGCTATTTGTTCGCATTGTGGTTTTCAAACGTATGGGCTGGTTATTTTTTGCCACTGCTCCATTTTCAGTGGCAGCACCATTGCTGCTGCTAGTATTATCCGGTTCGCCGGATTTGTTCTTCCTTCCAAAGATAGAACTTAATCGGCCCTTCTTTTTATCTCGCTGATGATTCGGTATCAAGTCCGGTAACGTACTATGATTTCTAATGTGAGGTGGGCGCTTGGGAAGCGTGTCACAAGACAAGCGATCTGAGTTAGCATCAGCTATCCCGCTGCTTTGGTCTATGGAAGACCTTGCTAATTCGTGTCTATAAGAATCTACTCGCGGCGAAACGCTGAATTCGGAGAATTCTTGATCGCTCGAAGGCTCAACACCTGCCGAGGGTAAGCCAGAAAATGCGGAAGATTGCATAGAAGAGATTGATATGTTATCATCAGACTCCTCTTTTGTTTGACCTTGAGGTAATGGCCTCTTAGCGGTCAGTGTGCGACTAGACATTGCCTTGGCAGAAAGAAAGACAGGAGACTCCTGTGGCCTGCCAGAAGAGCTATTTTCAAGTTCGCTTAATTGAGAACCAACCACTCCTTTCCCATTGCGAGTTGTTTGTCTTGACAGAAGCGGCGGACCGCTTTGCCCACTTTTAGAAGGGAGACGATTCACATCATCCGAGCTAGTGTTCAATGAGATAACGCTGTCTGTAGAAGTATTGGCTCTCGGGGACAAGCTTCCAGATATACCATGTCTGCCGTTCTTGTAAGGAGCCAAATTATCTTTGCTCCCCTGCAACTGAGCCACAATATCAGCAAAATCATCCGTCTGTGAACTCTTTGTAGAGACATGACTGTGTAGAGAGTCGGAAACAGAACTGCTTCTATGAGGTAAAGTTACTGGAGGAGTCTTCGATTCATTTGAAGGAGAGCCCCAAAAGCGACTCAACCTCGTAGCTTTCGACTTGTTCTGAGGCTCCACCGTGATTATGCTCTTTTGCGCAGTAGCTGCAGCAGCTTGAGCTGCAGTGAGAGTACTCTTCGAAGCGCTCTTGCCCGGAGGTAGTACTTTTTTACAGGGTCGAGGGTGGGGGACTGCAATCACAGCCTTTGGCTTCTGGACAACGTTTGGTGTTTGCTGCCTCGATCTAGTAGCCCTCCTCTGTTGGCTCTTCACAGGTGCGTAACTTGGAGAATCATTCCTAACTACTGGGGCTTCATGTTTCTTGAAGATGGCCTGTGCAGCTTTTAGCGAGGCATCACTAGCCAAACGATCTTCGTTTCCGGAGATTGGGCCGTTGACAACAGGCATAGATCTTTTGCGAGTCCAATTAAAAGCCATGTCGCCACAGGTTGGTAGCGGCCTTCACGAGCGAGGATGTCGTTATCAAAATTGATCTTCAACTAGAGGATTTCCTCACTGAAAACACTCCTGATTGTCGCAGACAACTTGTATAAGGTGTATAAAGGTTTTAAATGATGTTCCGTTGTTTGCAAACCTTTGGGAAAGTTTTCTTTATCCTAGTAACTGTTTTGAGTTTCAATCAGAATGTATTGTAAGTGAATTTCAAAGGTGGTTTCCTAAGTGTTAATCAAAAACCCTGGGTTGACAAATACGAGACCTTTAAACTCCGACATATGGCAGAACAAATCACGCACAAACGCCCAGTTAGGATACACATAGATAGAGATAAACGCAAGCAGCTTCATGATTACTATAAACTAAAAGAGGCTCATCATCGTAATGGCAACATTGAACAAGTGGAACAGACCGATGCTTCTGACGCTACCGAGGAAGGTGACACATCAAGTTCACAATCTGTGAGTCCTGTTCCTGGGATTTCACAGAGTACCTTAGCGCAATTAGTTCATACTCACAACGCCCTTCTTAGCAAGAAGGCTGAAATGAACAATACGATCAAAAACACGATTTACGAAAACTACTACGACTTGATAAAGGTGAATGAGCTGTTGCGCAGCGTTGGCGATGATGGAAAGGACAATTTAGATCAACTAAAAGGGGTTTTGAAGCTCTTGGAAGAGTAAGCTAAATCCAGCATTCGAAGGTCATGACGATTGCTGATGGGCTGCTTGAAGCGAAATGTACCTCCTCCTAACTCAGGGAAATTTGACTGCTAGTCATTTTATTGTTCCTGATGCAATTTAGGTGATAGCGGACAAAGTGCATATTAGAGGAAAGTTGAGAGAAACCATGAATTAGTGCTACGAGGTCGCGCGAAGCCAGTCGCGCTGTTCAGCATACAAAGCATGATGTTTCAACGAAACTGGAATGAGCTCAGAAGATGAACAGCCGTAACGATTAAAGAATATATTCAAGCCATGGCATTCATCACCGGTAACACTCTATATGTGTCACGTGATGGTCAACCATGATCAACGTATCCTAGAGGAGATGCATCTTGCTCCTCTTACATAAGTCTCATACATTTATTTGATGCGCATTAACCTTCGGTGGTGGTCCGATGATTTCAGTACCACTTCCTATCCTCACTGCTTTCTCTTTTTTTTCAGACATAATTTCAACATCAATTTGACGATCATCGATTAAAAATGTAGACGATCATAATTGAATAATAACTCCTTTTATATATCAGGAAATACTAATGAAGCCGAACATGAGTGGGACTCTGGACATGGTGAACTCGCCAGTCTTTCCAGTAGAGAAAGATTTGGAAATTCCAGACTCTGCTATTCCATTGAATCAAACGACATCCATTCAGGTATATATTCAGCTGGCTGAACCTGCAGTGTTCTTACAAGGATTCGAACAACGTCAATGGGAAGAAAGACCTCCAGGACTTTTGAGAGGATCCCTCATTTTGAGAGTGCTTAAACCGAGTAAAATAAAATTGATAGAACTCACCTTCAAAGGAGTCTCAAAAACGGAGTGGCCGGAAGGGATTCCACCTAAAAGACAAGAATTTCTTGAATCGCTAGACATCGTGAGCCATACATGGCCCTTTTTTCAACTAGAACATAATAATGTCGCGAACAGCAGCTCTACAGACCCGGATGATTTGTTGAAAGGAAGTGCCGCTGCTGTGTATCGCCCATTGAAGAGAAAAGCAGAAAGCGTAAGTTATTTCAATTTGAATCCTGTTGCGTCCCCAAACTCGTCAAAGACTCAGGGTTCAAATTTTCTACCGATAGGGGGGATGCTTCGAAAGGCAACTTCGCCTGATGCCCACCCAAACCGGCAATCACGATCCAACACTAATGCACTATCCGACCTACTTACGGGGACACTTTCAAACAATAGTGATTCTGCATCTGTTTTTTCTAAGTCTTCAAGCTCAGGTAACGAGCCATTTATTTTTCAGCCTGGCGACTATGTATATGGTTTCGAACAAACAATCCCACTATCATGTCCGGAAAGTATTACGGCATCTTTTGGGTCGGTCGAATATTACCTGATGGCCTCAATAGAGCGTTCGGGTGCATTTAAGTCAAACATACATGCAAGACTTCCCGTTAGCATGATAAGGTCTCCTTCTGACTCCTCGGTTGAAGAGACGGAGCCCATAGCTATATCTCGTGATTGGGAGGATCAATTACATTATGACATTGTAATTGCTTCGAAAGATATTGTGCTTGATGCGTTTTTACCAATAGCCTTTAGAATCACTCCTATCAACAAAGTAACGCTCCACAGAATAAGAATTTATCTCACAGAAACAATGGAGTATTACTGCAAAAACAAGAAGGTGCACCGCTTAGAACCTACTAAGAAATTTTTGCTTGCTGAACACAAAGCTCCACCCTTGGAAGACCTTCCCAATGGAGCTAGCGCCGCTAAGGCTAAAAATCTTGGCAACCTTTTGTTGGACGAGTATGGGGATTTGGTTTCAAAAGAATTTGAGTATCAAGTTTTTATTCCTGAGAGACTCAACGTTCAGCAACGGATACACCCAGATACATCTTATCAAAACATAAAAGCTAACCATTGGATCAAAATATGTTTAAGATTATCTCGCCTAATAGATGGGAAGCGGAAACATTATGAAATCAGTATCGACTCACCTATTCATGTTATGAACCGGTTGTGCTCCCATGCTAATACATTGTTGCCGAGTTACGATACTCATGCTTTGATTCCTGGCACTGACTGCTCTAAATTCGGAGACCTTAATGTCAACCTATATCATGTCTCAAATCTTTATTTCCCCAAGGAAGTTATTAGATCACCGATACTATCGCCAGAAGTGCAGCCTTTGGAGGAACGTGGTGGGGCGTTTTCTCCTAGGTCATTAAGCCCGATTCGTCACGGAAGTTCAGGCCTTAGCCTTCACCAAAAGAAACATGATGAACATCAGAAAACAATGAACGATTTCCTCTTGAACTCTCCTGAACTAAAATCTAATCTGTATCAGCCTGGAAATCTAAAGCCGGAGTTAACTTCCCCCCAAGCAATTCCTCTTTCGCCGATATCCTCCCCGTTAGCTAGGCCGATTCATTTACTTAGACGACCCAGCTTTGAACCACCACCATTCGATGCAGAAATTGCTCCACCGCCTCATCAAAGCTTGAGTTTGGACTCAACGTTGCATCTTGATGCACCCAAGGATCCACCAAGTTATGAAGAGTATCTGAATGCAGAGGGGATAGCTCCGAATACGAAACGCCCCTCATTCATGGTTACTGGAGTTGATGGAGTGCGCTTACAGCACAGATTGCCTAAAAATAATTCAGGGAAGAGCGCAGAGAGTCTAGAGAATGATATCGCTTCCTCGTTTGCTTTTAGTGGTTCGTCTCCTGGATCGCCCGATCTTCCGAGCTCTATATTCAAAGAGCATTCGCCAAAATTGAAGCCACTGAACTTAGCGATAAGTGCAAGTAGAAGAGGAAGCATTCAAGATAACTTACCATCTACAGTCAAAAACTCCAGTGAATCGTACAACGACATGAACAGTATCTTTAATCCTCCAGAAAGAACTAGTGAGAGAAATACATCCAGAAGTCAATCATCGTCGGTTGCAACCTCCCCACGGTCTTCGATTGACACAAACACAGACTATATGGCCCGTGAAGGCACTGCAAATAACATGGCATCTCTTATGAATTATCGAACTAATCAAACCACCGATACGCTATTACAATCTAAGGATTCTTTTGCTGGATACGACGACTCAGCAACAGATGCCTCTGTTGACATCACTGCTCTTTATGACCGAAACAGCAATAGCTGGCACCCTTTGCAAAACGAAACAGCTGGATCCCCACATCCAATCAGGGATTACTCTCTTGGAGTTGCCGATGGGAACAGCGTCTTTGAGGATTTCAAAACAGCGTTCAAAATTCCTGCTGGATCAGGAACACTTAGAGCCAGGCGGAATCCCGTCCAAGAGTCAAATGCTTCCTCAATTTCTGCAGGGTCTGACACTAGTCCAGGAAATTCCACTATTATGAGTTCGATTGACAATAGAAATAGTGAGCTTCCTTGAGTCATATTGAGTTTTTTTACCGCTACTCGGTAAATTATACACTATGTTTATGTCTATTGAGGTATTACATAAATGGTTTATTTTAAGATTTCTCGTAATCAATTGATATTCTAAATCATCTATCAAGTGAATTGAGAACAGTGGCTAACTCACTAGGAGTGTATTTGATATGCTTCCTCGGATTTTTAAACGAATCTTTGTAACGTCCATGAAATCTCTCATATAGAGGCAAAACTAACGAGTTGACTTCGCTCTTCAGAAGCTTTTTCATGGTTGGATCCGAGATTCTAAAGTGCTTAAAATTTGACGCCAACTCTTCGAAGCCATCATTGAATTTCTTGAATTTTTCTTTGATCTGGTCTTTGTCCTTGGACGAAACTTTGCCCGAGCTATCAACGAAAACGGCGTCAAGTAAATTTGATGTAAGCGTTCTCCAATCCGAAACAAAATAGCTGACGTACCGCTTCTTTAATTTTTCCAGACGAGCATTTCCTTGCTCACCAAGAATTGAACTGAGCTCAGACCTTGAAACAATTTGTTCTATAAGTGTAATGTTAGTAATGAGAAAAAACCCAATGCGCTGCTTATAAGTGTTGCGGGCGCTATTAGGATTCGCAATATCAGGCTCATGGTTGGGCATCAGTAATCGCTGAGCTCGTCTCTCTAACGAAACCACCAGGCAGTCAATGCAGTCACTAAAAAAGCACGAAAGCAACAGCGCAGCTTGTGTTATGGCCTGGCGATCTTGTAAGGTGTATTCCTTCTCGTTGAAGTCTTTGGGTAACCATTCGTCTCGCCTCATTCCTGCCACACAGTTCAAACATCCCTGCTTGTATTCGCTAAATTTTCGCAGGCGAGACATCACATCGATAGTCGATTCGATGACACCGTTGTCGCTTGGCAGTTGTGAAAGTTGTGCCGCTTTTCCTTCGATGTAGCTTATTAGATCTCGAAACAAGGAGTAAAGAATGGATGTAGCTTCCTGATGGCACTGTTCCAGTGCCAAGTTATTTTCTAGCGGCTTGTTCTTTATCAATTTGAGGACGCTAGCGATACACTCAGCTAGCTCAAAGGTGAATAAGCCAAAGTTGGACAAATTTGACTTTATGAGATTCAAATTCAAACTTGTCAACTTCACATAGTTGCTCATTATTGGAGCCATTATGCTGGCAAAAACTTCAGCTTGCGAATTGGGATTCTGAGGGTATAGATCACCTGTGAGTGTATATTCGTTAGCGATGAATCCAAGCAGTGCCTCGTTGTAGTTTAAGAAACCACTACTTCCTTTGCGGTAAGGCACGTTAGGATTATCAGTCACTTGTTTCACAAATGGCTCCAAAAATGCCAAACTTTTGAGAATGAGCTGACTCCTATTGTTTGCGATAATGGCTGTCACAGATGGCCCCCCAGATTTACCAAAATAGCTTAAGATGCTGGTCAATTCAGCAATATCCTCGTCTTCGTAGTATGGGAAGGGGACTTTGTTATTTAGCATAATCTGCGGATCGAAGGGTTCGATCTTACGCAGTATTGAAGTGACATAAGCCTTCAGTTCATCTTCGCTTGATTGCACGATTTGTGAGAGATGAGTTCGTACGCCCTGAAATTCATTAGATTCTGGGGACATTTCCTTCTGATAGTCCATGCTGTACTGTATGTCCTGGAGCTTGCGAATTGCTTTGATGTACGGGCGTAAACCCACTTTGGAAATTCCCTGCGTGAGGACCAACTCGTGTTTGGAAGCATCGTTCGCCAAGTCTTTGATGGAGGAGATTGCTTCAAGACTGCTTTCGATGTTTTTCTGCAGAATTCCAAGCCTAGTATTAGACTGCACAATCGGTGTGAATAATTTGCTTGACTGAATCGTTGTTCTTCCTATATTTTCGAGTGATTTGTTAATTCCTAGTGAAAGGCGAGAAAACTTGTCTAATTTATCGCGTAGTACCAGCACATCTGCACCATCAACATCATACTTAGACATTGACATACTGAGCACCCCAACTGAGCAGTTATATCGGCAGTCAGGTCTTTGAGTCGAAAACAACTTCAGTAAAATCTGGAAAAGTGAGCAAAACCTCTAGGCCACTGGTGAGCTCAGTAATGAGCTATGACAAAATGTATAGTACTGTGGAGTTATATCTCATTAAATCTACAGATTATCGCCATCACTGTAATTAAGAAAAATAACATGCTCATGAAAAAACATAGATTTCAACGTTTTAGAGCTATAACATCGGCAACCTATAATGTCGGCCAGTTCTGAAAGCTGTGAACAACTTGTCGCAGATCTTGAAGAAGCATCACGGCTTCCAAAAAGAGGGAGAGCTTATAAGAACTGGTGCCAGATCTCGAACTGCGATCATAAGGTTGTCAGTTGGAAATTCAACGAGTGGGACTATGGCAAGAATAACATTAAACTACCGATAAATGCCCGTGGATTGTTCATTGTTGATAGCAGAGATCACCCGCGCATCGCAGCTCGAGGTTATGACAAGTTCTTCAACATAAATGAGGTTAATTTTACATCATGGGAATGGCTCACTTCCAACACATTAGGACCTTTTGAGATCACAGTGAAAGAGAATGGGTGTATTATATTTATTTCAGGCTTACAGGACGGGACACTGCTAGTTTGTTCGAAGCATTCCACCGGTGCCAGAGACGACATCGATCGAAATCATTCAGTTGCCGGGGAAAAGTTTTTGGAGTGCCAACTCAAGACTAAAGGTATTGATCCCAAGACGCTAGCGCTAGCTCTTTACAATGAAAATGTGACGGCAGTAGCGGAATACTGTGACGACAGCTTCGAAGAGCATATTCTCGAATATACTAAAGAAGCTGCTGGTCTTTATCTGCATGGAATGAACTTCAATACGCGTGAGTTTAGGACCTTGCCGATATCTGAGGTCTGTGACTTTGCAACCAAATATGGGTTCAAAAAGGTAGATTATCTTACGAAACACGATATTTCAAGCCTACGAAAATTCTTGGAGCAATGCGCGGATGTGGGCTCTTATAAGGGCAAAGAAATAGAGGGGTTTGTGGTTAGGTGTAAGTTAGCAGATGGATCTGCATTTTTCTTTAAGTTCAAGTATGAAGAGCCCTATTTGATGTACCGACAGTGGAGAGAAGCGACCAAGAAATACATTGAAACCAAGTCTCGGGTGTTCAGCTTCAAAAAGCACAGATTCATCACCAACAAATATCTCGATTTTGCCATACCTCTCCTTGATGCAGATCGTAAACTTTGCGATGATTACATGAGAGATTTTGGTATCATAAAGTTGCGCAAATTATTTTTGCTCGACTATGGCTTGACAGGGCTGGAAATTTTGAACAGTGATAAGATTATAAAATTGGAAGCCCAGAATGCAATTGACTATGAAACGATAGACGAAAACACGAAATTTTTGTTCTTCCCCATTGCCACTATTGGTTGCGGTAAGACCACTACTGCCCTGACACTTCAAAATTTGTATCCAGAAACTTGGGGCCATGTGCAAAATGATGATATTACTGGAAGGGATAAATCGATGCTGATGAAAAAATCGCTTGAGTTATTGAGTCATGATGGCGTAAAGGCCGTCATTGTCGATAGGAATAATCATCAGTTCAGAGAAAGGAAACAATTGTTTGAGTGGTTCGCAGAATTGAAAGAAAAGTACGTGTCCTATGACTCTAACGTTAAGATCATTGCCCTATCCTTTTTACCTCACGAAGATCTCGAAGAAACTGCTAAACTTACAATCAATAGAGTAATGGCCAGGGGCGATAGACATCAAAGCATAAAGGTGAAAACTGATGGAGAAAAGAAGGTTTTGGGAATAATGAAAGGCTTCCTAAACAGATATCAGCCTGTTGTCCTTAGTAGGGAACCTGATAATCTGTTCGACCTTGTGATAAACTTGAATGTGCGTGAGGCTGATTCGTCCTTGATCAATGCTCAAGAAATTCTCGGTGTCTTGCATAAACATTATCCTGTTTTGGTTCCCGAAGTACCATCTAACATTCAAATTCAAGCCGCATTCGATAAAAGCTTACTTTATGAGCCCAAAATTACCAAAGTCGTGGGTGGAGGAAGGGTGTATGATAATAAGAATTTGAAGTACAAGCCTGTATATTTCTCGGCTCAGATCGACGATACTAAAGCATTTTTAAGCCTCCTTTCTGAAATGTGTACCCAGCAAGAATCATCTCTAGATCTGTCGCCATTCAGAACAGCTATGGAAGAGTCCAGGATGCTTCCGAACCTGCACATTACCCTTAGTCACGTAATAACGGGGAAAAAAGGCTCAAAAAGGCAGAAGGACATGTGGTGTGAGTTCAATAAGCGGTATGGGAAGGCGATGTTCAAACCCAAGACTTCTGTCGATAGCTTGCCACCGAAACGTATATTAACTAACGACAAAGTTAGGTTTAGGCTTAAAAAGCTATTATGGAACGACAAAATTATAACCGCTATGGCTGAGCTTGCCGATGAATGTGTTATTGATGGAAACACTGGTGAGCCCGTTCCCCATCTTGGGTGTGCTAACGACTATGCGCATATAACACTCGCGCTACTGCAACCCCACATAAAGCCATTTTACTCTAACACTCTTTGTCAAATAATTGATGAAGAACATAACTTCAATGAAGGAACATTTATTGACGGAACAAGTTGTCTGGTATTCAAAAGCAGTCCTGATATGGAGGCTGACGTCAGCATTATATTATAAACTCAAAACCAAAAATAGTCTTGTCTAGAGGCTAATGTTAGCATTATTTATAAAACTCATATAGACTGTTTATCCAATGCTTTAAGCTCTACTAAAAGAATTCGAATATGTACCCAGTTTCCTACCTGACCCCCATTTAGTGAAGAAAATCATCCGGACCAGCACTGAAATCTCCATTATTAATCACAAAAACATCTATGGCAGCCATAGCAGCATAAAGTCTATTCTCAGCCTCTTCAAACACGATTGAATGGTTGCTGTAAAAAACGTCATCCGTAACCTCTTCGTGATGTCTTGGAAGGCAGTGCATGAATTTGAAGTTGGGATCAGCGTGGGAACACAGCTCAGCGTTCACTTGAAAACCTTTAAATTGCTTGAGCTTGGCAACTTTAGCGTATTCTTCACCCATTGAGATGAAAGTATCGGTGACAAGAATGTGGGCACCAGTTGCCGCTTGAACTGAATCGTGTGTGCACTCTAGGTTTGATCCGTTATTTTTGGCTACTTCCATACCTGCACTCACGATCTCAGGGTCCATCTCGATACCCGGGGGAGTGGAAATGGCCACATCCATGCCCATTTTCAGACATGCAATTGCCATGTCGTTGATAACATTGTTAGCATCCCCGATCCACGCGACTTTCACTTTGGTAGACGTGAGGTCGAAATTTTGCTTGATGGTCAGAAGATCACAGATGGACTGCAAAGGATGAAATCTGTCACACAGAGAGTTTATAATGGGAACCGAAGAGTACTTGACAAGTTCTTGTATCTCGGAGTGTTTATTTACACGCGCAAAGATGCACGAAACCATTGACGACACAACTTTGGTGGTATCGTGGAACGACTCGTTGACGCCAAGCTGGATATCGTCTTTGCCCAGGAACATGGGTTGGGCACCGAAAAACGCTGCTGCTCCCTCGCTCGAGATTCTGGTTCTGGTCGATCTTTTCGAGAAAATCAGTGCGACTGTCTTGCCAATCAGCTTAGCATGGTTTTTCTGGCACTCGCTTACGTTGCCGGACTTGAACACTTTCTTGTAGTGTTCGGCTCTGTCTACAAGCACTTTGAACTCCTCATCGGAGAGATCTTTAATTGACACTAAGTGACGCATCTTTCAAATAATTTATAATATCACTTGTGATATACCTGACTGAATTCTCGTTGTTACCTGTACTTAAGGGACAATCCAAGATCTAAGGAGCACGCTTCGAACTTTTTATATGTGGCCGTTGAATTCATCAAAGATTTGTTCTAATTTCAGTGCAAAATGAGTCAGTTGCAAGTCATCACTTAAAAATTTGCGGGAAAATGTGAAAATTTGACGCCGTACACATCACAGGCCATCTGGCCCAATCGGTCAATCCTAGCCGAGACCGTCAGCAAGGAACCAAGAACATTAATAAATTCCTTACATGACACGGGTTATCGCAGTCTTCTCAATGAGTCCTTAAGAGTCAGCATGAAATACTGCAAATTCGTGTGAATCAAAAAAAAAAGCTTCTAGGTGTGACTTTACACACGGCGGGCAGGGAAGACTTTGCGTGTAGGAGACTTGATTGCCATGATAGACGAGCTATCGCCGTTCTAGATAGCGCCTTTCTTTACTAGCGCGCGGTAGAAAGCAGGTTTCGTCGCCAGTGATGAGTGATGCTCTGAAGGTGAATGACGAAGAATGCCATCTCTGTGCGGTTGAGGCCGATTCCAGCAGTGGCGGCACTTACTCTCCTTCCGCCTTCCTGAAGTTTCATGAAACTAATAAAACACAAGCCCTAGCCATGAAACAAAGCTATGGGGCGGAGGCACTTTGCACCATTAATTATCTTAACGTTATGCGCATGTTCAAAGGTCATCCCGCCTAAACCAACGGTGACTGTAAACACGTCGCTGCAACAGACTCGACGTATCCGTATCACTAATTACGTGAGTACTTTTGCTCGTGGGATGGGGCTAGTCGGCACCCCGTCGCATGTAGAGCACCCTCAAGAGTATAAGAGTCCTTTTGTTGTCTTGCCGAGAGCTCTATGTCGATTAGTCGGGTGTGTGTCGCGTTGCGGCGTTTTCAGTCTCTATTTTCGATCTTCCGGAATGCGACCTGCAAGCGATTAACTCAGGAACCTTGAAAGTGCCATGGGTCTCCTCTTAAATGAAATTAAACAACTCGGCTAGGGGAAACTGTCTTGTTTCAACCCTATACCTATCAATTGTTCACCTCACATGCGTTTCATTGAGCTCATCAACAAACAGCCTTTTTTCTTTATGAACAACAATCTCAGTTAAAACTCGCTTCGCTAAAAATTGAACCTTTCCTGAGTTCAAGTGAACTCCAAACCTCGCCGTAAGTCATGGTATGTATCTGAAACATGCTGCATGTGTCTGGTTCTTCTTATATTAACCTCTTGCTAGCTTAAACTCCGTCAATTGCAGAAACAGAAACAGGAACAACTTGCGGAAAGTGCCACAGCACCAGAACGGCAAAAACAGCAACATCAACAACAACTTTCAAACAGTGCTTCTCAGCTGCGTTTGCGCAAAGATCTCGCCTCCCTAGATCTGCCCCCCAGTGTGGAAATAGATGCAGCAGCACTCCAAACGAGTTCTACGCTTTACATTCGAATTACGCCCGATGAAGGTTACTACGAGTCCGGCCGTTTCTCTTTCAAAGTAGTTTTCAAAGACACTTATCCAATTGAGCCTCCAAAGGTGACTCTCATGTCTAGGATCTTCCATCCAAACATCGACGTGCAGGGGAATGTTTGTCTGAACATCCTACGAGAAGACTGGTCGCCTGTGCTGGACGTCCAGAGCATCGTAGTTGGGCTCTTGATGTTATTCCTAGAGCCCAACGCTACGGATCCGCTCAACAAAGCCGCGGCGAACATTTTAAAGTCAGGATCATCTCAGTTTCAAGGACAAGTGCGTAACGCCATGAGTGGCGGCCTGATCGACGGGCAGAGGTACGATCGTGTGGTAAAGTGAGGACAACAGTCTTTTCCATTAAAAAAAGGGCATCTAGCTTACTACTATACAATAACCAGGTTGGACTTCATACGCGCACGTGACCTCCAACCGATTCAACTTCATCGTTGTCCGAGCTGATAACCACCGTTGGTCTCTGTCCGTTACTATAGTACACCACTGATGGTGGTTTAACCTGCTGAGGAGTTGTGAAGGTTGGCGTGCGGACCACTGCTGGGATTATTTTTGATCCGAGTAGGATTTTTGAAATCGGGGAACCGGCGAAGAATATTTTTGGAAAGACTTGCTGCGACATCGTATCAATGAGCTGACAAGAATTGAAGTTTGTGACAAAGTCTCAATTCGAGATATTAATGCCAGACAGATGCTGATCCTTCGTCAATTTATACACGAATCTTCTTCTTCTTCACAAAAGTCTCCATTCGGCCCAATTCATATCGCCATTGGTGCAGCGAGTCTAGAGTTGATAATTAACATACTCACGAAACTCATTAAGGTTGCAGGAATCCCTTCTTTGCGCTCTTCAATATTACGAGGCCAAATCCCATTAATCCAATGTCACGTGTATGTGCCATTGTCGTGCAATGTGCCGAGAAGCACAACGCCGGTATCGGCGTTGGTGCCAAAGTGTCAGCGTCAGTTTCCGATCTGTGGACACAAATACTCAATGCTGGACATAAACAAACGGGATTGTGTGTCAGCGTATAAATAGTGATAGAGCATGGTGATAAGCTATCTGCTCTCCGCTGCTTTCATTTTCAAAAATTGGTTCTCAATAATAATCATCGTCAGGACCATGAAAACTACACTCTTGAATCTTTTGTATTCGCTCCCCGCCGCCCAGTTAGTCGCCGCACATACAGCGCACTACTCTAATGGGACTGGCACCGGTCAACCCGTCGGACAACCTGTTGGCGGGTTTTCATCAGTACGCGCAGGGCACAAGCAAACCCCGTTTCCAGAATGGCTCACTGAATTTACTGGACTCAAGGAATGGCCAGGGATCGATCCTCCGTACATCCCAATGGACTTCATTGACTTTAGCAAAATTCCCAACTACAAACGCTACGATCAAGGTGTTTGTGGAGTAAATCCACGCGAGTCATGCTCCTTCGATTGCGATCGTTGCTTAGCGCCGGACGACGTTTACACATGTGGTCAGCTGTCACAAACGTTTGACGATGGGCCCTCGCTTGCTACCGAGAGATTACTTGACAGTTTGAACCACAAAACAACTTTTTTCAACCTGGGAATCAACATTGTCAACTTCCCGGATGTGTACCAAAAAATATTGAACGGAGGCCATCTAGTCGGTACTCATACGTGGTCCCATCCTTTCATGCCGAGCTTGACTAACGAACAAATCATAGCGCAGCTTCAATGGTCAATTTGGGCCATGAACGCTACCGGGCACCATGTACCCAAATGGTTTAGACCACCATATGGCGCCATCGACAATAGAGTCCGCTCTATCTCTAGAATGTTTGGCCTGCAAGCGGTCTTGTGGGATTATGATACTTTTGACTGGCAGTTATTAGTGGAGGATCAAACGTTGAGAACCGAGGAAGATATCTACAGAGATGTGCAAGATTGGAAGCAGGCTGGAAACGGTTTGATACTCGAGCATGATGGTGCATTCAAGACTGTTCACGTCGGCATTAATGTCAACAAAATCTTAGGTGACGACCAACTGACTGTTGCAGAATGTGTTGGGGGAATTGACTATATTAGGACTTTTCCACCGGAGCTGAAATCAAGAAATGCCAAAGTATTATAGATTCAAGAGAAACAAAGCTTTCCGCCGTTCTATTTAATTTATGCCATCTACTTAACTAACATAGTAGTTATATTGAACCTCATTTTTTTATCGAGTAGGCCTTTTGCGCGCCATGTAGTAGGCTGTGCCCCACTCGACCCTCAATTTGGTTGTTTCTTCGCCCCAATTGCACTTTAATTTGAGCTCATCGATTAACATTTCTGCAATATCACGATCGGGACCACCATGGATTTGCTGCCAAGTATGATAGGCGCTCCAGCTGCGAAGATACCTTCTAAAATCCCCTAGAGTATATGAATTCCGTTGCTCGAAATAAGCTGTTTTATGTTCTGATTTCAAAGGGCGGTAAATGTGCTTTTTGATTTCATAGAACTTATCGTCAGGGATTCGGATTGTCTCTCCAAAAAGTCTTAAGTATTCCTTGCCAGGTTTCCAGAGAGGGCCCATGTATGCGGGGTCCTCGTAGACGTATTTCTCGTAAATTTCATTGGCTTCGGGGAAATCCAAGAAGATCGGCTCGACGTAGAACCAATAGGCGATAGTACCATGTGGTCTTAATACGCGGTGAGCCTCTTCAAAAAACCTGCGATGGTCAACCCAATGGATGGATTCTGCACCGACGACTATATCTATAGAATCCTCATTGAATAAAGTAGAGAGCTTTTCCGCAGCACAGACTTTGAACTCGATGCGACTTCTGTCCTCAGGTTTCAAATCTTCTTTGCATTTATTAGCAGGAGTCAGCATTGTAGGCGAGGGGTCCAATCCAAAAACTTTGCTAAAATATCTGAGGAGCGGGAAGGTAGAAATCCCGGTGCCACAGCCAATATCTATGGCGATTTCAGAAACTCCATCGTGATATGATTTAATTGCTTCATACAAGCTTTCTGGGTACGTTGGTCGATTCTTTTGATAAAAATCTGAGTCGAAAGATTCTTCAGAGTAGGTCGACATGATGCAAAATGTTCTCGAGTTAAGAGTGCAAACGCATGGCAGAACCAAATTCGCAAGCTCTGATACCAGTTCTCTTTTATCCTTCCCTCCACGAAATTTGTAGAGCGCCGGTACCGGCGCACCGCCCTTCATTACGGCGCACGTGAGCCGGGTGATTGAGAGCCTCCGCAAAAAGCCACTTGCATCATTGGAACAAAACTTTAGCATCAGCGGATGGAAAGCATCAACCTTTTCTCATCATTGCTGTCTAATTGCAGGAGAGTGGACATCACGGGAAGAAGCATATCTCGTTGATCCTTGTGCTCCAGAAAGCCCAATAAAACATTCTTTATGTAGGCGATCTTCTCATTTACATCAGAATGAGTATCTTTGACCAATTCGCCTGTATGAGAGCCATGACGAGAAAGGGGCTCAACAGAGGCTCGGTCCGGGATGGACAAAACAGAATTGGACCTGCTCGGCCTCCTCGATATATTTCTTTCCTTGACATTAGCCAACTGATTAGATACCTGTTTGTAGTTTTTCGATATTCTATCCAGTTTCTTTGTGAGGTCGTTGTTTAGCTCTTTTAAACTTTCATTAGCTGTTTCCAATCCGCGTAGTTTCTTCTCCGAAGTTGATAAACCCGCTCTCAGTTCGGTAATAGCGCATTCGAGCTCATGCGAACTCTTTGTTGATTCGCTTTTGGTCTTTTCAATCTCAGCTTTCAATGCCGTCAGTCTACTCATTTCCGATTGGAAGTTTCTTTCTTTAGCAAGCAGTTCCTGAACCTGCGATTTTAGACCCTCATTGGCTTCTCTCAATTCTTGGAGATTGCGATTAGTCACAGCAGATTGTAGTACTAGTTCGTTCTCCAATCTATCTTTCTCCTCTGAAACCGATTTCAGGCTATTCTCGAGTTTTTGTATCTGTGTCTCCTCGGTCAATTGACTCTCTGAAATTATCCGGCGCATACTAGAAGCTTCCTTTGTTCTTTCCTGTAGAGCAAGCGCGGACTCGTTCAATTCGTCTTCTAAATATGCAATTTTTTTGTTCGCTTCTTTGAGCTTGATATTCAGTTCATCGCATTGCCGTCTTATGACGCCTACCTGTTCATGCGAGACACTTTTCACATCCTTCAAAGTTTCGTGCTTTTCTTTGAGGACTTCCAGTCTTTCTGACAACGTTCCGTTTTCTTTAATAAACTTTTCCATGGTTTCCTCACTCTTTTTCACATTGCTTTTCATGTCTTCGTTGTCCTTGCTCAATTGAGTCAATTTAGTAGAGAGTCTGGTATTTTCCACTTTCATATCTCTGACTGATTTACTCAGTTGGTCTTCTTTCACGCTATACTCTTTGATCTGCTGCTCCAAATAAACGATGGTTTTTTCTTTCTGAGTAACAGACATTTTCAAGGTAGATTCTGAACGCTTCAAAGTAGCCAGCTCTCTGAGTTGGTCAGAAAGGGAGCTATTTTCCTTCTTCATCTTTGTAAATGCTTCTTCTGTTCTTTTATAATTCGTCATCAGTATTTCCTGTTCCTGGTTCCTTTTATTCAATGATGCTTTGACTTCATTGGCCTCTTCAACTATGCTTGACTTCTCTTTCTCCAGCGCAGAAATTTTCTTCCTGAGTTCATTTTGAGTAATTTCATAATTCTTAATGCTGTCAGAATTCTTGTTACGCAGTATCTCTAATTGAGACTTAATTTCATCAGTTGCGGCTTTGTTATTACTTTCGAAATCTTTTATTCTGTCCTTCGCGGTTACTAGTTCATTCCCCACGCTTTTCAAGATGTCTTTGTTGCTGTCTAACTCCTCTGCTTTTTCCTTCAGCAAGTTCTTGCATTCTTGAAGTTTTTGAACACTTTCATCCTTCTCCTTCAGCAATGCTTCAATTTCTGATTCGTTGTCTTGCAAGACCGTTTCTCTTTGCCCTTCGTCGTGGTGTTCGCTCACTATAGAGTCGTATTGCTGTTGCAAGTCCTTAAGCTTTTTCTGACACACTTCCAAATTTTCAAGTGCTTCCTTCAATTCCTTTTCGCTCGATAATGAATTTGTAGTCTTCGAACTTTGGTCAGAATTGATTGAGCTTACGCCATCAATATTTCCCATGGTGTTATTTTTGCACCTGCGCTTTTTCTTCTTCGATTTGGAGGCCATATTTTGAGTATCGCGCCCAAGCCCTTGAGCATTTTGAGATCCATTAGTATGTTGAACGTCCGCAGTGTGAATTTCGTCTCTCTTTGAAATCAATTGTTGAACCTCTGAGGTCTTCTTATCATTCTGTAACTTAAATTCCTCAAGGTCTGACAGTGTTTTCTGATGGGCTTCTTTCTCGTTCTCTAACTTGTTTTTACATTCTGATAAGTCTTGTTGAAGTTTGGATGTTGCATCCGCTGATCCTCTAGTCTCCGACTCGAGGGCACGGAGAGTAGCCGCTGTTGTGCTTTGTTCGACATTTTTTAACTCCAATTCCTTCTTCAAGCCATCTCTTTGTTCCTTTACTTGGACCATTTCTTTGTTCTGCTCATCAAAGTTCTCATCGGTATGTTCAGGATTTCGTGTCATGGCTTGAGGGATCTCGTCCTCCTGGCCATTCGAAGTCTTTCTCCCACAACGCAATTTTTCCAACTCTAGCGTTTGTTCATTATTTAAGGTTGTCAACCGTTTGATTTCTTCATTCAGCATGTCCGTTTTTAGGTTCGTATTCTGAAAGAAGCTTGTTAACGAATCGAAGTCGTCAAGGGACGAGATTGGAGTGTTTTCACTCAAAATTTTCAGCAAGACTCCGAGCTTTTCACCCTTTGACTTCTCAAGCTTGTAAGCATTTAGAAGCAGTGGGTATTTCTGCTCGTATTTGTCAAACTTTCTGAGCCGTGCTTGGATATCGGCAGGCAAATCACTGTTTTTATCAATAAGTTCTTGTCCCTCGTTCATTTCATCAGTTAGCCCTTTTGCCAATTCATCAGTCAGGTTCTTGCTTAGTTGGGACAGCTGTTTGAACATCGCGGCAAATCGTGGGAGTCAATCCAGAAAAGGACTCTTTTTCTCCTTTACCTGAACGATTTGTTACTAGCCACTGCCCATAAGTGCTACTTGAAGATCCAATATCACTTTTTACCCGGACAAAAGTCAACTTGCCGCCTTGTAAGTATTGTTTAATTACAAACGACGTAGAAAACGGCTTTCGAATACTATGATAAATTTATGAAATCCATCTCAAACTACTCGTCCCTTTCGTGCTTACTCGTTGCAAATATAAAAATTCTTTATATACCATGAAGCTCATCTGAAAATCGATCCTCTGCTATGAGTTGCTCTCTTTTTTCTTGTTAGTTGATGTGTTGGTAATATATCCCACAATTATACTGGTGACATAGTGCCTAAAGGAATAATTAACAATATCTTGGTATAATAATGGATTTTGTCCATGAGCCTATGCTTGTTAAAATACTATCAACCAATTAACTTAGTGGCCCTTTTTCTGTTCTTAACAAAACGAGATCTTTTTTCCAATTTCTTCCCAATGTCTGCCTTCGAAACAGCATTTGTACTGTTCAGACCGGCTGATGCATCAGTACGAGGCTCGACCCGCAAGGACTGTTCGTACTGTTTCTCTATGTTGGGAACGTTTTTTATAGATTCTTCGATGAATGCTTGAACATCGTCATATCGCTTCACTTTGTATCGGATGTTTTGGTAGCTGGCAACCTCCTTCAAGATTTCAACAATCCGCACTCGTTTGCCAAAGTTTATAATATCGGCAGATCTGTGCAAAAAATCAGGATTACCTTGAGCAATGAAAGTCAAATCAGATAGGTAAACACCAAAGAATGGCACACATGCCACATCTTTCACAGATTTTAGCCAACTTCTATAGGTTAAAAAGTTTTTTGCTGGGTCCATCAAAGTATTCAAATTCTCCAAAATTTTCTTACTGCCGGCTGGTACGAGTGACCAGCTCCTTTTTAGACGAAATATGGGGGAAGAATACAAAGCTGAAATAATAGCTGTCATAGAGGAAAAGTTGTTGAGTTCATAAGCATGTTCTGCTATGGAAATAAAATGCTGGATTATTCTCGCCCTCTTCTTGATATTTGATTGTTTTACAATCGCAAACGAGACATAATTGGTCAAAGTGTTTGCACTTGAAATAAATTTCGAGATGTCTTCGGAGCCACCAAACTTGCAATACTTCTTACCCCATATACGGTCAAAACATGCGAATGGGGTGATTTTGGAGTAAAGGAAGTGTTCCTTCGTAGTCAGTTGTTTAGCAAATGTCTGTGGATCTATATCCAAGAGTTTTAGCTTTCTCATTCTGAACCCATATCCGGTCCCAGACTCTATAGAGCTACCTGTGGCAACTTTAGGATTCAGCGCATTTCCACCGTAATTATGCCCACTTTCGTCAAACTTTATTGTCTCCGGAACAAAGTTTTTCAAATTTCCTTTCAAAGAAAGGCGGTTCTTGAGCTCGATAAGTAAAGCTGGCGCGCCACTAACATTCTGAGCAGTAGCTAACTGAGCAAAACTAATAAGGTCATCAATGCCCGGTTCGTAATAGGCGGGCGTCCAATAATGCGAGAAAAGCGTCTTCATAATGTTGACCACCCGAGCTTTAACCGGGTTAGATTTTTTGTCGATCCAGGTGCTGTACTCTTCGAAACTCAAGCCTTCCGGTGGATACAAATGATATCTCTCAACCAAAGCGTGAAGAAACTCTGATGTTGTGAAAATACTTCGAAAGGTTAGAAGCATGGAAATATTAAAGGGCGCGTCAATCTTTAGGTGACTTGTTGAATGTTCCAGTAAAGCAGCTTTCGATCCACCTTTAATGCATCCTTGATTATCGTAAATAAGTGAATATTCATGCTCTGAGTCAAGGAACCACGGTACATCTATTGAAAAGCTTTTATCAAAGTCTTGGGGACCGATATGTTCAATCTCTGAATCGGCGAACTTTCCCTCAGAGCCGGCGTACCATTTGTCTTGCTCACCTTTCATAAGCTCTGTAATTAGATCATTTTTCATCATCCTAGCAGCGTAGTTCAAAATGCTCTCTCGTTCTTGCATGAGTTGCTCCACTATTTGATATGCAGCACCAATGATACGCAAAAAGGAAGCTTGGGTGGCTTTTAGTTCCAAATCTGTGTCCAAAAAAGACAGATTGTTTATTTCGACATCATCTGATATCAGGCGCTTGCAATATGCGTCAGCTAGTCTCTCTAGCTTAAGGGTATTGGGCACTTTACTATTTTCATCTCTTTCGTCGGCAAAAGATTGATCGCCCGCCATTGCGCAGAAAACAAATGGATCACTCAATGTCAAGTTTTGGATGTCCATAATCTTTTTTATTGTGACATCATAAAGTGCTTGCTTCACGTCGAAAAACTCCATAAGAAGTGGAGCGCATGCAGTCATAGCATGTTGTCGTAATTCCTCACTATCTTCGTCAAGCTCAGTTTTGTAGCCGAGATTTTTCATGTTCAAAAAGAATCGCAAATCCAAATTTTCAAGTGTTTCAATCACGGTGACGGAATGACTAAGTTCGCGATGGCAAGCAGTGCTTATTTCAAGATTTCTTTTTTTCGAAGGACGTTCCTCAAGTAACGTCTCGTAACTTTGGAAAGATGTCGATGTGAAATAATCAATTTGTTTCTTCATGAAGGTTAGAGTGTTATCGGTCAGGGGATACCTTGGTTTCGTGGAGCTCTTTGTCTTTGCAAGTGCACGTTGCGATGAGAGTTTTTCATTTTCGGCGGACCCTTTTGATAGAATTGAGCCTTCGATCGTGGGTTTACTGCTGACGCTTCCGAATGGATTTGTTGTTGTGACAGAATATGGGTCCTGGAGTGATCCAAAGCCCAGTACTGAATTTCTAGCCGTTAAATCGGTGAAGTTGTCTTGAAAGGTGCTTGTCCAAGCACCTCCACTGAAGCAATCTCGAAAAAATCGAGTGAAAAGTTGGGGTAGCACACCACCACTTGAACTATTTGATACCATGATGGCATGCAGATCCCGGATGCACTTCATAAATAAACTGAACTCAGAATCGATTGATTGGAACAGAGACTGTATCGAAATATTGGAATTTTCGTCGACCGCGGAGCTGTGCGCTTGAATTGTATAAGAGCTCATAACTGATCCTAGTCTGTCGTTACGATCACCATTCTTTTCTGCATCTGGTTGACCCTGTGCATCATCAGTCAGGTAAAAGTCACTGTTTCCAATACTCAATTTTGGAGTGCCTTTATTGAGTGGGTTTAGCGTTGAGACGGAAATGCGAACCGGATCATGAACAGCAGTTCCTGTACTAGTCACACTAGATTTGTGGGGCTGTGGTGAGCTAGGTAAAAATGAAATATCAAATCTTTGAGGGGAGCAAAAATATAAATTCCCGTTTAGGCTAACCGCTGAAGTTGATGCCGTCATTCTTTTCAGTAGCCTTTTAACATCTCTTTTGGCATTATTCCTTACTAATTCACCCTTCAAAAGTCGACAAGCATTGTGATAGTATATGGTGAACTTCGAGGTGATTTCGAAATTTTGATTAAATTCATGATAATCATTCCGGAAAAAGCTGGCGTACGCCTTGCGTGCGAAGAATAACGTGGTGTCCCTTAACTCAGTCCAAGATCGGATATCCGATCGATGGTGGAAAAAAAGCTCTTCCTTGGAGAGTAAGGTTGACGCTTGGCCCTTACTCCAGATATCATTGTTATTCCCGCTGTTGATTTCGTTCTCGGTTCCATTACGTTTACCACCACCGTCTTCGCTTTGAGATTTTGCATTATTCCTTTCCCCTTCCTTGCCAGTGCCAGCACCGGCTTCAGACAGAAGAGCTGCTGCGATGAAGCTCTTACTTTTTTCATCTATGCTTGATCTGCGGCTACCTTGGGACACGCGAAAATTATTCAAGGAGTTCGGTGCAACCGATGAAATTCTAGAATCTGAGAGGTTAGACCCGGGGGGTTCGGTACTATTTTTTCTGGAACTGTCAAAAATTCTTTTATCTTTGCCCAAAGACCTTTCGCTGAGATCCACGTACCAGTCGTGATCAGAAAATACGCTTTTGATGTTTAGTTCTGGAGTTTGTAAAAATGGCAAGGTATTGCAATATATGTCGTAATCTCGATTGTAGTAGACTACTTTTCCCTCGGTAGTTGCAACGGGTGTCCAAATTGGTGGGGAATTATCGTTAATGTTGTTGAAAATCATCTCTACCTCGTCAGAACTTAGAACATTCATCTTGTCAGTACCCACTTGTGATCGTCTTCTGCGATCGTCTTCAAAACTGCTAATTTTTTGCAAGGGGTCGATCTGTGAATGATTTTGTTGTTGCTGTAGCTGTTGTTGCTGTTGCCGATGGATATCTTCTTGCTGATCATCAGCAGCAGACGTATAGCCAGGTGCTGGACTACGGCACGGCGACTTAGATCGCGATTTGCCGCCTGCAGAGTTAGATGTAGATCCACTTGCGGACCTTGTAACAGATGCTGCCGGCGAAGCCTGACTAGGCCGTCTTGATGATGACTTAGTACCTTGCGCTCCGCTTCTCATGTCGAATCTATAATCCTCTTTCAAGTGCGGTGATAATGACGTTTGGCTCGCTGATGGCGATAAGTTTGGCTCACTAACGGTTCCAAGTCTATGATTATTGGATGGACCCGATCCCTGAACCTGATTGCCAGGCCCAAACGCGAAATGTATCGCAGTTATGCTGCTCCGTCGACTACTGCCACCTGAACGGTTGCTTTGACGCTGGCCCAGCCCCGTGGTGTTGCTCGACTTGCCAGAATTCGGTTGAAGCGTCGCGTGCCGTCTATCGCGATAAGCTCTCGTAAAGTTTTGTGGGAACCAACCGCGCGTACAACGCTGAGCTGATCTGCTTCCCACTACTATACCATCCCACCAGCCTGATTCGTGTTTTCCCAGTACGTAAACCACGTCACCGGCGTACAATCGCAGCTGCGATTTTTTGCTGGTAATGAAATCGTGGTTGGCAACCACTATATCCACGGGACGCACCCCTCCAATTCCACTACCACTAACGCTACTATTATTGATTACGGCGTTTCCGCCACCGCCGCTGAGTTTCCCATTTCTTCCGATCGACGAGCCCTGCTCGTCGTGAGAGGAAACGCGTGACAAACTCATGATTCTTTTTGAGTCGAATCTGTCTTGCACCGTTTCCAGAAACCTTTCAGTGTTCTTTCAATGGAAAATCCGACTGATTTCAATTCGAGTATGGTTCTATTTAACAGTGCCGACCTGTTTTTAAACCCATTAGAGAGTAAATTAACATTTTTTTAAAAGTGAGAGATCCCCCTGTCATAGGAAACGAGCTGGGGAAGTTAATATTCTCTCGCAGATCAATGAAAACATCGAGAGCAAAGGCCTGTGAGGCATGAGATCATGATTAGGTGAGACTATCAAATCCATATGCTATATTTAGGTGAGTTTCTCGTTATGATTTTAAGAGGTTTGACAGCGATTCATTTATTTTCTCATTCTGGGGCCTTCTGATTGCTCAGACGTGTTACGAAAGTGACTCATCATCGTACTTTGAGATTCGTATTCTACCAAATAAATGCTCTATTATTTCAAGAGTCTATTAATATTTGTAGGGTATATTCGTGAGGCCCTGAACCAAGTAAAATGAAAAGTGAACAAGATTGCACGGGTAGATGAACAGCTATTATTTCTCTTGCTCAGTAGTAACGGGCGATGCGGGCTCGAGAAAGGAAGAAACTTGAATGTGTTCTTTTCGCAAGTAAGTCTGAACTTTACTTGCGAAGTTACGGTAGTAGAATTTTTACGACCAAGTGCTCTTGTCAAGGAAAAGTTTCTTGTCTGGTTTTTCATCTCACGCATGCTAATTCTATCCCGTGTAAGAAGCATATGGGCATCTATCCAGCTGGTTGCGTCAAGTATAAGCAGGACATAAGGCTCCCCGCGCTACTTCATATAGCTGCTAAATGTTCAATGTGGAGGATTGGTTCGGACGAGATTTGGCACTTCTTGCAGCCTAAACTGAATGTTGACAGAGACGTCTTGGATTACTGCAACATTTGAACGGGGTGTCCGAGCTCTGAACAACACCTGAATACCGTCATGTCACTTTATACTATACTGACGTTTGCTCGGGCAAACAAAATCATTGTATGGTAACTACGAGCATCAAAGCGGCCGGTCGGCTTTCTCTTTCTTTCCAAAAAATAACGCACGTTGTATGCGTCTGTTGAGTCGTTTTTATGGCCTCTGCTTCCTGTCTCTTCATCAAAATGGCTTGGTCTGAAGGATAAAAAAGCTCACAATGTTTTATCAGCGTGCTTTGTAAAGTAGCACGAGATGTCTGCTGTAATCGAACAGCGCGGACTATTACGGATTCTGTTTAAATCTTCTTCTCAAAATGTTTATGTTTTGACCGTTTCACACCGCATTGAATTGTTTATTAAGGCGCCGTTGATAAATTCTCACCGAGTAACAAATTAACAAAAGAGTACGACTAACAGAATTCCAAAGTAAAATTATCACCGGAGTTTCAACCAGTCGAGGTTACTTGCAATATTTCTTTTTTACGTCGTGCTTGTAATTAAACTTATGATTTTGTTTTAGCTCAATTAAAGAAGAGATTGAGATAACGATTGGACAAGATCGCGGATCCCTCATAGGCATCATATATATATACGCATCGTACGTTCATACTAATTAGAGCCAGAATTATATATGAAGACAGTCTTCTATCTTGTAAAAACGTGAACATGCGTCTGTTGAGTATGAAAATTTGTAGAACACTCAAAAGTTAAAAAAGTTCGAATGACTGATCTTTTATTGATAGTCTCAACATAGTGCAAACAAGTATCGTAGCAACATGTCTGAAGCCATTGGTAAAGCTGCTGAAACAGTGAAAGACTCGGTTGAAAAAGTTACCGCTCAAGTGAAGAATTTGACAACCCAGCAAGAAGGTTCGGAGCCTGTCATTTTGGGTGAAGATGGCCAACCATTGTCCAAGAAAGCCTTGAAGAAATTGCAGAAAGAACAAGAGAAACAGAAGAAGAAGGATGAAAAGGCCCGCCAACTCGCCGAGGAAAAAGAAGCCCGTGAGCGTGAAGCGGCTGCTAACGATACCGCAAAACACAATTATGGTAAATTGCCTTTGATTCAGTCCACTACTAAGACCGGTATTCCAAGAGTCAGACTCGAGGAACTTTCTGAGGCCGACGATGGCAAAGAGGTTCTCATCAGAGCTCGTGTACACAACTCGAGACAGCAAGGTGCCACTTTGGTGTTTTTGACCTTGAGACAACAAGCGCAATTGATCCAGGCACTAGCTAAGTCCAACTCAGAGGGTACCATCTCCAAGCAAATGGTCAAGTGGATTGGTTCTGTGAATCCTGAGAGTATTGTTTTGGTGAAAGGTATCGTCAAGACTGTGCAAGAGCCCATCAAATCAGCAACCGTCCAAAACTTGGAAATCCATATCACTCAGATTCACACGATTTCAGAAACTCCACAACAACTACCTATCTTGATTGAGGATGCATCTCGTTCTGATGCCGAAGCCGAAGCTGCTGGTTTGCCAGTGGTCAACTTAGACACCAGATTAGACGCTCGTGTTATCGATTTGAGAACCGCTACAAACCAAGCTATCTTCAGAATCCAGTCTGGTGTTTGTGAACTATTTAGAGAGTTTTTGACTAAAAGAAGATTTATTGAGATCCACACTCCCAAACTGCTTGGAGCTCCTTCTGAGGGTGGTGCGAACGTCTTTGAAGTCACTTATTTCAAGGGTAAGTCTTACTTAGCCCAAAGTCCTCAATTCTACAAACAGGAATTGATTGCGGCTGATTTCGAACGTGTTTTTGAAGTGGCACCAGTTTTCAGAGCTGAGAATTCTAACACACACCGTCATATGACCGAGTTTACTGGCTTGGATTTGGAAATGGCCTTTGAAGAACACTACGATGAGGTTATCGATGTTCTAAGCGACTTGTTCGTTTTCATCTTCACCGAATTGAAGGTTCGTTACGCCAAGGAAATTGCCTTGGTTCGTAAGCAATACCCAGTTGAAGAGTTCAAACTACCAAAGGATGGTAAGATGGTGCGCATCGCTTACAAGGATGGTATTGCCATGCTAAGAGCCGCTGGTAAAGAGATCAGCGACTTGGAAGATCTGTCGACGGAGAATGAGAAACACTTGGGTGCTTTAGTTAGAGAGAAATACGACACTGACTTCTACATTTTGGACAAATTCCCGCTAGAAATTCGTCCATTTTACACGATGCCTGATCCAACTGATTCTCGCTACTCGAATTCCTACGACTTTTTCATGAGAGGTGAAGAGATCTTGTCTGGTGCTCAACGTATCCACGACGCAGAATTCCTAAGAGAAAGAATGACCCACCACGGTCTATCGCCAGAAGATCCTGGTCTAAGCGACTACGTTGACTCTTTCACCTACGGATGTGCCCCACATGCCGGTGGTGGTATTGGTTTGGAGAGAGTGGTCATGTTTTTCCTGGACTTGAAGAATATTAGAAGAGCGTCTTTGTTCCCTAGAGACCCTAGAAGATTGAGACCATAGTTACGATAGAGATGCGATCTGGGCCGCTGTAAGTTAGACGGATTACTCCAAAGATCATCAATCTTTATTATATAATTTGATAACGTATATCATGATACGCTAGTGCAGTTTACGAAGACTTGGTGGGAAATTAGATGTGAGATGCGCTTGTTGATGCTATTAAGAAGAGCTATTAAGGTGGGAAGGCAATGTCTGCTAATCCAGGAAACGCACTTAAGGCCTTGTCGCCTACCCCTCCGGAACGTGGATCGTTCCCGTTGGATCACGATGGTGAATGCACCAAACAGATGCAGGAATATTTACAATGCATTCGGCTGGTAAAAGGCGAAAATGCACCTAACTGTAGATTGCTGGCCAAAGAATATCTCAACTGCCGCATGGACCACCAGTTGATGGATAGAGACGAATGGAAAAACCTGGGACTTCCAGACGACCCCAAACAAAGATGAGGTGCTATGAAAGCGTCGAACTTCCCCTGTACATATAAAGAGCTTATACTAAAAATGCACGAATAGACTCCAAAGAAACGAGAATTTATAATCTATACAAAGCGCTATACTTGCAGACTAGTGCGTTCTGCGTCCTCCAAATTAGGCCAAAGTGGTCAAGATATCGGAGTCACCGGCGTCCAAGATAGTGACGACACCGACTCTGAAAAGCTTACCGACAGCGGTACCCAACTCGTTGTTACCACCTTGGAAGTAGTACACCTTGGTCTTGGACAACATGGCGTAGTATTCCAACTCGGACTTTCTCAACACTGGGGTGTTGGAAGCGATGATGATCAACTTAGCCTTACCTTGTCTCAAAGACTTGACGGTAGACTTGTAACCTAGGGTGTACTTACCGGACTTGATGACCAAGGCCAACTTTTGGTTGATAGATTCTTGGGATTTAACTGGGGCCTGTTAAAACAAAACTCGCTGTTAGTATATTGCAACTGTGGTGTGGAGACTGCGATGGAACTGCACGAGAGAGCTGCAAATCCACAACCTGCGAAACCGCACGCTTCTCTTGCTGCGTCTTTTCCAGAGCCGTCTCCGCATTTTTCCTAGGTGATACTGACCATCTCTGTGTAGTTCTTGTATGCTATGTGTAAACACTCCGGTCTTAGCTGGGGAAATCTCTAAATCAAGTATCAAATATTAACCAAACTTCCACTTGTAAGACAGAAAGAGCTTAAACCATTTTATTTTTCACCATCCTGCGTCGTCCATCCATACCATCGCGCCTCACGCCGCTGCCAATTTTCACCATGCACCGTTGCAAGTTTAGCAGTAGTACCGTTTGACTGCTGTTGTCCTGGGCCGTCTTCTTAGTCGCAACCCATACCATGTTTGTTAAAAATTTTCGTTTTTTTAAAAAAGTGAAAAATTCTTGCAGATGATGAGATGGTGGAAAAAAAAACCCCCGCTAGGCTGGACGGCTAGGCAGAGGCTTGTTCTATCCTGTAGGCAGAGATAGCCTAGCGCTCCTGCCTAGAGCGGGAGAGATTCTAGTGGGACTCTGCCTGGAGTCACTTGGTAGGACCTGCCTAGCAGTTTCGGTCCATGTGCGGGAAGCTTGGTCTCCTGGTGGATGGTACCCAATATCGTCACTGTCACTTAGAGATTGTTTAATATAGTAGAAGAAGTGTTGACTTTGGACAGTGTATTTCAATTTGATAGCCGAAGAACAGCTGAAAAGTATGTGACATAGTTACACTAAATGTTGGAATGCCGAGATTGCAGTGCTCGAAGTGCGAGGAAAACCGAGGGTCGAAAAGACTAGCCACAAGAATTTAGTACTTGTCGGTCCCGAAAATTTCCCAGCTTGTTGAAGCCTCGCCATCTCGAATTTTCAGTAACACCCCCGCTAGACGCCTTATACTAACCTCTGTTGCAGCTCACGATGAAGGTTGAAATTGACTCTTTTTCCGGTGCTAAAATCTACCCTGGCAGAGGTACCTTGTTTATCCGTGGAGACTCCAAGATCTTCAGATTCCAGAACTCTAAGAGCTCTTCTTTGTTCAAGCAAAGAAAGAACCCTAGAAGAATCGCCTGGACTGTTTTGTTCAGAAAACACCACAAGAAAGGTATCACCGAGGAGGTCGCCAAGAAGAGATCTAGAAAGACTGTTAAGTCCCAAAGAGCCATCGTTGGTGCTTCTTTGGAGTTCATCAAGGAGAGAAGATCCTTGAAGACCGAGGTCAGAAAGGCCCAAAGAGACGACAAGAAGAACGCCGACAAAGAAAAGAAGAAGGCTGACAAAGAGAAGAGAAAGGCTGAGAAGGCTAAGTCAGCTGGTGCCCAAGGCGCCAAGGTGTCCAAGCAGCAAGCCAAGGGTGCTTTCCAAAAGGTTGCCGCTTCCTCTCGTTAAGAAAGGAGGAACTCATGAATAAACATTTTCAAGAATACCTTAAACCACCCTCTAAGTAAATTTTAAAGTTTTTTCTTCTGTGTACTTGTAATCTGAAACACCAATCATTTCTAGAGCATTAAGATGGCCCGTTTGAGCCTTGCTATCCCGCACTAACTGAACGTCGTCAATTTCAAAAAACCACAACTTGTCGCTCCTGTATGTCATTTTCAAGAGCATAACCAATCCCAACTTTTCAAGCTTTGCCCGAAAAGGAACGCTCAATGACAATATTTATTTTCAGTCACCTCAGCTGGGAATACAATCATCAGCTAGGCAAATACTCATAATCTGCTGAGAGGGCTACAGTGCAAGGCATAAAGCGTATATATATCACCCGTAGGAAACGTAGGTAAAACAGATTCCTACAAGAATTATGAATGGTGGGATCTAAATTATAATGAAATTCTCAAGTGTGGTATGTTCCTTCGTTATACTCCCTGTGCTGAGCATTGCTTCAGTGAGTATTGAGACAAGCGTTTCGTGCGGAACAATTGCTACCGGTGGAGTTCTTGAAAGCACCCCATATAGCTCATCAACAGCGACAATCTTGGAGAAGGGTACAGAAGTGGTAGGCATCTACCACTTTTATCGTTCTGTAACTTATGTTAGCGATTGCAATCCCAGTACCCGCGTTGCCACTGACGTGAACCCTACAATTACGATATATTAGCGACAAATACGTATTCAGTAAAGGAAATCAAGAACAAACTAATTTCTAGCAAGCCACGAAGGCCACTTCAATAACGGTTTGAAGGTAAGGCGTGTACATCACTAATGATGCCCAAGCGTCATCTCGACTCTGCGTTCTCTACTTTAGTGAAGGTATAAAAAAAGCTGCCAGAACTAGCAAAAGCTAACTTCTTAGATTAAAGATGATCAAACTCACCATTGGGAGCTGAACATGGTATAAGTCAGTGTTGAGTTGATCAATGCCAATTTGGTATCGTGTGTCACACATGACGAGATAGCCGCCCACGCCTCATCCAGTTCGTGAGTCTCGGAAGGCACATCGTCCAATATAACGCCAGCGCAGGCTATATAAATGCTTGTATAGAGGCATCAGGACTATAGGCCTACTACTACTAATCTGCGTTGCTGGAAATTGGATATTTTCCGAAAGTTGTGATAAATTAGTAAATTGAATAAGTAAATCTCGCAAAGTCTTATGTACCGGCCGATCATCGGGTTTTAGTCTGACCAGCACAGCGTTTATACACAATAAGGGCTCCCATAATTTGCCATCCCATCCGAAAGTTTGCCAACAAGCGCATTAGGCGCGCGCTCCACCGATGCCTAAAAGAGTTTGATTGACTATTAAGAAGAATCTGATTGGGCAATAGAGAGCCTACTCAAATCCTTTAGTACCGTGATTGATTGATTAAGATCTTTTTATAGATGAAGGCTGTGAATGTCTTTCCGTGGTTTTTGGTACAAGATCAATATTTTGTTGCCGGAACAAATTGATGAAATTCCATCTCTTATTGAGATGTGGATAAAAAATGAGAATACGAAATGATCGAGGGGCAGTTGAGTTAGCAAGTTCGCTACTTTCGGTCATTTAAAAGCTAGCGGTTAAGTCTAGACTTCTTGTAAAGCCTCCTTAGTTAGGATTTTGAAACTATCAGGTATCATTAGCACTCTTCTCATCAGTATCACTATAAATTATTCTGTCATTATTCAACTTGGAACTACCTTCTTCACATCACACATTAACGTAATTTCAATGATATTTGATAGAAGGTTCAATTTGTAACGGTGGTATTAATCAGATCTGCTAATAGACTGAAGGAACTTCATTTCAGCTAGAACTGCAGCATGCCGCACTCCATCAGTCATCGACTATTCTGGTAGTATTTATGGACTTTTGGAATTCTTTTCTCCCTGTATATTGAACGATTACAATCTGAAAGCTTATTTAACGCTGTGAACTTCAACAACGTCCGCGCTGGCTTCGGTGCAGTTTTGGCAGGCTGCACATACTCCTTACTGTTGAATGTCACCCTGGGTTACAGCGTGATGTTTGTTACCGTAGTAAACAACTTTCTCTTCCATCTCAGCGTTCATGTATACCTCATCCGAGACAGAGCCGTAACGCAAGCCGTTGCGTTTCAGGGCATCGGGGTAGGCCTGTCTCCCCAACACCCGAAGCTGGGGCCAGATAAAGGACTTGTTCTCGTGAACCTTGGCAAAAATCTTCGTCCATTCCGCAAGCTGCTCTTCAGGACATATACGAGGAGTCTGTAACCACCACAGTCAGGCGAAGGTATACCTTCCGTTATGATCATGGTTCCCCTGGCTTCTTGGAACGCTGACCGTAGTTTTCAATAGCCCCGTCTTTGTTGGGCGCGTTTCCTGCAGGATGCGCACGCATTTTGCTGAGCAGGCACATCACTGTCCTGTGTCCCACGACGCTTTCGCCGATTGCTGCTATAATGGCTTGAACAGGTTCGTATCTTTCAAAGTGATGGGTTTGAAGTCCTCAGTAAGTGGCATTGTTTCTCGTTCGGTTGGGTAAATCTTCTGTTTGTGTCTTCTAATGTTGAGGAACACATCAAGACACACTCCACATATCTGACTTGTTTGATGTGTTCTTATACTTCTTAGACCGCGAAGCTTTGGATGATTTATGCAGCTACTCATATATACTGTGATACTGAGACAGAATACGAGAAACAGAAGAATATCGACTGTTACGCTGTTCCGTCAGATGGTCACTACTGCTCCAATCATGTAATCTACCAGTACTGCACCACTAAATTTAACTTAGGAACAACAAAGATCCCAGGGGCGAAGTCTTCTGATTACATGACCATTACATTAATTACTCAAGGAAACGCAGGAGCTCACGATCGAAACTAAATTCTGATGTTTGGGCTCGCGCAAGCAGCTGATTCATATAGCAATGGAAAAAGCGTGCGCTTTCTTTTCTCATGTACCTCTTGAACGTTACGTCGTTATTGAATTATACGAAAATAAACTCTAAATATTGATTAACGATTTGTATTCTGTTTCCTAAGCCATTGTAACTACAACCCACAAAACTTAAGTTATAAGCAAACCATGCTTGGCAGATTCCCTAGACTTTTCACAAACGGTGCAACTCGTGTCCCGTTTCCCAAGTGGTCTTTTCAAAGGATCCCCTTGAGATTTAACGCTTCTGTGAGCAAGGCAAACGAAAAACCATCTTTAAAGAAATTAATGCAAACTTATGGATACTCTGCTTTAGCCGTATATTTGGGACTCTCTGCCCTTGACTTCCCCATTTGTTTCTTTGCAGTGCATTCACTGGGTGAGGAAACTATAAAGGTGTACATCAACAAGGCCAAGCAGGTGGTTGGATATGGCCGAAATGAACAGGAAATGGTTCAGGATATTAGAGCTAAGATTCAGGAGAATGAACGCAAAAAAGCTTCCGGTGAACTGGAAAATGTTTCGAGGTGGGAGAGAATAAAGGAGAGCACTCTGTTAACTGAGATCCTCATAGCTTACGGGATTCACAAGAGCTTAATTGTCTTTAGACTACCAGTAACGGCAGCCATCACGCCTGCTACGGTCAAACTTATGCAAAAGTGGGGCTTCAATCTGGGTAGGTTTAACAAAAACTTCAAGACTACAGGAGAGTCCGCGAAGATCAAATACAAAACAGGCGATCCCAAGGATTTTGTGAGTGGAAAGCAAGTGCCTAAACAAACGCAGAACAATGGAAAAAAGTGGTTTGATGGTATGATGTAACACCGGAACCTAGTCTTAAAGCACTATGTATAATTGCTGGGAGGAAAAAGTGTAACGCATCCAATAAACAATTCTTGTATATAAATCCATCTTATAAATTATTACTCTCAAAGTGGAAAATCACAATTTGGACTGGTTGCGACCAACCTTACATCTAATCAAACCGTTAGGGTGTGGGGATGGGTAGAATAATTCGTTGTCATTTTCCAAACCTTCAAACCACTTCAAGTCAAACAGGAAATAGTGCTTGTTGGGCAATTCGTAAGACACAAAGCTGACTTGTGGAACTTCTTTCAAGATAGCTGTAGCCATGTTGTACATCGTGGCCTGCACAGATGGGGAGTTTTCCTTGGCAAAAATGTCGAGAGTGATATCGCGAGCGCCGAGGTAAGCTTTGTCGAAGATCTCATCCTTAGAGCCCGAAGAAATGCTGTTTAGACATCCCAACCTCTTTGGGCACCAATCCATGGTGGCAAAGATATCGGTAGACAAAACACGGTCTTCAGTGGGTTTTAATGTGGTATACTCACACACGTTGTAATCGTAAAACATAGAATTGGTAGATTTCAAGACGGTTAAATCTTTGATGGAAGTAGAAAGCGAATAGTTGGAGGCGCCGTTCTTTTTGTCGTAATCCAAAGAAACAATTTTCTTCTCTGGGCCTTGATGAACGAAAGAATGTTGAGATGGCTTTCCATTAACATCGTACTTAACCCAACGGTCTTGAGTGATTTTAATAGTCAGGCCAGAGACGTGAGAGTACTTTGAAGTGAAGTGTAAAGCCAATCTGGCAGCGAACTTTTCGAGTGGGAAAGTGTCAAACTTTTTAGCCATTATCAAAATTGTGTTCTTCACGGTGTCAGTGGGAACAATTGGGGTATTGTCCGCTTCAGTGTAGGATACATCGAAGTCACCTTTCAACAAAACACACACAGTGGCTTCCATGATTTCATGGACCTTCTTGTTTTGCTTGTCCTTCTTGACCTTCAAAAACTTGACATTGTCTTTCCCGTACGTGGAATCGGCTAGGTATGAGTATGGCATTTCTCTCTTTGATATTTGAGTGGTATTGCTAGTTTTGTTAGCTTGCCAGACTAATTTTGAGACTGAGAAGATCAGAATTCTTGCTCGACCTGTGTTTATATATCTTAACCCCACTGATTACCATATTTTCCTCTGCATGAGAGTAAAAGATAACGGACATGCCCATCTGAGGTAATCGATAAGTCCCCGAAGTACACTTGCACGATATCTCCATTTACGAAGCTGATATGGTGAGATAAGTATGGCAGTGAAGATATCGGCGATGCCCATCACGTAAATGGTCCGACCAACTTTTCACCAGCTTCTATTTATTATGCATGGACGTACTTGATGGGCATGTCCGGAGAGGCAGGGGCAACGTTCTTATTGTGTGGATAGCGAGAATGGACCATCAAGGCACTAGAGAAATAGAAGTTGAGTGATAAGCTCACGGGAGGGATCTTGAAACTCTTAGTCGAGATTTTTCTCAAAGCCCAAATCGTCCTTTTTTCATTTCGGGTTAGTACGTGCAAAGATTAAAGATACGTGATCTTGTGGAAACATACGAGAAATTCATCCAAATTTTTGATTGACATTGCCTCCTTGACCAAAGAAACAGCTGAAGCTAAAATCCTCTTTCTTGCAGTAGTCTCTTTGCCGATTTTGCGCTCATATTCCTTGATAGTTTCAATTATGTGTTCGTTTTCAGGTTTCCAATTTACTGTTAAATCTTGAAGATCTTGCTCGATTCCAGCAATGTCCTGCCTTCGTGTTTCAATGAGCAAAGGAAGGTCGCTGTTGAGCGGCTTTTTCACCATATTTTGTAGTTGTCCTGTAATGTCGCCTCTATCCTTTTCAATCTGGATCAATTCTTCCCGTAGTTGCATTACAGACATCAGCGACACATTTTCCCCAAGTTCGGCTAATTCCATACTTAGTTCCTGTTCATTACAAACGTAGATCGCAATTTTTCCAAACAGTTTACATGTTATGCGCTGTTGCTTGACTAGACTTTCTAAAGCCTTAACGGCATTAGTCTTGCTCATTTTGTTGTGCAGATTCTGCACGATATCATTAACCGCAAACGGTCTATACTGTTCAATTAAGTAACTCTCAATGATGTCTTCGGCTATTTTGTATGGTTAGAAATCATATAGCTATAGCAGCGTAAAAGATGGGAGGCAAACTTGTCGAATCGACAAAAAGCCCTATGCATGTACGTACCTGCGCTACCCTTGTATTGTGCTGTCTTTTCGCTCAACTTTTCGGGCCCTTTTTTGCTTGCCATTGCGCTAGTTTTTCAATAGATATTGCGTAAGAAAAGTGGTGGGCAATGAGACTGAAAATTAGCCGCCGAGCCATTTTTAGAGCTTTTCAAGTACGCTCAAGTACTTAAATATGATATGACATATTTAACGGAGGTGAATCAATTGAGAAGATCAAGCTAGGATAAAACTAAGACTAAGGCCGTTGATATCGCCTTGCGAGTCATGTCTTTTTTATCGCTGGTTCATCTAAATTCTCTCATGAAAGCTACGATCTATTGGATTGGAAAGAATCAGCGCCCATGGTCAAATCGGGTGTGTATCAAAAATTGATTTTGAATAGTATATAAGTATGAAAAGGTGTAAAATAATGATTCCAAGTGAAGACCGAAGTCTTGTACTTGCTTGGCTTCATTTCAACAGTGGAAACAATCAAACTTGCTCATTAAGAGCTCTTTGATTGAGTTACAATTAGATTAATGCCATGCACAGCATACAAGACAAAACAAATTGAAATAAGAACAACGAACGAAGTGCTGTGAGTTTTTGGAGAAATTAATTGAGGATAAGTTGGGACATTCCAACAATTTATCAGTTTTTTGGGTTTACGCATGGTGGAGTAGGCACCTGCACTCTTCCTAGATGGCAATTGAGGTGACTAATATCAAACTGACTGCAAACAGTATGTTATGCCAAATTGAAGCCGCCTGGTTCAATTTGGTTGATCCAGCACCGCTGTGAGCCACAATAATGGCACTAGGGCTTGATGCTTGTGAACCAGAAATTGTGCTGGAAGCAGAAACGGAGAGGCTATCTGACACAACAGTGGAAACTGGGTGGCTACCACCAGTTTCCTCGTATGAAGTAGAATAAAATGGAGTGGAAGAAACTACATATACTGTCGATGTTCCTGGAATGACACTATCGCTGTATTGAACAGAGAAGCTCGCAGTATAAGGAGTCCCGGTGATGGTGCTGCAGCCGACAGTTTGGGTTGAAGGCACATAAGATGTGGCCACCACGGTGCTTGTTGAAACAGGAGTAATATTAATGCTGTTTAGGACTTCAGAGGTGGTTCCTGTCAAAACCCGCGTTGAAGAATAAGTGGACACACTGGTGCTAAACGAGGTACCATATCCTTGTGTAGTGTAGGTACTCAAAGTTGTGTATTCTGTGGCATGTACCATAACATAGTCAGTCGTCATTGTAGAATAACTAGTTTGCGTATCACATGCTACCACAACAGTTGGTGCATACACGACACTGGTGGTAGTGTAAGCAGAGCATGAAATTATGTCTTCATAAATGACAGTTTCATAAACAGTACGTGGTAATTCTTGGCACTCGGCACAACGTTTGTTCAAGGTGATGGTTGCCGGGTTGATTGGCGCAACGTGAGTTACTAGTTGTCCGGTGACTGTCACAGTCTCCAAAGAATTAGATTCAAAGGTTGAAGTTGTCAAAGCTGCCACATCAGATGTGAAGGTTGTTTTTTCAAGTGTGACCAACGTAACTGCTTCATACACAACCAAAGTTTGAGATTCAGAGCTATTGGAGTAAAGTACGCTGGGACTTAAAGTGGAGGTTGCCAATTGTATGTTTGTGAGAGTGGTCAAATACTCGCTGGTGATGGTAGTAGGCACGGCAGTTTGGAAAGTAGTTTCTATGTTGCTTGGGTGGGTAATTGTATAAGTTGAATCTGGTTGTGTGACCACATAGGTAGTGTATCCTGTAGAGGTTGTCACAGCTGGAGTGTTACCGGCTGTTGCAGTAACACTAGTTACGGCAGCGGTTAGCGTCGAAGTGTAAACAGTAGAGGTGGTGACTCCGACTGTCACAAGCGCAACTGATGTGATTTCAGTACTAGTAGTGAATGTGACAAAAGTAGTGGTTATGATGGGGGATACGATTTCAGTGGTACCCGAAACTGTGGTGTATGACGTAATAGCCACTGGTTTTGAGGTGGTAACAATTGTTGGGAACGTGACAGTATAAACAGTAGTGTCGGTGACGCTTTCGGTAACCGTTTGTTGGGAATTGGCGACGGTTGCAGTAGGCGCTTTAATGGTGGAGTAAATGACAGTTTCTTGAGTTTGAACCACTGGTGATGAGGTCCTTACGGTTGAGCATTCCACGGTAGTTGGAGTGGTCAAAAATTGAGTACTAACCGTCAGGATAGGAATGGAGGTTGTTGAATCTGGAATTATCACGGTTGTGTAAATTGGAGAGTTTCCTAAGGTGGTAGTGACTGGGGTGGAAGACACTTCGTTGCTTAGAATGGTACTAACCGGCACTGGGATGGTATTGGTGAAAAGGGTGGTCGAAGTTGTAAACGTAGATTCTTGGCCTGGGACTGTAGAAGTGGAAGAGGACGAAGATGGGGGAGATGAGTATGACGAGGACGACAAGGAGGAACCGGGTGGGGAGGTAGGGGAGGTAGTGGGAGAGGTGGTTTGTGGGGCTTGAGAAGTGGTGACGGCAGATGTGGTTTGACGGGATGTAGCAGAGGTGGTCTCCGGGACAGGGTTAGTAGTGGGAGTAGTGGTGGGAGTAGTGGTGGGGGTAGTGGTGGGGGTAGTGGTGGGGGTAGTGGTGGGGGTAGTTGTTGTCATTTGGGAAGCCGCCGATCCTGCATTTGTAGTTGTGGTAGCTTGTGGAGTAGTAGTGGGGGTTGTAATCGTTTCTGGAGTAGTGGGGGTTGTGGTTTCTGGAGTAGTGGGGGTTGTGGTTTCTGGAGTAGTGGGGGTTGTGGTTTCTGGAGTAGTGGGGGTTGTGGTTTCTGGAGTAGTAACGGGAGAAGTGGTTTGTGGAGCAGTAACGGGAGAAGTGGTTTCTGGAGTTGTAGTTTCTGGAGTTGTAGTTCCTGGAGCTTCGGGAGAAGTGGTTTGTGGAGTAGTTCCTGGAGCTTCGGGAGAAGTGGTCATGGTGGTCATCATGGAAGCCGCGGACCCCACATCGGTCGTGGATGTGGCGCTTTCCTGCTGCGACACGGTCGAGATAACTCCGTCGGGCGCCGTGGTGACGATGACCTGGGTTCCAGCCAAGCTGCTGGCGGTCGTGATCGGCGTGAATCCCGTGTCATCCGGCGTTGTGATCGTCGTGGAGACGACGACCTGAGTGCCAGCCAAGCTGGCGTCGGTGGTAATGACTGCGCCGCCGGGGAAATCGGAATTAGTCTGTGTAGCGGGAGTTAGTTGGAGCCAAAAACGAAATACGAAAAACAAAAAACAAAAAACCATACCTCTGAGATAAACGGCGGAACGTAGTCCGTGGCATCCGTGGCAAGCTGCGCGAACGCACGGCCCGCGAGTCCCGAAGCCAGCAACACACACCTCAGTCCCGATGATCCGGTGGGAATCTTCATGACAGGCTATTCTTGTGAGGGGGGGGGGGAAAAAAAAACAAACCTTGGCGGCTAAAGTACCGTGGCGAGTGATGCAAATTCCAGTGCTAGTGCCTACCGAGAGAGAGAGAGAAACACGAACCAAAACAGGGCAGCTTCTCCCAGGCGCTTTTCCACGCCGATTTTATACACTTTCTGGCGAATCGCTCAGGCTGCCTCCACTCTCGCAATCTAAATTCGATCCACCGCACACCTGCGATTCTGTTGAGGGTGGCAAGAGCCCTTTGTCAAATCTGCAAGCGATGTGTCACAAAAACTCACAGGAGAGCAATCTGCATGCGGGCCGACGCGCGCTCGACGATGGGGCGGCGATCTCTGCAGCAAGTATGTGGCGCTACACAGCCGGACATGCGCCCGGATCAGTCTTTTTGCCGCATCGGGAAACGTGATGGGTCTCGGAGAGGAGTTTTCTGCATGGCACAATGCATGCGGTGCAGCGTGCATGGAGCCTCGGCACAAGCGAGTGTTGTCTTCCGCACTATGTACGGGCGGGCTCACGCGTATTATACCCGGGAAGGGGATGGGCGATGAGGTTTTCCGCCAGGCGTCGTTTTGGTTGTTGGTGGAGAGGCGTGTGTGCGATAAGAGCAGAGGAGTATAGTGCGGGCTTTTGGCAACCAGACCCGCCTCGACAGGTGTGGAGCAAGAAGCTTGGGTGGGCTTCAACACTCGACCTCCTCTACACGGCACCACTGACGTATCACGTTCGACGACCGGCGGCCGTTGGAAACCAATCACGTGTATCTCGGATTTTCCTCTCTTGGCACACGGGAGAAACTCACTCCCCCTGGACTTTTCTATTTTTTCTTTTAAAGGTGTAAAGGCCGTATATGTTGTATGTCTCTACTCTCTTCTACTCTCTTCTGCTTCTTCACACGCCTCAGTCCACGTTCAAGATGGAAAAAACTCCGGTGTCTCGTCCACCTGCTGCTCCAACCAAAAACACTTTTGTATATGCATTTTCAGAGGTGGCCAAGTGGCCAGTGGCCTACTTGTGGCTATCGAAAACAGCTGTCTGCGCTTTTGCGGTGCACCGCTACTGGGCATACGTCAACATGGGCGGTCTCTTCTCCACAACATGCTGCTTGTTCTTGTTGTTGGAACTGGACATTCTGCTCCTGGTCCTGATCCGAAACTGCACCAAGAACCGGGCCGTCAAGAAGCAGCAGTTGTCCTTGGCACACGAGGTCATTGCTCAGAATCCAGGGATAGACCTCGAAAAATGGGACTCGATTGCTCGTGCCATGAATGATTTGTTGTATCGGGGACGGTTGTGGCATACGCGCCAGTGTTTTTTCAATGGCGCAAACTGCTACGAACATTTCAGATCACACATGTACCTTCCTTTGGTGAAAAGCGAGGGCGGCGACGCGGAGCGCGATCCTCTACTTCACAGCGCGGCTCGGGTCTATGAAAAAGACCTTCAAGCATATTGGGAGGCCGCCAGCAATTTGAACACGTCTACTGCTGAAAAGGGGGAAGATCTCAAACTGCCCAAGCAAGTGTACTGGTCCAAGCTAACGTTTATTGCCAAGAGGGCGTTGTCGTGGTCAAATGTTGTTTACTGCATTTATTTCTTTTTCTATCTTGGAGTTGCCGGTGGCCTTTCGTACGCGGCATTTTGTTATCTGTTGGCTTACTATGGCGACATCCCAGTCACAATGGCAAAACTTCGAGTGGAACAAAGATTAACCTTTATGAAAACCGTGATGCGTCAAGAGCCTCAAGACGATACTCAGGAATGGGAAAGCGTTACCAAAACGATAAATGGGTACTTTTCCGACCAAAAATTGTGGCGCAACCGTGAATTCTTTTTCGATGAGAAAGACTGTCATCGGATGTTCGATATGATAACAAGATCCATTCTTTCGGTCAAGAAATCCAAATCAAACACTATTTTTCCCGAACTTATTCCCTTCGCAAGGGAGAGTAGAACTGTTTGTGGATGTAGCGTTGAACAGCAAGTTTAAACTAACTTTGCTAGAGACGTTCTCCATAACCTCTTACGCTGAAAATACATAATATCGAGGTGGAGCCACCCAATCAAGAATTTGATCACCGAAAACCAACCGCAAGAAAAATGACATTTAGAGGTGATCTCATTTAGTATAGGTCACGATCGAAAATAAATACTGAAACTCTTGACCTCGCGCGCTTCTGGTGTGAGCAGTTATCATCGGGAGGTTATTATTACGAAGTGATTGAAGATAGTGCCAAGTTTGCTCAGTGACAGCATATTCCGATTTGAGTGAAGATAATGTCAATTTTGCTGGATGACAGCATAATAGAAAACGAAAACATAATCTATAAGTGATATCTGGTAATCCAGACCCAAATTCAGTGACCGGGAAAGATTGAAAAGCGGCCTAGACTTCATTCTCTTATTCTCTTTTTTTATTTAGGATTAAGAAACCTAGAACAAGGATCCCGGGTGTTGAAACCTGGCTACCATGGTGTTAAGCAAACATATACATACTTCGAGTAATAGAAAGCAAACTCCCCTCTCCCTCGGGAATGCTTTCGATGCCATAACCCTTGACTAGACTCTGATTTGTTTTCGAACGGCAAGAACCCTTATGCGCTTGATGTCTCGCTGCCATAGTTTTCAGTAATGACTTTGCTTTATTCCCTTTTGGTGCGAATAGCTGGTGATGCTAAAAGACTTATTTTGGTAGAATGAGATTCCTAACATCGCAAAGTTGTAAAGCGATTGCCAACTCTTGTACTTGGCCAGTTGACGTGAGCTTGATTAAGGTATATGTAAAAGGAAATGCTTCCCCGGAACGTTAGTGAACGCAACTCACTATATATGGTTCTAACCAATTCAAAGAAGTGACCACTGCATTAGCATTCAAGAACGGCCTAATTCAATTTCAAATAGCTATTGAAACTGCTTCTCATTCATTGCGATTCCATGTGCTCAGGGAGAAAGAAGTTAACTGGCCGAAGACATGCTATTTTCTTAAGAGCAGGAATTCACGAATCGAGTATTTTCTTCTTCTCCTACCCGAAAGCTTACCAAATCGTCGCCCCAAAATATCAGCGGGGTTCCTAAACGAGGTTCTTATAGCATATTCACGAGTAATCAACCATCTTTTTGGCGCCGTTACTCTCATTGAATTTTTCTATTTATAAAGAAGGCCGCGATCCATCCGATGATCGAGACCTGCACGCACTTGGAAAGGTTGGACTTAGTGATTTTATTACATGTCTTAGCTCTCGGTTTGCCAAAGATGGCCACCAAACAAGTACAAAGCAAAGCCAGGTTTCTCCGGACTCTAATATGTTTGCTTCCTTGCATTCTAAGCCAGTCACTTCGTCCCAATCAGTCATTGGTATAAGGATTGCCAAGAAGCCAAGCAGACAAAAATCTTACATGCAACAAAAACTGTGTATCTATGGATAGCATATGCGATCGATGACTGTTCTGTAGGCATGTCTACGCTCACCACATTTTAGCATTTCCCTCAGCTCAGCTCTTATTCCCTGACAATCTGGCTATCACCGCCTGTAATATTTCAACAATTAGAGCATGCCCAAAAATTACTTGTAAACGCCACTTTGACTTGAATCTGACAGCATTGTTCTTTGTTATCCTAGCGGCCTCTTTTCACTGCAAAGCTACTCATTGTTTTCAAAAAAAGAAAACACTAAACTTGTTTTTGGAAATAAGTACTTTTTTGGAAGATCCGAATCTCATTTATGGCACTCTTGATACTTCGAACACTAACCTAGTTCAGTTGCGCGAGCAATAATACGAGCGTTCCTTCGTGACAATTAATACCTACAATTCTCTTGCTATCTAACCTTCACCATATACTTCCCCCGGATTTCACTTTGAAAAAATATTCTAAAAAGTAGTAGGTAAACCTATCTTTTACAATTATTGATACCACGGGCCATCAAATCGCGGCCAAAATGGACGACTTAGAGGCCAAAAAGAAGCGCAGATCGCCCAACGCAGGACCAGATTCTCCCAGGCCCTACATATGCCCCATTTGTTCAAGAGCTTTTCATCGTTTGGAGCATCAAACAAGACATATCCGTACACATACTGGAGAAAAACCCCATGTGTGCGATTTCCCAGGTTGTACCAAAAGATTCAGCAGAAGCGATGAACTAACACGGCATAAGAGGATACACACTAATCCGCACCCCAAGGGTAAACGCGGTCGCAAGAAAAAGACCGAGGTGGCCAACAACGGCAACGCAGCCGAAGGCACTTTCAAAACGGCTTCCGGAAGAGACAGACAAATCAGAGCACCCACCACCTTTGAGTTAGGTGGTGGCGACGACGACGAAACCTCTGACATGAACAACGCCACAAGCTCTCCGGAAGACCAAAGTATGGGACTTTTGGTCAACGCTGCTCTGGGAAGCATCCCGGCAAGAGACAATGCCGGACCAGGCGATTCATTACATACGGTACAATCACTGCCGTCTCTCAAAACCTGGGAACCAGCACTGACCAGAAGCATTAACTCAGCACCACCGAGTACCTTGAATGGTAACACGGCACATTACTCGTCAGCGGTTAACCTACAGCAGCCACCGAATAATGGTGGAGCATCTCTATTGCCAAGAACAATACCGTCACGACTTAAACTCAACGTTCTTTCGTCTTTGCAAAGAATGACACCCATAGCTCCCGTGACACCGGTACGACCGGTTAGTTCAAGCAACAGTGGATCCTCAACGCCATCGTATCAAGCACAGGACTCTTACTCTGCTGGTGGCACACTCTTGCCGCGTCCAAAGGCTACGTTAGGATCGTTTAACGGTAATGGATCTTCAAACTCGTTGACGAGTATTTCAAATTTACTTACGGCGGATGATGGCGATGATGAACTGGACGACGAAGAATTAGGTAGGGCTCGCAAAAAGTCGAGAACAACGACCCCCACGATGAGCCGGAGCCATAGTCGGTCAAAGTTGAACATGCAGAGCGGTTCCTTCACAAACTTGGCGAGCCTAAATGGGCTCTCTCAGCCTCCAGGTGTTACAGGAGTACTTTCATCAAGGCCATCTGCCATGGATTTCACTAGCGAGCTGAGCCAGCGGCTGCACAGCGTACAAAGATCGCAATCGGCTCAATTTCTGGATCGCTACGCATCCACACCGTCGGTGGCGCTATCGAGCGCTACTTCTGCCAAATACACACCTTTAGGTACGCCTCCTCGAATAGCAAGTCCTTCGAACGCCAAGATCAATTTGGACTTAAAACAGGCTGCTCAACACCCAAGATCGGACGGCGAGGAGTCAGACTCGGCACTTCCCCCGATCCGGAGTTTGGACCTGCAGTTTCCCACAGGCTAGGGAACTTTAGCATTAATATATAGATGACATGATAGATAGAGTTGTAATAATAGTAGGGGAAGCGATCGAGTGCGTGGGAATAGCCTGTGGGGTGGGTCATTCATTGACTTCCGAATTCTGGAACACTCTAAATGCTGGATGGCTGCGCTCTACATGGCCATGGGTATTTGCCGAAGTGTATACGGAAGTCGAAGCTACTAACTTGAATGAGTCCAAAATGTCGAGCGGGTCCTTTGTTGATTATTCGGTGTCAGCTGCAGTAATAGTGATCTCGAAGACGACACATACGTACTTAGTGATTTTTATTCTGATGTTCTTGCACTATTTGTCCTTCATTGGTGTATCTACGCTTGTATGAGGCTACGATTCGCTCGTTGCGAGTCTCTTGTCGCGTGAGATAAATATGGTTCGAAACATATGTGCGCCTCAGTATCACCAAATCCGAGCACAAGCCTCAAATCGGCAAATCGGCACGAAACTATAACGCGGCGGCGGGAACCTGCACGAGGCCAGCGTTCCACAAGTCGTCTCGCTCTCGATTCCCTTTCAGCAAAGAACAGCACTCACAAGCCCATATCCGTACTCGACGATATTTCCCCAAACCTGTTGGGAAGCCGTCGGATTCTCTTCAGAGTATTCATTGCATAACATGCTGTAGTTAAAACATGCTTAGGAGCATAAAGTCTAGCTCGCCCACAAGCCTACATTTTCGCTGCAAATCTTTGCGCCAATTGCTTACCTACTGCTATTTTAAAGCGCAATTTCGTACAAACTTTTTCGTAGCTACATAATACGGATGTACGCAGTTCGACAGACAATCAATAAATTCAACCATTCCAAAAAATTTTGTAAAAGAGTTGTAGTTCTTTCCGTCTTCTGGCCCGTCTCACGACCATACACCAGATATGCATGTGCTACTATATTCTCTTACCTCAAAATTACTCAACCCGCACCAGCCCATCGAAGCCCCCCGCTTTTGGTTTCGTTTGTCTTCGTTTGTCTTGTCTTGTCTTGCCTTGTCTTGAAACTGTTTTAGCAGCTTGTTACAGAAATGCCACCTCACTGCCAACACGGTCACATTCGGCAGGAATTTTGGCACATTACGGCAACCAAAATAGCATGTGCTGAGCTGGCAAGACACCGAGTAGTATTCGGCTCTTTGTCTCACACTACAATTTTTTTTCTCATGCCTCATCTACGTGGCATGCAGCGGTCGCTGGGGCCAACAACAGGACTCCAGTGGGTTTTGAGATGCCCGTGTAGTAGTAGTTGTAGCAGTAGCTCAGAAAATTTTGATGAGATGAGCTTACCGTCTTCACGGACCGGCAATGCCCTCGTTTTGATGTTGATTTTTCACCGGCGAGCCGCGCCGAGATGTTTTGAACTGAGCAAAAAAAAAATTGGCGATGGACCTTGTGGGCTCGGGATACACGGACAGGGTGTAGATTAATTCTTTGTTTAAACTTGTTGTATATATTTAGATCGCGATGTGGTGTTCAGTAGGCGATTTTTTTTGGAATCGAGCTCAGCGGTATACGAACGTGGAATTGAGTCGAGTATTTATCTGTTACAGAGTTCCACAGAGTTCCGCAGAACTTCTAAAGTAGCAGCGCTACCATAATTTACAGTTTTCTTATAAAATTGGTCAACCACTGCAATTAGCTAAAAGAGCTTTGGCTAATACTCCCCGCAGCAGCGTCTCCTGTCTTCCACAACTCTTTTTTACCCACAACAAGCGGATGTCTGCATTCAACGACTTCTGTGTAGTGTGCGAGCGTCTCATTGACGGTCCCAGCAGGCTGTACTGTTCAGAATCGTGCTGTCAACACGACGAGAACTCCAAGCGACGCAAAAGCGTCGTGGAAAGCCTTGTGGCCACGCCGCAATTGTGTCCTATGGATTTCGACGCCGGCAACGATTCCGAGGAGGACGACTTGCTGGAACTCGACTATACTGCTACCGTGCCGACGACGCTCAGCTCGCCGAGACAGTTCGAGAAACAGCAGCACGACAGCTACTTCTCGTTGGCTTCCGAAGTCTGTTTCGACCACACCGCAGAAGACAACTACAAGCTGTGGCTGAACGCTCGGTCCGTATGAGCGGTTCTTCTACCACGATACCACGCCCAACACATTGGGCTCATCTGCAAAAAAACACCCCAAGCTTAACCCAAAAACATCGGAAAACCTTAAAATCTACTACAAAAAAAGAAGAAGAATTTACTAGCACAAGACGTCCCACGCCAACGCTTCCGCAGCCCCATTTGCATTCACATCAGCATTACGATGCACTGCTGATGCGCGGTTTTTTTGCTCGCCCGCGAAATTCTTCCTGCTCATATCTCTTTAACGCTTCATGACGAATCTTACGACACAACCACCCTGGCTTCCCCAGCTCTCCATTGATATTCCCCTCATTGCTACTCTCACATCATCTCATATATATAACCTGAAAATAAAAAACTACCTGAACCGAGTGTGGGCTTGCAATCCTTAGCCCACTCCACGCGTTCACCTTTGCATAACTATAATTCTTTTAACGTTTGATAACTCATTGTTCATGCCATTCGAGAGTTTAAAAACAAATCCTATATGTTTATTATACCTCATCTTATTTGTGTCAGCCTAGTGGTGTTCAAGTGAATCTTGATATCCATGTTGTCGGTGTCTTCTTCTATATTCTTGACACGATTCTGCTGCGCATCAATTTCGCCACCTGCAGCAATAGCCAGTCTTTTAAGGCGACCACTAACTTGGCCAACTTTGTCCAGATTCTTGTCAATTTCCAGTTCCAATTCATCATCCTCTTCGTCGTTTTCGAACTGATACCGTTTAGATTTCTCCAAGATGGCCTGATTCTGGTACCGTTGTTTCACGCTATCATGGACCTCTTGGCCTGAGGCAGTAATCGCACCCTCGATACGGTTAGTGGATTGAAGTAGCCGACCGTTCGTTTGCTTTTGCATCATTTTGTCTTCAATTCTTTGGTTCCTGATACGGTCTTCAGCCTCTCGCAGACGCCTTTTAGAGGTGAATGGGTTGCTGACATGAACTGCCAAAATGTTACGATTTAATTTCTTCAATTCTGCCACCTTGTCGTCAGCAACTCTATTCTGCATCTTCATCAAATCCAAATTTCTTTCAACGTCATTCAATTTTTCACTTTGATGACCGAGCATCCCGAGAGTATTGGTTCCTGCCATTTCAGCTTCCTGCGCCATTTTCAAAGTATTTCTAGTAGAGGCCACAGAACTTTGCTTAGTAAATCTGATTTCCTGTTTGATTTCGTCCACAGCTTCGTCTTCCTCCTGTTGTTGCTTGAGTTCGTTTTCCCGTTGCAGTTCTTCAAACGTCTGAAAACCACGAGAGCCATCTTGCTGCTGTGGTTCGTATTGTTTTTGTTGTTGTTGTTGTTGAAATTGTTGACCCGGATAACGGTTGCCGTCGTAACCCTCGTGCATAGATCCATTCAAATCATCTCCTTCATCCTGCATAGCGGCGTTGAGGTCGACTTCATCGTCGTCGGGCTCCCCACGGTTAGGTATAGAGCTTGAGCGACCCTCGAAATCAAAAGTATCATCCGTTGGAGCATTGTTAGGAGCGAATCGCTGGCTACTTTCAGAAGAGCGGATATTTGGTCTTGAGGTGCTACCACGAGGGTTGTACGGATCGCTGGCGACATTAGCATTCTGCTGAGAGTTGCTTCCGTAGGTTCCATAGCTGTCGTAGTTGTTGCTTGCCGGATAAGCAGCGCCTTTCTGTTGCGACGCTCTTCCATTGTTCGAAGGGCCGGACGGATTAGCTGCGGGCCTCTGTTGTGGAGCCCCGCCATAGCTGCTATTACCACTAGGGGCACTGTAGGGATCATTGGCCAACGAGCTATAAGGATTCGACGTAGGTCCGGGAGCCGCAGAATTGGAGCCGTATTGGGCCGTGGGTTGTTGAGCTGCGTAAGGCTCCGTTGCTGCCGAGCGCTGTTGCCCGTATGGGTTACTAGAACTTTGACCGTATGAAGCGCCTCTAGAATATGGGTCGGGAGCCTGGATCCGGTCACGGTCTTGCACGTTATTCCTGGCATATGGGTCGAAGTTGCTTCTGTTTGGTTCCTTTAGATATCCGTCCTTTTCAGCCTCAGAGTCCATTTCAGACTTATTCAAATCATTGAGAGTTGACGAATCGGCTGGACCGGAGTTCTCGTAGCCCGGAGGCGCGTAGAAGCGGTCATTTGCATTATCTTTGGCAAAGCGTCCGTAAGCTGAGAATTTCTCCTTCTTACTCCGTCTCACATTCTTCGTAGGGATACCGAGCTCATTTAACTGATCCCTGTTCATTTCAGGAGTATCCTCCTCTGGCGGCTTAATTTTGAAAAAGCGCTTGATGCCCATGCTGTGATTATTTTGTGCTAGCTAATGTGTTGTTTCTCCCTGTATGATACCTGCTTTCTGGTGACTCAAGATCGTTATTTGAAATGGTGTTAAATACGGTTCAGCTTTTCTGGAGGCTATTTTTTGAATTTCACTATTATCGATTTAACGTGCTGAATATCTTGGTCGACTCCTTTCGTACATCGAGATATTCACTATACATGGATATAATGGCCAAGCAATAGCTGGCATGGCACCCTGTAGACCCTACATACCACGGAAAACATTTTTACTGGCCCTTCTACCTTGCGCACGGGCTCTAGACCGACCGCTGTCCTTTTTGTTAGAGCTCTCAGACTCATGTTCGTCGTCGTCGCCATCATTCTCAAACGCAACGCTCTTCTTTTTGTTCTTGGGGGCAGAAAAGCGCTTGGACGGCATGTAGCTGAACTCGGCCTCTCCTTGGTGGTTGCGGCGTACCACGGCCGAATTATCCTGGCGGTGCTTTTCTTGTTGACGCATTTCCGCGACTTTCTTGTCGAATCCCGTTTCTTGCGTCTCCTGTGCGAATTTGTCTTCAGCTCCTACGCTCATATGGTTCATGAATTGCGCAGCCTTCTCGCGCTCCTGTTTCCGGCGCTGTAAGGAGGCCACCTTCTTCGCCAGCAGTTTCTTGTCTTTTTCGCTCATTTCGTTGGCATTTTTCTGCGACTCAGACTCAGATTCGCTGTCGCTGGCTTCGTCATCCTCTGAATCCGAGAACCTACCTCTGCCTTCTTTTATGGCAATTCTCTCCTCGTCGGACTCCTCGGCGGCCGTGAGTGCTCTGATACGCTTCGCTGCACCTTCTTCGGTTTCTCTTGCAGACTTCACAGGATTCAATTGCTTGTAATCGTAATCATGCTCATCAACTTGGAAATCTTCATCCTCAAACATTTCTTTGAAACGATCGTCGGTAAGGACGTTATCGGCTGCTTTGTCACCACGTTTCTGTGACAGTTTGTCCACCAATTCTTTGTTGATCTTGACCTTAGGCTTCTTGACAGCGCCAGTGGTACGGATTCTGGACTCTCTTTCTTTTTCAATGCGACGCTTAATTTCTCTGTCTCTTTCGTCTTTGTATGAGTTGGGGTTCGCTATCAGAGAGACCTTGTCATACAATTCATTATCGATAAAGTAACCATGCATATACGCTCTGAGAACTTTCGAACCCACCAAGTGTGTCAGACTTAGCTTCGTCACGTCGTCTCTAGTAATGAACCTGTAATTCGAGTACACGGAGTCGCTTGGTTTTTCTTCCAGCTCTTCGGTTATCGAGTCCAAGAACGAGCACCATTGTGGGGCAGGCCCCAAATTGGGGATGTAATATGTATGCATTGGAATACCCTCGTTTGCCGTAAAAAACATACCAGTGCCAGGAACATGCTCTACATCATTGATATCAACACTTGGCTCCATAGAAGCGTATGCTTTACCGTCCGTTCTATCCCAAATCTTGGCAATTCTTTTGTCGCTAGTAAGAATGTTGTTGTTGCCACCCTCAGCACCTGTGTCATCCAGCCATATAATCTTCTTGATTTCAAATCCGTAACCTTGGTCTTTGACGATAGTTGGCTGTGAAGCACGCAAGTCATATAAGTATGAGTAGCCCGTCGATGTCCCGCATGCAAAATTCAAACCATCATTTCTAAAGCTTGTGGCAGTAACTTGAAATGGTGAGGAATCAAAGCTGTTTTCTAGTGTTAACTTCGCAACCCTCGAGCGAGCACGCGAGTCCCAGAACTCAACTACGTTCTCTTCCATGCCCACTGCTATTAGCCCATTTGTGTCGTTGACCGAGACGTGATTTACACCTTCCGTCTCAAGTTTCAAAGGATTCAAAAACCTTCCTTGCTCAAGATTAAGTCTATAAAGCTCGTCACCACTGGAACCAACGTAAAGATCACAGTTGGCTTTGTTGTATGCCAGGCTTCTACCGAATTTTGGTATCCTTGTAGTATAGTGAATACCACCTTTGTTTTGAAACTGTATGCTTCTATCGTTTTGTAAGTGGACACTCTTGGTCCAGTCGTCGGATAGAATAAGAAAGTCAACGTTTTCTGAATCGGTGTGTCTCTCAAATTTTAGCGACAGGTTGGCGAAGTCGTACAGGTGGATTTGAGGCTTATACGTTCCTGTAGCCATCGCGAATTGTCCATCTGGCGTGCACTTAATCTTGTTAGAGGCTTCGCTGAACTCAAAGTCCTGAATTAGCTCCACACGATTTTGAAACTCTAAATCGTGTTTCAAAGACCGCTTTCTCTTTTTTGCAACCCAGTCGGGTAGAGATCTTGAGAAGTTTGTTCCCGAGACCTGATAAACAGAGTTATCACTAGCTGATGTGGACTTCAGAACCATTATTGCTTTATCCGCTGGAAGCGCCAAATATATTGAAGAGATGAGATGAGCGATGAGATGAGCACTTCAAAATTTTTCATATCTTTAATTTCTAAAAAATCAAACCTGATGGAAAAAACCGTTTTAAGAAGTTCAAAGAAGATCAGAGCTTTACTGAACCAGCAGCCAACTGAGATATACAATGTGTTCATAGCTATTGGCGCACATAGTCGAACCTGTCGACATGTACCGATTGGGCTCTACTGTTGTTCGTCGCCCGGTTGTGGCCACCCAAGATGTAGTTTTTTCCTGTGTTAACAACCGTGGAACTGGCATCTGGAGATAAGAGCGGCCCCTGTGAGAAGCAATTTGAATCCCAGGTAGTAGAATTGCTAAAAGCGTTAGAAACGGCGCTGCTAAGAGGCGTTACACTGTCGTTGAATTCGCAGAACGGTAGCTGCTTTTCGTTTGAAAATGGGGTATTCTGAACACTGAATTCTTCGGAGGGGCCGTTGATCATGCGCGGAAACTCTGTAGATGACGAGCTCAACTGACGATTTCTTGACCTTGGCGCTACGTTTTCGCTGTCGTGATAATTTTCGTTGCCTTGCCGAGACTTGCTAGAAGGAACAAATGACGTTGCATGTGCATTATATCTAGAAGCTGGGCCACTTCTCTTGGAGTCAACATTTCTGCTAGCCTTTGATCCAGGAAGCATCGGTGCGTTCCTGCTTGGTGGGGAGCTCTGGTCTTGAAATACTGAGGCAAGGAGAGCCGGTAGCTCAGTCTGTACGTTTGATACAGAGGGGGTAGGAATTTTGAAAACGTCAGAAAAGAAGCGCTGGTAACTGTCTGATCCATCATTCCACATGACGATATGATCGTAAAGTGCCTGCTGTGTGAGCTTGTTTGACAAAGAAGGACTCTGAGCAACCGAAAATGAGACGTCAAAAAAAATGTGACTTAAAACTTGCATGGACACCTTTTGCAAAGAGAGTTCAGTCAGAGACATTCGAGCAGAAAATTTGATGAAGTGAAATAGTGAGGTTCCCTTGAAGGCAATAATGATGGATTCAAAACACCTTTTCGTATTTGTTGAGAGAAGTTTGCTTTGAACTCTTGATTCGTATCTCCCAACTGTTACTCCATAACAATTACTGTCTAGTAACTGTTGTGACAGGAGTAAAGTGGAAACATTCGAAATGTAGATTAACTCCAGAGTTTCCAAATTTGATTTGCTTCCAATAATAGTCAATCCATCGCTTTGATCGGGTTGTTTAATGTCGGTTGACAATTCAATGCCTCGGTTTTCATAGTACTCCAATAGTCTCTGGTTTGTTGAAACAAGGCAGTTCAACGAGTCAAGTAAGGAAAAGATAGTTGCAGGCAACTTTGTGGCTTGCAGCCCAGATTCGAATTGGTTGTTGTCGAAGCTGAAAGCCGATCTAGAAACGGGTGATATTTTTGGAACAACGTCATCAAAGTATTGTGGTAAATGATAAGGGGACTGCAGTAGAGCCCAATTCTTCTTGTCATTATTGAAGTGCTGAGCGTTGAGCATCAAATTACCTACACTTAGGAGAAACCGGGCCAGGATATATTGCAATATATTCAAAATTCCAAGAAGGCTTTGAGTACTCCCCATTTTTCCTAACTCTAGATGCAATGTCTGTATGTGACCTTGGTCACATAGGTCCCTTATCCGACGGAGAGTACCGTTTAGCAAAGAGGTCAAGTGAGGTTCTTGCAGGAAGTTCAAGGTTGGATGGTCCACCACTTCCATAAAGACCGAAAGGTTGAACGCGACACTGTGGTTCAGTTTTCGGAAACAATCATTATCAATTGAGTGTGAGACGATCTCTTGGCAATATTGGCCAAAGGACTCTGGGACATGCTTAAGACATGTCAATGTGCGACAAGCGACCTTATACAAGAAAAACTCGAGTGGCTTCGAATCCCGTTCCCGTAGGCTGTGGCACTGTAAAGGATCGGGGGCTAAGGAAGCGATTAAATAATCCAGTTTGTCCTCCTGTGTGGTTGCAAACACCAGATTGTGATTCAAAACCGCGCTATAAAGATCGGTTTCCAGGTCAAGGTGGGTCCACAAGGGAATCCATGCCATTCTCAAAACCGAACCCAGTCCCAATTTCAAGGACTGGAAAACATCCGTGTTCAGACTGTCGAAAAAGTCTAGTTTTGCAAGCACTGAGAAAATCCCGGGCTTGTAATCGGGCGACATATTAACTGTGCCGCAGATCCCACGTAGCTGGGAGTCCTGCGTCGGGTTTTTGCCCACTGAAAGCGCAAAGTCCCGCGCCAAGTGGGCCAGATCCCGGTGCGCGGCACAGCATGCGAATACTACCGCCAAAAGATCGGCACATACCGCTTGGTTCTCTCTGTTGGAGGCACACGCTTGTAACAGTGGTGCAAAGACGTCTGTTTCCACGATACGGAGACTTTCGCTCGCTTTTACCGCGCGGATCGCGTTGGCGAATTCCAGCGCCGCGACCCATGCCGCCCCTGTGTCTGCAACGTTCAAACGCAGGTTTCGAACGCTGTTATCAATCCTCGACGCACGGGTCTCGCTAGCGAGTCCCACTGCAGCGCTTTGGTCTGCTTTTTGGTGGACGCTCGTTTCGGCGGCTAATTGCGACCTCATCTCAAAACTCGGGCCTTCGACTCTATCAGCGCTTTCTATAAAAGTCTACACAGTATATAAACGTCTGTTCAAACAACTATGGTTTCCGATATATATATATATATATATAATATACAATTAAAGTTTCAGTAGTAGGAAGTTCAAACCCTTAACTCTCGAAACACATAAGAAGGATGAATAAAGGTAGAAGTGGTTCACTTTGAAACAGCAGCCGAAATTTAAAGACACTTTTAAGATATTTCGTCGATGGTGATGTAGATCGAAAACGCAGCGAGATAGCTAGTACGATCACTTTGAGCCCGGGATTGGGTGTGTTGATTGCTTCTTAACAGCAATTTCGTGTTCTAAGTGATTAGCGACAACATTTGGAAGCAGGCGTACCTTTGTTTTGTTTTTTTTGCGCTGCTCGTTTCAGTTCTGAGCTCATCGCTCACAGCATGAGGCACTCTTCAACACATACAATATGGAGGGTGCAGGCAGAATGTTTGATCTCCAAGTCTGCCTCCCCTCACAATTAGACTGATATAGCCAAATTGAAGGGTCAGTCAAGGTTGGGCGTAAGGATCAATGCAATGTACCCTTAAAATCAGTAACACCGTTCTGTAGCTCTGCAACATTTTCACCAAGTTGGAAAAGGAGGAGTGATATAAATTGAAAGGTGAAACGGTGTGCGGAGAAACGGTCATCCTCATCCTTTTGATACCAGCGTCACATTCTTATTAGTCAAAATACGCACATTCGCATCATGGGGAAAGCTCTCATTGTCGTCGATCTCCAGTTTGACTTTTTACCTCCAAACGGGTCTCTGGCCGTTCCCACGGGAGATCAGATCGTGTCTCCGATCGCAGAGCTGATCAAGGACGAGAGATGGAGCGTGGTGATTGCTACGCAGGACTGGCATCCAAAGGACCACGTCTCGTTCGCCGCGAATCACAATCTGCCCGATTTCAGCGAATTCGAGTACACGTCGCCCGCGAAACCGTACGGGACTCAAAAGGCCACGCTGTGGCCGGTCCATTGCGTACAAGGCACCCAGGGCGCGGAGCTGGCACCGGAAATGGCAACGGCTTTCGAGAAACTGGAATGCGACCACCACGTCGTGCAGAAGGGTTTTCTGGCAGACAGAGAGTACTACTCCGCTTTCAACGACATCTGGAACGACCACCACACTCAATTGGACGCAATGCTGCAGAAACACGGCATCAACGATGTTTTCGTCGTTGGTCTGGCGCTCGACTATTGTGTCAAAAGCACGGCCATCTCAGCCGCTAATCTCGGCTACAGAACAACCATTCTACAAAACTACACTCGCCCCATAGCTTCCGACCACAAGGCTATGTGCAACCTCAGACAAGAACTCATCCAAAACGACGTTACTCTCAAGTAAACAAATAATGCCCTCTAAGCTACAATGACACTCTCCAGTAAACTATTACTACAATCCCAATTATCATTCTCTAACACAAAGTTCCCGTTGAAGTAGAAACAAATTCTTTGAGTTCACATAGCCAGAAGTGGAAGCGCAATCGATCGGTGCTGATAGGGTGTTCTGGACTTTTTAAGAGACACGTAAATAAAAGTATTTATATTTAAAACAGGTTCGTGTCGTGATCCAAAGAATTTTCAAAAAAAAGAAGGCCCCGCGCAAACGGTACAAGCCATCAAAAGCCGGAACTGATTTATATCTCGCTCACTCCAGGTCCTCGCATATTACAAAATATCCTTCTTGCAGTTTTGAGTTTCCTATACATTCCACTCTCTCTCGGAGTTTGTCAAGTTCACTACAATATATCTCGGTATCTCGTTTTTAAGGGCTTGAGACCATGGCCAAAATCACCAAGCGAGGAAGGACGGTCATAACTTGCATCGTGCTCCTGTACGTTGTTCTGTCGTTTCGGTTGAACAGCTGGAAAGTGCACTCGGGGTTTTACAAAGGCTTCAAAACGCTTTTACCAACAACATCCGACGTCAAGAACGTCAACTTCAAGCAATTCCAAGCCGAAAATCTGAGAGAAGCCTCGGTCACCAGCTTGAGATCGCAACTGGCGCTTCAGTTTCCATACGATACGTCTGAGCCTATCCCGAAGAGAGTATGGCAAACCTGGAAGTATCCTTTGGACTCTCCCAAAATGAAAGCAGAGTTCCGCATGCTTGCCGGTCGCTGGAAAGACGCGGTAGGCGAAGCACCACTTTACGAATATGCATTGATTTCAGACGACCATATGATGCCGCTTCTGCGTAATCTGTACGGCGCCGTTCCACAGGTTATTCAAGCATTTGAATCCCTGCCATTACCCATTCTAAAGGCAGATTTCTTTCGGTATCTTATCCTATACGCTAGAGGTGGCATTTACTCTGATATTGACACATACCCTCTCAAGCCACTTGATTCGTGGCCGTCTATCTCTAGCATCGGCGACTCCAAAATTGATTCCGCAATCCAGTACAAAGGTCTGCGATCGGTAAGTGAGTCTACGGTTCGAGAACTTGGCTTTGTTGCTGGAATTGAAGCGGACCCAGATAGAGTTGATTGGAACGAGTGGTATGCGCGTAGAATTCAATTTTGCCAGTGGACCATTAAATCAAAACCTGGCCATCCACTTTTGAGAGAACTGATCATAAATATTACGGCAACTACGCTAGCAAGCACCAACGTCAAAAGCAGCATTGAAGCACCTGAATTCATCATCGACGAAGACCACAGGAGTGATTACTTGATAAATTGTCGTGACAAGAGAAGATTTGATGATGATTTCCCGGCCGATCAAAAGAAGACGTCTAAAAATGTCGACGGTACTGATACCATGAACTGGACAGGACCCGGTATATTTTCTGACGCCGTGTTTGAATACCTCAACAACCTTATTCAAACAAATCTCGACATCTCAATAATCAACAACAATATGAAGGCTAGTCATGAGTCTGGCACACAAAAATTTTACCGTAAGATAACTGAGGGCCTCGAGTCGAGCGCCACCTTTGTCAAGGAATTTTTTACACTGATAGAAGAGCCCGTTGTTGTGGACGACGTAATGATCTTACCAATTACTAGCTTTTCACCTGGCGTCAATAATATGAATGCAAAATCGGACGATGATGAGATGGCGTTTGTCAAACATCAGTTCACGGGGTCTTGGAAGGGAAAAGAACCTAAAAAGAAAAAGCCACCAGTAAACAAACAGCCGCCTGTTGGAAAGTAGGCATCTGCGAGAACGTCGCCGGTATCGTCGTTCTCGAATAGTTCACTCCTGTAAAACTTGACTGCATATATATTTAAATACAAAGAGAAAATACGCTAATGATGTTACGCCGACCATGTTCGATACCTTAAAAACACTTTTACATATATTACACAATGTGAACTTCATTATAGTATTACACACGAATTCTTGCTCTTCTTTTTTTACGTTTGGTTTCCTGTTTCTTGTTCTTTCCTTGTGACAACGGTCTGACTACTCCTGGATTGTCGAGTGTATTGGAAGTGTTCGAGGGATCTTGGCTAGGTTGGAAACCTTTTGGACTACCAGGGCCAGGACTCGAAGTTAGACCTGTTTCTCTGCGCGACATGTGTCCCATGGCCGTTGGCCCTGACCCTTGAGCCTCAATTTCATTCCTGATGATTTGTCTCACCACATCAACGAATACTTCATCTACGTTGCTCCTTAGCAAGGCACTGGTCTCATAAAAAGGCACTTTGCCCCATTTGCTGCTCATTTCAATTCCTTCTTCGACCGAAATTACTCTCTCGTCCTCTAAATCTGCTTTATTGCCCACTAGGACCATGGGAACCCTTGAAGAGTCTTTTATGCGCAAAACTTGTTCCCGCAATTCTATCAGTTCCTCCAGCGATTGTCGATCTGTCACAGAGTATACAAGCAAAAACCCCAGTCCAGACTTAATGTAGAGCTCTCTCATCGCAGTAAACTGAGCTACACCCGCCGTGTCCAAAATCTCCAAGTCAAAGACCTTATTGTCTATTTCCATCGATTTACGATACGAATCCTCGATCGTCGGATCATAGGTATCCAAATACACTCCTTGGACGAATTGCACTGTTAAACATGATTTCCCTACACCTCCAGCACCTAGTACCACTAGCTTATAGTCTCTCATTGCCCTCGTTTGTGCCTGAGTTGTAATTTAAACCGTTCAGATGATAAGTTAGTCGTAATTTTTCTACAAAACTTGAACTTTGGTTCATCGAGAGATTGCGTGAGATGTTCGAAGAGCTGCGAAAAGAAAAAGCAGATTGTATCAGATGCGCCCTGTCAACTCAAGATTCTTTCTGAAAGCAGGGTGGCGGCTTTATTCCAAGTCAATCGATAAGAGTGCCTCTTTCTCACTCGCAAATTTGAGGATTGGATATGCATCGGACGTTAAATATCATCCCAACTCAGACAAAATGTACATTTCGAGAATCCAGGTGTCTGAGGGTACCCCGGATGATCCAGAACTAATTGTGAGGCAGGTATGTAGCGGGTTAAGGGAATATGTGCCGCTTGACGAGTTGAAGGGACGACTCCTCGTAATCGTGGATAATATGAAGAAGTGTAAGCTAAGAGGTGAATTTAGTGAAGCTATGGTCCTGTGTGGTGATGATTCAGCCCAGAACATCGTAGAACCTTGTAGTCCTGTTCGTTCTTCGCGTTCTCTGATTGGGAAACACGTGGTCTTGAAGGGTAGAACTAACGAACCGACAACAAGAAGGATTAAAGCTAGTGAATGGCAGGAGCTGGGATCTCGGCTGTCTGTTGATGCCCAAAACAGAGCCGTCTTCAAGGATCCTGAAACCGGTCAACAAGTTCCATTGTGTGTGTATGATGGTGATGAAGAGGTGGATATAAAGGTGGGCAAAGTAACTGCAGGAACACCTGTTAGGTGAAGCGGAGGAAGGGCAGCCAATTAGCCTGACAACAAACACGAAATCGGCATCAGTATTCTAATAGTAGAAATTGTAAGGTAACCAATCGAATTCTTGTTCGAAATACAACGGGGCGTGTGAAGCGGTACGTAGATTTAGTCTTTCCAATCAGGACTAAAGAGATCCGCAGGGAAGACGTATATATTCAACAAATTTCAGGCTTCCAAACGCACGGCTGCAAGATAGACAACTAAGATTTCGCCTTCCGTTTCAGCGGTGACTGGATTTTGTGCCATTGACCTTAATTCGAACGACTGGCTAGACCCCAGTTCTGCCCACCAAAGAATGAAGGGGAACTCTGTTGACCGAACAGCACCGTTATCATGATGTAATTCGAGAAGAACTGGGTTGCATACTCGATATGGTAACGGCCTCGTTAATGTATATTAGAGACCACCCAAAATCCATGGCCAAATTTTCTATTTTCGCAATTGCAATACAAAACAGTACTAGGGTGAACGTTGGGGCTACTTTATCAGGCTCTTAACGTAGTATTGAGCGTCCGCAAGCCCACTTTCAACTCAGCTGGTGTGTTTTCCGTGCGCGGCGACACATGTTTCTCATCTCATCGCCTGAAAATTTCATAAGGTGATGAATTATTAGCAGTACCAAATAGCATTTAGAGGCCATTCTCGAGAAAAACAACCCAATTAGACGACGCAATGATCCACCAGATGGCACCATGGGTGCCTCAGTTTATACAATCGTGGAAGAATCATTCCCAAACGTTTACGCCATTCTATTTCGCTACGATAGACCCATTGACCAATAAACCTAAATGCCGTACCGTCATTTTCCGTGACTTCCTCTTCCACGACAAGCGCAGTAACGTGCTTACGTTCACGACAGACCTGCGCGGCGACAAGGTCAAGGAAATCCTAGCTTCGGGTGCCGAAACTGCTCCGTTCGAGGCGTGCTTCTATTTCCCAAGCACCTGGGAGCAGTATCGTTTCAGTGGTAAATGTTTTGTCGTGTCGCAGAAACAAGCGCCACCGATCTCCAGCATGTACAACCAAACGGACCCAGGAACCATAGAGTACCCGATCTTGTCGCCCGGTGTTTACGGCGAAGACCAGGTGCTGTACCAACATGAGAACGACCAGGAGTCGGATCACGAATCCGACTCCGAGAGCGAAGTCGCGTCCGACGGGACTCGTCCTTCTCCGCCAGAAGCGCGTCGCCCAGAGCTTTCTCGCTGCTCCACGCGCAGCTCGAACGGCCTCAAACACAGCAATCATATCTTGGGACCCAAGGACTACTCCCCTCCACTGGCGAAGGAGTGGAGCTTGGAACTGAATCGGCAGTGGGCAAACCTGTCGCGTTCTACGAAGGCACAGTTCCGGAAGCCTGATCCTGGCGTTCCACTCACGTCCGGGACCAGAAAACAGCTCGACAAGATCCAACGCGGGGTAGACGGCGCCAAGGAAGATGCTGGCTTTGACCATTTCGGCGTTGTGTGCCTTTGTATTGAAGAAGTGGATTTCTTGAATCTTAAGGATGGCCGCGGCGGCGAAAGATGGAAGTATCACCGCAACGTCGATGCTAGCAATGGCGTAGAGACCTGGAATGAAGCTGAAGTGTGCCCTTAGGCCCATTCAATCCACATATTATCTTAGCTCATCACCGTATCTTGCCCTAGGGTAACTTTCGACGAACTTTTTCATGGATCTTCTCGGTGCTAGATTCCCTAGCGAATAATGAACTTTGAATCTAAAAGAACCCACTCCCGCGCGGAATGCACAGCGGGAAGATAAGCTGGACTTGCAAGACAGGTTGATATAAGAAGGGCTTTCATTTGAACAAATACCCAAACTCTAAACTACTTATTTGTGAATTCCTCAAAAACATTCATAGGAAAGAACTGTTTTCTCGCTACTGTACCCCTTAAGAGACATTTTCCAAAACTTTACATATGTCGATCGCTGCCAAGTACTACCCACAAGAACCTAAAGTCCCAGTCGTGAAGACGTCGAGTATTCCAGGTCCCGAGTCGGTCAAGGAATTGGCGCAACTGGGCGAGGTCTTCGACGCTAGACCAGCCTATTTCGTGGCAGACTACGAGAAATCGCTCGGCAACTACATCGTCGACGCTGACGGCAACACTTATCTGGATGTATACGCACAAATTGCCTCCATCGCTTTGGGCTACAACAACCCCAAGCTGATCGAGGCTGCGCAGTCTCCAGAGATGATCCGTGCGCTCGTGGACCGTCCAGCTCTAGGGAACTTCCCCTCCAAGGACCTGAACTCTATTTTGAGAAAAATTCTTAAATTTGCCCCCAAGGGCCAGGACAAGATCTGGTCAGGTCTATCCGGTGCCGATGCCAACGAACTGGCATTCAAGGCAGCTTTCATGTACTACCGTGCCAAGCAAAGAGGTGTCGGCGCTGAGTTTTCCGCTGAGGAAAACAGCACTGTCATGAAGAACGAGGAGCCTGGTTCTCCTCATCTAGCTGTGCTATCATTCAAGAAAGCCTTCCACGGAAGACTCTTTGCCTCCGGCTCTGTGACTTGCTCCAAGCCGATCCACAAACTTGATTTCCCAGCTTTCAACTGGCCTCATGCCGAATACCCATCTTACACATTCCCCTTGGCCGAGAACGAAGCCGCTAACCGTGCCGAAGACGACCGTTGTTTGAAGATCGTCGAAGACCTCATCACCTCTTGGTCCATCCCTGTTGCAGCCCTCATCATCGAACCAATTCAGTCTGAAGGTGGTGACAACCATGGCTCCAAATATTTCTTACAATCTTTAAGGGATCTAACCTTGAAGCTTGGAGTCGTGTACATCATCGATGAGGTGCAAACCGGCGTGGGTGCTACTGGTAAAGCTTGGTGCCATGAGTGGGCCGATATTCAACCTCCAGTTGATCTGGTAACATTCTCCAAGAAATTTCAAAGTGCTGGCTACTTTTTCCATGACCCACTATTTGTTCCCAACAAGCCTTACAGACAGTTCAACACCTGGTGTGGTGAACCGGCTCGTATGATTATTGCCGGTGCCATTGCTGAAGAAATAACAGAGAACAATCTGTTGGATCAATGTGCTCGTGTCGGAGACTACTTGTATGCTAAATTGGAAAAACTGCAATCTCAATATCCTGATAAGTTCCAGAGGCTAAGAGGACAGAACAGGGGTACCTTCATTGCTTGGGACTTATCCTCTTCTGCTGAGAGAGATGCTTTGCTAAAGGATCTGAAACTTAAGGGCTGCAACGTCGGTGGATGTGCCGAATTGAGTGTCAGACTAAGACCTACGCTATCCTTCGAAGAGAAGCACGCCGACATATTGGTTGAGGCTTTGAGTCAAGCTGTGGCCGATCTATGAAAGCATCTTGCATTGTTTTGTTCTCCATACTTTGTCAATTCTGTAGTAAATTATTATAATCGTTTCATCTAATACTCACCGACACTGAAGTAATAGTATAGTAAACTATTCAGAAAGGTTTCAAGACGGTTAGGTGATGTCCTGACGGATGCACTGGACCATGTCCACCAAGATTTAGGCTAACACGAGCCAGCGTACTCACCGCTGTTCGAGTAAAATTGTGTGTCATTTCTAACGGTAATGTTAACAGATTAGATTCTTTCTTAAAGGAAAGGAGATTTAGGTCTTGTGCGGCTCATACACTTGAGTGCAGTATGGCTAATTCGCTAAATATGGGTACCGATTCAATTATGTCGGTAGAAGAATGGCTGACAGTTGGTAGGCTGGATGCTTCTTTAGCCCTTTTGACTACCAAAAATCATCATGTTATTGAGTTTCCTACAATGCTGCTGCCGGACAACATAAAAGCCGGATCTATCGTCAAGATTCAGGTTTCTGAGGATCAGGATCTGGAGAAAAAGGAGTTTGAGCAGTTTCAATTACTTCAGAATGATATTCTAGAGAAGTATGGGACTCATAGGCCACAAAATCCGGTGTTGAACATTATCAATGTAACACAAACCAGTGGTGTTTTAGGTTGGGATGCTCTGGAACTGGGATCGGCTCAGTTGAAATCCCTTGTACTCTACAAAGATGGTGTGCGCTCTTTGATGATACCCAACCCTTTCAAGACGACAGCCACTAAAATTTCGGGGCTTTCTGTCGACTGCGAATACAGTTTCCAACTTAGATTGAGTACGACATCCGGAGACCTTTGGTCTGATAAGGTCGTTCTTCACACGCATAAGATGACTGACATGTCAGGCATCACAGCTTGTCTAGGAACTCTCGATGGTGTACAAGGTGTCACTAAACTTCACATTCAGACTAGCTTGAATAATATTGGAGCTAAACCTCTACAATCGCACGTTACAATTGACACTACGCACTTTATATCTAACGACACAGACAGTGACGATCCTGAGTTGCAAAAGGCTCAGCAGAGTAATATACCCGTTGTGAGGCCGGAGTGGGTTAGGGCCTGTGAACTTGAAAGAAGAATCGTTGGGGTTCGTGGCTTCTATTTGGATGCAGATACCGTTAATTTAGAAAGTTACAAATTCTCAAAATTATCAGCTGAAGAGGGACAGCCAGGCATGAGCACTCAAAATAAAGAGCTTCCAATACCTTCTCAGGATCGTGGTACTCCTGCGTCTGAAGACGTAGCACATGCCGGTGTTTCACAACAATCTACAGGTATTTCAAATGCGTCATTAAAGAGTGAAGCTGAACCGGAAGTAAATGGTCGTTCACAATCTGCTGAGCTTGACCTTGAAGCCTCAGAATCAGTAGATCCGACAACAAACTCTGATGTAGAAGATCAGGCCGAGAAAACACTATCAGAAAACGAGCCTGTAAGTGTGGAAGAAAGAAGCGGTCAAACTTTGGCCAAAAACAAGGAAGGTCTAGAATCTAATGTTTCGTTAGAAGAACCTGAGGCCACCAATGATGTGATAGAGGAACCTAAGGGCCTAAATATTGAGGACATCAAAACTGAGGCTCCATCGGATCAGACGAACGGATTGTCTCTAACTCGTGAGACCTTCGAGCAAAATTCTGAGCCTCCAAAAATTTCGATAGAATCTAACGGCAACGAAATCACCGAGGCCAACGAAAATCTCGAACAGGAGAGGCTAAGTGAAGACCTTGAAACGCCCGACTCGCCAAAAATGACCGAAAAATCTGAGCCCACTGAGCACGGCAAGTCCGTGGAGGTGTCTGAGCTTACGATGCCCTCAGAAACTCTCCAACTTTCGGAATCTGATCGAGGTTTAGAACCCACCCTGCCTGTAGGCTCTGTACAATCCTTGATGCCTGAAGAAATGTCAAAGACAGCTGATCATGTAAACCAAAGTCAAGATCTCGATGAATATTCACTACCTGTCGAGCGAGATGTGCTCGTCGGGGACACATTGCCATCCCAACATACCGACCCAGAAGCTTTTCCAAAGTCTGCCGAAGTCACAAAGCCTTCTGGGGAGGAGGTGATTTTAGAGAACGGGGAATACTTTGAGCAAAACATGCACACCCAATCGACTGGTCCAATCGAAGATGAAATATCAGAAGCACTACCAAATTCCTCCGAAACCCAAGCACCTCTTGAAGACGATATTGTCAATGATGTACCTTCTTCCAATGGACAAGTGGAGCCCGTGGCATCTTCTGAGAACGACGCTGGCACTGTTCATGCCGAGCCCTCCGATGGCCCAAATAATGCCGAATTATCTCATCTAGAACCTGATACGGATGAATTGACGGGTACTGAAAACACACCGGAAGCTGCCGACTCCACGGTTCCTGAGACCACAAATGGTAACCAATCGTCTTCCTCCTCCAAAAAGAAGAAGAACAAAAAGAACAAGAAAAAGGGCAAGAAGTAGTGTGGTTCGTCTGCATTCGTCTAAGCGCATGTAACGCTATAAGAAAAGGTACTTAAATTTTAGCTTCCAATGTAAAAAGTTTGCATTTCTATTTGTTTCGTTCTGTATACACTTCGTGTAACTCTATGTAAATTTTAGCTGCCTGCGCTTATTCGCCGAAAAGTCTGCGCACTCTTTTCAAGATAGAGTCCTTCTCAGGGTCGTATGGATGTTCTTTAGAAGGAATCTCCAAAACCGCAGGGAAAGCGGCTGTGAATCCATCAACTTGACCCCTGATCTTCTCTGCTACATGCTGGTTGATAAGCAAGATCGCAATGTCTTCTCTCTCTTGGGTGAAATCGTCAAATGCAGAGAGAATTTCCTCCCTCGTAGTTTTTCCCTCTTGGTACATGAAGAAGTTCTTTTCCTGACTTGAAGGCGAGATTTGACCAACTCCGGCAAGGAGCATGCCAGTACAGGTATCTTCATCGCCGATCACAGCGATCAAAGAGCGTTTATCAGACATCAGTCTATGCTTTATGGTGATTACTTTCTTGAAGGGAAGAATAATGAACGGAAACGATAACATCTTTAATATTATATCACCTGTATCACCTGTAGTCCGAATATAAACCCACCTCGTTTTTAGCGATGTGATATTTTTGATAGATTTACGAGTGCTAAGAAGCCTTGCCTTCGTAAGCCTCCAGTTCCATGGTCTAAACAGCTGTATATCTTTCAATTGAACTCGAAAGGTTGTTTCTGGCTCGACGTTGTTTCTGGCTCGACGTTGCCACGATGTCCTTTGAACTGCCGTTCTTCTGTATTCTCATAATTTTAAAAAGCAGATCTGCTAAATTCCATCGTGGTTTTGACAAAACTATACCCTGAAAGCTTACATTACGACCTGTACATAGCCCGTTTAAACATTTATAGACTTCCTAGATGCTGCGACTTCCTACAACTCGTTCACCGGCTCTTTTGACGCGTACCTTCACGGTTTACAGGCCGACAATGTCTGGTCACAACAAATGGTCGACAATCAAGCACGACAAGGCCAAGCATGACGGAGAGCGAAACAAGCTGTTCAACAAGTTTGCAAACCATATTGCCCTAGCTGTGAAGCTAGGTGGTGGTTCCACGGATACATCGTTGAACGTGCGGCTGGCAGCGGCTATTGAGTCTGCTAATAAAAACAACGTCACAAGAAGAGTGGTAGAAAATGCAATTCGCAAAGGTTCTGGAGCAACTGATAAAGATGGAGCTGGGTCCGAAGCATGTGTCTACGAAGGCATGGGTCCCGGTGGGGTCGCTTTTGTCGTCGAGGCGCTCACTGACAACAAAAATAGAACAATTGGTCTTGTGAGAAGCACGTTCACCAAGATTGGGGGCAGTATGACTCCCACGCTGTACTTCTTCGAACGCAAAGGTAGCGTGTTAGTTCGTCCCCCAAAAACGCAGTTGGACTTCGATCAAGTTATGGAGACGGTGCTTGAAATTGATGGTGTGGAAGACCTGGAGACACTGAGCCCTGAGGAGCAAGAAAAAGAGGATTTAGCAGTCGAGTATGGCTCTACCGTTTACGAGATAACCACAGATCCGGCGCACGCCAATCTTGTGGCTTCCTGTCTCAAGGATAAAGGCTTTCACATTCAAGAAGTTAACATAGGTTATGTGCCCAAAAGCGACATGCTAGTGGAAATTGGTAACGACGAAGCCCAATCGAAGATCGATAAGTTTATGGCCCAGCTTGATGAGATTGACGACGTTACGGACTTCTACTGCAATTTAAAAAGATAGCAGCCGAAAAAGCCGTTCCATAATCATTCCAAGCGCCGGTACAGCGTCTTCCATTTCGCCATTCACTTACGCTTAGCCCTGCTGACATATGCAGTTTGGCATTGATTGTCACCTAGTCGCGGACGGTTCGGGAAAAGTTCTTTCTATCTGGCTGCAATAGATAAAAAAAAATTGTCGGGCAAGAGCGAACTAAATCAATCCACAATTTTCGCCAAGCGGCCATAATTATCGATTCGTGCCCTCCAATGAAAACGATTGCCCCAAATCAAGACGAAATGATGTAAACGCAAGTGTCGGAATTACCTTACGATCGAAATTCTGCGCTGCTTCTTATCTTCCCAACGCAAGCTCATCCAGAGCTTACATGTACATATAAGGACCGAGAAAAACTGTCTAATACGAAATGGTATTTATATTCTCCAACTGAGGTTTTACAAAAGCTACACGAAGTATAAGGGTTCTAATCTATTTACTCTTTTCTCTCACACTTGTTACTTATCTCATAGTGTCATATCGCGCTTATCAAGAAATTTTCGATATCTTGAAATTTCACTGAATCTCATCGCCGCGGAAAAACCCTTTTGTTCTGAGAAACAGATCAACTGGTGGTCAAAAGTACTTAAGAGATTACTGCTTTGGTCCCCTGCAGGACATTCGGTTGACTGCTCAGCAATCCAATGAATAGCATTGAATCTGAAATCAACGTGCAAAATGCAGAGACCGCTACTCGCTCTCAGCGCGTGCGGATACAAGCAAGGAAAGTGGTGCGCAAGCTAACCACCAAAGAAGGGCTATTTGGGGATTACGACTATGCCTTTCTCTTTACGCCATCTTATCCTTTCAGGGACTGGGTAAACCGTAAACGTGGAATTGAGCCAGTTCTGAGAGATCAGCCCTTTTTTTCGGTGTATTCCGAAATGCCTATCTTACTGGGCCTGTTATTGGGCCTGCAACACTCACTTGCAATGTTGGCGGGTGTTATTACACCTCCTATTATCATAGCATCCGTGGCAAATTTCCCTACTGAGATACAACAATACTTGGTCTCAGCGTCACTTATCGTTTCGGGGATCATGTCTTGCGTCCAAATCACTAGGTTCCATATTCCAAAGACACCCTATTACATTGGTTCCGGTTTAATATCAGTGGTTGGCACTTCTTTCGCGACCATTACTATCGTTGAGAAGGCCTTTCCGATAATGTACAAATCAGGATTTTGTCCCACAGGTGCAGATGGAACTCCAGGTCCGTGCTATGCTGGTTATGGTGCACTACTTGGTAGTGCGGCTTGTTGTGCTCTTCTTGAAGTTGCTATGTCTTTTACTCCACCTAAAGTTCTGCAAAAATTGTTTCCTAAAATTGTGACTGGTCCAGTTGTGTTGTGTATTGCTGTAAGTTTGATTCAAAGTGGCTTTAACGACTGGGTTGGCGGATCTGGTTGCGTTGGTGCTATTTGTCCTTCTGAAGGTGCGCCCATGGCAGGCGAATGGGGGAGTGCAAGATTCGTCGGTCTTGGTTTCTTGGTTTTCTTCAGTATCATTGTGTGTGAGAAGTGGGGGTCTCCTATCATGAAGTCTTGTGCTGTCATTGTTGGTCTGATTGTCGGCTGCATAGTTGCCGCTGCCTGTGGTTACTTTGATCGTACATCGATCGAGACTGCTCCAGCAGTCACCTTCATTTGGGTACATACATTTCCACTTAAAGTGTATGGGCCTATTATCCTTCCTATGCTGGTCATGTATATTGTTCTTGCACAAGAATGTATTGGTGATGTGACCGCGACTTGCGACGTTTCCCGCATGGAAGTTGAAGGTGAATTGTACGAGTCTAGAATTCAAGGTGCTGTGTTGAGTGATGGGCTCAGTGGTATATTTTCAGCTCTACTCACTTTACCTCCTTTGTCAACTTTTGCTCAAAACAACGGTGTTATTTCTTTGACCAAGTGTGCCAACAGACAGGTCGGCTATTGGTGTTGTTTCTTTCTAATAATCATGGGCATTTTCGCCAAGTTTGGAGCCGCACTGGTGGCTATTCCTAAGCCAGTTTTAGGCGGAATGACTACCTTCTTATTCACCAGTGTTGCCGTTTCTGGTTTAAAGATTATCTCCACAATTCCATTTACCAGACGTGACAGATTTGTGCTGACTGGTACTTTGTTGTCTGGTTTTGGTGCTATCTTGGTGCCTAATTGGTTCGAAACCTTCTTTCACTACAATGGTGACAATGAATCCCTAGTAGGGTTTTTGAATGCCATCATTTTGATCATGGAATCTGGGTTCGCAGTTGCCGGTATTGTGGGCATGATTTTGAATTTAATGATTCCACAACAACTCGACGAAGACTTGATGGATGATATCGAAGTTCAACAAGATAATCTGGCAGCCTTGGAAGGTGTTCAATCACGCGAAGGTCATATACTCAATAGTAAAGCTAAAGAAGCTTTTAGCAGAGAAAATGATCTCGATCAAACTCAAAACAGTTTTGAAATGAAGGGCAACAGGGTGACAGTTAATGCAGGTGAGGCTTCTACATCAGATTAGAAAGTATGTAAAATATTAATATTCTTAGAGGTGTTACACTAATTTGTTTGAATAAGAAGCACCACATGGTCGTTTTGCTAGTTTTTATGAGTCCATAGTTTACGTGTTTTGTAGATTAAATGAAACATTCGTAAATAAAGAAAGGCTACTGGAAGTAGTTACTTGCTGGTAAGAACGGAAACAACAGCGGTTTCAAAGGCCCTCAACTATCCATTGAAATAACAAATACGAATGTTTAATTAAATAAGGCATAACTAAGCCTGCGTTGCAATGGGTCCAAATGGCCTGGTATAAGGTATGGTGGTGCTAACTATGACAATGTTAAAAAACCCTAAGCGTGGGTAAGAACCTAGTTCTTAGTCTCTTCCAAAACCTCCTTGAGACCGGATCTGTCGGGGTTGGTTCTACCAACTCTCAAACTGGTATCGAATCTAAACTTCTTGTAAGTGAACCAGCACGCAGAGCTGATAGCAACACCCATAGCCAAGAAAAGAGGGGTCAACTCCACAGGGATTCCTAGACCTGGTTTTTGTTTTTGCTGTTCAAGGAGTTAGTAAATGAAAAGTGTTGGATTGTGGAGCAGTGGTGTGGCAACATATCATGGATCGTGAGCGGAAGGCGCTCAAAATCACGATTTGATGCTCAAAAAGATCCGGGACGGTCCTTTCAATGGGGCAAATCGAGAGCTTTCTCGAAAGCACGAAGCGTCAAAAGCTCTCACTTTTCGTCCGAATCCTCCAAAAAATCGAGGGAAAAAACATACGGCAGCGCTCAATAGAATTCTAGTAGGTCTCATTTCGTATATATATCAGTTTAGTGCTAAATTCAAAGCTCAGCTTAGTCTTCAAACTCCTGTCTTCCAGCTTTATCCTATCTCTCTTTTCACAATTTTCATGGAAAGAAAGTCAATTAAAAGAATATCAGACGTTTTGCACGTGACTTATAGATTTTTCGCCTATTCTCATTGGTTCACCTGTCCATCAAGCTGATGGACCCTGATGAAGCTCGGACGGGCCTGGTAAGTTTGGCGTATTCATTAGGAACTACTGGCTACGTATTAGATTAGTGTGTGTTTATCTTTACTTGGGGCTTGTGATTTCAACTTTTGGCCATTACATCGCGAATGGCTTCGTAGACTACCCAGCTGACCGCTGTAGAAGGAACGACTTTGAATAGATTAGCAGTCAAGCCCTTGTAATAGCCCTTGAAACCCTCGGTGCGTCCTATGGTTCTTAGCGCATCCAAAACGCCCGTGTAGCGGTATCCAAGCGCATTCTGGCCCATCGCCAGGACCTGGAAACGTCTTCTGAGTAGATCGAACGGATACGTGATGGTTTGAGCCACTCCACCACTTATGGCACCGATGGAGAGTTTATAGAGACTGGCCCAGGTGGGGTCGACGCTTGAAGGAATGAATTCACGCAGTTGTTCGTACACGGTGAAGTTCAACGCGACGTAAGGTACTACGCCGATGCTAGTGGGCCAAAACCCGCGGTAGAGGCCCGCGATTCCGCCCTCTTGGACGTAGGTCTTCACCAGCAATTCCCACACGCCGGGCGGTTTCGCGGAACTACTTTTCAAGCGGGCCAAGTTGGCGGTTTGGATCGAAAGCCTTGTGCGAATCAGATCCAGCGGGTATGTAGCCAGAACGCTGCAGAATCCGCATGTCGCACCGCCCACAAGTCGCTGCCATCCGTGGAGCTGTTGATTGTGGTTTCGGCTCTGGTTCGCTGTGGCCGTGGCATCCAGCTGGAACCATTGACGTTTGCAGAAATCGTACACCACAAACTGGACCGCGCTGTAAGGGAAGATCCGCACACAGTTGAGACCATTACCACGCAGCAGGCCCGGAATTCCTTCCTCCACGTAGATCTGTTTGACAGCGCCGAAAACGCCCTGGTTGTAGGCCTGAGTCGAGCTTTGCACCTGTAGGAGGATCTTGACTCTCTCGAACGGCGACACCACGGTTCTTGACACCGCGCCTGCCATGCCGCCGGCCCAAAATGCGACGCTTGAGTCGCTGAACAGAAATTGGCGCCAGCCGCTAGTGTCCAGATGGCTCATTACCACAGAGATGCCCAGCAAATGATCCGCTTTAAAGACTCTGTGGCTACTGGACTGATTCACTAAACACGCCAATACACTACTTACACGAAAATCAATTCTACAACTACAACAAGTCAAAACTTGAACGCTCGAAGACCATTTCAATCGTAGATATCCCACTGGGAATCTTTTCCAAAAATGCTTTGACGCCATACAACGATATTTTTCACACCTGCTTGATCTCAGATTGCGAAAAAAAAATATTCAAAAAAATAATGAGAGCTACGGGATTCGAACCCGCGCATCCGAAGATATCAGAGAATCTGACTTATTCTGAAAGTTAAGCCTAAATCTGACGCCTTAACCACTCGGCCAAACTCTCGTATTTGATGAAAGAAGGTAATTCGGAAGGCTACTAGTAGGGTTTTGAAGGTCAAGTGACAGAGCAGGCCATGGCACTGGACTGCAATGGAGATCGATGGAGAGCCTTAGCAGTGGATTGCTGTTGCGTTTGAATATGTTACAAGCAGTTTAGCGATTTACGGAAATTTTGGGTGCGATTTCATGATTGCGGTACTGGGTTGACATCATATGCTGTAGGTCTTTGAAACGTTCTAGCCGAGTATCCTGTAGAACGTTCTGACTTTTAGGCAATTGAGAGCAGGAAGCCCGCATTATTTACTGGCTCTATGAAGTACTCTTACCTGAAGCGACTTCATTTATTGATGTTGAACCTCTATGTTATACAAGGGAATGTTGGATAGTTGGAGCCGAGCTCTACAGCACTGGGACTTAACTTTTCGCGCTACTGCGCGAAATCAGTGCTATTAAGTGTGTACGAGTGCCAAGCTCCAGCAACGCTGGGGATTTTTCACATCTCTTTGCAGCTTTCAGTTACTGTAGTTCACTTATACCTACGCTGAGTTCAGATTAGTTAAAAAATATCAGTCACTGTTATACACTCATCATTGAAACACCTACAGTCATGCTTTGGTAGACTCAGAATAGCTTTTCTTGAACCGGATTTACGCTTAGCCGGGACCCAAGTGTTCCACTTTCACCGCTCCACTCGTCGACTTGGAAACCGCAGTTTCAACAATCATCGGTCCAGCAGACCTATTGGAATGTAAGAGGGCTAAGGTTCACAAAAATTCGTAATGCTTGGAGAGAATCATGTGAATGCTCCAATTGGCATCGAAACCACAAGCATTGAAAGCCACGTACAGGTTCAAGAAAGTGGCTGCCACTCTTAGGTATTACATTAGTTGTCACTGGTGATGGATCTACGGGACTTGAGTTCTGCCTTCCGATTGTGGAAAATCAACAGTCGCCAGTATGCTCGAAATATGCCGCAATTTTCGAGGGCCCTCACTGAGAATACAATCCAAATCCCACTTGATATATATCACCGGGGTTTGTAATATACCGACACTGGCTTTATAGTGAGTAGAGCTCCAGCTCCCATTTGGTAAACATCACCGCGAATCGTAATGCTTCGACGCTGGCTTTACTCTCATTCGTTTCAGCTCCCACTTGATAAATTTCACCGGGAATTGTAAAGCTTCCATGCGGGTTTTACATTGCTCCCTTCTCCCACAATCCCTCATTGTTTCCCACCGTCGTTATCATACTTCCCTCACGGAGTTACTACTCGCAACCATGGAGTCCAATGCTATTTCAGAATCACCACCAGTTCACCACTTACCCACCACATGACCCTCGTTCAAACTCCCTCCGACGCGCATACGCTTCGGCATACTCTTCGACACGCACAATCTCTCAACCACACTCCTGTTCGCACTACCAAACTGTGCTAAAGTCCATCTAGGTTCCTTCTCCGCTCGCGCATGCACAGCGTCGATCGATGCTTCCATACACACTCTCTCGATTAGGCCGGAATGAGGTTGGCTCGAGAAATTTACCGTTCAAAAAAAATTTCCACGACATGCAATAGTTGACGTCAAATGCAGTGGCATCAGTAGATCTTGCAGACAAGGATCGACGGATGTGGATCGCCGTAGCGGTGCGAGATCAGCATAGCTGTAGGGCTGATGAGCCGGTCAATTGAATAGAAAATTTCAATTGAACGAGGTAAGTGAAATGAAAAATTGACATATATGGAAGAAATGACGTAAGAAACGATCTGGCTCGAGCTACAGCTGAACAGAACTCCGGGACGCTGGGTATTCAGCATTGGATAAGGGTGAAAAAGATGCCATTTGTTTAATGCTAATTAATGCTATATCGGTGGGAGTCGCCGGTGTCTGAACAAGGCTGTTGCTGGGAATTCCCGTGAATTTTCTTGTGTCGAATCAGATTACTCTTGACGTTGAAGCGTTTCCCGCAGTTCGGGACGTCGCAAATGTAGGGCTGGTGACCTGTATGGATCAGCACATGTGTGTTGAGTGCACTGGGCCGGGAAAAGGTCTTGCCGCATGCCAAACACTCGTGGGACGTGGCGCTGGGGGGCCGGTTCGGCAGCGGGGCCTTTCGTACGGCGGGGACAAGCGGCGACGACGACGCACTGGTAGAGCGGGACGGCAGTGGCAAGCCCATCGGGAGCATAACATTGCTAGCGGCTTCGGGACCCGAACTGATCCACGCGGACAGCGCTGGGAGTGGATCACTATGGACGGCCACTGGTAAGGGCATTGGCACGGGCATTGGCATTGGCACCGGCATTGGCATTGGCATGGGCATGGGCACTGGGCTTGGCCTTGGCACAGCGTGCTGCTGTTGTTGCTGTTGATGTTGGTGCTGTTGTTGCTGCTGTTGCTGCGTACTCTCGGGGAGTGCAGCTCTGAACTGAACACTTGTGCGGATCTCAGGCTTCTTTACCTCTCGCAAGATCTCCGACAGCGAGCGGCCTCCCTTGTTGGCGCCGCCACTGTCAGCTATTGCAAAAACGCTCTTTTCTGACAAGCACATCCATACGCCTCACGCACTAGAGCTCCGGGCCCTTGCTGCTGGGAACCCACCACAAGACTTTCTTTATCAAGTCGCGACCATCACACCGCCAGCACACACTCCGATCCTTTCCTGCGCTCTATTTATACATCTGTATTTAGATGTCCAGAAATCTAGATAATCCATACACTCTTCTGCGATCCGTTCACACCGCCAACGTTCGTTCGCGAATGTGCAGACCTAACGATGCGTCTGCGCGCTATTTACGACTCATGTGCCGAACTGAGAGAATTGCACTTATCTACAGAGACCCTCGATCCACGCGCAGTTCTCCCAGGGCCTTTTTGTCTTGGCGTATACACTTGCAGCTACATATTCACCGTTTGGTTTCCACCATACCTTTGGCCTCCTACTCTCCGTACTTTGCCACGCGGTGTTTGAGCTTAATAGCCCACAAAGGTGGTGACAGAATTGAACGTAGACTTTCCGGGAAAGGCACCCGGTGAATACCTTCTCGAGAGAATGCGGAAAGTTCCATGCGTTGGGCTCGAGAAAAAAAATTGCCAGAATTAGAATCTAGAGCATGAAGGCGAGAGAGAAGATGAGGAGAGACGAGAGGCCACGGACATAGCAAGTATTGCGAGCACGCCGGGACGAGCGGGAAAGGGCTGCGAAATGTCGAGGGCTAATCGCACGGTGCGGCTAGGGCTTTTCGGACGCTAACGTAAGCGCTCGTACTACGAAGTGGTGTGAAGAGTCTCGAGCCAATGGTCCTAACACTTCAGAGAGAGAAGACATATGTGTTCAGGGCCAGCCAAGATACAGGCCCAATCCCCGAGCTAAAATGCTCATATCAAGATCATTTTTCTCGAGATGAGCTGGCTGGAATTTTTTTTATTGATAGCGGCTGATCACTACAGACGAAATACTTGGCTAGATACATGGTTAGAGATAGTGAGTGAGTGGGTAAGCTTCACTGTATGGCGACGTGCGGTGCTAAGGGTCCTAACAATCTGGTGAGATCAAAAGGCCTCTCTTGAGGCGCTGCTGCCGGAGTTACGAGTGTTGAAAAAAAAATTGAAAAAAAATTGATAAGATTGGAACAACAGCGTAACTGCAGACGAGGTTGTACTTAGCCGGTGGTAGCGGGGGGGGATTTTACTGGTAAATCCCAAACGTAGATCGCAATGGCGCATTTGAGCTACCGCCAAAACGAATTGTGTCAGGGCCTGGCACCACTGGATGACCAATCGTTGAATAAGAAGAAAAAATCGGGTTTCGCTGCTCGATCGCTATAATCACGAGCCATCGCGAATAGATGTGAAACCGTATCTACGACGGGCGGGGGCTGTAATTTATGATATGTGGCATACATGCAGGCTTGTGGAAACGGTGCATGTGTTCAGACTCGTGGAATCGAAGCATACATTCAAGCAGGGCAAACCGGGCATATTCATCGGGAGGCTAGGAAATGGCAACGCGCATGAGAAACCTGCCATCCGATAATGCCACACGTCTGATGTCGGTCGCGCAAATGCACTCTGTGCTTCGGAACGAGTAACATATGCACCTATCACTTGGTACTAAACCGTCGCTGGAAGAAAGACTCTAGGCCTTAATCTCAAGTACACAAGAATCTGTAAAACAAATAGTCCCACAACCCCACAAGAAGAACCTCCGGGCAAATTGCTATTTATAATGTGTAGTGATGGCACCAAAAATCTACGTTTTCCTTGTCTAACGACTGTTTAGCCGTGTTGTTCTAGACTCATATTTGCATGTTCCGAAGGGCTGAGCTTCACCTGGGAATGCCATTTGCAGAGTAAAATCGATACACATTCTGTAACGAGAATGAAACGTAAAACAGGCTTTGTGATACAAGCTAGAGTTTTTACCGACGATACACCTCTTGCTCGCTACAGGGAAGAATATGTAGCGAGGGCGTTTGATGGCAAATCTATTTCCTATAGAACAGATGGCACACGTCCGGATGCAGATCGTTTCTTCAACGAATGTTCATTTATTTTTTGGATTTCTTTAAGGTTTCACTAAGAAAAGAGAATTCGCTGTCTTTAGCTCGTCGTATGCTGGACGTATGCAAGGTTTTATCGTCGGCTGCAGAACGATCAAAAAATTCGGAAAATCACCCACAATCTCTGTGTGGAACATATTTATAGTTTGTGGCCCTAGAGCCTTCAGCGATGAACATTGTTTTCTCATTACTTTCTCTTCGGGGCACGTTGGTCCATTTTTGCCGCAAAGCACGGTTCTTGCGTCTTCATCTAGTTACGTTCAAAATGAACGAACCTCTTACTACAGCTAATACTTCTTTTTCAGTTGTTGGCTAAGATCTCAATATCGCCTGGTCAAGTCTATTTCACTATGCTATATTACACAATACACATCTGTTTCCCAATATGCAACTCAATTAATTAAGAGTAAGTTTCAATTAAAGTGTCACGCAAATTGCCCGAAATCGAGTCTGGTTGTGCGTCTTGCAGACGGAAAATGCTTTCAATGACACTTAGTTCCGGAGCTGTGGTATCCAGGCCAGTAACGGCCAAGTAATCATTGACCACCATACCGGCACCAACGACAGCAGAACCGCGGTTTACGGTACCTGCAACCAACGGCACTTGCAGCAGAGAAGAGAGTTCTTCTTGATCTTGAATCGTGGTTTGAGGGTGCACTAGACCACCTTGATTGCTCAGCGAACAGTAAGAGCCCACTAGCACGTTGCCCGAGATGGTTTGACGGAAAACCTCAACCCCCAACACATCGGCTATCAACTCTTCGGTTTCGCGGTCAATATCAGGATGCACTAGAGCCACGTAATCGTTACAGCAGATTACGTTACCCAGAGCCGACAGGCGCTCTTCAACTCTTTGGATTTTCACGCTATCTGGCAAACTGTTTCTGAGATGATGCAGCTCTTGATCCGTAGTCTGTGTGGGCACTAGTAGACCTCTACGGTTACCAGCGCACATTCTACCGACAATACGGGTTCCGGCAATAGTAGTGTGAACAATAGGAATGGCATCGCCGAGTTCAGCTTCAAAAGCAGAGTAGAAATTTTCAGACCCACCAACAGTGACCAGACAGTATGAGTTGGTCAACTTGGAGAATACACCAACCTCGTTAGAGTTTTCGAATTGTGTTCTAGCAGCCATGTCGAGTTTAAAAACGGTTTAACGTTAGATTTTCGAATAAAATGGTTATGATGTGTGATAGACACTTGAGATTAAGGTCTTGTCGCCTTGATTTCTCGATTATAGCACTTCAACTAAAAGCAAAGGCCGACAATAGATATAGCGATGATTGAAATCCGCTTTCTGATTGTCTTTTATATAGCAGAAAACCAGATTTTCTAATGGAGAAGAGATGAGCTTTCTTTCTGGAAAATTTTTTTGATATTTAACAGTATTCGTATATAGTTAAGTGAAATCGCCCATAATAAAGCAGAGCATAGCTAATGTCATCGACTGAATAATGTAGCAGCAGATCGTCTGGAGCTTCTTTGTAGTTGCGAAAAAGTAGCAGTTGACGTCGGACTGGAAATCTATATGCCAACTTCTTCAATGCCATCTTTTGTCGCGATTTTCAGCTCGGCCGGTACTCCACTTGTAATTCCCGTGTACAGAATACGCGAGGAGTGATATGGAATGGTAGTATGGCAAACGGTCTGTGAAGTACTCAGTCAGTGATCGATAGACAACTTGTTGAGTTTCAGTGCGTTTGCTAACTTTTAGAAACGGTCTGCAGTCGAGATTCTTGCGCGGGCACGTATTCATGTATCTGCCTTTCTGACACTTGCCGAGCTTAGTAAGTTCAGAGAAAGGGCCTGTCCGTTGCTTTGTACTTCACAAATCATTCCCAAAGGACCGCGATCGCAATCTGCGCAGATTAAGTACTTCTGCAATTTTCCAAGGGTACATGTCTTTTCTTGCCAAACAAACTCAATGGGTGTCGCACTACTACCAGCCACGGTATTTAACACGCTTTCAGGAACCTGTCGAGAGACTCCTATGTTATCAAAATCCCATATATCTTCGAAAACAGAGAACTTTCCGTCGAGCGCTGTTTCTTGTGAAGGAAGCATCAATTTGAGTTTATCGTAAACCTCAATAGGAAGAACAGTCTGCCTGGCACTGTCCAATTCAACAATGGTACAATCACACTCTGAGAATGGACATCTGAGCTTCACCATGCTGTTATTCTCTACCAATTTTTCAAGCGCTCGAGATTAAGAACTCATAAACCTTGCTAATTTTTTTAGCCATTGTCGTCCAAGGAACACAGAGATTCATCGGTCTTGTACTACATGCTGTAAAACAATCCTTCGTCGCATGCCTGGATGCGTACAATGAAGCTAACACCAACATGTGTGAACGAATGCTTTTCTTAACGTCCATAGATATAATGTTAAAGATCGGACGCTATATACTACTGGCGCCAGCTTTGTGTCAGGAAAAGATGATAATGATGTCAGCATCTCAGGTAGGTGTTTATAATTACAAGACCATTAGCGCGTCTGTTGTCAATTGGTTAACAGTCTTCATCGATTCAACAAGACGTTTAAGCTCAATGAGTACAGCCAAAGAGTTGGATAGCGATTATAACACAATCTCATATGGCGTCAGCGAATTATCGCTGCGGGAGGTAAATCTAAACCATCACCATCAACACAATGGCAGAAAAAAGGTGTATGGTGCCCGGAGAGAAGGAAAAAACAGCAGAAATGAAGGATCGGTCGATCTAATTGCACCAACAGCGAATGGATCTAATTCACACTTAGCGGTATTAAAAAATGAAAATTACCACCTAAATTTGGAACTCACGCAGCAACGGCAAGAGTTAGACAATCTCTATCAAAAACTACAGAGCCTTGAGAACCACACCGAAGTCAAAGTATCTCTACAATCAGTCCCAAAGTTGGATATTTCGAACATGGCGTATTCTGGTACTTCAAACGACGAAAACGAATCGCCAACGAGATTTCATCCGACCTCTCTTTCGGAATACGAAATTGTTACGCATTTTTCGGGCTCACCCTATCGAGGTGCTCTGGAAGTTTCTCAACAGGATACCATTTCGCGTGCCAGTACTTCAACTTCACACCTCCGCCGCAATCGCAAATTCTTAAAAACGTCTGTTATACCATTCTTGCAAAGGAGTATCGACACTTTTCAACACAGTGAGATCTTTGATGAAGATGCCCAAGTTCTTCACCGAAAACTTGAAAGCTTTAAGAACCGCAAAGCTGGGGATAAAGACACAAAGGTTAAACTAATGGTTGATATCTTGGATGGAGTCAATCACCTACAGCAGCAATGCATCGCGGTGCTAAACCGGGAGCTTGAGGTTAAAAAGATTTCTTCTCAGCTTGAATATTTGTTTACGATTTTTCTGGACCCCGAACAATATGGACTGCGGCGCCAGGACTACAGCGACGCTTTGAGGAAGGAAATGCTTGATATCATGCTGGAACTTTTGGCTCATGAGGGCAACGTGAAGATGATGAAATCTCCGCCACGCTTTTCAAAGTGGAAACATAAAACGTCAGGTTCCGTGCCAAAGTCAGCAGAAAGATTAACAGCACCTTTGTTACCAGTATTGCCTTCAACTAAGGCATCTGCTTTTTCGTCAACACTGTCATCCACACCAAAGCATGCAAAGAGCGTACGGCCCACATCTACCAGGAAGACAGCAAATGAGAAAGAGTCCAAGCCTTCCGATCTTCTGCAAATGCCCGTGAAATTTTCAGAGGATCGTCAGGCTCCCAAAAACAAGCACGTCACCACTAAGGAGTATCGTTCCGCATTTGGACAAACTTATGAAACGGAAAGTACACGTTTGAAGCATGATCGCCATGTCCTGGAGTTTATTCCAATTGGTTATGACGAAATATCGTTATCAAGAAGGACTCCCGACCGTCGGTCTAAATCGGAAGTGCAGCACGACAAACCTTTACAAATGACACCACTAGCCAAGTCTTTCAGAGATGAAGAACAATCAGAATATGACCCTCTGCAGGCATATTTTACTGAGTTTTTCACCGATCCGTTGGATCAGGACGACTCAGGATCGACTGGAACATCGATATCAGCTTTGCGCGGCTAAGGCAATCGTCTCAAAAGTTTTGCCCTAGTATTGGAAGTACGATAGAGGTGTTAAGTTACTCGTTGATATCGTAGCATCAAAAGACCAGCCAACGGTCTTTCTCGCTGACATTGCAACCTATTCTTGATTACAGCATACAATTTGTCTCTAAATCAAAACGGTGATTTAATTGATAGCGTCACGTTATATAGAAGTGCTTGATAGTTGAAGCTAAATTATTACGAAAGATAGTATGCCACATCAACTGACAAATGTCTGATTTTCAAATCTTGACGCGTGAAAAAAGTCGGTCAACTATTTTATGAATATTCTCGAGATGAGTACATCATTTTGATTCCAAAAGTGTCATTTAGATAGGTAAAAGCCCTGCAGCTAAAGCGAAGATGACCAATGTGCCTTCAATTGCGATGGACAAGACTGATATTAGTGTAAAGCTGTCGCAAGAGTTGGTAAAAGATCAAAATTCACGCACCATGCAACAAGTAGCTGTGCAACAAGACAATGTAAAAAACGAAAGAGATACGCAATCTTCACGAGAGAACGGCTCCACGAAACCTGTCCTTAAAGCTAGTAGTGATGGCGGCTCCCGCGACTCGCAAGATTTAACCGATACTGATTTGCAGTCGGGAGATTCGCGACAATCGAAGTTGGCCAAAGAAGAAGCTAAAAGAAATCGAGAGCAGCAGAAAGAGGAGCAGAGACTACAGAAGGAGCTCAAAAAAGAGCAGGAGCGCCGTGAGCGGGATCTTAAACGCGAACATGAAAAACAAGAGAAAGAGCTTAAAAGACAAGAAGAAAAGAAGCGTAAAGAGGATGAGAAGAAAGTGCGAGAACGCAAGAAAGAGGAAGACAAACGGAACCGGGAATTGAAACGCGAGCATGAAAAGATTGAAAGAGAACAACGGAAGGAAGAGGAGAGGCAGCGTAAGAAACTTGAAGAGAAAATAAAGCGCGAAGATGAGAAAAAACAAAAAGAGGAAATCGCAGACCGAAGCCAAACCAAGATTGGCACTTTCTTCAAGAAGTCCAACTCTATGAAAAATGTCGTTTCAACAAAGACTGATTTCGAGAAAAGCTTCTTGCCTTTTTATGTGAAGGACGGTACAGTAATGGGTGAGAGCTTCTCTCGGAGCCCTGAACAGCTGCAAATTACGAAAAAGGCGATCGATGTGCAACTAACGCTGAAAAGTACTCCCGAGGAAAGCTTACACTGGCTTCGATCTCAGCAAGTTAGAAGAGGCTATCCCGTTACGAAAACCGCTGTGGAGCTTGTTCAACTAATGACGAGCAAAAACAAGACCAATGAAGAATTAGAAGAGCGCCTGCGACAGATTCCGGTGAAGTATATCAAATTTTATGAGAATGTCAGGCCTCCTTATGTTGGAACTTATTCTCAATGTATAGAGTTACCGCGCAACAACCCATTTGCGACGGAAGGAACCGGCTTCGATTACGAGTACGATTCTGATTGGGATTGGGTTAATGAAGAAGAGGGAGAAGGTGGCGACGTTGAAGACCTAGAAGACGGTGATGAAGATGACGAAGATGATGACGCGGAAGATGGCACTGATGACGAGTTCGAAGGTTTTTTGGACCGTGAAGATTCGCACGGTCCGCGCGATGGTAAAAAGTTTCTGGGCCCATTAATTCCTCTAGTCAGGCTGCGATCGGATCTTGAGAAGATGGACGATGATGACAGGCAGTACTTCCAGATGGTAAGTGTAGAACTTCTTATACCAGAGTCACATGATCCGTATCTGATTGATTCAGGCCGCGGATCTAACACAAACGGTGGGAATAAGAGAAAAGCTTCAGAGCTCATAGCAACGAGCACTGGAGGTTCCGGCAGTGTTCAAAGTACCGACAATGGTCAGAATCCTTCTCAGGTATCGCCATTGCATTCGAAAAAATCCAAGTCCCTCATATCAGATTCTAGTTCCCTCCTCAAAATTTTCGCAGAGGTCCATGAGAGTACTTTCTCACTGGGAACCATAACTGAGATCCTCCAAAAACAACTTTCAGCCCATTCGAAAGCCGCCATACGAGACACTATCAAAGAACACACCACACGGCCCATGGCAAAGGCTGGAAAATCTCGTATGTGGCTCGTTAAAGATCTAAACCTCTGGGAGTCTCTTAAGCGGGCTTAAGGTACTTCAGAAGAATGCTTTGACTCTTAGTGGTTGTGGAGACATTATACTCTATGGTCCAGCACTAAAGATCTCTGTTACCCGACTTGATCTAATTACCCGATATGAAAATCATCTAAAATATCACCTTCGAGACACTCATCGTTAAAACTTATTGCAAACTTCAAAAGCGAATTGGCAGGAACTCAGGATGTCTAATAACCGCAGCTCGCCAGCCAGGGATGGTGGGTCATCTCCGATGGCAGCACCACCTTCGTCATTTGGTGGGTCCTCTCCCCCGCTGTTTTATAACCCCTCCTCTTCTTCGCAGCCTGACACATACGAAGGCCAGCAAAGACAGGCGACAGTGGGTTCTTCACCCTTCCGCTATAATAGGTCGTCTGGTAATCGCGCTGGTATATCCTCAGATACCTTCGGGTCACAGCGTAGATCTCAGGTGCGGGCTGGTCCTGACTCTGGCCGTTTCACAGATCAGTCGAGCGAGCCAGACCTGCTGTCATCTTCACTTTCTGGTCGTGTCTCACAGCGTGCCTCGCAGCGGAGAAGCGATCTACATGCGTCTGATCTCTCATCGCCGCGCAGAATGGTCGATCTGGACTCCCTACCTGCTCCAAGTTCGTCATCAGATCCAGCTTCAGAAGCTACCGAACCATTGCGCATCATTTGGGGTACCAATGTGAGTATTCAGGAGTGCGCAACAAACTTCCGCAACTTTCTAATGTCATTTAAATACAAATTCCGTAAAACGCTGGACGAAAACGAGGATTTCATCGACGAAGACGATGACGAAGAGTTGTACTATGTTAAACGCTTGAACCAAATGCGAGAGATGGGATCCTTGAATCTGAATTTAGATGCTAGAAACCTTTTGAGCTTCAAGCCTACGGAGAAACTCTACTATCAATTGATGAGCTACCCTCAAGAAATTGTCTCGATCATGGACCAAACTATAAAGGATTGCATGGTATCATTGGTTATAGATAATAACTTAGACTCAAGTTTGGACGAGGTGGAGTCCAAGTTTTACAAGGTAAGACCCTACAACATTGAAACGCGGAAGGGTATGCGTGATTTGAATCCAAACGACATTGATAAGCTAATTAGCGTCAAAGGCCTGGTTCTCAGATCTACCCCCATTATTCCAGACATGAAAGTGGCCTTCTTCAAGTGCAACATTTGTGATCATACCATGGTTGTTGAAATTGACAGGGGTGTTATCCAGGAGCCGGCGAGATGCCCGCGTGTTGCATGTAACCAACCAAACTCCATGTCACTGGTACACAATCGGTGTTCATTTGCCGATAAGCAGGTCATAAAACTTCAAGAAACTCCTGACACGGTACCTGATGGTCAAACGCCACATTCCGTCTCACTATGTGTATATGATGAGTTAGTTGATTCCTGCCGTGCTGGTGACAGAATTGAGATCACCGGCATTTTTCGCTCCATCCCAATCAGAGCCAGCTCTAGGCAACGAGCTTTGAAGTCTCTGTATAAAACGTACCTCGACGTTGTGCACGTCAAAAAAGTAACTCGTGATAGATTGGGCGCAGATACTTCAACGGTCGAACAAGAGCTTCTACAAAACGAACTTAATCACGCAGATATTCGGGAAGTTCCACAAGTCACAGATGAGCAGATCCGCAGAATTCATGCAACTGCGGCAAGAGGTGACGTATATGAGGTTCTGGCCCGTTCTTTGGCACCAAGTATTTTTGAGTTGGATGACATTAAGAAAGGCATTTTGTTGCAGCTATTTGGCGGTACAAACAAGACTTTCACTAAAGGTGGTCGATACAGAGGTGACATCAACATTTTGTTGTGTGGTGATCCATCTACGTCTAAATCTCAGATTCTACAGTATGTGCACAAAATAGCTCCTCGTGGTGTTTATACATCTGGTAAAGGTTCTTCTGCCGTGGGTTTGACAGCGTATATCACTAGAGATGTTGATACTAAACAGCTTGTTCTGGAGAGTGGTGCATTAGTGCTGTCCGATGGTGGTGTGTGTTGCATTGATGAATTTGATAAAATGAGTGACTCGACGCGATCCGTTCTACACGAAGTTATGGAACAGCAGACTATTTCGATTGCCAAAGCCGGTATCATTACTACTTTGAACGCTCGAACATCCATTTTGGCAAGTGCAAACCCTATAGCTTCGCGGTACAATCCTAATCTTCCCGTAACAGAAAATATTGACTTGCCACCTCCATTACTGTCAAGATTCGATCTCGTTTATCTTGTTTTGGACAAGGTTGATGAAGCCACGGATAGGGAATTGGCTCAACACTTAACCAATCTGTATATGGAAGATGCTCCTAGTCACGAAAATAAGGCTGATGTTTTACCAGTTCAGTTTTTGACCACCTACATCAACTACGCTAAGCAGCAGTACGCACCCGTCATAACTGAACAAGCGAAGACGGAACTGGTAAGAGCTTACGTTACTATGCGGAAAATGGGTGACGACTCACGCTCGGATGAGAAAAGAATAACAGCTACAACAAGACAACTGGAAAGTATGATTAGGTTGGCAGAAGCTCATGCCAAAATGCGGCTTTCAGAACTCGTGGAGTTGCAAGACGTGCAAGAAGCCGTAAGATTAATCAAATCAGCTATTAAAGACTACGCAACCGATCCCAAGACCGGTAAAATCGACATGAATCTCGTGCAGACTGGTAAGTCGGTTATTCAGCGTAAGATGCAGGAAGATCTGGCTCGCGAAGTGGTGGCTATTTTGACAGAGCGCCCCAACAATACCGTTTCCTATAACGAATTGATTCGCAGTATAAACGAGCAATCACAAGACAAAGTTGATGCTACGGACATCTCAGATGCTCTTGTACGCTTGCAGCAAGAGGATAAAGTGGTGGTTTTGGGAGAAGGTGTGAGACGGTCTATCCGTCTTAATGGGAGAATTTGAATGAAGCGAGAAGAACCAACAGTTTTTCTCTGTGGACACCATGCCGCTTACCTTCGCATCAATATTGCGCTCTCCTGGGCTCGCCTACTTTTTCTCTTCAAGCTGAACATTCAAAGTTCAAGAGAATAGAAATTATTTTGCCAGCCATGTCAAGAGGGTACTGACACGCAGAAGACGGTATGGCTTTCTGACTTGTCAAGGATCATGTTGACTAATAGTAATTTGTAATTAAGCGTTAGCGGTAAAATCACTCATAATTGGATTCACGGTTTTTTAATCCCGACATTCATAACTTTTTTCTTTATGCTTATCTGAAATCCATTGGCTGTTGAACCGATTTGCCGTTCACATACCTTGGGCTTCGTTCTTTGATAATTAGTTATCATGATTGTGCTTAGTCTCAAAATTAAAAAAAACGCCTGCTGCAATCAACCTCTCGAGTAGGCTAATATCAGTATTATTTGTCTCTTGTTTGGTTCTCTCTACTAATTGCTAATTTGAGCTCGGTTGAGAGTCAGGACATCCTAACATATTCAGGTTCGCTTACAAGTGCTCGAATTTTTGCAAAAGGAGACTGAGACCTTAAGTTTGTGGCAGCACTCACCCCAAAATGAAGCTTGGTGAACATTGTTCCGCGTTTAGTGACAGTTGCATCCTGTTCGGGCCCTAGTTTTTTACGTACAAGATCTCAGCGGCTACTTTGTGACAATCGTTATTCTGAGAGCTAGAGGCATTTGCTGAACTTTTCGGTGTTTGAGATAATCTAGATGAAAGTGGTGGAACAAAAGATTGTATGTGGGTCTAATTGCTCAGATACAGCACGCTAATCTCGCTGCACAAAGAGTATCCAATGGCTCATATTCGATTGGAGCGGGGCAACTGACGGAAAGACTAGAAAGTTCAGGTAAAAACGACTATCCCTCCTCAGACGAACGGAGAAAGTTATGATACGCTGTCTGTTCCAAACTTTTGGCTGTTGAGCATTCCATTGGAAAAGGTACAGATCAATTTTGCGTAACACGACGTTGGCGTCTAGAGCGAGCAATAGTCACGACCTTGTCGACTGAGTGATGTGCATTGTTGATACTGCACAGGCTACTTGAACTGCAAGAAGCCAAGAGTTTCGGTCTAAAGAAGTCCTCACACTCTATGGTTTTCACAAAATTTATGTTACAGCAACTAGGCTAAAATAAGGATCGCAAACGTTACATTAAGAGGTACAAGCTGCTAGGATAGGCTGCCCAAACGGAAACCTTTGAATCGATTGTCGATGTTTTCTAACTGGTTGATCAGTTCTTATTCACGTGGTCTGTGACAGGCTCTCGGCCAAGATGATTGGTTTAGCCAATAGGAATGAAAATTTTACCGGTTTAGCCAAGCTAAGGTTTATCTCTCGACTGAAAAACCACGAATATTTTCAGGATTCCAGCAGCATCTCCAATTCAGGTAGCTATTCAGTCCTTGAAACACTTGAGGTGATTGATATTCTCTACAAACTGTAATTTTAATCCAAAAATGCTAGCAAGAATCCAATCTATGGCTTCCGGAATTGCCTCAAAAGCTCAGGCTTACACCACGAAGTCCATTTACTACTCCAAAGTGGTGGGCGAGCTTTCAAAGCAGGTATACTTGAAAGAGGGTATGCAACCTCCCTCCGTCTCCGATTTCCAAAGTGTCTACACAAAATTGTACAAGCAGGCCTTGAGTGTGGCTCTGAAGCCCAAGCAGTCGTTGAGCATGTTCAAGAACGTCCAAAAAGACGACGTGGTCAAATACGGTGCGTACGGCATCCAACTGGCCGGTCTGTACTCTTTGGGTGAGGTCATTGGCAGAAGAAAGGTCGTTGGTTACACCAACTATGCTGCTCACCATTGAAGTGAGATAAAAGTTAACAACGAACCCATTCCCCGTTCCAAATTTTTAAGATAGGGCACTCTGATACACAGACTTGGGTTAGACTCAGATTTACTAAAAAGCGCACCCCCAGCATTTATGTCAAGCCCCCTCAGAGATATCCTCACAATTTTTAGTCCCTTTCAATTTCTTTAACTCTGCATAATAATATATATTCTAAAGTATTGACACGCCAGTGTGATAGTAGCTTTAGTGCTGTGTTCTTGTGGCGAATATAATAATAACCACGATTATCGCTGGAAACTTTGTATAAAGTACAGAAAGCGGGGAATAAGAGACTTATTTTGGAGCAAGGAACTCATTTTACCAAGTCAACTCTCTTAGTCTTCCATTTCTTTGCGCTTTTTGGATGCCTCAACCATCTCTTCCCGTTGGCGCCTCTTCTTCTTCACAACTTGTGGAACTGTACTGATTTGTTTCCTCTCAACCGATGATTTGCCCTTCTTAAGAGCTTCTTTCTCTCTTCTCGTCATTTTGGAGAATTTGTCCATCCAGTCCGCAACTTCAGATCCACTTTGTTTCATAACATTGATAATAGGTTTCACAGCCAGATTGTCTTGTTTTGTGTAGAAAGTTACAGCTTTACCGTCACGGCCACCTCTACCAGTTCTACCAATTCTATGCACATATGCTTGTGCCGATCTTGGCACATCATAATTTATGACTAAATTGACACCTTTGAAATCTACACCACGCGCTAGTACATCGGTACAGATCAGACACCAAACCTCACCTGATTTAAATCTTTGTATGATCTTGTCTCTCTGAATTGGCGTCCTTTCAGCATGTATAACGTCAACGTTCAAGTTGTCATATAATAGTTCGTGGAACAGCGCCTTTGCTCTTGTGATAGATTCCAAAAAAATTATGACAGGGGGCTTGAATTCACCTTCTTGGATCAATTGTCGAATAGCCACCAATTTTCCTTCTTCGTTACCACAGAAAACGAGTTTCTGCTCAATGTTGACGTTGGCAGCTTCTTTGTGACCAATAATGATTCTTACCGGGTCCAACATGATGCTTTGAGCTATTTCCTCCAAACCAGATGGAACTGTAGCTGATACCATGGTCTTACGAAGCTGTGGGTCTCGGCATGAGGCCAAAATGCTATCCGCTTGTTCCACGAATGTTTGGTCGAAAAGTTTGTCGGCTTCATCGAATATAAGATGCTTGACGGAAGAAAGGTTAAGCGCTTCATGCTTTACCACATCTATCAGTCTTAGGGGTGTGGATATTATAATATCATATTTCTTATCGCTAACGATTTTGTTTTTCAGCTTAGCGCTAAGGGATTTGCTGAGCAATGCGATTGAGAGTGGCCTTTTCTTATCCAGGAAAATCTTGTTGCCAAGTTTAGTGCATTCTTTGAAAATCTGACTAGCCAGTTCCTTTGTTGGAGAAATGATGAGACCCTTAAGGCCCTCATTCTTGCGAGACTGGATAACCTGCTGCAGTAAGGGTAATACGAACGCTAGTGTCTTACCGGAACCCGTAGGTGCGCACGCCAGGACATCTCTGCCGTGTAGTGCCATAGGAATCCCTTCACATTGGATCGGTGTTGGCTCTGTGAAATGGGACTCAATCAAGTTTGACAACAATCGACTGTCAAATTGAAAACGTGTGACCAGATCTTCGAAAGAGCCGATCGGCAGAGGGACATCCTCACCCGAAACGTTTCCCATGTACGATTTTCTGAGTTGTGCAGCTTCCTCAGCGTTCGAAATTTTGAGTGTCTCGCTATTCACATCCAGTGAAGCTGGTGCTGGAGCGGCAGCTGGAGCTGACTTCATACTTGTTTCCTCGCCTTTTTGTAGCTCTGCCTTTTGCACCGTCCTCTTATTGCGAAAGAAGTCCAGTTCTTTAGTTAGCTGGTGGTCTGAATCCTGCTTTCTGGTGCTTCCAGGCAAGATGCTGACATTCCTGTCTGCTGTGCCTTTACTGAAATCCCCAGAAACGCCCAGACGACCGCTTTTTCTCACGTTTGCTCCTCTGGTCAGAACTTGGAAAATATCCATGTTGTGCAACCTAAGATTCTTCGCTGAGCTGTGTCGATAATGTGCTTCCAATACAAAATTTTATTATATACTAACACTCTCTTGTATAGCTCATCGCGTAGCATTTTTCCTCAGTTAATCTACCATCGTGAAAAATTTTGAATTCGAAGATTTGGGGCATCGCTGAAAAATTGGAAAATTTTACAGACGACAGAAAAGAAGTGTAGACAAGTACGAACTTGAGTCTAAAGAAGTCCTTTCAACGCTTGTGATAGAGGTTCGGAACTTTTTATTTGCAATGCCGGGGCTTTTGGGAAGTTTAAGATTGCTCAGGACACCTGTGGGTTTTAGGAACATCACATATCTGCACAGCGGAAACCGGGTCCGAGGTTTGAAAAGAGACCCTAGCGAGTTCTTGAGACTACCCAGCGGGCTGCTGTATACGGAAGTGGAGCCGCACAAGTACCAAGAGACAGTGCGTTCCCAATTGAACCTGGAGAAACATGGCGTGGCGCTCTCTAACGAATTGATCTTACAGTGTCTTACACACAAATCTTTTGCTCATGGATCCAAGCCCTACAACGAGAAGTTGGCGCTGTTGGGTTCACAGTATCTCAAGTATCATGCGTCAGTGCACTCGCTGAAAGATAGTGCGACGCCTTTGGTGGCGTCCGCTGGCACGCAACAGAACCAAAAACCCATCAACGGGCTTAATTTTACCAACTTGGGATCACAGGTATCCAAGCTGCTTATCGCCAAGAAAACCACTGCTCAAGTTATCAAGGAAAGACAACTGGACTCCTTGATTTTTTGGAAGAAGAGAGACCCGCTACAAAACTCCACCTATAACGGCGAAACCGCGGTATTGGCCAGCGTCCTGAACGCGTTGGTGGGGGGGATACTTATAACGAATGGGCCAGAAAAGACATCCCACTACATCGAGAATGAATTTCTCAACCCATCCAATGAAGCATCGCTGGTACGCATTGCTAACTCTATGGTATAAAATGGGTTCTGTGCATAACGAAGGAAAAACATAAGGCATTAAATTACAAACCCTGTAAATAAACTCACTGCTGTGACTACGTCTCATTCTGACGCTCAAGCATCGGCATGTGCCTGTGCATAGTACAGCGCAACTCCGATAAACTTAATGCATTCCTTGTTTTGAAAAATAATCGTTTATATCAGTATAATACATTTGAGGCCGGAATCTCAATTCTCATCAAAGCGCGAGTTTCGAGTTGAGATACTCGATTTCCTCTTTCAAGCTAGCCTCTTCTACGGTTTTAACTAGTTCTTTGGTGCATTTAGCAACGTCGAATGCAATACCGGCCAAACGCTGTTTAAAATGTTTGTCGGCATATTCGTCATCACTTTCATCAATGTTGATGGTGCCATCTCCGTTCAAATGGCACAGTGAAGTCATTCTTCTCTTGCAGTCTTTCAAACTCTGTACGACCCAATTGCCGTGCTCCTTGAGAGCTGCATTACGCGATTGAGCCATCGACACATTAGTAGCTTCGACCATCTGTGCTATCACTAGATTAATCGCACTAGAGTCTTTACAAAGCGCACCTTTCGATGCTTGCGGTTGCTTGATCGACGTTAATAGAGACTGGATAGTACTGATCACCTCAATGGTGCGATGCTCCAAATACAGTAACAGCTCTGATAGCGTGTTGTCTGGATTCTCAATGTCAAATGCGTCAATGTCGAAATCCGATTCATCTTCAGATTCTTTATCCACAGTGTCTGTGTTTGATTTTGTTAACTCTTCAGCACTTGTATACTTTCCGGAAGAAGGTTTAATCCAATCATTGGTATTTTCTTGTTTCAATGTCTTATTCGCGTCTTTTTCCGATGACTGAAACTCTTCCACCTTTACTAATGGCTTCGTGAAGGCAGCAGAGCTTACATGGCTTTGGGTTTTATATCCCTGCGGAGAAGCGTCAGAGTTCTCCTCTTTTTTCACAATGCCCTGTATTTTTGGTGTTGAAGGCTCGCGAAGATTCTTCAGATTGCTGGCCCCAGCGATCTGTTTCATCGCACCTGCAGCTTCTGTGATCGGTAACTCTTCTTTTTCAGATGTTATCCAATCATCTTCTTCTTCTAATTTGACAACCAGAGAAGGCGGATATGCTTGGCCTGTTACGTTGTCTTTCGTTTCCATTTGAGACCTTGTGGGCTTTTGATCTAACAAGAGTTTGTCATCTTTCCCTCCCAGACCAGAGGTGTTCACTGCTTCGCCCGGAATACTAATAGTTTGGGTTTTAATCTGTGTCTTACCAGATCTGACGGTAGGAGAGAACTGATTTTGAAGTTGCGCTTGAGACTCGTTTTCCTTTTCGGAGCTACTACGTTCTGGTTCTGAAGATACTGAATTAGAGCTTTTTACAGGAGTTGATATTTGGCCCGCCTGTCTACCTTCACCACCATCATTGTTGATTGCACGTTCAGACCCTTCTTTGTGTAGACCTTGAGCGGATTTTGAGAAGGTTACAATTTCTCGGTCAGAGTTTTGTATTGTTTTTGCTGTTTGGTGTATCATTGAGTCTTTTTGATCCTGTGACTTGTAAGGCGAATGTGTAGTTCTTTTAATATCAGTCTTACCGGGTGTGTTCGGACAACCAGAAGTAACAATTCCAGTATCGTTATTAAGTTGCTTCTTTCGCATGCTGTCCTTGAGCGCCTGGTAAGTCAAGTCATCGTCACTGGTAAGATTGCTATCATCATTTTTGTGACTTTCGTGTTCATCCATTGTTTCATCTCCTGACGATGTTGCTGGATCTACTTCACGAAGTTTTGATTGTTTGCGGAGTTTCTCAAAGATGTTGGGCCTCACTTTGGAATGTGATATAGGGGCCTCTTGGCCCCTTCCGGTAGTGTCTAGAGCGTCTGTACTCTGCTCCTTTTGGGCCTGTGGCACGCTAGTAACTTCAGCAACGCCCTGAGACTCTCCCTTTGCCCTAGGAGCATTTAAAATCGTTCTTCTCGATTCTACAATACCTAGGTCTTCTCCTGTGTTTTTAAGATTGTTCAGAGGCTCATCACTTATTGCGCGCGACAAATCAGAACTGGGTTTCGTAGTAGATAAAACCAACTCTTCTTTAGAGCTGAGTGCCGAGTTTGATTTTTCACTGTCTTCCGCTGTCTTACTATTACCTGACCCCTCCACAAAGTGTAAATGTGAGGCTTGCAACACGTCTTCCCTATTGCTGAAATGAAGTGCTCGCGCACTTCCATCTTCATCATTCACACCAGAGCCAACTTTAGCTCCTGGCTTCTCAGTCGAAGAGTCGGAACGAGATCTTGAAAACTGCGAATTTCTTGGTGACGTATGGCTGCTTGTGTTTGGATTGACAATTGAGGCAAAAAGCGTGCTTGAAGGTTTTCTACTAGCATGCGTGTTTCGTGGAGGTGGGGAATTATTGCCAACCTTTTGAGTGATCTTTAGTGGCTTCACAGGTGACATGGTTGCAGGGGCATTCTGTGTATGCTGCGTACTGTCACGAGGATCCTTAAAATCGTTATCAATTTCCATGCCTAGCTGATTCGATGCGGAAGACTCACCACTTAGAGTTGGAGTTTGTGGAATGTTTCGAAGATGATCCACTGCTCTTGCTGCATCTTTTTCAACCCCCGTAACTTTAACAACATCAATCAAGCAGCACACAGCAAAGCTAATATCTGAAATTGCACTGGCAACCGTCACAAGAGGTAGTACATCGTGATATATCGCAAAAAATCTGACGGACGTGATTCCATGGGACAACGAGGCCTTCAAGACGAGAACTGGCTCTTGATAAGCAGGCACATCAATCAATCTGATCATTTTATGCACGGAGTCGGCAATGTGAGCCAAGTCATCAAAAAGTTGATAACCAAAAGTGCGCACCGATTTATCGCCGTGAAGATGATCAAAAATTGAATCAATCTGAGCATTGAATGACAAAAGCAAATCTTTCGGGATTTGTCCATCTGAAGACACAAATTTTTCTAATGAGTCGGAGCTGAAATCTATCTGCTTCCGCAAAGTGGTACCGCTCGGCAAACCCATAGTTGAGTTACTGTCGTTGCCTTCATTCGAACGATCACTGGATTTGAAGCCCTTCAATTTAAGTTCCAGCTCAGCCACCATCTGTTTGAGTTGCTCATTTTCGATGGAGAGCGAATTTATTTGTTTGGTCAAAGTTGTGAATTGCTTTTGGTGGTTCTCATTGATCAAAGTTTTAGATTGAGTGGCACTTTCTGTTGATTCCTCTTTTAGCTTAACAAGCTCTACATTCACAGATTCCATGCTTTTGGTAATGCTTTCTACATGCTCCTTCAGAGCTTCATTCTCATTTTTGTAAAGATGCATATCACTTTCAAGATTGGCTCTAGCAGATGATAATAGCATATTTGATTTCTCCAGCTCCGTAATTTTCTGGTCCATCTTCGTCCCTTCAGCCACTAAAACTTCTATTTCACGTTTGGAGTTTTCGCGATCTAGTGAAACTCTCTTGAGAGAGCCCCAATGCCTCAATTGATTTTCCATGTTTCCTATACTTTCGTCTGCATCATGAAAGGGCCCCGAATTTCCACGTTGTCCGTAAGACGACATGTTCGAAGCGGAATCGGAAGGACCTTGGTAAGAAGCTTCGACTTCTTTAGATGTTTTCAACGGTGAAGTTCTTTGTATGCTGTCTTCCATTTTCTTTTTCTCACTTTTGCGTTGTAGTAGAAGGGAGTTCGACCGAGAGCTTTGTTGGCTTTCAGGATAATCAACTAATTGCGATTGAGCTTCGGCTTTTCCATTTGAATTGCCCTGATCGCTGCCTAAGGAATCAAGTAACGATCGCTCAAGCTCTTTGTTTGTCCCGTTATCAGCCCAAGACTTTCTTGGCGATGTAGAGATTCCTTCTGTAGTGTTTAAGCCCTCTATTTCCGAACTTGAAGCTGTAAATCTATTGACACCACGCGGATATTGCTCTTCATGGGAGCCGTCACGTTCGACATTGTGGCCAGTCTTCGAAAATTCAGATTGCAGGGTAGCTCCGTGTGGAAGGCCAGTGGGGCCCTCGAGTTCCGATTCATCTGAATCTTTTAGTGATCCTGCGCTTTTTGCAAAATTCTCGCCATCCAACTTGCTTTCGGGAGACATTGCATGCGCTGAAAGATTCTCTTGGTTCTTTGTACTAGAAAGCGGTAGTTGTTCGTGTCCTCCTTGCATTCTTGTTTCGTTGAGATCTTCATGTAAACCCGGCTTCACCGTCTTTAAATCGTCTTCATCCTCGTCTGAACTCCATTCGATGGAGGCTTTTTTAGGTATTACTTGAGATTGCTGAACAGTCGCATTCGGAGTGATGTTTGACAAATTCTTGGTTCTTTCTCCAGGAATAGTGTCAGTTGGATTTGATTGATCAGCCTGAGTTCGCAGTACCTGGGGTAATGCAACATCGTTATTGCCTGTGTTTCCTAAATCTAGCTGAAGCGCAGACCGCGGTGGTGATGGCCCGTTTGCAGTATTGTCATTTTCGTGCGATTTTCGCAAAGGCGAAAGTGGAGTCTCTGGACTAGGTAGTACGTGATAATCACGTCTTTGAATTTCATAAAGAATGTCGTCGACTAAATCATTGAATCGAGATTCCGACAGATTTGCAAGCTTTTGACGAGCCTGGTTCCGTTTAACATGGAACGTGTCTTTGGGAAGTAAATGATCTGGCTGCGTTTGATTCTCGTCTATGCGTCTTTGCAGCTCGTCGTGAACATCTGTGCTTAATTCGAAAAATTGTGAAGCATAAAGCTTCAGTAGCTTGGATCTTGCCTTCTGAGCTCTCGCCGAGCTTGAGCGGTCGTGTTTGGCTCCCGTAACTTGAAAAAAGTCACGCAATTCGCGATAGTAGACATGAACCAGCCTCCTCTGCTCTGCGCTTAGATCCGCCTTGCTTGTTGCCATATTTCCTCGCTAAAGTTGTATGTTACAAGCTTCGAAATGGGTAGCAAAAAGAAAATGTGGCGTACAAACAAGCGTTGGAAGCTTTGGTTATAGATCTATAAGTCAAGATTGTTGATAATTGATATTTTGGTTTGGAATTTTCACTGCTCGATGATTTTAACGCGTTATGTCATTCGAGCGTTCCCGTTTATGATGATTATCCAAAGTGTTTCATCTGCTTTCTAATGAATAACCGAGACTAAGCTGATAGGCACCTAGATGCAGATCTAGTTGAGTTCGAGACGCTCAAATAATGCTAGTCACATAAATGCCGACACGAAGTTGATCGCCCTCACAAAGTAAAGAGTTTTTATTCCAAAAAAAAACTTCGTCAAAAATATAAAATTGGGGCGAGCCGGGACTCGAACCCGGGGCCTCCCGCACCCTAAGCGAGAATCATACCTCTAGACCACACGCCCTAATCTTGAGAATTTGAGCAAGCATGAACATTGTCAACTGTATGTGAATTTCACATGATAAAAGGCCGCAGAATAACTCAAAAGATCTTGAAGAGCACTTAAATCCCATCTGCTACGAATCTTGAAATTGAATTGAGGCGCTTGTAGCTTGAGCGTAACTTATTTATCGAACACACACACGGTCATTTCCGCTCCACAATGAGTACCCATCTTATTCGCGCACAACCAAAAAACCTCAAAAGTTTATAGAACACTGGGTGTGAGTGAGTTCGCTTGCAATATCCGACACATGCTGAGTAGGCACTTGTGTTCAAAAATATAAAAAATTGCGAATTCTGTGGATCGAACACAGGACCTCCAGATATCAAAGTGACCGAAGTTTTTCTTCAGTCTGGCGCTCTCCCAACTGAGCTAAATCCGCGCTTTCTTGAAGAGGTGAAAAGCAGGCTGGCTATATAATGATTTATTCATACTGTGCTTTGCCTCCATGCTTTACTCTTGTTCATTACTTGTCAAGATTAATATGGGATACTCGGGCTAAGACACAAATCATCATCAATGTTCTAATTGCAGGGTTGTGTTAGTGTACCGTTGCATTTTTGTTTACTTTATTGTAAGTATTTGTTACTTACATCTTAAAACAACAGTGCTGTGTACCAGAATTCACCCCTGACGTCTAAACATTAAAATTAAGTCTTGTGATTAACATATATAGTAGCACAGATCCATGCATATGCGCACACATGTCTATGGAAACTTCTCCTCGATTGCGACAGAGTTTTCAAGCACGAATTCTTTATGCGTGTCATCATTCTGCACTTCCATGGGAGTGTACATCCGTAGAGCTAAGCTACTCAAAACAACAGTTACAGAAGAAGCCGCCATGGCTGCACTTGCCCAAACTGGTGACAACCTTGAGTTTTTGTAGGGATAGATAACGCCTGCCGCTATTGGAATTCCTATCATGTTATAAACTAGAGCCCATCCAAAGTTAAATCTCACCCTGCGAAATACCTTTCGTGAGATCTGAAGCAACGTTAACAAAGAACATAGTGTATTGCTTGCAGAGAGTAACACAAAATCGCATGAAGTCATTGCCAGGTCTGTACCTGACGCCAGAGCAATTCCCACATCGGCAGCAGCCAAAGCCGGACCATCGTTGATACCATCCCCTACCATAGCCACAACAGATGGTTCGTTGTTAACAATGTGGGTTTCTTTTATCCAAGTTACCTTATCGGCTTTTCCTTCAGGTAAAACCTCAGCAACTACGTTATCTATTCCAAGCTCTTTGGCAATCGCCGTAGCAGTTATTACATTATCACCCGAGATCATCCAGCATTCTATGCCCTCATGTTGCAATGATGCAATGACACCCTTGGCCTCGGATCTTACTTCGTCTCTAGCTGCCAATAGCAACACAGGATAGTAATTGTCACTTTTGAAAAATTCCCGACACTGGATTGCCACTATGACAACACTTTTTCCTTCAGCCTTCCACTCAGCTAGCATGCTCAATTGAGATGAGCTTAAGTGGCACTTGCTCTCGGCCATGAATTTTTCATTGCCAAGAATAGCACTAGTAGGATTCATCAATTTCCATGGAGCAGTAGCGGATTCCTCAGTAACTACGAAGTCACCTATCAGCCCCCTCCCCGCGATCTCTTCGGCGACCGGAATTTTCACATTGCCCGTTAGACACCCGAACGTGTTATTGATAAAATCTTTTACACCGGCGGCCAGAGGGTGTTTGGATGAAAGCTCCAACTCCTTGGCTGCCTGGATTCCAATTTTTCTTACCATTTCGTTAGTGTGTACGGCGTAGTTAGTTACTTTGGGCTTCCCGCCCATAGTAAGTGTTCCTGTTTTATCGAAACAAACCACCGAGACTCTTGAACCCTCTTGGAAAGCGGCACCACCTCCTCGTGCAAGAATTCCATGTTTTGCGGCCAATCCGGCTCCGACAAATAAGGCTGTAGGTGCCGCAAGACCAATACCACATGGGCATGCCACAACAAATACAGATGTAGCAAACTCCAGAGACCAAACGATCCAGCCACCGACGTCAATGTCAAGATAACTTTGAGGAAGGCATCCGCTGAAAGCCAAAGAAATCCAAACTATCCAGGTAACAATGGCAAGAGCCACAATTAAAGGAACAAAAAAGCCAGTCAACGAATCCGCCAATTTTTCAACGGGCGCTTTTCTCAACTGACCATCACGCACTGTATTGACTATTAGGTCCAAGAGTGATTCTCCTTCTAGTGCACAGAGCTTGCCGACCAAAGTGTGGCTGCCTAAGTTGACCGTCCCTGCAAAAATCTGTTCACCCTCACCATGCTCAATAGGCACGCATTCGCCAGTCAGAGCGCTTTCATCAAAGCTGGCATGACCTTGCACAACAATGCAATCGATAGGTGGAGATTCACCAGGAGAGATTTTTACGTAGTCTCCAATCTCCAAATAGTCTACCTCAACTGTCCGGTCGTTAGCAAAATTAGATTTACCCACAAGATCCACCAATGTCGCCTTGCACTGTTTTAATAAACCGAGGTCGTTAATAGCTTGGGCCGTCCTGCTTTTGGAAAATGTCTCAAGAAGTCTGCCAACTAAAAGGAAAAGCGTAAGAAATACCACCGAATCGAAATAGGTTGTCGTGAATCCCATTTCACCTTTTTCCCGGCTAACAATAGCAGAAATCGCCAGCAGCGCGATACTAGAAAAATAAGCAACGCTAGTTCCTAAGCATATCAGCAAATTCATACTGCCAAATTTGAAAAGCCTCCGCTGCCAATTATTTTTCTGCCTCCAGAGAGCTCTCACCTCGAGGAAAGCCTTTCTGTGAAATATGTCGTCCACAAAAAAGTATACAGGAGTGCTTAAAATGAACAGAATCCACGTCACTCTCGAAATATTGCCCACCCATAAAGGCTCCTCCAACCACACCCTAAATTTATCGTGTTTTGAAAGTAAAGACATTCCCACAACCCCAAAAACAAATGTTGGTATCGCGAATATAGTGGCTGCGACCAATCTCACCGCTATCTTAAGCATGTCTCGTTTAGAGATCGCTTTCAAGTGCTCTCCGAAGGAGCGTTCTTTGACGATTGAAATCCTCATATTAGAGTCGTTTCCATTGGATAGGGTCTTCAATAAGGTATCGATAATCGATCTAACAGTAACGCCCCTTTCGACATCTGGAATGTACTTAAATTTGATAAAAGGAGTCTTTAGTGAGATAGGATCCTGGATAATTAGTTCTGCTCTACCAAAATTAGACAAAGCATCATTCACGCGCTCAGGGCATTGTGAGCAAAACATACCATCAATCCTCAAGTTGACTATCCTGGTTGGCTTTTTGAAAATAGCGTGATTCACGCTTTCGGGTTTTCCCAGTGCTCGGAATCCAAATCCACAATCTTCGATAGTGTATTCAACCTCGCGTATGACCGAATTTTCTGCTGAGTTCAAAATGAAGGTGGCAGTGTTTGATACAACGTTTACACCCACTTCGTCGACGCAGTTTAGATCTTTGACGGCATTTGTGATCGCTGATGCGCATGCGGCGCAAGTTATACCCTCTATGGCGGCAACTAGTTTGTAGCGTTGCTCAGTTCGCAGAGGCAAAATTTCGAGAAGCTGAGCAGCATACCCCGTGTCCTTGAGACCTTCAATGATCCGCTGTACATGTAGTTTGTTCGACATGAATATGACTGCTGTGTGATTAATACTGTCAACAGACACTGTAGTTTTGACATCTCGTATTGCTGGCAAAATTTCTATAATGCTTCTCTCTATTGCACTCGCGCAACCAGAGCAAGTCATACCCCCAACTGCAAATACCGCCCGAAATTGGGTTTCGCTCTTCTTGGGAATTGCGGAATCAGATTCTCGCCGCTGGCGCAGCTCCTGCGTCCGACATTCATTACAATGCTCCACATGTATTCTGTGTCGCTTTTGCTGGGTATGCAGCAATTTCGTCAGTTTCGGAACAACAGTGTTTCGAGAAGCTGTTTTGAAGATCCTGCCGGGATCTGATCCAGGTGTATCGCCGTTACCGCTGAATATGTCGCGAACTTCGAATCCAGCATGCACTAAATCTTTCCTAATAGCGATTCGATCAAAAAAGGGGACATCTATGCTGGATTTCTCAGACGAGCCTTCAGTACCGGCTTCTCCTTTATTGAATGTAACGATTATTTTGCCACTTTCGCGATCGATATCAAGCGAATCTGCGTATAGGCGTTTTGGATTGTTTGAAAGTAGTGACCTTGGCAGTCTGAAGGATAGGGCGCTCTCATTTGCCCCGTATCGTTCCCCTAGACTCCTCGCTTCAGATTTCCAGTTAAAATGGCGAGATAAGAGCGCAAAGATATGCCTTTCGCAAATTCCGCAATGGATGTTGTCTACGAAAATATTGAGGATCATCATACCATTATGGCTGTTCTAGGACGCATGTATGACACATTGTTTGCTTTCCTCTTTAAAACCAAGATTTTGAGATAGTAGTGCTGACATTAAAAGTTCGCAATTCGCATGTTATCAGAAAAATCCGAAAGAAGAGTGACGCACTTGGGCTATAATCAGTGGAAAGCCCTCACTTCACGACTGTGTATCGCCGGCATCAACTTCGTATAGAATATAGTGATCGTATTCTATCTAAAGAGAAGGGAGAACGCGGTTGGTGTTTTCCCGACTTCAAATAATACGAATTACTTAATGTTCAACTAACGTAAAAAGCCCTTTTTCTTGGCCTGCGCCGGAGAGTTAGCAGACTGGTTGGCTAGGGACATTTCCAATTGATGCTTTTTGTCTTCCAATGCTTTTAGCTGTTTGGTGAGTTTGTCCTTCATTTCCTTGTGCCTGGCAAATAGCTCAGCCTCAGATTTTTGGAGTTTCTTCTCCTTTTCGTTTACTTTTTGTTGAAACACAGCTTTCATTTCAGCTTCCAATTTAGCTAGCTTGGCTTCATGTAGTTGTTTCTCCTCCTTTTGCTTGAGTTCCGGGTCGTATTCTTTAAACACCGAGTTATCCTGCTTAATGTTCAAGAAGTTTAGCTTCTCAGATCTGTATTTCTCATAAAGCACCGTCTCAGTCTTTTCGCGAAGTTCCATCAGATAAACCTTGATTAGTAGATCACGCAAGTAGACGAAGTCAGAGTGCGACTCGTTGTCGACTTCAATTACACCCCACGGGTAAGAACGGCCTCTAACATGTCTACCGTCTGCAGTAGACACCACGTTTGTGGATCCCACAATTGCAAAAGGCATCTTAGCATGAAGCTCGGAGGAGCGCGCCGCTGTCTCCTTATCATCGAGTGCATACTGTGGGGGCTCGAACAACTCGATACCTTCCTTCTCAAGTTGAGAAGTGATGGTCAATTTGAATATTTCAATCTCTTCATCGGTGAGAATGTCGGATTTAGCAATGACTGGAATAAGGTTGCACTTGTGATGGACGGCCTTGCAAAATTCAAGATCCAAAGCCGAAAGTGAGTGGCCTGTGGGCTCTATGAAATACAAGCACGCGTGAACACGGTTATCCTGGATCGCGGAGCGCTCGAGTCTGTTTTCGGCATCCAAATACTGATCGAAACGAGAATCAATTTCACGCACAATGGGCTTCCAAGCATCGGTGTTGTCGATTGCGTCACCAAAACCGGGCGCGTCAATTACGTTCAGTGTAAGCGAGACCCCATTCTCCTCGATCTTCGTTGAAAGAGTATTGATCTTGACAGCAGCAACACCAGATTTGCCTTCTGAGATAGCATGATCCTGCTGTTCCTGTTGGATCGATTCGGTCCCGTCTGAAAGGCCTTGACTTGCATCCTCCAGCTTCAGAGCAGCTAAATCCTCAGTTGCTGGTGTCGTTAAGTCATACAATTCTTTGTTGAACAATGTATTGATGAGAGTCGACTTACCCAGGGCTGCTTGACCCACACACAGCAAGTTCAGACTGAACCCGCGTCTGATCGACTTTCTGTGCCATTGCTTGGGCAGATTCGCGAATCCGACATATCCGCTTATTCTATGTTGCAGTACCTTAAGATCCGGTTGCTTGGGCAGCACTTGGCCCTTATGCTCTTGTTCCTGGTCCTGTTCTGGCTCCAAGTTCGCCTCTGCCATTCCATTCCCGTTTAGCTGCGCGGGTGAATCTTCAATTACTGATGAATCCTCCAACTTGACACCGCCATTAGCCGCTGGATAACCATTCTCAACCACATGCGTTGATTTCAGGTCTTCAACCGTCGACTCTGTTTGCATTTCGCGCTTTGTTTATCCTTGGATCTGTTCAAGAGAGTATCAAATCAAGATCTTCTAAAGAATTTCGAGCTCAAATTTTTTAGGAGCACCGCCAACGAAAGGTAAAGAACAGTAAGTTAGGAAGGTCCTGTAATAGACAGATACTACCTCTACAAAGTTTGCCCAAAACTGCTATAGAACAACACCATCTCGAATATTAGCGTAGAATGTCTGTTAAAGAGGAAATCAAGCAGCTTCTAAACGAAGCGGCCAAGTTTTATGCCGCCAAAGACTATGAAATATCGACAAACTTGTACTCGGAGGCTAACGCTATTTATGACGCATCAACTGGTAGCAGTAATGCAGATTATTTGTATTTGTACGGAAAATCTCTATACATGCTGGCGTTGAGCCATTCAGACGTTTTCGGCGGCGACGATGAACAAGAAGAACAGGAAGTTGAAGGCGATGAGGAAGAAGAGTCAAAAAAGAAGCAACTCTACCAGTTCAGCGACACGTTAGCCGAGGAAGAAGAGGACGAGGAGCAGGAAACAGTAAATAAAGGCCCCTCCCAGGAAGAGGACAATTCTCAGCAAGAAGAAGCCCAAATCGAACCTCAGGATGAAGAGACGCCAACATCCGACTTTGAAAATGCATGGGAAATCTTGGAGCTTGCTCGTTCACACTACGAAAATATGCCACAAGACTCTGAGACTCTACAAAAACTCTCTGAGACCTATGATATTCTGGGGGAGATTTCCCTCGAAACCGAAAACTTCCCACAAGCCAAACAAGATTTCGCCAAATGTCTCGAACTCCGACTCAAGGCTTACAACGATCAAGATTCGGCACACAGACTCATTATTGAGTCTCACTACAAGCTTTCTCTGGCGCTAGAGTTTGACCCGTCCGAAGGTGCTGAATGTCAGAAAGAGCTAGAAAGAGCCATTGAGCTCTTGGAGACTCGCATCAAAGATCAGAAAGCTGAGAAGGGCGATGAGGGATTGCTTGAAGAGCTCAAAGTGAAGCTCAAAGAACTCAAAGTGACGGAAGAATCTTTCGATACTATTAAACGCGAAAGTGTTGCTCAGGTTAAGCAGGTCCTTGGCGTAGCGCCCGTTAACGACCTCACCTCCATGGTAAAAAAGCGCAAACCCAAACAAGACCAGACACAACAGACCAAGAAGCAGAAGAAATAAGTTTAATTCCGATAGTTTGGCCCGTCAGCACCTCATCATCACTCTATACGTCAGAAGCACTGTCAAATTTTTGATCCCTATAATGGATTTTCGGCTCTGTACTTGGAACAATACCTCGATACATTCGAGTATTTTACTAGTTCAAGTCTTAGCTGTTTCTCTCTAGCTTCGCACTTCAATAAAGAATGGCAGCTACTCAAGGCGTTCCACGCCATTTCCAAGTCTCCAAATTTTTGGAGCTTTTGAAGACCTCTCAATTCGCATGGTTTGCAGGCCACTTGGTGGTTTTGACCTGCGCCATCTTTTACTTTCTCACTTTCCGCGGTGGGGCCTCTGGGCTACACAATTCGCTCTATCGAGTGTTGTATCTAGGTGTTATTGAGTCATTTGGTATTATTATTTACCAGCAGCACTTTAAGCACCGTTCCCAGGCTAGCGGAACCGCGGGAGCAGCAGGACCTACGCCAACAATCCCACAACTACTTCTACGTGATGACAACTCTATGTACGTTGCCATTGCACTCATGTGGTTTCTAACTCCCCGGCTAACTGTGACGATGGTCCCATATGTCGTTTTTTCATTCTTCCATTTCCTCACGTACTTGAAGTCAGTTATTTTGCCTCAAGTCTTCGAAATTGGACCAGACTCCAGACTGTCAACAATCATTGACAGATTCATCCGCGAAAACAATGACCGTTCCATGGTGTGGTCCAGTTTTAGTGAACTCGTTTGCGTGATTGTGGTCTTGGTACGCGCGCTCTTGTGGTACCCAAGATCGTGGATTGTGGCCGTTGTTTACTGTCTATTCATCAAAATCCGTTACGAGACTTCGCCTTACACACGTAGTGGTATCAAGAGATGGGAGGTACGTCTCGATGGGCTCATGAGTCACCCAGGAGTGCCTGTCGCTTTAAAAAACGGATACGTCCACTTCAAGAACAACGTTCGCGAGCTACGAAAGTACAATCTGTCCGGCACCCCACCAGCCAAGAACATGTGAATAGATATTTACCTTTACGGTTTTTTTTAGGAGGCGTGTACAACTTGATATCTACTATCTGTAAATAGGTATGAATACATGCTATAGCAGAAAGGAAAGAGGTGGTTGCGTAAGGCACAGTAGAAGCCCAACAACTTGGCTCCAGAAGACGGCGTCAACTACGCTGCACATCACGTGCGCCGGGGTAAGATGTACAATGTGTATGGAGAGGGCTTTGCGGCTGTTCACCGCACGCTAGTGTACACATCACCAAAGTTTCATAGCTCGGAACAGTCGCATACTTCCACAGGATACTTTTGCTCCGCTGTTCATAATGGATGGCAATACCTTCTTCCCTGCCTACGTTTATACAGTCGATCTATTACCCATTTATCTAGTCAAACACGTCAACAGTGATATAGAGATTTGCGCTTAATTACAAGCTCTTCTCGAACTATGTAGCGAAATCGAGAGTCATCTTTGGGTATTTCGACTCGTCGATCAAAGCCCACTACAACTGTTCAACTATGCCCATCTTCAGCTGCCATCTGACGCAATCTCTCCCGCAATCGTTCGTCACCGTTCTAGCAATCGCTGTTCTTCTCTAGAATTTTCCATGGAACTTTCGAGAAATTCCACGATTCGAAGAAATTCGGCCACAGGGCCATAATTTGGAATCTGACGAAACGGCTCGGCAAGGTATATAAAGAGAGCGATTCAGAAACGTAGAAGTGTAGTTCAAACAATTCATTATATGTTTTATAACATCACTGTCCTCAAGCATTATTGAAACGGTTTATTGAACACATCTTATTGTCAATAATCTCTGATTAATAAATTCGCTAGTATAGAACAACACTCACATTACACACATCATAATGTCTAAAGCTGTCGGTATCGATTTGGGTACTACATACTCATGTGTCGCCCACTTCTCCAACGACCGTGTGGAAATCTTGGCCAACGACCAAGGTAACAGAACCACCCCTTCGTTCGTGGCCTTCACTGACACCGAAAGATTGATCGGTGATGCCGCCAAGAACCAGGCCGCCATGAACCCTTCCAACACCGTTTTCGACGCCAAGCGTTTGATCGGTAGAAACTTCTCCGATGCCGAAGTGCAAGGTGACGCCAAGCACTTCCCATTCAAGATTGTGGACGTCAGCGGCAAGCCACAAATCCAGGTTGAGTTTAAGGGCGAAACCAAGGTGTTCACTCCAGAAGAAATCTCCTCTATGATCTTGACCAAGATGAAGGAGACTTCCGAGAGCTACCTAGGCTGCAAGGTGAACGACGCCGTCGTCACCGTCCCAGCTTACTTCAACGACTCCCAAAGACAAGCTACTAAGGATGCCGGTACCATTGCTGGTTTGAACGTTCTACGTATCATCAACGAGCCTACCGCTGCCGCCATTGCTTACGGTTTGGACAAGAAGGACGAAGGTGAAAAGAACGTTTTGATCTTCGATCTCGGTGGTGGTACTTTCGATGTTTCTCTATTGTCCATCGAAGACGGTATCTTCGAAGTCAAGGCCACTGCTGGTGACACTCACTTGGGTGGTGAAGATTTCGACAACAGACTGGTCAACCACTTTGTTCAAGAATTCAAGCGTAAGAACAAGAAGGACTTGACTACCAACCAAAGAGCTTTGAGAAGATTGAGAACTGCATGTGAAAGAGCAAAGAGAACTTTGTCTTCTTCCGCTCAAACCTCCATCGAAATTGACTCTTTGTTCGAAGGTATTGACTTGTACACTTCCATCACCAGAGCTAGATTCGAGGAATTGTGTGCTGATTTGTTCAGATCCACCATCGACCCAGTCGAGAAGGTTTTGAGAGATGCCAAGTTGGACAAATCTCAAGTTCACGAAATCGTCTTGGTTGGTGGTTCTACCAGAATTCCAAAGGTTCAAAAGTTGGTCTCCGACTTCTTCAACGGTAAGGAACCAAACAGATCTATCAACCCAGATGAAGCTGTTGCCTACGGTGCCGCTGTCCAAGCTGCCATCTTGACCGGTGACCAATCTTCTAAGACTCAAGACCTATTGTTGTTGGATGTTGCTCCATTGTCTTTGGGTATTGAGACCGCTGGTGGTGTCATGACTAAATTGATCCCAAGAAACTCTACTATCCCAACTAAGAAGTCCGAGATCTTCTCCACTTACGCTGACAACCAGCCAGGTGTGTTGATCCAAGTCTTCGAAGGTGAGAGAGCCAGAACAAAGGACAACAACTTGTTGGGTAAGTTCGACCTAAGTGGAATCCCACCTGCCCCAAGAGGTGTCCCACAAATTGAAGTTACTTTCGATGTTGATGCCAATGGTATCTTGAACGTTTCTGCTGTTGAAAAGGGTACTGGTAAGTCTGAAAAGATCACCATCACCAACGACAAGGGTAGATTGTCCAAGGAAGACATTGAAAGAATGGTCTCTGAAGCTGAAAAATTCAAGGACGAAGATGAGAAGGAAGCTTCCAGAATTGGTGCCAAGAACCAATTGGAATCTATGGCTTTCTCTTTGAAGAACACCATCTCTGAATCCGCTGACAAGCTTGAAGAAGCCGACAAGGAAACTTTGAACAAGAAGTGCGAAGAAGTTATCGCTTGGTTGGACAGCAACACCACTGCCACCACTGAAGAATACAACGACCAATTGAAGGAATTGCAAGATGTTTCCAACCCTATCATGAGCAAGTTGTACCAACAAGGTGGTGCCCCAGAGGGTGCTGCTCCAGGCGGCTTCCCAGGTGGATCTGCCCCAGCTCCAGAAGCTGACGGTCCAACCGTCGAGGAAGTTGATTAAACTCAATTAACATCTGAAGCCATTAATGACGTTTTGTACCATACACTTATATATACATAGAGCACAATAATACAAGTGTTTTAAGGAGATAAAAAAACCTGAGAATGAAACTTGATATGCATTTATCAAAAGCTGTAAACGCAAAAGACGATGTTGCCATTGTAGGTAGCATCACAAATACCAGTTAATGGTTGATATTGTAAGTGTATTCAAATACTTGCAGACCCAAACAATTCAATAATAGTCGTAGTCTTTTGGTAAAAAAAATAAAATCGGGGCGAGCTGGGAATTGAACCCAGGGCCTCTCGCATGCTTGTGAATTTTGTTGATCAAGATACTTGATCATCTCCCAAAGCGAGAATCATACCACTAGACCACACGCCCGTTATTGAAATACGGTGAAGATATTACTATTCCTATCATTGTGAGGTATCACATGGTCTGTAGTTATGAATAGCTTAATGTAGCTCCAACACCAAAATTAAGAGGCATCTATATTTTCGTGATTTATCACAATTAGCTACTGTTTACACCTCGGCTCATAGCTCTGTGTTAAGAGTCACTATAAAATGTGTCATTTTTTCGGGTGTGGTAAGCAATAATGGGCGTGTGGTCTAGTGGTATGATTCTCGCTTTGGGCGAAATCGGGGTTACACTCCGATTACATACGCAAGCATGTGAGAGGCCCTGGGTTCAATTCCCAGCTCGCCCCACTTTTTTGAATGTGAATAATCAGTTTAGTAATTCAAGCTATTGGCAGCTCTTCTCCACAGGAACGTAGTTTTTTTATTGAGCCCCTTCGATGTGGCAGACGCCAACTATGCCAAGAGTTGGTGTAGATATTATTTTGATAAAAATATAAAAAATAAGCCCTGTAGGGGGCTCGAACCCCTAACCTTATGATTAAGAGTCATACGCGCTACCGATTGCGCCAACAAGGCTTATTGATGAGTGATGAAAATTGTGTACGCATCATATTACCGGCAAAACGTCACATGCCTTGATATACAAATGACTGGAATATTGGTATTCGCGTAATGGAAATAATAATGCCTCTTATATCTGTACATACTAAGCTTAGTTTCCGTTTAGGTACTTCTGGTATATTTCCCAAGTGGTACCCTTTTCTGGATCTTTGACGTAAACGTACTTGACCCCATATCTTTCAACGTCCCTGTTTCTTGTCTCGTCATCAAACAAGCATGACTTGTAGTCTTTAATATCGGCTTTTTTACCGAAGAGTTCTTTTATACCTAGAGTGATATGAATGACTTTGCTTTTCTCGCCCCACTGTAGTGAGTCAAAGAGTGTGATGAGCGGCACTATCTTTCCATTATATTCGACTTTGAAGCCTCTCAACAAGTCGCGAGCAATGTCAGGAGCCCAAGTTCTGGAAGCGGACACAATTTTAACGTCATGAGCCTTGAGATCTTCTAAGATGCGGGGCACGTCTTTGTAGAATGAGATTTCGTAACCGTGAGAATCCACCAACGTGCGAACTTCGCCGTTTTTGCTCGCAACCGGCTTGAATGGGGGATTCAAATGGGTATCGCAGAAACAAGGCCACACGGTATAGTCCAAATCAAATGCTGCAACCTGAGGGTAAGACATAGTTTGCGATTTACTTCGGTGCTGTTGTAGTGCAGAGATTAATTGCAAGATTGAATATGTGAAGCTAAAAAAATGATGCAAAGCAGATGACCTCGAGGTAGCGAATTTAAGCAAGAAGCATAATTGAAAAGGCGGCGATGAAGCACAAGAAACAACCACACAGCCTAATCAATGAGATTGTATTAGCGCTACAAACTGCAAGTAATGTACGTATGCGAGGACTCCTAAGTGGGAAAAGGGACAAAATATCTCTGTGAAAGAAAGACAGACTATTGCAGAAAAAACGTATCTGGCAAGGCAAAGGTGCATTGAAATTTGAAATTTTGTTCAGCGGTAACCAATCACATACTTCATCCACCAAGTAGATTAGGCTAAACAGGGTAGTGATTTTTTTAGGGAACGTTCGGTGGTCCTGTCTCCCAACTAAAACAAAAAGATCTCACTGCAACTTAAATCATCTCTCATTGCTGATACAGTATGGATTGAAAAAAGTCCTCAGTTATTCAACAAAAGGTCTCTTGGCCCAGTTGGTTAAGGCACCGTGCTAATAACGCGGGGATCAGCGGTTCGATCCCGCTAGAGACCATTTATTTTTTGCCGCATCGGGAACCAAATTTTTTATTATTTTTATATCTAATTTCAATCTTCGTTCTTCCATTACACATCAAACAAATATCAATCTTCGTTAATTCATTACCTATATATATAATTATAAATACATTATGCAAATGGCGTAGATAGGAAACTAGAAGTGGAGTTACCAACATCAATCCCAGGAATCGACTTTCATGGTACCTTTTTCGGCCAGATTTATATGGAATTTATGGGCATTTTTTAACATATGAGGTTCGTGTAGGCATTTGTTTTTGTGGGCGTAAAATTCGGATCTTTTCAAGTAGTCCATAAGAATAGGTTGGTATTCTGGGTGTGCACAATTGTTAATAATTTCGCGCGCTCTCTCAGTAGGCGATAAACCTCTTAGATCGGCTAAACCTTGGTCGGTAACGATAATGTCCAAATCGTGTTCGGTTTGATCAACATGCGAAGCCATTGGAACAATGGTAGAGATACCGGTAGGATCCTTCTTTGTGGGCCTGATGGAGGGAGTATGCATGATTGACAATTTGGCGTTTCTGAGAAAATCTGCAGAACCACCCAGTCCATTCAACATTCGCGATCCGGAAACGTTTGTGGAATTGGCATGCGCATAGATGTCGACCTCGACGGGAGTATTCATGGCGATCACACCGAGACGGCGAATGATCTCTGGATTGTTGGAAACGACCTGAGAACGCAGACACAACTTGTGGGCAAATTCATCCCAATGGTCGAAAAAGCGTTTGAAACCGGGTTCTGTAAGTCTAATACTGGTGGCGGTTGCGTAGTCTAGGGAACCGTTCTCGAAAAGATCGAGAAAGGAGTCTTGCAAAACCTCGGTCCACACGGTCAAGTTACGGAACGAAGCAGACGACAGACCTTCAATGACGGCGTTGGCAATGTTGCCGATTCCGGACTGCAATGGGTGCAAGTTCTTGGGCATACGGCCCCATTGCACCTCGTGCTCGAGGAACTCGATCAGATGCGCGGCGATGGCTTTGGATGCAGCGTCTGAGGGATGGTTGGGAGGCACTTTGTCGCGCTGATTGGACTCGACGATGGCAATGACGCGAGCTGGATCCACAGGAATGGAATCGATGCCGCAACGGTGGTCCACGGACATGTACGGGTAAGGAGGCCGATGCGGAGGGTTGATGGGCATGTCGATGTCGTGGATCCCTTCGAACGAGTGCGTCGCGGTGTTGACCTCGATGATAACTTTGTCGGCGACAGAGATAAACTCCGGAGAGGCCCCGACCGACGGACCGGGCACAATAGACCCGTCTTCCTTGATGGCAGTGGCCTCGATGACTGCGAAGTCCAGAATCGGCGCGCCACGCGGCTTGTCGCGCGTGTAGTAGCCGTAGGTGAGATCCTGTGGGAACATGGACAGATGCTTGTCGAAAAACTGGATGCGACCCTCGTTGATGGCCGCAGCGATGGGCTTGCCGACCTGATGTGGCGAACGACGTGCGATCATGTCGAGTTCGGCCCAGCGAGACTCCTCGGGACCGGCGCTGGCGCCGACAAACAGGTTGAACCGGAGTTTGCCCTGGAGCTTCTGGCGCTCGACATGGTCGGCCAGAGCCTGCGGAACGACTTTGGGAGCGCCCACACCGGTGAAACCGGACCAGCCTAGCGTCTGGCCAGACTTGAAGAGCGGCACGAGATCCGTGGCGCTAGCCACGCGATCGAGATACGGCGCGTAGCGCACGCGTTGTTTGAGGAGAGACGACATTGTTGTTGTTGGTTTGCGAGACCGAATGTCAAATTGTGGTGCTGGGAAGGGAGAGAACGGGGAGTTTTAGCCGCCGAGATTTTCCGTCTTCTTCTTTTTTATTTTTATTTTATCTATCTTGGTTTTCGAGCCCTCGACTGGTTTTTGCGTCGTTGGGAGTGTAGTTTGCTGTGTCGTCGCAGCGCGCGCAAAGACTTCCGAAACACGCGATTTTGTGGCCTGGCTTTCAATTACCCCAAGTTCTCGTCGTGCGTGACCTACCCCTCTCGCGCCCGCCTTTCCCCAACTTTTTCCCAGCTGGCGCAAGTTTTATAGCCTCTGCCCAGCGCACAGGCCCGTAGCGCGTGAGTCAGGCGTGGCGAACTCCGTTGACCGGTTGCGATCGCGGCGTGGGATGTGATTGGTGGGAGGAAAGGGCGTTCGTGCGGGGCGATAGGAGCGGCGTGACGGTGCACGAAAAGCGCGCGGAAGGAGAGGGAGGGGGGGAAAGTAGCACTATTAGTGCGAGAGAGAGAAGAGTATGACCATTGAACAATTCGAGCTCCAGCAAGTATTGTGAATAACAAGACTCAAGGACTGTTGGATAAGCGAGCCTCAGCAAGTAGTGCTAGTGGGAGTACGAGTACGAGTACGAGTACGAGTGTGGTGAGAGTAGTGAGAGTAGAGTGGCGCTACAGAAGTGTAGCGTTGTTCGAGAGCACTACTCCTCTCTCGTAGTGCTCTTTCGTACTATACTACCTTAGACAACATGCCTTGGCGCGTATTGTGAAGGAAAGAAGTACCTGTAAATATAATTGTAGAGCAAAGCCGTGTTACCTACCACGTGTGGAATGGAAGTAGCACTAGATCGATTGTAGTCTAGCAGAGGCAGTGCTACTAGAATTACTACAAAAGCTCGAGTCTCGAAGAGCATGGCGAAAAGTTACTACCAACGCACCCCTGAAATGTGAATAACAAGATTGTAGCATCGAACGGTACATGTCGCAACGATGCTCGTAGCACTACTTCTCTGCTCTGAGCACTCTCTCGCTCTGGGCATTCCTTGTCCTAACGAGAACCAACCACCGTACTATTAAGCGCCCCTGTACTTTTCCGCGTAAGCCTTTGCGGTGGCGCAGTCGCGTCGTACGGGAGGTACCGCTATCTGAGCCGGCACAAAGATAAGGCCCACGCGCACACGCGCACACACACACACAGCCGGCACGTGACGCGACTTCTTCCTCGTAGACAAATGTCCCGCCCAAACCACGGGCCGCGGCACACGTGACCCAGAAGTAGTATGTCAGGCGATCGTTATCCCGTCATCTTCGCTTCGGAGTTGAAAAGGACACATACGTATATAAATATATATAGTTGATTAACGACACAACCGTACACAGCGATGCGAGAGATGTGGCCTGGGTCAGTGGTCTCGAATCAGGCTAAATAGCTCCTGCAGTCAGATCCCTTGCGCTTGCTGGAGCCCGCCACAGAGAGTTCACACCTTATCGTGGGGTGCCAATATTGTCTCTTTGTTCACACCGTATCGTGGGATGCCAATATTGTCACTTTGTTCACACCGTATCGTGGGATGCCAATATTATCACTTTGTTAACACCTTATCGTGGGATGCCAAATATCATCACATTCTTCACTAAGATGCGTCCAGTCTTCCGCCACCAAGTCAGGAATTCACTAAGGTTTTGCGCTAATAGGGCATGATCGAGTGCTTCGCTAAAACCAACTACTTACTGCTTGCAAATCCGCAAATAGTCATACATTCACTGCATATCATGTTGTCGCCGTGCTCCGCTTATTCATCGTTTCGTACACCAAAAATCTCATCCCACAGCAGTCTTTTCAAGTCTCCCGCTCCCAGTCGATCCTTCCGTTCGTCAAATGTGAAAAGCTCGGGATCTACTTTTGTTGTTGCAGGCTCATCGTGAGGATCGTGATACGCTTTCAGATAAGGATGCTTTAGTGCTTGAGCAGCAGTGATTCGACGCCGCGGATCAAATACCAACATCCTCTCTAACAAATCCATGCCTTCCGGGTTTGCTTCTGGTAACAAGCCCCTTAACGCTCGATTACTGGGGTAGCGTGGCAAAGTGCTCAAGTATTGCAGCGCGCGTTTGGAACGCACACATTCTAGATCCTTAGATGTGGGCGAGCCAATCACCTGGAAAATAAGTAACAGTTGGTGTCGATAATCCTTGCCTGGGAATAACGGTCTTCGTAAAAGAAGCTCCGCCAAAATACATCCACAAGACCATAGGTCCATTGCAAAAGTATATTCAGCTGCCGTTAACATTACCTCTGGCGCCCTGTACCACCGCGTGGCCACGTATTCCGTCATTTGACCAGAGTCTCCATTCTTGGACCCAACACCGGTTCCAGCACATCGGGCTAAACCAAAATCACACAACTTGACGTCGCAATTTGCATTTACCAGTAAATTGGATGGCTTGAGATCCCTATGAATCACCTCGGCTGCGTGCAGACACTTCAACCCACGCAACATTTGATATACGAAATATTGAATGTGATCGTCAGATAAAGTTTGCGTTGCAATGACTCGATGCAAATCAGTGTCCATCAATTCTTGAATGATATATACCTCGTTGAAAGTTTCAAACGATGCTGGTCTTTGGATGTCGAAAATGGAAATTATGTTTTCGTGCTGGAAACACCGTAAAAGCTTAATTTCTCGCAGTGTTCGCAGACAGAAAAGTGGTCTTTCAAAGGGCTCGATTTTCTTTATCGCAACCATTTGTCCAGTTGGTAAATGGCGTGCGCTACATACAATTCCATAGGCTCCCTCACCGAGTAACTGCTGGAGCTGAAACTCAGAAGATATATTAAATACGATCTTCTTTCCCATGTTACAGTCTTTGCGAATTAGCCTCGGTGGTTATGATCCCAGATTTCTGGAGGCTGTTGAACATCCAGTGTCTGTCTTATGTAGAAGCGCCTTTTGAGGTACACACACGTGAATTAGGGTTCTTATGAAACACATTTACGTTTGAGCCTTCCTGACACGAAGGCGTGTACAATGCTTATCAATCCACAAGGAAGGAAACAGATATGGCTCATACAACATTGAAATGAGGTCGAGGCCTCTAAATAGACCTTCGAAGGTTTTCCTCTGAAACAGAACGGGCCCAATCAGAAATAGGCTTGGTATTAGCCACGATAGCGCTCTTGTTAGCTTTTGTACTATATTCATACATAGGATAAGCTCAATGAGTCTTGGGAAAATGCATGCTTGAGATATGTTCTCGAACCTTCATCGGAATGAATGTCCACGCGTTGTAATTTTGCCAATCATCGAAACTAGGGAGCCTACCATCTCGCCGAGATTAACAACGTATTGATCTTCAATATCACAAAATAGTAGTGGTCATTTTTCTGGGTTTATAAACGGCATCTTGATTCCTGCAAGGTTGTCAATTCCATGAGCAGTTTTAGACCCTCAACCAAAAAATAACTGGTTGTATGTCGGCAAATTTCGACCTCGTGTAAGCAAGTGCTTTTTCCTTTTCTGCTCCCTCAGGTTCTTGCAATGTACAGTTCTACTGTGGTAACTTAATACCTTGGTTATAAGACTGCGCAGATTGATGGTTTCTGTGACTTTCAAGATCTGAGCTGCGCGGTGAGACGAGACCAGAAAATAATGTTCATAAAGCAAGTATGATTGAAGTGGTCAGAAAAGGGAGGATGGCGAGCCTTGTGTTTAATAGTGCCGACACGTTTTATTTGCGATCCATAACTAGTTCACTTCTACTGAATCTCACTTTGTACTAAAGTGCCCTGGCACCACATGCGAAACGTAAAGCCATATCAAAAGGAGTTCTTGTCAATACGCTAGTCAAGTGTATGCCCTAGGTAAGTCCTCCTTAAAGATTTCGTAAAAAAAGGAGAGTGTTAGCATTTTAGGATTCTTGAAGGACAAATACAACCACAGGACATATTCCAATTATCTCATTCTGAGTAAGTTCTTCGTCATAGTCACTCCTGAAAATTTGCCAGACTTCAAAGGTGATGAAGCTTTCTCAAAGCTTTTTGTCGACGGACGCCGCTATATATTAGCCATTTACAAATGCCCGGTATTGTGAAATTGCTCGTTGCACTGTTTTTACGGCTGGATTGCTCAAGTTTCGTAGAGGCTGCCTTAACGAGCTTCAAGATGTATACAAATCCTCAGATTGGGGCGACAAGAAAAATTTGAAGCTGCATTTTTGTTAAAAATCGCTAGAGTAGCGTGATTGTAACAAAGACTGTGTCATTGCTGAACACCAGACAAGCTACAATTCGAATTGTTTCAGAAGCTCGCCAGACCGTTTCAACAATGCGAATCATTTCTTGGCAAATAAATCCGGAGTTTTTCAAAGCCCCGAGCACGTGACTTACACGGCTCAACCTACTCGCTATTAAGAAAAAAAGCGGTGTTGTCGAAATTTAGTCTGTTAAAAGGGTCAGATTGCTAAGGTACATCACATTAACAGGTAAAATCCAACTGTAGCGACATGATCTGCTTCAGTGTTCTGCTACTGTTCTGGACAAACTGGGTTTCCGCAGAATGGCAACCCAAGGTGACATCGGTCAAACGCTCAGGATCGTTTATGTTCGAGTCGTTTGATGACTCTGATGTCATCTTGGGAATCAAAAAGGGAGCTTTACAAATTTCGAGGAACGCCGGCACAAGTTGGAAAGATGTTAAGGCAGTGAGCCGGGATATCCATTACATCGATATTGATAATAACTTCGCAGAAACTCGTGCATTCGTGTTTGACGTGGAGGATAATCGAGTGTATGCGACTTCTGATAAAGGTGAGTCTTGGTTCGAGCTAAATTTTCCACGTCCAAACTCTGGGAAGGACGCTGATGAAATCAATTTCATGTCTCTGGCTTCAAACCCTTTTGTTAAAGATGACTTGCTTCTAAGCCTTACGATCTGTCCCTCATCACACAAGGGAAGGGAATGCTTCACAGAGCATCATATTTCGAGCAACGGCAAGGATTTCAAACCCCTAAAAATGCCACTTGAGCAGCATGCATACGTGAATTGTCGATTCCTAAGCCTCGGAGCAAAAGATAGCGCTAACCATGATGTTATCTGCGACGCGCGGTATCCTGACGACGATGCAAATTTCGCTGATTCTACACAATTAAAGCGCGAGATCTTTTTAACCAGCGACTACGGAAAGAGCTTTGAAACTCTTTCGCAATTCAAAGGAAAAAACATCCGCTATCTGATACTAACGGAGGATTATGCCATTGTTTCCACTTCAGAGGATAAATACAACGATGACTCTGTAGAAGAATTGTGGGTTTCACAAGATGGTAGGAGCTTCGAAAACGCCGTCACACCCACAAATGTTCGAGGCCCCTATTTTGTGTCGCAAATATCCAAATCGTCCAAAAAACTGATGCTAATGGCGGATGCATTGGGAAGTGACCAGAAGGGAACGGGCTTAATTTTGTCAGATTCCGATGGCCTAAGATTCTCGCCCATCTCGTCGTTTCCAACTGAAATTCCTGGATTTTACATGATGTCCAGTGTAGGAGGCTTGGAGGGTGCCTTCATTTGCTCATTCACCGCCATTCAGCACCATAGTGCGCAAATGACAACTAAAATTACCTTTGACGACGGGCGTTCATGGTCAAGACTTCGTTTGGATGATGTCAACAACGAGTATGAATGCGACTCGGAGGATGTAGAAAAATGCTTTATCAACTCGTTTTTTATGCCATCTATGATTTTCAATACCCACGAGCATCAAATACCCGGCGTGTCGTATGTGATTGGAAGTGTCGAAGACTTGACCGCTGATTCAAAAAAGCTACCACAGCTACAAACGTTCGCGACTACAAACGGTGGGGAATCTTGGAGAAAGATTCTAGATTTTCCAGCTGCTGTTCAATTTGGAGATCATGGAAACGTTGTAGTTGCATTTCCCTTCTCGCCTGACGCCGATGGTGATCCGGCAATGGAATTCTTTTACTCCTTGGATCAAGGTGAGACTTGGACGGAGTATGAGTTGAAAGAGCCCGTCGTCTTGGGTGGATTTATGTCTACTTCCGGCGACAGCTCTGGGTCTAAATTTATCATGCGAGGGTCAGATTTTAGCGGAAAAGATGTATCGTGGTTTTACACCATTGATTTCTCTGACGCGTTCGAAGGTAAGCAATGTACAGAAGATGACTTGGAAGATTGGGTTTCGAATAAGGGCGAATGTGTTGGTGGGGCGAAACGTACATATAAAAGACGGAAGCCTGATGCCAGATGCTTTGTTCGAGATCTTTATGCTGATCATGCGATGGAGGAGGAAATCTGTCAGTGTAGTGAGATCGACTATGAGTGCTCCCCGGAATTTTTCCGTGCAGATGATGGTACTTGCAAACCGGATTTCGGGCTTCTTGAGCATTCTGGCAGTTGCAAAGCTGTCAAGAAAGGAAAAGAGCTCAAACTTTCACCTAAAAAGCTACAACGGGGTAATAAGTGCGAGAATCCAATAGAAATCGAGAAAGTGACAGTCAGCTGTAATGGCTTGAGCGAGGATGGAGAGGGCGCCCCCATCATTGTTTTTGAAAACTTTCTAGACTTTGAGCTAAAGTCATACCAATACTTCAACACCAAAGCAGATGAGACTGTTTTGTTTAGAACTGATAAAAACGATGTTTACTTGTCTTATGATAGCGGCAAAACCATCAAAAAGTTCGCAGAGAAGGTAACGGAGGTAGTCTTCAATCCTTATTTTAACACAAGTGCTTATGTCTTCGGTGCAGATAATCAGCTCCAAATTACCAACGATCGAGCCAGATCTTTTGAAACATTTGATTTACCAGAAGCCAAACAATTAGGATTTCCTCTCTCTTTCCACGCCACAGAGGCTGATACTTTCATTTTCTATGGAGGCAAAAACTGTGATAGTTTTTTCAACCCCGAGTGTCACGCTGTAGCATACATTACAAGAAATGGCGGAACCACCTTTGAAGAGCTCAAACAAGGCGCTCTGAGCTGTGAATTCGTCGGCTCTATTTACGAAAACCCTTCGAATCCCGATATGATTATGTGTTTGGTAAAAGACAAGGGCAAGAGAGAAAAAAGTATCATTACTAGTTCAGACTATTTTGAAACAGAAGAGTCCACAGTATTTGAAGATGCACTTGGTTACGTTTCTTTGGGCGAATATACGGTTATTGCAGTTCCTCACGAAAACGACGAGCTGAGAGCTTTTGTTACGATTAATGGTGATGAGTACGCTGAAGCGAAGCTCCCAGCAGGCCTTAATGCAGATAAGCAGCAGGCGTATACGGTTCTTGGTTCGCAAAAAGGTGCCATTTTCTTTCATTTAACCACTCATATGACGGAAGGTCAAGAATACGGCGCATTGATGAAGTCAAACTCAAATGGAACCTCCTTTGTGACCCTAGAGAGATCAGTTAATCGTGGTTCTTCAGGCTTTGTTGATTTCGAGAAAATCGAAGGATTAGAGGGTATCATCATGATTAATACTGTTTTTAACGCGGAACAACTCCAGTTGGGCAAAGAAGGAGAAAAGAAATTAAGGTCTAAAATATCATTCAATGACGGAGCTGATTGGACTTATCTACAAGCGCCAAAGACTGATTCCGAGGGTAACAAGTATGACTGCAATCCAAAAGATCTGGAAAAGTGCTCTTTAAGTCTCCATGGATATACAGAAAGGGAAGACCAACGAGACACTTATTCGTCAGGGTCTGCCTTGGGTTACATGATCGGAGTCGGGAACGTTGGGGAGCATCTTCTACCTAAGGAGGAGTGCTCCACTTTCATGAGTGTTGATGGAGGCTTCACCTGGAACGAAGTTGCCAAGGGCGCCTATCAATGGGAATACGGAGATCATGGTAGTATTGTCGTGCTTGTGAAAGACGGCGAAAAAACTGACAGCCTTCTATACTCATTAACTTCTGGTAAATCATGGAGTGAATTTAAGTTCGCTGCAGATGAACTGTATGTGGAGGACATAGTTACCACGCCACAAGACTCAGCTATGCGGTTTTTGCTCATTGGCAAATCTACCAAGGTTACCGGTAGACATACCAGAACTTTCACAATTGACTTTACCAAATCTTTCGAACGTCAGTGCGCGTTGGGCAGTGACGACTACGCGTATCACAGCTTTGGCGACTGTCTTTTCGGCCATCAAGCCGAATATCTACAAAAGGTAAACGATCATTGTTACAATGGCGCTGCTCCTTTGGAGGATGCAGTGATAATAGTCAAACACTGCTCTTGTACGAGAATGGATTTTGAATGCGACTACAATTATTACAAGGCTGGCGACGGCACGTGTAAACTTGTCGATGGGACGGATCCCCTAGATGGAAGTGAGATTTGTGAGAAATACACCGACCAAATTGAATATTTTGAGCCTACTGGGTACAGAAAGATTCCCCTGTCGACTTGCGTAGACGGTTTGAAGTTAGATGAAGCTTCACGTTCACACGCCTGTCCTGGTTTTGAAAAAGAGTTCAAAGAACGCTACAGTATAAGCGGTAGACGTGTTCTTTACATCATAACGGTCCCACTAGTAGTTTTCGTTCTAGCTGCCTGGTTTGTTTACGATCGTGGCGTCAAAAGGAACGGTGGATTTTCTCGGTTTGGAGAGATAAGATTGGGCGACGAAGAGCTGATTGAAGAAAACAGACTAGACAAAATGGTAAATTCGATTGTGAAAGTTGGCGTTATCGGTTTTTCTGGGCTCGTAACTGCTAAGCAACTGTCGCAACGGGTGCTTCAAAATACATGGCAGCGAGTAAGATCACGGCTTCCTGGAAATAAAAACGGTCCCACCTATTCGTCATTGAATCACGATCAGTTCTTGGATGAGGCAGATGAGCTTCTAGCGGAGCATGACGAAGATGCGAATGATTTGACAAGCTTCCTCGAAAACGAAAGCAATTTTGATATTAATGAAGAGGACGATATTGATAGTGGGGTGACAAGACCATATTCTGACGAAGTTGGGGTGTCTGACGATCATGAAGAGGCCAATGACATAGAGAGCCCGCCCAATTAAATCAAGTAGTCACTGGCATCGAAAATGTACATATACCACATACAGAGTCTGTAGCGATGAGACATTCTGTTCCGACTTTCACAGTCGTCACGGATGACGAAATGATTGGAAAAATGATGCAAAGCGCCGAAGTATACTTTCTTCTTGAACAGCTGTGCGTCTAAAACCTCGAATCTTTGATCGCGCACAATGATTGACCGCCGACAACATGGAAAGCGCTCCAGAGATTGGGTTTTCTATAAGTTGAAATTGTATGCAGCCAACGTCCTCTGAGCCCATTCTTTCTCGTCTCACAATACTTACCATTTAATTACCATAGAACCACTCAAAACCCAAAAGCTGACGAAGAATTGTTGATTGACGAAATGACTTGGCGGCAATTCCTGAACGAGGCTCTGAAAAAGTCTCATGGCTTGTTTGGAGAGGGTTGTGAGTATTATTTTTTGAATCAGGACATGCACCTAGCTTATCTCAAAGTTTTTCTGAAGGATGCAGCTTTGTTCTCATCAGCTATTGCTACTTTCATATCTTCCGATGGGTTAGTGGGAATGCCGATGGTGGCGTTAATACTCCAAAGTACCAATGACGCCCGACAGCTCCAAATAACAGAGGATGACCTTCTTTGGCACGGAAGAGTTATTGACGATGAAACGGAAGATGACTTGAAATCTTAAAGGACTTCGCATTCGCTTCTGGCCCAAATACAGGTGGTTATGACTTCCATTGGAAATAACCGCATGAGGCTTCCTTGTCATTCGGCTCTCCTTTGGGTCTTGCGCATACCCAGAACTTCTTTCCCGGGTTGCTTTCGGTCTTGGAGGTCCTCAAAATTGAATTTTCACCGTGTTTGCACTGTGGGGGTTTATCAAGCATCCCATGTAACATATGAAAGAAGGAATCTGACTTTTGAGCAAGGGAAGACTCTTGTGTATGCAAGGCATCTGGATGACTTTTTACTTCATTGCCATCTTGAAAATCTATGGCATTTGGAAGCTTTGCAACACAAAAACTTTGTGTCTTCTTTGAATTACTCACTGGCTTTTGAATCAAGCCCTGTTTCGTGTCACTTTTACTTTCCGCGATGCGCACCCTGGGAGACCGAGGGAACATACTTAGTATGTCCCTGTGGTTCAAGCTGTACCTTTGCTTGGCTTCAAAAGGCAGACTTGTTTTTAGATGTTTAGGATTGTTGTCAACGGGCACCTGAAATTCGAGATCTGCAAACACGGGACAGTGGTCGGAGCCCATTATTTCCGGCCATATATCTGCTCTTTTGACGAAGTCTTTTGCATGTGCCGATACTAATATGTAGTCAATTCTGGATCCAAAATTTATTGGTCTAGCGTTTTTTAGAGTACTCCATACGGTGTACATTTTCAACCTATCTTCACCTTGCAGTTGTCTTGTTGTATCAACCAACGTACCGGATGCTGCCATTTGTGGTATTTTAGAATCCGCTAGCATTTCGTTCAATAATCTCCTAGCTGGCCTAGATGGTGAATATATGAATTCCCTAACCGACTGGGCGTTTTCCACTTCAACCCGCGAACCTTTGGTGAGGTTAGTGACCATAATGTGTGATTCTTTCAGAGCCTCAGCGTGATCTATAAGATCGCGACAAACATTTATGTCACCCATCAAAACCACAGTTTTACCGACTGCTTGTAGATTTCGAATACGTCTAAATAGCACTTTTAGGAATTTCAATCTAAACTCTTCACCTTCATCGGATTGTGAAGAATTGGCTGGGCAATAGGTGCTGATAATCACCGCATTGCATTTCAGCTCTACCATGACACATCTGCCCTCGGCGTCTAACGCCAACGCTTCGCTCTCATTTTGTAGTCCCAGTGATTGATAACCACCAATTCCTAGCGCTTTGTCGTCTCTATACCGAACGCTAGATTTGCCTATCTTTATGCTAAGGTAACCGGTGATGCCTTCCTCAGCCTTGACAACTTGTAAAATTTCAAAGAGAGGATCTTCGGAATTAGGAATACGAACCCAACAACCTACCCCGGAGTATCCTTTTCGTTTAACAGGAATTGATATAAAAGAATAGAATCCGCGGGTCTTGCCCCAAGTTGTTATCGATTGAGGATCGGTCTTGAGTTCTTGAAATGTAATTATATCAGATTTGAAATAGTCAAACGCTTTGGCCAAAGAGTTGTTCATATCACGAAACGGGTGGAAGTGGAAAAAAGTTCGCAGCCCATTGACGTTGAAAGTAAGGAAGCGTACATGGAGGCCATCTTTATTCGGTATTTCAGCCATGAGGCTGTTTTGTCAAAATTCCACAAGTCTGCACAACAACATTTTGATGATGCCATATTTTTAAAAATACACATATCATTATATATCTTTAGCGTCGTTCTTATTTTGTCTCATATACGCTCCCAAGACACCTTTTTCTTTGTAAATGATCAGTGCTAGTAGTGCTAAAGCCATTGCGACGTTGATAAAGAACTGCTTAAAGGTTTTGACAATGCCCACCAGAAAAAGGTTTGAAACGGCAATGACAACGGAAACAATAGAAACGACTTTAAAATTGCGGAAGTTGAGCAAAAAGGAGCTGTCTTGAGCCTGCATGTCGGAATAGAGATTCTTATAAAAATTTCCAATGAACCATCCGCAGAATGATATTCTCAATATCATGTTTATAATGTTACTCAAAATGAGACCCTCTAAAGACATTTTGTATCGTCCGATGAGGAGCCAGCATGAGAACAAAAATACACAAGAAAAGGCCATCATGAAGTAGGAATGTCTAAGAATGTGCTCACCAGATGCCACACTTTGGAAAAAGGCTTCAAAGATACCGTTGACTGAAAGGAAGGGAAGATAAAGACAGTAAATGCGTATTGTTTCCAAGACTGTGGTGCTCGACCATTTGCTCCCAATTAGAAATTGGAGTAAAAAGGGAGAGTTAACGGGTCCGAAAATTACAATGAGAAGCGAAAGGTAGAGATAGAACTTTGTCAAGTTGACTAGCACTTCCATGGAAAGCTTTACATTCTTGGATGATGTGACCGATAGAAGTCGAGCTAAAAACAGTCTGAGAGATTCTTCGATGGGAGCAAATACTAGCCTTGTGAGCAAAGAGCCGTAATTTGATAAAAGGGAGTAAATTCCTTGCTCTTCAACAGAGCACATCGAGTTTATGATTAGTTTGTCACCTTCCGTGAGTAAATGTTTAAAACACAACTGTAGGTAGACTTTTCTGAAGTGTTGAAAGATGTCGCTCTGAAAATAATAGGGCTGCGTGCGGCCAGAGACTTGTATCTGTGTAGGCCATATGTTAAAACTATTTTCTTTTCCGAGGCGAGTCAAATAGTCGTAATAGTAGCAGCACAGAAGGGCAACAGAATGTGCAAGTTTGCTCACTGCAAATGCCAAGATCGCAATACCTTCTTGTTTGGTAACGTCATGTAATGCCGCACCTGTTCCATTAACTTTGTTTTCGTAAATGTACACTATGGCAAAATTAGCGACACAAGCAGCAACAACGGCGACACTTTCAAACTGACTTCTGACTTTATAGTTCAGCATGAACTGATTGACTATGAAGAAAGGCTCGCTAAAAAGCTCGAAGAGTATACTCATCCATATCACTGCGATTGACAGCTTGAAGTACGGCAGTGACACGAAATACTCATTTAGATTGCTGTATTGCCACCCAATCAGTACAAGTGACAAAGGCACCCCAATCAACACAGGAATGTATGCAAAATTGATTGCCGTCTGAAGAACCAACCTATCGGAGTTGTCTATCTCTGTTTCATCCTCTTGCGGCAAAAATGAATACTCTGGCGTCTTTATCCTCAAAGTAGACATTCTGATGGCTTCTCTACTGAAAAACAGGACCGTGGATAGCAGAAACTCAAGAAACGCGTTGATTCCGAATACTTTTGGCGATAAGTAACGTACTAGCAACGTGTTTAAGAGAAACGTTACGACCTTGCTGAACAATTGGCCGAATATGAGGAAAGTGACCCCTCTTGTCGACTTTTGTAGAATGCTCTCGTGCTGCGAGAGCTCCCCATGTTTCTCCATGTCGTCAGGCCTAAGATAGTGCGTGTTTTCACTGTATGTACAAGTATAAGCGAACAATACAATTAAAAATTGAACAAAGTTCTTGAATTCGCCAATTTCTGATCACACAGACGAGCTATCGAAGGGCTTGAAAGACCCTAGCGATGGATAGAGAGGCCGAGAAACAGGAGCTACACAACCAATTTGTAGCTGAATTGCGAGAACAGGACCGCTGGTTACCGATCAACAATGTGGGACGACTCATGAAGAGCACTTTACCGACATCAGCAAAGGTGTCGAAAGACGCAAAAGAATGTATGCAAGAGTGTGTTTCTGAGTTTATTTCATTTGTCACTAGCGAGGCAAATGACAGATGCACTCAAGATAAACGTAAGACTATCAACGGCGAAGATATTTTAATATCACTGAATGCGCTGGGCTTCGAAAACTATGCCGAAGTGCTGAAAATTTACTTGGCAAAATACCGCCAGCAGCAAGCGCTAAAAAACCAAATGACTTACATGCGTCGTGATGGTCTTTCTGAAGATCTGGATAGCGCCCCACACGATGAAGGGCGCGTCTCGACTCCTACAAATCTCGAACATGACGCTTCACAACGAGATCTGTCTGATTCCGCGGAGGCTGAAGAAGAACTACAAACAACAGCAGGGAGCTCAAGGAACAACGAGGGCGACTACATTCAGGAAGACACCCAGCTGTACTTATAAGATGCGGCAGTCGTTTCCAAATCGCCGCGCATTCGAAACTCGTGAGGAGCAGATATGTGCTTTTTTTTCTTGACAAATTGTGAATAAGGAAGAAACTCTTGCCACCCAACCAACACATCCACAACAAACCATTGTTTAAAGCTTCCAAAGCTCGTTGAAATGCTTTGCAAAAAGAGCCTGGTGGCCTTTAGACAAGCATACAGGCATTCCTTGCGCTTTCAAACAAGACTAGCTAGCTCTGTGGCAATAAAAACTTCGTATAACATTCGAGAAATACTACCTCAGGGCCAGTTACACTGGAATGCCTACCAGCAACAAATAGAGGATGCTGGCCTAAGGGTCGAACTGAAACGATTAGAAGGTCGCTGGCTGGATCAACTGACGCTCAAAAGTGATCCGAAAGATGATAAAGACACTCCCGTAGATCCCGAATCATCTGAAGATTCGAATGACGAACAGACTGATCGTGATTCCAGTATACCGAACAAAGACAGTAACGAGCCACAGAAATCTAATTCTTCAAGTACAGGCTCCTCCACTAATTCTGGGTCTCCTACAACGCCCCCAGGCGACGATGGAAATGGTAGCGGCAATGGAGGTGGATCAAATGGTACAAACGACCTGAAGCAATCTTCTAAGAAACCCAAGCTTCCAGAAGTATATCCTCAGATGCTGGCGTTACCCATTTCTAGACGTCCTCTGTTTCCTGGCTTTTACAAGGCTGTAGTGATCTCTGACGAAAGAGTAATGAAGGCCATCAAAGAAATGCTAGAACGCCAGCAGCCCTACATTGGTGCTTTTCTTCTGAAAAACTCCAATGTTGATACGGACGTTATCCAGTCTACCACAGAAGTACATGACGTGGGTGTTTTCGCTCAGATCACAAGCGCTTTCCCCAGCAAAGATGAAAAAACGGGATCAGAAACCATGACGGCACTGTTGTATCCACATAGAAGAATCAAAATTGATGAGCTACTACCGCCTTCAGAGATCAAGGACACCACAAAGGCCAGCAGCGAACTAGCAGCTCCGCAAGAACTCTCAGATATATCTGACGAAAATGCGAGCAAAGCAGAAAGCCAAAGCTTGCAGACAAAGAAGGTGCATGCTGAAGAAGTAGAAGAATACGAAGATGAATTGAACCCAACTGCATTTTTGAGGGAGTACGATGTTTCTCTCGTGAACGTTTCCAACTTAGGGGACAAGGAATTCGACAGGAAGTCGCCAGTCATAAACGCCTTAACTTCAGAAATTTTAAAAGTTTTCAAAGAGATCTCTCAACTCAATACAATGTTCAGGGAGCAAATTGCTACTTTTTCAGCTTCCATTCAATCTGCTACGACCAACATTTTCGAAGAACCCGCCCGTCTAGCTGATTTTGCTGCGGCCGTTTCAGCAGGCGAGGAAGAAGAGCTGCAAGAAATCTTGGAGTCTCTGGATATTGAGCAGAGACTAGAGAAATCTCTGGTCGTTCTAAAGAAGGAGCTCATGAACGCAGAGCTCCAGAATAAAATATCGAAAGACGTGGAAACAAAGATTCAGAAAAGACAACGCGAATATTACTTGATGGAACAGTTAAAAGGTATCAAGAGAGAATTGGGAATCGACGATGGGCGTGATAAACTAATCGAGACATTTAAGGAGCGTGTCGAAAAGTTGCAGTTACCTGAGAACGTTCAAAAAGTTTTTGATGATGAAGTCAATAAATTGGCAACTCTTGAAACGTCTATGTCAGAGTTCGGAGTGATTAGGAACTACTTAGACTGGATTACGACGCTTCCATGGGGAGTTACGTCCAAGGAACAATATTCTATCCCTCTAGCAAAAAGGATCCTAGATGAAGACCACTACGGATTGAAGGACGTCAAGGACAGAATTCTCGAGTTCATCGCAGTAGGCAAACTACTCGGGAAAGTTGACGGTAAGATAATTTGCTTTGTCGGCCCCCCTGGAGTTGGTAAAACCTCCATAGGTAAGTCAATTGCTCGGTCCTTAAACCGTCAATTTTACAGGTTTTCCGTTGGCGGTATGACAGACGTAGCCGAAATCAAAGGTCACAGAAGAACGTACATTGGTGCTTTACCAGGCAGAGTTATTCAGGCTTTGAAGAAGTGTGAAACTCAAAACCCACTTATACTCATCGATGAAATTGACAAAATCGGACATGGTGGTATTCATGGGGACCCAGCTGCAGCATTACTTGAGCTCTTAGATCCGGAACAAAACAACAGTTTCTTGGATAATTATCTCGACATCCCGATGGATCTATCTAAAGTTTTGTTTGTTTGCACTGCGAATACCCTTGATACCATTCCAAGAGCCTTGTTGGATAGAATGGAAGTTATTGAACTTACTGGTTACGTGGCCGAGGAAAAGATAAAAATTGCCGAACAGTACTTATCTCCAACTGCTAAACGTGACGCTGGTCTGGAAAATGCGCAGGTAAACCTCTCAGAAGAAGCAGTGATTGCGTTAATGAAGCTCTACTGCCGAGAAAGTGGTGTCCGTAATCTCAAGAAGCACATCGAAAAAGTATATAGGAAAGCAGCTCTTGATGTCGTCAAAAGGATGAGCATTGACGAAAAAGCACCAACCTTGAAAGAAGGTGGGGAGGACCAAAATGGAAAATCTGTTGGTGCTAGTGAGCCACTGAAAGATAAAGAGCAAAAAGTGGTAGTTGAGAAGACACACGATAACGAGGAAGCTGTCGTGGTTCCGGATAGCATAAAGGTACTGATCAATGCTCAAAATTTGAAAGATTACGTGGGCCCTCCAATTTATACATCCGATAGACTCTATGAAACTACGCCTCCTGGCGTAGTGATGGGTCTTGCATGGACTAGTATGGGTGGTTGTGCTATGTACGTAGAATCTGTGCTCGAACAGCCAATCAGCGATAAGTCACATGCCTCCTTGGAACGCACTGGTCAGCTCGGTGACGTTATGAAGGAGTCCTCCCGACTCGCATATTCTTTTGCGAGGATGTTTTTGACTAAACGGTTCCCAGAAAATCGCTTTTTTGAAAAAGCGTCCATACATTTGCACTGTCCAGAAGGAGCCACGCCCAAAGATGGACCCTCTGCTGGTGTTACTATGGCTTCATCGTTTCTGTCACTAGCATTAAATCAGCCGCTTGATCCCACGGTCGCAATGACAGGCGAGTTGACATTGACCGGAAAAGTTTTGCGGATTGGCGGCTTACGGGAAAAAGCAGTTGCTGCCAAGAGATCTGGTGCTAAAACAATTATCTTCCCCAAAGACAATATGAATGACTGGGCAGACCTTCCGGACAACGTCAAGGACGGATTAGAGCCTTTGGCTGCTGACTGGTACGGTCAAGTCTTTGATAAATTGTTTTCAGGTGTTTCGCCAGAGGAGGGGAATTTTGTGTGGAAATCAGACTTCGATAAAATCGACGCCAAAGAAGCCAAGAAGAAAGATTGATCATTTTTGTAAATACAACAAATACTTAAACGCATAAATACTTTGCAGATTCGTTACATGAATATGGTGGTAAATTATTCAGCTTTTAGGCTTGTGAACGTGGCTCAACCGGTCTATCGAAAACTTGAACCGCGATTTCATTTTACGAAGCCATTACTGAACACGAAAGGATGGTCGTGTAACGACGGTCGTCGATTAGATCCATCCTAAACTTAAGAAGATTACCATTCGCCTATTTTTTGTTTTTTACATGTCTCTGCTATCTTTAAAACCAACGCGGTAAAAGTAGTGTATTACTGAATGAGGCATGTACAGTAACGAATTATGAAGGTTGACAGTAGTGTATGAACAATGGACATCATACTCTTTGTTCAGCATTTTTAGGAATATGATAACGGCAAAAGATTTGACCGTTGTCATCTCAAATTTAACATTTTGTCAACATAAAGTATACAGAGGCACTCTGTCATGTTGATAGAATTGGTGAGATAGTATCATATAAAAATAACGCCATCCTGGTGAGAATATTTATGACAGAATGACGTTGACATTCTCATTGTCTCTAACAAGAAAGGTAAACGTATTTCACAGCAGTGCTTAGCAATACCAAATCATCGTTTCTTCAACTTGATCTTCGAAAGTCATTGATGACGCAGTATAATAATAAAACTAGCGTGTGAAGAGCCATACTGGAGCCAGCAGCGTCACTGTGTATTGATGCACAAATGAAGTTCTGAAGAGCACTCTTCGTAGCAAATTGGTAGCGAGACAGTCCTCGCTATTGCAGACGTGAGACACACCCTTCAGGCGCATTGATATCGCATATTTCCACTGGAATAAGGTTGCTGCAGAGCTCCTGTACCAATATAACGAAGTTCAAGGCTCGAGATCAAAATGAGCTATTCAATTTAATTTCGAAATTTTAAACTTCCAAAGTCAGGAACATCATTTGTGTTTAAGATGATGCGTTCGCAGTTCAAATCATTCTTTCGGCCAAGAACTTAGACCATTATCTACTTAAGAAATTCGACGTCAGAAGACATACAATTTCGTTATTGGCGCTAACGAAAATAAAGAGCGCTTGAGTTCCGTTTCCTCATAATCAAAACATCAACTATTATAGGTCCATGAATCACATGTTCAGTACTGGACCATTTTAAGTGAAAGCGGATGAATCCCAAGAGGTTCTCAACTATCTCTAGATTCTTCTTCTTTTTGTAACTTGAAGAAATTTCGAATGTCTTCTTCCTTTACAATCTTGCCAGAATCTGCAAATGGCTTCAAGAACTCGCTCAATTTCTGTTTAATGTTGTCCATTGCTTGTATACCTGCAACCGCAATACTTCTATCCACTGAAGAACTTAATGCCTGCGTTCCTAGTTCAAACGTTGATGTAGCATCATCAGAATCTTCAGAAGGCTCGTATACAGAGTCCTCGTCGAGTAGAAAAGGCGCAATATCCTGCAAAAACACATATAGCTTGCTAGATTCCTCTAAATCATCTTTTATCATTACTAGAACATCTTTGTAGTCCGGTCTAAACATAATGGAGAAGGGCAAGTCATCATCTGTTTCCGCTCTCCGTTTCTTCGAGCTTTCCTCGGCTTTCACCGCATTACTAGAACTAGGTGCGCTTTCTAGAGTGTTTGAGTGAGGAACTATGTGTGCTATGAGCTTTTGTGAAAGAGTGTGCGCCAACAAATCTTGAAAAATTGAAGAAAACCGAGATACGCATTTCCAACAGAGGAACGCATCGAACGATTCCAAAGATGGAAAGTCTTTCGGTAATTGATCTATCGGCTCGGAAGTGTTTGCCTCCCTCGTGGTATCTTCACGAGTCTCAAGAATACAGGAGCAATGATACCAATCCTCGTTGCAATTTAATCCCAATGCGCATTGAATCATTGTAGAGTCTGATTCATGGTCGTACCTCTTGTGACAGTCGCAAAATCGGCCCTTGAAATTTTGGCCATAGGTGTTTGATGAGCTTGGAATATCTCGACTGGAGTTCTGCCTTAACTGGCACCAAAACTCACTTTTATCTTTCTTCTTTAGTTGTCTTTCAGTCCCGCAGTCGCAGGTAAAACCTCGTTTCGTGAAGAGCTCAACCAAGTCACAGTTGGCGTGGCATTGAATAGAGCACGAGTAACAGACACCTATTTCCCCACAATCTAGACAAGCAAAAACGGGTTGTCGCAGAGCCCCGTCTACATATGTGCAGTGGGTCGGGCTTTGGGGCATCAGCTCGCGAGCCTCATCTTCCAACGCATTTTGCTCTTTGATATATTCCGAAGCGCTCAATTCGGACATTTCAATTGACTTTATTGCTGTACTGAGTATGAAAACGATGTCTCAAATTAAGAACGCCCTGAGTACTGTACTAAAAGCTTACTGCCGAGAATCAACGCTCGACACAGCAATTCTTGTTCTTTTTCATTGGTAAACTTTAAATTACAGGATTAATTACTTTGATAATGTTCCGATTTATTGAAAAACGCGAAAGCGAAGGCATCAAATTCAGCGATTAAATGGCTGTACCACTTACTTCATTCGCCCTTTAGCGTTGTTTTAGCTTTAAAAAATTGGAATACAGTACCTCTGGCTTCGCAACGAGACGTGCTATCGCCTATCCCTAGACAACTGAGAAACTACGCCAGGATTGGTGAAAGTAAGAGGATTGCAGAAGAGTTGAGCACTAAAATAATTGCTGGCTTTACAAGCTACTGTTCCGCTCACAAGCTTGGACTTTCGTGATCAGCATGAGCATCAGCCGGAGACTTGAAGTACATTCAAATATCCTGCGAACTAAATGCAAAAAACGTAAACGCGCGGTAACGCACGTAAACGTACGGAATTCAATTGTGCCAGGGATAAAGCAACTAATATCATACAGTGCTCTACTACAGTATTTACTAGTAAGCGCTTTCAGAGAACGCTAACAAAACAAAACAATATGATCACGTGTATTTTGATATACCATATTCGGTAAATTGGATGCTCTGTTCCAGTTCACTTCGACTACAATAACTCAGCGAATCGATAGCGATAGCGATGGATCGCAGAAGAAGGAGAACTGATGACGACGATAACAGTGACGATGAGCGCGTAGTGCCCCCATCGTCGCCACAGGGACCTACTAGGGGCAGAGCCTCGCCATTGGGCTCGCCAGAGGAAATAGACTTCGAAAATCCCGATGGTGAAGAGATGGCTCCAGAGCAAGATCTGGACGAGATGGAAGAACAATTAGATGAGGTGGATCTTATGGGAGATGACATGTACCGGGACTATGGTTCTGACGTCCGTCGGGACACTTACGAGGATGCTGGAGTCGACGACCGCGACCAGAGTGAACTCGATATTGCGGCAAGACGAAGGATCGACTCTCAGTTGAATGAAAGAGATAGACTGCTGCGAAACGAAGCATACATGGACGATGACGATGATGATCTCGAAAATGCTGCTGTTGGCGAAATGGGGCTCCCGATGCAAAGACGCCGCAGAAGGCGACAATATGAGGACGACGATGATCTATTATCCGATATAGATATTGACCCGCTAGCCGAAGAATTGACTTTGGAGTCGCTAAGTGACGTGAAAGCATCGAGCTATACCGAATGGATTACTCAACCGAATGTGGCTCGGACCATTGCCCGTGAGCTCAAGTCTTTCCTGCTAGAATACACCGACGAATGGGGTAGATCTGTGTACGGTGCAAGAATCAGAACTCTGGGTGAACTTAACTCGGAGTCTTTAGAAGTCAACTATAGGCATCTTGCCGAATCCAAAGCTATCTTGGCGCTTTTCCTTGCAAAATGTCCCGAGGAGATGCTTAAGATTTTTGATCTGGTAGCCATGGATGCTACGCAACTACATTACCCAGACTATGTGAGAATTCACTCCGAGATTCACGTAAGAATCTCAGATTTTCCAACCGTTCTAAATTTACGTGAATTGAGAGAATCTAATTTGAACTCTCTCGTGCGCGTCAGCGGAGTCGTCACAAGAAGAACTGGTGTTTTTCCTCAATTGAAATACGTGAAGTTTAACTGTCTGAAATGTGGTGCGGTTTTGGGCCCTTATTTTCAAGACTCCAATGAAGAAATTAAAATTTCGTTCTGTACAAATTGCAGATCCAGAGGCCCCTTCAGAACAAATGTCGAGAAAACGCTCTATCGTAATTATCAACGGATTACCCTACAAGAAGCACCTGGCACAGTCCCTGCAGGGAGATTACCAAGACACAGGGAAGTCATTTTGTTATGGGATTTGGTAGACATAGCTAAACCAGGTGGGGAGATCGAAGTAACAGGAGTATACAAAAACACTTACGATGGTAACTTGAATGCAAGAAATGGGTTCCCAGTATTCGCCACAGTCATAGAAGCCAATTCTGTCAAAAGGAGAGAGGGGGGACAAAGACGCGGAGACGATGAAGAAGGCTTGGATACTTTCGGGTGGACCGAGGAGGAAGAAAGAGAGTTTAGAAAATTATCGAGAGACCGTGGAATAATTGAAAAAATCATATCGTCGATGGCTCCCTCCATTTATGGTCATAAAGATATAAAGACTGCCGTAGCTTGTTCCCTGTTCGCGGGAGTTGCCAAAAACGTAAACGGGAAGCACTCTATTCGTGGTGATATCAATGTTTTGCTTTTAGGTGACCCAGGTACTGCCAAATCCCAAATCTTAAAGTACGTTGAAAAGACGGCACATCGTGCGGTTTTCGCAACAGGGCAAGGTGCCTCTGCGGTGGGTCTCACAGCATCAGTGCGTAAGGACCCCATTACTAAAGAATGGACTTTAGAAGGTGGAGCGCTTGTGTTGGCAGACAAGGGTGTTTGTCTTATCGACGAATTTGACAAAATGAACGATCAAGATCGAACGTCTATTCATGAAGCTATGGAACAACAGAACATATCGATCTCAAAAGCAGGCATAGTCACGACTTTGCAGGCAAGATGTGCTATAATTGCAGCTGCTAACCCGAACGGGGGTCGCTATAACTCAGCCCTGCCGTTGGCACAAAATGTAGACTTGACCGAACCAATTCTGTCTCGTTTTGACATTTTGTGTGTTGTAAGAGACTTGGTTGATGAGGAAAAAGATGAAAGGCTTGCTCGATTTGTTGTTGATTCCCACTTAAGATCTCATCCTCTCAACGATGCCCTGGGTGAAGAAAAAGATTTAGGCAATACCGATAACCGCATAGAGACTGATGCTGACGAAGAACTCGTCTCTGCTAGACATAGGCGTTTGCAGAGAGAAAAACAGAGAGAAGGGGAAATTTCCCCAATTCCACAAGAAACTTTGATGAAGTATATTCAGTATGCGCGGACAAAAGTCTATCCGAAACTTCATCAAATGGATATGGACAAAGTGAGCAGGGTGTATGCAGATTTGAGACGAGAAAGTATTACAACAGGTTCGTTCCCAATTACAGTTCGTCATTTGGAATCTATTCTTAGAATAGCAGAGTCTTTCGCTAAAATGAGACTCTCTGAGTTTGTATCAGCTTGGGATTTGGATAGAGCGATCAAAGTGACAGTCGACAGTTTTGTTGGAGCTCAAAAAATTAGTGTACGCCGGCAACTACAAAGGTCATTTGCTATCTACACTCTTGGTCAGAATTAGGGTTATATGTAAAGGTTTGATAATTCACTTGTATTAATTCATTTTCATTAATTAGATCCTACTATGGTACAAAGTTACACGACTTGGCTCACCTTGAAAACACTTTTAAGCAGCTTCATCGGTTTTCTGATCTGAGTTTTCTTCAGTTTTTGGTTCCGTTTCTTCAACCTTTGTCTCAGTTGCCTCAGAAGATTGCTTCGCTTTCTCACTCTTAGCCTTGGCAGCCTGTTGAAGCGCGGCTTCGTCGCCAAAAAGACGGTGTAATAGTTCTTGGGTACTTTCTTTGCAAACCATCAAATTGACACATTTGCTTCCGTTCCATAGAGGTAAAAACATATCTTCTTTGTCTTCTCCTCTTTTGACACTGATGAAAGCACACCCAGCAGACAAAGACTTCATTTTTACCAGAAAGTCGTCATCGATGTGACTTTTCTCCATGTCTTCAAACCTTGGGAATGACTCGATTAACAGCATCTTCAAGCATTCCGTGTTTGCTTCGACAACCCTGCTGCTGTTCATGTGATGTTTCATAATCTGTAGAGCTTCATTCTGAATTCTCCACGAGCACTCAATGTCAGATCTTTGGGACACGAAAAGCTTAACACCAGAGTACACCAGCTTCAGTCTATCGTCATTGCCTTCAATAATATTTTTCAAAGAGGAACTCACATAGTAGATGACACGAGTTGGTTCACCTGCAGCATTTCTCACCAAGCAGGAACTCTTTTCGAATTTTTCGTCAATACCATAAAATGACCAACATTTTTCCAGCTCAGCATGCTTAGGATCCAAAAATACGAATGGCTCTTCATTAGCGTCTCTGGGAAGCTTTTCCTTCTTGGTAGCGGTAGCTACGGGCGCCGCATCAGTCTCAGTCTTCTGCTTCTTCTCTGCAGAAAGTTCTTCCTTTGGTTCCTCAGTGGCCGCGCGCTTTGCATTTTCGCTAGCCTCTGTGTCAATTTTTTCGAACACTGTGATAAAAAAGCCGCCGGTGTTCTGTTGATGAGGGTAAACTCTGATGCAGCGATCGAGGTGAAAGTTTTGAGCTTCCTCAGCAGAAGGAGGGAACCATGTTTCAATAGTTCCTTCGTCACCTTTTTCTCTTTTCACGTAAGTCTTGTCAATTACAGGCCAAGAGCTTATACCTTGGCTCCTCACAAGACCTGGTAATCTGTCGCTACAGTCAATCAACTTGATTTTATCACCCCAATATCTCAAAGCTGCAGCAACCACAGATTCGTTTTCGATTGGGTTCATAGAACAAGTAGAGTACACCAACCTGCCACCCTTTTTCAAAAGGTTGAGGCCTCTTTTCAAAATATTCAACTGAACGGTGTGAAGACCCAAACCAGAGGCGGTGCCCCAGTCTCTCCAAACGTTAACGTTTTTACGCATGGTACCATCACCAGAACAAGGAACGTCACATAAAACTCTGTCAAATTTCAAGAAGTGATTAGATTCCTTGTCGGTCTTAATACGGGGAAAAAATTGAGCGTCATGGTTCACCACCATGAGATTTGCGCTGTTCAATCTTTTGAGCTGGTGCACCAACATATGCGATCTCCTATGGTCTGCATCATTAGCAACAACAAACCCTGTAGGTTCGTCTTCATTCGCATGTAGAGCTTCGATCATTTGAGCAGTTTTAGAGCCTGGGGCGGCGCACATGTCTAAAACAGTGTGCTCTGGTTTAACATCCAAAACGATAGGTGGAATCATGGAGACAGCTTCTTGTCTTGAAATGTTACCCACGGCGTTTTCTACCACCAAAAACCTTTGAACTTTCGAGAACTGTTCATTTTTTCTAATAACTTGTTTAGAGACGTCCAATTGCCAAGCCAAGTTTTCTGGATACCACGGTAGTCTCTTGGGTGCCGCAATGGGCTCGCCTTCGAACTCACAGTTGGTCAAGTTGGGCAAATGTTGCTCCTCAAAGAGAGACAAAACCTCATGAGCATGCTTTCTTGAGCCGGTTATTCTGAACGTTAAAGGAAGTTGAGCTTGACAAGTATTCTTGAATTCGTCCCATTCGTTCTCTGGAATGACACCGAGGTCTTTGTAGTACTTTTCCCACTTTTCATTTTCCTTCTGGAGTTCAGTCCAGTTTTTTTGAGCATTGGAGTCATCCCTGGCACCAAATGTTTTATTGTTACCTTTCTTGAAGTTTCTCTTTCTAGCCATTATTGTATGTAGAGTTAACCAGGTCTCTTAGGCGCGCGCGGTGAGGTGCTATGTATGCGATGAGATGGGCAATTCTTAAATTTTATGTCTAGTGAATAAAATTTTTCCCGTCTCGCGCTCATAGTGTAAATTTCCTGTCAACGATCATGTGCATGGATGAAACCAAAAAGGTTGATCCGAGAGGAGTGAACGAGCACAGAATCTGAACGGTACCATCGCTATCAGCAAGCTTAGCAGCTTGTTATTGACGACAGGGAGAGGCAAAATTCCTTTTGGAAAGAATGCGTGCATTCGAAATTGATGATGGCCCGCGTCAGATGTCGGACGGAGACAGTCTGTAGTTCGTCTTTTTGGCGAGCATCTGAGCAGGGTTAGAACCTGCTGGTTCCTGCTGCTGCAAATAGTCATCAACCCATTTTTCCACGAGAAGTCCTAATGTGATTAGCGCGGTCTCATCGAAACAATTGATTAAATGTGGGTACTTCTGTACTATCAGTTGCGTGGCATAGTAATGCAGCACTTTGAGGTCTATTTGCGGTATCAAGTCGCCTGAGTAGACGCCTTCTCGTTTGTCGGCGATGGCGGCTAATTCCAGGTCTTCTCTGGATTTGAAGGGAATCGGTACAATGTTGTTGATTTTTTGGGACAAGATCTCGTCGGCACTTACCTTGCGACCGTATTGCTCGACTAGGTCGCTACATGCTTCGTAAACGGACCTGTCCATTGGACTAGAGCTTTCGCGAGTTGTTTTGTAGTGTATGTGTATATTATATAGCCGGAATGAAGAGGAAAAAGGGTTCGAGCTGTATTGACAGGCTGGAAAAAAGCTTAGTTAGATGTTGGTTCTAGGTGTTGTTCGTGTGAGATGACTATTCACCATGTATAAGATCGTGCTGGCATCTATGATTACTTTCAGGTATTTATGAGGACACCGCATGGCCTTGCCGAATGTGTCCATGTATGGCTGATTGGCTGCGGTATTAGCGAGGCACACTTTGGCCGTGTGAATGTGTCACCGTATACGAAAACGCCGAGTTCTACTGTTTCCACGACTCAGCTCTATGTAATGAGGCGAGCGGGTCTGGCTCTCAGAAACATGATGCTTGTTGATATCTGTTTAGCTGTTACACAGTCTTTGGGGCGGGGCGAGATTGATTCAGCAAGCTTGTTGATATTTTTGTTTAGCTCTTCACAACCTTTGAGACGAGTCTGGTTGAGCAAGCTTGCCGATATCTTTGTTCACTTCTTCCATAGCTGATCGAGCAAGCCAAGTCGTGAATCGTTGATGTCTCTGCGTGGCTTTTACAACCCAAGAGTAATGTCTTCTTCCCCGAACAAGGCAAAGGTACTTATATAATTCTGAAGCGTAAAAGACAAATGGACCCCATGCGTGAGCCTTCTCATGCTCGTTGAGCATTGCAAAGCTATCAATGAAGTCTCCACCACTTGTAAGGCCTCCATGGATCTGGATCACCAGATCTCATTTAGCGCCCATATCACTTTGTACTAATATGTCATTATGGAACCCATCACTCGTATCGCAACGGTTCTCTGCCCTCCCAAAGCTTGTCTACGGACACACTCAGAGTTACGAGACTCCCTGTAATGCTCATATGAAAAGCATTGCAAGTGCGTGCCATGACTCAGTTCTCCAATACAACTCCTAGCTCACTCGCCATTTTCAAGAATACTCCCAATCTTTCATATGCCAAAAACCGCATCTATTATACCCTATACTATAGAAATCTTCATTAAAAAAACATCTGTCGCGCTCAAATACCTGTACTATAGTAATCTTCATTCAGTAAACTGTCTCACTCACATCCAAAAAGAAATGGCGTGGTTCCAGAATATCCACTTTCCAATGGAATAAAACCAAGGCCCACCACACTAGAGATGCGAACATCTCCACCGAGGACAAGTGTCTTCCCAGTCGCCTCCGTCACGGGTTGCTCCTGCTGTGCTGGATTAAACTCCCCTTCAGCTGTTTGAAGCACGAGAGACGGGTTAGCCCTATACAGGACACCCACGTCTAACATTGCCGTACCAGGCACAAGATGGACTTCTCACATCTTGCCCTGAACGACCCGCAAGGATCGATTATAATACCGGGGCACGTCTGAAACTCGTTTGCAGTTGAACCAAGTCGTGTTGCAAACACCAGATACCGAAGTACCTGGCATCATTAACGCAAACACGTCCGACCGCAGGGATTGAACCCTGGTCAGAAATTTCGGGATATACAGTTCCACCGCCGACCGTTACAGTGGGATATTTACGAAAAATTCAAGGTACTGGGATAGGGGTCTCTGCACGTGGCTTGCGTGATAAATAAACAGTCTGTTGAGTCCTGGCTGGCCAGAATGCCGAGTTGAGCAACTGCCCAGGTGCGGCATTGCCGCGAGAATGGGCGTGGTATGTGGATGTAGCAAAGTGACGCGCTTTTGCGGCGTGCCAGGTTCTCAACCAGCGTCGAGGTTCATATGTATCACTTTCGACGAGTGGGCATCGGTGATGAGATGCACACTTAGACACGCATTCACGCACACACGCACACAGTTGTTGAGCTTGATAAGGTAGCGATTCTCCACACAGGCGCGATTTTTGTACAGAACTTTCCCATGCACAACACATCGACACAACCTGATGTAGCGCAGGTCTCGCAGGCCGTGGACGCCCTGGCGAAATCGATTCTTGCACAGCGCGTACAGGCCCATAGAGACAAGCCGGAGCGTCTGCGGAAGCTCGAATCGCTCAAACAGCAGTTTGATGCCCTTCTCCAAGCGCAGAGCGAGGTCACGAAAAGCACAGATGCGTCCTTGCGGTTGGATGCGATGCAGCTGGATCTGGAACTGCAGAAAGGACTTGAGACTGTGGAGCGCCAAGGAGTCCAGTACGTGCTTTTGCCGCTGGTCCCTGGCACGGGTGTCGTGCCAACGTCCGCATCCTTGCCCGCTCCTGCTCCTGCAACACCGTCGAAGACCTCCAAGAAAAAGAAGAAAAACAAGGTACTGTGCTCTTATTGCCAGATGCAAGGCCATACCAGGGCCCATTGTGAGAAAAGGCTCCTCTCTCCGCAACCTTGAATGGCAATTTCCACGCAGTCCTCGAGCTCGAATTCGAACTCGAACACGACTGACTTCCCGGTCGAAAACCCCATATGGCTTACACGTTGTTGAACTCATACTATTATTTTGCACGTATTGGCCCTATATTGTACATATACGAGTTCTCGCAGGCTCGTTCACTTTCTCGAACTCATGGCTTCCCTTCTAGCAGCATCTTGTAGTAAATTGGTGTCTACCATGTTTTTGTTCAGATACACATACCTTACGGTAGATCCTCTGATGAAGATGTTCCTCACCGACGACAAGTGAGGATACTTTGTCTCGTCGGAGCAGGATATATTGTCTAACTTTAGGTTCAAAAACTGATCCACAGACTTCAAAGTGCCTTTCAATTCTATATCATTTTTTAGCTGGAAAATCCGGTTAGTATTGAAAGAGGAGGCGCTTAATTATCGATATTTTCCGTGACATACTTCGACAGTAACCTCTTGGTCTACAAGGGTCTTGAAAAACGAGAAAAACAGCATTGGCAACAGGCGTTTCTAATCTTTTGAATTGCCAATGAATATCATCTAAATAGCTAGTTGGGGACTTCTATTTTTTTTCCAGGATTTCAATGTGGGAAATATTTAAAAAAAAATTATAACTACAAAAATCAATCATCAACACTTAAAATTCTAACACGACTTGTCCGTATTTATTCCTGCCTTTACTCTTCTTCTTGCTGTTGTATTCCTTCCTCCTGCGATCTCTTTTTCAAAACCAAAGGATGGCCAGTTACTCTGAAATAAATGTCTTTCACGTCATCGGTCATGGACTCGAAATGAGATGATGAATCATAAGATCTCGACAAATACACGTTATCCGCAGACCCACTTTCCTTGGGCTCGAAGATTTCTGCAATACCCATAAACCTCTCCTCAATGGGACCTAGCAACTTAAAAGCAGGTTCCAACTCGACGTGTGGTTTGTCGGTTTCGACGATGGTGGACACAATTGCCAAATAATGGCCCTTGGAGGCCACGTTATGAGAGTCGGACATCACCGCCACATATATGTCGTTCTGTCTACCGACTTGCGATTGTGGAATGATAAGTTGTACTGAGTCGGCGTTGCTCGTGTTGGGCACAGCGTGTTTCAAAACGCAAATCGCTCTGATAACTTTTTGCCCCGTAGACTTGCACTTCTCTGGGAAATAGGTGGGGTCGGCAATCACAATTGGGGCTCTAGCAGTACCTTCTTTGGTCACCACACCTTGAAACTTTCCTTCGTCGTCGTAAAGCACTTTTTCGACTGGGGTGTTCAACATGTACGTACCACCGTAAATGGCAGACAAACGAGCAAACCCTTGGGGTAGCTCACCAAGTCCATACAAAGGATACAAGTATGGCGATTTGCCATAGCGCGCCACACTCTGAAGGTATAGCAGAATTCTCTCGAACGAGGCTCTGGCTGGTTGTTGCAAGTAGTCGTCATTGGTCCACAGAGCCATGGCATGACCAATAAAGTCCTTAGTAGAGCTCCCGAGCCCGAACTTGTAGTAAACCTCGTCCATGGTGTTTTTATCGAGATCCAAACCTTGGTGGGTCTTCAGATCGTCTTCCTGGTATTCGCTGATCCACTCCAAAAAGCGCTTCATGCGTCTCTTTTCGAAAATACCCATGAGAGGCGAGGAGATGGCCTCCATCTCGTTAGCAGGCACTTTGTAGATTTTGCCCTTGTTGTAAACGTACGATCCAGTGACCTGCTTGAAGTCAACGTAACGAGTAACATCGGTGTGCACAAGTATTTTGGTCAATTCTCCGTCCGCCATCAAAAACTTGGGTATCAAATCAACACTCCAGTCGCGGTCTCTGCCGAACTTGGCCTCCATTTCATCTTTGCTGACTGGGTTTTGTTTGAACTTCTGGTACAGCTGTGACAACGCCACAGACGCACTTTCACCGCCGTAGTGGTCTTGCTTGTCGATGTGAAGCACTTTTTTGCCGTCTACAGAAAGCAATCCTGACAGAATACATTCGGTTAAACCGGTTCCGAGAACAATAACGTCGTAATCCTCGTCCATTGTAGCAGTTGTGGAGGATGGTGGTGGGGATCTTTTGCGCGTGGAAAGGAAGCCTTCTGGTGAAGTAGCAGGTTGAAAAGTGTACGATTACAAAATCGAATCATTATAGTAAATCCCCTGCCCGCAAGAAGTTTGAACAGTCGGGTCACGTGCGCGAAATTAGGGCAAGGCCAAGGGCGTGTATAAGCGGAGGGGCAAGGCTCGACGAGGTGGGCAGCTGGGTGGTAGTTTGGGAGAGAACGCGCAAGCGCGAGCCGTACAACTTATTTAGCAGAGCTGTGCACGTCTTGGTTTTGTACGAAATGCTATATACCTGGGCTTGCTGATCTTGCTCAAGGCTGCAGTTGGTGTCAAAAGCATGAAAATTGACACGAAAAACGACATGGAAACACTATCCGGATCGTCCATGGAAGTGGCGCCTCTCTATGCATGGCCGGGATGGTGAAACAACCATGCAACGGCTGTTCGGTCCAGATACAGAAGAATATGCAGTTTGAAACAGACCGAGAGAAATACGGGTCCCATGCGAGATCCCATACCTCATCGCTTCGCACCGTCAGTTCCCAGTAGTCGGTGCTCGCATCTCAAACGCAGCGTCACTATACACGGGCCCGTTCACGGCCCCAAGCTTTTCAAACCGCTCGCGACGCCGAGGGTTCCGAACTTAGCACAGCTCCCACTAGCACGAGGACCACCACCACCACCACCACCACCACCACTGCCTTCTATTGTCTCGCGCGCCATCTTGGCACATCCAGCAGTTGTCATCACCTCGCACGGTCGCCTCGCCCATCGGCCTCACGAGCCTCCCGCCTGAGAGCTCTCCCATTTACGAGAAAAATAGATCCCGCTAGTGCTCCCTCCATGCCAGCAACGCAGCGAGCCTCAAAAATCCACGCACATCTTCTTGTACCTCCGTCGCACAACGTGTTTGCTGTTGCATGCCAAGGGCGTCGTCTCACCGTGAGACTGCCGTCCGCACATTGCCAAGACTAAAATAAAACCCACCTCTGGCTCAGCGAAACGGAAACCCGCCTCAGGTTTCCTATTACGAAGACTAACGACGAACTTCCTACACACCTTTTGCGAGAAGAAAAAATAAGACGATAAGGTTTCCTCCGTAGTGCTAGCTTGCCTGCACTACTGAGACGTGCGCAATTCGACTCGCTCACGGGTCCCAACATTTTTTTTCGGGATATGGAAGAATTTTCCTATCGGCATGATTTAATCGCTCTACCCTGTAGTGTTCCTGTACAAGCGGAGGACGGGGTTACTTCCTTAGCGTAACGCTCACCACGAACTTTGCCTTCCCAGATTTTCGTGGTTCCGTGTACACAGCGCTACGCGCTCCTTTACGTTTAGAGCCCCATTTGTACTTGCAAAGTCCGTTAGTACTAAATTTGACATCGAAAGCCACATGGTATTCGACGACAATCAAAGAATTGGGTAATTATTGTGAAATTTATAAAAAAGCGAAAAAAAACAAAAAGCTAGCGTGAGCGAGCAGGAGATTTTCTTGGGCTCATCGGTTGAAATAATCGAAAAAGGATACCAAAGACTGGTTGGGCTGGCTTCTTGAGTGTTGGTTTTAAGTTTGTATAAGTTTAGGCTGAGCAAGCGAGGTTTTCAATTGCACTAGACGCCCAGAGATTATTTCCAGGGCTGCTCATACAAGTCGCAGCCGAAGGTGCAGAGATACTGTACGCACACACACACACACACACACTAGTACAGCTGTGCCAATAGGCCCCAGATGTCTTTTTCGCTGAGAGAGAGGATGCGAGACTCTTCGTCGCCGGTGCACAAAATGGTTCGCCGCGTGTTGCACACGCTGCGATCCACGCAGCTGCCATCGGCCAGAATGGTCGCCAAGGTCTTGATGCCGCTAATCGCCATAGTCGCCGCCGTGGTCATCTACATCCAGGCCTCCAAGTTGGGCCAGTACTCCAAGCTCTCCCAATACACACCGGAGTACATGTCTGACAGGCGCAATGAGGAGCCCGACTGGTTCGACAGCAGCACTTTCTATTCCACGCGCGTGGATCCCGTGCAAGGCAAAAAGTTTTCGCCGCTAGAGCTTCTTCCGGGCTACGACAAGGACATGATCAGTCGGCGCCAGAAATCCTGGGATTTTCTAGGCCGCAAACATCGCTTTAAAAAATTTGAGGAGCTATCAACAGAGGCCAAGTGTCTTTTTTACTTCCACAAGGTCTATGAGCTGACTCCCAACTGGAGCAATGACTACAAGAAATGGGACTTCATCATTAACGATGACGAAATGCTTAATTTGCAGGATGTCGATGAGGCATCTAGTGAAGCCATCAAGTCTCGTAAACGCGAAAACGATATGGCTCTCGGGATAGAGCGCGCGCGCATGTACGACCTGTGTTTCGTGTCCCCTGCCGCTGCGAACGTTGACATGGCTAAGATTCTTCAAAAACAAGGACGCGCAGGTGGCTCATCGGTTTCTGAAATCGATCAGTGGGATTTCGAGCACCGCATGTGGCCAATGCTTCGCAAATTCAACGCAACCACTTTCGAAGATCTCATTCCTCGCATAACTAATCCTCAAGGTGAAATTTTGGAAAAGGGCTTTCTCCCCCCCATGGGAAAGAAACGTGAAGCAAGCGACGTTGCTGTTAAGTATCAGTACGATGGCTCTCGGTCTTTCTTATGGAACTGGAACCAAATGAGTTCGCGGGTGTCCCCCAGGGGTATCGTCTTAAGTTTTGGCGACGCACAGCTCGAACTCGCTAGCAAGTTTCTAGCCCATATGCGCTTCACGGGAAATACGTTACCAATTCAAGTGGTGACAAAAGGAGACGTTTCAAGAGAAACCATCGAAATTCTTTTGAAAATGGCACAGGCCGACACCATTGATTTCCCCAAAACCGATTATAAAAATGCCAAAAATGTGAAGCAGGAGTTGTGGTTTTTAGATGTTTCTCCAACCTTAGATCCAGACGTCAAGGACTCGTTCGATCGCTTCAAAAATAAGTGGCTGGCCGCTTCATTTAACTTATTTCAAGAGTATGCGTTCATCGATATTGATGCTGTTAATTACGTTGATATGAACTACTTCTTTGACAACACGGACTACCGAATTACGGGTACCCTTTTCTTTAAAGACCGGTTTTTGAACGAAGTTATCGACCACAAATGTCCTGCCATGTTGGAGACTTTGGCCCCTAGGTTTATGGATGGATACTACATGCGTACCTTTTCTGCCATTCAGCCAGACCATGTAGAATTTGCGTGCGAAAAATGGCTATCCCCTGCCGAGTTAACCTACAGGGATTTCTTCTTTTTTAACAAAAAGCATCAGATGGATTCGGGTCTTGTTGTCGTAGACAAGGACTCCCATAGCGTTCCGCTCATGATATCAATGATGATGCATTTGACTCCCAAGCTCAACTCTTGCAGTTATGGTGATAAAGAATTTTTCTGGCTAGGATTTCAAGCTTCTGGACACCAGTTTTCTTTCCACAAATCAAGACCTGGCGCTACCGGCATGGTACGAGACGAACCAAATGTTAACAAACAGATGAAGCAGAGAAAGAGCGAAATCTGCAGCATTATTATTTCGCACATCAGCCCTCGTGATGGTCTCTTGTGGGTTAACGGTGGCACTCAAAACTGCAAATTCGACGTTGCCCGGAAAGATTGGGATGATGACAACCTTCACATGTCAGCCAAGTACTCGAGTTTCGAAGACATGGAAAAACAGTACAAGGGCCCTGTTGATATGCATTCGGGCATCATCCCAGCTGAGAAACCTGACGTTTGGGGGAAACCAGATCAACGTTGCAAGGGTTACTATTATTGTGCACGTTACGAACAACACATCAAACCTTATTCGTTCAATAAAAAGTACGAAAAGGGTCAACTCATAACCTTCAGCTCCGAACAGAGGGAAAAGTACAATGCCATTAATAAAGTCTGGGTGACAAACTACTTGAGTTAAACCTACCACAGTATCCCTTACCATAATCTAATTAAATGATAAAAACTTAGGCGTCATCTTATATGATTTAACTTAGACTGGAGTCCCAAAACTCCTTGGTCACCACTAAATGGTATGATCAAAAAGGAGTACCTAAAAAGTTAGTTCAATAGCTTTTTCAATGTAATTTAATTTCTGCGCTTTTTAATAAAATTACTGAGTCTCATTTCTTCGAGAGATAACAATCAAGCGTCGGCCATGAGCAGTTACGTTTTGCGAATCAAAGACGCACTTTTCAAGTCATCTCTGCAGAAGTCTGCAGCGCCTGTATTTCCAGACCCTATCAAGCATTTTCAAATAAAACCACATGAAAGATGGGTAATTTGGGGATCGCAAAGATCCAAGTTTATGGATGTTTTGGGAAATAAGTTCCTCTCTCAACCCCCGCTATCGCTGGAATACGGCCTTAAACATGAAGCTTTGCCGAGAATAGAGTGCGTAAAGTTCACAGGTGTAATGCCTACTGCTCATATAAGTGCCAGATATGAATACTTCAAAGATGATTTCGATCAGACGTGTGGAAAGTTCATCAAAGACAACTCAATCGGCTCTATGGCTGTGAAGTATGAAGTTAGTAATACAAACAGAACTATAGACCTCAATTTATATGCTTATCTGCTCAGGGAGCTTAAACTTCAAGAACTTGAAAATCGATGGGCCATGGGTCTTAGTAACGGACAAATGCGGAGGGCACGGCTAGCGCGTAGTCTGCTCAAAGAGCCTGATCTGGCTTTGATAGATGAACCGTTCCTGGGACTTGACCCCACTGCCACCAACATCATCTCGAATTTTTTGGCAAATTACTCTAAAAGCCCAATTGCAATTGGGTTGAGATACCAGGATCCAATTCCTGAATGGTGCACGCACGTCTGCTGCGTGGATGCGAATGGTATAGTTTTTCAAGGTGAGAAAGAAAGCGTGCAAGATCAAATCATTTCAAATCGAAAACAATACGGGCTTGAAAATGCGACGCACGAATCGAAGTCCAAGTATCATGTGAAAGACCTTGTCTCGTTTCACCCATTGGCTCAAATTCCACGTCACGAAATTGTGGAATTATCTAAAGGTTTGGAACTACGAGGACTTTCTGTTTCTTACAGAGGCGAGCCGATCCTCAAAGATCTGCACTGGAACGTGGCCCCAAACTCAAAATGGCATATAAGAGGCGACAACGGTTCAGGGAAGTCTACATTACTATCGTTGTTAACCGCAGATCATCCGCAGTCTTGGAACTCACGCATCGTAGAAAACGGTGTGCCTCGCAAGACTGGATCCACGGACTATTTCACCATAAACAAGAAAATTGGCATGTCTTCCCCAGAACTGCACGCTATCTTCAACAAGTCTAGAAGTGCTAACTTAAGCGTGCAAGAAGCGTTGGCTTCAGGATTCAACGATAACTCTTCTAATAATTTCTTGGCACGTTACGAGTCCTTGACCGACCAACAGCGTCATATTCTCGAAATGTACGCAGACTATTTTGACCTTTTTCCTCTTTTGAACAAAAAGTATCGCGAGCTCTCGGTCAGCGACCAGAAGTTGGTTTTGTTTGTGCGCAGCATGCTCAAGATGCCCGAAATTTTAATTCTAGACGAAGCTTTCTCAGCTATGGAAAAGAATCCGATGAACAAGTGCCATGAGTTCCTGAAGCAATGGCCAGGCATCGTTCTGGTGGTGTCCCACGTTTTGGACGAGACACCCCGCTGCGAACATTACATACGGCTAATCTCGCCGGGTCAATATGAGATCGGAAATGTCCCAAAGTGAATGCTCTGATGGACTTGTACATGGAAACTTAGCCGCTCTCACAAACATGTCGGGTTATCTCAGCCTCGGCCTCAGTACCTTGCATTCTATTAATATATCCTCACCTATTTCTATTCAGCGAGTATTAAAGTACTCGAGAATTGAAGCCAAACGAATTTCCGAAAAGTTGATATAATATAATAGTTCCAAGCCAAGAGAGTGAACAGTGACAGTTTATAACCACTTTTCCTCCGAAGAAAACAAGAGTGGAACCAGGCGTTTGGCTTTTGATGAGCTCAATCTCTAATACCAGGGTTCCTTTGGTGGACAAAGCCGAGGAGTCCGTCGAGGATAGAAAAGCTAATGAGTTCGGGCCGTTGACGAGTAAACAGTTTCTGTACGAAGTCCGGTCGCGCGATGGGGAGCCATTGAACGACCCTATTCTAGATACGCCTTCGTATTACGTGGTTGTCATTACATATCTAAACTACCTGATACTTATCATTTTGGGCCAACTCCACGATTTCCTGGGCATGACCTTCCAGAAGGAAAAACATCAAGATATCATGGAAAAGGACGGTCTGGCGCCATGGTTTTCCAAGTTTGAAAGTTTCTACGTGAGAAGGCTTAAGCTGCGTATCGATGATTGTTTCTCAAGGCCCACAACGGGCGTTCCAGGTAGATTTATCACTTGCATCGATCGCATTTCGCATGAACTAAACCGCTACTACACCTATCCCGGTACTACTACTATGTGTTTAAACCTGTCGTCATACAACTACCTTGGCTTCGCCCAAAGCGAGGGGCTTTGCACAGCTGCCGCCTTGGAGAGCATCGATAAGTACGGAATCTGTGCCGGAGGCCCCAGAACACAGCTGGGAACAATGGATCTTCATTACGAGACCGAGAAGTTGGTTGCTCGTTTTGTAGGTAAAGAAGATGCGATGGTCTTTTCCCAGGGCTATGGTAGTAATGCCAATTTTTTCAACTCAATTTTAGACCCAAAATGTCTCATTATCTCGGATGAGCTTAATCACACCTCTATAAGAACCGGTGTGCGTCTATCGGGCGCCACCGTCAAGGCATTCAAGCACAACAATATGGAGGTCTTGGAGAAACTGATAAAGGACCAAATTGTGAGCGGGCAACCCAAGACTCACCGGCCTTGGAAAAAAATCCTTATTTGTGTTGAAGGTCTGTTTTCTATGGAGGGAACTATGTGCAATCTACCAAAACTTGTGGAGCTGAAGAACAAATACAAGTGCTACCTTTTTGTAGACGAAGCCCACTCGATAGGCGCTATTGGAAGACATGGTCGCGGCGTATGCGATTATTTCGGAATAAGCCCTTCCAACGTGGATATAATGATGGGTACGTTCACCAAATCATTTGGGGCGGCTGGTGGTTACATTGCCGCTGATAAAAATATCATCGATAGACTAAGATGCGACTTGACGACTACGAACTACAGTGAATCTGTTCCTCCTGCTGTGTTGTCTCAAACATGTACTTCGCTGCGGATTATTGCTGGGGAGTTAAACCCCGGTGAAGGTCTCGAGAGACTTCAACGTATTGCATTCAACTCGAGGTACTTGAGATTGGCATTAAAGAGATTAGGTTTCATTGTGTACGGCATTGCCGATTCTCCGGTTGTACCTCTGCTGCTTTACGCACCTTCCAAAATGCCTGCGTTCTCGAGAATGATGTTGCAAAGGAAAATCGCGATTGTGGTTGTAGCGTACCCTGCTACTCCATTGATCGAATCTCGTGTTAGATTTTGTGTCTCATCTTCGTTGACTAAGGAAGATATTGATTACCTATTGCGCCATGTAAATGAAGTAGGGGACAAATTATTCTTGAAAGTGAGCACCGGTAAAGCCGGTGGCTCGCTTGACGGCAAGCCTCCTAGATGGGACATCGACGAGGTCATTAGACGCACACCAGCGGATTGTAGAGACGACCAGTACTTCGCGAATTAAAAGAAGTCAAGTCATTTATCGAGTACTCGAACGAAAAACGAAAAAAGCTACGTTCAGCGGATACAGTTATGCAGTAAAGTAAATTTATGCTAAAGCACTTGCTCTAAGGAGCGTCCTTATGTTTTATGATCAACTCAATAATATCTGTGCTTCTGCTCTCCTGCTTCCATGCCAGAGATCGCAATGTTTGGCAGCTTAAATGAAGTTCTTATCATTTGTAACTGTTTTATATTTGAGACAAACGACATATTGAACAAGACTTCAACGAAAGTAACAACTACCGGCTCGGGAGTTACCAAGTTCATCTTAAAAACAAGTCAGTTCATAACAGACTTCACGGCCGTGTTAAGAGATTTGCTCGCTGCTCGATTAATACATCTCATGAAAATAAAGATGTCCAAAAAGGGATCCGACTGAGGACAAGAGGGTAGCGAAGATGGCATCACTTTACCATATCAGTACAGAAGTCAAAACTACAATCCGAAAGTTTCGTACAGCTACCGCAAGATCCGATGTTCTTAAAGCCCTGGTCCTGAAGATCGAACCTAAACCTTCGTACGAGATCACTATAGACGACGACGAAGAGCTGCAGGACGCAAGTAGTCTGGAAGAGCTGGGCGAAGAGCTTCCGGATAACACCCCGCGTTATGTGCTTCTGTGTTATCCTATGACCACTCCTGATGGACGCAAGCAAACTCCGCTGGTGCTTTTGTACTGGAAACCGGCCACGGTGGTTTCGCAGGAATGGAAAATGCTTTACGCTGGAGCGCTCGAGCTGATGAGAACCGAATGTGGCGTGAGTAGAGTCATCGAAGTCGCTACATCGCTGGAGGATGAAGATGAAATACAGGAGGTGAGGGAACAGATAGAGTCATGAACGACGACGAGACGAATCCGTCATCAATACTACTGCTACCCAGAAAAATAAATCGTGCTCGCTGGCTCGCCTAGATCTAACCGCTTCCCTTGCGCTTTTTGCCGTCTTGAACAAACGTGCTATATGCCTCATCAGCTCCTCCAACGTCCATTTAAGATAAGATAAATTCAGTAATCCATAGAGTGTCGAAACCAATAAAATATCATATCACTTTGTACCAAACTGTTGCTAGTGACCGGGAGGGCGACAAGCTCATGCGGGGCACCTGCCCAAACTCTGCGATGTCGGAGTGTCTAGAGACCTTATTTGCATCTTAGAGGCACGAATGTATATGGTGTGGGTGACGTCGTTTGACTCAAATTGCCACTTGCAAGCTACACTCGCGTACTTTATTAGCTCTTTACTTCTCAAAACTTAATAAAATGATTGTACATTGATATTAGCGCTTAGTCAAATGTTACAGTTGGACTGCTACTCTTTTCAGCCCACACATATGATGAATCATTATAAATTAAGATTTTTATTTTTACTGCTTCTCTGAAAAAAATTCGAACATTTTTCTGAAGAAATTTTGTCCACCCACTCAAAAAATTGGCAATCGTAACTCAGCAGTGATGAAGGTTTAAGCTTGATAAATAAATCCAATGCTTGTGGGAATCGTTGATACTTCTTGGGCCCGTTGTACTATTACATTCTTCAGATAATCAACAAAAATCATTCAAAATGGCTCGTATGCACTCTAAGGTACGTTCAGTTTACTTGTAGCAAAAGCGAACATGAACCATGAAAAGATCAGCCAAAAAGATGACTTGGAAATCGGAAGATTTTCAGACTTCTCTTTTGCGATTTGTCGGATCACAGCGAGGCATTCAACTTTTTGAATATCCTTCCGGTGTACACCAAGAGGCCCAGGCGCGAACGCCTGGTCTTTAACAGCGTCAAAGAAACATTGTGCTTTTGTTCGTTTGTTGCGGTGTACAAGCTGGGTGACTCCAAACTCTACAGACACAAGCTCTTGAACAGAGCTCGCACGTCTAGCCCCAACCCTTTCTGTCGAAAGCGTTCCAATCATGGGCGCATCAAATTCGACGGACTCTGGGTCCGACACCTGTGTTCCTATGTTTGTCGGGCTGAGAATTCCCAAATACTAACAGTCCATTAACAGGGTAAAGGTATCTCCTCTTCTGCTATTCCATACAGCAGAAACGCTCCAGCTTGGTTCAAGTCTTCCCCAGACTCCGTTGTTGAGCAAATCACCAAGTACGCCAGAAAGGGTTTGACCCCATCTCAAATCGGTGTCTTGTTGAGAGATGCTCACGGTGTCACCCAAGCCCGTGTCGTCACTGGTAACAAGATCATGAGAATCTTGAAGTCCAACGGTTTGGCTCCAGAGATCCCAGAAGACTTGTACTACTTGATCAAGAAGGCTGTCTCCGTCAGAAAGCACTTGGAAAGAAACAGAAAGGACAAGGACGCCAAGTTCAGATTGATTTTGGTCGAATCCAGAATCCACAGATTGGCTAGATACTACAGAACCGTCTCTGTCTTGCCTCCTAACTGGAAGTACGAGTCTGCCACTGCCTCTGCTTTGGTTAACTAGATGCACTGAAAAATTGAATAATTTTATAATTAATTTGAGATTTTATCTAGGTTTTATCACTTCACTGTATATATAATGATGAGTTTTTGGGTATGGTAAACCACCAGCACAAGCACTAACCAATGGACTAGCGGCGAGAGGTGAAGTTCGTTCATTTGTTGTCTTATCACTTTCAACGTATTCTCTAATTAGCTTCATTTTCCTCAGGCACCTGGTTCGCTCATAATATCTAAACTTTTCAATCGTCTATGCCTCTTCATTTCTCTCAACTCCCGAGTCATAGAACTTACGTTTTGCATTGGTATCGTTATACCCTCAGAAACGTTCCCAAAAATGTTCACTCAGTGCATTTGCAAAGTAGGATCAAAAGTATAACCAAAATTACCTTGTTTAAGCATAGACATGACAAATCGAGCTGGAGTGTCTACAGACTATTAAGAGATATGAAGACTTTAAATGGTCTTTTGCTCAAGTCTAAGACGGAAAAAGTTTGGAAACTCTTGACCACTTATTCCCAAAAGACGCCGAGATCGAGAAGGAAGACGTCGATTTCAACAGTGACTTCAGAACCTCCAATACAAGAGCCTGAAGTGGTACGAAACGCCAAAATTTTGCACGATTATATTCTTGAGAAAAAACGTAATTATTCACTACCAAATGTTGTCTCTGATGAATATAAATCAGAGCTTCTTATGCCGCTGGCACTGCACGAACATTTTCTAGCAAAATTGCATAGAATAGAATACAAACTAGCCCTTGGCCCTCCCAAAGTGTCTGTCAATTATACAGCAGCCGGCAAAGCGCGCATATGGTTTGTAAGGTCGGCACTCAATAGGGGAGTACGGCAGTCCAAAGCATTGGGAAGACTTATTCGAGCGGAAAAGAGGAATGGTCAAAAAAATCTCGACTATTGGGACAATTGCCGATCAGTAAGCGTTTGGGCTTGGCATGAAGCTGCGTGGGAACACTTAATGGAAACCGGGACAATGTTGAAAGGAAATCCTGAACAGTTCTTGAGTACCACGAATAAGAACCGTGGTAGGGACTACGGTGGTACGGGCCCGGTAGATGCTAAGGCCATTCGTGAATGGTTTGACCCCATCAACGAGTCTCTCAAACGTCTCAATTCGCAAAGTATCGACAAGGCCAACTATTTCGAAGGATACAAGCACAAATCGGTGCTGCAAAGTCAACGACAGTATTTTACCAAAAAGACTGAAGTGATGTATCTGAATCGAAGAAGGCGGTATACTCGAATGTTAAAAGAGCACCTTCCTTATGTGACGCCCTTCTTCAAAAATCAAAATCTTCCTGATGTAATGAAATCATACAAATTTTGACTTCATGTAGATATTAAACCAAGTACCACGTAAATAATGTCTTTCTTGTTTAACTCTCACCTTGATCTTTCGTTGAAAAAGTCACCCATTGGGTGTGGGGACTCGTTCTCTACAATATTGATTCGCGAAAGCCAGTCGCTAAGATCTTTTTCAAGCTCCTGTTTCGCATCATCATCTCCATTTTGACTGATTTGTAATTGTCCTATTCCGCTGACAAGTGAAATCAGGTCCTGCTGCTTCAGCTCTTCTCCCTGTATAATCTCCTCCAGCAAAGATATGTCTTGTAGTTTAGGCGCGTTGGATTTAACCTCATCATCGAGATGAACGCCAATACGCACGAAGAGCGCATCGTCAGTGAGTTGAACTTCGTAAAACTGAGAACAGCGGTAATGGAACTTGCTGCAGTAGTGCGATAGGTAAGCGTACGGATTGTTTTGCTGTAAAAACTGCGTAGCCATTGCATTTCTGCCGTATGGATCCCTGACTCTATTCTGGCTTCTATCACAAGCGGGATAACCGCACTTTTTATTGAGGTTTCTTTCCTCGACTAAATCATGGTAAGTCTCGAGAGTGAGGAAGTTCGCCAGGTATTTCAATGTCGCTGTGTCTTTACAATCAGACTGGCTCAATAAATCTAGTATTTCCAAAGAAATTGTATCTGCTTCTTTGATGCTTAGTTGACGGTGGTTCTGATAAGGCTTCAGCACGAGCCTTTTGATGTCTTCAATGCTTGTCATAGAGTGATTGAAGTTTTTAGATAGTTTTTGAGACTCTTGATGGACTTTTTATGTTACTTCTAGGTTTATTTGTTGAAATCAATTGATCGGGGAATTAAAATGAAGGTGTGGACAAACTCATCATATCAATTATGGTTTGAAGAATCGAGTCAAGAGCCTATAACATGGTTCAAAGGATAGCCAAGAACAAGAAACCAAAGAGGTCAGCACAATTTAAGTTCATTAAAGATCTATTGTTGGCTGATTTTAATAACAGAGACCCCAAACGGAAGGATCAAACAGCGAAAGATGAGAAGAGGGAAACGGAGGTGACAGAGCAGAAAGAGGCCGAAGAGGCCGAGCATGAAATGGAACATATACTTAACATGCTGCGATTGTTTATACACATGGAAAAACTGATGCTATATTCTCTTCTGGCGTGCCTCAACTGCTTTCTGTACTACTTTACTGTATTCCCAGCACGACTCTTATTCGGCCTCTTCGGTAGGAGAAAGCTGACGCGAAACAGCAAGGAATACAATATGCTAGGTCTCATCGGGTTGGCGACCATGGTTCTCCTGAGGGTTGACACATCGCGAGTTTACCACCGAATAAAGGGACAAAGCGCTATAAAACTCTACATGATGTTTGGGGTACTGGAAATGTGCGACAAGATGCTTTCGTCAGTGGGGCAAAGTCTTATGTTAGTGGTCAGAGCCAAAAGATACAAGAAGGGGCAGGCAAAGGCTTTTCAGACAATAATGCTCAACTTGTGCGCCTTGGCTTATCTAGTATGCCACGGATTCATCCTAATGTATGAGACGATTGCACTCAATGTAGCAGTGAACTCTTACTCCAATTCGCTGCTGACACTTCTACTTTCAATGCAGTTTGCCGAGATAAAGGCCAGCGTCTTCAAGCGATTCGACAAAGAGGGCCTTTTTCAGATTACCATCTCCGATATTATTGAACGATTTCAAACCTTCATTCTGCTGACTATTATAGCCATTCGAAATTTGATCGCAACCACTACTTCCTTTTCCACACTAATTCCAGACTCGTGGTCTTGGAATTCCACGTCTTCCACTGTCGTTGGGATCCTATGTGGACCAGTCATCACAGTTGTTGGCAGCGAGATTCTTGTCGATTGGATCAAGCACGCCTACATCATCAAGTTCAACCGTGTGCGGCCACAAATGTATGATACATTTCTTCAAATAATTTGCCATGATCATACACATAACCTTCAGAAGCTTCAAGTGCGACTGGGCTTACCAATTCCAGCGTTAGTGGTCCTTTTTATAGTTATGATCCGTCCTGCGCTGGAAGTCGGACTACTAGAGGTGTCTACCTCAATGATAGGGACAGTGTCTATCGTAACAATGGGCGTCGTGTGCTTATTTCTGTCGAAATTTGTCTTGCATCTCGCATTGACCAAGTGGTCTCAAGCGTTACAAGCTCATGGTGGCCCGAGCTCACTTGTGGTCAACGAAGATATGTATGTTCCAGGGCTTCTTCCTACTGGACAGGGAAAAATAGACGAACAAGCACGGGCAAGGCTCTACGGTGTTGACGGCCGAGATGGGAATGATAAAAAATCCATGATTCCATCCAGCTCGAACGAAAAACGCGCTCAGCACGATTCTAAACGTAATCTCAAAAGCGTAACACGTTACAAAATGGTTTCCAAGCGGATATGGTGAGAGAAGAAATAAGCACTGGTTTTGGGGCCAACTTTAGAGGTTAAATCAATAAGCTCCATACACATCTAAGTCTTTTCACTATTCGAAAAGAATGGGGTGGTTCCCGTGTGCACTGGACGGACCGCGGATGGCGAGGTCGCTATCATACACAGCTCTACAATTCGTGCAATTCTCTCAAGTGACGGGGAATTTTAGAATGTAACAGATCCAGAACTTCTATACTTGCTGTAGAGAGACTATCAAGTGAATGACCCATTAGCAGCCTGCTACCTTGGTCGACTTCGGAAGGCCGCGTCAGTGAGGTATAAAGTGATACCGTCGTATAAACCGAAAAGTGAAAAATGGAAGCCGATGTATTTCAAAAGCGATGCTTTCGAGCATATAAGATCAAGGCACCGATTTATTTCAAGACCTAATCGAAAAGTCGGGATATACCAACCAGCTTCAAGCTCTTATGTTGAAAAATATTCTCAAGAATGCGAGACCTAATTTACGTCTTGGCACTCTTTTGGGAGCCCGAACTTTCACAAGATCGGCACTGAGCCGTCCGGTGATGAACCTTCAGAATTGTTCATCGTTTTCGCTATCGAAGGTCACGAGAAGTTGTCTGCCCTCAACTCGGAGCTTGTCATCTAGCTCTGTCCTTCGGCAGCTTGAGATGGCCGTCAAAAAGCAACCGGCCAAGAACCTCTTAAATTCATCGAAACAGGTCGGGTATTGGCTTATCGGAACATCGGGACTCGTCTTTGGAATTGTCGTTTTGGGAGGGCTCACGAGGCTCACAGAATCTGGTTTGAGCATCACCGAATGGAAACCTGTTACAGGCACTCTTCCACCCATGAGTGAAGCAGAATGGCTTGAAGAGTTCGCTAAATACAGAGAGTCGCCGGAGTTCCAACAACTTAACTCGCACATTGATCTAGACGAGTTCAAGTTCATCTTCTTTATGGAGTGGGCCCACAGGCTCTGGGGGCGCGCTATCGGAGCCATCTTTGTATTGCCAGCTGTCTACTTCGCCGTAGCCAAAAAGACGTCGCCCAGAGTTAACAGACGTGTTTTTATGTTAGCGTGCGTGCTAGGTCTACAAGGTTTCATCGGGTGGTGGATGGTCAAATCGGGACTTGATCAAGAACAATTAGACGAAAGAAAGTCAAAGCCAACAGTATCGCAGTATAGATTGACCACACACTTGGGTATTGCCTTTGTGCTATACTTGGGTATGTTATGGACCGGACTTGAGATCCTGAGAGAGGCAAAGTGGGTGAAGGATCCAAAAAAAGCCATTGCGCTCTTCGCTAAGCTTGACAACCCGGCTTTGAAACCTTTGAGAAGAACTTCTTTGGGGCTCTTGACTCTGACTTTTATTACCGCTATGAGTGGAGGCCTAGTTGCCGGTCTTGATGCTGGGTTGATCTACAATACCTTCCCGCACATGGGTGATGAGTGGATTCCCAGCAAGAGAGAGTTATTTGATCAGCATTTTGCCAGAAAAGATGACGCCAGTGACTTGTTTTGGAGAAACATGTTAGAAAACCCAACCACGGTTCAGCTGAATCACAGAATTTTGGCTACAGCTACGTTTATTGGCGTCTTTGGCCTACACATGTGGGTTAACAGAAGAAAGCATCTTCTACCCAAAAATGCGGTGAGATCCATGCATGCAATGATGGGTGTTGTAACGCTTCAAGCAACGCTCGGTATTTTCGCTTTATTGTACTTAGTGCCTATCTCATTAGGATCATTGCATCAAGCTGGTGCTATTGCATTGTTGACCAATGCTTTGGTGTTTGCCTCGCAGCTACGCAGACCAAGAGTCCCCATGAGGATTTTGATCGGTGGTTTATCAACTAGAGCTGCTCCAAAAGCTGGGAGCAAAATCTTGACAGAGGCCGCGCAATCAGCAAAATGACTTACAATCTCAAAATTAAATACCTTGTAAATATTTAAAATGCCCTATTTATGATCTCGAATCATTTCTCGACGAACTCGTCTTCACGCTTTTCCATGACCTCGACGTTTGTCTCTGACAGCCTCCACATCAAGAACATAAAGATACTCCGGTAAGGGGTGAACAACTCGCCGCACTTTTCGACGATGTCCTCATCATAAATTTTCCAATTTTTTTTGACATGCTTGATCTTACTTCTTTTGATCAATGGGCCTCTTTTGCTCATGATATCTTTCAAAATCTCTGGATGTGAGTCCAAATATTTTGAGCATCCTCGGGCAACACCAAGATCGTCTGCTGCGAAAATGTCCATTCTTTCCATACTTGTAACCAAAAACATATTGGCACTCCACGGGCCGATTCCCTTGATGTTTGCTACCAGTTGAGATGCAATCTCATCGCTATCTTCAGTTAAAAGCTTCTCGATGCTGTCTTGGTTTTCATTGAAATAATTTGAGAGCGACTCTAGATAGAGCACTTTTCGGGCAGAAAGTCCACACTCGCGAAGCTCTTGAGATCTGTTGTCTACGTATAGTTTCGCCATTTCCTGGAAAGTTGGAAACTCATTAAATCGATTTATCACTTTCTGCTTGATGCTGTTCGCTGCCGCACCGCTTATCTGTTGAGCCAAAATGCTGCTGGCGAGCTTCGAAAAATGATGATTCAGGGTCATTGGAGTTTGCTCCTTCTTGAGAAAGAGCGAGAAGTCCTTTTTTGCAATCAAATCATAGAGTGTTGGATCGATATCGAGGATCAATTTGCACCCCTTGTTAAAGGGCTCTATGTGCCTTTGTTGAAACTCCTCTGGTAACTCCTGTGCGGACTGGTTACGCGCCCTTTTCATACTTGTGAACTGAGCTTTGCTTCTCTGTAATAAGCTGAAGGTGGAAGAATTGGTACTATTAAATTTTGTTGCGAGCTTATTAAGCATCATTCATTGTACCAGGCAGGATCTAGGTTTCTTTGACGAAAGAATCAATTCAAAGGCATTCTAGTGCACTTTGATTTCTGACTAAAGTTATTGCGTACCGGGAGCCCTAGCATTTACTTTTTTGCTAATTTCCTTTATCATATTACATTTATTATCGTAGTATTTCATCCAAATATTAACGTCTTATTTCATTTAACAAATCCCAATAAAAGATATTATCAGTTTCATTCTTCAGGCCTTGCTTAGCAGACGACTATGAGGATTACCATCAATAATGAAGCCACGGACGAATTTTTGTCATTGGACGTCAGCTCAGATATGAGTCTTGAGGATCTCGTAGCCTTATTGCAACTGGATTGTGGATTTGACAGCGGAAAACATGAACTATGGTTCGCGAACCAAGTCTTGAACCCTACAGATACAAGAACATTGGAACAGCTCGGATTGGTCAATGACGAGCTTATAGTCATAAAGGTAAAAAGTAACAGCTTGCCAGCTGCGAACATACCTGAAGACGCCATGGTGGAACAATTCAGACAACAAGTAGTACAAAATCCAGCTGTTCGTTCTCAATTGACAAGCGCAAACCCTGGGTTTGCTAGCGTTATTGATGATCCAGTTGCCTTCCGTGAAACTGTGGGGCCTTATTTGCTTCAGAACATGAATGCCCACGGAGCCCAGCAAAACCCATTTGGAATTCCTCAACGAGATTACGAGCAGTTGATGCAAAATCCTGACGACCCTGCCAATCAAAAACGCATCAGTGAGCTTATCAGCCAGCAGGAAATTGACGAGCAAATGCGCAATGCTTACGAATTTACACCAGAGGTTTTTACGCCGGTGCACATGCTATACATTAATTTAGAGATAAATGGGACTCCCATAAAAGCATTCGTGGACTCTGGAGCACAAACAACTATTATGTCTACCAAATTAGCAAAAAAAACAGACCTCTTTAGACTAATCGACAAGCGCTTTCAAGGCGAGGCTCACGGTGTAGGAATTCAAAAAATCCTAGGTAAAATCCACGTTGCCCAAGTGAAAATCGAAACTCAACATATTCCATGTAGCTTTACCGTTATCGACACCCATGTCGACATGCTCCTTGGTTTAGACATGCTGAAAAGGCACCAAGCGTGCATCGACTTGAAGGACAACGTTTTAAAAATTGCGGGAGTAGAAACCAAATTTTTGAGTGAAGCGGAACTGCCCAAGGATTTTGACGCCGAGACACTACAGGCCACAGCAGCGAGTAGAAGCAATCCACAAGCTCCTTCTCAAACTTCTAATCAGAACACCAAGGGTCCTGTTACAGCTATCACTCCCGCTACTGCTCCCAAAATATCAGAACGTGAGTTCCCCGATTCCACGATCCTGCAGTTAATGGACCTTGGCTTTTCTAAGCCGGAGGTAATTCGTGCTCTGGAATCAGCTAAGGGTAACGCTGATGTCGCGGCTGCTTTACTGTTCCAGTAAAAAATTTGAGTCTCTTCGAAAAGTTAACTCTTAACACTATGAAAATTGAGTCTGGGAAGCATTCCTGGAAAGCTTGCGACACGCTTGACATTGCTTTGCTTGCTTTGGATAGAGTTTCCCCGCTGCTTCGATTCAGAAACGTCACTGGCACGCACGGTGATCCAGGGCACCTTGTCCTTGATCTCCAAATCATTGATGTCTATTTCTAGATTGAAATTCTCTATGAACCCGCGCTCGTGGAGGTTGATGCTAGAGTTGTACGTCAAATACTCGTTGAATATGGACACAGTACTCCAGTATGACAACTTTCGAAGACATGCCACCACAAGCGAAGTGACCAGCTCGCCGTTCGTACAGTGTATGTAGCATGGATAGTGTCTTTTGTCTATCAAAAATTGGACGCATTGTACTACCACGTCGTACTCGATGGGGACCGCTTTCTTCTTACGTTTTACTTTAGTCTTAGACTTGTCTTTGGGGCCCTTGGGTCCCTTTTCATTGCTGCATTCAATGTGAATGTTCTGGATACCTTTTTCCCGGCAAAAAACCTCCATGACAGGATCATTGTTTAGCGGTTCGGGTGTTAACGACACGATGTATTTCAGTCCAAGCGTTATAAGAAATGGTATGTTGATCTCCCTTGGGTTAGATCCCCTGTAAAAATTCGGTTGAATAGCGCTGAAATACAGCGGTGTTACCAACGACATGCGGACCTTGAGCAAAGCTTTTGAATTGCTAAATCAAACGGTAACTGTACGTGCTTTACCTGTATCTTTTTACCCATGGTATTATATCTCAATGTTCAGAGAGACAAAAAATACCTTCTCTATTCACTTTTTTTGTCAGGGCAATACAACTCTTAACTATATTCTACATTATATTTCTACCAAAATATGCTTTAAGGAAACCAACTTCAACATGGAGTTCTTTTACGAGGAGCAAGCGGTTGGAAACGGGCTTGAATCGGCTCAAGACCAGCCAGAAGGTGATAAATCTACTGAAGAAGCTTTCCAGAAATTTGAGGGCACTATAGACAGACAATATCAAAAGACAGCAGAGGTGGTGAAGAAGTTCATGAATGAAGAACGATCGCTAGAGCTTAATGTTCCGCTGGAACCACACCTTTCGGAGCGTGCTCAAGTGGCTTTGGACTCTTTAGACCATCAGCTTCACAATGTAGAAAATTTGGCTCAAGATTACTGGAAGAAAGTTTCTAGCAATTCATTTTGGTCATCAATGACTGATTCGTTGGGCTCAAAATTCGGCGAAGCTGTCAATGTAAATAGTGGTAAAAAAGACCAGGATGAAACTCCATTAAACTCGCGAGCTAAAATTGTTACTCCTGTGGCTGGCAACAGGACAGATGCGGAACTGAGACTATTGTCGAGCGATGAAAGAGTTTACTTGAACAACGAGAGTTCTTTGACTGAAGGTTTCGACGTCGATAAGCATACATCGGAAATTGCTGCACTTTTAGAGTCAGACAAAGTTCTTACACAAACCATGAATGCCGTGGTGCCGGAAAAGATCAGCTATAGCGAATTTTGGAACATATTTTTCTCGCGGAGAGACAATATCCTGGCCATGGAGCACAAGCGAAAGAAACTTCTGGAGCAAAAGGCTCAGGACGGTACTCCTGTGGACTGGGATGAAGAAGAAGATGACAATGACAATGAAAACAAAGAAGTTGACATTGAAATTGACGGAGCATCAGCTAGAGAAGAATCTACCAGCAAAAAGGACACCGATGTCAAGGAATCTAAGGGTAGTGGGCATGCAACTTCGGGCAAGAGCGAAAGTGCGGCAGAAGACAACGACAAGAGATCGGCTAATGACGAAAACAACGACGATGATGATGATGACGACGACGATTGGGAGTGATGTATTTTTAATTCATTAATTCATTATGTACACACTTGTTTACCTTAAAATGTAGAGTTCGGAGTGCGATGATAGAATAAGACATACGCGCTTGTTGTAATGCATTCATGATCACTCTTTGCTCTTCTCCAGCTAGTATCATCAAAGTAGCACCAACCATTTGGAGGCCCTTTATCTAAGTATGACGTGTAATGTCCTCCGTAAAGCGTACCAAAATGACAGGCGACCGCATACAAGTTGTAGTTGAATGGCGGAACTTGGCCCCTTGTGGGAAGTTCCGAGACACCAGGTGGTAGTCTGCCATCAAAGTCGTTAGCCCAGAACGATGTGAGGTCCAAGGTATGAGGGTAGGAGACGAAAATGTTATTTTTGTTCAATAAATTATCGAACCTTTTCAAATGGAGAATTAAGTTTCTTGGTAGTCTTGTTATGGTGATTTTTTTGGTTGAAGGTTGCTTTATTTTGCATTGGGGGCACGACCACTGTTCATCTTTCTCCAAAGTCTCTACTTTAGTAAACTCTTTGAAGCAATCTATGATATCGCAACGCGAACCACGCGGAACTGGTACCGATAGAACTGAAAATGGTTGGTATGTGGTAGACTTGCGCCCACAAACTTTGCACATCAACTGAGAGGCGTATTGCCCTTGAAAAAGGTCCACTATAACACTAAAGTCCGTAGTCAAGTATCTCTCCCATTCGATGGAGCTTGCGATTCTCATACAGAGCTTTTCTCTGATTTTTTCTGCCTCCTCCGAAAGCTCTTTTAAAGAGGGGTTTCCTCCGCATTGATTAAGGTCTTCATGCAATCCATCTAACAAAAATTGGCAAAACTCTTGACAATCCTGCTGCGATGATCCTTTGAACAACGAGTTGATAGAGCCACATGCGACCTTGAAATTGATGGGCTGCACTGCAGTTTTTTCATGTCCGGCTGTGAGTTTATTCTTTGAGCTCGCTGAAGCAGAAATTGCCTTTTGTTGCATTGTGTGGACCAGCTGCGAGAAATATTTCGCAAGAACTCCCTTTGAGCCTAGCTTGCTGTTCAAATTGACGTGGTTCTTGTAGGAATCGTCTAAAAAAATTTGACATAACTCATAGGTCCCTAATAAGCACTGAATGATGCAATTCATATAACATGAGTTGCCCAAATTCACGAGCCCGACACAGAAACTTGCCGTCTTCTTATTCAACATAGGTTGGGGTAGCTGGGCCTCCGACTCACTCCGTCGCGATATCGGTAAAGGACTGAGTTCTTTGGTAGTACTGTACTTATTGGAGAACGATGAGGGTCCGAAACCGCCATTCGGATGAACTCCTGGAGTCGAGTTCCCGTTCAGACGGGGCGGGGACAGACTCTTGGAGTGAGGGGAAATAATTTTAGGATCATGTGGATTCAGTTGAGATAATGAGTTCAATTGTGGCCCCGAGAGAGCTAATTGAGGAGTGTCTGGATATTTTGCCGATTCCTTATACAAATCGGAACTTGGCTCCAAAGAAGGACTACCAGTTCGAGAAAGGCTGCGTGATATGCTTGAAAGTTTCTCTTTGAAACTAGAGTTCCTTCGTAGATTCGGCATTTGTTGATATGGAAACACTTGAGAGGAACCCACATTGGCCCCTGGGCCAGACTCTGTGTCGAAATTGGAGATTCGGCTTGATGAGTAACTTGAGGACAAGGGAGCAGGCTTCGTTAGCCCCATTGATCGTGGTGCAAGTGGAGGAATAGAATAATCCATAGCGTAACCGCTTTCGTCGCTCGTTTTTGTAGTTTCACATAGACCCTCATTTCTACACCAATTTTGAAATCCTCCTTCAAGCGTGCAAACCTTGGTTCCTTGCAAGGGCTTCTCAAAAGACCTTTCCACTAGCAGCTTGACCAGGATCTCCTGTCTTTGTTGACAAAAGTGAGTTTTATCTTGCATGTCTGTGTATATTACAATGAAATCAAATTTGTCCCTATCTCTAAATAATGAGACTTCACGGTTGGGAGACGTTATGAGAGATCGTTTGATGATTTCTGTATCCGAATAGTTGTCTTTGAAGGAAATAGGTTCAATGCATATAATGGCTTCGGTCTTGATGTGAGACTCGATGAACTTCATTCGGGGTCTGAGGTCAATCAAAAGTACTTTGCAGGATTGCAACAAAGAAGTTAATTGCAAGAGAGTCAGGGCCTGCCCATTTTTCCAAGCAGCTTTTGTATCGATTATATTGTGATCGTGGTTTAAACCTTTCTTAGCGCTGATAGAATCCGATCTGGAATTGTCCTTAATAAACTTTCGTATGTCCGCGAACTTTTCATCTGTGAGCAGAGTCTTCACGAGCATATTGTAAAGTTCGATGAGACCTTTCTCCCGTTCGGTCTTGGCGGAGTTTTTCGCTTTAACAAACTGCGGCAGTTCTGGGATCTTATTCAACACCAGCTGAGACACGATCTTGTAGTAAACGTAGGCGGCCTCATACGTCTCGAACACCTCAGGGTCCTGAATCGGAGGCTTGTGTCCCCATTTTCGCAGCTTTTTACACTCCTCTTGGTAGTTTACTAGTGTATCGATGCATTCTTGGAGTAACGTTTCCATGTCCTGGTTCCCACCATCTTGTTTGACAAACTTATCTGCTATTTGTATCAGCTGGGTTGCAGACTTGCAATGTGGTCGTGCAAGCTGGCTATGTGGCATTCCTGAATGCCCTTACGAGGCGACTGAAAGGTGAGACTGGATCGTGTTGGTTTTTGAAGGGTTACAAATTCAAAGGTTAGGTGAATGATTATTTGTGTTCCAGGTAAGCCTTATCCAAGTCATGTGATAAGATGTCGACTGTCAGTTAGAAAGCTGGGATGATTCAAAGAAAGAGAAAGTTAAGTATTCTCAGACTACTTACACGAGGGCAGACTATGAGTAGTCAACAAGCTTCAAGAGTTCTGATTGTATTCAATTTGGTATGGTTATTATCGAGCGGAAATGCTGAATGTTTGTCTTGGTCTACGATGAAATGGTGTTTTAACAGGTGCTCCGACGGTTGCGGTTGCAAAATGATATATGATCCTATCTGGGAATCATCGGCAAGAGAGAGAGAGAATCGAGTGGGATACTCAATTGCTTGAACCTACTTAAGTTATGCCATGAGCCAACGTATTGTTAAGCCCCCTCCAGAATGTACATCCTTCGATGATTACAGATTTTATTCGTTAAAACCCGATCGATTTACTTCTTGGATCTCGCTTTCCCCGTCAAATCTCGCAGGGCCATCTTATAATTTCGGGTATAAATCTGTTTATTCTGTGGATCTTCCATTCGGAAAAGGTCACTTCAGTGAAACACGCATCGTATACAGAACAGTTGCATTCAGTCCAAAGCAGTTTCGAACAGTAATCACACACTCATCTGCACATCTGGCGTAACTCATAAATATCTCATTTCAAACTAGTATGTAGAATCGTAGATACGATGCGGAGCCAAACAGTAATCTAGCTACCATGCATAAAGGCCGGCAGTTTTAGTACACGCCATCGTCGGGTCTTTGCTGTTCCACCTGGGCATCGTCACCTCTCTTTTTCAGCTGGTCACGGCTTGGTCTTTCGTAGTCGTGATTCTTACCACCCTTCTTCTTCTCTAACTCCTCAAGCTTCTTCTTGTTGGAGTCCAGCTCCTCTTGAGTCAATCCATCTGGGGTCTTGCTTTGTGCAGCGCCATTAGAAATGCATCTGACTGCAATGCCTGATCTCGCAGCGCGGAAAGACAAGCCTTGAAGGGTTCTAGTGGCTTTTAGGGTTTGTTGTAGCATTTGGTATTGAATATTAAAAATTGTTGACGTTTGGGTTCGAATATGTTCACAATGGGGGTTACCAGCTCACTCTAAAATTCAAATCTCTCCTTTTATAGTTAACCCCTCAACTTATTTCTCATGTGTCCTTGTACCATTGCTTTAGCAGCAACCACTTCATACAGCGCAAAATATAAAAAGATGATGTAAAACTAAGACAAAAAATCCTGTGAAGTACGTACACGTATCAAAGACTAATCAAAGTTTGCGTAATCTTGAACTAGCCGAGTTTCAAGTGCGAAAGTGTGAAAGAATGGCTTCTCCGCAATATCTTTGAGAAAGATGTACTATGTATTTGTAGATCTTAGTGTTGTGTGAGTGAGCCGTAAGTTCACCGTCACTTTCGAGATTTTAAGAGCTATAGAGAGTTAGGTAGCTAGCGTGGTATACCTTTCCGAGCAAAATCGAAGGGCAACACAATGTGTGGCAAGCGTCAGATAGAAATGTAGATCCGGTCTTGAGCTGCAAACTGCTTACAGTTGTTCTTTGTACAATCGACTGAACGTCTGGTATGAGCCTCCCTTCCTTGCATTTAGTTAGTGTTTCTTTCCGGTGAGGTAGCTCTTTAACCTTTATTTGGGATGTATCTAGCTACTACATGCTCTTATACACAACTATGGGATAGTCAAGCGACCACCCGCAAACTTAGACACTAATTGGATTTTGTACAGCGTGCGTGGTCTAGTTCTCGTACTCCTCCTTCACCAGTTCGCGCACCATGTCGCACCATTTGGACTTGCTGAAAGCTGGGTCGCTCTTGACATCCCGGTTTTCGCCGTGCAATTGGAAACCGATACGTTCGTAAAATGGAACCAGTGGTTCGTGCGCTATAATCACGATTCTTTGCCCCACTTCCTGGTTGCTGAGTTTCTGGATGTAGTCGGTCAACAACAGGGTGGCCAAGTTCTTTTTCTGGTGTTCCAGGGCGATCACCACCGAGTGGATTCCCACAGTGCCAGACGCCTCATCGTGCACCTTACCCATACTTTCCAAGGAGATCATGGGAGGACCTTGAGCGTTGCCAGCAGCTGCGGGAACTTTGGTTCCCATAATGTGGCCAATCAGTTTTTCTCCTTTCACTTCAATTCCTTCCACGTCTCTGATGAACAACCCAGAACACAATTCTGGACACACTGTGAGGCGGAACTCGGTGTTCTCGAGAGAGGCTCTTTCCTCAGGTGGAAAACCCTTATTTTCTAAAGCACGAACTTCATGAGTGTCTTCAATCGTCAACGGACGTATGTACATATGCAGTGGCAGAGTTGAGCTCATGATGTGTATTGAACTTAGGAGTTGGTGTACAAGACGTCAGTGGATCGATTCTTGATGGCTTATTTAGATTCAAAGAACTCTGACAAAAGGTTTTCTGATGTTGAGCTCAAACAACCTATTTCTGCAAGAGCATTAGTGTCAGATATCGATGCGTACAACATGATCTTCTAATGTCTTGACATTTTGCAATTTCGGGTGAATTATTCAGAGTATTCTTTCACGGATAGTCTGGAATGCACTGTCATGGCATGTCTGAATCACAATTAGAACCATGACGAATGGTTTCATTCGGAGGCGATAACAATATATTTGAACAAGTTTGTCGTTCATAGCGATATTTATTTAAAATAGGTGGTTACTTGCCTCATGTTCCCACATAGAACGTGAATCTAGCCAATTACGTAAGTGCAACAGGGCTGTTTCTTTCTAGTGCTTCACGGTCTTTAAATAGAGTGCGGTTTGAGCTTCAAAAATAAGTCCAACAATTTCGTAATTATGTACGTCCCAGATTATACATTTATATTTGGCTGGCTGCCTAATCGTCCGCGCCTATCTATTAAGCCAACATCCCAAACGGATTTGAGAACCGGCTACCATTTTCTGATCATCTACTGTTAAGATCTCTTCTTGTCTAGTCCCCATCAAGATAGTTATATCATCGCGTACTACGGGGACTATCTCTTCCAAGAAAATATTACATTTTGACTATTCGGTGATTATTGTCGTGAACCAAAGACAACCGAAGATCAAGTGCCTCCATCAATGTCAATTGCCGAGATTTTGCCCCTGGAGATCATTGATAAGACGGTAGGACAACCTATATGGGTGATGTTGACCTCACATCGCGAATTTACCGGTCTTTTGGTGGGTTATGATGACTTCGTTAATGTGGTACTGGAAGACGTTGTTGAGTACGACGCCAACCAAGAGATTAAACGGCACGCTGGCAAAATGCTTCTGAGTGGTAACAACATCGCGATGCTTGTGCCAGGTGGCAAACGTATATAGAACAAGCGGGAGCCAAAGCATTATGTAAAAAATAGAATTTATTAAAGTCATGGATTATCGGGTAGGACATCAGCTTAAGCAAGTCCACGCTGCAACTTTGCTCTTCAATACTGCAATAGTATTTGGTGTCATCTAATAAGAGTCGCTGCAGGCCACTAAAAAAGAATCTCGAGGACATGCTACTACTGCCGGCTCGTCCAATAGTGAACAGCGTGATACACGAAGCGAAAAATATTGGAAACAGTGTGGAGGTATGCCAGTCGCTTGAGTTCGTTTCACGTTGATCGCAGCATCTCATTTGATACTCGTCGTCCGCAAATCAACCTATCTATTGATTATAGTGGCCTGCTGGGCAAACAATACTATCACATGATGAGTATCGTAAGATCAGTTCTTCATGTACCAACTGCTCTGCTTCAGCGGTGGTGACAAGGTTCCGATATGTAAAGGTGCGAATCTCGACCCAATAATCATCATCTTAATTCAACTCATGAACTCAGTCTTTGGCCGCGGCAAAATACTTAGAAAGGGAAAGGTAGTTGAAGAACATGTACGGTATATTAGCTAATATCCTGCATTCTTTTTATTGCCTTATGGTCTCGAGGACCATTTCCTAAAACGAACGTACCGTAGTTCATACTTCTTTCGTTTGAAGTTCGTCGCCAGAGCTAGCTTTGAGCGCTTTTTTGATAAAAGGTAGTAGGTTGGCGGAGGCAAACCTTTTACGTTCACGTCCATCGACAAATTTATTTTCGAAATGTCGCTTACAATCTTTACCCTCAAAATGGAAGTCTTTATTAGGCCAAACGTTTTGATCAAATAGATATAGATTCATTGACTGCGCTATCTTATCCCATGCTTTCAAGTCCGAAGCGGGTTTGATACTTTCCACAACTTTCAGGAATGCTAATTCGCTTTTCAGGCCCAAACGTATAGATCGGAAATTATAATGACCTCCTGAAATGATCAAAGCCATAAGGCAAATATAATACAAGCGAAAGATTAAATCACAAGCCCCGCGGGTTGTAGTGGGAGTCTCGTGGTACATAATTGCACCTACTACAGCCGCAAAGAAGGCGCTAGCAAATACAACGACATGCAAGGTTTGGGTAATAAGATAATTCTGGTGTATTGTCCAAAACCACTTATTTCTATACTTCTGTCTGGGCAAATGTTCACAAATTTTGCCCGATGAATGAAAAGGAACAGCTTGCTGATCCCAGGTGGCCGTCAGTGCTTGTTGAACTAAGTCAGTAGCCCTCGAAATTTCTGGGGTAACATCCCTATCTACCGTGAGCTCTCCAAAAATATCATAGGTTTGTTTGCCATCGAAAAGGCAATATTTGGTTGACCACGCACTCTGCTCATAAAGAAGATTGTTGATGCGAATCGTTACCAAGTCCCATTTTTCCCAACTCAGTCCTGGGTTTTCTATGATGATTGCCTCAGACAACTCACGCAAATGATGAGATAGCACATGTTTTCTTTTCTGATGCCATCCGCATCCCAGATCAAAGACAACATATGCTAAGAACGACAGCGAGCAGGCCGCGGTTTCAAAATATAGTGTACGTCGCGACCTTCTGCTCAAGAGAATCAAAAAGATTCTAGGTAAAACGGAAGTTAAAGAAAAAACACCAATCAAAATGCACACAGCGACCTCCTTGTGGGCAATGCATGAGCTTTCAAAACTTCAAAAAGCATCCAAGCGACTCTGTATTTAAATGTATCTTGCGGGAGCCCTGAGGCTCTCTTCTCGGTAGACATTGTTAATACCTATCGGCCTATATTCGCTTTCGCGAACGGTGTATAGATGTTTAGGTAGAAGTAAAGTTAACTTTCGAAGTCTTCGGTTTTTGTTCAACGAAGTCCGGCTAATGATGCAGATGGTCACGGTCAACGTAAAATTGGCGCCAATGCAATGTCAGTATCTATTTTAGTGAAGCTGATGCAGACTGAACAGCTCGGGCGCTATTCGCTATCCTTTTGGATAATAACACCCTCATCGTGGTTTATACTTGAACTTGCTAGAGTCGGTTTTTTGACTTTTTTTTCAGTTCCTCTTCAATAGAGAACAATTCAGGGTAGTGCTGAAGGCACGCAATCTCGTTCTCGTCACCTTTCTTCGTAGGTTGACCACTAAACCTTTCTTGTTTTTTTAGTTGGATCAGATTGTTTATGGACGCTAAACTCTCAGATTGTCTCAGGGAGAAAGACGTTAAGAGTGTACAAAACAATAAAATAATTTAAATGTTTTACAGAACATAAGCAGCTTACCGACAGCATGAATTTAACGAACTGGTTGTTCTAATCATGTAATAGAGTTGAGCCGCAGCCTTCGCACTCGAACGATATCAACATTAAACGATAAATCACTTTGTACAGTTATGACACCTCGGGGAAATCATTGAGGCGAGACCGATTCAGCAATTGAAGGTTTGCAATAGAAATCTTGATAATGGGTTTGTCAGCTTTTTCACAATTGTCTGCGTCGGGTCCAAATGCGCCAACCAATTCGTGAATGTTGTATATATCTCTCGGCGGTTTTTCCAGTACAAGCACAATGTCTTGTTACCTAAATGTGGACAAGCAATGAGAAGAGCGCAAATGAGATCGGAAACAAATTCGTTTGATAAGCTATCGGCGAAACAGGACCACTTGCTGGGCTATCAATCAGGGTCCAGAACTTTCATAAATTGCGATCTCGTAGGTTTGATATCACTTTGTACTGATCTGTCATTGTAGCACCATCACACAAATATTGTTCGGAACCTATACCACGAAACAGAATTATGATCGATACAGTAGCCAAATGCCAAAGGCAAAGGATTAAGATGATGTAAAAACCGTATGCCAAAGGACAGTGGATCAAGATTGATACAGTAGTCTCACAACAAACCAGCGCGAGAGAAGTTCACATCTCCAACAGAGGCCTCCCGTGGAACAAAGCAGCTCTCGAGCTGCCTGATTGTATCTCAACCGCTCACAATACGTGAAGAGCTCAACGTTCGAGCAGACGCACAATATTACACCGTATCAAATGATCAATATTTCAGAGGTCTCATTTGGTTTCCCGATGCGCTACGAAGCAGCTTGTTTCCTTCCGATGGGTACCGAATATTTACCATAGCGTCTCCCGCCTTCCAGTCCGTACTGCTGCTCTTACTGCAGACGCTATTAGGCCACGAAGACCGCCTTCGTCCCACACGACAACAATGTTAAATTGCATCTGTATTAATGCATCATCTCAGCGTCTCTCTTCGTCATCTCTCAAATAAAACATAACAAAAAACAGTTCTATTTCGTCCATGGACATCGACCCAAGACACGCGCACTACAAAGTCCAGCTGCTTCTGCACATAAATAGCGTGCTGCTGGCGCGCATCAACCAGATGAATGCCAATCCCTCCCAGTTTTCCTTGGAACAACAACAAAATATCGCGTCGCAGTATCTCAAACGCGTGCACGCAAATCTCCAGTGCATTTCGCAGCTCAACCAGGGCATCCAGACCTCCAAGCCAGCAGTGCTCGAACCGCCCCAGCTGCCTCTACAGCAGAACTCCCAGGATATCCTCGCCAAGCTGTACTTATTGACCAGCCGCGTATTCGAAGTTTGGTGATGGAAATGGACACGTGAAAAACACATGCCCAAATCCAATGTTTTTTGTTGCTGGATTTTCGTCCCGAATGACAAAATGGTTTTTTTCACGCAATGAGTTCTCAAACCTCTCTCCAGATGTAAAGGGGTTGTGCTCACTAGTAGAGAAACCCGTAACCACCAATAGGTATTCAAAATAACCGTTAGCACATCCATGAAAGAAGAAAGTGTGGACGGAAAAGAAGAGCATTCTAACAAGCCGGTTGTCTCGGGGCGTATCATCAACTGTGTTCCGCAATTGCCGTATAAGATCAGCAGGAATGACCGGTATTCGCCATTGCGGGGCGACACTCCGAACGAAGAGTGGAATATGGAGCCCATAAGCGGCAACAGCGCATTGTACTCGTCGCTGTACCTCTTGCGGGACTCTGCGGACTGGGAGGAACATGTGGTAGGATGGACTGGCGAGATCGATCCCGGGAATGGGTTTGCGTACATAGCGCCAACCGCTCCGCAGCAAGAGGAGAACAGCACGATCGAAGACTCCAAGTACAACTCCCAGGACCTCAACGAAGACCCACTGTACCTCTCACAGGAGCAGAAACGGGTGATGGCTGAAAAATTGCAAAACCAAGAGGACTCGAACAACAAGATGACCGTGCATCCGGTGTGGCTGCTGCGCAGAGACCAGCGTCGCTGGCGTGAATACGCCGAGAACGTCGTTTGGCCTGCGCTCCACTACATTTTGAACCCTCCTTCGGATGGGCAGAAGGAAAATACCTGGTGGTACGACTACGTCAAGTTCAACGAGGCATACGCTGCCAAAGTAGCGCAGATTTACAAGCCAGGTGACATAATCTGGGTCCACGACTACTATCTGATGCTTTTGCCCCAACTTCTACGCATGCGTTTTGAAGACGCCGTGATCGCGTATTTCCACCACACGCCCTGGCCTAGTAATGAGTATTTCAGATGTCTTTCCAAGCGTAAGCAATTGTTGGATGGTATTCTTGGGAGCAACCGTGTGTGTTTTCAAAACGATGGTTTTGCTCGCCATTTCGTGTCTGGATGCAAGAGATTGCTAGATTCAACCTCGACCAAGAGCAAGTCTAAACGTAAGGGCAAAGACGAATGGTTAATCAGTGCTTACGGTGGTGATGTGGTGGTTGATTCTTTACCCATCGGTGTCAATACCGAAGACATTTTGCGCAAAGCATTTACCTCTGATATTGACGCCAAAGTGTCAACGATCAAAGAGGCCTACGCGGGCAAGAAAATAATTTTTGGAAGGGATCGATTGGATGCTGTAAGAGGCGTGGTACAAAAGTTGCAAGCTTACGAAGCGTTTTTGGCAATGTACCCGGAATGGAGAGATAAGGTTGTCTTAATTCAAGTTAGCAGACCCACTTCTACGGAGAAGGGCCTCAAGCTGGAACAACAAGTGAACGACTTAGTCAACACCATCAATGCTCAATATGGATCCCTGAGTTTCTCTCCAGTGCAACACTACCATATGCGTATCCCTGAGGATGTGTACTATTCTCTGCTACGGGCCGCAGATCTGTGCCTCATAACGAGCGTTAGAGACGGAATGAACACTACTGCTTTGGAGTACGTTACCGTCAAAAGTAGATCATCTAATGATAACTGCTATGCTAATCCGCTTGTGTTAAGTGAGTTTTCAGGTTCAAGTACTGTGCTGAAAGATGCTATTGTTGTCAACCCTTGGGATTCTGTCGCTGTTTCAAAGACAATTCAGAAAGCACTTTCGATGACATTGCCTGAAAAGGCTGCCCTCGAAAAAAAGCTATGGTCCCAAGTCCCCACCATACAGGATTGGAACGCAAGTTTCCTACAAAGAATGGTCGCAATTGCGGAGAAGAGAGACTCTGAGGATAGCAAGATCACGCCCGCTTTGAACAGGCCACTGCTGTTACGTACTTACCGGGCTGCGAAACGCCGTTTGTTTTTGTTCGATTACGACGGTACACTGACGCCCATCGTACAAGATCCAGCAGCGGCCATTCCAAGTGCAAAACTTTTCCGAATCTTATCGAAGCTGGCATCTGACCCTAATAATCAAATATGGATCATTTCTGGAAGAGATCAAAAATTTTTATCGAAATGGTTGGGCTCTAGAATGCCACAATTGGGCTTAAGCGCTGAACACGGCTGCTTTATGAAGGATGTTGCCTCCGAAGATTGGGTCAATTTAACCACCAAATTTGACATGTCTTGGCAAAAAAGGGTTAGTGATGTTATGGATCAAATAACTGTTCAAACCCCGGGTTCATTCGTGGAGACGAAGAAAGTTGCACTTACATGGCATTACAGACGTGCGGATCCCGAGCAAGGTGAATTTTACGCTGCCAAGCTGAAGAAAACTCTAGACGAGTTCGCATCTGAGCTTGGTTTGGAAGTGATGGAGGGAAAAGCTAATGTAGAGGTTCGTCCGAAGTTCGTCAACAAAGGTGAGATTGTCAAGAGATTAGTGTGGCATCCACTCGGCGAAAAACAATCCTATGACGATGAGTTTACCATTGATGAAAGTGTTCCAAAAGATCGCTTGCCTGAGTTCATTTTGTGTCTCGGCGACGACTTCACTGACGAAGACATGTTTTCACAACTGAATGTTATTGAGAAGGTCTGGGAGAACAAATTTCCTGAAGGAAAGAACGACTGCGGTCATTTTGGGTTCTATCCAGTCACTGTTGGCTCTGCATCGAAGAAAACGGTTGCCAAAGCCCATTTAACAGATCCACAGCAGGTCTTGGATACACTAGGTCTCTTAGTAGGCGATGTTTCATTGTTTCAAAGTGCGGGTACCGTGGATTTAGACGACCGAGGTCATATCAGAGACAGCGAAAGCAGTGTGAAGTCGGAACAAGCCGGTGTAGCTTACAGTATGAGACGTACCGCTTCATACAAGGACAACTCTTAGAACTCTATAGCAATCTCCTGGTTTTCATTGATGACTTGATGTACTTGTTTAGTTACACTTATTGATACTACGCAGCAAATTTTATATATGTGATGGTTATTGAGCCTGCTCAAACCCCACAGTTAGCAGCTTCTGAACTGAGCACTTCAGTTTATTTCTTGTAATCGAAACATCTTTACTCTTCATTGCAAGCCCACAATTTAACAAGTGCGAAAGCCCTGCAATATATTCCATTAGTGGCATGTGTTGCTGCTTACAAAGGTGAAAGCAGCTATTTGATATTAAACATTTCTCTTCCAGATCATGCACGACAATAGCGCTGGAGAGATAATTCAGCAGAAAATGTAGAAGAAGCGATTTTTTCAACACCGGTGCCAGATCGTTTTTGTGGGTATCCTTTGGCTTTTGAGGTGAATGAGTTGCAAGACGAGCAAAGCTATTAGCGGTATAATAAAGCCGGAGTTTTTCTAAGTAATCAGAATCATTACTTTTCGACAATTCGGCATTTGTGAAAGGCTGGAAGTGGCCGCAGATCCACAACACAACCAATGTACATCGCCAGATGTGATTTTCACTAAACGAATGAGTTTTGAAAAGCTTTTCAATACTGTTCCATATGTTATCGACTTTTTGGTATTCATGAAAAGGCACCGTACCTCCTGTTCTACTCATTGTTGCTGTGCTGATAGCAAACTCAGAGCACAGCCCTATCAATTGAAATTCTGGAGATCTTTTGGAGTCTTGAAGTGCTAAGTAACTTTCTAGAGCTGCTTTTGTATCCCGCCTCAGTTGAAGTTTCATAGCCTTCACTAATATAGCGTAGTCGGAATCACCCTCGATGTCGAGACAGTCGCCTGTCAAAATTAAACTCTCCAGACAGCTGTAGTAATTGGACAGGTCGATGATTTGTTTGTAGAATGCCCTTCTAATATTAGTCAAGCCCATATCAATTTCTTCTGGGGAACTCAGAAGCTCGGAAGCTGCTTTTCGTACCTTTGGCAAGTACTTAACAGAGAAGTTAGCCTTTTTATCATAACAATTGGTCAAATAGCTTACGCTTTGAAAGAGTAATATGACATGCTTGAAATCTTTGTAGCGTACAATAGGAGTGTCCAACGAAATAATGACACGATCGTCGAGTCGTATGAAAAATGTCGAATTTGTGAGCTCTTTCTTGTGCGCAGCCACCAAATCTTTGAACTCAGAAAGCTTCGACGTTATGTTCTGATCTCGATAGATCAGAAGGAGTAGATCTATGAGGTTTTTCCATAGTCTGAGCTGTGTGGGCAATTCTGTCTTGTTAAGCTGAGCTAGCGTATCGAGATGTTCCTGATTGACGTTTTGATGCTGATAGAAGCAATAGCAGATATAAGAGCATATGACGTAAGTTTGGAAAGCTGTTACCGAATCACAATTGGTAATAAGTTCATTGTACAGCTCAGAGATTCTGGAGTCTAACGGAGATGTATCGATCATCAGTTCGATGCGCAATAAAAGAAAATATTGGGTCCAAGGCGAATGGTAGTTTTCGAGATCTTTGAGAGTCGCCGACGCAATTCGAAGAGCGGATTTCGAGTGTTTCGTAGACTTCCTGGCTCGCGCAACTTTGATCAAAGCTGAAGCCACAAGCATCTTCTGGTGTAGAAGCTCCGTGCCGTACAGCCGTTCGTGGACACTCGAAAGATACATTTCCGCAAGGTCCAAGTCATTCGTTTCCTGAGTTAAAAGGTCGCAGAGTTCTAGAGTAATCAAAACGTCTTGCTCTGCACTGAGTTGAAACTGAGCTTTAATAGTTTGAAGCGCACCAATCGCGTGATAAATTAGCGTGCGGTACTGCTTAATTTGCGCGTCTGAAGCCAGAAAGGGAGCCATCTTACGTGCATGGCTTGAGTATTCATGACTCAACGAATAAAGCTTTTCAAGACTTAGATCCACGTTGTTCCTCCGCATCTTGGTCTCAAAAGATTTTAAAACTAGCTTTGATCTACAGCCGCCTTGAGATTTCAGAAGTAATTGCCTCAAAACAATTCGAGAGAAACGCGTTGAAAAGAGATCAATGGCCCCGGGTTCGACTGTTAAAGCTTAATGTTAGTAAGATAACTGTCAAAGACACAGCTATCAGTGCTTTTCAGGAATTTTACTTTTCAGGTTTCGAAGATTGTGTAGCTACCATATAAATTATAAATTTTTAGAACTGGAGCTCATCATCATGATCCGTTACAACATAACATAGAAAACGTTCAGCTCAAAGTCTGCTTGAAAAGCTGGGAGAGCGTTTGGAAGTTTGGATACGGAGTAATATAAGTCGAAATGTCCGAAGAGAGCCGTTTGAAAGATTTCCAGGAGGCGAACAAGATTGTTTTCGATCCAAGCACAAGGTCAGTATGGGAAACTCAGGAAAAGAACTCAGCAGGAGGGCCTAGAGGGTCCAAAACGGAGGAAGACGACGCTCATAGTGCTACAACGTCTGGCATAGTACCTACGCTGCAAAATATCGTCGCTACAGTGAACTTGGATTGCCGATTGGACCTGAAAACAGTGGCTTTGCATGCGAGAAACGCAGAATACAACCCCAAGCGGTTTGCCGCCGTGATTATGCGTATCAGAGAGCCTAAGACCACGGCACTGATCTTTGCGTCAGGAAAGATGGTTGTAATTGGTGCAAAGTCAGAAGATGACTCGAAACTAGCCAGCAGAAAGTACGCCCGTATTATACAGAAAATTGGTTTCAGTGCCAAGTTCACAGACTTCAAGATTCAGAATATTGTGGGCTCGTGCGACGTTAAATTTCCCATCCGGCTCGAAGGCCTGGCGTTCTCGCACGGAACTTTCTCGTCCTACGAACCGGAGTTGTTTCCGGGTCTCATCTATAGAATGGTTAAACCAAAGATCGTGCTGCTGATTTTCGTGTCTGGTAAAATCGTGCTCACGGGTGCCAAACAAAGAGAAGAAATCTATCAAGCTTTCGAAGCTATTTATCCCGTGTTGAGTGAATTCCGGAAGTTGTAGGTAAGTCATGGAGAAAACTAGGCGCATGCCATGGCATCGTATCAACAGGATTTAAACACACGTGAGGAAGTTTGAAGGAAGGACAAGAGTTACATACAGACTATCCATTTTTGTCCGTAACAGCGTACTTGAGTGTTTGGTGTCGCAGTACAATGAGCTACAAAAACTAAAATAAATAGAGCCTTTAAGCTATGTAATTACAAGTAAGCGCAAGCGCTTTGATAACGGAGAGTAAACCACGGTATCTGCTTCAGGAGCGGGTTTTGAGAAGCCTTGACGAATTTTGTGCGATTGTTTCTCGGCTAGCAATCGTTTAAGCTATTGAAAAGTAGAATCCAGATATATTACACACGTATGGTCCCAAGATTGTTCGCCTGGATACGATCTTGTGAAATTAATGAATGAGTTCCTAATATAATCTTCATATGAGCTATTTATTCCCAATCCGTTAATTTCTACCCCACCTTGCAGGGGTAAGACCTCATTGCGATCTTCACGATTCCCTAATTGTTGCGAGTTCGTGTTCAAGCCTTTTTCGACGGATCCTTTCCTCTTGAAGCTCTTTTTCATATTTTGTCTGCGTTTCAGTCAAGACCTTTTTGAACTCTGTTCTCATAACTCCGATTGAGTATGATTTTCCATTACTTGTGGTTGAACTAGGACTCGATACGGAGGATATGCCAATTGTGTTAGGTGATGTGCCAGCCGAGCTGGGCGTTGATATTGGTAAGGCTTCTATTTGATCCATCAGCACTTCGCGTTGTTGAATTAAAGTATCACACTTTTCTTTTAGGCCGGCGAGCTTAGAATGGTATGTCAAAAGCTCATGCGATAGCTCTTTGTTGGTCTTTGCCAATTTGTCTATGCTGTGTAGGTACTCGTTCCTATCTTCTTCAAACTTTTTGGTTAAAAAGCTGTGAGCTAGTTGCAAATCTTTGAAAGCAGTCGCCATGTCATTGACCTCACTATCTTCTTGTTGAAGTTCTCGAGTTGTAGAGCTTGGTCCTATTTGGTGCATAAGAGCGTCTATGCATTGTTTGAAAAAAGCGACTTCGTCCTGTGGAGCGTGGCTGTCGGGTTTTAGATCGACACCTCTTTGTAATGCACCGGATAGAAGGTATGAGATAATCTCGTCGAGCTGTGACTGCTGCAGGTTTCGGCTGCCAGAAGTGCTCACGTCAAGATCGTCGGCTGTTGGGTGATCCGGCCGAAGGTTCCAAATCGCCTGTAGTTTGTCTTGGTCTAATGCCACAGAGCTCAGCAAAGATGCGGGTGATTCATTGGATAGACCAGCAACCATTGGGACATTACTATTGGAGCGTTGTTGTCCCGCACTTTCCCCGCTTAATTTCCCTGCCGTGGCTTGATATAACGCGAATTCGACTTGTAATTTCTTCTCCAGGTCAAGCTCGCCGTTCTGTCCCCCATAAAGCACCAAGTCCACCAGGTCCAGCTCGGTAGGTGCTCCACCAGGGCTCTCGACCGGTTCATGTTTTAGCCACTCTTTTAACTCACCATAACTTGTCGGATACTGGTCATAACGCGACTCTGAAAACAACCTCGGGTTACTCCACTTTTGCAGCTTCGTCAGGTCCATTTGGATGTCCACAAGATCCTCCCGTTGTCTTACAATTCGCGTAAACTCGCCGGATTTGTATGTCAGCCTTGAAGTTACGCGAGACGAGATTTGTTTATGAGATGTGAAATTTTTCAAGCGATGAGCATGAAGAAAGTGTCTAAACTACAAGAAAACCTCTCCGAAGAGCCCGAGACTCGTGAAGACTGGCGATCTTGGCGAGCTTTGAACAACACGATTTCGACTGGAGTAACTTACTTTTATACCTGAATTTTCGGCTCTCTCCTAGGATACTTTTGAAGCTTGTTATAAACATTCCACACGTAATGAAGCTGGATGAGACTATAACATTGCTCAGACAGGGCAAACACGTCTCGGAAGAGACAGTGTTCCAGCTATGTCTCCAGGCTCAAGAACTATTGATGAACGAGGCGAACGTTACGCATGTGGACACCCCGGTAACGATTTGCGGGGACATACACGGTCAGTTGCACGATTTGCTGACGCTTTTCGACAAGAGTGGCGGGGTAGAACAGAACAAATACGTGTTCTTGGGTGACTTCGTGGACCGTGGGTTCTATTCCTTAGAAAGTTTTCTACTTTTGCTTTGCTACAAACTGCGATATCCAGACCGAATCACTATGATTCGTGGAAATCACGAAACCCGTCAGATTACCAAAGTATATGGATTCTATGATGAGATAGTCCGCAAGTACGGCAATAGCAACGTCTGGCGCTACTGCTGCGAAGTGTTTGATTACCTGTCGCTGGGCGCTATTATCAATGACCGAATTTTCTGCGTTCACGGAGGACTATCACCGGATGTGATGACTGTCAATCAGATACGCGCAATAGACCGGAAGCAAGAAGTACCCCACGAAGGCGCCATGTGCGACTTACTATGGAGTGACCCAGACGAAGTTAACACCTGGTCTTTGTCCCCTCGAGGAGCCGGATTCCTCTTCGGGAAGAACGAAGTGGACCAGTTCCTTCACACCAACGACTTTGAGCTCATAGCCCGCGCGCACCAGCTCGTCATGGAAGGCTACAAGGAGATGTTTGACGGCGGCCTAGTAACGGTATGGTCCGCCCCGAATTATTGTTACCGTTGCGGTAACGTGGCTGCCGTGCTACGCATCGAGGATACCTTGGACCGGAACTACATGATATTCGAGGCAGTCCCGGCTCAGGATGACGTTGGAAACGCCATAATACCGACCAAGAAGCCCCAGATGGACTATTTCTTGTAGGTGACGAAAAGTCAAGACAAAACGCACACATAAACACACACACAATGGAAGGATAAAAGTAAGCATACTTCCGCCAAGCATTGTAACATTAAATAGCATTATATAGCACAAACGCGAGCGTGCTCCGGGACTGCAACATGGGGTTTTCATGGGCCTTAATCTTTTTTTTGAATCTGGTTTCGGCCTCAAGCTAGCTTTCTTGCTACACCTTTAAAGAAGCACTACTGGATATGTCTTTGGGCATTTCGCTCTCGCAATTGATCGTGGAGAACCCGGAGCCTCTATTCAGCGGACACGAGGCTCTGGACGAGGCGCTAGGTGGCTTTCAACCGCGATCTATCTATGAAGTTTTCGGACCTCCAGGAATTGGTAAAATTGATTTTGGCATTAAGTTGGTGGAAAACGCTCTGGTAGATCAGCTCGCAACCCTATGGATCGATGCACACCAAACTACGCGTCTGGACCATTTGCTAGGCTTGAAACGCACCAAACTCGACAAATTCTCACACTACGTGTACTTTTTCAAGGAATTGGTCGAACAGAGCACCGAAGCTATTCAAGCCAATGAATACTCGCTGATCGTGATTCGAGGCCTCTCGAAAGTGGTTACAGACTACTTGTACGAGTGCTGTCAGTCGCAAGGGACAGAAACCGCGCACCAGTTCAAGAATAAGAGTCTAATTACGCTGTTCACGCTCATGACCAAATACGCTCATCGTTGCAAGAGTACTATCGTGATGTTGAACGACGCCATGAACACTAGCTTCACCACATCTTCAAACAGTCGAAATGACCCGTGGGCCACCCAATTTACATCCTACACCGAGGAGTCGCCCTTTCTGGTCAAGAGTCATAAGCGAAAAGCAGTTCAGGTGCTTCGTAGCGCGTTGGTAGCGAACCTAGGTGTGGGGAATAAAGACCAAGTGTGGGAAGTGTTTATTAGACGCCGCATTGGGTTTCTGTGGGAGTGGGACGGGTCCAGGCCTTGGACTAGAGTACCTAAGAAGCACAAGATCGCGGTAATTCAGGATATGGCCAACTGCACTGAGGTTGTTGTGCCCTTGGCGGAGAAGCACGCCCCTGGAGATCTCCACCACGCGTTGCCACTTGAGTTGGGGCTTGCAGGTTCAACGCACGAACAGGAACATGTGAGCATCAACCCAGTAGAAACGTCTCTTACTGAGTCCTCCTTGCGCGACGCTAAACGCCCCAAACGTGCAGCCTCCGAAGAGAATTCACAGCTGCCGTTCACTCCGCGTCTTACACATCTTCAAAATACGCATCCGGATCCAAACGAACAAACCCAAGCGGTGCTCTACGACAGCGAGGGATGAGCGCAGAAAAGCGACCACATCCCCTGCAACAACACCAAGATTCTCGTCTAATTTTGTTTGCTTGAACAGCACCAAAGTGCTTGTCTAAATTTGTCCGCCTCAGCAGCACCAATGCCTGGTCTAAATTTGTTTACTGTAATCGTACCAACATCCTAATCTAAATTTGGCTCTACACCTGTTTTTCGCCCCGTTGAGAATCTCCCATGCCAACTACCGAACACTCCAGCTGGTGCGGGTGCTATAGCCACACGAGCCAAGCGTCGGCCACGACTGGACTATCCCCATCTTGAGTCCACTCTCTCCCAGCATTGTTTTCACGTCTACCGAAAGCTATGCACATTCCCACACTGCCGTAGCAGCTGCATTTCCTGCAACGCACGTTTGATGCACTGCTAACAAGATATCAACGATCCCACCAAGTCAAGATTCGCGGTTTTTGTCTTTTCCACCGCGAATCTTTTACAACTTATCCTAAAAGGGCACTACTATCATCAAAGCTACCAAAAAAATCTGCACCCGTTGCCCAAATCGTACTTAGATAATGCACTTCTACTATTAGAACTGCATAGTGGTGGCATGCACGCGTGGGAGATCGTGCTCTTCCAACAAGAAAGATTGAAATGTCTACAACAAGAGCTATCAACTCGACCTAATCTTTACCCATGATGGTAAAAGCTGAAAATTTTTTTGAATGCCTGCAACAACGCACCTGGTAACAGATCTCAGGTGTGGGACATCGTGGCCGCGGCGGGGGGAGGTTGATGGGTGAGCCGAAACTGGAAATAATACGAGACGCTTGTTCGCGAGCGAGCTCGCAAGCAAGCATGATGGGCTGGTTCGGAGGAAGGTATATAAGAGGGCTGGTGTGGCGAATTTGAGAACCATGTTCGTGGTGGTAATCTTTTTTAATTGACTCAGCAACTGCCAGACACTTACACTCGCTATCCACCCTCTCACCCCCAACGTCGCAATGCAATTCTCTACTCTCGCTTTGACCGCCGCTCTCGGTGCCACCTCCATGGCCCAGCTTTTCAGCAACTCTTCTTCCAAGGCTTCTCCAGCCTCCACTGCTATCACCACCGAGTACGAAGTTGTCACTGCTTACACCACCTACTGCCCAAACCCTACTGTCATCACCACCAACAGTAAGACCTACACCGTCACTGCCCCAACCACTTTGACCATCACCGACTGCCCATGCACCATCCCAAAGACGTTCACTTCTTCGGCCGCTGATGTTGAGGTCACCGTCACCAAGGAGGAAGTTGTCACTGCTTTGACCACCTACTGCCCAAACCCTACTGTCATCACCACCAACAGTAAGACCTACACCGTCACTGCTCCAACTACTTTGACCATCACTGACTGCCCATGCACTCTAACCACTGTGTCTACCGTTACTCACAGCTCTGCTGCTCCAGCCACCACTAGCACTGCTGCTCCAGCCACCACTAGCACTGCTTCGCCAGTTGGCTCTAGCTCTGCTGCCCCAGTCGCCTCTAGCTCCGCTGCTCCAGTCGCCTCGAGCTCTGCTGCTCCAGCTTCTTCCAAGTCTGCTGCTCCAGTTGCCTCTAGCTCTGCCGCTCCAGCTGGCTCTAGCTCTGCCGCCCCAGCTTCCTCCAAGTCTGCTGCTCCAGTTTCCGGCTCTTCCGTCACTCTATCGTCTGTCACCGTTGCTTCTAAGGTGACTACTGGTGCTGCTGCCGTCTCCACCTACACTGGTGCTGCCAACAAGGTTGCTGTCGGTGGTGTTGCTGGTTTGGCCGCTGCCGCTGCTTTGTTGATCTAAGCAGTTGGATCTATTTGAATCGATTTCAAGTTTTTAAAGTCAATCAAATATGACCGACTGGCTATTCGAGTATCTCAAACTCTGATGTACACTACAAACTTTGTTCGTGTTGCTGCCTTCAAGGGATTTGAATGGTACAAGTCCTCAAGGTGACCTTCCAATCGCGTCTCTACTTCAATGAAAGAGACCCGAACCTGAAGAATTTACATAGACTGTCTTCACTTTTTAATTCACTTCATGATGTATAGATTGCAGGTTGATCGTTGTCTATAGGCCTATTATTAAATATATTAATGATATTTATTTTATCCGTTACTTGGAATGCGAACTGTATTGTCAGTTGGCTTGAGTGCAGTGGGCATGGAGGAGTATACACTGAATTGAGTTCAATAAATTCACATCTCGAAACACGCCTGTGTCATCAATTTAAATATCTGGAAAGATGTCTCCCATAGTAGTGATGATATATATCTGCGTTTTCACAAACCAAAGCCTGTTTTAACATGGATTACATACGGGAGAGCTACAGTTTCCGGACACTCATCCAGCGCGTGAGCTCATGTTTTTAGACTGTTGTTGGTGAATATATCAATTCATATATGTGGCAAATGTAAAATAACTGTCACTCAATTGACGTGCCTTGTTATGATGCCCAAAACCATAAATCTAGGTACCTACGATGCTATATTTTGATATAATTTATTGCTCAATCGATCGCTGTTATTCTTTTGCCACTATTCAGTCAATCAATTTTGACTTCAGACACGCACAGCAAGGTTTAGAGTTTGTGTGCACTTCTAAAATTAAACAGAGTTGATAACTGCTATCTATGATCTTTATAATCTCGTAGGAGGTCAAACCACCATGCCTCCTCTGTGGGAATCTCACATCTTGAAGTTAGCTTTACATATTCAAAATGAGTCACAAGGTAGCCATCCAGCTGTGAATAAAAAGAGTTTTTCCTTGTATTCCATAGTTGGTTTCGTGGTCTAGTCGGTTATGGCATCTGCTTAACACGCAGAACGTCCCCAGTTCGATCCTGGGCGAAATCAATTTTTATTTTTGTATTACGTTGCGACGCTAAATTGGACAACCCCACTCTTCTCTCAACACTACCTTCTCACCCCATTTACTTCATGTTTATCATTAGCTTTTTATTCACATATACAGTTTTTATAATTTTTGGTAAATTAATATGTAAGCGGTTCTGGGATCTTTGCCCTCCTCTCCACCTTTCAAAACCTCCTCTTTGTCTATTTCCTGGACATTAACATCATCTATTCTGTACCACTTACTCAGAGCTTCTTGGAAAACGTCGCATGTGTAATGGCCACCGCTGGGACTTAAACCATGGTGGTATACCACCCCTATCAGTTTGTAGGCAGACCCGGACTGTTTGTAAAATGCGGAATGTACCGATGAAATGGACTCATCTGGTATGGTCAGTTCATGACCGTATTGGATCTTCTTGCGAATCTTTTCCACATGGCCACTGTATGCGTTGTAGTTGACAATTTTAGACTTGTCAGTGTTGTTGATGAACGAAAACCTTTTGAGTTGTATCAAGAGCACTTGAGGCAGTTTATCAATGAAAGTTTGTTTCTTTGCTTCCACGCTATTACCAGAAGAGGTCTTGAAAGGTATCTGCTCAGACTCGCTGAATTTGCGGAATGCGCTATCTAGGTCTTCGACATTGGATTCAGAAATATCCAGCTGGATCGTTTGAAAAGGATCCAAAGTTATAGATTGAGGTTCCTTGTTTTGAGGAACGTCGAGTACCGAACGAAACTGGCCTCCGAATATGACTGAAATTGGCGAAGGTACCACAATAACAGTTCTTTTTGCAGCAGTCTTTGTTTTTTTGCCCTTTTTGCTGGTGCTGCTAACTTCTTGCCATCCCTTTTCTTGATCTTCTTCTAAGGCATCTGCGTTTACACCATATTTGTCCAGTATGTTTTTCAAATCGCTTGATGGTTTTTTTATGAACTCAGCGTTTTTGTAGGTGGCCAAGTTTCTGATGAAAATTAGTTTTGAGTCTTCATCATTTATGCTTTTAATCAAATTGGAGATGTCTCCCTCAGATAAGACGTTAATGGAGTGCACAAATTCTTCATGCAGTTGATCCAAGAGGTGAGTCAAAAACTCTTCTGCATCCTCTTGATGACCCCACTTTAAATCCTTAAACTTGGGCAATTTCGACAAGGTCTTATAAAAGTCTTCAGGCTTGATTGCGGTCGTCAAAGCACTTGAAATGCCCACATCGCCATTTTCAGCTCTGACCGCCTTCTCTCTTTCGAATACTTGTTTATCAAATTTCCTGTAGAGTTCAAGGCAGGCGTCAAGAAGTAAAAATCCAGTACTGCCCATTTTCGCAGGCGTTTTGATACTTACGAGGTTCATTAGGTTGATAAAAGGTTGACAGAACAACAGCGTTTGCAAAATTGAACTCATAAAACAAATATTGCCGGAGTTCACGATACCTCTAGGAATCACGGATTGCAAAGCCATGCCTGTGCCTTTTGAATGTTCCGTTGTGTACTTCACGTATTCTGGATCAAAACAAACCCTAAGAGCAACAACACCAACTGGCTCCAAACTCTTGACTGTCGGAGGGACATACTTTTTATCTTTTTTATCGAATGAGACGTTTGCGCTCTTAGCGGATCCGTTGGTCCCTGCGGCACTAGAAGCAACTGCGGACCAAGATTTGATAGTCCTGGCGGGGACCGCCTTAACTGGTTCCTCGACACTTCCTTTCACTTCTTTGAGTTCAGGTAGACTCGCTACTTCTGGTGTTGGAGTGAGTGACTCTTCGGCCTGCGCATTTTCGTCTTGTGTTGATGGGACTGTGGCGGGTGCTGTTTGAAATTGATCAGTGACTTCCTGAATAGTTTCACCATCGGTTTCGACACCCGCATCAGATAGCTGCTCTCCAAAACTGGCGCCAAATACATCGTTCAGAGCTCGCAAAGTTACTTGCGTTCTTCTGACTTGAGCCTTGCGGAAGATATTGGGGTCGGTGTTGGAGTAAAATGGGTATTCTAGTTTCAAATCTGTGGTACTCACCGAGTTGCTGTTTCCTAGTTCGAACTTGTATTGATTTTTGATGGTAATAGGAACACTTTTGGTCCCGTTTGCAGCCGCAGAGCTGACGTTGGTAGATCCACCAGATACAGATCCGCTCTTGACATTAGAATAATATGGGCTTTCGGCGCTTTTTCCGCCATTATCAGGTTTGCTGTTACTGTTGGTGTTGTTGTTGGTGGTGTTGGTGTTGGTGTTGTTGTTGTTGTTGTTGTTGTTGTTATAGTATTTTCTTTTCTGTCCACTAGGAGGAGGAACGCCACTGTTGCCACTATTATTGCCCCCGTAGTACATCATACCTGGGTTCATGCCATATCCCATGAATGGCGCCCCTTGTCCTGCATACATATCCATCGGCATTGGATAGCCGTATCCATATTGTGCGAATGTATTGGGGTTTCCGTACACGCCTGCCATTTGGTATTGCATGCTGGCAGGAGGAACTGCGGGTGACGTGGGCGGGTACATCGAGTAAGACCCATCCTGTCCATCTTTGGACGCTGTGCCAGACATTTTAAAACAGGTTAGAAACAATCCACTACCTTTAGAACTTCAAATATAGCACTTCACCGTATTCTGTAATTTTCTTGCTTCACAACGAGATTTCTCGGCTCAGAATCGCTATTTATTTGCGATTTGAATTTCTCTGAAGCAACCTTTAATTTACACAACTCAACTAGCGAGTGTTGATGCGCTTCTAGCCAGTTAAACGTTCTCAAAATAACCGTCTAACTACACTTTTCAAGTGGGATCGGAGCTCAACTTCCAAACTTTTTTCACAATCGTTATTGAAAATTTTTGTCATATGATGAAGGCGACGGGCAAGAGCTCCACGTGAAGTATATCGGAATCATGAATGGAAAATCGGAGCTTTCGATGTACGGACAGTGTAGGATCTACTGTATCATGTTCAAGTGCAATTTGAGCCATTCATCGAGATGCTGGACTGTTATCAAGTACACAGTAGCGTTCTTCTGCGTAAAATACGTTAGGACTTGAGATGATGTCTGCAATAAGATCGCGAAAGCCAGTAAGTGTGGACACAGCACGAGTTCGTGACGGAAATAGCGCTGCACGTTGTGCTGCAAGGGCAATTGAGCAAACCTGTCAGAGTTTGATGAAGCTGAAGCGTTTAATTCAGTGACGGCGCGAGAATATATTGAAGGCTCCCGGTTTTCTGAAGTGTCGCGAATAAAATTCTGTTGGAACTGCGAACCGTACTCTTCGCAGGAACAAAACCAGTGATCTAAGTCTACACAGATCGGTGGGCCTTGAGCAGTTTCGGGCTTTACCACAAGTCTGTAAAGCACGGTTTCAGGAGCCTTGTAGAGTAAACTTACCAAATCAGTGTTGTCTGTATGAGAGCTCGAAAAACTATTTGTAAAATTATTAGCATCAGCATCAGCTTCAGCGTCCTGCGGCTCTCTAGCTTCCTTTCCAGAGCCATCAGGTTCAGTCTCCGTACTTTCGCTATGCTCGCACTGCGCGTGCGCCTTGTCAAACACGTAGATGAACATATCATTCGAGTCCAGCAGAGACATGGCCTTTACGAAAAGCTCTCCAGGGAAAAGATGGTATAGAAACGATATGACGGTATCATTAAGCTCGAACTGATCATTCAACAGCTGCGACAATAGCTGCGAGTAGTCGACATAATGGTCATCAGGCATTGAACTTCGGCATTTTTTAATGAAACAGGTCCGTCGCTTACTAAATTGACACCTTTTTGATAAATAGAAAAATGGGTTGTATCGTAAAGTCTTGGAAAAGGGCCCATTCAGCTACGTCACTGGAAGGGAGTAAGTACTAACCGGGCTTGTTCTAATGTCAATCCCGTCGTTATTCTATATGGTTCAAAATTCTAAATGGTGCTCCTTCGCGTATTGCCTACATACTTGCCCCCATAATTCTACAGCTTTCTCGATGTCTTCTGAGCTTAGATAGCTTACACTAAGTCTCACGCTCCTTTTCTTCCACTGCATGGGGTTGTCGACCACTTCGAACCGCGATCCATCTGGAATCATGACATTGTATTTGCGTTTCAACGTCTCGCAAATCTCACCAGAATCAAACCCTTCAGGGAGGGTGCACCATGAAAAGTACCCTCCGGTTTGAAGCTCGTACTCCGTTCTTTGAGGTAAGTATTTTTTGATACTGTCGTATAATACTTCACACCGAGCGCCAAGCGCTTCCCTTGTTTGACGGATTATCTTGGCACAGTCACCATTTCGAAGCATGGTACCAACTATCATCGAATTCAATTGCGAAGGGGTACCGCCCGACGCATTGGCACCACCTTGCGAAAGTTGTGTCGCCAAGTTGCTGTTCACTGTCTCCTGGTAACCAAACCGTAAGCCAGGCGCTATCATTTTAGAAAATGTAGTGTTGACAATTGTATTACCGTAAGATTTATCGACGTCTGAAAGAGTCGCTCTGTCTAGATGAGTAAACCTTAGAGTCGGACGGGGAGTTTCTGTAGCAGGCTGGTCATAACTTAGCATGTCGTAAACGTCATCAGTTATGATTAGCATGTCATGCTTTCGAGCTAGTTCTATAAGCTTGTTTCTGGAGCTCAAAGAATAAGTCTTGCCACTAGGATTTGAATACGTGGGAATCAAGTAAATTACGAACCGATAAAGTTTCTTCGATCTTTTGTTAGGTGAATTTACCAACTGCGAGTCTTGGCTATGATCTCTTTCCTTGTCAAGCTTTTCATAGTACTCCAAATGCTTCTGGAGCGTATCTAGGTCAATTCCATCGTCCTTCTCCCGGATGGCAGTAATTTTGTTCCGAAATCCAGCATCTATGAACGCGTCATTGATGAGAAAATACGTGGGAGAAATAACGAATGCTTGTCTAGTGTAGCCTGTATGCGGAAGTGTGGTCTGCAATAATAAATTGAGCATCCCATAGGATGCTCCTGAGGTCAAATTGATGTATTCAGGTTTGCTTTTGGTTAGGTTGTCCGCTTCTAGTTTGAACGCATCATTGGTAAATTTACAAATCTCTTCTCTAACCCATAGCGATCCACTGTCCGCTCCATAAACGAGTGGGTGGTGATTTTCAACATCATCATCGTACTCTCTCAATTCTGGTTTCAACAGTTCGGTTGTTGCCTTGATGATTTGCTGACGAGGTAGCAAGTCGTGACTAATCCACCCTCTTAAGAAATTGATGGACCGGTTAGCTGACATCTGGATTATACGTATCCCAAAAGCACAGTGAACAATGGTTGAGACCCGAATTCAATAATTTTGTTCCAGCGAGAAATTGGGTATTTACTATATATAGTTTATCGTCATTGATTTTGTCTATCTAGCTTTTTTAAGAAATCATAAGCGTAAGCGAATCGAAACTTTGATGAAAGACAGTGCAGTTCATAACAGCGTACATATCATTTATAGAAATTCGCTGCATTCAGGGTTGTTTGGAATAAGCTCGTCATTCAACTTGAGTTTCCGAGAGGATGATTTCAGCCTGAGCGATCATTCAGCTTTTTCAAAGCCTTCTCACGTAATCTTGAGCCGAAATATACGAAAAAGCTTGTCCCTTATAAAGTCATGAATCCACCAATGGCGAGTATGATAGAAACACGACCCATTCACAACTGGGGTATGCTGTTCGCACTCATTATACTAGAGTTTGTTTTCCGTTCAGCCAGACTAATTGAATTGAACTGCACACTCGCACTCTATTTCTTAGCTCATGTGCCAAAGTCGAATTTTATTTCCATTTTCCTGCGTGCAAAAGCAGTAGAGCGTTTACCAAAGGTAGCTATTCAGACCCGATCACTACCTCCAGAGGCCGCGGTTGCTCGAATCACTAAATTTGTGCATCTGTTGTGTCGAGAAAGCATTTAGCACCAAGTGGAGGCACAGTTAGGCAATTATTAGTCAAATATTGCATAAGCTTAGTAGAACGATAAACGTCACTGCGCAATACTCGAAACAAGATTGAAATACTGTCATTATAATCAAGAGACTTATGAGTATCACGAAATTCGCAAAACAATCTGATCTTGAAATCGGCATCTAATTTGGGTTGCAATAAGGCCATGTTAAGAAGCAAAGGCAAAGAAGATGAATTGTGGATGGATATCTTGTTCTCATGAAACAATAACTGTTCAAGCAATTCACGATCAGCATGTTCGAGAGATTGAGTCAAATATGGAAAGTCGCGGACTCGAATCTCGCAATTTGGTTGAACAACGTTGTCGATATCCTCTAAAAAGATTTTCCACTTTTCACGGAAGGAAACTTTGCAGCTAGTGCTTTTAGCAAAGCTTTCTACTTTGATGCGCAAAAGTTCGTTTCTGTATTCATCAACCCCACTTTCCTCACCAAAGAAGTTCTCAAAATGGGTACACACTTGCGGTGGAATGAAAGGCTTGTTGCCATTAAGCGCGACAGCCCCGACCCCACAAAGCATGGACGGTTTGACCATCAAAACTTTGCGGCCCATCACGAAGCGATACCATAAGAAGTCAACGGATGGGACATGAGCATGCTGTACGCTCTTGGCCAGAAACAAATGCAAAAAGGCTTCTTCCAGTTGATTCAAAGGAAGTTTCTTTACTTGGCATAGGAGGGCATCGAATTCGAGGTTCAAACATCGCGCAAACAGAGTTTGCCGCACATTCAAACTTAAGCCGGGTTGGGACACATTTTTGAGAGACTGGGTCAACTTCATTTAACCATTTAGCAAAGACCACAAAAGCAAGCACTGCTTAAACAGAAGAGAAGAGTAAAACCAACAGAATTTTCAATTTTAACCTAGCACGACTTCCTCCGCGGCAAACTAAATGGAGACGATATCCCGAATCAAATATTCAGTCGCCAATAAATAGCCTGATCACTGTCGATAAGTGAAAGGCAGAATCTTACTTGTTGAGGAGCTCCAATAGCGAAAGTGAACTGTTTAGTTGACGAAATATACATTCAAAGCTTTTTCTAAGAGGTGCGTAAATTTAATTATGAAAAAAATGTTAAAATGTATTTGTCCTGTATATGCAAATGATGATCAACCTCTTTATCTAAAGATTCTTTGACCATTTCACAAGGACCCATCGCTGGCTGCAAACACTATGTTTAAGGCTTGCGTTAATCGGAGTGTCAGACTCGTAAGTGAGAACCGGTAGACTTATCTAGCTTCAATGGTCGCTTTCGATAAAATGACCATAAGAAGAGGACTAGGCCGACAAAGTAAAATACTAACGTATTTTTATCAGACTGCCAAATCCACATTGGGACCCTGGTACTTAAGCGCTGGCAGGAATTCCTGTGTGCGGTTTAATTCTTCTAAAGCTCCTGGCAGTGACGAGATCAAATCCGAAATTCAGACACAGCTGCCGTCGTTCGATCAAGCTACCACGGCTACAAGCGACGCAGTTGCCTCGTTAACAGATCAGGCATCACAAGTTGTTGGAGATGCTTCAACGCATATCGGTTATTTGAGCAGTATCGGTTTAGCCAAATCTTGGTGGTGGCCGCCAGAACTTATCCAGAATGTCATGGAGCAAATTCATGTTTATTCCGGCATGCCTTGGTGGGGAACGATTGTGACGACTACTGTACTCGTCCGTCTTCTAATGTTTCCATTGTACGTCAAATCTTCCGACACAATGGCGCGTAACTCGAAAATCAAGCCAGAACTAGATGCTATAAACGCAGAGCTCATGGCGTCCACGGATATGATAGAGGGCCAAAAAGTTGCTATGAAAAGAAAAAAGTTGATGGCTGATAATGGGGTAAAAAATAGGTATTTGGCGGCTCCTATACTTCAGGTTCCCGTTGCTCTCGGGTTCTTCTCAGGTATCAGACAGATGGCCAATTATCCAGTAGATGGATTTACGGATCAAGGTATAGCTTGGTTTTCTGACTTGACTTTGGCAGATCCATATCTTGGTCTTCAAATCATTACTGCTTCAGTCTTCATTTCTTTCACCAGACTTGGTGGTGAAACGGGTGCTCAACAGTTCTCTCCTACTATGAAAAACTTCTTTACCATCATGCCTCTTGTGTCTATTCCTGCTACGATGAACTTGGCCTCTGGTGTAGTCCTGTATTTCGCGGTTAACGGAGCCTGCTCCGTTGTGCAGACATTGCTTTTGAGAAATAAATGGTTTAGAAAGAAGCTCAACATCGCGGACGTTGTTAAGCATGCACCAAGCACAAATGGCCCCGCAAAAGGCATAATCGATACGTTCAGAGAAAATATGCAAAAAGCAAGAGAGCAAGCAGAAAGAAGACAGCTAATGCAAGAGAACGAGAAAAAGATGCAAGAGGCTGCAAAAGAGCAGAAAGCCAGCAAAACGATCAAGATTGTTCGCAGATCCGATTTCAACAAGCGTTCAAAAAAATAGGTATTTTATTCGCCCCGCGGCGTGTATTTCGCCAAAATGGCGTGTATGTTCGCCGTCTGTAAATAGACAGTATAAATAATCAGAGACAAGGTTTAAGAACTTGTAAAAACGGCACGAGCCTTTGTCATTAATTATCGTACATGTAAATGCTTTGCACTTTTAGTGCATAGTGAATGTCAAGTATTTGTCCCTGGAGCACATTAATGGGAAACAGATTTAAAAAAAATCTTCAGGTTTGCGAATAAAGGATTGCAGAATTGCTTGTAAAGCTCCTAAAGTTGGCCCCATGCTAGATGCGAGGTTTTCTTGGTCAATAAAACTCATCGAAAAAACAATGGCTAAGTTCGTCGCGTCCATTCGATTATGTTCAACATGTTGGTCAACACGATTCAAATGCTCGAATGTTCTCTTCATCATGTGAAAATTGTAAAGCGGTAGGCTCTTGAGTGCATCCTTGATTCCAGCTTTGAATTCCTCATAGTCTATGTCGTTCGATTTATAAGCCAAGGCCAGATTCACGAATAACGGTAGCTTCTCTTTGGTGAAAAGTGAATCTGGAAGCTCTCTGAGGTACAGCTTGAAGCAACCGGCTATCGTATTGATCTCAAACCATCTATCATCTTCAAGTGTAAATGAATTGCTGACCGCGCCTTCTTCATCAAATGCATTTTTTAAAGCGTTGATGCTCCCAACAGATCCAGGCACTCTATAGAGGCCCATCTCATCTAATCCACGGAGTTCAATTTCTTCTAGCAATTTAACAACAATGTTTGGAATGATACTACATTCGCGTTCGCAAACGTCTTCAATTGGTACCCCAAATATTTTGTTGGATGTCTTCCCTTTGTATTTTTGAGAATGAAAAGAATATCTTTTAGACAAGTTGATAACTCTTAGCCATTCCATCATATCATGTTGGTTGATAGTTTGTACAATATGCTCAGATCCATTTTCCATTATAATTTTCAAGCTGTGATCAGCTTGCGGAAGCTTATTGATGCCGTTCACAGGAATGCATGATTTGATCTCAAAAGTCTTTATTGAATAAACTGGCTTCGAGTCTCTAAACACACTCGAAGTTATGTCTGGTAGCTCATATGGAGATATTGATCCATTGGATTGTACCCCACTTAGGAGTATCGCATTGAGGCCATGTGCTGAAGACGAGCTTGAAAACCCTCCAATCGAAAAAGGTCTCTTCAAAAAGTCCCCCAATTTCTTGCCCATACTGCCATTACTATGGGAAGATGAATTAGATATGATTGAGCTTCTTGGAGACGGATTAGCCGCGTAAGAGCTTCGCTTCACTGTTCCAGCGTACTCGGCTTCCACCGGCGAAACTTTAAGGCCAACGGACGCTACAGAGCTCTGAACAGATGAAGATGAGCTCAATCTGTTTCGATGCCTCACCGCTTGCTCAAGTATGTTTTTGCGCTTAGAATCGTTGTCTTGGACTGTGAGCTGCAATTTTTTTTTCTGATCGCGCTTGATTTTGTCTACCTCAGCAACAATCACGCTATTGAATAGCCCCGTTGCTTGATATTTGCTCTTTCTTGCCTCATCGGCCGCAGTATCTTTTGCGAGCTTCCTGAAAGCCTTTCCTACATCAACAATATCGTGGAACACAAAGGCAGCATTGATGTTTACTGGAGCAGCTTCCTCATGCGATGTCTGAGAGTTAGGAAGCATCTCTCTAAAGTTGATAATGACGTTGTTGACAAACCTTCGTTTGTCAAAATTAATCATTCTGGAATTCTCTATGCTCATGTTGGGCACGAACTGTGATATTTCCAAAAGTCTTGTGATTAACCAACCGGGACAAGGAGCGAGATTTTTGGATTTTGAAAGATGAGATTCGCCAAATTCCACAAAGTATTTGATCTGATGTGCTGTTGCTTCGAGAACGGTGGAGAAATCCTTGGCATCCGTGGCATCGGGGCCAGCAAGCTTCCTGTAAGCTTTTTTCCAAAACATCTCGAAGTACCTCGATTCAGGAGCCACCAAAGCATTACAGAGACAGCTCTCGATAAACGATGGTACATGGGGTGAAATAGCTGTAGTTCCTTTATCTTGCTTACCGTCGTGAAATAGATCCATGGAGGAATTCTTCCAGCGGGAAAAGTTCAACATTTGTAGCACCACCGCACACGCGTTTACTCTACTGTCTGCGGAATGACCAGCGTGCGCGATTTGAAGAATAAAAAAATTCGTCACCGAAATATGCAACTTAATGATTAGTTGCACGGATGGCGCCAATTTGTCAAAGACAGAACTGTTCTCATCTGCTGAAAGAGTGGTCAGCCAGGTAAAGACGTTGAGAATTTCAAGGTCATCGAGCTGTGATCCAGCAGACTGGATAATGCTGTGCGAAATGGAATGGAGAGGATATTGGTATAAGGATATAAGCGACTCATTTGAAAATAGCTCTAGAACTTGAGACAAGTCAACCCAATCTTGATTGGATACTAGTGACATTCTGTCACTCACGACTTCATTTAGGCCGTAAATCCACTTTGACAGCTCGCTGTAGTCATCAAAGGCCAGCTTCTGGTAGGAGGTGTAAAAGTCATTTTGAAAGCTTGGATCATCTAGGTGATAGCTTAAATCGCGAAGTGATACAGCTGTAAAATCTTTGAGGTAGCTTTGTGTGATTCTTTGAGTTTTGTTGACTCCAAGAGGTCGGTATAATTGTTTCTGATAACAAGATCTGAGCCTTTTGAACAAAGCTTTCAATGTTGACTGCAAGCTTTCAAGCTCCGTAATCTCGTCACGAAAATCTGGTTGCAGATATTTCGTCTTTGCAAACAGATCTATCCTCTTTCTCCATTCCTCATTGACTTCTTGATCCATAATCTTCAAAATGTCAAGAAAAGTCACGTTGTTTGCCAGACAGTCAGTAAAGTCTGAATAGTGCAAGCTCACTAGGTGGAGCAAGGCTTCCATGGCACCGATTTGAATTTTGGCTACATAGGTCAGACTGACTTCATCGTCCTCTGTGACCTTCAGATCCCAAGCTGGAAATCTGCTGTTGCTACTGGTAGCATCGACAAAACCGGAAAACCTGCTCGTATTTGCGCCGCCAGGATACTTCTTTCTCCCATGGTTGATGACACGAGAAATAGATACAGCACCACTAACAGCGCCTATGAAACGTTTGGCGATGTTTTCGAGCGCGATTGTTGTTGTTGTGAAACTCTTGTAGGTATTGAAAAAAGTTTCGGTGAAAACGTCATTGTCCATGAGTAGCCTAATAAAGGCATAATCAAGAGGGCCTACGGAAGTGTTATCTGGGCTTTGAGCACGTAAACTCTGACTCTGGCTCTGCCGCTTTCTTTCGTGGGACAGGTATTTTTCCAAATCTTCCGTTTCAATCACCTTAGAAAAAACGCTTGTTGTTAAAACAAGAACATCAAAAAGCTTGTCAAGTGTAGCAGATTTTAGCACAACTTGAATGTAAGACTCATTAATGGAGCCCGATGACTTACCCATCGTACTAAAAAAGTCAAGCGTCTCCATTGTTGAACTTAGCCTTGCTATATCTTGAGAGTCCCTCCCAGTATTTATCGACGAATGCTGTGAAAGTCGTTTTGGCGTCTCAATCACAACACTTGCTGGTCTTGACCTCCCATCTATATCATTAACAGCTTTGAAAACAATTTCATCGGAAACATGAAACATATCCATATCGATATTAAAAGCATCTCTGATAAGTTTAAGCAATTTTTGCTTGTTAGAAAGCTTGGAAGAGATTTCTTTAGCAACAGGCTCATCAATTCGCTCCACACCAGTTATAACACCCTGATCATGATCTTGACTTTGATTGTAAGGACTGCTAATCTTTTGGGCGCTAGATATTTGAGGGGCGCTTTCGCCACCATTGCCACTCACTCCGGCGGCCCCAATTAGGGATTCACGGGGAAATAGGGAATAGCTAGGTAATACGTCATTGAACAGCATCGGCAAGTAACTACCAGTAAGCAAAGCGCTTCTTCTCGAGCTTGTTGCCGAATACTGTTTCTGACTTATTTGAGGAGGTTCCACCGCCAAACTCAGTTCCATTATGCTGTTAATGTTCATTGGTTCCTGGTCCAAATGAAATCTCCAATAGTGGTATATTTTGGATGTGGTTTGCGCAGGCTCTGTCACAACTGCCGAGACACTGTCTCCCGCACCCATGTCATTCTTTCTGGCCTGCTCTATGCGCTGTTGCCATTTGTAAAAGGCATTCTTGGTTCTGTGTATCTTCTTTTCGAGATATTTGAACTTTGTGTCAGGCGGAAGGTCGCTAGCAGTTATGGAGAGGTCTCCAAAAAAGGGAATGACATTCTCCCTAATATATGCATCATTTAGGTTTGGTGGAGCAAGAATGAAAACACTGTTAGTGGACTTCGACGAAATTTGTCGCCTGTCCAACTGCACTATTGTTGGAACCCAGTCTTTGAAAATAACCCTTAGGGTCAGCTCGGGTACAAATTGCCAAGTCGATGCAAGTCGCAGTACGGGTACGGAGCAAATGATGGTGGCAATGGCTAGCCATGAAACCATATCGCCAATCTTTTCAAACTTACAACCCAATTGTACCCATGCGCTCAAAACCTTCGCAGTTTGTCTAGGAGAAACCCTGGACTGCTCGTTGAAGAGATGAGTTATCATTAACCTGCCCAAGAAGTGGACATTTTCGGTATTTCTGAATACCATGGGGTTCATGTGAATGTGATTTTCGTTGAATTTTGATTCGTAAAGTAAAGAATAATCCATTTGAGGACTCCACTCTTTAATGAATTTGAGATTAATCTGATGAATACCGCGAGCAAAATCGTCTAAGTCAAGATTTAGAAAGTTCTCTACCTTCGTTAGTTGCACGACCTCTTCCATGGCCACTCTTTGTTTGGAAAATGCACAGAGAGTGCTCAATTTATTCTGTCTTTCCACAATCGCTATTTTCAAATTTGTCGATATCTCATCATCATGCAGTGATATAACGTTTACCAGATCTACAATTTGCGAAAATAAGTTATCGTCTAATAGGAAACCCGGAAATACGTCCAATATAGCTTTTACCACCAAAGCCAGCCGTTCAGTCATCAAAGAATCGGCTTTGGCTGAGATTTGCAGATGTTGCCTAGCTGAATTGACGAGTTTGGCTCGATGCCGTGTGTAGGTGAGACCGAAAAGTTGAAATATATTCAAAATTGTGCCAAATTTGTCAATAAGCGGGAGAATAAGCAAAATGTCAATTATTTTCCTAGCATCATCATCATTGAGAGGAGGACAAAACAAAACCATATGGCATATACTTTCATTTGATCCAGAAACCAACCGCCCCTCTTTGTCCAGCTTTAAATCTGGATGAGGGTATTCTGCGCTCATGTAAGCTAAATCTTTCTGCTGTTTCTCAACCAAGGTAGCTTGGTCATCAGTACCTAAGGGCTGGGCTTGTGTGGGGGTCACTGAAGAAGCGTAATTAATATCTTGATATTGATGATCTAAAAGATGCGCAGGAGGTGACAGATTTGGATCAAAAAATTTGACGTTACCGATTCCACTTTTGTATAGATTCAGTACCGAACCTTTGAGTACAGCTCTGTGAAGTCTATAATTTGTGGATTTTTTTCCTAGTGATTGAGGATCCAAGGAGGCATTTCCATTACCGTAAACTCTGCTGTCACGATTATTCGCTACCTGAGGCACTGCCGTTTTGTTCACCCAGCCAACTTTAAAGGTACAATTGTCGTAATTGTCATTGTTGAAAGAAGGCAGCGAACCGCTCTTTATTGTAGACGTGGTTGGCGTTTCGTCGGTGGCTTGGGAAACCATGGTTGAACGATCATCTGTAATAGTTGAGGCTGCATGGGAGGCAGCTTTGTCGTTTTTCATATCCTCATTGCTAATAGAGCCCCGGCTAGACATAAGACTTCGATTTGATCTGTTGCCGCTCTCTGAGAGATACAGAGAAGGCGAAGAAGTCATTTGTTTTCCAAAGACAGTAGGTCGCTTTACAAGCGAGGTTGAGTGTGGTGAAGAAGTAGCAGAGCCTTCGTGTTTGCTGAAACTTGCCAAACTGCTGGGGTTGCCAGCAGAGTGGCCTCTAGGACTCTCCGCCTGCCGGTCATCTGCTGCGGCCGACGAAGACTTTCTGCCTCTGCCAGACCATCTCAGACTCTTCATGGTGTTGCGTCTGCTTCTGGTAGCGCTTTAATCAGTCTCTGGAGCTCGATCAAAGAAAGTAGTCGCGTCAGATCTGGGATATGCGCGACAAATAGAATTCTAATTTCGAATCTCTCGACTTTTAAACGGATCTACAGACTCAGAAGACTGTTTTTCTGCACACCACGCGGTCAAAATCAGTAAGACACTAATTGCCCGGCTTGTATAGAGCGCTTGTCCGCTTTAATAGGCTTCTAGATACTGTTCAAACCTTTCAATACTGCGTTTTCAAATATAAAACCTTTCTTCAATTCGAACGGTCCCCCAATCAGCGAATACTACTCGTCATTGGATACGGAACACCAAAAAAAACAAACCCTCTCAATGAACAGTGTTCAAAACGGTTCATAATGGGGTGGGTAGGGTTGTCATCGGCCTGCGTAAATACAACATTCATGAGAAAACCCTTATACGTATTGAGGCTTGACATTGTCTCTAATTCTTAAAGCGAAAAAAATGATGGTACTGTATGTAATATCTTATGAGACTCACCGCCACGCCTCGCATGTGCAACTTCAACAGGCATTTATAAAATACGTAGAATGACTTGTTTTCGTAAATGCAGGCCTTCGCAAGGGAAAGAAGGCGATGGTTTTTGTAAGACACTTTGTATGTCCAGTGGTGGGATAAAGTTATTTAGGAGAGACCAAATCAGCAATCGACTGCTCGCTAGTTTCTGTATTTAGTACTCATTTCATTAGCTGAATGACTTGAATTGTAAATGTAAATGTTTCTGTTGTTCACCAGCGCAAGCTCAAAGTTTTGCTACCAAAACAAACAGACGGTATTTATATAATTCTGAAATGTGAATGACAAATGAATATGGTGCACTTTATTGGCCTAATCGTTTATTTTGAGTATTGGTAAGTAGTCAGAAGGTCTAGGCCACTTGTTAAACCCCCTTCGGTCTGGAACTACAAGATATCATTTCGTGCTTTTGTGCTGTTCATATCACTCTGTACTATCTTGTCATTATGCGACTTGGCAATATCATATATCAAATCACAACAAAACCGTAAGTTCAGTAATCGGAAATTTGTCGACTTTTTTATTCAATCGTCAACTCTCTGAATTGAATCCTCGCACTTTGACTAGTTTTCACTGCCAAGCTTACCACATGTCTCATCATTTAAGCAAGTCAAGGAATGCACTCGAAGATTATAGGCCGTGTTGACGTCTGTGACATACCGTTAACACCAATATAGTGACGAGTTTGCCAGCATCTCGATTTTTTCAAAGAGTGCTCTTTCTATACTTGAGTGTGCAAACCGTGCAGTCATTTTTCAAGATACTTTCTATATTATTAACCCATGTAGTCAAGAAAACGTTAGATATTATTTACAACTTTAGTAAAAAGATAACGAGCTGTTGTTTACTTTGACTGACGTTCAAGTATATAAAGCTGCGAATGTATGCTCACCCTCCCAATGTTACAAGAAATTGTGTTAAAGGCTTATTTACCATTAAGACTGACTACGGGAATTTTTGTACCAAGCCTCGCGTTCTTTTGCTAAGCTTTTGTGAGAACACTCATCATATTTAAGCAGTGGTCTAATAATATATAATAAATAAAACTGTTTTGCAAAATCTCAAACATATGACGCGTAGACTTCATGTGTGCGCATTTACGTGGGACATATTCAAGCCTCAAGGAAGTTGCAATGCCTACTGATAAAAACGCGGCAGAAAAGAAACGTTTTCTCTCAATGTTTCCTAAAGACTCATTTGGGCGAGCTTTAAAACAGTCTCTTTTGATGACGCTCCCCCAATAAAGCCAGCAGCATGGATAAAAATACAGCCTGGCAATCCGCTCTTTTCGCTGAGTTCATCATCTCTCAAACCCCTCAAAGGTTCAGGCAGACCTTTTCTGAAATTGAAAGAGGTAGCAGAAACTGAGACTGTGGATACTCTCCATTTCCCAGAAGAATCTGCGAATAGAACGAACAATATCTCGTTTTCAATGCCCTGTTCCCTTTCGATAGCATACAAATGTTCCTTCCAAGGACAGAACTGTGTCAACACAATAATCTTGCCAGATGGGTCGACCTCAAATCTTTTTTGCACGGCTTCTTCAACTAAAGTCTTAGCGGGCATCCAAGACTCACCATATCCTTTGACCAGGTTTACGAAGACACCACCAATAAAATCTGAAGCCTTAAAAAAACATTTGTCAAAGCTAGCATCTGAACTGTCTTCATTCCAGTTAGGATTCATGCCAGACACAATTCCCGGAATTGTAATATTTTTATCATGGAATTTGGGCTTTACGCCCAATTCCTCACTGTCAAAATTGCTGATTCCGTTGTCGTTAGCATCTAAAGACTCGATGAAATCTCTATATACCTTCTCATAAAGGAAATCAACTTGTGACTCTTTCAATTGAGGTTGCAAAGTCTTGATGATATTTTGTCCGAAATGTTTGTAGACCAGCCCGGCGCTTGAGAGTTTGGTTTTGTAGCTCTCACTAAAGGTCTCGAAAAACTCACGCTGGTGGTGATCAAAAAGGCCATGTTTAGAATCGTACTTCCCGCTCACATCAACGACTATATCGCTTTCTTCCCATTTGACAGGATCTCTTGACCTTACAACCTTGGCATCCTTGTATTCCGGTAAAATCCTCAAAATATAGACTGCTAAGGCCTCATCGGCGTGAAAAGACCCCGAGTGGGTACAGATTTGTTTAGGCATGCTCAACTTTGCCTTTTTAGATAGTGACATTGGCAACTAATTGTGCGCCATGAGAAGAGATATACCTAAAATTTTCTTTAATTCAAAATTAATTTGATAGTTTTTCTCAAATAAATGAAACGACAGAGCTTCGAAGTAAACACCTTCTAGTCTTTCCGAACTCAAACATATATACAGTTATTCGTGTGACTGTGCTCTATTGCTACATTTACAAAGAAGTCTGGTAATTAGTACAATGAAGATTCCATTTAGATACACAAGATCCCAATTAGAAGTATTCAGGTTTGCTTTCTGTCTTCTCTCACCTGTAGCGGTGATGTACTGGATTGGTATTGATACAGACAAGAAATTGAATGTACCAGGGTTCTGGCCCGATCCCGAAACTCTAAATAAGATCCCAAAGGAACCTTACGAGATCAAGGCGGAATTAGCAAGAATGAAGAAAGAACGACTCGAGAAGAGAATTAGACTGGAGAAGAAGATTGCTGAGGAGTATGGAATAGATATAGAAGCTGAAAAAGCACGCATTAGAGAGCAGGTGAAAAATGAACGATTGCAGAAGTGATCTGTGCTGATGCATGTATTAAGTATGACCCCCGACGAATAAAGTTTATGACACAAACAAGATGCACTATGCAGCGTTTTAAAGCGAATATGGCATTAAGCGATTCTATGTCCAGCTCCAGATTCCTAGTTGCATTTTGAACTCTAAATCTGGGAGTGAGGTTACTATCGAATTCATCTTAACATTTGAACTAAATGAGTGTCGATACCTGGGATGCAAGATGAAATCTAATCCCAGGCCAGGCGTTGCAGTGACATCCTTCAACCGCCCGACTGTTCACCTTTGGCAGCCGTCGGTCCATGAGCGCTAATGAAATACGGCTAGTTCTTGACGCAGTATGAACAGAATGCTCTCAGTTGCTGAGTATTTGTCGCTTATGTTCGGGTTGAACCACAAAGGGGCTGCAGGATATATAAGTTATACCATTTCAAGTATCCTCTGCGCTTACCTCACAGACTGCGCGCTCATTCCTGCCAGCAAATCTTACCTTTTTGCTGATTATGCTGGTTGCGTAGACTGATTAGCAATCCGATATGAGACTACAATTTACGTCCAGGATAATTTGTTGCTGTATGATATTATATTCGTCCTATTAGAATATTTGAATATCGCCCACAGCTAAGCTAACACGACGACCTCAAACGAGCCTTGGCCATATTGTTCATCGTTCACATGAGATTTGTGTCACGGCATGCCTTCCTTCGCGACAGCTTAATCATAGAAGCTGCCTCAAACAACTATGATTGAATGATGTTTATCGAGGTTGCTCCCTGACGCCCAGCTTTAAGCGTGTGAGGTTGCTAGCAATGTTGTTGATGGACATAGATAAGTAATTACTCACAATAAAAAAAGCTGCGGCTGATTATATCTCCGCTATTTTTTCGACTGGGAGCATGATTTCGCTATATTTTGGTATTTTCAATTCTTGTGCGGCCGAAAGCATCCATCGTTTCTGCTCATGTAAGTACATTAATTGCTGCTATTCTGATAAAATGGAGTTTTTCCAGTGCCGTAGAATGGCTTCGTGAGTAGAATCAAATTCGTATGAAATATTTACATTATATTATGCCGCTTCGAATTATCCTGACGCGGTATGAATCCAAAAATTATTATAACAAGAAATAGTATTTCTACGCTTTCACTGCTGACTTATCGGAAACAGATGAATTCTCTATAATCCCCTTTTCTGTAGGCTGCAATTCTATATCATTTTTGCCTGTGTTCAAAGCAGGAGAGTAGGCATATTTGGATCTTAGTCTTATCTTGGCGCCCAAGAAATAGAAAAGATAAGGAATCACGCAGCATGCTAGTGCAATAAATGCCATTAAACTGCTGGCCCATTCTAGTCCTAGTCTGTGATACATCTGTATGGTGAAGAGGGGAACAACACCGCCCCAAATTGACCTCACAAAAGTCTTGGCGGCAAGACCGGAGGCGGCATAATGTTGATATGAGTCAACAATGTAATTATTTGCGGGATTGTAAAGCATGAGAAACCCAAAACCACATGCAAAGCCACTGAAGCAAGGACCTGCCCACGAAACGTGGGGGAAAGAGGACCATGCATACGCAAACAGTCCAATGGGCACAAACCAGCAGCCAATCATCATCGGAATCAGTCTTAATTCGGCTGGTGGCATTTCTCCCCTATCCCAATATGGTTGAGCTCTTTTGATGTAATCTCTATTCAAAAGTGGAGATATTGCTGTAGCAAAAATAACACCAGCGCCAACAGGGATGAACATTATGCTCGTCTTGATAGCACCAAAGTGTTTGCCCTCAGTATAAACCATGGGGAAAGCGAAAAAGAACATGTATAGTAGCCCATAAATAACGGACATGTACATCGTAATCAGGAAAACAATTAGCTCTGATAATAGAATGACAGGCCTTAAGAGCGTTTCTTGGGTAATTTCCTTGAGAGATCTAATTTTGATCTCGCAAATTGCTAGGTAAGTAGAGTCTCCGGTGAGTTTGCGCAATTTCTTGGCTCTTTTTTTTAGGATTGTTTGGTGATGAGTCTCCGGCATGAAGACTGCCACTACTGTGTAAATACACCCACTAAAGATCAGCATGAACCAGTAGACCCATCTCCAGGAACATTTGACAGATAACAGAGATCCAACAATTGGGCCCATCACCGGACCAATAAATGGAGCCGCTGAAAACAATGACATGGCTACACCACGCTCGTTATTTCTCCACATATCACTCAAGGAGCCACCGATCAGACACATTGGAGCGCTAAATGCCAAGCCATCGAGAAATCTGAAAGCTAAGAGAGTTCCGATGTTTTTGGCCGCACCACATGGGACAATGAAAACTACAGCAATGAATAAGGTCACCAGATAGACAGGGTTTCTACCAAACTCCTCTGACAATGGCGCAAACAGCAGAGGTCCTATACCAAAGCCCCAGACCATGAGTGATACACAGAGACACATCACCTCTGTAGAGACGTGAAAATAATCAGCCGGGCCATCAAGATCACCCGTGATGATCGCAGACATCATCGCGACGTCGAAGCAGACAACTCCTAGCAGAATAGTGTAATTCCATTTTTGACGCTTTGGCCAGTTTCTGGGGTCTTCATGATCATCGTCGATAAACTCTACAATTCTGAGTCCGGTCTCTTGATCTACGGGGTACTTCCACTTGTCCTCTGGGTGGATAGTGGATGCTGGTCCTGGGTGAGTCTCTTCTCTTTCGAGATCTAGAGCGGGTTCCACGGGACCAATACCATGTGTATTGGACTCATAACGGGCGAGAACTTTGTCGATCTTACTGCTGTTCTGCGTGATGACTTTCCGGAGTTCTTCGCCGTCAGAATTCCTGCCTGTTGAAGATTTAGAGCGCACAGAGGTGATTTTGTTCAAAAACGTACCGGAGTCCTCCCTGTCTTCAGCTATTTTTTCTTTTGGAGCGTAAGTTTGCATGTCCGATTGAATACTTCCCGCATCGGAAGACAGTGAAGAGGCCATTTTGATGGCGCAACAGTTCTTGCAGAAGCTAAGGGACAGTTAGAAAGCCAGTCCTAGAGCTTTTTCCAGATGCTTAGTGGGGAGGTGAAAAAAATCTGGCCGTTTATCAACATTTGAAGCTCGAATTCCTGTAGGTTCTTATATATGCCCTTCGGCTGATAAGTTAAGAGCCGACATAAGCGTAACGAGCGATCTAAGCGCATGAGTAAAAACCGAAAGGGAGACTCAGGTACCAATCATGCTAGGAACAAAGACCAAAGAATGTATTGTTAGCAAAATTAGTTACCCAGTAATACTGAGAGACAAATGTGCCTTCTCAGCGCTGGATTCCTTCCCTCAAAAGGTTTTCGGTACTTCTTCATCGGTTAGTAACGTTACGAACCGATCATTAACAATTCGAATGTCATCACTATGAACGAACGACATGCAAATTTTTATTTTTCGGTATTATTGTTATCTTATTGATTTTTCTTTCCTTATTCGTCTATTCGAACATGGGCACCTGTAGTGCAAAGGCCTATCAAACTACCGTAGTTCTTGGCGGCCACACGGTTTGACTTAATTGTCCTTTAGCTTTGAAGTCTTGGTCCTTTGGTAGTGTTGAAGGGCTATTCAATTCTATTTATCACATGACGCAAGCTAGTGGCTTGATCAACTAGCATAAGATAGGAAGGAATGCCACTAAATCGCCCATGAAAAATAAAGGATACGTCAGCAGTCACTCTGCTGTCCGATCCGACCTCGCTGCAAACAATAATCTGTTGCAAGACGGCCTCCGTTTATAAGCTGGTATTACTGTTAGATTTCCGGAGTATAAGATAAGAAGATTGATGCCACAATCAAGAAGCATTGCAACAAACGCTACAATCCTGGATTAGAAATATTTTCTGCAGATCTGTAGGATCCCTTTTCAAGTTCTAGGCCGCTAATTGACAGAAGCGGGTTCGAACTCAACGATATGGATGAATAAATCGTCTGACCAGCCAGTCTCGGGCCTTGGTTGACAGACACAAGATTTTAATAGCCTTCGACAGGAGAAGGTCACGACATCGATAGGGCTTACTTTGATACGATGATTATCACGCGGCGCGGAAAATCGTAATCTTTCACAAGACGTTATCGATTCATTGCTTACGCCAACTTGAGGGAATTCACTGATGTCTTGTTCAAGTTCGAGCTCTTCATAAAACTGTGGGGTCCGAAGATCGAAATAGGTAGTATATCTTCGTTTTTTTTTGAACTACTGGGCGCCTATCCGTCTCGTGTGCGGTAATGGTACAAATGCGTCAGATATTGCTCTCGTGTTTGGCAGATGTGATGCCTTCGGTTACTATCAAACTATATGAGGGCTCAAATTTCGCAAGTTCTCTTCCGCAACGTGAATGTCAGACGTAATCTTACAAACAACTCTAATCTTGATCCCAACGATAAATTCTGAGGAGCCCCCCCCCTCTATGCCTTTTTAAACTCGTCAATCCTTCAAATGAAGAAATAGCTTTGTAAGTACTATAATTCGAGCAAGCGTGGAGGCGAGGATAAAAAGAATACTGGTGCACTGTACCGCACTGATAGCCATTATTACCAACTTCCCAGCATCCTTCTGAACCTTTAAATCTAGGAAGGCGACCGGTTGGCTAATTAATATTAAGTCGCACAATCTTGCCTATGGCATCAAAAAACGGAAGCTGCCATTAACTTTATTTCTATGAGACTATATTCCATCCGGGCCTTATGTTTCTCTTCAACTTGTTGAAAATCAGGTCATCACTAGAAATATAAGTACCGAAGTTAGTCAAGCTCTCAATCGGAGTTTTGGTACGATGAACCTATTTAAGATATACATACATGCATCTTATACTTTGAGCATGTTTTTGACTCAAATTACAATTTCAGCATAGGTTGTTCTCTCGGCACAAGAATCGAAAAAAACAAAACAAAACATAGTTGGTTGCGTGCGTTAGAACAACAAACGATTTAAGTCGAATTATAGACCTGCTCATGCCGTCAAGGAGTAGAGCAAGCTCCTTGGTTCAAAGTATTGCAACAAGAGTACCAGTTAATACTGATTCCGTATGTCCCATAACTACTCTTAAAAAATGAAACCATTGAAGTAGCCTATCTTTACTAACAGCACTATTAGGTGCCGTATCTGTATGATGATCAAGAGCTGCTACAGAAGTTGCGAACCATAAGCCTGGGGTATGATGAGACCTCGGCCCCCCTTAAGGTACAGCCTCCCGTTAGCGATACAAAGTATGAAAGATACGATAAATACCTGAGTGATTTGAGTGGCAGAGCCGCACAATATCAGAATGTTATCGACCAAACGCGAGCGATCAATAGCCAATTGAATCTTACAATCGAAACATTCTGTGGTATATCTTCGCAGACGCAAGTGTTTGCGGGTTGTACCCGTCAACTGTACGATAAATTTAATGAACTCGACAAGCTACACGAGTCCTTGGACGAGTATTTGAGCTTTTTTGAAGCGTTAGAACCAATCGCTCGAGGGCTGTATCAAAACTCCTCGCCTAGTGTTGTGAAGAAAGATTCATTCAAATCGAAGCTCATAAAAATTGACACATCTCTACAGTTTTTAGATGAACACAGTGACTTTAAGGATGCGGAAGCCTACCGTATTAAGTTCAAGAAATGCATGATACGGTGTTGCAGCTTGATGGCCAGTTACATGAATAATTCTTTAAAAGCACTCCATGAAGAGATAGCAAAGTCAGTCGAAACGGCCACACAGTCCGCAACTAGAGACGCCCTGTTATACAATAAGTTTTCCTCTCGTGCTCCAGCTTTTTTGACAGTTTCAGAGAGCCTCTCAAATCGCTGTTCAAGCAAAAGCTATTACAGGTATCGCGATGAACTACACTCAATCTTACAAGGTTGCTACAATGACTACTTCCAAATTAGAGCAAAGCTTTTGCATAATTTAATAATAAACCAGCTCGATCAATCGATGGTGCAAGACAAGAAGTTTTCGTTGGTAAAGTACATTCAAGACAACTTATTATTCTTTTCTCAATTATGCCAAAACGAGTATGGCCTAATAGTACAGTTTTTCCCGGAAGGGGAAGGAAAAAGAGAGTTCAATAAGTGGCTCTTTCGCTTGTGCGAACCCTTGCATGATCGAGTCAGAGAAAAGGTATTAAGAGAGCCTGAAGTTGCAGCTCTGTGCGACTCTGTGACTTTACTAAATAAATACTACCAATTTGAAGAAGATTCCAAGGAATACGAAGCTCAATACAACAGCGTCCAATTAGACAAAATCTTTGAGCCTCTGCTGCAGGATGTTCAGTACAGATTGATATTCCGGGCTCAAATCTATGTTGAAACTAACATCGTCAACTTCAAGCCTACCAAAGAAGCATTTATAATCAATCACAGGAAGCAGACATCAAATTCGATTGATAAAAGCAATGACATCGTAACTTCATTCCTTGAAAGCATTTCAGAATTGGAAGATGAAACTGAAGAGATTCGTAGCTGCTATCCCCCAGTGCTTAGAGCTGTGGCTCTCCTGTCAAGAATCTACCAAATGATTAATTCCTCGATTTTTGATAATTTGGCTCATCACATCGTTCACGATTGTATTCAATCTTTGCGATCTGCATTTCAGCTAGTTAAACAGTCTGAAGATAGTTTGGAACCAAGATTGGCCTACTTGAAGAATTTGCTAATGCTCCGTAAACAAGTGCAGAACTTTGAGATTCAATATGTATGCAATGAAAAGTACGTTGATTTCTCCGGGCTAGCAGACTTTCTAAGATCATTAGCTCATGGGGGTCTAAAGAGGGGAACAAGCAACTCTGTCCTTGATTTGGCTCTGGAAGGAGCCCCTAGAGTAGTCAACGATATGGTTGACGCACGGTCTGAGCTGACACTTGAACTACGCAAAACCATCAAAAATTTAACCGAGACAGCCGCAAGAGAAGTACTTGGGGACTGTTTGAATACACATGAGAATTTGGTAGCCAACAACGTGCAGCTGAGAAAAAACGTGGAAATTCTACTTCCTCGGGTACATGAGTGCATGTGCAACTTCATTAAAGATGGCGAGATCAGGACACATCTAATCGATGCGATTCAAGACATAGTAATACGTTCCTACGCCAGTTTTTACGAGGAAATTGTAGAAATGGCAGCCAGCAACAAAATCAGCAAAGACGAGGTAAGCGAATTGATATACGTCGATGTTTTGGCCGATTTCATCAACAACACCGCAAGCTCACTTGATCAGCTTTGACAAGTTCCTCTTGAAGCATTTGCCGATCCAAGCAACGATTTTTAAATTACATTTACAGTATATATGTAGAAACGGGCTGCTTTACGATTCTTCTTCCTCGTCCAGAGGGTCGTAAATGTTCTGGGCCATCAATCTATTAAGCTCAGCCTTTATGAATTCAACCTTTGCTGGATCTACCAGCAGGTGAGTGTCATCTAACTCCTCTAAGATGACATCATTCTTACTGGAATCTATCTGCACAATTAATGCTTTAATGGATGGATCACATTGAACCAGGGCTCCTTTTCGGGCTCGAGGCATTGCTCTGTGATATACGAGATCAAAATGTTTAAAATTGCATGTAAGTTAGTTGTTGAAATTAATAAACTTTTAATTCACCATCACAAATTTAAAAGGGATGGCGCTTCAGAATGACCCACAATGATTCTAAATCGCATCCGAACGGTTCCACGGAAAATGTTGATGCCAAAGATGAAGAGAAATACGAGCAAAAAAACGGTATCAGTATCGAAAGTAGATATTCAGACAGTTCTAGAGATGCCCACAGAGGAAAAGTATCGCTACGAAGCGAAGAAGACAAAGACGATCATTATTTGAGTCGAGGCGATGAGCATCACAGCAATGACGAAGCCGCGGATGTTCGAGCTACGAGTTTCAAAGAAAAAGATAGTAACGGGAAGACTGAAAGCCATGACACGCCGTATGACGACGTTATCACTCAGCAGGAACAAAAATCGGCAAAAAGGATTACGACTAAAGAGGTAAATAAGCCCGAAAACAAAGAACCAGATGAAGACGAAGTAGCCGAAGAGGAAGAAGAGGAAGACGATGACGATGACGACGAAGAGCCGCCCTTACTCAAGTACTCTAGAGTCACCCAACTTCCGAGAAGCTTCTTCACCAGAGATTCGATTTCAGCTTGCCAGTTTCATGACAAAGTATTTGCTTTTGCAACGCATGCAGGTCTCCTGCACTTCACAGAGCCTGACTTTACAACAATAAGGACCTTCAAATGTCATAGGTCTTCGATAACTTCTGTCTATACTGACGGTGAGCTTTTTGCGACATCATCCATCGATGGCACAGTTGTAATAGGGTCTGTTCGCGACAGTTCCGATCTTCTCGCTTGTGATTTCAAGAGGCCTGTTCATGCAGTGGTTTTAGATGAGAAATATAAGACATCTAAGACTTTTGTATCTGGAGGAATGGCTGGAGACGTAATTTTATCACAAAGAAATTGGCTAGGAAATAGAGTTGATATTACCATTGACAAGAACAATGGCCCCATAGTCGGTATCTATACGGTAGACGACGTGCTGTTTTGGATGAACGACGCTGGGATTACATTTTACAGCATATCTTCGAGAAACATGCTCTTGCAGGTACCTTTCCCAAGAGATGAACATAACACGAGGCCGGATCTCCACTGGCCTTCTGTTCACTTTCCAGAGACGGATAGAATTATAATTGCATGGGGTAAGCATATTTGGACGTTCAAAATTTCACTTGCGAAATCAACAACCTATGGCAATCACCTCGGATCGATTTTATCAAGTGCAGCATCAAGTTTAAGAGCAATTCCGGACAAAAAAATAGAGCAAGATCACTATTTATACCTCTCGCTGACTCTTGCAGGCGCGGTTTTCTTTCGAAATGATCAGCTTTTGTGTCTCGAGGTGCCAGTATCTAAGTCTCTCAAAAACAAGTCAGATCACCCACAATTGAAAGTGATTGATATGCTGACCGGTGAGGAAATACATGGGGACGAAGTGGTGTCCAAGAACTACCAAAACCTTAATTCAAATGATTACCATCTTGGAAAACACATTGGTAAAGACTCGACTGATTACTACATGATCAGTTCCAGTGATGCTATCTCTGCTCACGAATTGTCCTTGAAAGATAGATATGAGTGGTTTGTTAATAATGATAAGTTTTACGAAGCTTGGAAGATTGGACTCTATGCCGTTGATAAGAGAGAGAGACTTGAAATGGGGATGCGCCATGTAAAGAAACTACTTTCCGCACAAGACAATGAGGAATGTGCATCAGCCATAACTGATGTGTTTTCAAACACAGATTTAAGCGAGGAAGATCCAGACTTTGAACGTACTGTCGTGAATAAATGGGGAGAATTCATATCTATTATGGTGAAAAACGGGAAAGTCAACGAGATTGCGCCCTTGATTCCGGTTCAGCCTCCACTGCCTTCCGACGTTTATGACAGCATTTTGAGTTATTACCTGGAGAACAATTTGCTCTCACTGTTTTCACACTACAGTCATCAGTGGCCTCGGAATTTGTGGAATAGTAACAAATTTCAGGATATTTTGGAGGAAATTATTGAGAGAAACGAAGTGGGTAGTAATGAATATCGGCAAGAGCTGGTCTTTTTACTTCTAACTGAAAACAAAGAAGTTAAAGCAATTCCGCACTTAATCAAAATGAAAGACCCAAGAGCATTAGACATAATTCTATCTGAACGTGTGCTTCCCATGTTCTCAAATCAAATACTAGAAATAACCCTATTACCATACCACGGTACGGTGAAAAGTCTACCTTCGCTGAGCCTGGGGGATGCCACAATGATATTCAAAAAATCTATAGAAGTTTTGGTACAAGGCGCGCACATGATTGATATGAGCCTAATAATATCTCAACTATCATCATTTAAAGAGGTCGAGATTTTGCTTTTTCTTTTCCTGCGAGAGGCGTCTAAGGCAGAACCGATTTTGATTGCTCCTTATGAAAACGATATGGTTCAGCTTTATTTCAAATTCGATCAAAAAAATCTGCTAGAGTTCCTCAAATCAAAAAATAACTACGACGTTGATCGAGCGATCGAAATATGCGCCAACGACAAATGTTTCAATGAACTTGTTTATCTTTGGGGTAAAATCGGAGAAACCAAGAAAGCCCTTTCGTTGATAATCGACAAACAAGATAACCCCAAGTTAGCTATACAATTCGTCGAAAGCTCTGGCGATCCAGAGTTGTGGGAGTACTTGATAACTTATAGCATGAACAAGCCTGCCTTTATCAAAGAATTACTTGATGTGAGAACGAGTTTAGGTGGCGGGCATGCTGATATTGTCGGCAGAATACCCAGCGATTTGCAAATAGATGGTCTTCAGGCTTCCCTCGAAAGTGTCGTACGGGAAAACTTTCTCAATCTTAAGGTTAATAGTGGTGTTTTCAAAATTATTGATGATGAAACGCAACAATTTGCTAATGAGTTCTTAAGGCTCAGAGAAACAGGAAGAGCCTTCGAAATTGAAAACTAGTAAACTGTCTTGGTAAATAGTTTAATTATCTTGTGGTGGTAAAGCATACTTCCAAATAATGAACCTGTACCTATTATAAATGACGAAACTACGATGAAGGTCTGGAGCTTGAGCCCCCTGAGCCGTTTTGCAGATGCGATGGAATATCTAACGTTTGTCCTGGTGGGAAATTAGTGAAAAATGCATTGTTTTCTATTCCGAGCGCGGGGACTATGTCAACTTGCCCATGGATTTTGGTTGGAGGCGGTGCGCTTTGGTTGACAAGTGCCTGATCTTGATGCATTAAATGACGCTCTAATCTTTGATTTCGTTGCCTCTTTTCAGTGTTGCTAAGAGCTTGTTTAGCTTTTCTTATTTTCTTGAGACAGTTATTGTAGCTGAACCTTAGTTCATTAAGAGCCCTATCCGACAAGCCCACCTCCCTGAATTCAGCGTGCTTTAGAATATTTCCCATGGATTTTGCTATATCAATGTTCGTTTGCAAGGTAGTTAGGATTACTAGACGTTGATTGCCGAAACCTGACTCGTGTTGGTTGGCCGATGACTGACCCAGGTAATCGTTGACAGGCTCTAGATCAAATTCATTACCTAAGGTGAGATCCGCTTCATTAAGAGACAAAATATCATCCGGAGGTAAGCTGTTGGAAGCTGGTGAGGTGCTATCTGGGAGGGAATTTCGAGTATGGCTTGTCAATGGGTTTGCCGATGGGGCAGTAGGTGTTTCATGTGGTAGAGCGTTGAAGACCTCATCCAAATAAGCTGATGTGGCTGGTGCAGTTTCAGTACTGGGATACAATTGGTTGGAGGTAGAATGTGTGGCCACGGACACATTTTCTAAATGGTTATCATCGATTGTGGGTAGTACCGTATCCGAAAATATGTCACAGCTTTTGTCTATCATATTGCTAACGATGAGGTCCTTACCTAACCTGGCATTTGTGGTCGGACCAATATGCACTACATGCCCGAAGGGCTCTTCTCCTACCTCACCAGCTACTGGTGCAAATGCTTCCAAGTTAAAGTTCCCAGCCCCATAATCATCTTCATATGTGCCTACTTTCGGTTCTGGTTCCCATTCATCCACAATTGCGCTCTCGACTATCTCTTCTGAACTCAAAAAGTTGGTGTTCTTGTTCTCAATATTAAGATCAAGCAATATATCATAATCCCATTGTCTGACGCAATGAAATCTATCGCTTACTTCATTGAGTTTCCTCTCCAGGGCTTCATTCTTTTTGAAAGCCATGCTAACATTTTCATTCAGCTGGATCATATGCTGTGGCAAAATACCAGAGCTTTTCCAATTAGCTTTAATGGTATCTACTGGGATTGCATCCCAAGAATTCTGGATTAGCTTAAAAGCATTGGACATATTCAAAGCACTTTGATCATACGTCAAGACCTTCCTTTCTCCAGTTCTTTTTTCTATCTTTTCTTGTAACTCGATAAGTGCCTCATATTGTTGTACTCGATAGTGCGTTTTGAACTCATCCAATACCCCCCAATTAAACGGTAAAAATCTGCTGTTCGCTGAGGTATATACCAACTTGATATTTTTGAGTCGCAAGTTGATAATACGATGCGAGCAAGAATCATCCAATACAATGCAAATAATTCTATTGTCTACTACTAGCCTTTTGTCCCACCATACTAACCAATCATGAAACAAGTTACTTGTGAGCCACGACTTGCGATTACTATGGAATGTCAAAGAAAACTTACGTGCCATTCTTTCGCCAACGGATGTCTGTGACGTATTATCAGGCGTGTCGTTTGAAAAGTGGTTCCGAAAACTTCGATAGTTTTCATATCTCCCGATGACCAAAGGGTTCATTTTTTCCGAACCATCGAGATTAGCACAAAGCATTACAGTGAGGACCTCTATCTTCCTTTGTACTTGGCTGGTCTCGTATTGTGCGTTGTCCATGGGCAAGTTATATGCCAAAAAGGTTTCGTCCAGCGTAAATAAGTCTCTTGCCGGTATCTTTGCCAAAATCTCCTTCAAAGTTCCTCTTTCCTCAAAAGTCCAGACTTTCGGCTGTTTCGGTAGCTCTGCGTCCAGGTTGGAAATATTCACATCCATTTTGGACAAAAAATGTGTAATCCATTTGTAAGTAAATGACCCATTTCCTTCACGATGTTCGGCAGGAATACGATGCCATACGGACTGTGCAGTATCTTGAATAATCGGAGGCGTTATGGGAATTCCATTCCAGATACTTTGCGAAACCCATTCCTGTAAAATTCGTCGCACCAAAAGGTTGTTTGGCTTCCTCAGTCGATTCGCCCCTTTCTCGTGGTCCTTGGAGTTCATGAATACACTTTTCCGCGCCAGAAGACGCGAAATTGTGCCCTGAGATGGACACGATGACAACTGGTATGCCTCATACGCCCAGCGGGCCAATTCTAGCTGTGTCCATTTTGGATGTCTTTCGGCCATTAAAATGATGTTGTACTTTTGTTCAACCGACAGCAAGCCCATTTTAACTAGTTTGTGCGATCGATCAGACGAAAGGAAGGAAGTACCAAATAGTTTTCCGAGTAAAACTCCGCAGTCTTGAAACAAAAATTCTTCGCAAGGCCGGAGTCTCAAAGTGAAATACTCTCGTCTCAAAGCCTTTTGTCCTTCGAGCTCGAGTCGTGACCGTGGAAATGAGCTTTCTTAAGGCTCTGGATCTTGTTCACACGCCAGTTGACGAGCGTTGAATTTGATCTCGGTCTTAATTTTACCTCAATTCAAAATCGTCAAAATCAGTAAGAGTTGAAGAAACTAATCTCTTGAAGGTCATGTGATATAAAGACTGCTCCTACATCTATAAAATGGTCTATGCTGACATTAACAACTTCATTATGTCCTTTTAGGTGCGCTGAAATAGCTGAGACTTCATTTATTAGTTCAAGCGTGCCACTTTTCTCAATATCTTCACCACAAACTTTCGGGATGTCCATACTGAACTGGAGGCTCTACTTTTAACCGTTGCGTCAACAACTTCCTCTCCACATAGCAAAAAAGTCAAAACGCGCTAGTTGTAATGTTCGATTAGCTGCCTCTGTAGGTGGTGTAACCGAAATTACTGAGAAGCAATGGAATGTGGTAATGCTTGGTATCATTGATTTCAAACGCGATCTCGACAAACGGGAAGAAACAGGTCTTGTTTTCACGCGCAAAATATTTGCCCGTTTGAAACCGAATCTTGTAAAAGCCTGGAACCAGCGATCTCCACTCCAAATGCGAATCTTTTTCAACAATCCCAATTTCCTTCAAAAACGTGCGTTTGGAGACATCGGGGATGAAAACCCAGGAGCCAACTCTGCCATCACTATCGGTTCTTGCTAGAGCGAATGGGGCAGATTCTTTGGCGTCCAGAACCGTATCCTCGTTGCAAGATACATCCTCGACGTTCAGTTTGTAGATCGAGCAGACGACACCTTGTGCTGGTTTGCCCGAGGTAGTATCTAGAATGTGGCATGTCACAGGTGGTCGTGGCATATTCGGTTGAATTTCGAGACTAAGCGTAAAAGGGATGAACTACTAATCCTTCTTTGAAAAGCGAGAATATTCTTCACTGAAAATCCCTGATGTGATTTCTTTCAGAATACAGGCCCAGTAGCTTTCAGAACTGTTGAGCCATGAGAGCCAAGCGTAGAACAGTGCGTTTCTCTTTGGCTTTAGATCGTTGTACTTCCTTTATAAATATATGCCTTGAAATATTTCATGGCTGTTTTTAAGATAAACCTTTCGGATAACCCCGCAGGATATGCGTAAGAGCGAGACAACGGATTGAGACCTATGAGATGGTCCACTGGGATCACATAGTCTACCAAGATGGTAATACTAATTTCTACATACCAATTTTATTTGGACATTCGCCAACTTTTGGACAAGTAGTACCATGTTTTGTGGGCGATGTGATACGCGGCTACAAACTGTGGACAATGGTGATTAAAAGGTATTATCCAAGCCTCAACAACACATGGCTTTATAACAACTATCCAGTTGAGACGATCACAATTTTAGGCTGTGTGGTCAGCTGTAAATGGAGATTTATTGGCGGCATCGATTTCGCATTGTTCAAAATCGATGACTGCACGCGAGAAACCTTGCGTGCGCCATCTTTATTAAACTGCAAATGCTCGAAAAGCCTAATTTTGCGAAGTGGACTTCCGCAAGGCGATCTGAGTGGATGGAGATTCAAGTTGTCTGGTGTAATGAACCGATACGAAGAATTGGAGGTTCGCAGTATTGATATTTGCAGTAGTGTTTCCCAAGAGGTGGAGTTTTGGAAGAATGCTATGCAGTGGCGATCAATTTTGAGCGACGTGTGGACGGTTGATCAAAGAACAATAGAATTCGTTTTCTCTCAGGAAGATTCACAGAATGTCAGTTCAAGTTATGACTTCGTGCAACGTCTGGAACGTCAGGCGTACGACAGGGATTTGCAGATCGGTGATGGTGGGGAGTCCACACAGATACAAATGGACATTCAGCTGCCATTCGATCATGACTCTTTGAAAACGGTGCTTGAAGAGAAGCAAGACCACTTAGCGGCTAAATCGGCCATTGCTATCGAGGATCGCGGCTTTGACGAGAAGGGCATTTCGGAGAGCTCGTCCAGAATTGAATGTGGTGACGAGAGAGATACTTTAGACCGGCATGGTGCCGAAATAAATTACACATCGCAGGAACAGAGTCAAGGAAATGGCCCTCGAGTGCCAGCTCTTCCGCATGCAACTCTCGATGAAGTCAACATAATGGGCTACACCAAAGAACTAGACTCAATTTCCTTGAATGATTACCGGAAACTCATGCTCGAACACTTTCTGAGCCAGAATGCTATCGAGATTTCTACTTTGAACACTTTCCGAAACCCGACGTTGTATGCCGCGGTGCGGTCGCTGGCTACTGGACGCACGCGTTCTGTCGAAGAGGAGGCTAGTTTTTACTTCACGCAGGTATTGGAAAGATATGTGAACGTAGGACTAATTGGCATATTTGCGCAAGGACGGATTTTGAACCTGAAAACAATTAAGGCATGCGACAAATACGTAGCGCAGCGCGTTGCGGCATTGGTGGCGCTTGGCATGAATACGGGGAAAATCGATTTCCGGAAAACCGCAGACGACCTGCGAATCGCTTGCAACAAGTCCTCAAGCCAAATACTGCTGGCTCTACACAAGCGAGCTCTACAGAAAATTGTCGAGACCGGAGACACCAACCTCGCAGCATGGTGGCTCGAATTGATCAACAACCGATGTGCGATCATACGTTTTGAATACGCGCGACGAGGCGAAGGGTAGCAAGGGTCTGAGGTGTGGCGCACAAACACCAGCTTGGCACGCTTTGCAGAACGGCTAGTCCGCTCCAACGAGAGAAGTGCTTCCCCTGGGTCCTGTCTAGAGTTTTACAAGATTTTTTTTTATTTTTGGGCTACAAGCTACAAAACACTTGTTTTGCAGCGATCAGCGGTGTGCATTTCCCAGGAGCTGAGGCTACATGCGCTCGCCAAGCAACCGGCTGTATCAGTTAACAAGCATTACGATAAAGAGTTACTATCTGAAAACCCTATTTTTTTGCCAAGGTGAGCGACTCCCCCGGATTCTGCGGCCTGGCGGCGGCCATTTTTCGTTTTTCGTCCTGGATAGTGTTTGTTCGTCTGGCACCTGTGATACAACAAACTGAAAAAATTTCTAGCATGCGGAAGCGCTGGTTCAAAAAACCAATCTTGTTGTGTCCACTTCAGCAGCCTAGCAGCCTCGCCCTTGCATTCCAAAAGCTGTTACGACCCCACATCAAACCTATACCGGAATGTAGGAGCTTGGCATGGATATCGCGACAAACGGCGTTTCCGAGCAAATTGGCCCCGGCATAGTCGCAAACGTCCCGGCATAGGCGCAAAAGCCCTACATACATCCTTCGATTTTGGTTCCGCTTCTTAAATCCCTTGCTTAATCCATATGCTGTAGAACTCCAGTATTGCTTCCTCTCGGCGTTACTGGCGCCGCGGTTATCGCTGAGGGATTTTACTGGCGCGCCATTATTTGTAACCAGCTTCGACAACGGCGACGGCATACATAGCTCGCCTCAGCAATAAGGGACAAAAAAATTCGTGTGCTGCGAGCGGACAACGAGCGGATGGAACCCGCTTGATGCAATAATGCTCGCTTAGGAAGTGTGATGGGGACATGCCATTTTTGTTATTACAAATAGCCGCAGATTCGGCAATTTACTGGATCTGTATATATATTAGCAGATATGCTGCCGAGAACGGGGAAAATAGGAAGCTCTATTAGCAAGTGTGTTTAAGCGTAGTCAATATCAGGGTGGAAAAGTTTACCATTCTCTGTGTTTAGCGAAAAGACGGTCGTGGAAAAGCGTAAATTGAATATAGACAGAGACGAACTTTATTGTCGTCAGCGAGAGAAAACAAGAAATTAGTTGAATTCGCAATGGTAGCCTTGCACTCTGGAATAAGGTGCAATGGGAGCCATGCGGTGGAAAAAGGTGGTTTTTTGGGACCACTGATGGACGCAATAGCGGGACGCACAGACCCGGAAGATGTGACCGGGTTCGTGATCGTGTGGTTCGTGGTGAGTGTTGTGAGCGTGCTAATCGTAGGACTGGTGATATTTGTGCTGGCTCTCGGGCTGCGATCGGAGCCGCAGGACGCAGAACAAGCCTGGGCCCAGGATGAAGAAAAAATGGCAGCCTGTGGCAGCTGAGTTTTATGCCATGAATACGTTCGAGGGACATACCGTGCCCTCTTTAATTTTAATGATAATGACTAGCTAATCCCTACGTAAGGAGTAATACAGGAAGGTTTTTGAACGGCCATGCAGGAGGAGGAGGCGCTCGCGTCCCGTATCCCGCCCGTCATCTTCGCTCCAGTTTCTGCGTAACGTCTCGCAGCGTGGTGGTAACGGCACGGTCGCTCGCCAGCAGCAGCGGAGGGCACTGAGGCCACTGCGATAGAGATGGCGGCGGCGGTAACAGTGCTAGGCTCTTGGCAGACGCATAGTCCGGTTTGAACGTTTGAGACCTGGTCACGTGCGCAGTAGCAGCAGTTTTCCCGGTGCCGCCACGGGCGCCGGTAGTGTCTGGATTGCCGGGCCTTACGTTGGCTCTCTGCGGTAGTCGATCCAGCCGTACCGACTGTCCGATGTCGAGTCTACATTCGGGTCTGAACACCTTGGCGTAGCCCGGCGATTTTGCATACAGTTTGTCCAACACCTGTATTTTCGTAGATAGTTCCTGAGCCCTGGTAGAAGCAGATCGACGGGCAGCTCTTTTTTGGCGGTTGGTGTCGCAGTGAAGCGTCCACTTGCGCTGTGGTGCGATTGGCGGTAATTTGCCCGTTCGTTTTCGGTCGCGTGCCGCTTTTCGTGAGTGTGGGAAGAAAGGCTGTTGGTCTTGTCGCGCTTTGTTGCAGTAATAGTCGCCTGCCAATCGTACGTGGTTCTTACCCAGCAGATGGCTTTTCTTGACACTCGGCGTGTCGTGAGTTAGGTACGAGTGACAATAGTCACAGAAGAAGCGCGGCATGATGGGGTATTGGTGTGTCCTTCACGTCTTGGTAGCATGCGCAGAGTGCAGATATATAGAACTGATGGACCTCGAAAGAAATACAGAGCGAGTACAAGTACAAGTACAAGTACTCAGGAAACCAAGTAGCAAAAGGACCACAGACTCAGGTAGAAGTCCGGATGGATAATAGGTTTGAAAGTGTGATTACATTTGTACTTGCGATCGCTGTTTTCGGATTTCGTCTTTGGTGACCAACAAAAATTTTTCAAGTTCAATTATACGTTAACTATATTGTTAAAAAGGATTCCTCCAGGATTGTTGCAATTAGCTCCATTAAATCTCTACCGTTCTTTAGCATATCACAGGAGTTTCTCGATGTTTCTTGTGCCTCGTGTTTTCAGCCGGTTCGCCCGGCCAGCGACCAGAGGATTTGCTAGCTCAGCGATGCGCTCTTACGCCGCTGCTTTTGACCGTTCTAAACCACATTTGAATATCGGTACCATTGGCCACGTCGATCACGGTAAGACCACTTTGACTGCTGCAATCACCAAGACTTTGGCTTTGAAAGGTGGTGCGGATTTCTTGGACTACGCTGCCATTGACAAGGCCCCCGAAGAGAGAGCCCGTGGTATCACCATCTCCACCGCTCATGTTGAATATCAAACCGAGAAAAGACATTACTCTCACGTCGACTGTCCAGGTCACGCAGACTACATTAAGAATATGATCACCGGTGCCGCCCAAATGGACGGTGCCATTATTGTAGTCGCTGCTACTGATGGTCAAATGCCTCAGACCAGAGAGCATTTGCTTTTGGCAAGACAGGTTGGTGTTCAAGACATTGTTGTCTTTGTCAACAAGGTCGACACCGTTGACGACGAGGAAATGTTGGAATTGGTTGAAATGGAAATGAGAGAATTGTTGACCCAATACGGATTCGACGGTGACAACACCCCAGTTATCATGGGCTCTGCTCTATGCGCTTTGGAAGGTAAGAGACCAGAGATCGGTGAAGAAGCTATCATGAAGCTTCTAGACGCGGTTGATGAACACATTCCTACCCCACAAAGAGACCTTGAAAAGCCATTTTTGATGCCAGTGGAAGATATTTTCTCTATCTCCGGTAGAGGTACTGTTGTTACCGGTAGAGTTGAAAGAGGTAACTTCAAGAAAGGTGAGGAAGTCGAAATTGTTGGACATAACACTACCCCATTCAAGACCACTGTCACCGGTATCGAAATGTTCAGAAAGGAATTGGACAAGGCCATGGCTGGTGACAACGCCGGTATTTTGTTGCGTGGTGTTAGAAGAGACCAATTGAAAAGAGGTATGGTTTTGGCTAAGCCTGGCACTGTCAAGGCACACACCAAGTTTTTGGCATCGTTATACATTTTGTCCAAGGAAGAAGGTGGCAGACACTCTGGTTTCGGCGAAAACTACAGACCTCAAATTTACGTGCGTACCGCTGATGTAACCGTGGTGCTCAAGTTCCCAGAGTCCGTTGAGGACCACTCCATGCAAGTCATGCCTGGTGACAACGTCGAAATGGAGTGTGAATTGGTTCACCCAACTCCACTCGAAGCTGGTCAACGTTTTAACATCAGAGAAGGTGGTAAGACGGTTGGTACCGGTCTAGTGACTCGTATCTTAGAGTAGACTTGCCCTTGCTGCTAGTTTTTTTCACATATTCTGAACATACACTACATGTATATAGTAATTGACAATTGGAAGTTATATTGGGCTGCCGTATTAAGATGTTGTGGCCAAAAAGGTATGTCCAAGATCCAAATATTCGATACCATCCACAGCGGTGCTCAAAAACAGTATTTGTTGATTGTCACAGTCAAAAACAATCTGTAGATTTTAATCCTAGCAGTTACCGTGAATTATATTCTCGAGCAAGGCTTGGTTTTTACCGTAGCAGCATATCGAGATCAAATTACAGAGTAAGCTACTAAGTCTATTCAATAGGCCTTGGATTACACTTGTCTTACCCGACCACATTGATATTCTAGAACTCACCTTAATTTGCTTCTTTCTGTGCTTCATGTTAAGCTATCTTATCGGAAGTATTCGAGTACACTATCTTGAAGCCGCAGTGACTGACTAAATAAGATAATCACAGATTCGGACTGAACTTTGCCAACTAAACATAAGAGTTCAACCACGACCAATGGTGGCACTGCGAAACTTACTTGTGGTTTTCCCACTGGTATCTATGACTTCTTGTATGCAACATTATTTTGTTCAAAGCTCCGATCACAATATCGATATCAAACCTTTGCCAAGACAACCTACTTTGAACCCAAATTCATCTCAAGTTCTGAGAACTGGACGTTCAGGTGCCATCAGTTCAGACTCAGAATTTTGCAGCAGTATAGCGGTCGAGAAAGTATTAAAGAAGTTCGAAAACGCTAATGCCGCAGATGCTGCAGTCACTGTGGCATTATGTCTAGGTATGAAGAACTTCTTCTCCAGCGGGATTGGAGGTGGTGGCTATGCCGTTTTTGTCGGCGGCAATAAGCAAGAAAAGCGCTTGGATCCGCTCTTTTTAGATTTCCGTGAGCAAGCTCCAGAGCTAGCTCATAAGGACATGTTTGCGCAGACTCCAAATGCCTCGCAAGTGGGCGGTCTTGCTGTCGGGATTCCGGGCGAACTTAAAGGGTTGTACGAATTGTATTCTCAACGTGGTAGTGGTCACGTACAATGGCATGAATTGCTCGAGCCGATAATACACCTAGGCACAAAAGGCTGGCCAGTAGACGAAATTACTGCGCTTGTATTAAAAATGTATGAACCGTATTTCGTGGAACACCGCCATGACTGGAAGTTTGTACTGAACTCGGCAGGGAACGAGACTTTGAAAATTGGAGATAACCTAAAGAGGACAGCACTTGCTCAAACTTTACGCGAAATAGCTCAGAACGGAACAGCAGCACCATTCTATGACCCAAATCATCGGATCGGGAAAGCCTTAGTCAACAAAGTTCAAAAAAGTGGCGGAATCCTGACTGATCATGACCTAGAGGCTTATTACGTGAACATCTCACAACCGCTTTCCACCAAGATTCGTGCTGGATGGGCAAATGTACCGAATAATGACCTTGAAGTATTCACCAGCAGCGGCTCAAGCTCCGGTGCTGCGCTAGTATCAGCACTTAAAATTCTCGATCATTTTCCAAGCCTTAGTGGAGGCGATTATATACCGGAGCAGACTTACGTTCTGATAGAGTGCATGAAATACATGTCCAGTGCGAGAAGCCGGCTAGGAGATTATTCCCAGCAAGACAAGCTTCCTGATCGAGTAGAAGAGGTTCTTAATTCTGACTGGATTGAAAGTGCCGTGAAAACTATCAAGGAAAACATGGATAGCCTTCAAACTTTAAGCAATTGGACTGATTACCACCCGATGTACGAAATGACTGATCCACATGGAACAACTCACTTTAGCGTAGTGGACAAATTCAACAACGCTGTCTCGTTGACCTCTACCGTCAATCTATTATTTGGCTCATTGGTTCATGATACTGAGACCGGTATATTACTCAATAACCAGATGGATGATTTTTCGCAGCCGCATAGGTCGAACGCCTTTGGTTTGGCACCCTCAAAGTACAATTTTGCAGAGCCCGGAAAGAGACCTTTATCATCGTCGTCACCGGTCATCGTTTTGAATGAACTAGACCAACCGGACTTGGTTATTGGGGCTTCTGGAGGTTCCAGGATAACCCCGAGCATATTCCAAGTCATGACCCGTCTTTATTGGTACAACATGCCACTGCTAGAGGCCATTGCTTATCCAAGAGTTCACCATCAGCTCTTGCCAGATCAGCTTGAGATCGAAAGCTTCGGGATGCTGGGTAAGAGTACAATTGACTCGTTGCGTCTGATGGGCCATGATCTAGTCGAGCAGGCTCCAAAAAGTGTAGTGAATGGTATCAAACAAAGCGTGGGTGAGTGGCATGCAGTAAGTGACTTTTGGCGCAAGAGAGGAATTTCTATCGCCTACTAAAGTGCTCTTGTTGGTCAGTCAATGTGGCTAAGTTGTATTGTTCACGCCTCGGTCACGTGTGTATGTCTTACATACATATAATTACATCGTCAAGACATTTGAAACATTTAAAAATAACGACTTAAACATTGGCGCTATTGACAAGCATGGAGTCTCCCAAGCCGCTACCGAGCCCTCCAAAAAGCTCCCGGGATGAGGGCTCCTCTGGGAAAAAGAGCAAACGGGAATCAAGGCCTGCGGAAGATGAAGAATTTGAGTTTCACCACGTATTTTCTAGAAGTAATGTGAAAGGATTAATCCATGCGATCACACAAGAGCTCAAGAGAAATGCTTTAGATACGGAGTATCTTTTCTTGCCATTTCGCCCCGAGCAGTCTAACGAGAAGCTTTTGAAGTTCTTGAACCGCGTTTTTCCTCTGGGAAATGGTATTCCTGCGGCAGATGCGAAACTGGACCGACTAATACGTTCTACTGAACCTTGGACTTTGTTTCAGGCGCTAAAATATATTTGGTGCCGTCTTCCAGAAGGCCAAGTTGTGACGTGGAAGGCCTACCGTGCATTCAAAGTTCGTGAGGACGGCGACGGATTTCGTCCAAAATCGTTTTTGGAACTCATGCCCAAGTGTTTGTCTTCACCTGACCATGCCTCCATCGTGTACGATTTCTTTGACCTCGTTGTTACGATGGCATCAAATTCGAAGCGAAATAAGATGAGCGCACGTAAAATTTCCAAAATGTTCGGAATTTGGGCGTTTGGCAAGGAAATTGAGGATAAGCAAGGCGTCAACTATGATTTTGACAATGCTACAGAAAATGGGAATAACGTAAATAATTCATTTCGTGAAGGCCTCGATCAGTGGATCCCGGCTTCAGATGCTATGTTCCACCTGCTCTTAGCGTTTATACGAAGCTTTGTGCCCAACGATTTGAAAGATGCTAATATCCCTACAACTCTAAAGTCCATTTTGTTTAACAACAACTACCCGCCAAAGGATACAACCGCTTATGCGTCGGAAACCATCCTTACCATCCCTATCGTAAGCTTGAAAACCACCAAGTTCTCTAAAAAGCCTTGGCAACTCATTGAGAGGTGTAATCAACTGTTTGACTTTTCCAACCATGATGCATTTGAAGCCCGTGAAGATTACGCTCTTCTGAAATCGCTCTTTAAAAGAAAAAACAACATTGATGGTATAAGCCACAAAATGTCAAGAGAATCTCGGCGGCTTATGAAGGAGATCTCAACCAAGCATTCCACGTTTCAAGCAGGTTGGGCATCACAAAAATGTATCCCATCAGATGACAAAACAAATGTGCCCTCGGAGCACCTGGAGATGAAACGAGTCGACATTGATGACTACTTCATTTGGGCGTGGCTCTCGTCCATTTCTCATGAACAAACGTCTCAGAAAAAGATGCTTTTCGGAAGATCTCTTATTTTAGAATTTGAATTTGACGGTTTCAAAAAGTGGGTTGCTCTTGAGGAATGTGATATGAACTTGGAAATGAAAAGGCACAAGAAGCTCGATGCTTTAGACTTGGTTAACTATCATACGTCGTCGGACTCGGCGTCCTCAAAACCACGCAACATTACACCGGCTTATGAAAAGTTTCAGAAAAATGTATCAGAAGCTAGACCGTCACCAGCACCAGCACCAGCACCAGCACCAGCACCAGTCAAGACTTCGGCACCCTTACTCAAAACGCCCAATATCATAAGTGGCACCTTGAACTTACCCAGTCATCATTCATCAGCAAAGTCCGCCAAAACGTCCGGCTCATTGTTGCCAGAAAAATCGTCTAAATGGAATCCGCTCAAGTCTATTCGGAAAATAAGCAGCTCGAGTAGCTCTAGTACTTCAAGCAATGCCCCTGCATTTGCTGAACATCGTGCAGTTGCTGCCTTGCCTCAAAGCGACGAACCTCGTCCAAGCCAAATGTCTAAAGTAGCCCCCACAAAAAATCCCAGACGTCATGAGTCTCGGGTACTCAGCCAATTTAGCATGTTAAATCCCGAGAAATATCAACTTCCAACTGTAGAGTGTGAAGATTTCAAGATTGACATAGCTGAAATGGGAGATTATGCTGCGGCATTAGAGCATGAAAACGTTTCTTCTTTGGACACGCCCGCCCCGCTTGCTGAAGAACAATCACACCAAGGAAAGTACGGTATTGAGGACTTGAATAATATGGTTGACCAGCTAAGTGATGAAGTCTTGAAATCTAGGAATGATTTGGGGCAATCAACTACAAGTTTGGCGACAAAATCCGAGACTTTCGAAAGTTTGACCATGTTCGAGCAATACAAGCATGTTCCGCAGGATTCGAGTGACACGCTGGCTGAAAGTGCCACTTCAAGCGTAGTTCCTCCACTAAAGCTAGGGGCCGCCTCTACAGATCACGTATCGGCCATATCTCAAGCTGCACCACAGTTCGAGAAAGGCAGAGTTATACCCGTGCAAAGCCCCGAAGAAAACAATCGAAGTCCACCAGATGACACATCACCTATTGTTTATCCAGTTGATCACAATCAGAATTATGAAGCGGAGTTTAACGCGGACGATCGCAGGGTCTCTCCCATCAGAAGAGAACCGCTCCAATTCCGCGAGCCGACACCCGATGACAGAGGTCCAAATCTTCCTGCGAAAAAAACTCCTTCACCTCCTCTTACAAGCTATACTGAGTACGAAAGGCAGGAACCCACACGTGGAAGAGAGAAATTGGGTAGTAAGTATCCTACACATGCTTCACCCTCTAGCGGCCCCAGCACGTATTCAAAAAGTCAAGCAGTGTTTGCACAAGAGCAAACTTCGCATCATTCACTAGACCAGCATCAACCTCAAATTTCTTCTCCCCCTCATACCGCATCAGCACGGCAGCAGCACCATGTGAATAGGTTCACCAACAATCAAGCTGTTCAACAAAATCAAAATGCTCGCGAACAACAGATGAGAGCGCACAGCCCAAATCCATCATACTACCAGCAAAACCGGGGGCAGTACCTCGCGAATGAAATCGAACAGAAGGTCATGCAAAATAATACGAAAGTTCCTTGGGTAACCAGTCCTGTCGCTCAGCCGAGGCCGGCAGCTGTAGCACAAACTTCTCGTCCACCCAATGTGCGCCCTGCCTATGGACAGCAAGATGTTCATTACAACAGTTTGAAACCACAACAATATGGGCAGGCTAACGTCGCAAGTCCTCCCATTGTACAGCATGCCGCATACCCGCCCAACTTTGGGAATCGTCCTCAAAACATTCATCCTAACGATTATCATTACCAAACGCATCAAATGGCCAATGATGCATCAATGCGATTCCCACCTCAACACCAACGCCAGCATCCTATGGGTCGTGTGATGGTGCCGGGGCCTACTTCACCTTTGTCGCCATCGGAATTGAGGCCGTACAACCAACCCCAGGTATTATATGCTCCATCAACAGCTCAATACCAACCACCTAAGGCACATCCAGGCGCACTAAGCCCCACGGCGCAAAATCAGGCTCAGTTTTACCCACCTCCGCAAGGCTACCACCCTTCGGGCCCAGTGCCTGGAGTGCCGATGGGAGGCAAACTACATGGTGGGTTTCCCAATAAAAGGGAAAACCGTAAAAAGTTGCACGATACCATCAAAAATGGTACATTTGGGTTATGAGCGTGGCCGGAGAATGCTGCTCCCGGAAGCCCCTCACTTACAAGTTTCAAGTACCCACGCCACAGCTCAACTACAGGGAAGGTACAGTCCTTTGATAGATTACGCAGAATAGATATTCAAGGTTATATAATATTTAGTTAAAGCAGGTTTAGAATTTATTAAGTGTCGAGCGGGAGGATTTTACGTCCTTCAAAAAATAAAAGTAGAATTCCTAAATGAAGCCAAGAGAGACTATATTTGATGATTTCCCATGCTTCGAATAGTCGATTAGAAGTAGTGGTTGAAGATCCGGCATTCATTGATTGCTTAAGTGACATTGACGATGCCGATTGCGTATACCTGATTAAAGAGAATGAAATTATTGTATTCAACACCAGGAGTGCTACCACCATCTCCAGAAGCAGAGTTAATTTAGAGAATACAGTGGCTGTATGTTTATCTAAGTATGGTTCACCGAGATCGAAATATTTGGTTGCCCTAAAGTCCACCGGGGAAGTCTTAATGTTTAGGCTGCCAGATCTTTGTCTTCTCAACAAGAAACGGCTGAAATACAACAAGCCTATTTCCAATGAAACATTTACATTTTTCGATAGCAAGTACGAGCGCCTTCACATTTGTGTGGGTAATCAAGAAATGCTCTATGTTGATTCTTGGGCCCTCCTTAGTCCGCAATCTGGAGTTCAGGGTCACATTTTCTACCAAACTGCGAGCGAAATAAAGAAATGCGCGTGTCTGAGTCTGCGAGACGGCGTATACTTGATATCGAAAAAGGATGTGATAGATAATCGTTTAAAACTCGAAATGGTCGACTTCGAGATAACGGCTTCGCAAAACCAAACGAAAACTCGTGAGGGCTATGGCTCGATTGAAAAAATTGTTACAGAGCTAGCCGGGAGTACCTCAGATAAACTACTGGGCTTTTTCGTGTTTAACAAACCTCGATTGGCTGTCGTGGTTACCTCCAGAACACTTTTTGTTGCAGTAAGAAATCGGTATACAAAATATGATAATCGAGGCTTAAAGAAGATGTATGCATTATCAAGCGAGGACAAGATATCGATCAATGTCGACTGTCATTTTGGAAACAACTACTTGAAGCTGGCTATGTTTGATAATCGCGGTAATATCTACAGCACTGGCTTCGGTCTTTGGTGTGAAGATAAGAATATTATGTGGCGTCGAATACAACTCAAAAAGTTTCCTGGTAAGATATCTGATCTTTGTTTTTGCAAGATTCTTTCTAAGACTAGTTATGTTCTCAATTCATTACAATTAGGCTGCATAGTGCTTGAGTCAGAGAAACAGAAGGTTTTGTATCATATGCCATGTAATCAGCTCACCTACCTTGATGCCATAGTCACAAACGAACTCGGTAGTGATGATATAAGTAGTCTTGTTGCTTGTGGTGGAGTGGCTACGGACTTGGGGTTTGTTGAGTGCATTTCCAAAGTGCTATCGAAAGAAACACTGAAAATTATCGAGATTGACGAGCACTACGAAGATCAAGGCATTCAAGACTTTTGGCTTACAGCAAATGAAATTGAGACAACTGATATATTTACTCAGAGTAAGGATGCACCTTGTCATATCTCATGCGAAAAGGTCAGATTAAGTTGCGAGCATGCATTGTGTGCCTTGCAGTTGACCGAGACAAATGATATGTTTCTTTACCTTGATACAAACTTTTTACTTCACTTTGTAAAAAATGGAACTGATGAGAAGATGGCAACTCCGCTACCAGGTTTAAGTCGTAGTGAGATGGTTTCTCTTGCCGCCAGTAAAAATACCGACCACCGTGGAGTACCTCAAATTATAGTGATAGCTGAAGGTAACAAGCTACATGTTTCGGTGAATGGCGTCATAACGATAGCTATTGTTGCAAACGGCTCGAATATACGAAACGTGTGTCTCAAGCAACTGTCTACAACAACGGATCCTATTATAGTGATGAGCGATGATAGCGGTTTAGTTTCCATACTATCGTATTCACTGCTAGAGAAAAATATCTGTATCTTAAAGAGGGTTCAGTTTGAGGATGATGTGCCGGCACAGCTTTGTGATATTAGAAGCACTTTTGAAGAGCAATGTCTAGTATTTGTTTACAACAGACTCAAAGTACGAATTCTGGATGTCTTAAGTGGGTTTTATCACGCATGGCCCTATGATTATAGTGTCAAATTGATAAAGCCGAGGGGAACTAACAAATTTGTCGTCTTGACTGTTGATGACATTCTTATCACGGTACAACTAAGTCGGGTATTGGCCTCTGAATGGAAACGGCGCAAGACAGATATGCATAATCAAATTATTACACATGTACTAGAGCTGGAGAACCCGCGATATGTCGTCTTAACAAGCCAAACCATCGACAATGTTTGCAGACTTGCAATTTTTGACACCGAGGCGCTTCAAATAATGAGCGAGTACACTTTGCCAAGTGCTGGTACAGTAAGAAAACTTTTAAAGCTTCGAAGTCCGTACAAACACGAGATCGTAGTATCTTTCAGCGGAAAATCGCCAAACTCAGATTGCTTGCTTATAATGTCGGTGTTGCAAAGCAAACTCGTTCATAATTTTACTCATAGAGTAGAAAAAGCGTCCTGTGCGCTGGCTCAAATGGGCAACCAAATAACCCACGCCGGTGCTAAGATACTTACCTTCGAACTGCAGAAGGAAACAGATAAATGGACTGTCGCAGTAATTGGCCAACCTTTCTTGGGGACCGGCCCATTATCCATGACATGTTCTATGAGTTACGATAATATGCTAGTGGTGCTGGACGCGACGGTAGGTTTATGCGTGTATGATTTGAGCTTAAAAAAACGTGTGCATCGAACTTCAACAAACGGTTTGTCAAGCGATCACTTTTATGATAATGCAGCAGTGTTATGCGTAAGTAGAACACCAGGCTGTAGTATGGCTGACTACAAATCGCTCTTTAGCCCTGTCAAAAGATCAGGAACTCAATTAAGCTTGTTGAATTTACAAAGATCCGTTTTGTCAATTTGGGAAATCAATGTTGCAGCCACTAAAAGCAGATCCTCTGTAGATGACGCTATCATCTCCATAAGAGAGCATTCGACAATGCAATTACCATCCTCGCGACCAATCACGAAACTGAAGCAAATCAGCTCTTCACTATGTGTTGTATGTGCCAGAGGAGGAATTTCGATTCTAAACATAGCTAAATAACGTAATGCAAACAAGGTCAACGGTAGCTCGCGAAAACCTAGTGCTGCACTGGGAAGACAATTGAGGGAAAATAACTCGGCGACTTAACTTTTGGCAACAAAAAATAAAACTCCGATACGGGGAGTCGAACCCCGGTCTCCCCGGTGAAAGCGGAGTGTGATAGCCGTTACACCATATCGGATATAGTATTTAATGAAGGAATCGTTTACAAGAACTATATAGACACTAACACATCACGCATTTGAATATATTCCTAAACCAAAAGTTGAAGACAAAGTGTACCTATAGCTACGAGGCTGGTACATGTCGTAAGTGCTTCGTCTCTATTCATCAATGTCCCAAGATCCTGTGATAACTGATGCAGCTCAGGAGCCGAAAGAAGTACACGAAGGAGAAGAAGTCGAAGACTCAAAAGAAATTGGGCCAGAATCGTTTCCCGCTTTAGAATGGGATCAAGTGCAATCCAGTATTCCGGTGGAGAGCTTTACGAATTACAAAATAAGACTCAATGGGTGGGCTCGAAAAGACCGGTTAGATAAAAGACTGGAAGAAGAGGCTAAACAACGGGAAGAGGAGCAAGCAGAGCAAGCAAAGAAACAGAAGTTGGACGAAGATTCAGAACAAAAAAAAGAGCAAGAAAGCACTTCCGAAAAGAACCATGAGGCTGATGAGGATGACAACGATGACGAGTCCGAAAGTGAGACCAAGACTGAAGACAAGAAGGATGCGGGTGAAGAGGTGAAAAGCGAGGAGGTAAAGGGCGCGGACGGAAATAGCGCTGAGCAGTCCTAATCAAGGGTGGTGGTTGAAGACGTTGTAGGGAAAGAGTTTGGCATGGTGCGTTGGTTTGACAGGTGGTTTTGGTGCTTTCACAGCCGCCATTTCGCTTTTTAAACTCGCATGGTAGAATTGTGGTTTGAGCGCCGTTAACACTCGCATGATGAAATCGTGGTTTGAGAGACACTGAAACTCAATGATAGAATCGTGGTTTGAGAGCCATTGACACTCGCATAGAATCGTGGTTTGAAAGCCATTGGCACTCGCATAGAATCCTGGTTTGAGAGCCATTGGCGCTCGCTTAGAATCCTGGTTTGAGAGCCATTGGCACTCGCTTAGAATCCTGGTTTGAGAGTCATTGACGCCCCATGATAGAACCGTGGTTTGAGAGATACTGGCACTCGCATGCTACAATCGTGCTTTCAAAGCTGTCGTTGTAGCTTGGGCACTGACGCCTGGCTAACCCACACCACGTGACCACAACCCCATATGTACATTAGCTAGTTTTACAAGAATGAGAGGTGGACATCATCCGCCATTTGCATACTACAGCATTCTGCGCCTGCGATGCGATTTGCAGCACATGGCTTTCGTGCACCTGAGTTACGAAAGTCAACGAAATGTTCCTAATTATTAACTTTAATTTTAGAACGCCACTTTAAATGGCCAGAGACACGGGGATGCGGAAAACCCCCATACGAGAGTCGTGCACGTGACACCAAAAATCGATATTAGAGTTTACAGATCCGGGCCAGAGGACAGCTGTTTCGGTGTTCTAGCGTCTCAGCATTCAGCGTCCAGCACTCAGCGTTTCGTCCACCCCGATCTCTCATCTCTCTACGCTTTCTTCCCTGGCACGATCCCATGCTGTTGCCGGACACTTCTACATCTTATCACTCCACTCTTGCCAAGTCCCGTCGTCAATCACGACCTTCAGATCCATCTTATTAAAAGCCATGCACTGCAAGCACGCTTGTGCCCGTCTACTAGACTGCAGTACCATTGCTGCACCTTTCATGCCTATATTGACGCCAGCACCGTTCGCTTTTTTACGCCCCACCACTGGCGCTGGTAAATTAGATTAGCAGCTCATATAAATTTTTTCACCAGCATGTTTCGCGTTTATGTGTTGCAGACCTCGAAGTTGCATCTCGAACCGCGAAAACCAGCACTACGGAGACGATGCAGAGAATGTCTCAGATCTCTGACTTAAGTGCTTAAATTACGCACCAGCAGTGGTGGTACATAGTAATAATAATAGCAGCCGCAGTGGCAGCTGCAGCAGAGGCAACATGGGCCTACCAGAGGCTGCATTCTGGCGTAATAAGCGAATGGAGTTTTGCCTTTTTGCCAGAGAAGGAGTTAGAAGCGATGGATCTCAGGACCTGGAGCTATAAAAAGACCAGGCTACGACCAGACAGTCTGGATCCGACCCATTGTGAGCGGTCATACTTCAATTTGGGTTGTGCGTTTTATTGGACATCAGTCAGTTTCCCTTCGACCCAGCTTCCCCCTGACGTGCTCTTCGTGCTTCTTCCCCTCAAAGAGACACCCCATTTTCATATCTTGAGTGTGTGTGTAATTGCCATTTTTGCTGGTCCTTTTAGCTTACTGCAGTTCCGGATCTGACAGAAACGACGCTTGTCATTTGCTGCTCGACGCTTACACAAAAAAAGTTCTACCGAGCGCTCCACTACAAGGCTTTTTAGAAACGGCCTTTTTATTATTTGTGTCTTCTTTCATTCACTTTTGATCAATCGCTCGCTTCTCTCAACAGTAGACAGTCCCCAAGCCGTCCTGTTCAGAAACCAAACGCTACTTTAGTAACTTTCACAGCTACTTCACATCACCATGTTGCCACTCTCCTGGGTGTTGACGGTCTCGATGGCCCTGACCGCGGTCTTTGGCCAGCCAGTGCCTCCCAAAAACCCACATAGCGTGCAATTCGTGCACGAACAAAACAAAAAGAGATTCTACGACTACCAAGGCGCGGTCTTGAGAGGTGTTAACATCGGTGGCTGGCTCGTGATTGAGCCCTTCATCACTCCCTCGCTTTTTGAGTCCTTCCGCACGCAGGACAACAGCGATGTCGGCATTCCAGCCGACGAGTACCACTTCTGCCAAACTTTGGGCCAAGAAATTGCCTCCTCTCGTCTGGAGCAGCACTGGAGCTCGTGGTTCACCGAGCAAGATTTCACCAACATTGCTGCCGCAGGCCTCAACTTTGTGAGAATTCCAATCGGTTACTGGGCTTTCCAGACCTTGGATTCCGATCCTTACGTCAAGGGCAACCAAGAACAGTACTTGGACCAGGCCATTCAATGGGCTGCTAACAACAACTTGAAGGTCTGGGTTGACTTGCACGGAGCCGCTGGATCTCAAAATGGGTTCGACAACTCTGGTTTGAGAGACTCGTACGCGTTTTTGGAAGACAGCAACTTGAATGTGACCAAAGATGTCCTCAAGTATATGTTGGACAAATACTCTCAGGACCAATACCTCGACACTGTCGTCGGTATTGAGTTGATCAACGAACCCCTGGGGCCTGTCTTGGACATGAACAAGCTTAAGGAATTCTATCAATTTGGTTACGACTACTTGAGAAATCAACTTGGAAGAAACCAGATCGTTGTCATCCACGACGCTTTCCAAGCCTTTAACTACTGGGATTCCTCTCTCACATATTCTGAAAACGACTGGGGTGTGGTCTTGGATCACCACCACTATCAAGTGTTTTCAAATGCCGAATTGCAACGCCCGATTGACCAAAAAATTGCGGTCGCTTGCGAGTGGGGATCTGGTACTTTGAGCGAAGCTCACTGGACTGTCTGTGGTGAATGGTCTGCAGCTTTGACCGACTGTACCAAATGGCTCAATGGTGTGGGATACGGCGCTCGCTACGATGGATCTTTCCAAAAAGGCGATGACACTTCCAGCTACATTGGATCCTGTCAAAACAACGAAGACATCAGCTCTTGGTCCGATGATAGAAAGACAAACACCCGTAAGTTTGTGGAAGCCCAATTGGATGCTTTCGAACTTCGTAACGGGTGGGTGATCTGGACCTACAAGACTGAGAACTCTTTGGAATGGGATTTGCAGCGTTTGATGTACAACGGTCTCTTCCCACAGCCTGTCACCGACAGACAGTTCCCCAACCAGTGTGGGTTCAGCTCTTGAAGGTAACGGCGATTGCTGTTTTTCATGCTATTCATTATGACCTCCTCATACGAAAAGTTCATGTTCCTGGGAACCTCCGTTCTCCTCATAAAATTCTTTCATTTTAAATTCCCGTGCCCATAGCGCATATTTTATTGGTTCGGCTTCATTCCTTCAGTTCTTGAATCCTAGCAAATTGGTAACTCATTTGCTCTTTTCATATCAATTCAAAATTTAGATATAATTAACATCGACAAGCTAGGCCTTGCACAATAGTTACTTTCACAATTACTTTATATTCAGAAGCTGCGATTATCATCAGACATGCAAAAGACCCGATGCCTAGTTGAGTAGTAGGCATCAGACATCTTCTGCCTGATAAGAAGTTAGGAGGAAAGTGAGCATGAGATATAAATTTCAATGTCAGCGGTAATATTATCAATGAGTACGATTGTACTCGAAGATAACACTGACACGCTAAAGTATGAAGTTGGTCGCCGTCACGATGATCATCTTATTATAAGCTTGATTCCAAAGTGAGGACCCCGATCAGCTTTTGATTAAAAGCAAACTATTGGGCTTTCCGTTGTCCAATAGTGGCCAAAATGTCGTCTATTCCGTCAATAGACCTCACGCAAGAGGAACCAGAAGACGACAACGCGTTCCCCGTGTCTCAAAGTAGTCTCGCTCAGAACAGCCAAACGTTGCTGAAGGGTCTCGGACAGTCAGGTATGCGTCTTCCAACTTTAAGCTCCGCTATTGGGAGTTCATCAAGACAAGAGCGACTTGCCCCATGGGCGTCGAGAAGGCAAAGCAACCCACAGGGTATGATAACTACTCCAAGATCTGTGCCGCGTCAACAAGAACTGAAAGAGGAACTACGATCCCTGGAACAGTCAGAGGAACCCTTCTTTAGGTCTTTGGCAGTCGGTGAGGATAAGGCTGGTAGTTTGAGTGAATCGGGTCTCTCGCAGGAGAATGGTTCGCACGAAGATTCAGCTTCCAAAAGACGCAAGTTTAATGGTACCACTGCGGATGGTGTATTTAAGGAAGAAACAGGATCCCAAAAAAGTGGTAGTTATTATTCGAACGAAAGCAGTCTGACACCAGGCGCTTTCGGGCAAGAAGGTTTCGTTCCTAATCTTTCTAATACCACACCGCCAAAAAACGCTATTGAGCTATTTGATAGAAATCGAGAGCCGTCTACTGAGATCTCAACGCAGTCAAAGAGGACACCCCCTCTTTTGACTAGTGATAAAGACCATGCTCCCGTCATTTCACATCAGCTTGACACTTCTCCCTTGGCTTTACGTTTGGCTAATAGTAATGATAACGACACACCGATAATTGTGCTCAGTGACGAGGATGACGAGAGACTGGATAAAAAGCATAGGCACCCCGTCAATGAAGCTCTTCAACTGCAAAACCGTCCTCCAAAAGAACAGGGACATAATAATACTGATAATAGTGGTTCCGATGTCGAACGCTTAAGAGGTATCCATGAAAGTAACCTAAGGGCAAAAGTATTGAGAGATCGTCAGTTGGCTTTATTGAGGACTACTTGCCGAGACACAAAGTTAATTTTACACAAAAAGCTGCAGAAAAGAGAAGAGCTTATTCGAGAAGCAGATTCTAAGCTTCGCTCTCACTTAACTGCCAACAATGAGTTCGATCAACTATCTAATGTTAGACAATTTCAGGAAGAACTGCGACTTTTGGAAGAGAGACGAGCACAGACTCTACAGAAGCTGCGAAAGCTGGAAGCTAAAGAAGATGCTGCAAATCAAGAGTATACCCAATTTATCACCAAGCACACTACTAAACTCCAACAATCTCAGTTGGACTTACAAAATGCTTTGAGTAGCCGGATACATGCGAACATGGTAGAAGAGCGATCCAGGCTAATGAGCGAAAGATCGGAACTGGAAAGAAGTTTCAGATCTGGTGCTATAGATTCCACCACACTGTTCTCAAGAAAAAGTGCAATTGATACAGCTTTGAATCAATTGCAAGCCACTCAAATGGCACCGAAACAATCTGGAAGTATTCATCATTCGGATGTTTACTTTAAGTCGATTGAGGTTGCGCGGGATTTAATAAAAAAAAATACTGTTAGGTCCTCACAGAACAAGAGCTTAATGTCATATTACTTGAACATTGTTGAGCAATTCAGAAGAGCTTGTGAAAGTGGTCTCCGATACAGTCCAAGGAAGAAATACGAAGTTGAAAAGGCAATTACTGAGCTATTTCGGCATGGCGTAAAGATGCCTGCCGTTTCCAAGTACTTGAGAAGCATGGGCTTTCTGGTAGACCCTGATGAGTTTGATAGAGCTTATGCCGTGAATAGCCCTGTTCAAAATAATGATGAATTTATGACTGTTGATGGGCATCACGGTTCTGACGACGATATTCTTGAGCTTGTAAAATCACAGGAAGAACGTCAAACGAATCCGTTGCAGCTATCGAATATTTACAACATCCAAGACAACGACAGTCTCCAAGAACTACTTGAAGGGTTGAAAACAACTGAAGCAGAGGTAGAAGGTGAAGAACTGACACCACGCGAACTCACAGTTAATCTCATGAAGCATCAACGTAAAGGGCTCAGTTGGTTGCTCCAGGTCGAAAAGTCAAACAAGAAAGGGGGTCTTTTAGCCGATGATATGGGTCTGGGTAAGACCGTTCAAGCTATTTCCTTGATGTTGGCAAATAGGTCTGTGGATGAAAAATGTAAGACCAATTTAATTGTCGCGCCAGTTGCTGTTCTGAGGGTTTGGCAAGCGGAGGTCAGAACAAAGGTGAACAAGACGGCTGGCTTAAAGGTTCTTATTTTTGGAGGTAGCAATGGCGCCAAAGTAGAGAGCTATCGTAGCTTGCTCAGGTACGATATTGTATTGGTTTCATATCAAACTCTAGCAAGCGAACTTAAAAAGCATTGGCCCGCTAAGCTGACACAAGATTCTGAAGAATCGATAATGACGGACGTGCCTGATATAGTAGCGATGAATACGCTCAAGGAACGAAAAGAATATTGGTCGCCATTCTTCAACGACCAGTCTAAATTTTATAGGGTTATTTTGGATGAAGCCCAAAACATCAAAAACAAAAAAACTCAATCAGCTAAAGCCTGTTGTGCGCTTATTTCTATTTATCGCTGGGCGCTGTCAGGAACTCCATTGCAAAACAACATTATGGAACTTTATTCGCTTATAAGGTTCTTGCGAATCTCGCCATATAACCGAGAGCAGAAATTTAAGTTGGATATTGGCAACCCGCTGGGACGATTATCCAACGATTTTGATAGTCATGATCGTAAGCAAGCACTTAAGAAGGTCCAAGTGCTTTTACGAGCCATTATGCTAAGAAGGACTAAGGATTCCAAGATTGATGGAAATCCCATTTTAGAGCTTCCCGATAAAACCATTAACAACGAGGAAGAAACTTTGACGGGAACAGAGCTAAACTTTTATTCTGACCTGGAAATTAAGAATCAAAAGAAAGCAGAGAAACTGTTGACTAAGCGCACTAAAGGCAATTACTCTAATATTCTGACATTATTATTGAGATTACGCCAAGCCTGCTGTCACTCAGAACTTGTTGTCTTAGGCGAGCACAAGAGCGAGACGTCAAAAGTCGCAAATGGTAAAGACTTCCAAAATGATTGGCTACGTTTGTTTGAGCTGGCTCGAAGAATGCCTGGTATTGGAAGAGATGCAGTCACGGAGGGTTTAGAGAATATGACTTGCCCATACTGCATGGAGCAAATGGAACTGGATTCGACTATGGTAATCACACCCTGTGGCCATATGCTTTGTGACGGTTGTTCTGAGCAGTACTTCGAGGATGCTCGTGTTCAAACCGGCGCTAGAAAGATAGTAAACAGCGGTTATCTTGTACCTTGCCTGGTGTGCAATAGATTCATCGATGACAATGAGGTTATCACATACAAACTTTATGATCAAGCGATTAATCAAAACTTAACAGTGCAGGGTTTGAAAGACGAGTATGCTGACGAGATGCAAGCTCGAAAAGATCGCCTCAAAAATGGCTACAAAATCAACTACGAGACCATCCAACCGTCAACAAAGATTTCACAGTGTCTGGATATCTTTCGCAATGTACTTTCGAGCTCAAAAGATGAGAAAGTCTTGGTATTCTCGCAGTTTACTACTTTTTTTGATTTGCTACAACATTTCATTCACAAAGAACTGGGAGTTCGATATTTGAGATATGATGGATCCATGGATGCTCAAGCACGGGCTGCTACAATTGAAGAATTCTACAAGAATCCCGAGAAAAGAATTCTCTTAATCTCCATGAAAGCAGGCAATGCCGGATTAACACTAACTTGCGCAAATCATGTTATTCTGGTGGATCCTTTTTGGAACCCATTCGTTGAAGAGCAGGCAATGGATCGTTGCTACAGAATTAGTCAAACAAAAGAAGTGCAGGTTCACAAGCTTTTGGTCAAAAACTCTGTCGAGGATAGAATTTTGGAGCTACAGAAGAAGAAAAAAGAGCTAGTAGAAAGCGCGATGAACCCCAACAAAATTCAGGAAGTCAACCGTCTAGGACGTCGCGAGCTAGGCTTCTTATTTGGTTTGAATACATTAGAGTGATTATGCATGGAAACTTTTTTTTTAATTTACTTTGCGGCTTTCGCCAGTATAACCTTAAAAGCCAATTGTGCGATCTGAACCTGTTTATTACTTCGGTACAGGTGGAAAAGTGTTCACCATCAGCTGATTTGAATATAGGCTGCGTCACGAGATTTCAGCGGAGGATCTATGTAGTTCATCTTATTAATTGCCATTTAGGTTTGGGTAGTTGGTACGCTAGTCATTACTGTATCAATAGCATCGTTCCTACAAATCCAAATATTACCAAAACTACTCCAATATGGTTTCATTAAATAAGAGATGCACCTTCCAGGTTGGCCAAGATCCCGCCAATGAAAGAACCTTGACTTTATCTTCATCATCCAACGAGGGCTACTTTGTATCACTTAGACCATTTATTGCACCAAAAGACTCCGAAAAACAGTTCCCATTCGAGTGGGCTTTCGCCGGAGGTCCCGCTAGTGCTAGAGTTGAGAAAAAGGATGACAAAACAGACGTGGTCTATTTTGATTTCGATTTTGATACCAATGTTCACTTAAACGCCGAGAACACGCACAGAGGTACTATTACTACTTATTGGAAGAAATGGGAAAGTGGATTAGTGGAAGAAAGAGGTCAAGTGTTCCCCTTCGGAACCGAAAAGGAGGGTGTGGACTTTTTCGAGCTTTGGCAGCCGGTGGACGTCGATCAGGATGCACTCACAATCTTGAGTGATAAAAGCCCAGATCAGGACATTGCTAGATCCGTGGTTCTTACTGTTGATAATGCTGACTACAAAGGGTTAGTGGTTGCCGTGGGCAGATGGGCGCAAGGTATTCTCTTCAAGAAAAATGAACACTCTATAAAGGGTGTTAACTTCTTAAGATCGGTTGAGCTCGCTAATGGGCAGTGGGAAACACAGTTTGAATACGGAACTGATGCGGACAGATTTCCACAAAAGTTTATCGCTTCCAAAGGTTCGACGTTCTATGCCAAATCACTTTCATGGGAAGTGATTGAATCCAACTTTCAAGAGTGATATGCATCGTTATACATTAAATAATTACCGCTATATACAGATAAAGGTAATTATCAATGAACTTCAAGACGCTTTATTGCATGACGTGAGAGTGAGTGGTGTATATCGCATCAATTGAACCCGTTGGCCTAGCTAGCGCACTTCAGGTGTCTTGCTAACGAACTCTTCCTTTCCTGCCAGGTACCAGTGGGTCTACCCCTTTTCTAAAAACGCCGCCATGTCCAGTACGTAATATGGTGTAACGGCCAGTATTGCACGATTTATGGTCACGACATGGACCAGCGTTCGACTCTTCCTCTAGAAATTTGATTAACATTTATTACTTTGACTAGTTTTTAGAGACTTTCAGCCCGCAAATAATTGTTAGAGTTGCCTCAGAGCTATTTCAATAGAGCAATACGCCCGCTTGGTGCAAGAGATTCCTTCCGTTCCTGGTTGTCGAATGGCTTGCCTTTCGATTGTTAGTACGCATATATATCATCACTTTGGACGGACATTTCGTATGTAACAATATCTACATGATCAGGGGAAAGTCAAAATTTTTGAAGGTTTTTCTGATGGGGCAGAACGCATCAACTTCCGTTACATTTTCCATTTCATTTTGAACTGAACTTTGATTGTTAATTTTTGATCAACAATGAGTGTGTGGCTCTTTGTCTTGGCAGTTGTGCTCAACTGTGTGAACTTGTTTGCGCAGGTCCATTTCACAATCTTGTACGCAGATTTGGAAGCGGACTATATCAATCCTATTGAATTGTGTTCGAAGGTGAACAAACTGATCACCCCTGAGGCTATCTTACATGGCGCTATATCGATATCATTTTTGCTGACTGGCTACTGGTTCGTGTTTTTGATCAACCTCCCAATGCTTGCCTTTAACGCCAACAAGCACTACAAAAAACTGCAATTGCTAGACGCCACTGAAATTTTCAGAACTTTGGGTAGGCACAAGAAAGAGAGTTTCTTGAAACTGGGCTTTTACCTATTGATGTTTTTCTTCTACCTATACAGAATGATCATGGCATTGATTGCGGAATCCGATTGAGTTCGCAGAATTCCGAGGTGGACAAGACATGCTTCATAAAGGCATCATCGGCCGATATCAAAAAGGTTGTAATGCAAGCACAGAGTCCTGAAGACTTTTATTCCTCGTGTTATCTCACGTATATATGGGCGGTCTAACGGGATTTGTATATGGGTACGGAGCTATCGGCCAAAATGTAAATTTAATTATTCCAAGAGTTTTTCTAAAGAATCATTGAAAGTCTGTAATTTTGTTAGCAGACCGTCATTTGGATTAACGAGCTGTACCAAATCGTCTACTTTTCGTTCCAAAGAGGGTACTTTTGTGTGCTCGCCAATAGCGGGGGTGTGGGAAAGGTTAGAAACTAAATTTTGTAGCTTATCATTAAGAACAGATTTCCGTCTCAGCTCCTCGAGTTGCTCATTGCTACCTGGTTCGGTCTCCCAGTCGTTTATTTGCTGTCTGATATCCAGCAACTTTTCACTCAATATAAATTTGCGTCTTTCGCAGTCTTTCAATTGGGAGCACAATTCGTTATTCGAGATGTTGATGTCCAAAGTATCTTGTAAATCAGACACAACTCCATGGATAAACGTGGATAATAGCTTTATGTCTAGCTTGTGCATGAATTGTTCAGCAGAATCTGTAGCGGTATCAAAATCAGCATACGATTGTGGTATCAGTTGTTCTTCAAATAGTGATTCTAGAATTGATGAAATAACTTCGATTGAAGCCAAAGAAATTGGGTTTGATTTCAACTGAGAAATTGGGAGATCTGAGAAGGAGAAGTCTGGTTCTAGGCGAGGACGTTCCGGAGTGGTAGAAACCCTAGGCGGACTTTTTGGCAGCTGAGGCGGCGTTTCTGGGACCTGTGGTAGACTCGCCGGCGAGGCTCGGTCCGGTGAAGCTGGAAACCGCGTTGGGGACGTAAACAGATTTTCGGGTGATGTCAGTAGGCCATTAAGAACCGGGCTTCGAGTAGGAGAGCGTGTGGGAACGTCCAACGGGACATCATCCTCCAAGTCCGGCGCAGCAAATGACTGGTCAAAGCCATACTCTTTGTGTTCGAGCGTTGGTGGCGGCAACGACGGTCGATCGAGTTTTGGCCTCTTCGACTGAGATATTACAATGTCTTGTTCGATCTTTCGTAGGGCGCTTCCTCTTTGCCGTGATAGAAGTTTCACATCTCGCTCTGTCAGCATCGGGATGTACCCGCAGTGCTATAATGTCGGTATAGAGCGAGGGATCCAATCGGGTGAGAAGAATACACAACTGCTTCATCGAAACAGGTTTGTGTGTTTACAGTGTAAGAAGCGCGACAGGATTTACTTACCCGTATGATATGACAATCAAACAAACTACAAGATCAAAGGGCATTGAATTTAGAACCATAAGTAACCTAAGGTTGCTTGCACATAGTGCGCCATTTTGATTGTTGTCTCTACTTCTGCGAAGAAATCAAGATGTTAAAAATGTCAAAAGGTGTTATTGCTTAACTCGTCTGGGGCAGTGAAATAGCTAGAACATTTAAATCAGTTCTGCATTCTGAGAAAGAGTGATTCATTAGTCAAATCCCGACAGCTTTCGAGGCCCTGAGGTTGAAAATAAGGTGCCGTAGCCCGGATAATTTTGAAGCGACAACACTTACGGTTAGAAGAATTCTAGGTGTATGCAGATTACAGCACTCGATTGACGAAAATTCTTAAGAGCTATCTAAGAATAGTAAGTAGCACAGTACTGGCTCAGAGCTAGGACTGATATGCAAGAAATTGCGTCGATGCTGAAGAGAAGTGCGCGGCGGCGTTAACAGTGGTTAACAAAAGCTAATCCCAAATATCAAGGACGAAAGCCACCGTTATCGGTAGATTTCATTTCTAGGAGAGAAGCGTAAAAAAGTTACCCGTAGATTGGCGTATTTGCAAACCAAACTGACCTAACACAATAATGAGCTCTAGCTTGGCACGGAGCTTTCCAACTATCTACGACACGGAGGTGACCGGGCTGGTGCTTCTCGTTATCGAAACATAGCACCGCGCAAAATCTCAATGAGTTCTTTAAAGGCGCAAGTTTACTTTGGTCGCTGATAAAGCTCACCCGAGAGGCCCGTATCGTGTGCAGAAATTGATCTGCAAAAAGACTTAATTGCAGATCATTCGGAGTTTGGCCAAATTGAGAATGCAGTTTCCAACAAAAAAAAAGATATGCCTGACAAGCACACTTGTGATAACAAGCGAGCTTGACTCCATGGGTTCCAGCCACAACTTAACAGCCCGTTGTATTCCGTCCGATATCACTTTGTGTCAGGAAAGTACAAAGTGATATAAATTGCGCTGAACGAAATAGCGCTTGTGCCGGATAGCCCACGAGGGTTTGTCCCATACCGTGCGGGAAGGCGGGCGATGGACCCTGTCCGGCCTGGCAGTCAGTGACTGTTAAATGCACGCATTACACTATTTTTTTATTGGTCAACCAAAACTCTGTGGACCGTCGCAGAGATTGACACAATACTAATCCCTCGCTCTCAGACGGCACTACACTCCGAAGGGACGGGCGTGAATCTTCCCTCTTTGTTTCCTCTTTTTCCACGCGCCGACTCGAAAATCAACTAAATATTTCAAGAAAAAGTCGCTGTCCACCATAACGCTGCCAAACAAAAATGCGTAGTTTTCCTCTTAAAACACTCAGCCCTTATGTAATTTTCGGACAAGTGCCATTGCACTACCAACATGCATCACACTCACGAGCTCACCAACGCACGAGGCCACCAACTCACGAGCTCGCCATCTCTTGTAAAATCGCTACCGACCTCATCTCCGCATACACTCAAAGTCACCTCAAAAACGTCGTGAAGTGCTCGAAGTAAGCTCTAAATAACCCCCCAAAACCTGCTCAAACATCAAATACACCACTCCCAGTGCTGCTAGTACCCTTTTCGGAGCCCTCGCCGCTAAGCCCATTGCTCACTATTTATAGCCCTGCGGCCCTACCCCTCCTTCTCGCGCAGCACGGCCGCAGCTATCCATGCGTCAAACTACGACTTCCAGAACATAACCAAGAGCACCTGTGCTCACGCAACAAAAAATTATCGCTTCAATTCTCTAGATGGATCCAGCCCGCTAGTGGCATCCGTTTTTCACACACGAAGTAATTACTGCAGCTTCCCTGCCTTTCCTGAGCGCGTGTAGTAGTACCTTAATTTAATTCTAGTCCCTTTTCTACCCGTACCCGAACTTGCTCTTCGAGTCGCGCCAGCTAAAATTCTCGCGCTTGTTGAAAAATTTTCGCGGTGGAAGCGCGCGCGCATCGCGGCCATGGCGATGAACCGCTTTCTCCCTTGGTCTGAATTGTTTTATGTATGGTAATGTGGTAGTATAAAGGGCCAAGGGTTACTGGAAGTTGAAGGTATGTAGAACATCGGGCGGTTCGCACTGGAGGAAAAAAAAGCGGAACGTGAACGACAATTGCAACTTGTAATTTATAGCGGTCGATCAATACATGATAGATAGCATGAATTTTTGAGAAGCTGAACCTCGACTCTCTGTTATCATTTCTATTCAGCTCATCGTTTGTAAGTGTCTTCTTCCAATATTAATTGTCACTTAATTAATTTTGGAAAATTTGAAGCACTGCAAATTCGCACATCTGCTCTCCATCAGGCTCTCTCTCTTCTCTCAGGCTTTCTAGTGCTTACACACCGTGGTCCAACATGCCTCAGATCCCACTGCCGCCGTCCGCCACGGTTTTAACGTCTTCAGAGCCGCCACGAACGCTGTGGATGGGCGACCTGGACCCCAGTTTTGACGAAGCTACCATCCAGCAAATCTGGGAACAGCTCCAAAAAACGGTCAACGTCAAGCTGATCCGCGCCAAGAAGAACCTGCTCATCCCATGCAGCACCAGCAGCACGTTCAGCGACCCCGAGACCGTGGAAACCGCGGCTGCTGTTGAAGCAGAGCAGGATCTAGAGCCTAGCGCTACTAATGCCGCTGCCAGCGATGCTGCCAGTGCCCAGCCGGGCCAGAAAATCAACATCAACGGCGTGTCTTTCATCGACCCCAACACCACCCAGTTGCACCACGCAGGATACTGTTTTGTCGAGTTCCAAGGTCTTGGCGATGCCCAATGGGCGCTGACGCTCAACTCCACCCCGCTACCCAATATTATCAGCCAGTCAACTCAGATGGCCACCAACCCATCGGGTCTGCGAAATTTCCGACTCAATTGGGCCTCAGGTGCTACTTTACAAAGCGCCATTCCTTCCACGCCAGAGTTCTCGTTATTCGTAGGAGACCTTTCTCCCACGGCTACAGAGGCACACTTGCTTTCACTCTTTCAAAAGAATTTCAAGAGCGTCAAGACCGTGCGGGTTATGACCGACCCTATTACTGGCGCTTCGCGTTGTTTCGGCTTCGTTAGGTTTGGCGATGAGCAAGAACGGCGCCGAGCGCTGGTCGAAATGAACGGAGTGTGGTGTCAAGGACGCAATCTACGAGTAGCATATGCCACTCCTCGCAACAACGTCATGTGGCAACTGACCCAGAACGATCAACAACAACGTCAGCAACCACCGCAACAGCAACAACAACAGCAGCAGCAACAACAACAGCATCAACATCAACCGCGTTTACTGCCGCCCCATCAGCAACAACAGCATCAACAGCATCAACATCAACAACAGCAGCAACCTACACAACTTCAACTTCATGAACTGCAGGCACAGCATGCACAACATGCACAACAGCAACAACATGCGCAATATCCACAACAGCAACAACATCAACAACATCAACAACATCAACAACATTCACAACATCCACAATATCAAAACCAGCACCAACATCCGCACTCACACCAACACCAACACCAATATCAACAACAGCTGCAACAGCAACAGCAACAGCAGCTGCACCAACAAGCACCTTCACAGTTGTATTCGAGCCCCTACCCACAATATCAAAACCAATCGTTGGGGGGAAACTATTTGGCCGACAACTCTGGTGCACCCATGCCATCTTCTGGTTTTAATCAGGCTCCTTTACTAATGAAAACTGCTAACTCATTGGTAAATAGTAATCTCGTCAATTTTCCCTCAGCTACCAGCGACCAATCCTTTTCGTACATGCCTCCTTCTAGGAACTCTTCAGCTGTAGGACTTTCAAACTCGTCTCCGGATAATCACTTGGCCTTCACCAACCCTAGCAATACCACGGTTTTCATTGGTGGCTTAACCTCGCAGATCTCAGAGCGTCAATTGCATTCAATGTTTGCACCTTTTGGATCAATCGTAAACGTCAAGATTCCTCCAGGAAAGGGATGTGGTTTCGTAAAGTACGCATACCGCATTGATGCCGAAGCCGCCATACAAGGTATGCAGGGCTTCGTTGTGGGCGGAAACCCAATAAGATTGTCCTGGGGAAGGACATCGGCAGATACTGGAAGACATAATACCATGCAGGACATACCATCTTCACACTCACACATGAACGTCAGTTATCCGTCTCCGGTTTGGAATAATAATGATAACGCAGCTCCTTCTGTCGGACATCCCATGTATGCATCTACACACTTGCAACGCCAAGATTCTATTACTCAAGCGAATAGTGTGCCTCCTGTGCACCCATCCCTGTTATGATGTTGTGGCCCACGTCACCTCACTATGTACAGTGGAGATGGGGAACTAAGAAAATGCACACTTCATTAATGAACCCTTCAATTCCTGTTCTTTTCTAACACCTTTTTTTGGTCTTACGATTTATCATATACTTACCGTTTTGGCTTGTGCTTTTGAATGTTGTTTTAAGTAATATCTGTTATTTTCCAGCTATGTTTAGTTATTTTACAATTATTTTGGCTTTCGTTTTGGCAGGTTTTATGACAGTTGATTTTGATGTTATAAATGTGTAAAGTATGTCGGTAAGTACGTGCAGCGATCGAAATTTGAATTTTGAAAATATGTATTTTCTGAAATTTAAGAAAGCTGAAAGCTGAAAGTGTGTCATGACAGCCAGTATCGATGTTATCTTTGCAACTAGCTCATCAGCTAGTAGATAAAAATGTCCTTTTAGTTGGTGCTGGAGATGTGGCAATGACACGGATTCCAAAGCTGTTGCCCACAGGTTGCAAGTTGACGATTATAGCACCGGAAATTCATGAAGACATGTGGGAATACATTGACGTGGAAAAGAAATCGAATCAGACGGAGTTCATTGATCACGCTTGGGATTCTAACAAGAATAAAATCTATCAGATCATACAAAGAGGTTTTGAAAACAAAGATATTGTACTATTTGGAACAGGATTAAGCCATCAGGAGAAAATTGACGAGTTCTTTACTGGTAAGTTAAAATTGGGGGATTGTTTAGATATGCGCGATTCCAATCCTGGCTGGCATTTGATCATGACTTGTATTCCAAACCCAGTTTTGAGCGAATATATATATCAAGGCGCTAAACTTGTCCTAGGCAAAAATGTGCTATGCAATGTCGCGGACAATCCTCCATTGTGTGATTTTTATTTTGGTAGTAACGTAATCTTGGGCGATGGAGAAGGGAACAAGCCAATTCAAATTCTTATTTCCTCCAATGGAAATTCACCCAGGTTTACGTCGCTTCTAAAACAAGAAATCCAGGATCAATATGGAAATTTACCGATTGGAAAAAGTGTGAGTAAACTCGGCAAGTTGAGATCTCAAATCCGTCAAAATTCAGAACAAAACTGTCCTTCAGATTTGAGCCAATTGGAATTAATCAAATATCGAATGGAATGGATACGAAATTGTACAGATGCATTTGGAGTTGCACATTGTCATGAGATTAATATAGATAAGACTTTGAAACTTTTTGACGAAATGTTTGCAGATTTAAGTTTGGAGCAGCCAGAGAAAAAAGTGTTCTTAGAAGAGTATTTAGAAAATAGTAGTTGAAAGGAATGAAAAGTCAAATTTGAGCCGAACACGATTGCGTGCTAATACATATAATTGTATGTGTATATAATATATATATTTTATAGATTTGTTGTAGGTTTTCTCTCTGGTTGGAAATATGATATGATTGGTCTTGTTTCGGGAGAAAAAAATAATAATAATGTGGATAAAACTGCTAAAAGATTGTTATGGGTGGTGGCATCGTAACGTGCTCCCCATTGATGTAGGTTGTGATGATTGATATAGGGTAGTGACAACTATTATACCAATTTCTTGTTTTCAATAGATTCACCTCTTCTGGCAGCAAATTTGGTTGCAGCATCAACACCTTCCTTTACGACGGCTACTCTCATGGTAGCCAAAACGTTATGGGCGGCGTTGGAGTGTAGATAAACACCACCGTTGAATGCCTTGGTGGCATCTTTGCCCAAGGCAGCCTGGATCAAAGTTTCACCACCTGGATGTTCGGTAATGTAGTTGGAAACATCGTGTACAATCCCGGAAATGATAACCAACCCTTGGTTTTCCTTGATGTTTTCCATAAACTGCGACCTGTCCCAAACGGGCAGCTGAGTCAAAGGAGTACCCCAGTTTAGCTTGGAACGTTTGCGATCAATCTTCTTTTGTTGCTGTTGTACCAAACCTTGCTGAATGGCGTTTTGAGAAAACTTCTTGAGACTGAAAGAGAGACCAACCAAAGAGCTGGCATAAATGAACACTTTAGTAGGGTCGTATTGGTACCATTTGATAGCGTTTCTGTAATCGGTTGGAAACTCGTGGTGGAAATTGTGGTAACCTTCACCAAAAGTGACCAAAGCGGTGATCCAGTTGTCACGAGGGGTTCTTCTGTCGTCAAATGGTTGGTCACCGAGGTAGTGAGCCAAAGAGTTGATACAGAAGGTGGCTTGTTGGATGACAAAGACCCTAATGATACCGGCATATATCAAACCACCGGTGAAATCGTTGAAAAGATACTTGCAGAACAATGCAGGCAAGATGAAGGCGCTCATCAACATCATTGGGATGTAGTGTCTGTGTTGGAACCTCACGATCCAGTCGTCGGTCAAATCATCGATATCGGCACGGGAGCGGTACTTTGGGTTTGGCTGCGTCAACATCCAACCCATGTGGGAGTACCAGAGACCACGACGGGCGTCGTAAGGGTCGCGAGGCGTGTCGGTGTAACGGTGATGGATACGGTGAGAATGACTCCACCACTTGATGGAGCCTTCCACAGAGGCGGCACCGAAAACGGCGAAGAACAGACGTAGAGGCCAGTGGGCGGAATACGCGCGATGGGCCCAAAGTCTGTGGTAGCCAGCGGTGATGGAGACACCACCCAGGACGTAGTAGAAGACGGAGAACCAGAAAACCGAGGCCTTGAGGGGAACACGGCCGCTAAGGGCGAAGTAGAAGCCCACGAGCGGGATGCCCACCACCAGCACCATGTTGAGCCAGTTGAGATGCTGGTGCCAGTTCTGGAGCGTCCAGGGCTGTTCCGAGATGTGTTTTTTGCCGCCGCGGTACTTTTCCTTCTCCTCCTTGTCGCGTTGCAGCAGGTAGTCCATGTTCGAGTCCGTTTTGAAGTCCACGTCCACCATGTTCTTGGAGCCCATGAGCTTGCCGAGCCCGTTGACCACGCGCACCGACTGCTTGTTGGCGCCCGCGGCCAGGATGTTGGCGTTGACCAGGTCCACCTGTTCCAGTTTCACAGACGAATCAGCCATACTGAGAGGGTGTGAATATACGGTTGTGTTTGTTTGCTTGAGCCTTGCAGAAATCTTGGATCTTAACTTGCGGTTGTGCGCTTGCTTTATATACCACCTGCTCGTATAGTGCGGAGTGGGCCGAGACTTTGAGAAGAGGCGTACAGTCTGTTGCTCTTGCGACTTGGTTGGACAAAGCTCAACGAAGTTACACTGAGAAAGAAACAAACTGAGAGTTACAAGCAGATACTTGGTGTGGTGAGATTGACGGGTGACCTTTTTTTTTCGATTTAGTTGGGAAGAGCGATCTCTCCGGTCGTTGAGAGTGTTTTCTTTTTTCTGTTGGATTTAGGAGGGAGAAGCGAAGGGAGAGAAGGGAAGAGAGAAGAAGGCGCAAGGATAAGTGAGACGATAGAATAGCGACAGAAGAGGACAGAAGCGAGAGATTTGGGAATAGGAAAGAGGAGCTTAGAATGGTGGTGAGGATAGAGAGGCGAAGGCGCGGCGAGTCTGTCACTTTGGACGTATACACGTGACGTGCGGAAGAGTCGCTGTGTACGAATGTGTGCTAGCTGTCACGTGATAACCGCGTGACAGTCACGTTTTGAGAGATTGTAGAGATTTGGAACAATAGCACTGTTGGGCGATTGCGAGCTCCAGCGAGTGGTTGTGAGGAGTGAGAGTAGTGTTGCTGAGCGACACGAGCTTTAGTGAGTATTGTGAAGAGTGAGAGTAGCAATGGTGAACAACACGAGTTAGAAGTACGCTGAATAGCTTGGCGAGAAGTCTAGCACGTTGAACAATACGAGTTAGAAGTACGCTGAACAACTCATAGAGAAGTCTAGCACCTTGAACAATACGAGTTCGAAGTACTTAGAGAGAAGTCTAGCACCTTGAACAATACGAGTTAGAAATACTTAGAGAGAAGTCTAGCACCTTGAACAATACGAGTTAGAAATACTATGAATAACCTAGAGAGAATTCTAGCACCTTGAACAATATGAGTTAGAAGTACTCTGAATAACTTAGGGATAAGTCTAGCACCTTGAACAATACGAGTTAGAAGTACACTGAATAGCTTGGCGAGAACTCTAGCACCTTGAACAATTCGAGTTCGAAGTACGCTGAACAACTCATAGAGAAGTCTAGCACCTTGAACAATACGAGTTAGAAGTACGCTGAACAACTCATAGAGAAGTCTAGCACCTTGAACAATACGAGTTCGAAGTACTTAGAGAGAAGTCTAGCACCTTGAACAATACGAGTTAGAAATACTATGAATAACCTAGAGAGAATTCTAGCACCTTGAACAATATGAGTTAGAAGTACTCTGAATAACTTAGGGATAAGTCTAGCACCTTGAACAATACGAGTTAGAAGTACACTGAATAGCTTGGCGAGAACTCTAGCACCTTGAACAATTCGAGTTCGAAGTACGCTGAACAACTCATAGAGAAGTCTAGCACGTTGAACAACTCGAGCATTAGCGAATGATTATGAAGAGTTAGGATTACTACGAACAATTGAGAGATGGGTTTGGCACCACGAACAGTTGAGAGAGAAGTTTAACACTATTTGCAGCATTTGGAACAAGGAGAGTACAGCACTATGTGCAATCAAGATGTAGCACTTTGAGGTATTGAGAGCGACAAATACTATGAACAATCAAGAATGAGACCCATGGCGAACTTCTGCCACTTCTAGACGTCAACTCCATGGCATCTTCTGCCACTCCTACACTCCAATTCCATGGCGAACGTCTGCCACTCCTACGCTCCAACTCCATGGCGAACTTCTGCCACTCCTACACTCCAACTCCATGGCGAACTTTCCACTTTTCTCGCCACCCCGACGAGGAGCCCCCATCGCAAAACTTGCAACCAGCTTTGAGTTTTAACGGGTCATCTCCTCACCAAATTGTCCAACTTGTCAAACATTGTAAAATCTATGGCTGAACAACAAGATTTTGGATTGGTCGATGAATGAAAATGACTTTATTTCCAAATACGGATTAAATGATGCTGCTGTTCAGAAGCCATTAAAGGGCCACAAGTTAAATGCTCGATATAATTGAGACAGCTTTCACAACTTTTGCTCAATTAGCAACATCAATTGTTCATGCAAAATCGGATTGAAGCACCACATTCCTCTTTACCAATCAGCTACCCCTATAGCTAATCCCAAAAACGAGATACCGCTACCACTACTATGGAGAGGAGAGTGAAGGAATTACACCTCAGAGTAAGCAATAGTTCACCTCCTCACACCTCAATTGTAGCATCTCTGAACTCGTCACTAGATCGTAGCACACACTCCTCGCATCGCTCTTTCTTCATATTATGCCACGTTGTGATAGTGTCGCAAGCTTTAGTTGCGCATTTGGCTACCCGGTTACAAATGGTACGAGTAGCCTTGGGAGCCTAGTAGTTGTAAACAGCTTGGAGAAGGGAAAAAATCGACTTGAGAATGGCTTCTTCTCTACTTGAACCAGGTGTAGATAGATGAACGAACAAGGTACGCGACCTCACCAAGCTGATGCGCATGCCAAAGTTCTTCTTCGTTTCTCAGAGATAACTGGATTCTACAAATTTTGATTTTTAGAGTCTCATTAAAGTACAAGTGTATCTTTGCACTATGAATGTCTGATACGGCACTTGGAAAGTGATGGCGTCAAATGTTTTATGGAAAATGCTAGAGTAGAGTCTGTTCAGCGATGAAAAATTTGCTTGTATTTTGTTCAGCTCTTCCATCGTTGGTTGAGTATGTTTATTTGTAAAAGGTAGTAACTCCGTGATTCTTTTATAGAATATGCCGATAAACCTGGTACAGAATCTTGTGGTATTGATATAAATATTTAATAGGTGTAAAATTCTCAAAAAGCTTTGAATAATCATTCATTACATCGTAAAGTAAATCACACAATGTCCAATTATTCACTGATGGACGATCGGACCATCTCAGATTGTCGCCTGATATTTGTCACCACTTCGAGGTGATGTATCGAATATTTTATCGACCGCCTATGCTTTGCTGACATCAACCTGGCACTATCATCACACACATTCAAACAGATTTGCAGTGAACAGCGGCTATACCAATTACATATGCCTTCTTTTTGGTACTCGATTCCTTTAGCCTTAATGTAGATGTTGCTACGTTCAGCCAGTACTAAAGTTTTTGTCATTTTATACCAACGTGTCATAGTCAAAAGTCGGTAAAATATATAGTTTGGGCTTTTCATCGGTATTTGTGCCAGCCTCCTTTCTTGAGCTTTCAGTCTTAATCTTTGAGCCAATCAGCCTAGCCTGAAGACGTCCCTTTTAATTACATGATCCTATATCAAAAACAGTGAAAATATAGTTTGTATGTCTCTTTATATTGCCAGGCATCAGCAACATCCAAGGCATTTCAAAACTTGTAAGTAATAGCTAAGTTACAGTCCTTGCCATGCTGTTCAAGAGGGATGAAGAAACTTCACACGACCGGATTAAGTGAAAGAATCTTAACAATGTTTGTTATCTCTACTATGAGTTTCATGTTGTGCCAGCTCTTCTTCAGAGCTGTTGTTAGTTCTGTCGGAATCTACACCGCGTCTTAACAGTACGAAGTGACGTTGAGGAAATTGTCAATATCTCATACGGCACTGAGCTGGCTCTCTTTCATCAGAATAGCCATGATCAGCTGGTTTACATGGACTGATAAGATGGGCATATCCGTCAGACCAAGAGTTGTGTATATACCGATGATTTTCCAGTGTGCCGAGATGATGTTCTCTTACAGAGAATTTTATCCAGCCAATGCTTAATTGCTATTGTGAAACACTTTACTACGTCCATAGAAACCAATCTCAATAATCTAAAATCTCGACAACAAACAAACAGTAATGACGACGACGACTCAAGTCTACTGCTCGACAATGATACTACATGGCGGGGCGAAATGCCTTTCTTTTTTCAAATCGCTAGGTTACCTAAGGTCTTCGAAAGAACGGCCCCTCAAGTCAAAATTTATCATCTGACTCCACCTTGCCTGCTTAACCAACCTTATTTTGATATATAAGTACACACTTCTTTCTTGGAGCAGGCAATCGTTAATAGGCAACTATTCGTTTCTTAAGTTGATATAGTGTATTTCAGCATGAAGAGCTATACAGAGCACTAGTGTAAAGATTCAAACTTGGTCTTCAGCGCCACAACCACAAGCCATTTTACTTTCTCTTGCGAAAGGAATTAGTTCGGGAAACTTCGTGTTCTTACTGGAAAGAATAGACGCTGTTAGTTTATCAAACATCCAATGGCAGTCCTTCTCATTGAAAAAGAACTCGATGTCATGAGCGACACGTTTGTCCAAAAGGCACCGATTCTTGACAAACTCGGCATTTTTATCCGATAAGTACTTGTTCATGATTTTGGCGACTCTTTCCCACTGCTGAGTATCATCTTGGGGCTCTTGGTCTGATACAACTTTCAAAAAAGTCATTCTGTGTTTCAGGGAAAGCATTCTCAGTTTAGACTTCCCCTCAAGATAGCGAGCACCATAGTAGAAAGGAAAAAAGACCACACAAACTGGCCACCCTCCGAAAGCAAAATAAACAGCCAAAATAATGAGGATCCTCCACGAAAGTAAAGGCTTGGTGAAATAGGTGAATTTGGACTTGTATATCTCCTTGGGCAATTTCAATTCTAGTTTTTCATCATCGCAGGTTTTCAAAATGCAATCTGTATCCCAGTATGCTTCAAGCTCCTTTTCGTAGACTTGAATCGCGCTGCAAACCAGGACATCATGCTCCTCGCTGTCCTTCTTTTTCATAAAAGGTATGTACATTTGGGATCTGAAATGTTCATGGCAATCTGCCCCGTTGTAAAAGCAATGCGCCGAATGCCACAGCCCCTTTTGGTGCAGCAGAATGTTCATGTTGATGGCTACTAAATCCCATTGCCCCGTGGTCATACCTGGTTTCTGTGCGATTAGCTCGCGAGCCAAGCTCAACCTTTCCTTTCTGAGCGCCCTTTTCTTTTTGAAAGAATAACAGAAAGCCAACGATATAGCAATGATCTCAAACAAGAACAACGAGCAGTTGATCGTGAAGTCAACACCCTCAACCACTCTATATGTACAGCAATAAACACCGTAAGATGACAACCCTAGCACCGAAATCCCAAAGTAGGTCGCACGCCATCTAGCTACATCGTAAAGCGCCCATGAAAGTCTGTTTTTAAACAAATTCTCTGGCACAGGATGCTTTTCGGCTTCCTTTGAGGGCAGTAACGACTTTTCCATCTCCAAGGCAGCTGTTGAAGTGCAATGAATGCCAAAAACAACTATCAGTTTTCTTAAAGGATCGAGGTTCGCAGAATCAATTTGTATTTATATCCAAATCTAAAATACGTCACCTAACGGTTAGGGAGTTGTATGCGAAAAATAAGTAGTGACACATCGCATCCTTATCACGTGAGCACTCTTATAGTTTAAGATATCTACAATATTGGATCTTGATGTGAAGCAGTAGTCAATCGATTGGCTTTCTTCTCCCGCTGTTACTATCAAATGGGAACTCGTCAATTAACATCCGCTGCTACGAGCTCCGTACTGAGATAGCCTTCATTAGCGACATTGTTCGTTCGGCGGCTACGGCACCAAAAAAACAACTGTTGCATGTTACACGTCCGTGTGAGGTTTTCAATTGAGCACGATTGTATGGAGTGTTTGAACTTGTTGTTCTTCTGGCAAATATATGCCGTCTTGCTGCTATACATTTGAGCTTGGCATATGGATTTGCGGGTTGTCAAATAAATGCGGGGAAAACGTAAATGAATGACCTATGAATGCCAGTGATTTGTCCCCGAAAATGACATAGGAAAGCATATAGAAGGGGGGTTCATTCCACTGGCTCTCTTGACTTTTTTTTCGCCAGAATGAAGTCTACAAAGATTTTATTTCCAAGACATGCTACAATTACGGGAAGAATAGGAACAATCTCGAGAGAGAAGCGACCCACAAATGCTGGAATCCTTGAGCCGTCTACCATCGCGATTCTAATGCTGTTGGTGATGGCTTTTCATATTTGGGTTACACGTGCTATTCACGTGCAACTACAATGGATGAAAGGCCTATATATGTGTATAAGACTAAGCAGGTTAACTAAAAATTTGCTGATGATCGCCTCCCCCATGTTTTAATGAACCCAAAGCATTGCGCGATATGAAAGATACTTCTTCCCAAGCGCAGAATACCACCAACACATCTAGACATGCCTCCATTGTGGAGATGCTATCTACGCCCCCAGCTATGCCGCAACAGCCGTCAACACCTTTGGAGTTTGAATCAATCTCTTTATCGCGCAACGCAAGCGCCTCGTCGCTAGACTCGCAAATGAGCTCTACCACTTCTTGTCTAACCAAAGTGCACTCTCAAAAGTGGCAGCATATCCCACTTTCCCAACTCATAGAGCAGAACAAGCTTGTAACGGTGGAGGCGTCCCTATCCGTGGAAGAAGCCTTCAACACACTTGTTCGCCATAATCTGACGTCTCTGCCCGTAGAGCAATTTCCCGGGGACATCAACTGCTTTACCTTCGACTACAATGATCTGAACTCGTACTTGTTGCTGGTCCTCAACAAGATTCAAGTCAACGACCCAGAGATCGCGCGCGACTGTCAAATGGGCAAACCCGTTCCGGTCGGCGAGATTGTCAAATTGACTCCAAAGAACCAATTTCATAAGCTGCGCGAAATTGACAACCTCACAACTGCCATGGGAATCCTCGGGTCTGGAGTACACCGCGTGGCAATTACAGACTCTGGCTCGACGCAGATAAAGGGTATTTTGTCACAGAGGCGGCTCATCAAGTACTTGTGGGACAATGCACGTCAATTTAGCAACCTGCAGCCTCTACTTAACTCCAGCTTACAAGATCTGGGGATTGGGGTACTCGACTCGCAAACTGCACCCACCAGTCGGCAGTCCAGAGTTATTTCCATGCAGGGCGAAGAACACCTCATGATGGCCCTTTACAAAATGCACACGGAACGCATATCTTCCATAGCTGTGGTGGACAACCATGGAAACCTTCTCGGTAATATTAGCGTCACTGATGTCAGGCACGTTACCAGAACTTCGCAATACCCACTACTGCATAATACGTGCCGTCACTTCATCTCGGTAATTCTCAACTCAAGAGGTTTGGAGATGGGCAAAGATTCCTTCCCTATCTTCCACGTATATCCTTCTAGTTCACTCGCAAGAACTTTGGCCAAGCTCGTCGCTACGAAAGCTCACAGATTGTGGATTGTACAACCGGAGAATTCTGCTACTTCGACATCCTCATCCTCGATGATATCAGGCTCTCCACAGTCTGTATCAATGAATACTCACAATAGCGGCAGTGATCATGATACTCCCAACAGAGCGGGGTCTCCAATAAGTGTGAAAAGTTTCGAAGAAAATTCTTCCCAAACAGCTACACCTCTATTCGAGAAAGAATACCGTACTGGTAAGTTGATAGGAGTTGTGTCGTTAACGGATATTTTGGGTCTTTTGGCAAGAAGACAAACAGAACACAAGCAAGTGGACCCACAGTCTGCCAGAAGACAAAGAGGCAGTGTAGGTGTATAGCTTGAACGTTTGTAATTATGCGAAATGTTGGAATTGTAAAATATGGCAACCGGACTGCGCTTTCTCCAGTTGGGCAAGCGCTTGAACAACCTATATACTCATCTGTCGCTAATCCCTAAGTGCAGGCTTAGAAATAGCTCCATTGTCCGCGTCAAGTACATATAATGGCTGACAGACTTCTATCCTTCAAGCAAGTAAATTATTTACAAGGTCTAGCTAGCCCTTCGGCAAAATATTTTAAAAAGAATGAGCTTCTACAAATAGCAAATAGCCTGAGATGTTTTTATTATCAATTAGTGCAGGACAGTGGATTCTCGTACTAATAGCTACTCAATCGAGTATATACCTTAATAGAATCTTAAATTTTTATGGTTCCTATTATCATGATCGATTTTCAGGACTAGTAACATATTGACTTAGAACTCGATTATGTTGATATAAAGCGGCTTAGTTGGCTGAAGTGGACAGCAGGAAGTATACACGCTCATTAAACATCCCATTACTTAATTACCGAACCTATATAAGTTGGTCATTATTCACGGATTAATCGATGTCTTCAGCTTTGTAGAGATCATCTAAACTTATATTCCAATCGGCTGAGCTCCAAATTGCCAACGGTATCGCGATCGGCATGCATAGAGCAATTCAAAGACAGCAATTAGGTGCGTCAAAGCACTTATTATGTCGATATATTTCTGTCAAGAGAAGTCCCCCCAGGTCATTGCTGCAGCGCCAAGCAAAAAGACGTGGAGATATAGACCCATCAGCGTCATCCCAGCTCGTAGTTACATCGCTGAAAGACATTTTCTCAATATTCCAACCCGCAAGTCAAACGCAAGAAGATGATGAGATGGAATCTTCCTTACATACGGAAAAGGTTATTCAACGAATTGAGACCGGAGAACTGAGGAGGTTGTATTTGCAGAAATTCTCGGCCCGCCAGGTTTCAGAGTCGGATGGATCTCCCGATCTACTCGATAATTTGAGCATTCCGGGGCCTAGTTTAATACAAAATTTCCCCAGACTTTCTCAGGAGGACCGGGAGTTGATTGACGTGGCAGTAAATTCGATACCTCCATCTATTGATTGGCGACAAATTCCTCTGATACAAAAGCAAGTGTTATTCTATATTGGTTATGGTTCATATGGCCCGAGAGAGAGTGTGGTTTTCATGGGCTCCAAACCTCAGGATTTCACTTGGCGCCATCCTGCTAAATCCTTGGGCCCTGGCCAAAAGGCGCACAAGCTTCCAAAAGAACAAATAATAAACGTTTGGACTTGTACACCGGAAAGAAGAACACATTTTGATAGCATGAAAAAAGGTTTGGATCCGGGTACTCGCGCGATTGCATTAATTGGAATTATGGTAGCTATCTGGGCTACTTTCAGAGAATATCAGCAACGGTCCAAAGATGAAAATATGACCCAAGTGGCTCAATTTGTTGATCGAGAAGTGGCTGATTTACCAGACGTCGCTACAGGACCAAGGCCCTTAGAAGACCAAGTTTCTAAAGCTGTAGAAAAATCCTCGCGTAGAAAGTGGTATCAGCTTTGGAGGTAACGAGAATAATTTCATGCCCTCCCAAGCTCACTAAACAAAATCTAACAATCTTTTGATGCAGAAGGAAATACACGTATGTACAAATGCATTGGGCTGGATAAGGGTGAGGCTATGTACCTCATTCGTCATCATCATCATCTTCATCTTCATCGTCATCATCCATATCTTCTAAATCATCCTCCCATGACTTTTCGACCGTTTCCTTAACTCTTTTGATATATAGCGGCTTTTGGTTTTTGAACAGTGTTGCAGCTTCCACATTGGCTGGTGATGCTGGATTTGGGTCATTGAACAAACTTTGGATGGACGTTAAAATAGAGGCAACGTCGTATGTGGGAGTCCACCGATTTTGCAAGATATCTAAACAGATTTCTCCATTGGCATATACGTTCGGGTGAAACATTTCACTAAGAAACTTAACATGTGGGGGTTTATTTGGGTATTCTTCGTCAAACTCAAGTAGCAATCGGAATGTGCCATCTTCGTACGGCGTTTCTGCAGGCCCTATAATCATCGCATTCCATACCATGACGTTATCTGGCAACGGTGATGCTGAAACGCCAGGAGGTGCATCTTCCTTCATACGCTATTCACATGGATTATTTGGTTAGTATCTCAAGATTTGATTTATCATGACCGCGATTTCCTCGGCAAGCTGCCGTCATCGCTCCATTAAATTTCGTACGTACTTTGAAATCTCTCATAAGTCTTCTTCTAGCAGGGGTCGACATAACGTAGTGCTATAGATATATTGTGCGGTTCGGCAAGTTCTTTGATAGATTCGTCGAGGTTAACCAACAATATAGGGTCTTGACCATAAATAAATGAATGATAGCAGAATCGCCACTTACGTCTGTAGTGATGATGTTTAAATTTACAGTTCGTAATATGGGTAAGTAACGATTCCTTCTCTCCAGAGGGACGTCATCTTACTTCGTCGCACCTGAATAGGCCTATTCTTTCTCTTAGTTGCTTAAACCTTGTCCAGTTGCAACTTGTCAGTATGGTACATAAGGTTGCCCAATTTCAAAACCGTATCGGTGCCATACCCGTTGATGGAATGAACGGTCAAATCTCCGTTCCAGTATTCAGCGTAAACTTTGCACATAGCAAGACCGATGCCTAGCTTGTAACGCGAAGATCTTTCTAGAAGCCCTAGAAGTGGTTTTTCAAAGTTGTGAATACCTTTAGGTAGATTGGAGGCGCTTATAGGCTCTAAGGAAGTGAATTTGTACGGATGAATTGCGGGGCCACCCTTGCGCTTGTCATACATGTAGTCATAAAGTGAAATAGTCTGCAAGCCTGGTAGCTTATGAAAATTGTCCAAAGATTGATTAGCTAGTTCCTTGGACTTGCCAAAGGACCAAATAGTCTTCTCATCGTGGGGAATCCCGCCAGCGCGATCCGATACCCGAAACATAAAAGACTGTTCATTGGAGATTATTGTAACCGTGATAGGTTCTGGCTTCTCAAGCCCCAGACGAATATACTCTTTCATGGTAGCCTCATAACTATTTCGCAAGATTTCGCCCAGCAAGTATTTCAAGTGTAAGGGTAGAAAATAGAATTTGAGGTCAAGATTGCCGTCAACATGAAACTCGGGGAGTTTAATTCCTTCAAAGTACATGTCCCTAATGAAGTTTTCACACATAGCTTTAGCTCCTAGCACAAACTCGATGGCGCTACATTCCTGAAAGATGTCTCCCAGAACTAAAGTATTCTCTTTTTTACCGCTGAGGTAATTTGATGTTATACTCAAATGTTCTTCCACAATCAATCTTCTGGAGATACGTGCTCTTAGTAAGCTAGAAATAATCTGATCCATCTTTTCTGGTGGATACAAATCAAGAATTTTGCATTCCAAAGCACCCATGATCAGATGTGGTAAATTAAGCGAGTTGAAGTCCGACAATATGCCCCTCAAAAATTCGACGAACTTTGCATTGTCATCCATCGTTTTAATAGTTGGGTAACGCCGGAAGCGCTCGAAAATATTGTAGTAGGACTCGTATACCTGGCTGAAGTGGAAATTGTTAACCACATTGAAGGGCAACGTTTGCAACAAGTGAATCTTGTGTGCGATACGTGTGACAAGTTCCTGTTGTACGAAATTGCCACTGTTCACGATCTTTTGTTTCGTTAAGGTGGTAGAGTCATCGAAATACTGAGCAAGCTGAGATAGCGACACCGGGTGAGGTTTCTTAATCAAGTAGTGTTTCTCTAATATATTCTGATTTTGGTAGTAGTGTTGTTGATTCAAGTATTTTGACTGCAGCGGGTATGCGCACAACGTAGGAGAAACGTAAGGTGCTAATTCGCTTATGGACTTTGTAGGAGAATATTTGCTGAAATCAGGTATTTGAGATATGTGACTGGGATGAGACTGAGATTCATGACGAAGCGCCTGTTTCGTTGCTGAGAGCCTCACCACAGACTTCCATGGACTCTTGTACATGTGCTCTCTCATTATTTAAATTCTTTCTATCGATGAGATAAGTTCACAATAAAATTGATTGATTGATTCACGTTAATAACAATGGTTGGTCAGAACTTTTAGCTTGAAGCGCACAACTTTCAAACAAAAGTCCAAGATGAGTGATGATAGTATGTGATCAACATCCTGCGAGTACAGTACACATTTCTAAACGTTTCACTAACTTTTTTAATTATTCAATAGCCGATGTTGAAGTGGATACGAGCCCAATGCCGGAAGATGGAAGTCATAGGGTAGCTACGAAACGAGATTCTGAAGAGGCTGGCGGCACTGAAGAATCAGAACAGACGAGGCCGAAGAAAATTGTCAAATTGGAGGAACGAAAAGTGCCCAATATTGCTCTAGAGTTGGCCAAAAATCGAACTGCTGCCAAGGGTCTTTCCCCTAGCCCCAGAATTCACACATCCATTCCGCTAACATCGCTTCTGTCAGGAGAACCCAATGCTAATGGTGAAGAGAGCATAGCAAAAGCAGGCAGCTCGGAGCCGGACATTAGACAGAGCATCTTGGCTAACACTACTCGCCTAAAAGTATCCTCTTTACTATCCTCAGACGTGAGTACTCAACATGACAGAAATACTGCACCCAAGATTATTCTCCCGACTCAAACAACTGTCAAGAGTCTTCCAGATCCAGACGGTCCGGGTTTCTTGATCGCAAGGACAAACTCCCCCGTCACTTTTTTGCCTAAAACCTTCACTACGACTCTCAATAGAAGCCAAAGCGCTCTAAATCCTTCTCTGACTCCTGTTAGTCCTTCGATTGCCGAAAGAACTATATCGCTACCAGTACCGAGTGACGAAGCAGCGCCTCTACCAGCCCTCAAGTCTGTTCCAAAGTCAAGAGCCGCGAAGACGATAGTCAAACCTACTGCGCGAAAGCAGGCCACGAAGAAAAAGACAAATCCAATTGCCGAGACAAGCTCTGGGGACACAGAGAAAACTGAGTCAGCTTCAACTATGCAAAAGTCTTCTCCAGAACCAAAGAAAGTGGTCGATGTTAAAAAAGTTGTCAGACAGCGCCGCACAACAAAATCCAAGGACACGAAAGAAGTTGATCCTAATCCTCAACCCGTTAAAGTCATTATCGAGGACATGCAAAAGGTTGGTAATTCTCAAGGTCCTGCAGAAAGGGAAAGCGAAGCTGAATCGAGCAATCAAGTTCACCTGGTAAATGTTGATAATGATGTAAAGCCTTTAGATCCAGAAAAAGGCGTTTTAGCTACAACCGCTAAGAAGAGTACCAAAACTGCAGTGGCTAAGAAGGACGGTAAAAGCAGTGACTTAAAGAAAACAACGAAGACCGCAGATTCCAAAAAGGAAAAGAAGGTTCAAGCAGCCAAACCTGACAGCCAGTTGGATTCAAAAAAGCCTAGACGAGAAGCAGACGTTAAGAAAACCTCTAAAGCAAGTGTAGTTAAGAAAGAATCACAATCGGTGGAAGCAAGCGTTAAACCAGGCGATTCAAAAAAAGATTCAAGCAGCACTATTTTGAAGCAGGATTCAAAAGTTAACGGCACAAAAACAGCTTCCAAGGCAGTTGATTCGAAAAAGGAAGCATCTGCTGTCGAGAATTCAAAGGAATCAAAGTCTAAAGATGGTAAAACTAATACTAAGGATGAAGCTAAAAAAGATACTAAAGCCAAACGGAGTAATACCAGTTCTAAGAAGAAGGACCCTACCCCACAACCTTCGAAGAAGGTAATTGAATCTAAGGGTCCACAAGGCAGTCCTAAAAAACTAATTCCGGTTTCTCCTCTGAAGTCGCCCACTATACTTGATGGCCTGGATAAGGGCAAAAGTACGGATGAGCACGAAGACCCAGTCATTCTCATCGATGTGCCGTTATATCCGACAGATTCTAAAAACTACTTGAACGAGAATGGTCAGGTTGTTTTGAATTTTTACAAAATGGTTCAGGATAAATTTGGTCAACCCAGTAAAATAAAACGCAACTTAATATCTGAGCTTCACGGCGGTGAAGAAGATGACGATGATGCTGCAGAAGTCGAAGATGACGATGGAGTCGACGAGGATGAAGATGACGATGTTGACTTGGATGATAAGCCTGGATCTTCTGCAGCTCCAATTGCGTCGCCTAAGAAAAAATCGCATCCCATGAAAGGAAGAAGTCTAATAGGAAAGTACGATACAGAAGATCCGTTCATTGACGATTCCGAGTTATTGTGGGAGGAACAGCGGGTCGCTACTAAGGATGGATTCTTCGTATATTTCGGTCCACTTATTGAGAAAGGTCAGTATGCGAGCTTCGAAAGAGTAAATGGAACTATGAAGAGAGGAGGAATCAAATATTCAAAATGATCTGTACATAAAACAGAGCGGCTCTTGATGACTTTTCATTGCGACACATATGAAGAAAGATTTTTGTTGGCAATTTCAATGAAGCCTAGTTCTGGGACAGACGTCTTTTCGTCGAGTTGTTTGATCATTTGAGAAGCCTCTCTATGAATTTCGGCAAGCAGGTTCTTATCCCATTTCAACCTCAAGCTTACAAAAAAGTTAAGGTAAGTCAGGGCCAGTCTTAAGTTGATTTTATCCGGAGACCTTTCTGATTCTTCGAAGCTCATTATTGCCAAACTATGGATCATTGCCATTCTGTCCTCATTTATCATAACATAAGGCCGTGCCGGTAGTGGTGGCTTTGATGCGCCTTGATTGTCATTCGAAATTGATAAATCAGATAGGATAGCCGCTGTTTCTGTAATGGAACCCCTTGTGTTCAACATCAAATCTTTTAGGATACCTAAAATACAACCTTTAAACTCAGTATATGGACAGCCGAGTAACGTATCTTTAACAAAATCAAAGGATGTAGACTCGGGAATTAGGCACATTAGCCTCGTCAGTAAGGTGAATGAAACCATTCTCGGAATCTCAACTGTTTCGTGGAAGGACCTCAGTAGCAGAATTTGTAAGAAGGTCATAATTAGATAAGCGGGCATCGAACTCAATAATCTCGCGTTTTCTTTGCAGGAGGACGTGGTTACAGCAGCCCATAACCAGAAATTGCAGCATTCAACAGCATAGACATGCGACTTTGACTGAGAGTATACCTCCGGAGTATAGAATCTCAGATACATGTAGATCGCATCATCAATTCTTATATCAGGGCAAAGAATTTTACCTGTTTCTTGGTAATGATATGTGGCCATGACAAGTATACCGTGGGGGTCTGGGGACAGGCTCTTCTCATTGATTCTCTTTTGTAGGTCATAGGTGTATGCTAATTGATATATCAGCTGGGTTATACCAACCTTTGCTTTTTCGTTGATGATTTCTGAATCCCCAGGTAAAGATTGATAAATGGAGCGTGACTCTTTAATACAGTGACTGCGGAATTCTTCTTCGATGTCAATATCGAAGGACTGGGCAAGTTGGTAGTACCTGCCAATCACCTGGCTCAAAGCGCGACGCATTTCATAATCAATCAAAGATGAGTCGGCATTTTTCAAATTGAAATAATACTCCGTAGATGTGTGCATTATTCTCGTTTGAACCAATGTTCCTAAAGAATGCGTTATCAAGCATTGCAAAAGTTTGCGTTGGAGGGCCTCTTCGTCTTGTTGAATTTTGAGGTACTTCTCAGTAGTCATTTCTTTTATGGCTTCCTCTTGTACTTGAGGAGGAATATAACTTCTGCTAAATGTGTAAATTCTGCGAAGGACAAAAACGCAATCGTCGATACCTGCGGCGTTAAGTCTTGCGAAATTGAGAATCGCCCCAACAGCAGTTGCCAAAAACCGAGATGGGTAGCAGGTGTGAATCCTTTTTATAGTAGTATTGATTAATTCAATCAAAGCGTGAAGTCTTAACTCCAAAGCGTATTCGTCAGGTCCCCGGTTGAGGGGAGGTGGTCCCACGTTCAAAGGTTCGGAACCTTCAGCTTGCGATTTCTCGTAGGATTCGCCAGAGACTGTGACATCTGTCTCACTTTCGAGGGCCTCCTCATCCTCTTCAGTTTCATCGTCAAGGGCCTCATCATTGTCTGGTTCAAGATCACTCAATTTCAGATCACTCAGAAGCTCGCAGCCAGTTAAAAAGCATTCCTTGGCATTTCCGGAAAGAGCAATCTCGTTGAAGCACTTAAGCGCAATGGAGACCAACGTGTTTTCGCGAAGGCGCTTGTTAAAGTCAATGTTCTTCAAAACAATAAAATTTAAGATTATCTTCGGTAAATCCCAACCGATTTGCTCAACGGTACGAGGGTTCTTTTTCAGATTTGTGAGAATCGTCTCTAGATATCTAGTCTTGTCCTGAAGAGAGCCTTCCTTATTGATTTCCGACCCATACAGGTCAATTACCGTGACCAAAGACAGCGGATCATTTTCGTATTCAATGAAAGCTTGCTCCAGCTTTTCGCAAAGCGTTCTTGTGTTTTCCATAGTTACCTCAGCAATATTTTAAGGTGAGTGTGAGGATGGTTTTTGAGATTGAAACTAATATATGGAAGTTCTTGAATTTAAGGTTATTAGCTCAAATTGAAAAACGTTACCTGTGATGGACATTCAATTGGCAAAATATCGAAGATCCGTCTATAAACTGAGGACCGAGCGACAATGAGTCGACTACTAGAGAGTGAGAGCGATGCAGGATCAACTTCTAGCAACGTAGAAAGTATGAAATCAGAAAGAAATCCCTACACAGTGCAGGACGAGCTAGAGGAATATGCCAAAAAGCTCAATCTCTTGGCATTGGGAGAAGATAGAAATGAGCTTCAATTGGGCGATGGAAGCTCGGTGAGCTTAGAAGAGAGTACTGGAAACAACAAGACTGGAAATGTTGTCGTCTCCACAGCCCCGAGAACTACATCTCCAATTTTGACGCATTTGAGTCCCGCGGGACACGAAGCCGTGAAACAGGTGCTGTCCAAGACACAAGGCATGCCCAAAAAACTGCGGATTAAGTTCCAAGCGATTGGTTCTGTAGCACAAGTATCGCCGCAATCAGCGCAAATTTCATCATCACAACCTTTTTCCGTTTTGGTGACGTTTCTGAGAAAGAAGCTGAAATTAGCCACGGTCTATTGCTATGTGAATAATTCATTTTCTCCAGCGCCTCAGCAGTCTATCGGGGATTTGTGGAACCATTTTAGAGTGAAAGACGAATTGATTGTCAACTACTTCAGTGGCGTGGCATTCGGTTGATGAACTTGGTTAGCGGTTCAGAGTAAAAAATGACTAAAGTGTTACACTGTGTACTAATATCATGGGCTTCCTGATCATGGTACGCCAACACCCACCAACGAAACTACTGAGAAAACTGAAATAAAGTAAAAAGCAGAGACTTAAACTTCAGTAAAGAGTTGATAAGGCTATAAAACTATAAAGAAAATTTCCAAGCAAGTGTGATACAGTGCTTCGTGGAATCACAAGCTACTAACAGCTGTGGGAGTATCTGCCAAGAAATGTTACATGTCGCTATTGACGGAACGAAGATAATACATTTTGGGATCTGGCCTTAGATGTTTATTTACTCTTCGCGGGAACCAAAGTTGAATTATTGATGAGTTCCAGAGTAAGGATTAAATTGTTCCCTTAACTCTTCCTTCCAACTTTAGGAGCAATACAAGAATGGAAGATAATACTCTTGACAATTCCACCATAAATAAACTCATTCCCGAGATATTCAATCAAATGCGTTCAAATCTCAGCATGGCACCATCTACCAAGGGTATAAAACCTTTTGTCTCCACGAAGACACCTTCAAGCATAACCACACAATCACTATTAGAGGAAAGCAAGTGTCTAGATGAGATACTTCCTGTGATTCATAAACTTGAGAGCTCATTGCATAGTGCCGGGCCCCAACATCTAAGGAGAATCAAAGAAACCTGCGAATCAACTAACAAGATACTAGATACTTGGATTCGTATTCAATCTCAAGCCGGTTACGCTTATGACATGATGAATGACAGCTCGTACCTGGAGTATATTACAGCTGCTCAAAAAAACGATGCTCTTACACCCCAGACTTACCTTGAGCAAAAGGAAGCTCAGATAACTGATTTAAACCACACCCTCGATGAAGCACGCCGGGCACGTGAAGTAGATGATCTGGGACAAGTTCAACGGGAAACGAATGGAAAACTTTTAGTGCAACGTGGTAGGAAACCCGTCACTGCTAGTCGAGCACCAAGAGGCGGAATGAAAAAGCCTAGCGGAATTCCCAGGAGTACTTCAAGAATAACAAAAACTCTCGCCAAGACAGGGCGTCCAGGAAACCGAAACCCTCGCTAGAGGGTAAGCCCTTTTACTTTATCACATAAATAATAATATTGCATTAATTAAACAAAAACGATAAAATTACTGAATGGGTCTATTATACAAATCAGGCTGAAATCACGTTAGCAGTAATACCCATGAGTGTTTAGCCGTACCTGAATTATTTCAATCTTTAGGAGGAATAGACTCTTCCAAAAGCACAAGCAAGTCTGAAGCATCGACGTTTTCACCGTCCTTCACCAAAACGTCTTTGACTTGGCCATCGCTTGGAGAGGAAATAACCATTTCCATTTTCATGGCACTCAAAACAGCGACAGGCTGTCCCTTCTTTACCAAGGAACCCTTGTGAACCTTCACCTCGATAATAACACCGGCCATTGGCGCACCGACTTGAAATGGATCGTGAGCATCGGCTTTGGGCTTGGAGATCGTGTCAATTTTCTGCGACTTGTCAACAACGGAAACCTTTCTCAGTTCACCGTTTAGGTCGAAGTAGACTTCCCTATGACCAGTCTCCTTGTTCAATTCACCAATGGCTTGTGGCTTGATGATCAAGGTTTTACCCTTCTCAATTGTAACGACAATTTCTTCACCTACGGTAGGAGGGGATAAAAAGTTCTTGGTTGGCAAAACGGATAAATCACCATAAAGTTCCCTCATTTTACGGAAATCTTCGTAGACCTTTGGATACATATTGTAAGAGGCAACGTCACATTCATCAATGTCTCCAAATCTGTCTTGCAATTCTTCCTTGATTTTCTCCAAGTTGAATGGAGCCAGTTCCAAACCTGGACGGCAGGTCAACTTTCTTCTCTTGTTTTTCAAGACATCGGTTCTCAAAGGTTCAGGGAACCCACCGTAAGGTTTACCAATCAATCCTTCAAAGAAGTCCATGACAGAATCTGGGAAGTCTAAAGATGACGCCAAACGTCTGACATCATCAGAGGTCAATTTGTTAGATACCATGAATTGAGCCAAATCACCGACGACTTTAGAAGTTGGTGTGACTTTAACCAAATCCCCTAACAGGTAATTGGCTTCCCTGTACGCTTTCTTGGTTTCAGTCCATTTTTCGCCTAGACCCAATTGTTGGGCTTGAAACAATAAGTTGGTTAGCTGGCCACCTGGGATTTCGTGCTGGTAAACTTCTGGATCGGGACCCTTGATGTCGGCCTCGAAACAGGAGTATAGCAATCTCATTTGAGCCCAGTAAGCGTCGAGCTCACGAACCATGTTAACGTTAACACCAGTATCAATTTCTCCGTCCAAAGAGGCAATCAAAGCGTTGATAGATGGCTGAGAGGTCATACCAGACATAGAGTTGGTAGCCACGTCTACAACATCAGCGCCAGCAAAAGCACAAGCAGCCATTGATGCGACAGCTGTACCTGCAGAATCGTGAGTGTGCACATGAATTGGCAAATCTGGGTACTTAGCCCTGATAGAACCGATCAATAGTTTGGCGGCAGAGGGTTTTAACGTACCAGCCATGTCCTTGATGCCTAAAATGTGGGTACCCATGGCAACAATCTTGTCACTGATTTCCAAGTAGTAGTCCAAGTTGTACTTCTTACCTGGTTGCAGCATGTCACCGGAGTAACAAATGGTTGCTTCAACAACACCATTGGCTTTTTTAACAGCATCAACACCAACCTTCAATTGCTCGAGATCATTCAAAGCATCGAAAACTCTGAAGATGTCAACACCGTTTTCTTGGGCCTGTTTCACAAAGTGATCAATAGCGTTATCTGGCAAGGATGAGTATGCCACTCCGTTAGCGCCACGCAACAACATCTGGAAAGGAATGTTAGGAACTAACTTCCTCAAAATTCTTAGACGCTCCCATGGATCTTCGTGCAAAAATCTCATAGCCACATCGAAGGTAGCACCACCCCAGCACTCAAGAGCAAACGCGCCAGAGAGTGCGTGAGCAGTGGTAGGAGCAATAGCTGCCAAGTCGTAAGTACGCACTCTAGTGGCGAGCAAGGATTGATGGGCATCTCTCCAAGTAGTGTCCATTAGCAGAGTACCCTTGAAATTGCGAACCAGCTTGGCGAACCCTGCTGGCCCTTGTTCAATTAAGACCTGTCTCCATCCAGCCGGTGGTGGAGTAGCAAGCACATCGATGACTTCGCCTTGGGAATCGTGAAGAGCTGGAATAGCTGGCTGAGTGTGCAGCTTTGGCAATCCCATTTGACCTTTGATAGATGAACCATTAACAACCAAGTCTGCTAAGTAGTGTAACAATTTCTGAGCACGGTTTTGAGAAGATGCCATTTTGAATAACTCAGGAGTATCGTCGATGAAAGTCGTCCAATAAGAACCATCAATGAACACTGGGTTGGTCAACAAAGTCAACAAAAAGGGAATGTTGGTCTTGACACCTCTGATTCTGAATTCGATCAATGCACGGAGCATTTTACGACGAACAATTTCGTAAGTGGAACCTGAACAGGAGCATTTCACTAACATTGAATCGTAGTGAGGAGAGATTATAGAGCCCGCATAAGCGTTACCACCGTCCAATCTGACACCATTACCACCAGCAGAGCGATAAACTTCAATACGACCTGTGTCTGGTTGAAAGTTTTTGGCTGGATCCTCTGTAGTGATACGGCATTGAATAGCGAAACCACGAGTAGTGATCTTATCCTGTAGAAGGCCCAACTGCTGCAACGATGCACCAGCGGCGATTTGAATTTGGGCAGCGACAATATCGATACCGGTAATCTCCTCGGTAATGGTATGTTCGACTTGAATTCTTGGATTAATTTCGATGAAATAATGTCTGTTTTGATTGTCGACCAAAAACTCCGCAGTACCAGCATTCACGTAGCCTGCTACTTTGGCCAACTTAACTGCATCGGTCAAGATTGCGTTGCGGACTTCTTTGGGGAGCGTTTTAGCAGGAGCCACTTCGACCACCTTCTGATGTCTTCTTTGAACTGAGCAATCTCTCTCGAACAAATGCACAACATTACCGTGGCTATCAGCCAAAAGCTGGACTTCGATATGTTTGGGTCTGTCCAAAAATCTTTCAATGAAACAGGTACCGTTGCCAAAAGAAGTTTTAGCTTCAGATGTAGCACGTTGGAAAGCATCACCGATGTCGTCTCCTTCACGAACAACTCTCATACCTCTACCACCACCACCAAAAGCGGCCTTAATGATGACGGGGTAGCCGTACTCGGCCACGAAAGCCTCTGCTTCCTCAACGGTCTCGATAGGACCGGGTGTACCTGGAACCGTGGGGACTTGGGCTTTGTAGGCCAAGTTTCTGGCCGAAACTTTGTCTCCCACAGAGTCGATCACCTCAGCAGGTGGTCCGATCCAGGTGATACCTGCATCCGCAACCTTTTTGGCGAATTCTGAATTTTCAGATAAAAACCCGTAACCCGGGTGAATGAAGTCTACATCGTGGTCTTTGGCGATCTGAATGATTTCGTCGATAGCCAAATATGCGCCCACGGGGGTGTATTTGCCTTGTGGACCCAGCATGTATGCCTCGTCAGCCTTCAGCCTGTGCATCGAGAGTCTGTCTTCGTTGGAATAGATCGCAACGGTCTTCATCGACAGTTCATGAGCGGAACGGAAGATACGAATAGGAATTTCACCTCTGTTGGCTACCAGCAGCTTGTTCTTCTCGCCCAGTAGGTTGGAGCTGTCCCTCAGGCCCGCTAGCTTGTTCATGGTGTGAATGTGTTGAGAAGCGCTTATAACGCGTTCGTGTATAGCGATGCTTGTGCGGTAGGGCTAAAAAGTAGGGTTTGGCCACTTGGATACGCTCCTAAAAAAAAGTTGAGGATGCGTCGAAAAGCACAGATCAGATGAACTTGGATCTCCTGGTTGAAGGCTCCTTCAATTGATTCAGTACTGGTTATCCTCCTCTAGAAAATATCAAGCTCTGCTAGCTTAAGAACTTACTTCAGGCTTTGAGTTGTCAGGATTCCAATTTTTTTTCTACACCCTGGGCAGACGAACAATTTATAATAGTCTGCTTTTTATACTTCGACGAGACAAACCTTCGTCTCTAGCGAGGCAAGGCCATTGGCCAATCACAGGCCGTTTCGCAGTGAGCGATGGTCATCGGTGGATGACTCTTTTTTTTCAGCGTGTGCAAACAAAGAAGTATGGTCATGAAGCAGCTCAACGGACGCACCGCTATCTTTGCAGGGGAATTTTTCTATCGTTTTAGAGCTGTGTTCGTGTGACATTGTCAAGAGAGATGTGTCGAGTTCGAGCAGAGGGAGGCGATATGCATGATCAGAAACAGGTGGCTCGGATTCAATTGAATTGTGGGTTGGTCATTAGTTTTTTGGTTTCTTCGGTAGCGCCAAGCAGACAAGAAACCGGGAAACTGTGAAAGCACTGGCGACAACGATTCGGACGATAGAAGTTTAGAAGAATAGATAACAGAATTCGCACGTGGACGGCAGAATGAGCCTGACTCGAAAGTTGTGGTCGTTTGCAGGTCACCTCTGTTGCGCCTCGTAGTTCTGTTTACTCGTCGTATGCACATTATGCAGGATCTGCTGATGGTATCTTACTCTTTTTTTTTCCGATCAATTTTTTCGAGGCGGACTGGAAAAACGACTCGAAAAACACGGGTGGAGAAAGGACTCGGCGGCAAAGTGTGGTGCCGACATCTTGCTTCGAAAGCCTCGCTGAGGCTCCTATAGGTCGGTTCGTTGGTGCTAGCGATGTAAATCTTGGCGTGGATGGTTCCCTTGGTGTGCGACAATTGAAAGCCTGGGATTCTCGCGCAGCCCAGCGCAGATCTTTTGTCATCCGTTGCACGACCAATTTTTCGTAAAGACGAACAGCGCGCAGCCCAGGGCTGATTTTCTGTCATTGAGCTTGGCTCCATTGCAGCACCGATTCTTGTAGAGACGGACAGCGCATAGTTCGAGGGTTACGCACGTAAGCAGGCGTGTCCCGTCACAATTTGCGTTGTGGCAGTCTTTGTTAGCGTGCCAGAAGTTTTAGGTTAACAGCATACTAGCGATCCTCTTGTCGTGAACCGCTTACCATTACTGTTTCACTTTCCCACTCCACATTTGTACCGTGGGCCAATCGGCACCATGTTCAGTAAACGCGTTCCAATTTCACATATTCCATCTTTCTACCATCTCATTCATCCATTGGCCGCCTTGGCTCTGTAGCACCTTGGGCAGTTCATCAAGACCTTCGAGGAGGCCATCCTCGTTGACTGTTGCCGATGCCATGAATCCGTTCAACAACTTTAGCATAAACAAGCAATTCGGGTAGACAATGCACTGTGCATACGGAGGCTCGCACCAATACTCTAAGTATTTCAGGTATTCCTTGAACTTCGGGTCTCTCCAGATTTGCTGCTGACTCAACAAGAATATTACATATGGGACGTTCGCGAGGCATTGCACAAACTCTAGCTCAACTTCGAATCGAGTTGGAGGGATGTCTATCTGTTCCGGCTGTTCAATGCCGTTTTGTTTATCGCCGTTCTCCATTTCTATGTACTTGGTGCCCTATAAGCTCTCTCTGGTCTTCTTTCTCGGGCTCCCAGCTTAGTTTTCTTGACTTTGTTGAATCATTATATCACTTCACAAATATCCTAACATTTTCGTTTGATTTAGATATAATATTATTCATTTGACATAAAAAAAGACAATCACAGTAAGTTTACAACACTAGTGAGATACAACGTTCGGCATAATTTGAAAATTTCCCAACCACTGTGATAGTTATAGAGTTACTACAAACACGCCTCTATGGTATTGACCCTCTATAAAATATTCCTATTTTCATTATGTCCAGTAACCTTGCTCGTGGGGCATTTGATATCGTATCGTGTAACGCTTGAAGTGGACAAAGATGGATGGTTCAATACATACTTCGTCAAGCAAGGCTGGTTCTGGACCAGTCTGATTGGTTGGTGGTGTATGATAAGGTATGGTCTTTTTGGACACCGTGGTTCCTGGAAAAAGACCCTCATTCGTTATTCGGTTCTAACCGCATGGTGGCTGATTTTCACTCAATCTATATGGACTGAGGTGGCTCCTCTGATGGACCTAGTGTTTACTGCAACGGGCGGGCGTTGCACCTTCGATGTTTTTGACCCTTCACAATCGCTGACCTGGCAATTAAATGAGAAATTTCATGACACATTTTCTCGCAGACAATCAGGCCTTCAAAAGCTTTATCGTGCCCTGAAGCAGGGCTCTGGTAACCCTTCTTCGCTACTTCAAGGCGCCATTTCCGAAATCGAGTACTGGCTTTCAGAAGGTAAAGACCAATTGAAAAACATGGAAGCAACGCCAAGTCAGCTGAACTCATTGATTGATGAAGCTGTTCGTTCGTGGCGTAAGATCAATTCTTCCAACCTTTGCAGATCAGTGGGTGGATACTGGATCGGAGGACACGACCCTAGCGGTCACATATTTCTCATCACTCTCATGTGTATGTTCCTCTTAGGCGAACTTCAAGTCATCGGCAAAAAAGCATTAAGAAAGTTGAAAAGTGATCATAGATTCTTGTATTTGCTAAAAGATCATCTAATTGGCATTATGAGGTTGGGAGGGATAACGCTTCTAATTTCCAAACCGCCTGCAAATCGCAAAGACATGATAAAGCAGTTGGGCATGGCACCATTGAAGTGGGTGAAACAGGTTCTCATCCTAATGGCACTTATACTTCGATTCCTTGTATGGGAAAATCCTGTGACGGTTCTTATTCTACTCACCTTTATGTGGTGGTGGAGTTTTTTGATCACCACCATAGCATTCCATACTTTGTTAGAGCAGATCAGTGGCCTTTTATGCGCATATGTTGTGGCCGCAGTCGTCTACTGGAAATTGACTTAAGAACATTTATAATCTGTATATATTAATGACACTGCCATGAAGAAGCCGGTAGCTTTTGTAGCTGCTGAGCTCGTTTCTTGATGAATCCAAAGTACAGCGCGCAGCCAACCAGGACGCAAAAGGAGTTTGCAATATAATAACCGTCTCTAACCATTGTCCATTGGCCACCAGCCGCCTTACAGCTTGCTTGCCCGATAATAGCATTTGAAGTTTTGCCTGAGACAAGGCATTCGTATTTCGTAAAATGGTCGATCATCCATAAAACTAAGATTCGAGGCCATGTACCTCCTAAGTTGCTAAGCGTATTCAACAAAGTCAAATACGTTCCTCCAATAGCCGGGTCAGCAATTCGAGTTTGAAATGCGCACATTCCCACGAATTGTACAGTACTCATGAATGACCCTAATAAGTGCTGAAGTATTACCATTATAAAATATCCTTGGGTGATTTCTCCATCGGTAGGAAATTTGGCAATCAATATATTCGCCATAAATGCAGCTGAAAGTCGTCCCAAGAACCCCCATAGCCAGGGCGTTAAAATTCCGGCTTCGCCGACCAGACTTCTAATCAATATGTTTGATCGTGAAACTTGCCTTGTGTTATAGGAAGCGTCACTGCTCCATTTAGCAACATAATAGCCGAATATGATCTCAAATGGAAAGTCAATAAGGACTGTAATTGCAAGATCTTCTCTTTTGAACCCCCTTTCCAACAGCTTCAAGTTGGTTGCTCCTTCATTACATTGAAACGCGAATTTGGTAAGAAGATGTATGATCATCAACGTTTGGACACTTGGTAGTTTCAGAATTTTGAAGAATGACCGGTAAACATTAGCTAGACTCATATGGGCAGGATTTGTGTCAAAATTAAGATCAATCAAGTCCCCAATTCTTTCGTCACTCTTCTTCGTGGGAAGCTCCATTGCGTTCGTTGGTTTTTCGCTGGTGCAAAATGCAACATACAATGTTACTGCAATATACACTAGTCCAGAAAATTTCAGATACCCGCTTAGGCTCACCAGTCCATATTCTTGAGAAACGGACCTTATGTATTTATTCATAAAATGGCCAGAATTGAATGTGAGAAAAATGGTAAACGAAAGAAAATACCCTGTATTAAGGCCAACAGTTTGAGCTGTGGATGCATAAGACAACGATTCTTTTGACAGAATTTCCAAAGCCCAGCCATCCACAGCGATATCCTGTGTTGCGCAGAGCGTTATCAAAATAAAAAAGCACGCCGTTAAAGTTGTAATGTTCATATTAGAGGGCGTAGAGTTTTCAAGGTAGTAGATATCATCAACGCCTGCAAAAATAATATTTCTAGAAATAGCAATGCCAATTATCCAAAGCATCACTCCACTTACCAATTGGACAGGTATAATCCATGACCGGCGTCGGCCCAATTTTCTGCTATATATGGAATCAACAATCGGTGACCACAGAATTTTCATTGAGTATGGATAAGTGGCCATGGTGAATACCCCTAGTTGAGTAAAGGTTGTATCTTTAGCCATAGATTTAAGCAGGAACGGTACCGTGCCGAAAGCTAGTCCAACTGGAATACCTTGTAAGAAGTATAGCACCACTAAGAGAATGAATGGTCTAAGGTCATGTTTTGCTAATTGACGCGGTACCGTATTCATTCTAAGGCGATAAACACTCCCGGCTCTGGACAGTTACGTTGTATTTATGATATTGATAGTATAACGTAGTGATTTCATGATCTCGATTGTTTAGCAGTTGACGTACACGTGACTGATCTATTTTAATCAATCGATTAACGTGCATCAAATGGCGTTAATACAGAGATATGGTCAACTCTTCGTTAGTCATCCAAAATCCCTGGCTTTGTCTAAAGGCTACTTTATAGACCACGGCGCAATAATACTCGTAAGGATTATCTAACACCACAATATTAATGCGGACTCGGTTTCTTCTGATCTCTTCCTAGGGTTTTTGACACAGTTCCGAGTAAGGAAACAAAAGCTCTTATATTCAATGTATATAAATTAAAAATCCAAGGTGCTATATGAAACATGCTTGGGTAATAGATGCTTCGCAAAAGCGCCGATATCAGTTTCAGCAAAACGGAAACGTTATCAAAGTTTGATACATTTATCGACCACTGCAAGCAACAGTTAGATAATCTAGAGTTGTCAGTTTGCCCATACACGATTCCTCTCTCCTTGAATCGTGCGTGTGTTGGCTGACGGGTAGATGCTGCGGTTTTTTGAACAGTCGCGTCTCGAGTGCTGAAATTCTGAGATTTAGGCATTCGAGATCCGATGTCGCTCTCTCCAAAACGACCCGGAATAAAACGCAACCATTCGATACGTGAACTCAAAGGAAAGGGAAAGGTGGGTGACTCATGTAAAGTGACTCGGTGGGTTTTGGATTATCTCTCTTTTCCAGACTATAGGTAAAAAAACACTTCATTAGTGGAGTTGCAAGAAAGTAGAATTCGAGAAATCTAGCTGTGACTCAATCACAAACTGAGATTCTGAAAATTGAGGTTATGGTGATGATGATTTGAGAGTAGGCTTAAAGAGAATCTCACAAGCGTCAGCTCTGTGGTGTGTATTCCTCCTTAGTTTTTTTAGCCTTTTACTCAATAGACAAAACCTTCTTAACCGCGTTAGCAATAACATCCGGGTCTGGGAAGGCGAAGTCCTCCAATTCCTTGGCATAAGGAGTTGGTACATCGGCACCAGTGACTCTTTGCACAGGGGCATCTAAGTAGTCAAAGGCTTCAGATTCCATGACCTGAGCCACAATCTCGGAACCTACACTGAAGTTAGGGAAAGTAGATTCAACGGTAATCAAATGGTTGGTCTTTTTGACCGACTTGATGATAGCATTCACGTCCATAGGTCTAATGGAACGTAAGTTGATAACTTCAACGGAAACGCCATGTTGCTTTTCCAACGCCTCAGCAGCCTCGAGCGATAGTTGCACATTTCTGGTGTAGGTAACAATCGAAATGTCAGTACCTTCTCTCTCGACCTTAGCGGTGTATGGTAGAGTAAAGTCAGTCGACAGCGATTCTTCAGACATTTCAAAAGATTCACCATACAACAACTCGTTTTCCAAGAACACAACTGGGTTAGGGTCTCTGATGGCGGCTTTCAACAAACCACGAGCGTCTTCCGCAGAGTAAGGAACAAGGACCTTTAGACCTGGAATAGAACCGTACCAAGCAGAGAAATCTTGGGAGTGTTGAGCGCCAACACCATAAGCAGCACCGTTAGGGCCTCTGAAAACAATTTGACACTTTTGGGTGCCTCCAGACATGTAATAAGTTTTAGCAGCAGAGTTGACGACTTGATCAATTGCTTGCATGGAGAAGTTGAAAGACATGAATTCCACAATGGGTTTCAGGCCCTTAAGCGCGGCACCGACCGACAAACCAGTGAATCCCATCTCTGTAATTGGAGTGTCAACCACACGACGCTCGCCAAAACGATCCAACAAACCCTTGGTCACTTTGTACGCGCCGTTGTACTGGGCGACTTCCTCACCAATGATGAAGACATCGTCGTCACGGTCCATTTCTTCAGCCATGGCACTGTTAAGCGCATCTCTAACGGTCATCGTCTTAGTGGACGCCATTCTGAGCTGCTGTTGGGCAAATGCGCCGCGACGGCCAAGAGCCATCATCTGTTTAGCACCGCCAATCACACCTGCAGAGAGTTTGAAAGCCATTTTGGACAAATTTCAAGCTGTTATTATCGTGTATGAACAACTTTCGAATGTATGAAGAGAGAAATATCTGGATTTCACCAAAAAACACTAAAAAAATGCACCTCCTTTCCTTTGGGTTACCGATTGCAAGAGAACCTTTGAAAACCGAACCCAATTTTCACCTGGGGTCTTTCTTTATATACTAGGAAAAGCATTGGTGGAAAAAATGGAATTTGATAAACCCAGTACAGTCATGAGGTACGGCCCCAATCGAAGCGCTGCAAGAGAGAATGGCATAAGATTAAATGGAAGAATATATCTCTGGAAAGTGCTCGAGCTGTATCATTCTTAGCCCACCTTTCTTTGGTGCAAGAGTCGCGATTAAATCCCATCACATTTACAGTTTCAAGGTTTTGTTCATGCGACATATCGTGAAAAAAAGGGACGCATAGTATTAAGGGTCCTTGGACAACGTTCTTGCAGCAGCTGGCCGTATTTTGTCGTCATTTCAAAGAAGGCGTATATCAGCTGTAGTCTTCAACGGGATCCGATTACTAACCGTGACAAAACATAGACATAGTGTATTACAGCTTGCTCTTCCCCGCGAAAACCTCAGCTATGATTCTGCGTTGGATCTTCCCTGTAGCGGTCTTGGGCAACTTATCAACAAAGAAAATGCGTGTAGGGATTTTGAACGACGCCAAAGTCTTGCGCATGTAGTCCGAAAGCTCTTTGTAGTCAAGCTTCTGGCCAGGCTTCACAACCACTGCTGCGTTCACCACTTGCCCGTATTTATCGTCCGCTACACCGAATGCGACAGCTTCATCAACCTTTGGATGTGACAGCATAACACCGTCTAACTCGATTGGAGATATCTTTTCACCGCCGCGGTTAATTAATTCCTTCAATCTGCCTGTTAGCACCAAGAATCCCTCAGAGTCAAAATATCCTTGATCTCCTGTGCGAAAATAGTTCTCTCGTTTCGTGAAGTTTTCACGGTTAGCTTTGTCATTATGTGCATATCCCAGTGTAACGTTTTCGCCCCTGATGGACACCTCGCCTTGGGATCCCCTGGGTAGGACATTGTCTTTGTCATCCAGAATGAATACCTCGACGCCCTGAGGTTGTCCAACTGTACCCGGCTTCCTTTTGCCAGGAGGCAAATTGTTAGAAGTCATTTGGTGGGAAGCCTCGGTCATGGCGTATGCTTCTAAAACGGGTGCTTGAAACTCTTTCTCGAGCTTCTGAAATGTAGAAGGTGCCAAGGCCGAGGAACAAGATCTTATAAATCTAATCTTGGGTAGAACTGGTGGCTTTGGCGTGTTAAGCATGATCATGCTGATTGTGGGCACGCAACTAAACCAATTGCAGCCCCAATTAACAAAATCTGACCAGAAATTTTTGGCACTAAATTTTGCAGGCACCACGATCGAACCTTGTGCCCAGAATGACGACAATAGAACACCTATTAAACCGTGTACATGAAATAACGGCATGACAACGTACGAGCGATCTTGAGATGTTAATTTGTATGTGGCAGCGATATTGCGCATGCTTCTCACAATATTCAGATGCAGAAGAGGTACGGTCTTAGGGGCAGACGTTGTTCCACTGGTGTGCAAAACTAATGCAACATCCGAAGACCTCGCAAATCCCGGGAACTTTTTATCTAGGTTGACAAAAACTGCCTTGTCCGTGGAAGAGTAGACCTTTTGCTTGTAGCTATCGTTTGGGGAGTAAATATCGTACTCGACCCTGAACCTATCTTTGTTGAAATACAGCTCAACAACAAAACAGCCGAATTTCGTTGCAGACTTTAGAATCTCGGCTTTCGAGCCCTGCTTCACAGTACCCTCGGGAACACAAATAGCTTTCGCCTTCAAGTCGTTGAGGTAAAAATTGAATTCCTCGGCTCTATAATTGGAGTTCAGGGGTGCGCCGATTTTAGAATCAGTTGTTGCGCCCAAGAATGCTGTTATAAATTCAAGGCCATTGGGCATGGATATCGCCACAGCGGATTGCCTACCAATTACTTCATACAATGGAGAGTCAGGGGAACGAAACATGGTCTGGAAATGACCAGTCATATGGGAAAGGTCTCGATAGGTGACCTGAACACCTGTCTCGGGCACAATAACCGCGACATTGTCCGAAACTTTAAAATTTTCATTGAAAGAGGCCACGCTCCTGTCCTCTAGAGCCATGATAAGTCTATAAGGTTTAGAACTTTGCACTTGAATATGATCGGTTCCGTCTAGTGACCTTTTTATACTTTCTTGAGATAATGCTCCACTTGAAAATGGCGCAACCATATTCAAAGACTTATGCACGTGAGCATAATCTAGTCCTGTGGCTGGTGGGAGTGTCCGTGAGTGTCAAGCTCCTTGTAGGTACTTGAGATACAGAAGGAGTCGTCTGAATAGCTGTAGGGTGCTGGGGAAATATTGAATGGTACCATCACGCATACCTTTTTTATATTTCGCAGTTGTAGCCCACCTAATACCGTCCCTAAACCATTAAATTTGCCGTACACAAGCTCTTCAGCTGAGCTGACTGTTATCTTGGTACCACCTCGAGGCGTCAAAAGCACGCCAACCTCGTAGTTGCGAGGTTTAGAGGACGGAGAACCCCATGCATTAAAACTTAAATTACCGGTGGTGAATAGTAGCCAATCAACCTCTTCAAAGGGAACTGAATTTAGAGAACTAGTGGTAGACTTCATGTAAAATTTCGTGTGTGATGGTGTGCTGCCCCTAAGTGAGCCCGCTGCTGGTTGCAGTTTGTAAAACACGCTCCAATTTTTTAACGTCATGTACAATTTTTTTGTTGTCTCGTTCCGCATCCAGTGATGGTGGAACCAGCCGCCTGCCATGTATCCCATTGGACACTTCCTAATTTCTTGATCCGTAGGATAAATTATATACGTCTTGATCTTGTTAGCGTCAAGACGTTCTTTCAAATCTGGAAGTTCGTAGATCTTTCGACCCGTATGTGTTTTAGAATTGGTCTTAGGATCTAATAATCCCGAGAACAATGGTATCATTAAATGCGTAAACAAATTCCCCGGTGTCCTGAGTCCTGCCTTCACAGGCGATCCTATCGTAGATACCTGGCATAGGTAATGGTGCATATAATTTTCACGCTTGTGGGCGTGATGCTGATTCTGTAACCGGTCATTGAGCAGGGCCAATCCACTAGTTGCGACCTCTGGGTGTGCAAAAACGAAATCTGTGCCTGAGTCATCCAGCTGTTTGAAGTCGAGTTCTTCAAGTGCAGATATCAAGGTTGTTAAATCCAGTCGGTACCCTTTCAGGTACGTTAGAAGAGAACTTCCAAATAGTGATGACTGAGGCTTGCCTAAAATTGGCTTGAGACGAGGCCCACACCATACAATTTGTTGCGGTATATTAGTTTCTGCTGAGGTAAAATTATTAGACGGAATAAAGATTTGGCAGTCCCCGTTTTTATATTGATTCACAATCATTTTGGAGTGGTGGCATGCGTATGGTGGCATGTACACTAACAAGGTCTTCATTCTTTTGAGCAAGGTAGAAACTTGTGGCGTAAATTGCGTTACTGGAAGAATTGTTCCCTTCTGTGCAACAATTGTTATTCTTGTTTCCTCGTGAAACATGGGCAAGATGTAATCCAATTCATACTGAAAACTAAAGAGCCAGCTCTGGGAGAGATCTGGGTGTCCAAAAATCTGTTCAAGGGTAATAAAATGTTCAGAAGTAGTTGTTTTATCATATATTTCTGATTTGATTAATCTGAAGGGAAAAGTTACTTCTTCACCGGAGGATCCTTGGTCAACCATGTTCTCTGCCACAGTTGATGGAGAATTCGTTGTCCCACCTGACGAGTCACCACCTGAAATATCTGTCTCTGACGTATCTGTTCCATCGTCCACTTCCCTGTCACTGGTGAGATCTATTACTTCAGGTGCATTTCCGTCAGCTCCAGTAACCAGCCCATCAGAAGCATTCTCTATTTTACGACTCTTATTGTATTCGAACTTACCCCAATGATCTTGAAGTCTTTTCCTGATGCCTGATGTTCCGTTCGAGGCGCGATCAGACATGCCTTGTTTTTTTGTCGGCCTCGATCGTGGCGATGGGTAACTGACCTTTTAATTAAGTTGAAAGTTTCCAGGAAAGAAAGAGAGTCGAGTACAATAGTATCCAATTCAATGACTTGGAGTAAAGCGACAGCTACGTGCGACGCCGATCACTTTCTTGAATCACCTCTAGAGTCTATAGTTGTTGTTTGTTTCGGATCAAGAGAATATGTGGTGCAATAAAGGGAATCGTTCGAGTAAGATGTCGAAATGACAAGTTTAGAGTAATCAACTGCAAACAGTATCAGTTAATGACTAAACTTTGCTAATCCTCGTAAGAATCTGCTGAGACTTGGAAAGTATTTGACGCTAGGTTCGAGATCCTGGTTGATTATTAACGTTCTTTCTCCTCAGAGCTGAGCTTCATATCAGTATATACGTAATTAGCCGCCTACCTTTTTTTGATATTGGGACGCTTGACTTCTACCTTTCGAGCACTATAGTGAACCATATCAAGAAACCGTCAGCTTGTGAGATTGTGAGATATCCCGAGTATGTTTTGTCACTGCGCTAATCACCGCTTGAAATGTCATTTCGGCGATCTGTCCGCGTTATATCGAAGTATGATATTACGGAGAAGCGTCAGAAGCGTCAGAAGCTCGACATCATGGGTACTTGTGATTCAAAAGTTGGAGTTACAGACGGTTCCTCAAACAGTCTGGAGGATGCCTCAAGATACGAATAAGTGACAAAGCAGAAGTGAGCTCGTGAAAGTGCAACACTAAATAATAAAAATACAAAGGCTCCTCGCGAAACCTTATGTGGGACTACAGCAAGCTTCGGTGATTTGAGCTCTTGCAAAGGACGCTTCTAAAGTGCGGTCTTCCAAATCATGAGACCAGGCTTGTCTTCACAGTTTGTCAGGACAATAAGAACGACAATAATTTTACCAAATACTCATTTTCTCCTTCGCCCAAAGTATCACAGCAGTTTCGGGTTTCCAAGCCGTCCAGGATTTACCACTGCTAATGAGAATCACTTATGATGGCGTACAAGCTCTCTTTATGCCAGCAAGGCGTTAGGAGTAAATTTTCGATAACTGGTACCTTGTTTCAATGCCAAAAAAGTTGCAGAAACTAAATCGGGAAAGCTAGAGGGCTGTGATCTCGAAGCTCGGCAGCCTTAGTGATGCTATCGCTATGAGAACTTTTAAACTGAGGCCTACTACTTGTTTAGATTCACGATACCATCAATTTTTCAAGCTCGGAATTTTACCTCCGCCACCGTAAAGCTTGTAACATAACCATGAGTACCAACGCCATCAAATAGTGCACTGCCAACCGAATCAATAGCTCTTGAAGGTTATTGTGTGGTGGAATGTGTGTCACTATCACGTGCCTATTGCAGTGCTCTTAAGATTCAGCGTGATAATAACCTGCACAACAGTGGCTTTCCGGCTTCCATAACACCGACCGTCAAAAAAGCTTGTCGCCTGAATTCACATGGCTTGGCTATATAAACGAAAGGCTCTTGAATACGATACAACTGATTCAAAACGGCAGAGTGTTCCCACCGTCTGTCAGGTTTGGTACTTCATTAACGTTAAGTTTTTGATAATTGAGTTGTGTACTTGAAGAGTGAATTCAACGTCCGCGAGAAGCCTCAGAAGAATTGTGGAATTCCAAATCAAACCCTTAAGTTACCCAGCAACTTGACTTACTTGACCAACTTGACCAACTTAAGAGCTTTCAAAGACTGCTACCAATAGTATACATTTCAAGATGAGAGTATCTGAGAAATTGCAGAAAAATCTGGAGTCCAGTGAGACATCTAAGCCAACGTTCTCTTTTGAATTCTTCGTTCCGAAGACTACGCAGGGTGTTCAAAATCTGTACGATAGAATGGATCGCATGTACCAAACACGTCCCCAATTCATCGACATCACATGGAATGCGGGCGGTAAGTTGTCGCAGTTATCTACAGACTTGGTATCCACTTCTCAGTCCGTGTTAGGGCTCGAAACCTGTATGCATCTGACATGCACCAACATGCCTGTGCAGCTGATCGATGACGCACTAGCTAGAGCTTACGAGTCAGGGTGTCAAAATATTTTGGCTTTGAGAGGGGATCCGCCAGTGACGACCGGCGAGTGGAAGCAATGTGAAGGCGGCTTTGCGTATGCCAAAGACTTGGTCTGTTACATCCGCCAGAAATATGGTGATCACTTCGACATTGGGGTTGCCGGCTACCCAGAAGGCCATCCAGAAGAAGAAGCCACGCCTCAGCTAATTCAATATTTGAAAGAAAAGGTTGACGCAGGTGCCAACTTCATCATTACTCAAATGTTTTACGATGCCGACATTTTCATTGAATGGTGTCGCCAGGTGCGCCAAGCAGGCATCGACGTACCTATCATTCCAGGAATTATGCCGATCACCACCTATGCGGCATTCATGCGTAGGGCTGATTGGTGTAAAATCAAAATTCCTGATGAATTTATGACGAAGCTCGATGCTGTCAAAGATGATGACCAAGCTGTGCGTGAGGTGGGCACTGGCCTAATCGCTGGTATGTGCCAAAAACTCTTGAAAAGCGGCTACGTGACGCATTTACACATGTACACTATGAACCTTGAAAAAGCATCTATGATGATCTTAGATAAGTTAGGGCTTTTGACCGAAGAAGACGACATTTTCAGAGACGAGGTGGTTCCAATGCCTTGGAGAAAATCGCTTCACCCTCAACGTCGTAATGAATCTGTGCGTCCCATCTTTTGGCAAAAGAGACCTTACTCGTATGTGGCACGTACCTCGCAATGGTCAGCCGACGAGTTCCCCAACGGTAGATTTGGAGACTCTTCGTCGCCCGCCTTTGGTGACTTAGACTTGTTAGGGTCGTCTTTGATCAGACAATCGCCTCAGCGTGCGCTTGAATTGTGGTCGGCACCAACTAAACTTTCAGACATTACCAATTTGGTCATTGACTACCTGCAAGGCAAAACAAAATGTCTTCCTTGGTGTGACGTTGCCTTAAATCATGAAGTGGACTCGATCATGCCTCAGTTGCTAGATCTTAACAGTCATGAAATCTTGACTCTAAATTCGCAGCCTCGTGTCAACGGATTGCCTTCAGGCGATAAGGTAATCGGGTGGGGCCCTAACAACGGCTACGTGTTCCAAAAGGAGTACCTTGAATTTTTATTGCCCAAGAGCAAGTTACCACAGTTCATGGATCTCATTGGTCATGATGCAAGCTTGACGTACTTTTCGGTCGACGCCTCAGACCAGCTGCACTCGAACCACCCCGATGATACAGCCGCTAACGCCGTAACCTGGGGTATTTTCCCAGGTCGCGAGGTTCTACAGCCTACAATCGTAGAGAAGGTATCGTTTTTGGCGTGGAAGGAGGAGTTTTTCCACATTCTGGAAGAGTGGAAGCTCATCCTAGGCGAACAGGGCCACCGCGACAGTGTGACCCTGCTGGATACCATTATCAACGATTATACGCTAGTAAACGTTGTCGACAACGATTTCGTGACCGATGGCAATCGGATCCACGATCATCTCAAATGCTTGTACTGAGCTTTTTCGTAGATGACGGTGCACACCGTCTGTGCCGCTCCTCGACCAACCTCTGCATTGCTGTTGGCTACCTTTCTCAACGAAACTAGCCCAGCACTTTTCGTTTCTGTCTTTTTTTTCTGCATTCAACATGGGATTACTTTACTGGGTTTCAACAACAACAACAACAATAACAACAACAACAACAACAAAAATTAACTGGACATTCTGCACAAGCTTTTCAACAGTCTTGCACATATACTCAAATATACACTTCATCAGTCGTCTATAGCATAAACGCAGATCTCTCAACTACTCAAAGTCTTGTTCTACCTCAAAGCCCTAGTCTTGAAAATCTATCAACGATTTATTCCTTTCTCAGTTGTGCTGAACACCCTTGTTCGAAAAGCCGTCTCTTTCCCAATGGAAGGTCTGTTATTTCACTTTCTACAGAATCTCTTGGCTATTTTCATTTTTCAGCTCTATGCCGTTTTTGTCAAAAAGCATTGTTCTTTGCCTATATGCACCGAACGTGGTTCATTGCTTCATTGAAAAATTAAAATAGCAGTTTAACTAATTCAGCAATATCCAACAAGACAAGATCTGGGAAAACAAGTGCAAACAAGGATTTGTAGATCAGTTAGACTTCGATTTCTGGAATATCTGTAGCTAGCGTAGCAAAGCGTATCTACCAACCAAGCATACAGGCGAGATCTTGGACTTTCCAAGAACTGAGAACGGGTATTTTTTCGTTCGCAGCCGACAAAGGGCTAACAAGTTGGGTTCCGAAGAAAAGAGCTTTCACAGGAAGAACACTCGCACCACGGCGAGAATAGCTAAGCTTCGCAAGACAAGATCAAGTAGTGGATGGAAAGTAGGAGGCTTCATTGGAAGGACGACGTTTGTACGACTGACGGGTCGCGGCGAAGTAGCAGCAACCGTGGAACGGTTACGTTTGAGCCGAAAGACTTGTCTTCAGGAGATCCTGGCAGGGATTTGAAGTCGGCGACGTGGCCATCATCTATATCAACCATTACTGAAGAACTGCCGTCACCAGATGTCCCTGAGCCCGTGGCAAGAGTGCATTCGGCCAATAGTGCCATGCTAACGCCATACTGCTCGGTTTCCTCAGAATCCACGCAATCGCAATCGAAGAGAAACAGCGATTCTTCATATATCAGGTCCTGGAACGTTTTACCCAGGATCGGCGAATCTTTGCATAGTCACAAATACTCCATGAACGTGGCCATCCACAGTGTGAACGGCACGCCCAAACAGATAGTATACGACCCCCGCTACAATCCGCTTTTGCCCAAGCTTGAAGTTTTCTGCACGTTCAATTCCCAATCCTTACCATTAGATTCATATGTGCATGCCAAATCTAGACTGGAGTCCTTCGTCAAGTTTTTAGAAGTATACCACAGTTCAAGAAAGTATGAATCTGCCTATTTTCCTTTCAATGTCAGTGTAAGTCCTGGCAGCGCCTGCAGTGGATATCCTTCTTATACTTCTGGCGTCAGCTATCAAGATATAGGTGAGATACTACAATTGTGGTATTTGCAGGCGCTTAAATTTCTACTAGATAAGAACTCATTTCTCTTCTCAAGTGAAATTGTTGACTATATGGCTAGACTGGGGCCCAAGAAAAATGCTGCAATTAAAAATGAGCTGCAGAGTACTAAATCAGCACCAAGTGCCTTAGAGGAAACCATCTCAAGAGCTGACATTCTACTGGTGCGATGCTCTTTTGAAGAAGAGCTCGGCTGGCAATTAGCGTTGGACGAACCTAACTGGAATATAGTGGATTTGTTTATTGATTTCTCGCATCTGCGTAAACCATCCTTCAGTACAGCGCAAGATGACCTTGCTGGCAGATCTACCACTGCTGCGGATGATGATGCCGATTTGTTCTCCAGCTCTTCGACGAGCTCTTTATCAAGCAGCACGAGCACTACGTGCACAATTAATCCTCCAGATGGGAAACTTGCTCAGGATGAGAAAGCAGCACAACAGAACGGTTGTGGCACGGTAGACATGAATTCACGGCCACCTTTGCCGTCTTCCATGTCGTCAGAAAATGGCTCCATAATAGTTCAAGATTGCGTGGGACGTAACTTGGACGAGTTAGCCGTCAAAATTAAAACTGCCCAAGATATTGCGGAAAGTCGCCGGCCGAGTGTTTCGCATACTTCAAGTCAAGAAATGGTTTCTGACCAAAAACAAAAAGGGAAAAGTAAAAAAGACCAGCCAGGAATGCTCGCTAAAGGATCTTCAGCTTTGGGGCTTTCGAACTTTTTTAAAAGGAAAAACTCACACACTGGTGTTGAAAAGAGCGACTCGTGCAGTACATCTCGGCAGTCATCGCCCAATGAACCTAATAAGATTAATCTGAATATACAGAACCGATATCTGGAGGATTATTACGCTTCAACATTAGCAAACTACAGAAGAATTGTTCCTCCAGCACATTCTCTCTTTACCCAGAAAACTTCATCGAAAGGATCTGAACCTCGGGAAAAGCCGCTGAAGGATGAAAACAAGTCATACCGGGATGATTTTTTACAAGTAAAATTACCATTAAAAGACAATTCATTTCCCGTCGTGATATGTCCAGATGTATGGTTTACAGTTGAGTTGAAAAAATGGAAAGGCTTTTTGAGCGAGATCTATCGATGTATACGGCCAGGAGGATATCTGGAAACTTCAACTAGCAATTTTGCTACAGTCAATGACTGCAATGATCTTGAGAAAACTACCAAGGAATTCCCGACTTCCGCAGAGATGAAAAGCCTGAAAGACGCGATATCAATGGAGGCAGCTAGAGCCGGTATCCAAGTGTTTCCCATGAGACATCTCGTCCAAATATTGAAAAAAGTAGGGTTTATCAATATCAAACACTCTGTTGTTAGTCTGAAAAGAGGGGATTTGACGAATAACATGGGCTTGCTATTTGAATTTTTGGCGATGCACCAGTTTGATTTTCAGCTACGAACTAACTTTCTTAATGCGAGAACATCGCCCCCCGGAACAAACCCTGCGTCATTTCCTATGCGCTATGTTCAAGAGCACATGGGTAAAGCCGATGAAAATGCTGGCGTGCTGCGTTTCGTCCTCATAACTGCTCAAAAACCTGATGTATCAAAAACATAGAATTTAGAATTGTCCCAAACTAATTATCAATATTCTACATTGAAGTAACTTTTAATAGTCTATGTATCGTTTACTCATGACCTCTCTTGCTCTGCATCAAGTGGGAGCCCACTCTCCCATACATCTTATCCAGGATTTCGCCCTGTTTAGTGTCCTCCTTATAGACCTCTTCTATGAATTCGTCTCTCTCACCTCTAGAGTAGTATTTTGCTGCGACGTGTGTTGCTAAAGAATGTTCTGTTTGCTTCAGAGAATTGACGGTCTTTTCATCGACTAGAACGTAAGAAATACCAGATCCGGGGCACTCGTAGTTAACATTGAGTAGTAGGCGTTCCATAATTCCCCTTAAGCCTCGAGCACCAGTGCCTTCATCTTGTGCGAAATGTGCAACCTTCATAAGGGCTTTCTCTGTCACGCAAAGTTTGACGCCAAATTGCCTAAAAATGTATTCATATTGATTGAGAAGCGCATTCTTGGGCTCTCTCAGAATATGGAACAAATCTGATCTTTCGAGGGGCTCCAAAGCTGTGATTATGGGTACGCGTCCAACGAGCTCGGGTATTAAACCATATGATACCAAATCCGTGGGAGTTGCGAGATTCAACGCAGACACCTTTTTACCATTGGGTAGTTCGATCTTTTCTATAGTGTTACTGAATCTCAGCCGCTTGATGTCTTCAGTGTTCGTATCCTTTTCGCTTTGTGCCTCACCCGCTTTCTGGCTTTTGATTCTTTTCGCGACATGCTTATCAAGTCCTACAAAAGCACCCATAAGCATGAAAAGGATGTTTGACGTATCTACAACAAAAGTCTCGTCCTTCTTAGCATTCACTTGGTTATTCTGTGGATCTTTCTTTTTGTTTACAGGTCTTTTTACCGTGACTTCCACGGAATGCCCTTCTAGTATTTTGAGAAGGGATTGCTGAACACCTTCACCAGACACGTCCTTTGTTCCAATGCTTGCGGCAGGCTTGGCAAGCTTGTCCAATTCGTCGAGTACAATGATCCCGCGCTCCGCTTTGGCAACATCGTAGTCTGCGCTTACCAGCAAACGCTCAATGCAAACTTCCACATCCTCACCTATGTAACCGGCCTGAGTTAGTTGCGTGCAGTCGGTCATGGCAATTGGGACATCTAACACACGCGCTAGAGTGGATGCTAAAAGAGTTTTTCCGGAACCTGATGGCCCGACAACTAGTACATTGCTTTTAGAAAGCTCCAAATCTTCATCTCGGAACCCCATCATTTCTTTGGAAAGTTGTGCATGAAGCTGCTCATAGCCAGACTTAGCTTCGGCGCTGCTGGAGTATATGGGCTCGTCCTTGTCATCTTCTTGTCGTTGTTTTTCTAGTAACTCACTTTGCAGTTTGGCCTCTATCCTTTTCTGTCTGTCATTGATCCTGAGGTAGTGATTATAAACTGCGACGCTCAGCACTTTCTTTCCAACGGTTTGACCAACAACATAGTTGTCCAGAAAATGTCTCAATTCCTTTGGAGATGGAATTTTAGGTTGAGATCCACTTAGCTTTGAAGTAGCTGATCTCAGCGTTGAATTAGTCGTCAAAGTTCTTAGGCCAACTCTTAACATCGCGTTGCCTATTATTTTTAAAGTGACATTTGTAAAATGATTGAGATTATTATAAGAATAGCTAAACTTTTTGTCTTTTCTTGTTTAATTGTCCAGAAAGAACCCAGAAACAATGAGCAAAGGTTCAGGCCATGGGGATTCATAGAGTGCCAGAGTTTTACTGTTGCTATTTACTGAGATCAGTTCCCAAAAAACAATCTTTTTACATAGGATCTACCCCCAACCCTGTACGAAGACTTCGACAACATAATGGGCTTCTCACGAATGGTTCGGCTTTCCGGACCAAACAAGCCAACCTTAGGCCGTGGGAAATGGTTCTGTGTGTTTATGGGTTCACTAGTAAAATAGCAGCTTTGCAATTTGAGCACGCGTGGCAGCATAGCTACCACACGCATTTCATCAGCGACGACCAGCGAATTGTGAAAAATAAGACAGGCGGCCGGAGTATTCATCACAAGCTGGGAAATATTCGGTTGTTATTGAAAAACGCATACTTCCAACATATGGATCTGGTCGTTCATTTTTTTGACCAGGAAGCTCGTAAAGTGTGGGACCAAAATCGCTTCAATATTCATGGCGATGTCGTTGCCACTGCTTCAGAACCAGATGGCAGCGTTTTAGCTTCCCAAAATGCCGAAACCCTAGCAGCAACGAATCTCGCATGCGTTGAAAAGCTCTTCTTTGACGTTCAAGCGATTGACGGAAGACGGACGTCTTCGCATGATAAAGCACTTTCTCATGGACGCATAACTTGCCCCATTTGTCAAGAATCGTTCAATTACATGAGCGAAGTAGATACAACAAAACCTTTGGCGGCTTTTTGTCCCGAAGAAGATTGTACCTTCGTTTCTCATCTGAGTTGCCTTCATCGAATATTTTTGGATGATGAGCAACTAATGAAAGGCACAAGAAAGCTTATACCTAAATCAGGCACATGCCCGTTATGCGAGAAAATTATATCATGGCCAACTGTGGTGAAGTATTCGACATGGGCTCGGGACCCCGGCACTACCAAAGACAAGTGAGAGATATCTGATTGACTTCGATAGTTTAACCGTGGAGTATCATAGACCACATCTCTTGCAAATTCAAGTGCGGGTTTTTAATCGTGATAAAGTTTGATTCCTCGGAGTATTCCACGCTTTGCATCCATTCATTCGATCCTTTCTTCAGTAAGGCATAGCTTGAACTTTGAGCGGCATCGCCCTTGGCAATGATAATTTTCTCAATCTTACTTGCGAAAAGTTGTCCATCGCTAGGTTTATGATTGATTCTAGACGTTAAAACACCTTGTTCGTAATCGAAGGAGATATCAATGTATTCACCGGTCTGAAAAGCAAATGTTTCACCATCGTCTGTATAAAGCTTGCCGCTCGCTCTTCCTTCCTTATTTGGAGCAACTAATAAGGTGATAGGATCATTAGCCATGAGTTTAGAAGATCTTCTATATCTATCTCTTCTAACAATGATGGTCCCTCCCTCGATAAAGAGAGGCAGCTTTTCTAGTGGCGCATCTATCGTGATACGCCTGGGTTTATCAATTGAAAACGATTTCATGCTCTCATATTCGTAGAATAAGCCGCTTGGAAAAAAAACACTCACTTCAGTGGCTCCTTCCTCGGTAACAGGCTTGACTAAAAGCCCAGTCTGCCCAAGGTAAAACTGATCATCAATATCATATACTCCCTCTAATTCCGGATGGACGTAAAAGAGGGGGTTCATAATGGGCGTGCCGTTTATGCTGGAAACATGGAAAGCCGTGTAAAAAGTAGGCAATAGAGAATATCTCAAGCGTATTATGTCTCTTACGATAGACCTCACAGGTTCTTGCAGCAAATACGGCTCTCTCCTTTCAGCATCAATATGTGCATGGCCACGGAAGAACGGATACCACACACCAGCTTGATACCATCTGATGAGTAGTTCTGGTGTTGGATCTCCAGAAAACCCAGCGATATCGGCACCTATGAATGGATATCCAACAATGTTATTGGTGAGACACATGGGAACCGAAATGTGCAGATAATCCCAATTTGCAACATTATCGCCAGTCCACGTCGCGGCTGTGCGTTGTGAGCCTGCAAAAAAAGATCTTGTGAGCAAAAAAGGTCTTTTAGCCTTGTTGCTATACGATTCTTTCATGGCTTCATATGTAGCCTCATGGACAGTCAGTCCATACAAGTTATGAACCGATCTTTCTTCAAACCCACCGCCGTGCAATAAATCTTTGGGTGCTGTTGTTTCTGGTCCACTGAAAATAGATGGCTCATTCATGTCATTCCAAATGTGCAGATTGTCGTAATTCATCAAAAATCCATCTATCAGCTGCCTCCATACTTTGCGTGCAGAGCTACTAAGAGTGTCAATCCAAATAGATTCACCGGGCCAGCAATGTCCATGATAGCTGCTGTCGTCGTGGTTTCTAACAGATGACTTGCTGGTTTCAACCAGCTCACTAACGTTATAATTGATTTTCAAGTGAGGGTCGATTAACGTTACTAGGTTTCTTCCAAGTTTCCAAAGCTTTCTTAACATCCTTTCAGGGTTTGGAAATGCGTCAGGCTTCCAAGTAAAAAACTTCTTGTCATCTGTGTATTCTAAATCTAGCCAGATAAAATCATACGGAATTCCTGCCTTATCCATTTGAGAATCCACGGTAAGTACATCTTTCTCATCATTGTAGTTCCAGCGACATTGGTGGTATCCAATGGATGAAATCATTGGTAATTGGGGCCTCCCAGTTACCTCTGTATACGCAGACGTAACTTCTAGGGGATTATCTGCTAAGAAAATCATCACGTCGATCACACCAGCCTCTGAAATCCAGTGCGTCTTGGTCTCACTTTCGTCATATTCGATGTCTACCCATGTGTCTGCGGAGTTTACCCAAAAGACACCGGCCGCGAAGCCTGGTTTAGCACCAATCATCAAAGGAATCGCACCGTACATTGGTGTCTTAGCTTGTAAGTTATACTCAAACACATCAACATTGAATAGCCTGTAGGGCTCGGTGTTTTGTGTGTCTTTCAGTCTCAAGCTGTCGGCGTGCTCGGGGATGCCATAAACGTCATTAATACCTATTAACGTGAAATCCAGAGCTACGGATTCTGGGCCGAAAGGCAAGGAATCTTCTTTAGAGTACTGGAAACTGTCCTCAAAGTCATTAAAAGTCAATTCTTCTGGTAGCTTTTGAGATGCATTTTCTTGTAATGACCTTTGGTGCTCTACATTCAAGAGCATTCGGTCGTTGACAACTAAGACTAGTTTCCCCCTGTAAAAAATTTCGATTCGGAATTTTGTCAAATGCACCCTCACCGATACTTCGGAATCCTTACTTTTAATTTCAATATCGTCTCTTCTTGATGGCCAATAAGAGGTTGAGATATCAACATCGGCAGGGGAAACGTTCGCGCTCTTGTCAAATGCCCACATATACGCCTCATCGTACCGTTTGGGATTGATAACGTCTACTCCACGTTCTAATGTGGAATTTCTAAGTTCGTTTATCTTGAAACGCACCTTACCACCATCAAGTATATCGACAAAGAGCGGCAAAACAATTGTCTTGCCGCTCGCCTCGCCACCATTTTGCGAAGGCACCCTTTTCAAAATATTTGCCTGGAAGCTGTGATCAGTATCTTGAGTTTGAATGCTAGTGGGATCAATTGAGTAAGCTTCTTGTTTTCTTGCTTTCTGCATTTCTCTTGCGTAATGCCTGTTTCTTAGACAAAACCCGGATTGTGAACATGACTTCAGCAGATAATCCGTGAAGGCGAGTGTCTGGCCAATCAAGACCAGCACCAATAGTATTCTCGAAGCGAAGTTAGTTAGGTGCATTGACTGCTCAGCCTGCCTCTATATAATTTACATGTTAGGGTACTTGAGAAGCAGGAAGAATTGATGTGACAGATTCCACGATCTTAAAGTCGTTATAAACGTATGTTGACTTACATCTGTAGCCGTGGGCTTCTTTCAAATAATATGCTTTACGACCTTAAATATTTTGGATTCCAAGAACAAGAACTTATACTTCAACCTGCTCGCTAGCGATCTCTGCGCTCTTCTTTCATTGTTGTCAAAGGTAGCATGGTGGCTTCGACAATTCAAAAATGCGAAATATTTCCTTAGCATGGTATTTCAAATATTTGCGGATACAACAGCCACTAAGTAGCGTCGCGGCTCTAAACTTAGGACCTGAGTACGCCACTAGTCATTTAAAACTCGTTATCATACATTTTCGGTTTAAATTGTCAAATAGATAGGCGAAACTAATAGATCACGCACCAGTGAAACTTTGTGCAACTTGGAATATAAAGAGGCCTTTGATATGGATGGCCATAGTGTCTTCATTTGGAACGTCATCATTACAACACTAGAATAGTCTATCGAACTTGCCATCTTCTGCCTCCACAATATATCAATAAAAAATTCCATATTTTACTTGCGAAAGACTGAAATGCATTCCGGAGCACTCATCCAGCAAAGTTGTTTCCAGGAGCTTCATCAACTTACAGCACTCCCCAGAATTAAGATTTTGCAAAAGGGTTCGAAAGTTAGACCCAGCCTGCCCAGTATTCGCCAATTGTTACGAGATATTCAATCACGCAATGGGACAAGGAACTCCCCTACCCCCAACAAGCTTTTTTATACTACGGGACAGCCCCATGTCTACTCTTCAGTAAGCCCTGGAGTTCACGAATCTGGTTTGTTGCCAAACTATACCAGGCTTTCTCAAAGAAACTTTGATCTTACTACTACCGGTGTTTCTGAGGCGCCACAACCATCTCTTCATAACAACATTTGTGATGACCATATCATTCATGCTGAACATACTCGACTTGTGAGATTGCAGCCCCATAGACCAGCTCCAAGACCACCATTAAATACTGGCAACATTCAAAAACCAAGCGGTGATTTGCTCAAACTCGCTTACGCTGTCGAAGCGTCCACAAACATGGGACGCACTACTGTCACTGGTAACCATGTAACTGACAGTATAATACATTTCAACGGGGACTATCAATTGAAAATTGCGGAAATCTTGGAAAGCTTGCAGGCGATGTACAGAAATTTGCAGGAATGGCCACTGTCGATGCATAGTCAGGATGTAGCGAGAATTGATAAAATGTCTCTTTTGATCGATTATATTTCCCCTGAGAGCTTGGAATCAACTACTGTCATGGCGAAACGGGCCTATGATTCTCTCATGACTATCAGTCAGTGGAAGACAAAATATAAGAAGCTACACATCGGTCTTCATTCACGTTTAGTTGACACGCGACTTGAGAAGAGTTCAAAAGTGAAAAAGCTGCGCTTGTCCAAAAACAAGTTCAAGGAAGACCTGAAGCGTCACCTAAAGAATTCAGACCCTGCGGTGGCGCTACGCGGAGAATACGATGCTGGTGAAAAAACCGCGAAAGATGATCTAGTTAAACCTGTTGAATCCTTTTCAGCGAAAAAGTTAGCGCTGATTGAGAGCGAGGACGAAAGCACAAAGGCTGGACTTCAATGTGCACATTGCTTGTCAACCAAAACTCCTGAGTGGAGAAAAGGCCCTTATGGCAAACGAAGTCTTTGTAACGCCTGCGGTCTATTTTACAAAAAGTTGGTTAGAAAATTCGATGATGCTCAGGCCGCCTTGATCATGAAATACAGAAAAAGAGTTTCGAGCAAAGATAGAAAAGTACCTAGAGTCTTTGATGTTCCAGATAATCAATTATAATCAGAGATAATCAATTATAATCAGAGATAATCAATTACAATCAGACTGATCTTGAAGCCAGCTTCTTTAATCGTCTCTATAATCTTTAGTTCGCTTTTTTAAGCGCAGTGAATGAAACGCTGTACATGCTCTTTTTCATCAAAACACCGCGCCGTTTTTCACGAATAACCTATCTTCATTTTTGCGGCACCAGTCCACGATATTTTTAGCGCTTTTTAAAATTGTGTTTCGATCACTGACGCCATTATTGCAAATCAGAAACAATTCAAAATTGGGAGTTAGCCAGGCAAGGCATAACGTATCAACTTCCTCTCCTTGAGGAAGATCATTGAGCCTCATGCCATCATTGGACCATTGAACAAACGTTAAAGTAGATCGATTGAATGCGCTCCCGCTTTCGTCCATGGCATTGTTTCGAATATGTGTATAATAACGCATAAGTTTGTACAGATAGGCTTTTTGCCTAACCTTAGCGTCACTTGTACCGTTGTTTATAGGATCAGGATCATTTTCAACACTCGCATTCTCATCATTAGCTGAGAAGGTACTTCTGGCGTCGTCACTCGCGCTCATGTTATACAGGTCCAGGTCATCAAGCCGTGGCATAATATATTGGACATGCTTTTTGGATTTGTAGATGAAATGATGAACGAATTTAGCAGGTATGTCAGCCATAGTAAAGCCCAAAGTTGAAGCCGCTTCAATTTGTTCCAAGAGATTTTTGTTGTGTAATTCACTAACGATTCCTTGACCAATTTTTTTTAAGGCGAAAAAGCTCTCCTTTTGAGCACTAATTAGTACCAACGCTGGTTTTGATGACACGAGTTTGTGAGCTCCTTCATGCTGTGCGTCTACACTCGCCTCTAGAGCTTCAGGACTGGGAGTTTTCTTGGACTTTTTTTGAGGGTTTTCGTGCGCTAGAAGTCTTATGTAGCAATGAAGAAAACCACTCGAGTTAAATTTTGGAAAGCATATTGGCAACCACAGTTCCTGATCATCCTGTAACCCTTGGAATTGATTAAAAATCAATGAAAATAAAAGATGAAGGTCGGTGGTGTGTAAAGTATGGCCTCTTGGTCTTAATACTGAGCATAATTGGCCACCAGGCGCCACAATCAAACCATACAAAATTGTGTTTCGTTGGGCAGCAACGTCTGGATGTTGAACCTGCGCCAGCATGATGGAATGTAGAGTCTGACGAGTCGATTTTCGAAGAGTTAAACACCTTAAGGCGCCAAGCAAAAAATCAGGATTGAATCCATTTGAGATAGAGTCGCAGATGTGATTTAAATTTTGGAAATCTGTGTTGGTGAGAAAATGACGGAGATCGAAGTTGTCGCGTTTAGAAAACAAGCGAGTTAATTGACGTCTGCTCAACGTGCAAATGAGGTAAGAATATAGGAAATCGAGCTGTTGCAGAAGATCATTGACAGATTCCTCGCGGGACGACATTGCCATCAATATGATAGGAGTCTTATCGAGGAAGACAAACTTTTGTTTTACGTGGTTGCCACATGAGTTTACGATGGAGTGCATTTTAGTGTTATGCACCTTGAAGTAGCTTATCACGGTGTGGACAATACCCATAAGCCCCATGACTAGCTCATCCTGCCCATGCATGGAGTAAACCGGCTTTCCTGCAGAAGATAAAATGAAAAACTGCTTCTCCTGCGGCAGAGGTGCCATAGAGCCCCCGGCGACAACAGACTCGAAAATAGACGGTATTTCGTTACTTACGGCGTGGCTTTTGGGCATCAAATCGAGAGATCGCATTGACTGTAAAAGTTCGTGTTCCAAGTCTCGATGACTCGTGCGCATCGACTGGCGTTCGGATGCCAGATCCAAATAGACGCTGGAGTCTGACGGTCTGGAATCTTCAAAAAAGGGCTGTGGAGGCGCTGAAAAAGACGATGCGAGATTAACAGATGTTGTAGGTTGTGTGGCGCCCATGGTAAATGGATTGAAACGCGAGGCTCCGCTGGGGGTGGCCTTATCCCGGGGATGTTGGTTATCTATATATCCCTCTCGTAGTGTTTGCATCATTTCCACACCCGTGCGCAGGGCCGTCGAGACCTATTGTAAACTGAGACATTGAAATGTACTTAAAGCTAATAATGATCTGGGATTAAAACTCTACATATCTTCAGCACTAGACACGACAAACGGACTTGAAATCACAATGTGAACTTATAGGACTATTTAAAGAGATGAATATGATACGATGCTGTGTGTGTAATTGTGCGTGGACAGATTTGTGGGGTTCGAGAAATGGCTCATAACTTCTTCTTATCGAACTTAGAGTAGTACTTGGACGACAAGAACACGTCTAAAGCCAAAAATGCGGTGGCACCGCCGACAGTAGAGATGATGACGGCATCGGACTTGCCCTTGAGGTACCTCGTGTGGTACTTGGCGTATCCTCTCAAAAGCGAAGACACAAGACCAGCTCCCAAAGCGACATTGGCAATCACCACAGGATTCTGCAATTCGGTGAGCAGGGAGTAGGAAGCCTGTTTGGCCTTGGATGCCCAGCAGGCGCTAACGGCGGATACGCGGTCAGAAGCAGCGCGCAAAAACTCGGTCACGTTGTTCCTGTACTTGTCGATAGTGCCGTCGTCCTTGAGCTCGTCGAACTCCCTTTCGGCTTCTTCTCTGAGATCCTGGGCCTCGGCCCGTAGCTCCTGGGCGGCTTTCTTGGCGGCATCTGGGATGTGGGAGGCGTCGACTTCCGTTTGGTTCACGGCCTCTTTGGCGTCTTTCTTGGCGTTTTTGATGTGGCTATTATCCAAATGTTAGTTTTTGGCGTGTTTTCTGAGAATCAGAATCGCCAGTGACTCACTCGATTGTCTCTGCAGACAGATCTCACCCGCGATTTCCACAGCACTTTCAGCGCTTGTAAACATACTCTGTCATTGTGCTGGTAGTTGGATGATCGTAATCGATAACTTCAAAGCTCGTTTGATGAAAATGGCTTTTGATATCCGATGAATCCGGAACCGAAAGATCTTAAATGTCAAAGTTCCCCTTGCTGCTTTTATACTTTTTCTCCCCTTATACCGCATAATGATTTTTTTGCTAAAAGATGGGGAGCAATCTTGATAGCTCTCCACACGGCGACGTACACAATGCCGTTAGTGATTCGGAGCGAGATCTTATTGGCAGAAGATCCGGCTGTCATCCAGTTGGGAAGCAGCATAGAGCGACGATTTCGATCGTTACGTGGGTAGCGGTGGTAGTAATGGGCAAATCTTTGTTGTATTAATCGCGAATGAATTATATACTTTTTTGACGAGCTGGCGCGGCCATCGGAATGGGTGCGGGATGGGATCGCGCCCCTTCTTCCAAGCTGTTTGACGACTGTGTTTGTAATTGCACGCTGGGGCAGCGTCTCTTGTATCATCTGATCACTCTTACTGGGATAGTGGGTAATTTTGGATGGAAAAAAAAAAAGCTGTGAACTCATTGAAGTGAAGGCGAGTGGGTCGAAACAATCAGCCGATAAGGCTTCTTCTCATTCAGCCCCTCATGTTTTTGGACCCTGACTGCGTTCATCAATTTTTGTCGGTTCAAAACCAAACCCCTGTCACTTTGTACCTTCGTGTCGTTGTCAAAGGCCTTCGACGTGCAGTTGTGTACCATCCGTGAAAAAACATGTAAACATCTTAGGCTATCAATGGGGAACAACCGACGAAGCCTGGGATCTTTAAAGCTTGCTGGGCGCTTCACATGAGGGCTTACCCCGTTCGCGTTAATTAGCACCAGAAGTATGAAATCGTGTAAATTTAATGTTTCATTGTATTTGCTGAGCTTTCCTGTGTGATCTGCACGTACCTACCGAAATTTTGTGTTTCTTGATTATCCCGATCTCAGCTAACAGCGTCAAGTTGGGGGTACTCCCTTTCAATCATGCTAGGGCTCTCTTGTGGAGTCGCGGCTCTCTAAATTCGTCTTGCTACAATAGTCACTTCGACATTTCGCCCGGAAGGTTGGACTGCTTTTTTGCACCCACACACCAACCAATTCTTCGAATATATAAAACTGTTTTTTAAAAAATTTGAAAATCTGAAAAATCTGAAAAACCAGCGACGCAAAATACAAAAGTGACGCCAACGAGGACTCTTTTTTTTCCTTTGAAAAACTTCGGGAATTTTTCAGTACTATACCCGTGTGTGGTGATATTCGTGGCCATCGGTAGCCCTGTCGCCCACTCACTCTTCCACTACCCACCAGCTCTGGTCCATGGTTAAAAGTTTTTAACGCTGGAGCTCTCGCACCACCTTGTCCAATCTCTGGTTTCCCTCTCCACTCAACTCACTGTCGATCGAAAGTTACCTACCATCAACTTTCCGTGATCCCATTCCGACAAGTTAAGTAGTCAAACACAGTAATATCAATCAAGATGTCTGCTCCAGCTGCTGCTCCAGCTAACGCCAATGGCGACAAAAGAGGTGGCTTCGGCGGCCGTAACAAGGGTCGTCAACAAAGAAGAGGTAGAAGAGACCAAGAAGAGAAGGGATGGGTCCCAGTGACCAAGCTCGGTAGACTTGTCAAGGCCGGTAAGATCTCCTCTGTTGAAGAAATCTTCTTGCACTCTATGCCTGTCAAGGAGGTGCAAATCATTGACACTTTGTTGCCTACTTTGAAGGACGAGGTCATGAACATCAAGCCTGTCCAAAAGCAGACCAGAGCTGGTCAAAGAACCAGATTTAAGGCTGTTGTTGTTGTTGGTGACTCCAACGGTCACGTTGGTCTAGGTATTAAGACTTCCAAGGAAGTTGCTGGTGCCATCAGAGCCGGTATCGTCATTGCCAAATTGTCTGTCATTCCAATCAGAAGAGGTTACTGGGGTAACAACTTGGGTCAACCTCACTCTTTGGCCACCAAGACCTCCGGTAAGTGTGGTTCCGTCACCGTCAGATTGATCCCAGCCCCAAGAGGTAAGGGTATCGTCGCTTCCCCAGCTGTCAAGAAGTTGTTGGAATTGGCCGGTTTGGAAGATGTCTACACTTCTTCTAACGGTTCTACCAGAACTTTGGAAAACACTTTGAAGGCTACTTTCGTCGCTATCGGTAACACTTACGGTTTCTTGACCCCTAACTTGTGGGCTCAACAACCTTTGCCAGTGTCTCCTTTGGACATCTACGCTGACGAAGCTTCTGCTCAAAAGAAGAGATTCTAAATTATATAACTATAGTTGTTAATTTAATAATCAGTCTAAAGATAATTTATAGTAGGATTACGTGTACAAAATGAAATCAGAAGTGCACTGTATTAAATTCACATCTTGAGAAGTGCCTTGGTTAGGGCGTCTACTGGCACTAACTTTTTTTTCCTCGCTCTTGAAATACTAACTCAAAACCTTTTAAGTTAAAATTTCAAAAACTATTTAAAACATTGTGCCAAACCTTTCATCACTCCATTAAAGCGCTCAAGCTGTACTAAGTCAACTTCAAAAAAAGGCTGTAGGGGGCCATAGCCGCTCTTTCAAGTTGGTCTTTTAGACCTTCTTCTTTTTTTTTTTTTTTTATTGTAAATACTAGATAAAATAAACCATACCTGGTCAACGTCCACTATCCCATGATCGCATCATTTTCCTGCGCTGGCGCGGACTCGATCACTTGATTATCGGGCACAGCGAAAGCGCGTTCATTAGTCGATCTATTTTCAGACTGTGAATCCGAGTTATTCCACATGTTAGGGTTGTTACTGTCGTTGTTGTCGTTGTTGTTCGTGCTGGACGCCTGTGAAGGCTTCTGTGGAACTTGCCGACCTTCAGGGTGTTTGAACAAACAATAAATGTTTCGACATTCAACATCAAACTTACAATCCTCGTTTATTGGATGACCGAAAAGGCAATCGATTCTTGTGCAATTCGCACCTTCGCGACACATAATGTGCGAGCGTGCGTGTCTGAATTTGCACCTTTTATTGGTACAATTGGCACCAAATTTACACTGTTCCAAAGACTTCTCCACGACCGGACGTTGAGGTTTGCGTGAAACGACGGGAGCAACTTCTTTGATCTTCGATGCGGAACTATGAGCCTTGTCACAAGCAGGGTTTTGACAATTCAGATTTTCAGGGCACCATGCAAAAGTAATAACTTTAGCGTCCTCGTTGACTGGGGTTGGATGACCGAATGGACACTGCTGGTTAGAACACAAAAGCCCAAATTTACATAAAACAATCCCAGTACGTTCGGGCTTGTTCCTGGCAGCGGCAAATGCCGCCCTCTTTTCACGAAACTCCTCGCGGGTTCTTTCAATATCTTTCATCAGTTCCACGTCCTCGTTAGGATGTAAGTAATTACATGTTCCAGGGGGGTTGGGGCAGTTGGGATATTCTCTGCATGCCTGGGTGGGATGCGCGTGTGGGCAGGTCTTACCCAGGGGACAGCGTGGAAACACTTGGCAGCGACCTTGCTTCTTGGAAACGAAGTTGATGTTTGGTTCCTCCAAACCTAAGGCCATTGCTAAAGCGTTATTACTGTGATTATTATTTTTTTTGTTGATTCCACCTTTATTGAATCCTCCACGATCAGAACGATCAGGGCGCTCTGGGCGCTCCCCACGCCCGCCACGGCTGCCGAATTTGCTAACTCCTCCGCCACGTTGAGAGTGGCCTGCCTTCGCGATTCCGGCAGAGTTGGAAGTGTGCGCTGGAGCAGCAGAAACGTCCACCAAGCCTTCAAAGGCAGACTTCGGTTGCGTTGAGGCAGAGGCGAAAATAGAGCTTTCAGTACCCATTCCAAACGCTGACGGTTGCTGGGGAATCTGCGGTTGAGGCGCAGAGTTTTCCTGTTCATGCATTATGGGTTGATGTTGGGGCGCAGCTGGTTGCTGCTGTTGCTGTTGTTGTTGTTGTTGTTGTTGTTGTTGTTGTTGTTGTTGTTGTTGTTGTTGTTGTTGTTGATGTTGACCCGTCAGTTTGGCCACCGCCGTTTCCAAGGAATCTCCACTTTGCAGAAATTCCATCGCCTTGTAAGCGTTTTGAGCAACATTTTGGAACGCCTCAGCTGGCACGGTATCAAACAGTGAAGTGAGTTCCTGAACGACTGATTCTAAATTTCCGCCGTTAGACATCAACAGCACGATGTATTCAGCCACATAGTTGACATCTTCGTTAAAGTTGGGCAAAGTCTTCAACGTTTCCGCAATAACAACCTTCAGGTTGTTAACCACATCATCTTGAACTCCAGACATGTTTTCAAGGTGACAGAAGTGCTCTCTTTCCTAAGTTACTTTCCGAATCCAAAGTCAATCACGGAGATGAATCTTTATGCGTTTTAAGAGATGATTATAATTGTTCATCATCGTATACGCTTGGTTCGGGTAACAACTTGAGAGAACCGCACGTGAGCACTCTTGTGAGCGATGTTTTGAGCAAAGCGCTATCCAGTTTATCTTAAGTTTATGCGAATGAATCTCAATCATTCAGGACCAGAATGTACTTCCCCATCGTTTCTTGAAGGCTGCTTCATTCCCAAATGGCATTGTCTCTTAATGCCTTAGGGCCATGTCATTATATTGTGAGAAAAGTGTTTGGCACCTGATCAGCTTCATTGAGCATCTTCGTGCTGCTCGCCGAAGGTTAGGCTGATCATGGCTCGTAATTTCATCTGTGCGAGAGTTTCGAAGCCGGTTAAAAAAACCTAAATAGGCAGTGGTATTCCTGTAAACATGTTGCCCTCTATATTGGTCTTATTGTCAAATCCAAAACTTCAAAGCGCATTGAAAGATGTGGGCATCTGTTTCTCTTAGCTGGTTTATATCATATGTTTGAGTTTATTTCGCGGGGGTGAGCGTACTTGAAAGTATGCTTCGTTCTTTTAGCTCAAGGAATCTCAGGGAAGTTCATGCTTTACGCACTTGCTCGTCATTGCGTGCATCGCGTTATGATCTTTTTGAATGTCGACGCATCCATATTTTTACGATATAAGAGTCAAGTTTGCAGCAATCCGGAATCGAATAGTATTGGCGATCAAATTAATATGCTGCCCCATTTGCCGATATCCAGTGCTTTATTGACGCCAATGTGTCAATTACATCTCTAATAGTCTTCAAATTGTCTTTGCAACACAGCACTAAACGTTTCACTTCGTAATCTAGTTCAATAAAGCGGCATTATTAGTGAGTGCAGAGGGTTGGCGTCAGAAGGTTAGTGTCAGATGAAGGCAGTGTATACTTCGCAGGAAAACCATATATGTCTTCTCTTGAAATTTTTAATAAGGTTATCGCAATAGGAAAGAATGGCTTTCATTTACGAGTGCTTGTTGTGGAATAGCCGCCGGGGCGAAATGCATCTAATTTCATAGTCAGAATGAAACGCGAACGCCGTGAATTTCGCTGAAAGCGAGTTTTAAGAAGCTATCTGAGGCTCACGATAATTGATCTTTTTCTGGCAGGTTGGTATCTGGCAAATACTCAGTATTTGACATGTCAAAGAATCTCTTCTTTCATTATGCCGCGATATGATAGACTGGTACGAAGTGATGTGATATGAGTACCGATCTAAGCGATCAGCCTGAAAGACGAGCGCCTTTCAGTATCTTGATCTCTCTGTCGCTCAGTGAGCTAAATCGGATCTACTCTATACACCAAAATGAACATTAAAAACTTACAGTTTCAGTAATACGAAATGAACGTGACATCTCCTCGAGCTTGAACAACGCCAATAAAATGGCATTTAGATGCGTTGTATGAAACAAAGATCATCATTTTCCCGAGAAAAATTGCAAAGAAGCCTCTGCTATTAGCAACGTAATTATGACATATCTGCGACTACGCAGCTTCGATCGTCTACATGCATCCTTATCTATTAATGTACAAATTATGTATCAAAGCTCCACAGCGCATCCTAATCTTTATGTTTGCTCTTCTTGCTCTTCTTCTTGGTCTTTTCCTCGTTTATTTCATTCACTCTATCGACTTTCTCCTTGATACGCTGGAGCGAAAGTTTTACGTCGCCTTTCCTGAAGTTGTCCAAATCGTAGTATGCTGGGGCCAATTCAACCAACCATTCTGGTCTTACAGACGTAACAGTTCTAATGTAATTTTTTGAGGTGAGGACAAACTCGTTGTAGATAACCCATTCGGCGTCGTGACCAAGCACGGTACTAGGGTGAATGAGAACGTCTTGGTCGTCTTTCACTGTGATGTAACCTTTTCCGCCAGACCTCTTCTTGGCAACTTGCATGAAGAAACCAGCTGCCAATGCCTTTCTTATGTTATCGAAATAACGAGGGTCTTCGAAATCCGTGGTATTCAGTTGTAAGCTGTAGCGGACCATTAGTCTTTCTAATTGTGACCGGATGTTGTCGGCAGAAGATAGAGCTCTGTAATTCAAAAAGTTATCGCGACACCATTTATTAATGCCGAATTCATAGGCTTCATCTGATTTGAACGCATGATATACGTTCAACAATGTGATGTGATCCCCATCCGGATGGGCAAAAATTGTCTTGGCATCGTCCGCTCTTTTCCTGTCCTTTGGAGGACGCATGAAGACACTTGGCACCGAAAGCATGGCAACAATAGTCAACATTTCCTCGGAACAATGAAATTCTGCTGAACCTATTAGCATCACAGCCAACATTGGATCCAGCGGGAAATTCGACGCCAATCTTCCCAGGGGTGTTAAATTTCCATCATCATCTAAACATGCCAAGTAGTTCAATTCTTCCAGGGCTCTCATCATGGTTTCAGGTGCTGGGGGATCCATGAAGTCAAAGTGAACCAAATCATCAACACCAAGCTTTTTCAATTCCAGAACTGTAGATGACAAGTTCGAACGCAAAATTTCAGGATAGCTTTGTTCAATCAACTCTCGTTTGAAAGCCTCCTCGGTGTATAATCTGAAACATTTACCAGGTCTTGTACGACCAGCACGACCAGCTCTTTGCTGCGCAGATGCCTTGGAGATTGGTGATACCAAAAGCGACTCAACTCTAATTCTTGGATTGTAGACTTTCTGCTTCGAGAAACCAGGGTCTACCACGTACACAATACCGTCAATGGTTAACGAGGTTTCGGCAATATTAGTTGACACGACAACTTTCCTTCCAGCTCTGCCATTGACCGGCTCGGGAGCAGGCTCGAAAATGCGTTGCTGTTGGTGTGGTGGCAGTGAACCGTACAAGGGGTAAACGCTGATGGGACCACAGTTTTGTTCCCTCATCAATTGGTCACCCTCTAAGGAGATCTTTCGAACTGCATCCTCAATTTCTTCTTCACCAGTCAGGAACAGCAAAATATCACCGGGCTCTTCTGTCGCGTGAATTTGGAGAACGGTACGGATCGCGGAATCCAAATAGTCTCTTTGAAACTCGGGAGTGTAGTAAAGTTCGACCGGGAAAGTTCTACCAGGTACGGCTAGTAATGGTGCATCCATAAAATATTTCTGGAATTTCTCGGCGTCCAGCGTTGCAGACATGATAATGATCTTAAGATCTGGTCTGCGTGCAACCACCTGTTTCAGCAAACCCATCAAAATATCTGTCGCCAGCGTCCTTTCGTGCGCTTCATCAAGTACAATGCAAGAGTAACGGCTTAAGTCGTGATCTTCCATGGCTTCTCTAAGTAGCATACCGTCTGTCATGTACTTAAGAATAGTCTTATTGGATGTTTTATTTTCGAAACGGATAGAATAACCAACCTCTTCGCCAAGCTTGACATCCATTTCTTCTGCAACTCTCTGTGCTACTGACATAGCCGCAACACGTCGAGGTTGGGTACAGGCGACTTGTGTGTTCTGCAAGTGCGGCATCTCATCAAATAGCACAAATTGTGGTATTTGTGTAGTTTTACCCGAACCCGTTTCACCTACAAAGACCATGATTTGATTTTCCTGGTAGATCCGCAAAAATTCATCCCTTTGAGCATATACTGGCAACTCTCTTCTGATCTTCAAGATGTCGAAGTAGCGGGGAGTAAACGCGCCCCCCGTAAAAGGATTTTTTACTCCACTTTCTAGCTGTGCAGCCTGTGCCGCGGTGGTCTTGTGACGATGTAGTTGATTAAACTCACCGGCGTCATGGTGGGTCAACGGCTCTTCGTGCCAAGCGGATTTCTTCTTGCTTAGTTCCTCGGCGATTTCGGCAGCGTGCTCGGGAACTGAGCTTTCAACCACTGACTTATGGTCACTCTGATTTGAAAACCGTCTTTTGGAAGTCATTTGGCGATCTTTGCGTGACTGTTAACTTTCAAGTATTTCAGGTTTCCTGACTGATGTCTAAAGCTCATCGCGATGAGTTCTAAAATTTTATTACGCTTTACGAGCGGGTAACTTCAAGACCGCTAAGTGGTAATAAAGTGACGAAGTTATAATAAAATGTGAAGCCCAAATATCTGAACAAGCCATCTTCTGCTGATAAAGGACTTCAAAATCTATCGACTCTTTTGGTTGCGGAAATACATCTGCGCATAAAGTAACATGGCTTCCCGACAGTCCCTGTATCATGCTTTTTGTCTGGCATCATCTGTGAAGGAAGTTGTTAAAGGTAGCGTTTCGATCGGAAGCGAGTCGCTAAGATCATGGGCTGAAACCTCGACGCTTACGAGACCCATCTTGGAGAGATACCAATGGTTTTACGACCCAGAATGGGAAAAGGCTCGGGCTTTGTCGGATTCGGTGAGATCAAGCAACCGGACCCGGGGCAAGTCTACCAAAAAGGGAGCCAGGTCTTATTCTACAGGCGTGAAAACGAGCATTAGACACTACTCAACGGGTGCCAAGAATGATGCTCTTGCAGAGACGGCGCAAAAAGAGGTATGTTAAGCGCTTGCTGATGGAGCGGCGGAGGAGCAGCCTATTGAATTGCCGATACTAATAATTTCATCACCAGAAGGTTGCTTTACAGAGCTCGGAAGTTCCGTCGTCACGGATCTCGAGACTGTTTCACTATGGGTCTCTGGCAGCCGGAGTGGGATTGTCGGCGGCCACGGATGGGTTTTCCCAGACGATTCGCGGTCAATCTCCTAATCTCAAATCTTTAGTTCTTTCAGATGCTAACATAGACCGCATTACGAATAAATTCTCCAAGATGCGCGGTGCAGCGTTGAAGATTGGCCAGATGATGTCGTTCCAAGACGAAAGTGTACTGCCCAAAGAGCTATACATTATTCTGTCTCGAGTGCAGAACGGCGCCCACTACATGCCTCAAAGACAACTGGATCGTTTGATGAACCGGGAACTTGGAACGGCTTGGAAGCAAAAGTTCAGCAAGTTCGATCCAGTTCCCATCGCAGCCGCTTCTATAGGACAGGTTCACGAGGCTGTTTTGCCATCTGGAGAAGAAGTGGTAGTGAAGATTCAATATCCAGGTGTGAAGGACTCTATTGATTCTGATTTGAACAATGTGCTGATGTTCTTGACCGCGTCGCGTTTGTTACCAAAGGGCCTTTTTTTAGACAAAACTGTGGCCAACGCTAGAACTGAGTTAAAGTGGGAATGTGACTACAAGAGGGAAGCGCGAGCTTTGCAAAAATTCGAGCAGTTATTGAAAGGAGATCCAGTTCTCGTCACACCAAAGGTTTTCCAAGATCTAACAACTGATAACATTATAACAATGTCGAAGATGCGGGGGAAAGAGATCATGAAATTGCCCGCAGAGACGTCACAAGAGACCAAGAACTTTATTTCAGAAGCGATCATGAGGCTGTGCTTGCGTGAGATTGCAGAGTTCAAATTCATGCAAACTGATCCAAACTGGGCCAATTTTCTGTACAACGAAGGAAATCGCACTCTTGAACTTTTGGATTTTGGCGCTTCGAGAGATTTTTCGGAGGAATTCATTAACAACTATCGTCGCATGCTGACAGCAGGCACATTGAGAGATCGTTCTAAAGTGGCTCAAATTTCTGAGAAGCTGGGATATTTGACTGGCTTGGAATCGAAGGCCATGGTCGATGCGCATGTAGACTCTGTTCTAGTTCTAACCGAGCCATTCATGGGTTCTGTCGATGAGTGTTTTGATTTCTCTGAGCAGACCGTTACGGACAGAATCAGAGGCAACATTAATTTGATGTTGAAAGAGCGTTTGTGTCCGCCTCCAGAAGAGACTTATTCGTTGCATAGAAAGTTCAGTGGAGTTTTCCTCTTATGCGCCAGGATGAGGGCCCAGGTACCAATGGCGAAACTGTTCGAGGAGCACTTTGCCTTACACGACTGATGATGATTAAATAGGATCACTGAACTAATTTAGTAGTAATTTTATACATAATGAACGCCATTACTTGATTCTAAATTCCTATTTCACAGTAAGCTGCTAATATTCTGCTTTCATTAAATAAGGCAATCATTGGTCTGTTGATATAATAGTTCTGAAAATCGAATGCGTCAACTTACTAACATAACATTAAAGACTACTCATCATATACTCCGAACAACAGTATCATAATCACTTGATTAACGAAAAATAGTCCATGTCAATCACGAGGCTAGGATAGATACAAGATGCAAAAAAATTAGGCAAAAAATGAGACGGACAGGAATTGAACCTGCAACCCTTCGATTGCAACTGATTTCCTAGTAAACCAAGATTTAATTGGAGTCGAAAGCTCTACCATTGAGCCACCGCTTCATTTCTGAAAGATAAGTACGAAAGCTTGGTATATATAGGAAGATTCTTGAGAACAGCCAATATTTATCTTTATCAACCTATTATAAGTTCATTTGTAACAGCTACCAAACCTCGTACCCATTGCAAGACTACGGCCTGGCCATAGGAGCAGTTTGGCTCATCCTACGTGCAGCTTGCTACCTCATGTACGAGATTTTCTCGACAGGATGTCCCATAAAATTAAAGTTTAACTGATATCGATGTTTCGACAGTATTGGAGTTTTGTTTTATCGCAATCAACATGGCTTCTCTAGTCCTCAAGATAATAGATATGACTGTGATGTGCGATACAGATCGTTGGAACCACGTGAATGAGCTTCACAATAACTTTTCCTGCGTTGACTCATTGTTTGACTCATTTTTTCCACGATGGCATCGCATACAAGCTGCATATATAAAATATGAGAAACCATGGAATGATATTGCGGGGCTCCAAAAGCCTAAAACACTATAGGCAGCAAGTGTGAGATAAAGAAATCGCTTGTATTTTGGGCTTATAAAGGATAGTATGGTAAAGTGCTGTTCCAATATTTCTCCGAAGAACAGAGCGCTGCTCAATGACCTTTCCAGAGATTTGACTGTGTCTTTGACAACTCCGGCTTTGGAATTCGTCGATATTTTGATCGAATCTCTAATGTACCCTAGAGGAAATGGAAATTCATTGATGAACCTCATATGCGGTACCGGTGCTGGCGTGGGAGAAGAAGACGAGCCTGTTAGCCAAGACCTTGGCTTAGGCTGCTTACTCGAATCTGTTCACGCAAGGCACTTGCTTGTCAAATTGAAGTGCCAGAGCGAGATCTCAGCCTCTGACGAAAGGCAATTACGACTACTAGGAGAAATACATGGAGCACTGGTGCTTCTGCTGAAACAATTAAGTGAGCAGATCGAAGTTTCCTCGTGCCCAGACTTTTACAGAGACATGTTGCAGGAAAATGTCTCTCATTTTCGTCAGGCATTTCATGGCTTTCACATTTTGAATGAAGCTCTTCTTGAAATACTTGAATGCGCAGAACAAACGGGGTTGTCAGACTTGAAGCTTTTCAAAATCGACTACAAGACTACGGAAAGATTGAATGCATTTAAATTAGACAACGTAAAATGGTTTGAAGAATTGATGTTGAGCTCAAGAGCTCTGCGGGAATACCTTATATTGCAGGACTACCAAGTGGGTTCACTAGACCAAATGACTTCTAAGACATTGCCCAAAGTAATATTAGCTGCAGTGCGATCATCAGATTTTGGTATTTACTTGCAAATTCGTAAATCGAAACTCAAGATTTGTCATCGTAAAGTGTTTTGACTACGGTAGCCAAATTGGATTCTGTAATTTTAATTGGAAGTTGTAAAAGTAACATAGGACTAGAGGAAGTTCTGATGTCAGGCACTAGCGGGTAGCTTTTTGTCTTTTTTTAATTTATCACATTCAGGATGGACAAATTTATTTCAGTAGTTTTGATCACTGGTGAACACCCATTGAACGCTATATAAGTCATGAAGCTGTCCATATAAGAGTGGCAAACAAATTATTTGCTATAAAGAATTGCAAAGTTTATGGTTATCTCGGGTGCCAATTACATCCGAAACAGTGGATGCCAATCGGACTTGATAACTGTAGAGAATAAATTCTGTAACAAAGTACTGCGTAAAACATCACCACGAGGCCTGCCGTATCTCATCAAAAAAAAGTACTTGACCTTCGGAGCTTCAGACGCGGTGAAATTGACAGTTGGTAAATAATCCGAAACATCAAAAATTGTTGTGGAGAAGGCAGAGAAAACGACACACAAGACATTAAACTTAAAAAAAATCATTATTATGGGCGCAAAAGTTGCTGGCCACAATACGAGTTTTTCTAGCGCACAAATTAGCAGCGGCACTGGATATTGACAGCTCCATGTAGCTAACAGCGCCATTAATACAGTATGTCACTTTCTACTATTTACGTCGTCGAAAGTCAAGGCAGGAGCGATTGAATCAAAGGGCACATTTGTATATTTGCTTCAAAGTGTTCCACAATCATTCTTTATACAAAAATCAGCTATTTCTTTCTTAGACTGTGAGTTGCTCTTCAAAGATAAACAACTTTTAAGATCTAATTTCAGAAAACGCCCAATTCGCTTGCCAGGCTCTCCTCTATTTGGCTATCATAAACGTAAAGTCATTTCGTTACGCGGCTCATCGACACGGCCAGAATTTTTCTTTGAAATCTTTGTTGATAATTATCGGCAATTTTTTTCTTCTGACGTTCAAAAGAAAAGCCAGCTCATCGCCATGTGCTTGTCGAATATAAAAGATCTCGAAGCCATTTCTATTTAACTGTCGACATCATTTTGGCGCTCTTTCGCTTTCCAGATTCGCTACTGATCCAGGTTATTCCAACACTTGTCTCCTACCATTGATACAAAGATGAGTGAAGCTACTGGATTCTCCGGACGTAGGTCTGTTGCTAGCAACGCTAATGGGACTGAAACCGAGCTCGACACGCCTAAACGCGCGATCGACACGAACGGTAAAGTTTTCGATGTTCCCGACTACACTATAAAAGACATCCTGTCTGCTATTCCCAAAGAATGCTACAAAAGAGATCTATGGTGGTCGCTACACTACGTGGTACGGGATATCGCCGCGATCGCTGTCATTGGGTACGTGGGTACCAACTACATTCCAGTTTGGTTCCCATCCAGCGCGCTTGCTCGTACTGCGGCCTACATGGTTCAATCGTACCTGATTGGTCTATTCGGCTTCGGACTTTGGATTTTAGCCCATGAGTGCGGACATTCTGCATTTTCCGATTCGAACTTGGTCAATGACACTGTTGGCTGGGTTCTACACTCTTGGTGGATGGTTCCATACTTCTCGTGGAAGTTTTCGCACAGCAAGCACCACAAAGCCACTGGCCATATGACTAGAGACATGGTTTTCGTGCCATACACACAAGAAGAATATTTGGAGGCCAAAAACAAGTCCAAGGTGGCGGAGCTGATGGAGGAGGCTCCAATCGTAACCCTTTTCAATTTGATTGCTCAACAAATTGGTGGTTTGCAATTGTACTTGGCCACTAATGCTACGGGCCAACCATACCCTGGGGTATCCACATTTTTCAAGTCTCACTACTGGCCCACTGCTCCCTACTTTGACGCCAAGGACTACTGGTATATTATTCTCAGCGACATTGGTATCATTTCCACTTTGACGGTTAATTATTTATGGTACAGGGCTTTCGGCGCGCATGTTGTGCTAATCAATTGGTTTTTGCCATGGCTATGGGTCAACCACTGGTTGGTATTTGTGACCTTTTTGCAACACACGGACCCTACTATGCCTCACTATGATGCTCAGGAATGGACCTTTGCTAAGGGTGCCGCCGCAACCATCGACAGAAACTTTGGTTTTGTAGGTCAACACATTTTTCACGATATCATAGAGACTCATGTGCTCCACCACTACTGCAGCAGAATTCCCTTTTACAATGCCCGTAAGGCCACAAGTGCCATCAAGGATGTTATGGGTAAACACTATCGCTACGAGGGTGAAAACATGTGGAAATCCTTGTGGAAAGTGACCAGGTCTTGTCAATTTGTCGAGAACAACGACGGCAAAGACGGTGTCTACATGTTCAGAAATGGCAATAAGATTGGTCCAGAGCCTATAGCTGGTAACTAAGTTTGGACTATTCTGGGAGGTTCATGGTCAAGTTTCACGGAAACAACCAGTATTACGTTTATTTATAATTCCTGCAGAAATGCAAACCTGTATATTAATCAAAAATGACTTTTATGAGTAGGAGCAAGTGCGCCGTTGTGCTAGCTGATGTCAGTGAAGGCTAGACAATTAATTACAGACGATATCAATTATAAGTACAAATAGGAAAAAGGCAAATCTAAAAATTGGCGATAAGGTTAGTGACAATTTAGTAGACTGTTACATGCTCTTTGAGAATCAGAGCATCAGACCACTTACTTGGATTTAAGCCTGTTTTCGAGAAAGATTCTTTTACTTTGTGAGTTAGCTTGAGCCCTAACCACCTGATCACTCGACGCAGCTTGATCTGGAAAAAGGTAAACATCAAGACTTAAAAAGTTTGACGATATACCTACAATTGAGAGCCAACTCCTACGACCACTAAAAGTTGCATCTGGCTGTGAATAAACCACAAAGCGTTTGCAGCTTTCACAATTGAATACAGTTGAGATTTCCGCACCTTGAGGAGAATACTGTACATTTGGCTCGCAATTTGAAGCCAAACATATGCCAGATAACCGTAAGAACAAGCTCAATTTCGCAGATAATGCCAGCAAATCCGTGCTTTCTCTTACTTCGCCGGCGAAGTTAAATGTGGTATCATCAGACTGGTCGAAAATGACCGCCAAGAGGCCTGTCGGCAAGATATCAAAGCGACTGCAGTCTGGCAATTCTACGACGTTGTCCAATGTAACCAACATCGTACCAAGCTCCAAGAGTTCAGGACAACGACCAACTCTGCAATATGTGCCACCATTGCTAAGAAGGTCCTCATCGTTGTTCAAGGACGATCTCGAAACTAATGATCGCAAATCCATAAAATCTCAAGACTCCGATGAGGGTTGCTTCAACACCGATAGATTTATCCCGTTACGCAAAGAAAACTCCTTTTCTCACTCAAAAATTGATCCCTTAAACCTGGAGGAAGAAACCCCTCCACCAAATGCATCGCCTTCGACACATCTAAAGGCGCAAACCAAACGAGTTTTCAAACAAAACGTCGCAGAGGCCTGCGGGTTAGAAATGAATCAGCGAATTCTTCAATACATGCCTAAGCCACCTGCCACTTCGCACAGAAAACAAACATATTCGATTGGAAATAGATCGCATTATTCATATTCCGCAATTCATAATTCTGGGCCAAACCCTGAATTGGCAAAACTTCGGAAAATTAACTCAAATCCAGAAAGAATCCTTGATGCTCCTGGTTTTCAAGATGATTTCTATCTAAACCTCGTGAGTTGGTCCAATAAAAATGTTCTTGCTATTGCACTGGACTCAGCACTATATTTGTGGAACGGCGCATCGGGCGACGTTTCATTACTGGTGGATTTCGAAAAACCGGGTGCTATAACAAGCGTTACATGGTCTGATGATGATTGCCATATCTCCATTGGGAAAATAGAAGGCAGCACCGAAATCTGGGATGTTGAAACTATGTCAAACGTAAGAACGATGAGATCCGGACTTGGAGTTCGCATAGGCTCTCAGTCCTGGTTAGAGACATTAATAGCGACCGGAGCCAAAAGCGGAGAAATCCATATCAACGATGTTCGAATCAAAAATCATATTGTTTCGACCTGGGAAGAACACCGAGGGGAAGTGTGTGGGGTTAGTTATCGTCCAGATGGACTTCAGTTAGCTTCTGGTAGTAACGACAATACCGTTGTAATTTGGGACACTCGCACATCTCTACCTCAGCATATCAAAAGACAGCATACTGCCGCAGTAAAAGCATTGGCCTGGAGCCCAGATACTAATAATCTGTTGGCCACGGGAGGCGGTCAAACAGACAAACACATTCACTTTTGGAACACAACATCCGGTGCAAGAACCGGCAGCATAAACACAGGATCTCAGGTGAGTTCATTACATTGGGGACAAAGTTACAGTTCCAGCACAATGCAACGGGAAATTGTTGCCACGGGTGGTAACCCCGAAAACGCAGTTTCAATTTACAACTATGATACCAAATTCAAAGTTGCAGAAATTGTTCACGCTCATGAAGCGAGAATTTGTTCAAGTCAATTATCCCCGGACGGTACCGTATTGGCCACAGTTGGAGGTGACGAAAACCTCAAGTTTTACAAAGTGTTTGAACCTCGAAGAAAGCGCCCTCAAGGTGTTTGCGACGGGGAAAGTTTGATGGGACTCTTGAATGTAGGGGACACCTGTGAGGATGACGCGACAAGATCTCCAACTCGCAGGAATACCTCTGAATTTCTCATCAGGTAGTAACAATGGAGAGACCTTTTTATTTGGGCAATGATGCATACACTTACATAAAGTAGAACTTACACAGCGAAATAAAGAAATAATGACGGCGAGTAGGCGCAAAATATAGCAATATCGTTGAAGCCACGGCAGTTCCGAGCAAGCGGTTTAGCATTGATTGATGGCTTCAAAGTACACTATCATAAAAACAAAAAAAGTTTGAAAAGTTTCTCTCTCTATGAATACCAGATGATCTCATCTGGGTCATTCTTAGGGAGATTGATTTTTTTTTTAAAAAAAAAGGCGAGAGAAGACCAAATCGAGAAGCACACATGGTTCGGAATCAACCGTGCAATGACCACAGTACCTCTAAGTGGCCCAGATCCCCTGAATGCCTTTATAACAGCACCCACAGCCCCATATTGCGCAGGAAAGCCATAGAAACCGCCAACACAGATCCGGGAGAATGAGCAAGCTCATCATATTATAGCGTCGCTGTCTCTCATGCGAGAAAACAAGCATCACGACCGGTCCCACAAAGGCAATCTCGACCAACCCTGTCAAAGGCACAAAAAGACCACAAGTACCTGGGCAATCTGGGATCCAAGCGAGCCAAAGGCGAGAAAAAAAGAAAATGCCACGAGGACATCCTCTTCTTTCTCTCACCTTCAGCCACACACCCTCTTCTCTCTAGTTCAGTCCAAAAATATGATTTGTAACATATTAAACATCCTCATTGAGGACATTCCAGTTGTTACACTGAAAAGAACAGATACTACACTTGATCTAAGCCAAAAGGCAAAGAGATTTGGTCTTCTAAAAAAAAATATAGCGAACTCGAGAGAAACGTTAGTTAAATCGATCATAATGAAATTTTGCAATCCTTTTATAGCATTATTTTTTCCCGCATAATAAAAGGCTACCCGGCGATTAATATATCTTACTTATGTAGTACATAGTGATACAACTCAACTATATATCACAGCTACTGAATGTGCCATTTATACCATTGGAAGTGCAGGTAATTGGCATGGCTGTCAGTTCAAGTACTGAAGTATTGTGTCCTGCTCCCTCCAACGCGTGGAAGTTGTCTTTAACGCTTAATTAAACATCACTAAAAACGAAAGACAATATAAGCGTACTGGCTCTTTCTTTCTCCTTTAAAATCACGGACCTGTTAAGACCCTTTGCATCAAACGCTCAAGTGGTTCTTGGGATCGATAGCTCCCGTTGCATTATGACAGAATCTATTTCAATCGAGCAGCAACTTGCAGTGCAGTCGATAAGACGGTTCCTCAAGTCCAAGACGTCCTACGACGTTCTGCCGGTTTCCTACCGACTCATTGTGATGGACACTTCTTTGCTGGTGAAGAAGTCGCTGAATATTTTACTCCAAAACAACATTGTATCGGCACCGCTGTGGGACTCGAACACGTCGAAATTCGCAGGGCTGCTGACGTCCTCGGATTTCATAAATGTGATTCAATACTACTTCTCGAACCCAGACAAGTTTGAGCTTGTTGACAAGATGCAATTAGATGGTCTAAAGGACATAGAGCGTGCGATTGGCGTAAGGCCACTCGACACAGGTTCAATTCATCCTTTCAAGCCACTGTATGACGCCTGTTGTAAGATGATCGAGTCTCGTAGTCGCAGAATCCCTCTGATCGACCAAGACGAGGAAACGCATCGTGAAATCGTGGTAAGCGTTTTGACACAGTATCGAATTCTAAAATTCGTGGCTCTCAACTGTCGTGAGACGCGGCACTTGAGAAGGGCTATCGGGGAATTGGGTATTATTACAGGGGGCCAGCTCTTAAGCTGCAACATGCACACACCGGTAATTGATGTGATCCAGCTGCTCACACAAGGGGGCGTGTCCAGCGTACCGATTTTGGACGACCAACGCCGTCTCATCAACGTTTACGAGGCGGTCGATGTTCTCGGGCTCATTAAGGGCGGCATGTACAACGATCTTTCTCTCAGCGTGGGCGAAGCACTTATGCGGCGATCGGAGGATTTCGAAGGGGTCTACACCTGCACGAAGAACGACAAGCTCTTCACCATCATGGACACCATTCGCAAATCTCGAGTTCACCGTTTCTTTGTCGTTGACGACCAAGGCCTATTGACCGGCGTGCTGACTTTGAGCGATATACTAAAATACATACTGTTTGAAGAAAACTGAATAAGAATAATTACTGGGGCTCCAATAAAAAGTTCATCTGCCACTGTTTTATGCCAAGATTTACAAAGCCGGCACTGATGTCTGGTCTCACTAACTCAATTCAGACGAGCTGCACATATAAACAATCAATCGCTATCAACAGATTCAGTCGTCGCGGACTTGATCAGTGCTTTGCATCAAAATTTTGGATTTCTGCATCTGCCGTCAAGAAGCATTACTAATTTATACTCTTACAAGTCATCTTACTCATCGAACAAATATCATCGATAAACTTGATCATCTTTGCTAAAGTCCGTGGAATCGTTAGCTCCCAATTAAGCCTGGCGAGTCGAAAGCTGTAATCGTGGCTCGCTTGAGTGTAGCCTTTTCATTATTGCTAATATATTAGAAATCATCAAGTTTAAAGGTAGGATCCAATTAAGGTTGTTAGAGTAGAAGCTTAGGAAAGGAAAGATAAGCTATGAGCCAGATACCGTTTGAAAATAAAGCACGTTCTCGCCAGGCATCTGTGCGTGGAACTGTGGCTGGTTTAGCTATCGGATCTTTGGTTCTAGTCTCGAATTTCCAGTTTGGACTGCAAACGGGCTGGGTTTCTATGATGTCGCTGCCATCTGCACTCCTGGCGTGCGCTATCTTCAAGCAGGTGATTCCAGTTCTGTACCCATCTATGCTGCCGTTCACAGACGTCGAAAACGTCTATATTCAGTCTTTGGCCGTCGCCGTGGGAACAGGTCCTCTAGCATACGGATTTGTGGGCGTCATACCGGCTATCGAGAACTTCTTAACACCTGATGAATCTGGCTTCACCAGAAAACAGGGTGAACGCTTCACTCTGCAGCAGTTGCTATTGTGGTCATTGGCGTTAGCATTTTTTGGCATTTTCTTTGCAGTTCCGCTTCGAAAACAGGTCATTGTTAGAGAGAAACTGCGATTTCCAAGCGGCAGCGCTACCGCCACCCTCATCGCCGTTTTAAATGGATCTGAGATTTTGCAAGAGGTTTCACCGAAGGAGTTGCAAGAAATGAGAGCTAGAAGGTTACGGGAATACAGCGATGTATTGTCTTCCGATGAGCGCACATCCTTTTTGCAAGGGCAATCGCAAGGGTCTGCAATAGATGATGAGCTTGTTGGTAGTTCAGAAAGTCGCAGCAACTCTCAGCAACCCGCACAGACTCCAAGCTATGATTCTACGCCCGAACCCCCAATCGCGGACTCTAAATCTGCCTATGAGAAAAACATAGCAATTTTGACCAGGACTTTTGCGGCATCTTCCTTTTACACCGTAATGTCCTACTTTGTACCCTTCATCAAGGCAATTCCAGTGTTCGGATCAAGATTGTCACAGAATTACCTGTGGAACTTGCAACCATCCCCCGCGTACATAGGGCAAGGAATTATTATGGGCTTGCCTACGGTTAGCTACATGCTGTTTGGATGCATCTTAGGCTGGGCGGTTCTAGCACCGCTAGCCCGTTATAAGCATTGGGTTGATCCCGAAGCAGACATTAACGATTGGGAAAATGGTGTACAGGGCTGGATTCTTTGGTCTTCGCTAGCAGTCATGGTCGTAGACTCAGTGGTTGGATTTATCGTGTTTACTACAAAGTCTGTGGTCAAGTTTTGCCTCCGGGATGACAAAAGGCACGCTCTAGAATCCATGATTGATGATTCCTTACAGTCAATGCTACTGGAAGAAGAGAGAATAATTAACAAGGCTAGCGGTGGGCACCACCGACGTCAAAGTACCGTGAAGCTAGTAAGTGCGGATCATGATCACGAGGTCGATTCTCGCCAACTCGTCAAGCTCACAACTGTTATCAGCGGGCTAATAGTATCTTCGGTCATTTGCGTTGTTTGCATGGTTTACATTTTCGGTGCTCAAATCGTGCCACTGTCATCGATGATGATAGCACTTGTGCTGGCATTGTTCTTGTCGGTTCTCGCGGTGAGAGCATTAGGTGAAACCGATCTGAACCCTGTGAGTGGAATTGGGAAGCTTTCGCAATTGGTTTTTGCAGTGATAACCCCACGAACAATGAAGGGTGGTGTGCTTCTAAACTTGGTAGCTGGGGGTATAGCCGAGGCTGGTGCTCAACAAGCTGGTGACTTGATGCAAGATCTCAAAACAGGTCATCTCCTCGGGGCATCTCCAAAAGCTCAATTTTTTGCGCAGTTCATCGGGGCATCTTGGTCCGTGGTTCTTTCGAGTTTGATGCACCTTTTTTATAATCGCATCTATGAAATCCCAAGTGCGCAATTTAGGGTTCCTACGGCTGTAATTTGGATTGACTGCGCACGTCTGGTTACGGGTAAAGGCCTACCAAACAAAGCGATGGAATGTACCATTGTGCTAGGTAGCGTGTTCGGAATTCTTTCGCTAATCAAAAATCTCTACCGCGATAAAGGTTACAAGTGGCTACTATGGATCCCTTCTGGAGTTGCGGTTGGTGTAGGTATCTATAACGCGCCCAGTTTTACCCTGGCTCGGTTTATGGGAGGCTGCCTTGCATATGTATGGCTTCGGACCCATCGCGGTGACCCGTCTGCCAAAACATCGATGATCGTTTTTAGCTCTGGGCTCGTACTGGGAGAGGGATTGTGCAGCATTTTCAATATGATTTGTACCAGTTATGATGTCCCCCACCTATAGAAATTAATACATAAATAAAATAAGATCTATGTGTCCGCTAATCTTTGTTGTAGTTGAGTTTTCCGCATCTGGCGGTACTTATCGTCTTTGAAAGATTCCACGCGGTTCAAGAAATCCTGTTTGGCAAGGTACCCGTCCTTGTTATGCAAATTTAGCTCTGCATTAATGCCTTCTTTGTCAACATAGGAGGCCCAATCGAGTTTGGATTTCTCCAAGGTGGTCAACTTCGGCTTCAAAGCTCCCGCAATGATTTGTTCTAAGATGGGAGGCCTTTTGAGCGGCCGTCTGAGTTTGGCACCTTGTTCGTTAACTGCCACTTTAGTTGCGGCAGAAGGCTCATTTTGGCTCTTGAATTTCGTGCTATTCTTAAATTCTTGAGCCTCTGCACTGAACTTCGGTACCCATTTTTTCTCGTGCAGTATTTCACCTGCAAACTCGTATTTGCGGTCTATGAGAACCAGCTCTTCTTTAAGGTTATCCTCAGGCTCCCCAACAGTTTCGCTCATCACCGAAATGCTTGTACGTAGCCTTTTGATGCTTTCTTGCTGCAGTTCGCCCCACAATGAACTTGTTCGTTGCGACACGCCAGTTTCTCGCAGACTTTCGTACTTGTTTTGCCTCAAGCTCTCTTCCTCGAGTTCTCGAGCACGTCTGGTTCGTACCAGACCACCTTGGCCGCTTTCAATCTTGGAATAATCGGGTCCGTCGTCATGCTTGTTGTCATCGCCTATGTCTTCTTCAGAGTCATTGGCCCCAGTGTTTACGTCCTTTGAAGGGTCAAAATCTTCGTCCTCTTCCTCATTGTAGCTGTCTTCCTCAGATATAGCTTCTTCAGCTAATTTTGAGGATTCGAAACGTTGTTCAACGGTCATTGTTTTCGATATTGGTTTGGCGATGTGGCTTTTGATAAGATGTCAAAAATAATGATAGTGCAATTAACTCTCATAATACCCAAATGTCAGATTAAAAGGCATTCGAGATTATAAGTTACAAAGGTGAACGTTTCAGAGCTTCAAACTTATACAATGAGCATTTCTGAAGAGTCTGAAGACTTCGGAGTCTCTTCAAATGTACTGAAACGTAAGAAAGAGGACTGCCAGGAAGAGATCTTGGAAGCTGAGATCAAAAGAGTCGCTCTCGATGACGCAGAGTACGACGGAATAACAGAGCCCGAAGTGAACCAAAGCGAGAGGGAAAACATGTCTGAAAGAACAGAGTCAAGCTCGGGAATAGAAAACGAACAAGATGAAAAAAAGGACTATATTCACTTGCGAATGCTGTGCCTTGTGAAACAGGCTTCAATGGTAGTTGGACCGGGAGGAGAAAAGATATCGCACATGAAAGCCGCGACAAACACCCGCATAAACGTTTCGGACAACGTTCGGGGCGTGCCAGAACGTGTTATTTTCATAAGGGGCAGATGTGAAGATGTTGCCAAAGTATTTGGAATGATAGTGCGCGCTATAAACGGCGAAAAGGCTGGCGAGGCCGGCGGTGAGAACTCTGCATCTCTAACGCTCAACATTTTGATACCGCACCACATGATGGGGTGCGTAATAGGTCGCCAAGGCTCAAGGCTGCGAGAAATCGAGGAGCTAAGCGCAGCTAAGCTCATGGCAGGACCTCAAACCCTTCCAATGTCCAATGACCGAATCTTATGCATAACAGGAGTAGCTGATGCTATTCACATTGCTACGTACTACGTGGGACAAACTATACTTAATCACAAGAAGACTTTTGCGGCCAAAAAATGCATATTCTACTTACCAAGTCTTATCCATTCAGTTCTTGTCAATAGTTATGGTGTCAGCATCCAACACCAACAGCAGCACCAGTATCGGCCGGGCGAGAATGGAAAGAAAAGACTTCATCGCATGTCGCCGGCAAACCATCCTGAGTTTTCGTACGACTATGCGGCCGCTACAGCACATACTGGTAGGTTCACACCCTCTGTGGCCGTTCACAACGTAAGATTTCCCGATACGGCCACCACCGCGCCCATGGCACCGGCTATGGCTCCACAGCTGAGTTTAGTTCAACAGGAGGTCTATATCGACGACAACTATGTCGGAAATGTGATTGGCAAGGGGGGTAAACACATCAATTCCATCAAAGAAAGTACTGGCTGCTCCATTTTGATTGAAGATCCGGAAATCGGCTGCAGCGAGCGAAGAATCCTAATTAGAGGAACGCCGATGGGAAGTCAAAGTGCTATATTATTGATAAACAACAAGATTGAAATGGACAAGAGGAACAAGGAAACCAATGGAAGGAGAGAAGTAGTGCCACTAAGCTCGTAAACGCTGCAAATAAAATAGAGTCTTCAACTGGTAATTGAGCTCTCTAGGACTATTTTAGTTTTCCGCATCGGATGTAATCATCAACGTCAAAAAAGACAAACCGAATTCAAAATTTGAATACTTCTAAAACTAAAAAGTGAATTAGAGAAGGACGTTTAGCTCGTATCCTCATCTGAATCGTAGCTTGGTATTGGATCACGTATGGTACCGGCAATTAATGAGCTTCGATGAAACACATGTGGAAGCTTTCTCGCGGCCATTACATTATGACCTAGTGAATGGCAAGCAACAACTAAATAGCCTGCGCTTCATCGGGTCTTACTGGGAGATCCCGAGCTCATTGATGGACTTGACTCAATTACCTTCGATCGTCGCTGAGTCTGATCTCCCTCGAGAACTTTTGCATGTCCTGGCTCACGGTAACAGCTTTGGCAAGCACGTATTCAAAACTTCTGATGATGGTTTGAATCAGTTGTTTGTCTTTGAATACTATCTTAATGAATACTGGTCCCTGTGGAAACCGGTCTGCTTCGCGTTAGAGGAGCTTGATTGCTTGCCAAAGCTCGTAACCTCTGATGCATCTAAAGCAGTGACGCGATCATCAACACACCTTTCAAAATGGGCTGACTTAGATATTTCAGATCTGCTGCATGTTTGGAAAGAAGATCGACAATTATACATTAAGGAAGATTCTGAATTAATGGGTGACCTAGACATGAAGTCATGTCGCAAGCAATCTGAGCGTTCCCGCCAGAAAAAATCTTCGGAACGAGATTGGTCGATAGTAGAACCTAAAATCTATCTCCAGAAAAAGTATTACGAGACTCTTTTTTCGCTTCGCATACCATTGGTGTATTTTGTAAAGTCGAACTTGGTGAGAACAAAAAACCTAAGTCAAGATTTAGAAAATACAAATCACATAGCTTATCAAACGCATTTAACAGATTTGCTGTTAGAAGTTGAGGACTTTGATGCAAGGCACAACAGTGGAATCATGGAGTATGACTTGAATTCTGAAACTATCTCAGGAATTCGAGATAACTGTTTAGCAAAGATTGGTGACTTATTGACGTCTGGCGTTTCCAATACGTTCAAGGACATATCTTTAGCTTTCAAGGTCCGTGAACTAAAACTCCAAATCGTTTTATTACTCGAATTGATCGCATTAAGTTGCATGGATTCCCAGCTGGATAATTTTGAAGAGAAATACAAGTTCAGGATGAGAAAAAGGGCTAAGAGACTGGCAAGCACCAAAATATCTTCGAGGTCTAATAGCAAGTGGGCAAGAAAAGAGACCAAAGCTCAATCACTTGATTACTGTGAAAAGCTGGATGTGTATTTAGACAAGCTGTGCATTATCGATACAATGCTGCTTATTGATGCCTCTATTCAGAAGAGCTCGCCAGTCAAAGACGATGGCGTCAACTCTGCAGCAGCGAGAGTTCGAGAGCTCAAAAAGAACATGTTGAATTCTGGAAAGGAAACTTCATCTCAGGGCTTCATTACTTACGTGCTAATACCACACTTTATGAAAAAGACGCCTCATGCGGTGGATTTTATATCCAGAAAGATAAAAAGTCCTCGTTTCGACCATCCTATAAGAGTTGAAAAAAGAAACACATCAAATCTCTCTGCAGCTGCAAATAATCATGATTACACTAACAGCTACGAGCCCTCTAGCTCGCCACCTTCGGAGGTAAATGCGAAGGAATCCTCGGTCACCTCCCCCCTCAGTCCAGAGCACTACCAGTTGAACACACATGTTTACAAGAGGATTACTCTATCTCAGCGGCCACCAACCTTGAATTCTCGAGGCAGCTCGCATTTAAGCGAGGCCCTAGAACTAGAGTCAGGAAGCTCTAAAAAGTACATTTCAGCCACGCGAGGAAACTCTGATTTATTTCTCAACAAGCTACAAAGGCGGCAGTTACCTGCCACAGATCTAATTACAGATTCAGGTTCTACTGTGAGCCGCAGCAAATCGGAGCTAGTAGGTATGAGCGAAGCTAGGCCCAAGCAGCCACTGATAAACAGAACGTCAAGCACTGGAGTGTTTCAGCGAGTGAACAAACGTAAATTAGATCCTAGAAAAACGACGTTAGTGTCCTCCAACCTTAACGTTCAAGTCCAGGCAACTCCATATGGGAAAAATAGAAGTGCAGTCAGCCTACAAGTTCACAACCCCACAATAATCGAGTCTCCCTCGATTAATGTCGAAGACTATAACTCAAATATTGGTCCCCTTGCATCGAGACCCGTATCCCATATAGGCACACCTTCAAAATTTTTACCGCAAGATCATATGCAAGTGCCCGCTAGCGGAGCGAAGGCTACAGATAACAATTACGATGTTATTGATAGTTCTCGCAGCGAGAAGGTCAAAAAAGTCCGGCGGCGTTTATTTGCGCCAGAGTAACCGCTTCTTTTAGTTTCAATTTTACGTTCAATTGGCGTGACACTACTTCTAAATTATCTTAGGTGTACATACAACCTTATTCGCCAAAAAAAATTGCGGCTGTTAACTCTTTCGCATCTGAACGTTTTGTCAATTTTGAAGAAATGGTGAAGCCGCAACGTTTGTTCAGACTATCTATTTCCTGCTCGGTGAGAGCTTCCTCATACTTTTGACCTGGCGGCAAATCGGCCTTCAGTACGACCAGACAGTCGATTATCACATCACCAAGCAGTTGGCTTTCAACTTCCGTAAATCTGCTTGTAATGGTTTCACCTTCCTTACCAGTGTTCTTGTTCGTGTGCTCTTCAAATACCAAAGTTGCCCAACTTTGGAGGTTTCCTAAAAAAAACCTTACTGATTCTGGACCTAGTACCGCAATACCCCGCATACAACCGTAATAAGTACCAAAAGACCGATTCGTATCCAAAAACGTCTTGAGAAGTGTTCTCATTACTCTAGGTTTTAGAGATTTGTATACCTGAGGAAACTTCTTTAGTACGTGATCAAGCAGCGACGCTGCGAAGTCACGTAAAGCATTGGTCTTGCCTAAGAAGTCAACATCATCGTCTTTCGCGTCCTCTTCCAAGGCATCTTGTTGTTCTTTGCTAGTCTTTACGGGAGGATTACCACCAAGCTTTTTAGCGAGGAGTAACGTTAGAATGGATGGCATCAAAGAATGTATGTAGGGATCCAAAAAAACATGCTCATTGCTTAACAGAGAGTAAATCATTTCTAGCATTGTTGTGAGAAGACCAAGATCTGATAGATTGTGTGTTATTTGTTCAGCAATAAACTGGATGAAATACGGAACCAATTGATGTAAACCGGTATCTGACCTTAACGAGGTAAGGGCTGCAGCTCTAAGATGGTGGGTTTTATCGTCCTGCTGTTTAGAAGTCAGGGCGCACACAACTTTATCAAAATAGATTTGTAGCTCCTTAGATAGGACGTGTTTGACCAAGGGCTTAACTTCATTAGCCTGGCCCGGTTTGATCGATGAAATATGTTGCGTCTCTTTTTCCTCCGATGCAGATGTCTGAAGACTCGTATCATTAACAGTAGTTACAATAGCACCACGCACAATGGGAGGTTGAGACATTCGAATGTCGTTCAGGCTTGGATTCTGAGGTATTGTGGGTTGCACGCCTTCTATTGCGAGCCAATGTGTTGTGAAGGTCGGCAAGCGAGGTACTTTGGGAAGTGGTTCATTGATTAATTTGTCAAAGTCGACTTCTTCGTCATTCAAGAAGTAAAGAGCCTGTCCTCCTTGTGCATTAACTTTAGAAAACGAAACGTCTTTAGATCTGGCGGACCCATCCTGATAACCGTATAAAGGCTCCACATTTAGCACTCTAAGAGCGCGCGCTATATCTTCGGTGGTGAGGACCTCCCTCTTGGCGTGTCTCTTGAACTTCACCGCTTGTTCGACAATTTCTAAAATACGATACTCGACGTCCATTGCCAAAGATCTTAGAACGTCGTCGCTTATGTTTGACATCCCCAAAGAATCTGCCACATCTTTTACTGTATCATGCGGAGACCAGATAGTATAGGATTGCTGTGGATTGGTCATGGGCGATGTGTCTTCTCTAGTAAATACTAGTATCGTGTATTGAAGTTAATTCATATTATCTTAAAATTTCAAAATGTTTTGAAATCGATATAAACAGTGCTACAGACGAACGTCAAAAGTCAACATATAAGGTTCATTGCTCTTCTGCCAATTGGTTTACTTCACTAAGAGTCCCACAGCCTACCATTGTACAATTCAGTAGGCATTTTCGGCTTACAACACACCTACTACTGATGGAACTGACGCCTTTACAACGAAATGTCCTGGACAAATACGAGACACTTTCCAAATCATTACACAACCTGGACACTACTATTAAAGAGCTAAAAGAGAACAGCTCTTCGGAGTCTCCAGAGCAGGTGCTGCGGCAGCTGCGAGAAATTGAAGTCAAAATTGCATTGATTGGAACGCTTTTCAAAGGAAGCGTGTATTCTCTGGTTTTGCAAAGGCAAGCCAAGCAGAATACAAAAAAGGTATGAGAACAGGGTTCTGAAAAGTGTATATTAAAACTGAATACGGAAATAAGTGGGCAATAACATTACAGGCGGCTTCAAAATTACACTCTATAGATGACGACTTTCCCATCAAGACCACATGACGAAATCTCGGTGACATTACCACTAGCTTCGGAATAGGGTGCTAGCTCCATTATCGCATTTTCATGCGTGCATTCTTGCACTTGAGTAGACACTTTTCCCTTTAGGTCAAGGTCCTTGAATTTTTTCAAAGCAGAGATCCCAAAAGAGCCCGTCTCGTCTTGACCCTCTTCGTCAAAGGTGGCAGCAACAGGGGTACGAGACGCAACAGTTTTGTCGATATTCTTAGAAAACTGCCATCCGGACGCGCCTTCTGTAAACAAGACGGGGTGGCATGCGAATCCACCACATACAGCTTCATGATCATTTACCCACACAACAGAGGTCAATGGCAAACCTTCGGGATACTCAGCCGCCCACATCTGTCCCGAAGAGTCCACAACGTTGAAAGATCCACTGTGAGTAACGTAGGCCAATTTCTCTTGGGAACTTCTCCATTCAACATCGTGGATCCAGGCCCCATTGTACCACTCACGTACAAGTGCGCCAAAGGGGAATTTATCGGCCCAGGGAGAGCTAGCAACCTGGTCTTTGGAGTCCAAGCCTTTTACAAATCCGGAAAATGCACGCACATAGCCATCGGTACCACCGCATGCAAGTATTATCCCATTTTGGTGCCACGACAAACAGTTTACTGTGGATTTGATAGGCTTTTTGATGTGTTTGGAAACCCACCAATCATTTTCCTGTTCATAGTAACAAACAGCGATTATTCTGGCTGACGAACCAACTGCGAATTTGTAACCACTAGGTGCCCATCTAACACATGTGGCAGCTCTGTTGATACGCAAAAGCACTAGTGTAGGCTTGTAGGAGCCATCACTTAGGGGCTCCCACACTATGGCATTTCTGTCCTGTGAACAAGTGAGAATTCTGCCGTGGATTGAAATATCTACTGCAGTAACCGTTTTGTCGTGATCAGAAAGACTTGCCACGAGTTGTGGCTTACCATTGGGCACCATTTTAAATACCAAGCAATCCGTGTTTAAGGTCACCGCCAAGATCGACCGATCTTGCGAGAAACAATGGGAGTAAATGGGTGCTTTGGCAAGCTTGTAGTTGGCAATAACGGAATCAGACATTAGGAGACTCTCAACTAATGTGAACTGGTGGCTTCCAAAAATGTAAATGTGCGAGTTAGATTCCCCTTCAAAAAGTGGATAGATAAATAGGGTTGAATAACATCGAAATGAAATTGATGGAAAACGACCATGCCTATATACGAAACTGTTCGATCGCCAAATTGAACACAATAGGGAAAAAGTATGAAAGAAGCTTCGAGGAAATTCACGACATTCTCAAGTTACAGACTCATCTGACATTATGCTACACCAAGAGGCATATATAGCTATCTGCAACTTTGAGTTTTTATCAAAACAAAACTTTTCCTCGCATTCACCGTGTTAGACTAAAACTTACTCGGTATTAGACAGATAAAGGCGGGAAGGGAAGACATCAATGCGCTTTCAAAGGTATCATATACGAGGTACTGGACAGGGCTGATAATGTTTTATTTATTAGATTATTCCACTATTTCATTACTATGCAAATTTCTGCGAGCATTCATGATGTGAATCTTACATAGTCAGTTTTTATGCTAGCTGCCAGTCATGCCTTCCAATAGTGCTTGAAAGTTCAATAGTGCCAACGAGGCTAATCGAGTCCTCCTTCGAAATCTGTCACTGTGCCACTATTTATTAAAGTGATATCCCGTCACTTACGATCTTAAAATTTTTACGCCGTAGTGACCTTGGCCGATGGGCAACAACTCATCTCATCTCATCTCATCTCGCTCAAAGAAATACAAATATTTAAAAAGATGAATTGAACACCTTACGTATTTCTCCTATTTGTTCTAAATGAGACTGTTGGTGGCGTGTGACGATAGCGGTAGCATAAAGGAAGTCGTATGCAACCGAAAGACCGATACTTCGATTCAAAAGGCGCTTCAGCCGCTCCATGTCGGTGTACACCTGTCAGAAGGCCTGCATAGCCGAGTTCAGGACATGGCGTTGATTTCAGAGACCCTTCTGGTAGTTTCCAGGGCCAATGGTTTGGTTCAGCTTATAGAAATCAACCAGGTGGCTCGCGATCTAGGCGACAAAAACGTCGACCTCGAACCCAAATTCGAAATCTCCGATTTAAAGGTGATATCATCGGTACAAGGACTTCTAGACGATGCTCCGCTACTGAGTATACACAAAAATTCCAAGAAGAGATCCAAGCCTAGAGATGGATTTGTAGCGCTCCGTCTCGTTCCTGGGTACACCAACCGCATTTTGTGTGCTACGAAATCTGGCCAGATACACATATTAAGTCTACATGACAGAAGTCTTCAAATACTAAAATCTCATCGCGTAACTGCACCTTTAGAATTTGCTCAAATCTATGATAACGTTGTCTCGAAACAGAAAAAAAAGTCTACATCCGTCACACTCGCGTACGGAGGAGAAGAAAACTTGGTAAAGATTGTGAGAATTTCTGGAAACTTTGAGACCATGGAAAAGATTTGGGAAGCAAAAAATGTATCTAACGATAGACTTGACCTCAAAGTACCTGTCTGGCCGATGAAGCTCAGGTTTTTAGACCCAGTACCTGATGCTGACTCTTCAAAAGTTAATTTCCAATTCGTCACTATAAATCATCTGGGTCACCTGCGCAATTACCAAACCACGAGAGGCCGTAAACCCATATCATCTCAGCCTCTTCTGGCCAAAAATGAAATTGCTACTCAGCTTCAAGTCATCAATTGCGACCTAACACCTCTGAATAATGTTAAGTCTGCTAGGTTCGATGATCTTAAGTTCGTCATTGCTGACTCCAAAAAGAATGTTCTATCAGTCGATTCCTCTGCCAACGTCTTGGGCAAGTTCGGAAATGGTGACATCACTGGCTCGCCTTCATTTGTAAACGTGGTTGATCAAAAATATTTGCTAGAAGGCGGACTAGATAGTTACGCTCGTGTGTTTGATGTCAGCTCCCGCGAACCGCTTTGTAAGTGTTACATGGGCGCCAAGCTCAGCTCTATGTTGCTACTAGACGACGAGGAAATCGATCTTCCTCAGTCAGAAACTACCGGCAAAAAGAGAGTATTCAAGCAAAGAGATGAGAAAGTAGAGGCTATAGAAAATGAAGAAATCTGGCAAGCCTTGGAAAGCTCAGCAAAAAAGGCTAAAAAGGATTGAAAGTCTATCATTTTCCATATGTAAAATTATTCATACCTACCTCGTGCACGGTCTCAAGGCATACTTTTGGTCATTTTCCTGTCATGTCCTGACTTCCGATTATGGTTAGCTCTGGACCCTTTGTTTTTCTCATTTCTGGCATTTTGTCGCTTTTTATCTCCGCCATTACCGGGTCGAGTGCTTCTTGTTTGTGCCTTTGCGTCCTCTCCGCTAACTGGCTCACTTTTTCTGTTTTCATCGAGCACATCTTTGCTTACAAAAGACTTTTTGCCTGAGCGAACGTTGCCTCTAAACATGTATTTTTCTTCTAGCAATTGAGCACGTTTGGGGCTTCGTTCCAGCATCCTCGCCCATCCTTCAATTTGCTCATCAGACCATAATGTATTCGATTTCATATCTTTCCTTGCTTTTGAGCCCCTACACGACCGCTCAAATAATAGTTTGTTGACTTTGAGTAATTCCCATAAGTATCCTTCTATTTTTTCGTAAGCTTTCTCGGTCCCTGAGTCTTGCTCAGGTTGAGCTTCAGCGTCATCATAGGTATCATCCTTTTCGTCCTCATCGGCTTGGTATAGAAGTGCCAAAGCTCGGGTCAACGTTTTGTTCCGTACCTCATCAGGGACGTGATCTTTATCGCTGTCCCCGTCGACTTTGGCAAGCCTATCGCTCTTCTTCAGTTCACTTTCAAATTCTGTAGGCTTAAGTCCTTCGTCAGACAAAGCTGCAGTCTCTTCAGCGGTTGGTCCTTTTTCAAGCTTTTGAGGCGCCTCGAAGAGACTTTCAATAGTTCTTTCTACATTTCCATCAAAAGCTTGAAGTTCTTTTTCTATTTGTCCGATTGTAAAGTGTGGGAAAACCTCCGAAATCATTTTTACGTCTTCAGTTTTAAGAATTGTTGACTGTCCTGATTGATGTTTACTACCCGCAAGCGATTTCATGAACGGGAGTTTGGATCTAAGCCCTTTAAAATGTACTTGAAACTGCTGATTCATAAGCAGTGCTCCGAATAAAGGGTATAGTTGTAAAGTTTCCAAATTGCCAATATGCAATTCAGATGCCAAACTAACAATCCTCTTTTCAGAAGCACTCAAATATGTCAAGATACCTAGATTCTTGGCAATTGTTCTGATGTCTTTTCCATCCTGGACAAACCAAGATTCTAAAATCTCTGCCCATTTGGTGGTCAAAAATTGGTCTGCAAAGGATTTGGTGCGTTTGCCCTTTGACGACAACAGGCATTCAAGAGCCTTCAGGTCAACTCTGGAGAAGTTTCCGCTTTCGACAAGTTGCTTGAGCTGTTGGTGTAACTGATAGGTCCTATTAAGATGGGCCTTCTGGGTATTAATTGTTGGCTTGAGCGACCCCTCTATCAGTGCTCGAACCGTATCAGGATTTTCTTTAACGTACAATCTCACAAAATCCCACAGCGTGTCGCATGAGATTTGCAAATGCAAAAGGCCGCAGTTTTTCACAAGTGCTAAAATCCAGCTTCGTAAAATAAGTAGTTGCTGCTTTACGTCGCCGTTCATACCCAGACTCAAAAGTTTGCCTTCCTCTGCGGAAAGTTCTCTTAAATATCCGCGTACAAATACGCACAGATTCTCATACGTGGAGTCTTCCAATGATTCCAAGCGCCCTTCGGACATCAGATACGCAAAATACTGGTTATAAGTCTCTATTAAATGAAGCCAAATAACCGGATCTTTTTCCACCATTGCCGCCCGCAACTTGAACGGCGGGAACTTCACAATCGGCAGCGATATCTTCTCACCCCCGTTTATTTCGATGATCCTTTGGTATCTCTGGGAGGCCATTTCTATAATTGAAGTGGGTTCTATATGGCTTTCGCAGTATTTCACAGTTAGTTTCATGAAGATTTCTTAGGTGATCAATATCTATCATAAACAAATATATAATATTGCTAAACAAAAACCCGCGCAGAACTGTAGAGAAAAACCCTTGAAAGCCTGAGATCAGGCTTAGGAACACTCAATAGGCCGTGCTCGAACATCTTTCGACTAGTCATCAAGTCCTGCTATTGTCAGTCAACTTAAGTACCAATTTAGCATTGTAGACTGCTGTTAGTTCGTTAACTTCATTCACATATTTGCTATTGACGTGGGTGAGTTGGCACTACTTAGAAATTGAGATTTAGTGACTACAAGAACTACACTACTTCCATGTCCAAGTTTTTTGAACTTCCCGGATCGCACAAACCTCCCAATGCCGAGGATGTTCAACAAAAACCCTTGGCGGGTCAGCGCCGTGAAAGCTTGACATATTTTGATTATGGGGCTACACAAGGGACTCCGAAGGTTTCTTCAAGGCTGGATCCGGAGAACCCCAACAAGAACAAGCTTGGGACATTCGAGGGTGTTTTTGTACCAACGACGTTAAACGTTCTGTCAATTCTGATGTTTTCGAGATTTGGTTTTATAATAGGGCAAATGGGTGTACTTGGAACAATATTCCTGCTTGTGTTGAGTTATGGAATTAACCTTTTGACCACATTGAGTATATCTGCTATCCCGACTAATGGAACCGTTCGAGGTGGAGGTGCTTACTACATGATTTCTAGGAGCTTGGGCCCGGAATTTGGTGGTTCTATTGGGCTTATATTTTTCTTGGGTCAAATGTTAAACAGCGGAATGAACGTTGTAGGTATCATTGAGCCTATCATGTACAATTTTGGTTCAAAAATTGATCAAGAAACTCCAGTATTGTACCCCTTGTTAAAAAGGGGATACTGGTATGAGTTTTCCTACGCATCACTGATTCTTCTGTTATGTCTTGGGGTTGCTTTGGTCGGGTCAGCTACTGTGTCTCGTGCTGGAAAAATCTTGTTTTGGCTACTGCTCTTTTCAACTTTATCAATACCGATATCTGCCATTTTCGTGTCTCCATTCAATGATGGTGAAATAACATACACAGGTCCGTCACTTCAAACTTTGAAAGACAACTTGTACCCACATTTCACAAGGCACACAGCGGGATCACTACTTAAAGGCAAAGAAACGTTCAATGACCTTTTCGGGATTTTCTTTCCTGCAACGGCAGGCATTTTCGCAGGTGCGGGTATGAGTAGTGAGCTGAGGAAACCATCTAGATCGATTCCTAAGGGAACTCTTTGGGGCTTGGGATTAACTTTTACTTGCTACTTGGTGGTAATTTTAACAATTGGACTCTGCATTCCTCGTCAATCTCTTCATAGAGACGTACAGATCATTCAAACTGTAAGTGCCTCCCAAATTGTTATTCTAATAGGCGAACTATCAACTTCCATTTTCTCTATTATTGTTGGTATAGTTGGTGCTGCCTTCGTTCTTGAGGCAATAGCGAAAGACTCCATTTTCCCCGGCATATCAATTTTTGCAAAAAAACCGCTTTGTTCTGTTTTATTCTCTTGGGCTTTGACCCAACTGTGTCTATTTTCTGATGTCAACCAAATTGCAACTTTTATCACCATGACTTTTCTAATGACTTTCGTGGTAATGAACTTGGCTTGCTTTCTCTTGGAGATTTCTTCAGCTCCCAATTTCAGACCATCCTTCAAATACTTCGATTGGTATACTGCTTGTCTTGGCGGTGCTTTGTCAATTATAGCCATGCTCATTGTGGATCCCATTGCTGCGTCCATGGTCATACTGACAATTTCAGTAATTTTTGTCGTGATTCATTTGTTCTCTGCCCCGAAGCCTTGGGGTGACGTATCTCAAAATATCATTTATCATCAAGTCCGCAAGTACCTGCTGCGTCTGCGGCAAGATAATGTGAAGTACTGGAGACCACAGATTTTGCTACTGGTTGACAACCCCAGGACCAGTTGGAACCTGATAAAGTTTTGCAATAATCTCAAGAAAGGCGGCCTTTATGTGCTAGGCCATGTCACTGTTGGAGAGAGCTTTCAACGCGAATACGAAGAAATGAGAAAGCAAACAAAAGCCTGGGTCAAAATTAGAGATATGGCTAATATTAAGGCATTTGTACAAGTTGGGACTGGACCAACTCTCCCGTGGGGAGTCAGGAACGTCTTTTTGGGTTCAGGCCTGGGCGGGATGAAGCCGAATATAACTGTGATAGGATTTTTCGATTTAGCCAATTATTACAATACTCGGAATAAAGTTAAGGACCCCGCCTCTAAAAAAACCTCAACTAAGTTATTCACAGGTCTACCAGCAAGCAAACAAAATGGGAGCGTTGCTGTCGATATACCTGATGACCTTGGTCTCCTGCCAACAGACGTCTGCAAAAATGAACAAAAGATAAAAGTTCAGCAGTGGCTGCAAATTATTGAAGATCTATCATTGATGCATAGTAATATTGCTGTGGCGAGGAGATTTCAAGATCTCTCTCTACCTAACAAACACGACAAAGTGAAAAAAAAGAGATACATCGACCTATATCCTATTCAAATGTCTGCCAAGGTGACAGTGACTGATGACTCATCAGAAGGCATCATGGCTACCAACTTTGATACGTACACTCTCATTTTGCAACTAGGAGCTATTCTTGTTACTGTGCCATCATGGAAAAAGACGCACTGTTTGAGAGTGGTAGTCTTCATAGAGAATGAATCTGAGAAACACGATGAAAATAAAAGGATTAGCAACCTCCTAGGAATTTTGAGGATTGAGGCCGAAGTTGTTGTCTTATCTCTAGATCAATTTCGCGTGTACAATACCATTATAAAGGGTGACCCAATCAAGATGGACGAGGTTTCTCGTGTCTTGCAAAACGATCCATGGTGGACCGAACTTAAGGAAGCTAGATCGACTCATAAAACGAGACGCAGATTTACCATGTCCGCAACTCCAAATGCTACATTGGCGAGAAATGTGAGCCGGAGCGCTCCTAAGTACAACGTTTCACAGCTACAGAGGCTAGGAGTTTCAATGTCCATGACCTCAAGTGTCTTGAGAAACAATTTCGAGATCCCTGATATATCTGATGACGATGACTTGGATCAGGATCCCTTCTCTGATATTATAGAGGACGCAAAGGATTACCGAGGTTCTGAGATGAACAATGCTAACAGGGAAAGATCGATGGCATCTTTGAAAGCTGGCCAGAAACACAACCCACACCCAAAGACCGCGAAGGTTTCGGATGAAAGGTCTGTACGATCCTTGATGCCAGTTTTTTCCAGCGATGCTCTTCCCAAGACCAAGGTAATCGAGGATGCAAGTGGAGACAAACCTTCACTAATTCCAGTTGTTGAAAGCGACAACGCAAACTTACAAACATCGTCACAAGACGCTGGTAGAAATCGCCCACTTCCTACCCTTTCCCCATGCCAGTCTAGCGAAAGTTTGCTGGCTGATTTGCGTGGCTTATCTTTCAATGATGTACCTAGTAAAGGCCAACATCTTATTTTGAATGACGTAATGATGCAGGTTTCTAGGAAATCGGACCTAGTTTTCTCAACTTTGCCATTACCACCTTTGAACACTCATAAGAGCGAGCAAGAAAGTCTCGAATATATCGAAAATTTAAATGTTTGGCTGGATGGATTGCCACCAACAATGTTGATAAACTCCAAATCTACTACCGTCACTACGGCACTATAATAGACACTACTCTCTAGCTTTAAACTATCATTTGACCTTTTTAAATGCAAACACAGTGTAGAAATATGAAGCTGCTTCTTTTTCATCGCCCTCAACACCGAACTTGCCATCGCTTCGCTGTAGTCCCTCTTGCATCCGAGGTGAGAACTTGTTGATCCAGTTTGGAATTTCTTGAACAAAGAAAGCGTTGAATGGCTTTTGCAATTCCAGCTCTAACCCGTATTCATCAGCCAAACTTCTCAGAGATTCAAACGGAATGACATATTCAGGTACGTTGTCAATAGCATCTTCGAGCCAGTAAGTGTACATTTGGCCAAAGGGAGGAATGAATTCGTTGTTATTTTTCTGATAGTTGTTGTTCTCGAATGTCACCTTGTAGATAGCATTTCCCCAAGAGGGTTTTTCTTCATCTTTTGGAATCTTGTTGAGTTTGTAACGTATGAATTCTGAGTCTGGAATGGTACCGATAAAGTATCCTCCAATTTTCAAAGACTTTGTAACGTTAAGTAACGTACGTCTTGCTTTTTCTTCTGATTCAAATGCATAGTGCAAACAAAATTGTGCTGAAACAACATCGCAGGGAAATCTGCACTCGGGGAAGGGCTCTACGGCAACACCGAGTGACTCTCCAAAACAATCTCCCGTTACTAAAATCACTTGGTAATCCAGATTACCCATGGATGAGAAGCGCTTTTGAGCTTCTACAATCGATGCGTTGGAGATATCAATCCCAATAAATTGCGATATTCCAGCCGCACCATATTTCCTCAAATCACCTCCCTTACCGCAACCCAATTCGAGCACGACGTTCCCAGGGAATGTGTACTTGTCGATTAACATGTATTTTATAGCATTGTTGAAATTCCTGAGTTTGATGATAGGCGATAAATGTCTCCGTTTACGTTTCGCGACAAACGTACGTTCATTGTAGTGTTTGCGAATGATTTGGTCGACATTTACAACCTTGTTTGCCGTCATGTCGATTTCATGTCTCTTGATTTGGTCGTCGCGCATTCTGTTCAATTGATTTTTCTTGCGCCTCTCATCAATGTCATACCTCTGTCGTTTACGCTTTTGAATTTTATACACGGGCTTTTCCTGCTCCTGGTCAATGTTAGTTGGTTCTTCATCCGGAAGTTCTCCAGTAGACTCATCTGGTTTGTGTTCTTCTTTCAATGCTTTGGCTACCGGCTTTTTTATTGAAGAGTCTACTTCAGGGCCGTATTGCTTGTCGTATTGCTCTTGACTCATCCAAACGGGTTTCTGCGGCCTCAAGCTCATCTTTGGCAGTACTATTTACTTTTATTCTCGCTTGCTGATCGTATGCGTTATAAATTCGTTTTATTGAAGTATCAGATTGAGACTGAAAGATATCTCACTCTACAACAAAATAACAAAAAAGACAAGGAAGGCTAAAGGTCTGTAAGCGCTTCCAAAAATGAGTTCCGTAAGTGCTGAAGAGAAGAAAAGGCTACTACTCGAAAGGAGGAACAAGTGGAAACAAAAAAAGGCAGATTTTGAAGCTTCAAAAGTTCAGCAAGAAACTAACCAAAATAATAGCGATGGGAAAGATGAGCAAGACAATAAATTGAGCAACCGAAGGGCCAAGTTAGATTACGGGCGACAGAATAAAGGACTGCAAGCTCAACAAAATTCGGATGAGGTCAAAACCAAGAGAAATGGAATGTCTGACAAGAAGCTGAGTAGGAAACGAATTTTTAACGATAGTGATGATGAAGAAGACCGTGCAGTTGTTAAGCTATTTCGGCCTTCAGATCTCAAAGAACCAGAAGAAAATCATAAAAACGCATCAGAGTCTGTGAGCAGCACTTCACCCCTAGAAAATGATCCTTTGGAAATGTTCATGCAAAATCTTAGCAAATCGAGCGATCAAGGTTCAAAGAGGGAGCTTCTGATACCACATGCCCTGGAAAATGATGGCAGTGACGAAGAGCTGGATCCTGTCGGCCTCGATGACCATGACGACGTTGAAACGGAATTCAGACGTTTAAGAAAACTCAAGTCCAAGAAACGAGTGAAAAAGCTTTGCATTGGAGAAAAAGCCTTTGAACCTTTTACCAAGGTCTTTTATTCCGAGCCTGAAGAGATCCAGAAAATGACTGAAACAGAGGTAGAAGAACTTAGATTGAGTCTGGACAATGTTATTGTGAAAGGTCAAGGCTGTCCTCGGCCTATTTTAAGGTGGTCTCAATTGGGTCTCACAACAGAGATAATGAATCTCATAACCCAAGAACTGAAGTTTCTTTCCCCAACTCCAATTCAGGCACAAGCTTTTCCGACGATTATGTCAGGCCGGGACGTAATCGGTATCTCGAAGACAGGTTCCGGTAAAACGGTTTCATTTCTTTTGCCACTGCTGCGACACATAAAAGCTGCGCGCCCACTGTCAAAAGAGGAAACCGGTCCTCTGGGGCTTATTTTGGCGCCGACGCGAGAACTGGCTGTTCAAATACACGAGGAAATTTGTTTGTTCACAAAAGACCTTCCTGAGCTGAGATCAGTTTGTTGTACTGGTGGATCTGAACTCAAACAGCAAATAAACGATTTAAAACGAGGCGTAGAGATTGTCGTGGCTACACCCGGTAGATTTATAGACCTTCTTACCCTAAATTCTGGAAAGCTCTTGAACACAGAACGTGTCACATTTGTGGTGATAGATGAAGCAGATAGATTGTTCGACCTTGGATTTGAGCCGCAAATAACTGAAATTATGAAAACCATAAGGCCAGACAAACAGTGTGTTTTGTTCAGCGCCACCTTTCCCACGAAACTCAAGTCGTTTGCATCCAGAATGCTGAACAAACCAATTAGTATAACCATAAACTCCAAAAGTCTAATCAATGAGAATATTGAGCAGCGACTTGAACTTTACGAATCTGATGAAGAAAAGTTTGAGGGTTTACAGAGCTTGCTAGATTCCCAGACAGCTTTCAATCATGCAACTCATGAAGATCGAGACGAAAAGACTATCGTGTTTGTTTCAAGTCAACAAATTTGTGACCTGGTTCATAATAAGTTACTTGAACAAAACTACACTACGTTTGCTATTCATGCTGGCAAACCATATAACGAAAGGGCCACTAATCTCGAAAAATTCAAAAAGACGAAAAACGGTATTCTCTTATGTACTGAAGTTCTTTCTCGAGGGCTCAACGTGCCGGAAGTTTCTTTAGTAATAATCTACAATGCAGTGAAGTCGTTTGCACAGTATGTGCACACAACGGGCAGGACTGCTAGGGGCGACAAGCATGGCGCGGCGACGACATTGCTTCTAGATGATGAACTCGCGGCCGCCTATATTCTTAACAGATCATTTCGAGACTCTGAGCTGAATGCCTTAGCAATAGGCGTAAGAGACCGCTTGAAAACAATGGCGGACAAATTTGAATCAGGTATGAAGACAGGGAAGTACAGACTGACAAAGGGATTTGGCGGTAAAGGCTTAGAGCATATGGAAAAGTTGAAAGGAGAAAAGCACGATGAAGAGTTGAAGCAGTATGGGGTCTCAGATCAAAGTAAGGCAACTCCGAATGCTGACAATGGAAATGACAATAGCGTTGACCACATTGTGGTTCCCAAGCTCCAGTATACCTTTTTACAAAACAAAAACCTCAACGGACAGGTCACTTACAGCGCTGAGGTAAACGTGAATGATCTGCCTCAAATGGTGAGGTGGGAAGCTACCAAAAATACTACCCTCTCTTTTGTAATCCACGAAACTGCTTGTAGCATCACTAATAGAGGGAAGTTTTATCCGGAGGGAACGGAGCCCAAGACCCCGCATGATGAACCAAAGCTCTACTTGCTGATCGAGGCTCAGGAAGAAAAAGATGTTAGATTGGCTATTGGTTTGCTCGAGGAGAAGGTTAGAGAAGGGGTTAAAAAGGTTAGTGTACAAGAAGCTAAAAGTAGCAAGTTTTCGTTGTAAGGACGATCATCGTTGCTATACGTAGAATCTGGTCCTATGTACTACAAGTAAGAAGCAGCAATTCATGTTGTAGTTACAATTATCGTTTATATACATATGATTCGGTCTTATGTACACCAATATTCATTGCTTTTCACTAAGAGATATTTTTTTAGTCGTAGACCAATGCTTGGTTCTTCTCCAGCTGTCTGCTCTCAGCCGTTTCCTTCAGATGCGTCTTCAAAGTCTTCGAACGCTCTTCTGCCAGTTTCTTGCTTAGTTCACCCTTTCCCGAGTGGTTTTGTAATTTTTCTAGTCTTTCAGCAGCAGCTAATCCAGCCGCCCGCCTAGCTGAGGCTTCTTTCTCAGACTCTCCTGGGCTTCCTACAGTTTTACCGGCATTAGTCTTAGTTTTTGAGGGCACTTCGGGGTGCTTATGAGTATCTTGAGTGTTTTCCGTTCTTCGGGTTACTGGACCGACCTTACTGGCCCCACTACGGTCTTCTTTACTGGCACACAAGCCCATAGAGCTTTACCGATCAACTGAACCCTACTTAGTTTCGAAACATGTATAAGCTTTTTCATCTGTTAGGTCCCTGGGAGAGCTTCACGTGCAACTATTTATTGTTCAACAGTGAACTGCCTTATGAGATGTTCTTAGCGATTGTGAAGTCGCGATTATTGAATTAACACATAAACTGAATAGAAAATATCATAAAGAGGAGATTTGAGGAGAGCTTAACCTGAATTCGATGTAAACTTGGCTAATGCTGGGACCTCAAATTGTGAAACTGAGGAATATAGACGTCGTTGACGTCCAAATCGTTAAATTTGGACAAGGCTTGCTGCAGCACTGGGTATTTCACTGCCGTGCCAGAGGTTAAGCGTGAAAGCTGTCTAGAGTCGCGACAGAAGGGACTGTAGCGCTTGACAATTTTCATATAAAGCTCTAGCCTGTCGGCATGTTGCTGTTGCTGTTGTTGAGGTGTTTGCTGAGGAATATCGTCAAAAGCGCCGGATGCGTTGGCTGCTTGCATAGCGGCATTGAAGCCGTCACTCGCATAAAGTTCTTCCGGCTGAGAATTGTATTTTTGGGTCCATGTTACCGTCGCATCTCTCAAGGCCGCCCAGTCAGCATTGGCAATGAAAGATTGACCAATCTCATCTGACTTGGACACCAGGTTACACCAACGTTGAAAGATCTCTTCGTTGGTGACATGTACGGAACCCATGGACTTCAACAGAATCCGGTAAGCTACTATTGTGCGTGGGGTTTGGTAAAGATCGTAAGCCTTATCAATGGACTCGATGATTTGGCGGTCTCTCCAAACTGTACACTTGGCCAAAATGATGTTAAAGAAAGGCTCGTCAATTGGTTTGATGTTGTTGTAAGTAGAGATCATCTCTTGCAACTGCTGCAACCCGGTAATTTTATCTTGAGAATAATGTTCGAAAAAGATGTCGAAAAATGTGTCGTTCAATGAAGAAGAAATACCGTGATTTACATCGCGACCATAGTGTACTGATGACTTGTACCAGATGTCGTAAACTTTTTGAAAGTCGCGTGTTTGAGACCAAATGTTTCTCAAGAAAGATTTGACGTAGGACACTTGCAAATCAATCTTGTAAGGCATTTCATTGTTCAAAGCTTTGTCGAAGAATGCTTGCGAAATGCTTAAGTCCTTACATTCACCGATGAATGAAAGATGTGTTTCTATCAAATAACCGTATTTCATTTCACTGGACTCTTCGCAAAGCTTTTGGAAAAGTGTCAAAGCCATTTCATTTTCACCCGCACTTAGAGAAGCGCGAATCATACCTACCGACAGGTTAGGATGGAAATAGTTTATCATGGCTGAGGATTTTTCGTAGAGTTCTTGAATTTCTGCGTAGGTTACGCCATTGTCATAAAGAATAGGTAACACAACACCCACAACTCTTGGGTTTAGGAATATATTGGCGGTGTAGCTATTGGCGCCATTGATAGCAGAACGCCAAATACTAACAGCTTCTTCTAATAGTAATAATTCTTTGAAAGCTGTTATCAAATGCATGGCACCATACTCATTGAGCTCCACCTTACTGGATAAAACGTCTTGCGATATCTCACGTAAAGATTCACATAGATAGTTGGTCATTTCTTTGTGGAAAGACTGAGAATCGTAATCGGGTTTTTTGTTCATCCGAGTGAGCTGGTTACGATTGGCGCGAAGTCCGTTGTGCAAAAGGTGTACAAGCTTCGATACCCTGTCGCTATTGAGCTCGGGCGTACCCAAAAGTTCCCGATACAGCCCCATGGCACGGCCTATCGAATCCCAGAAAAGTGGATTCGTGTTGGCAACGGCCATAGACTGTTGCTGGTTCCGCTTCGAATTACCCCCATTGTGATTGTTATTACGTCTGCGAGGCGTTTGAGACATGTACAGCGTTTGAGCGACACAGTCCTCAAACGCGCATACTTTGTGAAACCATGGTGAATCGGGTGTAGCTGAAAGCGGTTTATCGATCTTAATATTCTTGCGCATCGCGCGTACTTTACCAACCGCTTTGGCAACTTGTGGTGGAGCGGCAGCAGCAGCAGCAGCGGCAGCAGCCTCTTGCGAGGGCGTACGTTCCATCGCCACGGATGAATTCAGCCGTAGCGAATGGTGAAATGGCGACCTTGCGCTTGCCGAAACAAACTGGTTCGACACTCTCGTCTTAAGAACATGCGATTGTTGTACGAATCGTAACATCTTTAGGTCTTTATTTTAGCTGGGTATTTGTAAGTTTCCACACGGTGGGAGTCTATCGTAAATTCCGGTTTATTGCACGGCTCTTGAACCTGATGAGTTTGCTGTACTTATAGGTGGACAGTGCGTTTTGTGACCAAATCAACGAACCACTTTAGTAAATGCGATTATGACGATGGTATTGAAGATGATGGCGATGATTCTCTGAACATGGTGTGAGATGATAAGTGGTGGGAGAGAAAAAAAAAAAGAACAAATCCAAAAATTTTACACGAAATTGTTGGCAGGTGGTCCATGAGCCTTCGGTGTCAGAGCTCTTCCAGGCCCGGGATCGTCATACGAGCGTTTAGATAGAGCACCTGCAACTCCGGAACGATGTGATGGAGAATGCTATGTTTGAAACCTTAGCAGAAGCCGGACTTTAGAACCTGAGATATATGGATCAGATTTGTGAGTCTGCTCCATAGTGGAGCTTGAAGAGGAGCTTTAAAAAGAGCTTGAAGGGTCAATGTCAGGTCGAAAGAAGTATCCCAACGACTTTGTGGAGGCGTTGTTTTGCATAGACTAGCGGTTTTGTTGTTTGACGCACTTAGATGAAGAAGGATGATGCAATCTGAAAGTGATGAGCCATGCACAATGGTTTCATGTTTCAAAATCTCAGTGCTCAAGCATCAAAACCCTGCTCACTAGTCTTTTCTAGCTTGAGGGCTCGCAGACATGAGCCTGACTGATCCATGGCCTTTGCGTCTCAACAACCTGTGTCACCTGCTGAATATTATGGCGACTGTCACCTCACGCGTCGAACCACCAGAGACATGCCGATTCCACGTCCTGTGGCTTGAAAGGTTGTCGTGAAACGCGGTTTAATTACACTGGTTTTCACGCGTTTTTCATCGTAGTATCGTAGGATCTCGTTTGGTCGACATTAAGTCAACACGCATCACGGAAATGACAAGGATGGGCCGAGAACATCGACCTTTATGTTGAGCGCTCTTCTTGAATTTAGTGTTTAAAGAATGGACCGCGTTTTCTACGTTTTGCGGCTTTAGCCGCTGACGGAGGGAGGCAGGGTAATACCTTTCGATATTGTAATCGAGCTGCTTCAAAGACCAATCTCATACTATATGAAGTATGTTGATTGTCCTTTGATGTAAACATTCTTCAGCTTCGTAGGTATCAACCTTAGTGTGTCGCGCTTGCCAGTGGCTGGTGTTGGAACCATGAAACAATTACTGCGTTTGACTTGAAAATTATACAATATCAAATACAGAGCATCCAATACAGAGCGTCATAAATGTGCTCTTCCAATCGCACTCTATGTCGAACAAATCTTCTACTAGTCAACCGAATATTACATGTCGTCAGTTGCTCAGCAGCCTTGTTAATATTCGGTTGTTGTCAAATCGCTCACTCTCGTGAAAAATTATTATTACATGTCAAAGCATACCGGATGCGTCTAGTTTCATTAACTGTCTTGTGAACATAGTGACAGGAATCCAAAGGACTTATTTGTTTGTTCAACAGATTTCCTATCGCTGCGCATCACTTTGCTTGAAAGATGCCATCTCCCTGAATCTCTAGTCTTTTATCTACTCAATAATCTACTTCGCGAGCAAAATTCTCGTTCAGAAGTACTAGCAGGTCACAAGCTACGATTGTTTGTTTTGGAAACACGGTAACAGTAAAATATCTGAGCTTTGACATCTGGGCCTTAGGCGAAGCTGAAATCACGAAGAGACGTTGTAATAGAGTACTGAAAGCTTTTGACAATACCTTATCTTCTTTATTTACCGCAGGATACCAAAAAATTACGGAATTTCGAACTCGCGATCGACAAAATCCTCATTTGAATAACACTATTTCAGTCACAGTTACCTATATCCCATAACATCATGTCAGAGAAAACCCAAAAAGACATCTTCACACTCTTCGATAGACAAGCAAGAGGAAAAATCTCGAAACAGCAGCTGGGCGATTACTTGCGGGCCATTGGGTTCAATCCAACCAATGCTTTGGTTGAAGAAATTGGGACCGATGCTCCTGACGCATTGACGCTCGAAGAGACCACCGCTTTGGTCTCCAAGCACCGTGAGGCGTTGGACAAAACAACTCAAGGTAAAGTGGACGATTTCATCAAGGCTTTTCAGGTCTTTGACAAAGAAAACAAAGGCAAAGTCTCTGTGGGTGACATTCGGTACATGCTAACTGGCTTGGGAGAACGTCTTTCAGATGCTGAAGTTGATGAGCTACTCAAAGGTGTTGAAGTAGACTCTGACGGTGGTGTAGACTACCGCAAATTCATTGAAGATATCCTGAGGCAGTGAAGCGTGTTCCAGTTTTTATTACGTATTCCATAGCTTTTACTACTAGCGCCACCAATGTTATTGTTATGTTAAACTGGTAGCAGAATAAGCGCTCCCTTTTGATTGAAACTTCATTACATGATTGCGCATACGCGAAGCCTGCAAGCGCATTTGCAACATCGATCGTCAAATTTCGGTCTCAGTGAGTATTGGCATGAAGTTACCTATGATCATCAATGGCAAGCCAAATACGTCTCTCTTCAGAGTCCATATACAACAACACTCGATTTCACGGCCTCGGGTAGGCGTCAATAGCCTACATGTCTTCATTCGCTCACTTCCCTTAAAATCTTGATATGCAACTCGATTGAACGTCTTAAAGTATTCTCTCACACTTTCATCATCCATAAGCTCCACAATGAACGTCATTTTGAATAATAAATCAGCCCTAGTCCATCCTGTCAACAATGAAAACTCATCGTTTACGTACGATACTTGTCCATTGCGTCGCCAAACGCACGTCGGTGTACCAATTTGTGATATGAACTGATCATACTCTAGCAACGTTCTTTGATAACACTGCTCCATGAAAATCATATCCTCCTCCGTAAGTGTCACGGCAATGGCAATAAATGTGGGACGAAATTCGGCGAGTGATCGGCACATTTCCACTATATCGGCCCTGTTGAAACGGCTTCGCAGATATTGAAGTAGCGAGTGAAAACCTGGTGTATGTGAAAACGGAGTGGATATTAAGGTATAAATTTCCATGGGTGTGCCGTATCGTAGCGTATGGGTTACTTCTGGGAAATTTTGGACGGCGCGTTGATCTTGAGACGTTACATCTAGCGCCAGCGATACAATTTTATCCTCGATAACTATTTGATCTAAAATATCAGGTAAAGATCGTTCGTGATTTAGGTAGTACTGCCGTACACTGGAATTAACGCTGCCGGGGTCAGAAGGAGCTTCGGAAGTTCTTAATTCTTGTGGAATCAGCGGGAAATGCGTTGTGAAAATGTCGACGTCTAATTCGAGTGCCTCACAACCTTTGTTGCCTAAGAGGGTTGCGTATTTAGATCTCTGAGTAAGCATTGTGGTGCTAGCACTAGAATATCCCAAGGAAGGTCTTTCTTGAGCAACAGCTGGAGGTACACTTGCTGTCGAGTTCGAGTTTGGCGTTGAGTACTGAGTTTCATCTTCTGTACCAACGTTTCTAGAATATAACAGATCAATGGGTATTTTGCTTAGCAGAGCGTCTTGCTGGATAATATCAGACAAAATTGAATACTCTAAATCGACGGCATTTGACATGAATCGTGGCTTGTGTGCTACTACGTTTAGATCCTTATTAAGGTGCTGTTGTTCCATGTGACTGTGGGGACGCTTCAGGTCTACTGGCAACTGTTCACTGGGCACATCCGCCAGATACTTGCGTCGCTTTCTTGGTGTGTCTACACACGTTCTTTCGAGGCCTTTCCTCACACATCGACTACACGGCCTGCGAGCTTCGCACGTAACATGGGATTTGGAGCAGTTGATGCATGCCACGCTAGTCTTATTTCCTCGAGCTGCCATTGAAATTTTGGCGATCACAACTGACATAACTATCTCATCGCATATTGGAATTTTTCGAAGCTAACATGACAGACACACTACAGAATATACAGGCTGTGGAACAATCAAAACAATACGAACAAAGAAATGTGTTCAACCAAAGATTACCCCGCTATTTTTATTGCAATTGAATGCTAATTTGAAGTGAAAACTCAGCTATCTGAACTAGTTACTTATATTAAACAAAAATATTCAGTGCTTCTAACAACATCTTAAGAAGCAAGCCCTGAATTTTCAATGAATGCAAGGAATGTCTACTTGAGTTATAGTTCAGCGCATGGATAACAACAGCATCCCAGTAGCGCATGAACATAAAACATACAAGCTTCAGAGTTAATCGAGTATATATGTACTCATTTTCCATCCTTAAGCCAAAGTGATTAACAAAAAAAATTTGCAGGTTGAGGAGTTGTGACTTTAAGTCAAAAAGCTTCATTCTTAGACCAATTGTGACTTGAAGTACTGGTTTATAGCTTCCAAAATGTCTGCCTTGTTGGAAAAATTCAGGAGTCTTTCGCTTTCCAGCGAACTAAACAATGAACAGCTTGCCCTGGCCACTCAATGGGAAACGGTGGTGAAATCCGGACAAATCCAAGGCCACATTGATGAATTGAATTTGCGTTTGAGAGATCACTCTTTTGTTTTGGCAACTGTCACTCCAACAGAGACAGATGCTGAAGTGTTTGAATCAGTATTCCCTATTATCAAGGAGCTTTTGGCTTCTTCCAAGGACGTCAAGGGCCACTACGCTCAATACAGACACATCATCAGATGGTGTGCTTACTTGCAGGAATTGCTGGATGTGCCGGAAAACATCAAACTCTCGTTGAACTTTGACCTCGAATTACCACGTGAAATAATCGAGAAGAAGAAGAAGGACGACTCTAAGAAGCAAGACGACGCCGGTGCTAAAAAGACTGCTGACTCTGCTAAAGCGGAATCCAAGGACAAAGAGCAACAAGCTCCAAGGGGAAAGCCTGATGAAGAAACTTTGAAAAAATTGAGAGAGGAAGCCAAGGCAAAGAAAGCTGCTAAAAAAGCTGCCAATGCTCAACAAGGTCAACAACAAGATCAACAACCGCAGAAGCCAAGACCTTCGGCCATCGACTTCCGTATCGGTTTCATCCAGAAATGTGTCAAACATCCAGACGCCGATTCCTTATATGTTTCAACCATTGACGTCGGCGACGAAGAAGGCCCAAGAACAGTATGCTCTGGTTTGGTCAAGTACTTTCCTCTCGAAGCCATGCAAGAACGCTACGTGGTTGCCGTGTGCAACTTGAAACCAGTTAATATGAGAGGTGTGAAGTCAACCGCCATGGTGTTGTGCGGTTCTGACGAAAACAATGTTGAATTTGTTCAACCTCCAGCGGGTTCCAAGCCAGGTGAGAAGGTGTTTTTCGAAGGGTTCGGTGACGAGGAGCCTGCCAAACAATTGAACCCTAAAAAGAAGGTCTGGGAACAATTGCAGCCTAACTTCTCCACCAACGAAAGTCTAGAGGTTTTCTTCAAGGATGAGGAAGACAACAAGCCCAAGAAGTTGACCAACGCTAGGGGCGATTCTTTCAAAGTTGCCACTATTACTAACGCTAATGTCCGCTAATCAATCTTACGTATGCATGCAATTTTCTTTGATTCATCTCGAATTTTTAAAAATCTATAATATTTCAAATTTATAACTCGTAAATCATTAAATTACACAATGAATGCCGGCCGCTAAGCCAGGCAAATATCTCTATAGAATTCTTCGTTGCACTGCAACTGTAATTCCCAGAACTTCAATTGCATTTCAGCATGTGTTGTGTCTTTGCATTGACAGATTTGATCCATCATCAGATTACTCCAGTGCTGCAAAATCAGTCTTACAGTGTTGATTTTCAACATTGATGTCAAGTCGTACTGATATAAATCCTGCAGACCGGCCTCTGATAAAAGTTCATGACAGTGAATGAGGAAGGTGATGTTTGTGTTAAGGTTCAATGAATAAGCGATCAATGGAAATGCGAGATATGAAACCTTGGTCTGAGCCTGAACCCAACGTGATATATAATCCACATAATCCTGTTTGGTGTCTGCCATAACTATTAACAGCAAGTACAATGCCTGGCATTCCATCGAGAACTGAGGAATTATGGGTAGCCATTTAGATGCCTGCAGATTATTTTGCATCACTTCTTCGAGAAATTCTGGGTTCAAGGAGTGAACCATGTTTCTAATGCGAGGAGTAAGCCACTTAACGTACGCTGTTTGTTGTAGACAAAAATTAGAGCCGTTCGCGAGTAGCAAGTTTGGCCAACGGCATGCAAGGAATTCTATAGTAACATCGGTTGTAGATGGGCGTGCAGAAGCACTCTGAGATATCGGTGTGTCTGGTAAACTTGAAGGGAGACTGTAGACGGAATCGGACTTGCGACGCAGAAGAGGTGCAGAATCCGGCTTCGCATTCATCGAACTGGGTAAAGCACATGGACAGCTCTTGAACACACCGAACGGCCCACTGTGGGTTTTTTTCGGCGATAGGCTGTCGTCTTCGAGTTTAGACAGCAATGCGGATAACTGTTCGTTCACATATTTTTGCCCATACTTTTTGTTCTCCTTGCCGTGAACGCACTCAAGGACGTTGTCGTATATTTTGAGTCTCCGTACGCTTATGGTGAAAGAAGTAGACTTGTCCTCATTGTTTTCATTGTTGCCGACTACGTCGTTGCAGGTACCGGTTTGACAATTTTCAGAAACAATGAAACCTTCATTCCGGTCAACGCTTTCGTCGTCTGAATTGGGCGGTGATAGCTGGCGAAATTGGGTCATTTGACAAAATTCTCGCTTCGAGATCCGGTTTCTGTTGGGCTTCTTGCACAGATTTTTCAATTTCTTCCAAGAGACCAGCTCTTTCGCAGAGTTCACCGAAAAGATGTTGTCATGCTGCCATATTAGCCGTACATCGTAGCTGCACTTGTCACCGTGCTGCATACATAGTGAACAAAATGGCTTCCTTTCGTCACAACGTCTTTTCTTGAATCGACATGCCCAGCATCCACTAAATGTCCGAGAGTTGGACTTTTCAAGTGACATATTTATGGTGGGCTCCGAACCGTCACTGTTGGATCGCTTAGTCTTTCAATTTCCATTGTACTATTTCTAAAAATTCTTTTCATTACCTTGTCAAGCTTTTTATATAAAGTACCTCAACAGTTGATAGTATCATGATATATCCTTTCCATGAAGTTAGCGCTGCCAATGTTTGATGCACTTATTTCTTCCTTCTCATCATGCAACTTGATGGTGCAGAAAAATATTCAAAGCTTACTTGGCACGACAGATAAAAAAATAATGAGTTAAGAACCGAAGAGTTTTGATCTCACGTACTTGGAAGTTAAGTGCGGCGTGACGAGGTCTATCAAAGAATGAATAGGGTGTAAGGAAGGCGCTTTGGAGCTTCTATAAGATGCTGTCTGTAGCTTGCTCTATATGGCTAATATTAAGACGGCGACAGGAATGTATAAGATGATTTGATTACGCAATGGTCATATGATGGACGCTCTATCTATAGCATGCTCTGTAGTCTATTCTCTCCATCTAAGTTGTTCTTGTTGTTTGCCTTTGGTTTCTGGAATCTTGAACCATACATACACGGCAAACCCGGCCGCGTAGGCAGTAAATAGCAGAAAAACGTAGCCATTTAGTTGTTGGCTCAGCAACGGGAATCCGTAGCCAACTATAAACGTAGCAACCCAGTTGCAAGTGGTTCCGTAGCTTTGCGCGATGCCGCTGGCTTCTGGTGGAGATAGCTCTGAAATGACCAAGAACGGTATGGGACCGAGCCCAATGGCGAAAACAGCCACGTAAATGAAGGTGAATGTCACCAAAACGACTGCATTATTTGCAACAATACCGGCGGAAACAAACGCAGTAGCAACCGACATGGCACTTGCGGAGGCGATCAGCAGTGGCCTACGTCCCCAATGGTCGATGATAAAGGATGCACCAAAGGTCACCAGAACGTTTAAGATCGAAATTGCAAAATTCACGAGGATGGCATATTGCGGTAGCTGGCCGCTCACTACTTTAACACCATAAAAAATGATAGAATTGATACCGCAGAATTGTTGACTCATCAAAATCGCTGTCACGGCCCAGCGCGATTTGGCGTAGCGTGGGTCTGTAAAGTATTGCACCAGCGAAAGTGTAGAATGAGAATCCCTAGAGGTTTGAAGAGACGACTGCTGTGAAGCTGGAGTGTTGAGTGGACTCGATTCCCGCGCCGCAGCATAGGTGTTGCTATTTCTGGAGAAACCGCGCGCGGTGAGCCATTCGTCAACTTCATCGCGAGAGCGACGCGAATCGCCGCCACGCAGGTCACGTAATACACTTTCCGCACCTTCTAGATTGCCCTGAGAGGCTAGCCACAACGGCGATTCATCAATCTTGTAGAGTAGCATCAAATTGATAAGTGCAAGAGCTGCGCCTGCAAGCATAATCCATCTCCAACGGTAAGAGTCTGCATATTTGAGAGCCAGTAACTGCGTCAATAGAATCCCGAGATTGATGCACACTTGATTCATGGATCCTAAAGAGCCCCGCAGTTCTTTTGGTGACATTTCGCTGATAAACAGCGGCGTCACGACAATAGAACTGCCACAGCACACACCAACAATGAAACGACCAGTAACTAGTTGTGCATACGTATTAGCGCGAAACAGTATGAGAGACCCCAGAATTCCGATGATGCAGTTGAAAAAACTATAACGCTTACGACCATATCGATCGGCAAGTTTGCCTGCGTAGAGCGAGCCAGCGAGACCTCCAATGGAAAAAATGGAGGTAGCAAGACCCATTTGTTGTTCAGAAAGCTCAATACATTGTTTAAACGCATGCTTCCCGAGCCAGGTTTCGTTGTAAGGGGTCTGTGGCCAAGGACTCTCAAATTTAGAGCACGAAAGAACCTGACCTGGCGCATTGAGCTCGGCCATATGGTACCCATATTGAATAGAGCCAAAGCATGCCACGAGGGTAGCAAATGCGAGCGAAGTCGTTACTCTCGGCTTGGGGGTCATGAGAGCTTCTGTTTCTGACATGAGCACAAGAGTGATATCGTTAGCGACTATAAGAACGGGTGGCAATTTAACTTCTAGCTCCAGTTACTGAACTTCAGTGTAGAACGAAACGCAGGACGTATTGAAAGGCGTTCGTGGTCCGAGTGCAGTGACCGCTGAGGAATCGAGTTTGAGAACAGCTTGAAATGCTTTGATTCAAGCAGAGTTGTACAAACAGGCTCTTCTTTAATAGAGTCGCTAAAAAGAACTAAAATTTGTGCTTCTATCAAGGTTTTTGCTACCTGTGTTGTTGTTTGCACTGGTTCGGAACTTGCTTCAGCACCCTAATTTATTGACAGATAAGTGATAAAATAGGAAAAGTTGGAAGCCTCGAAAACACGAAACGCTTAATAAAACAGTCGAGAGCAATATGGCTAGCGGTAGATCTATTGGTTAATTGAGTGTGTATTGAAATTCCATAGCCGCAAATATATTTCAAATGGCGCCGCAGCTATGAGCGTTAATTACAGATATTTCATATCCGGTAACAATCAACATTGAAATTCCGCAAGAGAATCGCAGAATGCTAATTATATAGACCACCCACATGTCAAGTACTACATTGGCGTACCACCTGCACTAGATTGCATGTCCTCGCTCATTTCACAAGCCACAAGGTTCATGAGATGAACATCTTGGAGGATATCTTTGAGTACATTTCTGAGTATCTTTCTAACCTTCCACCCACCCCAAGAGATGGATGAAATCCAAAATTTCTCTTGTTGGGCGCTATCGTCAATTTCAAATCGACTTATGAGCTGCCGATGCTATCCGGCTCCAGTCAAGCTTGACAATCAAATCACCTTTCAATTCCTTCTATCTGCTATTGATTATCACTTTGTACTATCGTGTCACCTACGGTAGAAAGGTCTAACACCAATGGCGCAGTAAGACATGGAGGACGCCTAGTCTAATAGAGAAAGTTGCGACAAAAACATCACCGGCCATCACTTGAGTTTTCACCTCTCTACGTACCCAAGTAAGTCAGGCTTTATTGTAAGAGAACGTATCCGTCCTAATAAGGTACTTGCTTTCCAAGCTTGCTCTACGAGTGTACCAGGTGTAAACTCAAAAATTCTTGAGATGATGCTTAGCACCTAACAGCGCCGGTTTTCTGCCTTGTCTCGGCTATCAATCTCTTCCGCCACGCCGATAGCATCTTTACCCATAAATTCAGTTCTGTAGCGTTCCATGTTTGACTGTCTATGATCGTCAAACATGACACCCGTACATGTTTAATATTTTCAAACATTTAAAAAACATTTTGGACAAAAATAAAATATTGAAAAACTATTGATAAACGTCAACTACCCAAGCGACTCTTTTGATTTTTCATTTCCAGCTGTGGAAACTTTCCAAATCTACCGGGCAGTCCCAACGCTCAGTGCTCTACTTGTTCAGCTTATACTTAACCAATTATCTACACTTGTGTTTCTATCTTGTTGATAAGTGTTTCCAAAAACCATCAACAATGCCATCTAGATTCACCAAGACCAGAAAACACAGAGGTCACGTCTCAGGTATGTAGTTCCATGGAAGAGGGAACGAAAGAACCAAGACGTTGATTTTTCCGGCCAGGTGAGATGAAGTGAAATAGAGAGGGCGCTGTTGAGAACCCGTGCGTTTCGCGCGCGGTTTTCCAGCGACAATCGTAGTTGTGAAGCTTACTAGCTAGCTGGCTAGCTAGCTGTTATAGGCGAAGTTTTCTTCTGTCCTGCTTCTCTTCCAGGAGTTCTTAATTGAATCTCCGCTCACCACTCTCTGGGTTTCGACCCCACTTTTCTCAACCGCCTGGAGGAAGCACTCAACGCTCGTCGGAGTCACATTCACAAATACTAACTCATCACAGCCGGTAAGGGTCGTGTCGGTAAGCACAGAAAGCATCCCGGTGGTAGAGGTATGGCCGGTGGTCAACACCACCACAGAACCAACCTTGACAAGTACCACCCTGGTTACTTCGGTAAAGTTGGTATGAGATACTTCCACAAGCAAGGTACCCACTTCTGGAGACCAGTCTTGAACTTGGACAAGTTGTGGACTCTCGTTCCTGAGGACAAGAGAGACGAATACTTGAAGTCCGCTTCTACGTCTGCTGCCCCAGTCATTGACACTTTGGCCGCCGGTTACGGTAAGGTCCTAGGTAAGGGTAAGATCCCAGAGGTTCCAGTCATTGTCAAGGCCAGATTTGTGTCCAAGTTGGCCGAAGAGAAGATCAGAGCTGCCGGTGGTGTTATTGAGTTGATTGCTTAAGCAATTCGCTTCACTTTTTTAACATTAATTGTGTAAAGTAATAGATCATTCTTGACTACCTACAGTCGTGTACTATAAATTATGGAAGCTTTATGAAACACTGAACGGTGCTTGCAACGTACCGATTCATACGTAATCAAACGATCGGAATTATCGCGAAACGGTAATTTGACGAATTTTCAATATTTTTGTAGTAAACAACATCACGATGTGTTGATAAATGTTCATCAAGCTGACCAAAAGTCCGTTTTCTCTCACCAAATTACCGTTTCGGCTCATTAAATCGTTTCATTTCGCTAGAACTATGGCGATATCTGTTTGGAGACCTGAGGATCACGTACCGCAGGAGGTCAAAGACCTTCTTTCAAGTCCTGGTCAAAACCATGTTTTGGCATTTCTACACATTGTACAGCTATTGAAAACTCAACGAAGAACCGGATGGTTAGATCATAATATTAGCCCTTGTGAGAGTATTGCAGACCATATGTACCGCATGGGTATTACATCAATGCTCATCAAGGACCCCAAGGTCAATAGAGACAAGTGCGTACGCATAGCGATGGTACACGACATTGCAGAAGCCCTCGTTGGCGACATCACGCCATTCGACCCTGTGGGCAAAGAAGAGAAACACCACCGGGAACTCGCCACTATTCAATACTTGTGTGAAGAGTTGATTAAACCTTACAATGCGCAGGCCGCGCAGGAAATTATGGAAGACTGGCTCGCGTATGAAAACATAACTTCGCTCGAAGCCCGTTACGTTAAAGACATTGACAAGTTCGAAATGCTCGTGCAGTGCTTTGAGTACGAAAAGAAAGCCGGTGGTAAGCGAGATTTGGACGGTTTCTGGAATGCCATCAACAGCATCAAAACCGAAGAAGTTCAAAGTTGGGCGCAAGATCTTCTGCAAAAACGGGAGCAGTTTTACAAACAATAGCCCTGTTGCTTAAATGAGGTTCGATAGCTTTGCGTAGATATTCCACCCCTCCTCTGAAATTATTTGTAATTCGAATCGATTTTTACTGTATAATACAAAGTAACGCCTGGCACTACTTATAAAAACTGGATATTATCGTGGCCAAATATAAATGACCCTATGGAATGTCTCGCCAAAATGGCTAGCAACCCGATTACCAATTGGATCGTCAAAATTCGATTGCACAGTTTGTCCTCGCGCATAGGACCAAACCATACCAAAACTAAATTTATCAGCGTCATGTTAGTGCAATTTTGCAGAACCCCAGTCTTTGCATCAGTTTCGATGTCTATCAGTCTTAGTAAATATAAAGACTTGAGCACAGGAATCATCACTTTTTTGGGAGGTTTTGCTACCAAGTCAGCTCGCGATGGATACATCAATCCATCACCTTCATTGAAGCGAGGCATTCTGTGTCTAGGGCAAGGTACCAATCCAAAGAGTTGTGGACTAGAATACGCGAAGTTAAACGTTTGTGGGATGAACAACAGCAAAGTGGTCTTAGAAAAGTGACCTAAAATACCGACGACCGAGAAGATCATGCCCGCAAAGTAACAAAAGGTGTCACCCACAAAAACTTTGGCAGGCCATTTATTCCACTTCCAAAGCGCTAGAGCGACACCCAGGAATGGAATAATTAGAATCGCAGAAAACATGTGTGCTTCTTTCGACGCTTCGGTGCCAAGTGTCAAGTACAAAGAATCGTTTACCAGAGAAATCACACCCAAAACAATGCTCTGGCCAACTTCAAGGCCATTCACGCCTGCCAATATGTTTATGGAATTAGGACAAAATATTGCCATGGCTGCCATGTACATATAGTAAAAGCCCCCCAAATTGACTGCTGTCTTGGATGTTTGAAGCCAGTTTTGGATCACGTCTGGTATCAAAACATAAGTCACACCAAAATCCACATAATACACAATCAACAATGGAATTGCAGAGACTGCAGGCAAAAAGAACTTATGTCTCCACCTCAAATCAAATAAATCATCGGCCATGCCTAAAAGCACAGTGCTCTGTAGACACAAAACAGCGCTAAGATACTCTGACATCTTACCATGGGGAAATAAATATTCCTCCTGGACTGATTCCATGACGGATAAGTCGCGGTGACCGCCTCCAGAAGTTATCACCACCAGATACTTGTAGAACAGAAACGGAATGTAGAAGAACATTATAAACAAGTAGACAGTGGCGGAAATTGCACCAATACTCTCAGGAATAACTGGTCTTCCAGGCTTGCTCAGGTCTTTACCAAACAATCCTATCTTGATGAAAGAAGACGATACACGTGGAATTAGGGCATTAGTAGCCTGGTAACCCACTATGGAAAACCCCAAGGCCGCTAATAGAGGTGAATAATGTCTTGACACATATATTGATGTAATTGCCGCTGCCAGGAGGGCGAATTGAAGCATCTTCGATCGAGTTCTCTTTTTTGTGAAGGTGCTCGTGTCAATTAAACTGTAAAGTATTCGATGTATATCTAAGAAAGTTTAAAATATCCAAAAGGCCAAATTTCGAAGCCTTGAGGACGAGCAACTACAACCATGAAACCCTTCGTCACTGGCCATGAAGACCTAGTACATGATGCAGCGTATGACTTCTACGGCAGACACGTCGCTACCTGTTCGTCTGATCAACACATCAAAGTTTTCCGTTTGGACAGAGAAACCAATGAATGGCAACTCAGCGACTCTTGGAAAGCTCATGATAGTTCAGTTGTTGGCCTTAATTGGGCGAGTCCTGAATACGGAAGAATCATAGCCTCAGCTTCTTACGATAAGCTTATCAGATTATGGGAAGAAGAGCCAGACACTCCTGAATGTTCAGGTCGTAGATGGACCAAATTGTGCACGCTGAATGATGCCACTGGGCCGCTTTTCAGCGTCAAGTTCGCACCAGGACATTTGGGTTTAAAGCTGGGGGCAATTGGCAACGATGGAATGCTGAGGATCTATGAAGCACTCGAACCATCAGATCTGAGGTCTTGGAGCTTGACCACAGAAATTCCTGTTTTACGCACACCCCCTGCATCGCATTTGCAATCCGATTTCTGTTTGACGTGGTGTCCATCGAGATTTTTACCGGAGAAGCTATTGGTATGCGCGTTAGACCAAGCTTTAATTTATCAAAAAGACAAAAATGGGAAGATGTACGTTGCAGCTAAGCTTGAAGGTCATGGTGGGTTAATAAGGTGCGTCAGTTGGGCTCCTTCGATAGGTAGGTGGTATCAATTAATTGCCACTGGTTGTAAAGACGGAAAAGTTCGGATATTCAAGGTTACCGAGACTTTAAAAAACAATGATCATGACAGAGACGACAATGAATCAATGAGTGTGGATCAAGAAGATGATGAAGCCGACTCTAAGGCAGGAATTCCTGAATTGAAGGTTGAGCTAATAAGTGAGAGCGGTGACCACAGAGGTGAAGTTTGGTCAGTTTCATGGAATTTGACGGGCACCATTTTAAGTTCCGCTGGCGACGATGGAAAAGTGCGTCTATGGAAAGCGTCATACTCAAATGAGTTTAAATGCATGTCCGTGATCAGCGCTCAACAGCGTTCATAGACGGCAAAGGTGCGAGCGTAAGGCATGGAGGACAGTCACTTTGTGTGGTACTCATTGTAAGGGCATTCGGAACCTAACGACTGTAATTCCGTATGTATCATATAATCGATCAATCTGAAAATATCATGTTAATTGTTTGATAGTCATACTCAAGTATGCTAGAAGTACTATGAACTACGAATGAGGGACGGATTGTGGGTATGAAGATTTCATGGCGGCCTCTTCAAATTCTTATACACATGTCGCCAAAGTAACTTTGGCTATAGGCACTGCTGGCTCATTGTAACTGGAAATATGTGGATGTCAACGACGACATGATCACACGCCAATGAACTGCTAAATAGACTACGAAAAAAAGGCATAGAAGTTCAGGCGGCAGAAAGTAACAACAATCGAAACAATATGCTTAACTCAAGCTCGGGCGTTGATGCTTAAGCATGGGCATTTCGCTACTTTGACAGGCGTTCGATGCCAGAAAGTTTACTTTCGCAAGTTTTATGCTCACTTTGCGTTTCTATCATGTACTGCTTGTTGTTAGGGCGCGTGCAGTTACAACCACCTGCAAATACCTAATCTCCTACTCCGGGCGTGTCGCGCGCGCAATTTGCTACTACTGAAATGCTGCGTCTGCACCTTTCTGTGCCATCTCGCCGTTGATCTACTCGGTTCTCTGCTCCCTTCAACTCGAGGACTGACTGGCTGTCACCACCAAAAAAAAAATTTCTCGCCATCTGGCTACGGCCAAGACGTTTCCGTTAAGAAGTTGAGCGCTGTCCTGTCCCAGCCTGTTGCGCGCCACACACACACACACACACACACACACACACTTAAATGCACAGTGTCAAACAAGGATAGGTTGACATTGCTGAGCCACGCCATACAAGCGCACCACTTAGATAAAATTCAATAAGTAGCTACGATATCGCCGGCTTCTAGACTCGTCTCGAAGCTCGGATCCGTTCAAAGAGCAATATTTTCGTTTCCGAAACCTGTCTTTTTCAAGACATCTTTTCCTTCTCGTCACGGGCTTGAGCCTACTCAGTTACTACTCAGAGTTTTGGCGTAGTGAAATGGCTGCATGCGCAAAAGATGATGACACCTTTGCTTGTAGCGACGAAAATCTGATTCACAGGCCACCACCGGCAAGAATGCAGGCGCGCTTGAACCTGGCCACATCACTATCACCGCGCGTTTGCTTGTTAGCTTGCTTTTAAAACTGCAGCAGTGCCAGAGCAATGCATGACGGCTGATGAAACGAGCGTTGTAATCTTACCGTTATTTTTCATTGTAAAAGCGATTAGTCGTTTCATATAAATACTGAGTCGTATGCTTATCAGCCATAAGCCCGGAAAATCTGTTTAGGTTCGGCGACAGAAAAAATAATTAGGATTTTCCATCTCTCCTTTGTAAATTCTGAACTTTTCGCCATCCCTTCAGAGAATCTTTATCGCCAGTTTTCACCTGCACAAAACTAATCATCGTAACCTGTTTCACGCTCAACATACAATGACCAAGACCACAACGACTTCCAAGTTCTACGATCTATGTCCCCTGGACAAGAAAGGCCAGCCTTTTCCTTTCAAAAAGCTAGAAGGCAAAGTGGTGCTCATCGTGAACGTTGCCTCCAAGTGCGGCTTCACGCCGCAGTACGAGGACCTCCAAGAGCTCTACAAACGCTATCACGACAAAGGCCTGGAAATCATCGGGTTTCCTTGCAACCAGTTCGGCAAACAAGAGCCGGGATCTGACGAAGAGATTGGCCAATTCTGTCAGGTTAACTACGGTGTGTCTTTCCCAATCCTGAAAAAAGTCAACGTCAACGGCTCGGATGCCGATCCTGTCTTCGAGTATCTCAAAAACGAAAAATCCGGCATGCTGGGCTTCAAGGGCATCAAATGGAACTTTGAGAAGTTTCTCATCGACAAGGATGGTGTCATCCACGACCGCTACTCGTCGTTAACGAAGCCTGCGAACCTCGACCATACCGTCGAGAAGCTGCTCAACAAAAAGTAAGTAAAGAAAGACTTGTGTTTTTCCTTCGCTGGCAAAGCTTGTACATGTGTACATAAATCTAAGTAATTTCAAATGTAATCTGATGTTTATTTCCGAGAGATAACGCTAAGCTTATCGTTTCCCTGGCCCCAGCTCCTGTATTTACTCAGCTTTGGCCTTTTTCGCAACAGGCTCCGATTCAGGGGTCTCGGCGTCCCGCTTGACGCTTACACCGTCGATGTCGTTCGAGCCGTTTGCGCCTTTCGCACTGTTCGCGCCGTTCGTGCCGTTCGTGCCGTTCGCACCATTAGTGACATTAATTTCGTGACCGTTAATTTCGCTTTCTGCAGTTTCCGTAACCTCCAGCTTCGGTGCGTCTTCTTCCTCCTCCTCCTTCTCCTCCTTCTCCTCTTCCTTCTCCTCCTCCTCCTTCTTCTTCTCCTCCTCAGCTGCAACCCTAGCGTACTCATCCTCCTTAGCCAAGCGCTGCTTCATTTCTTCATCCAACACCACTCCCGAGTTGAACTCCTTCTCCAAACACTGCAACAAAGTTATCGTACGTCTGTTGAGCTCGATTGGAGTCCGGCTTTGAAAGAAAAAGTCCATTTCAAAAAGCGGACAGTTGCGGATCTCATCCCTGATCAGTTCGTACACGTTCTCGCGATCAATACCGTATTTGAATAGCATCAATAGTAAGAACCTGTCTTCTTCCTCGGAAAACACTCGCTTGTTACTATTTGAAGGTGGATATCTTAATGTAAGATCAAATAACGGATTGCTGCACTGTGCGATTTTACGGCGTAAAGATTCTTGTTGCAGCTTGGTTCGTCTTATCCTTTCTTCTTCCGCTTCAATATTCTTCACGTACCTTTCGTAATCTTCAACTCGTTGTATATTTGCCCAGAATGCTTTGGCATATTCCCTGATTTCCTGCTCGGTCTTGTGTGGTGCAAAATCCAACGCGATCGCTTTAATCGAGTTCCTCCCATATTTACCACAAGAAGCGATGAACTTACGGAAATCGTTCTTGTTCCAATTCGTGAAGCCCTCGGACTCTAAGTCGGCCTTCTGCTTCAATTCCTCCTCGCTCAGCGGTTGGGCGTTACTCACTGCAAGCAAGAGCATGTTTAATTTTTTTTGTTTCTCCTCCTCATCAGCGATTTCACCATATGTTGCCTTAACATCATCCATTGTTGGGATATAATTATTCTTCTTAGTATTCCACATTCTCTCCTTTTCATACAAAACCTTCAATTGAGGTGACAACAACTGATGACTATTAAATGGTTGGGGCCTTGGCATCCTAGGCTGGGCTGGGGTCGTCGACCTGCCAGGGTTCAATTTGTCCTTGTAGTACCCATCGATGTTGTAATTTTCCTTACGTTCACGTTTCGTGGGGTTTATTAAAGTTGGACTTATGATATCTTTATTGACTTTCTTTTTGAAATCTTGTCCATTCCACTCGTAGGCAGAGTCTTGATTAAATTTTTGTAGATCATCCAAACCAAGAGCTTCATATTTTGAATTAAGAGACTGTGTCTTGTCCTCAGATTTCGCTAGTAGGCCGTCAAGGTCGAAGTCTCCATCAACGTCACCAGAGGAATTTGGTTGCGGAGTGCCTTTGCTACTAGAAACCTCACTGTTAGAGTTGAAAACATCAGCAGCACCATGTTGAATCATCGTCAGCAAAGCGTCTTTGCTGTCGCCTTTCTTCAAGTCTTTGTTGTTGGCAGCGCCTCTACTCTGTTGTATGACCAGTTGGTCTAGTCTCAATTTTTGAGTAGCTCTTTCGAGGATCTTTTCTTCCACAGAATTGTCGGTCACTAGTCTGAACACTTTGACTTGTTTCTTCTGACCAATACGATGAGCTCTGTCCATGGCTTGCAAGTCCGCTTGTGGGTTCCAATCTGAATCATAAAGCACAACAATATCTGCAGTTGTCAAGTTGATACCCAGGCCACCGGCACGGGTAGTCAACAGAAACACAAATTTTTTGGAATCTGGTGCGTTGTATTCGTCAATCGCTTCGATTCTATCTTCATGCGCGGTTGATCCATCAATTCTGCAATATTCATATTCTCTAAAGTAGCAGTAGTCCTCCAAAATGTCTAAAACTCTGGACATTTGACTGAAGATCAAAACTCGGGACCCTTCTTCTTTGTACTTTTTCAGTAATTTGTCCAAAACTTTGAGCTTGGCGGAATTGTAAACTAGATGCTCGTCGGTAGTGTAAGGTGGCCCAGGTTCAGCACCGTCGAAAAGGTATGGATGATTGCAGCATTTTCTCAATTGCATCATAATATTTAAAAGCCTGGTCTTTGATTCTTTCGTACCGTTTGCACCATTTACAGCATCCAAATCCTTTTCTAAGATCTGTTTATACCACTTTTTTTGCATTGTCGACATCCCAATGTATAAATTGAGCTCCTGTTTGGGGAGAAGAGAGGTCTCGACTTCGTTTTTTAGTCTACGCAACAGAAATGGTTGTAAAACTGTGTGCAACTGCTTGACGATTGTATCCTTGTCTTCCTCAGTAGACTCTGAAGAGAACCAGTCATCGAAAGCTTGTGAATCTGAAAAAACGTCAGGAAGCAAAAAGTTTAATAAGGCCCAAAGCTCGTGAAGATTATTTTGTAGCGGTGTACCAGTAATAAGTAATCTGTTGCGAGAGCTAAACTCTCTGAGAACTTGAGAAAGCAACGATTCTTCGTTTTTGATTCTGTGAGCTTCATCAATGATAATATACTGCCAGTCGATCTTTTTAAATGCAGATTTCTCTCTGATAATGATCTCGTACGAGGCCACTACTATATCAAAGTCACAGGCTAGAAGTTTGCCAGATACCAACTTAGCTCTTTCTTCTTTGTCACCTTGCAAAATGAATGCACGCACTTCAGGTGTCCACCTATTAATTTCCCTGAGCCAGTTATTAAGTGTAGATTTGGGAGCGATAACAACAAACGGGCCGTTCGTTTTCTCGACGTACCGCAAATAGCCCAAAAACGCAATGGTTTGGAGAGTCTTTCCCAACCCCATCTCGTCAGCAAGAATTCCGGCTAGGCCATTTTTATGCAATGATACAAGCCAGTTAACTCCAAGAATCTGGTATGGCCTCAGAGACCCATTGACGAAGGGCGGTGATTCGCGAAATTGATAGTCAATCTCACCATCAACCTCGTCTTCCTCATCTCGTAATAGCTCAGCATCTTCTTCGGTCTCTGTCTTCCGCCTTCTTTTGTCCTTGTGTGCACTACTTTTAGATTTTGTATGATCAGGATTGTCCAAAATGTGCAGAACTTTCTGAAATTTGGCGTCTCTGGCAGCTTTTCGTTCGATGAAGTGCCTGAAAAGTCCACTTAGATTCAATAGATGCTGAAACCTCTTTATCGTTCCTTCCAAGTCGAAATCATGTTTCTTTTGATCTTTCAATAAGTACTGCTTCTTGTTGGCCTCTAGGTTCCACGCTGGGATACCCTCTTGGAAGGGTTTCAGTTTTTCTAAATACTCCTGATCGTCCATTGAGGCTTAGTGCTATCAGACTTAAGTTTAGTGACAGTCTAATACTGTAATAGTGACTGCTCTTTTGGGTGAGAAGTTTCCTACTTTCACGTTCACGTAATCCAATAAGCGTTTATATTCGCTACTAACAGGATTTTTAATTGATCCTATATTTTTGAGCATCATATGAGACGATCTGCGTCTTTGATCAAAGAATACAAATAGGTATATAGTTCAGAGCCCAAGCATATCTCCTTGGAGAGTCTCATGTCCATTCTTGAGTCTAGTGTCAACTTTTTGACTCATGCCGAGAGGCCTCCGTGTTGCTTGCGGATTTTTCGTGACCAATACGTTCTCATTGGTACGTATGACCTTGACAAGCCTAGTGGGGCAAGAACTGGCTCATTAGAAATTAGGGACGCCGAATTGATACTTTTAGAGAAGTACGATACATACTCTGCTGTTTTAGACCTAAAAATATCACCCTTCGATGACACTGTGATTGCATCTGCACACTCGATGGGAAATCTTCAGATTTGGCAAGTATGCTTGAATGAGAACGGCAGCTTCGTGAAGCTACGGGAATTGGCCAACTTACAGATCTTTGATACAGACGTGCTTATCACGTCTCTTCATTTTTCGCCGTCGAACCCTCATTGCTTGCTGGTGACGGCCACCACAGGTGAGACTAGGGTCATTGATATCGAACACGGAAGCACAAGCTTCTCGGCAACCCAGATTGCACGTCAATATGAAAAAGTTGAGCACCAACACATCCAAGTTCAGGGAAAGTCTACTTCGACAGTAGCCGTTCCGTCGAGGCCGTTACAACATGAGCATAGTTTGGAGTGTTGGACAGCTGAATTTGGTACTCTTTCACCAATTGAGAACGTTATATTCACAGGCGGCGACGACTCAACTATAGCTGCGCACGATATGCGTACGGGCGATAGCATATGGTCCAATTCTAGAATTCATGAAGCAGGTGTAGTGGCTATCAAGAGTAGTACAGAAACTTTTAGAAATTCCAAGCCCACAAGTATTATCACGGGCTCTTATGACGATCACATCCGTATGATAGACTTACGCATGCTGGGGAACTCCATCTACCCAGGTAACAACGTTCCAGCCGCGAACTCTACAACTTTAAATCTTGGTGGTGGAGTGTGGCGATTCGCTGAGTCCCCAGCGAACGCCAAATCAAACTCTCTGGATAAACTCCTTGTGTGCTGTATGTACGATGGAGCCAAGGTCGTAACCGTTGGCGCCGATGACGAGTTTGTCGTTGACAGCTACATTAAGAAAAACCACGACTCGATGTGCTACGGGGGCGACTGGAGCTCTGGGTTCATTGCTACCTGCTCATTTTATGACAAAGTTGTTCAGATATGGGAAGAGCCCCAGTGACTTGATCAAGAAGTAGGATTAAGTAGGTTGAGTTGAATTTTTGATAGAGTGAAGATGTTAATAATATGTTAATGATTGACGTAAGTAAGGTGTCGATAGTAACATCCGGCCATTTTTTGAAGTAAGCGGTGTGTTCCAACAACCAATACTTGCTACAATCTTTTAAATTATTTGAAAGCATTGACGCTCAATTCTGTACCCTGGTTTGACTTCTTGGACTATATCGTAGAATACGAAGTGTCCATAAGTGCAAGTGAGTTACGAAAATTTTATTATATGCAAGCTCATCGCACTAGTAGTTCTCTCATCAGCGCACATCGTTTGACATCTTCATACTTCACAAAATGCCTCCAAAAGAACCCCCCAAGAAGTGGAAGGCCCCAAAAGGTCCCAAGCCTATCCAACGTAAAAATAAGAATACCATCGGGCTTGGAAGAGCTATTCAAAGTGCTCGTCAAAAGGAAAATGAAGTAACAATTTTACCGGATGGTGAAGTACGGTTTACTACAGACAAGCATGAGGCAAACTGGGTAAAACTAAGATCTGTTACTCAGGAGTCGGCTTTGGACGAATTTTTGAGTACAGCAGAACTTGCTGATAAGGATTTCGCCGCCGACAGGCATTCAAATGTCAAGATTATTCGGATGGACGCTGGCAGCGACTCGAGATCCCAGGGTGTGTCTCTAAGTAATAGTGAGAAGCTGAAAATAAACGAAAAACATAGGAGTCAAGCCCGGAACTTGATTGTCCCAAGAAGACCTGCGTGGAACGAAAGCATGACGAGGTTTCAACTGGAGAGACAGGAGAAAGATGCATTTTTAGATTGGAGACGCAAGCTTGCCACTTTACAAGAAGCAAATGAAGATTTGTTACTGACGCCATTTGAAAGAAACATCGAAGTTTGGAGACAGTTGTGGAGAGTTATTGAAAGGTCAGATCTGGTGGTGCAGATTGTCGATGCTCGTGATCCACTGCTCTTTAGATCGAGAGACTTAGAACTATACGTTAAGGAGCTGAATGAAGGAAAGGAAAATCTGCTTCTTGTCAACAAGGCGGATTTACTGACGCGCAGACAAAGAATCAAATGGGCAAAATACTTCATCTCAAAGAATATATCCTTTACCTTCTTCTCTGCTGCTAGAGCAAATGAAATACTGGAGCAGCAGAATGAGCTTGGTGAGGACTTCGTTTACAAGGAAGTTGAGGAAGAGGAGATTTTGGAGATTGATGGCGAAAAGGTTGATCCAGAAGTTTTGGATAAAATTCAGATCCTGGAAATTGATCAACTAGAGAAGCTGTTCCTATCTAAAGCCCCGAAGCATCCGCTCCTAACTCCCTTGCCGGGACAGGATTCTATTATCCAGATCGGTCTGGTAGGTTACCCCAACGTAGGTAAATCGTCTACTATTAACGCTCTTGTTGGAGCCAAGAAAGTATCAGTTTCTGCCACCCCCGGTAAGACCAAGCACTTTCAAACAATTAAGCTTTCGGATCGTGTCATGCTATGTGACTGTCCTGGTTTAGTATTCCCTAACTTTGCTTACAACAAAGGAGAACTTGTTTGTAATGGTGTATTGCCCATCGATCAGCTCAAAGACTACATCGGGCCATGTAGCCTAGTAGCGGAGAGAGTGCCCAAATATTTCATCGAAGCAACCTATGGTATACATATTCAAACTAAGTCGGAGGAAGAAGGCGGGAGCGGGATACCCACCGCTCAAGAAATCCTGGTTTCTTATGCCAGAGCTCGTGGTTACATGACTCAAGGGTTTGGTGCCGCTGATGAATCCCGTGCCAGCAGATACATTTTGAAAGACTATGTTAATAGCAAGCTCCTGTACATCAATCCGCCACCTCACTTAAAAGACGATTCCCCGTATACCAAAGAGGAGTGTGAAGAGTTCAACAGAGAACTGTACAGTTTTGACAAACTTCCCCAATCTAGGCAAGAACAATTGACTGAAGCCGTCAAACACAAGAACCTCGAATCTTTCGACCTCGCTCGTGATCTAAGTAAATTGACATTTTCGGCGCACATTGGTAAAGAAGGCGAGAGTCAAGAGGCAAGATCCGTCAATCACGGTGGTAAGCAGGCTGCACTTTACAATGCTGCTCAGGACCTTGACAATGAGTTCTTCAACATGAGCAAGGTGCAGGGACAACTCGTAAGCCCTTTCCACAAGAATCAGCTCACCGCCAATAGCGGAAAGAAGCACAACAAGAACAACAAAAAGAGCAAGAAGAAGGCATTATTATCAGCAGACTAATACGTAGCATTATAGATTCAATTGATTGGCGATCTTAAACGTCACAGCTTCAAACCATACGGATTTAGGGCTACTCTTTCAACTAATGACTATCTCTTTAATTGTTTACCCGGACAACTTGACGCCCATCCAAATTATTTTCGGTATTAATTGAAAATTTGTGAGCAAGATAATACAATTGTCCGATATATACTCTTAATAAAAACATGGCTCTTAACACCTTCAACATGTTCAAACAAATCCACTATTTATCTAGATCGCTGTAGAGAGTATTTCTCGACAGCAATCGTGTTTTTTCGGAAACAAGGTACTTAGCAGATCCCACCACGCATGAAGAACAAGCTCAAGTAGCCCATAGTTGGATTATTCCTAACGCCCTTTTCGCTAACAACGACTGAAACCCACAGTACGTAGTTTGATAGTAGATGGGCGGAAATTTTGATAGGTTCTTTTTGAAGCTCTAATTCTCTGATCGGGCGAATGACCTTCACGTAGATGTAAATGCTAGCAACGCTTTCGTGTTGGTGTAGAGACCCTTAAGATCGAGTCTCCTGGTAACAAAACTAAAGTTGGCAATTATGTCGCTTGCTCTATTTGTAGCGAATAAACACCCGCATACAAATTGTAGCTGACTATTACCGTCTTCAAATTATCGCGCCATGCTGTTAACGTCGCATGAGAGAAATCGAGAAACACAATAACAGTACTAGCAATCAACATTGATTAACATATTTTGGAGCTACAATGGAGAGTGATCAGTAACATCAATTGATTACAAAGAGGCCAAACCTGAAAGAGATGGCCATTAATGGCGCTTAGTTTGTCCACAGTGGTGAGCGTCAAGATGGCAGGTTTCCAGATATGCTCTGCGTCTTCCTTTATGACTCGGTACTGTAGAAGTCTACATTCGAAATGTACTGGTACATGAAAGCCACGCTCGAGATTAAGGATCTACCTGAATTCTTTTCGTCGACTGTATGTTCATTGGTGCCATCGATCAGCAAACCTCCGCTGTATCGATAGATTTTTTTGGTCAAGTTCCAATAAGATTTTGTGTCAGTGTTTCCTGTGCTCAGGGCAGGAGTGACGTAGACGTTAGCTTCTTTTCCTCCAAATGCCTTCTCCTTGTACATGCTCACAGTAGTACCAGCAATAATGTTCCAGACCTCGCTGCCAATTGTTGGAGAGATAGGGGCAGGCTCTAATGGGTCAAGTAATTTTATGACAATGCGGCCGTTGACGGTATCTGGCTTTAGTGACACTGAGTTGTCTTCTGTGGCGTCACGTCCACTGAGAACCTTTATGCCAAGATCAAATCTATTGGCCGTGTCTCGAACATGTAACAAGATATGTTCTAAAGTCTCATTGACTGAAGAGTGTAGCGCAATCCTATTGTTAACAAGTACTGTTGCAGATTCGGGAAGCGCATTGGCCTTGACGCCTCCGGATATAACATCTAGGGCTTGAGAAGTCTTGAACAAGTACTTAAACTCTGGTTTGTAATCTAGCGTTGCTTCGAGCTTTTCTATGGAGCCCTCAATCAAGTGCTTTTCGATATTCTTGTCTTGGATTGCGCCAAACTTTGTAAAGCACTTAAGGGTATCGAAAGCGGGGTTCGTCTCATTGACCAAAATTTGGTAAGTGTCATTCTCCAAAGAAGCCATCAACTTGCTTAGAATACCGATAGATGTATGATCTGGAGGTACCGAGGAATGACCTCCAGGCGCGAACAAAGTAATTTCAGCATCTAGGTAACCCTTCTCCGCAGTTACTGGCACGGCAAAAAAGGATCCGTTTCTTTCCACCACGCCCCCACCCTCGTCTAAAATAGCATAAATGCTGTCACGCCCATACCTTTTCTCGATATGCTTTGCAAGGTCGGTGGCGCATGCTCCCGAAGCCTCCTCATCGCATCCTAGCGAAATCAAAATCGTTCGCTTTGGCTTGAACCCATCCTTGATTAATTTTTCACTTGCCTCCAGATGAGATATTACCATATCTTTGATGTCAGCAGTACCGCGCCCATATATTAAATCCTCGGTATCATTATAAAAGCCGCTGAATGGTGGGTGAGTCCAGGAGCCGACTGTATTGGGGTCAACGGGTACAACGTCTTGATGCGCCATCAATACCAATGGTTTGAGACTAGAGTTTGAGCCTTTCCAGGTATAGAGAAGTCCGTATCCTCCCGCATTTTCGACGTCTAAAGTCTTGTAAAGTAAAGGAAATTGCTCTTCGAGGTAAATATGCAGATTTTGGAAGTTCTTCCAAACAGCCAAGTCTGGAGAAGGTTTAGGTGTATCATCAAATATTTCTGTCGGAATTTGGATCGCTCCTGCGAGTTTATCGATGACGCCTCGTTTGTATTCCGAATCATACATAATTTCGTCCAGCGAGTTTGTGAAAGCGGGTTTCAAGGGCCCATATATGCCACACTCTGTGCAAATATCCTTTTTATCCCCTGTGTAACTAAATTTGTAGACCGTGAGCGAAGCTAACCCTATAATCGCACCAATCGCAACGACCAATGCGGGCAAGACCCGCTTGCTTTTTTTTTGGAGGAACGCCCTTTCCTCTCTCAATGGTTGGTAATCTGACATCCGTCTCATTCTTATTTGTAAAAAGTGTTATAGTGCTTTGGTCTTTCAGGTGAGTAGCGTTGAGAGAAACTCACGGTCCTCAATTAATATGTAGATCTAAGCAAACTTGGCAATATGGGTTTCCACTCGCTGAATATTGGCACCTTGTCAGATCCTTTGCCAAGCAATCAAAGCTATATATTGAAATTAATTCGAGTACCGTTGAATAAGTACGTATATATAGTTACATAGTAATAGTTGAAGCGCCGTCACAAGTATTTTAATTATTAAGATAACGAAAATCAAATAATTTCATCCACGTACCAAAGCGGCAGAGCGGCAAATGACGAGTTGTACCAACAACTTTTCCCACATAAGGCAAGCATTGGAACCTTGCGTGTCTGAGGGGTTCAATTCGGATGAAGATCCCATCCTTCGAAATGTTCTCAGTACGAAGTTGCTAGCAAACCTAAACATTTTGAGGAAAATGGCAGTGGAAAGCGAATTAGGACTGCGAACAGAAAGACCGAGTGACCTCAATAGTTACCGAAACAACTTCAACGAGCTAGAGTGTACAGCATTGATGGTTCGGTGTGTCTCTACTAATGCTATAAAAGAACAGTACGCACAGCAAACAGAGTTGTCAAGGAGGAAACGATTAAGTGTTGACTTTGACTCAGAAAAAATACCAGAAGAGCTCGAAAAATCTGACAATAGTCTCCAATCTAGTACTGTTGGCAGCTCCTCTTGTCCTGATGATGATGAAAGTCTTGGCGATTTGAGAAACCGACTATTGGGCAACAAACTTGAAAATCATGAGTCGGGTGCAGGGCTCAATACCTCGATGGAGAAGCAAATGCAAGTGCAGGATAACTTACAAGAAGAACTGATCAACGATATGTCACAGTTAGTTTCAGGATTGAGGATGGGTGCGGAAGCGTTTCAGACGGCACTAAATGAGGATTCGACGATCCTCAAAGCTACAGAGCTCGGCTTGCAAGCAACGTCGCGCAGCTTGACCAACCTCGGAGGCAAACTGAAAAAATATCATAACTCCAAGGTAGGGCTGCTGTTTTATCTTGGATGCATATTATTCATGTTCCTCAGTCTCATCGTCACGTATTTGGTCATAAAAATATTTCCTAAGATGTGAGTTTTGTCTAAATTGATGCGCACTACGAATTTCCGAGTCAATCGTATGCATCGGGCGTGGTTGGCAAGCAATCACCAAGTGTGACGCTCGTGCCTGATCAGAGTTCGAGGAGTTGAAGCCGATACAATCCCGCCAAAGCTTCTTCATGGCACTTCCATATTTTTTGAGGAGATGAGCGCTATATCAGACTCTTTATTGAGCAGTTGTGTGCTGTTAGCTGCAAGTCTCGGTGAAGTTTCATTTATAAATAAAAAGAGATTTTGAACGAGCCCAAGCCGCTCCCTTCATTTTGTTCCATACCATTACGTTTCGGGAGGTCACAGTTATGATCGATGTTGTAGACGTCTTAACATCTGACTATATTGAAAAAGACAGGAACATTGCAAAAATGACGCACAAATAGGACTTATAGCTTAATTTAGTGCACTCAAATTTAATAGCGGTTGCGTTACATTTTATAAAATCATTGACAAACCCAATTTATCGATGAACAATTTGCCCTCATAAAACTTGTCTCTTCTATTTTTATATTTCAAGCTTGTCACTCACTTCACGTCTCTTCACGCTACTTTATTCGATATCAAATAGCATCCGTAATTATGAGTGGAAAAGGACCTGCCTTCAGTAGCTTATACAAGTTCAAGGAGCTGTATTATTCTTTTCGCCCAAGCAATCCAGCATACACTCCAGAACAATATCCCGATCTCAATGGTAAATTGGCCGTTATAACCGGCGCAAATACTGGTATTGGATTTGAAGTGATGAAATTACTGTATTCGAAAAACTGCAATGTTATATGCATCGTGAGAAGCCAGGAAAAGGGTTTAGAGGCTCGCAAACGTGTTTTGGACGAGGTGAAAGGCAGTTTCGGTTCGATTCAGGTTGTAGGGGGATGTGAACTGGGGTCGCTGGCCAAGGTCAGAACGGCTGCAAACGAAATTACCAAAGCTATTGGCGGAAGGCCTGTCTGCCTCATAGTTCATAACGCCGGAGTTATGCCTCGTGCTAACACTGACACATCCGAAGATGGATTCGAGAAAATGTTTGCAGTGAACGTTATGGGCCCGCAACTCTTGCAGCATTATCTGGACCCGTTGTTCTTGAAGAAGGACGATGACATGAAGCGTATAGTGTGGGTCTCGTCTTGCGCGCATTTCTATGGGTTCAGTGATTACGGGATTAACTGGGAAAACCCAACTTTCGAAAATGTCGAGCTCAAGGACAGACCCTCAGCCCTGACTTTGTATGGGCAGTCTAAAGCCGCTAATATCTTCCAAGCAAAAGCCTGGGCTACAAAGCATAAGGCAATCGTCGATAATATTGGATGCGTTTCTGTTTCCTGCTTTCCCGGCCTGATTCAGTCCGATTTACAAAGAGATATAACATCTTCGTGGGCTAAAAAGGCTATGAGTACTATACTTTTTAAAAGCTACTATGGTGCTTATACTGAACTATTTGCTGCTCTTTCTCCAAAATTGAAAATCACTGACCAAGGCGCTTACATCGTACCCTTTGGTGAAATTCATGACCCTAGGTGTGACATCAAGAGTGGGCTCGAAAATGGGACAGACTTAAAACTATGGGACTTTGTAGAGTCAAAGATATCTGCTTTCTTTTGAGATGTGCGGCGGAAGAGACGCTTGATACGTAAAGGACTTTAAAATATTGCCAGCCGTGATTGGACCATGCCGCACTCTCATTCGTTGATAGATCAAACAAACTATACAGATAGAACAAATCCTCCATGACCAATGCTTGTTGCTTAGCGCTCCTCTAATATACATCTATAAATGCCTTTAAGACTGACTACTGCACATCTAGCATTAAGTCATCCTTGTTCTCAAGGTTGTTTACAAACTCTCTACTTTCACCTGCGAGCAGTTCACGTCTAATTTCGGGACCAATAGATTTGTGACCTCTTTGACGAACCGTTTCTAACAAAAAGTCTCTTTGATCTTGGGTGATATCATTCTTGTACCGTTGAGCAAAAGATAGGAACGCTTTGTGCCAAACAACGGGCAAAGTTCTCTCGCCGTCATCGCCATTGCTTCTGTCATCTAATATTCTGAATCTCATGAAATAATAAACGCAGTCGTCAACAGTTTGATAAGGAAGCGCGTACTTCTTTTCCAATAAAATCTTAATAAACACAGTGGTGGCAGGCGAGAACGGTAATCTTAGTAGATAACTCAGCGCAGCTGATGAGTGCAGAGCAGGAATGGAAATCTTTGCCAACACACTTCCACCAATAGTTGCCTCACGAATATTGCAGCCGGTCTCTACTAATGGAAATAGAAAACCCTTAAAAAAGGCACTTGGTTTATAGAGAGATTTCTTTAATGCTCTGTAAATGTGGTAATTCAACGAGTGATCTTCGTTATTCTCAATGTTATCGCGAAAACGATCCAAAAGAACTATATTAATGAATTTTTGAGCCTCCCTCGCGGACAAGTTAGAAACAAAAAGCTTCGTGGCCTCATAAACAAGTTGAGGGGACCATTCTGTTGGATTTGTCACGTACAAGACGTCTTGCCAGTTGTTTAAAGAAGGAATCACTTTGAAAAGCTTGGGAAGTTTCCCGTGGGTCCATGTTTTAAGGATTGATCCAACGGTAGTGTAAGCTCTGATGACTTTTGATGGAAGCGCGACACCTTCATCTGGAGCATCAGCGTTGGCAGAACCATCCATGTTACCATCAGGTTTGCCTGCATCTAGCTGCGATTCTTTTTCACGGATAGACGCCATGATCTTATCTGCCAGATTGTAGCTCTGGAAGTCCGAATTAAAGTCAGTTGATTTTTTGAAATATTGTTCGAACATCGCGGCATCTTCCTCGTCGATCTCCACTACTTCCTCTTCTTCTCCCTGGTCATCATTTTCGTCGTAAGGTTCGAAATCTGATATGTCCTCAGCCAAGGCTTCATCGTCTTCCTCATCGTCATCATCATTTTGGCTTTGTCTTCCGATGCGAAACCTAGCAAAAGGGTCCGTTTGTTCCACCTTGAGCTTATCATCCTCTTCTTCGATTTCCTGTTGCTGCTCCTTAGCCAATGTCAAAATTTTTCTTGAGGCCGCCGCGTCCACGTAGTCCTCATCTTGGATCTCATCACCATCTTGTCTACCATCACTCTTTTTCGAAGCTTTTCTTAAATTTCCATGAGCCGAGTCTAGATCCTTTAACAGCGGATCATGTCTTTGTTTCCTGGCTTTGCTGCTCGCGACTCTCCCCATAACTCTAGAGTCACCTTTCTTACTCTGAAATTTGAAGAAGTTTGTATCTTAAAAGCGATGAGATGAGATGAGATGTGCTTAAAATGCTAGCTGGAAAATTTTCAATATTCGAAAAATATTCGCGTCAGAATAAGATAAAATGACTTTACTATGAAGTTAATTAGGATGATTTGTATGCAAGGCTACAGTGCTGATACAAACAGTATATTTAGCTTCCTGGATAGGCCAGTACTTTGTAAATATCTTTCAAATGTTGCAGGAGCCGACAAACATATATTACGGTGCCTCCTCCACAAACGAGGATGGAAATTCCACATAGCACCACCGCGACACCGGAAGTACATATCGCCAGACCCGTTGCATAGGCCGTTATAAGTGTGCCAAAATCACAGAAGATGTTAGCAATTTCATTAATTGAACCATGAAGATCGCCCCCAATAACCATTTCCTCAACTTTCTTGGCAATGCCTTCTCCCACGAGTCTTCCGACCGTCAGTTCATCGAGCGGGTTTGCAATATTCAGTAATTCTGGGCGATAATGGGGTTCAAGTGGCGAAAATCTGTTTTCAACCATAAGGGCAATGTCTTGAAAATCTGTGGTAAGTTTCTGTAGTTTCTTCAATAAGAGTGCTGCTTGCGACTTCAGATTTTCAGTTGAAAGTAGTTTGAGCTCGCTATTGAGAACTTGGCTTTGTTTTTTGACCGCTTGCTCAATTTGTTGTCGCGCAGGTTCCCATTCTGGACCCGCGAGGTCTTGTAGGATTTGGTTACTCAAATTTTCCAGCGACTGGCAATGAGAATATACTTGTTCTGCAATTCCAATTGTCGAGTCAAACGTATACAAGTCCAACAAATGCTTCTCTACCCTTATTATTACTCGCTGTATATTCGATCCCCAGTGAGTGACAGCAGTAGCAGGTAGAGCCGAAGTGGATTGGAAATCACTGGCACCGTTGAATTCGCTACGCCACTCCAAGGCTGCTACTTCCTGCCAAGGAAAAGCATCCTTGGAACTTCCATAATTTTCTGAACCGAGGACAGCTGTGCAAAAAGTTATCGTGAAGAAGAAAGCTTGGGCTTTCATGGATGACAGTGACATGTTGCACGCTTTTTGTTTTTATGGTTTGTTAGATGTTGAGCTTAGGGAGTGCGAAGTCCACACAATAGCCAGATTAAATACACGATTCGTTACATGGCGAAACTCGCATCACTATAGTGAATCTGAATTCAACAACCTCAAGTGCCTTACAGATTTAGTGAAACCTTTAGAGTTGCCTTCTCTTATTATGGTTTATGGTCATTTGTAACGATGTGGTGAAATCTCGAATTTATAAAATTTCCCGGTGTTGACATTATTCAAGGCTCGTCGGCAATCAGGATCTGCCAGTGCTTTGCAATACTGCTAGATAAAGGTTTGTATTTTAATTACCCATACTGACGACTATGAGCAAGCGTTCTGCGAGCCCTAGTCTGACGCCAACGAAAAGGACCAAGAAACATTTAGTGTCCACTATTCACAAACACTATGCTGCGATCAACAACCAAGATGATTTCAAGTCCATGTACTTAGCTGTTCAGCCCATCAACATTTTTTGCTGGGGCACCGGCTCCATGTGCGAACTGGGACTAGGTCCGCGTGCCAAAAATAAGGAGGTCAAAAGACCACGTTTGAATCCGTTTTTGCCAAAAGATCAAGCCAAAATCGTCTCGTTTGCGGTGGGAGGTATGCACGTACTAGCGCTCGGCCAGGATAACAGCGTGTGGTCATGGGGAACAAATGATTCCGGAGCCTTGGGACGTGACACGTCGGGTGCCAATGTTCAATTGAAGGATATGGACGCTGATAACAGCAGCGATGACGAGGACGGAGACCTGAACGATGAAGAAAGTACTCCTACCAAGCTTGGTGAGGGATCTCTACCTTTAAAGGAACATAAAGTCGTTCAATTAGCTGCCACGGACAATCTGAGTGCTGCTCTGCTTGATAACGGGGAGGTTTACGCTTGGGGAACTTTTAGATGCAATGAAGGTACTCTAGGTTTCTACAAAGACACTATAAAGCTACAAAAAACTCCATGGAAGGTCCCGGCCTTCTCAAATTCTAGGATAGTACAGATGGCCGCTGGAAAGGATCATATTTTGTTCCTAGACGAAGGAGGAATTGTGTATGCATGGGGTAATGGTCAACAGTACCAGCTGGGCAGAAAAATCATGGAACGTTCTCGTTTGAGAACTTTAGATCCAAGAACATTCGGTTTGGACAAGATTAAGTACATCGCGTCTGGCGAAAACCACTCTTTTGCCTTAACCAAAGATGGCAAACTTTACAGTTGGGGTCTTAACCAATTTGGCCAATGCGGTGTCTCTGAGGATGTAGAGGACGGTGCTTTAGTCACTGTCCCTACTGAGGTTTTGTTACCTGAGGGAACAAATGTGAAGATGGTTTCCGCGGGTGAACATCACTCATTAGTTCTCACTGAAGAGGGGGAGCTATTTACTTTCGGGAGATTCGACATGTTTGAAATTGGTATCGCTAAAGACAAACTACCGGAACAAACTTACATAGATGCTCATGGCAAACCTCGTGCCGTGCCAATTCCCACAAAACTTACAGACGTTCCTCGCTTCAAGAACATCGCTACCGGATCTCATCACTCATTAGCGATCTCTGAGGATGGTATCGTTTATTCTTGGGGATTTGGTGAAACATATGCAGTAGGCCTAGGTCCATCTGGAGATGACATTGAGGTTCCAACTCGAATTAAGAACACAGCTACTCAGGATCAGAACATTTTGTTTGTCGGGGGAGGTGGACAATTCTCAGTCTCCGGCGGTGTCAAGTTAAGCGACGACGACGCTGAAAAGAGGGCCGATAAATATGACGATTGATGAAAACGAAAGCTATCACCATTTTCATCCCAATCCCTTTCAATTAAAAAAGTGTACCAATAGATCGAAGTTATGCTATGATAAGCATGTCAATTGTATTAAAAAAAACGAATTAAATGCTTAACGGCATAGTGATAAGTGGCAGTTGAGGACGCACATTTACTTAAGCACTTTATAAAATGAGAAGCATTAAAATTATGAGAAATTATATTTAGAGTTTGCGATATTGCAATTTATAAGATGGTTGATCTGTCCTCATCCATCCTTACCTTGTAGCCGCTCTTCAACAAGTGTTTTTTTACGTCGGCTACGGTGAATTCGCCTCTGTGGAACATACCTGCACCTAAACAAGCGTCAGCTCTAGTCTTCTTAAACGCTTCTTCAAAGTGCTGCGGAACACCTGCACCGCTGGATGCAATTACTGGAATACTAACGGCGCCTTTAGCGTGTTCTATCAGTTCCAGATCGTATCCCGAATTTGAGCCATCTTTATCAATGCAGTTGAGGAGCACTTCGCCAGCACCCAAAGCTTCACAAGCCCGTGTAAGCTCCCATACGCCCAAGTCTCTACTTTCTCTTCCACCCATGATCGTGCACTGGTACCAGCACCATTCCTGGCCCTTTTCGTTAGGATACTTGGTTTTGATTGTCTTATGTTTGGTTTGTTCGGGCCCATCAACGTACACTCTCTTGGGATCCACGGAAATAACTACTGCCTGTGCACCGTAGGATTTGGAAATAGTTTCAATGGGAGAAGTGCCATCACCGCGTCCGCCACGTTCGTAATATTTTTCAGCAGCATATACAGCGTCCGAACCGATAGATATTTTGTCGGCACCGGAGTTGAAGTACAAGGTTGCTACCTGAAGAGCAGGAACATGCGTTCCGTCGACGTCTACAATGTCTTTAATACCACCACCAACGGTTAGTGGTACAAAAACTGTTTTTGCAGCCATTTTGAGAACATCAAGCATGGGTGTGTCCTTCAGTGGGCAGTCTCTAAAACTGGTAATGTTTAAAAACGTCACTTCATCAGCGCCTTGTTCGTAATACTTTCTGGCCATTTCAACAGGTTTGCCCAAGTTTCTGACATTCCCACCCTCTTCTTTCTCGCGCACGTCGTATTGATCACCTTTCGTGACCACTAGATCGCCTTGGTCGTTGGTGCGAACATCCAAACATGCAATGATTCTTCTACTCAATCCGTAATTCGAATAGTCGTTTAACAACAATGAATTTTCGTGATCCGAGTGTTTGATAATAGGGTGAGTTTGTTCAATGAAATTCTTCAGAATGGCCAAACCGGCGTGTCCTGATTTTTCTGGGTGAAATTGGGTAGCAAAGATATTGCCTTTTGCAATTGCTGCGATGTATTCCTGAGAGCCATATCTAGCCGTTGCAATGTTCCAACCGGCACTGTCCAGCGCAGATTTGGTAGCCGAGTCGAGAACTGCGGCATACGAGTGCACGAAGTAATATCTGTTGCAAGGGTCTAAACCGAACAGATTTTCATGTGGCGTGCAGGTGTTCCAACCAATTGCTGGGACCGGTTTCTCCGATGAGTCAAATTTTTCTAGTTTGAAATCTAAGAAGCCCAAGCCTGAGCTCTTAGGCGATTCCTCTGATCCCGCGAAGAAAGATTGCAACCCAACGCAGATGCCCATGATGGGTTTTCCAGAGGCGATGTATTCTCTGACAGGCTTTTCAAAGCCCTTAGATGTCAAACTGTCGAGGAAATGACCAAAATTTCCGACACCAGGTAGCATTAGTCTTTCCGCCGCTGCCAATTCAGGATCATCGGCAGATTTGACTATTTGAGCTTTGAAGCCAAGGATTTCGATGGCATTGATTAACGATTGCAGATTACCGCTCTCGACGTCAATAATGTGAACTGTGGTCATTATCGATATCTTCAATTTACGCGAACTATTATATTCAGCAGCTGCCTATCAAAATCAAGAAAGGAGGATATACCACACGAATTGAGGATAGCAAAATGAGAAATGCTTAAATATTCGATTTATTTCACAATGGATTCCAGTTCATCTTGGTGACTCAGATATTTTTCACAGACTTTGAAGATGGCACTTATTACGAGAAATCAGCGATGCTTGGAAATTAAAGAACTTTTGATCCACTCAGAATACTTAAAAAAGACCAAGAGTGTCTGACTGATTACATTGCTAAGTAATTTGTATTTCTAACGACTCGGAATCAATAAGCTTCCACAAGCGTCCTACAAATCTGAATTTTGCCTTTTTACCAGAAACCAAAGATAGATATATTAAATGAAAAGGTTCTTATATATAAAGAAAATAACTAACAATTTTTTTCACCACGCATAAAGCCTGTTAGCGTGCCACGGGTGAACAGGCACGTACCAGTGCGGAAACAGTGCACTGAAATTTTCTCATTTTCTTGTTGTTTCCGCTTTCTTGTTCATTTCCCATACACGAAGCTTCTTAAGCCGAGGACTTTTTAACCTCTCTTCTTTGCTTTACGGCGTTGGCCAATTTGCGCAAAACTTCTTCGGTAGTTTCCCAGCCTATGCAGCCATCGGTGATGGAGACACCATATTTGAGGCCGGCTTTACCTTCGGCAGGAATCGATTGTTTACCCTCGTTGATGTGGGATTCGATCATAACACCAATAATCTTGTCTTCGCCGTTGGCAATTTGTTCACAAACAGCATCGTTTACCTTAGGCTGGTTTCTGTAGTCCTTGCTGGAGTTTCCGTGGGAACAGTCAACCATCAAAGAGGCGCCCGCAGGCAATTGAGCCTTAGCCTCAGCCACGGCTTTAGCGTCGTAGTTTGTACCCTTGGTACCTCCTCTCAAGATCACGAAACAGTGCTCGTTACCTTTGGTGGTAATGATTGCGGCAAACCCGTGCTTGGTAACACCCATGAAGTGGTGCGAGTGCGAGGCGGCCAACATGGCATCGACAGCGACTCCCAAGGTACCGTCAGTGCCGTTCTTGAATCCAACTGGGAAAGACAACCCCGAGGCCAACTCTCTGTGCAGCTGGGATTCGGTGGTTCTAGCACCAATAGCACCGAACGACAATAGATCAGCCAAATACTGAGGAGATATGGTGTCCAGCATCTCGGACCCGATTGGCAAACCCTCGCTGGTGAGGTTTACAAACAACTGTCTGGCGTATTGCAGACCCTTATTAATGTTGAAGGTGTTGTCGACGTCCGGGTCGTTGATCAAACCTTTCCAGCCAACGGTAGTTCTTGGCTTCTCGAGGTAGGCTCTCATAATGACGCAAATTTCACCCTCTAGCTCATCAGATAGCTTCTTTAGACGTCTGGCGTATTCCTGAGCCAAGTCTAGGTCGTGGATGGAGCAAGGACCCACAATAACCAAAACTCTGTCGTCTTTACCAGTAATAATTTGGCTGGCTTCTCTTCTACCTTTTTGAACGGTTTCCAGACACGCATTGGTGGCTGGAATCTGAGACTGTAGCAAAGCTGGTGAGACCAAAGGATCAAGCCCAAGGATTCTGACATCCTCGGCTTGTTCAAGTACGTCTTTTCTTACTGGCGATGCACTCATTTTCTTATTATTATTATTTTGAATGTGTAACGGTCTGTCAGATCTAATCACTGGCGATGGACTTAATACGAATAACTAGGATCAAATTCAAAGCTAGTTTAAGCGGTTTCTAAAAGCTGCCTATGGTATGTCAAGTTGACTTATTTAAATAATCGTAAATGGCGAAACCTACGTAAGAACACACTACCGGTGAAGCGATGGGCGGGCATGACTCAAATTTTTCATGAAAAATTTGATGAAAGGAAAGCATGGGCCTCGAATTGAGCTCGAAGAAAGCGACGATGAGCTAATGAAAATTGCGAAACTTTGCACCGGGAGACGAAACAAATTTCCGTAGAGAACATAAGGTGACAATATCAGAAGATTTTTAGTCGGCCTTACTTTGACCAATAAAGGGAGATGGCTATGGCGCTCAAGAAAGAAAACACAACATCTGATAATTTATCTTGATTTTAGATCAGCATTCGGTGCTGGACCCCGCAGTTTCGTGGTCGCAGGTCGGTGTACGACGGGTACATGAATTTTTCTCTGCATGTTGAGGATAACGTCTGGACGTGAGGGTGTTAATTCGTGCGTTCATCGTCGCATACTTAGCATCTTCCGTCGTTAATCGCTAGCGAAGTAAAGCCGACCCTCCCATGGCCTTAACGACTGCTTCTGGCCACTCTCTAAAGGATAATTGCCAAAGAAGGGCGTGTAGGTAGCATTCTCATCTGGCACCGTAAAATCGCAGGGCTCAGAGGAAAAGTTCAAAGCAGCAAACAAAGTGCGAGGTTCGCTGTCATCGCCAGAGCTCTTGGTGAACATAACCAGTTTTTGGTGGTCCAGATTATGGAATTCGAAGTCCTGGCCGTATACTAGGAAATTCTTGTGTTTTTTCCTCACTAGTAGCGCCTGGCGCCAATAGTTGAGCACTGATTCTGGATCATGTTCTTCGTCCTCGACGTTAATACCGTCCCGGAAAGTATCATTGACCTCCAGCCAGGGCTTGGGCGCGCCTTGTCCACCGTGAACACTGAAACCTGCATCAGGCTCGCGGGAAGACCAGGGAAATGGATTTCTGGAATGGTCGCGTGAAAACAAAGCGACACCTTCCTCAAATTTCCGCATGTGTACAGAATCATCCCCATGTTTTTCGCGAATCAAGTTACGATTATTCTGAACGTCTACGTCTTCATATTGGTCCAGAGTCCATCCGATATTGTTGGTTTGACCCAACTCTTGCCCCTGGTAAATATATAGCGTGCCGGTCAGCGAGATTTCTAACAATGCTAAAAGTTTTGCAGAAATATTACGCCACAATGGAGAGTCGTCCCCAAACCTCGTCACGCTGCGTGGCTGGTCATGGTTTTCCAAATAGATCGTGGACCAACTGTCAGTACGGTTGGCAAATTGGAAGCTTTCGGCAATGGCCTCTTTCCACTCTTTCAAAGTGAATGGAGTGACGTTATACCTGAATAACTCTGTAGCACCAACGTTGATATGCGCAAAGTGGAATAGTTGACTCATCTCGCGCTCGTTCTCGCTAGTGTACAGTAAACGCCCTTCAATGGTACAATCCCCAACCTCGCCCACAGTGAAGATCTCTCTCCCGTCCTGAACTTGTTCGTCGAAGTATTGACGCATTTCCTTGTGAAATTCGTGAATTCTCGGTCCGTTCCGAGTAATTTCTCCGGGGTACTGAAACTCACTGTCAGGATCAGTGATTTCGGCATCTGGCAATCCATCTGCCTTAGAATAGAGTCCTGCGGTGTCGATGCGGAATCCGTCGATGCCATGGCGGAGCCAAAACCCAGCGGACGACTCGTAGAGGTGTTTACGCATATCTTCGTTTTCCCAGTTAAAATCTGGCTGTTTGGAGGCAAACAAACGCAGGTAGAACTCTTGAGTCTTTTCATCCCATTCCCACGCTGAGCCTCCGAAGAACGATTTCCAGTTATTGGGCGGAATTGGTTTCCCTGCAGCGTCGAGACCTTTGGCCGGCTTCCAAATAAACCAATCGCGTTTCGCGTTACTTTTTGATGAGCGCGATTCTTGAAACCACTTGTGCTCCGATGAGCAGTGGTTGATGACCAAATCGACGACAACTTTGATACCCGCATCGTGGCACTTTTGAATTAATTCGTAACAGTCTTCGTTGGTACCGTAGCGCGGCCACACTTTTTCGTAATCGGAAATATCGTAGCCCATGTCTTGCTGTGGAGAATCGTAAAATGGACAGATCCAGATAGCGTCCACGCCCAAGCGTTTGAGATAAGGCAATTTTGAAGTAATGCCGGGCAAATCGCCCCAGCCATCATTGTTGCTGTCTTTAAAACTAGCAGGATATATCTGGTAAACGGAGGCTTCCTTCCACCACTTTTGTTGCAGGCGAGTCATTGAATTATCGATATTTATCAAAGTCAATAATAATGCCCTTTATCTTAAACTACCCCAGATTTAAAAAAAATTCCACTCGATAAGGTGCGATTTTATAGTCAGTATTTCGACGTTCGACATTGAATCGTTGGACAGAAACTGGTTTCTCCCCAGGTTTAATTACTCAGCCAATTCAGGCGTTTGGAACTTGTGGTTCCCCACAAACAAACATTTCAGAACCCTAGTGAAGCCTTGCACAGCAGCTTAGTTAGTTATTCGTTGTTTCCGGTAAACCAATAAGCGGACCGCAGTTTGTATGTGAATAAAGCTCATGAAAGCCGTTGAACATCAAACAACGACATCCCTTTGTGTTTGCGAACCTGTGCTTGATGTTGTTGGCCAGAGAAGAAAAGTGGTTGTTGTTTGGATTTTGAGTGCGTAGGGTGTGTAAAATTAGATTTTGATTCGGACTCTCGGAGCTTGCAGATAGTGAGTCGCGATACGCCCATGACGAATTGAGCAGCGCTAGCTTCGAGGCCATGTGGGTCAGAATGCGGGGCCATGGAGCTGTTGTGGGACTCTAGAAAGAAGAGTGTGGAGGACTTGCGTGGGCGTGGGTGGTAGGGTCAAATATTTGCAAGAGCAGACTATCTTTGTCTTTGTTCTTTTTTTTTGTAGCACTTGAGATCAGTTGTCTGGCTCCTAGTGAGGAGTGGCCTCGCGCATACTCTGCAAGAGAGCTCTTGCAGAGTATAGCGCAAGAGCTGTTGATATCGGGTCACTATGTACTAAACTTCCAGGGTGGTAAGGTTTGTACATAAGGTTGGAACATCGAGGTAAAACGGGACAGATACGTAGCCATCCTGATGGTATCACTTGGCCAAAATTGAGAAAGCCTCATTGACCTTAATGTCCTACTCTATCGTTCCGGTCGCGGAGTGTCGCTATATACGAGCTAGTTTCATGTTTTCGAAGCCCCAACACGTATTGGACAGAGGGGAATAAAGTGACAATCTGTATGTTTACTTGACTAGCCTAGATACACCTTGAGTAGTAGAAGTTAACAGAGTTGGTAAGACAAGTAACAGTGTGTAATGTAAACAAAATATGTGGTGAGGAATGGATTTTAAACGTGCGTAAAAGAGTAATGAGGATGTGTATGATGAGGAGGTTGCAGTTGTTCTTGGTCTTGAGAGGGCAATATCAGCGTTTGGAGTTAGCACTTTGTTCTTGGTCTTGAGAGGGTGCAATAATAGAACCTACAGAAGCAAGATAATTTAATGTTGCGAAAGCATCAGGATAATCAGGAATCCTTCTGGGCATTTGGAGTAAGCAGTTGTTCTTGGTCTTGAGAGGGTGCATTAATAGAACCTACAGAAGCCAGATAATTTCATGCTGCGAAAGCATCAGGATAATCAGGAATCCTTCTGGGCAGTGGAGGTTGCAATTGTTCTTGGTCCTGAGAGGGTGCAATATCAGCGTTTGGAGTTAGCAGTTGTTCTTGGTCTTGAGAGGGTGCATTTATAGAACCTACAGAAGCAAGATGATTTAATGTTGCGAAAGCATCAGGATAATCAGGAATTCTTGTAGACAGTGGAGTTAGCAGTTTGTTCTTGGTCTTGAAAGGGCAATAATAGAACCTACAGAAGCCAGATAATTCCATGCTGCGAAAGCATCAGGATAATCAGGAATTCTTGTAGACAGTGGAGGTTGCAGTTGTTCTTGGCCTTGAAAGGGTGCAATAATAGAACCTACAGAAGCCAGATAATTCCATGCTGCGAAAGCATCAGGATAATCAGGAAGTCTTCTAGGCATTTGGAGGTTGCAATTGTTCTTGGTCCTGAGAGGGTGCAATATCAGCGTTTGGAGTTAGCAGTTGTTCTTGGTCTTGAAAGGGTGCAATAATAGAACCTACAGAAGCCAGATAATTCCATGCTGCGAAAGCATCAGGATAATCAGGAATTCTTCTAGACATTTGGAGTAAGCAGTTGTTCTTGGTCTTGAGAGGGTGCATTAATAGAACCTACAGAAGCCAGATAATTTCATGCTGCGAAAGCATCAGGATAATCAGGAATTCTTCTAGGCAGTGGAGTAAGCAGTTGTTCTTGGTCTTGAGAGGGCAATATCAGCGTTTGGAGTTAGCAGTTTGTTCTTGGTCTTGAGAGGGTGCATTTATAGAACCTACAGAAGCCAGATAATTTCATGCTGCGAAAGCATCAGGATAATCAGGAATCCTTTAGGCAGTGGAGGTTGCAGTTGTTCTTGGTATTGAGAGGGTGCAATATCAGCGTTTGGAGTAAGCAGTTTGTTCTTGGTCCTGAGAGGGTGCAATAATAGAACCTACAGAAACAAGATAATTTAATGTTGCGAAAGCATCAGGATAATCAGGAATTCTTCTAGACAGTGGAGGTTGCAGTTGTTCTTGGCCCTGAGAGAGAGTGCATTCAAAAATCTAAGCTTTTGGCAATCATGTTTCTGAAGGGTACTTATCTTTTGCAGTTCGCGTCTGTATAGTTTTGTAGTCTTTGTGAGGCGGCATAGAGAAGGTTGTGTCTAAGCTGTAAGCGCTGGGTACGTGAAGCGCTGAGTACGTGAAGCGCTGGGTACGTGAAGCGCTGGGTATACCGCTACTGTCGTGAATTGGTAAGAGAGTCTGCCGCAGGTTATGTTGACCATGGGGTTTGGTTGAAGACTGATCATGAAGGCTTGGGTAATGGTAAGTGTCGTGGGCCTTCCGAAGTCTCGAGTTGGAAAGACGAGTGCAAGGTGTCGTGGATACCCGATCATCAAAACGGCCAACGGAGAGCCACGGCCACCCGACGCTTATTAGCGGAAATGTCACAGTACTACAACCACCCTTACTACAACCGCCCTACTACTCCTGCTCGTGTTCAATGGTGCTACTCTCTACCCAACGTTTCTGGCTCGAGAGGGGCAAAACAGATCTCAACGCGGGAACAATCACGCCTCACGCCACAAACCCGTTGGCCCTCGAGAAGTTGGAGATTCGGTTGAGGCCCGCAAAAGCAATCCGGCGAGGCGGCTAAGCGGCGGAGTACTCGCATGCTGAGCGGAGTACTCGCCACGGGCCTTGGCCACGGGCCTTGGCCACTACAGCTGTATACGCCAGTGTCAAGCTCGAGTGGGTCTGGTAGAAGGTAGTCGGTAAAGGGTGGTAGAGTTACGCAGTGGTATACAAAGGGGTAGAGTTACACAGCGGCATGACGCCTAATTGAACATAGTACCACTGTCACTGTTTCTAAGTACTACAAACGCTCCACAATAGTAGCACTCTCCTCTTTCCCACACTTCACAATACTCGCCGAGGCTCGCATTGTTCACTGATACTACGCTTGGCTCGAATTCTTCAACAACTGAACTCCGCTTCCGGAACCTTGGCCCCGCACGGGTCATCCCGTACGGCGCGGTGCGCAGCCGCACTTTGCCGCCAGCTGCAAAAGTGCGGGGAAAAGGGAGAACTTGGCCGGTTTGGGCGCCTGGGGGGGCAGCAGGCGTATAAGAAGCGCGGGTGGGAAAGGCTGGCAGATGGAAACACGATCGGGTTCTGGTCTTGTATCTGTCTGTCTGAGAGAGAAAGCGAGAGAGCGAGAGAGCCAAGGCAGTGTTTTTGTAGAGAAGCCGTTTTCAGGAGTCGCGCGTATTTGAGATTTTTGATTTTCAGAGCCCGCACACCCACACACCCCACACACACCCCACCCACACACCACACCACCAACACACATGCCCAACAAACCCGCCAAGCCCGTCCACATCGAGACCACCGTCTCCTCCACCTTCATGGACTCCTCCATGGACCTGCCCTCCGTGTCCAAGAAGCAGGAGACCCAGCACTTCGAGTTTGCCGGCGACAGCGTCTCAGACGCCGATTTCGCCAACACCGCGGTCGCCAGCGACACCATCGCCAAGTTCCTCGGGCTCTCCGAAGACGCCCGGCGCGCCGACGGAGATGAGAAGCACATGTCCCTGCTGCAGGCCATCCGCCAGTACCCCAAGGCCGCGTTATGGTCCGTGGTGCTGTCGTCTGCGCTGATCATGGAGGGCTACGACACCACGCTGCTATCGTCCTTGTTCGCGCTGCCCGCGTTCGCCCAGAAGTTTGGCAACTGGAATCCCGTCGCCCAGGTCTACGAGGTGCCTGCCAAATGGCAGACCGCCCTGTCCATGTGCACCAATATCGGCGAGCTCTTTGGCCTGCAGCTTGCCGGCATTGTCGCCGAACGCATCGGCTACCGCTACACCCTGATCGGCTCGCTGTCCATGGTGTTCGGCTTCATCTTCATTCTGTTCTTTGCGCCCTCGTGCGCCGTACTGGCGGTTGGCGAGATCCTGTGTGGTATTCCCTGGGGCGCTTTCCAAACTTTGACCGTCACTTATGCCACCGAGGTGTGTCCACTCGCCCTCAGATACTACCTCACTACCTATGTCAATATTTGCTGGATCCTCGGCCAAATCATGGCCTCCGGCATTTTGAAAAACTCTCAAGAGAATTTGCAAAACTCGGACATGGGCTACCGACTCCCTTTTGCACTCCAGTGGATTTGGCCCATCCCCATCGCCATTGGTATCTATCTCGCTCCCGAATCGCCTTGGTGGCTCGTGAAGAAGGGCAGAATGGATCAAGCCGCCCACAGTTTGGACCGTTTGGTCTCCGGCCTGTCTCCCGAGGAAAAACCCATGGTTATTGACGCCATGCTCAACAAGATTCAATTGACCGTTCAAAAGGAAGAGGCCGTCACCAAAGACGCCACCTACTGGGACTGTTTCAAAGGCGCCGACGGCAGAAGAACCAGAATTGCATGTCTCACCTGGGTCACTCAAAACGCCTGTGGCAGTGCCATGATGGGCTACTCCACTTATTTCTACACCAAAGCCGGTTTGGATAGCTCCATGGCCTTCACTTTTAGTATCATCCAATACTGTTTGGGTCTCATTGGTACCACCTTATCGTGGGGTATCTCCAAGAAATACGGCCGTTTCACCATTTTTTCCACCGGTTTAGCCGTTCAATTGATCTTGTTGGTTCTCATTGGTGGCCTCGGGTTCAGTCATTCCAAAGGGTCTAGTTGGGCTATCGGTTCTTTACTATTGGCCTTCGTGTTCGCGTATGATGTTGGTGTGGGCCCCGTCACTTACTGTGTGGTGCCAGAAATTCCAAGTAATAAACTGAGAACCAAGACTGTTATCCTAGCACGTAATTGCTACAACTTGATGGGCATTATCAACTACATCTGGACCCCATACATGCTAAACAGTGAAGAATGGAATTGGGGTGCAAAGACCGGATTGTTCTGGGCTGGAATCTGTGGCGTCATGCTGGCATGGGCCATTTGGGATTTACCAGAAACCAAAGATCGCACTTTTGGTGAAATTGACGAATTGTTTCACTTGCGCGTTCCCGCCCGTAAATTTAAGTCTACCGAGGTTAATCCATTCGATAGCGGTAAGTTGATGGCCGAATTGGGCGATGATCAAATCGAAAGGATTGTTAAAAACGACGATCGTGCCAAGTCTCGAAAAATGGCTGTCATCCTTGAGGATTCCGATTGATTGATTTGAGGGTCGAATATGATCCACACTCAATGTGGGGAGAGGCAAGTGATCGAAAATAAGAATAAAAAACAAACGCATATATATATATGCACGGCCTAACAAATCAGAAAAAAAGACAAAATTTATGAACTACTACATCTTACGATTAGATTAACCCAATCTACTTAACTACTTCTATATTCTCATTTGATATTTTTCCAGCATTTTTTGTTATTATTTTTCTCATTAACGATAACATAACATACCTCTCCACCATCTAGTAGTATATTCGATTTGCCTAATTGAAAAGGACGACCGCAGGCGCTTTGTTGTCAAATGTTTTCTTCACCTATCTTATCGTATTCCGGAGGCGTCAGTATACTCGATTCACTCTGACACTCCAGAATTACAATAGGCCTGGAATTTAAAGACTTAGGTTCGTACTTTGGTAATTGAGCCGAAACTCCCATGTTTTGATCCACAAGCAACACTGGAATTCGCAAGACTAAGGCCAAGAGTTCTTCATTATTCCAGCCTTTAGAACCTTTTACCTCAATTCCTATCTTGATTTTAATTTCGTGCGAGATTCTTAACTTGAATATTTCGCTAGTTGCTCCGGCCAGATTCGAGCTTGGCTCTTCGTAAAAGGGGAAAAAAGAATCATTGTAGATCGCTTTTTTCAATGATGAACTCGCTTTCAAATCGTTCATGGTCAGATTGTGACACAGATCGTTCTCGTTAAAATTATGGGCGAATTCTAAGGATGCCGTTGTTACAAGGGAATTAATATCTTCCACAACAGCGCCACTGTTGCGATCAACACAAGGAATCGAGCACTTTTGTTCGAGGGTTATTTTCACAAATTTGATTCTAAACTGTTCAGTGGATTTTTTGATCAACTGTAGCGACATTTGAAATGGAGTGTCAAACTCCAAAAGCCTCGAACTTAAGAAGATATCGTAATCAAGCATCCCATTTCTCCAGGTGCTTTGCGTTGATAAACTTTCCTGAATGTCAATGTAGTCTGGTGAAAGCGTTTTTTTTAGCAATAGTCGCGAGGTTAGCATAACCGTTTCAAACTTGCTCTTCCGTTTCGGTACTGTAACAAAAGACTCTACTCTGTATGCAGTAGAGCCATAGTGAGTTGCTACCGAGGCTGGGAAATGTTTTGAGTCTACTATGAACTCGAACTTATAGTCGTAGGTACCTGGAGGTAATAGTACTAAGCCGCTCAGCTGATCGGAGTCGCTAGGATGTTCGTTGCCTGGCAAGTTGAACTGAATGACATCTTGTATAAAAGGAGTCTGGTATGATATGTGGGACTGGGACCTTGACCTAGGCGAGTTCAAAAGCTTTACTACTTTGACTTCCGAAGGGTTTCCGACATTACAGACGTACTCACATGAGTAACCGCTGAGTCTCACTTGAACATTATTCAATAAGATCGAGTTTGCGCCCTTGACAGTTATTCGCAATTTACCGGAAACAAGGCCGTTACTTTGAGGTTGTTCGCAATCAATGTTGGGATGTGAGCCTGTTACAGAGCTAGCATTTAATCCTTGCAGGCAGACGGTGTCGGTGTCCATTTCAAGCGATACGTCCAACAGTGGTGATTCGTGCACGGTATTGTAGGGGCATTCAAAAGTGCTGAACGTATTGTACTCGATGTTTGGAATTGCAGAAGTGGTGTGCTTGATTAAAGTGCCGCGACTCTTGAGGTCAGTCAATTTTATGCGGGTGGGTATTTGGTCTGAAGCTGGCTTTGAAGTCCCACGGAAGAATTGGCGTACCAAATTAGGCGGACTAGCTTTGAGCATGCCCCGATTAATTGATGCCTCTTTGAGACCGAAATGGTCTTCATAGGTTGGAGGGGAGCTTGATGTTGAATCAGAGTGACGGCTAGACATTTTACCGAGAGCCTTAATTTATGAATTGGTGACCTGTGCTCACTGTAACTGGACTTAAAACATCCCTACTGAAGATATTTATACCGCTCTTCACAGAGTGCGCCTTTCTGCCACTGGGCAGGGCGTTGTTGTCAAATTTAGCAGACCGCGGAACTGTGTGTCATTGTAATAGAGATGAGCCATACAATAACGCTAAAGAAGAAGAGTAATCGCTTAGCTGGTGAAAAACGATGCTTTCGAAGTGAGCTGGAGCGGGCAGTTGTAGAAGCAAATAGAAGGGTCCCGATTTTATCTAATATTAATCAATCTACGTCTTAGAACTACAAGCATAGAAAATTACAATTTCCGGCTATGTAACAGCAGATCGGCCCGGATTGCAGGTGCATGCCGCAATCATTCAACGACAGGCGATATGTTGAATCTGCCTGCTTACGCATTTTGTCTTTTCTCTATGGCTTTGGTATTTCGGATAATTAGCGGTATTCGAGCCGGTGGAATTTACGAATATGAGAATTTTACACGAAGATAGTGGTGATATTACCAAAAACATCAAGTTGAAATCCACGAAGCGCGGTGTGAAATTGAACACGACTAGCAAGCATTAGTCATTGTAGTCTTTTTTGACACTTGGCGGTGTAAAAATTTTACGACATTGAAAACGGCTGGAGAGGTGACAGAACCTGGAAAGCTCCACGATAAAAAAGCCACTGTGTTGTGCTGACATCGCGCTAATAACGACAGCCCGAAGAATGGAAAAATACACATATGTAGTGAGTAGTAGTGAGTAGTAGGTACCCAGCGCGGCTTAAACATAACAGACGAGTCGTAAGGGTTCTGATGTTCGTGTTTCAAGGCTAGTTTATCACCGGGCCGTGACTCTAAGAATAACGGGCGAGTTTCTTGATGTTAGCGCGAGGTGCAAGAGTTTACTTGAGGAGTCAGGAAATCTAACCAATAATGGATTTCCAATGTTTGCTTGTAACGCTTCTTGAATATACGATATCTGGGCTCGAATTTAGTGAGTAGCTGTGAGTTTTAAGCTTTAGATACTACTAAGCTCGAAGTTCGTGAGTAGCTGTGAGTTCTAAGCTTCAGATACTAAGCTTGGGTTCAAAATGGTCAATAAGAGGGAGAGGCCGAGATGATTGAACACCAGTGGAAGGCTTCGGTTATGTTGGTGAAAGTTTACGAAGAATCTACGTCTTGTTTTTCACATGCAGCAAATTTCATGACCTTGCGGGTAGACACTACGCTAGAATGCTGAGTATACAGCCTTGCCTATTGGCACTCGTGGTCTCCAGGGTGAACAGTACTATCACCACAAATCACTCAATCAAAAGAAGACTCAATTATAGACTGCATCTGCGTGGCCAATCTTCGTAAAAAAGATGCCTCGAGATGAGGTCTACTCGTAATAGCAGGCATTTGAAGTTGAAGTGTATGACCAAAATATCAAGAATACGCCGAGAATTTCTGGGATGAATGAACCGTTGCAGGCCTGTGGGTATTGAGCGAACCGTTGCAATTCTGAGATTTATGAACGAGCCCTCGCAAGTTTTTCACTAATTGACAGCTAAACGCACAGATGCCCGAAATAGTTTTTCTCATATAGTATCAATAGAGGTCCCAGGAGTTTAGACAAGTAGACGTTTGGAGAGGCGACGGGCTAGTCAAAATCTTCGAGTGGCAAGTGGTACGTTAACGTCTATGAGAACCCGCGGAAGCCTGTTGCGCGAGTAGTACTCGCAGTTCTCCGACGAGTACTTTCTCACCTTACGGCGAGTACTTCCCGGGCTTCTCCCGTCAATGGGACTTGGAATCGAGAATTCATCGAGGAATAAGCTGAAAAGCCCGTTGGGTCTGTAGTACAGTTCAAACAATCTCGTCGAACCGACACAGAGTGCGAGGGGAGACGGTTTCCGCGCCCAGCGATCGAACACGAGGCGTACAAAACGACCGAAACCCAGCCCAAAATCTCGATTCCCAACGCTCGCCACATCGTTCCCCAAGCTCCGGCAAACTTACGGCTCTGGTTTGCGTCCAACTCGACTCTCTCGTCTGACGCACAGAAATTGCAAACCAAAAAAAAAGAACCAGCGTTGGTCCAAAACGGTACTCCCATAGCGTTCCCCTCGCGCTCCCTTCGCGTTCTCGCATTGCCCTTGCATTTCTTCTTCCCTACTCCGCATCCCACCACATGCGTCTCCCACCACCAATGAAGACAATGTCAGCTGCCGCAAGCAACATCCAAAGAAGTCCAGGAAAAACAAGCTCCTGATCTCGCTAGGGCTTGGCATCGCCGCGCCCGCCTGGGATTTTCAGGGGCGTGCTGCTGTGCCTGGCCGTCCCATCCGTCACACCCTGTCATCAAGCAGGACAAACGTATATCTCAATACATACCAAGAAACTCATTTTACATCCGATCTCCAACGTTTTTCGTCGCTTCAAAGCTCGCGACGTCAACGTAAATCCAGCCACGAATCCTCATTTGCTATCTGTCTCTATCGCCTGCCCGTTTCTTTACGATTCTGACCTCGTAATTTCACTCGCGTTGATTTTTGCATCAAAAGCAGCTATACTGCAACTGTTTGGTTTCCATGAGAGAAAGTGAAAAAAAATTCATTTATCAATCTATGCCAGTGGGAATTGCAGGAATGCAAATGCGAAAACGTAACTTCAGGCAAGTCGGAAAGTTTCGCATGTGAGAATAGGTGGGAAGTTGTTTGTCGCTCCTTGGGTGTCTGCTGGTGTCAATAGAGGTTTGGTTTTTTGGCGCACGGGAATCCCGTAGTTGGCCCGCGGCCGGTTGTCAAGCGTAGTGATGGTAGTAGCATTTGTATCAGGTTTTGTAATGGTAGTAATGGCAATAGGCACTTGGGGCGATTAGGCGCAGCGTTTTTTGGGCAAGGTCCAGCCCAAATACAGAGCCCCAGTACTGGCGCTGAAAAACACGCCAGCCGTTGCTGTGAGATCGGAAGTAGCGAGAGGCGATCGGTTGGGTCTACGAAAAAGCAGAAGCTTGGAGCGAACGCATGTGGCGAAAGCTGAGGCGGTTGCGAAGACACGGACGAATACAGACCCCGATGCGAAAAGCAGGGCCCGAGATAACATGGGAGAGCATGTTGTGTCTCAGCAGCGGGAAAGTAAGTTTTCCCCCCTAGTGGCAACGTAGCGTAGAAGAAAGCCGGGCTGTTGGCCTGTGACACATTTGGCAAAGGAAGGCAGAATCGCTCAGCACTGAACGGGAGCTGCGGGACCAAGATTGCAAGACCGGGCGAGTATATAATCGGTGCGGCAGAAGGCGTACGGGACGTTGATTTTCAACGAGTTCCAAATGAGTAGAACACAGGTTAGTTGTGGTAGTCAAAAGTAGTCAGTTTGTGGGCATCCAGCCAGTCACTTCAACAGAAAGTGTCATACCGTCCCCCATACACCACCATTGTCCCGTATTCGCGCTGCTGCAAGAGTAAGCTCGCCTGGGCGTTCAGACTCGATCCTACACTCGCGAGAGCCATCCAACATGCAAAGCGCGTGTGACGAGGCTTTCAAGCTGCCCTCGATCAAAAACCTGCTCGACTCGATCGACGCCGACGAGCGGCCGCTTGCCATGACACCCGGCATACCCACTGCTGGGGTGCCAGTGCCACCACCCCCTCCCACGCCGTGGAGACAGACCCACCAACCAGTCGCACACACCGGCTTCAAACAGCATCATACATCCTGGGGCTACGAGCCCGAGCCATCCCATTTCGAACCCAGACGCTCCCAGTATCTCTATCCCGTCACTGTGGCCCCACAAGACGCGGTTTTGAGCGCCAAACGGCCCGCACATCTAGCAGAAACGCACCCTTCTCCCACATCGCTCACGTCCACGCTTTCGTCGGCCTCGTCGTCAGCTTCCTCGTGTTCATCATCATCATCATCATCATCGTCGTCGTCGTCGTCGTCATCGTCTTCGTCGGTGCCATCGCTAGCCTCGAACCATTCGTCTCCCATAAACTGCTCGTCCTCAGCGTCGCGCCGCACCAATTTGCCTAAGGAAACGGTGGAAATACTTAATCAGTGGCTTCTGTCCCATCTCAACTATCCATACCCATCTCCTCAGGAAAAGCGCGAGCTGCTCATAAGGACAGGTCTCAACAAAGTTCAATTGAGCAATTGGTTCATAAACGTGCGACGCAGAAAAGTTTTCAGTGATTACTATCTCATGTCTCGATCTTCGTCTTCGTCTGCTCAAGCGGACGACAACAGCGATGCGGAGCTCGACAAACGGTTTCACACCGTTCCTTTGACCAGGCGTAAAAAACTGATCGATAGATTAGAGGAGTTGAAGAGAGCGTCACAGGGTTAATATACTCAAAGTGTCAGAGCCTTTACTGTCGGTTGACCGCGTTGTACTAGTAGATGATGTTGATGTTGATGTTGATGTTGATGTTTTTGGGATAGACGTCCTCGGAACGGACGTCCATATTTTATATATATATATACAATTCTTATTTGTTTTCGATAGCCATAACTTTTAACTATAGCTAATTGGACTTGAAGCGAAGGGTCCCCGTCCCCGTTTCTTATTAGACTTTTTGCACTCGCGTATTCTATTCATTCTCCTGGCACGTAGTTGTCCGGCTCGTCCTCTTCGACCTCCTCTTCATTCTCTTCGTCGTGATCTTGACCGGGAATGTACGTATCTCTAACCCTTCTAGCCCCGAAATTATGCGTGTGGTTAACTCCAATACGATCCACCAACGGCACGGTAAACCCACCTCTGGACGCATCATACTCGAATTTCAATTCGTCACTGACTTGGCCACCAGATTTACCTCTACCAAATTGCCTGCCATCTTCGAATCCGGGATCCAGATCTAGTGATATGTTACGGTCATCCAGCTTCATGTCTGACAAATATTTCACCGCATTAAGCGCTTCCTCAGGAGTGTTGTATATAACAAAGCAGAATCCACATGGTGTGAACTTGAAACGATCCAAGCCCATGATAATACGCTTTATCGCACCAGATTTGCTGAAGAGTTCGTATATTTGTTCTTCAGAGGTGTAGAAGGATAAGTTGCCCACGTAAATCGTTGAAGATTTCATCGACTTCCGAAGTTCGTCCAATCCGTTTGGATTACGACGAGCTTTCTTCATCAGGTAATTAGAAGGAACATCCAATCGATTGGTCGAATGCTCGTAGTGAGTCTCGTCAAACTCGGCAAGAGACATGGTGTCGAATGGGGGCACACTTGTTGGTTTTTCAAGATTATAGATTTCCTGTTGACTAGTAAGTAAATATTTTCTTGAATACTTAGAACACAAATTAGACAGAAAAGTAGACTACCACGAAAGACAACTTGACGAAACGTCGAAAGTCATCTATTACTGCTGTGAACGAAGATAGCCGATGAAATAACATAAATATAAGTCACCCGCAAAGATACATACAATAGTACCTGATTATCATGTGGCTTATAAAAGAGGATATACATGATCAGTCTAGCATTTCATCTCATCTACATCCGATATGGTGTAACGGCTATCACACTCCGCTTTCACCGGGGAGACCGGGGTTCGACTCCCCGTATCGGAGTTTTATTATTTTTTGGAAAATAAGCATCCTTAAGATATATCTATTTCAACATACCGACAACACTCCTCTATACAGTGTCCCACGTATCGACTTTAATTTAGGCTGCCCAGCTAAAAGTCGAAATCCACATATGATATTAACAACGTAAATGAAGGATAATATAAAGATGATAAGTATTAATGTTGTAAAAAAAAAACAAAGTCCTTCAACTTGACTAGCTCCTCGACTTGTTCTTGACACCATGCGGTTTCAGCAGCTCAAAGCTGCACATGAGACCCGTGGTGACACTCATGACGGCACCCCAGTTTTGAAATTCACCACAGTAGTTTGGGGCTGAGAAGACGGTAACGAGTTTCTTGCGGGCGAAAAATTCGTAACCGTCCTCTACAACCATATGCCCGCGTATGACTAAATCAAAATTAAATCGTGAGCAAAAATCCAAGACATTGCGTTTGCTAAAAGTAACGGAGACACCACGATCATTGGTTGACCAATCGGAGACTTGAGGGTCTGGATCACTCCACAATAAATCGGTTATAAGACCTTCGTCAGGAATATCAGTCGGTCTAACAACACGCTCAATTTGACGTAAGTCTCGCAGATGCGGAGATATACCACCGTGGACGCAGAAAATCTTATCTTGAACAACTGCAGCAAGAGGCAGAGAGTTGAAAACGTCAACAAACATTTTCCAGCTTTTGGTGGTTAAACGACGTTTACACTCATCGTAAAATCCGTACATCTTGGTCACATTCGCGGATTCGTGATTTCCTCTGAGCATGTAAAACCTGTCTGGAAATTTGATCTTGTAACATAGCAAAAGCAGCATTGTTTCAAGCGACTGTTTACCACGGTCAACGTAGTCGCCGAGAAACAAATAGCTGGAATCTGAGGGGACACCAGAAAGTTTCAAGATGCGCATCAAGTCGGTAAATTGGCCGTGAACATCACCAACGATCTTGATGGGAGCTTGAAGTCGCAGCAAGGAAGGTTGTTCCAAGAATAATTCTCTTGCTTTGGCACAGATCAGTTGCACTTTCCATGTGCTCAAGGGAAATTCCTTGGCTTGATAGTACCGCGTACCACCAATTTCCAATAGCTTCTCGATAACGTCATCAATGTCGAGACATTCTGTAGAATGAGAGTCGTGAGCATAACGCTTTATGATTACCGGTGGGGCGGCTTTCCTATCGTGTGGAACTTGCGCAGCATTGGAACGGCCGCTGCGATTCTTGCGGGCCAAGGTGGCCGATGCTTGCATTTCCTCCTTTATAGGCGGCAACGGATGAGTCGTAGATGTAGCCATGGTGTTACTTCCTGGGGTTTGAGGTTCATTCTCATTGAAGCTGTAGTTCAGAAACGAGGAGTCTGTAGAATACGATGGTGGAGTCATGCTACTGGAGTTGCTAGAGCCGGAGCTGGAACCAGAACTGGAGCTGGAGCTGGAACCAGGCCCTTGATACCCAGGCCCAAGAGCTTTAGCGAAGGACATGTCGATCTCAATGTCGTGTGAGGCCGAAGCCCGCTTTTTACCGCTCTTGTCTTTGTTGTGACGAGTTTGGGACAGCGTGCGTGGAGCAGGGCTGTGTGGAGTCCACGCAGCGTGAGTCGGGGAAGAAGAGGAAGGGGAAGGAGATTTGTTTTTGGGCTCTCCAGGAGCCACTCTCGCTGGGAGATTTATATGTTGTGAGTTAATAGTAGGTAGGGGCCTACTATCATCGGGGTCATTAGGTTCGTTGCTGTTTAATTCATCGCTGCCGGTCGCTAGACCATTGCTGGTAGTTGCACTGGCTGTCTTCGTACTCGATATGGCATAGTTTGACTTAGACGGGCTGTTTCCCATAATTCTGTGCGTAACTTCAGGCGCCAACTAATAGGTGAGATTTTTCAAAGTTGATCTTGGGTTATAACAGGTTGAATAAAGCTTCAAAGACCTGTTTAAAGTGTTTTGTGTATACGATACCTGGCTTTTTTACTAAGGATATGCTGATAATTTCGTTTTCTTCTTTTTTAGATTTTATTAATTCTTGGATTAGAATTGATTCCCCGGTGGCTTTTGTGAAAAATAGAGGCGGATGCGGGTAACAAATAGTACTAACCACGACTAGCTTTGATGAACAGATCGACTCTCTGGGAAGGTTTGGAGTGGTCCCGATGGATGTCTGGAGGATTTGTTAAAGCTTGGGAAACTCTGGACGAAAAAAAGAGAGATTTTGGGACACTTCTAAGGCAGAAGTGTATAGTGTTGGAATTATCTAGCGAGGAAACACTTGGACTGGACAAAGAAATGCACCCGTTTGTTATGCGTTTTTAACGAGATCCTAATGTACCCTAATTTTGAGATCAAATGTTGGACGTAGTGTCTCAGGTGTCTGGCCAATTCGCTTCCAAAAAAAGTAGTAGTGACTATAAGGCTTCAGCTCAGCAACAGGTCGTAGACGGAAAGGAGAGCACCGTGAAGATTTTCGCGGTGTGCGGAAGGATGGAGGTAATCTTCGGAGCTAGGCGCACTACCTATAATACAGTGAGAGGTGTGATATATGTGTGGAGGTGAAACGGCCTGTGAATGGTGCAGGAGAGCTTATTGTAATTTCAGTAGATCACTGGAGATTTGACAAGTTCTCAGATTGTGACGTGTGAGCTCTGGTAAGAACTCATATTGTGAACTGACGGCTAAAACGGATTGAAACACGGTGTCTGACAGTGGCAGTAAGCTTTGAGTCCACGAGTGGCATCATGGACTGAAGGACCAAAGCGGATAGCGGGTGGGATAGAAAATTCATGGAACGAAGAAGCCAAGACACTGTAAAAAACGTAAGGGAGCACTTAATACACACAGTCTGCGTAGAGACGTCCAGTTTTTTGAGAGCACTTCGTGATCTGAGACGCCACTTGCGTATGCGTGCCTCATCGCGTGCACATTTTCCGCCCAAATCACCCTTGGAACAAACATAGTCATGTTATCGCTCTAGGAATGGCTCCTGGCCCCTCGTGGTTCACATAACACCACGACTCGCTCACACTCTTTCCTGTTACTCTTAGCGCACTCCTCCTACGGACCACATACTCCGTCACGACTTGCCATCATTGTATTTACGAAGTTGTAACAAATGCCAACTTGCTCATCAGTATCATGGTTTTGATTTTAACCGCCGAGCTTTTGAATTTCCCAAAGACCGGGTTACCTCTTGTTTACTAAAAGCTCAACAGCATCTATCTATCCACATATCTGGAAATAAGATGCTGTTAACCAACAGAAGAGTTCAAAGAGCCAGAACCAAGGACAGTACCGCATAATAAGCGGGTCGAGCCATGCGAGCTGTCAAGGAAGAAGTAAGGGATGGTATGGAAGAAAGAAGAGACGAAAAAGCAGGTAAGGAGACGCTATCCAGAAAGGAGAGCAGACATCAAGAAAAAGACGAGGATGCCGGGGACATAACAGAGCAGCAATCAGTTAAGGCGTCAGAAGCAGTCTACGATGGTACAGACACTCAACAAGCAGATGAGGAAGAAGAAGAGGGCGATACAAGGTGCATTTGCGGCGAAACGGATCCACCAGATGAGTCAGGGTTGTACATCCAGTGCGAGGAGTGCAGCGTTTGGCAGCACGGATTCTGTGTAGGAATAACGGAGGGCGAAGGAAGCGCCCCGGACAAGTATTGGTGTGAACAGTGTCGCGCAGATCTGCACAGCTTGTACACCACGGAGGCGGGCCAACGACGCTCCGTTTACAAGCCTGCTCAGCACAGCAAACGTCAGAACAGACGATCTAGAAAGGATGACGATCTATCTCCAAATGAGGTCGAGAGTGCCCCCAGTGGGAACGGAAGTGGGCGTGCTCCCAGCATACCGCACGTAGCTAGCATAGATCCTCAGGATGCAACCGTGAAATTAGAATCCCAGCAAAAAGGCGATGTCCACCCTGAGGATCCAAAACCTCGTAAGAAACAGCAGCGGCGCAAAGATGCAGATCACGAACAGATGATCCATGGGAGAAGAGACTCAGAGGAAGAGCGAAGATCTTTAGACAGACGCCGGGCCACGTCATCTGCACGCGAGGAGAAACAATACCAATTGATGCTGGAAAAGGCTCTCAAAGAAAGCAGACGTACGTCCCAGGCGGATGACGAGCTCGAGCCCCACATCTTCACCGAAGAAAAGATTACTGAGGAAGCCGAGCTTGAAACCACCGTTGCAAACAAGCCGGAGCTCTTGGAAGAACCTCCCAAGAAGCGGGCAAAGCCCAACAACAATGGCAACTCTCCACCCGGTATTTCTATGACCTCATCAGAAGAGGAAAGCAAACGCAAATCCAAACGTGGTGGCCCTCGTAAATTAAAGAGCCGAACTTCATCGCGTGCGTCTTCTTCGAATGGAAACAGTTCCAACACCTCCGAGATCGGTATAAGCAAGCCTATAAAACCAAGACTACCGACTCAGAGGACGAGCGTAAACGAAATGAGACGGCGCGTTGGTGCGATACTGGAATTTATTTCGAGAACTCAGTTTGAATTGTCAGAAGATCAAATCGAAAAACAGAAGCTCACGGAATTTGTCGAGAATCAAGATTTTGTCAAGAAGGTTGACTTGATCTACAGCAACTTCGACGAAAGCTTAAAAATGATGGATGACTTGACTAGGAAATTGTTAGTCTGGGAGAAAAAATATGCTATAGATCAGTAAGGATAGTACGTAAAAATAATTTAAAGCAGATCCGATAGCTCTGTAGTTTTTTGCCCCGACCCTCTACAATAGTTCATGAACTCATGCGTGTTCATCATACTTGTCCCGCCCAGGATTACTCTCATTTTCCCGCTATTTTCAGCGACCATTGTTTCGTTAAATTGGTGCAACACTCGTGCTTCTTCATAAGTAGCGCCACCAACGAAGAATATTATCACGTCCTGAGGAGGGGATCTGCTAACTGGATTCTTGACATATGGATATTTTTCATCCGATATTTTGTTTTTAGATAAGCCATTGAGAAATGCGAAAAGCTCAGGAACATGCTGCATAAAGACGTTATCAGTCTTGTGATGACCCTTTTGATTGAATTTTTTGGCTAGTTCACTAATTAAATCTTCCCTTTCTCGGCCCGCCGTAGATTGTCTCGTTCGTATTTGAAAAATGTTGTTGAAGTGATGAAAGAAATTTACTTCCTCAGGACTCAATTGAGTGGCTAAAGCTTTAGATATTTCAGCGGTATGAGTGTTCTCTCCAATTTTGAGAGAGTAGATACAAGCAAGCTTCAATTTGTAGTAATTATCGACTTTAGGATCTGATAGCAGCTTTTGCAAGTCTTCATAGTTTTGAGAATCGCCAGCATGGGTCGATATGTTTTGCTCCAATTCACTGATCTCCCAAATATGCTGTAGCTGTAACTGTCGATCAAGTTCCCCAACAATCGCCATGTGTTTTGAAACGTTGCCGGACAGCTTCCTGAATTCAGGGAACTTGCCGATAAACTGCTTGATATCTTCAATGGTGTTTATCTGGCTATTGGACTTGGTCTTGTTTTTGTAACTGGACACGTACTGCTTCACTTTATCGCCGAGTTCGCCAAAGTTGAGATACATGGTATCGTGAAAAAAAGGATCTTGCTTAGCAGATAGAACTACTTGTTCCATGGATGAATCAACTTCTGGCACTTTTGACAGATCTACAACATTTCTCTTGATGCCCATGTATTCATTAATCATGGATTGGTAAGTCCAAGGCTGTAGCATTGGCGTTAATGCGTCGCGATGACGGTCTAAAATCAATAGCAAAGGAGGTGCATCCATTGGCGGAAAATCGAATAAAGTCCTTTCGTTCTGATCAATAATGTGCACGACTTCCTGAGCCAGCTTGGAGGTCAGCCTGCTGCCAGCTTCAAATCGTACTTGGGGTTTGAGCTTCAAGGATAGCAGTAGGGAAACCAGGCTCTGAGAGGTTTTTTGAAGCCCGGAAGGCTCCCATATAAGCTGATTCGAGAAAAGTTCCGCGGGTGGTAGATCGAGTGAGAACAAGTCCTCATTCAAAATTTGATAATCTTGAAAGACTTCCTCGACCTTACTGACAAGCTCCAGGTCATCACACTCAGCCAGGCGCTCTAGTTGTGTTTTGGTTACGGTGTTATTGAAGAAAATTTGGTACTCGCCGTATTTCGGGTTAGCCAGTTCTTTGACCAGCAATTCAATCGATTCGTCCGTGGGCTTGGCATACACGAGACACTTCAAGTGGCGCATAACGTCCCGATTTTCATTTTCGAGCGTATCTATAAGGTATATCTCGTGCTCCAGGAGTTCAGTCTGAGTAGTGCACATGGATATGGGACCCGTGGTGTGCTTGTCCAAGAGCAGCGCCTTGATTCTTGTTTCGTGGGCTTCATTTCGCGAACTCTTGGATTGCGAATTAGCAATCCTGCCGATATAAAAGTCTGCAACCTTGAAGAGATTCATGCGACACTATTCTCCGGCAAAGACTTCCGTTAAATTTGTACTTGCTTGCTATCCCTAGGCAGTTTAATGATCTAAAACTTGACTAGAGAGTTGAAAGATCACGACATACGGCAACTGCGACAACATGGTAAACAATGACAAGTTCGTTTACCGAAGGATGGCCCACCCCTACAAATCGTCCACTTCTCCCAGGCACACATTTGAAGTCCGCCAAAATGTTCATTCGGCTTGCGTATTCATGGTCCTAGAGAAGCATCGCTTTAAGCGCAAAGAACCGCACGCGGCTAGTATAAAAAAAAACAGCCTTAACCTAATCTGTTGAAAGGGTGATCATAGTGCCAAGTTCCATTATGACTGAGTAGTACAAAGTGACAAAGAAAGACACTCGATTAGCATATCGATTTAGGCAGTGTATAGGAACGCTGAAGTCTGAAAGTTGAAGTTAAGTAGCACCTATAGCAATGTAGTTTAAGTATCGTCACGTATGAGGGTTGGAGGTTGGTATATTTAATAATTCAGTCAATAACACTTCTCGTTACCACGACCCGTCATCCAATGAACTGTATTAATACTGAAAACTTACTCTATACACCAAGACTCGCCTCATCACATCTATGAATGCCACGGAGACATTTCTGTTCTTAAAAATCTTTCACTATCTTGAGGCATGCCAGGGTCTGTTGTAGTTTGCTTGGTGAACTGAGCAATAAGCTGTTCATGGTGTATCTAACTCATTCGCATTTTGATATTCAAGTCCATCCGGAATTCATTAAAATATAAAGTAGATCAAACTGGTGGAACTACTCGTTGGTGTTTATATACTGAGCACAAAAAAGCCGTAAAAGCACCAAATGATACGTCAGTGACATTTGATAAATATTTGATTGTTTAAGGCTATCATCCGCTACTTGTCTTCGCTTTGAAATGATGCATCAAATACTTCATGGTATACTCCATCGAACGATCATGTCTTACTGACATCACTTTGTACTATTATGTCATAGGTCTTGGTTACCGTTATGATCCTATTCTGGTCTACTTAATCATGCAATTGCCACTATCTGGCAATAGAACAATGACTGGACAAAAATAGAGGTGGAAGGCAGCTAACAGTTTGCTCTTGATCTTTTGAAAAGAACGAAAAAGCTGAGAAATGTTAGCCAACATTTTCCTTATATTTGAAAATCCATTACCGCCGCCGTTGAGGGTTTCTCAGTCACCCGTCAAGACCGACACGTGCCCATGCATTTCAAATTACCCGTTAGTATCTTTTCCTAACCGCTGAATATGCGCTGATTCTTCACAAGAGAATGAATCCGATCGAAGACATGGAAAAACTTGCAAGTCACATTAACATGTCAGGATCTATGCGCTATGGCTAAGATAGCGTCAATTGCATGATAAAGAATCATGACATAATAGTACAAAGTGATATATAAAACATTGCCTCTCGATGAACTGTTCGATACATCCCCTCAAACTGAAGGCAAGTACCGGAGGATACCCCATAGCAATTCAATGATTGATCGATGACACATTGAATGTTACCAATGTATCATACGATGTATCGTATGATTACTATAAGCTGAGTAATAGCTTTTATGCCCAGCCAGTTTTTATATAAATACCGACCAGTTACTCCACTCCACGAATTATCCTCATATCCGAGAGAACCACGGAGAGATAATTAAAATCCCAGATTCAACAAAAAATTGTTCAATACATCATAAACGACTCAAATGATCAGTTTAGCAAGTTAACAACCAGTGACGCAGATGTGCCTTAATAAAAAAATAAGAAGGAAAAGGCAATTGAGCGGCTCAAATTATATATCTGCTTTGCGTCATCGGCACTCTCGCTTTTTCTGGTGGCTCTGAATATTTTGATTATGGGAATCATTATAAAGACCGTTGCAGCTCAATTCAATGGCTACAGCATATATGGGGTGGCTTCTTTCCGGATAAAATCTGCCCAACGCTTTTCTGAGTCTTTTGTGGGGCCAGTTCGCCACGGTTTTTGGATTCAAGTCGTCCATGCTTCTGTCAATCGCCATTTTCGAATTGTGGTCCTTGATCGCCGCTCTGGCTACCTTTATCAATATGCTCATAGGAGGGAGAGTCATCTCTGGTGTCGACGGAAGTGGCATTCAAACGCTGTGTTTCGTGATCGCATCCACGTCGGTGACTGACCGTACCAGAGGCACTGTGGTCTCAGTTTGGGCGCCGCTTTAGCTGTTGGTTCGGTCGTGGGGACATTCATGAGCGGTCTTTTTGCAACCTATGTTACGTGGAGATGGCGTTCTACATAAATTTGCTCATTGGAGGCCTTGCGTTTATCGTCTTTGTTTTGCTATATAACCCACATGGTCCGAATATCTTTGCCAGCTTCATGGGAATTCTCAGGAAGGTGAAAAGTGCCTCCTATTCCCAAGTTTTGACGGCTAGTTACTATATAAGATTTTACCTTTGCGATCATGTTTCAGTTCGATGTTGTTGGATTTGCACTTTCATCAGCTGGGTTTACGCTGGTGCTTTTGGGATTCACTTTTGGTGAGAACAAAAACAGCTCGAGTTCTGGATGCATTATTACCTATTACGTGGTTGGAATTGTTTTGCTCATTGCAGGTCTCATTTATGACTTTGTAACCTCGCGTGTGCTAATACCCAATATTGCTAAATCTGCGCCTGTTTTCGTTATAACTCCCAACTTGTCTACATTGTTGAGTAATTCCAACTAGTTTGGGGGGATTCAGCCTGGCAAGCTGGCGTACATCTGATAATGCCTGTAATGCCTGTCATCGCCACCTTGATAACATCACCCTTTTGTGGAATCACAGCGAGGAAAACTGCCTGTGTGAAGATGTTGCTAGCAATCGTAGGAGTAGCCGTCAGCGCGAGTCCTGGGATGGTAAGTCCTCTCAGCGTTAGTACAAACAATTCTGCGAAAATTTTACTTTAATGCTACCATTTATATCGTTTTGGATGCATCATGCAAGGTACTTTGCTGAGCTCGTAACTTCAGATTCCCAAGCACACTCCAGCGGGCACACTTCAATTTTATTGCTGTGATTAACTTCGATACGTTCGCCAAAACGCTTGGGACGGCATTTGTGGAGATCGTATCCAATACCGTCTTTACAGTTTCGGCACACAACCAACTTTCCAAAATCAAACCTGCGCTGCCCCACAGCAGTAATGTTGATGAAAGTATCAGCTGGTGGGCTAAGAACTACGGTGAACGCGACTGAATACAGGTAAGCTTTTTTATGCATGCTATGAGGGACGCATTTTGGCTTGCCACTATCAACTGCTTCTTGAGCCCTAGCAGAAAAGCAGATGTTATAAAGCCTCCTAAAGAGAGGGAAAATAAAGGAAGAAAAGCATGAATGAACAGTCCCGAAAGTGATCTGGTTTGCTGTCTCGCCAATAATCAAACAAAGCAGAAAGTGAGAGAGGAGATCACAGTTAAGAAACTACAACTCGATTATTGAAAGGTTATGATACCTATTTCAGCGCTTCCGGGGCGTTAATACTAATAGAAATAATTGAATAGCGCTAGTTGGAGATTCATGACAAATTGAATTATTATGAGTCCAGGGTAAACTCATGTAAAATCTGAACGACTAAAAGTATGAGTCGGCATCGTCGAAAATATCACTAATATGCATGCGGCTCAATTTTCAGGCACAACGCGTTGATATTGACACTGAACCGACTACCTTTAACAATTAATTCTTCCGTCGTTCCAAAAGAGTGAGCGCTTTTGGCCGTTCAAGAAGCACGTAATGACAGATGTATCTAGGCTCTAAATTCATTCATACGATACGACATCCAGGCTACACTTATACGATATAACGAACGGCTCAACCTGTTTATCGACAACATAACGAGCATCGCGCATGCTCGAGAGAGACCAATATCAATGAGACAACAGCGGCTAGAGTATTGTGTTAAGCGCCAAATCAGCTCGATGGAGAGCAAGATTCATTTTTGAGCGCAGAGTATTAATTAAACCAAAGCTTACTCACCGCAACGGGCGTTCAGTAGAGACAGTTGAATTTTTGCGACCCTCAACTAAGTTCAAGGGTAATTCTAAAAGATATATCAGTGTGCTACGACTTGATTTGTAGAGATTGCGATCCAAGAGCTCCCATTAAAGTGTGGATGTTGAGATTGCGCTACATTCACTAGAAGACTACGGCATTCAAAAGAAAAAAGGTACTGCACGATAGATATCTCCACCCTTTCCCAGCACAATTTAATGCAGCCGCGACTCACTAAAAAAATGGATATGATGAAGTTTTGGACGATTGGAAAGGGTCCTCCACATCAGAAAAAGTCACTTGGTTCCTTCGTGACACGGTATGAAAATCGATATGGCAATGTACTAACCGAGACAACACAACTACATTGATAAAACCGGTTTTGTAGATGAGCGCATTTGAGTATCCTCCATTCGTTCTCACACACGTAAATAAAGCAAATACAGTGTACTTGGACGGAATTCTCGTTGACCATTTAAAAAGGGCGGAAAATTGTCCTTGCATTATAAGCCGATATCTCAGTAAAGGTAAACTAGCCAAAGAGGAAATTGTATGAATTAGGATATCATGCGTTCTATTTCCATTTCTGGTAATTGCATCCAAACTGAGATAAGATCACCAAAAGAGGAATATCTTGCCTGAATTACCATTTAAGGAAACATATACTTATGTTATAAATTAGTACTAGAGCTCTATCTTGGTTTCAACGTCAACGTAAAGGCATCAATTTGACCTTCTCCCATATTCGAAGGGTGGAGCGGCTCCTTCTTACTTTGCGTTGATTACTGATATGAGCAACAAACATGCTGTTCCCAACACAAGCAAGAGACTGAAGCAATTTAGTACAAGGTCCAGAAGCAAGAGCGCTGCGAGTTTCAAAGGATTGAATAAACTAAGAAGGGTCCTGAGCCATGACGGTAGCTACGATACGGAAGATAGCAGTAGAGAGCGGCCGGTATCGATGAAGAAGTCCAAAAGTAGTGATTCCTTGTCTCGGATAAGAGGCATTAGCGGTCTGAACATGACAGCATTAGCGAAAGTAGCTTCCAACCCTGCGCACTTGACACATGATAATGCCAGTGCTTCTTCTATCCACGGTGGTCTAAAACCACACCGTGGGAACAGTACCAAGTCGATACTGGAACTGCGAGACGGTGATGAAATTTTCGAAGATCATTCCACAACCGACGAGGAAGTGGAGTATTTCACTGACGAAGACCACAAAGCTCAAGATGGCGGCTTAGAGAACTCGATATCAGGAGATCATAAAAGGGACGTTCGAGCAGCGCAGGAAGAGTCCACAGAAAATTTCGACAATCCGCACCAGCTACCACCACATGAACATGATAATCAAGATTCTGATGATCAAGACTTAGCGTCGAAAGACTCAGGAGAGGACCAAACACTCATGGATAGTGACAGGGATGTTTCACCACAGAGCACTCGAGATGAAGTTGTCGATGGCAATTCGCGAACAGACAGTAATAAGACTTTGAGAAATCAACCCATCTATGGAGTGCCGTCCAGTATACGGAATTCCAGCGCCGACCGCTTGGACACCATAGATCACATAGAAGCAGGAGGTGATAGTACCCCCGGATCAACTAATGTGCGTCGCCTTATCAGCGGTTTAGTTAACGTTAACCGCATCGAAGACAGCGATCGCATTGGTCATCGTAACCCTGACGAGGATATCATCAACGCCGGTAGTAACATCCAAACAATGGCCAATAGTTTGAGAAGACATGGACCAACGCCTTCGAGGACTGGAGACTTAGGACACGATGGCGATGACGACGACGACGACGACGACGACGCCAGCATTCCTGCCAGCAACCATAATCAACGTGGCAACAAAGAGAACACCACTTATAGTCCTACAATGATATTATCGCAGTCAACTGGGATTGAGAAAAGATTCGATGGTTCCTCAACGGTTGCTGATGAAACGGTTCCGCACCTCTTAAATAACGAAAGCGACCGTATTTCTGGCGGTGATCAGACCCAGTCTAACAACTTCAACTACATTAACAGCGATTTTGCAGCCTCCTACAACTCTACTCATGTTACTGAGCGTCCGAATAGCTCCTTAGTGAAGCCTGATTTTTCTACGTCCATATCGAGTTTATCGAGCCATCTCTCACGACCAACGCAGCTGACAACAGAGGTAAGGTCCAACAATTTTCTTAATCAAAGAGCTCCACAGCTGTCAGCAACAAATCACAACACCAATCGCCCACACGTAGACTCAAGACTGTCTAACAGTAATCGGCCAGACTCTTTGTCGAACTTTAATAACTTTTCACAGTTTTTACAGACAGAGAATAGCGGAATGGAGTCTAGGACGCAACAAAAGCTTTGGTTGCAACGCGAAAACTCGATTATGGATTTGTCGTCTCATAGTTCCAGTCCAGACTCCATTTTTTTGGCATCTAATATAGAAGTCAAAAGAGAGTTCGAAAGAATATCAAGGGAATATACTAATGTTAGGCGTTTCAACAATCCAGTCACCGCATCACTCAACAGAAACGGTCCTCGAAGCAAAATTGAAATGAAGAAATTGCGCCCCACTATTTCATCAGGGGAAGAAATGTCAAAAGTTTTTAGAAGCGATAACCCACAAGACAGAAAAACATTCCAAGAGTTTTGCAAGCAGAATCTTAACCGCAATATTGATATACAAAAGGTTCTTACCAAAATCTGGACAGAGGAAAGCGCTGAATTTAATAAAGGATCAGAGTTACTTGCCGAGAACGAACCTGAAAATACATCTCTCACGTACGGAAACCACCGTTCTCAAAATCGCCACAGCTTGAGGAACAGCTCGGCAAATACAGTAAACCATCAACGGACATTAGGGTCTTTGCAACCCACAACTAGGGCAGTGCATCGACGGATGGAAAGCGCACTGAGTCAACAACAGCGTCCATGACCGCCCGACTACATATCTCGCATAACAATTTGTTTTGATCTCTTTAAACAAGTGATACGCATCAACTGGAAAAGAAAACAGGTTTTATATAATATCATTAATTATTCATTAATTGTTACAACCGAGTTATGCTATTTAGTTTCAGCTTAATGTCGTAAAAGCTCACTATGCCAAAATGCTCCATACTTAAACCAGTGTCGAACTTCGATCCCCAGGCACCTTGAACCCACACGCCCTGCCATCTTCGTAAAGCTGGTTTAAGGTCGCTTCGAAAATGTTATTTTCCATAAGCTCCAAATACTTCTTATAGAGAACCAGAGCTGTATAGGCATCTTCAATGGAATCATGGTTGCCACTCTGAACATCCGAACCTAAAAGAGCGTGCGCCAGAAACCTTAACGCGAGGTACCTCTTGCCCTGTAAAAAATAAAGGGCCGTATCGCGTATCTGCTCAGGTGGCACATATATGTTTATGTTTCGAAAGTCATTGTAAAGTCCATGACCTACGAAAACACACCCCATCTGAAGCAGTAACCAAATTTTTCGATAGACCATTTGCCGGGGAGCTAAAGTTTTAGTGCTAGTAACTGGATCGAGATCACCAGGCTCTATGCCACTGTAGCGAGTAAGGTAGTTCTCAATATGATTCGTGTTTACAACGTAGTCGTCGATGAAAGGGACCCCAAAGTCTTCGCCGTCGTTCCCTCTCAAAACGGATATTCTAGCAAGCGCAGTCTTTTTCGGATTAATAAGCGTTCTTTGCCCCCTACAGCTGATTTCTACTTGTTCATCAGCAAGAACCACAAATTCTGCATCCATCGCAATCAGAGATCCGAAGTGTGGAGGTTCAGATTTAGTCAGAAGTTTGTATTCCTTTTTCAGTCCGGTCTTGATACCGTTGGCAAAATGATCTCGGTATAAAATACTATCATTTATGCGAAATTTTGTAGCAGGGACAAAAGGCTTACGAAGTTCTTCCGCGTCGGAGTAGACCAGAATTTCAGGTGTTTTCCACCAAGGTGATACATCGAGAGCCTCCTCTTCGTCTACTTCAACTACAAGGTAGTCATTGAACATGAACCATTTACTGTGCCTGGATTTCTGATCGTAAATTTTAGCATACGTCACCAAATGAGGCTCTGATAAATCGTCCGTAATTCTTGCCACGTAAGCGTTTAAATCATATTTGAAAATGGCATTCGTCGTCTTTAAATCAGTCGGTTGGAGCTTCAATATAGGCCTATCTTTTGACAAAGTCGCGTAGAACTCTTTAACTAGCCAATTTTTAACAGACTTAGCAACCGCCCATTCATCATTTGACATGCTTATGTTTAGCGAAAGCAGCGGAGGCAAATTCCTGACAGTTTTCTCAAATTCAACGTTCTCAGGTTTATGGCATTTACCACAAACTGCTCTTCGGTGTTTCACCCGATTCATAGACGATTCAATATAAGGTAAAACGGTTTGGTTATTGAGCTTCTTATTAGAGTACTTGGCATTGTTACTAGCCGGGCTGGTAATAGTGAGCGCTGGCACAATGGATGATCGTTTTTCATAACTATCGCATGTTGATATTGTCCGTGTGTCAGTTGCTAGCTGGATCCCGAACAATTCTTCCAGCGCAATGCTATGAGTAGTGTTTATCTTTTTCTGAACTTCCTCAGAAATTAGCTTGCGTAGTATGAAGTCATTGAATCGTTGCGGAACGTTATTCTCCAGAGCAGTTAGGTTCGATTTACATCCACTCTCATCTTTTTGATCTTCAACTTCCAAGCCCGCAAACGACTCTCGAAGATCAGCTGTCAGGGAATCTTTTAAAAGGCCCAGCACATCAACTTCTGGAAGCGATGTCATAGCTTTCTGAAAATTGGACGAACGGCATACAACTCCATTTGCCTTATCCATCATATCGTACAAGTACCCTAATTCTGCCAGCAGAGAAATTTCTGACCAAGTGTCGTCTTTTAAACAACTCACGACAAAGTTGTAAAACTCGGGTACAAATCTGTACATTTGTAGAACAGCATTCGTATAAGAGTTTTCTATATCCGACTCAAGACCGGAAAGATTGGTTTGGTTGAAAGCCTTGAAATCAAAGTCTTCCACTCCATACTTCCCGTAAACCATTTGTAATTTCGTGTACGCCGGCGGAACTTCAAATTCGTTAACAGGTCTATACCTCATAAGCTCTTTTTTGTCAGTGCCGTCTTCGTCTGTGACAAGAAGCTTCTTCTTTCTTTCGCGAAGAGACCTGTAAGGCCTTACCACATTTCTTCTACCAAATTTAGCTACATTGTAGGGAACCAGCTGAAAAGTTTGCGAATTTGATGCCGGCAATTGGAAAAGACGTGATGAAGCGTTTTGTGTAGTCTGTATCGTCTCATTAAACCGCCTCGGCAACGTTCCACTGCTTCGGAATATGACATGAGGCCATGCAGATAAGAGTTTTTCAGAATAGTATGGCATCCCCACAGAACTGAGCGGAAAGTACTGGTCATCGGGAGAGATTTTGTCTTTTGTTGGCCCATCATCTGGAAAATCTGGATACTCTAGCATTGCGGATGAGTTCGAAAAACCAGACATTCCGTTGGATCGGCTCCATGTATTGATATTATTATCATGTTCCAAGAGGGCAATATAATCGCCACTTGAAGAAAGTTGAAATTGAGAGATGGAATGGCATGGATGGCAATACTGGGATCTCAGCGCCGGATTTGCAAGGTCGATAAAATCAAAGGCGCCGGAGGTAGAAGCCACAGTCATCACAGTTGGAAGAATGGGATGTAGTCGGACAAAATCTGCGCCTGCGCTTCCGGAACTATTCATGGATTGGTTATGTGAAAACGCAACAGGTGTCAGTTGCCGCATCATTCGCAGGTCATAAATGTTGACAAAGGGATCTGAGCATAGTTGATTAAATCTTCGTGACTTGCCCACTGTTACCAACGTATTATCGCGAATATCCATATCTGAAATGGCCGCTGAATGGCCCGCAAACGACTTGATTAGCTGGTTAGAATTTTGATCAAGGAGATCAATGGATCCGGCTTGCTTGCCTACAAGTATAGTCTTGTTGTCGGAACGTAATAGTTTTACTTTGGAGGCGTAATCGATATTGTTGGCAAGTGCCCCCTTTTGGAGGTCGATGTCGATGATGCCACTACCAGGGTTTGCGCCCGCGCAATATACGTGATTGCCAGCGTTCGAGGCGAAGCACATGGCCTTCATATCACAAAGTTGGGCGATATCCGCGCTTGTTAGGTTCAATCGCGTTACGCCTTGTCGGCTAGCAAAATTCAAGGAATCTGCGCTGAGCGACATGATACCACTGGCATGACTCAGCATATCGACAACGGGTGCTGCACCGATATGGCCCGCGTGCCTCGTATATAGCGCATACGCTGGGTCGTAAGACGAAACTCTGCCGTAAGTGTCGCCAGCCCACAATAAGTTGGCGTGCTCATCAAAAATTACTTTCGAGACATCTTTTTCCCGCTCGTCGTATAGCAAATATGGCTTTCGTAGGTGCTCTGTGAGATCGACGGGCGTTTGAAATGTCAATTGCCAATTGTTCATCACTGGAAGCGTTTTCTTCTATACAAAAATAACACCTGCAAAAACTCCGTTGAAATTCGTTGCTTGTTGACCAAATTAGCTTTCAAAACTTTCTTTTAGATTTCCGCTTAAACCAGAGTAACTTAAGGCAGATCAATTACCCTAACAAGCTCTTTTACACCAGTCTTTAATTACCTCTCTAGTCTATAAACTGTTTAACTAGCCTTGTTGAACTTTATAATATTCTACCCTGCGCGTATAAAACTACCTTCAATTTTGATTGATGAAAAATTGTAGCCAAAAAATAACCGCAGATATATGAAATAATATCGAGGACTAGCATCGAGATAAAAAATAGCCGCCCAGCAATGGAAGTCAGCGAATTGTCGCATTATGGTCCCTCCTTGTGCGTAAAATTTCACGGTGACTACGTATTGGCTGGTTACGGCATGTGCATACATGTTTACGAGCTCTTGAACGGCAACCTTGTGAATACGTCGCGAATTTTCCACAGAAACAAGGTCCACGGCTTTGTGGTGAAGAATGGCCTCGTTCTTATTTACGGTGCACGCTCCGTAAGTATTGTACCGCTGGAAGCGTTGTTCAATTGTAGTAATAACTCTAAGCTAGAGAGAATGTGCCACGAGTGGATCATAAGCGCAGAGTTTAGTTTCGACTGCTCAGCGGTTTACCTGCTCACGAGTTACAACAAAGTACTATATTGCGACTTATCACTGGCGATCATAGATACAAAAGCCGTTTTTGGCGAAAGGGCAATTTTGTACTCAGGAACAATCACCGTCCTTGGACATGAGAAGGTGCGCGTAAATGCCGGAACCGTGATGGACGGTGTATTCATCTGGGATATGTTTACAGAGCAGAACCTTCACCATTTCACTGATCACGAAGGCTCGATCTTTTTCGTTGTCGCTAGCCAAAGTGGTCGGTACGTTGCTAGTTGTTCTGACGATCGTTCCATCAAGCTTTGGGATCTAGAAAGCGGCCAGTTGATCTCTACTGGCTGGGGACACACTGCCAGAATCTGGAACCTCCAGTTTTTTGACAACGATACCAAGCTCATCAGTGTTTCAGAGGACTGCACTTGCAGAACTTGGGATGTGTCTTTGCCAGCACAGCACTTACCGCAAATTGACACTTACGAAGTTCACATGGGCAAGAATGTTTGGGGAGTTGACGTAAACTCTCATAGAATGATAGCTGCCACTTCTGGTAATGATGGACGCATCAAACTAACGGACTTACATTTACATTCGCGGCCAAGTTGCGACAGACAAATTATCTCGCTGAAGGATATCACGCTTCATGGTATCAAGTTTAAAAGTAACGAAATGGTCAAAGGATTTCACTGGTTCAGGTTTGGTCTAATTGTTATGACATCTGAGGGTCAAGTGCTCAAGTATGACAAGACTACTGATGTATGGTCCACTGTACTAACAAACGAAAAATTTGGCAGCAATTGCATCACGGCGGGAATACAAGAACTTAACTTGATTGTTTTCTCGAATACTGGCGGCGATTTGCTGATTGCCAAATTCTCGAATAATGGCACACTGTTGAAGACAAAAGAAGTGCACATCAACGCTATCTCAAAAACGACAAACTGCCTCGTAGACCATTCAAATGGACTTGTTATGGTTTTACTTCAGTCTCCCAACGAAAAAGAACCATTGCTATGTCTCAAGATGAATGGCAATTCTCTCAGCGAAGAACAAACTTTCCAATTCAAGAGACCGACAAATTTCAGCGCTACTTGCATCCTCTACCACCAACAATATCTGTTGCTAGGTTCCAGATATAGCTCTTTAGCAGTCTTTGATACTCTTGATTATGAGAAACCAGCCCAAATGATACGACGTATGCTACCGGGTGATTCTATTACTTCGTTGAAATATGTCGAAGGATCAACCGACGGAAGCAGTTTATTGTCCGTCACTGATCGAGATGGGTATTATTGCTTTATTTCTATGAATTTGAGCAATGGAGGAATGGAAGTTGTCCTTCAAAACAAGATCGCAAAAGGGTCTCTCGAGGGAGCTCACTATGACGAAAGAGGCGACTACATTATTCATGGCTTCAGGTCGAACACATTTGTGGTTTACAATGAGACTAAAAACTGCGAAATTCTGAGTGAGCATTGTAGCGGCTCTCACAGATTATGGAAACTCTTGCCGAATTATAGATCTGACCATTTTATTTTGATCTACATCAAGGATTCCTGCATTCATATTCGTAAAATCGGGAGACCTGTGATGCCACAATCTCTGCGAGATGGTTTGCATGGCAGGGAAATCAGAGACGTTACAATACTTCCAAATCTTTATGGTGTCGATAAACATGTGTTTTGTTCCGGATCCGAAGACACAACCGTTAGACTTAACTGGTTGAATATCAAAGATGGCAAAGCTAGGACTGTGTGGACTTTTCGGGCCCACACTTCTGGTTTACAGCGCTGTAAATTTGTGAACCATGAATTTATGATTACTTGTGCCGCGCGCGAGGAGTTATATCTTTGGAAACTGACGAAACGTTTTGACTCCAACCCATATATGTCAGTCATATCAATTTTGCCCCCTTCCACAGAAATTCCTGATCTCCGGATCATGGACTTTGACGTCAAATTTATGAATGATACAAGTGATTTTTTGATGGCAACGGTGTATTCAGATTCTACTATAAAACTGTGGGTTTACGAGCATCAAAAAAAGAACTTCAGGCTCATTACCTGGGGGAAGTATGAAAAATGCTGTCTACTGAACGTTGCATTCGTTTCTTTGAAGGATCGTTTAATCCTGATGGTGTCCCCTACCGACGGTCATTTAGTACTTTGGGATCTAAGTCAGTACCTACCCGTGAATGTGCAAATGAATGAGCTTGTGTGTACGGCGTCTGACGTCCAGGCAATTTTCGCGTTACCCAAATATGTCCAAAGAATAAATGTCCACAAAGCTGGCATCAAATCGATTGAAATTAAAGTACTCTCAGATCTGAGCTTCTTGGTTTACAGTGGAGGAGACGATAACGCTATTGCAATCTCTAAATTTGCTGTTGACGACAAGGACTCACAGATTGAGGGTCGTGTGATAAGTCTCGAAAATCACGGAGGTGCCTCCACTATAACGTCAGTCAATCTGCTTAATAATAAGGAGGGCTTGATCACAGCATCTGTTGATCAAAGACTGAGATATTACGACATTTCCGATGATCAACTGAGGCTCGAAAACGTTTTTTACACCACGAATGCAGACACAGGCTGTTTGGACATTCTTACAACAAGTGAAGGGTCCCTACTTCTAATTGGTGGCGTAGGGCTTTCCTGTTGGGCTTTAAAATTGAAATAACAACCGATCTATAATAGCCAAGGACTTCTCTACGAATGCACATCATCCTGATAAAGCTATTTCTCACAGTAATTTAATGCCTAATTCCTTTTTCATTATATACAAACGACGAAGAACCGGAGTAGTCTAATGAATTTTCGCCATAACAATATATTTACAAGCCTTTTTCAAGAACGAAGTCTAGCCTTGACGCTGCTTATGCTTTTTGTTGGATTTGCAGTATACATATACTCTGCCCTTTCGTCTCACCATCTGTGCCACCTATTGTTAGTAATGTACTCAAAACACCAAATTGGAAAACCTTTTCAAGGCGAGTCTTTCAAAAATGAAGTTATCATACGTAGCAATCACTGCAAAATTTCTTGATAGCAGTCCTGACTTTAAACCCTCTCGTCAAGAAAGGATTTGAAAACCCTAAAGTAGAATTCAGTAATCCGCGACCATAATAGTTGATAGTTCTATTCGTGCCTAAGCGAAGCAGTTGCGAGAGCATCGTGAAATCTAAGGCGCCAGCACACCTAAGTAGTCAATCCTTGAGATGATTTCCATTTCATAATCAAAGATATGGGTAATCTTTAAAATTTTTAAAAGTGATGATAGCATTCATAACGGTTTAAAATGTAAACAATAGAATCCACTGAATCCCAACAAACTCAGAGGGACTCCATAGTATCAGGGAATGGATGCCGACAAAAGAGAATTAGAAGATGAAGCTTCAGGCACGCAAAGCCCAGAAAAACTGAAATCAAAATTTCTAGTGCCGGGAAGAGGAATTTTGAAACAACGATTTGCACAAGGAGACGACCAAAGGGAGAATGTAACGATATCAAATATTCCCGATTCAGGTAACTCGCAGGTGCAAGACAACTTGGATCAAAATAATACAACCTCGAGGATAAGCACCACACGGTTACAGTCAAAACTTGATCGCAGGGTATCCTTCGCACCAGACGTGACACTTCACAGAGTTGATTTTGTGCCCCAGCATCCAGACACTTTTAGAGAGCCTCGAAGGAAGCCTAATGTCAATATTTCAGCGAAGAATGCATTGTCAAATAACTCAGAAGGCATAGATGCTGCTAATAGTATGGAATCTGCAGATGATGGCGGAAGCGCCGTTTCACTGGATTTGGTGCGCACTCAAAAAGACCCATATACGCCTGTTTTTGACAAAGAGGTTTCAATGGAAATCACACAATTGTTTTCAAAACATAGTGCAAGGCCTGACAGCGAAATTAAGAGCCCCGAAGGCCAAGAAGATATGGAGGTTACCAAACTCCACAGAGAGGCGTCATCACAAGATCACGGAGGGCATATTGTTATTTCAGCAACAGTCAGTGGTGGTGGAATTGAACAAGACATGGAATTCACTGAGTTGCAAAATGCTGCCGCAGAACATGAGAACGATAGAGATGTCACTGCACCGGGTGCAGTGCCCTACTTCCCAGCAGCCAATGAACAATCTAATAACTCTACCACAAACTCATCCAGGAGCATAGAGAGAGATCTGTCCGACATGGAAACAACAGAACCTCTCAAATTGCTAACTACAACCAGAGAGCAAGGTGATAAATTGCAGGCGATATCACCAGCTGAAGCGTCTTGGCAGATGCCTCAGCAAAATCTTGCCGGTCAAAATGACCGAGAGATCTTGGACATCATGTCTTCTCAAGTGGTAACCTCCACACAGCTACGAAGTGGGTCAACTGAACAGCTGCAGCCAGATACTGAAATTGAGAAGAAGCGTTCCTTTCCAGAAGCGTCGTTGAAACGAAGAAAGATTAGTAGCGATGAGACGGTACGCAGCTCTTCTTTCGTAGGTGGGTCTACTGTTGATGATGATATGGACTTAACAATGATGGAAAGGCTGTCGCCAATCAATATTTCAGCAAATTTAGAGCACGAGGTTGACATGCTGCGAGGTGGAAAGTCTTCTGGTTTGCTAAGTCTGAAGGAAAAGGTCCAAAACGAACCCAATTCAATAGCTTTGAGTACATTCTTAAACGCCGTTGGAATGACCTTTCCAAGTCAAGAAGATAACTTTGAGCGATTCACCAAACTAGCATTTAATGTTGAATCTGGAGAAATTAAATGGCCTGCTGTTGAGATATACAATATCTTGTATGCAGACATGCCCATTCTTGAGATATCTGCCTTCTGCTGTAAGGAGTTGTTACTGAGGGTAGAGAAATCTAGACGATTGTTTCAAGAAGTGGAGGAGCAAGTATCACGCAATCCATCACCAGCGCTGTTTAAAAAATATTTCGACTCAACCCAAGCGTCAAGGGAGACTATGAACAATCAAATTATTCTGATTCGAGACTACTCAAAGCTGCAAGCCCTGAGAGTGTGGTTTGAATGGAGGTCTATGCATCTAAATGGAATAAAAAGTGTTCTAAAAGAGAACTTGATGGTCCTCAGAATTGAACTGGAGACTATTTCAGCACGCATTGACAAAATCAATACAATCAATAAGAAGGTTCTCGAAGTCAAGCAAAAAATCATTCGGGAATTACACCTGTCAAAGGAACAATTAAAAGCCCCAAGTATCAATCCAGCTATCCCAGAAAGACTGAGGATAGAGATATTGAAAGCTGAACTGAAAGTAGAAATACAAAATTTGAAAGAAAACTCTCAAATTGTCCAGAGAGTAGCAAGAGTACAAGCCGAAATAGATGAAATTCAGCATAAGATTGCTCAAACACAGAAACATATCTCATTGCTAAGTTCGAAAGTTAGGAAAACTTCAGCGTTCGCCAAACACGAAATACCAAAGCTTGAAGCCACCTTTCGAATGATGCAGTCCATATCAGGTGTCTCACTCAAACAGTATGCGGGAGCTAGGCTGAATATAGAATTGAGTGATTCTAATATCGCCCTCAGCTTAGATGTCAAAGAAATTGATACTGTCGATGAAATAGACGTCTTTCTTCCATCTTCGCTAGACGCATTGTCTCGCGAGCTGTACATGCGGTCCGTTCAACAAGCTCGACACTCCAGCCAAAGCGCCAGTCAATTTGTGGCGGTTCTTCTCAAAGATTCATTCAAAGTGCGCTACTTGCTAGCTGAGCACAGACGCTTGCAACTATTTTTTCCGTGCAGAACTAGGTGTTCCAACGACGGGTCTGTTTCTATCGAAATTAGGTTTTTCGATATGATCGCCAAGAAGTGCTTATTTCTGCACTTACCGTTGAGCGAATTTGTTTCTGCCGTCAAAGGAGAATTCAACAAAAATCCGCAGCTACATGCGAATGCTCGCACATCAGAGAAGCCAAACCTGGAGGTTGCACTGGCCCACTTCCGAGCAAGAGCATCGCCAGCGATACCTTGGCTGAAGGAAGCACTGTTTGTCTGACATTCTAAGAAAAACCCGGAGCAGATTTTACATAAATTACAACAATTGCTCATTAAAATTATAAGCGCATATGGCCATGACGCGGTCTCTCTGAGGTTTCTGAAATGGTAAAATCGTTTTAAGCTTAGTCTAATCACGCGGCACGTATAATAACATATAAACCAAATTTTGCATTATTTACAAAATGTTCCATAATACTCGGTTATCACTGAGCATTAGTGGAAATAGGTGTAAATAGGTTAGAATACCTATCGAGAAAGGTCAATTGCTTAGCTTATAAGCTACTCGTGGCCGAACGACAGGCTTGATATTTTTTCAGAGGTCCTCTCTATTGACAGAAGTACCAATTAGCTAAATCTTCCAAATAACTAGGAATTCTACGCTCTGAACTAGATGTTTGGCTCAAGTGCAGGAAGCTCGTCGCTATTTGGAGGGGGGCAGAATACCTCAACTCCGACTTCCAAAGGTGTGCAGTCTGACAACAATGCGTTTCAACCAAGGCAGAAGACGTCATCTGGTGGTCTCTTTGGTGATGTGAGCAGCGGTCAAGTTAATGGAGCGTCAACACCGAGTCCTTCTGGTGGGATCTTCGGCAGCAAAAATGTAGGGAATGGTCCACAAAGAGCCACTAATAACCTTTTTGGCGGTGCATCCAATTCGGCAACTACTTCGACAACATTTGGAAATAATAATAATAATACTGGAAACTCGAACATCGGCGCACCTTTCGCCTCAAATATTAATCAGTCAACCTTCGGTTCCAATAACGCTGGGCTTATTGGACAGCCAAATAGTAGTAACAACGCGAGTGCATCACTTTTTGGTAACAGTAGTGGCACCAGTCAACAATTAGGTGCAACAGGGGGATTATTTGGAAATTCTGGGAATACAGCTTCTAACGGTGGCCTATTCAGCACTACTGCTACAAATGGCAATTCGGGTGGGCTCTTTTCAAATAGATCGCCAGCTGCGGGCATCGGATCTGGAAGCACGGGGACCGCTATGAGCGGCGGAATGTTATTTCCTGGGTCAACTTCACAATCTAATCAAATATCTGCCCCATTGTCTGCCAATCCGTATGGCTTGCAGATCAATAGCATGTCCAGCAATGTTGCAAACATGCCCGAGTCCATTACATCATCCGTCCTCAAAAGAAGTTCACCACCGAAGACAGAAAAGGTGAAAGAAAAAGCGCAAAGCTCGTCATTTTCATCTCCTAATACCTCAATACCCTCCAATTTTAAGAGCAATACTACCCTTATAGGGAAATTAAGTTCACGACTGAAAAGTTCGAGGAGCATTGAACCCACACAAGGTCTATTCTCTCCGGCAAGAAAACCTATGTTTCGTCAGGAGGACATGGAAAAATTAGGGAAGGATCACGCAAGCTCCGAAGTGCTACCAATTAGAAAAATTGTCGATAACCATTCGCAGACTAGTCGAACTGACGTTTCGGAATTAAGGAGATTGAAAATTGACACTGGAAGAAGCGCGGCAAAAAAGATCAAACTATTTAACGGAATGAGTGAAGCCACAAGCATGAAGGTCTTGGGCGAGAAAGAATTTGAGCCCAAAAGAGATGAATTAAAAACCGATATCAAGAAGCCAAACGAGCTTCACTTCGAAGCCCGTTTGCCAAGAGAAAATGAATTTGGGGAACAAAACGACATTAAAAGTAAGGGATATTGGTGCTCACCTACTATTGATCAGCTTAGTAAGCTCCCAATAAAACAGCTCTGCAGCGTTTCTAACTTTGTTGTTGGCCGTCGCGGCTTCGGATCTATATCATTTGACAGTGATGTTGATCTAAGCTCTTTCATCGACGACCTTGAAGACAACTTGTTTGACAAAACTGTTATTTTTCACGGAAATAAGACCGTTGAAGTTTATCCAGACAGCGTTACGAAACCTCCCTTTGGATATGGCCTTAACGTTCCGGCAACGATAACGTTAGAGAAAATTTACGCTATAGATCAAAGATCAAGGGCGCCCATCGAAGACCACTCGGCGGAAGAGGTGCAGCTACTAATAAAAAAATTAAGAAGATTAAAGGGTATGACGTTCATTTCATATAACCCGTTTGAAGGTTTGTGGACTTTCAAAGTGCAGCACTTTAGTGTCTGGGGCTTAGTGGATGGTCAAGAGGACAATGCGGCCGACTCCGCTAAATTAGAAAAATCAAGACCGGTGGAACGGAAGCTCGCTTTTCCAAAGTTAAAGTCATCAGTAACTCAACTTCCAACGTCAATGGCGCAACAATCTGCCAAATCTTCTGTCCTTCACGCCAACGGCTTGGACATAATAGGCTCTAACGAGGTAAGCTATCCCAGATTCGAATCGGAAGATGCTGAAATGTTCGATCTCATTGATGAAAAGCAATATGAACCTTCTGATGTTAGCGTCAACGATTTCATCGGCTTAGAACCTCAATCGACTTTAAGCGTATCTAGTGACTGGGTTTCACAGCTTAAACTCGCTGGCGAATCATACAATTCCATCTTTAAAAACTCGTCCAAATCTGGAGTGCACGATGAAGAAAGCGAGGCGTTATTTCCATCGTTAGACGCCAATATTAAGACTCGTAAAGACATCAGAAGAACTCAACGTGTCCTGGCCCCCCCTCCCTTTGCCAAGTTTTCGAATGATTCAAACTTACTTTTGCGGTCTCTTGAAAGCCCTTCCGGGTGTTCGCTTAAGTCATCAATGCCTTACGAGCTCGATATTAAGACCAGAATAAGTCGAACATTTGAATCCTGCTTTCCTCAAGCTCAAATTGAAGCCCGCGAAACCAATGGCTATCCCGTAGTTAAAGATTGGGCAGTCACTATTGAAAGTATTGGAAGATTGCTGGGTGTAGGAGAAGAGCGGCGGCTATGGGAGCTCATTTCAATACTTTTTGATGAATGCCCAACTGCTCAAGACGACGGAAGGTTGGAGGAAACCAAACGCTACAAAAGATTATGCAATTGGGTGGTAGAGAAAGTTAAACCAAATGTCTTGGACCGCATCAACCTATCAACATGTTCCAATGAAAAAATCTTCAACCAGATTTTGATAGGAGATATCATAGAAGCCACGGAATTGGCAATGAAAACTAGAAACCCTCATTTGGCGGTTTTGATTACGCTTCTAGGCTCGAACAACTCCAACGTTAAATCTCTGGCTTGTCAGCAGCTACTAAAATGGAAGGCGCTCAACAAAAAAGTTGAGCCATTCGTCGTGAAGACGTACCAATTGCTAGGTGGAGCTTTGTTTGACCATCAATCTCTGATTGATATTGAAAACCAGTATTCATGGCTGGAGTGTCTTTCAATGTGGTTATCGTACGGGAATACAGATTCTAAGCCACTAACTGAAGTTCTCTCAAGCTTTTTGCGCAAACCATTCATGGGGAGCATTCCACGGACAGATAACTCTACATGCAGTATCTTGGAATTTTTCAGCTCAAAGGAGGGAGATGAAAAGCTTCTGGAAAATATCAGCATATCTAGCGATGTTTTCAGATGTCGAGACACCTGGTTCATGACTCAAGCTCTTCGCTCCAAAGATAACTGCAACTTTTCAACTGAGAAACTGGATAGAATAACTTCACAGTTTTTTGAACAATTGGCGGCCAACAGGCTTTTTTCAGAGGCGCTTTTCACCCTTATGTTTTTGAATAATGATGATTTGGTAAAACAAAAGATAGACTCACTGATATCTAGGCACATTCAGTTTTTTACTGAAACATCTAATAGAAAAGCTCTGGACAACTTCAAAATACCAAAAGACATTTTCTTTAAGGCCAGAGCACTTCACCACAAGTATAATGAGCAATATCTAGCCGAGGCCGAAAACTTGCTTGATGGTGGATTAATCGATGAAGCGGCGAAATCTTTGTCTTTGAATGTGGGACCTGAATTAGTTTTGAGAGGCAGCAGAGACACTAAAAGCTTGATAACGTTACGCAATCTTATACAAAGGGCTCTCAGTGGAAACGTTACCTCAGCACGAAAAGATCTGGTTCTTTTTCAAGATTACGCCCAATTCGTCTTGGATAGTGACACCAATTTGACCCGCTTAGAGAGAATAATACGAACACTTCCGGCATACTACGCAGAGCAGGGACATTTGCGGAAGATATCAATATGTTGTTCAATAATTTCCAATAATGTGGCCCTTGCCTACCTGGAAAAACATGAGGACAAGTTGGCTTCAGATGCAACGAAGAAGCAACTACTTGTATTGCCTTTTGGAGAACCTGAGCTGCAATACATCAAAAAAAAATCAACCTTTCCCGGCCAACATGATAGATCTTTATTTTATACATACTCAATATAGTGCATTTGTAAAAGTACCCTGTTTATATGTTAAATGTCACCAACTGCATCACGGAGCCGCTCCACTACGTTGAGAATTGCAAGCGAAGCTGGGCTCTCCGGGTATCCGTCGAGGAAACTTTGTCCTTCATCGCATGACTTACCAACTCTAGGATCAAGTGGAACTGATCCAAAAAATGGAATGACTAGTTCTTCACACAATTTTTGTCCTCCGCCAGTGGTAGGTTTGAATATTTGTGATTGCCCTTTGCAATTGGGGCATACGAAGCCACTCATATTTTCGACCAGCCCCAAAATTTTAATACCCGCTTTCCTACAAAAATCAATTTCTTTGCGGACATCTAGAAGTGCCACCTCCTGCGGAGTTGTAACGATCAAAGCTCCATCGATACCAGAGTCTTTCATAAATTTATTGATTGAGATGTGTTCGTCTGATGTTCCTGGAGGCGTATCCACTATTAGATAGTCTAAGACGTCCCAGTCTACATCTTTGAGGAATTTTTTGATTAGAGCATTTTTCTTGGAACCTCGCCATATGATCGCTGAGTCGTTTTCTGGAAGCATGTATTGAATAGACATTGTAGCAAGGTTATCGGCCACATAGACGGGGGACCACCCGGAGTTAGATTCGTGCACGGTCTCGCTATTGCATCCTAGCATTCGGGGCAGAGACGGTCCGCAGATATCGAGATCCATTGCTCCAACCTGCAGATCTTCGTCCGATGACAAAGCCCAACAAAGCATGGCTGTGAAAGTAGACTTTCCTACGCCCCCTTTGCCAGATAAAACTAGTATTTTGTGTTTAATTTGTGACAAATTCTCTGTTATCAATGGGATATCGGGATCAGGACCTTTCGGAAGACTCTCACAGATATCTTTATTGGCACAGCCGTTGCAGGCATCGCCTTGACCTGCATTTTCGGATTCTGGGCCAGGACAATGTTCCGGTTCGGCCTCTTTTAAACGGTAATCTTGCTGTAGCACCTCTGATACTTGTGCCGCCATCACTACTGCTGAAACTGTTGAAATCGGTTTCTGTAAGTGAGTTATATGGATATTTCGTTGCACAGCTCAAAAATCTTAAGCGTTAATAATAATGAAATTTGCTTCAACTTACTTTAGAATAGAATTATTTGTAAGGTGACACCAATAAATGAATAATAGGAAGGTTGGAAACGATGAGAAAGTCCTGAAGACATGGACGCAAGCAGTTATTTCGTAAGTTGCGCTTTAGCTAATGTCGATGATGATGAGTTGAGCGTTGTAATGTGTCAAACCAGATTTTCAAGCAAGAAGTGTAACAATGTGCATGAACTGCGAGATTTGGCCCTCAATCTTACGGCAAGCGAAGGCAGTGACATAGTAGCTGCCAAGAGTGTTAAAATGAAAAGTTTACGATGTTTTGCAGATTCAGACCCTTTAAAAATGTGGTATGAACTTGTGAAGTTCTTGTCGGGCGGCTTTTTCGAAGTTAGTGAGATCGATCGATTATGGTCTCAAGACGGACACTGGAAATTCCACTTTTTGACAGGCGAATGGAAGCTGATCTTTGAGATACAGTTTGAAGGCTTCACTCAACGATTTTGTGAACTAACCTTGGTGTCAGTACGAGATGAGGAATTGGATCTTTTTCACTTGAGTTTGAAGCTATTCAAGGACCAGCAAGAAGCAAATGAGCGGATCCACTTGTTGGAGCGTAAGTGCACTAGTTTGAAAGATGATATTGATCGCTTAAATGATGGCCAGACGGCAAGGAGTGCTATGCTTCAAGAAAGAGACGAAAAGACCCGCGATTTGATAGTTGCATTACTGAACGAAAAGAAGGCTATGATTAGGCAACTGCAAGATCGGTTAGAAGAGAACAAAGGTCCTCTTGATATCCCAGATGAGATGCTAATTAACAAGTATGTTAGTCAGCCCGTCTCAAGAATGACATCGCCGCGAAAGAGGTCGGCTATTGGCAATTCAACTCCTTCGCCAAAGAAAAAAGCCAGAAAGCCATACTTAAAGCAGGAAAAATCCTGGGACGACTTCGTAGATCAAGGGTTCGAAATTCGAGGCATAAACCGCGAGAAGACGCCCAATCGTGGTGGTATTAATGAAGAGGGAAGTCCTGGATTGCAAATTCGTGAGAGTCCCATGAAAGCAGGTACTACTTCTTCTTCGGTAGCTCAGACCAATCTGTTACCAAACGAAATCTTATCGCAATTCGAGAGCTCTGGAGCTGGCGAGCTTGCAAATTTGGAACTGAGGATCGCAAGTAAGGGTGCCATAGATGATGAAATCAAAGTCAAAAATGGCACACAGTCAACAGCTGAAGGTCTGAGTGCCACCGAAGATCTCCGAAAGCGATCCGAACCTCTTGAGGTGAAAACGAAACAAGAAATTTCTAGCAACATCTTTGAATCTCCTAACCCTTCAATTTTGAAGAGTAAGCAAAGCGATGGCTGGGAAGCTTCCAGATTCGAAGGTTTATCTGAAAACGATACCAATTCGAAGTCTGATTCAGAGACGGAGACAGAGGCTAGTACGGGCGTCGATGCAGAGGATGAAATGGAGATAGAGACGGAGACAGAGTCATGAGAGCAAGCGTTTCACTTTGCCTGCATAGCACATAACTGGGAACGCTGTATCATACTTTTGTTACCGTCGATCATCGAAGAGACCCGAAAAGAAGAAAATGTCATAATCAACAATTGGTGATCTAATCCAAACTGATGGGCACGATTTGAAGAAAGGGATCCCGAGACGAGCAATGCTCTTGGACTATATATGTCTCGGCTCCAGTTGGGTTCACCAAGGCTTGTTACGTCTAAAATGATGAATCACAAATTTTTCAAATATGCGCTATTGAAATTTTAGAGCTGTCAACAACTTTGTTTGCACACAATTTCTCGAGGATTCTGCATCGTTTATAATCCCATAGATCGACGTTTGTGCATTTTAATCAAGGCCGATACGTTAGACTAGAACAACGTTATCTGGCGTGATAAGTCGATCCTGCTCGCATTGTTTTTGTCATTTGTTTTGTGTTTTTGCGTTCTTTCAGTTCTAGCATTCTGAGAAGCAGCCGTAAAGGTTCCAGTACCCTTTGATATAACTTAGTGAAGTTAATTGGTTACAAATAACCTTAGAAAGGACTTTAGTTATCCTGAGAATTGTTTCCCTAACAGTGCTATTTATTTCTTCTATTCTTTCCCGAGTAAAGGAGTTGTTTCCAAGATCTTTTCGCTGTCGAGTGACTATATCAAGGAGTTTGTTGCGACATTTAAGTTGCTATACTGATCTATTCATTACAGTTTTTTGAACTTTCGTTTCCCGGTTAGCGATGTCATCGTTTTATCACCAGCAGTTTGTGAACTCTCCCATGTATGCATACGACATGACGTCGGCACGCGGCCCTAGCGCCGATGACGCTATGTACCGCTCCCTTTCACCCAACTCTCAATTGGCCTATCAAAACGAGCAACAATCCGTATGGCCCAACTCCTCGTATCACAATAACAATAACATGAATTTTGTAGAACATCGTCATATGGGTTATTCCCACGAATCTGGTGTCTTGGAGCAGCCCACATTTGGTCTAATTCCCACCGAGGTAGACAACAGTTCAAGTCACATCTCCACTGATTCCTCCAGCTATTCTAGTGCTCCCAGAAATTCCAAATATGCAGCCAACGCAGCAGCAGCAGCAGCAGCAGCAGCGGCCGCCAATGCACCAATGTCACATAAGCCCTCGCAACCCAATAATCCTAGAGATTTTACGTCAGCTCCTAGCAGAACTGTTTACTTAGGAAATGTCTCTCCTAATATAGAGACTAGGCAATTGCTGGACCACGTTCGCAGTGGAATAGTTGAGGATATCAGGATACTACGTGATAAAATGTGTGCGTTCATATCATTTTTGGATGAGAGCTCTGCTTTGTTATTCCACTCTGACGCTATTCTAAAGCGGTTCAACATTGAGGGTCGTGACATCAAAATAGGCTGGGGAAAGCCCACACCTATCGATCCAGTGGTCACCGCTGGGGTTACGAACGATGGTGCAACGCGTAATGTATACATCGGACGCTTGAATACCGATCCAAAAACTGCTTCACAGTTTGGTGCCGACCCTAGAGATGTGGTTATCACCGAAGACAAATTAAGAGAAGATTTGGGGTTCTATGGCGAAATTGAATCCGTCAAGATAATTCCAGAAAAAGGCATTGCATTCGTCCATTTCACTTCCATCTATAGTGCCATTAAAGTGGTATCCAGCCTTGCATCCATCAACCCTTACTACACAAACAAAAAGATATTTTACGGTAAAGATAGATGTGCTTTCATTACCAAAACACAACAGCATAATGCAGCTCAATTTTTAGGGCTGCAACCAGGTATGGAGCATCTAGTTCAGTACACTGACAGAGACTTTATTTCCAGTACACTGCTTCAACAATCAGCTGCCGCGGCAGCTATTGCTACTGCTGCTGGTGGCGCCAACAACTTGGGTAACCGTACCATCTATTTGGGCAATCTGCCTAAGGACGTGAAAATTGAAGAAATTTGTAACGCGGTCCGCGGCGGGCTGCTTCAAAACATCAAGCTACTGTCTGATCGTCACGTCTGCTTCGTAACGTTCATTGATCCGACGGCTGCCGCACAACTATATGCCATGACTTCGTTGCATGGCCTAACTATTCATAACAAGAGATGCAAAATCGGATGGGGGAAGCATTCCGGGGCGCTGTCAAATGCACTTGCGCTCGCCGTAAGCCATGGTGCTTCGCGCAACATATATGTGGGGAACATCGATTTTTCTATTGACAGTACTCGCGAGACGCCGGCTTTCACGGAGGAAACTCTCCGCAACAGTTTTCAAGAATTTGGGGAAGTTGAACAGATCAATTTTTTGCCCGAACGCAACTGCTGCTTTGTAAACTTCACCAACATCAGCAGCGCGATCTTAGCCATTGATAAGATAAAAGCTCATCCTCATTTTCAAAATTTGAAAATAAACTTCGGCAAGGACCGCTGCGGTAATGTACCTCGCCAATATCGATGAAAGCGAAACCCCTGCCCTCCGAATAGGACTATAAACGCCATCATTCAGTTCGAATTACAATAATTTTCTTTAATCTATGTTTTTAAGCAGTTTTACAAGGCCACCATCCCATTTAATTAGATACATAATAACAGCGTTTACTAAAAATAATGGCGGTCCTAAGAACACGAATGGCTTGCAGAGATTTTAGATCTAGCCATGGATTCGTACAGCGAAAGTGAATTCCATACGCAAAATTTGAAAAAGGCAATCCAATGCCCAAATTTATCCAAAGTAAAACCGGCGAAATCCCAAACTAATATTTCGGTCAACTTCTTATGACTCCAACCAAAAAAATATCCACAAAATATGTTTAGTAGTACGCATTTAAATCATAATCACCGAATGTGACATACAAAGATAATGTTATCTCGACGTATCACTAGGTTGCTATTCGTTCATGTGACAGACTCCTCACCAAATATCATCGAATGGCCCCGCTTTAGAAAAGTGATTAAAATCGATCCCTTTGTCGTGAAACTATAAAAAGGGCAATGCGTGTGGTCTTTTCCCAGAATTCCATGCTTAAAAGCATGGTATCTTCTTCTATCAATTACGGTTTTACTAGCTGATTATGAGTAAGATAGTGTTCAAGCATCAGCAGGCTGATATTGGATCTCTTAGCGTAGCTGGAAACTTCAGCCAATGGGCTATCCAGCCCATGGTCTTCAACGCCGCGGAAAAGCAGTGGGAGTTTCAGATCGTCCCGCAAATGCTGGCCAACTTGAAAACACAAGAAAACTCATCAGGAGTGGTTACATATTTCAAGTTCATCGACGACAAAGGGGTTTGGTTTACGGACGACAATTTTGCCAAGGAGATCGACGAACATGGCAACGAAAACAACGCGTTGTACTTGAAGATGGATGAGCAAAAGTTATCAAGCGGTGACAAGAACGAGCTGGAGGCTGTAGAGTTTGGGGATCCGCAGAAAGTCTCAGAAGATGATCAACAGGGGCCTGCAAGTCCAGATCCCACGCCCGTTATTCCGGGTTCTATGAGTCCCCTCGCGACATACTCTGAAGAATCGCCTGTCATGATTAATGATTCAGATCTAGAGGAAAACTATCATGAAACTCAGGATCAAAGCCACGACCAAGACCACAACAAAGTGGACGGAAGCAGACATGGTTCTGCGGACACTGAAGTCTCTGTCACTCGCGATCCCAACGAATATAAGAACTTTCTTCACAGCATAATCTACTTCTTCAGGAGTTTGTTCTATCGATGGTTCGGTGTGGGGAAGCGACAATAGGTCTGATTGGGAACCAAGAGTTTTTAGAAATCATAATGCTATCGCACTCGTACTTGGAGAATAAAGACTCAAATCATTCAAAGCAGCCTACAGGCTTCACTCTGCTCATATGATCATATGATTGGTCTCGCTTCAATTCTATAGCGACCGCTTGCATTCTTGAGTTGGCACGGCTCAAGATAGTGGGGCTGTCATACAATTGTTGGGCTTTCAAGTCCTATCTGGGTGTGTATACTCTCGATTTTACCTTGCTGGTCAGGATGGAATTTAGGATTATCAGTTGTACAAGGTTTCCTAGCTAATTACCCATAATTATACTATTTAAGTGATGTGTAACGAGTACGACGAACAAACATGAGTAGCTCTTTGATTCAAGCTATTGCGTTAGAGAAATTAGAAAGCCAGTAGTGTCATTTCGGTGTTAAAGTTTAATTAGCCCAGGGTTCCTGTAAAGTAATGAAAAAGACAGGTCAATTATTTGGTTGAAAGTAACTTTAAATCTTAGGTGATTCTAATACATTGGCTGGCCTCTGTCGAGCCTCAACCATCTCCAAGGTTCAGCTTCAGCTTCGGCGTTGGCATCTCTCTTATACATTGGTTGACCCCTGTCGAGCCTCAACCATCTCCAAGGTTCGGCTTCAGCTTCAGCTTCGGCGTCTCTCTTATACATTGGCTGGCCCCTATCGAGTCTTAGCCAGCTCCAGGGCTCGGCCTCGGCTTCTGGGTTGGCATCTCTCTTATACATTGGCTGACCCCTGTCGAGCTTCAACCATGTCCAAGGTTGGGCTGCAGCTTCAGCTTCGGCCTCCGCCTCTCTCTTGTACATAGGCTGGCCTCTGTCGAGCCTCAACCATCTCCAAGGTTCAGCTTCAGCTTCGGCGTTGGCATCTCTCTTATACATTGGCTGGCCCCTATCGAGTCTTAACCAACTCCAGGGTTCAGCCTCAGCTTCTGCGTTGGCATCTCTTTTGTTATAGTTGCTTTCAGATGCCAGAGCACTTGCAAGTATCGTAGTGTTCACGACTAGTATTCCGGTGTGGGTCGCATTTGATACCGGCAAAAGAGCCAAGTCTTCTGCACCAGTCAAATCCAAGTATCCACTTATACTTTCAAGTGGGAGAGCGGGACTGGAGTCATTGAATTTTATGGGGGCAGCGCATACATTGGTAACTGCTAGAGTAAGCGCCAAGCAAACGTTAATTGTTTGGTACATTTGATCCTTTTGAATAATGGAAACGAGGTGAGTGATCTGAATTTGTGTGATTGATGTCTAAGATGTATTAGATAACTAGCAGAAGATCTCGACCAACTGCTCCCCAACTTTGCCTTTTATAATTGAGAAGGGAACTCAATATGAGCTTTCTAGCGTCAAAACTCATGTCAAACCATAGTGAACCCCGCAAATCCACACGACAGCTCTTACAGAGGTAAAACCACAAATGATGCCCATGAATTGGTTCTACTTTGGTCTTCTTGTCCTCAACAACTCACGCTAAAGTTAGTCAAATGTTGTTCACTTTATTCATTCAAATCCTAATCAGGAAAGCTGTTGCTGTCGCTCTTGAAAGTTCGACAAGAAAACTGACACCAATAGTTGCCCAATTAGGTTGACAAAGAGATTCCTCATCAAACTCTCAGCAGATTTAGAACACTCTTCCTACAACTCCGCGGCGTCTGCGAGTGGTTGATTTGTGTGCTTTGCGGATTCTTGGCGGTTATAGTGGTGATATTGGAGGGGGGGCATTTCTTGAAATCAAAGGACAAGCTCGAAGCTCGCGCTGTATGTGGCAGTTTACCTGTAATGTCCAAGAGGTTTCTGCAGGCACTCGCTATTCTATATGGGGCAACTTACACTCTATCGTTGTTCAATTGCATGGGACAGTGTTGATTTGTTGTGCCAACAGTAAAATCATGACATCGATTCGGGTTGACTGACATGATTTGTAGGGACAAATCGTGGACTTTTAATGGCAATTGCAAATCTCAGACTTGGGTCTCCAGAGATCAGAAATTGGATCAACATAGCCGCCTACAAGACCTTGCTAATCACATCTCACGACGTTATACGTTTACGTCTTTGTATCCTTCAGGACACATCAAAGTCGTCCTTTAGCAAGTTTTATCATAAGCGGTAGTCGAAACATGCATCGGGTCCATATTCATCGCATGTTTGCGCTTCTGATTATGAACCAGCCTTTAGTTCATCGACTTTTCCAGACAAATTCAAGGTTTAAATCCGAAACAGTCCCGAAAAGTTTAGTATTTGAACACTAAATGCTTAGAATAATTTCATGTTTGGACACTGTTGAAGCAGCGTGCCATCAAAAATGCGATTCAGGTTAAAAAGGCACATGAGCGTTTCACGATAAACAATATTCTGTTCAGCGAGCTTGCCGTAGCAAACCATGAACTGCTCCCAAATTTTCGCAAGAGCACGCGCACCATCAAGGGCGCTTGCTTGATGTAAGACGTGAAAGCCAAAGTAGCTGAGCGTTTAGTAATTTTAGAGAACTCAATATATGAACTCGTTTGCGAAGGTGAACCAACGCGCGAGTACGAGTACGAGTACAAGTACAAGTATGGATATTTAGTTGCAGGCTTATAAGATAAACCAAAAACTTCAGATACCACAATACTCCACTCACTTTGTCCAACCACCAGGCGTATTCTTCCCTGCCGCACTGAACGGAGGAATGTCAGATCGACTTCAAAGCTTGTTCTTGTTCCTGGTGAGCTTACTTGTGAGAGTGCCATTGTGGATTTATGGAAAGTACATCTTGCCGCTGCTATACGTCCTGCCGATTCTACAAAACTACAAGACCAACAACTATGTATTTCCAAACAAGCTAGTTGAGGAGGTCGTGAATGCTAATGACATACTGGACATCTGCGAAGCGCACGGTTTCGACGTGCACGAGCATGTCGTGAAGACTCAGGATGGGTATTTGCTCACGGTGCATCGGATCGTGAGCAAACGCCTAAGCACCCGGGACTTGAAGCTCAAGAGACCCGTTGTATACTTCCATCACGGGCTGCTAACTAATAGCGAGCTTTTTGTGTTGGGCCAGTCTACAGACAAATGTCTGCCGTTTCTGCTTGTGGAGCGCGGCTACGACGTCTGGCTCGGAAATAACCGAGGAAACAAATACAGTCGAAAACACATCAACCTATCATCAAAGTCACGCAAGTTTTGGGACTTCTCGCTCGACGAGTATGCCATTTTTGATATACCAGATTGTTTGACTTATATCTTAGATGTCACAAGAATGCCCAAACTGACATACATTGGGTTCAGTCAGGGCTCATCACAGGCTTTTGCCGCTTTCTCAATTAATCCACAACTGCGAGATAAGATAAAACTATTCATTGGCTTATCGCCAGCCATGATTCCCAGATCTCTAAGTCATCCGATAGCTAAGTTTTTGGTAACATGTCCACCGGAGTTGATGTACTTCATATTTGGGACTAGGGCTATATTGCCTTCAACTGTGTTTTGGCAGCAGCTACTAGGCCCTATAAACTACATGAAGGTGGTAGACTGGTCCCTGGTTTATCTTTTTAACTGGAAAAGTCAACACATAAGTCTCACACAAAAGCAGGTTGGCTACACACATATGTTTTCGCCTTCAAGTGTCAAGAGCGTCGCTCACTGGTTTCAAATCATCAACAGCGAACGTTTCCAGATGTTTCAAGAAGACATCTCCAAAATTTATGCATCCGTACCTTCTCTGCACAGCAAATTGCATCGCTGCGCTCCCTTTCCCGTTCAAGTCATCGAAAATTTACCTATGATGCTAATCTACGGGGATCAAGATATTCTGATTGATATGGAGACTACAAAACAGAACTTGATGCGTAACCTGAAGGACCTTACGCTTGTTGAGCTTCCGGGTTATGAGCACATGGATACCTTGTGGGCTGGCAACGTGGCTGAATTAGTTTTTGCTCCCCTCATTGAAAAGTTAGAACAAATACATGCAGCGCCAAGCCTCAGTGATACCGATACTGACACCGCCAGTGACGCTTAAGCTGTGCCTTGCCGCAAATTGCATCTTCAGCTACCAACCACCAACTTTCGCATACATACATCCCCTTCATATACACCACTTGAAGAAGAATTAGAAATACTCCATTATTACATAACTATCGCAGATATCAAAACGGCTTGCTTCCAAGCACAGCCCATTTCAAATGTCTCAAGACTTTCGCTGTGTTGCTTAGAAGTCTTGCCCTGTAGCACTTATGCCTTCTAGTATGTCGAAAATTCGGGTAACGAAAGCTAAAAAAAATTGAGTATATAAAGAAAGGCCTTAATGTCAGTAAGTTATAAAGTTTTATAGATGTTCTTCATAAAATAACGCAAATTCACAGCCATTCGCAGTGCGTAACAGCATCTCCTTGAGGTCGAACTCCTCCGGGACGTTCTTGGCCCATGACAAGTGTAGATAGTGTGCTGCCTTTTTCATAAAGATAGTAGCTTGGACTGAAGAATAAATCTAGCGATCTTGGGTGCGACGACTCATGAGTTGTTTGTCTTCGTGACAGACCTAAGGGATTTGCCTTCGTGCGCCCGTATGGGAGTTGTTGCAATGATTGCTAAGACATCTTTTCTTGAAATTAGTATGATTAATAAAATAGAGTAACTCTTGGCGTCCTGTTAATCGTGCCTGCAAATGTACGTATTTTCAACGTATGCTGAAAGAATACCCTTCTGGTACAGACTATATGTTCTTGTGCGCGGTTGGTTTCAATCTTTGCGCGACGTGAACCTGAAGCTAGAATTGAAACCCAACAGTTCGTTGATGCCCCGGGTCCAATCATTCTCAGTTTTGGCTATGCAGTAAATTCCTGCATTTTTTATCCTTTCCTCGCGCCGTTTGACGACTTCAGAGTCTTTGGTACTGGGCAACTGTGATCCATTTACGTATATAGTTCCAATCTCGTTGACAACGTGAATTTCGTCCCCAACATTCAAATCTTCCAATGGCACCCCATCGATAGAAAGTTTTACAATCTTGTTATCGGGACCTTGCAAAGGTTTGGAACCAATCTTAATTTTGATGTGCGATGAGTGCGGTAGTATTAAAGGCCTGAAGGACAAGGACCGGGGGCATATGGGTGTCAGCAGAATTGCAGGAACCAACGGAGACACAATGCTTCCGCCAGCAGATAGAGAATACGCTGTCGATCCTGTAGGTGTGGCTAGTGTGACTCCATCCGCGGTGGTTCTCGTCAAATACTCTCCGTCAATAAATATGTCTAGGTTAGTCAAATGTGGCGAGTTACCACGATGAAGAAAAATATCGTTCATTGCGTGGTGCGCTACGCTCTTGCTGCAGTTTTCCTTACTACCACGACGAATGACATGGCACTCAAGACGTGTGCGATGCAAACATTTTGCTCTGGAGCTGAGCACTTGCTCAAAGACCTCCTTATGCTGTTTGAAGTTGAAAGGTAACAGAAAGCCTAGTGTTCCCAAAGAAAATGCGAGAACCGGTGGCACTTGCATACTGGCAAACAGTGACACAGCTCTTAGTATAGTGCCGTCCCCTCCTAATGTTACTAGCAGGTCAACTTTATCCACAATGTCCTCGATCTCACCGGTGTACAAAACGTGCGGTTCGCCAGGGTTTGACTGCGGGTTCTTCACAAAGTCTTGAGCAATCTCCTCCGCGACATCTGGTTGTAGTAAGACATTGATTTCTGGATACGAATCGTGCAGATGCGTTATGAAATCTACCATTGCCTGACGGGTGTTGTCGGCCCACGGCTTTTTCGTGATGAAAACGTTTTGTAAAGGGCGATGCCATATAAGTGACTGTAATTTTGAATTCGGAGATGAAATGAAATCTGGAGACGATATTGATCTCAGCTTACTAACAGGTTTCAAAGTTACAAACTTCGAAGTATCTCGTAGTTTCGAATGAAAGCTCCGACTAAAGCAAAGCGAACGATAAAGTCGGGTCTTTATCGACCTATTAAGAGAGCAAATCATTGGGTTAAGGTTCTCGATGTGTAGCTCGATGATGTGCTTCTTATGGCGGTATGGGTATTGGTGCTAAGTTTAGCGTTTTAAGTCATTAATATAATAAATCCTTCTATGGTGATAATTAATCGGTGACGCATTGAATTTTTCAGACGCACAGTAAATGTGAAGGAAAGACCGAAAGAAAAGAGCATTGGCAAAAGCTTCCATCAGTTCAGTTCGAAGAAAACGCCGAGCTTCAAGTACGGATTGTTGGATGTATTACTGAGTGGTTTAAAATAGCGTTAAGTAGTATATAATGACGTGAAATGTACGGTGTCACGTTGAGCGGGTTGATCAGGATCGCTTTATCGAAACATTCTCTGATCTATAGGGTCCTTGGCGACTTTTACCTAAAAATTGGTGCCCTCAGTGGGCTGAGGTAGCTTCTTGTTGGCCGGAAGTGCCATTTCTTTGCGCAGATCTAAAAGCAGTGTTTCCATGGTATAGGAGCGTTTCCAGCTGCGCACCGTTTCAAAGCGGTCTTCCTCTACCTTTCCGGTGGTCTGGTTTACGCAAGGAAGATTGATCTTGGATATAAACTTGATCTTGGGAGGTTTGTCTGGGTACTCTTCGCCGCACTCTAAAGCCACAGAGTAAATCCGATTTTCATGATTGCTATGAGGAGGCCCAAGAATCGTTCCATTCCAATAGGTCATAGTGATATCGTCACTATGAGCTAAACCGTAGCTGCATGATTCAGGTCCCATTCCTTTTTCGCCCTTTTCTAGCTCTTCAAGCAACCTAAAGCTCCTTGGTCTTTATATAAAAAAATCCTAGCTGTTAGCATATATTGACGGAACAGTCGACTGGTAGCTGATTTTTTACAACATACATCTTAGACATTATTGGCTCTATGTTCTTTCTCTAAACTCGAGGGTCCTATATTGAACAAGTTGGTAAAGATCACTTCTAACATTTAAAAATTATAATAGAAATGAAGCTCAGAAAGTAAACGCCCAAAACTTTTGAACAAAGCCAAAAATTAACTGGCACTTTCATCATGAGTGATAGCACTGGGTCTTCTCCGTTTATAGAACGCCCCGTATCTCCTGAAAGTGCCAAAACACAGGCTATTTCTCTCAAATACAAAATGAATTCAATGCAGAACGAGTTCGAGATAGAGAAACTATCTTTACAAAGAGAGGTTTCAACACTTGACAAGAAATACAGAAGTACTTTCGACGAGCTCGAAAAGGCGGTGGATGACACGAAGTATCTTTTCAATGCAAATGTTGACTTAGAAAGTCGGGTACGTGCAATGGAACAAGAACTGTCGATGGTGAAAGAGCAGCGCGAGGCCCAGGTGTCCGCGCTAAATCAGCAGCTAGCTGCGCAGAATCGAGAAATTGAAGACTTGCAGTCATCGTCTCAGTCGAGGATATCGTTCATCGAAAACAAATGCCAAAATTCACAGATTGAGCTGGAGGGCTCTAAGTCGCTGCTGAAACGGTACGAGGAAGAAATCGAAATTCAGAATCAGCAGATCAAAGAGTTCCAACTTCAAGTGGCTCGACGAGATGATGAAATTGCGAGCTTGAAAGCTTCGCGGGTTGTCATGGCACACCATAACTACTCTACAGAGGAGCTTACGGAATTGACGACTCTCAATGGTCTTTTGAATGAACAGATGTCGTTCTCCAAAAACTTAGAGAGAGCGAATCTTGAGCAAGCCAATGAATTGAAAAAGCTGCGTATCTCACAGGAGTCGCAAAAGTTCTTACAATCTGAAAATGATCAGTTAAGAAGAAAACTGAACCGACTAGATACTCTAGAAGTTGAAATTCAGGACGTTCAGCTGGAAAATGTTAATTTGCAATCTCAATTATCTTTTTGGAATAGTTTCGAAGCAACAGACGGTATTGCCATAAAAACACCGGAAGATGTAGTCAGGGAGTGGAAGTTACTCAAAGTTGAAAATTTGAGCATTGTTAATGACAACTCCAAATTCCAGCTCGATTTGAACAATATTCGTGTTCTCAACGATGAATTAGCATTGGAACGCAATCAACTGTTGGATCTTAATAAGAATTACGAAACGAGCATCCTAAATTTGAAGAAACTAAACTATGAGATCGAACAGCAGAAGCTTCTCTCATTCGAGGAATGTAAAATTCTCAGAAATCAATTAAACGAGTTACCACCAATGTTTGTTGAAGGGGGAGAAAAGAGCCCCAAAAACAATGAACCCCTAGAAGAACTGGTACAAAATTACAAAAACAGAACTGAAGATTTGACCAACGAACTCAAAAAGCTGAATAAAGACTTGATGGATAAAAGCAGTGCTCTACCTCACAAGAAACGTAAAACCAGTGATGATGTTGCTTTAAATTTTTCTCAGCGATTGAACGAATTACAGCTTCAAAACGTGGAGCTGAATCGCAAACTATCCAATTCCACAGAAACCATATCTCTGCTGGAAGCCAAATTTAAGAAGCTTAAAGAATTGGATCAAAAGAAAGTTCGCATCTTGCAACTCAGAGACAATCCATTCCTCAAAGATCAAGCGGTAAAACGCAAACGTCTCGAACTTTTGCTGACTGAAAACGAAGAACTTATATCCATGCATAGCCTGCCGACTCAAGATATGGTTCCAAGATCGCTTTATGAAAGACTCCGGTTTGATGTTACGCAACTGGAAAGTGAGATTTTCAAGCTCAACAAGAAAATTACAAGACTTCGCGAGGTTTTCAACAAAAAGTCTTTGGAATTTATAGACGTTGTCAATTCTTTATTAGGATTCAAGTTGGAATTTAAATCTGATGGTAAAGTCAAAATGATTCCATGCTACAAGCCGGAAAGATACTTGATAGCCGACTTGAACAATAATTCCTTGAAGTCGAACCTTCAATCTGACATTGATAGTTGGGATGCTCTTCTTCAGGATCTAGTCTTCGAAAAGGGACAAATGCCTTCTTTTCTTGCCACGGTAACTCTGAAACTCTGGGAACAACACCAAAAATAATGAATTTTAAACCGTGGTTGTCCGCGGCATGTATTTTGCGCTTCGCAGCTAGTACTTAGCGGATGTTTCGAACACTGAGAAGCGCTAAAGGGTGCTAGGAAGAATCTTATTATATCAGGGATATGTTACGACACCTTGATCTATGAAAAGTTCGGTGAATTTTAATTTTTTGTGGGGGCTCCTCTTTGTACAGTTAAGGCGCGCTCTCAAATCCGATTTTGGTTTTATTGCGATCTTTTTTTACCGCCGCATGTAATTAAGAGAGCCCCTGCTTGGATACACGAGCGCCCAATTATGCATACAAGTTCCTGGTAACTTTGCTGCATCCTACATTCACAAACATCATCTTAAATCTTTCGCGATGCATCTCCTTCCGCTTAAGAATTGGATGAGATCTTCACAATTATCAAATATATATGTAGTTTACTGAACCTGAAGTCTGTAAGGGAGCGGAATCTGAATTAACATGATTGTTGTTAGTCTCTTCTTTGATTTATATTGAAGCTTGAAGTTAGTATGCGTCTTCAACTGAACTTGAACGTCGCAGCAGACAGAGACATAGCAAACATCAAACTAGCAGTATGTTCTGCCTCAAAGGTAAATTACGTCTTAGCTTCAAGATATCCAAAACGCAAGAGCGTTGATAGTAACATTAGATAGCCCATTGCATGATGCAGTCGATCGCAACTTGTATCGTACATACTAAGTCCTACATCAATTTCTTAGAAAGCCCGCCATCTTAGGAGCTCTTCTACCAGCTACACGAAATCTATATGACAAGATTATTTCAATGCTCTACTTTGTTTGTTATTTTATCAAGATTCAATAAGTGAACAAACATATATTAAACAATATACTTTATTTGAAAATTCAATAGCTAAGAAAGCCCATAAAAGTACATGAGCCGAAGCCGTTCCCCCTCTGTGAATGAGACATCGATCACTACTGGTAGCAGGCTACCCAGTCCGCTGTCCAGATTTTCACTCCATAAACCATTCCAACAATTAAGTGGGAGCGGAGGTTCTTTCCATGGCACATCTCCTAAAACCAAGACACAACCTAGGTACCCAATCGGTGGCTTCCCGCCGTCTATGGACAGTCTTAAAGAATATGACAGCTCTGGAAGTGGAAGTGCGTCAACAAAGAATTGGAAAAGCTATGTAAACCCTGGGCAGATAAAATCAACGGGTCTCAAGTACTCTCTTCAAGTTTCTAAAGAACTTTCGAGTATTGATAAAATCAACGACCCACAGAGAAAAGCTGTAATGATTGCTGGCAAAAATCATCTAGGGCTATACGATTTTCAAAATGACAGCAAAGAGCTGCGATGCGTTCACGATTTCCTTTCTAACAGCAAGAAAACATCGACTACTATAAGAGGCACCAAGAAAATAAGTACTATCTCGGACGTGAAAGCAGGCTTTCATAATCATAAAAATTACGTTGCCATCTGTGGGACTTCGAACTCGGTATCAATCTATGACATTAATAGGGCAAGCTCTGCAGAAGGCTCTTTGGCAACCGTGCTTTCAAAGCACACAAGGTCGATAAACAGTGTTGATTTCAATATGTCTCAAAGTAGTCTAATCATTAGCGGTGGACAAGATGGGTGCGTCAAAGTATGGGATCTTCGCTCAAGCCAAGGCGGTAAGAATAAAAGTGATATCAGCATAAACAGTGGATCAGATTCAGTGCGGGATGTCAAATGGATGCCTTCATTTGATTTCGCCGGTTACGACAATTCAACAGGAACAGCTAATGGGGGTCATAGGTTTGCCTCAATACACGATTCAGGACTTCTCTTGACGTACGACCTGCGACAACCCTCACAAGCTGAAAAAAGGATAAATGCCCATTCGGGCCCGGGCCTTTGTCTGAGCTGGCACCCAAACTTTGAATATATAATGACAGGCGGCAGAGATGGTAAATGCTGCTTGTGGAATGTTGGGGGAAAAAATCAAAACGTCCCAGTTGGTGGTAATGCCCATCATAGTAACTCCTTTGCCTCGTCGAATGCTAGCTCGTTACTGACACCAGGGTACTCTATGAACTCACCTATGATTGCGCCAGATGTTGTTATCAATACTGCCCATCCATTGACGAAATTGAAATTCCAGCCATCTTCAGTTGATAATGTTTTTAACTCAGTTATTGCGCTATCTTCCCTTGGTGAAAACTCCGATGTGTCATTGTATTCGCTATCTAGAGCTTTTATTCCGAAGAACATTTTGACCACAACTACGCCTTCTTGTGGATTTGTGTGGTGGGATGAAAACTCTATTTTCAACATTGACAAACAGAACATAATCACTGGTTGGGATCTTAGCCAAGAGCCTATTGCTTTAGACAATTTGAGAAAAAATGTCGTCAGTTGGCGAGATATTGAGGGCGATGGTATGCTTTTCTTTGTGCAGGATAAGGGTGGATATGAATTAAATCAAGGTAGCTCGTCACAAGCCAATCATGCATCCTCACAAAGTAAAGTTAGCTCAACGTCGGTCCATAACATGCTTTCCAATAGCGCCTTAAGGCATAACTCAAGCACCACCTCGTTTCCTGCTCTTTCCTCGCATCATGGCTCAAGTGCTACCTTTGGCGATCGCCCGTCTTTCCCGCGCACTGGTACGTCGTACAATAATAAAAGTATCTACAATCAGACGTTTGGATCTTTCAACAGTCAGCATAATCAGCACCATAATTCCATAGCCTCCATCAGCTCCTCATCCACGACACCAGAACTATTTACGGAGCAGTTGTCCCCTCAACTCGTATCACTCGATTTGCCCCAAATACTCAACAGCATTATGAGCTCAAGAACAAAAAACACAGCTAAAACTTCGAACCTGGCGGAACTATCAGCCCTCAAAGAATCACCTGTGGAAGTTTTCAAATTTCTAGCGCGAGAACTTAAATTTTCTTACATGCGAGAAAGCTTGGACGTTAAAAATGAAGGCAAATCTGATGCCATTACTCCTCAAAGTGAGGTTGCCCAGAGTGATGACGACATTGACATAAAGACGCACCTAATCAATCGTTTCGGCTTGGCGGAGGATAATACGTGGACAAAATTTATACGGAAAGGTATCGCACATGAGAAAGAGAATACGAAGACTGAGAATAATGATACAGCAGGCGCAAAGGAACAAGTAGAACCGGAATCTCTGAGAAGCGATGCAAGCTTAGATGATTATTTGGGTAAACTAGAAACACCGGTGCAGCCAAAACAACAAACAGTTGCAGATGAAAGTAATATCTCGGAAGTCAAGCAAAGAATTGAACATCTCATTGAGCTCATTTCAATGTGCGATCACAATGCAGAGACATATCTATACGTTAAAGACTTGGGGAATTTCAAAACCTGGATGATGATGAGGGATGCCTTACTTTGGGATTTGAAGCAAATTGCTGAAAAGTCTAAGCTGGAAATTACAGGTCCTTTTTCAAGCGTACCTTGGGAAGACACAGATTCTGCAGGTGGAACACTTGCAATGCGCAAACCATCTGTAGCTTCTGAATATAGCAGTTTCAGTGCTAGTGAAATAGCTTCTGACACAAGATCACAATCTTTAGTGAAGAATCGAGATTCCTTTCTTTCGGGAACTTCTCCAAAAGCAGTTTCAGGATCTGACATGAGAGCTAGGATGGACTCAAGCTTCTCTGAGGAGAAAGCTACGGGTTCCAGCATAGAAAGAGAAACTACCAACCTAAAGCATAGCTCCTTAGCAGCAAGTTTGGACGAGTTGCGGATACGGAAGTCAATAGATGGCGACAATGATGAAAGCGCGATTGAGGATGATGACGATGATCAGAATATAGATAGTAGGAGCATACTGCGCGGTAGCCCAGTATCGCACGAGAATAGCATGCCAATCTTACCTAAGACGGGAAGGAAAATATCGTTTATCGACAACTTCATTAGCACTTTGAGATCTCCAAGAGGTGGCCATTATGATTTCGAAGCAGAAAGAAATAGGACGTCTAATTCGCTAAGCACAAAAAAGTCCTCGCAACTAAGCTATAGTTCATCCTTTTCCGGCGCTGTACCGAAGCGACATGTTGATTCTTCTCCAAAGCGTGAAGTACACTCTACAGCAGCCAACGATCTGTCGACTAGTCCAAATCAAAGATCTGGGGATTTCATGGCTACGAAGAATGGTCCTAAATACAAACTGAAGGCTAAAAATTCAAAGATTAGTCAAATGCTCAAGGGACGCAGAAAAAGCGAAACGGCACCTCCTTGGGATTCTGCCAGGTTGATTAAAAAAATATTCGAGCAGTCTGTGGAGACTGGAAATGTTTTACTTACCATTACTATCATTCTTTTGTTTCAAACGACATTTCATATCACAAGTACATTGGTGGTAAAAGACGCGTTGGCGGAGTTCTTGAATTTGCTCCACAAATATGAACTTTTTGAAATAGCCGCTGATCTGCTAAAGTTCTGTCCTTGGGAAGACATACTAGGATCGGGTACTGGCCAGTGTACCGTCAGGATATATTGTGAAAGGTGTAAGAAGTTACTAGTAAACGAGAGGTCCAAGGAGAAATTCACCGAGCAATGGCAGCAAACTGGTAACTCAGATGCGATGCAAAAATTCGGATATTGGTATTGTGACTCTTGCTGCAGACGAAATACACTTTGTGTCATCTGTGAGCGCCCTTTGAAAAAATTGGCATTGTGCATTTTGAACTGCGGCCACGAAGGTCACTTTGAATGTATGCAAAAGTGGTTCATGGAGGAGGAAATGGATGGGTGCCCTAGTGGGTGTTCCGGAACTCTTATATGAAATGGTGATTTTCCAACAATCATATATAGTCTGATAGAAACTTTTCTACACATTCCCAATAGCCTTCTTGAATAATGGTGTCGTTGTGGAAACCACGCGGAAACTCCACAATGCTTTTTCGTTCGCTGGGGCAAATATTGTGGAGCCGCGCCATGTGCTGCGGTGGTACAATCTCGTCTTTCTGACCGGACAAGAAAAGCCACGGTATAGTTGGATCGACACGCTTGATGTCGTTTTCAGAGTCCCATTTTTCGTGACATAAGAATGAAAAAGGACTTAGCCAAGGAAACACATGTGGAATTACCTTAGGAATGCTTAGAAAAGTATTTTCCAGGATGACACCATCGCACAGTTGCGGGAACTTTTCTGCAATATAGACTGCATTAGCACCACCTAGAGACCGACCGTATAGTATCAATTTTTGAGTTTTATAAAAAGAATCCTGTTGCAAGAAAGACATGACGGCGTCTGCATCGTGCTTAAGGCCCTGTTCAGATGGCGAGCCCTCGGAAAACCCATATCCACGGTACGAATAAATGAAAACGCTGGAATTGAACCGACGATAAATCAGTTCTACTGCAGACAAAAAGTAGCCCATATTTCCGGCATTGGGACATAGAATAAGCCAAGTAACGTTAGAGTTTTTCTGTCTTATATCAAAAGCCCGAATCTCTACACCATCTGCAGTCTTCAGATGAACTTCCTCAAAGGGAAGTCCGTATTTATCTGGAGTATCGACAAAATCACGAGCTCCTTGAGCCCAAGAAGGATATACCAATCTATTCTGGTATAAGTACAAAGCTAGCATTGCAGCACCTGCTGTAGTAGCAGCACCTCCCAATAGCATCTTTAATATGCGCAGCAGCATATCACAGTAACAAGATGCTGAGGAAATTATCAATCAACGGGTCTGAGATATTGTAAATTCTTAAACTCTTGATTGAAAGCGGATTAACAATGATCTTAATTACCATGTGAGCTACATATAAATCAGAGCTAGAAACACATGAGGGAAAGGAAAAATCAACGGCATGATCAAGACAAACTTTGACCTTTGGGCAGGCCAATATTTGGAAAATATCTGATTTTCACAGCTTTGCTATGTCCTTCTTTTTTGTCTCATCAGTCAGGCAGATGCCTCGAAAGGAGGCCTTGCTAGCTGTGACAAGGTTTCTTAAGCTGACCTCATATAATCGGGTACGGACTACGCCTCAGTCGATGAGTCGCGATGTACATAAGGGTAGCCGTCGTTACACGAGTAAAGACGTTATTGATTCATAGAGCTTTACCAAGATATAAAGCTTTACCGAATTAAGCATTCTATCCTGCCATTGACTATTCAAGGAATACGCGTATTCATTGATAGTGAGCAATATTTCAGCATCTGGCTGCATATGTTTTTTCTCTACTGACCCCCCAGTCTTTAAAAGAGTCGTCGATCATTTATCTACAAGAGAATGCGGTGTCTGTTTCGTTTTGTCAAAATAACGCCCTACCAAATGCTGTACCAGTCTGTCGACCGTTTGTTTCGAAAAATACAGATTACGCATAAGGCAAAATAAGCGTGAGCTCGTCTAATGCAATCTACCGCTTGTCCTGGTGGAGCGTTTGCCCATAAGAAGATGGTACTTTTTATCAGAAAACCTTCACGATGGTCTTCTATTGTCAATCGTGTACGCTACTCGACATACGTATCATCTCCCACTGCTAAAAAAACAATTTTTGAGCTTCATAATACTACTGTAAGTTGTGTCGAGCGCATTTTCCGATCTCAACATATGAAAGGTTTGGCTGGCTTTCTCGTAGTGTCAAATTTGCTGGACTGTAAAGAGATTTGACACGACCTACCAGGTATAGAGACGGATAAAATACTTGTAGTGCAGAAATTTAATTTGTAGGAGTCAGCTACTCCGAATCCTTAATGACTGGCTATTGAAATGTAGCTTCCTTGACACACATGCCATGATCTCGAACTTTGACAATCGGAATTTAGGCCTCTCGACATCCGCAGAAACGAAATTTTCGAGTGACTGATATACTTCTGTTCGTTCCCGAGTAAGAGCAGCACCCGCCATTTTCACTGTAACATGCGCCGCCCACCACTGAAAGCCCCATTTAATTAATTACAAAATTCAACGACAAGAGATATGGCACTATTTGTGAAATAACAGCAGGTGGATAATGCACTTCAAATTGGGCGGGGCCCGATTTGTGCGACTTCAAGTTCTCTCCCAAGTATCTGCTGGACATGACTTGGGGCATCCGTCGCGCACGATATCTTTTATTTTGAGCCTCAAACCTTCAAAAGTAGAGATTGAGCACAATATTTAGCGGATTGAGAGTAGAATAGTACCTTGACTAGTCAATGCAGTCCTAGAACTGCTTGTAAGCTTCACAGAGAGAACAGTCAATGGGATCATTGTATACGAGCAGTTCTTTTACCTCATCACTAGTACAGCTCTCTATGCATAAAAATTTTCAACTTTAAGATATTGAAAAGTGAAAGACCAATTGACTCCAGAAATCAAGATCAAAAGTATGTGCCCTATTGATGGCTTTGTTAAGGACTTTGGGCATTACGGCAGAAGCTCTACAGCTAAGCTATCTCAAGAAATTTGTTTGGGTTCAAAACGTTGTGTCAATGCCTGCATGTTATGCCTTTAGCTTCTGCTGCTAATACTAACTGGTTACTCAATTATATCAGATGTCTGTGGAAGAAGTCACTCAAAAAGCCCAGGATTTAAACATCGATCAACCATCGACTGTTCTGTCGAGCGAAAAAGAGTTTCAGTTGAAGCACCCTTTGAACTCTAAGTGGACGCTTTGGTACACTAAACCTCCTGTGGACAAATCAGAGTCTTGGTCAGACTTACTGCGTCCTGTAACTTCATTTGAGACCGTGGAAGAATTCTGGGCTATTCACAACGCTATTCCCAAGCCTCGCTACTTGCCGTTCAAGTCAGACTATCATTTGTTCCGCAATGATATCAGACCCGAATGGGAAGATCCAACTAACGCCAAGGGAGGTAAGTGGACACACCAGTTCTGGGGCAAAACCCCCGACATTGACGATTTGTGGATGCGCGCTTTGCTAGCAGTCATCGGGGAGACTATCGATGAGGACAACTCCGAGATTAATGGTGTTGTTATCAACATCAGAAAAAGCGCTTACAAGATTGCTATCTGGACTAAATCTGCTGACAACAAGGAAGCCTTGACCAGCATTGGCTCTAAGTTCAAGACCGTCTTGAAACTTGGCGATGACGCCCAATTGGAGTTCTTGCCTCATTCCTCTGCCTCTGAAAAACACCCCCAACCTTCCCTAGTTTTGTAAATTAAACGGTTTTTGCGTATATAGCCAATGCACTAGTTTTAATAGAATAAACTGGTTCTCTTGATGAGTCTACAATGTGATCTTAATCCTCAATTGTCCCAACTGTTATTATCAATGGCGCCTTGATAATAAAAACCCAGGATAATTACACTGTAAAGTAGTATCAAAATCGAACCTTTGAAATAATTGGATTTTCCCTCCGCATACAGATACGTGAACAAGAAAACACTCACCATACAGGCCAGTAAGTCCCAGCGCGGGAACACTAGCGAAAACATTTGGTCTCTGATGACGATAGTGTCGGTTGGCACGTTCAAAGTGTACAAAATCGAGAAAACTACCAAGGCTGGAATCTGTAGCAGACAAACCTGAAGCGCGTATGCACTACCAATTTCCATCGACAGTGCCACATTTCCATGTATGGCAAATGATATGGCATTCAAAAATTCTGTCGAATTTGGAACCAGGGCAAAGACGGTTAATCCTAGAAATTTAGGATCCAGTGAAGGGAATTGCTTCAAGACGTTATCCACACAGTCCACTAAGATCTCGGCAATGATCGCATAAAGAAAAGTGGCGCCTAGTAAAATACAGGTTGATTTAGAACGCGACCAGTTCGGACCATCGTGTCCACCATCGGGTTCCTCTTCCTCGGGAATGAATCCCAATTGGCTACCGTTGTTGGGTGCTTGTGGTGGTTTTTCAGGAAGCTGCCAAATAGCTGCAGCATGGGTGCGCAAAGTAAACCACAGTCCAATTGCATATGCCATGAAGAGGATCAGTGCACAAAATATGGACATTGGTTTAATAACATGTAGATACAGGCCATCAAATTTCAAGGGGGGTTGGCGGAAATAGCATCTAGATTGTTCCTGCGTTTCTGCCGGGCAATCTACTAAGTAGCCGCCGTAAATTTGAAAGATAATCGAAGGGACAAACATAACCATCATGGAAAATATCAACATGGCCGACGAAACGCCTGCGCTCGCGGGGTTGTACCTTTGAGTCTTCCTCTTAAATGCACCACCACACATACTCAATCCAGGCAAAAGTAAAACGGCACCCAGAATCGATCCGATCATAGAACCCTCGACTAACAAACCTTTATCTTGTTGTAGAGCTACGCAGTACAGGAAAATCTCAACAATTGTTGAAAAAAATGCATTTATCGCAGCACCAACCCCCATCGAAGTTTGTGCTGAAATCGATGCTACTGCTTGCCCGATATAAAATGCCAGCGGAATGATAGAAAGTAGGCACAAGCAAAATATGATCGACTCGTCGATTGGATAGAGATGTCCCTGGAAAACATAGAATTGTATTATGGTGAAGGCAACGACCGCTCCCAAATTCATAACTATCACGTTTGTTCCATCAACTGTATATTTATAGTAGTGTGATCCCGCACTGCGGAAAGTGCATAGTAACACGTTCTTGTCCTTGATACCATTAACGCTGTGAGTCAAAAGTTTAACTTCCAAAGCTAAAGGATGTCTGCGGCAGTGATACATGAGATCCCATAAAATGTTACTCATTGGAATAGTGAAGACAGCCAACCAAGTCAAAAATGCTAATAGAAGCACCACAGGCTGAACAAAAACGTAAAACACAAGGTAAAACCCAAAGCGGCCAAAGGACCATTCACCCCTCCCGAATAACCGTCTTTGTCTATCACCAACAGAATTTCTCCTTTCTGTAGATCCATATGATTCCTCGCCACTTTGGGAAGGCCTATGAAAATATAGACGGTTACGATAGTTGGTAACCCATCCGTAGAATTGCTGGGCAGAAATACCTTCATTCTGGTCTTCATGTAAATACTGCTGGTCACTGACCATTAACACGATTTTGCCAAAGGGCCAAAACAAATAACGGCCAAGCCTAAAAAGCACGATAGCGTACTCCATGCTCGCAGGCGTGAACGCACCCAAAACACATACAAGTAAACCTGCAATGCTCATAAAAATAAGAAAAAACAAACCCAAAGTTAGTGCCCACATGTTATTGGCCAAATGGACTTTCCAAGATATTTGCTTGTATTTAGTTTCGTGAATATCCTCGTTAGCAGCTTGCTGTACAGATCTCTTCTTTTTGTATAAAGCCGGTTTCCAGATTCTGATTCCGAACGGATGGGTCTCATTGATAGCATCCTGTCGATGCCTCAATGTGTAAGACTCGAATGATGACACGGATGCCCGGTCCTCTTCATCTCGAAGCATGTTGGCATGATGATTACTACCTTGGTCTGAGTTCTCAGACTGATCCTCATCTTCAGCCACGGACATGCTCGAGTTTTTACGTCTCACAGATGTAGGTCTAGTTGCAGCAGGAGGCGGTGTGTCGACATTGCTCGAAGATTTCTTATTGGACACAGCATATTTCAAGCCTTCTTGGAGTCCTTCCAAATACCTGATATCGTGTTCAATCTCATGAATATCGTCGTCTACGCTGAAAACTCGCTTAAGAGGATCCGTATTGCTATTCACGGTGTGCAAAGACCGATCTTTTGGCATGGTTGACGCTCGATTATAGTTTTTAGAATCCCAAGTAATTATGCCCTTTTCCAATTTCTTCAATCGTAGATTTTTCTTGGTATATTAGTCCCCCACGGATATAGTGCCGATAAACTCGAGAGGGAATACAGCCTGGCGCGCGATTCCCAAACAACTAAAACCTCAAGTCTGGTCTTGTGAAGCCACTTCACCAAAGCCTAGCTATTAAGGCAAAGTACTTGGGACAAATTTAAGCCGCGAATATGGTTTGCGAGTTAAAAGGAAACAAAATGCCAAAGCTGCTTACTGAACCAATTGGCAATATGAACAGTTTGCCACTATCTTTTGCTCACGGCTCAAATCTGATGCCCACCCCGTGAAGTGGTCAAACAAGAAATAAAGCGTCCTTGCTTCCCAATTAGGCCGCCGGCAAAATAGGCCGCCGACAAAATTCGAGGGGCGATTCCAGCGAGGTTGAGTTGTATAGCATAAATATGGTGACTAATGGCTCTGCTACTAGCAACATTTGAAGGCGAATGTCTATGCAGAACTAAATTTTGATTTCTCTCAAATCTGCCAAAAGCGGCCAAAACATGTAATTCAGTCACTTTAAAATTACAATATTTTCATAAAAATGGTTGCTGTTGGAGACTTTAGCTACTTGTTTGAATTAATTTCTGTTAGCGTATTCTCAACAAGAAATTTACACGCTATTGAATCGGCTTGTCGCGGAACGCATTTCAGAAACTCAATAAAACATTTACATGTATTAGAAGTACCGAATATGTCGAGTAGTGATTGATGTTTCTGTAAATCTGTGAGGACTCCATCGTGCACTTCTCTTTCCACACTGTTGGCCGGGCGTCAGGAAGGTGGCATCTTGTTTACTTTTTCCACCTGCTCTATACCTATTTGCCGACTTCTGGTATGACACGCTGGTATAAAGTGACAAATGCTTGAATATTGCTTGCACATACTAACATAATATCGAAAATAAAGCTAGAGTTGTCGATCAGAGCATCGACGGCCAGAAATATGCCTGCTCTGCAGCTGCTTCGCTACCCATCCTTGTCAATTACTCTTATGAACACGACTGGCGCGATTGATAATCCAGTCTGAAACATTTCATGTTTTCAGATCTCGTCGACTGAAACATAGCACAAATGCAGATACTTTTTTATCTATGTTCGATTTGTGGAGAGCCTAGGAGTGTGTTATATCGCCCAGTTCAGTAGCACTAGCAAGCAATAAGCGATGTAATATGTATAGTGCCGCTATCACGGCTAATCTCGCGGAGCTTACCTAAGGCGATGGAATCCTACAAGACGAATGTTTATCGTCCACTCTGTCGTTACAAGCTAGTTGATACGAATGTCTGTGTCAATCTCAAAGATTTGCTTGGTCTGTCATATTTCATTATGCGAAATACGAACGTCCGTGGCAACCGCGTACAACATGACATAAAAGACATTTGGCGAAATTCTTAACTTTTAATAGATCACACAGCCCGACTCTACATTTCTCTACGATTGGTTTCGAGAATTTGTATATAATTCTCAAGTGTTCATTTGCAGAAAGGACGTCCCTCGAGCTTGACAATCACCAAGATGATCTACTATCGCGTCCTTTTCGCTTTAAGTGTCTTTTTGTCATTCACTCCAGCCGTTGATGCTGCTGTGACACTGAGCACGATTACCACCATTCAGGATGGAAGAACGAACTATATTGAAACAACTCTAGGTGGCGGTGCCGCTACTGCCATTACTGGTACAGCTACTACCACTACTGGTATAGCTACAGCCACTACTGGTACAGCCACTACTGGTACGGCCACAGCCACCACTGGTACGGGTACTACCACTACTGGCACGGCTACTGCTACCACTGGCACAGGTACTGCTACCACTGGCACAGGTACTGCTACCACTGGCACGGGTACTGCAACCACCGGCACGGGTACTCTTACCACTGGCACGGGTACTGCAACCACCGGCACGGGTACTCTTACCACTGGCACGGGTACTGCTACCACTGGCACGGGTACTGCTACCACTGGCACGGGCACTGCTGCCACTGGTACGGCTACTGCCACTACTGGTACGGATACTGCTACCACTGCTGCCACTACTGGTACGGATACTGCTAACACTGCTGCCACTGGTACCTCTACTACAAAATCAGTAGCCACCGGCACAAGACCTGATCCAACCACAGATGCTACTTCATTACCCGCTTCTGCTGTCACTACTTTATCCATCGAATCGTTCATCACTATGACCGAAGTGTCGACCACTTATACTACCACAAGAGCCCCTACTTACGTCTGGGTTACTTACACGACAGCTGGCCGTACCATCACAACATCTACTACTTTTGTTCAGAGATATCCTTCGCATTATATTACGGGTGCGCAGCCTTCCTCTGGATCGGTGGGTTTGGGCTCTTTAAGTGGAGAGGTGGGGCAAGTTAAGACCGCACAGGTTATTACAGTCTCTAACGCTGCCAATGGGTTTTCGGTGGCCTTCCCAATGGTGGGTGGGCTATTGGCAATGATGTCTTGGATTCTATAATTCATTCAAATAAGGTTGTCACATAAACAAGGAGGTTACAAAAAGTATGCAGAATCGAAGGTACGACGAATGTTATCCAAGATAGAAAAATTATATAAAATAAATCAAGCATAAACTTCGTTCACAGCTTTTTCAAAAATGGATAAACCTTCGTTGATATCAGATTCAGATATCGTCAATGGTGGAACAAATCTTACGGTGGACTTACCAGCGGTAATGACAAGCAGTCCCAAATCTCTACATTTGCTGATTAATTCTTTGGGTGCTTCGGTAAATTCCAGACCAATCATAAGACCTTGTCCTCTCAAATCCTTGATCTGTTCCGGGTAGCTCTCACACAACTTCATTAGACGTCCTTGAAATATCTCACCCTTACGGACAACTCCTTCAAGAAAATCCTCATTACCAATAACGTCCATAACGTAGCTGGCAACTGCACCACCAAGTGGATTACCTCCGTATGTAGTGCCGTGATCGCCAACTTGCAGAGCACTGTTGATCTTCTCGTTGACCATTGTAGCGGCGATGGGAAAACCATTACCTAGAGCTTTAGCAGATGTGAAAATATCTGGGTGAGCCTCTTTGGGCAAATGAGCGTGTGCCCATAATTTACCAGTTCTCCCCATACCACATTGTATTTCGTCATGAATCACTACCACGTCGTTCTCGGAGCAAATTTGCTTCAAGCCTACAAGCTTTTCAACCGGAATTGGGAAAACACCACCTTCACCTTGGACTGGTTCAACGATAAGACCTGCGACTTCATCTTTCTTGTTCTTGATGAAATCTGAGAAAACGCTAAGCTCGTCGTGGATGTTCAAAAATGAGGTACCAGGAACCAAATCACCAAAAGGTGTTCTATATTTGGGATTGCTTGTAACAGACAATGCACCCATAGTACGGCCGTGAAAAGAGTTTTTGAAAGCTATGATTCCATGTTTTTTTGGACCTAGTAGTGAACCATGTTTCTTGGCGAATTTCAATGCCGCTTCATTGGCCTCGGTACCAGTACTACACAAAAAGACTTTGCTGCAATCATATTGGCCCCCTAAGCTCTTAGTCTTCTCCACAATCTTTTTACTTAAATCCAAACATTCTGCGTTGTAGTACAAATTGCTAGAGTGGATAAGCTTTTTAGATTGTTCACATAAAATTCGCGAAACTTCCTCATTGGAATGACCCAAGGATGTCACTGCAATACCTGCAGTAAAATCCACATAGCTCTTGTTGTGTAGGTCGTCATAAAGTTTAGATCCCTTACCTCTGGTAATCAAGAGATCATGGGGTCTAGCATACGTAGTAACTTGATAGCCATGCTTATCAAGAGCGCCCTTTAATTGCTTCGATGCAAGAACCGGCGATTGTCTTAATTTTAACATCTATGGAATGTGATCGTCTTAGCTAGGTTGCTGTATGGGTCTGACATCGATCTTTCATTTTCCAAATATATTCCACTATCTAGGAATGAGTCAAGTCATTAAACATGACGATAAGAAAGAGAAAAAAGAATATTTTCCATTGAATCATGGCTCGCTACTTAAGAACCTTAACTATCTATACAAATTATTTTGAAAAGGGCTTTAAAGGCGGCATGCCACTCATTACCAGCTCTCTTCTTAAGAACGTTTAATTTGCCTCTCTGTTCCAAGACAGGTACTTGAGATCGCCAACACTTCTACCTGTGATCAAACTTACAACTAATAGGAGTAAAGCCATCGCAAAGCAGATAATGCCGCCAACCAAGTAAACGACCCCCAGAAAATTGTTCTTGCCTCCAATACTTGACCCATGCGTGAGGAAAACACCTTTCTTACCGCTAAATTCCCTCACAGGCCAGTTGAGCCCAATGTCTATCTGGTACTCGCCTGCAAGGAGGGTGTCGTTGTCATTTCGACGGATCAGTCTTTGGAAAGTGGAAAAAGCAGGCGCCTTCATCCAGTTCTGAAATTCTTCCCAAGTGTTTATATCAGGGATGTTAGTTGAATTGTAGCCGTTGGGATACTGCTTGATCCAATTTAGAGGGGGTGCAATTTGTGTATAGTCCAATTCCGTCTTCTTGTAACGATTTTTGTCTGTGGACCATGCGATTCCTTTGTTAGTTAACGAGTAGTTCTGCATGTTACCTATGCCCATAAGCTCCATGGGAAAAGTGTCATTGAACATAGAGTTGGCAATAAGCCCGCATGGATAGTATTGTTTGCCTTCAGCATTAGTTGTCAGTGGCTTACAATTGATACCCGGGTTGTTCTTCACTGTCGAGACAGATGTATTCTTCCCATTAATTTGATCCTCGCTGAAGGACAACACATACCGTCTGTGATTTCCGTAAAAGTTCTCGACCCAGTAGCTTACAAATACAGACTTGGGCAAGTCATGTGGCGTAGTGAACCTGATCTGGCAAGTACCATTGCCAATATCGGAGCTCGTGGGAGGTATATAGCGCCACTGCGGCGCTTCATTGTACGTCAAATTCTTGTGGAACTCCCAGCGATATTGATCTTCTGACATGCTACCCCATGAACTCGTAGGTGCTGACATCGAGCAGTCGTGGTAATATATGAGCACCTGGTCTACCTTCATCGCTACTTTTAAGAGCACTGCGCCGAAAATGACGAATATCGCGGCCAAAAATATGTAGAAGCTGATGACTCCGCGAGGAGTCACCACTGGATTGACACAGGCTATTCGTTGTTGTGTGAAAGGAGTATCTTTAGGTCTTCTGCTCTTCTGCGGCTTTGGTCTTTTCTCATCATCATCTTCAAACTCAGAGGCATCCGGGTCGTCATCCTCTTCCTTGGCTTCAAGCTCTTTATCCTTCTTCTTGAAAACGTTCCCAACGCTTTTCAAAGATAGGTGGGCCATTGTAGTCTTATTCAATTCTAATGCGAAACTGATCGACTACTGTGGACCTAACTGTGTGTTTGAATGAGTAGTTACAGAGTAAGCTCAAGAATACATATTTAATCAGCGGGTTGAAATCACGACATACGTCAGAAGTGCCAAACAAATTGTCGAGAAGGTGAGTTACATGCGATATATAGGCTTTGACCATGTAAAACTTGATTCACACCCGCGAAATTGGAGATTTCGGGGCGAGCCGAGAATTTTCAAGGTTTTGTGAAATTTTGAGTGTCCTCGTCTTACCAGCATCGCCAGTGTTACACTTTTTAAGTGCTGTAGCAAATTTCAGCGAGTGTTTATTCGCTAGATATGTCACTTGGAGCTTCTCAATCCATGCCGCATGTAGCATAAAATATGATTGCTGTTCGTAGGCAAATGAACGAGTAAAAATGTCACCATCGGCTAATTCGCTAATACCTTTTTGATGGATTTATAGTATTTGAATGATATCTCACGTATTTGTTTGACCGTGCTATGGCATGCGGCAACAGCATAGCACACAAAGTTTAGAAATCGTAGTTGTGACTGTCGCCAATTTCAAAGCATTCTTAATTGATACCTTCAGTATTTTCGCAACTCATCCAAGTCAACTAAGGTCAAAATTACAGGTTTGTACTATCCTTCAAAGCATAGTTGATGACATGGATAATGATTTGGCTGGCATAATCCCACCATTTTTCTTAAGGACAAGAAACTTTGGGGTACAACAAATAGAATTGCTGGTTGTATACGATTTGGAGTGTTGTCAATGTGTAAAATAGCGGTCGTGTACGGGAAACAGCTCACGCTACGTGAGTGAGGTTAAGTTTCATGTGACAACCTCTTGTATATAGGCTTGAGTCGTGCCGTGCCATGCTCATCTGCAGTTTTTCGAGATACTAAAATCTGATCCGATACTGAATATCTTAAGTTGAGGCATCATACTTTGTAGATTGCTGTTGTTAATTACTACTCATTCATTGTCTTTCGTGTGCCGCAACCAATCATTGTTAAAGATTCCTAGACGATCTCACAAACACTATGACAATTAGTTGCTAATGTTTTTGCTTGATTCCAGACCTAGAGACTATCTCAAATTTCATTTCTAGGCCGATGAATTTTTGCAAAATTGTTGGTAGTTGCGCCAATAGCCGAATAATTCGAGTTATGTTAGGATGTGAGTGACGACATCCTGGTACATAGTGATATTAAGAACACGAGCGCGAAAAGATATCAGGCAGTTGCAGACCAAAGAAGTTCAAAGGTGGTTTAGCCTGTAACGATTGCTTAATTATTTTCGGCTGATACAAATGGACTCACGCTGCAACCCAGCTGCCCCCATTTTGTTCTTATTCTTTTGTTTTTTTTCAAATCAGAAGTATATAATTACTATTGTTTACAACAACGAGACATTGATCTTACGATGAGGAAGGCGCGCATGCATATTCGAAATTAATCTCGAATTAGTGGCCCAACCAATTATGGAAGGGCTAAGCAAGCTTGGTAGTGCTAAGCAAGCTTTCTATTACTGAATCAGACTCGACTCGATAAGATAGCGACAAGCGGATGCGATTAGTATTGACTCTCACAGGCTCCACAGGCTCCACAGTATCGACGAATCAAGTAGTCACTGCGATTGGTAGCTTCACTGCGGCTTGTAAGCTCAAAAAGTCGCCAGACAGCGATCATCATATAGAAAAACCCACAATTCAACTTCAGCGCACCGCAAGACAGCCAGAAATGACCCACCAGCCGACCTTATCAAAAGAATTCTTTTCAATGCAAAGCATCAAGTTCCCAACAGTGCCTGCGGCAGACAAAATTAAAATTGAATGCCCACGGTCCTACTGGTTGCGTTTTTGATTGCACTGGCGGCCAAGCAAGATAACAAGACTAATGATCCACGTTCACAGGCGCAGATGAATGAGTTCATGATCAATGGTAGTAGCCAGCACCGTCGCCCATTACTTATCCGTTTTTGAACGTCACGTGCGCGTGTCTTATGCACAGAACAATTTCGTACATAGCGATCAATCCCTAATTTCAAAGACCAAAATCTCAGCCGAACTGTCCGTCAAAGATGATTACAATAAATACTTTCCCTCCGTCTCTCTCCAGTAGCTCGGCCAGCTCCTCGTTCTTCTCCATTCGCGCACTCTTTCGCAGCGGCTCGCTGATGCTCCCGGCTGCTCGGAACTCTAATTTTCGTTCTGCACTTACGATGTTACTCACCATTATGTTTTTTAAGCATGCCGATTTGCGTGTCAACAAAATGCACAAACAGAGCGAGCAAACAAAACATCCGCAGCCGCTTGACGAAATTCAGCTATAAGAAGGCGGCAGTAAAAGTAAGGCGGTGAGTCTGGTGGTTGATAGCACTACATCTGAGTTCTCTTTCCAGCTTGCCAAGTGGGAATCAAAAAAAAAACTCTCGCTTTCGATCGCAGACGCAGAACGAGTTAGACTTTCGGCTTTCCCTATACCTCAAGCATCGACTGTCGTACTATTATGGACGCATCCAGATCTTCCGACACAGCGTCGCGGTCGTCGTACGATGAGCACCAGGCGTTCTCCAGAGCCATCGCGGAAACCGCAGCGTCCGGAAACGGGAGTGCGATGGACCCTGACGATCTCGAGAAGGACTCGGCGGCGAGACCGCAGCTCTCCAGATCCAATACAGCCGCGTCCGAATCGCACCTCCAGCGCGTGCTCACCAGCTTCTTCTCCGATAGAACCAAAAGCGACCGCAAACAGCTGGTGGGTTTGTTCTTCTTCAACCACCTGCTGCTCGCGCTCGTCATTTTGTCCGTGTTCTCGCTTTACTGGGGCGCTATGTACAAGCGGACTAGCTATTACCACAAAGTTGACATCCTGGCCGTCATACAAGACGACGGCCCGGCTGTTCAAGGGCTGCCGGACCTGATCACCAAAGTCCCCGGCAACTGGCAAGTGTACAACTCCTCTTACTTCCAGCAAACCTATGATGTTGCTCAAGACCAAATCGACTCCGAAATCACCAAACTTGTGCACAACCAGCACTTCTGGATGTCTTTGAACATCAAACCCAACGCCTCCAACGCCATCACGGACTCGCTGCAAAACTCCGCCGCCAAGCCCTTTAATTCGACTTTGTATTTCGAAACCGTGTATGAAAGTGGTCGCGATCCCACCAACATGAAATCCTCTATTCTGCCTTTGATGCTGGAACTGGAAGCCATATACCAAGAGGCCTACTCTGCTGACATTCTACCAAAATTTTTGGCCAACGCTTCCCAATCTCTCTCCAGCATTCCCAGTGTCAATCTTGCTCAAGCGGGATCCATGAGTTTCAAACAAATAGACTACAGACCCTTCTCTGACTATGTTTTATTGGGTCCGCTCCAGGTCGGTCTCATTTACTGTATCCTGCTGACGTTTTTTCAATTGCTACTATTCATTCCCATGCACGTTCAACTTTCCCCAAAACTAAAGGTTAGTCATATGTTTTTTTACCGCTACGCCACCTCTTTTATCAATTACTTCTTCATGTCATTGTTCTTCAATTTGGTGTCACTGGCATTTCAAGTCGATTTCACCAAAACCTACGGCCGCGGTGGGTTTATGGTGGCATGGATGTCTTCCTGGCTATTAATGGCTGCCGTTGGTGGTGCGAATGAAAACATGTTGACATTCCTGCTTACCATTGGTACTCAATATGCGGGGTTCTGGATGATTTTTTGGGTTGTATTCAATATTTCCCCCAGTTTTTACCCTATGGATCTCACAAATAATTTCTACCGATACGGTTATATGACACCGATCTTCAACGGCGTTCAAATTTTCAGAGTTATCTACTTGGATTTGTACCCAGGTCACTTGGGCAGAAACTTTGGAATCTTGATTGCTTGGATTGTGTTGAACACGGCGCTTTTCCCAGTCTTTATGAAGTACTTTTTATACAAGAAAAAGCAGGAAGCTATGAAAGCAGCGGCTGCCCAAAATCAAGCACCCCAGTAAATCACACAAATTCAAATTAAGAATTTTTTTACTAACTAATTACTCTTCTCTAATATTAAATCCGTTTGTAAAGTTGATGCCTTCTCAATGCGCAGTAAAGGGTTCCAAACAGAACCAAACCCGTAGCACACCGCACCACCACCGAATAAGTATATGTTGTCGTGCGAATCTTTTTGTATTTCAAAGCCCGCCATCATGGAAAACCCGTCTTGCCAAGTTTGTGATGGAATACGAACCAGAGCGATTTGACCTGATATTACACTTACCTCCACCAAAGTTGAATCTTGTCCAAATAAAACGTCGGGACTGAATCCGCCGGCAATAAGGATCTTCTCCGGAGTGATGAAAAGAGCCTTGCTGCCGTACCGTTTGAAAAGAGGGTTAGAAAAGCCATGTCTAACGATGATCTTGTTAGAGTGATGGTCGTAAGCAAAAGGTGTAAGCTTATCTTGGACTGTTGCATCTTTGTCCAAGCCTCCTATTATGACACCACTTTGGGCCCGTATATCAAATGCCAAAGCTGCTGATGAGAGCAGGGATATATTACCTTCCACGTCGGGGTAAATTAGTTCATTTTTGGCACTGTCGTAGATCAGAAATGGTTGACCATCAGTGTGCCCTCCATATATCAAGATATGAGTCTTGTTTAATGCACACGACGAGTGTCGGTATCTTGTTTCGGGAAGAAGAGTGCCCTTTTCGTAGTACCACTGTTTCTCTTCAGATTTTCTCAATAACCAAATATCCGAGAATGGTTTGTTGGGCCCTGCTCTACCGCCAACCATCACACATAGTCCATTGTTTACAGAGGTCAGACTGTGACACATGCGCTCAAAGGGTACACCCTTTGACGAGTCAACGTCAAGTTTTTCAATTTGACCTTTTCCCGGATTGATTGACAATATGTCGCCCAGTCTGCTGTTATAACAACCTTGTGAATAAATAATTTCATTGCTCGGAAGCATGGCAGATGCTCCAAACTTTCTTTGTAGTAAGTGTTCATTTTGGGTAGGCTCTGTCCGTACTTGAATGGTCTGCATTGGAAGATCATTGTAGGTGTCACACGCATTGGCTTGAAAAATCGTTTCGAAAGGAAAGTTGGCCACATTTGTGGAATGACCTATAACGTAATGATGACAAAACAAAAAGAACTCCTCCAACTCGTCAAAAGACTCTATGGAATCTATCTGCTTTTTTGTTTCACCGCTAACAGACTCCCACAATTGGTACATATTCCCAATATTTGAATGAGGAAATCCACATTTTTTAAAACGTTCTTGCTGCTCGAATATAGTCGAATTGTCAACAACTGACTGCAAAGGCGAATCGTTGTTTTTGAAGTGTTTCAGCATTTGCCTTGAAAAAGGCTCGAATGGGCCAGAAGGAAGTAGCTGCTCAAGTAAAACGAAGTGAGAATTAGGCAAGTGCGAGCATGCAGTAATGACAGCATTCGCTTTTATGGTCTTCATATACGCTAACGACACCTCTGCTACAAAAACTTTGATTATCGATGGATCGTCAAGCTCTAGAGAAATCATAAGCGTTTGAAAGCTGGCAGCATTGTTGAGGTCGCATGGGGCCAAAGTATAACTTTCCCCTTCGAAAACGCCATCAGAACGAGAGCTAGACGTTAGGGTCCCAACAATCTCCTTCAGCTCTGCGGTACTGTCAATAATCTTTTTCTTGTTGCTGAGCAGATCCGGATAGTCCAAATCCACAAATGACAGGCGATCTTGGTACTGCTTGTTTTGTTCATTCTGAGGATCCAAAAGTTGAAAGGGAAGAGGATCAAAACCACATCCTAAGTTTACCACACATATTCTTTGATCTTTAGTGGTTACTGCTGAAATCGAGTCAATCCGTGACTTCACAGCATGAATTCTCAACCAATAGCCTCGATTAATACATGGCGACCGCCTCAGCGGCTTTTTCACAAAGTATTTGAAATATTCGTTGGAACCTTTGGATTTGTCGACATTCTCATTTACTCCTAATTTCTGTAAGTACAGCCTTTCCACTGATCTTTTGGATGCGATCGACGAGTTATTGGTGCCTTGGATAGCTAAATCTGCATATTTTCGCCGCCTTTCTTGTTTCTCCAATTGTCTTCGTTGCTTAGAAGTAAGCTCGGTTGCGTTAGCATCGGTTACAGAAGCCATGATAGCCAATCAAGCATCCACAGGATTTGATCACTCGTTATATAAATAACTAACAGGTTTGAAGCTCATCGCCCATTATTTTTTAAAGAGTACAATAAAGTACTCGGATCTCAATGAGTACGAACATCAAAAAGCAGGGTTTCCAATATCTTTTGACATGATACCAACTTTCAATGAACGTCTTATACCTATAGATGGAGCAAGAGACGCCTCAGAATGACAAAAATGGTAACGCTTTTCCGGCAAAGCAGTTGCCACCGATAAATTCATCAAAGCAGCGGAAAACGAAAAAATTCATACTCTCCAAATACACCATATATGAGACCAAGGATCGCATGTACATTGTGGGGAGTAACAAGCGGGAAACGATGTTCCGAATTTTAGAGATAGATCTCTCGGTTCCGAACAGTGATTTATCGGTGCTGGAAGACAACGTTTTCTTTACCAGGTCCGAAATCATGAATGTCTTGGCGGCCCTGGAGGAGGCCAATGACGAAGGGCTAAACAAGAGATTGACTGGCTACGGTTTGTTGGGCTTCATTAGGTTCACTGACTGCTATTATCTGAACGTTATAACTAGAACAAGTCAGGTTGCCGTTTTAGGGGGCCACTGCATATACCATATTGACGAAACTGAACTGGTACCGTTGTCGAATTCGTACAAGAATCCAGACAAGTACTCAGCAGAAGCAAGGTTTCTCAGTACTTTTTTGAACCTAGATTTGAGCAAGACATTTTATTTCAGCTACACATATGACATCACCAATACGTTGCAGACAAATATTTTGCGAGAGAAATTGAAAGCTGTAGATCGAGCCGATCTTTCAATACCGACAGGTATACCAGACTACAACGAAATGTTCATGTGGAACAGTAACCTTTTGAAACCCGTCTTCCCCTGTATAGATACCGTTTACGACTGGTTTCAGGCCATGGTTCACGGTTTCATTGACCAGGTGAATGTACTGATCTGGGGTAGAAGCGTTTATGTTACACTAATTGCGCGACGGTCTCATCATTTCGCTGGAGCAAGGTATTTGAAGAGGGGTGTCAATAAGCAAGGCTATGTTGCGAACGAAGTTGAGACAGAACAAATTGTCTCAGACATGATTTTGACGCCATTCCATCAGCCCGACAACGGCTACTTTGATAGCGACCGATACACTTCGTTTGTTCAACATCGAGGATCAATACCCTTGTGCTGGTCACAAGAGGCTTCCAACCTGACGGCTAAACCTCCTATTCAAGTCAATGTAATAGATCCTTTCTTCAGCTCGGCTGCTTTACACTTTGATCGGCTGTTTCAGCGGTACGGTGGCGGGTCAATACAAGTCTTGAACCTCATCAAAACCAAAGAAAAGAATCCCCGAGAAGTAAAGTTACTGAGCGAATTCGAACAGTGCATTAACTACCTTAATTCGTTTCTGCCGGAAGAGAAAAAAATCAAATATACTTCATGGGATATGAGTAGAGCCTCGAAGTCTCACGGTCAAGTGGTCATTGAGTTCTTGGAACGTTACGCCGTCAATACCGTTGAGACGACTGGGATTTTTCATAATGGGCGCGATTTTAAAACTACTAAAATTCAAGAGGGCATTTGTAGAACTAATTGTATCGATTGTCTTGATCGAACGAATGCTGCACAGTTTGTGATAGGAAAGAGGGCGTTAGGTGTGCAGCTCAACGTCCTGGGAATTGGCGATAATTCATTCCTAGAGTATGACTCAGATATTGTGCACATTCTCACTGAACTATTTCATGACCACGGAGATACAATTGCTTTACAGTACGGGGGCTCACATCTTGTAAACACTATGGAGACTTACAGGAAAATCAATCAGTGGAGCTCTCACTCTAGAGACATGATTGAGAGTATCAAAAGATTTTACAGTAATTCATTTGTAGACGCTCAAAGACAAGATGCCATCAATCTTTTCTTGGGTCATTATGTGTGGCAAGAGGGAATGCCTGCTTTGTGGGAAATGAACACTGATTTTTATTTACACATGGGATCAGACATTGGTGCTTGCAAAAGAAGCTACACAAAATGGTGGAATATTTATCATACCAAAAGTTTGCGGGAAACGATAAAGGAAGAGATATATGATAAAAAGAATGATGTGACGAGGGATAAAGTTATCAAGAATGTACGAGGCTATCCGGGAGCTTTTGATAACTATTGGAATGAGTATTATGCACCGCGGTTACTTTCGTCTTTGAAGGATTTGTTTGCCTTTAATATGAATTCTACAAGGCGATATAACATCAATGAGAAGCGAGGAAATGCCGTGTCTCCATTCCATTCCAGGAAACAGAGCTTTTTAAATAACAAACTGAAAGGTTTAGCTTCCATGAAACCTACTATAGAAAATGTTTCAGTTTCCAGTAGTATGGGCTTTTCATTAAGAGACGAAAATGAACTTTGCCATGTATTCTTGAAGAAGCAGGCCACTGAATTAGGAGACCTTAAAGAGCAGCTAGATGAGTTCAATATTCTTCAGATTGGCTCCGAAATAGCTATGGTGGACAAAGACTATGCATTAGAATCAGGCACTGTGTTTTCCTCTGACAATATGCCATCACTATACTCCGAAGCGTCAACGAGTTCTTTGCGCATTGAAAGGAGCGTTTACGACCATTACCATAAAGCTTCTGAGTACAACGCTTTAGGAAATTACTATACGGCAGATGCATACGACGCGCACGTTACTGCAGATGAGACGAAGGTATATGAAGCATTTTACAAAAGTTAATTACTGTAAATACACCAAACCTCCCTTTTTTTATCCTCTATATCTGTATATACTTAAGGTACAGAATTCAACAGAGTTTTGAAATGCTTCGAGATTATCGATTTATGCTCTGACTGAGTTCGATGCTCACATTCAGTTATAGATCGGTAGCAGGCCATTGTGTGTCTGATGTCGTCACATTTAAACCATACCTTGCCATTAATGCCAATAGCCACTTCGAACTGAGCATTTTTTGCGAGCAACGAAAGTAAAGGATAATCGCCATTGAATGTCAACTCTCTACAGAACGCTAACGAAACTTCCGCAATCGTGCCCCCCTCCAGCAGTCCAAATCCAGCATCCTTGCCTGTGCTAGAGTCTACACACTCAACCTCTGCTTCTAATTCTTTGTCTGCTTTGCAAACCCTGGCGTACACTAAGTCCCCTACTTTGAGCGAAGGGCGATTTTTCTTTGAGGCATTGGGGAAAGCCATGTAAGAAAGCGTCACTGGCGTCGAAAAGTTTGATAGAGATACCCTGTAACTATCTGAAAACGAACCGGTAATCAATCCTACTACCAGGTCTCCCACAGCAGGTATGTAGCGCTTGGAATTATGTTCAACATGGACAGACACGTTCTTCTTGGTTTCAGTGACAACCTCGAAACCAGCAGTGACAGGCTGTACCTTTTGATTCCTAGGATCACAATAAGCTCCAGGTCCTAGTAAGACGTTTTCTCGGCTCTCCAAATGGAATTCATCGCCAGGTAAGATCATGGTACTCATCTTCAAAATCTTATGAAGGGGTAGCAGTCCAAGTAGACTGTAGTGATCAAAATTAATTCTCTAAGCTTGTATACTTCGCAAGCGGGTATGTTTCTATCAATTCTTTCATTCTAGTAATTACAGTAGGCCGACATCATTATTTTGTCGTTCGGATTTTTCAAGCATCAATTAAAATCTGAGTGACACTTTTGTATATGATGATGTAGAATCTGGAAGTTTCATAATCGAACGTAGCTCGGAAGCTCAACAGAGAGCTATATTAGCATGAATACCGCTAAACTTTCCGCCGTTTCTATTTATTACTTCTCCGCCCTTTCTTCCCATGAGCTTCCGACTTACGTCTCTGTTTCGCAGCTGGCAAAAAAAAGAGCTCGTAGCATTCGAATGAAACATCAAAGCACCCAAGACCTAATTAAGAGCTTTGAGCATTTAGTTCCGTATTAAACATTACGATGAAGCCCGAGCTAACCCTGTTGATTTTCAATTCGTTGTACTCGATAATGTTCACATCATCGCTAACGTATATCTTAAATCAAACATTCGACATTTTCACCCACTTCATGAGTTTTGAGAGTATCTAACCCTCAGCGGCTGTAGGGGGTTCGTTAGTGGGAGATGTGGGCATGTTCTAGCATCGCTAGTACGTTTCCAAAGTGCTTGACAACTTTCCTATTCCTCTATACGGGTATCACAACCGTTTTATACGTCGAGTTTATTCCTTTCGGCATAGTGTTAATTTTAATTGGAGCTAGTATCGTTCTGAACCTATACACTTATTTCAAAATTATCAGAGTGGGCGCTGGAAGTTCAACAGAATTTCCAGATCTGAAAATTGCAAATCTTGAAGCTGCAGAACAGGGGTTAGAGTTTCCTCCAAAGTTTTTGACTCAAAGATCAGTAACATTGAAGAGAAACGGCAGGTTCAGATTTTGTCGTGAGTGTGTAGTCTGGAAACCTGATAGGTGTCATCATTGCTCTGCGTGCAATAAATGCCACCTGAAGATGGATCACCACTGTCCGTGGTTTGCGGTTTGTATCGGGTTTCGAAATCAAAAGTACTTCATCCAATTTCTTCTTTACGCCTTAACATATTCTGTCCTCGTGTTTTTCTTTACAGGAGCAGATCTGTTCATATGGTTTCGCTCTCGACGTTATGAACATGAAGTTATCAATTTATCATTATTAGTGGTATGGCTTTTATCTGTCATCATCACAATATCAGTGGCTGCATTTACTGGACATTCAATCTACCTCATAACCAAAAACCAAACTGTTATTGAAATGTATGAATGGAACAATTACAAGTCAAATATGAACATCTTAGATGAGTCAAGAGGAACTATTACTTCGATCGATACCAATATGTTTGATCTAGGTTCAGCATCGCGCAACTGGGAGAGTGTCATGGGAGAAACTTGGCTTGAGTGGCTTTTGCCTATTCAGGCGTATGCCCAGGTAAAAAACAGACATACCCTAGATGAAAGTGGCTTATACTTTAGAGTCAATGGCAACATGCAAGGGCAGGTTTCCGGCAGCATGATCTTACAAGAGCAACTGATGCGGCGCTTAACACCAAGGTCCTCGTACGGTGACAATGAATTACGACCCCCAGATATGCTCTTTGAGGTTAACTAAAAGTTTAACTTAAAAAATCAATAAATTTCGTTATAAACATCAAAATGGAGTTGTTACATATATTACATTTCTTCCTCATAGATTACAGTAAGCTTCTTACTGGTTAAATTTCGCTCCTTAGCGCTCAAATACGCTTGTATCACAGTAAGCATGCAAAGACACCAATAACTATACTCATCATTCCACTTTGCAGTCTGTATGCGGCTCCATCGAAGGTTGAAATAAAAGGTGTAGAAGAAGCTGTGCTGAGAGCTGTTTGAGTCTGGAGGCTAACGTCTGCTAAGCCGGAAAGGGTTGAACTACTACCAGTAGATTCTTGATTTGATGAGACGTGACTTTGGCCAGACATAGAATTACTTGTCAAGCTAACAGCCGTAGATGCCTGACCACCCGCAGCACTATATTGACTTGATGCACCGATGGGAATTAAAGAAGTGGAAATAACAGCGTCTTGTGTTGATTGCAAAATATCTGCAGAAATTCTAGTTGCAAGCGCAGTTGATTTGCTAACAGAAGTCAAGGTAGTTCGACTTGCGGAGGCGTCGGCAAAAGATGAAGCACCAATATAAGATAATGAGGTGGATATCAATTGCTCTTGTACCGACTGAGAGGTTTTTGCAGAAACACCTGTCCTGGAAGAGGAAGAGACTTGTGTAGATTGTGCAGTGTCAACAACGATGGTTAGAGAATGAGGTTTACCAATAGCGTTTGTTTGACTTGTGATTGGCGCTACTGAAAAAGTTTGGCTCAGAGATGTCGATGAGGTCAGTTCAGTTCCAACAGACACCATAGTCGTGAAAATAGAAACCTTACCACCCTTCGTTTTAGTGACCACGGATGCAGTCAATTTTCTGATGTTGGATAGCTGGGATGCACTCAATGAAGGAGATGGTGTGCTGGAGCTGGCGGTTTCGAAAAGATTTAAACTTGATATCGTAGATGATACAGTCGTGACAGGGAACCAACTGGTGTACTCTAGCACCCTTCCATTACTAGTAGTCGTTAACACCTTACTAGTTATGTATTCGCTGGTGTAGTACTCGGTGGTTTTTGAAGGCTTCATATTGGAGGCTGAGGATGGGTTCGTTGGAGATACATGCAGTTGAGATTGGTGTTTCGACAGCTCTTCGGACTGTACTCCAGAGGAATTTGATTTGTTCGAATGCTGTGTGCTGCTGCTGTTTTGCGTAGACTGCACTTTTTTGGAAGTCGACAAAGATGATTGACTACTAATGCTGCTATTCAAAGTCGCAACGGGAACCAGAGACGTGTAAACGACAATTTCGCCACTGATAACCCTGGTGAAAACAGTCTGGGTAGGGATGGCATTTGTAGAAGAGACGGTCGAGTTGACAATATAGTAAGTTTCAGAGACAGACTTACTAACGCTCGCTGGGGATTGAGCAGATAAAGTCGCAACTGGGAAAAAACTGGTGTAGACTTCGTATTGGCCATTGCTGGTTCGTGTCACAACGGTATATGTCAAAACTGCTCCATTGCTATTAGAGGTGTATGAGCCGTTGTTAGAGACACTCTCATTCTTTACTGGAGCTGGAGTAATCAAAGTGGTACTGAAGTTGGAAGCAGAGGTTACCGAATCTATTGAGGTGCCGTTTGCTGGAGCAGACTTGGAGCTGTTAATCACGCTGCTGTTAGAAGAAAGCGATGAGCTCACCAACGAAGGCGATACGCTAACTGTAGTGCTACCATTAGCAGGGACCGGTGTGACCTCACCGCCAGTTCCATTGGTGGTTGAAGTGATTGTGAAGAAAGTTGAAGTACCATTGGTTGGAACAGTGTTTGAGGAAGCAGTAGTGGAGTTGATTGCAGTGACTGTAGGGAAAAAACCAGACCCAGTGTAAACGTTGACTTCCTCGCCAAAATTGTTGAGGTTGGCGCTAGTTTTGAGTACTACATGGTCCTCGAACATAATCGAAATATCCCTTTTGTAACTCGACAATGTAGGGTAGTTCAAAGTGGCCACAGTATCAACTGCAATAGCGTCCAAGATCGATGTTGTGACATATGTGATAAGAATCGATTTTCCACCGCTAATCCGCGATTCTAAGCTTAGGTTGATTGAAGATTCGTCAGATGTATCTCTCACTGCAGTTAGGTTGATTGCCTTCGTAGGTTGGTTGAAAGCGTCTGTGTCAACGACTACTTGAACCATCGTAAGGGAGGTATCAAACTCGTAAGCTTCTGAAGCTGAAAATGAGGCTGCAAAGTTAAACGCACCAGGGTATTCGCTCAAGGGAATGTTCACAGTGTAGGTGATTTTGTTATGCTCATCAACTCGAGCGTTTGTTTGAGATGCTGACAAGTCTTGTGCAACAAAGCTTATCTTCTCCACAATAGATCCTGGAGCTGTCTGAAACTCAAAATCGAATGTTTCTGGATTGCTGATCGAGTTTTTAAAATCGTCAGAAAGGGTTGCAAGGACATTGAAAGTGGCGGAACGGTCTTCGCTCGACAACTTGGGTTTTATTGTGAAAACATTGGATGAATTGTATGAGACTGATCCAACAGATATCTCATTTTGCAACAAATCAAATGATCCTTGAGGGAAATTTTGAAGTTGCTGGGGTGCGGTTAAGTAAAGTTCGCCATCGAACTCAGCTGATACGTATAGTTCGGCCTGAACCATGAACCAGTGCTCTTTGTCATTTGACACATTGGTTCCTGTGTAGGAGTCGATTAGATGCACAGTAGAAAAAAAAGCTGTCGGCGTAGTCTTGGGTACTGCAGTAACGGATGTGGAACTGGCATTGGAGTATTTAGCAAATGCTGTTCCCGCGAGGCAAAACGCCGATAGGAATGCTTTAGTTAGCGAAACCATGTGGTTGTGAGGTTTAGAGATCTTGTCGTTTGTGAGGTTTAAAGATACTATGATGTTGAACTATGGCCCAAGTGAGGTTTGTTTGTGATCTTAACTCTTCTTATAGGCGGACCTCTCGAGAACTGTCGTATGAGTATGCTTGCTGAAAGCGAAACGCCCAGCACAATCAATTCGGGCTCATATTGGATCACTGAAGAACGACTCGCATCGATCTGAGTTAAATTACACTAGCCAGCTTAAAAAACCCCGAGATCAGTGTACATTATTGATTCAGAACGTCCGAGCTGTTTTTCTCCCGTCGATGAATTAATACGTAATACAATACACACTCCATCGAGCCAGCTGTCGAAACGATACGCTCATCGCTACTAGTTTGTCTTAAGTCTCTTCACTTACCAGCCTGAATGGCTGTAATTTAAAAGGCTGGTTTCTTTCGTTTATAGTTACGATAATATGCGTCAAGACTCAAGGCCACTTCAAGGTCATCCGATCTGGTTTGTGATAGTTGATCTGTCACCTCTACTTCCATTCAAATGACAGGACATGTTCTAAACAGTGGTGGCCGCAAAGGGGCTGACCTTTTCAACAAAATAAATGCGATCGCTATCAGAAGAAATTATTCTAAAGTAATGCGGCTATGTCTATTCGCGAAGACGCTCAATGACGCCAATTTCTGTGGATTGAGACTCATCATCTGATAGGTTTGACTTTTACTACATTGAGCGCAACAAGAGCGTTATGACACTTTATATCAACTAGTCCTGTCACTATTGGAGGGTTGTTTGTATGGTAGAGATAATACTAGCCGCCTTTTTGTGGAGCCTTTTATGTTTCCTTGACAGGTAGCGGAGCTTGTTATTTGATTTGTTATTGTGTCCCGACATTTCAAGTCAGCAAAGTTCGGCCCACAGTAGTAATACTTGATCAAAATGGCAACAGCTTTCGAAAATTCCAAGTGGAAACAGTCCCATATCATGATACGAATATCATAAGAGATGAATATGAGCCCACCTCCTCAAACGGTGTAGTTCAAGTAGGCCTCAATGAGAAATTTCACCTGGCCGCGGCAGAGCGCTTAATAGCCCCCGAGAAATTAGTGTGTATAGCGAGTATTTAACACTGCAGGTTATATTTCTTTCGCATACAGTGCTAAGCATTCTTGTCTCAGAGTTTCGCCGTCGATCCCCCGCTCGAATCGTCAAGCTAAAGAGTTTCCCTCAACATTTTGGATACATTTGGGCTCTAATCAAAGCAGAATTTTAAGTTCGCATTTGTTGTAAGCTCATCATTCCGCCACCCGTCATGGTTATGGGATTGTTACTTTCGTCATAATCGCGACTTTACTTGCTGCTTTTTAAGCCGTGTCTGCCTTTATTATTGCTGAGAAAACAAAATTACAGACCATATAAGCTCTAAATTTAAAGCTCATCTGTAGAAAAGAGCTGGAATTGCTACAGAGAGATCGTCCGTACTTGACTCTCAAGTATTCAAAATAGATAGAGAGTTTTCTTGTGTGTATTTTGATTCAAGGCGATGGTTCTACCTATAGTATTAGGCCTAGGAGTGACATTTGCAGCTGTTACAGCACGATCAGGGCTACGAGCATGGGAGGTTTACAGAAGGCTCACGCCTATGATGATAGCATATCTTAACGGGATTCGTATCTCAACTACAGAGGCTCAATTTCAGCAGAAAAATTCCTTCCGCTATGGCCGTTTGAATGACGCGTTAAGGTCACAGTTAGATCAGTACGGCGGCGGTTTTGCCGCCAAGATGACTGATTCAGAAGCACTACTTATTCTCGGTATTTCTGGTCACGAAATCGAATCTTTAGACATGCCAATGCTCAAACGCAAGCACCGCAGAGCCATGGTGCAAAATCATCCTGATCGCGGCGGCAGTCCATTTCTGGCTATGAAAGTCAACGAAGCTAGGGATGTACTTAGCCATAGCATTATGCTCAGAAAGTAGAGAATGGATGCACTCAATAGAGCTACAGGCGCCGTTGGATCTTACACTGAAGCACCTTTGATATCTTCTCAATTCGCAGAGAACTTAGGGTCCGTATAAAAGTATTGTGAAGAACAACACGATCGGCATAGGTATCCAATACTCTTCTGACAACCAATGGCCAAAGAAGAACCTGCGAAGCCTCTAAAAGCTGGTGTCGATTTCAGGTTCGACTCGGGACTGGATTGCTTCATCTCGAGCGATCTTTTTCAACAACTTGGGGGGCCCAAATTATACGGGGCTGACGGGGGGGATGTCAAAGCAGAAACTTTGTTGATCAGCGTTTCATTGTGTCACTACGAGCCTTTTCAGAGATCAAAGATTGTAAACTGCAAGCTGGATGCAAGCTTAAAATCTGAATCCATCGTGTTGGCGGCACACATTTTTGGAATACAAAGGGATCAACCTACTGTCGACACTTGCGACATATGGTCGTTTCAGAAACAGGCTCCCGTGTTGAAGCACGTTGCGATTGCCACGCATCCAATACTTTACGCTCGATTGATGGAACTGGAGAATTCCAGTGACAGGATGCAATTTGTCAGGCTGAAAGCGGAGCTGGATATAGATTCCATTGTTCATGTTGGGGATGTACTATTGAACCAGTGGTGTCACGTACTAGATTGCGAACCTTACTTTCAGGGCTTGATCTATTCAGAGCTGACAGAAGTCATATTTGTCAAAGATGACAGCTACTTGAGCTCAAATACCCAATCACTTACTCTAGAAATTACGGGCCTTCAATTAGCCCAAAGCAGAGCACTAAATGTTCAGATCCATTCTCTTCTTTTCCCCATCCATGATGATCTCCTATTTCCTCCTTCTTCGAAGAGCGACGACGACTCTCTCTATGTTTTTGCCACTGCCTCCACTTTCCTTGGTCTCGGGTTAAGTAGCGGAATGTACGTCACTCTGTTTACCGATAGCACATCGAAGGTTGCAAAGACGATGTTATTACTTACTCCGAACAAATTTGAATCTAATGCATTCTATGTATCGCCGCGGCTAATTGCCCTCTTCAGAAATAGTGATACCGTCGGCGTGAAAAGATCAACCTATAACCCAAAGAGTGTTCCAGCTGCATCATCCGTCATCCTAGCTAGAATTGGATCTTGGAATAATTGTCAAAAGCCATTCGAAAACATAATATCAGAGAATTTGATTGCCTTTTTAACACAAAAACATCGTGTTTTGAAAGTCGGAGATAGATTGCCCATAACTTTTGATTCGAATCTTTCATCCTTCTACTCTGAAGATTTTAGGGAAGCAGACTTACAGGGTGAAAATGACTCCATCGTGTGGTTCATAGTAGAAACTGTAGAAATTGAGGACAAAACGGAATACACCGGTGAATTTAGGATCGATAGAAAGAAGACAACGCTTTTAACGCAGAATTTAGTTGCTGAAGCACCGCTCTCGCTCCAAAAGTGCGATTATGAATCCTTTTTTGGGCTACCTTCCAGTTTCCGTTATGATCCTACGGTGTTTGACTATGCCAAGCGTATGATAAACATTGTTAAAGCCGGCCTAAAATGTTGGGAACAGAAAATTTCAATTAGAACGTCAATTATACTCCAGTCGTCGACCCCAGGTGTGGGGAAAAACACATTGGTGAGATTCGCAGCCTATGATTTAGGCACCCATCTTATTGAGATCGACTGTTTATCTATCAATTCCGCTCAAGGCTCTTTAGAATCTATGAACAACACTATCGGATACTTGAAGGCGAAGTTGGAGCCCCTGCTGCCTTTTGTTGCTCCGTCAATTGTGTTCTTGTCTCATTTAGACTGTTTGATTGAAAAAGAAGCGGAGCAACAAGATTCTGGAACCTCAAGGCTAAACAGGTCGTTAGCGTTGGAAATTGCATCCTTGATTGATTATTGTACGTCACAGGGGGCGATATTTGCATGCTCAGTTCGTGACAGTGACGTTTTACCTGATGTCGTGAGGTCCAAGATGCAATTCTCCATCGAAGTTCCGGTGCCGAATGAACAACAGCGGCAATCGATTTTTGCGTGGCATTTGAGTCTTCGTGAACTCAATAGTTCATCTGAAGGTTCTTTTCGCTTCATCTTTGACGCAAGCGCATCACTTGTGAAGCTAGCCCAGAGGTCAGCAGGGTTATCCCCGGATGACATCAAATCCATAGTTCAAACCGCCAAGACCACAGCTCTAAGCTCTGCCCTATCCAATGATGAGTTTTGTGATTCTTACATTCAAGAAGGTAACTTTATAACGATAGCTGAGACGGAATTGATATCCGCCATCGAAAAAGCAAGAGACGAATTTTCGGACTCAATTGGAGCCCCAAAAATACCTAACGTATCCTGGTCAGATATTGGGGGCATGGATCTGGTGAAGGGCGAAATTATGGACACTATCGACTTGCCACTAAAACATCCCGAATTGTTTTCATCGGGACTGAAGAAAAGAAGTGGAATTTTATTTTACGGGCCGCCGGGGACAGGTAAAACCTTACTGGCCAAAGCCATTGCAACAAATTTTTCCCTCAACTTCTTCAGTGTGAAGGGACCAGAATTGTTGAACATGTACATCGGGGAGTCTGAGGCAAATGTACGCCGAGTCTTTCAAAGAGCAAGAGACGCCAAACCATGTGTTATATTCTTCGACGAGCTAGATTCTGTTGCTCCAAAGCGAGGCAATCAGGGGGACTCTGGCGGTGTAATGGATAGAATCGTCTCACAACTTCTTGCCGAGCTAGATGGCATGAGCTCTGATGGTGATGGTGTCTTCGTAATTGGAGCTACCAACAGACCGGACCTGCTAGATGAAGCCTTGTTGAGACCTGGGAGGTTTGATAAACTATTATATCTAGGCATACCGGATACAAACGAAAAACAAGAAAACGTTATACGCGCGTTAAGCAGGAAATTTGTTCTCGACGATAGTGTGGATCTAGCAAAGTTGGCAGTTCTGTGTCCTTTCAATTATACGGGCGCAGATTTCTACGCACTCTGCTCGGATGCGATGTTAAATTCCATGACGAGAACCTCCAGAGATGTAGATAAAAAAGTGCAATTGTATTGCGAGAAAGAGAACAGAGAGGTTTCCGTACGCTACTGGTTTGACAAAGTAGCCAAAGAAGATGACGCCAATGTGATAGTCAAGATGGAGGATTATGTGAAGGCCCAGGAAAATCTTATTCCAAGTGTTTCTCGTGAAGAGCTCGCTCATTATTTGAGGGTCAAGTCAAACTTTGAAAGTACCTGATTGTGAGATGGCACCGTTGTACAATATGTGGTAACAGATGGTAGATTCAGTCCTACAAATCCCCGTTTTTTGTTAGCTTAGTCTTAACTGTCCTAGCCTTGACATCTCAAAAATACTGTGCGCTTGGATTTTTTTTTGAGATGGCAGTAAACTAGCTTGAGGCTTTTATGCATAACTATGCATAACTGAGTAAACGTACTCACATCACATCAGTCAAGGATTTGAATTATGATAAGACTTGCTGCAGATGCTTGAAGCTGTCTTGCTACTATCAAACACTCTGGTACGTTGTCAATACCATTGGCGATCTGAAAATTGAGGTACTTCGCGCGCTCAATAATAGCCTGGAGGGCCCCGTTTACCTTTGATAGAAGGCTTAAAGAAAAATACAGTGTGCAGTCAGCCTAAAGACAGTCTCCTAGCATGTGCTCTTGTAGCCTTTATTTAGGCGTTCTAATCAGTACCGAAAAGGCTCCCGCTGGGCGTATTCAACCTTCGACACTATGCGCCACTGATATGAATTTGAACTTGTTACTTTTTTGGACGGCGTGCGCCCATTTCATTAGTTGCAAACTACGATTACAAAGGGCTACGTTTGAAAAGCCCCTGCATTCAAAGTCTTCTGTTTGCAGGAGTTTCCAAAACTAGAGAATGAGTACAATTTTGCACTTACGATAAATTTACACCATCTCCTGGAGGCTTGAGTCACTGAATATTGTTTTGATAAAGGTATTGCTTGTTCGATGAAATTCAGTCACAACCACAATCGTGTGCTGTTTCAAAGGAACGCCTACTTCCTAATTGCGTATAAAGCTCCAGTTATAATATAGAGTAAATATCGGTGCCACTAGCCAAAGTCGTCAATTGCTAGTGAACGCTATTCCCCTTACTATCTCCAGTAATTAACGCATTTTTATCGTCTTCTCCTTTACTGACATATTTTTAAATCGCGTTTTATACGACGCAGCCTGCTTTCGAGAAAAACCGCGAATGCAACTGAACATCAAGGTATCTCTATCACATACAAACATATCAAATTATCTTTAGATTTTAGAGCATTTACGGGCGTGCCAGTTGCTTTGGCGTATAAGTGTTCAAGCCAATTCTGCTATCATTGATTAGTCTTGGCCAGTATCTGTCCAAATTTTAAGTTGCACACACTGCAGGATTGATAATAGAGCCTCCACCAGTCGATAATAATGGTATATGAAGCCAAGCCTTTTGACCCGCTCACTGTGAAAACCACAGGTAAAGACCGTGTGGCGTATTTCTACGATGCCGACGTTGGTTCTTTCAGCTACGGCTCTTCACATCCGATGAAACCACATCGTATCCGGATGACACACTCACTAATCATGAATTATGGCCTCTATAAGAAGATGGAAATATACAGAGCCAAGCCAGCCACAAAGCAGGAGATGTGTCAGTTTCATTCCGACGAATACATCGATTTTCTGTCGCGTGTAACGCCGGACAACCTAGAAATGTTCCAAAAAGAGAGTGTCAAGTTCAACGTTGGTGATGATTGTCCTGTTTTTGATGGGCTTTATGAATACTGTAGTATATCAGGAGGTGGTTCTATGGAAGGTGCAGCGAGACTAAATCGGGGCAAGTGTGACGTAGCGATTAACTACGCCGGTGGCCTGCATCATGCAAAAAAGGCCGAAGCGTCTGGGTTCTGTTATTTGAACGATATTGTTCTAGGAATCATCGAGCTTCTAAGGTATCACCCAAGAGTACTATATATTGATATCGACGTGCACCATGGCGATGGTGTAGAAGAAGCTTTCTACACAACTGACAGGGTCATGACCTGTTCATTTCACAAATATGGGGAGTTTTTTCCCGGTACGGGTGAGCTGCGAGATACTGGAGTTGCCAAGGGTAAAAACTACTCTGTTAATGTGCCACTGCGGGACGGTATTGATGACGCAACATATAAATCGGTTTTCGAACCTGTGATCGGAAAGATCATGGAATGGTACCAACCATCGGCAATAGTCCTGCAGTGCGGTGGCGATTCCCTGTCCGGTGATCGACTGGGCTGTTTCAATCTGTCAATGCGTGGGCACGCTAACTGCGTGAGCTATGTAAAATCGTTCGGGATACCTACCCTCGTGGTTGGTGGTGGAGGATATACCATGAGAAACGTAGCCAGAACCTGGGCCTTCGAGACTGGCTTACTAAACAATGTTATTTTAGATGAGGAGTTGCCTTACAACGACTACTACGAGTACTATGGGCCGGACTATCAACTTGATGTCAGGCCTTCAAACATGTTCAATGTAAACACTCCCGAATACCTCGACAAAGTGCTGACAGGCATTTTTACTAATTTGGAAAGTACCAAGTTTGCTCCAAGCGTTCAAATGAACAATGTCCCTCATGATCAGGAGGATTTGGGGGATGTCGAAGAAGACACTGATGTTGCTAAGGACACCAGAGGTGGTTCCCAATATGCAAGGGATCAGATGATTGAGAGAGATGATGAATTCTAGACGATTTAAGAGCTCAAAAAGCGTGTATTATATAAGTTTCCATAATAGGTCGACCTAGTTAGATGATACTCTTGTACGTAAGAAACTATGAACACCAATTTCAACTGGTCTTATAACTTAGCTGGCGAACTCGACGGGCAGTGTATCACCATTAAGCCATTGAACTCACTGATTAAAGTATATCACTCTGTCTATCCAAATTTCGTAACTATAAAAAATGGCAGTGAAAGGATTGGGCAAACCCGACCAAGTATACGATGGATCGAATGTCAAAGTTGGTATTATTCATGCTCGTTGGAATAAAGAGATCATTGATGCCTTAGTAAAGGGTGCCATTGATAGGATGCTGAGTCTAGGCGTTCAGGAACAAAACATCATTGTCGAGACTGTTCCTGGTTCCTTTGAGCTCCCCTACGCTACTAAAAGATTTTGCGAAATGTCTCAATACGACGTGGTCATTCCAATTGGGGTTCTAATCAAAGGTAGTACCATGCATTTCGAGTACATCTCTGAATCTACAACCCATGCTTTGATGCGTCTTCAAGAGTCAATAAACACACCTGTCATTTTCGGGTTGTTGACTTGTCTGACCGAACAGCAGGCTTTAGCAAGAGCCGGCTTAGACGCGGCTAAATCAATGCACAACCACGGTGAAGACTGGGGTGCTGCTGCTGTAGAAATGGCGGTGAAATTCGGAGCTAGATTTCAAAAATAGTTAGTGTTACATGCGATGAATTATAACATTCTATGCTAAACTAAAATCCCATTTCCCCTCGATTTGGAATTTTTCTTCCTGTTCTGCCTATCGGCATCTCTTTTCTTCTGTTTCATTTCCTTGGTCCACGTAGCTCGGTTCTCCCAGAATTTATCTTCCCAGTTCGCGAAAAGTTCTTGATGATCCTGGGACGATTTGAGCTTGGCCAGCTGCGATTGCGACTGCAAGAAAGGAGATGTGAAATGTGGGAAGAACAAACCCCTATTTGTGTTCTGAGTTCCTACGTATGAATCTTCGGTTGATAGCTCTTGGGCGTTTTCTGTTTCTAGGACGTTTTTTGTTTCATCGATATCTTCGTTAGTCTCATCCATTAACTTGAAAGTAGCTTCTTTCGACTCTTCGGGGTTGAAAAGAGATCTAAGTTCCTCTGTATTACTCTTCGTAGAGAGTACCGGCTGGTTGCCAAATGTGGGTACGAAATCATCTTCCGAGTCCTCTTCTGGTTTTTCGGGCTCTGACACATGCAATTCTTTAACTTCCTCAACAGGCTTAGGCACTTCTTGTTTTTTTTCTTTGCCAGTAGCTTTCATTACATCTGTGGGCTCTTGGTACAGTGCGTTATACTCGTAGTCAGATGAAGCATTCTCGTCCTCATCTTCTTGGATAGCCATAGGTTTGTCGAAATCAAAGTCACCAAGCAAGTTTTCCAAAACATCTTTTGTTTTCTGATCTGATGATTCTTCGATATCTTCAGCGGTCGCCAAAAGACCTGTGTCGGTTTCTTGGGCGGAACCTATTCCATGATGCTTACTCCAAGAGGAGGCGCGCGAATAATCGAGTTTGTCGACGATGTGATTGTTTCCATCTCTCCAGTGGCGCTGGTCTGTAAAACGTGCAACTAGGTCCCGAGGCATCTTTTCACGTTCGTAGCCCCATAACTTATTCTTAGAGCACTTGTAGACTTTCAATTGTCCATCGCTGAGCACTCGGAAGGTTATGTTTCGCAGCTGAGCTTTCGCCCGAGGATTTTGGCGCATTCTGCCATGCAAAATCTGTTGTCGATCGATCCAACTCATCTTTATATTTTCAATTTTCTTATGATACTCCCATTGTTGTTTCAATAGCTGTTTTTCTCTCTCTATCCCTACGCGTTCCTCGTTCTTTTGATCATCATCCCACCGTTGTTGCCAGCTTAGTTTCGCTTGGTCAACTTTCAAGACATTACCCTTGAACCTTACACCATTCAAACTTTGTTTGAGCTTCGAATACCCCGCTTCGTCGTTAAACTCCATGTTCATATACGCAAAATGCCCATGACTTTCAAACTCGCTCGAAAGACAGCGTCCGAAGCGCTCGAAACGCGGTCTCAGCTCCCTTAAGCTTGCTTCATGGTCTTGAATAACGTTTCCAACGTAGACCCTCTTCGACACCGACATATTGTCAGTCTTGCTCTACGCTATTCGTATTTCAGATCTCCTCCTGCTCATCTCATCAACAGGTTGATATTTTTCAGCAGTTCTTCACCAGACCTGCATATCATTATATACGCAAAGCATAAGGTGCTCTTTAGTTCATTTGATCTAGACCAATAGGTTTGCACTACAACTATTGAAAGCAGTCACTATACCTCAAGACTCACATGAATCGACTGGATTTGTTCTAAGACGTCAGAGCACTCATGGTATGAATTCCACATGCGAACCACTTGGCGAGAAGAGAGGTTTACAACCTCGCGGCCAGAAAAGATCCTGTAGGTTGGGTTCCTTCTCGAAACGCAAGAGATGAGTGAACAACGTTGATCACATTGATAGTAAGTTTATGTTAATCGAGTCAGGTGTAGCGACACAGCGTCACGAAACAATGATTCGGCTTACGGATCTTATCATATTTCGGTTTACGTGCGGTGAATGATGGGGAGTTCTGACTGATAAAAGTATTAAGAGCTAAACTCACATTTCGGGATTTTTTTTCTGCTTTCTAGGTTTCTATCGCCTAAGGTGAACTCGTCGAGGTTCAATTTACTGTAATACCTTCAATTGACATATCTAAAAGTGTACCATTGATACTTGCCTGTGAACTTGGCGATATTAATGCCTCTATAGCTCTTCAAGATACGAAGAGCAGAACTTCGAGTCAAGAAACAAGTGTTTACGTGATTTTTTGGTTGATTAAGTCGGATGAGGTGACATGTTCTTGTTGACTTTTGAAATTGACACGTTGGTATAAAGTGACATAAGAGCCTTCGTGGCTGAATATGCGAATATGTCAATTTGGCCCGAAATACTCGATCGCCACTGGTATGAAGGCGTAGATGAGTGGTGCACCCATACTTCCTTGAGTGTTCTCTTCAATTTATCAATAAATGAACCCTTTGCAAATGGTGGCCGGCTCATGTTACTCTGCCAGAACCCTACAACTAAGATGTTTGCCATAGTATTGATGGCTTCACCATATACTGAAGATTTACTCTTAATAGCTAGTTAAGACATAGAATGATTCATAAGGCCAAGCTCATAGCCAACAGTAATCAAGTAAGCCATCGAAAATATCTGTCAACGCGATATTCAAAAATCCTAACAAGCGCACACCAGGTGATAAAGAACCAGAAGTTGTTTGACTTGAAGTCAACCTGTGCCGTCAGCAATCGGTTTGACAAGAAGCTTTTTGAAGAGCATCTTGCCTGTCTTCGTCATAAATGATGGCATGATCGAAATGGATCATTTCAGTTTAAAGTGCTAACGTAAACTCTTTACGTTACTTCTCACTTGAATCAAGCGCGCTATGAGGTGAGTATAAACAATGGACCATCAAAACACCTTAGTTGTGAAACTTAGGCATACATAGAGCTTATAATCCTATATTTCTCTCCCAGATTATTACCCGGATATCTCAATTTTTCGAAGTTGCCGGGCGCTTCAAGTTTATACTGTGTAAAGTCGTCGATCGTAGTGTTCAATATGGACTTTTACTAGTATAAACCGTTGTAAAAGCATTGATAGCTGTCAATTGGCGCTTTACTTGCAGTCCAGGATGGAGCAAAATACTGGAAATAATGAATACCCTAGTGTAAACTGGAGCACGACCCTTGATATTCCGCTGAAAGACTCGGAAGAAGTGGTGAGCATTGATCTAGTTAATGATCTTCCAGAGGACCCCGGGGACTTAAAAACACTACTAGTAGAGGAAAACTCGGACAAAGAACACTGGCTGGTGATTGCTATTGCGTACAGTCAGCGGGGGTTGCTGAAGGAATGTATAAGTTTGTTGCAAATGGCCTTGGAGGTCTTCCAGGGCCCACAGTCGGGTCCACTCCATACGTGTTTGACATGGGCGTATTTAAAACAAGCAAAGCAACAAGGTATGCAGCAGGCGGATCAAGAGTTAAGTTTGACCCAAGCAGAGCACCATCTCAAAGAAGCGATTGGCTACGATCCCTCGGGTGTTGGAAACATGCTTGCGACAATAGACCTATATTACCAGCGCCGTCAGTACGACAAGGCCTTAGAGACATCTGAGCTGTTTGTTCGCGGCATCCACGCCGAGGACCAACGTCTAGGACGCTTGTCTAGACCAAATGTGCTTTTCTTGCTGGTCATGGCCAAGCTTTTCTATCAAAAGAAAAACTACACTGTAAGCTTGAGACTTTTCCAAGAACTTTTGGTGCTTAATCCGGTTTTAAAGCCTGATCCAAGAATCGGAATCGGTATGTGCTTTTGGCAGCTCAAGGACCACAAGATGGCAATTCGTTCTTGGAAGCGAAGTCTGGAGCTGTCCCCTGAAAATGCTAACCTCCAAATCTTGCTTTTACTAGGCGACTTTCACTCGGCATTGACACAATCGGAAGACGACGACGAGTTTAAGCAGAAGTATACTCTCGCACTCACACAAATGGGCCAAATAATGTCTTCAAACCTGCAAAATCCAGCTCTTTTAGTGCTGTATCAAGCGTACTGCTATCTTAAATCGGATCACCAAAAAAGTATAGAAATTTACGAGAAGCAAGTGTCCCCCTTTGCCTCCGGAATCTCCGATACCGTTTTGTCTGAATCCGCTTTCTGGTGCGGAAGAGGTTACTATGCTTTGGGAGAGCCTCGTAAGGCGTTCCATTTTTTCCAAGAAAGTTTAAAAGCTAACGAAGAGAATCTTTTGGCCCGCTTTGGCTTGGGTCAAACGCAGATACAAAACAGCCTGATCGAAGAAAGTATTCTAACTTTCGAGAACCTCTACACATCGCATGAAAACTTACAGGAAATTAACTACGTGCTAGGACTGCTATGTGGCGCGAAGTGTATGGATTCCAAGACCTCTGCTGCGATGTCCCCTGTAGAAAGGAGTAAACTCCTGGAAAAGTCCATCAACTACCTGGAGAAATACATCAAACTCACTAGAGCGAAAAAAAATCAGCTGGTCATCTTAAAGGCTTACTTAGTTTTATCTGAGCTCTATCAACTTCAGAATTCATACAAGCAATCTTTGGAAGTGTTGTCTCGTGCTGTCGATCAATTGGAAGCTGCTGGTGATAACTCCATACCTCTCGAAATTTACAATAACTTGGGTTGCTTTCACTTCATCAATGGTGACAAGACAGAGGCCGATAAGTTTTTTGAGCAAGCTTCTAATTTATCAAAAATTGACGGCGACAACAAGGCGGTTTCAATTACAATCCTATACAATAATTCGAGGTCCGCAGAATTTGAAGATACGGAAAAGGCCATTCACAATTACCAAAGTCTTTTAGCAGCTCATCCGGGTTACGTGCATGCGAGAATAAGATATCTTTCTTTAATGATAATGAAATCAAAGGGCGAAGAACTTGACGAGCAAGTGAACGAGTTGTTACAGCAAAACCCCTCAGACCTTGATACACGTTCTTTCTACAGTTGGTTTTTAAAAAATGGTTCCAAGTCGAACAAGAATGAGAAAACTGAGAAGTTGGAAACGAACCACAATCGTGATACCCTAACAAAGTATGACTCTCATGATGCATATGCGCTAGTTTCTTTAGCAAACTTGTATGTGACTATAGCTAGAGAGTCCAAAAAGTTGCCATCGTCAAAAGAGCAAGACAAATCAAGACAATCTTTCGTCAAAGCCATTCAGCTGCTCCAAAAAGTCTTACAAGTTGACCCTTATAATATCTTTGCCGCGCAAGGATTGGCTATCATATTTGCTGAAAATAAAAGATTTGGGCCAGCTCTTGAAATCTTAAGAAAGGTCAGAGATTCCTTAAACAATGAGTCTGTTCACATTAATTTGGGTCACTGTTTACTAGAAATGCAGGAATATGCCAAAGCTATCGAAAACTACGAAGTTGCATTCAGACAATTTGCAAATGAAGCTAGTAAACCTCTGCTTTTGAACTTACTTGGACGTGCTTGGTACTCTCGAGGTGTGCGGGAAAAGTCGTTAGAGTGTTTCGAGAAATCTCTAGAATATGCTCAGGAAGCATTAGCTGCCGAGTTACAGAAGGAGAATGCTGCTATGCTACAAAGCGTTAAGTTCAACGTTGCATTACTGCACTTTCAGATCGCAGAAACTCTGCGTAGAATGTCACCCAAGGAGAGGACCCTCGCTAAGCTGGAGGGCGCTTCTTCGGGCCTAGACACCGCATTGAATCTGTTCAAAGAATTGATTAATCAAAAGTCTACCATCATGCCTATAGATGAACTTGACCAGCGCTTGCAATTGGGTGAAACTACAATGAAGAGTGCACTAGAAAGATGTGTCACTGAGCAAAAAGACTATGAAGCTGAAGCGGCTGCAAAATTGGCCAATGCCAGGAAGACATTCGAAGAAAGTGAGACGAAAGAACGTGAACATCGCAAGCAGTTGGAAGAGCAAGACCGTATACGGATTGCAAAACAAACTGAAGAGTACAACAAGCTTCAAGAGGAGGCGCGCAAGTTGATGGAAGAGCGTAATGAAATGAGTGCAATGGAGGAAGAGAAAGATAAAAATCCACCGCTGAGCGGCGACGAATATTCTCAAGAAAATGGCGAAAACAAGAAGAAGAAAAGGGCAAAGCGCACCAAGAAGTCGGACGAATCAAAACAAGCTCCTAAAAAAAAGAGGCGTACCAAGAGAGCAGTAGTCGACGACGAAGACGAAAACGACGACGACGACAATGGTGGAGCAAATGATGAACCTGATGTTGGCAAAGAAAGTTCAGAAGCGACGAAGCCCGGAAAAAAGACCAAGTCGCCTTATCTTTCGAAGGAGTTCATCGACGATAGCGACGAAGACGATGAAGTTCCTGCGGAGAATGCAGATGAAAAGTCCGCAGAGCCTACGCCGAAAACTTCTGACGGGGAAAATGAAGAGGAAACTTTGTTTTGACGAAGAGAGGAAACTTATATTTCGGGTATGATTGAAGCAACGGGAAATTTTTCGTTTTGCTCTTGAGTCGCGTTTATCGATGTAATTGTTTGTTCCATGTAAATATATATGAGGTAAGATATCTATAATATGCATATGCAAATGCTTTCAAAGCTGTCACTTCTGAACGATCCATTTCTTCATGTCCTTGCAGCTTTCGTGGCTCTCTCGGTATAGCTTTTTCTCGAACTCGTCCAGGGTCAACATGAAGGGGCCCATATCGCGTCCACGGCCAAGCTTTTCGAGCTGGATGCTCGAGGCGAAGTTGTTGATTTCTTGAGACCTTTCAAGAAGCATATAGTTGAGAATTTGTACTAGATCGCGATCGTTGAAAAGGGTGGCCCATTTCACGGCCAATGCATAGAAATGAGAATTGATGGAATGCACGTCGAGCGTCACCGGCCCTGATTTTATCGCATTCATGACCTTGGGTGAGAGCATATCCGGAGCCATCAGTTCAACGAATGGCAAGGCTCCCTCGTCACCTATGCCAGGATCGCCGCCAACAATAGCGAGGATCCGCGCCAACCACAGCGGCAGTTCCACTTTCGCGTTTATCTTTATATCCTTGCCGATGTTTCCCTCCAGATACCCCAAGCCGGGAATGTCGTAGTTGAAGCGACAGGGAAACTTGTTGGCATCCGCCAGAATATCATCTATATCATAGTAGCTCATTTTCGTGAATTCGACGCGTTTTATAAGCTTATACAGATAGGTCCAGAAGCTGCTCGAAAACAAAATGCCAAGAGCCTCGACTTGTCTGTTTGATTCCAGTACGTGTTTATGAAGCTCGCGACACAGGCTTTTTCAAGATAACCTTGTCAGTTAAATCTTGTTTTCGAAGATGGTTGAATGGACTTGGAGATTCAGACCTTTTTTCCTACGTGTGATATATAAATAATGAAGGGGAAAACGCGATGACTGGAACTTCACTTGAACTTGTAACAGAAGTTATCAGAGCGTTTCGAACATCGACTCGCATTATATCTCGAGAGTTTTACCTACAAGAACAACCTTAGCGCTGGCAATAAGTGCACGTTCTTCCACTACAATAGCGACATTAATAACATGGTTTGTGACACGCTAGTGTATCATCCATCAATCTCCAGGCTCGTGAGCCTTCTGGACACCAGTGCTGGTAGAGAGAAAGTACTGCGTCTTTTGCAGTACCTGTGCCGTTTTTTGGGGTTCCAGTACTCGTCTATCTTGGCCAAGAAGCTGCAAATGGAATTCACTACGGTCCGCAAGATTTTAAGGTTCTTGAAGCCGCTTAACCACCTGCAGGCGGCGTCTAAGTTCTATGACAACAAGATCGCAAATGACAACGTGGTGCGGTGGTGCAATGTCGCGAAAAACCTGGCATACGCCGGTTACTTGACTCTGGATCAAATCAATTTGCTGCGCATATTGCAGCTGGTTCCCGTCACCAAGCTCACCGGCGTCAAAGTGCCTCGCTGGACGAATTGGTGCTGGTTCGCAGGCCTTGTGAGCGGTCTAGTTCTCGATTTACGTAAACTACAAGTCTCCCAGGATCGGATCCAGGCCCTTGTCACTGACGACGGTCAGAAGGAATCTGGAGCGCTCGAACTTGCCAAGCACTACGAGGATCGCGCCTCGGCTCTCAAGAGACTGTTGTGGGACTTGCTGGACACTTTTATTGTGTTGAACAACCTCAAGTTCGTCGACTCACCCGACGGGTCCATCGGACTAGCTGGGGTTGCTACCTCGCTGTTCGGGCTTCAGGGACTCTGGGAAGGTGCCTAGAGCAAATGAAAACGGCGATATTTTATGGGATTAAATAACACCTCTTTCGGGGCACTAAACAGCATATTAGCTTACAGGGCCTTTTGCTACACTTATAGTTTTAACTTCTTTCGTAGAGAGAGACGTGTCTAATGGCCTTATGAAAAGTTGGGAAGAGCACTCTCAAATTAAGATGCAGGGCCTTAGAAGAAGACAGTGTAAGCGAGCCCAATTGTTGGGTGACTAGTTAACCTGGCTTGTACTGAGTTTTAAATTTCGAGATGAATGATGCAGGGCTTGGATTGCCGGTCAATAGCGGTGGGGATGCATCTAACGATATGCCAACTCTTAGTTTTAGCCAAGGAAACTACAATTCGAACATGAAAAACGGTAGCGGCCACCCGCCAATGGGCGCATCTGGAGGATTGAACGCTCAGCAACAGCATCAATTACTGCTTCAACAGCAGCAACAGCAGCAGCGTCTGTTAATGCAACAAAAACTGCGGCAACAGCAACAGCAGCAGCAGCAGCAGCAGCAACAGCAGCAAGCCATGCAAAACTACGAAAGCCAATTTTACCAGTTTCTCATGACTGTCAATAAGAAGCCCAAGCGCTTGTATAACTTCTCGGAAGAACCAGATGCGATTTTAAAGAAATACGAGCAATTCCGGCCTAGCTTCGAGTTCCACATTTACGAAAACAACTATAAAATATGCGCTCCGGCCAACACCAGACTTCAACAGCAGCAGAAAACACCCCAGGCAACTAGTGACGGGTTGATTCTTAATAAGAACAACGAGACGCTTAAAGAATTTTTAGAGTATGTGGCACGCGGCTGCATTCCCGAAGCCATAATGGAAGTTCTGAAGGACTGCAATATTCAGTTTTACGAGGGAAATTTGATCTTGCAAGTTTATGACCATACAAATACTGTAGACGTCAAACAGGCACAGAAAAATGGCCCTGACCTGTCTTCGGCAAACGCTTCGGCGGTTAAAAATCCGGCCACTCCTAACACTACCGGCGCTGCGACTAATTCTGCAAGCCAGGGCTCCGAGCAAGAGTCACAGGGTAATTCTTCTGACCAGCAGACCTCAAACTCAGCCGAAAGACCGCCAACATCTGACGCTCCGAAAACTAGTTCTGGCACTGAACCCGTGGATTCTGCCGGAGACTCTAAAGATCCTGAGGACACGAAAGCCAACAAAGACGTTGTTGCTACTCTCAAACGTCCCAGAGTTTACCGTACGTTGCTGCGACCTAACAGCTTAACCCATTATTACGATATGCTATCGTACGCAGATCATACACGATTCTCAGATAACATATATCAACAACTTGAATCCGAAATTCTCACTTTAACCAAGCGTAACTTAAAGCTTGATGTACCGCTCAATCCTTTTGAACACCGAGATAAGTTAGACGATTCCGAGTTCCTTCCTTCCGATACGACGCTACATCGTGAGATCTCTTCTCGAAAGGGTACGAAAGGACAAGTAGGTCACATCGATCTGCATGAAGAGTCGCCTCAACATAGTTCGAGTTATGAGCAAATGATGTTGATTATGAGTGAACGGACTACTACGACAACGATGTCCACAATTGCAGCGTCTCTTGCAAAAAGCGCAGCTGATTTGACAAGCAGCTCTTTAAAGAGTGGCGGTGGGAAAGGATCATCGAATGTCTCTGGCACCCCTGGAAGAAGTAGTGGAAGTAATTCTGTCGCAGCTGCTGCCGTAGCTGCTGCTGCTGCCGTAGGTTCAAGCAGTAATGATAACAATCAATTCAGCCGGTTGAAATTTGTCGAACAATGGCGTTCCAACAAAGAAAAACGAAAACAGCAGGCAATGAACGCTAATATGACGCCGGCAAGCTATAACCAACGAATTTCTATGTCAGCTCCTTTGACCGCCCAACAAATAAAGCAGCAGCAGTTATTGCAGCAACAACAACAGCAGCAACAGTCTTCAGAACAACAAAGGGGAGGTAACAAAAGAGCGGGCGATGACGACAAGAGTAAGCCAACAAAAAAACAGCGAAAGACAGCGAAGAAGGCTACGCCAGCAGCAGCAGCTGATGCGTCTAAAAAGAAGAAAACGACAAAGGGTAAAAAGTAGTCAGAACACATTAAATGTTAACTCATTTGATTTATATAAGACTTGGCATAGCAATTTCATCAGGTAAAGGTACTTTTGGGCTCATTTTCGAGCAAATACTTAATAAGCTCGTAAACATTTTTCCGATCCGGCACTGTGTGTATCCAGATGCCAAACACTTCATGTCGCAGGTTTTTGATAATCACCAAATCATCTTTAACCTCTACCTTCATGCATTCCAGTGGTTGTTGCGAATCCTCATGAGGCGCAAACAGTCTGCGTTTGTTTATAACACTGTTGGGAGCAATTCCGATCGAGAAATTCTCCGGGTTCATACGATTAAGCAGTATTAGCCCATAGTTGTATATGTCGCGGCCTTTGAGCACCTCTAAGTTGTGTTCAGGCCCGTTAGGACGGCTGGGTAACGCCAAAATGGATCTCTCTTCCTCAGTCTCTTCCTGCAGGAATTCGTCACCTTGCGATATATCTCTTAGGTAAATAGCAAGCACACCTTGATACTCAAGACGGACCCATTCATCCTTCCCAAAATCCCATTTGTATACCGAAGCGTGTGGCGTGTGGAACAGTAGTTGTTTGATCTTGGGGTCATATCTTCCGATCACATTGTAATTTAAAGCTTTACGGTAAAACTCCAGTGTCATTTCAGAGGAAACCCCCTCTACCACGGAAGCCATATTTTCGAAAGGTTGTGAATGACGTTGAAGGTGTCTATGAGCTGAGAAGTGCTAACTGTACCTCAATGTTCTGTTCGGAGGAAAGTCCAAGCTATATAGCATTATTCTAAGGTTTTTTTGATTGACAAATTTAACAGAAAAATGGAAGACTGACATATTTCTGGCACCTGAAGCCAAATACACAACTGTTATCTTCTTAACACAGAGAAAGTGAGACTGCTTAGACTGTCCGGTTATTCTTAAACAGCCTTGGTCTATTTTGCTTCTTACGGATGGCTTCCTGTACACACGCCTTGTGTTTGGAAGCAAACAACGGAGCCTTTTCATGTTGGTGAATAACCAAGCTCTGCAGACAATTCACACCGTAAACGATTTATCATACCTTGTAGATAAATCAACCCGCTGCTTCACACAGTGGCTCTTTTGAGTCTTTCGCCCTAGTCGCATTCGGATTTCCTAGGTTTCACTTTCACAAGGCTTACCATTGTAAAATGGCTCAAAGTAAGCTAATGGCTACGCGCTAAATTATTACTGTCAAATTGGGGGTGTTAAGTAAATACTGCACTGACCCTTTAAAATTTATAAGATGCTCAAGCCTTCCTGGACCAAACATTACAAAGAAATTTACTCAGTCGTTTTAGGTTTGGTGTATTTAATTTGATATGTTGAGAACAAGTGGCTTATAAAGGCTTGAAACAAAAGCTGAAGATTTATCTCAAATCTTGACTGTAAATTCTGACTACAAAAGCTGGAATCTTATGTTTTAATCTTTCAAATGGACATTCGACATTGTATGGGGCTTCAAAAAAAAAGGAATAAAAACTAGAATCAAAGAAAACTCGAGCATCTGTTATAATACCTTATATTATGCTCTAATTAATAAACCAGGTTGCTTATTTTACCACCTTTTTTTTAATTTGACTCGAACAACACCCCACCGTCGCCTTCAAAATGACGCTTCGTATCGTATAACGACCAATTGAACCCAAATAAGATTAACGGAAGCTCCTTAGCCGAACAACTGTCGTATCTCGCCCACCTCAAGACATATGGTGCCACGTTTTTCCCAGTGAGCCATCAGGACTACAATTGCGTTCCATATAACTAAAAGTCACTGTTAACGTATGTGTCGCCTCATCCATATCACAGTTTATAGAATTTATAGTAGGCGTAATGTAGTCATACCCTCTGTGTTTGGATCAACTTTCTCGAGCGCAGTGATTGACTCACACCAACGTTAAAACATCCGTCGCATGATGCTGTGAACAACTCGTTTAACCTAGTCATCCAGCCTTCCTACAGTTTTTTTTCCATCGCTGCTTATCTAACCAGGGCCCACTTAAGCGCATAAGACTGAGGTAAGATGATGAACATCTCGATGCCCATTGTAGAGCTCTTCCAAACAGCCATTAGGCATTCAGAGGAGCTAAGAACGTATGGTCGAGCATATTCTATCTCAAGGCTATGGCTATGGTTTCGCCGTGGGTGTAGGTGCTGGTTTTGCCATTCTGATGGTTATCATTTCCACCTTGCTCTCGAAATACATGGGCCAAGTTCAAACTTCTGAGAGGTTCTCCACCGCATCTAGAAACGTTAGCTCAGGCTTGATCGCATCATCTACGGTTTCTGCTTGGACCTGGCCTGCCACTTTGCTACTTTCAGGTACTTGGTCTTATATTTATGGTATCAGCGGAGCATGGCTTTACGCGGTGGGCGGGACAATTCAGATCACGCTGTTCGCCTTTCTGGCACTTCAAATAAAACGCCGTGCCCCAACTGCCCATACTGTCTCCGAAACAGTGTACATAAGATTTGGGAAAGCTGGCCACCTCGTGTATTTGTGCTACTGCGCTGCCACCAATGTCATGGTTTCATCGCTTCTTCTTCTTGGCGGATCACAAGCATTTGCAGCTACTACCGGAATGCATACCGTGGCTGCTAGTTTTCTTCTCCCGCTTACGGTTGTCATCTACACGGCTCTTGGAGGTCTCAAAGCGACTTTTATTTCGGATTGGGTCCACACAGTCATAATATATGTCATTCTCATAGTAACGGCGTACACAGTGTATTGCAGCTCTCCGTTGATCGGATCTCCAGGCAGGATGTGGGACCTTTTAAAAGAAGCACAGGAAATATTTCCTAATACTTCTGGGACCAGTTATCTCTCGTTCAAAGACAAGAATATGGTTCTCCTTACTTGGTCGGTTATGTTAGGAGGACTCTCGTCAGTTTTCGGTGATCCTGGTTACTCTCAAAGAGCGATAGCTTCAGATTCCAAGAGCGTCTTCATGGGATATATGATGGGTGCGCTGTGTTGGATGATTATACCCTTCGCTCTAGGTTCGTCCGCCGGACTGGCCTGTCGTGCTCTTTTGACGAACCCTGCCTCCGTAACATTTCCCAATCCTTTGAGCGAAGATGAGGTGGGCGCCAGCTTGCCTTTCATTTATGGGCTGGCGGCAATTTTTGGCAAAAGTGGCGCGGCCGCGGGACTGGTTATGCTGGAGATGTCTGTCACATCAGCCACGTCAGCAGAACTGATCGCGTTTTCTTCCATTACCACTTACGACTTGTATCGCACCTATTTTAATCCGGGAGCCTCAGGCCAGAAGTTGGTTCGTGCGTCCCACATTAGTGTTGTGTGTTTTGGACTTTTTATGGCGGCTCTGGCCGTGGTATTCAACTACATCAACGTAACAGTTTCGTGGCTTTTGAGTTTCCTGGGTATTGTGCTGAACCCGGAAGTTTTTGCAGTGACGTTGGCACTTTTTTGGCCTAAAATGACCAAACTGTCACTCCTCATCGGCGTTCCGTTAGGAACAGTTTCCGGCGTGGTGTGCTGGATCGGAGCTACTTATCACTATGCAGGAGGCACCATCAATAGAGCTACGTTGATGACCACGGAGGCGACTTTTATTGGCAATATCGTGAGTTTATTCTCGAGCGCCATCTATATCGTAGCGATATCGCTGATAAAGCCCGAGGGAAGCTTCAACTTGGACAGTTTCAAATGGGAGGTTCGTGTAGCAGACGACATCGACACTGAGGAGCAAGAAGCCTTGGTGTTGTCGGAGAAAGATGAAAAGCTGCTAAATGCCCAGACGTGGCTAAGCTTGTTTATAAACTTGTTCTTGCTGCTGGGGGTTTACGTGGTGCTGACCTGCGCATTGTATGGCTGGGGCGGCGACCTGAGCAGAGGCTCGTTTACGGCTTTTATGATTGTGATGCTGATATGGCTAGTGCTGGCAGCTCTGTATATCATTTTGACACCGCTGTGGCAGGGCAGACGTGCGATCAAGACTGTGACGTTGCGCCTATGTGGGCGGAAGCCCGAGCTGAGCGACAGGCCAAGTGTGCAAAATTCGACGGACTCGAACCCCACGCTGTTCAAGACAAGCCCTGACCAGGAAAAGGTACGCGAGCTCAGCGACGAGAGCTGAAGCAGCGGGAGACCAGACCAGCGGTAGATAGATACATAGATAAAGTAATTTCCCAAGCGACGTTACCCGGACACAGCTCTACAAGAAACCCAGAGTTAAGCGACGGTTGGTTTTCGACGTTGAGATCTCGCGATTCCAAAAAGACGCCTCCTGCGAACTTCACCCCATCCAGAACCCGAAACCGCGTAGCCCGGCGACCATGTCTGGAGTCTAAATCAGGTTACCCCGTCGCCAGACCCAACGGCCCGCGAGTGGGGCGATCCCAGCGGACCCGCACCCTCCTCTCACGCTCTCTCACGCAACATTCGACCACCCACGCAGATGTCCAGCAAGACGCCAACCGTCCACAACCATGGTTTCTGCTAGCATTCCAACGGGACGCATACTGCAGAAGAAGTATTTCGTGAGAAACAGACCCAGAATAGAAAAAAATTACACGGCTGGAATCACGGCAGTGAGCGCACGACCTCGCTCTGTATCTCTGTTTCTCACCCAACACAATCACAGCCATATCCGCTCTCTGTTGCATGCGCTTGTCCTTTCCGGCCATCCTCCTGTTCTTTTGTCTGTGCTAGCGATGAGCTCATCTGCTCAGTCTCTGTCAACCATGTCTAGTACCTCTATTGTTCTCAATCTAACTTCCACACTGGCGTTGTCCGTTGCGACTGCGGCGTTGACGGAAAAATTTTAAGCTCTTTTTTGCTAAAGTGACAGGTGAAGTCATCTAGTCCGTATGCAGAAGTTGACGAGGTTGACGAGCCGCTTCGTTGGCAAACTGGAAAGAGCTCACACTTGGGCGTAGCTGACAGCGCCGGAGCGCGATAGCGTAATGTGTGAAGTTCACGATGTCACAGTGTCCTACCGGTCGCTCTACTCGAGTTTTTCCAGTGCGTCTCGAGCGCTGTTCCGTGCATGATGTAAAAATGTTCTGTCGACAGTCGGTAGTCCGTCACGGGTGATAGACGGTTCACATACTCCGTTTAGAAGCAGCGCCCGTCGCTGGAGCTGGAAATTTATAAGGAGGGAGGCTCTGGGGATGGAAAGGTATCTCTGGCCTGGAGTGTTTCGGGTAGGCAGTTCTACGGTACAGAAACAAGTCGCAAAAAACCCATTATGATGATGATGATGAATGCCAAAAACCATCATTTCGGAAACGGCCGTGCCAACTCGTACGCCACGCACAGGACTCCAGCTGGCGCCAACGCCAGCGCCAACGCCAACGCCAACACCAACGCCATCGACATCCCCAGCCGCAGCATCCCACGGTCGCACACAGACGAAACGCTTTCCAGCAGCGGCCTGCAAAGCACTCTGTCGCATGCCCAGGACGAGTCCACAATGGACTCGTCGGTTTCGTCGATGATGTTCTCGAAATACCTGCCCGAGGACGAGGAAGAAGAGTTCTCGCCTCGCCAGTCGGTCACTAGCGACGGCGCGGGCGATGAGTCTCTGACGCGGGTCTCCAGCGGCTCGTCCATTGAGTCCAACCTCCAGCATGGCACGCGCTACAAGCTCACGATGAAGCTGTCGGCGCGGGACATAACGCTGATCCGGGAATCGTGGTCGATTTTGCTGGACGACGAGTGTCCACCGGAAAAGCTCAAGAGCTTTGTCTCCAAGCTTCAGGCCGGCCGCAACATGGGACTGGCCGAGCCCACCAACAACAGACACAACAGGCGAGCCGGCCACCCCACCATGGGCATGAACCGCTCACAGGCTGGTGCGGGAGCCGGAGGCCCAGCGGCAGCGCCAAACCCAGCAAAGGACTCAGAACGTGTACGAAGCACCAGCGGGAAGAAGAGCTCGAACTCGTTGTTCGGTGACCAATTTTTGGAAAATATCATGGCCTTGGCGCCCGAGCTTCAAACTTTGTTTCCCATGATCAAACACATTGCCGTGGGTGTTACCGGCGTGCTGACGATCGCCGTGAACAACCTCGAGGATCTTTCGGTGCTGGACACGTACATGGCAGGGCTCGGTAAACGTCACGCTCGCATTCTAGGGGTGCAGGCGGGACAATTCGAATTTGCCGGCGCGGCGTTCATGCAAACTGTGCGCGAGCGTTTTGGTGTCAGCTGCACCCTTGAGCTGGAGGAAACCTGGCGCCGGATGTATTCGTTTTTGGCCAACAGTTTGCTGCAGTTTGGTATCGATCCAACGCTGGAAACCCCCGAGTCATCATCGCGTTCAAGTTCTCGCGCTGAACAGGTCATTTACATGGAGCCCCCCGAGCTTCTGAGCAGAAGCGGCACTCTTGGTGCTCAGAAAGCCAATCCACCAACCGTTCCACCCAAGCCAGTGCAAAAGTCCCTTCTGGATCCAGTGGCTATGTCGAGGGACCACAGACTATCCACGGCAAGTGGTATACAGGGCGCGAATAAGCTACCACCAAGAAGAACGGCTCAATCTGGGTTCAATTCTCGCAAGAATGGCGAAAAGGACTGTGTCATTATGTAAAGAAGAAGCATATAGGTGGTTGGGTAATTTATAGAATTTGGGAGGAGGCCAAGGAAAACGCATTGCATGTTATAGAGTTTTGGAAATGTATTATGTGCTTCAAGAATTGCATTTTATAGAGTTTTGGAAACGTATTATGATGCTTTAAGCATTGCATGTTATAGAGTTTTGGAAATGTATTATGTGCTTCAAGCATTGCATGTTATAAAGGTTTGGAATTGCATTATGTGCTTCAAGCATTGCATTTTATAGAGTTTTGGAAATGTATTATGATGCGTTAAGCATTGCATGTTATAGAGTTTTGGGATTTTATTATGATGCTTCAAGCATTGCATGTTACAGAGTTTTGGAATTGTATTATGATGCTTCAAGCATTGCATGTTACAAAGGTTTGAAAATGTATTATGATGCTTTGAGCAATGCTTGTCATAGAGTTTTGGAATTGTACTATGATGCTTCAAGCATTGCATGTTATAAAGGTTTGAAAATGTATTTTGATGCTTTGAGCAATGCTTGTCATAGAGTTTTGGAATTTATCATGATGCTCTAAGTCTAGCACGATAAGCGTCCAGCGCGTATCGATTGTCAAGACGAAACGTCTTTTTTCAATGCCACATCGAGCGTCTAATGGGTCATGTTGTATGACGGAGACGCTGCTGATTGGCACAATAATTGGAAGTGTATGCGTTAGTCGCTCGGAGGCGCTGCTGACAATTGGAAGTATATGCGTTTAGAAGCTGAGACGCTACGAATTATTTACTCCTCTGGATTTGTATGCTTCGAGGTGATGCTACGAGGCCTGTAGCATAACTTGTGAATCATTTTACGACACAGGCTTTTAATGTAAATATATGGGGAAGCTAGAAAGAAGACACGAGAGGCCTTTCCAGTTTTTTAAGAGTTGAAGGCACAGCACTGCAGGTGCTGACTTGGATTTGAGTGGTCTTGCGGAGGGAGCTTGGGTATGCAGCTCACGGCGCTTAGTGTTTGAAACATTATTCGCTACCATTAGCGCCCCTGCGAAAATTATGACAATTCGCTGTATGAATATTAGCTATTGTGACAAGATAAAGTGCCAGCTCAGTGCCCAAAGACCGCGTTACGAGCTATGTTGGATGTTATCAATACCCAGACTAAAAATCCGAGTGGGATTCTAACGTCTGCGTTGGTATCATTCCGCCTTGAATGGGCAGATGTAGAGGTGAGTGGGCAGATGTAGAGGTGAGTGGGCAATTTAAGAGGTGAGTGGGCAGATGTAGAGGTCAGTGGGCAATTTAAGAGGTGAATGGACAGATGTAGAGGTGAGTGGGCAGTTTAAGAGGTTAATGGACGGATGTAGAGGTGAGTGGGCAATTTAAGAGGTGAATGGCCAGATGTAGAGGTGAGTGGGCAATTTAGAGGGAATGGCCAGATGTAGAGGTCAGTGGGCAATTTGAGAGGTGAATGGCCAGATGCAAAGGTGAATGACCAGATGCAAAGACGCATGGCCACTTTTAAAGACGAATGGGCGATGATGGTCACAGAGCTACAAATGTAAAGGACACGAAAACAATTCACAAAACATCGTTAGGCTACCTTAAACACCAAAAAAATCCTAAAAATAAAGGGGCGAGCCGGGAATTGAACCCAGGGCCTTTCGCATCGGCGATTGAAACAGCCTTCTGGCTTCTTTCGAGACCACTAACACTCTCGCTTTCCATGTCACTTTGTACCTGAGCGTCACGGCATGCAAAATATCATTTGCAAGGCCCAGCAACCATGATTGTCAGTTTTTGCCGAAAACACGCAGTGCGAAAACGACTCAAGCTACGCCGCAGCACGCTAAACATGACCTACCCGTCTTATCAAGCATCTGGAATATCGCCACCAAGGCCCAGCGGCCATGCCCGTCGTGCTGGTATGCGCACCAAACGCTAGCCTAGGTAACCAACCCGACCGCGGCTTCTCACGAGCGCTCCGGGCGAAATAAGGTCACTTTGGACGAGGCGCACCCGCCCGACTCTCCTCAAAACTCCCCAAACTCGCCAAAACGCTTCGGGCGCATCCGACCAACCGCTCACTCTTCACACAGCCCGGGATTCTGGATCCATTTGGCATGGCCCTGTTTTTCTTTCGCTGCAGTGCGAAAAACTAGCCCGCTACGCCACCCGTGAGGCCACAGCGAAATCTCAGCCCAGTACACAAAGACGATCTTGTCGTCTTCCACGAACATCTCCCAAAGCCAGCTGCCGCTGTTTCTGCGCCCAACACACGAGCTCCCAGGCTCCCAGCTTACGATACGAGCTCGCGCCCAAACGTTTCGGATTTTCCTCGTGCCTGGCTCCCTCTGCCGCTGTGCCGTTGTGCCTCGCCGCTGCGGACACCGCAGCGCTGTCCGCTTCTGGAAGTTTTTGGGTTTTTTCCCTAGCGCAGCACTTTTTTCACGCTCGTATGAACCGTTGGGGGAACGTCCTGCTGGTAAAGTGCTCCTACTCACAGCTTTCGCCTCTCGTTACTCCTCACGGCCGTTTGCGGCGGAAGCAGATCGCAGCGCATCACCACGGATACGGATCCCGAGAGGCGGCCCAAAGTCCGCAAATTTCGAGGCTAGCGCTCGCAGCATGAAATTTTTTCTTCTGGACGTATGCACAGAGGTGTTCAGAGGTGCTCATAGGTGTTCACGCAGGACAGCACCCGAGGACGAGACGAGGACGACGACTTGTGCACGTCCTGCTGGTGGTTTTTGTCAGCGCCCCATTCCTGGGCTCCAGGTTGTGCTCCAGGCTGTGCTCCAGGCTGTGCTCCCACTCCTAACCCAGCGCTTACACACCCAACGACAAACAGCTCCCGACATCTATCTCTTTGTGTTCCGCCCGTTACCCGGAAAACACAACGCCGCATACGGGCTCCGTAGCTACTGCGACGTTGCTGCAGGGACGGCGGCTTGAATGACGCACTATGCGTCTGCGCATACAGCTAAGCGTGCATGCAGCAACATGCGTCACTCACTTCCATGATCATCAATTGGAAGATCGGCGGCGGAGAGAAACGGAGTGAGAAAGCGCGAGCCAGTTTCCGGACAAGCGCTCGCGAGAGCTAGTAGCGGGTGGTGCGGTATCCCGGCGACATTGCCAGCACGCTGCAGAGGAAGAAAGAAGGAGAACGGAAACGGAAAACCGAAACAGGAACAGGAACAGGAACAGGAAGCAGTCAGTTCTTTGTTCTCTCCTTCCATGGCCAAGCGGAAGGCGATTTATTCCGTCGTCTCTCGTGTCGTCGTCTCTGGTATATAACGCCGAGCTTCGCCAGAGCGATATTGGCTGGCATACCCCGAGGACACTTCGGCTTTCAATCTGCAACCGCTTCTCGTATCGCTCCATCGCTCCAGCTTAGCGAAGTTTCTTTTTTTCCTCGAGCCTGTTCGTCATTTGGCTTGGCGCACGCGCACGCAGATCGTTTTTCACAAATATACGCAGGGATCTTCCGCCTCGAACTGAAAGCACCCGGTACCATTTGCCAACCGAGCCCGATTCAAAGTTTTCGTTTCCAGCAAAACAAGGCTCTCTCTCTCTCTCTCTCTCTCTGTTTCCCACCAGAAACTTGACCCAGCTAGCTCACTTCCCCCATCACATCGCCCGTGCGTCGTCCGCAGTTATCATCACGACAGCCAGGAATCCGCCAATAGCCTTTCTTGCTGCCCCACAAACTACCCCTCGTCGCCAGGCTAGCATCCCTCGACTTCGACAAATCCAACTTTGCAGCTGTCTCGCTCAATGATGTGGCTTGTCGTTCACTGTCTAGCCCTGTGGAGGCTCGTGGCCTTGGCACATGCCAAGTCCGTTTCGGGTGTCTTCACGTCGCTCGACATCGCGCAACCAGACTCTGCGTACCCGGAAAACCTATGGAGTGCTACTCTTAACTACCAGGTCACCGCTGCCATGGCCGTCTCGCAAGGCGACACTTTCAGCATAAACATGCCTTACGTGCTCAAAGTATATGGCGCTGTCACCATTGGCAGCGATAGCTACATCCCCATCGCCGATCAATCCGGTAGCACCATTGCCAACTGTCTTATCACGAATGGGTTTCTCCAAAGTTCGGCCTGTTCTTTGACCTGTACCTTCAGTAGAAATGGCATCAGTACCGTCTCCGGAACCATTTCTTTCAATTTCATATTTTCCGATGGTGCTTCTTCAGATCCCGCCCCTCTTGCCGCCGCAAACAACTGGAAGTTGGGCATCAACACCGTGTCGTGGGGCTCTCTCACTGACACAGTCTCGTTTGTCACCGGTGCCAATGCACCAACTCCAGTTACCGCTTCCACGTTCGCGGGTTACGATGACCAACTACCTTCTTCCGGTTCTCTCCAATTCGCCTACTACGTGGGACGCGCCTGCGCCTCCAAAACGATGAATGAGGTCATGTCCCTAGTCTGTACTGGCTCGCCCAGCGGTGTTGGCCTAATCGACAATTGTAATGACCTTAAAATCTCAATGGCTAACAGCTTCAATGCTTGGAATATGCCTTTGAGTGCTACGAACTTGCCCACCGGTTATAAAGTTACCTGTAATAGCAAAAGTATCGTTTTAACTGCTTCTGGTATTCCGGCTGGTTATCACGTCTTTGTTAATGTCAATCAAGTTATTGACAGAAGTTATACCGGAACAAATTCCCTCTACTTTCAAAACACTTACATCGAAACTGTAACTTGTGGTACTTCATCGACAGCTGGTGGCTATGCCAAGCGTATCAACTTCGTGAAAGGGACGGCTAGCGGTGGTGGTTCCGGAAACTACATTACTCCCACTACTACAACATCCGGCTGGTCCGGGTCTGTTACTTCTTCTACTACCTCCACCATCGCTTATACTGGTAGTGATGGTGGGCTAACTCCACAACCAATAGTGATTATTGAGGTTCCCACAAAAGGTTTCACTTCTACTTCTTATACCGCTTGGACGGGCACTCAAGCGTCCACGTATCAAACCTCTCTCAAATCCAGCACGGGAACAGATGGTACCATTACCGTGCAAACCATCTATTATATTGAAACTCCTCAGAGTTATTCCACCATCACAACCTTGGTCCCACAAAGTGTCTCGGCCACTACGACGTTTTCAACCCAAGTTTTCACGACTACTGGTTCAGACTTGAATCCAACCGTAGAAACCATATATTATGTTGGTACTCCCATTATTGGTGTTACATCTGCCACAACTACAGCATGGACTGGTACTTTCATCTCAACTTATTCCACTTCTGCAACTACGTTCAGCGGCTCTGATGGTAAGTTGACTGCTCAAACTGTGTACTTTGTTGAAACTCCCGTTGTAAATGTTGTTACCACTACCACGAAACCATGGAATGGTGCCGTGACGTCAACTTATTCCACCATCGTCGCCACATCTACTGGGTCTGACGGCAAGCAAACTGTGCAAACAGTTTACTACGTCGAGACTCCAATAGTCAATGTTGTGAGCACGACAAACAAGCCCTGGGATGGCTCTGCGACGTCGACTTACTCGACCAGCCTAACTACCTTTAGTGGATCCGATGGTAAGCAAACAGTTCAAACCGTTTACTATGTCGAGACCCCAATAGTTAATGTTGTGAGCACGACAAACAAGCCCTGGGATGGCTCTGCGACGTCGACTTACTCAACCAGCCTAACTACCTTCAGTGGATCTGATGGTAAGCAAACTGTGCAAACCGTTTACTATGTGGAGACCCCGATTGTCAATGTTGTGAGCACGACAAACAAGCCATGGGGTGGTTCTGTGACTTCAACCTATTCCACAAACGTTGCCACATTTACGGGATCTGACGGCAAGCAAACTGTGCAAACCATTTACTACGTCGAGACCCCAATAGTTAACGTTGTGAGCACGACAAACAAGCCCTGGGATGGCTCTGCGACGTCGACTTACTCAACCAGCCTAACTACCTTCAGTGGATCTGATGGTAAGCAAACTGTTCAAACCGTTTACTACGTCGAGACCCCAATAGTTAATGTTGTGAGCACGACAAACAAGCCGTGGGGTGGTTCTGTGACTTCAACCTATTCCACAAACGTTGCCACATTTACGGGATCTGACGGCAAGCAAACTGTGCAAACCGTCTACTACGTGGAGACTCCAATAGTTAATGTTGTGAGCACGACAAACAAGCCCTGGGATGGTTCTGCGACTTCAACTTACTCAACCAGCCTAACTACCTTCAGTGGATCTGATGGTAAGCAAACTGTGCAAACCATTTACTACGTCGAGACCCCAATAGTTAACGTTGTGAGCACGACAAACAAGCCATGGGATGGTTCTGCGACTTCAACTTACTCAACCAGCCTAACTACCTTCAGTGGATCTGATGGTAAGCAAACTGTGCAAACCATTTACTACGTCGAGACCCCAATAGTTAATGTTGTGAGCACGACAAACAAGCCGTGGGATGGTTCTGTGACTTCAACCTATTCCACAAACGTTGCCACATTTACTGGATCTGACGGCAAGCAAACTGTGCAAACCGTCTACTACGTGGAGACTCCAATAGTTAATGTTGTGAGCACGACAAACAAGCCCTGGGATGGCTCTGCGACGTCGACTTACTCAACCAGCCTAACTACCTTTAGTGGATCCGATGGTAAGCAAACTGTGCAAACCGTTTACTATGTGGAGACCCCGATAGTCAATGTTGCTAACACGACAAATAAGCCCTGGAGTGGCGCCGAGACCTCAACTTATTTCACAGACGTCTCCACATTTACTGGATCTGACGGCAAGCAAACGGTGCAAACCATTTACTACGTCGAAACTCCGATAATCAATATTGTCAACATGACAACTAAGCCATGGAGTGGGTCTGCAACCTCGACTTACTCAACTAGCTTGACTACTTTTAATGGGTCTGATGGCAAGCAAACTGTGCGCACTGTCTACTACGTCGAAACTCCAACTGTCGAGATCCAATCGACTACTTACACTCCATGGAGCGGCAGTGAGACGGTTACATATTCCAGTGACATGTTCACGTTTACGGGGTCGGACGGTATCCCAACCACAGAGACCATTTATTATGTTGAGACTCCTACTGTTGGTATTAAGTCGACTACGTACACACCTTGGACTGGTACAGAAATAGGGACTTATTCTACGCAAGTCACCACATTCACTGGTTCGGATGATATTCCAACCACCGAGACTATCTACTACGTCGAGACTCCAACCTATGTGAGTCTGTCCACAACTTACACTGCATGGAGCGGCAGCAAGACCGTTACATATTCCACTGATATGACGACATTCACCGGCTCCGATGGTAAAGTAACAACGGAGACCATCTATTTCGTCGAGACCCCAACTGCTCATGTCAACTCCACTACCACTACGGGATGGACCGGAATGTTCACTAGCACCTACTCCACAGAGTTGACTACGTTCACCGGATCTGACGGTATTCCAACCACCGAGACTGTCTACTACGTGGAAACCCCAGTTGTGGGCGTGAACTCCACTACCACTACGGGATGGACTGGCTCTATCACTAGCACCTACTCCACAGAGTTGACCACTTTCACCGGATCTGATGGTATTCCAACCACCGAGACTATCTACTACGTCGAAACCCCAGTTGTGGGAGTGAACTCCACTACCACCACCGGATGGACCGGATCGTTCACTAGCACTTTCTCTACTGATGTCACAACTTTCACCGGATCTGACGGTATTCCAACTACCGAGACTGTCTACTACGTCGAAACCCCAGTTGTGGGAGTGAACTCCACTACCACCACCGGATGGACTGGATCTTTCACAAGTACTTTCTCCACCGATATCACAACTTTCACCGGATCTGACGGTATTCCAACCACCGAGACTATCTACTACGTGGAAACCCCAGTTGTGGGCGTGAACTCCACTACTACCACCGGATGGACCGGAACGTTCACTAGCACTTTCTCTACCGATGTCACAACTTTCACCGGATCTGACGGTATTCCAACCACCGAGACTATCTACTACGTCGAAACCCCAGTTGTGGGAGTGAACTTCACTACCACCACCGGATGGACTGGCTCGGTCACTAGTACTTTCTCCACCGATATCACCACATTCACTGGATCTGACGGTATTCCAACTACCGAGACTGTCTACTACGTCGAAACCCCAGTTGTGGGCGTAAACTCCACTACTACTACGGGATGGACCGGAACGTTCACTAGCACCTACTCCACTGAGTTGACCACCTTCACTGGATCTGACGGTATTCCAACGACCGAGACTATCTACTTCGTCGAAACTCCAACTGCTGACGTCAACTCTACTTTGACTACTGGATGGACTGGATCTTTCACAAGTACTTTCTCCACCGATATCACAACTTTCACCGGATCTGACGGTATTCCAACCACCGAGACTATCTACTACGTGGAAACCCCAGTTGTGGAAGTGAACTCCACTACCACCACCGGATGGACTGGCTCTATCACTAGCACTTTCTCCACCGATATCACCACATTCACTGGATCTGATGGTATTCCAACTACCGAGACTGTCTACTACGTCGAAACCCCAGTTGTGGGGTGAACTCCACTACCACCACCGGATGGAGTGGATCGATCACTAGCACTTTCTCTACTGATATCACCACATTTACTGGATCTGATGGTATTCCAACCACCGAGACCGTTTACTATGTTGAGACTCCAACTGGTGGTGCTAACTCCACCGTCTACACTCCATGGACTGGCAGCTTTACTTCTACCCTCTCGGCTGATGTTTCGACTTTCACTGGATCTGACGGTATTCCAACCACGGAGACCGTTTACTATGTTGAGACCCCAACTGGTGGTGCCAACTCTACCGTCTACACCCCATGGACTGGCAGCTTTGCTTCTACCTACTCCACCGACCTGTCCACATTCACTGGATCTGATGGTATTCCAACTACCGAAACCGTCTACTACGTGGAAACCCCAGTAGTGGGCGTGAACTCCACTACCACCACCGGATGGAGTGGATCGTTTACTAGCACTTTCTCTACTGATATCACCACATTTACTGGATCTGATGGTATTCCAACCACCGAGACCGTTTACTATGTTGAGACTCCAACTGGTGGTGCTAACTCCACCGTCTACACCCCATGGACTGGCAGCTTTACTTCTACCTACTCCACCGACCTGTCCACATTCACTGGATCTGATGGTAATCCAACTACCGAAACCGTCTACTACGTTGAGACTCCAACTGCTAATGTCAACTCCACCGTCTACACCCCATGGACTGGCAGCTTTACTTCTACCTACTCCACCGACCTGTCCACATTCACTGGATCTGGCGGTATTCCAACAACCGAGACTATCTACTTCGTCGAAACTCCAACTGCTGATGTCAACTCTACTTTAACTACTGGATGGACTGGGTCTTTCACAAGTACTTTCTCCACCGATATCACAACTTTCACCGGATCTGATGGTATTCCAACTACCGAAACCATCTACTACGTGGAAACCCCAGTAGTGGGCGTGAACTCTACTACCACCACCGGATGGAGTGGATCGTTTACTAGCACTTTCTCTACTGATATCACCACATTTACTGGATCTGATGGTATTCAAATCACCGAGACCGTTTACTATGTTGAGACCCCAACTGGTGGTGCCAACTCTACCGTCTACACCCCATGGTCTGGCAGCTTTACTTCTACCTACTTCACCGATGTCACTACATTCACTGGATCGGACGGCACAACCACGGAGACCGTTTACTATGTTGGGACCCCTACTGGTGGTGTCAGCTCCACCGTTTACACTCCATGGACCGGAGCTTTCGCATCAACCTACTCTACTGACATAGCCACTTTCACCGGCTCTGATGGTGTTCCAACCACGGAAGCGATCTACTACGTGGAGACCCCAACTGGTGGCTCCGACTCGACCGTGTACGCTCCTTGGACCGGGACTTTAACATCGACCTACTCCACGAGTGTCAACATATTCACTCTAGCTAACGGTAAGGTAACCCCAAAAACTGTCTACTACGTGGGCACCCCATCTAGTGCTTCAACTGTCTACACACCATGGACCGGTTCATACACCTCTACTATCTCGACGGATGTCACGACTTTCACTGGATCAGATGGTGTTTCAATCACGGAAACCATTTACTACGTTGGGACCCCAACTGGTGGCTCCAACTCAACTCTGTACACCTCATGGACTGGCAGCTTTACTTCTACCTACTCCACCGATGCCGTGACATTAACTGGATCGGATGGCATTCCAACCACGGAAACCGTTTACTATGTCGAGACTCCAACCGGCAACGTTCAGTCTACTGTTTACACTCCATGGACCGGTGCTTTGACTTCTACCCTCTCGGCTGATGTTTCGACTTTCACTGGATCTGACGGTATTCCAACCACCGAGACCATTTACTACGTTGGGACCCCAACTGGTGGTGCCAACTCTACCATCTACACCCCATGGACTGGCAGCTTTGCTTCTACCTACTCCACCGATGTCGTGACATTAACTGGATCGGATGGCGTTCCAACCACGGAAACCGTTTACTATGTTGGGACCCCTACTGGTGGTGTCAGCTCCACCGTTTACACTCCATGGACCGGAACTTTCGCATCAACCTACTCTACTGACATAGCCACTTTCACCGGCTCTGATGGTGTTCCAACCACGGAAACGATCTACTACGTGGAGACCCCAACTGGTGGCTCCGACTCGACCGTGTACGCTCCTTGGACCGGGACTTTAACATCGACCTATTCCACGAGTGTTAACATATTCACTCTAGCTAACGGTAAGGTAACCTCAAAAACTGTCTACTACGTGGGCACCCCGTCTCTTGCTTCGACTGTCTACACTCCATGCACAGGTACCTTGACCTCGACTTTCTCGACTGATATTACGACGTTTACCGGATCTGATGGTATTCCAACCACCGAGACCATATACTATGTCGAGACTCCAACCGGTAACGTTCAGTCTACTGTTTACACTTCATGGACCGGTACTTTGACTTCTACTTTCTCCACCGACGTTACAACTTTCACCGGCTCTGATGGTATCCCAACGGCGGAGACTCTTTACTACGTCGAAACCCCAGATTTAAGGACCCTAACTGTTTCTTCCACAAATTATGTTCCATGGTCTGGAGCATTTACCAGTACTTTTTCAACTGCTGTTTCCACTGTGACCGGAGCTGATGGTGTGCAAACAATTGAAAATGTGGTCTTTGTAGAGACCCCTAAAGGCCCATTTTTTGGAAACTCTAGTTCGACTTCTGGAATCAATGACGGTGATTCAACCATTGTATCAACGGATTTGTCTCGTTCAATTATTAATAGGCATTCGTTGACTTCCTTAGCATTTTCAAGCTCTGTGCAAACATCGAAATCGAGCGTATCGTCCACTGACTCCTCTTCTACCATTGAAAGCATTTCTCATTTAGTGCATTCATCTAGTTCTAGGATGTTTTCCAGTTCTAAGGCAGGATTGGAGTCTCTAACGTCATCGGGTACTGGGATGTCTTCTAGTTCTTTGACCATTTCACAAAGTAACACGGAGTCGGCAAAGTCATCTGCTTACTCTACCTCTGTCTTAACACGACCAGATCCAGCCCTAAGTGATTCCTCTTATACGACGGGTGCTAGTTTATCAAGCCCATTGGTCAGTTCTGTTAGCCGCAGCCAAACTGACCTGCATCAATCGTTAGCGCCATCATTTGCCACCGAGTCTACGACTGCCTCGCGCAGCGTCTCAAACTCTCACGACCTTTCAAGTCACACAATTGAGCCGAAACCATTGACTTCATCTGAAATCAGTCATTACACTACGACAGCAGTATATTCCTCGACGAACGGTATTTTATCTGCTGAAGCTGTGATAAGTTCGAGCTTCAGTTTATCAGCAGAAATTGCGAAAACATCAACTGGGGCCTCAACTATTCAAACAATTGGCTCGGCAAACCAACCAACCTCTCGTTCGTTGAGCAGCTTGACAGTTTCTGGACTAGAAAATCAAAAATTCCACAGCTCTCACTCATTCGTACCAGAAAGCACATCATCAACATCGGATAGCCCTACGGCTACAGAATCAGATAAAACTACAATTGCTAGTGGTGACTTTTCCGCATTCAACAGTGGAACAGATAAGTCAGGCACCAGAACAAGTCCTCCTGGTGAAAATACACACTCTACATCAACCTTAAGTTCTTCTAAAAGGACAACCAGTCTCTTGGGCCAAGGTATCAGTCCTCAGTCAAATTCTTTATTGGAAACTTCAAATCAAGGGCCAACAAATGGGGCACTTAAATCAGTGGCTACCAGTTCGACCCTCTCCTACCTATTTAGGGCGGAAGATAATTCTTCAAGCACTACTCCCCATCCCATGATGGTAACAAAAACATCAGTGACGTCGCCAACGTCTTCCATATCTCCCTTGCCCTCTTCGGCTTCTGTTTCGACCTTCGAAGGTCGCGCTAACAGGCTGGGGCTTGGGGCGCTTTTGGCGCTTCCATTGGTTTTGATATGATTGTAAAAATCAAAAAATGTATTATACTATTAAGTGGCCTAGATTATTACCAAACTGTGTGTAAATTTAAAATGGCTCTATAATTTATCGGTCTTCGTTGATGAGTACTCACTGATCTCATGTCCCACTCAAACCTTAACTAAAGACTTTAAAACCTATTGCCAGAAAGCCTGATGCAAATAAGAAACCAAAACTAGCAATAAATATGCGACGAGTACTAAAACATTAAGGCTTGAAGGTCTTGCAGAAACTTTGCTTAATACGTGGCTTGATTTAAAATCACTATTCCTATTATAATAAGAGCAAGGTTTGGACGGAAAGCTTTATTGGATGCATATACCATAACAAATTCCGTAGGTATTCTAGCTTCTCATCCTACACGTTCTATTCTCACGGAGTAGTGAGACTTCAACTGATCACTTCGTACTGTCGTGTCATCGTTAATACCGTAACTAAATATTCTTTTGACATGCATTGTGAAGTTAGCGGCTCTATTACTAAAACAGCCGTTATATGTGAAATCCCTGAGCCATCTCAATTTTACGACATTGATACATGGTATTTGAGTGAGTGGTTTGGTTAGGCAAATTTTGTTTATATTGCAGCTACTACATGCTCATGCTCGGCATATGCGTTGGTAGATCTAAGGAATCTTTTCTGTATCCCTCGTAAAATTAAAATCAAAGCTCACAAAAACGAGCAACGCAATGAATTAACATCACTTGATCCATGATTGCTTTACTTGACAGCTGCGGCGATGGTGCATATGCTGCATGAGGCCATGGATAAAAAAACCGAATTAATGATCTGCTTTAGTTGCGGGCACCTTAAAAACTTACCGATCATCTAAAGTAGGTATTTGTCCTCCAGATTTATTACCATGACCACAAAATCATGCCTCACAAAAAATGTGGCTAAGCCGTTGAAGTCTGCAAATTTTAAACATACAAAAAATTGTGCAATCGTAGCAACTTTGAGTAGCTCTAAAAGAGATCTACAAATGATGGAATTTCGGAACCGTCTACTCTGGCGGTTTCAATGCCGCTTGCAAGAACAAGTCTTGAACGCTATTTCCACGTAGATTCAACCTCTCGTCTACAAGCACAAGTAGCTAATGCGTCCAAAAAGATTAAGTTTGTGTTAGCCAACTTAAAAATGGACGGTACACTTCCAAAAATGAACGCCTCTTACAATGAACGTGCACTCGATTAACAACATGAGACTGCACTGTTTTTTCTGACAGCATATAGAAGGACTGCCTAAGATACGAGGGTTACATTGTACGTTAGCGGTTGGTATATACGGATTGGACATGCTACAAGAGATAATTTGACATGTGTATATAAAGTCGGCAATATGCTTTTTACGCCATGCGTTCTATGCGCGTTACGAATAAGCACCCGGAAAAGCTGGAACCTCAGATGCTATCACAGGAAACTTGCGATACTGTAAAGGCCACTGTAGGAGTCTTAGAGCAGCATGGCACCACCATCACTTCAGTGTTTTATCATAATATGCTTTCAGAGCATGAAGAACTGAAAAATGTTTTTAATGACACCAACCAAACGAGAGGCGTACAATCAACAGCACTAGCAGCTACCGTACTAGCAGCTGCAAAAAGCATCGAAAATTTGGAGACACTGCTAACCCAGGTCGTGCAGATTGGTCACAAACATCGTGCTCTGCAAGTAAAGCCCGAACACTATCCCATTGTGGGAAAGTACCTTCTTGGTGCTATTAAGGAAGTTTTAGGCGATGCTGCGTCTCCAGAGATCATGAATGCGTGGGCAGAAGCTTATGATGCAATCGCCAAAATACTTATCAGTGTGGAAGCGGGTTTATACAAGGAAGCAAAGTGGGATGGATGGAAGGCTTTTGTAGTGACTGATAGAGAAATCGAAGGGGAAAATAATGTTGTGTTTACAGTCAAGCCAGCGAAAGAATCTGGCCTAGATCTAGGCCATATCTCCTATGTGCCAGGTCAGTATACGACAGTCAAGGTCCACCCCACCAGCAACGACGCTCTGCGCCATTATTCTATTTGTTCATCCACTGCTTCTAAGGGTCTCAAGTTTGCTGTCAAAAGAGACATCAATGGCCGAAACAAGGGCCTCGTATCGACGTATTTGTTTGATAGGATTAGAGTAGGAAATCAGATAATGCTCTCCGCCCCTGCCGGAGACTTTGCGCTTGACAAGAAGCTCATTGAGCAGAATGATTTTCCATTGGTGTTTTTAAGCTCAGGTATTGGGGCAACTCCGCTTGTTGCCATGATGGAACAGCAAGTTGAAACAAACTCCGCGAGGCCACTTGTGTGGATCCAGTCATCCTTCAACGAAAAAAATCAGCCATTTGGGTCATATGTCAACGCGTTGCTGCGACAATGCAGTAAAGCTACATCTCATGCTATTCACACTGAAACAATGCCGCGCATTTCCTCGGAAACGTTGTCAGAAAATATTCCCTCGGACGCTGACATTTATTTATGTGGCTCGGAGAAGTTCGTATCTGATATGTTAGAGCTTTTGTCAAAGCTAGGATTTAGTAAAGACACGATCCATTACGAGCCTTTTGGACCGAAAATGGCGATACCTTTGTAAACTGGCATGTTATCAGTATGCGCGATTTAACACATAATTTGAAGAACGTTTGACTTATTCATCGGAAAATGGCTTGCATTGTATTCTTATTTATAATGAAATGTCCATATACTGGACAACTGAAGCCACAACTCCTTAAGTCAAAGTGTTTGAAGTTAAAATCCAAATTTGCCTCTTTCAATGCCGCGGCAACGACATCGGAAGAATTCAATTCAAATGCTAAGTTTTTTCTAAACTATACTTTGCTAAAACCTGCAGGTGCGCTAGTGATTTCCATATGAGCCTAAAGCCTTTGCGGTTTTGAAACAGTCAGTTTCAATACTCTCCTAAGGTGAGTAAAAGTATAGTCAGCGCACAACAATGACTGAGGATGCCAACATAGGAAGTAAGACTAAAGTAGCTGATCAGAGCACTAAGACGAAGGCATAGGTACCTGACAGCCAAGGCTCATCACAAATTCTTATCACTTTATCCAAGAAACGGGGCTGTTTCAATCAAAAATCTGGTCTAAACAGTGCACGTTGTCAGACCTCGTCAACTAATCTTATTTAGGCATGGCTGCGTCGCTAGTAATTAGCTTGCTGAACGGATCATTATGGTATGTCTTATCAACTAGCATTAAGGTCTGGTATTTTACTTATCTCTCCGTGATTCTATTAGCTATGAGATTAAGCCATCGAGTGGAGAACTGGTCGGTATTTATATAAAAACTGGGTGGGTGTAAAAGCTATTACTTAGTTTATGATGATCATACAATACACCGTATGATGCATTAGTAATACCAATGAGTCATCAATCAATTATCAGACCACTATAGGTATCGTCTGGTATTTGTATTCAATTAGAGGGGATGTATCAAATAATTCATCGACCGTTCATGATTGTTGATATCACTCTGTTCTATTTTGTCATATATTCAATCATGCAATTGACGCTATCTAGAAATAGCACAAGGATCCGTACATCGAAAATAATAATTGACATGGGACAAATATGAATCCCTACCCTTTCCTCGAAGATAAATTCAGTTGGTAGAGCCTCGTTTGATCTCTTCCACCTTAAACGACATAAATGTCGTATTTTAAGTTAGCATCGATCGGACTTTAGAAGACCCTGTCTTCAAGATAAGACAAGCAGCCATCTTTACTGGAGATAGCGTAACTGTATCAGCGCTCTTTACTAATTAGCAGCATAAATGTCACCAGCACATTTTTCTGATGATAACCAACAACCCGTGTTTGCAGTAAAGAACGCTGATGTGTGGAAGCGGCATTATTATATATTCAGAGGTGACAACAAACCCTACAGTCGATATAGTTTTGCTAACTGTTTTTTTAGATACGCCCATCTACTGAAAACGAGTATACAGAAGAAGCAATGGAAAAGGAAAATGTGATTACCAAAGATCACTACTCAGTTCACATCACAGCGGGCGAGGTCTTAGATGTTTCTGACACAAACTTTCAAACAACTCTTCAAAATTTATACATCGACTCAAAGGAGGAAAAAGAGCTGATCAAGAAGCTGGATAAGCGTTTCATTCCAATGCTCGCTTTTACATTTTTCTTATCATCTTTAGACAAGACCAATATTGGAAACGCCTATACCTCTGGCATGAAGGAAGACCTAAACCTCAGTGCTCATCAATATTCTAACGCAGTATCTGTATTTTACTCAACTTTTCTGGCTGCACAGCTTCCGGCCGTTTTATGCCTGAAGTTGATACCACCGCGCTACTACATGTCTACGTTGGTGTTTTGCTGGTCTGTGATAACTATATGTAGCGGATTCGTCAAATCATATCATTCTTTGCTGGCCACGAGAGTGCTCCTGGGAGCCTTTGAAGGCGGATTCTTCCCTGCAATGACCCTTCTGATTAGTATAATATACAAACCGCAAGAACAAGGAAGGAGGATTGCTCTCTTTTTTGGATCCGCTGCTATTTCTGGTGCATTCGGAGGGCTTATAGCCACGGGAATTACTGCAGTTCATGGGTCCCATAGTCTCAATGGCTGGCAATGGCTCTACATCATTGAGGGGTTGACCTCAGTTACAGCTGCTGCATGGCTTCTTTTTGGACTTCCAAAAGACATTGAGAGCTTTAACTTCCTCAACGAAAAAGAACAATCTTTAATGGTTACTCGCGCTGAGCAGCAAGCTAATTACATTGGAAAGGATGAAAAGTTTTCGTGGAAGTATGTGCTGGATGCATTAAAGGATTTTAAAGTGTATACGGGACTTTTGATACAGTTTTGTCAAAATGTTACACTCTATGGATTTACCACATTTCTCCCTGCCACTTTGAAACTTGGAATGGGTTATGATTCAAAGAAGGCACAGTATATGAGTGTTCCAGTTTATCTCTTAGCCGCAGCTGTTTTCCTTGCATCAGCCTTCATAAGCGATCGGTACAACCTAAGGGGACCTGTCATTTTTTGTTATAATCTGGTCACAATAATCGGATATATTTTAATGATAGCAGTGAAGAACGCCGGAGTCAAGTATTTTGCCTGCTATCTAATCACCTTTTCAGTCTACACTGGGCCAGGGCTGAATGTAACATGGACTTCAAACAATGTTGCACCTCACTATAAGCGTGCAACGGCTTTAGGACTCAATCAAATGTTTGGCAATTTGGCAGGTGCCGTGGTAGGACAGGTTTACAATAAATCACCCTATACAACTGGAAACACTTTTTCTCTTGGATGCCTAATATTGGCTAATTTACTCGCAACTGTGCAAGTGTTTGTTTTCCACAAAAGGAACGGAGAAAGAGAGGGATTAGAGAAGGCGGGTGAACTAAAAGAAAAGCGGGCAGGTGACCAATCAACCGCTTTCCGGTACTGCTTGTAAGTCGAAATCGCAGATTTGCTAATTTTCTGAAGAGAATAAGGGCAGAGAACGATGTTGCCTTTCCATCCAAGATGCTAAAAACTGTCTCCGTTACTCAGCTCTCTTACTACTTATTTGCCATTAAACATGTTTTATCAAAGTCTGGGATAGCTAAGTTTTAAGCATACTAGTGCATGTCCATTTAGCCCTGTCCTCTTTTTAGCAGGTTAGTGACACAAAACCTTTTCGCTTAAACCACACTGTGTAGTGGGTTATATTGTCGTGAAATTATGAAAGTGACATGATGGTATAAAACGATAATTTGTATCGCTAGTTGGCACGTCCACTCAAATGGTCAACCGAAGCACTGACACAAGCGAATAGGAAACTAATATAACTGCCCTTCATCGAGATTTCTTAGCAATTGACCCAGGAATGATTTGGTGCAACATTTTCTAACACTGGAGCTTCAACTTCTTAGTAATATGATTAAGAGTAAAGTATCAAAGCCGAGGGCGTAATTTTCCTGCCAATTAACCTCACATTTATAGAAACTGTTGAGGATTTAAATTGCTGAGGGTAGACTAATTAGCAATCGAGCACGTGATTGAAAGGTCTTTTGACGCATACCAACAACCCAACTCAACTCATTGAATGATAGGACTCAAAATGCCTGACTATATGAGCCGAGAAATTAAAAAAAGTCTCGAGGTTGTATTTAGTTTTCTGTGGCTTCTCTCGAAAAGGAATATGTTCAGGTGCGCTACTCTTAATGGAATATAGTTTTGGCACAAACATCCCAAATTTATCATCACGTCGTCTCGCACGAACATGTGATTGCATTTAAACGAGCAAATAAGCGAAGGGAAAGTCAAGGAGGAGTGCTGTAACATGGATGGAGAGACCACGATACTTTGACTGGTGCTCATGCCACATCATCAGACTAAAATCAAAACCTTGTATTTAATCTAGTGCCAAGATTCAGTTCATCTCCTCGGGAAATGAGTAGTTTTCGTCACCGAGTACAGAACAGAGATTCTGCTACACCGGGCACTCAAATTGTACTCTCTTGAGAAATCTATGACAGAAATAAGTTTTGGGCACGCGCTTCCTAGTAACTTAGATTACGCGGTGACGTTTGGTATTCCCACTTGGGATTCGGCGATTGGTTATGTTGAGAAAGACCCCAAGTTCGTAAGCAAAATGGCCACGGGATATCCTAGGTATTTCCCTCAACCAGCTATCCAGGAACTTTGCAGTTATTTTACCAATAAGTATGGGCGAGAATCAGAAAGCTGCCGCCCCTTTCCTTCCTTGAATGCCGGCCTCGAATGTCTGAAACATGTGCAATCAGTTATTGGACATGAAAGTGAAGCTCGTCTTGAAGTGGAAAGCCTTGTATTCGAAAGCAATGCAAATGAGATGATTGAGAATCCTTTTCGATATGTTATCACGATCGCAGCTGTCTTAGCGCCAGAAAATGAATTCGAGGTTGTTAAAGAGTATTGGAAGTTAGCGGGTGAATGTGTATCAAGCCGATTAGCAGTATTTGTCAACCAATTTCTTCACAGCCCAGATTTTATTACTAGCCAAAAATCGCCGGAGGCCTCAGCAAAGCTTATTGTTACTATGAAAGAGGGAGACGAGGCTAAAATATTGCTAAAGAGAAGGATAGCCCAGAACCATTGCCATCCATTCGGCTCGGGCAGACTAAAGCAGAATGGAGAAGACTTAATCTTGAACCCGGAGAAAGACGTACATCTGATGTCAAGTGGCATGTCTGCAATTTTTACAGCGCGGAAACTGCTTACGTTTTGGGACGCACAAATGAGAAGTGAACACGCATTAAACAAAAGCGGTCTCGAGCCTGAAGCTCAGCCATCAGCGCGAACTACAGCTGTTATATTTGGGTTTCCCTTCAAGGATACACGGGTTATCATGGAAAACTTCGGAAACTGCGAATTCTTTGGATTTGGAGATTCCAAAGATTTAACGAAACTCAAGAGATTCTTGGACACAGGCAAGCAGCAAATTCTTGCAGTTTTTGTTGAAACACCTTCAAATCCTTTGTTGAATATGCCTGACCTGGGAGGACTGAGGAAGTTGGCGAACGAGCATGGTTTTTTTATTGTTGTTGATGACACTATAGGAGGGCTTAACATTGAAATATTAGCATTTGCAGACATAGTTTGCAGTTCCCTAACCAAACTGTTTAGCGGCTCCAGTAACGTTATGGGAGGGTCGCTTATATTGAACCCAAAATCTTCTTTGTACCCGTGTGCCAAGGAGTACTTTTCAAGCAATAAATTTGAGGACCTACTCTGGTGTCAGGATGCGGTCGCCCTCGAGATCAATTCCAGGAACTTTGAAGATAGGACGTTACGTACTAACGAAAATACTGAGAAACTATTGAGTGGCTTGCTTTTATCAGAGGAAAAGAAAACAATAAAGAAAATTTATTATCCAACTTTGAGCTCCACGGAAACACTCAAAAATTATGAATTTGTCCGCACTGAGCGCGGCGGCTACGGTTGTTTGTTTTCTTTGGCCTTCTACAATGAGCAGGACGCCGAATTTTTCTATAACTCATTGAAAGTGTTCAAAGGACCCTCGAATGGAACCAACTTTACTTTGGCATGTCCCTATGTTCATTTGGCGCACCACTTCGAACTCGAGGAAGTCTCTCAATTTGGGGCTGACCCAAACTTTGTTAGAGTTAGTGTGGGCTTGGAAAATATCGAGTGGTTGCTGAAGGTCTTTTCAGAGGCAATAGAAGTAGTCAAATTAAATCGTTCAGATTCCAAAGTAAATTGTTAAAAAGCGATATGCAAATTTGTAAACTTTTCGCGAGTTCATTTTTGAGCAATCCTGCCTCAACCCTAATACTTCTAAGTCTTTTGGCAATCATGGAGAAACAAAGAATGTAAGAAGACATGCTCTCTGAGGGTCCATAGCAGAAAGTTGACTTTTTGAATCCTGTGAATATCTTCAACGCTGGACTCCATCGCGCATTGCAGAAATACAAGGACCCAAGGAAACTAGCCTTTGCTTTTCACCTGTAAGGTTGGGTGAACTTATCAAAGTCAAGTTGTTCAGTAGTTATTACGAATTATGAAGGGCCACTAAAAAATTACTGTCCCATTCGACTCTTTCTCTAATATAGTGCAATTGTTTCGCATTGATCGGCTTACGCCGGAAAATAATTCTGAATTGGAAACAAAACTCGTCAAAAAAAAAGCAGGGACATGTGTAGCGTGATTTAAAGAACTTAAAAGAGAATTTTAGCCCACAGTTCAGGTCAAGAAATTGATGCACCTGTGTTTTGTTGTTTGAGTATATCGCACAATAGCGAACATTCAAATGTTGAAGCTAAGGAATGCGCTTAGCATTACGAACAGCAAAGATGGCTTTGAATAGCGAATGTGAGGAATTTTTAACTATTCATCTGAATTACAGTTTGTCGGTGATCAAAAGATCTTTGGATGCTTGTGAAGAACATAATTGAAGATGCTCTTCAATGACTTAATGTTTCCTATACCTTTTTTCTGGTATAGAAGCCTTCTAGTGATATTAAGGGGCAAACGAAACTTTCTAGAATGTGGTGTATGCGCAGCACGCAATGTTCACTTAATATACTTGGCTCGTTTCTTCAACGGCTCTCTGAGAAAGTAATGCAGACTTCGGAAACTCAGGGTGAAAATAGCAAATACTGCGGACATCAACGGGGTTGCGGCAGAGACGGTCGCACCCTCAAATGCCTCCAGTTGAAAATCTTGGCTTGAAAAAAAGTCCGTCCGGAAAATCGTACCCGGAGTGAACAAAAGCCTACACATCAATTACCGAAAAAATGAATTACTCGGATAATTTCGGAGGCATCAGGGACTCTCAACGATTTTCTTCCCTAGAGGTCGCCTCGAGATTCTTTTCTACTAGATGGTTTTGTTTACGCCTACCACACGGCAGGCTATCTAAGATGACGAATTTTTTTGGGTGGGCGCGGGGAGCCAATTTGCTTCCACTTACCCCTAAAATGCTGTAGGACATATATAAAGGGGTAAAATACTTTACAGAAGGAGTGTACAGCAGTTTAAAGATACTCTGAGCCAACTTCTGTGTTTATCAATACAATCATAATGGCTCAGGATAAGAAAATCCCAAATGTGAGGACTGGTACGAACCTAGTTAAAATTGTGGTTGTGGGCGTCGGAAGTGTTGGCTCTGCGACGGCTTACACGTTGCTTCTCAGTGGTGTCGTTTCTGAAATTGTACTGATAGATATCAACAAGGAGAAGGCAGAAGGTGAAAGTATGGATTTGAATCATGCGGCGCCTTCGACGACAAGATCTCGAGCTGGAGACTATTCTGACTGCGCAGGTGCGGAAATTGTCATAGTTACGTGCGGGATAAACCAAAAGCATGGTCAAACCAGGATGGATTTGGCCGCCAAGAACGCCAAGATCATGCAGGACATTATTCCAAACGTGGCCAAATATGCACCCGACACCATTTTGCTTATCGCAACAAATCCTGTCGATGTTTTGACATATGTCAGCTACAGGGCTTCAGGTTTTCCTTTAAATAGAGTTATTGGATCTGGCACAGTTCTCGATACCGCTCGCTTCAAATATATTCTCGGAGAGCACTTTGATATAGCATCAGAGAGCATCGACGCTTGTGTTGTTGGAGAGCATGGAGACTCGGGGGTTCCTGTTTGGTCTTTGACAAGCATCGATGGCTTGAAGCTCCGTGACTACTGCGAAAAGAAAAATCATAATTTTGACCAGGACACCTTTCACAAGATTTTTGAGCAGACCCGTGATGCCGCTTACGATATCATCAAACGTAAGGGGTATACCTCGTACGGTATCGCAGCCGGCCTACTTCGCATTGTGAAGGCTATCTTGGATGATACAAACTCCACGCTCACTGTCTCGACTGTAGGCGATTATTATGGAGTGAAACAAATTGCTTTGAGTGTCCCCATCAAGCTGAACAAGACCGGTGCGCACCAAGCCGATGAGCTTTCACTCGATGAGAAAGAAACTGTGCTAATGAAAAAATCAGCTGGCCAGATTAAATCAGCACTCAGAACTCTGGACCTCGAGTGAAACTGCGCTCGCTAGTTTTTTTTCAAAGCAAATATTTAAAACATATCTTAGCCGTTTTGATGAGCTGGTCGAGGTTTGTTTATTGAGTGACACAAATTATCGGCTTTATTTTTATAATTTAGTACCTTCACAAACCTACAAAATTCCCTACTGTCTTCATCCAAACGAACGTTGTCGGCGTCGACAATGAAACGTCGATGTAAAGTGCTAGAAGCTTAGCATACACAAGTTGTCCTGGTCTGATCATTATGCTGCAGTAGGTGCTGTCATGAGTCAAAAAGAAAATGAATCTTAATAGTCACGTCTTCATTGCAGGACTAGACTTTGAAAAGTTTCGAAATTTTGATGATTCTCTGCTTTATTTCCAATAAGCGGGCAAACGCCCCTGCTATAACTCGACTCTTCACAATTAGGTAAGCGGGGTCCGCATGTGCAATTTATTATTTAGATTTGTCAGGTTCATTGATTAGGTAAGCAGGGTCCACATATGCAATTTGTCAGATTTAATTATTGCAAAGCTTAGAGCCGAAGTAAAAGAATTATGATGAGCAATCACTTGAGGCAGCGCTTAGGTTACACCTTGGTAAAATCCAAAATTTTACTTATCGGTGTAAGGTCAGCTCAGTTGATAACTTCAGGAAATTATATATATATCTACGAGGATATGAGCAGATAGTAGCCACTGATGAGAGCAGAAACAAGAGCAACAAGCAATGAAAGTCTTAATCGTATTCGCCCATCCAGAACCAAAATCGCTGAGTACATCCCTCAAGAATGTTGCAATCAATGAAATCAAGTCTCAGGGCCACGAAGTCAAGGTTACTGACCTTTACGCCGAAAACTGGAATCCATTGATTAATCGCAGTGATTTCTTGAATCTTCAACCGGATAAGGCTATGAGAATATGTGACGAATCTGGTGAAGCTTATGCTGCAGGCATGCTGACAGAAGATGTAAAGCAAGAGCAAGAGAAGCTTAAGTGGGCTGACGTTCTAATTTTGCAATTTCCCTTTTGGTGGTTTTCCATGCCAGCTATACTCAAAGGCTGGATTGATCGCGTATACTCCTCCGGCTTGGCTTATGGTGTTGGTGAATATAACGATGAGAGATCCGGAGATCAGTACGGCGAGGGATCCTTCGCTGGTAAAAAGGCAATGCTCATCGTTACTGTAGGTGGCCCCGAAAAACATTATAAAAACCGGGGAATCAGTGGTGACATTGATGACTTACTATTTCCTATCAATCATGGTCTTCTATTTTATCCTGGCTATAGCGTCCTTCCACCTTTCATAGTGTACGATGCTCAAACTGCGGGTGAGAAGGACTACGAAGCCGCCGCTGAGAAATTGCGTGAGCGCATACGCTCCATAGATACTGATAGTCCAATTCCTTACCGTACACAGAATGGTGGTGACTACGTTTTTCCATATGTCACTTGCGAGATGATATTGAGCCCAATTCTACGTCCTTTTCTATTCATCAGAAAGGGTCAACATAGAATTGAAAAGAGCCATGTGAGACATGAGGGGCCGATTTATCAATATCGATGGAAAACAGTAAAAACTGCACGAATACTCGATTGCTTGAAATTTTGGACTTCAACTGATCTGTGAGATCGAGAGCTTTTTAGTTAATAATTTTATAGATCAATATATCAAACCCTTTCAGTTTACGACGAATGTGATGTTCTTTTGAAAGCCGAGAATTACATTATAACATAGCTTAGAGCTCAAACCTTTGGTGATCTCCTATTGAGACTAGTATCTATACAAGTCTTACGCTCGTGATTTTGTCAATAGCCGTCGTAATTATTTGTTCAAAGTCGTTATCTTCTAATGTGAGTTCTGTGAGGTAGTTTCTTTCACTGACAAATTGTATTACTTACTTTATTTGTCGGAGTCTATACCACATCAGGATAGTATGAACTGATTGTGAAGATATTGTAAGTACTTCAGATTTCAATCCCAACGCAATGTAAGGGTAGCAAGCCGGCTCCATCTTACCAGAGCTGCCCCATCTAGCTCTGCTACAAGGATCACTTAGGGCGTATCCGGCCTACCCAGAAATGTACAGATGCCAACTATTCTACAGCATAACGATGTTGTTTTCTCAAACACAAAAATGGCGGAGAGATGAATCTAGCCAACGCTTGTATACTTTTGAAGAACACTTGTATATGTCCATTGACAATACTAGAAGCAATCTTCAAGACTTGAACTTGATCGATGGAGACCAATCTCAATACTATATAATGTGTCATAGGGGCAGCAGAGGCACCGGGAAAGACCTAATAGTATGAATCCGTTCGTTATTTGATATTCAGGTGTTCACGAGAACCATCAAAGAGCCATCAAAAGGTTTCAAATTATTTTACGCTTAGCTAGTTGTCATATGTTAAGACTCGTATGAGCTTGCTGAAATCGGGAGAGGTCTAACAAGTCAACATTGTGGTCTCACAAGCGCCCAGGTGTGTTGCTGAGAAGAGAGGTACTTCGATTTGTGCGCGATCTGTTGCAATTAAGATAGTTTGAGTTGTGAGTACCACCGTTGAAGCTGGAGCTCATCTTAAGTGGAGCTCGTCTTAAGCGGAGTTCATCAGTATTGCACAGGTCGCTGTTCCAATCACTTATTACAGGTATCTTTTAAGTTTCTCAAACACCAAACATAAAGTCTTTGTAGTATGCAGTCGTGCCACGTAGATTATACATCAAAAACTCCAACTATCGGTCTGTGGAAAAGTGTCTTATTCAGCAAGCTATCGGAGGGAACTAGCAACAGACGAAAAAATGAAACATGGGGTGCCCTTTAGGATAAGGGAGGAAGCCTCCGAATAACCGCAAAAGTGACCATGGAATGAAGATCAGTCAATGGAGTTTATTACAGAATAAAGTGCTAAGCCCGAAGATGGTGTCGTAAGACCTTTGAGTCAGCCGAGCATGTTAGTCGCCTAGTGTAAACGTTTGGGACAGCACTGACAAATGAATTGCGCTGGGAGGTTTTGTGGCGCCTGTGTCGCGTGGCCTTTTTGGTGGTTTATTTCTTACTCTCTGCGCAGTCCAGATTGTGTTCTCCCATTTTAGGTCAGACACTACTTATCAGATAACATAAGAAATTCAAAAACCATTCATTTGTCACAAGATGCACATACTCTAAGTATCAATCTTTCTGGAATTGTTGCCCGAGGGAACTCAACATTCTAGATGATATGACAAGCTTATTAGCTCACTATTTGTTAACTTTTGAAACATGAACCTCTTCTAGATCCTCATCGAAAGCGTTTATATAATGATATATCCAATAGCTACTCATCAAAGACTCAAGCTCAAGCAGCACTAAAGTGCACCGTCTCAAATCAGTTGGCTGAGGGAAGGGAGACCGTCTTCTCCAGAGACTCTGAGGTGTCTAATCTGCCCATGAGAGCTGGGTGTTGCAGAACTTTGGGTAGCCACTTCTCGAGTAAACTGAAGCCGGCAGTCCTGTCCTTTCCAAGAACACTCTTGAAGAGTAACCCACACACGGCTGCAGCGTATAAATCCGCAATTGTGATGTGGTCATTCACCAGAAACTCTTGCTGAGTTAGACGTTGTTCGAGAAATGCGAAGCATCCGAGCAATTGGGCCAGTTTTTCATCGTACACCTCTTGACTGGCGCTGGTTTTGACAGCCGAAATTAGTGCAATAAAGCTTAAGGCTATTTCTTGGTTGACGAATGAGAGGATCCTAATTACCTGCGAACGCTCCTCCAATGCTGATCCGTACAACGTCTTTTCGAGTTCCACGTCGCCCTTCAAATTGACCAGGTAGGAAAGAATTGCGAGCACCTCGGTCAACTCAAATCCGTTGCTGCCCAGAAAAGCTGGAGATTTTCCCAGTGGGAAGTGAGTCTTAAACTCATCATACTTTTCATTTGGGTCGACAGGCTCTATGTCAATTTTGAGCCATTCGATGAGGCCTCGTGGTAACATCCCCCTTGCATGTTTTGTGGCGTATAAAGTTTCAACTGTCATTGTCTATGGTCCTCGAATCAACGAAAAGAATCTGCCAAGTGGCTCATACTGACATATTATATACACCAGAACTTTCATTTGAGAAACAAGATACCTCTTAATGTGAAAGAAGGCTGATTTTTGGGCCGACTAATGACCCAGGTTATTAGTAAGGTCAACAGAGTGAGCTATGTTTGCTGAATTCCCATCGCCTCATTTTTCAGCGTGGAAATATCAGCCTTACTAATCATTACACCCGACTAGCTTTGCCGCGGAACTAAGAATTTTTACAAAGCGAACAACAAAAATACGACATGACAAACCCTTATTGTAAAGGGTTGTTTACCCATTTAACGCGTTGGCGTTAAACAAAGATTTCCGAGACGAGTCAAGGGTCCTCAGTAATTGGAAACGAAATTAGCACAAAATGCAATCGGGAAGTACAGTCAGTTTTCTTCTTAGTGCTCAAAAAAACCAGAGTACAAATTCCCATGAAGAATTTGCAATCCTCTTTAAAAAGATAGGCTGAGTGCTGCTCTCAAATTTTCCACACAAATAAGAACGCTGAACGATTATCAACAGGGTTACTTTACTAAGTATGAGAGAGCGTTAAACCCTAGGGGGAAGTTCACTTTACGTTTCGTAGTCGGAATGAAGAAACCTTGTTGAATCTCCTAGCATAGATTCTTGATTGACCATGTAAGAGTGTGGATTTTTAGCTTGGCAGCAGCCGAATGCCCTTTTCATACGGGATGCTTACAGACCATTCAGTGATTATATAGATGGAGCCGCACTTTGTATGGACTTCGACTAGCCCATAGTGCACAGAACAACTTCATATAAAGCGAAACACATAATTGCGTCAATCAATCGAATTATGTTTGTCCGCGGAAGCGAAAACTGCTCCAATTACCAATGGTACCAAGAATCTCGGCAGAACTTATGCTATCAAACTTGCTTTCAAGCACAAAAGCGAGCCTACTTTTGCACTAAAAATCGGTTCAAGATGACGAACATAAGCTCGTATGGGTAAGGGTGGAGCTTCACAGAAGCAACTCGGGACCTGCACAAATTGTAGACACTTGTTTGAACCGGCAAGGGCCAAAGTCGGCTCTATGAATATTGCCGTCAACAACGCGGACAAGATTTGAAAACCTCATGGCGGGAGTAAACGAGATATAATTTGACAACAGTGATTTCGCCAACGACGAAATAGTGTTCTCTTATTCACAAACTGGCAGGCATGTCAATCTCCGGCGGTAGTATTAATTCTTCGGTGAACTCGTTGCTCGCGGCTCGTACACCATTTTACGCGGTGTACCAGGAAAGAAGAGAGTGCTGTAGAATATTAACCAAATAGGGTATCCAAAGAGTTTATTGACAAGCGCGTCTCAGTCTAATTTGTTGCTCCAAGTCCCCTCTGCACACCATTTTTCCTACTCGCAGGAACAGCCCCCAGCAGCGGGGCTTTATAAGTCCGCCACATTTGTAGACGTAGCGCCAGTTGTTGTCTTTTTTGTCTCAAGTGGCAACTGGATAACGGGCCAGGCACTGTACGCTTCCGGCAAAAGACTGTTTTTTTGGCCTCCTTAGATGCCAGGGTCTGCATTGCCTCTTGCGATTAAGAGTTTGGCAAGTGCAAAACGAAGTTCGGCTTGACCCATTATTTCTACAGGAGAAGCAGTTTTCGCGCGGCTCTAGTCTTTTCGTTGTCATTCTCAGCTGATTAAATTAGAAACTTCCCAGTCAGTTTGCATGTTACGGCAACTATGTAACTAACTGCTCAGCAACAAACACCCTGATTTGCGCGTCAGAGAGAAAGTCAAAAAGTGAGGGTCCAGTGAATGAAGAATGTGCGGACTATTTTTTAAACCAAAATAGTAGACCAGGCGCTAAGTAGGCTCCCCACAGGAGGATACTGCATGACTGCCAAGATTTTAGCATATTTTGTAATCAATCGAAAAGAGACATGTGTTTGTCTTGTGCACTATACTTCCTGGAATAGCTAGGATTTAAGCAGAGCAAGCCAGGAACACCTTTCGAGGGTTGAGCATCCAGAAGGAAGGACAACCTTTACTTCCAGAATGTTGCTATGCAGCGATGTTAATCAGACTACAGCCGAGGTGAAGCCATACCAAATATTCTGCTTCATGAGAATTCCATTACTGAAGCTGTGAAAAACCCTTTACCGGTAAACAATATAAAGCACTGAAAGAGCGTCTAGAATGTTTGATAATCTTCTCACTTCTAACATTGCCGCACACGTACCTTAAATATATAAGACAGCTGGTGCAGGCGACGTTTGATGGCAAGCTGTTGTCATTGTTTTTGAGCACTGAAAGCAAAGCATCAGCGTTGATGACAAGTAATCCCCAAAAGATCGCCATTCAAAGCCATTTGGGAGTACCAAGGGTGTGCGTATCAAGACTTTCTTGCATTCTTTGATAACTTCTGTCATTAGGTGATTAGTGATGGAGCACATGAGTTTTCAAGGTTCATATTCCTACTTCCAGCTCCGCACAGTATTTTAACTATGTGGCCCGCTTTGCTTGTGATTCATTGGGTAAAGCGGCAAAAGGAGGGGAATCGTCTGGCGACAGCTTCTTCAGGGCACAAGCTCAATTCCTTGTGAACCAGTACTTCCTACTATAGATGTAACATTTCAGAAGAATGCCGAGATGATGAAGAGTGGCTTCATTATTTGCCAATAGAAGCGGTGTGTATGGTCCTTAACTGAACATATATTATACCTATACCCTGCAATCAATTTCAAAGTCAGTACTTTAAATGGAAACAATTGTCCATCTTCGGCTAACCTGATTTCTTCTATTCAAATTTTCAGAGATTTGACATTGAGTAGCTCGAGTACTTTTGAGAGGATGTCCACTCATTTGGTACGCTCGGCAAGCTGATGGGTAGAGGAAGTATTATCACATGACCTATTGCTATCGTGCGTTTTTTCTGCATGCTTATACAGATGCACATGCACGCATATGCAATAGTATGTACGATGACCGGTCACATGATATGAAAGAGTCTTTTTGGGCTTGATTAAATAACACTGCTCTGATAGCAAGTTTGATGGCTGTATACGTGAGCTTACTCGTACTTTTAGGTATTTTCAATTTTATGATTTCACTGACTGATGTGTCATTCAGGTTCTGTCTCTTCTGTATTAGCGTGTTCTCAGGCCTACAAGACATATGGGAGTTTGATGTAAAATAGCAAGTTTTATTAAAATAGTTCTGGCTCACCACTAAAATACCTGCTTGAGTCTTTGTTGAGGTTTAACACTGCGTCACAAATCTGTCCGTGGCTTTATTGGCCTAGGGAATGAAGTCCTATTCTAGTGAATAAACCATAGGTATGAAAATTTCGGAGCGGGTGGTATGACCGTGAATAACACTCTAGACAATGACTGTGTGATGTTAGGACAATTGTATATGATTCCAATTCAACTTTTAATGGTTAGCATGATAGTTTTGAGCTGTCGTGGCCTTAGCTTGTCGTCACTTTGTACTAACACGTCGCTGCGTCACGTTATTAAGTTATGCGATTTCGCGCTATCCTCACTCATATTCTAGAAAATCTCTGCCAAAGATTGTATTGGGTGTTTAGTGGCAGAGAAGCAGGGCGGACCTGTTCAGACCGGCTCATCTCGAGACAGCTTCTGCCAACTGGACGACGCTGAGGGATAGTGGTGATGATTAAGGACATCAAACGATATGTTAATACGAAGGACGTCCTCCCAGCTGACAAAGTGAATACGGAAGAACTTGAATCTCAGCCAAGAACTGCTGCTACTTGAGACTGAAAAACATTTATCAAATACGCTAGTGCTTCCTGTCATAACCTATACGAAGAAAGAGATTTTAGAGCATCCGGTTTCAGAGGCATTCCTGCTGTTCCTTTGGCAAACTTCTGGAAGGTGGTGCTATTAACAGCCACAGCCGGAAAAGAAGGGCTAAAAAGAACATGTGACTTTTTGAATCTTGAAGGCGTCGAGATATGGGACATGATAACGGAGACGCCATTGAAACATGTGGAAAAGACTTTTGAGAAAGTCAAGCAGGGGCAGCTCGATACTTTTGCATTGCAATACATAAACGACCAGCAAGACGGAAAGGTGATTGTCGTACTTGGGGAGAAAGCTAGAGTGGAGGAGTTTGCTTTGAATCTGGATGTCGATTGCATCTGGGTCCATGGCGATCTCGAAGCTAAGGAAAAGGTGAAGAGGATACAGAACTTCAAAAACCAGGATACCAAGGTGCTAGTGGGAACAAAGCTGGTTTGCGAGGGCATTGACATAGCCGAGGTACGACTGGTGCTTCTTGTGGGGTACGTGCCGCCAGTGTCGACATACATCCAGATGGCAGGACGTTTGAGAAAGGCGGGGAGGTGCGTGACACTCTGGAACAAACGGTCGTTACACAAAGATTCCATGCGTGTGCGGAACTACGCCAAGGCGATAAGGGAGTTCTATGGGTTGGAGGAGGAAGCTGGTGAGGAGTCGGAGGTGGGGAGACCGCAGGTGGGGAGATCGGAGGTGAGCCGGGTCTTGATGATGAAGAAACTAGAGGTGAACTGAGTCTTGATGATGACGAAACTTCAGGTGGAATAGGTACTCGTGATCAAGAAACTACCGGTGATCTTGGCATTGCTGATGTACAACCTGAAAATAGACCGCTAAGAGATACACACGACAACACAAGTCAAATAATGAGTCGTGAAGACCAGACAACAGATACAGCGGATAATGCTCATGAGAACATTTCTTCTCTTGTATCTCAAGAAACTCTCTCCTCTGCTAGTCCTTCTGCCTCTCTCGACCTCATCTCGACGAGCGAAACTATTCTCTCGCCTGCCCCCTTCGCGAGTACTCCAGACTCCCCTTCACTCCCCCCTCTATCTAAAAGACAACAAACTGACTCTCCTCTCAAGATCCGCGTCAAACAACTGTACCAGAATGTGTCCGATATATTTGCATTTCTAGACATCCCCAGGCCCCTTCTCTACGCCATGTATGGAACAGACTACAGGTACTTCAACTCGAACATCTCTCTCGCCAAGAGGAACTGGTGTACCGGATGTCTCATGTCAGAGGTTACCTGTATCTGCTGGGATAACAGTGTGTCCGTTGCCAAGCTGGGCAGCGATGTCATGTGCGTTCTGCGAATGATATACGATGGCGATCAGTTTGACAGCTGGTACAGGCGGTGTCAGAGTATAGGGATCCAGAATTTGATGGTTGAGTTTGGAGAGCAGAAGGACATGCTGAGACGTCTATTCATGCAGCGCTATTCGAACTACGTGGCGCTGGTGGAGAAGCAGGGTATCAAGCGGGGAAATCTATTCTTACATGGCACCGTTGCTGCTCAGACTATGTATAACAACACATGGAACAGACTTGCCACGAGGCAGGCAGACGTACTGGTATTCTTCGCCGATGGTGGGAAAGTCGAGGCTTGTCCTGAAATGTGGAAGTGCAGAAACATACACGATATGCGTAGACTACTGGAGTCGCGGCGACAGAGATATGGAAATCTGCCCTTGATGAAAGAGTACGAGTATCGCATGGGGTATCTCCTGGCGCAGTTTGAAAGTGAGGCGATACGCAACTTTGTATTTCAGAGTACCAGGGATACGTACATCAGGAAAGACAAAGGACAGAAGGTGGTGCAGCCGCTTACATGGGAGCTGTTCCTCTTGATGCAGTTTGCCTTGTTTCACGATGAGGGTTATCGGAGACGAGTGGAGGCTACATTCCCAGAGCTTACCAGAACGAATCTCTTTCCGCATTGGCTTCGGATGATGTCCGTGCGTGTTGATGTTCAAGCCAGAGGTGGGGCGGACTATCGTTACGTGTATTTCATGGCGAGCATGCTATGGAGGAAGGAGTGCAAGAGTATATAGAGTGGGGTATATTCAGTTAATATACTAGTGAATATGAATAGAATCGTGTATAGTCTGTGAAAGTGTTACTGATTAGGTTCAATTACAGAGAAAAGAAGGGTGCGAGTTGTACTTAAGCTATAGAAGAGAAAGTACGGCGTAACTGGATATTATTAGGAGATAAGTCGAGGGGATAAGTCAAGGAGGGATGCCTTTCAGAGAGTGCGATTAGAAATTTTAGTTCTATTGGAGAGTTATTGGAGAGTAAAAGTCTATTCGGGTCTCTAACTTCGGTGAAAAAGAGACTTCAGGAGCTGAATACCGGGGGTCTATACTGCTGATGCTCGATCGTACAAAGTGATGGATGGAAGAGGGAGTAGCGCTCTTGTAATGGAAAGATAGTGCTATGAACATGAGCTGTTCGAGACTCGTTAGCGTTTATATAGTGTTTTTTATGGTAAAAAGGTAATTAGCGCTTATTTAAAAGAACTGACTGTGCTGTGATGACTGGTTAGGTTGATATTGCGACTAAATTCTGTATTATCCCTAGATATCTCGAGAAGGAAGATCTTTTAGACCGTGAA